CGCGAAAACTCCTTGCCCGCCACGCGCACGCTGTCGCTTCCGTAGTATTCGATGCTGTATCTCGGTGTTTTGTCGGCTTCTTTTGCCACGATTCGAAACAGCCTTCGAAGATGTCTCCATATCGTCGACCCGCCCTCCTCAAACAACTCCTCAGACCCGTTGAGCTGCTGAGAAAACTCACTATATTTTATCCACGCCATGAACGACTGCAAGTGTATGCGAATTTGATACAGATTTTTCACCGTCAATTCTCTACTGTCACTATTGCGCTCCAATGTCAGTGGTATCATCCGAAGCAAAACGTGTACAAGGTCTGTCATGGTATCCTCGGCAAGCATCTTGTGGTGCATCTCATGAAGATACTCTACCTTTTCGGGAATGCGATGCGACTGCCCAACGCAGTCATTGAGTAGGTCACTGTTAACACTCAGTCCCCGCACATACTGCCGCAGTGGCATGCGATTTAGGTTGACCAACACAAAGTATATTTCACCCATATCTCTTCCATATTTCTTGACGGTTTGGTATTGCAGTTTCTTGAGAAGAGGCTCTCCGTTGACCCGGTCCGCAAAACTCGGCGTCAAAAGACGCGATACGTTATTTTTCATGGCCAGGTCATAAGCATGCCGGAACATTTCTTGGCATTCTTTTGCGTAGGCTAGTCTCTGGAACTGATACTCTTTGAGAACCTCGTAGTCTTCGTCTAGCAGAGGCAGCTCTTCGACATGAAGCATCTTGAACACCATTGAATTATTTTTTGAAAGAACAGCTTCAGCCCGCGAGTCTTCATGATCGCTGATGCAAGCGTCATCCACGCTGTTTAGATAAAGAAATCTGAACTTCTTGTGGGGGTAGTTTATTGGTATCACCTCGAATTCGCGTGCTTTCTTGATATCCTCACTCTTGGTGTGCCACTTCACCACTGCCTTATATCCATTAGGAGATCTATAGAACAGCTTCCGTACGGTGTCTGCGGTTTCGAAGAGCATTTTAGAAGAGCATGGAAGAAGCTCATCACTTTGGGCAAGAAAGAACGACAGATCTTGCAGTCTGTGAACCGCTATTTTGGCGCGTTCCTCTTTTGTCGGTCTTGCGAGGCCACGCGTTACGTTCACCACTTTCCTGCTCCCATCCTTTTCTTTCTTCACAACGAAGCCATCAACAACTGTGAATCGCTCTGATATCTTTTCAAACATCCCTCGATGTTAGTTGTTTGGTAAGTCATTATGCTTTGCATGGTGGCTGCATAAATATTCTGTCGTCTGCTTACGCGATACGCGATTTGCTGTCAAAAAATGGAAGTGTAATTAAAGGTTTACGCGTTGGCACAACAACGGTTTATGCTCGTTGAGTATGACACCGGACGGACCGTAGATCGCGACAGCACTTCATGAGTGCCGTGTATGGCTATACGAAATTACGGCTAGAGTTCACACTCCGTGGTTAACGATTAATGCGCCATTTCTCAATAGATGCATGTGATATCTGCTTTAGCTATATCTCTGTGAACTCAACTTTACGTAGTGCTAAACTGTGACAGTATCTTCCCGAGCTTTGATTCGATCTGTCAGACATCTCTATTTGTCTCTAACTAATGTATACCCCCAATATTAATGACATATAGCGACTCCTGCGAGATTGAAGTTACATTCCCATATCTCGAACATTGACCCAGAGTAGTCCATAAATACATTTATTTTACCTCTTTCTATCTGTTCCCACAGTATCATCTTATTTCTGGAAAGTTTAATATTGATTGTAGGCATATGCAGCATCGCGCGCAGATATACGCAAATAGCATACTAAACGGCTTGAAGATATAGCCAAAGATTTTTTCTTCAAGGCGCGTTTGAAGTGATGTGTCCCTTATTTCGTGTGTAGTTTTGAAAGGGGAACATATCTTCAAATTTATATTTTCGTTTTTCGGTAATCAGTATCAAGAATCAATTATAAGCGGAATACATACCAAAATTTGATCTCTTAAACGAATTTAATTTAGAAGATATATCAAACGTAGCCTTCCTTTTGAAGTTTTTCGGTGATGAGCTTCACACACTTACAAATGCGCGAGATAATTTCATGGACATCTGACTCGGTAATGATAAAGGAAGGCGACAAGAGAGCAATATCACCGGTACCATCTCCGATAATTCCGGGCATACTCATAATGTTCATTTTGTTTTCGAAGCAAATCTTTTGAAAATTTTTCGCAACGTTAGCTTCCGGTGGAAATGGTTTTTTTGTGAGCCTATCCTGAATAAACTCTAAAGACCAGAAGCCACCAATTCCTCTGACATCACCAACGATTGTATTATCTTCTTCAACGAGTGTTTTTCTCAAGGTCTTTCCCATTAAATTTCCCATTTGAAAAATGTTACTGGTAAGGTTTTCGCGTTGGATTTTCTTCTGGATTTTTAAAGCTGTTGAACAATTAAAACCATGAGAAGCATAGGTGTGAGATCCGAAAATCATACCGGAACCATTTGTGTAAGCATTTTTAATTTTTGGTCCCACGAGTACACCAGCGATTGTGACGTAGCCTGAGCCGAGTGTTTTTCCAACAGTTTGAATATCGGGAGCCTCCTCTGCTGTTAGGAAATTCTCCCAACAATTCAATTTACCGTTAGGATTGCACCTACCAGTTCCGCACATCACTTCATCGAGCATGAAAATCACATCATACTTGTTACAAAGTGCACGGATTCCCGACAAATAACCTTTGGGAGGAGTAACAGTTCCCAGAGAAGAGCCAGGGAGAGTTTCGACAACAACAGCAGAGACAGTAGCAGGATTATTGTCAACTATAATCTTTTCTAAACTATTCAATAAGCGTTGAGAATACTGTTCTTCAGTTTCGTCGTTTCGTTGATATCTGTAAGGATAGCAAACGGGCATCTTCAAGCAAATGTTCTCTTGGTCTATCATAATATCTTTAAATATTTCAGACCGATTACCTGCAGATATAGACATTGCGCCTAATGTAAACCCATGATAACTTTGCATTCTTGATATAATTTTTAGTTTTTCCGGTTTTCCCCGCTCTAATTGATATTGTCTTATAATGCGGAGTGCATTTTCATTACTTTCTGAACCCGAACCACACCACATAGCACTAGAGAAGACACCTGGTGGAGAGTTCGAAATGTAAAAATCTGCTAGTCTTTCAGCATGTGGGTTGCCCACAAAGAAAGGGAAAGAATAAGTGTGTTCACGAATGGACTTGTTTACCATGTCATAAACTTCTTCATCACCCCAACCCAAAGCGCCAACAGCTGCGCCAGTGCAAGCATCCAAGATTTTCTCGTGCTTAACCCCTTCTGAAATGATATCGACATAAATACCCTTGCCTCCAACTATTTGAGGAGTTTTCTTTGCAATTACAGCTTCGAAAAGCAAAGACTCGGTTTTTTCTTGAACTTCCATTGTCATGAGATCCTATTTAATAAACTTAACTTCGGACTAGTTTGATATTTCTCCAAAATGATTTACTGGCCATTTTATACCATTTTCAAACCCAAGTACACAATTTCAAGCTTCTTGAAAGTAACGATTGATTATTTCGATAACATGATTCTAAGGGTTAAAATCGAAAGTCAAGATTCGGAATACCCTTTTAGGTGTTCACCCTTTTCCTCTTGGCTGTCTAAAAGATTGGTGACCCTACGATTTTTGGAAAAATTTCGACAAATGCAGCAGGGGGGGTAGTCTCCGCTAAAGCATCCCATTTAAGGAAATCCGTAACGTATTGCGCTGAATAATAATCATATTAGTAATAATATACGGTAGAACACACGATACCATTGATAAAGAGAAGACTATTTTTGCCTGAAAAGTGTGATCACAAAGTAAATTCGAATTGTTGTGTATCGCTCTTGATCTTTCGGAGAAAAAGGTGGGAAAATCCAGCCTTTTCTTTAAAAGTAAACCAAGCCTAAACTATTTAACTGAACATCCCTTTCGTTTATCACTGTGTTTGAAACACAGTATTTTGAAATCGCAACAGAACAAGATAATCGTGATTTTGATCGGATTGATCGTCTATAAAATACCAGTTTTCAAGAACAATAGATATTTTTTAAATGTTGAAAACCAAATCAATACCACTCTCCTCTAAGAGTAACCACCATGGTTTTTCGCTCATCCAGCATTCCTTCATGATTAACTTAGCATGGACTGCGCTCGAAATTCCTCGATTTATCAGGGAATCGAGGTGATTCAAGACCATAGACCGAAACATTAGAAGATCAGAGCTTATCAGCTCACAGCCACAACAAAACAGGGGGAAAAAGATGCATGACTCTGCCGAACTGTTCAAGCATACTTCACTTTCTATCAGGTGCATGATTCTCATTATTATTTTTACTAGCGAGTATCTTCGAGGCTCAAAATCAAAAACTCTTTTTTTAAGCAGTGCTCTTCCAGTCAAAGCAAACACTAGGTTTGTAGCTCGGAGAATCCGATAGGCACTTGTATTGATTCCGGCATCGATGCTAGTCGATAATACTTGATCTCTAGCTTTTTCGCTCTCATCAATATATACAGCAAGCTCTTCATCCAGCTCAATGCCATCCTGTAAATTCTTCAAGGTAAATTCAGAGGGCACATGAGAGAGCTTTTTTATTAGTGCAGCTATTTTCGCTAGAAAACTCAGTATTATAGGGTCCATACCTGTAGTGTTTTCAATATCCTCACATCTTAATCTCTTATCTTCCATAGTTTTTATACTATATGAGTATTTTAATTGATTTGCCAGTTTAATTAAGTTTTGTGCACTTGGTGAATGTTTTGGAGAACATAGGGAAGACATAATTTCGATATACGATAACCAGGAGGAAATGAAAAGGATGGATTTTTTAAAAAAGAAAAAGTCATGTTTATATGCTGGATCGGAGTAATTTTGTATAGGTGATAGAAGGTCCCTAACTGCCCTAATATGGGCTCTCCATTTAATTGGAGCATCAAAAAAGCAGAGATCGTAGGCGGCAAGAAGGAGCATGGTAACCATAATCTCCACTTTTTCTAATCTATAATCGGTAGATAACTTTTGATGTAATAGCGAGACTGTAGTGTTCCAGAATTTACCAACTTCCTTTCCCTTTTCTTCAATGATCGGGTCATCTCTTCGATCAAGATACCTATTATTTTTCCATGCTGCGCTGAAGGCAAGAACGGCATTCATGACCATGTCGTTGTGGAGAGCCATAGAAGGTATAAGATTAAAAAAAGGACTCTTCTGAAAGCTTCTCTCAGGAGCTACAATAAATAGTAAAGATGCTTCCTGTTTGAAAAATTCGAGTAGCTCCATGCAATCTGCAGCAATGGGTACGATTGACGGAGTTGTCAAAAATTCGGGAGCGCATAGCTGAAGACCAATGCGAGTTTCGCAATGAAAAGTATTTTCCTCACTCAAAATAGGCACCTGACCCTCCGCAGCGGTATTATTTCCAGTTAATGGTGCAACACCATCACTCCTTGGGTACGCTAGAAGTCTCAGAGTGCTGGACTTTTGTATAGCTGTGGATGGGATCATGTTCTCATTTTTGGGGTAGTGCCGCCATTTGAGCTTAATTTTATAATTGCAGTGTTCCAGATTGCTTTTGATACATTTAGTACACCTTGGTTTTTTCTCATCGCACTTTATCCCCAAACGTTTGCAATTGCTACAACCCGTTCTGGAGCGCTGTTCCCCCATTATGAAGTTGAGCAGAATTTCGTATTCTAAAGATAAGGGTAACTGTCACTTGTTGCGTTCAAGCTTTTAAATAAGTGCAGTATTTTGGCGATAGACACTGAAACCGCGTTGCATTGTTCCATACCAATTGCCCCTGAATATCTCATGGATTTTCGTATGCAGCTACTTTCAGATAGCGATTTATGTGTCAAATGGCATAAGGGAATAGAACTTTCTGTAGGAAGATGAAAAAAGGCAACCAAATAAAGAAGTCCCTTTAAATTAAAATGCTTTTGACGTTATATCGATTACTGTTTAATCTCTTTAAAGACTGCAGATGATATGTTATAACATCTAAATCAATTTCTTAACTCTTCACAACAACGGTACAACAATACACCAAAGATAAGCCCGTTACTGGACCCTTCTAATCCTATAGTTAAGGATGTTTAGTCGGTACATAGACGCCTGAAAATTCATAAACTGTTCTTCGAATATAGTTCTTCCAAAAGCGCTAAACGAGAAAGGACTAATCATCTCAACAAAAAAAATCTGCAAAACTTTGAAAAATATTGGAAAGCATTACTCATTGCGCCATGAAGCGAATGAATTTAAAATCTCAGAACTAACTTGATATTTCTTGAGAATAACAAAATAGATGATTTCCGCAATTATCACAAGAGATTCTTTTTCTGTGCACGATTAACCTAAGCCATCGTCATATATGCAGCCATCACAAATGATCGTAAATAAGAATCAGAAGTCCTCAATTAATGGGTTCTCTAAGTAACAATTCACTTTGAGCTGCTTTTCAAGTTTTCAGCCATTGCTACGTCATTTCCGCAAAATTTAGAATTAAAAATGATTTGAAATTAAAATTATTTTCTAGCTGAGCTTGAAAATAGGACAATCTTCCTGTATTTATTTTAAAAATCATCTCATGTGAATACTTAATTCTATATTTTTTTTCTATAGCTTCTGCTGCAATTCGCTTTTTTTAACTTAAATTTAAATTTAGTAGTAAGATTATACAGAACTTCACTATTGCAGCATAAGCCTTAAAGTATACCTATACTAGGTCTTTTTAATAAATTTTAACTCAATAATGCCCTGCTTCAGTATCTAATTTGCATTTTCACTCACTAATTTTAGAACAAAAATCACACTCTGATGTACTTTTTGTAACGCGGAAACCTTAAAAGAGAATTTTTCAGCAATCTTCATGAAGATTATAGGTAAAATAATATAACGAGCAACATTAATAAAACGATCGACATCAAATAGTCCTGATATTAGCGACCCATTTTCAGCAACTCAGAAATTCACAGAAGTTATTTGAAAAGACGATTTGACTGGTTATAAGACCGATGATACTTGAAGGTCTTACGAGAGAACTTTAGTCAAGATAGTTGTCAGAATAACATGGTCTTTATAGTACTTTGATAGAGAGCTACCTATTTGAGTTAACCAAATAATTTTGGTGTTCATGTCGATTGCTGAACAGAATTTGGTCTCTTTATTCAAACTACTTCATTAATTCGGGACTCTCTAATGACAACTATCATTAGTTTGCTAATCCTAAATTCATAGGAAATGCTAAATTGTTTTTCAATAAGGCTTGGATCAACTATAGCACAAAGCTTACTTGATGAATCGGTGATTTATAAACAGTTCAGATCTGAAATGAGAATATTTTTAGCTCTTGTTGGTAGGCAAAGAGGGGAAGTCTTTAAAGGCCTTTAGAAACATTTTTAACATATGTCTAAATTCCACTCAGGCTGCGGACTTGTGAAGGGTTGGTGCTTTGAAAAGCTACCCTTCAGATTTAAATTTGATCTCAGATTCACTTCTTAAAGAAAGTGTATAGTTTGGGCATTTTTTTCTAGCATGCAACTATTCAAATGTTGATACAAACAGATGGTGCTTTGAAAAGCTAGATATCATTGGCATCCTTTGAGGATGATAGGATAAGAAAGAACTGAAAAGTATTGAAATATGGATCTTTCTGTTTGTTCATTGGCTAAGTGATTACCATGTAATTATTCTTGTCTACACACAAACAACAGTATCTATTTTATTCCGCCAAACTGAAAGTATCAAGCCTATAATTTTTTTTCTCACCACGAAAGCTATTAAAAGGTTCTCCTAGCGTTTTGGAGCTTATATTTTCTCCGCCGAGGCAGCTTCAAAATTGCTCAAAAGCATGCATTTAATATTCAAAGGCTATGTTTGGCATCTTTCGGATGAAATTCGATACTACTTACAATATTTAATTCCAACTAGGCTCAAAGGTTCATTTCATTTTATCACTTCGAGCACTGGTATAATAGATAATAGTCGATTAGAAATGACGGCTGATTCTTTTTAAGATATTATCGTTTAATACGCTGTACGGAAAGTGCGCTTGTCATGCCTAGTAATTTGTTCAATTTGAAAAATATACGCCACTCTACCGATCCTGCGATTGATCATCTTAAGATGATTTTTTTCTCAAGTATGTAAACTTCCTGAACATTTTTTAAACAAATCCTTCCTAAATATCCTCATAAGCGGTTCCCAGTAATCCATTGATCGAAGACCTCTCCTCTTTTCTCTGACTTCGTTTGAATTTTTTATGCATATTTTACGATGCAATTCAGTTTATTTTCAAAATAATAAGGGAGTCAATAGTCATACTAGATTCCCTTTACTCTCTGTTGATCGTTTTTTTTTTTTTTGAATGAATTACGAAGCACATCTTGGGAATGTTTCTTTTTTCGAAAAGGCGTTCTTTTCTTTTTTCATATTTGATACATGACATATGTTGAAGATAACAAAGGACTCTTATCTTTACCAAATTGAGAAAACGATTTTGTATCAAAATCAGTGCTTTAGATGATTAGATTTAGTTTTGCAAAGAGCATATTTAGGCTCGCTGATACAGAGACTTTATCGATGAGTTAATGAATGGTACTTAAACCATGACTTCTTCGACATTTAAGGAGGAGCTTTGTTTTAAAATGTAACGATAATGTCTGAAAAACAAGGAGACTCCATTTTTGGCGCAGTCACATCGCATGGACAAGCAAGTTCTACAGAATTACATAATTTGGGTAGTTTACGCTCGGTGCGCTCCAAGACAGGTGCTGGGGTTGTCAACTACATCAACGCAGCATCTGCACAAGATGATAAACAACTATTAGCTGAAATTGGATATAAACAGGAGTTGAGACGTCAGTTTTCGACACTACAAGTATTCGGTATTGCTTTCTCAATCATGGGCCTTTTACCATCCATTGCTTCTGTCATGGGTGGTGGGATAACTGGCGGACCTGTTACACTTGTTTGGGGTTGGTTCATCGCAGGTCTTTTTATATTTGCTATAGGGGCAACTATGGCCGAGAATGCGAGTGCGATCCCCACAGCCGGAGGTCTATATTATTGGACCTACCATTATGCACCCAAACGTTTCAAGAACTTTTTTTCATTTGTCATTGGGTGCTCCAATACTCTCGCCCTTGTAGCAGGTCTCTGTTCCATCAATTATGGATTGTCAGAAGAAATCATGGCAGCAGTTCTTATCACCAAGAATGGAAATTTCGATTATAGCAGAGGTAAACTATACGCGGTGTTTATAGCAGCTATTCTAGCTATGGTATTATGCACTTGCCTAGCTTCATCTGTGATCTCACGCTTACAGACACTTTCAATTGTTTCAAATTGTTTCATTATTATTTTACTCTTTATTGCCTTGCCAATCGGCACAAAAAAAAATAGAGGTTACTTCAATAATGGATCATTCATTTTCGGCAAGTTCGAGAACATGAGCGACTGGAGTAATGGTTGGCAGTTTTGTCTTCAGGGATTTATGACATGTGTCTGGACCATTGCAGGGTTTGATTCATGTGTTCACCAATCTGAAGAGGCTAAAGACGCGAAAAAAGCTGTTCCTATTGGAATTTTGGCTTCTATTGGTGCGTGTTGGATCCTTGGTTGGTTGATCCTTGTAGTACTTATGGCCTGTGTTGACCCAGATTTAGAGAATATTGTCGAGTCTCCATATGGCTTTGCGCTGGCTCAAATCATTTTTGATAGCCTTGGAAAGAAGTGGGCCATTGCGTTTATGGCGTTGATAGCCTTTTGTCAATTTTTGATGGGTGCATCTATTTTAACAGCAGTTTCACGACAAATTTGGGCTTTTGCTCGTGACGATGGACTGCCGTTCTCCAATTACATCAAAATTGTTGATAAGCGATTTTCTGTGCCTTTTGTAGCAGTATGTTTTGGGGGGTTCTGTGGCTTGATATTGGGTCTACTTTGCCTAATAGATAACGCTGCTGCTGGGGCTTTGTTCAGTTTAGGGGTAGCAGGTAATTACATCGCTTGGAGCACCCCTACTTTACTCAGATTAACATCGGGTAGAGATGTTTTTAAGCCTGGTCCGTTTTACATGGGGAAGTTTTGGTCTCCCATAATCAATTGGATAAGCGTACTATTTCAATATTTTATTATAATATTGGTTATGTTTCCATCTTCACGCCACGGGATTACGAAAGAAACCATGAATTATACTTGTGTCATTGGTCCAGGAATCTGGCTACTCTCCTCTGCGTATTACATGGTTTATAAGAGGAAGTTTTTCCATGGTCCAAAATCAAATTTGAGTGACACTGAGTATGTCGACGCTGTTGGATCCAACATCATTGAAGAAATTTTGTCAGAATCCGGGAAGGGTGTGTGAAATAATTACCTATCCTGACAAAAACCCAATTGATAAGATAGTCCGCATATGCCACGATTTGAACTTCATTTCTATCATCTGAAAATAATTAGCAAATAGTTATTGCTCTGTCACACTCTGGCAGCAGAACTTGTAGGACGAAAATCTTTGGTGCTATAGTACAGGAAATTTGTGAGTTTTTCATGTCATGGATTTGCGTTTTTTGTTCAAGATCACTAAAACTACTGTACTCTACATTTTAACCAGCAAAATAACGTTTTCCATATATTACAAGGTTTCTTCTAGAAAAATAAGTTGGGGTCGGAAGTTGCTGAATAAAGCCGTAAACTTGGCAACACAATGGTTTCCGACTATCTGACTAGAATGACGATTCGGCACAATTACTACTTCTGATTTGAATCGGTTTCTTCTTCGTCTTCGTTGAAGAACTGGTATTATATATCATTTCTTATTGCTTATTAATTGCCAAGTTACGCTTTGGCACATCAACGCTCTGCTCTTTGATATATATCTATATATATATATTTACGTGCTTTTTTATCGCTGAGGTGCCTATTGATTTTATGGGAAATGTATTTATAATTTCTCTTTTGAGTTACTATTATGAGTTGTGTGTAAGAGAAATTAAAGAAAACGGTAGAACGCCTTCCGTAACTAAACAGGGCAAGACTCAGATTATGAACATATTCTTGTGTAAAACAAGCTAAAGCTGCTTTTTCAAGAATGTAAAAAAAACACTCGATGCTACATATCTGAATGAATGTATTCGCAACTCTTTCGGGCCCACTTATGCAATAACTTCCAATCTATCACGGACATCTCGAGTATTTTTTTAAGCTAAACCTCCTCGTAATTAAAGTTTCAATGTTAGCTTCATCCCTGGGTGATAAGATTAAAATGAACCAGATGACAGAGACTAAGAGTCGGGAAATGGTGCTTCCAAATTAAAATTTAGATTTTCTACTTCAATTGCGATTTAAACAAATGGAAAGATACCCATGATTTTTTTTGAGCTTCGTTCTTCAGCACATTTCTGAAGCATTTGAGATTTTATGATTGTTTTTCAAATTGCGTGGGTATCGTGCTCTATGAGAATTGCTTTCTCTTTTGACAGTTTGAAAAAACTAATATTACCGTCGTCATAATCGAGCTACAATCAAAACTCTCATCAAAACGTTCGGAAAAAGATACATTTGCTTTTTTTTGTGACTACTAAACAACTCAAACACTTATTCGCGTTACAAACCTTTAATCTTCTCTTGTTGGCGTGCTTGTGGGAACAGAACGAGAGATGGTCGGTATCTGGTAAAATATTTTCCTGCAATTCTCAGTTGGCTTTTCGCGATGAATTTACCATGTAAATGCTACTAAGTGCTGTGTCAGTTGCGACAAAAAATATGGGATGTGGCGCAGTTTAGCCTTTCCTATATTTTGACAAGTCTATCACCCTTGTTGCCACCTTTTCTGTAAAGTATCTGTCATGTGTGGTGGCAATAATAATACCCGGAAATGTAAGTAAAGCATCTTCAATAGTTTCTAGACTTGGAAAAGCTATGTGATTGGTGGGCTCATCTAAGATTAATACAGAGCATTTCCTCATAATAATTTGACAATGCTGTGTTTTACGACGGCATCCGACACTCAAGTTTTCAAGAGGACTTTTTAAGTCGTGCCATTTATAACTCCCAAAATCGCGTAAATTGCGAATTGCCGCCTGTTTGGAAGCATTAATTTTGGTATCTTTTTCTAGTAACTCTATTGGAGATTTTTCCATAGGAAGGTTTTCTTGCTCCTGATCCAAGTATCCGACCACTGCGTTACCGCTGATAGAAGCTGGTCCATGATCTGGCTTAGTGAGACCCATAATTATTCTATTTAAAGTGGTTTTACCACAGCCATTAGGTCCCTGGATAATAAGTCTCTCGCCTTTCGCCAAGGAAAAAGATACGTTACTGAAAACCTGCTTTCCGTACGATTTTGATACTTCATTCACGGCTATCCCCAAAAGAGAGCTAAACGCAGGAAGTTCATCGAAATCGAGGCATATCCGTGACCTTTCAGGAATAACATCCACTAAATTATCATTAAGGTTTTCAACCTTATCAGTGAGCTGATTAACAAGACCTGTAGTACTTTTTTGAGCTCTTTGTTCCCTATTATTGTAACTTAGTTTATCTCTATCTGAACCTGACCTCATGATTCGTGCCTTAACTTTAGATTGTACTTTTAGAGCTTTAGACCTTAGTTTCTTGAGCTCCTTGTCTTGGAAACGTCTTTCCTCAATCAATGCATGTCGTCTCTTATTCTCTTCCTCCAAGTAGTGCTTGTAGCCTCCTCTAAAATGTGTAAACTTCTTGGTGTGAGGTGACAACTCTGAGATAAAGTTTGAAACTGCATTAATCAAACTACGATCATGAGTAACAATCACTACACCCCCCGAGTACCTATGCAAAAAGGACTCTAACCATTCAATTCCGTTACTGTCCAAGTGATTTGTTGGTTCGTCAAGTAAAATGAATTCAGGATCCGAAATGCTCAGTGCACAGATAAGGGTTTTCGTTTTCTCACCACCACTAAGTAATTTGAAAGGAAGTTTTAAAATCTCATCTCCAAGTACAATGAGAGAACACTGCTTGAAAATTCCATGCCCTCCTAGAGAGTTAAGCTTCTGAAGCCAGTTTGATGATAATGGTTCCGAAGGTAATTTCAAGAATTCATTAATCTCGTCATCATGTAATGATGCCAGCAACACTTCGATAGCCAATAAGTCTTCGAAGTGTTGAGGCAAAAAACTTATTCTACCTTCGATTTCAATCGACCCGGAATATGGATATTCCTCGGCGTCCGATAATAGCTTGAGAAACGTCGTCTTTCCGCTTCCATTCTCGCCAACAATGGTCACCTTATCTCCATACGATACTGCAAAGCCAAGGTCCGTAAATAAGTTTTTTTTACCAAAAGAAAGGTCGAGGTTGTGAACAACTATTTCAGGAGGTTTTCCGGTAACTAACTCACGATAGCAAATACCATTCTTGTCGGTTTGCTTTTCTTGTTCCTTACGATTAGTGGATTTGTTTCTTTCAGTTAGCATGCAAAAACTATTGATTCAAGGGTTGGTAGATATTGCGCTCAGACTCTAATGTGTTCCAGTATGCGCTTACTCTGTGCCTTTCCTTGAAGCTATATGTGTTCAACTCTGTTCTTTGAAGGTCAATAAGGACCTTTCGTGAATATAAACATCTAGAGGTAATTTATGCAATAGATAGCAATTAGGGTACGTGATCGTTCCGTTTATTTATAGCTCAGATTCAAGAGATTTACTTTTAGCCGGATAACCTCCGTTTCCATCATTAATGAACGGGTAAACTTAAACACAATAAAATTAACTCGCTCTAGAAAATCCTTACTCTGCTTTTTCTATCTGATATGATAAGAGCCATTTATTCCGTTGTTTTAAATCTTTTTCGTGACGATAACCGATATGAAAAGCCCTTTATTGTCCAAAAAAAAAAAAAACTATCTCTGAATAGAGTTTCATTTTTTTTTTTAATTTACTTCGAAAGCCAATAGTGGAGATTCACAGAGTGGTTCAAATAAATTTAGCCTTCAAAAGAGTTAGCGTTCGTATTTAAAACATTCTTATATGAGGTATAATTAGTAAATTGAATTGTTTTAGCAACGTACATATTCATTTCTATGAAATGAAAGAGATTCAATAATAATGTACCAAAAATTAATATATATCATCAGGTCGAGTGTATCATGCAGGAATTATGACCTTTTCCTATTCGAAATTCTGACATCAACTTTTATTTATTTTGTCAATTTCTAGTTTCCTTATTTCGGAGAAATTCATTGTTGAAGTTCGCGTTGTAATAATGTAAGGCATCAATAGGTGAATCCATTTAAATAATTTTAGGAAAAGTTGAAGCAATTTCCTCGGATCTTCTTGTTTTTGATGATAAGTTTGGGAAGCGTATACGTAAATATTTAGTTTAAGAATATGTTCTCCGAACTTTCCCGGCAACTTGCAACACAGGGTGAGAGTCGGTACTATTACGGCTCTTTAAGATATGGTCCTCTTCTGATAGCTCGTCTTCTTCATTGTCATCCGCTTCTTCACTTGTACCGCGCTCCGCTCGAAGGTCAAAAGCAGTCAGCCGAACCATGATTTCCAAAATAGTTCCCAGTTCATCCTCATCCTGTAGCATCCTGATGAATATACGAGAGATTCCGTCTACTGTTATTTCATCAGAAAGGTCATATTGCAATTCAACCTCATCATAAACATCGTCTTCTTCACCAAAACATTCCATCAACAGGGGAAAAACCCGAATGTGTAGGGCAAATTTGTGATCCCTCTTCCGTGTAAGGTCTTGAGGAGGGACCCGCCTACTTGGGGCCTTCTGAATGTCCGTGTTGCTCTGTAACGAAGCATATTTCTCTCCCTTGACCGCTTGTATATGGCTTGGCACACACGCTTGGATTTGGCGTTGTACTCTCCCCGAAATGCATGAAATCGTCTTAGCGACTGTATCCAAAGGCACGAGAGGTCTGCACGAGGTACTAAACTTTTTCGTTCCTCACCCAGTTGACGACCAACTTCAGCTTCGTCGTACTCCCAGTTTCCTCCTGTTTCCCTGAAAACTATCGGTAAAACACTATTGGCTCGCGTGGTGAACACTGTTGTCACTGAGTAGCAGGTTCCATGTAAAATTATAAGATTCGATTGTCTACTAGATCAAACAAAGCTCCTAAGTTACAAGGAGAGATTGGTTACGTGGTCCTTGTACTTAACCTTATGAAATCTAATTTGCTGTTTCTTGCTCATCCACGTTTCACTGTTTGCCATGACGTGATTTTTTCTACACTATGTATGTATCTTAGAAGTAAATCATCCGTCAGCGGTGTTTGACAGCTTATACAATTTCGGCACTTAAAAAATACTGCATTTGTCTCTATTACCAGTTTCGGAAGTATCTTATTACTTAAGATGGAATTGTTTTTGCTTTATTATGTGTATGCAAACTAAAACAAACCAACTTTGCAAGGTCTCGAAATTATCTAGGCACTCCAGCTCAGGTTTGAATCTGCCCGGAAATTTCCTAATCTATTTTCTGCTTAGGTTACATCGCACGCTTACTCGACAATATTTAAGTTATGGGCAGGACGAAATAGATGTTACCCGGTATCTTCGTTTTCGTAGATTTGGGGGAAAAATCAGCAGAAAGCGTGAGACAGTTATCAACAAAATTCGGAGGTTTGACGGCTCACGGGATTCGTACGGCGATTTCTAGGGAGAAAACAGAGGGGTCGCGCTCTGCGGAGCGCGGCCCCTCTTAACCTCTTAGCACTCTGAAATTATTGTTGCAACACGAGGAATTTAACTTTTCCACTTAATCGCCGAAAAATGAAACTTCTTAAACCAAGAAAAGCCATTTTCCATATTTTATATTTCAGAGTTCAAAAAAAATGTGTTTCAAATGATTTCTTTTGCTGAGCTATCTAGAGGGTTTTCTAAAAAGCATAATCTTATATAGTAGAAGGGAAAAAAACAAAACAAAATTATTCCAGAACGTTGAGCGGTAACTTAGCCAGCTATTAATCCCTTTGGAAGGAATCTGTCACTGCATTTTCATTAACGTTGACAATATACTGGTAGATAAAAGCCACTGTTGTAAGATGAGCAGACACTGGAATATGTTCATCCACGGAATGAACGACTCCCCACATTTGGGGTGGCTCGACATTACCAAAGAATCTATAAATATTTTCTGTTAGATTCCAGTAATACTTTGTGTCACTGTTTGCAGATATTGTGTTTTTTGTGATATAAAGTTCGTTCTGTGGAGATTTCTTGAAAAGACCATTTTCGTAAACATTTTGAATAGTACCGGTAAAAATATCCCAAACTGGTGAACCTCTTGTTGGTGAAGAAGGTGATGGATTCAAACCTTTGAGGGCTTCGACTTTGATGTAACCCAATTCTGTTGGCGCAATCTCTTCCCTATCATTTGCATAAAGGCCATATCCGTACTTTTCGGCAATTGTCTTGGCGATTTTAACATCTCTTGCAAATGTTTCGTCTACTGAAGACTTTAAATCTATTCTGTGATTGACCAAAAATTTAGTCACTTCTGGAAGGGCGTTAGCTTTCATCCCGCCATTGAAAACATCTACTGCTTGAGAAGTTCTCATCAGTTCTCTCATTGAAGGCACTTGAGAGGTAAACTTGACCATTTTTTTTCTCTGTTTGTCGTCGTAAGGAGCCTCAAGGATAGCTTTTCTATATTCTAAAGGAAAATTGCTATCATGTTCGGCCACACAGCACAAATATCCATAGAATGCGCTATCCAAACCCATGTCAAAGGAAAAAGGATTGTTTTCTAATGTCAAAACAATATCAGATGCGATCCCGATTGTAGTGTGTTTTGGAGGTATTGAAGAATGTCCTCCAACACCGTTCACTGTGAATTCTACATCTACATACCCTTTCTCCTGTACTATTGGTGCAGCGATGAAAATGTTCTTGTCAATCTCTTGAACCATTGCGCCTTCATCAACTATAGAATAAATCCCATTTTGGCCGTACTGTTCTTCAAAGAAAGTGCCCAATTTTCGAGCACCTTGGAGACCAGCTGTTTCTTCGTCAAATCCAAATGCAATAATTATCGTTCTCTCAGGAATAAACCCGTCTTTTAGTAATTGTTCGACTGCCTCCAGTTCTGCAATCATCATTGTTTTGCAATCAATTGCTCCTCTTCCCCAGATAGTGTCACTATCTTCGTCATAGTGGCCTGAAAATGGTGGAAACTTCCACTTTGAGACTGTTTTTCTCTCAACCGGAACTACATCTTGATGCGCTGTAAAAAGCATTGGTTTCAACAAGCGATTTTTGCCTTCCCATGTGTATACAAGGTTAATGTGGTTGACTTTTTGAACTTTCAAGTGTTGATAGATCAGAGGAAAAGACTCAGAAAGATATTCATGAAGTTTGAAGAATTCCTGATAATACTCTAAGTCATCTTCAGGGCTTGGATTGTTGTCGAAAATTTCTGTTGGAATTTGAAGAGCACCACTAAGTTTCTTAATTGACAGTTCTTTAAACTGAGGGTCTTCAAAAATTACATCGACAGACTTGTTAAATTTTGGTATAATTGCATTTGTTTTTCCACAGAGGTTTGTTTTGGAATTTATCATATAATTCTTGGTCAAGTGAGAAGCACTTATTGCCACTCCAAAAAATAGAAAGAGTATCACACTAATAATGCTGCCTCTATGCCTAAGGAACGTTGCTCTACGGGAAGAGACCGGTGTGGATTTTAAGCCGTAGGGCATTTATATCTATAAGTTGAATTGATGACGCATAAAATAAACAGCAAGCGAATCATACAGTGCAGTAGAGCAATACTTTATATATTTTCTTATTAGCATACTCACCTGTGTGCTTACCTCTGACGTTTGATTAACCACAACTTAATCAAGCGGAGAATCAATCTTCAATTCACTTAGTCGTGCGGACGAGAAGCGGTCTCGTAAAAGAAATGTTGAAAAAAATAACTCTATGCGGACGAGAATAACATAAATTGCAACACGGAATGCGGCTGAGAAGTACACAAAAATTCTTCTTTTTTGTAAAGGGAATTGGTTCCCAACATTACGAGCCCAAAATTTGAGATAACGCTTTGTTTACGCGACAACTATTTGATTTTATATTCACTAGCAATCTTTCTAAAGTCTCAGCCTAAACTTTCGGGGCAAAAAGCGGTCGAGAAAGCTTGATTGGTAATGTAATTGGGCAGAACCAATTTTTTTTGTTGAAAGAGCTTACATTGATGGACTATCAAGTAGCTGATAGCTTTCAGTTATCGAGAATAGTAACAAACGAGTATCCTCTGCCTTATCTGTCTAATCAAATCTGTTTTATCGCGGTTTAGCATTTGAAGGCCTGGTTTTAAGATAGATAAAAGAGATGAAAACCGGTTTACTTTCAAGCCTCGGAGCAGTTAATTTATTACACTTCAAAACCAGAGTCCCACAGGAAAATCCAAAACCTCCAGTGTGAAGAATCATCATGGATAATCAACAAAATGAAGCGGTAAAGACGACTGTTACAGCCTTCATTAATGAAAATTTAGGATCAGTTTCCGAATTGAACTTTATTTCTACGGCACATGAACCAGACGAAAAAAATGTTATTACTACTATATTGTCACCTAATGGCAAGAAAACTGAAATAACGACTGATTGTGATGACGCCAAGAATCTTGGAATCCAAGCTTTGGCCATCGAGCTAACACCCGAGGAAGACAAAAGGCTAGTTAGAAAAATTGATCTTAACATGTTTCCCCTGATGTCGCTTGTTTACGCCATTCAGTTCATGGATAAGACAACAATCGGGAATGCAGCAATCATGGGACTTCTTACAGATCTTGAAATGACGGGAGACCAGTATTCGTGGGCAGGATCTGCCTTTTATTTCGGCTACCTCGGAGGGCTTTTTATTCTTCCACCTTTGCTGCAGAAGACCAAATATTTCATGAAGCTATTGTGTGCCATTATCGTTATATGGGGTATGATATTGGCTTTGCATTCTGCACCCCGCGTAAATTATGGCTCTTTTATTTTTCTCCGCTGTTTGCTAGGCTTCTTTGAGAGTAGTATCACGCCTGCCTTCACTATCATAACTGCGCAATACTGGAAGAAGGAGGAGCAGTTTCTCAGAATTTGTATTTGGTTTGGTTTTAATGGCTTGGGTGCGATGTGGGGTTGTTCGATGGCATATGGACTTTTTATTCGTGCCGACACGTACTCTATTGCTGCGTGGAAAATTGTCTTTCTATCTACTGGATGTATTACCATTTTTGTCGGATTAATAATGATGCTTCATTTACCTGATTCTCCGAAAAAGGCATGGTTTCTATCCAAGTATGAGAAACTTCTTTTGACTCAGAGAATAAGGGATAATCAGCAGGGTTTTGGTAATCATCATATCAAGAAACACCAAATAAAGGAGGCTCTTGTAGATCCTAGAACATGGCTTTTTTTTTTGTATTGCATAGCGGCCAATATCCCTAACGGGGCCATGTCAAACTTTCAATCAATACTTTTCAGGAGTGATTTTGGGTATACTACAGAGAGGACATTGTTAGTTTCGACTGGTATAGCAGTTGTTGAATGGGGTGGCTTGCCTTTACTTGGTTTTGCGTCGTACTTTTGCGCCAAAAGGAAAGTGAAGTATTTGAGCAGTCGCTTGATTTGGTCGATAATAGCTCTAATAATGGCTTTAACTGGAGTTTGTATGTTGGCGTTCGCAGATGGAAACAAAAGCGCAAAGCTCGCTGGAGTTGCACTTAACTACTTATCACCCTTAGCATTCATTTGTGTTCTCGCAAATATCTCAGCGAACACACTAGGTACTACCAAAAAGTGGACTGTTTCTTCAATAACTTTAGTCGGCTATGCTGCGGCCAATATTGCTGGTCCTCATACTTTTATTAGCTCCCAAGCACCTCACTACTCGGGAGCTAAAATTTCACTTGTAGTCTGTTATGGCTCAAGTATTTTTATTCTTGCTGCTCTGTATGTTTTGAACGTTAGAGAAAACAAACGGAGAGACAAGCTGGCTATGGACAGCCCGCCTCAGCCGCATATAGAGAACATTGAATTCGCAGATCTCACTGATTTCGAGAACCCTTTTTTTCGCTACACTATATGACAACCTTGAAAAATTATATGCCTTCTTTTAGCTGTTTTACGGAATTATTGTGGACTTTGTTTTTAAGTCAAATGTTTCATGGATGGTGGTGCGGGAAACCTTACTGGTCAAATTACGGAATACTTCACATTACCCAAAACAAAAATCAGAGTTTTTCAACGTCGCTAATACCATAATTCTTAGAGGTTATTGAGGATATTTTTGATGTTGCCTTGCCTATGAAATGTGGTCCTTAATTACAAAATATAAGCATAAAATACAACTGGACATTTGAACTGGAAACTTTAAACAATTTATGACAAATTCAAGTAGGAGAACAGTAATAAAGATGCTCCCAATTCGAAGTTTCATGGTAGTTATTAGTAGTTTGCTAGTATTATAGACTAGCCGTAGGTCAGTTTCCTTCTTGAAATTTTTGGAGTAAAGCAGTTTTAATCATTTGTTTGCACTTTTGCGTACCTATCTTGAGATGTAAATTGTAGTTCATATAGTAAAATTGCTCATATAAAATGATTTCCTGCTGTTTCATTTTAGGATATTTTGAGCTTAGCAATTAATAAGTTCAGCAAAACTAGCTATAGAACGGCATTTGGTTTCATTTCAATAAATCAGTGAATTCACATTTATAATTCGTATGTGGTTAAAGGCAATACGATTGGTCAATAATGTACTGAAAACTTATCATGGCATGCTGAGGTAAAAGTTTCGTAAATAAACAAGGAGTTCAAATGGGGCTTTATTGAAACCTCAATTACGAGGCTGCCAATTTTTTTACGAAAATACTGAAAAATTAATACTTGCTCCGCAGGCGCAAAAAGAATAGCAGATAATTTTTGATAAAGACCCTTATTTTCAAGCACTGATTCCCGCGACATAATCTATGAAAAGCATTGAGTGGACGCTAAGTTTTTTGTCCTGTTTCCTTTTTTATTACTTTTGACTTTAGTGCTAATATCTCCTTGAATAGATTTTGTGTCTTCAACGGCCAAAGGCATCCAATCTCGGATAGAGCCTGACAACAGTTTTCGACCAATTCAACACGCAAGTCTCCAGAAAAATAATCGATTGTTGCGCATCTGGTGTAGTATACTTCTTCTTCCAAATCCATAAAATTCACGCATGCATTTGGGTATCTCTTTAAATGAGACAATACTATAATTATTGGCTCAAAAGGGTAAGTATTTCTCAGAAACCAAACGGACTCTGTGCCTTGCTCAAGAGCGCATGAAATCTTTAAAAATGACTCATTAATCAAAAGTAATGATTGCAAAATCAAATCCCCATTGTTAAGGTTGACTTCAGACTTCCTTTTTTTCCATTTGCATTGAGCGTTTGAGCTGAAATAGGCGAGCAAGCGCCCCGCTCTTCTAACAAAAAGCCAACTCTCATTAAAAGACCAGGTCAAGTCAGATGGACAAGAGGTGCGCAATTTTAAAATCCTTTCATCGATCAAATGTATATCTCGCTCAACTTTTTTAAATGCTCTTATTTTCCTCTTTAAATCATCTTGACTTAAGAGCTCCCCATTGCTCAGTTGAGTCGTAATATCTGCGCATAGGCGGGCTGCACGGAAGCGCGCAACAGCAGCGAGTGTAAAAGGATTGCTAGGAAGTTCTTCCATGCCGTCATAGAGTTCATTTAGGGTCTGATCAACTTGAGAAGGAAGTCCCGTATAAAATGAAACAAGGGAGTCAAGGAAAACAACAAAAGCGTAGACGACTTCCTTCAAAGGGGTTCCTGAGAGTCGTGTTGCTTTTTTATGTAACCCTGCCATGTGACTATAACGGAGCAGAGACGATACTTGTACAGCAAGATCGTTACAATTTGTCGATGACACATAGTACATCAGAGCAAGCGAAGAAATTGCTGGGATGGAGGGGTTGTAATTTGTCATGAGGAGGCATTTTATATTTTCAACGCATTCAAAATACTCAAACGCCAATTTCATAAATTTCAAATTGCTAGTAGGTGTTACGCTACACCTACGTTGATAAAGCTGATTAAGGTGTAGTGAAAAAGAGCTTGAAAAGAAAACAGCGAAGAGTGTTATCATTGCATTCAAATCTTCGAAAGATGAAGGGCTCTTCAAAAACAGCTTCCATTTTAGTATGAAGTCCTCTTGATCAATTATTGGAACAAGAGGAAATATCGAATTTAAGAAATGTGAAATAAGAAAATTTCCTAAAGCTTCCTTCGGCAGTTTTGACCTTAACTCTCCAACGCACATTCGATTGGTGACAAGCTCTGAAAAGTTAAAAGTAAACATTTCCTTGTTGTCATCTGTTTTTGCTTTCAGCAAATAAGTCACGACCGAAGACGGATCATAAAACGGAAAAAGGTTTTTAGGAACAAATATCGCTAATTCACCACTACGGTTTGTGACAATTCTAAAACTTTCGTTTTCTCCGTTTTTCCTGTTTTCTTCGAGAAAATGTAACGTAGAGTCTTTAAGTTCGCTGGAGTCAGTCGAAAAAGAGCCCCTGCCTTCAGTTTTGAGCTTTGCCAAATAAACGCACTTAAGTCCAAGCCTAGTGCAGCGTGTACAAGCAGGTTTTTCTTTATTGCACTTACGTTTGCCGTTGAAACATTTTACGCAGGCTTTAACAGGTCTGTTCCTTGTTATGAGTTTCTTGCTCATTTTATGAGCGCTGTAAATGGATGGAGTGACTTAACACAATCTAAACATATAACGTAGGGCGTAACTGATGTCCACTCTTAATGCAGCTCTTTCTCGATTAAAATCTTGAGATTCAGAAAATTGCCTCCCAGATCAATAATAAATAAATGCGAGGGGCTTGAGACTGACCGATAACAGCCGTGCTGTTGAAAATAAGCAATCAGGATTGAAATAACTGATAACGAAAACATATTAGATGGCAGTTACATCGTCACAAATTACTCAAGGGTTGAAACAAGCACTGCAGGGGACACACCTGGCGAATCAGATATTTTTGACCTCGAATCCAGTGATATTACACCGGAACTGCACCTGGCAAATAAAATCTTTTGTACAAAAAAGAAAAGAAAAATTGCAAACGGTCTGAGGTTGATCATGAAGATCTACTCAAAGATGAGGAACGCTCCAACCCATATGTAGAGTTTGTTGACAGATTGAATTAATGATTGAAGATCAAACTCAAGACGAAAGAAGTCGATCACTTCTTAGGTTGCGCCCGTCAACAACTCATTTTTCCAGGCTGCCCTCGCGACTACAATTTCGTCCTAATTTGTATATTGAGCTTTCTGTCATTTGAAGATCACAGATGTAGACTGTTTGGTTTATTTACATCAAAAGGTGTAAGACCTGCATAACTTTATGCGGAACGTAGAAAGCTTACAACGGCATTTTAAAAACGTGGCTTTTGTGGATTCATTGAAAATGCAGCCACTAATCACTACCTGTTCAGATATACATATGGAAATCTTGTATTCCACTGGGCTACAAACTAGTTTACACAACGTACGCCGCAATTAGTTGTTGACATTCTATAGGACAATCGGATACTTCACAATTAGGAGCTTTTTTTTAATTGAGAAATTTACAGAACAACTGCTTGCCAACCTGATTTGTCTCGACGCTAAAAGAAGGTACAAAGGAAGAGGTAAGAGCTATCACTATAGTAAACACTAATGTAGCGATGGATATTTCAAATTTAGCTATACTCATATTGGCTTCCATAAACTGACACTTCTTTGTAAGTCTGAATTCCACCGTATTGTTAGGACACTAGAGACACCATCCTATATGTGGTCATATACCCTTGATTCTTTTAAATGCCCCTTTCTTTTTATTGTTTGACTGAAGAGCACTTGCACTCATATAGTCCTGACTGGGCTCTGTGGACAGTAAGCTTCAACAATTCCAAGAATCATAACTTTTGCGGTGTGTTGCCTTCCATATGCAGCTTTCTGCCTATCTGTTACCAACGAATCATGGCTTAATGGTCGTTTTACCAACATCGACCAAAGTCTTCCAAATTCAAGCAGATCAATCCCTGAAAGTAGAATGAAGAACTTATCGACGCCATGCGCGTTAGATAGTCCGCTCACACAGAAATACGAAACTAGAAAATGCGGCTTACAACGGACACAAGGAAGCACGTGCCATAAATCATCAGGCAGTGAACACTGCTAATGCTATATGTATAGATGTAGAGGGACTTTTTGCCTGATTTCAGCACAGTTCCTTACTTTTTACAAATAGTGGTCTAAACCGTAGACGTAAGCCAGCGCTAAATACCGGGGATATTCGATATAGGATACTTGGGGACCTCGTCTATCAAAATTCAGGCTCGCTGGCAGTAGGGTATAAAATACAGAATCTAACAAGTGGGCAAAGAGGTTATAGGAAGGTTGTATTTGGCTCGCGCGTGTCAATCGAGTATTTTTTCGGCGCAGTCAAAAATAACCGCCGAACCTTTAGTAGTCTGGGAAAAATGAAAGTAGGCGGTGTGAGATTTTGTGGTGCTTATTACGCTATTGCTGTATTCCTAACAAATCTTCAGGATTACTAAAGAAGATCTCAAGATCCCAAGTATCTTTTTATTTCTCCGCCACGCTTGATGAGTACATTCATGGACACAATTTCCTCAAATATCTCGACGGATTTCTTACCAATGACAAGGAAACTGATTCTTTTACCTCATAACAGTACAAACAGCTGAGTTTAGAACGATTGAGAGATATATTATAAACATATTTTAGAAGGTAGATAGGGAGGAAGAGAGACTTGATTAAACCTATAACGAGATAACGTAACAGCAAGCGGGAAATGGTTTTGTGATGCATGACGTAGATAGTTTATGCACACCAGCTCACAAAATTGTACAACAGTTTCTGTCATGCTTGAGACAATGAGGAATCATTTCCTTCCAAGCTATTAGCCTTGACCATCTTTTTGACCAGTGTGTCAGATTTCTTAGCATCATGGTCAAACCGCCCGCATTTTTAACGCTCAAGCTCTAATTCTAACATATATTGGCTGTGCCGAAGGCTTACATCTAGCTTCTTAATAATTGAATGCAATCTCTCGATACTTTTGCTGTTGTTCTTTACCTTCGTGTTTTCTTTCATTCACGACTGCAAGCTCGATTCTTTTCACGAGTGTTCTCTGCAGGTTGCCTACTAATTTTATATTAAAAAAAAGAATACCTTGCGGTTTTCTTGAAGTTCAGCAATCGCCACAACCATTTATTTCTTATTTTGATACTATTAGGCTGGTTATTATCATCTATTGAAAATGGTTCTTAAAAAATCTCAGATACTAAGACATGCTATTACGCTCGGAATACTATTATGACACAGCAACCACAAATATAAGTCGTAGACAAAAATCTCGGCAGCTTTGGGCTTATATTTTACTTGAGGTGTATGCAAACTGAGAACCCGGTGATTACATTAGGCTATCTTTTTGCCAAAGATATTTTTTGAAACCTTCTGTCTAGATTCGTAGCTGAACTCGCCTTTTTAAGTCATCTCATAAAAGCGGACTCGAATCCTGTAATCATGAAAATCGCATTGGATTCGTGATTCGTCCTCAGTACCGGGACATGTCATAAATTCAGCAAATATTCAAACAAGCCCTACGGGAAGATCAACACTGACTGTTTATTGTTTTAACGAGAGGATATTCATACAGACATTTTGGATATTTAAACTTACTTTAAGATAATAGTGCTCGATTCTTTTCGATTACAGTTTTTGAACAGGCAATGGTACGCTATGAATGTTGAAGATAACTGTGAGGAATTTCTGCATTAATGTACTTTTGGGCGCTTTTAAAAAAAAACTTAGTAAGTTTATGGTGACGGCTGCTTAGACCAGGTCAAATTTTCAGGAAAACCGTGTATTCATAAAGGCTACATAATTTAGGGTAAAGAAGGGACTATTTTTCTATCACAAGGCGATGCGATTCCGAAGAATATTTTTGTAGCAAGTAATGTCGGATCGTAAACTGTTAGTGTCTGAAGAAGGTTAAATGATGAGTCATATGAACGAGTATATTCGCATTGTATTTGAAACTTAGGCTCGCCATTCTCTTTGAGAGAGCTTCCTGCTTGCTTTTTATTTTTAGGCCTTCATAGGCTTTCACGCGTTCTCTGTTTAAAGGTACCTCTCATGTATGCGACAGGTAGTTTATCTTAAAGCAGACATGTTTTATCAGAAAATGGGACTATCAGCATAATAGAAAGAGCAAAAGTTAATTCTATTCATGAGAACAGTCTTCTGAGTCAAGGGCTGTAGGCAACTTATGCTCCTTGATTACTGAACATGAAGCAGCTGTCAAAACAAAACAAATAAGGCAAAATTTAAATGTCTTGTCACATGCATACTGGTAACAATCCAATAAGGTCTGGCGTACAAAATCAGGTGAGCCATTGTTTACCCAGTCAGATGAATGTAAAGCTCTTTCAATGATATAAGCGAGCTCCCTTTCAGAATGTATATTGCTATGAAAGCTCATTACAGCCTTTGTAACAACACTTCTCAGACAATTTTGGAATATTGCTGCACCGAGTGAAACACCAATTGTGCATCCTGTTGTTCTGAAAGCGTACGAAATTGATGTTGTGGCTGCCTGGTGCTTTTGTGGAACAGCGGCTATCATTGCCAATAGTGTAACCGTAATCAATATTGCGACACCAAGCCCTGGTACAGCTAGAAGGATAGACTGTCTCCATTGAGACATTTTTGGATTGATAGAGATGATTTGGAGCTGCCCAACTATCAATATGAGGCAAGATAATAGCATAAGTTTGTAATATTTTCCAAATCTTTTCACATAATACCCCGTTCCGAATGAACCAAAGGCCATGCTGAAGAAGCTGGATACAGATTTTTTGCCTATTTCGACCGGCCCTTGGTTTAACACGCTTGACCAGTAGATTGGCAAATAGTAGGTCGTTGTCATCATTCCCATCATACAAAACCAATTTGCGAGACTCGAACCTAAAACACTTTTGTTTTTGAGAAAGGAAACAGGAAGAATTGGGTCGCTTGTCCAATAAATTTCTGTATAGACAAATATAAGACCAGAAACACACACTGCGATGCATAGTAGAAGGAAATTCATAGAGCGATATGGCATGTACTGGCCACCAACTGTTATTGTCACCATGAGCAACAATAGAAAGGATATCAAAGCTATGACACCATACCAATCTATCAGCTTAAGCTTGTAAGTTAAAGGGGATCTTTCTGAGATATCTTTGTCACTAGCTAGTCGCAAGTAAATTATGATTAAGTTGCAGCTAAGAAAACAAAAGGGCAGCTGTACAAGAAAAGCCATTCTCCAACCTCTTCCGTATTGGCTAAACAATCCACCAACTAATCCACCACAAGCAGTTCCTAAAGCGTAGAAAAAGTTACCAGCTCCTTGATATACTGCTCTGTTTCGAAGAGGAATAATGTCGCTCAAAGTGATTGTACACATAGACGTGAGACCGCCCCCGCCAATCCCCGTGACGAATCTGCCAAATATTAACCACCAGATGTTATAGCTTAAACCGCATATCAGGCAACCGAAGAAAAACATCATGTTACTCAAGACAAGCAGTGGCTTCCTCCCGAATATATCTGAAATCTTTCCAAACAATGGCTGAAAAACAGCACTGGACATAAGATACACTGTAGCCACCAAAGATATTCTGGGCATATCATTGAACTCTGATCCAATGTGAGGCAATAAGGTAGAGACAACAGTATTATCAAGAGCAGCAAGGAATATGCCTAGAAACATTGATGAAGCTATAGTAATAATGTGTCGGGCTGATAATTCTGAGGAGTTCTTGAAGTTATGTTCAGTTATGCGGTCACTTCCAATTTTTGTTCTATCGAAACTAGAGTGATACCGCTTATTGTTTTGCGTCGATGTCCCTCTCATTGACTCAAGTAATGGTGTACTAGTCCCTGAATCTTCAACCAGCTCTCCTAAAATTGGCTCAAATATATATGTTCTCTCACTAGTCGCATTTTCAACCATGTCTGACTTCTTTATGTCTGGCGATGATGCTAAGAATTAAGAATGTGACAGGCTTAATGATTGATGAGAACATTATAATATATCAACAGCTTTAAAATATCCACTGAGTTTATACATCACATTTTCGCTATCCTAGTAAACTAAAACCAAAGATTAAGAAAGTGCAATTTCTGTCTGCTATCTCTTTTTCGCGACGGCATGATTATCTCTTTTCGCCCGCATGTATTTGATTACCCTTTTTCGCCCGCATGCATTTGATGAACTTTTTCTCGCCCGCATGTATTTGATGAACTTTTTCGCTCCCCCGTTTTAGTTTACTCCCACTCAAAAAATCCGCTGGTTCTAATGAACCAATCACTACAGTAATAAAATCACAGTAGAAAATAACGATACGATAAGGCCTTTGAATTGGCTTTGAAGAAATATGAATTTCTCACAGTTATCGAGTATCATTTTAAAGGATATCTTTCATCTTAACTTAATAATTATTCCTGGCTCGCGAGTGTTGAGTATGAGATATAATTTAAAGCCTCTTACGCATTCAAGTTTCTCAACCTAGGTTTATAAACATGTTGGCCTGCTGATTTTTCATTTCGATTTTTTTACAGATGCTCTGTGATATTAAAGAGCACAATTATTTCACCAAACATGTTCACTTAGATCCAGTTATTTTGGCATCAAGTGGTGAACTTAATTCTTGAATCTTTCAATTTAATTGTAATAAAAAAGCTAAGACTTGATTGCAGTGTCCGGTATGTTTACACGAGCTATGCGGTTTCTTCAGATTCTGACCATCCATTGATGTCAACAATTACAGTAGTCACTGCAATTATCAGTGCAGCTTCTCAGATGGTATTTACTTGATTTTCTGATGTGTTTGGAAAATTATCGCTGTTTATTACAGCTCTTTTGTTCTATGCAGTTAGTACAATCATCCAAAGTCAAGCTACAGACGTCCAGAAGTACACTTTAGGCGCTGTTTTCTGGAGTACAGGATATGTTGGTCTTTTGCTGATATTATTTCTAATTTTGTCAGACTTTTCATCTTTGAGGTAGCGCTTGATGTACCAATTTGCGCTTTCGTGGTCTTATATCATAAACACATGGATTTCTGGTGCTGTGACGGCCCGTGCGAACTCGCAAGAGCGCTGATGATGGGATATTGCAATGTGAACTTTTATTTCCTCACTATCGGCCCTTACAATGATATTCTGCGTGCTGCATATGAGGTTTAAGGCAAGAAAGACTGGACAGTGGGCAACTATCAAAGACGAAAAGAATTTTTTTCAAACGCACGGTCTCATTAGGACATTAGTTGAGCTTTTCTGGAAGCTAGACATTGTTGGTGTTCTATTGATGACTATTTCTGTGGGCGTAGCGCTCAGTGCTGTATGCTGCGCTGTGATGAGGGAGGTTCTTTAAGATCTGAGACTCGCGGTGGGAAGTATTGTAGAACTCAAAATTGTCGGCGATCAACACCTCTCGCGTCACACTCTTAACTCTTTCTGAGGCAAGTTCATGGGCTGTCTGCTGCTGGCGTTCGTATTCTAGATTTCTTGCAGGAGCTGTTACTTGGGTTAGAGGGGAAGAGGTCTAGAACTGTACTGTGACTTGTGAAAATCTTGAACTCATTGCCCACCCATTACAAAGTCCTCACGACTGTTGGAAAAACCTCGAATAGTGATTTCAAAGAGCGAGCCGGTCGAAGCTTACAGTAATCGTAGATACCCTCATTGAGACTTTGAGTTCTCAAAAATTCTTTAACTTCCTTTCTTATTTGTGCAAAATAGGAATCGAGCAAAATACGCCGTCTTGTTATTCCCTTTGGGCTTTTTTTTTTGAGGAATAATCTATTTCTACAAAATAACCGTTAATTACAGCTTACCCATCGCAGTGCAGGAAGTCGTAGTGGGACACAGTATTCTCCAGATCACCATCGATATCATTAGGTACGTCGATCTCTGACATGCTTGTATAATGGGTTTGGCAGAAGTGAAGAGCTACTCATGAGCTCATCTTATAACTTTTATTTATAGTGCTGCCTAAGCTATCGTCGCCCCTTCGAGGGTTCAACAGGCAGCCAGCCGCTGTTGTGAGAAACAAGCCATTCTTTGTAGCCACTTTGTACCGTTTTTTTTCTACTAAGGTTACATCGCACGCTTACTCGATGATGTTAAACCTTTTTCGCGGAGCAGTTGGCAGGAAAAAATGGATGTTATCCGGAACACTCTTAAACGCATCTTCTATTTCATAGGTTTCCGGAAAAAAACTCTGCAGAAAGCGGCAGACAGTAGCTAAAAAAGGTCGGCGGTATGATTGCCTGAACGGGATCTGTACTAAGGTATCTGAGCTGGGGAAACAGATGCATCGCGCTCTGAGGAGCTCAGCACCTTTTAGCAAGTTTTTTACTTAAAGCGTTGAGAAAATCGCATATATCGTTTACATATTCAGTTAGTTCTCTACTAAAACGTATGTTTGGTGAAAAAAAATGAGAATGAGGCCTCTTAAAATCGAAAAAAAAAACAGCCAGCGTCAATTAACATCAAATTAAGTATATTCATGAAGAGGATTTCTATGCAATATTAACACGTAAATGATACCTCATTGCTTTTTCTAGGGTAAGGAATCGCTTGGATTCTTTAAATACTAGTATGGCTTGCACTTCCACTTTTTGAGAATGTCAACTGAACACATACTCGTTGATATGTAGATATTTTACAGATTTTACTAATGTTTCCGTTAAAACTAAAATAGTTAACATAGCTCTGCAGCCTAAACTATAATGCGAATGGCAAAAGAAGTAATAAGCCAATTCTCATTCGATTAGCTGAACCCTCATAGGTTGAAAGTGATAATGTGGAGTTCACAGTGCTACCCGAACTTAAGGTGGTAATCGAGTATTGAGGTAAACTTAGACCTGTGGCAATAGAAGTATGTGATTTCAAACTACTGGCTTTAGTCGCATACGAAAAAATATCCTCTTTGGAAGGATTATTGTCATTTGAGATAACCCCAGTATAAGAGCTTCTACCACCGGCACTTGTGGATTTCTTTGCAGCATCGAATGATGTAGTTTCAAAATTCTGAGCTGTAGGTTGTTCCGGTTCTGCTGATTTGCTCAAAGATGTGATTTTCTCGGAAGGATAGTTCAAATCTGAAGAGTAAGTGTACGAATTTCTATCAAAGGTTTTCGTTATTACGGTCAATATTGTGTTTGAAGAAGGAGTTTCTGCCGCGAGCGGTCTACTTCTTGATGGTTCGACTATTTCTAGGGAGCTTGGAGAATTTGTTTCAACGGAGGAAGCTGTATAGGTAGATGGTATTTTAGGCGTACCGTAAGAAATATGATTAGTATTACCATTACTTGTTGTCTTGGGCTTTGAGGAACTGGTTTCTTCGACACCTCCTTTGCTTGATGACAAATATTCTTCCATAGTCTTATAGTTTTCTGTTATTGTCTTTGTGATATCACTGACGGTATTTCTGCTCTTTGAAGGAGGGATACTGTTGAAAGACGACAAAGTAAAACTAACCTCAGGTGATAATCGTGTAGACTCTCCCGTTCCACTAACAGATGAAGTACTTTTTTCAAGATGCCTGTTAGTATAGCTAGTGACAACATTGGTGTATATGACTGTTGAAGTTGAATCTATGAAAATATGTCTTGTCGTGCTCTCCAAAGATTGGGTAACCTCTGAATTTCCCCACGTAGAAGATTTGATATCTGATGTCTTGATAGTTTCATGGGAAGAAGTCGTGCTCGAGCCTGATTTAGATGTAGAGTTTCTATAGTAACCAAATGTTGGTGTTTCAACAAAAACGAGAGTAGTTGGAGTTGCAACCCCATCACTTCCAGTGATATCCATCTGACCAGTCGAGGTTGAAGTCATTATACCAGACCAAGGAATCGTTGAAGTAGAAAGAGGTATTTCGACGTACACAATACTGGTCGAAAGCAAAATTCCATCAGATCCAGTGCTTTCTAGCAATCCTGTACTGGTTGAGGTAAATGAGCCGGTCCAAGGAATAGTTGTAGTGTGAAGGTTTATTTCAGTAGAAGATTCGCCAGTCAAGGGTGTCTCGACAATCACCAGTGTGGTCGGAGTGCTGTTGCCATCAGTGCCGGTAATATCAACTAAGGCAGTGGTGGTGGATGTGATAGTACCAGTCCATGGCACAGTCGTCGTGGATAGTGGTGTCTCAACAATTACCAATGTCGTTGGCGTAACACTACCATCTGTACCGGTGATATCTACTAATCCAGTAGTGGTTGATGTGATAGTGCCAGTCCATGGAACTGTGGTTGTGGATAGTGGTGTTTCAACAATCACGAGAGTAGTTGGCGTGGTGCTACCATCTGTACCGGTGATATCGACCGATCCAGTAGTGGTTGATGTGATAGTACCAGTCCATGGCACAGTAGTAGTAGATAGTGGTGTCTCAACAATTACCAATGTCGTTGGCGTAACACTACCATCGGTGCCAGTGATATCTACTAATCCAGTAGTGGTTGATGTGATAGTGCCAGTCCATGGAACCGTGGTGGTAGATAGTGGTGTCTCAACAATCACAAGAGTAGTTGGGGTGGTGTTACCGTCAGTGCCGGTAATATCGACCAATCCAGTAGTGGTTGATGTGATAGTACCAGTCCATGGAACCGTGGTTGTGGATAGTGGCGTCTCAACAATTACCAACGTCGTTGGCGTGGTGCTACCATCGGTGCCGGTTATATCAACCAATCCAGTAGTAGTGGATGTGATAGTGCCAGTCCATGGAACCGTGGTGGTCGATAGTGGTGTCTCAACAATTACCAATGTCGTTGGCGTAACACTACCATCGGTGCCAGTGATATCAACTAATCCAGTAGTAGTGGATGTGATAGTACCAGTCCATGGAACTGTGGTTGTGGATAGTGGTGTCTCGACAATCACAAGAGTAGTTGGGGTGGTGTTGCCGTCAGTGCCGGTAATATCAACTAATCCAGTAGTAGTGGATGTGATAGTACCAGTCCATGGAACCGTGGTTGTGGATAGTGGCGTCTCAACAATTACCAACGTCGTTGGCGTGGTGTTTCCGTCAGTGCCGGTAATATCAACTAATCCAGTAGTAGTGGATGTGATAGTGCCAGTCCATGGAACCGTGGTGGTCGATAGTGGTGTCTCAACAATTACCAATGTCGTTGGCGTAACACTACCATCGGTGCCAGTGATATCAACTAATCCAGTAGTAGTGGATGTGATAGTACCAGTCCATGGAACTGTGGTTGTGGATAGTGGCGTCTCAACAATTACCAACGTCGTTGGCGTGGTGTTTCCGTCAGTGCCGGTAATATCAACTAATCCAGTAGTAGTGGACGTTCCATTCCCAGTCCATGGAACCGTGGTGGTCGATAGTGGTGTCTCAACAATTACCAACGTCGTTGGCGTGGTGCTACCATCGGTGCCGGTTATATCAACCAATCCAGTAGTAGTGGATGTGATAGTGCCAGTCCATGGAACCGTGGTGGTAGATAGTGGCGTCTCAACAATCACAAGAGTAGTTGGCGTGGTGCTACCATCGGTGCCAGTGATACCGACTAATCCGGTAGTAGTGGACGTGACGGTTCCTGTCCATGGAACTGTTGTAGTAGACAGTGGTGTTTCGACAATAACCACTGTTGTTGTGACTACCTTGCCATCGCTATTGGTAACATCAATTACACCAGTTGTAGTGGACGTTTTTGTTCCAGTCCAAGGTTCAGTGGTGGTTGATAAAGGTGTTCCCACGTAATAAATAGTCTCAGTTGTTTGAAGACCATCACTTCCTGTGAACGTAAAAATTGAAGTTGAGAATGTGCTAGTGGCCGTGCCTGTCCATGGCTTGGTGGTAGTAGACTGAGTGTTATGAATCACAGACGCTGCTCCACCAGCCGAACCCGTTGTTATTACCCAATCGCCAGTAGTAGAGAATCCTTTTGTGGTGCCCTGACATGTTTTTGTTCCCTTGACGCTTTCTAAAATTTCGAGACTGTAGTAGGAGGTTGATGGAAGAGCTTGGTAAGCGTTTAAAAAGAGATGATAATTTGCTGGAATTCCACTAGCTGAGATGGACACAGTATTCCCAGAGCATGATAAGGAGTAAGAATCTGAAGGAAAGACCTCGGGATCTTTTGGAAATCCCCAGTCATTGAAAGTAGAAGCCATGAAAATGCCGACATCATCACATGATGTAAGAGTCCCCACACCACTTTTTGAGCCACTGAAAATAACTCTGAAGTTCTCTGAAAATGAACTTGCACAAGATGGGCCCAGGAGATAGTATAAATAACTTGTGTCACTTCCAGGCACTGCTTCTCCATAAGCTCCGAAATTTGAAGATGTTGCACCTGTAGCGTAGAATTCGTCGCTGGTGAGGCTCACAGTTGCACTCATCTCATTCCATGTCAACGTATTTGTTCCTATACTAAGAGCATTTGCACCGGCTTCTTCTCCTATAGACATGCCAGGTGTCAGTCTGACCCCGATTGTCATTAATCCTGTCACGTCTACACTTGAATCTTCTGTAATTGTGCATGTCAAAGATGATGGCACGCCAGTACTAAATCCATTGAAAACAAGACATTCAGCGTAGTTAGTCTTACCGTCCGTGATGTAAACCCAGTTTCCTTCCGAAGTCGTGATGTTGGTATAGACTTTTCTGACAAGGGGCATACTCAATTCAAAATAATCTCCGATCTGAGGATTCGCTGAGAGTGGGACTGTGAATGATAATTGCGCATTAAAGACATCTCTATTCGCAGTTCCCTTGTTTAGTATACTGAAGCCAGTAAATACATCGGATATAAGTTTTCCACTTACAGTCCTAATGGCCAGCAAGTATAAGCACAGGAGCGAAGATATTGGCATAGATTGTATTCTCGTGAAAGCACCTTCCTCTCCCCCTCTCTAAATATTAGACTACATATAAATGATAAGCAACCTGCTGTTTCCAAACTCATAAACTGTAATTATTATTGAATGTAGTCTTCTTACGTCAGTTCATTGGTTTGTTGCCTTTTTTCGTCTGTGCATGTGTTTGTATCTTTTTTCGGGCTAGAGAACAGCCATGCATTGTTCAAGGCACAAATATGCACAGTCCGGTACTTGAAGAAAATGATTATTCGATTTTTTTTAGACGACCGGGCGTAACTTTGGAGACAATCTAGATATATTACAGTTGTATAGTTCTGTTTGTGAGATAAACACAACGGAAATGATTGATTTTATGCAATAAAATTTATGATAAGTCAGTCTATTAGTTGTCTGTTGTCTGTCGGCGCACTCAATTTAACATTGTATGAAACGAGCTTGTTGTTAATCAATAAAGTTCATTATTTACTTTTTACATCCCTCCACCTTCTTACTTTTCCAGTTTCGAGACGCAATTTTCAACTGGCGTGCATAACTAGGCACAAAACCTGCATATAAGTGCATGCCACTTTTTAATCTTACCTTTTACAAGTTCGGGGCGTGCTTGACCATTTTAGTTGTTGAAGATTCTATTTGGTACTAATTCAAGCGGGATGTTGAGCTTCTCTGAAGGTATTCGCTAATTAAAGCAGTTACCAAACTCTCCCTAGGGTGCCTTTTTCTCTGCATGATTCGTATAAACGAAAAAGAAGGTCTCAATACTGCATTACTTTCTTTTTCTCTAAAGCTATTCAATGCGAGAATAGTGGCCAAAGAAAGTTTTTTCTTGAAACGGGAAGACGGTTTGCATTCAGGCGTTTACAAGACTGTCTTGACAACATCGAAGTCACAATTTGTAAATAATTAATATACATCTTTAATATTGTAGATAGGGATTATGGGCCATTTCCGTGAATGTAGCTTGGAAAATATAACACGTTAACACAAATTCTCAGATCACCCAAGTTTGATCTTGTGCTACTGCAGAAAAAATTTAAATGCATAAACAGCGTAAACTTATAAGGTGATTATGAAGAGCGATTTAAGCTCTCAGACTTGACTGTTTGCGTGAAAAATACCGAGGATAGTTCAGAAGGTCAACTCCGGGGTCATTAATTTGCATCGAACATATTATCTTGACCTGAGATAATTCATGAATGGACAGCCTATATCCCATCGGTGCATGACATGGTTGCTAAAATTTGTTCGTAAAACTGTATGCATTTATGCATTTATGCACTTTCATGTAGATATTGGAGTTTCTGGAGGCTAGCGTCTCGTGATCATCATTAAAAAAAATCTAAGCCGGAAGATGTCAGTCAATGTAGTCAACTGTTGACAAATGTGTTCGTATACAATGCTTTTATATGTTCAGCTCCATCTCGGCACTTTTACGGTGCCTGAATTTAAGTGGTGCTAAAATCTGAGATTTGTATGTATGTTCACATATATTTGGAGCGACAATGTGAATACTAGCTTCTATTGTTCGAAGAGCAAAAATCCATAATTCTAAGAAATATATATGCACTAAGTGCTTTGTGAGGTCCGGTCTTGTTCCGCGGTTGCGAGGTAAAGCTTCCACTCTCGAAGCACTTCTATCAACACGGAAGTAACTTTGGTTAATTCTTTTTTGTGGATAATATACGGTGGCATGATGTAGACAAGTCTATTGAAAGGACGAATGTAAACTCCCCTCTTAACAAATTGGTCGTGGAACCAGGACGGTGTAATGGGTTTCTTTAGTTCAACAACTCCGACAGCACCAATGATTCTAACATTTTCAATTATTGTATTCATCAAAGTCTTATCATTTTTTAAAGGGAGGTATAGCTCTTGAAATAGCTGCTCTTCGATCTGTGATACCTGATTATGCCAGTCACCTCTCGACAAAATATCAAGAGAAATATTTGCAGCACTACAGGCGAGAGGATTGCCCATAAACGTGGGACCGTGCATGAAACAGCCTCCAGTGATGCTTTCTGGTTTTGAAATCACATCTTTTATTTCAGCAGTAGTTACTACTGCGCTTAAAGTCATATAGCCGCCAGTTAAGGCTTTTCCGACACAGATAATATCAGGATAAACATCCACTTGTTCTTTTCGAGGAATTTCGCTAATTTCCTGAAACGCTTTACAATGATGGAATGCAAACATTGCTCCCGTCCTTCCAAAACCAGTGGCAATTTCGTCCATAATAAGCGGAATCTGGAATTTATTACAAAGTTTTCGTACCTCAATTAAGAATTGTGGATGATATATTCTCATCCCACCCGCGCCTTGTAAAATTGGTTCTAATATTACTGCACAGATTTCATCCCGGTGAGTTTGCATTTTAAGTTTAAAATCCTCTATATCGTTCTCGTCCCAAGCACAGATGTTGTGAAAATATTCAGGATGATTTTTGAATATTGCTGATGTCGGCGTTGTTTCTATCACAGTAGGTGCAGAGGCAAATATATTCTCTGGTAGATATCCCTTATATATCGAATGCATGGAATTTATGGGATCACAAACACTCATGGCACCTAGTGTATCTCCATGATAGCCGTTATTGATAGATAAAAACTTGCTTCTGGTTGTTTTATTGTTATTTCTAGTAAGCTGGTATTGAAGTGCCATTTTTAAGGCAACTTCTACCGCAACAGACCCAGAATCAGCGAGAAAGCAGAATTGTAACTTTTCATGATTGATTAAGTCAATAAGCTTCCTAACTAAAGTAACTGCTGGCTTATGGGTGAGCCCACCGAACATGACGTGAGAGAAGCTGTTTATCTGATTAATTAAGCCTTCATTGATTTCAGGATTATTGTAACCATGAATCATACACCACCAGGATGACATTGCTTCAATCAACGTTGATTTCTCATTCTCTTGGATGTCTAAAGTAATAGTAGCCCCTTTAGCGGATTTGACTGGATAAACATCCAATGGCTTCTGCATTGACGTATATGGGTGCCATAGATGTTCTCTATCGTAATCGAGCCACTGTTGGACTTCAGAATCATAACTCAACCCGGTCATCCTAAGTACTGCAGCTCATCAAAGTACGACTATTCTAAATTAAACAAGCTGCTCTTATACTTTGAAAATTTTGACATTCTTTCTTCCAACATTTTTATTCTTTAAGATCATGAGTCATGAGTCATTATCCAATGATTAAGTATTCGGAATATTTGTGAAAAAATCTGATTTAATGACACGCTCTTGCGTAAACTAAAACTCCTGAAAAACAAGCATCTCTAGAAAGGTATATAAAGGTAAAGGTAACAGAGTGGGGTGATTTTGCAGTGAGCAATTTTTAAATACAGCGCTAATTTGATGCAATCACCTATTATATTCGTAACTGGAACAGATACTGATGTTGGAAAAACCTTTGTGAGTACATTACTCGTGAAGCGTTGGAATGCAAATTACTGGAAACCAGTCCAGACCGGATTAGAATCAGACCAAGGCGATACTAAGACAGTGATGGATCACTGTATAGCTCAGGGTGAACACACTCCAATTTGCTTTCCGCCCAAATATGAACTCCAGAAACCGTTATGTCCTCTTGAGGCTATGGAGTATGAACCTGATATTGAAATTGCTATGAGCGATTTTTGCTTACCAGATGACGACTCTGAAAGGGCACTTATTATAGAAGGGGCGGGTGGTGTTTACGTTCCATTAACAAAGAAACTTCACATAACAACGGATCTGATCAAGCATTTGATTGCCTCCACTGATCGGCCATTTAAAATTGTTGTAGTAGCAAGAAGCGGGCTTGGAACACTCAATCATACATTGCTCACCTGGGAGCATCTGGTATCAGCAGGACTTAAAAATCATTTGTGGGGATGTGTTCTGAACGGTGAAAAGAACCCGGGCAATGTTAACGTGTTGAGAAAATTCGGTGTAAATATAATTACCGAGGTTGATTTCTGCCCCAACGATGCAGATTTAGGTACATTAGTTGACAATATTCCTGATGTAGATTTTTCGTAAATAGGTCAAATGAGTCGCCCTGAGTCATGTAAAAACTAATTTTTCAAGTTTATTGAGCCTCGATCATGATGCATCCTCCAAGATATATAATGGGGCAAAAAAGGCAGATGAACCTCAGTTTCTTAATCAAAGAGAGTTAGAATTCTTCTTGAACGCCAGATGTCTTTGAAATCTGTTGATATACAAAAAACTTTGTCTTTAAGTTCTAATGACGAGCAAAAGCTTTCTAAGAATTTTACTTGGACGTCTCTCTTAGGAATTGCGTTTTCCCTGACTAATTCGTGGCTGGGAGTCACGTCCGCTCTCGTTGTCGGCTTGTATAGTGGGGGGCCTCTTTTAATCATCTACGGTCTCATAATTGGGATGTTCTTCACATTTATGTGTGGATGGTCACTTGCTGAGTTTTCATCTATACTGCCTAGTAGCAGTGGTACCAGCTTCTGGGTTTTAAAAATGCTAGAGAAGAGAGATGTTGAGTTGGATGGTGAATATATCGGAGGAGATTGTATCTTAACCTCGAATGTTCGAACTACTGAGCCGTATGATGATGATGATGATGATGATGAAGAGCGTAGGTTGGAAACATTTTGCGCAACAAAAGAAGTTCGCCTTAATTCGTCATTTCAAAAGTCAATTGCTCTTATTGTAGGCCTCATCAATTACTTCGGATCAATTTTCACTACAGCAAGTGTTTTTTCCTCTTTAGCTCTCAGCATTTTGGGAGTTCATTCGTTACTTCATACTCAATACCAACTTGCACATTGGCATGTATTTCTCATCTATGAAATTCTAAATGCTTTGTTTGTTGTTGTGAATAGCTGGTCGTCCATTTTACCTTTTATCTCCCAGTTTGGATTATATATGTCGGTTCTCACCTACTTTTTTTCATTTGTCGTGACAATAGTGTGCCGCAGCAATTATTCTAGCATAGAATGGCCCAAAACTTCTGAGATTTTTGTTGATTTCAAGAATACGACTGGTTGGAGTTCTGCGCCTATGGCATTTATTGTGGGATTGATAAATCCGTTATGGGCGTTTGCTGGGATTGACTCTGCAACCCATATGGTCGACGATTTAGGTTATAAAGCCTCTAGGAAGCTTGTACCTTTAGCTATTTTGACAACAATCACAATTGGTTTTCTAACAAGCTTTACGTATGCTATTGGAATGTTTTTTTGCATCACAGACGTTGAAAAAGTGACTAATTCCATTCTCCCTATCCTAGAAATCTATTATCAAGCAACAGGAAACAGAAATTTAAGCGTGTTACTTCAATGCTGCTGTATTCTAACAGGCTTGACATGTGCGAGCGCAAGTGTTACTTGGCAAAGTAGGATCTTATGGAGTGTTGGACGAGATTTCTCACAACTCGTTAACGGAAGACGGATGGCTCAACGTATTTTACTATTTTTTGGTACGGTAAACCTATCGACGAAATCACCCCTAAATGCACATTTATTCTCACAATTTTGTGTCGCGATTATTGGTTGTATATTCATGGGATCCTCTACAGCCTTTAATGCCATTATAACAGCTTGTATCACCTTATTACTGCTTTCTTATGCCATTCCTTGTGTTATTTTGTTATGCGTGGGTAAGAGATCTTTCTATAGGCGCATAAAAACAGAAATGGCGAGCAGAAATATATCCGATGCCTCATTTCCTGTCCAAAGTAAAATAGGGTACGTTCCTACTATCTTGACTGTGGCATGGGCAGTCTTCTGTTTGATATTCCTTTCTTTTCCTTACACGCTCCCTGTGACGGCTCAAAACATGAACTATGTTTCCGTGGTTTATGCAGCCGTTTTTATGATAATAGGGGCAATATTATGTGTTTAATCAAACTAATTAATTGGAGTAGTTGTTTCGTTTTCAATTAAAATTGATGAATAAATACGTTATTTATAAACCAAAATGTAAATTTTCAAAACCGACGTAATTGTTTTGATTCAAAAGCGACCAAATCGAGACGTTGAAATCAATTCAAGTGTTAACGATAGATCCTCTCGATCTCAAAACTCAAACTATTAACAAAATTCGTTATACCTTTTCCACTTGTGTCACAACCGCTTTTTCTGCCTCTGGAGATTCGTGATCGTAATTTTCGGCGTGAGCAAATCCGCCCACTGATGGTACGAATCCTTTTGAAGCGCGCGCGCTGGGAACAGTATCAAAAAGCTCATCAATTTGTTCAAGAGTAAGTCCTTTCGTTTCGTAAACGAAGAAATAAACGAACAGGATACAAAGGAAAGTGCAAGCTCCCCATATGAAAAAAACTTTGGATTGCAGATTGGCATTTCCTTTACCACTGTCAACCAAATAAGGTGTTGCATACGCGATTGCAAAGTTGAAAAGCCAGTTAGATGCCGCACAGATAGCAACAGATTTTCCTCTAACTCTCAAAGGATAGATTTCACCCACCACGACCCATGCAAGAGGCCCCCATGTTGCAGCAAAGGATGCAATGAAGGTGCAAGTGAAGGCAATTAAAGTCTTATTTGCAGTAGTGCTGTTAGGCAAAGCTGTACCAACGATGGCAACAATAAATTCACTAGCAGACATTCCAATCGCTCCCCACAATAAAAGATTTCTTCTTCCAGCCAGCTCGACTAGCGCAATTCCTGGAATGGTCATTATGACATTAACAATGTTCATGACTAATTGAATTACAAAAGGATTGTCGATGCCAGAGGTTTGAAAAAATTGAACGCCGTAATAGAAAATGAAGTTGATACCCGTCAGTTGCTGGAGGGCCTGTATGACAATACCAATCAGCATACGCTTGAGTTGATGGTTTGCAGTTTTGAAACAGTCCAAAATAGTTGTTGAACCCAAAGATTTTTCGTAGTTGAAGTTTGCAATAATTTCCTCGAGCTCTTTTTCAATGATAGGATGATCGACTGGTAAACCTCTTAGTCGGGAAAGGGATTTTGCGGCCTTCTCATTTTTTTCTTTCATAACGTAAAATCTTGGCGTTTCTGGAAGGATAATCATACCTATAGCCATAATAAGCATCCACAGGAGCTGTATGGCAAAAGGAATACGCCACGTTGCACTGTCATGTCTGTCTTTCACACCTTGATTAACACACGCAGCAAGCAGAAGACCAATGGTGATTGCCCATTGGTAACAAGATACAACAGCACCTCTGATCCATTTTGGAGCTGCTTCTGATTGATATAGCGGAACGATAGCAGACAAAACACCGACTCCTCCACCAGCGAATACTCTTCCAACAATAAGCAACGGTTGTGTTGTTGAAGCAGTTTGCAAAATAACACCAAGAGTAAAAATAGCACAGGCAACCAACAAACCCAACCTTCTACCCAAAGTATCAGACACCAACGGAGCAAAAAGAGAACCGCAAAAGGTACCTGCTGACAAAATGGAAGTAATCAGGGAGGTTTCACCTGAGGTAAATTTTCCCGTTTTAGTGAAAGTTTGTTTAACATAATCCATGGCCAGGACACCCGAAATTGTTCCGGTATCAAAGCCGTAAAGGATACCTCCGAATGCGACGAAAGCTGCGATGAAAATTGCGCGGACTTTTGATCCTTGTATATCGTCCTCTGCTTTAAAGAGAGTTTGAAGGATACCCATTGTTCAGTGTGTAGATTTTTGGTTTAGATCGCTCTGAAAACTTGCTACTGAAGTAAAGATCTGGATGGAAGAAACTTAAGACACGATTAAAATAATCGTTTTATATACATTTTTAAAAGCGAAATGACAAGATTTGAGGACCGGAAAAGAACGATGGCTCCAGCGCTGTCCTTCTACGCGACCATAATTCTCCAACCCTGTCATATTGCGCTATCGACTAGGGTTTGGGTAATTTATTTTTCCGTGTTCCCCGCAAAAATTCATCCGTTCCTTTGTTTACAGCTATTTGAGGAGTCGATGTTCCAGTGTTTACCCCAAATTGAGCAATTGAACATAGCGCCGTGCGGTGACGCGTTAAAACATGCGTCGAAGGCAAACCATAATTGAGATCTTCCGCCTGTGCGCGGACAGGGAAAAACTAATTTGCCCTACAGATGAAAGATTTTCTCCCTTCCCCGCAAAAAAAGAGGTCTCCAAAATTCTCGGCCAGAGCTTGCCCAGTAAAAGTAGGTAACACAGGCCAAAAGTAAACTTGCTAAGGAAAATTTTTCCGTGACATTGCACCGTCATCTACGAGATGACCCTTTTTCACAAACAGTTCTCGCAGCACAATCAGAAGACGGAGGGCAAAAGACCAATTTCCACTATACCAAACGCGAGAAATAAAATTCCGATGAATTAATTGGCCATTAGACAGGGTTTCCGGCTTTGGTAAAACTAAGTCACTTAAAAAACCTTCCGACCATCCGGATTCAATGTAATAGCAGATGACAGCTGTATATCCATGCTCATAATGCAAGCGTTATCTTTGTTGAAGAAGAATTCGCCATATTCTTCAACTAGATCTTATTCCATCCAAGTCTATATCTTCTCCGTAAAGGAGTCTACTATGTACAAGCCGAATATGATTTACGCATTTACCGTGAATCTGTTGTTATGTGCCTAGTACATGAGTGGAAGGCAGAGATGCCGTTTAGCTTCGTAGCATCCATCAAACAATTTTACTAAATGCAAGCTCATAATCATTAATCCAACAAACAACACTAGTAAATAAGACCCAAAAGCCAAACACTCGAAAGTGAGGAGTTTCTCCAACCGAAAAATGCAAATGCACGTCGCAAGATAGCAGCTCTCTCAAAAATATTTTTCCGTTTTGACGGGTTTTCGGCATTGGCAGACATTAATTCCTACCAGATATTGCCTACCCGAGTTTTTGAGAGCATTCGTGGTAGTGTTTTTCCATTCTAGACCTTTAAAGTGCATCTTGCCTTCTAGCATTCCAATACAGAAATGACCTTCGCAAAATTCAGGAAAAATACGAGCTTGCACCAATTGTAAAGTTTAATCTCCTTCTGACCGAAAAGTACTCCCTACGTCATAGAAGCTGTGGACTGAAACATCCACCAGACGTATTGACAGTTGAATTTGACCAGCGAGATCTTCTAAACCATCAGTTCAATACTCCTCCGTACGAGCCACTAACAGCGTTTGACTAGCGCCAAAATAGACAAAGCCATTCAAGGTGTCAATTCCAATCCAGATTCACGTGAACTTCTGAAATATTCATGAGGCTTAGACCCTCTATCTGAGGTTGGAATTTTCAGTCAATACGCAGCCGAAGAAGTATGCCATATTCATGGGATACTCTTCCAAGGATGTGACATGCAGCATGGTATTTCGGCGGGGAAGGCAGCCGCTTTCAAAAGCATGGCAATAAGGTACTGGGTACAGGAGAGACAAGGTCCACTGGAATTTTATCCAAGCCTATCACACTTCTTCACTAAGCAGCCACTTATAAGAATACGGTATTTTTAATTCTACCTTTTTTTGATCGAGGAAGCTTCATGCTCTATTCAAAGATTGTTTTGTGACAAACATTATTACGTAAATAAAGAACTTCTTAGAACTCTTGGTAAAATGAAGTGATTGCGAAGAAACTAGACATCACGCTTCAAAACTTCCCTCAGGAGTAAGTCTCTAAGACTCCTGAATTTCTAGGATGTAAGAATAGATCGGTTACAGTACCAATCAAATACATGCGATTAATCAATTACACTCAATATCTTCAATTAAAGGTCATAGTTTACCTTGGGCACTTTCTAAATACTCAGCGCTTTCCCCCAGAACATTTCGGCCAACCATTCATTGGCTTATAGCAAAGCCCCTTGGGCAATTGTCTTTAATCGATGACTTATCACTCGAAGATTTTGATGAGGTACCAGAATAGCTTGGAAAGGTAAGAAATGGAAGAGGTTAGCGGAACACTACAAGGAAGGTAATCTTTTGAAAAAATAGAATTTGGTCCATCTTTTAGATGCATCATTATCCAAAAGTACCCAAAGAATCCAAATTGTCTAAATCGACGACTTTTAAAGACTATGGATCGGGAAGCAGCTGCACTTAAAAGGCGTAGAGTGAAATAGTTCAGAGAAGCATGTGCATTATCCCCATTGATTATTTAAATGTGCCTTTTAAGCAGTCGAGAACGGCTGAGGAAATGGCTAATGCTTTTTCTTCCTCCATTCTTTTACAGACCACTTGAATACAAACGGGCATCTTATCAAATCTTGCAAGATCGTAGTAGTCCTTCACGCTAGCATCATCTTCGTTTGTTGGAATATAATCGTGTTCTTTCTTATCAACAGTCACATCAACTGTAGTTACTGGTAGAACAACACTAGTACAATCCAATAGATTAATTGGAACAGTGTAATTGATAGGATCGAATGGGATTGCGTGGGCTTCAAAACCTGCAAAAGGCCAGACTGGACTGATAATTGCATCAATTTCTTCGCCACTAGATGTAGCATTGGCTGTTTCTCTCCAGTGCTCAAGGAATTTCTCTTTCAAGAAATTTTTCTTCTCTGCTAACTTCCACCATTCATTCACTCCCATTGAGATAGAACTAGATTCATCGTTAAGTGAGGGAAATGCGTATTTCAGACAATCTAAAATGGGCTCCCCGCCTTCTTCACATAGCAGCTTTACTTCATGACCGCCGTCAGCTCCAAGAACTTCTTTAGCAAGATCCAGTACGTCTTTCTGGTAAGGAAAATCCCATTGGACTATTTCATGCCCATGAAATTTGAGAGCATTGAAAGTTTCTTCAAGTGCCCTGGTAATTGGAGGATGAGGTTTCATTAGGTGATCATCCCAAAGAAATCCCAATCGAAGTTTTCTCTTAGCCAAAAAGCTCATATCACGCCAAGGAATGGGAACTATGTTAGGATCAATGTTCCAAGTTTCACATGAAACTATTGCCCTCGCGAACATTTCAAGATCTGCTAATGATCGGGCCATGGGTCCAATAACTGAGGGCATGATTTCCTGACCTGCATAAGAATTTTTGACATTCATATAAGGTATTCTGCCATACGAAGGCTTCAGCCCATAGAGTCCCTGAAAAGAAGCGGGAATTCGGATGCTCCCCGCTATATCAGTACCTACCCCTAGAACCGATCCACCCGCACCTATTAGAGCACCTTCGCCACCTGAACTCCCACCGCTGGTGAAATTCAAATTGATCGCATTCCAAGTATAGCCGTGAAGATTTGAGACTGTTTCCGATGCAATCATTGCAGTGGGCACAGTTGTTTTTACATAAAAAACTGCCCCCATTTCTTCCAGAACATTAGCGATGAGTGATTTCGAGGTGCTTTTCTTTCCTGATAAGGCAACGTAGCCTATAGCAGAATCAAGCTCTGGAAGATTGATTTGATCCTTAAGTGAGACGGGTATTCCATGTAATGGTCCAACAGTCGTCTTGGTTACCTCAAAAATGTTATCCAATTCCTTCGCTCTTTTCAACGCTTTGTCGAAAAATATTTCAGTGCAACAATTTAAAATTTGATGTGCCAAAGCTGCTCGGTGGCAGAATGCATAGCAAACTTTGTAAGAGCTCAATTCTCCTCTATGTATCCTAGACGCTAATTCAGAAGCTGAAAGAGTCGTCAATGCTTTTTCATTCGGTGGAAGGATTGTATCCAAATAATCGCTAGTATTGAGAAAGCCTGAACTTTCCATATCAAGCGAAATTCCCGGAACTTGCCATTCTTCAGGTATTGAATTGTTGACCTGACCCTTTTTCCTATCGGATACTAATTTCCAATTTACCATTTTAGTCGCTCCCCTGTGAAGCTAATGTTAGTTGGTAGGATCTGGATACCACCATGAAAAAGTTTTCCGGTAAACAAAAGATAAGTGGGAAAAAATGTATTGACAATCAGATAACCTTCACAAAGCGACAAATAATGGGTGGTATTAACTCCGGCGGACAAGTATATCCATTTACTGATGCTCTGCGAAAGGAGCACCAGCTCTACTTATTAAAGCATGCATTATTAATAGCATCGGATCCACAGCTTTCCTTGGGCCCCCTAGACGAACCACCGGAGAGGATTCCGCAGCTGCCGGAGTACATTATCAGAGAAAGACTATCTGATACCAAAGACAGCTATGTCCTTGGAAAGGGTGATCAGCAAGGTGAATCTAAAATTGATAAGAACGGCAGACTACAAGGCAGCAGGCAGTACTTGTTTCCAACATTCACTATGCCTAATCGCCAGTCAACTCTGTACGCTTTGGTGCATGATGTGATGGAGGCACTTCAAGAGAAAACAGACGAATCTCACTTTCTACAGAAGTATTTACAACTATACCCACTTAAGGCAAGCGAGGAAGAGATGAGTTTTTTGGTGAGCGAAAATTTGGTCTCTGCCGGAACTAAAGATATCATTTTCGTCACAGCTAAGTCCGTCTTTATGCTTTTTGGAGCGAAAGTAATTGTCGGTGGAACGCGAATTGTTGATGATTACTGGGAACAGGTTGTTAGAAAGCAAGGCTTTTTACCTCATCATAGAGTTTTTATCATACCACACAAAATCCTCGAGACACTCAAAACTTTGCGACCGAAACTAAATAAAATTCAACCCAACGTTGTGGAGGATCGTACCAATTTTGTGGGCGAATCGCCATACCCTACTATAGCTGAACAACCTTCTTCGGAGCTTCGGCAGGAATATGCTCGTGAGTGTTCTAGTGGTCAGCACTTGACTTTAATTATACCTGGTCAGAATATTGATGGTTCATTGGAACTAAGTTCCCGGTTCAAAGTCCCAAAATATCATAGTAAGAATTCTATGCAAACGGCTTTAGCAGCAAATGCACAAGACACTCCAATTTCTCTTCTTCCTTACCATCAAACTGGGCCACAGGTCGGTCATTCAGAAGCTTCGCGAAAAAGCAGTAGTCGTCTGTTAGGCGATATTTTGGATCATCCAGTCGGTGAAAAGAGCGTGAATCAAGAAGAATTCAAGTCAAATGTGAGTGAGGGGAGTCTATTGGGTGCGTTGTTGAGTATTAATGGCTGGAAATTTGATTCCCTACCGATCACTACAGGAAAGACGGATTCAGGGTATTACTCAGCAAGAGGTCTTCCCTTCTATGAGCCCGAGACGCTTCTTCCACGTCTTAAAAACCTAACGCCCAACGATGTCAATGAAATGGAGCATGTTCATGATGCCGTGTACTTCAATAAAGGAATACAAAAGATTAGGAAGGGAAGAAGGGACAAGTGGTTGAGATATTGGCAATACAAAGCGGGCATACCAATTGGAATGACCAAGAGGGCAACCGATTCAATCTTGAAAAACCATCTGTCTAGTATTCTTAACCATGTCGATACTGAAACCAACTTCAATGAGGCAAAAAATATGGAGGAAGTATATATTACGAAAAGAATTCCGAATGCCAACTTTCTGGGTAACTCTAACATAACGGGATTGAAACCTCCATATGTAAGTGATAATTAATATGTAGGAGAATAACGAGAATCAATTGGAATGACATGTAATGAAAAAGAAGGGTGCATGTTAATCATCTTAAAGCAATTTCGTCTTGACAATATCTTGACGTATTCTGAAAGTGTAATATGCCATGACCATCATGATGATAACGAGAGGAATCAACCACATAGTCAGTTTTCGGACAACATCGTCTATGTGGGGACCCCCGCTGTTATTGGCATTATATATGATGTTATTTTTGGTGGCCTCTCTTATTTTTTCTTGCTCTGACAACAATGTTTCTAGCTTACGATTTAAATTGAAAAAATCTTGGAAAGTATCATCTTCGGCAGCCGACAAGTCCTTATCTTTATTTTTAGCAGAGGTTAACGAATCGATTAAGCTTACCAAATGATCAATTTTTTTGATCTGCTCCTTCTGCATAGCAACCAAATGTGTCACAGTTTCACTTAACTCGCCGATATCATTAGCCAATACTTTGCCTTCCAGCTTATTTAGCTTCTTGAATAATTCGAAGTTTGTCATTGAGTCAGCATTACCGCTAACTTCAAATGGAGTTTTTTCAACCAACTCTTCCTCACCAGTATTTCCATTAACAATTCTGGTCAAAAGTCTGGGTTGTTCCATTGGATTGACATTAGGAATGAGGACATCCTCAACAATTCCGTCGAAGAATTTGAATTCCAACACCTCAAATGATTCATTATTGTCACCGTTGCTTGCTGTAACACCAATCTTATACTGTCCTTGCGGAAACATGGCCTTCCTTGTTTGGAAACACACTCTGTTATCAACTTGAACTTTCAAAAGGTGGTCGTCTGAACTATCATAGGCAAGTCTTATAGTAAGTGGTACTGTGGAGTCCTGGTAAGCAAGCAAGCAAGAGGCGAAGGACTTATCAAAAACATTTTCTTCAGTGAAACTGTCGGTGCCATCATTGAGCTGGCCACGTAGCATGGGACCGAGTTCACCTCCATTAGCGATAAGAAGCTGTAACCCATCAAAATTTGACGGACCATTGAACAAAGCCTTATCTGCTGGACTCTGAGATGCAAGAAACCAAAGTGCCATTCCACCCTTAGAACGTCCCTCGTAATTCACGCTGCGGACTGTCCATTCAAGTGAAAAAGATTTGGACAATGAATAGTCCTTCTTTGCCCACAGTGAGCCTTTGCTAGCCTTATTTGGAGTCAACATAACCCGACCCTCAACAAGTTTTGCAGATTCGCCGCTAGACCACGTTGCTGGTAAATTGTTCACTTGAACTAGGTCTGGAAGGGACAGTCCTTCATCTAATAGGTTCGAATCCGAATTATCGACTGTGTGACCCAAGGACGAAATAAACAGACAGGCAATAGAAAGGAAAGTGCTGAATATCATTCTGTTACTGTCCGCTTCTTTAACTTCTAACACGCTTGAAACATGAATCTTTAGTTACTACAGTTTGATATGTAATTCTTTATTAACATCAGTACACCAACATTGGTTTTTCAATGAAGTGACATGAAACATACTTCCCTTAGGTGGAGAACCTATCAATTTAACCTGGGTATATGTGTACGAGGCATTTTCCCGACTGTTGAGTCTGATTGAGCAGGTATAGGAAGATATGGCCCATATACCGGCCGTCTATGAAGAACCTTGTCGTAGATAGAGTGATGTTCAACGTTATCTCGTCTGTTGAATAGGTAAAAGCGCTAGATTGAGGATAGAACCTCTTATAATAGCTTTCGTTGTTTTGAAATTATTTACGTGCTGTTGCAGGGTTATTAACAAGGCATAAATTCAGTGATAAAAACTCCTAGGGTCATTTCTCATTTTTCTGCCGGTTTTTCATTCATCGTCTTTCGAAACATCAAGGGTACAATCAGGGCAATCAGGAGCTTCTACTATTCCTTCTGAGTGGTCCTGCGCTGAAATCAGTAGCTTGTTTTCTACTTTTCTTGCAATATGAGATCCTACTGCTACACTATTTTCGAAAAGGACAGCCCTCACCCTCTGTTTCAAAACCTTACTATCCGGAAACCCACCTTCTAATCGACGGTCCCATATTAGTAATTCAGGTTCATTCGCATCTCTGTAGGCAAGCACCTTGAACTCTCCAACTTCTGCGGGCACTAATGACAGTTCCTTGAGTGAATCACCAAACGTTTGCAGAAGTTCTTGTAAATACCACGCACTTCTCAGAGTCCACTTGCATTTCATACAAAACTTTATGGTGATTTTCGGATAGGGCATTTCATTTGACATTTTTGTAGGTGTTGAAATGTGAAACGCGAGTTGGTGAAATTCAACTTAGCTTTTCTTCAAAGATTAGGACATGCCATCATTTGCAGATAGCTTCTGGACTGATGATCTCTTCACAGGTGTGAACACTCTCTTTCGTAAGCTCTATGAGGGTTGTGAGCAGAATGTCCTCTTCATTCAGTTATTTGCATCTCGAATGCAATATGAGGTCAGTTACGGGCGTCAGCTATGTAAAATTAGACAAAACATCGATGGATATGATGAGAAGGCCCCTGAGCTTTCTATAAACTGTGCTCTGGGTGGAATGGTCCGTACTATGGAGAGAGAGGGCAGTGAACATCTGAGCATCGCCGCGGACATCGAGGTCACGGTTCTGAAGCCTTTCAGTAAATGGTGTGAAGAACATAAACAGAGAATTGAGTATTCTGAAAAGACGTTAAAAACTAATATAACAAACTATCAAAAATCCAAGAAGTTCGTGGAAAAGTTCGAGCGAAGCTATTTTAATAAATGCAGGAACCTAGAAGATTTTAAAAGGACCAACTTTAACGAAGAAGAGTTGAAAATGGCTCTCGAAGCTATGAAATTGCAGAAAGTGTACGAAGCCACAATCGAAAAGGAGCAAGAGTTCAAAAAATTTGGATCTCTTGGTGGCATTGATTTCGATTACAGAACGATAAGGGAAATAATTCGCCAACTTCTAACTAAACTTGAAAAAAGTGATTACAAAGTACCATTAATCAACTACAAAATATTCAATACTAATAATGGAAGTGAAATAGTCAAGTTTCTGATGGAAAATTTGTCTCTGAAAGACGTCGATCAGGCCGAAGCTTTTGGCCAAGATTTGCTTGATTTCGGATTTTTAAAATACTGCAACGGAGTAGGAACGACTTTCGTGAATTCCAAAAAGTTTCAGTACAGCTGGAAATCATACGCCTATAAATTTGCACGCATTCCGGAACCTAATGCAGGTGAAGTACATGATGGTGATAAGGACGCGACGGTTACGGGCCTCGCTGATTACTTTCAGGACCTAACATCCCGGATCTCTCAACCCTCACAAGCAGTGTACTCCAATACCGAAAATGCGCCAAAATTGTCAGAGGTGGAGCGCACCTTCTCCAAACTCACTAACGAAGTTGAGGTGGCAGATCAAAAATACAGGAAAGAATGTTTAAAAATGGATTCACTTCGTTGTTCGATTGAAGAATTAATGGTTGATCATTTTGTGTTTATGGAAAAGTGTGAATCTGACAGACTTCAGGCCTTAAAAAAAGTTGTCATGGATTTTTGCTTAATTATGAGCAATGAAATCTCCTTATTGAAGGACTCCCTACAAGGCTTTTCCGAAAGCGAGGCTCAGATGGGACCACATGAGGATCTGCTGAAAATGGTTGAAAATTCTCGGACTGGCTTCTTTCAACCTGTCGTCACACCCTATAACAATTATTATAATCCAGGTGGATATCAAAACTTTGGGATAGATTTAGAAACGCGTTGTAGATTAGACAAAAAGGCTGTTCCACTAATTATGTCAACGATTCTATCGTACATGGATCAAATTTATCCAGAAATGCCAAATGATGTAGCCAGAACAACGGCTTGGACGGTGCCTGTAAAACTTCACTCTACTCATCAGTTAAGAAAGTTGCTCAATGCCAAACCTTTCGAAAACGAAATAGAAGTGATGGAAATATTGAAAGAATCAAATGCAGAGCCTAGTACTATTGCGAGTGTTTTGAAAATATACTTATTAGAGTTACCTGCCCCCCTCATATCGAATGAGATTTACGATGTTTTGAAAGCATTATACGCGCAATACCCGCCCTCGCCTGCGAAAACAGAAGAGCAAGAGCAGATTGATGTCCAAAGAGTAAACGGTATAGCTAATACATTACAGACGCTTTCCAAATGTCAAATAGCGACTTTGGATGCAATTTCAACACATTTTTCAAGATTGATAAAGATTTTGAGAATGAGCTCTTCTGATTCCGGGCCTGCCCTCGCAGAGGAATTCGTTCAATCAATTTCTCAGGAATTTGCAAATTGTATAGTCCAGGTGAAATTGCCAGACGGGAATGAAATTGGGTATAAAATCTTCAGCGACTTATTGGAGTTTAAGAAGCCACTCTTTCGAGATATAAGACGTCAAAATTCAAAATCGAAGCAATAAAGCATGATTTCCAGTTTATGTGGTCATATATCCTCTATAATTACTTTGAATCTCGAACTTCCTGTCGACCGTTGGTATATATTTCCTGTTAAAACGATGCCTCTATGTGTCTTTCCTTTCATTAGGGAGTGTTTCCCTTTCCAATTCCTCTGTAAATAATGCCTTCGGCCTGAAACGTTCCTGATCCTCCTTTGAAAGTTTTCTTTCTTCAGCCACTTGTCCAGATTTATTTAAATATGTCACAGTGTCCCTTAAATGAGGGCTTTCAGACACTAGCTGCTTCTGCCGTAACCTTCGGGTACGAGCATCTGCTACTTCATGTGAGGCAAAAGGATTCTTCAAAGTAGCTTTCTTGATAAGTTCCTCTCCCCTTTCCTCATCGTCTGATGAAAAGCACTGGCCAGAATTATTATTCCAATCTTTTGCTAGCTCAAAAGTCACAATCTTGTCGCTGGGGGTTCCCGGCTCCTGCTTTGCGACTTTGCGAGAGCTGTGCGATTGCGTATCCTCATAGAATACCTGTCTTTCCAGAAATGAAGAAAATGCATCGTTACTTGGTACTGGCGGGAGTAGTTGAGGAGGTGTGGCCATTAAGTTGTGATTTATCGACTTCTTATCGCTGCATGCTTTGCGATCGGACAATTTGGCGTCCTGGAGTTCTTGCGAGTTTCCCAAAAACAATACTCGGCTTACGCTATCAAGATTTCCGGGTTCGTTAGCAAGCTCCAGTCTTCTCTTGGTTGTTAGTTTAGCTGGTGTATACTCAGGAGTCTTCAATCCCTTTAGAGGTGATCCATGTAGCGGTGAGCTCGGTCTATTGAACTGATTCGATTTTTGTTTCAATGTTACTGTCCCGGGCGTCACAGGTGCAGCAAAAATGCCTTGTCTATGGGGAGTAGTGGGAGATAACTGTAATTTCGGAGGTTCTAAGGTTGACGACTTTACACGTCTACTCCTGGATCGCGGTGGTGTTGCTGGTGTCATTTTCCACCAAATGTTGTTTAGAATATGAGAAATATCCGAGAACCCCGCTGCTTAATGACAGTAGTTGATCTGATCTCCCCTTTATAAGTAGACGGATAGAACTGATCCTGCCATTTTTTTTTTGCGGATGCTAACACCAGCCATTTCATTTTTTTTAGTGTCGAGTCCATTCGAACCCCACGCGGAGCGATATACCAAGGAGAATTTGAACTTCAATCAGTTACACATTCTCAAAGCTCAAAATGGTATGTTCTTATGCTGTTTGGTACTATCGAAACCGTATTATTATGAGTTTTACTAACTTTCGCTACAGAATGCTTTGTACAATCATGCTGTGAAACAGAAGACGCTCTTGCAAAGGGATCTCAGTAAGTTCGAAAAGGACCTGGCTACATCGCCCATATCTCTACAAGGATCGATATCTGCTACGCTTATATCCTTTGAAAAGACCATCGACCAGTACACTGATCAATTGAAAAAGTATAAGCTAAATAATCCAGCTGATAACGAAAAGGCTCAAACAAAATACCAGTGTAGATTAGAGTCCTTGCGTCAAGATTATGAGGATGGTAAAGATAAATTTCAAGAGCTGAAGAAGAAGTTTAATGAAGTCAATACGCGTGATCAGCTTCTGAAGTCGAGCAGTAATCCGTTCGAGGAGGAAACAGTCATGAATAAAAGAAATATTGGCAATCAAGTGAACGATAACTTAGGGAACAACAGAAATAATAGCTCTGAATTGCCGATGTATCAAGGTCTAAGAAAAGAACACTCGATTTTTGAGAGAGGAAATGCACAACTTGACTACATTCTTGAAATGGGCCAACGGTCCCTTGAAGATGTGATGGAGCAAAATGCAGTTCTTCAAAAAATGCAAAACCAAATGACCAAAAGTCTTCAGACGTTGGGTGTTTCCAATGGAACGATAGAGAAGATCAACAAGCGCGTATTCAAAGATAAGTTGATATTTTGGGCGGCCCTTGCTCTCATGTTTATGGGTTTCTTCTTTTTGTTAAAATGGTTACGCTAAACATATCCAAGTGGAATATAGACGGAAATAGTTCTATGTACATACATCAATTGAACCATTACATAACAAGGACTATCATTTTGCCTTCCAGAATATACAGGATGAATTTCCCCCAGCGGTTATGCTCTGCTCGTCACTTAACTTCATGAAATTCTCAGATCCATATATTAAATTTTCAGGATCCTTACTATATCTAATACCAGGCTCTAACAACTTTGGAATGTTGAAAGGCTTGCAAGATTTGATCCTTTTTCCATTGCCCAACTGGCCCTTATCATTAGAACCCCACGCAACAACATTGCCGTTTTCGAGTTTACATAAAACATGATTTTCTCCGCAAGCCCACTCTTTTACTCTACCACCAAATTTGCTGTCCTTAGTGTCATTGAGAATCTTCACCTTGGTAGGCTCAGATTGAGAGTGCTTGAAGTGCCCGTTTCCCAATTCTCCGTGAATCCCAATACCGAAAGAGAAGTAAGTTATCTTAGCGGAGTCCTCATCCGCCACCTTTCCTTGGTTTTTGAAGTATGCGCGCATATCTTGTGGAACAACGCTCACATAAGAGGTGTTTCCACTACAATGAATATCAGCGCATTTCAAGAAAGTGTCTCTTGGGAAATGGGCGCTAAAGTTGCCCACTTTTTTGGGGAATGCCACAGTTTCCATATCATATGATATAGGTTGTCCTAACTGTCCATTGGTGTTCAAACCGAAGGAGTATAATTCCCCAATAGAATCTCGAGCTAACGTGTGATGGTCTCCGCATGCGATTTGTACAATTTTTCTTTGATTTATTTTATTTTGTCCCACAGCGTTGTTCAAAAGTTCAATTTCGTAAAGCTCATTGCAATCTGGAAATTGATCAAATTGAGACAATGTTGGCACGCCAAATTGGCCCCTAGATTTCGCATCACAAGCAGGTTCCACCCCAGTTGCGCATACATACGCTTTTCCTACGTTAGAAAGAACAATCAAATGTTCTTTACCAACGCAATACTGTGTAATCATTTTTTCCCCCTTCTCTCTGAAGCAAGGGGACGTGCTTAATTTCCACCTGTAATGACAATGCTTTTTCCACGGCATCAGCCATGATCTTCTCCATTGCGTATTACGTTTTCTTTCAAATTTATCTTTAAGTGGAATAACTAGAATCTGTCCTCGTTTATTTAAGGCATATGCAACATCATTTGAAATCTTTACTTGAACCAGATCTTGCCCTGGAAGTAGCATGTCGCAACTTTTTCGATCCCAGGCCAGTAAATTACCTTTTGCATCGATTGCTAAGTTCGGGGACACTTCTGATAATGCCACATCCCTCAGATATTGATCGTTGAACCATGGAACCCTTGTAGGGAATTTTATGGAATTGCCTCTACCATCCGCTCCCCAGTAGTAAAGGCTTGGGACAGAGCTTGGCTTTTGATCTTCAGGGATATAAGGTATCTCTAGCAAAGCCTTTTTATGCTTGTGCTTTTTGAGCTGTTCGATAGCATCATCATCAAGCCTGAAATCTTTTGCTAGCCACCAACCCTTGATCTGTGGCCATTTCATATAAACCGTGCTCGCTACACCAAGCCCAACAACTATGAGTAAGCCTTGGAAAGCAGCTGAAAGCTTCATGAATTTTTCCATACGCTCAGCGTACTCTTTTTCCGCTTCTACATTGGACTTCGGGGACCATTGAAAATCTTCCTTCGATCTCTTGGCTTTATACAGGTCAGTTGTTAGTTTCCCTGCCAGCAGCTCTGCATCATCAAATTTAGGTGAATTTTTCAGAAGAATATTTGCGACGGAGAATCTCCTATAAATATTGGTGGGAAGCCGTCTGGGAATCATAGTTTTGCTTGTTTGTTCCAGCTTGCTTTCTTCAGCTAAAAGTGGAGTTTTTTTTTTTCAAGCATTTTCAAAAAAGTATCCCAATACTGTCTTCTGTATTTTGTTTTACAAGACCACACCCGATGATACTTAGAATTATCCGCGAGCATAGAAACCCTGTTATAGGTGTAAGGTATTTTTGTAACTCCAAGCATCTTTTGAATGATCTTGACACAGTTCACATTAAAAACACGAATAGATTCAGACAACTTTTGGTCGATGATGGCGACTTTACATCTCAACAGGCGAACGCTCTCGTAAACATAATGTCTAGTGCTTTGAAAGGCGGCATTACTCATGTTTCTCAGGACTTGGCATCCAGAGAAAAGCTTATTCAATTGGTATATCAACAGCGTGTCGATTTTGCTAAATTAAGGGATCAACTGCTTTCAGCTGATCGCAGTGAATTTCACTCGATTCAAAATGAGTATGAAGGGATTCGCAACGATCTAGAGAAATTGAGAACAAAGCTCCGGGAAGAAATCACAAAAGCAAACGCAGGCTTTAAATTGGATTTATCACTCGAAAAAGGGAGAATTAGAGAGGAATCAAGTCATCATGACTTGCAGATTAAGGAGATTGATACTAGAATTGACCAAGAAGTAACCAACATGAAAATGCAAATTGATTCAGTCAAGACTCAGGTTATGCAGTGGCTAATTGGTGTTTGTACCGGTACATTCGCCCTGGTTTTAGCCTATGTGAGGTTGTTATCATGAAATGTGACTTTTTGATAATCACAACACGTTAGGTCGATGTAGGGCAGCTAAAATGTTTTAAAGAACATGAAGACTTAAAACCGACTTGGGCTTAAAAGTCTATTCTTAAACTAATTCTACATAGAATTTACAAGGAAGAAACTAATTACTGGGAGATGCTTAGTTCAACTCAAATATTTCGTTCAAGATTCTAACAGTATCATCGGGAGATTTGACAGAGTGGCCAATTGTTCTTGAGTCAGTGTAAATTTCGTAGTCATTGCCGCCGACCATGGTCTTATCGCCGAAAAAGTGGATTTCCTTGAAACCATCAGCTTCGACATGCTGCAAACAGTAGGTCTTGTCCCAACCAGTTGGAAAGACGTCAAAGGAAATTTGACCGCCAATGGAGTAGGTAAGGGCCAAGTGTGGGAATTCCTTCTTCAAAGCTTCAACAAATTTAGCTCTAACTTGATGTTCCTTATCAAATCTTTCGAATTCGTTACGTTCCTCGGTAGAGGCGTTTCTACCGATAGGAGAAACATTAATCATACCATTTCTGAATTCCAAGAAGGTGCCTCTTCTCTTTGGTAGCTCAATTTCTGATAAATATTTCAACACGAAGACAGCTAGCTTGTTGTATTCTTCCTCACCAATCCAGTTAATGAAAGATTGAGAAGCTAACTTTTCACCCAATCTGTAAGCAGTTAAACCGTTTTCAGAAAAGGCGTAGTCAAAATCATTCAAAACAGTAGGACCCAATTGTTCAAGTTGCTTGCTCAAGTCAGAGCCACCGACGAAACCGATTACACACTTCTTTCTCAGTTTAGCCAAAGTGTTTCTGACTTCATCAGAGATTGTCAATCTGGCGGGGGTTAAGGTGCCATCAACGTCAAACAAGACTAAAACATCAGGCTTCTCCTTGTATTCGAATTCTTTTGCGACCATTGTGCTATGATTATGGATTGAAGATCTCAGCTAAGCTATTTACGTGTCAAGAATGGTTCCACTGAATTGATTGCGCGTGTTACGAAAATTTTTATAGCTCATTCCAAGGGTAATAAGCTACGAAACACGACGCGTAAGGTACATTCATTCATTAAATGTCCCGTGCAGGACACGAAGGAGTGGTTCATAGATTAAGCATTTCTTGAAATACCAAAAAATGGGTGACCTTTTAAGTGTTCTTTAATTAATTATCAAGTGAATCAGGTGAATCAAGTTCAAGTAAAAGTCTTAAATGAATAATTTGATGTTATCAATTTCTCATACTGACTTCAACCTTTAGTTTAAACTCAGCTTCCAAGAAGGAGATCAGCGAAAAGTCAACTACCACGTTCATAACTTTAATTTCTACATGAACCCAACTTCTCTAATCCCTCAGTTTCTATTGCTAAGATATCAGTGAATATAAGAACAGACAAACAGATTAACGATTATACAAAAGATTTACATAATATTAACCAGTTTAGGCTTGAGTGAAGTATTCTGGGAATTCTCTGAAGTTTTCTTCCAAAGGACCCTTCTTAGACAAGAACTTAACGAAAGCACCATCATCCTTGACTTCACCAGCGTCTCTTCTTCTGACGTACTCAGCTCTGTCCAAGTTGGTGAAACCCCACTTCTTAGACAAAATGATCTTTTGTTGACCTGGGAACTTGTATCTGGCTCTTCTCAAACCTTCAACAACAACATCCTTGTTAGAGTCCTTAGTTCTAACAGAGAAGATAATTTGACCAATAGCAACACGAGCAGCCAAACCGTGAGGCTTACCCCAGGCACCTCTCATACCTTGTTGCAATCTATCGGCACCGGCACAAGACAACATTTTGTTGATTCTCAAAACGTGGAATGGGTGAACTCTAACTCTCAAGTGGAAAGCATCTCTACCGGAGATCTTGGTCATATATTTGTTGGCACAAATACGAGCAGCTTCCAAAGCTTCAGAAGACAATTGTTCCAATTCATTGGAAACCAAGTGGACACACAATGGGAACTCGTCAACAGTAGCCTTCTTCTTACCCAAGTCGTAGATTCTGATCTTAGAGTCAGGGACAGCTCTGTTGTACCTAGACTTTGGGTAAGGCTTGTTCTTTTGGTATCTGTAACATCTAGCTGGTCTTCTAGCCATCTTTACGGATTTTGTTGTTACAACTATCTGCTAGAGACTAAAGTGCAAATAATTCTCAACTCTTTTTGTTTATGCACTTTCGAATTTGTCAGCACTAATGTCGAGTCTTTTTCCGAATGGTTATTGACCGAGAAAAATTGACAAAAACCCACACAACTTAAAATAGGTATGGGTGTAGCCGTCATACAAAGGTTTGAAGCCCTTGATATTTTTGTTTAGGGCTACTTTTTCTTTTTTTTTTTCCCGTTTTGCAGAAAAATTTTTTTAAGGTCATCTCATCGCTCTACTCTAATAGAATATAATCTTCTCAAACAATCAAAAGAATGGGGAGATACTCTGTTAAGAGGTATAAGACGAAAAGAAGAACGAAAGATCTTGACTTGATTTTTGATGAACTAAGTTCAAAAGAAAAAATTAATCAGCTACTACACCAACCGCTAGATGAAACAAAACCAGGACTGGGACAGCACTATTGCATACATTGTGCAAAGTACTTTGAGACTCCTTCAGCTTTGAAAACGCACTTGAAGGGTAAAGTGCACAAAAGGAGAGTCAAAGATCTAAAGGGTGTACCATACACGCAGGAAGTGGCGGATGCAGCAGCGGGCCATGGCCTTCAAAAATTGCTTGATAGAGTTAAAGAGATCAAAGACAAGGTTGGACCTGAAAAAGAGACAAACGAAATATATCTTACACAACATCTAAAAGAGACTCTTGCTAATGCGGCTACTACTGAGCCAACTCTTCCGTACCTCGAATCTGGAACACCCGAGAATGTTACACAACCTTCCTCATCTGTGGTAAAGGATAAGGATGGTGAGGTTGTAATGCAATAATTGGCAGTTTTGTAAAATATTAAATATGTGTAGAGTACCATAGGAAAGTCATGAACTTTGGCCAAAGTCAACATGTCCTGTCTTCTCGGCATGTCTGGCGACTTCGCGTTCACCAATTAAAGTCTCCAAGCATACATTGCACTTAATCTTATCTCGTTGAGTGTTAAAGGAATACCCAGACTTTTCAGCCTTAAGGCCACATCCTGTGCCCTCTGCAGTACAAGCTCAATATTTTCTTCTCGCTGATCAAATACTGTATCGATTTCACGAGTATCATCTCTACAAAGCTCCATAGCATCATAATGAACTCCATTGAAAACTATCATAATGAATTTGTCAAATTTCTCCTCATTGAACTTTTCATATCTGCCCGCGTCAACATCCAGTACAAACACCGACATACTCATATATTTGCTCAGAATTGCAATCTCAATACCTCCTCCCCAAGAAGTGCTTTGACTTATCCACTCCGCATAATCTTTGTTAGAGCGGCCAAGTATCGCATCTGAATACTCTTCCTTATTATCTATTATCTCGGAAGCAACAATATCCCGAAGCTGTTGTGAAAGAGATATATCTCTATAAATACAATATGATATCGCGTGGAAGAGACATGAATTATCATCTGGGACCGTATGCACCCTTAAGTATGACGATGGCCATATATCATCTAAGGAAATTTCGTTTTCTTTCAACTTGGGGGATTTAACCACAGGGTGAGATGTGGCCAAAATCTTGGCCGTCTCAATTGTTATTTTTTCTCCTGAACTAATGCCTAAGTCATCGAGCTTGATATCTGCCGTATTGCTCTCGATCTCTAAAGTTTGGGGTGGGTAACCGAATCTGATGGATTTAAGGGAGACGTTCCCACCAAAGGCAGCTTGAATAGTAGATTCTAGCTCACCTATGGAGCCATCGTTCTCCAAGGTCACAACCTTGTTTCCAAGCAATGTGTGATATACTTTTAATTTCATGGTTTGCTATTAAGACCGCAGCCTCTTTAATGACACTTGGGGCACGTAGTGTTCACTATTTTCAGATTTAAGTTTCACAGTACACGTGAGACTTGTACACTAGCTAAACACCAGAAAGACGTTAATTTAGGCTAAAACGCAGCATATAATAAAAAACCTCTGCTACTCTCTTTAAATGGATGCTTTCAAGAAGAACGTATTTTCATGAACTGAAAGGTGACAAGGACGTATAATACGAACGTAATACGTAGTTTTTTGCCAGCTTCTAGACAGTCCCCAAAAATTGATGGTTCGTGATGTTGTATATGCTTTCCTTTACTCCATCACTATGAATGTCTGCCTTCTACCAGGAATCACCTTCGTGATTGAAATAGGGTCGAATTCTGTGGCAAGCGAGTAGCACGCAGGAAAGTCATTGAAGCCCAAATCCAAAAAAGAGATTTAAGTTTAAAACTAAAAATTTAATTCCATCGATACATATTATGTTGCCGAGAATCGTTTTTAGAAATTGAAATGAGCACGTATTTGGCATGCGAATTTACGTCACGCTCTATCCGCGTTCCTCTTTCTGGCGACAGGCCGCGCGTGTTGGGTGAGGCCGAATTTTTTTTCTTGCATCGTTTGTCATAGTAGCCATCGGCCTCGCGAGCTCATCGAACGTCAAAATTTTTTCTTACTTGAAACTAGCGCTAATGGAGTGAGAGACAGCTCTACAATGAAATCATCACTGCAACTAAGCAAAGAAGCCTTGGAATATACTTTTAACCCTAAAATACCACTGAAATTATACCTGAAAACGTGCATAAGCCTCGTTGAAGAGGCCCAAACGTCATTTCAGGATGGAAGATTAGAAAGGTCGTATCTCATGTACTTAAGATACCTGGATTTATGCATGAACAAGTTGCCTAATCACCCTGAGGTTACGGAATCAAGTACAAATTCGGAATGTTCGCTCTTTAGAAAAGAATATCAACAATTGTTGAAATTAGAAGTACCTGCAATTTTAAGGATCAGCGAGGACTTAAAGGCACAAATAGACATCTCATACCAAAAGAATACTCTCTCACTGGCGACTAATGTTCCAAAACGAGTTGTCAAAGAGCGCGCTAATACAGAGGCTATCGAACTTCCGTCTTCTTTCAGTGATGCCAAATTAAGGCAATCCATACACGCCTTTCACAACGATAACATCAGCATGGGAAACCTAGTGAGTTCATCTACTGCTCCTCTAATATATCCCGATTTGCCCAAGCTAAGTAATTCGACATATGCATCCATATAACAATCAAATATTGATCAAATAATCCACTGCATTTTTTATTTTTGAAACGTTGAATGGTTCAGATTCGGTTTTGTCTGATATTCCTTTAGAATCACTGACAATCTTCATCAACTTGTCTAATCTTTGCAGAAAATCTTGAGACTCCTCAGGTGCTATCTCGCCACGTACCCACTGCCTAACCATATAATACAAGTAGCGCTGATACCGATCCCTTTTATGATCATTCATAGCATAATTTTTGTTCTGTTCTGCTCTTTCGTTGAGCCAATCCCAAATTTCAAGCTCTTCAGAAGATTTCATCATTTGTGCAAAATCGCTCGAAACACTTTCTTTCGATTCTTTGAAAATATTCCTTAAGTCGTTCAAGACTTGATCAATCGTGAAGCTACTGCTGTATATCCGATTATTCGAGTCGGCTTTTTTAATCTGGCGGAGAATATTCTGCTCATGCAATATGACTAGGCACAACAGAACCATGTTTATGAAAAGCAAAATAACAACTGTATTGCTCTTAGAGAACCAATCTCCCTGGAATTGGTTTTCGTTTGTTTGTTCGTGACCACTTGTGCGACCACTTCCTTTGACAGGTTCATAGGACCTGCTAGATGTTTTGCTGACACGCCTACTCTGAGGTTGTTTTTTGCGAGGCTGTTTGGCAACCAAGGTTTTGCCTTCTTCGACATACTTGTTAATATACTCATTTATCAAATCAACCATAGTTTTTGTGGCTTCAATTTGACCGGCCTTACAGCTTTTGTCCACCATTGACTTTATCCAACTGCTCCCTGTCCAATCCACCCAAAAGGATATCTTTAGGATACTCGAGTTTGCTGATGCCCATCGCATCATATAGCGAGTTTTGACGGAGAAGCTATTTCCACTTGGCACATCCGGAGTTTTTGTTGTGTTTAAAACGTTGATGTAGTTTTCATAGTCCATGTTTAGCACAGTTTCCAAAACTTGGCATTTGGTCGATTTGGGGCCCACTGAATAGTTCAATGCCTTGGCGTAATTATATTCCCTGTATTGCTGCCCATCTTTATTCACATTATCAAAGCCTGTTATTGGAGAAATTTGGGAGGACTTCTGAGACTTCAGAAAGTCAATCAAGAACGCAGAATTTTCATTACTAAACATCAACTGGTATACTACACCGGGAGGCGCATTTAATTCGAGCTCTGCAAGAACATATTCATTGTTGTCCTCTGGAACGTACACGAAGCTAGTTTCCTGAAAATAGGCAGGGCCGTCATACTCATAACCACTATTTTCTTTGAGCTTAAAAATTTTGAGAGAAGATTGAGTGAGGGTTCCTTCCTCTTCATCTGATACAATCACCGTACTATTTCCTTTGAGTTCATGACTTTTGAGACTATTTTCGTCCTCTTCGTAGTCATCGTAGTCAATTTCGTCCTCACCCTCCTCATCGTAATCATCCTCGTCATCTTCGCCATCTTCCTCTTCTTCTTTAAGTCTTCCCGAGATCGCAATCGATGGGGTAAAATCATCAACAGATAAAATAGCATCGTCAATTTTGGAATCATTTTCGCTAATGATAGAGGCACGACTGGATGGAATTTCACTACTGGCGATCTCCGGTAGGATTTTCAAAGTCAACTCACGATTCGTCATTGGGAATGCATCGGGTACATTTGATAAACTTGAGCTCTGCCTTGTTAATGGTGGCACAGGAACCTCACTCTCCCTAAAAGTTCTCCAGACAGTTTTAATAAATTCGAAGGTCGTATCTCTTGAAATAAAGCTTGCGAACTGATGCTTTCCAAGATGCGTTTCGATTGAGATTCCATTTGGAAACAGTCCCGCAGTTGATGTCTTTTCCATAGCGACAACATCCTTCAAAGATATGACCAAGTTAGTGATCCACCCTAATAAATTGGAGTTGAAACATATATTGAACTGTGAGACATATATGCGGCCTTGAAAGAGAAATTCTCTGCTGAGAGCGCAACTGAAGTCATCTAACAGGCGGTCATCGTCGGGGACTGATTTAAAAATGTTGTGAAATTCTTCATTCCTTGCTTCCACGGCGAATCTATAAGGTGTTTCGGCGAGTTTTTCGTCAATATAGAGTCTTTTATCATAATCTTGGGAGAGTAATTCCTCAGGTTTCTCCATCTGCTGAAGTGGTGAGGTAGGTATCTCATTGTCAACACTTATTGACCTTCTAGATCTTCTAGAGGGGGTCGATTTCCGATATGATATGATATTAGGCGAACCCTGCGTTGAAGACTCTGAGAGGGCCCTAGAGTGAGTACTGGGCTTTCCTCCATTGTTAAAAGAAAGAGAGGAGAGCATATTATTGAAAAAAGAACTTGAAGGAAGTCCATCTGTCTCGTCTATTCTGTCAACACCCTTGGTCGAATCTATGATGTTACTCACAGAACTCAACGCGGATGCGTTTTTGTTAGGGGGGCTATTTACACCTGTTATTGGATCAACTTCTGCCAATTGAGGATCTGCAGGCATAGACTTTAATGCAGTGCTGTCCATAGAGGAAATCGAATCGCGGGTTGAGTTCTGAATAGATCGGATAGGAGATGTCGACGGCTTTATTTTGCTGTTATCTGTTGTAGCTTGAAAAGGAAGCCCAAGGGATGACTCAGAGGCTTCCTTCGGACTATTTGGCGATTCCTGGTCATCATCAACTGGCTCCCAGTTGTCAAAGTCAGAGCAGGACATGATGTTTCTGCTTGAGTTAAATTCTGGGGCTGGTTATAGGTCAATTTGCCCTGAATTCCTCTCCCCTATCAAAGACAAGTTAGAAGGAGCTTGCCAAATAAACTACGCAAGTGATAGCTTCAAAGTTTGAATAGAGTTGTAAACTCGAGTAGCAAATCGTAACAGGGTGGAACCGACTTTTGTTTAAGGCAAACTTCTGTTTCTCTTGATAGGGTTATTAATTAATTCGGCTGTCACCCGGACATACATTATAATTTTATGAAAGAGTGTATATCGACAAATATGGCACACTTTGAAGAAGTGTGCGAGCTTCGACTTATAAAGAGAGGTTGCGGTGAGAGATGACAACTGCAGTGCAAGACTTTAAAGTATTTAATGGAGGGGGTTTACAAAGTAATACAAGTCAGAAACAAGAACTCAGTCGAACAAGCATGACGCAAAGGCAGGATAACAAAGCCGTTCGCTTCGATCCACCTGAAATCCCGCATGTTGAATTCAATCAGTCGCCACTTTCCTTGATCATTAGAAATCTTACTGTGTTTACCATCAAAGAAATTGCCCAATTCTTCAAGACAAGCGCACATCAAAGCCAAGATGCCGGCACAAGAAAAGCAAGCTTTTTACAGATGATCATATATTTGAGAAATCAATTCTTGCGCTTGTACGTGCTGATCAAATGGTGCAAAACAATCAAGAAGAATAATTTCAACACAATGATTGATCTTTTGAACTGGTTTCGTGGATCTAACATGTCCGTGAATAACTGCATTTGGGCGCTGAAAAATAACCTTGTAAGTATGGCAAATGCTAAGTTGCCAAATCCTGATTTAGTCACAGCCTTGGAAGTTCTCAGTCTTGGCAGACCCAACCTGCCAACGCATAATCTGAAACTAAGTGGCGATGAAGGGAGTGAAGATGTCAGTGTCATTCCAGCAAAATTAATTTTGAAACGAATAAGAGATTTGAACACTCTTCTTTCGATCAGAATATCACTCATGGAACTACCTGATCAGTTCTATCAGTATAAAGTAAGAGACGGTAAACTAGTTATAACAGTTGAGAAAGAGTTTGAAGTACAATTATCGACTGTAGACCTGCAGTCTCCACTGTTTTTCGTGGATTTGAAATTTTTGTTTAATGACCATCTTCCTTTGAATAAACACAAACTCGAAAAAGTTATAAATGAGGCACTCTTCAAGAGCTCTAAGCCCCTTTTTTCCCTGTACAGCCTTCTTCACAAGTATGTGTTGTCACTTCAAATGTATATGATACATGTGGAGCTTCTTGATCTCGAAATAAATGGGAAATACTCAGGCGGGAACCTAGTACACCATTACGACGCTAAGAAGAATATGATAACATTAAAATATTGGTTACAAAGTAGGCTGAATGGTAAGTGCAGCGCCATTATTGGCGTAGAAGGCACAAGCGGCAATATAATTCTAAAGTGGAATAGAAACGGCGTTAAGAACGAGCACAGCGATGTTCCCACCCAATACAGCTGCATCCTCAACAATCTTGGAAATATTTTGAATGAGATAACATTCAACCACTCACAAATGATCAAAGCTGAACTCTTATCAACTGGAGTATTCAGCGAGGACGAGGAAAATCCTGACTTCCTTCTTTTCCATGTACCAACTACTTCTGTATCTGTTGCTCCAATTCAGTTGAAAATAAATCTGATTAGCGGAGTCTTTTATGTCAAAAACCCTAGTTCCCTGCTTCAATTCTACATTAACCAAATTAATAGCAGTTCAACGACTGACGAGTTAATACACATTTTAGGAAGGCTGAAACTGGATAAAATTATACTAGTACTGCGGAATATGTTTGAAAAGACTGGCTGGAGCTGTAATGATGTGATAAAATTAAATTCTTCGGTAACTCAAGATTCAGCGAAAGGGCAAAAGAGAATTTTAACCCGTGATTTATTCATAAGACTTGACGACTGGCCGGCAAACTGGTATTTGATTCTGAGCGTTGTGTCTTCTAATTCAACTTGCGTGATTGAACAACGAATTGGAAAGATTAAGGCCATCAAGGGAAATTGGGAGCTCAGATATCTTGACAGCGCCAATGCAACAACTTCAAAACTCGAATCAATGACCTATCAAAAAATCGTGTATCTGCAAAAAACTATCCTACACAGGATAGTAAACCACATGATTATTGACTCGTTGAACGAGTTAAATATCTCCAATAAGATATGTTCAGGAGATATTCTAAGAGCTCTCCCCCCATATGTCTCCTCTACTGGCGTAAATAATAATCTTTCAATCATTGCCATTGAGCTGGAATCGTTTTTGGAAGGATCCAATGCGCTAAATCACATTTTGGAGAGCTCAATGCTTCTGAGAATAGACTATGAAAAATCTGACATCAAACTCTTCGGAAAGTTTAAAAAAGACACTAAGATTATTAAGTACCAATGTGACGAACTTCTTATTCAATTTACAAATCCAGGTGCCCTCTCATTCTACATTTTCGAAGAGTTCACGAATTTGAATAACATCGTTTTGTACCTCACAAAATTCAAGCAAAAGCTCATGCAGCTCGTGGTTCTAACTGATGTAATTGAGAGACTTCACAATAACTTCTACTCTGAAAATTTTAGCATAGTCGCGCTAAAGCCAAATGAGATTTCCTTCAAGTACTTGAGAAATAGTACCGACACCCATGACTGTATGATAAAAATTGTCACGAATGATCATAATGTGGAAAATTTAGATGTAAAATTGTCATCTTCGAATCCGCAGTATATTGTTCAGCCATTCATTGATGATGGTCATTACGACTATCATTTTATTTTTAATTATCTTCAGTTCACATCAGGGTTTTTTGGAGTATTGAAAGAAATTTTAAGTTCTTACGAGCACAGTAATGGCTATACCACAGTTTCTCTTCAATTGCATAATCTATCAGAATATGAATTACTTTACCATAACCCTGAAACCAATACAAAGATTACTCTTATTATAGAACTGAGGAATGTTTCACACAATGGAACTAAAAAATTACAGTACTATATTCATTTCTCAGATGATGAACACATTTCTACAAAAAGCCCAGCCTATCCGTTAGTGCACCAGGTGAGAAACACTGTCTTTATGATTGACAATACTGCGTTGGTGAATGGCTCAAGTGTATCTTTAAAAAAGCCCAAACACCCATCGGCTATTAAATTGTCAGACGGTGTTAGCTGTGACTCGCCGGATATAGAGGGCATTATAATGGAGATAAATGACATACTTAAAATTGACTGTATGTAACTTATTCTATTTTACGCAATTTTTAGTAGCAATTGCCCTATCATTTTTTCTGGCTTAATAATATTTTTGGCGTCCTCCGCTTATATGTTGTGCAACCGTCCCGTTGTTGAGGATTCTCAAAGTCCGGAGGACTGGAAAGCTGGTGTATAAGAACAGCGCTTTGAACGGAATAATCTTATGAACGTCTCAACAGCCATATAATTGTAAAATTGGTCCTTTGAATAAATACCAAATGGTCGAACAGCAGCCAGCTATTGTCTTGCAAGCGAAAGGGAAGATTGAGATTGAAACCAGACCGGTTCCTAAAATCGAAGATCCACATTATGTCAAATTACAGATAAAAAAGACCGGTATCTGTGGATCTGATATTCATTATTACAAGGAGGGTGCCATCGGCAACTTTGTAGTGAAAGAGCCTATGATTTTGGGTCATGAGTCAAGTGGAGTCGTGGTCGAAGTTGGGGAAAAGGTGACTAGAGTCAGGCCAGGCGATCGTGTTGCTATTGAGCCTGGTATTCCTAGTAGGTATTCGGATGAGACCAAAGAAGGTAGGTACAATCTTTGCCCACACATGAGATTTGCATCCACTCCACCGGTTGATGGTACCTTAGCCAAATACTATCTTGCTCCGGAAGATTTTCTTGTGAAACTCCCTGATCATGTTTCACTCGAGGAGGGCGCCCTTGTTGAGCCAATGTCAGTCGGAGTACACTGTAACAAATTAGCTGAAATTAAGTATGGGCAAAAGGTTGTTGTATTTGGAGCGGGCCCTGTTGGTCTCTTGACAGGTTCTGTGTCACGAGCGTTTGGTGCTAGCGAAGTGGTCTATGTGGACGTTTTCGCTAATAAATTGGAACTTAGCGGTGAGTTCGGCGGTACCCAAGTTGTTAATTCGTCCAAATTCAAAAATGAGGATGAAATCGTGGATGAAATCAAACGCGTACTAGGAGGTAATGAACCTGAGGTTGTTTTTGAGTGTTCAGGCGCCGAAATTTGCGTTAGATCAGGAATTAAGGTCTGTAAGGCCGGTGGTTGCTACGTTCAGGTGGGCATGGGAAAGGACGACGTGAACTTTCCTCTATCTGCTATTGGTCCCAAAGAACTTCGTGTGCTCGGCTCTTTTAGGTACTGCTCGGGCGATTACAGAGACTCCGTCAAGCTTTTAGCAGAGAAAAAAGTAAATGTTAGGCCACTTGTCACACATCGTTTCAAGTTTGAAGATGCTCGTAAGGCCTATGATTTCAACATTGGCCATGCTTCCGAAGTCATCAAGACCATAATTGACGGCCCCCAATAGAAGCATATGTATAAAAGATGCATACTGAATATATTCGTGTATATGAACAGAAACTCTCTATATAAAGACTCTACACTTTGTGCGAGATAGTCCACACGCTGAATTAATTGTGTCCTTTTTGTGTCAAAAGAAATCCGTTCGAAGATCTACACCTAGGGGATTAAATTTTTTTATGGGTGGATTATAAAAGAGTAAATTATATGAGTCTCGTCGGCGACAATGCTGACAGGGTAGCTGGAAGCCAACATAACGAGTGTTTAAACGAGTAGAATGCTCAAGCTTTTAACATACTGCCTCTTGGTAGTTCCAAGAATCGTTACTGGTCTGACAACGCATGAATACAACTTTACAACCGGATGGGTTCAAGCGAATCCAGATGGCATGCATGAGAAGCAAATGATAGGATTCAACGGCGAATGGCCAATACCTGACATACATGTAAACACAGGAGATCGTGTAATAATCCGATTGACGAATGGGTTTGAAGACCTGCCTACTTCTCTTCATTTCCATGGACTTTTCCAGAATATTAGCAAAGGAAACAGCAATCACATGGACGGCCCGCAAATGGTAACCCAATGCCCTATTCAGCCCGGTGATACGTTTGTTTACAATTTTACCGTACCAGATCAGGTTGGGACCTATTGGTACCATTCTCATTCTGGTTCTCAGTATACCGATGGTATGAGAGCCGCGTTTATCATTCATGACAAAGATGAGCCCTTCAAGTATGATGAGGAGCTGGTATTGCAGGTAAGCGATCTATATCATAAGCCCTATTATGAGGTCACAGATGAATTTCTTTCCAGGTACAATCCAACAGGCGCGGAGCCTATACCACAAAATATTCTTTTCAACAACACTGTCAACGCTTCTATTGCATTTGAACCCAATAAAGCGTACCTATTGAGGCTACTGAATGTAGGAAACTTTGTCTCTCAATATATCTACATGGAGGATCATGATTTCACGATAGTGGAGGTAGATGGTGTTTATGTCAAGCCCAATGTTACCAATCTTTTATACCTATCGGTGGGACAAAGAGTATCTGTATTGGTACATTCAAAGAAAAACGATGGCAAAAACTATGCTTTAATGCAAGCTATGGATGTGACCATGCTGGACGTAGTGCCAGCCGAACTACAGTTGAACAGAACAATTCAGGTATTTTATAATCCAAGTGTAGAAAAAGCAACCCAGTACTATTTGAATGATTTCAGCAGTTGCACTAATGATTTTTACTTGACTCCCTATGATGAGCAAGAATTGTATGATGATTACGACTACCAGATTAAACTTGACGTAAGGATGGATAACTTAGGAGATGGCGTGAATTATGCTTTTTTCAATAATATAAGCTACGTTGCGCCTAGAGTACCCACCCTGGTTACTGCAGTTACAGCACCTGAAGCCCTCGTCAAAAATCCTTTCATATATGGTGACAATGTCAATGCGTTTGTCCTTGAATATGGTGAGGTGATTGAAGTTGTCGTGAATAATTATGACGATGGTCGTCATCCTTTCCACTTGCACGGCCATAATTTTCAAATCATTCAAAAATCGCCATCCTTTGCAGAGTTGGAAAACGGTGACCCAGGGGAACCTGTTCCATATAATGAAAGCTCGCCTCTGAATACTTTTCCTGAGGAACCCATGAGACGAGATACTGTCGTCATGGAAGGAAATGGCCATATCGTTTTACGGTTCAAAGCGAATAACCCAGGAATATGGATGTTCCATTGTCATGTCGATTGGCACCTTGAACAGGGACTGGCTGCTGTTTTCATCGAAGCTCCTTTGGAATTACGGAAGACAGAAGCTCTCACAGATAATTTCAAGCAAGTATGCTCTTCTGGAAATATTCCGCTGAAAGGTAATGCAGCTGGCCACGCTGATGATTGGTATAACATGGAAGGCTTACCAAGGCAACCGAACCAACTGCCCGAAGGCTTTACTTTCAAGGGATACGTTGCATTTGCAGTCTCGACCGCCGTAGCATTGATTGGGTTGTACACTATTACACAATATGGGGTAAATGAAATTCCTCAAGACGATGAATTGCTCTATAATAAGCTTAAGAAGGTTCTTGAAGATGCGGGCGAGACAATTGAATAGTGGCAGTTTTTCTTCTGCATTAATATACGCATTTGTAAATAAATGAATATGCCGGAAGTATCGACATATCGCTGACGACGTGTTTTCGAAGATTAAAAAAAATTTTGGAAACTTGTTTCCAGATCTTCAGAGTCTTGCATACATTCCCCCATAGAATGATGTTCGGGAGATCAATCAAAACTAGCAGATTTGCGTCACGGCATCTCTGTAATTTATCATCCTTACAAAAAAATCATGGGCTGATGCTACCATCCAAACGGACCTTTCATAAGTCACTCGTGTGCAGAGGGTACGAAGAAGAGAAGGCTATTTTAGATGAGATTGCTCCGCTGCTAACAGAACAGGATAAAAAGACTGCCAGTGTGTTGAGAAACATCGGTATATCCGCCCATATTGACTCAGGAAAAACAACCTTCACCGAGCGTGTACTTTTTTACACAGGTAGAATTAAAGCAATTCATGAAGTTAGAGGACGTGACAATGTTGGCGCAAAAATGGACTCCATGGATTTGGAAAGAGAAAAGGGTATCACAATTCAATCTGCAGCAACGTACTGCTCATGGGATAAGGATGGGCAAAATTATCACTTCAACTTGATCGACACTCCTGGCCACATCGACTTCACAATCGAAGTCGAGCGTGCGTTAAGAGTACTGGATGGTGCTGTTCTAGTTGTGTGTGCTGTGTCAGGGGTGCAATCTCAGACTGTTACGGTAGATCGTCAAATGAGACGTTATAATGTTCCTCGTGTGACATTCATTAACAAAATGGATCGTATGGGGGCAAACCCTTTTAGAGCTATTGAACAGATCAATAGCAAATTGAAGATTCCCGCTGCTGCTATCCAAGTTCCAATTGGTGCAGAATCCGATTTGAAGGGTGTTGTAAATATCATTGATCGGGTCGCCCTTTACAACGAGGGCTCTAATGGTGAACATATTACTACTGGACCCATTCCAAATGAGCTAAATGATCTTGTAGAGGAGAAAAGGGCTTTATTGATTGAGACTTTGGCTGATGTAGACGACGAAATTGCAGAATTGTTTCTTGAGGAGAAAGAGCCTAGCGTCGAGCAAATTAAGCAGGCTATACGCCGCGCGACAATTGCAAGAAAGTTTACTCCTGTTTTAATGGGTTCTGCTTTGGCTAATAGGGGTATTCAAAATGTATTGGATGCGATTGTGGACTACCTACCAAATCCATCTGAGGTTTTGAACACAAGTTTGGACCTTTCTAAGAATGAAACCAAAGTTAATCTCGTACCATCTGTGCAACAACCATTTGTTGGACTAGCATTCAAACTTGAAGAAGGTAAATATGGTCAGTTGACCTACATCAGAGTTTACCAAGGGCGTCTAAGAAAGGGTGGATACATAACAAATGTCAAAACGGGAAAAAAGGTCAAAGTCTCTCGTTTAGTTAGAATGCATTCCAATGAGATGGAAGACGTTGATGAAGTTGGTTCAGGGGAAATTTGCGCCACTTTCGGTATCGACTGTTCTTCAGGAGATACCTTCACTGACGGCACATTGAATTATTCCATGTCCTCTATGTATGTTCCTGATGCTGTTATATCTCTGTCGATTATGCCAAAAACCAAGGATTCCACTAATTTCTCTAAAGCATTGAACAGGTTTCAAAAAGAGGATCCCACTTTCCGGGTAAGATTTGATCCTGAGTCGAAAGAGACAGTCATCTCCGGTATGGGTGAATTGCATTTGGAAATTTACGTGGAAAGAATGAAGCGTGAATACAATGTGGACTGTGTTACTGGTAAGCCACAAGTATCCTATAGAGAATCGATTACCATCCCAGCTGACTTCGACTATACCCATAAGAAACAATCTGGTGGTGCAGGGCAGTATGGTAGAGTGATGGGCACTTTGAGTCCCCTTGAAGGATCTAATGCTAACGAATTTAAGACTGCTATTGTTGGTGGACGGATACCCGATAAATACTTGGCAGCATGCTCGAAGGGTTTCGAAGAATCATGCGAAAAGGGACCGTTAATTGGTCACAGAGTATTATCTGTTAGTATGTTGATCAATGATGGTGCAATTCACGCTGTAGATTCCAATGAGTTAGCATTCAAAACTGCCACCATGGCAGCCTTCCGTCAAGCTTTTTTGGATGCACAACCGGTTATTTTAGAACCCATCATGAATGTTTCTGTGACTGCTCCCAACGAATTTCAGGGCAATGTGATTAGTTTGATGAACAAGTTACAAGCCGTAATTCAAGACACTGAAAATGGACAAGACGAATTTACGATCACAGCAGAGTGCTCTCTAAACACATTGTTTGGGTTTGCAACTTCTTTGAGAGCATCAACTCAAGGTAAGGGAGAATTTTCTCTTGAATTTAAGCACTATTCTCCAACTTCACCACACATGCAGAAACAGTTAATCGCTGAATTTGAGAAAAAGCAACAACAAAAGAAATGATCCTGTATATATCCCTAGGTGCAAACTGATTAGGTGATGCTGATTAAAATTAAACTACTGTACATACTGATTTTTAACTATTTCCAAACTCTTATATTCCATCTTCGGTAACCTCTATTTGGTATACGTATCGTCATTTTTTATCTTTGTTAGCAAGTCCTCGATCTTAGGTCCCATAAGAGGTTGTCCATATTTGGTTCTTTGCGAAAGCTTATTGGCTCGTTCCTCTCTCTGGACTTTCTTTTGCTTAATGTCTTGTAACTTTTTCATCTCATTCTCTCTAAGTTTATCGGCCTTTTCTTTCTGTAACTTCTTCCGCAGCTTTCGCATTTCCTTCTTTTCATCTAGCTTCTTTTTTGTTTCTGTTGCTCTACGAGCCTTTATTTCCTGAAAGCTGACCTTGGCTGATTTGCTATCCTTTTCCGGCGGGGTATAGCCCTCTTCTTTGAGCGTCTTTAAATATTCTTTCTTTAACCTCGCCTTCTTGGTTAAGTTCTTTTGAATCTCCCGAACTTTGTACTCTCTTGTGTACTTCTTCTCTATTTTAGGAGGCATTTTGACGGCAATTTAAAAGCTGAAGTACAGTAAAACGCGAATCTAATTAGCGATTGGTTTCTATTCTGCGAAGTCCCCAGGGAAGATCAATGGTTTTTAACAGTTGACGAAAAAATTTTAGAACTTGATCTTTTTTTTTGGCTCCTCTGAATTTTTAAAATATTAGTAGTTGTACTTGTGTAATCATATTCGAGATTTCCAGTGCACTTTAACCTATTCAAGGGCTGTACTGGTATTAATGAATAGGATACACGTCACGCGAAGTATTCGATATTTTCATCATATATCGTGTCGACTAAGGTCTATAAGCAAAGCAGAACCAGGTCTCTCTGATAAAGTTCAAAGCATCCTCAAGAGTGAAGGTCCGGATGCATTGAAGAATGATGGGATTAACATTCTATCGGACTACATTTCAAATCGAAGTGCAACTAGTGCAGAGCGAGGCCGTATCATCAAGTTCATGTACAGTAGGAAAGCCCATGAGGACCTCATCAAATTAAGCAACTCATGTTTGCTCGATTCGGGGGAGAAGTTCCAGAGTAATGTTTCTGCAGATGAAATGCGGAGCTATATGAATTCTCTTGTGTTCACAAGACAGCATGAATTGTTAAACAGAAAAATGCTTAATCTTATTAACCAGTTTTCTTTGACTAGGAAAGATTTGGTGGTAAAAGTGATTAATTCTGTGTTTACGCAACTTTACCGCACAACTTCTATGGAACAGTCACTAACCGTATGGGTAAAACTCTGTAAGTACATGCATGGCCATGTGGACTTTACGAGTTATGAGCACTATAAATATATTCTGAAAACACTATTGTTTTTCCTGAGGGAGAAGGATATATCAGCATGCTATAAAGAAGTTTTGGATTTAGTTGAGCTGAGGGAAAATCCATTGAGCTCCTCTCAATTTGCTAGCACGCTAATGTATCTTCTTACTTATAGTAGGAACTTTTTGCTTGCTGAAAAAGTATGGGATTATAAGATTGAAAAAGGATTCCCAGTTGTTGCCTCCGATTTAACCTCCATTTGTAAAACCTACTGCCACTTTCGGAGATACTCTCTTGTTACTGAAGTATATTCGAGATACCCGGAAGCTCATGATGACCAGTCTCAGTTTGACTATCTACTAGTCGCCTATGCGAAACAACAAAATTGGGAAAGTCTCCAAAATCAGTTTAATTCTTTATTTGGGATAGGTGAGCTACCAAATATCAATCATTATGGAATTGTAATGTATGCTATCGCACAATTGGGCGAACGGGACATTGTTGAAAGGCTTTACAGCCAGCTCTTACGCAGAAAGATGGTCCCAAATTTGCCCGTTCTACAGTCTCTATTATATGCATATTATAAGAGCGGTGATATCGCAGGATGTTTTCGACAATTTGAACTTTTCAATAAGTATGGAATACAACCAACATCCTCAACCTGCCAGATAATGTTGAAAGTATATCGTAATATTGGTGATATTGATGGTGCTTTAAGAACTTTGAAACGGATGACTGATAGTAATATTGAAATTTGGGAAACCCATTTCGCAATTCTGATTAATACATGCGCAAAAATTACGAATTATGCTATTGCTGAGGAGTTGTTCCAAGTAATGAAAGACTATTATAACATTAAACCGACTGGATCATCAATAGGTGCGTTAATGTATGTTTACATCGAGAGTAATCTCCCACAACAGGCATTGAAATTATTTCACAAATATTGTAAGGGGAATTCCAATGTGGATGAAAACATTAAGATTTATAATAAAGCCATTGAAGCGCACATGCTGATGGGCCAGGATACTCTATCTGAAAGACTATTTCAAGAAATTTTAGATAGAAACATACCAACAAATTCGGAATTCTATAAAGTCATGATAGCCCATCTTTCGCGACGTAAAAAGGACTATGACACGGCGGAGGGAGTGCTAGATCAGTTATTAAATCACCCTACACTAGTAGCCACTGCTTCTCATTTCGAAATATTGATGGATGTATATGATCGATGTTCTTATCGAGAAGGGGTGTTCAAGCTATATCAAAGAATGCTGGATCATAATATTCCTGTAAATTCTAGAGTCCTATACTACTTGATAAAGTCGACGTTCAAAGTCAAGTTACAAACGAAAGAAAATCTGGATGAAGCCATCGATGTTGTCGACGACATTATGAAGCGAGCAGCTAAAAGAACCTTGGATATTACATTTGATAAATTGCATCCATCGGTAATGGCATGGCCTATGAGGGCAATTTCTAAGTTCTATAGCCCCATGAAAGCCATCGATCTAATGAACAAGTACAATGATCTTTTTTATGAAAATGGTGAATCGGCCAATGGAAGGCTTGTGGTAATGAGAAGTATGATGGTTCTCTCGGCAGAAATCCAACAGTGGGATGACTTTCAAAAAATTTTTGAAAGATACCTGTCTAAAATTGATTACTACGATAGCTTACCCTCTTCGACGGTAAGAAATAAAAAGTTGTCTTCCTCGTTAAGGGGGATTTTGGGCTATAAGATCAAACAACTTGCTGCTACCAATAGTGTGACGAAGATACCGGATTTACTGAAGCAAATGGAAAGTAAGGGATTAATAATCGATAATGATTCGTGGAATGAAGCAGTCCTCACGATGTTCAGTGATTCGAGGACAATTGAAGAGGGATTGCGTATCACTAATGAAAAGCTAATTCATGGCTACAATTTAATACACAAAATGAGATTACTCAAGAAGCACGCTACTGCAAGTACATCGATTGGAAAAGCTCCTTGGCTGTTGGATAGAAAGAAGGAAAATCCCAAAAGTTTTAATCCCTCCTTATTTTTGAAGTCGGAGGTGTATGAAAAAGTGAAGACCTCTTTGGACAGCTATCTAAGCACTTTTGTTAAAGTTGAAGAGGAAATTGGTCGCTTAGTTAATTTGTATGGCTACTTTATGAAAAGTTATTTGATGGAACCAAGATCTCATGTACCACATTGGGATGAAATCGAATATAAGAATGCGTCCTTCTTCAGAGAGCTAAGGACCAAAAAGCGCATAACTGCATGGAATTGTCTGAGCGATTAGGCAATATCCCAATTATCTAACTACATGTAAATACTTTTAAAGTTATTTAAGGGCATTCGATGAAATCAGTTGCTAGCATCTTTTTGCGGTGCTTTCTGTTTGGCAGAGTTCTTCTTGTACGCAGGAGTAGTCATCAAAGTTTCTCCAGTGGTTTCTCCATAGACCAGTGTACCTACCCACGGTTGGATGTTCCAATGAAGCTTGATGTCCAAATCCTTTTCAGAAATCTTATCCTTGGCATCCCAAATGGCATATTTGGATTTAACATTCTTCAAAATAACATGTGCGTCAGCCTTTTCCGTGATGATTTTATCCCAAAATGTGACTTCACTTGATATAGATGAAGACTTTGTGTCATTGTAGGAACCGGTAAGGTAGACGAACACCTGCTTCGTATTCCAATTAAACAAGGGTGTTAGATCAGCATCCAAATCAAATGCGATTCTGAGGTTCTCCTTTGGCTTTCCATTCACAGACCCATAGAACCTGCTGGTTCTCAGATTGATTTGACTAATATGTTTTGATTGGTTAGTAATCGTCTTGAATTCAAATATCCAATTCTGCTTACTCACGGTTTGACGTTGGCGATTTGTGATGACAGCGAAAATACGTTATTGTGGTATAGCTGAGCCCAGAACGTGGCAATGATGAAGATGGAGACGACTGACGCGCATGTAATCGCTTGGTTAGAAGTCTGCTGAAAACGCTGCGTTAAGGAAAACATCCCTCAATCTTGTTATTGATAAAATAGGCAAAATGAACGAATGGCCCAAGACCGTCAAGTAATAGTGGGGGCGTCAAACTTTCTTTATGTAATTGAGTACGATGTATGTACTTATCAAGTCTGTATGGGTGTTTTTATTCAATTTGTGTCACTTTAGTTCAGTCCATACATAAAACTAATGGAATTGGAACTATACAAGAAATAAAATATGGTATTCTCATAACTCTTAATTCCTGAAGCATATATTCCAATTATATTCAAAATTGGATTAAAACACCTTGAAGATTTTCAAAATGTTTGCCGTTACTTATAATGTGTCGCGAATTATCGGAATTATAGCACTTGGTGGATTTGTGTTGGGGATGGACGTTTCTTCGATGTCAATATTCATCGGATCAGAACATTTTAATCAATATTTTAATTTCCCAGGACCCTTTATGCAGGGACTTATGACGGGAGCTAACCCCGTGGGAGGTCTAATTGGTTGTATATTATTTGGAATTGTCTCAGAAAGAGTGAGTAGAGTTGGTGACTTTCAATTATTTTCGTCACTGTGGATAATGGGATCTATCGTATCTGCTTTGGTACTTAACGCGTGGATGGTGGTAGCTGGGAGATTGATACGTGGTATTTCAGTTGGCGCGTTTTCAGTATTGCTTCCGCTCTATATTGGAGAGGTGATCACAAGTGACAGAAAAGGTGCAGCGACATCGATTGTTCAACTGTCTTTGACAGCAGCTATTTTGGTAATGTTCTATGTGTGTTTTTTCCTAAATTTTCTCAACAACGACTTATCTTTCCGTTTGGCATGGGGTATAGAGATAGTACCAGCTTTAGCACTTTTGCTATCTTCGTATGTGCTTCCAGAGTCACCAAAATGGCTAGTGGCACGAGGTGAATATGCCAAGGCTCAAGAGATTTTGGGACATCTATCGGCAAGTTCGCATGGAGATACTGGCAACGATTCCTTCAGTAAAATTGAGCTCTTGGAAAAGTATGGATCTTTGAAAAAAATCAGCTATCTGACACTGTTTTCTAAAAATTTGAGAGTTCATACTCTCATTGGGATGACAATTCAGATAATGGTTCAAACATGTGGCATTAATGTATTGATGTTTTATGTGGTGTACATTTGTGAAATGATCGGGTTCGAAGGTAACATTAAAATGATGTCTGCATCGGTCCCATACATCATCAATGTGGTTTTCACTCTCATCCCGATTCATACTTTGGATAAACTTCGCAGAAAGGAAGTTCTTGTGTATGGCGCTTTTTTCCTATCGATAACTATGACGTTGATTGGCACGGTTATGGGTGCGTACGGACATGAAGTTCCACCTATGAATGGGAATAAAGCAATTGTGTGGGAGATCAAGGGTAAACCTGGATTGGTGGTACTGGGGTTATGTTTCTTATTTGTGGCGGTATTTGCCTCAACTTTATCGTGCTGTGCATGGCTGTATACCAATGAGATTTTACCAGCAAGGGCAAAATCTAAAGGTATGTCGTTATGTATGGCCACCAGCTGGTGTTTGAATTCGGTGTTGGCATTTTTAACACCCACGCTATTAAGCCGGATCAAGTGGGCGACATTTATCTTATTGGGTGGTGTTACATTTGTCATAGTATCATTGGTATCCTACGCGTTTCCCGAGACGTATGGATTATCGGAGACAGAGGTTGAAAACTTGTTTCTTGCAGACATGGGGTTGAAATCAGACAATACCGATGAGGAGAAGTCGGAGAATTGGAGTGAAAGGCCACGGTCACCTGCGCCGTCATCTGATTACGGGAGTAATAATACAAAAGTGGCAGCACCAGTTGATCTTAAGGTGGAAGAGAGTGCGTTTGCAATCGGCTACGAGGGCACAACTTGCAAACAGAAGGAAGGGCGCAAATTTGATATAAAATAACACGCAAAAGTAAACAAGATCATTTTCTTTTCGGAGTCACGCTGGTAAGAGTATATATGGTAATATAGAATAATAATTCTCTCTATTTTATCCCTATCAAAAGGTTAGAAAGCAAGAAAACGCAAAGAGCAGGGGCCATGCTTGTACCAATTTTCAAAAGGATTAGAAACACTTTAGGTGGACAATGGATGGGCCGCTCTCGTCGTACTCTTGCTTTGAGATCCACATTTGTTGGAAAGTGGTCAAAGAGGCCAAGATAGAACCACCGATCCAGACAGAGTACTTTCTTTCTGGAGGAGCGATGATCTTCACCTTCATGGAAGAAGGAGCCAAAGCAGTGATCTCTTTTTGCATTCTTTCGGCAATACCTGGGAACATGGTGGTACCACCGGACATGACGATGTTACCGTACAATTCCTTACGGACATCGACATCACACTTCATGATGGAGTTGTAAGTGGTTTGGTCGATACCGGCGGCTTCCAAACCGAGAACACTTGGGTGGAACAAGGCTTCTGGGGCTCTGAATCTCTCGTTACCGATGGTGATGACTTGGCCATCTGGCAATTCGTAGGACTTTTCGATGGCGGAGGATTGGGCAGCGGTTTGCATCTCTTGCTCAAAGTCCAAGGCGACGTAACATAGCTTCTCCTTGATGTCACGGACGATTTCTCTCTCGGCAGTGGTGGAGAAAGAGTAACCACGCTCACTCAAGATCTTCATCAAGTAGTCGGTCATGTCTCTACCGGCCAAGTCGATTCTCAAGATGGCGTGAGGCAAAGAGAAACCGGCGTAGATTGGCACGACGTGGGTGACACCGTCACCGGAGTCCAACACGATACCGGTGGTTCTACCGGAGGAGTACAAGGACAACACGGCTTGGATGGAGACGTAGAAGGCTGGGACGTTGAAGGTCTCGAACAAGATCTGGGTCATCTTTTCTCTGTTGGACTTTGGGTTCATTGGGGCCTCGGTCAACAAGACGGGGTGCTCCTCTGGGGCGACTCTCAACTCGTTGTAGAAGGTGTGGTGCCAGATTTTTTCCATGTCGTCCCAGTTGGTGACGATACCGTGCTCGATGGGGTAACGTAGGGTCAAGATACCTCTCTTGGATTGGGCTTCGTCACCGACGTACGAGTCCTTTTGGCCCATACCGACCATGATACCCTGGTGTCTAGGTCTACCGACGATGGAGGGGAAGACGGCACGAGGGGCGTCGTCACCGGCGAAACCGGCCTTACACATACCGGAACCGTTGTCAATAACCAAAGCAGCAACTTCTGTGGGGGGAGTTAGTATGGGACGGGGTTAGGTGGTGGGGGCGGACGGGGGAGCAGGCAGGAGGGGAGGGAGCGACAGGGAGGGAGTGACAGGGAACGGAGCGACGCACGGCGCAGCGCAGGCACACGCGACGCCGGCGTGGCCGCTGCCCGTGCGTATCACGCCGCACGGCGCCCGCCTGCGCTAAATTTTTTCTCCTATTTCCACAGCAACCTCGTGGATCCGCGCGGTGAAAATAGGGGCATAATAGGCCAGAGCCCGCGCCGGGACGCGCGCGGGCGACACCCGACCCGTACACGGACGGCGTGCGTGGCGGCTGGAAACGCCAGTGCGCGCGCAATTGCGCGCGCACTAGCCTCGACACCCGCCACGGCCACTGTCCTGCGGCCATTGGCGCCCGCAGCGCGCTGTTGCGCGCCGCGAGCGCCCGATCTCACTCCAAACGGGCGCTCTGCGGGCGGATCCGCGCGCTAGCGCGCGATCCAGCCCAAATCCTACGGCCTGCTGCACGGCCCGCACCGAAACTTGGCTTTCAACATACCAGAATCCATTATTTCTTTCCTTTCTATCGGGTTGTCTGTTCAGACTTATCCTGGGAGGTGAGGTGGCAAGTTGCAAGAGGAGCCTCGATCAGAAAAATTTAAGAGCTGCAGCGCGCGCGCTGCAGCGACGCGGGCGCGCGCGCCGCGGCCGGGTAACCCGCCCGCCCGCGCACCACCCAGTGCACCCGTCGCCGTCGCGGCCGCCGCGCTGCCGGCCAAGTCGCGCGCCCGGTGCGCCACCCGCCGCGGCGGGTCCGCGCCCCAATGGCCGGCAAGTCGTCCAAGAAACAGGCTCAAAACAACCTAGGGGTGCTCAGACGTTTATACGTCGCAGTCGTGCCGTTGGTCGCGTTGTCGTTATTACGTCTCGTGTTGCGTCGCGGCTCCTGGCTCGCGTTCGCCGTGCTCCACGGCCCGCTGGCCGCGTGCGTGTACACGCTGGAGAAGAGCGGGCGGCCGCGGTTCGACGCGCGCGGGCGCGTGGAGCGCGAGGGCATGGACCTGCGCCAGTCGGGGCTCACGGAGTGGCTGTTCGACGTGGTGTACCTGTCGCTGTTCGCGGACGCGGGTCACGTGGTCTTCGGCACCCTCAAGTTTTACTACGTGCTCGGCGCGGTCCCCGTGTACGTCGCGTACAAGGCGCGGGCGTTGGCGCAGCCGGTGTTGGCGCGGTTGGGCGGCGGGCGGTCGCGGGCCGCGGAGATGGAGACGGAGATTGGGGACGGCGGGGCCAAGTCGCGGCGGCAGGCCAAGCGCGAGCGCAACGCGGACAAGCCGCGGATGCGGTACCGGTGAGGAGCGTTCGGCATGTAGTGTGTGGATGCGGCGGTCGGCGTGCAAACGCGGCGGTTGGCGTGCAAATGCAGTTTGGCGTGCAAATGCAGTTTGGCGTCCACCGACACCTATAACAGCAGTATATGATCCTTCAATATGAACTTACATACGAATAAAAATGATGCTCCGTTTGCATGCGTGTGTCTAATCAATCAACGTAGTTTTACTTCTCTCCTCGCACGTTCAGCACATGAAAAAGCGAATTCGATCAGATGAACAACGCATGGCGAAAAAATACCTGTACAGACATGATAACTAAGTATGGTGTTTTGACGTAGCGTCTAGCGTTCGCGTGCAGCGCCCGCCGCCACCTTCGCGCCGCGTGCACCCCGCGCTGTCGCGGCCGCTCGAGCAGCGGCCCGCCCGAACACCAAACACCGTCAACCGCAAACTAGGCTCTTCTGCAATCTGCAATCTGCAATCTACTTAACCGGCTGCCGCGTGCGCTGTGCACCCACCTCCGCCTCTCAGATCAACTCTATTGCTATCTACTTGCGCGCCTACCGCTGCACTGCTGCGCCGCCGCTATCACTACATAGTTGAAAAATACGTCCAAACGCATGGTGGAAACGTCAAGGAAAACAAAAAAAACAGGGTCGCAGGGTCCCGGCACGGCTCACGCGCGCCTCAACAGCACCCGCTCGACGTGTTCGACAGGCTCTGGCCCTTCAAGTTCACGCCCGCCTTGTCGTCCTTCTTGCCCGTGTCCTTGTGCTGTTGCGCCATGCTCTCCTTGATCTGGCGCGCCATCGTCAAAAACGCCTCCTCCACGTTGGAGGAGTCCAGCGCACTCGTCTCCAAGAACGGAATCTGCAGCGACTCCGCAAACTCCTTCGCCACGTCGTACTCCACCACCCGCTTGTCCTGCAGGTCGCTCTTGTTGCCCACCAGCAACTTGAGCACGCCAGCCGTCGCGTACCGGTCGATCTCTTGCAACCACATCTTCACATCGTTGAACGAGTCCTGGTCTGTCACGTCATACACAATGATAATCCCGTGCGCGCCCCGGTAGTACGACGACGTGATCGTCCGGAACCGCTCCTGGCCCGCCGTGTCCCAGATCTGCAACTTCACCGTCTTGCCGTCCAGCTCCACCGTCTTGATCTTAAAGTCCACCCCGATCGTCGAGATGTAGTCGTTCGTGTACGTGTCGTCCGAAAACCGCAACAGCAGACACGATTTCCCGACACCTGAGTCCCCGATCAAAAGCAGCTTGAACAAATAGTCGTATTCGCTGTTCATCTTCTATCTACCGTCTCTGTGTGTCTCTCACCACTTGTCTGAATGTTGCGGGCAAATCGACAGGGAGCTCTCCGTCCCAACCTTTTAAAACTCACAACCACAAACCGCTTCGTTGACGATGATGACCATGTTAACTATCTGAACACACGCGGCGAATCTGCTACAACGCCTTATACATACGCGCCCGACCGGCTCGATCTGCACCAATTGCAGACTCTCTATAAACTGCCCGCCACCGCGGCGCTTTTCGCACTCTACACTCGTCCCCGCTTCTCTTCTCCAGGGTGCCAACTATATCGGGATCAGCCCAAACACCAGCCCCACCAGATGCTTCACCGATTGCCATCTGTGCATCAGTTGTGGGAACCGCGCTTGCACCATCGCGTCCGCCGGTCCCACGTACTGCGCATGCAACAACTGCCGCATCTGCGGGTTCTGTGTGTATCTAAGCTTGAAAAAGCTTAGATATGCCCCCACACTCAAAGCATGCAAAACCTGTGCTCCGCTGAACCTCACTAGCAGCTTTATGTATGTCAGTGGCAACATCAGCATGCAGGGAAATGCAGTTACGATCTCGATGTTCTGTGCCACCATCAAAAACTTCTCATTGTACTGCGTGATGAAAAACGTCACTCGGTCCGCCGCAGCTGTCTTCAGCACAGGACTAAACGGCAAGAACGGCAACAGATTGTCCTTGAAGTAGTTCAACGAATGGAACAGCGAGAAAATCGCAGGCGCTGTCAGTGCCCCTTTCACCACATGCGCGTTCGCACACACGTACAATACCAACGCCACCGTGAAATATTGTAAATTGTCCAGCGTCCGCAGCTGTTGCCGTGCGTTCGCAATCGTCAGTTGGCCCGACTTGTAGAACTGGTACAGTACTATCCCATACGTTATTGTAATAAACAGCAGCGCGCGCGAGTAATGGTGGCCGATCGACCTTGCCGAAAATGACACACTGTATCTGACGAAATGGTACAGCGTCAACAAGTGGCCCAAAAACCAGTAAAATTGCGGTTGCCTAATTTTCGCCCTAAGAATTGTCGATAACGGCGCCACCGGACGAGATTGAGACATCTGAATGTTGTGCTACTTGCCTGTTTGCTTGTCGAGAGATTGGATCGGTTACTAACACCTTGTGCCGACCTTTATTTTTTTTTCACAATCGCTCGTTTCCGTTCGGATCAGATACGGCCTTGCACATGTCACGCCGCACGAGCGAAAATTCTGGAAGAAAAACCAAAACAAACCTGTGATCACGATCCACGGCTCTGTCTGTTGGCTTGGTTTGGTGTCATGTCGTACGGTTGGCCAAAAAATAGCACGGTTTCTTTTTCGCCGCGTCCCCTCTGCAGTTACCCGCCCCCCTTCTGCCTCCCACAATAGGGAAAAACGTAAACACAAAAAGAACAACAAGATCGAATACTTACCTCAATTGCTCAACTCACGACCACGATCTAACAACACACACGGCGAAGCGATGAGAGAAATCGTATGTATCAGGAACTACTAGTCCATAGCGCAGGGCTCTGTCACTTTGGCGTCTGCCAACAGGCCCTCACGGCGTGTGACGACGCGACTTGTCAGACGGTTTTGTGCGCGTTTCAGCGCCGCCCGCGACCTCTTCGCGTTGAAGTTTTACATTCGACAACACACTAACACACAAAAACAGATTCATATCTCGACGGGTCAATGTGGTAACCAGATAGGTGCAGCATTTTGGGAGACCATCTGTGGCGAGCACGGGCTCGACTTCAATGGTAACTACCATGGTCAAGACGACATCCAAAAGGCGCGTTTGAACGTGTATTTCAACGAAGCTTCCTCCGGAAAGTGGGTCCCTCGGTCTGTTAATGTCGACTTGGAACCAGGTACCATCGACGCCGTACGCAACTCACGTATTGGTAACCTGTTCAGACCAGACAACTACATCTTTGGCCAATCGTCTGCCGGCAACGTGTGGGCCAAAGGTCACTATACTGAAGGTGCCGAGTTGGTAGACTCTGTTATGGACGTTATCAGACGCGAAGCTGAAGGTTGTGACTCTTTGCAAGGTTTCCAAATCACACACTCTCTGGGAGGTGGTACCGGTTCAGGTATGGGTACTTTGTTGATCTCCAAGATTAGAGAAGAATTTCCAGACAGAATGATGGCTACTTTCTCAGTCGTGCCTTCTCCAAAAACTTCTGATACCGTTGTTGAACCTTACAATGCGACTTTATCCGTTCACCAATTGGTGGAACATTCCGACGAGACTTTCTGTATCGACAACGAGGCACTGTACGATATTTGTCAAAGAACTCTAAAACTAAGTCAGCCTTCCTACAGCGACTTGAACCATTTGGTATCATCCGTAATGTCTGGTGTCACAACCTCGCTACGTTATCCAGGTCAATTAAACTCCGACTTGAGAAAATTGGCTGTGAACTTGGTACCATTCCCTCGTCTACATTTTTTCATGGTCGGTTATGCACCATTGACCTCTATTGGATCCCAATCTTTCAGATCACTCACTGTTCCAGAGTTAACACAACAAATGTTCGACGCCAAAAACATGATGGCCGCTTCTGACCCAAGAAATGGTAGATATTTGACAGTGGCTGCTTTCTTCAGAGGTAAAGTTTCCGTAAAAGAAGTTGAAGACGAAATGCACAAGGTTCAAACTAGAAACTCATCTTATTTCGTCGAATGGATTCCTAACAACGTGCAAACCGCAGTTTGTTCTGTGGCCCCCAAGGATTTGGATATGTCCGCTACTTTCATCGGTAACTCCACCTCTATCCAAGAATTATTCAAGAGAGTCGGTGACCAATTTGGAGCCATGTTCAAGAGGAAGGCATTTTTGCACTGGTACACCAGCGAAGGTATGGATGAATTGGAATTTTCCGAAGCCGAGTCTAATATGAATGATTTGGTCAGCGAATACCAACAATATCAAGAGGCAACCGTGGAGGAAGACGAAGAATTGGAGTATGCTGACGAACAACCAATGGCTGAGAATTTTGAATAGAGCTTTCTCCTCTTTTATACCCTACTATTATATTTTATTTTTCTTTCTTTTTTAATTGCTCTTCCATTGTTTGGTCCCTTCTTCGTCTCGTCGTAATTATTTTGATTTTTGAATCTCCACTTGATATCTATCTAAATAAAACTTACTCCCCTTACATCTGTATACACGATCTGGAAAATTATCTTAATGTTCAAAACAACTTTAGTTTCTCGAATCGAACGTGTTCCTTTCCATTCATTTATGATTTCTTCTGTGCCGCTTAGGATATACCTCTTCCCCATGTTTCGTGTGTGGTTACTTGGCATTTATCAATTGAAAAATTTTATCACTACTTGAGTGATGAGGTATCGGATAGAGTTTATAATACTAGTCTAACAGTTGCGACCTTTGCAACGTACGCATAACATGTTAAGATATAGTAGACTTTATAAGAAGTCTAATCCATTATGCACTCTCGTGCGAACACAAAGGAGCCTCTCCAGTGTCACAAAGCTATTAAAGCCCGCAACCTCGATGTCATCCACGGCTTTGGGAAGCTCTTCTAGGGGCGGTGACATGGTTTTCCCAAGGCCACCCCAAGTTCTGCTTTCTACAAAGTTTGAGCCTTTTGATCGTTCCTACGCAGTCAATAACGCATCTGAATCGAAGGATTTAATGAATCTGTGGTCTCTACTAGAAGCATGTCTGCATTCACGCTACATTGATCGAGCATTTTCCATATTGAAATCACTCTATAGCGTGAAATCACACAGATCTTATTTTATTGATGACTATAACAAATTCCTGATGGTATACGCGGACACGCAGCGCGATATGAAGGAACTAGATAAGAAACTATTCGAAGATCTGCAGATAACTTTCCCCGCATGTGAATATAATGATAAAACCCTTGCCATACTCATCCATTATGCATTAAAATACCTGGATGATACACATTCAATCACTAAGCATTGTCAGACTTACTTCAAAATGAACACCAACGGTGTCAGAAGCATACTAAGTAACGTTGAGGTTCTTACAATTCAAGACTACAAGCGTCTTGTAAATGACTTCGAGCTGGTTGATCTGCAAGAGCTCCCTGCTGAAATAAAACCGTTAGTCCATACTCCAAAGTCTCTATCGGATTCTTTAGAGTCCGTGTCGACAAGCGAAGAACAACCTAGCTCGCCTGCAATGCAAAAGCCATCTACCGAAATCAGCCTAGATTCCGATATTAATCCGTTACCTAAGGACGTCGGTGAATTGTTAGCGGTTGATACTATTGGTATGAAGGTGGTTAGACATACTCTACTTGGTTTGTCTCTCACCGAGCAACAAAAGGAACAAATTAGGTCTTTCAACTTCGATACGACTGCTAATCTTTTGAATTTTGACAAAGATAAGGAGAATATCGATTTCTTTGCTATTTACAAAACTCTCAAGACTGAAGAGGAAAAGGAGCGGTTTGCCAAAGCGTTGGACGAGTTTAATCAAGAGAGACAACACCAATTGGAAAATAGAGCAACGGATGCCGCGAAGGAACGTTGGAAGCACGATTTTGAAGAAGCAAAGGCCAGAGGTGATCTCTCCATTCAAAAAAAATTGAATGTTAAGCTTTGGGAATGGTACAATCAAATGCTCCCACTCGTTAAAGAGGAAGTTAGTCGCTGTTCTCAAGTAATGGAAAATACGTCGGAAACCGATGACTTGAACGCTCAGGAACGTAGGCAGAACAAAGCTAGAATGGATTACGGTCCTTATTTGACTTTGGTCAACCCTGAAAAGATGTGTGTCATTACAATTTTAGAATTGCTCAAATTGAACTCTACTGGTGGTATTATTGAAGGAATGAGAACAGCTAGAGCGGTTATTTCCGTCGGCAAAGCTATTGAGATGGAATTCAGAGCAGAGCAGTTACTGAAGAGTGAGTCACGCGTCTTTAAAGACATCAATAAGAAATCACACGAGTTCAAAATGCTCGTTCAGAATGCAAGGGCCACCTTCAGATCGATGAAAATAGAATCGTCGAAAATTTTATGGCCTCAAGAGGCGCGTGCAAAGATTGGTTCTATCTTGATCTCCATGTTGATACATGTTGCAAAAGTCCGAGTGGAGGGAGTAGACCCTGTGACAAATGAAAAGATTCACGGCGAAGCGCCCGCGTTTTCGCATGGCTATCAATATCATAATGGCTCAAAACTTGGAGTTCTGAAGATCCATAGAACTTTGGTTCATCAGTTGAACGGTGAACGGTTAGTTGCTGCAGTTCAGCCACAGCTTTTGCCAATGCTTGTGAAACCTAGGCCTTGGAAAAGTTGGAATTCAGGAGGTTATTACTATACCCAATCATCATTAATCCGGTCAAAAGATTCTCCGGAACAAGTTGCCTATTTGAAGGCCGTTTCCGATACGGGTGTTATCGATAAAGTTTATCAGGGTTTAAATGTTTTGGGTGAAACTGCTTGGACTATCAACAGAAGAGTTTTCGATGTAATGTCAGACGTTTGGAATAGCGGCAAGCCATTTTTGGAAATTCCTGGAATTCAAGACAAATTAGTTTTAACACCTCAACCTCCTCGGGAATCCGATCCTTCGGTACATAGAGAGTGGAAATTGAAGAACAAGGAACTTGCAAATGCGTTTTCAAGTAATAGGTCAGCTAGATGTGATGCAAACTACAAGTTAGAGATTGCGAGGGCTTTCCTGGGTGAAAAATTTTATTTTCCTCACAATCTCGATTTTAGAGGTCGCGCTTATCCTCTCTCTCCACATTTTAATCATTTAGGAAACGACATGAGCAGAGGCCTTTTAATTTTCTGGGAAGGCAAAAAACTGGGACCTACCGGTGTCAAGTGGTTAAAAGTGCACTTGTCAAATTTATTTGGCTTTGATAAAGCATCCCTGGAAGACAGGGTCGGTTTTACCGAAAGTCATATCGAGGACATTAAGGATTCTGCCCAAAATCCTCTAGATGGGAATGGATGGTGGAAACAAGCAGATAAACCATGGCAGGCGCTGGCTACCTGTATCGAATTGAATGAAATGCTCAAGATGGAAAACCCTGAAGAATACGTATCTCATCAGCCGGTGCATCAGGACGGGACTTGTAATGGCTTACAGCATTATGCAGCTCTGGGAGGTGATATAGAAGGTGCTACTCAAGTGAATTTAGTACCTAGTGACCGTCCGCAAGATGTTTATTCGCATGTTGCAAAATTGGTAGTGGCACGTTTGGAGAAAGCTGCTAGGAACGGTGACGAAACTGCCGGCTTACTGAAGGATAAGATTAAGAGAAAGGTTGTAAAACAAACGGTTATGACGAACGTTTATGGAGTCACGTACATTGGAGCGACACATCAAATTGATAAGCAGTTATCTAATGTGTTTGAAGATCATAAACAGTCATATGAATTATCCAAATACTTAACAAAGCACGTGTTTGCCTCGGTAAGAGAATTGTTTGAAGGTGCGCATCTAATACAAGATTGGCTAGGCGAGTGCGCAAAAAGAATTTCGAAATCGATCAGAGTGGACGTCGATGAGAAATCGTTCAAAAATGGAAACAAACCTGATTTCATGTCATCAGTTATTTGGACAACACCTTTGGGGCTACCTATTGTTCAGCCATATCGGGAGAATTGTAAAAAGCAGGTTGCTACAAATCTTCAAACCGTTTTTATCAGTGATCCTTTTGCAGTAAATCCTATAAACGCCAGACGTCAAAAGGCTGGATTTCCCCCTAATTTCATTCATTCCTTAGATGCTTCTCACATGCTTTTATCCGCAGTAGAGTGTGGTTCAAACGGTTTGGACTTTGCTGCAGTACACGACTCTTATTGGACTCATGCTTGTGATGTGGACAAGATGAATGTCTTTTTAAGAGAACAATTTATCAAGCTCCATGAGGTTGATCTAATAGAGCGGTTGAAAAATGAATTCGATCAACGTTATAAGAACTATCTTCAGATCTTGAAGATTGATAAAAAATCTGATCTTGCGAGGTCAGTTATGGAACTTAGAAAACAGCTGTCTAAAGATTTGGGGAGACCCATTACTTTGGCCGATGAAATTTACATGGAGAAAAAAAGAATTCAACTTCTGGAATCGGAAGACCCTGAGGAACAAGCGAAGGGTAAGAGCATGGTCACTACTGTTTCAATTGTGGGGTCTTCACAAGACAATTTAATAGAGAAGAGTAAAGACGGTTCCTGTACATTGGTTTTGGCTCCTTTGACGCTACCTCAGATTCCTCCAAAGGGAGATTTTGACGTGAAGGAGTTGAAAAATAGTAAGTACTTCTTCTCATAAATGGGATACAATACGGCATTTTACGAAAGGAAAAACATTAATGAAGCGATTATTCCTGTATATACTTAACCTTAAAAATAATTGTATCATACTTGTCTCCTTATTTAGACGATAGTCTGCATCTTTTGATTTTCAAGGCTAACGATCTATATTATTTTACCTTGCCTCTCTAAGTTTTCGATGAGAGCACCTAATGGGTACATGTCTTTCCTGGCGATTAGGTTGAATTCTTTTGCGAAGCTTATAAAATGTGCGAAGAAAGAATTCCAGTGAGCTTCCAGAGAAAGATGGATAATTTTGTCGAAATGATGATGATACATATGTGCAAATATGCGGAACATTTGTACCATTATCCTCTGGAGGTCTTTTAAGAAGTTTTGAGGAAAAGGAATACCATTCTTGGTGGGAAATAAGTTTTGATCTGTCACTTTATTATTGATCCAAGTGAGAGCAAGATCAATGTACTGTCCTGCCGGCAGAGAAACCTGCCTGTTATTAGCATCTAGCCATAAATAGTCGGTATGAGGGCCAGCATTCATCGTTGGGTATGCATCTGGAGTGACGTATTCGGCGACTACTCCATAAAAATGATTCAGATTGGTGTAAAACTCAAACACATTGAGTGCTATCCACTCACCTAGGTCCACGTACTTTGGTAATTGAACGATGGTTTTGAATGAGCCCTTAACTAATGCTGTTCTAACGAAAGGCTCACTAAGAAATAACTTTTGTTGCGAATCAGGTTTTTCAGGAGAAGGCGCCTGGAACTGGCTCGAAGAATTATTCTGAGAAACTAATGTCCGGGATGGTGACTGTATTCTTCTTAGCGAGTGTTTTGAGTTGCTATTATGTGAATTGGAGTAGACTATATTTGATTGGGCAGTAGATACACCAACATTATTTTGATTTTTGTTCTTTTTATTACTTCGCCCGAATCCTCTGTTTCTGATATGTTAGTATAGGTTCTAAGGGGAAATATAATGGGGTTCTTCATACTTGAATGAGTTAAAGAAAGACATTCTTGTAGTTCACTGTTCGTTTACAATCTAGCGCTAAACATTATTTCTTCATTCATCAACATCATATTTTCGCGAACTCAGATAACACTTAACGAAGTTAACGATGTAATGAAATAATTGCAGTTATATACTGAAATTCATACATGAAACGTATTAGATCTTATCCTCTATTTCTTTCTATATAGCCTGTAAAAGAATCTCATATTTTCAAGCTTTAGAGGGTAGTCTACATTTTCATCCCCACGATACCAGAGAGAATCGTTTTGGTCTACAAGTTCCCAACGGCCGCTACTCTCCTCACCTCTTTTACCCAGCAAAAGAGTGTCTATCAGAAATTGAATGGGAAACTTTTTTGTACCCACTGTAATGTGGGAGTAACTTCCTGCGCTTTCAACAATCAGTAAATGGCACCCACTTGAGCAGTGTGCGTTTAAACTTTGGAAAAACCGGATGCTATCGGCCTTGTGCTCAGTGAACAGCTCATTAGTAGTAAATAACAAAGTTATGAGATTAAGCTTGCTCAGTTTCAGTTCTGCGGCGTCTTGCTTGAGTACGTCCCCCTTCTTGAATGTAATATTGAGGTCAGCTGAATGGTCAAAAAGCCAATTAGCGCTGATTCCTTCCGTTAGTCTTTGTACCACACTTGACCAGTCTGCAATGTCAATGACTTGGACATTCAATTGTTTAAGCTTTAGTGGACGAACTTTCGAGTACTTTGCCCCGAAATCTACTGTTGGGACGAAAATGCTAGCAACACTTATTAGTTCTCCACCTGCTCCACCTCCTATGCAAAGTACCTCGCGCTCTGAAATTGTTCTCTGTGACTCTTGAATGTTCAACGACGCTAGCTGTTCTTCCAAGGGAAGCGAGTCTTCGCACTGTAAAATCTTCCTCACCGGCTCAAGATACGAGAACAGAGAGGCGTAAGCGACTGCTCGAGAGGGCGACCACCTGCAACAGTATGCAATTCTCTTGGGCTCTGTGTTGAATGCCAAGAGGTACTCTCTATTGAAGAGGTCTGCTTTCACCTCTTGGATAGTCGATCGAAGTATAACTTCATCGCCATGATATAGCTCATTAATAAACACTCGTTTAAATAAGTCTACAATCTCCTGAGGTGGTAGACATAATCTGTGACTGACTGGAAGGGTCCCCTTCGCCTTTCTTGACATCTTTCGTCAAGATGATATGATGTAATTAGCGATGAGGTATGAATTTGAAAACCACGAAAATCTTAAAAACTAACCACAGCGACGCAGAAGGACTGCGGCGGACCTCCTCGAACGCCTACGCAGGGCAACATTTGCTGAAATTGCACCGATTGAGTTGCGTTCATTATTATACAAAATACACAATCAAAATTAAACCTAGCGAGTCTTATGGATAAGCAGCCTGAATCAGGCAGGCCAACCATCAAACACTCAGCTACCACCTTTAGGAAAGAAACACATTAAATTAAAGCCGAAACATATGTAATTTTATCTGAGCCATGGTCAATGCATTTACTCTTCGTCTTCCTCGTCTTCAGGAGTGACTTGGTAGAAGGCCAACTTGTATTGGTTGGTCTTGGTGGAGACGAATCTGATCCAGTCTCTCAATTGGTTCTTCTTCAAGTACTTCTTGGTCAAGTACTTCAAGTACTTACCAGAGAACTTGGTGGTGGAAACAACAGTAACAACGGAACCATCTTCTTCAACAGTGATGGCATTACCCAAGTTACCGACGTGACCTTCGACCTTGATGTGGTCGATCAAGTACTTAGCGTAAGAAGCTGGGTCGAAAACACCGTTTTCGGTTGGGGAAGAAACGTCGACGGTGAAAGTCTTGGTAACCTTTTGCTTTCTAGAGGTCTAAAGAAGAACCCTGTTAGTAAAGAAACCCAGAGATGAATTCCGGATACGACTGCCTACTGCTATTAACAATCACACTAAGAGTGAATAATTAAAAAACAGAATAGCCTCATAATTGTTGGACCCCTAGGACTGTAGTAGTAATAGACTGGTGTATTTTCCGGTTAATCAGGATATATCACATACAATTGGAGCCATTGTAATTGATGATATTGAACAAGATTAGTGCAAGATGTCTTGAACCGGTAGCTATTTCATAAATAGTCGTCTTACAAAACAGCGTCTGTGCATCTTCTGGTGTTTCGTTGACAAAACGACACATTTTTCGTTTTATTGTTTGTGTATGGGTTTTAATTTGTATGGGTGTTGGGAGTTTTGCAGTCATTAGTAATTTAAAAGCCCTAACAGCTTGATCCCGAAGCCCTTCATATCGACAATCTTCAAAATCCCTAGCTGTATTCGTAAATAGTTAAAACATCTAGGTAGAATCATTATTCGTTTACAGAATTCGTAGAAGACAGAGCTTCAGGATGGGCACTGCTGCCAAAGAAGAATTACCCAGCGGATTAAAAGAACTCAAAATAAGCAAGAGAGTTAGGCAGCATAATGACGACAATAATTCTGGCACGACGAATGCTCGCAGGGCAGAAGTTATATCAAAGGCGACTGTGGTGCTCGATGCCCCTAAAAAATGCAGCACAATAAATGAATCCATTAGAAATAGTGAACATCATATGAGAACCAAATCTGACCGGACATCGGCCGAACCTCTGGAAGCACAATCGAATAAAGCATCTAGTTGCCCGAACATTCCCGAGACCCGGGTGGACGAAGAGCGAATAACTGATAACCAAGTGAAAAGTGTAGATTCCGACCCTGAATCAGATTCAGAATCCTCAGAAAACTGGTCGACACTGCCCGCGATTGCTTCTTATAACATATACGACCGAGATGGCGCTCTCGCTATACCCGCGCGTGAAAGTAGCCCTAGCAGGTCCCAAGGCCTTCAAAGCACATCTCCCACAAGATCTAGGGAATTAGAAGCCACTAAACAAAAGGCTTCAATTTTTGGATACACGAAAGTCACTGGCGAGGAGCAGGCATATCGCTCACACAAGACTAATCAAAAAACAGATTTCCTCTTCAATCACAAGGTGCTGAATAAGTCCAGCCGCTCTTTGAATGATTCCGCAGCAACTGATGAGCTTTATGATGAGTATGAAGAGGCTGAGGAGCATATAAATGACTTAACTCCTGTAAATCAGCTTTCTCTTACCAAGAATCTACTTAATGATAAGGAGAAGTTTGCTTACGTTGGATCCGTGAGCGTGTTGATAAATCAAATGTGTACCGATTTGGCCTTAACATGTTTGTCAACCAATCTTACTGGACACAAGAAATTAGCACAGCGCCTACAGAAAATACAAAAGAGTATGGGGCAATGGAAAACGGCAATACTTTCTCGTCTTTTTGAACATTTTGATATCTTACCAGAAGAAGTGCAGATGATTGAAAAGCTTACAATGCATGGTGTTGCGCTAGAGGATATATGCAAATGCCTCAGGGTCTCACAACTTATAGATAATCCTTTTGAGGAAAATGACGACTTGGCAAAAAAAGATGCTATTCAAAAGGAAGGCCAGAATAATCCCCCGCCTTCAAATGTCATTCAGCTGGAAGATGTGAAGGATAAGAGCGAGCTTGATATTGATATAGCTTGGACAATTATATGTGATTTGTTTTTACTTCTGCTTGCCGATTCTACGTACGATTCGCGCTCGCGTACTCTGTTAATCCGATTTGCGAAAATCCTTCAAATATCAAATACAGACATATGTGAGTTTGAAAGGAGAATTACAGATGCTTTAGATATGGAACAATCTACAGAAGATCAGGTGTGGAACGAAACGGATCACATGAAGGTCAGACGAAAAAAAAATCGAAAGCGAAAGATATGCTATGTTGGGCTGGCAACAATAGGAGGATCTTTAGTGCTGGGTTTAAGCGGTGGACTTTTAGCTCCTGTTATTGGAGCAGGAATTGCAGCAGGTCTTTCCACTATTGGAATCACAGGTGCGGCTGGTTTTCTCACCGGTGTTGGTGGAACTGCAGTAGTTGCTGCCACCAGTACAGCTATTGGGGCCAAAATTGGCACAGAGGCTATGTCCAAAAGGATGGGGAGTGTACGGACATTTGAATTTAGTCCTCTTCATAATAATCGTCGAGTTAATCTTATAGTAAGTGTGTCTGGATGGATGATAGGTAACGAAGATGATGTCAGGCTGCCATTCTCTACTGTTGATCCTATTGAAGGCGATCTATATTCTCTTCACTGGGAACCAGAGATGCTTAAATCTACTGGTCAAACTATTAACATTCTGGCAAGCGAAATTTTTACGCAGACCATTCAACAAATTCTGGGGGCCACTATATTAACCGCTTTCATGTCCGCAATACAAATGCCTATGATGTTATCGAAACTTGGCTATCTTATTGACAATCCGTGGAATGTGTCACTCGACAGGGCTTGGTCCGCAGGTCTTATCTTAGCTGATACAATCATGTCCCGTAACCTTGGTCAAAGACCAATTACTCTTGTAGGGTTCTCTCTAGGAGCAAGAGTGATTTATTCCTGCTTGCGAGAGCTTTGCAAAAGGAACGCAAGTGGTTTGGTTGAAAATGTGTTTTTATTTGGTACGCCAGTTGTTTATAATCGTGATGAACTAGTTATGGCGAGATCAGTGGTGAGTGGTAGGTTTGTCAACGGATACTCAGAAAAGGATTGGATTCTGTGTTATCTTTTTAGAGCAACTAGTGGAGGGTTCAAAAGTGTGAATGGCATTTCACCAATTAATGGAATCGAAGGGCTAGAAAATTTCAATTGTTCTGATCTGGTTGAAGGTCATATGGCGTACAGAAAGCGAATGCCAAAGTTACTAAAGGAGGTCGGAATATCTGTGTTGAGTGAGGAGTTTGCTGATATCGAAGCTGCTCCTGATCCTGAGGAGGTTCAAAGGCAACGCCAGCTGATCCATGATTTAGATGAAGCTCAGAAAAAGCTTTCCTCAAAAAAAAAGCATAATAGCTGGGTTCCAAGATGGTTTAAGCCCAAGAAAGCTAAATGGCAAGAAATGTGTGAAGAAACTGCAATGACTCAGGATGTTACTACTGGCCAGAGTGAACCCCGTGAAGGACATGCGGACAATGCCTTGTTCAACACTAGTGCTCTTTTGGCAGAGTTAGCTAATATAAAGCAGGCTATTGCAGAACAGGCCGAAGATCACCCGGAATCCAAAACTAACGAAGTTTCGGAGAATATTTCACCTGACGAAGCACCTACCGATGAAGTCATGGATGAGGTATGCAATTCATCAAATGAGGTCACAGAACCCAAGCCTCCAAGAAGTCCTCACAAATTTCAATTGCTGAGTGCAGGACGGGTCGTTTTACCCGAAGATAACTATCACTTTAAAAAGAAACAGGGTGAAAAGGTGGATTTCACCTTTTCAGACGACTTTTAGGCATGGATGATTCGTAATTCGATCAAAAGCTAGCGCTTTTATCGCAAAGACTAATTGAAGTATTCCTTCTTACCTTTTCAAAATCAAACATTCTTAAAACGGTATTATAATCAGTTTAGGAGCTTTATCAGATGCATTTCATCCAGAGAAGTACGTATTTTACATTTCTAAGTTACAAAAACACCTCTGCATTTAACTCAACGTAAGAAGCAGCAAAAGGAATGTCGAAGTTGTTCATTACTTCAGGATGCAAGACGCCCAAATGACCAATCTTCTTGGCTTCCTCGCCTTCTTTTGCCCTGAACATAACCTTTGCCCCTCTACCAGGGAAATAGGTAGCTAAGGATTCATCCTCTTCGATCCAGTAACCTCTGGAGCTGGAGTTCTTACCATACTCAGGAAGCCATTGCGTTCTGAAAGTCTGCATAATCTTACCCAACAGACCTTGAATGATTTCGAATCCAGAATTCTTTCCAACGTAGATTGCAGCCCAATGACGTTCATTGAAAGCCTTTCTTTCAAGCTTCGCATCTTTAAAAACGACGTCACCGGTTTCGAAAACTTTGATGGGTAAGGAATGCTTTCTGTTCTCTTTGACTGTTTTCAAAATACCAGGAAGTAAAGTGGTTCTAACAACTTGATATTCCAAAGTCTTAGGATTAGCAAGTTTTACAACTTGAGTGTTATCATCCTCTAGTCTCAAAAATTTGAAGTTCTCGTCATGTGAACATAGTGTTAAAGGCAACACTTCCAACCAAGACGCTTGGGAGGACGCAATTCTAAAAATGTCAGATACTCTGTTTATTGGTAGTGGAGAGGCAACAAAGTTTGCATCGGACAATTTTTCACGCTTTGGCAGATTGTTATAACCATACCCAACTGCAGCATCCTCCACAATGTCACAAGGATGGAGAATATCTGGTCTTGTGATGGGTATTTCGACCTTAATGATATCTTTATCCTCTGGAGAAGGAGATCCTTGCAAAGAAAGCCTTTTTATATAACCACAGATTTCCTCACGTGATAATTCTAAACCCAAACATGAGTTGATATACTTGGCAGATACATCCATGTGACGTGGAGACACATCTGGTGTGACACGCGATTGACCGTTATGCTCTGAGACTATCTCTACAGGCTCAATGCTAAATGGTTCAGCACAGTAACGCGAAAACATGGCAACCAACTGGTTCAAAACGATTTCCACTTTTGTCTTATCGATCGCAGTGACCTCAATGAAAACATTTTTGGTGTCCAAGGATATTTTGGAATGCTCAGAGTTGATCAAAGGAGGCAAGGAGCAAACTGTGTCGTTGGAGTCAAAAATAACCGGATACACTGGAGAATCCTCGATAATATGAACAAAACGCCCTAGATTATTCTTTTGCTCAGGTTGTTTGTATAATTCAACTATCTGCGCGCCTGTCATCTCTTTTGTTTGATTCAAAGGAACAAATTTGAAGTCATTTGGTGGAAGGGCTCTATAATGAAAGGGACCCTGAATAGTGTCGAAATCGTGAGTACCCACTGCGACTAAACTTCTATTTCTACAAATATTGGAATGCAATTTATCTTGTAGGGCAATGAAGGAATCGTACGACTTTTGGTTGAAGGTGATATTTCTCAAAATAGCTGCGGCAGCATATGGCCTAATTTGTTCTGTAGATGGCTCGATGTACAATTTTGTGGTTGGCTTCGAGACTTTGTATTGAGGAGCTTCGCTTCTGCCTAAATACTCATTCAAAGACTGAGCAATACCTTCAATACATAGTAAGTCATATCTGTTAGCACCAATTTCAATTTTCAACTCAGGGTCTTCATTGTTTTTCAATGCTTCTTCAGTAGTATCCTCATCCAGTTCTACACCGAAATCAAAACATAACTCATCGAATTCTTGAGTTTCATAGTTCTTGCCGATTAGGTCAAATAATTGTTGTTTATCGACAGAAACAGTTGGCATACTGAACTTGTTTTGTTGGTTATACTCGCGTAAGAAAGCTAATTTAATTAGTATAATTCAAACGTAGTGTGACTGATTCATTGAAAGTTACTTCGGGGAAAATTTTTACATTCGTATATGATGATGAAATTCCTTACGTTAACGTTATTTAAAGGTTAGTGCATAATGCCAAAAATCTACGAGATCTTGGCGAAAGCTGATTCTGTATCGGTATCACTACTCAATGGTTCATCGTTTTCTTGGCTCTTTTTTATAGTGTATCTTAATAGTACTTCTCTCAGATGATCTATTGCAACAGGCCTCTCAAGAACTTCATCAAATACGCCAGCGTTTTGAGCTTCTTGATAAAAGGCTGTCACTGCAACTATGGGTGTGTTTGAATTTAAGCTATTTGTGTGTCTCAGAAGTTTTACAATATCAATTGCTCCCAATTTCGGTAACTTGAGAGCAGTAAAAATCATATCGAATTTAACACCACTAGTAGCCCTTCGAACCATTTCATCTCCAGCTCCGACACTAATAATAGAACATCCCAAAGATTCAAGATCTTTCACTAGTTTGTACCTGTGTATAGGAATGGGTTCACAAACGAGTATGTCCAGGGCGTAACTCATCTCACTGAGGCCTGACGAACTTTTGCGACCGCTTTTCCTCCTGCTCTTTATGCTATTAACCTTCGATAAGGCATTCATTCTTTCTTCCTCATCAACACTCAGTTCCCCCCCACTTGATCGCATTGATGATGTTCTTGAGTGTTTTCCGATTCTTGTAGTAATTGCTTGGGGTGAAAGTGGTGACCTGAATTTCGATAATATATTCGGCGAATCTCCTTCCTCTAAAGCTGATGATGGTGTCAGAGGACTATTCTCTCCCGTATTCCTTCTGGATAATGTACCACTATCCAAACTATTTTTTCTGCAGGGTGACTGGTGTTTTGATCCTGGGGAATGCGAACCCTTCAAACCTCTTCCAGCTAAACTCGATGGTGAGCCACCACCATTGAATGACCTTCCACTTCTAAGCTTATTGGACACATCAGAAGATGAACTAGATAAAGACCCTGTTGAGCTGCGTTGAAGGTGATGTACCTGCTCCGCTAAATGTTCACTCTTGAGTCGGTTTATTGCGTCTTTGTTGGCTTTATCTAGGGCAGGAAGATTCCTGAAGTTGAAAGAACCGAACTCTGTTTGGAACTCGTTTAATTTGCTTACACGCCTCTCACGCAAGTGTGGAGGAATGGCTAATGGAATATGCCTCGTTGTCGGAGAGCCATTGTTACTGTTGCTTTCCTGTGATGCTGATTCAAGAACTGAAGCTATTGTCAGACGTTGAACTGGGGTGCTTGATTCACTGCTATGATTATTTGTGAGTCGTCTTGTAATCTCTTCGCCTCCTGGATTAAGTATCCCTGAAACATGTGGTTGTTCCTCATCAGAATCGCTGAAATCTTCCAAAACTGCCCCGCGTAAATCAAAGTAATCAGTACTTTCGGGATGCTCTACCGCAGGGACAAAAGACGCCTTTTCCTCATACAAGTGCACCCAGTCTACTCCCTTAAAATAAGCATGATTCCGTATCTCCTCGGCACCGTTGGCACCTAGTCTTTCATCTGGATCTACAACCAAAAGCTTCGAAATCAAGTCTTTGGCATCCTCCGGTAAGTATTCTCTTTCGGTTTCTTCATCAGGGAAAGTTGGCCAATCAATTTTCCCGCTCAATATGTTACCAAAAACTCCTTCAGGTGTGTTTGCATGGAAGGGTGGGTATCCTAGCAGAAACTCAAACAAAATACATCCAACAGACCACCAATCTGATGCGTTTGTTTCTCCAGTACCCTCTATAGTTTCAGGTGCTAAGTAATCAGGTGTACCAAAAAATTTCTTTCCGCTCTTTGAATCATCGGGATTAAACAGAGCGTAATCAGGGGTTGAACTGCCATCAAGAAACTCTGAAATACTAGAACTGTTCCTCTTATGAAAAGAAGCGGGTGGAGGAGTACCAGATCTTGAAACGTCCATCATCGAGAAAGAAACTTGTGACCCCGATCTATGTAATGCTGGAATTTCTAAAGAAGACTGGAAGCTGGAACTCGAGCTCGATCTTTCCGTTTTCTTTAAAGGAGGTTCTAAACTGAGATTGAGAGTGGGTGAGTCTGTCTTTGAGTTCCACTTGAGAGAATTAGCCGAGTTCATATCATCCGACGTGACACTGTTGTGACGGCTGGACAAAAATTTAGACTTTGAGGAAGTCCCCTTATGTCGCCGTACTAGTCCCATTCGAGAAAGACCAAAATCGGTCAATTTGACATGACCTTCTGCATCAATTAGGAGGTTATCGGGTTTTAAATCGTGATGGATTATGCCATTACTATGCATATCGTCAACCCCGTAGATAACCTCACTAATATATTGTTTTGCCCATTGATCAGGCAGATGGCCCATCATTTTCAAAAGAATTGCGAGATCACCACCACTCAGGTATTCCATTACCAAGAATAAATTTCCTTTGTTTTGGAAAGTAGCATATAGTTTTGCGACGTAGGATTTATTACTTTGAACCATCATAATGGCACGTTCTGATTTGACGTTCGTTACTTGATTCTTTGCGATCATATCAGATTTCTTCAATACTTTAATTGCAAAATATTCACCTGTCAACCTTCTCTTCGCCAAATAAACACTACCGTAAGCACCTTTACTTATCGGTTTTATTATGTCATAGTCTTTAATACTTGGGGCCGGAGCCTTAGCCTGATTAGTAGCAAGTAACAGAGGAGAGAGTGGTTGTCTAGGAATGGATGCATTTGAATGTAATTCAGGCGTGAGATAATCGGACGATATAGCAAACGGTGAGGTCATGGGAGACTTTTCGAGCGCTGACAAAGGCTGCTTAGAAGTGCTGTTTTTTTGTACGGATGATAATGGAGTATTAAATCCAATCGAAGATAACGGGGAGCCCTTTCGAGGAGTAAGTCCACCAGTGGCAGACAACTTGGGGAGGCTCCCACCTCCAGTGCCAATACATTTCGGAGTTCCTACAGAAGGACTGGAATTAGAAGTACGGCCTGCTGCTGTAGTATCTGGCAATATTGGCGAACCTTCAAACCTCTGCCTTGGTGTAATGGAACGTGAAAATGATCTTGAGGTCGACTCGCTAGCATTAGCGATGGCAGTGTCTTCATCAGCATTTGCAGGCGGTGGTGCAGGAATTGTATCTGTGCCAATGTAAGAGTCTGCGAAGATTCCGCTTTGGGCTCTTTTCGGTAACGGGGAAGCAATTCTTGAGGCAGTGGCACCTAAACTCGTTGACACTCTTGAGCCCTTCTCAGGCGTTCGTTGTACTTGGGAACTACTTTCTAATGCATGAGCTAGGTTCATTGCATTACTTTCGAGTTTCTCCTTAATCAGCTGTAAAACATAATTATCGACCTCATTTTTTATCTTAAATGAGTATTTCATTGCATTGTCAAGCCTTATTAAGGTCTCGACCTTCTTTTTTGCAAGATCAAGAGTATCTGTGGTTAACAAACTAATGGCTGGATCTGATACTTCAAATCTTGTATGCCAATTTCTTACCTGTTCAATGTTCTGTTGACTTCTAGGGGAGAATGAATAGATTGCATCGTCTCTTGGTGGTTGATAACTTCCATCTTCTGGATTACATTTCAATTCGCTAACATTGATGTTAATGGCGTCATCACACAGCTCTTCTAGCAAGGCTAGCGATTTGAAAGGGAATCTCAAGCTTTGAAAAATGGAGTTCGAATTTTTCCTTGGTTGTGTAAGTGTTTTGAAAGGATTGGAAGATTCAGACGATGAACTAGACGGAGATGTAGATGAACTTTGGCCTGCCTTGAAATTTTCAACCAATTGAGGAAGGGGAAGTCCCTTATAATGAGTAATTCGTCCATTATTTGACTCAATTGAAGACGTTATTTCTTCTATCAAATGCTTTTGTTCAATCAATTCATCATGTAGTATTTGAGCAGCACTCTCGATCTTATGTTCGAATATGCATAGTTCGGAATGAGTTTCCAGCCACCATGCAGGTACTAGTGATTCGCAAACTCTACATAACTCATTCTTTGGGTTTGGCAGATGCTGTTCATCCAGAATCATCTCGTCTTCAATCTCAGCTAAATACTGGGAAAAGATGCTAGCGCCAAATCCTAATCTTTGCACGAAGTCTAAAGGTAAATTGTCAAGTTCATCAATCTCACAAAGCGGCTTTACAATCCACATTGAGTGTGATGGTAGATTTGTAAAATTGTCATGCAAAAGTATCCCTTGAGCCTCTAGTTCTATGACCTCTCCGTTTGTCGAAAGAGGTCCGCAGTGCTTCGTTTCTACACTGCCCGGAGATGAGCTATCCTGACTATTTACCGCTCTCTCATCTTCCTCACTAGAGATATCCGATGTGATATCATTTGTCTCAACAATAAAGCGCACTCTATAGCTGTTATCATCGCGAATCATCATGTCTAATGCTCGTTGGAACACAGATTTGTCTTGATCCGTTCCCAGTATTACATCAAATATAGGCCGTTCAATAATACTTCTACATTTTGTGCCCACTATCTTCTCCCATATCTTACTAAGGTAGCGGACTCTACCGTTCATGTCCAATTCCAGCAAAATAGTTGTACTTTGATCAGATGCAATCTTTAGGTACTCATCACAGTTCGATGACGAGACCGGAGAAGGAGCTTTGGATGCGGTGGAATCGACGCTAATATCACTCTTCTGATCCTCATGATCACTTGAAATGACAAATTGGGGTGTGGAGCAATCCATTGAAGACTTATTGTACTCTCCCCAAAAATTGAGCGATTTCCCTTCTTTTGTGTGCGTTGAAATATAAAGCAGAAAAGACAAACAGCTGTATCAGCCTTGAGATATTTTCAAATGAATCAATCCTGTGTCAATGTTTATAGGACCCCCAGCTTCTCTTCTCTTCTCTTCTCTTCTCCTCTTTCCAGCTGGTGTGAAGTTTTAGAGGATACGAAATGAGAAAATACTTCGATTTTGAACGTGATTAAAAACTTTAATGCTTGATTGTACAAAACTGATACAAAAAGCAAAATATATGAGATGAGATAAAATTGACGATAAATATTTGGTGAGCATTTTGCTGCTAGTATTTGGTGGTAAGGATAGCTTATGTAGTTCTTAGCTCATGTGCAATAAGTGACATGTTTCTCTGCACTCGATTTGAGGTTGCACGAACAACCGAAGCGTGCAATTGCAATCAAATTTACTGCGAAAACTTCATGAAGCTTTTTTCTTTATGGCCTTATATTTTTTGTTATGTGTCTTTTAGTTATCATAAGTCTTTTCTTTCAATTATTAGAAATTGCATGCAGGGTTGTATCTTGAGAAGATCACTAACATCTGCAGTAAAGTTCGTCGCAAGACACTCCGTTACAGCTAACGTGGGAAAAAGGTCCTACCTCACAATCTCTAAAGCCAGAAACCCATATTTGACCCCAAGAAACATTCAACGCAGAATGGAGCCAGTTGGGATGAACACAACGATTCCGGGGCACGAGAGAGATGCTACCTTACCTAGTAAACCCATAGTGTGGATCGATTGTGAAATGACTGGTTTGGATCATCTGAACGATCACATTATAGAGATATGCTGCATTATCACTGACGGTGATCTCAATCAGGTCGATGAGAATGGGTATGAAAGCGTTGTTCACTATGGTAAAAATGTGATGGATACTATGAATGAATGGTGTATCGAACATCATGGATGCAGTGGTCTCACGCAGAAGGTGCTGAATTCCAGCAAGACTCTCGAGCAGGTAGAACAAGAATTGTTGGATTACATCAAGAGATACATTCCTGACGAGCGTAAAGGGATTCTAGCTGGAAATACTGTTCATATGGATAGGTTATTTATGCTTCGTGAGTTTCCAAGGGTTATTAATCATTTATTTTACAGAATAATAGATGTAAGTTCTATCATGGAGGTGTCTTTCAGGCATAATCCTGAGTTTGCAGAAGTGGTTCCAAAAAAGAAGGGTGCACACACTGCGAAGTCTGATATCATGGAGAGTATTGCCCAGCTTAAATTCTATCAAACACATTACTTAAAGAATGCAGCAGAGACTAGAGAGTTTGTGGAGGAAAAGAAGGCCGCAATTGCTCAAGAGGCTGCCAACTCCGTTGAAGAACAAGACTCATCCGCCACAGACAACTCTTCAGCAAAGAAGCGAAAAATCGAGTAATATTTATGATAGTATTCAAGAGTCTGCTTTGTTTGAAAAATATATATGTAGCTATTACTTGAGAGCATTTCTTTAATTTTTTTCAAGCATTACTTGTCGACTTTCATCAGCTGTAAAACTCTAAAAGTACTGGTACGTCTCTTAAACAATTACACATGCAATCATTAAAATGAAGAAAAGCGACTATGCAAATAATGGGGTATCAAAATGAAGCATGGTCAAATGTTGCCGTCTTCAGTTTTCGAAGCTCTGCAGAAAAAGCACTTTGTTCTTGTTCTGTCCGGCCCTTTGCAAGAATCTACAACTGAATAACGATCTTCATCTGGCGGAAAATCCGTAGTGTCGCAGAAGTCGGATATCATAACATTTTGCATGAATGTTATATCATTGGGTCGTTTAGTCAGTGATGTAGGTGGTAGTAACAATTTTCTTTTCGAACTTGAGGAAGTGTTAATATCTTCCGGCAATTCACGCCTAGCAGGTGCATCGTTAATCATGAGCTGATCAATTGGAATTGACTCAACAGATTGAGGATCCAAAAACTCTAGATCTCCTCTGATCTTCCAATCAGAAATATAACTCTCGTACACTTTGGAACAGTAGCAAACACTACGAAGATTGGCTAACTCATGACGACCTTCAAATGGTATCATTTCTAGCTCAAAAAGTAAAAAATTGCGCATGCCACCAAGAGACTTGGAAGCCACCTTAAGCCCTTCGCACAATGGATGGGGGCAGGAAGGCATTTTTGTCTCTTTAGCACAGATAAGGGCTTGCCATCTACAAAGCGCTTCCCTAGTTAAGTTACTCGCATTTCGTGCACTTGTTTGAGAGGTATCACTCTTCCCAGCTAGATCAGAAATATGTTGCTTAGCCGCTGTAATTTCTGGGGCAAAAATGTCAGCAGATTGGTCCTGGGAGAACAGCATTGGTTCGCGACAAGGCAATATCTTTTCGGAACAAGTGATTTTTTTGGACATGTCCTCTTCATCCTCCTCACCCGTCACAGAAGCATGCGACAAATTCTCCGATAGGGATTTCTCGAGTAGCCGCGCCCGCCCTCCTAGGTGGTATTGGTACACTGATGATTCATTTAAATGTTTTGGAAATTGAGAGGGATCCGTAACATTTTCTGGCATATACTTTTCCCTCATAAGGGTGTCTTGGCGGGTATTTTTAACCCGCTTGGAATCCTGAATATTTGTATCTTTCGCCCGTAGGGCGCTGTTTTTATGCACATTTCTAACCATGAAGAGAAAACCAACCTTTTAAAAGCCCCTTATAAAATGAAAATGATAAAGCAAGTAGTGTTTAGTACCGGTATTCGATGAGCTTTAATAAGCTTTGTTTTATTTTTACATTAGTTAAATTTTGGTGTCAGTGACACAAACTTCACGACATGTAATCACAACATACGTAATATATTACCCGACCATGAATCAGGAAAGTTGAAAATTTTTATAGAATTAAAGGTGATGAATTTCATAAACATCATCTCGAAAGGAGAATATTTAAACAGCCGCTCGCAGGATAGCAGGGAGGTCATGTCTATCTATTCAACTCCATTGAAAAGTGGGATTGATTACAGTAACTCTGTAATTGTTCCATCTAATAATGGAATTGGAGGTAATAAACAACTAAAGGCAATGGGAGGCAACAGTGGTCCAGTGGCCACCGCAGGATTTAACATGCTAGCAAGTGAACCAGGCTTGGTGCCCAGCAGTGTCAATGAACATTTACGGGTCACAGGGATGGGTATCAAACCACCTTTGGAACTGGCCAGTCAATACATAGACCACTTGCAACGTCGCGACTCGAGCACACCAGTTTTGGATGAAAGATCTTACTACAATAATGGTGTAACCTATAACTTTAGCAAGGAAGTTGGAGGTTTAGGTGCTTTTACACCATTTGAAAGAGCTCAAGTTATAAATATCCCAGATGATATTCTGCAGGAGGCATCCGAAACGGAGATCAAAAGTGATATGGGTATTTTTCCGGAACTAGATCGCTGTTGGATGACTGTAGACAATAAGTTAATCTTGTGGAACATTGACAACCCATCTGAGGTACAATCGATAGATGATATCAAGCATACCATTTTGTCGGTCGCATTGGTGAAGCCAAAACAAAATACCTTTGTCAAAAAAATTGATCATCTGCTGTTGATAGCAACTCCGTTCGATATCTATATTCTCGCCATTTCATACGATCGAACTTCTGGTGAACTGAACGTCTTCAATACAGGGATGTGTGTGTCTACTCATGGGCTTGACGTTTTTAGCTTTGTATCATACGAAAGAACTGGCCAAATTTTCTTCGTAGGAAAATCCAATGGCACCAATATTTGGGAATTACAATATTCAAGCTCAGAAGACTGGTTTAATAGCAAGTGCAACAAAGTTTGCCTCACGCAATCTGCATTGAGCAGCTTGCTTCCCACCAATCTGATATCGAAAATTCCTGGTAGTAACCTTATTCAGTCATTTTTCGAAGAGGACTCTAAATATGCACAGGAAACAATTACACAGATCACAGTTGATCAATCCAGAGGTGTACTATATTCTTTGTCCAATAAATCGATTATTAGGGCGTATAAAATCAACAGCAAAAGTTTGGATGGTCCTTTAACTATCGAAACTTCATACATAAGGAGAATAATGGGGACAACAACGGCTAGGGGTGCTGCCATTTTGGGCAATAAGTACTTGAAAATTTCTAAATTAGTGGCGGTTTCACAGCAGGAAAATAACAACCTATTTCTTGTTGCTATCACCATTGGTGGTGTCAGATTATATTTCAATGGTTCTCTCAGCAGAAGTAATATTGAAGCTTTGAGGCTTGAATCAATCAAGTTTCCTCCTAGCTCGGTCACACCTGAGGCAATTGAGCAAGAGTTACAGCAGCAAAAGCAGAAGAAATTGATGCCTTTTTACTCCTCGTTAAATACTTCTGAGTCCATATTATTGAAGCTTCAAAAAAAATCATCTGTACTTCTAGAAAGTACGCAGGCAAGCTCCATCATTTCTCCAGGTATTTTCTTTTCTGCTGTTCGTAAGATTCCACAACCTGAACCTTCACAGACGGCGAATTCTAAGCCAAATGGTGTATCACAGCTCCAACAGCAGCAGCAGGAACAGCAACTACAAACACAAAACGTACAGAAGGACCAACCACAACATCAGCAAGCTCATGCTGTTCAGCATAAATTATTTGTCTCCGTTCCAGACTATGGTATTCTGAAAAATCATGGTAAATATGTTGAAAACGTTACTTTACTAGATACCAATGGTCCAGTGAGACATATTGTGCCAATCGGGCCTTTGTTCAACGCGACAAATAAACCAGAAGGATACGCTAATGAGTTTGCTACTCAATATAGCATATCAACTCTTCGCATTGCCGTTTTGACTAATACCTCAGTAGAAATTTACCGGTACCGTACTCCTGACGTTGTATTTGAATCTTTAATTTCCAACCCTCTTCCATTTGTACTAAACTACGGTTTGGCAGAGGCTTGTTCAAGCGCATTGTTTGTTACTTGCAAGTTCAACAAATCAGAAACTCTCAGATCTAATGCATTGACTTTTTTCACCGTCGGATTGCCAGGTGTTGTTGAAATTAAGCCTAAGTACAACACATACAGCGCTTCAACGATGTCGTCTCTTCTTTCAAAACCTGCAATGGCTACTCCACAAAAATCAATGCTCGATGTGCTTGATAACTCAACTACTCGCACTAATCAACCTAATGATAACTATAGTTTGGATAATGTCATTCTGTCCCCTAGATTTTACGGAGCAGCCCTCTTGATCGCGAGACTTTTTAGGGAAATTTGGAATATTCCGGTATTTTCAACCAATTTTAACACTGAGTTTAAAAGTGAAGTGAAAACTCTGAATGAACATGCGAACGATGGCAACATCGTGCATGCCGTCTCTATTTCGAAATCTGATGTTGAATATTATTTGTCTTCTGTCATGATTATTAATGAGTTTTTCAACACATATGGTAACTCAATTTCTAGCATTGCAGCTCCTTCGTTCCAGTCAGGCAAGACTGTTGATCGATCTGAAGATGTTGCCAATCAAGCGGAAAACATTGCCATCAATTCCCTTATCAAGCTAGTGCAATCGATGAAAGAAGCTCTATCATTTTTAAATGTTCTTTTTGAGGAGAGTGACTTGGAAGGGTACGAAGGGCAGTATTTGGCATTTAAAGACATTATGAAATTCTTGAATAAAGAAGTACAAACAGATTTGACGAAGATTTATTTCAAGGATATCTTTGCACCTACCGATAAAACCAAAAATTTAATCCGGGAAATACTCTCCTCTATTATTAACAGAAATATTTCAAGAGGCGGTTCAATTGAATACATTGCAACTGCACTTCAGGAACGTTGCGGTTCTTTTTGTTCCAGTGGAGACGTTTTGGGCTTCAGAGCGGTGGAACATCTTAGAAAAGCAAAAGAAATTGGGTTGCGCGACTACGAAACATTGAATTACCACTTGACAAATGCCATTAAGCTGTTTGAGAAGATAGTTGACAGCTTGTCCATGGAGAAGCTTAAAGAGGCCACTTCTATCATGCTTGAGTTGAATTATTACCCCGGTACGATAGAATTTTTGCTTAACATTGCAAACTCGGTTGATAAGGGTAAGCTGGCATATCAATACGTTGCAGATGGTTACTTAGAGCAAGATGAGAGGAAAAAGTATTATGATAAGCGTGTGTTGATATATGATTTGGTATTCGAAACCCTGGTCAAAATCGATGATCTAGTGGCAGCCGCGAACTCAACAGCTGTGTCAAGTCTTAACAATCTGAACGAGCTTTCGAAGCTACGGGAAGAAAGCTACTCCACTGCTCTAAAATACAATGATAAGTTATTCCACTACCAATTGTACGATTGGTTAGTGTCTCAGAAATGCCAAGAAAAACTTCTGCAGCTTGACACTGATTTTATTTTACCATACTTGCAAGAAAAATCAAAAAATTCATTGGATATTTCGAATTTGCTTTGGGTCTATTTGTCCAAAAGATCGAAGTTCTTTGCAGCTGCTGAAATTCTCTATTCGCTTGCCATTTCTGATTTCCAAATAAGTCTGAGCCAAAGGATTGAGTATCTCTCCAGAGCTAATGGATTTTGTAATGGTGTCTGTCCTATCAGTCAAAGGCAACAGATGATCCAGCTAGCTGCGATGATACAGGAGATTTTCGATGTAGCAGCTATCCAAGATGACATCTTGTCTTTGGTGAAAAATGACACCAGGATAACTGCCGAAGCCAAGCCAGAACTCATCAAGCAGCTTGATGACAAGATATTACCTGTTAGCGATCTTTTTAATGACTTTGCGGATCCATTGAGCTACTATGAAATCTGTTTGACTATCTTCAAGATCTCAGATTTCAGGAATAATGAAGAAATAATGTCCAAGTGGTCGGAGTTATTCGAATCTTTGAAAGAAGAAATTGTTACTGATAGTAGTATTGAAGAATCAACTAGTTTCATTAATTTATTGTCCAGCGTCGTGATAAAAGTTGGCAGAAATGTGCGTACATCTGAATTTGTCTTCCCCATCGGAGAATTGTTCCCTATAATATGTCACTTGTTTTACGACAACTTACCAAATGATCACATCAAGGAAGGATCAATTGCATCTATCTTCATTTCCGCGGGTGTTTCATATGATAAATTGTATTACATGCTGAAGGATTTAATCGAAACCGCTGATTCGGTGTATGATGTGTACAAGAGAGAAATGATCTGGTTGATCAAACAGTGGTATGAATCGGACAGACAATTGAGGGACATTATAACATTCGATGAGGTCAGGAACTTAAGAACGTATAGTATTGATACCGATCCGATTGCTGACTACATCAAGAGAACCGGTAACAGCATATAGTTATTTACTATAAAAGCATGAACTTAAATAGAAAAAATGACGAAGCATTCATTATCAATGCACTGGACGGTGAAGGTTTCCACACGCACAGCTACCTCCCTGCTATCCAAGTAAGGAACCGTAGAGTCATCTAAAAAGAACCTCGTTCGAGGGCACGCTTCCCCTACAGTATTGCCGTCCATGGCGCGAAAATAAGAGCACGTAAACAAGTCTCTCAAAACAACATAAAGCTGAAATCTGCTCTATTCAGCTACGTACCGCAATTGACTACACCGTATATACCCACTTAGTACAGGATCACTGGGCTCACAAGCTAATGTCCGTGTCCTTGCAAGAAAAGACCGCCAATTCGGAAATAGTCAATGGGAGCATAGGTGCATTTATTCTAAATACTTTGAGGAACCAGCCATTTATAACAAAAACATACAGTATATGGTGCACGAACCTTTAGCTAAATAATAGCAAATCGTTGCGTGTATCGAGTCTTCCGAGAGCCTGCAAGGGTGATGACAACCGCCCCCCCTCTTCATACTTGCCCTGAGAATTCAATCGCAAAGTACACCAAACGTATTCTCCCCAGAATATGTGACGTACAAAAATCCGTCCTTGTCTTTGTGTTCCTGGTAAATTGCAGACATGAGTGCCGCCGTAGGTGGGAGAGTATCGTTCACGAAAATGAAGATCGCTTTCTCAGCTGGTAGCTTGATACGCTTCCTGATAACATATACGAACTGACCTACCGTCAAGTCTGCGGGAACCAGATATTTGCGCTTGTCAATTTCAGGTATATCCGACTTTTCTGCCTTTTCACAAATTACAGGGATTCTGTTCTCGAATTTTTGACTAATCCTTTCAGATTCCGCTTTTCTCTTCTCGAAAGGGTATTCCGATTTGAATGCTGACTTCATATTTCGACTTTTATAGTTGGTTGCGCTTAGGTTGGCTCTTCTCAGGCCTTTAGAGTTTTGGAAGGGATAGTGAGTTGACAAACCCCTTGATGCCTCTTCCTTCCCCCCCTGTCGATGTCCGGTCTGTACAAAATCCGCTAGCGATAGTTGATAGCCGGGTAACAAAACGCGATCCCAATTTTTCGCATTTCGGGGCACGTGACTATAGATCCGCACACATTACACGTGACCAGATACTATCATGTAATTGAGAATCTCGCTAACATATCCTCTATCTGCTGCTGCTCGAGTTGTAGCAATTGTTCACAGTATTCCCGCTCGGCTAACAGGTGTATGAGTTCATCCTCGTCTTCGTCATCATCATCACCGTCGTGATTTGTACTGGGACGGCGGTATACCGCGCGCTCTTGCAATTCAAGTTCCGCTGCTGCGTCCGGATTTAAGGAGTGCTCGGCGGCTTGCTCTGCCAGGGCACGCTGCTCGCTCTCTTTTTGTAGTTTCATAACATCCAGATGCATCTGGTCGCGACCACCGCGCATTTTAAGCGCTTTCTCTTCCAAGGCCTGCTGGCGTCGTTCTGCTTGGCGACGTGTACGCGGCTCCGAGCGAATAGGTGATGAAAATGGCCGATGAGTGCGAGTGTAGTCGTTGTATCTCTCAGATGTTAGCTTCTCGACAATTGAGGAGTCTGAGGTGTCAGGACTACTGCAGATAGTATGGAACGGCGGGCTATCTGGGCTTTGGTCAAAAGAGGGACGTGGCCCCAATGAACGGCAGCGTGGAGGGCTTGAGAACTGCTCTGAAGGGCAGGAGTACGATCCTTGCTGAGACATCCCCACACGAGTTTGGCTTGTACAGAACTAGTGTGTCTGAGTTTGAAGAAGCTTGTCAACTGTCGCGCGCGTGCGAATTGAAATTTCGCGCGATGAGATATCTTGGCCACCTCTACGCTACGCAAACCGATCGACAGTAGTACCTGCGTTTACAATCTTATTGTAAAGGGGTATAATCAATCAATATTGTCCCAGTATTGCTCTTAAATTTCCAATAAATTCTTCAATCCGGCCAACGGTCATTGGGCCAAATACTATACTATTTTGCATATAACATTGAGTTTACAAAGGGTGGAAAAGATTATATATAGCGTAAAATCATGCTACGTAACGTGAATAACTCTGAGGTTTGTGGCAGATCATAGTTTGAAAACCTTAAGCTTAAAGATGGTATCATTGATAGATTGCTCTTCATCAGCGATTTCCCCAGTTCTTGAACCGTCAAACTTGGTGATTTCCGATCTGCATGTCTTCTCCAGCATATCAGAGTGTTTTTCGACAATTTCGTCGAAATCGATGGTGTCCTTGACTAAGTCGTATTGAACCAGAACGTCGTCGGTGGCGGCTAGACCACACTTCTTTCTCAACTTTTGGATTCTGTTGATCAATTCTCTGGCCAGACCTTCCGTCTTCAATTCAGGATAAATCTTTGTATCCAAAATGATCAAGACATCCTGGTCAGTTCTTGCTTCAAGACCGCTTTCAACTAGTTCTTCAGGTAGAGCCTTGACCACAGCAAGATCACCCTTCACCAAATTAATACCAGCGACTTCAATAGAGCCAGTTTCCACGTATTTCTGGACGTCTTCGGAGCTCAAAGATGGAAGAGCATCCTTCACTTTCTTAGCGTCCTTCTTTAACTTCTTACCCAATACTGGCCAATCAGCAACTGCCTTATACAGCACACCATACTTGGCTTCGTCGGAAGAAATGATGATATCGCGGACGTTCAATTCTTCAACAATGTACGATTGTAAAGACTTCACGTCATTTAAGTATGTCTCATCGTGATGCAAGATGACCAGGCTCTTCAAAGGAGTCTTCAAAGAAATCATCTTCTTTTCACGAATATTTCTACCAAGTTCGATAACGGCTTGCATCCTCTTCATTGTTCTTTCAACATCCTCGTCGAAGAATTCCTCATTCACTACAGGGTAAGACAAGAAATGTACTGATCTGCTGTCTTTTGTGTATTGGGACAATGTTTGCTCTGGAATGTATTCCTTCAATCTCAAATAGATGTTGTCAGATAAGAAAGGAGTGAAAGGTGCCATTGCACAAACAAATGTAAATAAAGAATCGAAAAGAGAGTTCAAAGCTTTTTTACAGTCTTCGACACCGTTCTCACCCTTCAAACGACGACGGTTAAAACGGATGTACCAGTTTGTCAATTGATCGATGAAGTCCAATAGTCTTGGAACAACAGCATACAATTTGTAAGCAGTCATTTCAGAATGAATGTTTTTCACCAGAGTTTGCAAAGAAGCTAGTATCCATCTGTCCATGACATTCTCACTCTTCAAATGTGGATCGTATTTGAAATCAATGTCTGAAGTCTTCTTTAATAAGGCAATTTGTCCTTCCAGAAATTTGAAGGAGTTCCACCATGGGAGTAGCACCTTAGAAACAACTTCCTTTACACCTTCTTCCTTGAACTTCAAACTTTCTGCCTTTAGAACAGGTGAGTTGATCAAGTACAGTCTTAAAGCATCAGCACCAAACTTTTCCAATACCAAGTTTGGATCAGGGTAGTTCTTCAAACTCTTCGACATTTTCCTACCATCAGCGGCCAACACGATACCGCAAACGATAACGTTTTGGTATGGTACTTCACCAAAGAGTTGAGTACCCAAAACACCCAAGGTGTAGAACCAACCTCTTGTCTGATCCAAACCTTCTGAGATGAAATTAGCAGGGACTCTGTGCTTGAACTTTTCGGTATTCTCGAAGGGATAGTGTTGAGAGGCATAAGGCATGGAGCCCGATTCAAACCAACAATCAAAGACCTCTTCAATTCTCTTCAAGTCACCTTTACCCTGTTTAGAAGGAATGGTGATTTTGTCAACGGTGTCACGGTGTAAATCTTTGATGCCCTTAACACCAGACAATTCTTCAAGTTCTTTGATCGATCCAACACAAACAATTTCTTCATAGTCATCGGAAACCCACAATGGGAGTGGAGTTCCCCAGTATCTGTTTCTTGAGACGTTCCAGTCACGAGCGTTAGAGATCCAGTTGGCAAATCTCTTTTCCTTTATAGTGTTTGGAACCCAGTTAGATTTTTCGACGGAAGCTAGAAACTCTGGAATAATTGGCTTTACCCTGACAAACCAAGCAGGAACAGTTCTGTACAGCAATGGGGTATCAGATCTCCAACAGAATGGATAACTGTGGCGAATTTGAGTTGCTAAGAGCAAGTTACCACTTGCAGTCAAGTATTTTATAATTTCTTTATCAGCATCCTTCACGTATAGGTTAGCAAAGTCAGTAACCCTCGAAGTGAACTTACCGGCGTCGTCTACGGGATTGGCAACTTCATCATCTTCGGTAAAAATACCATTTTCTAGACAAGCAGTGTAATCCTCTTCACCAAACGCTGGAGCGTTGTGAACAATACCAGTACCAGAATCACTAGTGACGTAAGAACCACCAATAACTCTGAAAGCTTTGCTGCCATATTCTTCAGCGAAGTATGGGAACAATGGCTCATACTTGACACCAATCAAATCTTTACCGGCAATTTTTTCCACTACTTTAAACTTTTCGTTTGCAGGTTTCTTGTACAAAGTTTTAATTAACGATTCAAGAAGAATGAAGTATTTGTCTTTCTTTTCGTCGTAGATCTTAACGTATTCGAACTCTGGGTTGACACACAAGGAAAGATTAGATGGGAGGGTCCATGGAGTGGTTGTCCAAGCGACTAAGTAGGTCTTTTCTTCACCCGCAACCTTGAAAGCAATAGTAACAGCTGGGTCATTGACGTCCTTATAGTTTTGTTGAGCCTCAAAGTTACTCAATGGGGTGGTACAGCCGGTAGAATAAGGCATAACTCTGAAACCACGGTAGACTTGACCCTTCTCGAATAATTGCTTGAAGGCCCACCATGTAGACTCCATGAAAGATGGGTACATAGTCTTGTAATCGTTATCAAAGTCAATCCAACGGCCTACACGTCCAATGGTCTTTCTCCACTCATTGGCATAAGTCATGACAATGTTTCTACACTCATTGTTGTAGTTCTCAATGCCCATTTTGTATACATCTTCCTTGCAGGTAATACCCAGCTTCTTGTCGATGATATGTTCAATTGGTAACCCGTGAGTATCCCAACCAAATCTTCTTTCAACGTGGTAACCATTCATCGTAGCATATCTAGGAACAATATCCTTTACAGTAGAAGTCAAAATGTGACCATAGTGGGGTGTACCAGTGGCAAATGGAGGGCCATCGAAGAAAGAAAATTCGGGCTTGTCCTCCGTTAGCTTCATAGATGTATGGAAAGCATCGATCTCATTCCAAAATGCAAGGATCTTCTCTTCCTCCTTGGGAAAAGAGAAGTGACCTGCTTGTTCAGACATTTCACTGCTTGAATCAACTGTTACTGAATAAAACACAGTATTATTACCAAGAAACTTTCACACAATTCAAGATGACTCTTTGAAAAATTTTTCGAGTTCAAGATCAGGTGACTATCTCAACTGACAATGTAACTAGTCTCTTAGGTCGAGGATTGATGATTTATAAAGATTATATCAATTATTTCAAAAGTATAAAGCACTTGAATAGCTTTGGGATGATAGTGCGATCCTTTTATTCCTTTTTTATATACAATTCTGTAACTCTTTCTTGCAGTCGCATCACTTTGTAAGCGCGAGCCTCAAAGCCGGAGTCCCATGCTCTCGAAGTTACACGGCTTACACCAGTGAGTAACTTAAATTAAAATTGATTCAAGCTGTGTTAAAATAACTATAAACAAAATAATAGATTTCCTAGATAAGAATACATTTCATCATAATTTCGTGTCCCCCCATGAAAAAGATCCGATTAGCTGAGCTTGGCCACTCAAAGAGAAACCTGCTCCGATTAGTCGACTTCTTCGACAGTTGGACCAGAGTCTGCGCCTGGAGCTGCGCCAGCACCTGGAGCGGCACCTGGGAAACCACCTGGAGCAGCACCGGCACCTGGGGCACCACCAGATTGGTAGAACTTAGTCATGATTGGGTTCGCAATGTCTTCCAATTCCTTTTGTTTATCCTTGTATTCTTCGGTAGAGGCAGCTTGCGAGGCATCCAACCAGCTGATAGTTTCCTCAGTAGAGGTTTGCAATTTCTTATACTCATCTTCTCCAACCTTCTCCTTGAAGCTGGCTTCGTTGATGGTATTCTTCAAGTTGAAAGCGTAAGCTTCCAAGCCATTCTTGGTTTGAATACGCTCTGCTTCTTTTTCATCTTCAGCCTTGAATTTCTCAGCTTCAGACACCATTCTTTCAATTTCGTCCTTGGACAATCTACCTTTGTCGTTGGTAATCGTAATCTTACTTGATTTACCAGTACCTTTCTCAACAGCAGACACATTTAAGATACCGTTTGCATCCAAATCAAAGGTGACCTCGATTTGTGGGACACCTCTAGGAGCTGGTGGGATACCAGATAGCTCGAACTTACCCAACAAGTTGTTATCCTTTGTTCTGGTTCTTTCACCTTCGTATACCTGAATCAACACACCTGGTTGGTTATCAGCGTAAGTGGAGAAAACTTCTGATTTCTTCGTTGGAATAGTGGAGTTTCTGGGAATCAACTTCGTCATGATACCACCTGCAGTTTCAATACCCAACGACAATGGTGCAACATCTAGCAATAGCAAATCTTGCGTCTTAGAGGATTGGTCACCAGTTAAGATGGCAGCTTGGACTGCAGCACCGTAGGCAACAGCTTCATCAGGGTTGATAGATCTGTTTGGTTCCTTACCATTGAAGAAGTCTGAGACGAGCTTTTGAACTTTTGGAATTCTGGTGGAACCACCAACTAGGACGATTTCATCAATTTGAGTCTTGTCCAACTTTGCATCTCTCAAAACCTTCTCCACTGGCTCTAATGTGGATCTGAACAGGTCAGCACACAATTCTTCGAATCTAGCTCTTGTTAGGGATGTGTAAAAGTCGACACCCTCGTATAATGAGTCGATTTCAATTGAAGTCTGGGCTGAAGATGATAGGGCTCTCTTAGCTCTTTCGGCGGCAGTTCTCAATCTTCTCAAAGATCTCTGGTTACCGGTCAAGTCCTTCTTGTTCTTCCTCTTAAATTCGTTGGCCAAGTGGGTAACCAATCTGTTGTCGAAATCTTCACCACCCAAGTGAGTGTTACCGGCAGTGGCCTTGACTTCGAAAATACCGTCGTCGATGGATAGCAAGGAGACATCGAAAGTACCACCACCCAAGTCGAAGATTAGGACGTTGTGTTCGCTTTGGCCCTTCTTATCTAGACCGTAAGCAATGGCTGCTGCAGTAGGCTCGTTGATGATACGCAGCACGTTCAAACCAGCGATCGTACCGGCATCCTTGGTAGCCTGTCTTTGAGAGTCGTTGAAGTATGCGGGAACGGTGACCACAGCATCGGTCACATTAGTACCCAAGTATCCCTCAGCAGTTTCCTTCATCTTGCCCAAAACCATGGACGAAATTTCTTCAGGACTAAACACCTTGGTTTCGCCCTTATATTCAACCTGAATGAAAGGCTTACCCTCTTTGTTCACAACCTTGAAAGGGAAGTGTTTAGCGTCGTTGACCACTTCTGGATCATCGAAACGACGACCAATCAATCTCTTGGCGTCAAACACAGTGTTCGCTGGGTTTATAGCTGCTTGGTTCTTGGCAGCATCACCGATTAGACGCTCAGTGTCTGTGAAGGCCACATACGACGGCGTAGTTCTGTTACCTTGGTCGTTCGCGATGATCTCCACTCTGTCGTTGGTGAAGTGAGCGACACAGGAGTAAGTAGTACCTAAATCAATACCAATAGCTTTTGACATTTCTTGTTGTCTGTTTTTCTTTCTCTTCCTGGTTAATTGTCTTGTAATTAAACAATCTGAGTCTTGTAGTGATATAAGAACAAATACAACCTTTCCCCTAACTCCCCATCTTTTCCTACCCCTTATATAGCTTTTCTCACCATGAGCTGAGATGGGTTCTCGTCGTTCATCACTTCACCCTTAATTTCCAGAACCTTCCTGTCACTACGCTATTACTAGCAAAAATTCAGACACTGGCACATTCGGGTTGCTGCCGGAAACTTCCAGAAAGATCGCGGTCGCGTGAGACGACTCGAAGAACAACGGTTATGGATCACGTGCGGTATTGACTTTCTCTGGTGCGAGGTTTTGAAGTTGAGGCTCTGAGCCACTACAGAGGTGTGTAGCAGATCCGTTCGACCACTACTGGGCCGTCGTCGTCACTATCAGAGCCAATGGTGTGTTCATTGAGATTGACGCCGGGGTGGGCCCCGGAAAACCGCGTACCGGGTGCGTAATCGCGCTCTTCGGAGTCTGGGATGTCGGCTAGGACATCGGGTATTGTCTTTTCCAATTCCCTCGTGGTGTGGGGCAGAGCTATGGCCTGAAAAGAGCGCAACATGCATTTGGACCACACTTGCTCGTTGAGAAGAGTCTCGCAATAGGGCGCGGGAATGACAGTGAGTTGGTGCGCTACGACCTCGTCGAAGGCGCGCACGTGCTCGGGTGCGATGGTGGAGCTGAAGCACACCAGCTCGAGGATAGAGTGCCACTGCAGGCTCGATCCATAGTTGGCGAAGAGCATGGCATTGAGAAACGCCCATTGGAACTCGCCCAGCAGGGCGTAGAACGAATTGTGATGGTACCGGGGTAAGATCACGTGACCCAAATACCAACTCTTGTCTAAGAAGTCCTCCATCTTGTATTGTGGCCGAATAGCTTCCGTAGACTTGAAGACAATAGGTGTGTAATTCAGTACCGCCTCGGTGTCAGGCACAACAATTTCGCGCTTGGAGCTCTCGCACCGATTAGCTAGAACCTTGGAGAGCAGGTTGTTTTCCTCAGTGGTGGTCATGACCGAGTCTACATACGCGAAATATCCGCCACTAGCGGTGCTGTGTTTCACAGCACTCCAACGTACATGTTTTGTTAACTCGTGCCATCTATCTTCTTCATCGACCGAGGGATACGCAATCATCAAATGCTGGGTCTTCTGAAACCTGTTATAGGCATCATTGCGACTTTGATCATCTATCTGGTATTTCGGTACAAAAAGCTCTTTTGTTGCATCATATTGAAACTGCATGTAAGCGTTTTGGTCGGTTTCGAACCAATATCCATATCGAAGACCATTTTCTGTCTGCTGGAAGTGTATGACATGTAGGGTGGGTAAAAGAGGTACATTTTTTACACCAAAAAAAGGCTGCGCAGCTTTGACCTCGAAGGAATAGAGATCTATTCCTATTATGACATCCTGCTTAATATCTTCGACGAAGATATTCATTAATGTGTTCTCGCTACTATCAGCGATGAGCGCGGTAACAACAAAGAAAAGCGATTTATTTATCGTAAATTCTGATATCAGCGGTGAATGTCCCAGTCAATCCATATTTCCTTCCAGCAATTCATATTTCCTTTACATTCACAAATAGCATCCGCATGCTAGCATTGAGGAATAGATCATCTCGATAATGCCCTTTCGCCTCATGTTTGGATAACGCTAGAGATGTAGCTGGGAATTTTTGAAAGACGGCAGTGTACTCCCAATCAGCAATACAGAAGATGATTGTGATGCAAGCTAGCAAAGCCTGATATTGCAGAAAGGCGTCTACCCTTCAAAGATATAATAATGAGAACAATGCTGCTGATATATTTAACACTTTCTGGTATGCATGGCCAAATTTGATCGTGATCGGAAGAGAGTATGGCATATCAGATTTTTTGAAGGCATATCCTGAGAAATGATGTTAGTTACCGATTTTCATTCAAGGCATGAAGTTTTCATGACTTTTACGTGCATAATGTTTGATTAGGCAAGTTTTCTCAGCTTTTTGTGGATGTCATTTATTTGTGGATTATCCAAGCAGTTGGAAGTGATGGTCCTGATGGAAATCAACTTGTGGTGATAAGAACTTATGTTCCTTATCCGTTATTATTGCTGCTTCGACATGTTTCGGGAAGGAAATATTCGTGTCAGTGGCACTGTTTTAGCTATTTCTTATTGGCGAAGAGTTGAGCAGACTAAGCATGCAACAATATTAAAGACTCGAGATGAACTAAGACGTAGTATACGTGAAAAAATTAAAGAAAACAAGTTCATGTCATCAAGAAAGAGCGCCTCTGTATTGCGGAGAAATTCAAAGTTCCTTTAAGCATGCAGATACGCTATAATCTAGATAGTGAGGGAAAGTGAGAAATGGAATTGCAATTTCCCGATTTTATGACCAACTCGAGGTGTGGCAGCACCCAACCATTAAATATTTGGCGAAAGGCTGTTCAAGCTAAACGCATACTGCCAATGGCTCAATATGGGGTTTTAAATGGTGCGCACATAAGCGCCGAGATATTAAATAAAATAAAAAGAGCACTTATCTCTAGACATGCAGGCAATTTTCTAGATGTCGAATGGATTCCAAGACACTCTCCACTACTTTGCGCTGTTGTTTGCAGCCTGCTGAAATCCGATGTAGTTTATGGGATTTAGAATAGAGCCCATGATAAAGTAAATAACATTTCCTAACTTGCCATGGTTGAGAGTAACGATTCGACATGTGAATACAATGCAAGGCTTCGCATCTCCACCGCTCAGATCAAGGATGAAGAAACAGTAAAGGACGCCCGACAGATTTCTTTAGCCCAAAAATTTCCCTAGCACTGTGAAGCCTCTCATATGACAGAACTGGCTGCTATGAAACACAGATCAAGTGCTGGAGATATTTTTAAGGAAGACTTCCTAGGAGTCTAGTTAGAGATGGGTGAAACATCTCAGCTTGTTGCCCTGGACGTAGAAAATGCCATTACCCGGAGATAGCGATTTGGTTTAAATTTTGATTTTCTTCTTGTGAACGTTTCAATTTCAAATCATTCCCTCAAGAGGAACACGTCTTGGACTAGAGACTCAATCAAAACTGCTTAAGAGGATAAGGTTGGATCAGTAGATTAACCTTAATATTCTTTAGCGAGTAATTTGCTTGTTGTGCCTTAGATGATGAAAAAAATTTTTACACAGACCTGTACTGAACTTTTCAAGTTTTGCAGATAAAAACTATTATTGCCTTTTATTTCTGACATTTGCACATCAATCGTAAATCTCTAATACTATAGCTTGCTGTAAATCCTAAACATTTTGTAGTGTGTTCGGTCAGGTGTAACTTGGCAACTTGTCACCAGCATATCAGTATCTGAAAATGACCATCACATTGTTATTATCGCTACCAGCAGGAGCATGTCGAATGCCAATTTCAGCTATTAGTAATAGAACTTGTTGTATTTGCGTTTTACAAAATTAGAAAACAATTTACATATGTCGAGATAAATGACTAATGCCAATGATAATCGCTTAGGATCATTTATTTCTTAGCAGACAATCTTCTCAAGTAGAAGGCCAATTCCTCACCTTCCAAGATGTAACCATCACATCTACCAGATTGACCTGGTCTAGAAGAGATACAGGCGTATAGTCTACCGGCAGCGAATTGAGCTTCAACAGAGTGCTCAACCTTGGCATCAGCAGCTCTAGCAGCCCACTTTCTCTCAGCGTTTCTAGACTTGGCGACAGTTTCTTCTTCGGCACCCTTGGTGTTCTTCTTCTTACCCAAGGTTTGACCGTAGTGAGCCTCGTACCATTGTCTGAATGGAGTGGCATCGATTTGAACAATAGCGGCCTTGGTCAAAGTGTTGGTTCTAACCAATTCGTTGTTAGATGGGTGGTAGACGACACCAGCAATTCTGGTCTTTCTGGCGACACCTTCGGAAGCCCAGGAGAAGTTACCGGTTTCAATTCTCAAAGCTCTGAACTTCTTGTTACCACCTCTGGTTCTAACAGTATGGATTCTCTTGGTACCAATCTTGGTGTTGGCTGGTTGACGACCCAACTCAAACTTTCTCTTCTTTCTGAATTGAGCACGCTTGGCACCGGTAGCAGCTCTCTTGTGGCGAGAATCACGAGAAATACCCATATTGAATACTGTCTAAATGTTAGTAAAAAGTTTGCTTGTCGACACGAAAGAACAACGGAAAGAGCCCAGGTATTAATATCTTGGAGACGTTCGACAGTTGATATAGTGATCTCGGAAACCAATGTCACCTCCACTCGGTTGGGTATGATTTTGTCGGATTAGGTCCAGTCTCATCATGTTTGACTCCCAAAGGTCCATAGTTTCCCACTTATCTTTGAGTACATTTCAACTATTGGTATTCCAAGGCCACTGGGTTCTTCTCTACATCATTCTCTATAACTTAGGGTAGCATTTCACATACGTTTAGTCCTGGTGTTTGTTACTAGATTTCAGTTAGATGCTAAGGATTCTTCAATTTTTCTTTAGAAAAGGTAGCAAACCATGCGTCGTCCAGCCAGAGAGTGCCGAGCGAGGCTGGCCGACTGCGCGACTCTGCGTGCTCGCGACCCTCTCCCGCCGTGGAAGGAGGCTAGGGAAGCCGGCCCACACCGCCTAGGGAGAGTCACACCGATGGGACACGGTGCCCCTGGGCCCAGCAACCAAGCCCGTAACAAGCCGTAGTACCCGTCTCGAATGTGCTTAGAATTCAACGCAGGTGATTTCTAAGCACAAAGCAGATTCTTGATCAAAGGTTCACACCGACGCTCTCAAGTATTTACTTTATTTTCAAATGTTTGGGTTTACTGGCTTCTATGAATGTATGGGTTAGCAGTCCGCTTTAATTTTGGGGAAATTGTGAAGAGAAAAAAAAGAACTATCCACGATTTAAGAAAAAAAAAAATTCAAGTAGCATTGTGTTACCTCATCGGCCTCCTCCATCTACAGTGCTTGTCGCTGAAAGCCTATAAAATGTCTACTTACGACCAGGTGGAAATTGAGGACATGACATTCGATCCAGATACGCAGATTTTTTCGTATCCTTGCCCTTGTGGTGACAAATTCCAAATCTTCATCGATGACATGTTTGATGGCGAGGATGTTGCCGTCTGTCCCAGCTGTTCGCTCATGATTCAGGTTATCTTCGAAAAGGAAGACCTTGTCTGCTACTATGATGAAGCAGGTGCCCAACCTCCAGAACCTATTGCGGTCGCAGCCTAAGTCACCATGGCCCACTCGCCGATGGCCGAAGATAGTAACTCCCAGTGCTAAGGGTCGCTGAAACTGAAGGGATCCAACTGGCGCTCACCAGTAGCACTTTAATGTTGTTCTCTTTAGCCGAATGTGTGGAATTTTAACTAAGTGAAGTCATTGGAGCTAAAGGCGTCATTTGTGTCGCCAGTTGCGGTGTGGAGCTGTGTCTGATTTCAAATATGGAGTATTTTTGCGGAACTGTGTCTCGCTATCTGGACAACTAACGCAGGGAAATGAATTCGCAGGATATTGCAAACATCTTCTACCTGTGACCATGGGTTCCCCTCGCATATAGACTTTTGTGCATCTCTTTGGGAAGAGCTGCACATGCAGTATCTTTCCGTCACTAGTCACAAGGCTGATTCAACTACTTTAGCCTCATACATACTGTGCCTTTTTCATTGGTGCTTAGTGATTTGGCATGTTAGCACCGTCTATATAGTCACTGCTTGAAAGCAGTAAGTATGTTAAGCATCGGGCTTCCATCAGTTCTAACAATGCAGTCATCAAAAAGACTCCTCTGCTAAAGTTCTCGAGTTGCCAGCACTTATGAGCGCAGACTACCATATGAAATAGCAGAATTGTTATCATGTGTCGTGAATGCGGAGTTTAACTTTTCATGATCTCATGCTTTCCATAGTGGTAATAAGAGAAGTGAGTAGTACGATACCTAAAGGAAGCTTAAGAGAAGAAGACTTCAGTCGCAGCGAAAAGTCTTATACTGCAATCTCCGAAAGTTTGAAGCGTTCCATCCCTCTCAGAGATTTAGTAGCTTCGGCTCATCGCATGGGAAAAATCTCTCTTCTTGCGCGGTTTTTTGCAGGGCGCCTTGTGAAAACAATCGATCCCTTTAACAACATTTGAAACTTACTCAGCTTCACGCTACAATAAACTCTTTAAAAGAGGTTAGCACCAATTTACAATGACTGACGAGATCTTAGAGAAACGTAATAACAAGCTCAAGTCTCTGATTATCGAGCACGATTCTCCAGCTCCCAAAGAAATCCCTCAAGAGGAGTTCAGATTGAAAAGAGTTGGAAGGCCCCTAAGACCAATCAAGTACATCCCTGTCAAATCACTTATTTTTTATTCCAAGAATACACCACCACAGTTCTCTTATGAAAACAAAATCAAGACTCCCATCGGACGCAATAGACTTGTCGTGCAAGTAAGAAATGTGGGACTAAACCCTGTTGATTTGAAGATAATGAATAGTTACACAAAAAACATGAATACTGAAACTGGTATCGGCAGAGAATACAGCGGTATTATTTCTGAAGTCGGTGAATCTCTGAGAGGGGAATGGCATGAGGGAGACGAAGTGTATGGTACTTTTTTCCATCCCAATCTTGGATATGGTGCAGCACAAAGCTCCATTTTGGTAAATCCTTCCACTGATGTGTTGATTCGTAAACCCTCAAACTTGAGTTTTTCTTCGGCAGCAGGTACCTTGTTTTGCCTTGGTGCAGCGTTCAACATACTCGACAAATTGGAGTCGAAAGGACATCTCACTGAAAGTACCAACATCCTGATCAACGGAGGTACCACCTCCCTAGGAATTTTTACTATTCAACTTTTAAAATATCACTACAGGATTCCAAAAAAGCTGGTGATCTTATGTTCGGAATACGGCGCTACTCTGTTGAAATCGCACTTTCCAGATCTATGTGATGAGTTAATTTTCGTTAATTACGTGACAAACGCTAGACAAATTTACAAGCCGCTGCAGGATATGATAAACAACAGAGAGGTTATCAGCTATGATGCAGAGACTGGGCAACCTATTTCAAGCCCATACGACCAAGGTAAATTTGACGTGATATTAGACTATGTTGGCGGATATCAACTAATTAGTCATACTGACTCTTTACTTGCAAAGTATGGTGCGTACACAACTACAGTCGGTGACTACAGAGCAAATTACAAACAGGATATTTATAACTCCTGGGACAATCCTAGCGCCAATGCTAGAAAAATGTTCGGCAAATTGTTGTGGACGTTTGACTATTCGCATTTCTACTTTGACCCCAACGCCAAATATGCTTCTAAAAACGATTGGGTCAACAAATGTGCCGAATTAGTTGAGAATGAAGTTATTAAGTGTATCGTCGATAAGGTTTTTGATTGGAAAGAGCATGAAGAAGCGCTCTCATTTTTAAGAACAGGGCATGCTCACGGTAAGGTAATTCTAAATGTGGAGAAGTTTTAGAAGCTCCGGTTATTCCCTCTTCTTTCGTTAATTTCGTCTTTATTTTCTGTAGTTGTTTAATTTCCAATGTCATTTTCGTTATTATATGACTGCAGAAGTCTAAGCTAGCCTATATCAAATTGCTCGCTATTTGGTTGGTTGAAATGTATAGCTTATGTGTGAAATACAACCGTAATACGTCCGGCGAAGAATGCGGTATCGAAACTTGCTATTTCATAACTAGTCCGACAATGAACAAGGCAAGTGCTAGAATAATGTACAGCCAAGACAGCCCGCTATCGTTTGCACGATTTGAAGGATTAGGCCTATTATTGTTCCTACGAAGTTTTTCAAGTTCCTCTTCAGCTCTTATTCTGTCTTCAGGGTCTGTGATGTCGGCCAAATGCACCACTTCTTCTTTGCCTGCCTCTTCTAAAATATTTTTGGTGGTTTCTTTCTCAGAGCTCTTCCCATTTTTTTTCATTTCTTCTATGTCATTCAAGTTTTCTTTGACAAGATCAGGAAATATAGCCCGGAATCGGACATTTCTCAGCGCGTTAAACTCCTTGGAACTCTCCGCCATTTTCTTCTTGTATTCGGAAGTTGTCACAATCGCCCCCGTCGTGCTTTCTGTACCTGTCATAAAGCTCAACAAACCAGTCAATATCGTCGACACCGACCACGATGGATTCCAAGTGTCAGGATGATAGTCACTCATGGAAAGACACAGTCTTGTGTCCTCCTTGAATCGTCCATTTGGCGTAATCATCCTAATTGCAGGAGGCTTGAATGGGTAATCAGATGGGAATACCAGTGTTCCATGGTATTGACCTCCAGCGTAAGGTGTATCTGGAGGGCCAGTGATAACGTAATGCCATTCTAAGATGTTGTTTTCGTTAGGTTGTGCCATGATGAAGGGAGGGGGGTTTTCCACCATAGACTTGTACTCTTTGGTAAGTCTCTTGTGAGCCTGCTTTGTAGCCATTTCAACCTTGATTTATTCTATATTGCCATGCAACAACATAACGTAAGGTGAGATCGCTCAACAATGTCACTTTCATTTACGAATTCATTGCAACTGTTCGTCGCTATGTACGGACCACAATCATAGAAAGTGACACAAGGCAGTGAGCAGTTTCACTAAGCGATGCTAAGGGAAAGAATATTCTCTTCACAGTTTGGAACTCTTTGAACCGAGGCGAAAGTTTGGAGATAATTTTTCCATGGCTGATCTTTCCCTGACCGAGATACTTTTTCAATAGTAGCTTGCGTGAATTGATTGTAAATTTGGTCACAGCAATGTTGCGATAAATAATTGCTCAAGTTAAGAGTAATTAAACAGGCACTACAGGCTTATCTCCATTAATATGGGTGATCTTACTTTTTCGTTTCGAAAGAAATGGAATATTAAAACTTAGCCACCAGAAATCACCGGATAATCACTTCAGAGTGATTACGACTGTTTAGGAAGGACCAGAGCTTTGCCCGTGACGGAAATAATTCATATTTGGACTTTCCTTTTATACCGCCGATTTCAAGAGCTTGAACGACTTCGGGAAACAGGACATTTGCTCATCGAGCACTGCCACTGAAGCTAAGTATATTGAAGCGAGAAACTTGTAGAAAAAACAATCTTCTATAGATAGCCCACGACCATGCTAGTCACTCAACATGATTAAGCTTTCATTCAGTATATCAAGACCATACTCTCAATCTCACCTAATAAGGTCACATGCTTATGAACGGCTGTCACTTGGAAAATTTTACGTGTATGCAGGTAATGTGGAATGATGTTCGTTTCGATAACACTTCAGGACAAGCGAAGTGTTCGTGAAGATGTCTTCTAACAGCGTGAAATTATTATCTGGGAACTCTCATCCTGAGTTGGCGGAAAAGATTGCGAAAGTTCTTGGACTTTCGTTGGCAAAAATTGGCGTATATCAATATTCCAACAAGGAGACTTCTGTCACCATCGGCGAGAGTATAAGGGATGAAGACGTTTACATTATCCAGACAGGTACTGGTGAGCAAGAAATCAATGATTTTTTGATGGAACTCCTAATCATGATTCATGCTTGTAGAACAGCATCTGCTAGAAGAATTACTGCTGTGATTCCGAATTTTCCATATGCAAGGCAAGATAAGAAGGACAAGAGCCGTGCTCCCATCACAGCCAAGCTGATAGCGAATTTGTTAGAGACTGCAGGTTGTGACCATGTCATTACTATGGATCTTCATGCTTCGCAGATTCAAGGTTTCTTCCACATTCCAGTTGATAACTTATACGCAGAGCCAAGCGTTTTGAATTATATTAGAAAGAACACCGATATCGCTAATACTATACTGGTTTCACCTGATGCTGGTGGTGCTAAAAGAGTTGCTTCAATTGCAGACAAATTAGATTTGAATTTTGCTTTGATTCACAAAGAGAGACAAAAAGCAAATGAGGTTTCCAGAATGGTTTTGGTTGGTGATGTAAGAGGCAAGTCATGTTTGTTAGTTGATGATATGGCTGATACTTGTGGAACACTAGTGAAGGCCAGCGACATGCTTTTGGATAATGGTGCCAAAGAGGTTATTGCAGTCGTAACTCATGGTATATTCTCGGGCTCTGCTAGGGAGAAGTTGAAGAATAGTCGTTTATCTCGGATAGTTTGTACAAACACGGTTCCAGTAGATTTAGACCTCGAGATTTTCGACCAGATTGACATAAGTCCGACGCTCGCAGAAGCCATCAGAAGATTACACAATGGAGAAAGTGTCTCATACTTGTTCACTCACGCACCTGTGTGAATTTCAAAGCAATAATAATGATCGTGTAAATCGTTAACTAAAAAGTTAGCAAGAAGGTACTCTACATGCTTCTACATGAACCATCTTTTTATCCCGCCATGTAACCATTATATAAACTCCTAGTGTATTTTAATCCATTTAATCCTTTGATGATCGTTTGAAAGAAAATAATCGCGATTTCCTTTTGCCGCCAAGTTTAGGCAACGATTTGTTAGAGGAGCTGCGCTCTTCGGGCACCTCTTCCAACACAGATGAATGATCAGTTATGGGGGTGGCAATGCTTCGTTTTCTAATTTGCTCGTCGGCCTTGATGAGGTCATCGATATTTTGAGCAAACTTTTGCTGTTTATGTGTTTCAGTGTCACTCAATAGCTTAGAACCCATGTCTTTGTAAAATAAAAGGTAAGCGGTAGTTAAGTCATCTCTATCGCCAATAAACTTGAGAACAGTACCTTCAGTAACCGATTCTACTGTTTCATCATCAAAAAGAAGCCAGCCAAACTTCTCATGTTTGCACAAAGACACGTAGTGACCATGGTGAGGGCCCCCACCCATGTGTACTATAACACCTACCAGCTCGTACTGTTTACAAACAGTTGAGTCGAATGTTGAACAAACCTTCAGATATGCTGGATAATGGATCTTATTGAAAAGCTTGATATTGCAGTTCTGTTCTTCAGAGTATTTGAACCTCTTTAGATGCAAGGCTAGATAAAAAGGTAATTGTTTTAATCCCACTACTCTCTCAGCTTCTTGCAGGCCACAACATTCGTCACAATAAAATTTGTTAGATCCATTGAGCATCTCTTTTTGGTGAAAGTCGGACAGTATCATTTGGATGTCAGTCTCGGAATCTTCCTGAACTTCAATGGGAAAATCAAGAAATGGTTCGTTTCTGTAAGTAACGTTATCGCACGTCAAGCATTTTGTCCTATTGGTCATCGTACCTTTAAATAGTCCTTCAATAAAATTTGCATTAGAGTTTGGCTCTGCAGAGCTGTTTTTTTCGGAAGATTTAGTTAAAGAATCGCTTAACTCGTTCAATAAGAAGTTCAAAAATTCATGCGCGTCTTGGTGCATCATTGTGTTAAAGAGTACATTCTCCTTTTTAAGTGTTTCCACAAACTGTATTGGAGAAACAACCCCTGTGAGTGAGTTGTTTTCTGTGATGATTTCGAATAGATCTTTTAGCTCTGCGTACAAGCTTGGTGAATTGTTCGCAGGTAGATAATCCGCTAATGAATGGTCAACATTCAAGACGGGACCCTTGAGTAATGCAGCCTTTTTTCTCTGTTCGCTTGAAGGTTCTTCGTGTTTCGCGGACAGATCGGAGTGTGAATTATCGGTCGGAGATGGTGAAGGAGATGAACCCGGTGAAGTAGATGAATTGTGGGTATGATGCGAGCTGCCATTTACCTGCAATGGAGATCCTGGAACACGGCCTACCACTATGCGCGTGTAGCCTTCGTGTAACTTCTCAGTGATTGCATCCGACGCCATTACGTTAACATGTACTGGAGTAGCAATGGGAGGCATGCTGCTATGTACCACAGCGGAATTACTTGAGGTTGAAGGTAACTTGGGCAGCTCCTTTTCCTTGAAAAATGTTAAAGAGTTCTTTTTAGAATTTTCTTTCTGCAAAGAGGCAGTGCTTCCGCTCGATGTGCTGGGGTTTTTGGAGCTACCGTTAGGTAATGTCGTTGAGCCGCTGTTAGCGGTGGTTGCATTATTTACTGGCCCAAAGCTAGTTTCATCAAAAACTCTTGGTTTCAGACCGATCATCTGCGTCTTTCGCTTCCGTGGAATGTTCGACGGCCTCTCAGGATGCTTCAGCATATTAACGCGGAGCTCCGGTAGGCTATAAAGGCATTGCAAAACTGAATTACAATAGCAAGTATTGCCAAAGTTCTCATATCCGAAGACTTTATTTGATCCGTCTCCGAATGGATATAAAACAGTGGATACTGGTTTTATGGTCGGAAACTGATGGAAAAGGGAGTCCAGATCACTCTCGTCTGAATGATCCATGTGTTTGAAACTCGAGTCGAATGTATGCGCACTAGCATTACTATTGTACCCACTGTCTGAATGCATATGGTAGTGGTTGATATGCAGATGATTATCGGAGGCCTCACTCACAGAAGAGTTTTCAGGGTTGCCATGGTTCGAATTTACGACAGGCGTATCTGTCGCCACAACAAAGCTCTCTATTTGTGATTCGCTGCCTGATGGCACCTCAGACGTAAACCCATTCTTGACATCTGCTTCCCGGCCCTCATTGTTCGCATTCGAAGCCTTGCCCTCTTCCAGAGCAGATTTCTTTTTGCTTGATTTGTCACCTCGACTAAGCCATCTTTTGAAAGACATTTCGAAAGGCTAAAGTATTCTTCAAACGTCTCAATCAACCAAATCTGATTCCAATTGCAATAGCTTGATACTTGAGAGCGGGATCACGACCAGTCCTTTCGTTAGGTCTTTCAGTTCAAACTTCACTGACTCCACTGACACCAAACCGAAAATGTTGGCCAAGAGAATACGCAGTCGTTTAATACGTACTTCCATTGGATAAGTACAATCGACAACTAAATAATAAGGAGACATTTTACGCCGCTCAAGCAAAGTAGGCACGATAGCTTTCGCGCAGTAGCTTACCTTTAGATTTCGACACAAAGCTCATGAAAGAAATCATACGCTTACAAGATCTAAACTGAGTATGTTGTGATATACATATAGTATTTCTATACATTTAGTAGAGGCCGTCGCATGCTTGTGCAACAGCCATCTCGAGTGTGTCGCCAAGTGGCGAGAGAATGCCTGCAAGGAAGCAATTTTCACATTGTTTCGCATATGGCACAAGATAAAAATCTCAAAAAATTATGCCATTTCCTAGAATCGAACCAGGGTTTCATCGGCCACAACGATGTGTACTAACCACTATACTAAAATGGCGAATTATGTTATCCGTTAATCTTAAGTTAGTCATATGGAGTCTGTTGATACACATGACTCAGGATTCATGTTTTTCAGCGAGCGTCATTGTTACATGGGGTTTGATTACTTGGCGTCCAGTACGTGTATCTAGTAGCTTGTTCGTGTATAGCTTCCTCTAGTCAGTTGAAGGATGTTGAGGTGAATATCTACAGATGAATAGCATTCGTATCAAGATATCCAAATCGGCTTGATTCATGTGATTCACCATACCCGTCAGATTATATTTAGTGCTTTGAATCTGCCGATAGCTTAAGTACTTTGAGCAGATCGCTTCTCTGGAGTTTCGATTTCTAAATTAATACAGCTGTATCGATATATGCTTATTCAAGCTGCTTGTGAATGCTCCGATACCTGATTCGTCAAGTCGAACTTCATTGAAGCATCAGAGGCGAGATGTGAGGATTAGGTATTGAGAATGTAGCCTTGCTTTTCTTATATAACATAACTCAAACATCATTGTCAATAAAATTGTCATTACCACGAATATTTTAAACAGTTATTAAATAAATAGGTTTCATTAAAACTCTGGAGCCATGTTCATGTCGAACCAACCTAAGAAGTCATCGTTACTAGAATTGCCCTCGATCCAACCCGCGCTCTGCTGCTGAAAAAAATTATCCAGCTCTGATAATTGTTGAGGATGTGGGTTAGTACCATTTGCGTCAGCGTCATTGGTCAAGAATATATTCAAATTGGAGTAAGAGCTTTGGCGAGAAGGATTGGCACTAGTAGCTGTAACAGCAGGAATATCCGAAGATAGAGCTCTGTTCAAAGATAAGTTCGAGGCCACAGAGTTGTTCATGATAAATAAAGAATTTGGGTTGCCAGTCATGATTGAAGAAGACGTCATGGCTGCGCGCTTACGAGCAGGCATTGATTCTGCAACAGAGGTACTGACAGAGCGTTGCATGGTTTGAGCTAAATTGACTGGAGAAGGACGACTGAGTGATTCGATTTTGGAAGCTGAATTTGCTGTGTGACTACTAGTCTCGCCCGGAGTATGAACTTCCAGTCTGGGAGACAGAACATTACTCATTTCACTTTGCTCCAGCATTTGGTCGAATTTTACACTTCCCGTTTCATCTAGAACTGATAACGGAATACCGTTAATATGGCTGATAGGACGCTTCACGTCGCCTTGGCTTTTAGCGAGCTTTTTAGCTTGTTTCAACGCTTTTTTAGTAGGCACTAGAGTTGTCACTGTGGTGCCCCCTGGAGTTGTTTGGGTAACAGTTTCAAAATCTTCCTTTGAGATTTGATTGTAGAATGGAAGGGGATAAAGTTTTCTTGTTGACATTGGATCGTCCCCTTTCTCACTCCTACGCTCCTGTGCCTTTTTGACAGCCTCTTCGTTGTAGGCCGGATCCATTTGTCTTCTTCTCGCTTCGTGCACGCACCATACTAGATCGTAAAATAGTGTACCAGTTAAGTGAGACCTCATTCGAGATATTATGCCTTCTTCTTCTATGAAAACCTCGGGGCAGGTTATCAAAACAAAGTTCAATTTTTCTAACACACTCGCAGTTCTTGAAATGTCGTTCTCAACACTAGTCGCCCAAGCTGTCAGTTGATTCCTGAACAATCTGTGAACTGTGACGATAGATTGACGAGCAGAATCTAGATATTTATCCAACAAGAGGGGAGTCAGTTGCAATTTGAAAAGGATGAGAGCGGAATATGTGACACTTTGTCTGATGTATATTGGCAACTCAATGAGGTTTTGATGTTCTAGTAATTTTGTTAGTAAGGTGATTACTCTAGTAGCACATAGATACGCCTCGGTAACATATTTTGTCTGATCCTCGGTAGGCGTACCAGGCAAAAATGCGTAACAGCATATCGTCAACTTAACATAGAGAAAGTACATCTCCACTACGGTATCCTCTTGAAATTTAAGCTTGACATCTAGCCTTTCAAGTTCTCGCTCGAGTATTGCCAATGCACCAGCTCTTTCCCTGGCATCCATTAAGCCATCAGGAGACGTAACACTTGAACCCATGACATTGCAAAGCTTTGCCTGAAAATTAGCCAGACATATTAGCTGACGCAGACGTTTTGGTACAGCATTTTCGTCATCACTTAGGCGAGCATTCTCAATCAGGTAGTCGGTCTGTGAAGTAGGAGGAAGACCTAAAATGCTTGCCCAGCATTGTTCCGCGAAAAATATACCCAACCAAGTTCTCGTTCTCCACTTTTCTGCATCCGGCAAGGATGTCTGTGTACGAGTGAACTCTGACATAAATTCACCCCTGTGTAGACCGAGTTGGAAAGAAAGGGATTTGGCCAAACCAACAAATCTATACGAACAATCATCCAGGACTTTCTGATTAGGCAATGGCCAATTACATAAGATCAGTAAGGCTTGTGAAATATGAGTTGATCTTGGAGTTCTTATCCAGCAAGTTTCAATAGCTAGTTGTTTTATCAGAGAGGCAAGTTGGTTGTATAAAGTAGGTTCAGGTTCTGATAAACATGCAGTAAGCATCACCGTCCAAAATAAGAGCTGTGACTGTCCATACAACTCAGTTGCAGAATCTGAGCACATAATTGGAAAGTAAGGCAAAAACTTTCTGACAAATATATCATGCAACTCATTTGCCTTTGATATGGATATCTGGACATCACCTATAACAAACTCATCAATATTTGCATGAGGAGATGGCAAGAGGGGCATTGTGTTTGTTGTAGCAATGATGGGTGCCTTATTATTGTTGATCTCTTTGTTATTTTCGCTATGAGGTGACGACATCAATGGGCTATTCTTCGAAGACGGTGTATCATGTGGGGTCGTGTGAACGGAAGAGTTCCGTTTTAGTGCTATTTGAAGAACTGGCGGGAGCGCATCCTTAGTGTTATTTGTAGGCACGGAGTCATTTAATAGTTGCGGCAGGTTGTATTTAGAAGGCGGACCAGATCTGTCGCTATAGTGTGAACCATCCGTTGTCCCAGAAGTGGAAGAATTAGGGGTACCTCTGGAAGTGGTCTGCTCTTGCAGAAGATGCGGCTCGCTCGCAAGGTACGTTTGCACTGAAACCTTGCTCTGAAGCGTACGTGGTTTCGAAATAGCTCCTTGATGAGGCCCTGCTATACGACGCGAAAAATCGACTGATTTTAGCGCCTGCAGAAGCTGTTGACCTGTCGAGCTCTGCTGAAGCGCTCGAGCTATCAGACTTTCGTTATGTGTCAGATACTCGATTTTAAGTTTCAGCTCATCAACGTCATTCCTTAAGCTTTGAAGCTGTGATCCTTTTTTTGGTCTAAACTGCGGATCTATTTCACAATGAAGTCCCATTCTCTCACATCTTGAGCAAGGCGCAGGAAAGTTATCGCTGGCATTGCATTTGATTTTGTGCTGCCTACAATGCGTACAAGAAGTCACGGGCCGATGGCCTGTAGAGCTAGCAGTCAGCTTGTTGTTTCCCTTTGAAGCACTATCAGTGGGTGAAGGTGCAGCCACGGATGCTAGAGTTGTCAACTTGGAGTCTTCACTCTTTATATGCTGCTTTTTTTGAGCACTCTGGAGCTCTGAAGTGTCATCGCTGGCCTCGCTACGCTTCTTGGACTTGGTAGTTTTTTTTTTATCCGATGTCAGTGATAAATCGCTCATAACAACATACCAATATTGGTCTTCTCCGCACACAGCAAAGTTTAAACAGTTGTTTTCGTATCACCTATAATATAACCCAGGTTCAGCAATACCTCTGAAGGCCGAGCCTCTACAATCTTCAAATACTATGACGGTTTTCCAGCCAGTTCCAAGTCGTGATGCATTATGTCAAAAACTGCGACTTATCCGAAAATTTTTCTGCAGTATGATCTCGGTCACCAACAACGACGGGCATGCGCGCTTTCCTGCATCGAACATGCAGGGCGAGGAATGAGGACCGGTAATCCCACCAAAAGTGGTTACCGGAGTTCACTCGATTGATCGATCACATAAGTCAATTAGTCTCTACTTAAATAACTATACTTCCAGATATCCGACTATGTCCTATTAAGCCTTGGTGAAACGCAAGTAGGGTTTCACAGTCTTAAACTCACCAAACTTCTTGGTGGCATCAGCATCTGACACCGTAGGTGGGATGATGACATCTTGACCTGGTTGCCAATCAACTGGAGTTACGACACCCTTGGCGTCACCCTTTTGTAGTGCGTCAATCACCCGAAGAACTTCAGCAGAATTCCTGCCGACAGACGCAGGATACGTAATGATTAATCTGATCTTCTTTGATGGGTCAATAACATACACGGAACGAATAGTAGCAACAATACCGCCACTCAAATTCTTGAAGCCCTCCTCGTCAACCATATCGTAAAGAAATGCAACTTCACGTTCCACGTCACCCACGATAGGAAAGCTGAACTTCTGCAAGGACGAAATCTCCTCAATATCCTTAATCCACGAGTTGTGCTTGTCAACCCCCTCGGCAGAGAGACCAATTAGCTTCACGTTACGCTGGTCAAACTCTGGCTTCAAACGCGCAAATGCTCCTAACTCTGTAGTACAGACTGGGGTAAAGTCTGCTGGATGCGAGAACAACACACCCCAGGAGCTGCCCAAATACTCATGGAAGTTCAATTGGCCCTGTGTGGTATTGGCTGTGAAGTTTGGAGCCACAGAATTGATTCTCAATCTTGGTTGATCCTCCTGTTTGAAGGTTCTCAACAATCTCGTCGCAGTTCTCATTGGTTGCTGAGGAGAAGCAAGTTTTCTGTTTTGCAATAGCGTACGGGTGAACATTTCGGGATTGGCTAAACTTTCTGTTTATTACTCAATTGTTCGCAACCTTCTATCTAAACAAGACGCCTCTGCCAATATTCTATCCTCCCCTATAAATATGTATTATTTTTTTTGCATTTGTCACTGTCTCAATTGTGGCTTTCTGGGGAAATTAGGGTAAATTTTTGATCATGTGACCATTGAAATTCATTTAGCAATTGTTGATTGGTGAGATGGAGCAGTTTCTCCTCTCTTAGAACTGTTAGTATTTATGTAGTGTCTTGTTGACGTTGACAGCATGTTTTTGAGCTTTTTGAGTTTTCATTGGTTTACGTGAATTCTGGTGGAAACGACCTATTTTTTTGAACATCGTTTAGTCACTGAAGGTCAACTTGGAAATCAAAACATGAAATATAAGAGATTCTCTAGAACGCAACTAAAAGAAGCGTAATGCATTCCATTTATCGTGAGACAATATAAGTTGATTAATCCTCATCGCATTAGTTAATGAGCCACAATTCCACACACGTACATAGCGATTTCAGCGTATGCGCGGTAAACAATGTAGGTCTTCCACAAAAACACGACGTCCGAGAGAATCTTTGAGATAAGTCGTCCACAGAGGAACAGTATGATATCTGGGACAGTCCAGCTACCCTCAGAAGTGGGTCATAATGGATTAAATTCGGCGTCACTTGAGAATTCCTCGATGAAAGCGGCCGCTAGCGAAAAAGTGGCGAGAAGTCCTCAATTTCGAAATCGAAGAGATGAGCACGCACACAATATCAAGGTATATGTCCGATGTCGGTCTAGAAACCAACGAGAAATTGATGAAAAGAGTAGTGTTGTGATATCCACCGCAAGCCGAGGTGCCGGTCGGGAGCTGATGCTGAACGGAAGCAACGGCAAGAAAGCCTACAGCTTTGATCGCGTGTTTGGGGCAGAAAGCGATCAAGAGGCGGTGTTTGAAGAAACTGCTAAAACCTATATCGGTGAAATGCTAAGAGGTTATAACTGTACCGTATTTGCATACGGGCAAACAGGTACGGGAAAAACATACACGATGAGCGGCGACATCAAATCGATCAGTCCAATTGACACGTCGCAACAATCCATACTTCTGAGCGAACACGCAGGAATTATCCCACGAATATTAGTAGAATTATTCAAACAGCTGCCTCAGGAGAGCAAGGATTTTTCTGTAAAAGTTTCCTTTCTCGAACTTTACAACGAGAAATTGAGAGACCTTTTAGCATGCAGTATAAGAGGTTCAGACGAAGAGAAACATACCGATAGATTTGCAGCAACAGAGACCATCAGAATTTACGATAACAATCACAACAACGCCAAAAGCAATGAATCCTCGATAACTGTGCGTGGGATGCAAGAATTGTACATTAAATCGGCGCATGAGGGTCTTGAACTTTTGAGGGAGGGCTCTTTAAAAAGGCAAGTAGCAGCTACCAAATGCAACGATCTCTCTTCTAGATCACATACTGTGTTCACTATCACAACCAATACTACCAAAACAGATCCTCTTTCAGGTAAAGAGTTTGTAAAAGTTGGGAAGCTTAATTTGGTGGATTTAGCTGGAAGTGAAAATATAACGAGGTCTGGTGTTGGAGCGGAGTCTATGAGGGCCCAAGAGGCGGGATTGATCAACAAATCACTTCTTACTCTTGGAAGAGTCATTAACGCTCTGGTTGATCATTCGCAACACATACCTTATAGGGAATCGAAGCTGACGAGACTTTTGCAGGACTCACTTGGAGGCAAGACCAAGACCTGCATCATTGCTACAATCTCACCAGCGAAAATATGTATGGAAGAGACAATTAGCACGTTAGAGTATGCAACGAGAGCGAAATCGATAAAAAATACTCCGCAAATCAATCAGTCTATGGCTAAGGATTCTTGTATTACAGAATATATTCGCGAAATCGATAAACTACGTCAGGAATTGAGGGCAACGAGGGATAAAGAAGGAATATATGTCACACAGGAACAATACGATCTCTATGAGAGTAATTGTATACTAGTAGGGGAACAAAAGGTGAGAATGGATATTCTTGAAGAACAGATAAAAGGTTTCAAAGAAAAATATGTAGAACAGCTGCAGATCTCAAGAAAAGCAGACCACAAGGTGAAAGCATTAGAACAAAATTTTAAGGTGTTAAAGGATGAAAAACTATCTGTCGAAAGTTCTCTCAAGACCTTGCAAGCGCAGTGTCGATGGTTTGAAGTAAGAATCAATGAAATTCATGTTAATAACATTCAGAACTTGGATTTACTAAGAGAAGAAAACAAAAATTTAGATCGAATGTTGAATGCCAAGATTGAATATATTACTAACGTGAACGAAATTAGAGAGAATGAAGTTAATTCCTTAAATTCAATCAGAAGCTCTCTCCAAACAAGCCATCAAAATTTCCAAGACTCATTAGTACTTGCATTTGAAGAACTCCAGAACCATTCTTCAAAATTGAAAAATGAAACCGACCTGCATTTTAAATCTCATAGCGAAACGAAAGATTTGTTGGCCATCTTCGACAGCCTTGAAGAAAGCATAAAGAAAAAATTCGAAGAATTACGACCTCAAATGGACAAAGTTAAGAACACAGCGCTTAGCTGCTCGCGAGAGGATATCGACGATAATATCCATGCATTAGAAACTCACTACAGGAACTTAGAGCGTACTCTTTCTTTAGCATTTGAAAAGTTTAAGAAATATATGTTTCAGGAGTTCGAGCAGGCACAGTGTAAAACTAAAGCTCAACATAAGCAGCTATTGGAATTGATAGACAAGGAAAGAATAAAGGTAAAAAAATTACAGGAAGAAAATCAGAAACTAATTAGAAGTAGAAATGACAAGGATGAATTGTCAATTCAGCTTAGTACTCTTTTCGGTGACAAAATTATGAAAACAAGGCAAGCGATTTTTGAAAATGTTTTGGACGCTGTTAGGCAAGCGGAGCTTGAACATAAAGACCTGGATACAATGATTTTGTCGGAGTCTTCGCGGCTACTGACAGATTTTGAAAAACGTAAAAAGAGGGAGAGTCAGGCCGGCCTCGCTAAATGCACGGAGAGTTCTCTCAACGCTTTTGAAGAGTTAAGAGTTTCCGTTACTCAAAACGGTGAAAAATGCGAGCGAGCACTGAATGAAATGACTTCGTTGATAAATAAAGAATGCTCCACGCTGCAGTTGGATAGAACGTTATCGAGTGCAGCAAATTTTATCACAAATGAGTTCAAAGATAGAGAGTCTGATAAGGCCAACTTCAGAATCCAGCAAGTTATCGAAGAGATTGGCAATTTGCAGTCCAACTTGGCTGAGTACTACAAAGAGACCTTATCAGGTGCTAGTAATAACGTGAACTCTGTAGCTAAAAAGCTCGAGGATAAAATCAATTTAGTGTATTCACAAGTTCAGTGTATGGACGAGTATGTTTCTAAAGAGCAAAGAACTTGCATCAACAGGCTTAAGGATGAATATCGTAGTGCTTTATTTGAGAAACTTAGTGGCATAAGCGACATAGCCTTGAAACTCACTCAGAAATACGATGAACAGACATCGAATGACGAGACTTCAAAGCAGGCCCAGCACTTTTCGGAAATAATTCGGGAACTACCTCAACTTCTGCGGGGAGCTCTCACAGAGGTTTACAAGGACGATTTATTACGCGCATCACGTTGTAATCAGTTTGATGGTACAGAAATTCAGTATGACACTACAGACCTCTCTACAACTCACTCATCCACCAAAGTTCTCAACCCCAAAGAGATAAATTTAGTACTCCAAGGCACCCAAGTTTCGGATTGTTCGTCCGATGTTTTGTCAAAACCTAAGCGAAGACTGTCATCTTTCATTCCGCATGGTGAGGAGAATCAAGAGAGCTACCAAACTGAACTTTCAACGAAGAAGACACATTTGTAATGTGCCTTTTTGTGATATCATCAACGAAAATACGGAATTCTGAATTGATCATAAAAAAAAAGAACTTTTTCTGCAGTTGTCTTCGGTAAGGTGCCCAACTGTTGCATTCTTTTTCCTACAAATTGACAGAACTGTTTTGAAAAAATGCTGATCAAGGAAAAGTTTACAAAGAGATCATGATTTTGGCGTTTTTTAATGCATAATTCAAGTTGGACAGTTTCGATTGTAAATACTCATTGATATCTACGGTTAAATATGTTTGAAAGCGATCCGAAATCCTGCATTTTCGACCATTACAGTACAATGTGTTCGTAATTTCATAGTTCCGAAGCTACTTCTTTCAATTCGAATGGCTCATCGACTACTTAGTATGCACGTATCCCTGCACCTTATCACTCCGCTGCATTAAATGTCATAATCACTTTAGAAGCCTTGGCTCGGAGTCGGCACCCATTAACATGAACCTAGAGTGATCATAACTTTCTTATCCAACCTTCGTTTAAAAATCACATTCGCTTTTTATCCATACCCTAATCTAAAAAGCAAGTACTTCCGCTTCTTGGTTATTTTGAAAGGCTTTGTAAAAATAAGGAACAAGGATACCTCGATCATATCCAATTTGTTCGTAAAAAAATAAATAGGGCAGTTACGATATATACTACTTGCGATTCTAACTAAATTAGCCGAGTTGCCATCGAGACAAGATGGATGAATATGCTGAGTTTGAATGTGAGAAGTTTATGCTGGAAAATCAATTACTAAATGCAGATGCTTGTAGAATTAAGCAATCACATAATGACACAGTCTTTGCGCTTTTTTTTGGAATTTTTTGTCTCTTCGATGCTCGAACCCTTGCTAGTTTTCCTACTGTTTAGTAATGAAAATTTGTTCTTGAACTTTGGCGAACTTTCCCTTTCCTCCTCTGAAGTTGGTAAAAGATTTAGGACTGGTTGTGTCATTTGTGAAGAAGTGCCAGCATCTCTATTTTGCGGGGGACTTTTCGAAGTATCGAGATCGACGTCCACTATGGCTCTAGAGTGAGTCGTTTGGGGGGTTTGCAGGTTTGGATCCAAAAAAGAGTTAGCAGGATCGTCACCCACAGAGTCGTCAGCCAGAAGAGAACTGGGAACTTGTGTCTCTGAAAAGTTCTCTGGTTCCCTAAGAAGGTTTATTGATGAAGTAGAGAACAAATTCATGGTTGACACGCTCTTATTTTTCTTGTGAGATTTGCCCTCTGGCCGCAATTTCTGGATTGCTCGAACGTCCTTGTTATCAGCTGCAAGCTCATAGTACTTCTGTGCGTTTTCTTTACTTGCTTGACAACCCTTTCCTTTTTCGTAGAAGTATCCCACCGTGAATTGAGCTTTTGGCAGGCCTTGCTTAGCCGCCCGCAAGGCCCACTGGAAGGCTTCCTTCTCATCCTTTTCAAAAGCAGGTTCTGCTCCGACTAAATACCAGGCACAAAGGCCTAGCATGGCTTCAGGATCACCGTGAAGAGCTCCTTGAGTATAATAATGCACGCTCAGACTTGTATCTTGAGGAACGACATCATTCCCAGCCTCATAGATTTTACCCAATATTGTAGCAGAAGGCGCATGACCAAGAGATGAAGCTTGAATGTATAATTCCATAGCATATTTTTGATCTGGGATAATTATATCTGAAAACCCATGCTGGTATATCTTAGCAAGTTCATAGGGAGCAGCACATGTTAACTCATTAGCTTTAGCAGCTGCACGGGACAACCACTTGATACCATTCTGCTTGGTATTAGTGTCATGAGGGAGACCCATGCGCCCATAAAAGGAATAAACTCCTAGTTTAAACATTGCAGAAGAATGATTTCTGCTCGCAGCGAATTTAAGAAATTCAACGGCTTTACGGGAATCTCTAGTGGTCCCCAGTCCTTCTTCGAAACAAAACGCCGTCCTATAAGCACTTTCAATATGCCCATGTTTGGCGGCTGATTGAAATAAGACAAATGCATCCTTATTATTAACTTTCCCAAAAGCACCCGAAGAGTAAGCATCTGCAAGAAGATATTGAGCATCTGCATATCCTTTTACGCTTAACCTCTTTAAATAGTGCTGTGCTTCTTTCAAAAATTGTCTCTTCAATTCTTGTTTAGAAACAGAAGAGTCCCCTTTATAAACGGATAATGACGAAGCGGTTTTGTTGACTGCTGTTTGATCATCATCTTCGATCGTTAGCGCTGTTTGCAGCATATATTGCGCGTATTGAAACAATACGTTAGGATCTTTGGACTTTTTCACATTCTGCTTGTACATTTCTATAGTCTTCAAACGTGGTACGAGAGATGCGTTACCAGTATCTCCAAGACACTGGCTGATCATTTGGTGCGACAAGTCAGCCACAGACTCGTTGGTCGCCGTAAACTGGGTATCCTTGTTATTAAGAAGGTAAAGATGTGAAAGGTCGAGCGATCTAGACCTCCTTTTGCTAGCGGTAGAGTTAGGCGTATCACTAGGATTCATCGAATCGCGAATTGCCGAACGCGAAGAGTTTGGCGTGTGGCCGGCTGAATCTGCGGTCGACAGCGTTGAGGATCCTGGTTGTTCGAGCTGGCGTTGACTAGCTGGCGAAGATTCATTTGCAACACCCTCCAAAGGTTCTGATCTTCCATTTTGTCGCTGCGATAAGCTCAAGAATGATGAAGAATGGCCATGCATCTCAGGTCTCGAAGATCCTTCACCAAGGCCAACCGTCAGATGGTCTTGAGATGAAATACCCAAGTTTTGTCTATAAGGATGAGTGGCTGCCGTCATATCAACCAGTGTTACAGTATGACCTGGATGTATCCTCGATGAGAGATGTGTGACAAATATATGAAACTTTACACCTTATTTTTTCGCGTAAGGTGAAATTAAAACAGCTGAAAAATAGAAACATTTGATGCACCGAAAAGAAAATTTTGTCATTATGCGATTTTATACGCTTCGGCCAATAGAAGCTCTGTGAATGTGGCATGAGTAGAGATTATTTATAACTCAGGCTTCGCAACCATAATTACGTATTTCATTCGCAACATCTTTGAGATGCACATGCAATGATATGTGACTAAGCAATTAAAGGTATACTATACGCGTCTAAACCATGGTAAATATCTACTCTTCTTCCTCTCTGGGGTCTCCCACACCGTCCTCGTAGATGGCGAACACACACTCAGCCTCAGGCAAACATGGAGAATCCACAACTTTACATATACGTTGACATCCTTTTCCCTTCTTGAAACCAAGCCTCGTAGTGGAGGAGTGTGCCATGATATTACCACCAATAGGTTTTTTGGGATCTGGATTATACATCATCCCACCATCGACCTGGGCTACGACTTGGTTGGTGACCACTGCGGCCACACCGAACTGATCGGCCAACCTTTGTAGTGCACGCATGAACTTGGCGAGATGCATTTGACGTGCACTCAGCTCACCACGTCCCGAGAAGTCGGTTCGGTACAAAGCCATGATGGAGTCTACAATGATCAGCGAGAAACGTGATTCACTCATCATCTGTGCGGCTGCATCGAGTAGCCGCAGTTGGTGATCGGCATTGTATGCCCTTGCGTATGCGACATTATTCAGAGCATCATCCGGGTCGAGCCCAAACCGCTGCGCAATGGACACCAGTCTTATGGGCCGGAAGGTACCTTCGGTGTCGATGTACAGACACTTGCCCTCACCGCCTCCCATGTCGAGCGGAATTTGGCAAGTGACGGCCAGCGTGTGGCAAAGTTGTGATTTACCCGTTCTGAACTCTCCAAAAAGCTCCGTGATGGAGCCAGTCTCGATTCCACCACCCAACAGAGTGTCGAAGTTCTTAGAACCGGTGGTGAGACAGATCATCTCAGAGCGGCGCAGATGAAAGTCTGCCGCCGTGACGAAGCCCATAGGTACCAGACGTGCAGCTTCGTTAAGAAGTCTGTCAGCTTTGGCTTCGGAAATGCCCTTAATCTCCAGCAGCGCTTTGCGAGGCGCGTAAGCGACCGCTTCGACTGTGTGCAACCCGTTTTCTCTCAGTTTCTTTAGATCTGCAGAGGTGATACCATTTACCTGTAGTCTATCCAGTGGTACGAACGATGCGAGAGCCATCGCGTCTTCTTCTTCCTCTGCTTGAGCCGTCCCATTGCCCTCTACTTGCCCATTTGCATCGACGAACAGCGCGGGGTCTGGTGACCTGCTAGACGCCTGTACATGCTGTACGGCCGGATCAAGCTGCGAAGGCATCGCCTGCGAGTCTGCATACATCTGTTCCTGGACTTGAGACATCGATATCTTACTTTTCCAGTGTGTTAAAACTCCTGGAACACGTCCTCCTTTGTAATCAAATTTTCTATTTAATTTTCGCGTCACTGTAAACAATCACCCGATGAGGATCAAGACACGTTAAAAAAGACAAATTGCGGTTCACCACAACACTGTGAGATCATATTTGCCAGTTAAGAGCACCCACGATTCAAGTGGAGCTTATCCAATGGCATGAAGTGAGTTTCCAGGCTTCCAAACCTTCAAAACACCATTATAAAGGGTAAAGCAGTCGTTTACACGTGAGATTCACGTGATTATTGGCTTATCGTGAATGTTTAATACATTGTCGACTGGAAAAGTGGTACGTGGTTCCTATTCTCGATACAAGTTCGCACGAAACAGTGGCTCAATGGGCAAATTCGAGCCAGAAGAACATGCACTGGGGGCAGTTGTGGACAAGAGGCTCTCTACAGAGGGCGGAACGCTAACAGAATCGCCCAAAATTGCAAACATTCACGAGCTGGTAAGCGATGAGGGCAGCTCACCCGCAGCCAAAGAGGTGGCAGTGAAGATCCTGGCGCGCACTTTCAAAGAAGTGACATTCACAGAATATGCAAATTACCTGGGAGCTCCTGGAAACGGACAGGTTTTGCGAGAATTTCTGGCATTGCTGAGGCCATTGCCCCAATCGCTGGTATCAACGTTACGCAAGCTGTCCAACAGCGTGTACTTTATTGCAGAGGCTGCAAATATCGACATGATCTTGGAAGCACTCGCAAAGCAATGGCTGGAGACGCACAACGTGGCACACTACCTGGGCGACTACAAATTGTGCCACATAGTTCTGTTTTCGTTACTAATACTGAACTCGGACTTGCACAACGGCGCAGCATCTGAGATGCGGTTCAGTTGTGACGATTTCGTTCAAAATACCATCTATGCACTTCAGAAAGAGCGTGCAGAAGTGGATGTCGCTGCGTTCTCGAGCGAGCTAGCGGAATTCTATCGTTGCCTCGAGAAAGAGCAACTCCCGCTGCTCAAACCCACCGCGACATCCACTAGTCGGCTCACAAAAAGATCATCCGGGGGGAGTAGCCATTCAACAATGCGTAAACCATCAATTTTGTCCATGCGTAGCAGTGTGGCGTTAGAGCGCAGCTCATCTCGCCAATCGCTAGCATCTAACATGTCGCAGGTTACCACGCGGGAGACGCATGCTACTATCAATTCCAAGTATCGCCAGGGTAAGCCCTTGGAGAAGCTGTATTTGGAAGAACCCTTCGATCTCCGAATGCGCAATAAAAATCGCACCCCTTGGCTCATGGACGCACTATTATTGGTTCAAGAAGCCTCCAGAGCTCCAACGGCAACACCTCAACTTCATTCTAATCATCATCATGGCCGCAAAAATAAACTATTTTCGTGGTTCAAGAAACATTCGCGTGACTCCATCTTCGATGAGCATGCGCATCTATCGACAAAAGAACATTGGTCGCGGGTTCGGATGCGCGTTGCTGAAGGTCGTTTGGTGCTTTTCTATTTTAAGAACTCTTTGAGCGACAAGACTTCAGAAAATGAGGTGATGGGCTGGGATATTGAGACATGCAAGAGGAAATCTTCCCAGTGTCGAATCTACAATTTACTTGGCACGTTAGCTACCTTGGTACAAGAGAACATTGTGGCTAGCAACGGATCAGAGTCCACTCCTGCGAGCTTTACCTTGACATTCCCTCGGGTAGTGGATACAACTAGTGGACTTTCATTGCATTTCAAAGCAGACAATCTTCAGACCGCTCGCAATTTTACTGATAGTTGTAACTTTTGGAGCGGCCGAATCACGCCCATTCCTTCCGCCCAAATCGAGATGGTGTCGAACGCTGAGTATGGGTGGAGCCCACAATTGTTGGACGGTAAGATCAGTTTCTCGGATGTCCGTCTGACGAACTGGGAGCCTCTGATGGGGCTTGATGCAGTTTTCGAGGACATGGATGAGAACATCGCCCTGTGGGACTTTGAGTCTCAACTTTATGGGCTCCGAATCTTCACGGAGACGCTCAGCGATTTGATAGACAGACATAACGCCCGGAAACCCCGCATGATTGCCATATGGAGTGGCAATAACCAGACACATGAAAGTCAGTTCGAAAGAGCCATGGATAACTGGAACAACAAGTACCTTTACTTGAACAAACAATACGAAAGACACATTGTTTATTTGAAAACTCTCAAAAAAGCAAAAGATCTATATTTAAAATCTGATTCCGAGGATGAAGAAGCCTAGTACGTCTTCTCGCCGTGTAAATTCTTAACTATGTAATCATTATTTCAGCATTTTATGTATGCGTTTAAAGTGATTATCACTTTTGATTTCAAGATTTCATCAGGACGCTAAGTGGCAAATCCAAACTGCTCAGCACTCTAAGGGTTTCCATATAATATAGAAGATGTCAGACCCAAGTTCCATCAATGGTATGTGAATTATTGTGAATCAAGCAACGTGGATTAAGGATGCCTGTGTGATTACTTGTATCAGGGTACTTACGAAATACCGCCTATTAGAATCGCATTGAGGGGCCATATACACATCGAGCGCCTGATTACTAACTGAGACTTTATAGGTGGTGTTGTAGTCGCAATGGTCGGCAAAGACTGTGTTGCAATTGCGTGTGATTTAAGACTGGGAAGTCAATCCCTGGGGGTTGCGAACAACTTTGAAAAGATATTCCATTACGGTCATGTATTTCTTGGCCTAAGTGGTCTTGCTACAGACGTTACCACGCTCTCTGAAGTATTCAGATACAAGACAAATCTCTATAAATTGAAAGAGGAAAGACACATCGAACCTGAAACATTCACGCAGCTTGTATCAAGTACGTTGTATGAAAAGAGATTTGGCCCATACTTTACTGGCCCAGTTGTCGCAGGTATCAACTCCAAAACGGGAAAGCCCTACATCGCTGGTTTTGATCTCATTGGTTGCATTGACGAGGCCAAGGACTTCGTAGTTAGTGGTACAGCATCTGACCAACTATTCGGTATGTGTGAATCGCTTTACGAGCCTGGCTTGGAACCAGAAGATTTATTTGAAACCATAAGTCAAGCACTGCTAAATGCGGTTGATCGTGATGCAATTTCTGGCTGGGGTGCTGCGGTGTACATTATAACAAAGGACAAAGTTGTCAAAAGATACCTGAAAACAAGACAGGATTAAGGAGATCACGAAATATTATTTAGAGATGTATATTGTATGATGATCTTACATAAATAAAATGCCGACGTTATAAACGCTAGCGAGCCCAAAAATATTCAAATATGTTGTCCGTTGTGTGCCGTTGTGCGCACCGTCGCGTGCTATTTACATGCTTTTGAAAGTACTTCATTTGGAGTTATCAGCCTGCTCCTGTTGCTTTTTGGCAACCTGCCTTTGGATGATTTTCTTAAGAATTGCATCTTCCCCATACTGTTCTTCTTCAATTTGCTTCCATTTGGCGTGAATAACTTTCTGCTTTTCTCTGCTCTCCTTGATATAACGCCTTTCACCTTCTAGTCTGGCTTCATGAAGACATTTGGTCAAGGCCTCTTTCTCATTGTTGCATAAACCTAAAGCTCTTTTGTAATACTCAGCTTGGTGACATTTGTCAAGTGCTTGGATAAAATCAAGACATGCTAATATCAATTTCAGTCAGTCGTACATTCCAGGAATAAGAAAAACGAATACCAGGCATCGTAATACATACAGTGAAACCTTTCTGCCTCTAGCTGTGGATGCATTGCTAAGTATTTTTCACTTTAATCGTGAGAATTGCAGGTATGAAGGTAAATGCTAACCTGGAATTTTTTCAACCCGATATCACACATTTTAATAGCTAGACTTACAATTATCACAGATTGAATAACGATCTCCGTGTACATGAGCACTACAACAATCAAAGTATCCACGAAGGACATCTCTGTATTCTCTGATGAGTATAAAAAGCGTAGAAGGCAGCAGATGCTACGGTTCTTCGGTGCAACAATGTTCACATTAGTATCAGCAAGACTAGCATTTAGAGGTGTCCAGGTCCGCAAGTGTATGTATTTGAGCTTTCATGAGACATGTGTTTGAAAATTACTAACATAGTTGCGATAGATGTTCCAAATATGTTTCAGTTGAATCACAAACAGCCGCATTTTTCTTATCAAGGAGAAGCCGCTAGCGCTCTTGCCTACGGTACAGGGTTAGCAACGGGATCATTTGCGATGCTCATTCTAGGAACATGCTGGATATGGGATGTATCTACTTTTCCAGAGTTCACTTTGAAGGTGAAGAGGCTTATGGGAGAAGATCAATCTAAGGCTTCCGATATCACTAACATGCCAATGGATGATGACACGAAGAAGGTAGTAAACGCTTTGGAATCTTTACTTTCATCTGAGAAGAAAGGCTAGATACATATCACCCGTAAGTTAGCGGTTAATTAGTGAACTTGTACATAAAATATAAACCGTCATGGGATACGTTTGATTTAATCTTCCCACATTCATCAAATTTCAAGAGGCTAAATAACGCTCAGACTAAGTCCACAATTGAGTAGGGCCTATGACGAACCAGAACCCCAGTCCGAGTCTTTATACATCTTTGTCCAATACAGCGGTGCCAACAAATCGAAATAGGCAAAACCTTGTTCTTTCTACCTCTTTCGTATCTGCACGAAAGCTCGATGACCAACCATCTTCACCGTCTAGTCCTCAAAAACCTAGGCGACATAGAAGCAGCACAACGAAGAGTATTAATAGTCTAAAACACGACATTCACAGTGTACAACAAGATTTAAGCCGATTACATAAGTCCAAGGAAGATGCCGAACGTCGTAAGTTGTCAGTTTCCAATGATTTCTATCCGGGAAATTACTCAAAGGAACATCTCCATAGACATTCTGTTGTATTGCAAACCAATAAACAGATAAGGGAAGCTGATAAACAAATCAAAAAGTCATCTGAATTACTGGGTACCCTGAAACAAAAACTAGAAACCAGCAACCCGAGTAAAAAAGAAGACAGCAGTTCTTCGGCGTTTGACCACTCAAGCAGCCTCAAACTCTCTGAAGAAACTGCAAGCGGTAAAAGTTTGATACACGAAGATCATGCTAGTAGTTCAATTTCCGATGTGGACGAAAATGCTTCTGAAGATTTAACTGATCTCGAAAACAGTGATGCTGAAGAAATAACCGGATCTGGGAAGGTAGACGAAGATGCCAGTAATGAGCATGCTACGTGGTTAGTTAGTGATTATCTACAAAGTCTTCAGGACAAGAGCTCATCCAATGATTTCATATTAGACAAAGCCAATGCATTAGTGAGTCTTCTTCAGCGAAATCCAGCCATAAAACAAGATCTAGTCTTTTCAGCTTTTTCAAACACAATACAACAGCTACTTTTGAATGATGATGAAGTGATAGTTTCTGCGGGATATCGAATTTGTCGTCATCTTATAACCGGGCCTGAATTTATCGAACATCTTATGAAGCTCAAGTTAGAACCTTTTCTGATCATATCCTTAGCGAAAGAGAATTCTTACAACATTGAAAGGGAGCAGGCTATAAAGCTGATACGTTCTTTTCTGGAAAATGATGCTGGCATCACTGTGGGAATCGTACAAGCTATCATAAGCTGTATAGAAAAGTCAGATGACAAGCTGAGAAATATTGCGTTAGAAACGCTACTGGAAACGTGTTATATCAATCCAAGAGTCGTGCAGCAGTGCCGAGGAATCCGGGTTCTTGAGTCTGTTATAAGTGAGAATAGTCCCTCACCCTTGACCTTGACAGTTCTTGACGTCGTTCTTGACCTGATGGCGTTTTATGATACAAGGCAATTCTTCGAAAATGGCTTTCGGATCACAGTTCTTTTAACCACGCTGGCCGAATCTCAAACAAAATCTACGTTCAATGCTGAGAAATTACAAAATAGTGCTATGCTGTTTTGCAAGTGTCTCAAGAACTACAACGGGCTCATCCTTTTTTCTGCTGATAACTTCAGACCTCTAAAGGAACTTCTGACATTTTTCCAAGTACCATCTTTATCGCGCTACTTAATTGATGTGTTTTTAGATCTACTGAGAATCAAGCCACTGCCATATGGCGAGGGAAAAAAAACAGCACAAGTTTTCAAAACCTTACCCTCCCAATACGAATCAGAACTAATGCCTATTAACCAATACATCGGATTATTGGTAAGAATTCTTGAAAGTGTCGGTTTCATGGATTACTTACTGCCTATATTAAACGAAAATATCTCCACTGGAAAAAATCATGTTATTGCCGCTAAATTGAGGTATCTAATATCAGAGTATTGTAATATATGCATGAATCTGACTGGATATAGACCGGAACTTCCTGGTCCTTTCGATTCAGTAATTCCGAACAAAACTGAGAAGATGTTATCTGAATCGTGCCAATTTGAAAAAATGACTACCAAATTAAACAAGCACAGGAATACCTTAGGAATGACCATTTTTGATTCACCACATAACATAACAGAATTTTCGGAGAAAATGAGACACAATACTTTGTTACACGATGTTGATGAAGTTAGATTTAAGAAGATGGTTTACGATTCTAAAGTTTTGCAAACAAAAGATTACTCAGTATGGAATTGGAATATCCTATCAGAGCTGATCGAAGGCCCACTCGTAAATCCCAAAAGAATAGAAGTCTTAGCACGGACAACTAAGTTTTTTAGAAGGCTTTTGGTTTTCTACAGACCTATGAGGTATAGATTCTCGAAAGTGAAACAGGGAACACGGCTAGCCACCAGGTATATTCAAGTTGGCTGCGAATTTTTCAAAACACTTACTGCCACGGCAGAAGGGCTGAAAATTTTGCTGGACGATACTAAACTAATCCCTCAAATAGCATCGTTGTTATACAAGGAAATGGAGACTCAAGAGTCAAATAATGTCTTTTCGGAAGCAAGTTTGAAGAAAACTGTGTGTTACGGATATTTCAAAATTCTTGGAGTGCTTTCACAATCAACGAATGGCGTTAGGGTCCTGGAGCGCTGGAATATTTTCACAGTTATTTACAAAATGTTCCAACAGAAATCATCCATAGCTCAAAAATTTCTACTTTATATGCTCCCAGAGCTGGACATGAAGCAGTCACCTCATTGCAGAAATATATTGAGCATGGCTTTAGTACATCAAGATGAAAGCATACGAATGTTTGCTACCGAACTCTTGGGAAGTAAATTAATGGAGCAATCTGCCGATTCAGGTAAACGGAAATTGGAAAGAGTATTTCTGGAACTTTTAATTCGCCAACTTTATGATCTTTCTCCCGAGGTAATTGGTGCCGCCGATAAAGTACTTTACGATTACTGCGTGAGTATAGACTGGTCAAGAAACCTTGTACTTTCGCCTCGACATTTATTGAACCAATTAGTATTCATACGGTCGCCTCTTTTATTCGAGTTTCTACAAACATCCTCGGGCTTTCGGCAATTGGACGAGATCGATTTTGTTCAAACTGAGAGGCAAAAATGGCTTTCGCATAAGAACAGGGAGTATGTTTTCAAGGTGGAAGATTTCATAAACTCTCAGATGCACAGTATTCCAGAAACTGCATCGGTTTCTCGAAGCAAGAAAAACCTTCCCATGCATTTCTATCACAGTTTGGCTAGTACAGAAGATGGAATTGCGCTCATCAGTCAAAGTGGTGATTTCATCAGCTTCATGAATGTTGTCAAACGGCACCGGCACGAGGCAAGTAACTACATAAGCTATGAAGACTGTGTGGAATTAAAGGCTGCCTTGTGGTGCTGTGGGTTCATTGGCTCTACTGAACTTGGTGTAGGCCTGTTGGATAATTATTCCACAGTGAATGACATCGTTTCCATAAGCTACTCAACTTCCGCAACGTGCGTCAAATTCGCTACGTTTTACGTTCTAGGTCTGATATCTAGGACGAAAGAAGGCTGCGAGATTCTTGACGAACTCGGCTGGGACTGTTGTTTGAGCGTACAGAATGAACCTATGGGCTTGACGTTTCCAGCAGACATCCAAAAGTTACTTTGCTATTCGGAGAAACGGGTCAATAGAATTGAAAAGCCTGAGTCTGATCTCATTGACATAAACGTGGAAGACTGCGATGAGTACGCTCCTCCTGTCTTGAAGCTGGACAAGCTTCTGTCGGCTCAGGCGAATATGGAAAACACCATGCGGGATTCGCAGGAAGAAATGAAGACGGAAATGGAACGGCAGGTATTGTCAGTGGAGGTGACAGAGTCAATGAATGACCATATGCTCTCTGACGAGATTTGCGAAAGAGCGTTGCACGCAGTGCGTAAACTGTGCAACCATATACTTTCGAATGCAGCGGTGAAGGAAATCAATGATTTGCAGACTTCTTATGGACCTGCACGCTTTCAGACACCGGAAATGTTCGCGAAGATACTTGAGCTTTTGGACGAACACCGCTTCAAGCCGCAAGTGCGCAGGTATATCTGTGAGCTGTTTCTGAACAAGAAGACACTGGAGATGATGATTCGAAGAGACCGCAAAAGACGCAAATAGCATTTAGGCATCCTTATATAGCATTGAAGAATTTCTATATAGGCTATACGATTCCGCAAGGTTATCGGGGATCTCAATGCGTTCTGAGTCCATGCCATCAAGCTGGAGCAGCATGTGCTGGTACTCCTCGAGCTCGGGTATTTTGGAGAGCAGCACTGGGGAAAAAGATTGGTCAGCCAGTGCGTCCACGTCTTCTAGTTCCTGAAGCACAGTCATGAGGCTGACCATCTTGCGTAGCAGAGTGGTGTACTCGCGCTTGAGCGACGTTTCCTGCTTGGATAGTTCCTCACGTCTCGACAGCAATTTGGTGTACTCCTTGGAAAGCTTTGTGTCTGGCTGGATGGTCATACGAAGGATGGCGGAGCTGCAAAGGTTCGCAGGGACCGTGAGGGAACCTAACCTGAATCATCGACTAGAACGACAATTGACATACCACTGGATATAACCACGTGACCACAAATCAATCCGTACAAAAAGACACAACATTAAATCACACGATACGTAATTTCCTGGATAATATTTACCCGGACAATAAGAGAACGCATGTGATATTGCGATTTATGGCTTTCCTCGTTAAAACTGAGCTTAAAATTTTTCGCATCGCAGCGCTGGCGGGGTAAATTTTAAACACCGCCCACCACACCGGAAGCCACTGTTGTAAGCCACATGCGCAGATTAATGCATGTGAAATAGAAGCTGTAGCACGAGTCATGGATTGGCTACGGTGTTTAGTAGAAGGTAGTAGTGGATCGGTGATTTCCACAGGATTGAAAAATTGACTGAAGATTTTTAAACGAAGTAGGATATCACGGTGATAAAAAAAAAAAGGTATATAAAGCAGTAGTGAAATTGTACAGTCAGTCTGACTTTAGTTTTCAGTAATCAAGACCGTACACAAACCCAATCAAACATGGTTCAATCATCCGTCTTAGGATTCCCAAGAATCGGTGCTAACAGAGAATTGAAGAAGACCACTGAAGCCTACTGGCAAGGTAAGGTTTCCGTTGAAGAGCTTCTCAAGGTCGGTAAGGAGATCAGAGCCAACAACTGGAAGCTACAAAAGGAAGCTGGTGTTGATGTGATTGCCTCCAACGACTTCTCTTACTACGACCAAGTTCTAGACTTGTCTTTGTTGTTCAACGTCATCCCAGAACGTTACACCAAGTACAATTTGGCTCCAATTGACACTCTTTTCGCCATGGGTAGAGGTTTGCAAAGAAAGGCTACCGAAACCGAGAAGGCTGTCGATGTCACTGCTTTGGAGATGGTTAAGTGGTTTGACTCCAACTACCACTACGTCAGACCAACTTTCTCCCACTCAACTCAATTCAAGTTGAACGGTCAAAAGCCAGTTGACGAATTCTTGGAAGCTAAGGCTCTAGGAATCCAAACTAGACCTGTTTTGGTCGGTCCTGTTTCTTACTTGTTTTTGGGTAAGGCTGACAAGGACTCTCTAGACTTGGAACCATTGTCTTTGCTAGAGAAGTTGTTGCCAGTTTACGCTGAAATCTTGAAGAAGCTTGCTGAGGCTGGTGCCACCCAAGTTCAATTGGATGAACCAATCTTGGTTTTGGATTTGCCAGAAAACGTTCAAGCTGCCTTCAAGACTGCTTACAAATTCTTGGGTAAGCAATCTGGCTTGCCAGCTATCACTTTGGCCACTTACTTCGGTACCGTCGTTCCAAACTTGAACGCCATCAAGAACTTGCCAGTGGCTGGTTTCCACTTCGACTTTGTCAGAAACCCTGAGCAATTCGACGATGTCGTCTCTATCCTGAACGACAAGCAAACTTTGTCTGTTGGTGTCGTTGATGGTAGAAACATCTGGAAGAACGACTTCGCCAAGTCTTCTGCTTTTGTTCAAAAGGCTATTGAAAAGTTGGGCAAGGACAGAGTTATTGTTGCCACTTCCTCCTCTTTGTTGCACACTCCAGTCGACTTGGAGAACGAAAAGAAGCTAAACCCAGAAATTAAGGACTGGTTCTCTTTCGCTACTCAAAAGGTCAAGGAAGTTGTCGTCGTTGCCAAGAACGTTTCTGGTGAAGACGTCTCTGCTGAATTGGCTGCCAACGCTAAGTCTATTGCTTCTAGAGCTTCTTCCAACATCACCAACGACGCCGCCGTCAAGAAGAGAGTTGCTGCAATTGACGAGAAGATGGCCACCCGTGCCGCTCCATTCCCTCAAAGATTGGAAGAGCAAGAAAAGGTCTTCAACTTGCCTTTGTTCCCAACCACCACCATTGGTTCTTTCCCTCAAACCAAGGACATCAGAATTAACAGAAACAAGTTTGTTAAGGGCACTATCACCCCAGAACAATACGAGCAATTCATTAACGCTGAAATTGAAAAGGTCATCAGATTCCAAGAAGAAATTGGCTTGGATGTCCTAGTCCACGGTGAACCAGAAAGAAACGATATGGTTCAATACTTCGGTGAGCAGATCAACGGTTACACTTTCACCACCAACGGTTGGGTTCAATCTTACGGTTCCAGATACGTTAGACCACCTATCATTGTTGGTGACTTGTCTAGACCAAAGGCCATGTCCGTCAAGGAATCTGTCTACGCTCAATCTATCACTACTAAGCCAGTTAAGGGTATGTTGACTGGTCCAGTTACTTGTTTGAGATGGTCTTTCCCAAGAAACGACGTTGACCAAGAAACCCAAGCTTTGCAATTGGCTTTGGCCTTGAGAGACGAAGTTAACGACTTGGAAGCTGCTGGTATCAAGGTCATTCAAGTCGATGAACCTGCTATCAGAGAAGGTTTGCCTTTGAGAGCCGGCGCCGAGCGTGCTGCTTACTTGAAGTGGGCTGCTGAGGCTTTCAGAGTTGCTACCTCTGGTGTTAGCAACAAGACTCAAATTCACTCTCACTTCTGTTACTCTGATTTGGATCCTAACCACATCAAGGCTTTGGATGCTGATGTCGTTTCTATCGAATTCTCCAAGAAGGACGATCCAAACTACATTGCTGAGTTCCAGAACTATCCAAACCACATTGGTCTAGGTTTGTTCGACATTCACTCCCCAAGAGTTCCATCCACTGAGGAGTTCATTTCCAAGATTGAGACTATCATGAAGTCCTACCCTGCCGAGAAGTTCTGGGTCAACCCTGACTGTGGTCTAAAGACCAGAGGCTGGGAAGAGACTAGATTGTCTTTGACTCATATGGTTGAGGCTGCTAAGCACTTCCGTGAGGTTTACGCCAAAAAATAAGCCTGAGGCTTAACCCTCTTGTTTATTAGGCAACTTTTTCTACGGCTATGACTAATTATAATAGGAGGCCACAAATAATAAGCCATAACATCTCATTGATTGAGATGTAGTTTTGCGCTTATTTGGGATTCAACATCGGTGCTTTTTACTGTTTATAGTTACTTACATTTCATTTAATTAACGCATTCAACATTCGGTTTCAAACTTTATTTACTATTATGGTATAACAAACCTTCAGCAGAAGTCAGCCTTGTGAACATATTTCCTGCCTTTTTTTTACGTAGAGAGGCAATCATCAGAGCAGTGTGGTTGGACTACTGAAATACCCAAATAAGTTGCCTCAATTTGAGAAAATAGTAGTGTTGTAGATAATGTAGGGTACGATGTCTGACATTGTATAAAGCTGGGGTATCAACCTAACCACGAGTCTTCACTGTATCATCTGCGAAAACCCTCTGATGATCTTATCAGCTAAAAAAACAATCAGATTTCAACCAAACTTAACATCACAAAGTACGTCAGTAGTCGAATTCTCTACAAAGGGTAGTGGTGGCAACGCCGGCTACACATATCTTGCTGAGAAGGATAAATCAAGGTCAGAAAAGCGAAATGTCAGATCAGGATATCCAACAGTTTATGGCATTGACCAATGCTTCTGTGAATGTTGCTCAGCAATATTTGGAGGAGTTTGGCACGTTGGGAGTAGGTAACATTTTCAAAATCACTTGACTAGAAGCTATACTAACTCGTGTACAGGATGCATTGGATTCCTTCTACGCGGCAAAGGGCGATGAAGAGGAATCTAGACAAGAACATGAGCGGGAACGTTTGAGCTCGCGACCTACAAGTGCTGCCGGGATGAGCTCAGGGCATCAAACAGCAAGGTCTTCGGCAAGAAATTCGCCTCATCCCGTCTCTGGGACATCCAAGAGTGCAGAAAAGCCAAAGTTCAGAAGTTTCTCTGAACTTGTCAAAGGGAACTCAGATGATGAGGATGAGCAGAGAAATACATTCGCAGGTGGAGAAACTTCAGGCCTGGAAGTTTCTGATCCTAACGACTCGAATTCACTAATTAGAGACCTTTTAGAAAAGGCTAAGAGGGGTGGACAACAGCCCCCCACCAACGATAATGACGAAGAGCATGCTAGGAAAAATTTCTTCACCGGTAAAGGATATAGACTGGGCTCTTCGGTGGATGCAGCCCCTCAAGTTGTTGAGGACATTCCCGAAGAACCCCTACCATCTAGGCCAAGAAAAGTCACTAGAGACATTACTTTTTGGAAGGAAGGCTTCCAAGTTGGGGATGGTGAGTTATATCGCTACGACGATCCTGCAAATAGTTATTACTTGAATGAGTTGAATCAGGGCCGTGCTCCTTTAAGACTTCTTGATGTTGAGTTCGGCCAGGAAGTTGACGTGAACGTTTACAAGAAACTTGACGAAAGCTATCGCCCTCCAAAGAGAAAAGCAGGAGGTTTCACTGGAACGGGCCAAAGATTAGGATCTCCCGTCCCCGGTGAATCATTGTCACCAGAGGCCGTTGTAGAGAAGAGCCCTGAAGTCGAACAACCTCAACAGGCAGAGCCAACTGGAGATACAAGCGTACAAATCAGGTACACAAATGGGAAACGTGAAATTTTGCGTTGCAATTCTACAGATACAATTAGATATTTGTACGATCACGTTAAAGATAACTCTGAAGGTTCAAGGCCATTTACGCTTAACCACGCTTTCCCCGTGAAACCTATTGAGAACTTCGACGCGACAGTAAAAGATGAGGGTCTATGCAACGCAGTAGTTGTGCAAAGATGGGTTTGAAGTTTTGCGGAAAATCTGACCGGTTATCGAAGATATCTTACTACTTACGTATTGTTAATATAATTTCAAATCACCGGTGATTTGATCCATGACTGCCTTTGGAGCAGGACCAAGACCTAAAACTGTTGCACTTCCAGCAGCAATTTGGGTTCTACCAGCATCATGAACAACATATGAGTTCACACCCAAGGAAATTGCCTTGGCAAATAGCTCATCCATTGTTTCTTTATCTGGACATTTCAAAGTAATCTTCGCTTGACCACATCTCAACCATCTCTCAGTCATTTCAGGATTGTAAGAATCCCGCGTAGGATCTGATGCAATCAATCTGTAGCATGCTAGAGCAGCATGGCAACATTGCGCCGCGACTTTGCCCTTTTGCATGCCCAAATCTTGGCGGATGACTAGGGCCATACGCACTTCACCCGGTATGTCGTTTAAAGACAATGAATTTATTTCATATTCTTCCTCATCGGATTCATCGTCATCTCCGGTATCGTCGTCCGCAAGACTATCTTTATATGCTTCTTCTTCCCTTTCTGCCTGTTTTTTACAATTTATGAGGGTATCCTGAACTTGTTGCCTTTTCGATTTTACAGCCGGGCAGACTTGACCCAAATAATAGCCAGTTGCCAATGAAACAGCAGCGACGCTGAATAAGGTGGCTAGGCTATTTGCATGTAGACCCATTTGGCCAATATTTTGTTTAAACAGAGCACAAATCAATAGTTCAAGTATTCAAAATTTTTCAAAACCTACTCAAAGAGCATCTCCTTCAGACAATCGAATTACAACAAAAAAGTAAAACTAAATAGTGACGAGAAGCTCACTTATTTTATCGTATTTTAGTGAAAAAACTATACATTTAGGAATCATTTATGAGTTGTTTATAGATATGAATTCAGACACTGCCGACCTTTGAGGCCCAGATTTCCTCAGCTTCCAAAATGGTATTGTGATTTGCCTTCATCTTGTTCAAGGTTTCAACGTATTCCTCCTGTTCGTCCGAGTCAAAAACGATACCACCACCAGCTTGCAAATAAGCAACGCCATCCTTGCAAACCATGGTTCTTAATGCAATACAAGTGTCCATGGTTTTACCATCATAAGACCAATGGCCGACGGCACCAGCGTACACACCTCTCTTCTCGCCCTCTAATTCGGCGATCAGTTCCATGGCCTTAACCTTTGGGGCACCACTGACAGTACCAGCGGGGAAGATGGATCTCAACGCATCAAATCTTGTCTTGTCTGCTCTCAAAGTACCAGAAACTTGAGAAACCAGGTGTTGCACATGTGAGAACTTTTGAACCGTTAACAACTTGTCAACGTTAGTAGTCAATGGGTTGCAAACACGATTAATGTCATTTCTGGCCAAATCGACCAGCATAACATGCTCTGCGCGATCCTTTAGGGAGTTTCTCAACGAGTCTGCTAAAATGTCGTCTTCTTCTGGTGTGGTGCCTCTTTTAACCGTGCCCGCAATTGGATGAGTGATGACCTTACCCTTGGAATCACTTTGACATAACAATTCAGGAGATGCTCCGACAACTTGGAAATCTAGATAATCGATGTAGAACAGGTAAGGGGAAGGATTGACTGTTCTAAGATGCTTGTAGATGTTGAATGGGTGAAGTGACGATGGTCTGGCGACTCTCTGGGAAGGAACGCCCTGGATTATATCCCCACATTTGATATGCTTCTTCAAAGTTGAGACGTGTGCTTTGTAACCTTCCTCACCGATGTTAGAGGTGAAAGTTTGGTTACGCTTGATTGGAGGTTGTTCGGGGGTGCAGCCTTCATCCGACCCTTCCAAAATGGCCACTACGTCTAAGATTACTTTCTTAGCAGCTTCGTAGCTCTCTTCTAAGCAGAGGCCATCGTTAAGGTTGATGTTATGCATGATTTGGAAGCGTTGATACACGTGGTCGAAGGCCACAATGGTGTCGAACATCATTAATGCTGACTCGGGCAATTGCAACACATCCTTTAATGGCCGTTTGGTCTTTGGCTCAAAGTACTTGACACAGTCATAGGACACGTAACCTATCGCACCTCCACTCAAAGGAGGCAACCCTGGTACGTTACTTGCCAGTTTAATACTCGCCAGCTCCTCTTCTAAGATGGATAGTGGGTCTACCTCAGTTCCCTCAGTTGGTCCTGTCTTAATAATTTTGCGGGGATTAGCACCCAGGTAAGAGTAGCGACCCAACTGATTGTCACTTGTCGCACTCTCCAAAAGGAAGGAGGGAGCTCTGTTAGCGTCATTCAACTTGGAGAGTTTCAAATATGCCACATGCGGCGTCAAATCCATCGCCGGCATAAAACAATAAACCGGATACATATTAGCACCCTCCTCATTTTGCTCCACGAAGCCTTTAAGGGTCTCTAACCCTGGTTGAATCTTTACAGGACCCATTGCTGGCTTTTGAAATGGTAAAGATCATCACATCAACACAATTTTTCACTCTTTTTTCGTTTCTAGATGACTCACCATTATAAAAGATAAAAGAAAGTGAAGTTAAGGCAAGGTAACAGACATGGATCGGAGTGAACCGGACATGCCGATAGATATGGGGATCATAGGCGACCATATCGATATGCTCAAGCTTTTTAACTGCCTATTGTGCTCATGAGATGCTTTAAATGTCACTAGAAACGATCATACAGAAAAATTTTCCCATTTTAAGTTTGCCACCCCTTCACCACAATTGTAACACCTCTGTAAACAGGACGAGAAATGGGTCAGATTCTTTCGAACCCAATCATTGACAAGGAGGTACACTCTGGCAGTGATGTATTAACCGCTTTTGGACTTTGCGCTATGCAAGGGTGGCGTATGTCCATGGAAGACGCGCATGTTTGCGCAAGTAACATATCCGGGGGTGAGGAAGATCACGTCGCGTATTATGCGGTGTTTGATGGCCATGGTGGCTCTTCAGTTGCCACGTTCTGTGGTGAAAAGGCTTCTGAAGTACTACAAGAGAGGGCAACTTTCAAGAAAGGGCAGTTTGCGCAGGCGCTGATTGACGCGTTTATCGCTACAGATGAAGAGATTTTGAAGGATCCAATGTTGAGAAACGACCATAGCGGGTGTACAGCAACAACAATGGTAATTTCCAAGTTACAGCAAAAGCTGTTCTGCGCTAACGCAGGCGATAGCAGAACTGTATTATCTCGCAACGCGCTGGCCAAGGCTCTGTCGTACGACCATAAACCCACCTTGGTGGGTGAAAAATCCAGAATTGTGGCTGCAGACGGATTCGTGGAGATGGATAGAGTTAACGGTAACCTTGCCTTGAGTCGTGCGATCGGTGATTTTGAATTCAAGTCAAACTCCAGTCTTCCTCCTCATGAGCAAATTGTCACCTGTGTTCCCGATATTGTGGAACACCCAATAGATTACGAGTTAGACGAATTTGTTATTTTGGCCTGTGACGGTATTTGGGACTGCTTGACATCTCAAGAGTGTGTGGATCTGATTCACTACGGTATTAACAAGGGCGACATGACTCTTGAGGAGATTTCATCTCGTATCGTAGATGTGTGTTGTTCCCCAACCACAGAAGGAACTGGTATCGGATGTGACAACATGAGTATTGTCATTGTGGCCTTGCTAAAGGACGGTGAATCCTTGAACGACTGGTTCAAGAGAATTAGAGACAAGAAACATGATGCTTCCGTATCTTTCGAGGCCCGCAGACGTTCAATTTTTTCTTTCTACGAGTTCCCAAAGGACGACTCTGAGGTTTTCGCCATTTCCACCAAAAAATCTGACGATCACAATAACAGCTACTCTTCAAACGATGATGAAGATGAGGACATGGATCGTCCAGAACAGGCTCCTGGCCGTCAGCAAATGGACCTATTCTCGTTAGAGAGCTTGTTGGGTGCCGGCGGTATCCAAGTCACACAAGGTGGCAACAACGTTTCTTACATCCATGGCTCAGCTTTGTCTGAAGTACTGGCTTCTTTGAGTGGTGCCCACAGTGCAGGCCATAGTGACGATAGATCTGAAGATGAAAAGCCTGATAAAATCGAAGAGGTTAAGGATTGAGTGTTTTGCAATTACTTTGGTCAGCATTCTTTTACATGTATGGAAAACAAAAAAACCGAGATTTACCAATGATCTCAATTTCTTCTCACCTTCATTTCTTCTTCATATATTTTTATTGCCGTGACGATTCCCCGCTTCATCCACTAGCTGTATTTGTATATTAGTTATCAAACACAAACGTGGCTGTTGTATACAACCATCAATGTTTAATGTATATCTAAACTTTTTATACATGATTATTTGCCGTAAACTGAACAAGTGTTATTCCACACTGCAGATGCGACTTCTTCGACAGTTAGACCTTTGACATTGGCGATCACGGTTGCAACATGGCCCATGGTGCAGGGCTCATTTCTGCATTTTACCATCGCTTGTTCCAATTCATCATCGGACTTGCGAGCAAGCTTATCACGTTTGACTGACTTGAACCACTGTGGTAGATCCGGATAAGCAGTAGAGAGACCATGTTGCCATGGATCGTCTTTCGCAAGATTGCACTGGGATGCATTTGAGAACAAATACTGATACGACTCGTGAGTTCTTCTGATGTCACACCATGGGGCGTCCGTCTCTAAATGAAGTCTATCTAGGGGCACCTTGGAAGCGCATTCAATGTTTTCCATAGTCTTCAGTGAGCATCCATTCATGCCAATAAAGGAATTAGGAGACAACGCCAAAAGGTCGTTCATATCTTGAAGCGAGCCAGTGAAGGAATGAACCAGAAATTTTCTGCCTGGTGAAAACTTGTAGACGACGGCACCTTGTGAATCAATGGTCGGCATATAATCGACTGATGCACCTCGAGCTATGATTTCTTTCCAACCGAAACGATCTTCTAGGTCTTTATGGCCATCCACAAACTTGCGCATAACTGACAAGAAATCTGCAGCGCAGTTTCGCATGTGTAGAAACAGGGGAATTTCAGGGAAAAAGCAGCTCAATTTCAATTGTTCCTCGAAGAACAGCAATTGCATCTCTCTGGAAGAGTAATAAAATCTGTCATAATCCAGACCTATTTCTCCGATAGCGCGAAATTTGGTGTCATCTGTATGTCTATCAGCAATCAAACTATATAATTCACGAAGCTTCGATTTGGTAAAATTTAGGTCGGTCACTTGCAGTTTCGCATTGAAGGTTTCATCGTTGGTTGGATTGTCGATAGTTGATCTCGTTTCACTGAGCACAAATTCGTTGACACAACAAGGATGAACGCCTAGAGTATAGTACAGCTTGGTAGCATCTGAAGAATATTCGCTAGAGAGGCGAATGGCCTCACGAGATTCGTGCAGTGATGATCCCGTCAGCAGCATCGTCTCGACCCGAGCAAGCTGCGCACGTTTCAGTACTTGCTTGATATCACATTCATGGTATTTTTTCCCATGGTAGATACCCTGGTACATAGGGTCGGTTAGGTTGAGTCCAACATCATAGAACCTGAGTGCTTGGGCCATTCTCTTGAGCATCAACTTGCTGGAAGTAAGAGTCAAGTGGACATTGAAAAACCTATCACTTCAGACGCGCTGTAATTGCAAGAAGCACGTACAATATCCTGAAGAATGGATTTAAATATAATGGGCACACGCTGTCTATAGTTTACGACGTAACTAGTAATGCCATTGATACCATACCTACGTGTGATGAAAGTCCTATTATTCCTACGCTGAACGCATTGCGTGCGGGGCGATGAGCCCACAGAGTATTTGTGCTGCTGCACAGGAAAGATGCACCTGCACTCAAGAGACAGTACCTTCAACGCTCGTGGTTTGCGGTAAAAAGCAGTGGGCTTTTCACTTAGCTTAATGGCCAGTTGACTGCTTTGGTCTGCGCCTCTTCAATTTCACCCGCGTTACCCGACCGCCTCGGGCCTGACCGTCCACTCTTCCAACACCGAAGCAATAGATATAATGCGTTTCCCAGTGGGTAGAGACATTTTACAGGCGTGCTGAGCATTCAGCTCACATCTTACAGCCTCTATAGCCTCGTCTGAACTTCTGCTATTTCAATCCGTCAATCTCTGCTCCCCCACACTATGCACGTGTCCGGGGCCGTGTTTGACACAACGGTTGACCCCGCGTCCCCCACCCGGCATTCTACTCGAGCCAATTCTTGAATAACGTGTATACGTGTCTACTCCTAGCGCACTGACCATACTAGCTCGTAAATTACATCTATGTACCCCGCCTTAATTAAATATTGGCTTTGTTTCCAAGATCGTTCCACCCAAGCGACGCACAAAATTTTTCACAAAATTTTTCACCTCATCGCGACCTCGAAAGCATCGAAACGGATAACGGAAAAGTCATCTCATCGGATTGGTAAAGAACAACAAAACACGTACACACGAGTTTACAATCAGAGTTGAATAGTGTATGATTATAGCAGAAAGCGGGAATTGGTGAATTATGACAACGTCTAAATCGGCAGTTTCTTCCACGACCGGAACGCAAAATAGAAATCCGTCGTCGTGGGACCCACAGGACGACGTGCTTCTGCGTCATTTAAAAGAGGTGAAGAAACTGGGGTGGAAAGAGATTGCGCAGTACTTTAAAAACCGTACTCCCAACGCGTGCCAGTTTAGATGGAGGCGTCTCAAGTCTGGAAACCTCAAGACAGCTAAGGCCGGTGACGCGACCAACGGCGGCGCGGTGGAGGAAGTGGCAGCTTCTGCGGTTCCTACCCCAGTGGCAGCGACGCCAGTGGTGGCGATACCGATTCCACGCCAGGTAAATGCGGTATTGCCCGTCGGCGGTAGTCCCGGCGTGCTCAGTGGGGGGTCGTACTCGTCACCTCACGTCCCTCTGGTTGGGTCTGCTGGCAACGCACATGTAGGCGCGGGGAAGTTCATCAAGCCACGCTCGTACTCCCACACTGTGACACCATCCACCTCATTCGCCTCTGCACATATTTTGGTAACAGAAACCGGCAAGACCGAGGAGGAGAACCTGGGGTTGATCCCCAAGGTCATCGTGCGCAGCAGACGTGGCTCTGTGGCTCAACAGACTGCGGCGCCTGGTTCGTCGGAGATCGGCCATTCGAACCTCTCACTGGCGCTCAATACTACGCTCAACTCCTCGAAATCTAGGAAAAACTCCTTTTCATCAAGATCGCGTCGCTCCTCATTCAACGTGGGTGGTCCGGAACGCATTTTTGGAACGCCTTCAAGAAGAAGCTCAGTAATTCAGGCACCTTCTTCGGTAGCTAGTTTGACTAGAAGAGAGAGTTTCAATTCGTCTACATCCAGACGTGGGTCAGTGATTCAAGTAAGAAGGGAGAGTGTCGCTGCACACCAACCGGATAGACGCGAATCTTTGTCGCAGTATACCGACGTGCCCAAATCACATGTTTCCCACGTAGCTCCTGCACATGGCTCTTCTCTCCAGCAAGTTCCATATACACAGGTCGTCCAGGAGGCAGAAGTCTGGCTCGAGGACGAAGATTCCCTTTTAAATCAGAGACACGAAAAACACCTCTCAATGGATGAGCTCAGTATTTTACTCCCTCATAGATCTGAACAGGAGATTCAATGGAGAATCAACATCCTCGATAAGGGTTCACCCTCTTCTTCGAGCACTTCACCTTTGAACTCGCCCGAGAGATCGATGACCGAGGATACGGCTATTGATGAGGACAATACTGAGGAGGACCCTCAAAGAAACTCTCAGACCCCATTTCATGTGGGCAAGGAAATTTCGCCATCTTTATCGTCTTCATCCGGGTCAAATGGCAGAGATCATTCCCCCGTGTTCTCGTCGCATGAAAAAGACAGAGATCATTCTCCGGTAGTATCCGATGGAACTACAAGGGCAAGCACGGTGATTCACCAACCTAATGTTGCTCCAAGACTAAAATATGTACTATCTTCACAAGATCATCATCACCATCATCATACTATCAATAACAATGTCGCTGCAGCCACACAAGGCGCACCGCTACCTAGCCTGAACAGCCTTTTTAAAAATATCCTTTAAAGAAACTATAGGTTGTCCTGGAATTGAGGGAATTGAAGTGTGACTAGATTATATATGTTACGCAATGTTACGAAATTACATGGTGGGTTTTTTTTGAGCCTTTTAAGGTAATGCAATGTTTCGGTATATGGTGTATTTGAAAAGAATGCCTTGAGCATTTATCATCCAATCTATAAGGTTTAAGCGTTATTTTTCTGTATACTAATAGTAAGTTTGTTTTTTATTGTTACATATCGCTGATCCAGTTCTGCTGCGAAGCCTGCGAGATGGCCTAGGTTCATCTTCTGGGTTAGGGTTTGGTTTTAATTTCCTGTCGTTTCGAAGTATTCTGATTGGACCAGAGTTTTCGATAGATGGTTTAAGATCGGCTTCATTTTCTTGTGACTCGTCCGAAGAGGTTTCTGACTGCACATCAGAGTATTCAACTTCGACATCTTCAACGTCTTCATTCTCCTCCATCATATTTGCGTCGACAAAATCATCCTCGTCGCTATCGTCTGTACTACTATGGATTGCACGATCTTGTCCAATCGCAACGGCGTCCTCAATCGGAATAGTAGTTATATGTGATTGCGAATTGAATCCATTTGTGGGATCTTTCTGATTTTGCCCATTTCCATTTACTTTGACCGGGCTACAAGGCGTTGGACCACGAATTTCCGAAATATCATATGCTAGCTTGAGCTCGGAGTGGTTAATCCGGTCAACATAATCATTCTGCTGTTTACGAATCTTCTCAAAGGCCGCCTCCTCCATCGTTCTAGAGTCAACAATATCATCTTGCATGAAATTGACCAGAAGTGATATATTATTCTTAAAGCTATCTTGAGGCCGACTGTCTTTTGCAGACCGTTTGCTAGTTCCCGTTGTCGTTTCGATCATAGTACCTATCGCATTTATACCTCCTGATGGGCCAAATATCATAGGTTTCCACACCAGTTTTTCGGGACAAAGGTATGCACATCCTTTACTTTTCCATCTGTTGTAAACATTCTCAATGCGGTCCCATCCCTTAATCATGATCGCATACCTTTTTTCTCCTTCCTTTTCATAATGATATAAGGCTTGAAGTTGCTCTAATCCAAAAATGACATCTGTTGGTATCATGCCCGTGAGATTGCAAATGTCTTCTATACTACAATGGAATATTTTTCGAGCAGCATGCACTTCATTTATTTCATCTTTAAGCGATATCAGAACCTCGCATATCTTAATCTTCCAAAAATTTCTATAGGATAAAAGACCTAAATCTGATAGAGGTTTTTCTGGGGTGCCCCATTTGAATTCACGACGAGACAATAAGTAAGAAAAATCGACCAACAAATGACCATATCCCTTCCTCTGGTATATTGGAAGGGTAAGAATGCAGCTCAAATTATAATCCGTCGAAGTAAGTTTTTCTTTTGAAAAGTACCCGACAAAATGAAACTTTGTACCATCACTTGAATCTTCACGTTCTGTGAGCACATAAAAGATGAAGGGTTCGACATCATAGTAAAGTGTCTTGGAATTCAAAAAAAGTTTTGCGAGTAGACATAAATTTTGACAATATATGACGTTCTCCCTTCCATCTACTTCCCACATAGACAAATTCCCGTTCCGATATATCTCATTTCCTGGAGGATGGTACATGGAACACTTCAAGTTATGTCGTGAATACACGTATCTTGAATTCATATATTTCAAACAGTATTCACAGACATAGAGCAATCGATTCCTATTATATTCCTTGGGGTAAGGGGCAGTGTACCACGTTTTAATCTCATGTTCGCGAAAATATATAAAGTCGATTTTGCTTGTTTCTTGCATGACTTTGGTCTTTCTTCTTTTCGTGAGCTCCTGATCTTCACCTTCATTGAAAGCCAGCGAAACATTAGAATTACAGAAGCGTGCTGCTGTTGCATCGCGGAGTAGTTTTTTGAAAAACTCGCGATCTTTGATATTAGGTGTAGTGCGCAAAGTTGAGTAGTCTCGTCTATCAGCGATGGCTCCACGATAAGGAAGTGAGCAGTCATTGTCTAGCATATTCAATAAGTTTTCAGTTTCGTAGATTTCGAAATCATCGCTGTCTTGTTGAGAATTTGTCAGGCTATGATTTATCAGATTGTCAAAGTTCAGCAGCTTCTTGGGTTCGTATCGTATCTTCACCAAATGTTTATGGTACATGCCGTCAGCGCGTGGGTTCTCAGAAAACTGCACACATGGATTCAAGGCATTGGCAGCTTCCAGGCTATCTGGCAATGTCCAGCGTTGAGTGATAGCTCGCTTTCTGTCCGGAGATCGCGGTTCCTTCTTTGAGTAGTACTCGACAGGAGTTATTGCTCTTTTCCTCCTGATATAACTATCTGGATTCTGTAAAATCTCATTACATATTTGGGAATGAATATTGTCATTAATTATCAGGTTTTTCAGAAGTCGCGTTTGTCTCTGGTCCTGTCCAACTTCTTGGCCCATCGCACGATATTCTCAAGCAGTATCTGCTATTAAAATTTCCGGCCGGAAGAACAGCAGAGTAGGAAATGTGAATCAGGATAGTGTTCCAGTCTTGAGTGGTACAGCTTCTTGGTCAATGTCTTGCACCAGCCAATTAGCCTTTAGTTTATCGCCAGATGCTAGAATGTGTTGACATATTAAGGGCGTTTCTTATGCTGGACAAGAAAAAAATAAAAAATGATTAGGCTAAAGTAGAAGAATATTGTAAAAGCTCCCAGCCATACATAAATTTGATTCTGTATCCGCATTAAATACACAAGACATACTATAGTTATAATTGAAGGTAAGCATGTCTCTTGCATGATAGGTTAATAAAACATTCAAACTGTGTTAACAAGGCCTGTTAAGTTTCCGATTGTAATGTAAGCCGAGACAAATAGGATTTTAACGGTTCTCACTGCTATCACGGGCTATATTTTGAATGATTTCTCTCAGTAAATGACGATGCGGGGGTTTAATTGATCAAAACATTTGACATTAGATGGATACCTAACTATACAATATTCAACGCTTAAACTCCTTATCATAATCTATGAATGTAAAGCGGTAACGAACGTCACCTTTATCCATTCTATCGAAGGCCTCATGAACTGATTTCACAGAGATCGGTAGCGTTTCGACCCAGATCTTTAGATTCTTCTCAGAAACTAGCTTCAATAGTTCTAAAAGCTCCTTGCGTGAACCTAGACAGCTGTTGCCAATCAAAACACCAGGCAACTCCATCGGTTTCAGTGTCAACCTTTCTGAATTGTCAGGAACAGATATTGACAGAATTCTTCCAGGTATTCTCATGACCTTGACCAACTCGTCAAAATTTACGTCAGTCAGCGAGCTAGCGCATACGACCACTAGATCCAATGTGCTGGAGAATTTTTTGTACCACTCAGGATCCTCCTTAGTTGCGATGAAATGGTCGGCGCCTAACTCGAGAGCGTCCTTCTTTTTTCTTGAAGAACGAGAAATGGCATATACTTCAGCTCCCATGGCCTTGGCGAAAATCAAACCCATGTGGCCAATACCACCAATTCCCACAATACCCACTTTCTTGTTGGGTCCACATCCATTGTTCAATAGTGGGGAGAAGACGGTAATACCACCACATAGTAACGGAGCAGCCAAGTGTGTGGGTATGTTTTCCGGAATTGGGATCACAAAGTGCTCATGCACACGAACATGTGTTGCGTATCCACCTTGAGAAACATAACCATCCTTGTAAGGCTGACTGTAGGTGGTAACGAAATCTGGACAGTAATTTTCATAATCGCTTTTGCAGCGTTCACAATCCAGACAAGCGTAAACTTGCGCACCAACTCCTACACGGTCACCTTTTTTAACTCCGGTGTGGCACTTTGGACCTACACGAACAACACGGCCAATGATTTCATGACCAACAACCAAGGGCAGTTTTTTTTGGCCCCAATGCCCAGCAGCACAGTGGATATCGCTTCCACAAACTCCGCATGCATCAATCTCCACGTCCACGTCATGGTCATAGAACTTTTTGGGTTCATAGTCAATTTTTATAGGATTCTTCCAATCCTTGTGGTCAGCAACAGCAATACCTTGAAACTTTTCGGGATAAGACATAATTATCTAATATTGATTGAGTATTCAGTTAATTTCTGGGAGGGCAACGGAGGAAACGGTGGCAACGGTGCCAGTATTGCCCTTTTATACTTTCCCGTGGCATCCACAATCGTTCAAGAGTCGCCCTGACACCATCGCAAACTTACCATTGTCGATCTTTCTTGAAATCGAGCACCGATCAAAATTTGTCAGCGAATGTTCATTTGAGATATGATACGACGTCACTTTATTCAGTTGCTATTGAAAGTTTGATTTGCGCGCAATAGGCATCGTGAAATTGCGATAGTATACTGATGAAAATAGTAAAGAAGATAAGCTTGATAAAATTTTCTATCGCAAACTGTCTAATGCCAGCATTTTCCAAATCGATCTCGCGATAGAATACATCTAACCATAAGATATTAAAACACAGGTTTAAATGTAATTTTGCGTGCGTCAAAATATTGAGAAATTAAAATAAATAAGGTTCAAAGTAAAAGCTTAAAACACTCCACTAAATAAAGGTTTCAAAATTCATATCTTATAGGAAATATTTTTCATTACAGTTTATATAAAAAGATAGTCATACTGACAAGAAAAGAAAAGCAGAGTTGAGAGAGTAAAAATCGGAGAAACAAGCAAGCTATCGTCTATCAAGGAGGAGGGGATAGTTTAATGGGAATATCGTTTGTTTATTCGTTAGTCGTCAATTCGTTGAGGGGATCTCATTTATACTTTTCATGTGGCTGGAACTCCGATCATATCTTCCAGCTTCTTTGGGGAGTAGGGTTTCAATTAAATATGTAGCACGATTCTTACCATCTCTCAAACTCGCGCTTCTCATCATTACCTTGCCTTTCGTACCGTTATCGTTCTTCATAACTTCGTGAACCATCTATCCCCACAAATTCTTCTTGCCTTGCAAGTCCAAGCCACTCAAGGAGCGATTCAAACCCTCATCAAGATCCGGGCCTAAGCCCAACTGATTCACAGATGAATACATAATTTCATGACCTTGCTGCTCGGATGCAGGCTCCTGGAAGGACTGCACCGAGTAGTTAGAGTGAATGCTGCCATTAGTGTTCTGTGCAACTAAGTGCTGAGCCGGTCCGAAACGACCCTCGCTCAATTTAGGAGTTGAGGGTGCTTGTGAGTAAAAAGAGGGCAATCTTTGGCCGGTATTTGGTTGGATCTGATTTGCTGGCGGTGACACGTTTGAGTTCCTCAGCAATGGATTGTTCATAGGAGTGCTGTGTTTAGTGGCATAGCCTGTCGGAATTCTATTTTGCAAAATTGAAGAGGATGGAGTTTGCGACGACTGTTGTCTGAGCAATGACTGTTGCTGTTGCTGTGGTGTCTCCAATTGATGCAATGCAGTTGGTTGTAACAATGGAGACTGAGTAGGAGGTGCGGATTGTTGCGGGTTACTATTATTAACAGCCGCTGCCGCAGCTGTAGCGTGCGCCTGTAACAGAGAGGTGTAAGAGTGCGAACGAGGCATAGAACCACCCGTGGAGCTGGGCTTCAATGGCTGCATCATTTGCATTTGTCCCTGCTGCTGCAAGTGGGTTTGGAGCGCTGCGTGATCAAGCACCTTTCTTCTGATGACAATGAAGCTAGGGTCGTAAACTTCAACAAGTCCCAAAAATGAACACATCACGTTGATGACCCGCTTATGCGTCGCTGACAAACCAATCGGGTACGCCAACTCGTGGTAACTTTTCTCCCTGTCTTTGAATAGCAGAAGCTGTGAGTATATTTCCAGAGTGTCAGGGTCATTAAAGTCAAGCTGCTGAGGTGGCAGAGGTAAGTTTGTCGTAGCTGGTAATGGTGCGTAGTACCGCTCGGTAGCGGATGACACGGGAAGTACATTGTTCATCATCGACGTTGCAGTATTCTGCGCCGAGAGTAGCGGTTGGGGGGTACTGGGTTGCGATGTGCCGTTAATAAACCCATTGAAAAGCTGTGCTGAGCTCGAGCTCACGCCCACGTTCATCGTCACACTCGACATAGGCTTGCCCATGGATTGCAACGACAGGTTCGACACAGACCGATGCTGCTCCTCGAGCTGACCGCGTTTCTCACGTTTCTCACGCTCAATGCGCTCACGCTCCGCCTGGGGCAGCATTTTCTTGTATTCCACTCTCAATTTACGACCTCCAATCTCTTTGCCGTTTAGCGTCTGAACCACCTGTGTTGTTTCCTCCGTTGTGGCGAAATTGGCAAAAGCCAGACCTCTGAACACGCCGTTGTCGAAGTGGTAGTTGAAGGCATATGGCAAAGGTAAGCTCATTTTTGCGATTACCTCGAGTAATTGTTCTTTTTTGATGGCAAACGGGATGTTTTTTATAACAATAGCAGTAGGTATCACGTCGTCGTCAGTACTGGACATGCCAGCTCCAGAGCCACCGTCCATTGGATCCAACAACTCGCGCTCGTTGCTCATGGACTCACTCTTAAGCTTCCGTACACTGCTCGTCTATGCTACTTTCGACGATCACAGGGAGAAATAAGCCGTTCGGTGATGGCGTTACCAGAGATGCGGCAAAAACAATAAAAGAAAAGAATGAAGGAAAAAAAAAAGGTTACCCTGACTCACAGAGCATTACCCGGTTACCAATGTGCGGGTAACTGTGTTATGTAATCGACATCAGGGTAACTGGGCTTTTCAAGAAATCTTGTTCCTAACGCGACCTGGAAAATTTGCAGAAGCGGCCAGGTTGGCTATTAAGGAAGCAGTTAAATCAAGCACGTAATGTCCACACCTACTCCTCCAGGCGGTCAGCGTACTCTCCAAAAGAGAAGAGCAGCTCAATCTGCCAAAGAGAAGCAACAAAAGCAGACCCCTACCTCCACTAGACAGGCGGGTTTTGGTGGATCCTCCAACAGCGTGTTGAAGCTATACACTGACGAAGCTAATGGATTGAGAGTTGATCCGCTGGTCGTGCTATTTCTAGCAGTCGGATTCATCTTCTCTGTGGTGGCACTTCACGTTGTGGCCAAGGTCGCCGGGAAGCTATTCTAAGAAGCCTATACTATATACAGGTCGTCGTGTACTTACTACATATCCGTCAATAAAATGGCAGCTACATCACTGAGATGGTTCTTGTGCACACGGTGCTTCTCAAATGCATCATTAGAGGCGGGGAGCATGGTCCATTGGTATTCCTGTGCGAGCTGGTTGTACTTAGCGTGCCATTGGTCGCTGACACGGCGGCCGCGCACTTCGATTTCCACGTGAGGCCAATGCTTGTTACCGACAATCACGCAAAGTGGGATTCCGAGACAGTGACTCTGAGAAATTTTACGGCCTAGGCTCACTTTGTCCCTTGCATCTATCCACAGTTCGTCCGCGTGACTCGAGAGTAAGTCGCGCGCCTCTTCAACTTTAGAATCAAACTGCGCTGCACAGAGCGATATTTCATATGGTGCAGATGATTTAGGCCATCTGAGACCTTTCTCATCGCGTGTCACCTGAGCAATTGCGCCAACCAGCCTACTGACGCCTATGCCATAACACCCCATCTCCATGAGCTGTTCATTATTGTCCTTGGTCATGAACTTCCCATCAAGACGTTCTGAGTACTTTGTACCGAGATAAAATGTGTGGCCAACTTCAATACTCTTGGCAGCTTCAAGCGATCCTTCTTTGCACTCTCCGCAGATTTCCTGGTGCACGGCGTCCACCAAACTCTCGCCCGTGAGTTGTGCAAAATTACTCTTCAAATATTGCTTTAATGGGAAGTCTGGGAAGTTTGAGTGTGAATTTAACCTGCAATCCATAACTCGGATAACTGAGGCAAACATGGCTTCATCCTCAGGGTATTTCTCCGAGAAGATTTCGAGAATCTTATCGTTGCTAGTTTCCCTTAGAGCTAGATCAATGTCATCGTCCATAATTCCTTTTACATGATTCCAATTGAGTGTACGGCCTTTAGGGTAGTAGAGACATAGCAGCGTATCTCTCTCTTTATTCAAAGCGTAACGGACATCCACGTCGCCGCCGTGCTCGCCTTCCTTAACGGGATATGAATTACAAGTCTCAACATTCGATACCGACTCACAAGATGTACATTTCATGAGAACATCCTCTCCAGTTTCGTGTAAGTAGTGATACTCCTTGCTCATATCACCTCCAATATCACCCGAATCTGCCCAGGCACTCACGAACGGTACGCGTAGATCCTGGAAAATTAGATCATAACATTTGTTCATTCTGTTGAAGGTCTCAATGGCACTCTCTTTAGTAACATCAAATGAATAGCCATCTTTCATGAGGAATTCACGACCCCTCAGCAAACCTCCACGAGGGCGCCTCTCATCTCTGTATTTTCTTGTGACTTGGTACGCCAATAATGGTAGGTCTTTATAACTTGACACATATGCTCCAATCAGTGATGTTATCTCTTCTTCGCATGTAGGAGCTAGACAATATTCAGCGCCTTTCGAATCCTTCAATTTGAAAAGTTCAGAGTTTCCCCACCGACCGGTACGCAGCCAAAGTGCGCGTGGGGACAATGTGCTGAGAGAAACTTCGTGTGCACGGCCGTATGTGTTCATTCGGTACTTTATTACGTGCGTGATCTTGTTGAGAGTTCGAAGGCCCATAGGAAGCCAATGTACCAATCCGCTCTGCGTTTGTTTGACAAATCCCAGCCATTGCAGCAGATCATGTGTGGCAGCTGACTCAATCACCCCCTTAGAAAGCTTTTTGGCCTGATAAACATGAACATAGCGTACAAATGACCTCGTGTTGAATTTTATCATCGACCTATTTAATCTCAATCTTTTCTGTTGTAATGCCTTCGGTTTCTTTGTCTTTTGATGTCTTCTTCCGGATGTGTGGGCGACGTAGACAACAAGTAATAAAAAACCAGAATATCAAGTTTACTTATCAATGCAAGAATCGCCAACCTTTCGTTGTAATCGAATACCGACGTTTATTGATTTATGTTGAATTTACAAGGTTTGGAAAGCTGCAACTGGTGTTGGTTAGGCAAGACTCTAAGTTCAATTTTAAATACTTGCATCAAATTTTTGAAGCAGGATCAGGCAAAGTAGAAGAGGATTATGACTGAGTGAGGCTGTTATGTTCTAATTAAAGACATCGTAAACTACATAAATAAAAATTGTCTCTTGCAAATGAATGGCATTATCATCCGGTAATTACCTATAAACTCAACACATAATCATTGGTGGGAATGTGGGTTCATTCTAATACTTTAAAAACTTCTGATACACCATATTGTCGGTTTCATCGTTGTATTTGTAGCCTAGGTCATCTAAAAACTTCTGGAAAGTCAAATTCTCTCTTGGTGGAACTGAAATACCTGCTAATACCTTACCGATATCAGAACCGTGATTTCTGTAATGAAACAAAGTCAAGTTCCAGGAATCGCTCAAACCATCCAAGAATTTTGTGAGTGCACCTGGCCTCTCTGGAAATTCAAATGACACGATTCTTTCGTTGGGAACCTTTGAAGCACCTCCAACAAGGTATCTGCCGTGGCTTTTGGCCATTTCATTGTCAGAAATGTCTACAGCTTCAAATCCAAGACCATGTAGCTGTTGCATAACTTGCTTTATTTCCTTTTCACGGTTGACTACACTGAAAGAGGTGTAGATATAAGCTTTTGGCACTTCGGAAGAGCCGGAATGACGGTGCTCGTTGTAACGGTAAGAGAATTCGGTAACGGCACGAGGATGAATAACTCTTTGCAATTTCTTGAAGGAGCCAGGCACATCTGGGATAGTAACGAGCATGAACACTTCTTTGCCCTCACCAAGCACAGCACGTTCTGACACAAATCTCAATCTATCAAAATTCATGTTAGCCCCAGATAGGACCGGAACATAAGTGTTTTTGGAATGATCAATTTCGGGATGTAATTGGGTCACGTATTTTTTCAAACCTGCAACGGCCAGGGCCCCCGAGGGTTCAACAATACTTCTCGTGTCCTCGAAAATGTCCTTCACGGCTGCACAAATCTCGTCAGTGTTCACTAGAACAACTTCATCCACAACTTGCTGAGCTACACGGAAAGTTTCTTCACCAATTAAACGAACGGATGTACCATCAGCAAAAGTTCCCACAGATGGAAGGGCGACACGCTTCCCTGCTTTCAAAGAGGTGTACAAAGTGGCAGCATCGTAAGTCTCAACACCAACAATCTTGATATGAGGCGCGATTCTCTTCAAATAGGCACCAATACCTGCAACCAAACCACCACCGCCTACAGCACAGAATACAGCACCAATTTTGGAAGCTTTGTGAACCTGTCTTAGAATCTCCATAGCAATTGTGCCTTGCCCAGCAATGACATAAGGATGGTCAAATGGTGGAATGTTGGTGAGTCCGCGTTCTTCAGCCAAACGCGCGCACTCGCCCTTGGCTTCATCGAAATCTGATCCGTACAGAACAACCTGTGACCCAAGTCTCGACACATTCTGGTATTTAATGGAGGGCGTGTTAACGGGCATCACAATTGTCGCAGGAATATTCAAGTGTCTCGATGCAAAGGCCACACCTTGTGCATGGTTTCCGGCTGAACAAGCGATGACACCTTTACTTTTCTGCGCATCATCCAATTTGGCGATCATGTTGTAAGCACCACGCAACTTGAACGAAAACACAGGCAGTAGATCTTCTCTTTTCAATTGAACATTCGTGTTGAGACGAGAAGAAAGGCCCACACCATGAGAAATTGGCGATTCTCCGATGACATCGTACACGGATGAGCGCAGAATCAAACGCACATAGTCGGCTGTTTTATCAGGCAGCAACTCATCCGTCTTCAATGCGGAATGCATTTTCGCCAAAGTGGGCGACAACGAGGACTGCAAACGTACCAGCAGTTTTACATTCACAGCTGGTCTACCGGCAGACAAAAGCGTAGTTGACATTTGGAGTCTGTGATGATTCATTTCTCTTAAAAGAGAACATGCTATAATTTTTTCACCAGATTTGTCCGAATCACAGGCAGCGTCTGATCACTGGGCACGTACCACCAAACAAGTTGAGGAAACGTGGAGAGAAAAGTGCTCTTCAAATCGAGAAATAGTGTATTTAGTTGGTATTAGACGAATCTTGTGCTGTACTGAATTTAACAAATTTGATTCAAATCCACTTGGATGACTGGACTGAAGAATTTCGAGAGCTCAGATTTGTGGGAGCCCTTTGCGATTGGCAAGGCGACCGCATAGTAGACTACATCATACAGTTGTGCACTAAACCTTTCGATAGGCTCTAAGGCTTTTCAGTTTGTGCATCGGAGAATTGTCTTTTCCTCAATATGTTTCTCGTGGCAGTATACGAACATTTCGGGGAATAGTACATTCTCATTTGTAAACGGGAAACACATGTGATTATCTGGATATCTCCGAGGACTGCGCACTCATCACCGCTTGTGTAGCTACTTCCTCGAGCATCATTGGCCATATGATGCCGACAATTACATCTTTCCTGAAAGGGTAAATATGATGCCCAAAAAAGGTCACGTGCTGTGACAGATATTCCCAATGTGGAAATTAGTAAATAGCCATCTGAATAAGAACAACGTCCACTCACAAAAATCTTATACCTTACCGACATTGTAAACTTGGGTACCATTTGAAAAAAAAAGCGTTTTGAGACCAACAGTACCACTGTTTAACTGGTCTTATCGCAACGATTTCTCGTCCCATCCTATAGCTAGCAAAAAAGAGAGGTCATCGATATCCAACTACTTTGTCATTCGTTTATGCTCCCAGGTCAAGGAGCTATCTGATCCTTTCACATTCCTTCGAACTTCAATTTTAAAAGCACATCTCAATTCCAAAATGAGCACGCCTACGATGAGCGCTGAACAGCTCAGTCCGAAAATGTCGCCCACAATGTTCCACTTAGACGATAATTTGCCGTCCTTAGGTGCTCCCTCCTTCATGTACCTAGATGATAACAAGCAGTATCCGACCATGTACAGGACTTCGCTCTCAAAACTTAGCGAAAGAGGCCGCCAGGGTCGCAATCGTCAAGTGACGCCCACCACACCTACAAAACTACTTCGCTCTAATTCTCCGATACGGACGATGCTCAATAATGCTCCCAAAATGCTTAAGCCCGAATACATAGCACCACCCAAGCTATGCTTTGGGAAGGGAATCTCCAATATTGCAACCCCGTCGATGATATTGACGTCTTCTAAACTGAATTTTGGCGCCGGGTTGCCAAAATCATCCACCAAGACACAGTCACATTCTCGAGGCTTGTCGAGTGTCAGCACCACCACTAGCGAGGCAACTGCGTGCGAACCATGTAGCGGGACTTCAGATCCGTCAATAGCAGTGCCGACGACTTCAAGTGTTACCGTTAAAAACGCTGCAGAATACAAATTCCTCGCCGAAACGTCGACAGCATCCTCAAGCTCCACTTTAGATCTTAAAGAACTTCCGAATGAACTACAGTTCGAAATGCCCATGACTAAAGCTGAATTTGTCCTGGCGACCCAAAGCAAAAGAAGCAGTTATATCTCAAGTGTGGGATCAACACAGGACGATGATCTAGGTGAGTGGTTTACAAATTATCCAGAAGACAGACAAGCTTTACTGCCCACAAATGAATCATCAGAACAACGGGAAGAAGCTCTCAAATCCGAGAGCATTCTACAAAGCGAACATCTAGCGCTGCGTATAAAACAGTTGGAATTGCAAGTTACAGAGCTTAGATTACAAAACAGTGATTTGAGAAATTCTATAGTAACACATAGAACTGTTCAGGACAAGTGCATGTTTGATGCCTTCAACGAGGCTCAACGTGAGAAAGAGCGCACACAGGTGGAGATGGAACGCAAGATGAAGCAACTGAAGAAGCAAATCGACAACTACAAGATGGTGATCAAGAAGCTGACGAGCCCTGTAAAGACGGCACCCGTCTCGAAACCCAGGGTTCAAATGTTGGATGCTTCGACCTTGGACAACATCACGGAGATCGAGACGAGCGATGACGATTCTGCAAACACTTCGATAGATGGCAGTGGCAATGACGATGCGGAATCGTCTGAAGCTCAGAGAGCGCAGAAGCCCTCTGGTTTTGATCTCAAAGTGTCACTGGCGACACGGTGAAATCCATGGTATCATTCCTAGTGGACAATTAAAAAATGACAATTAAAATAGTAATTAGAAAACAGAAAAAAAAAACCTTCAGTGTGTCGATTGCCCCATTAATCGCCAGCTGTCTCATGCATGCAAACATATTCAAGATTAGAAATGATAACAGAAGCCTCCCACGTGGAATTATCACACGGATCAACAGTCTGTGAAGTTAGATGCATCTTTCACCTTGAGCGTTCCTTCTATATATAATAAAAACATCCCGGTCTGCATTTTACCTCAGTTTACGTAAGTATCACACAACCATGGGAGTTGGAAATCTCCTTATGCTCAATATAACATAATATAATCAGAGTTTAGATATAAATAAGTATGGAATAAAAAGAATTGGACGAGTCCGGAATCGAACCGAAGACCTCTCCCATGCTAAGGGAGCGCGCTACCAACTACGCCACACGCCCAGTTGATTGGAGTCTTGAGAAGACAGAAACACTATACCGTACATAGGAGCTCATGCAGATTGCCAAATGACAACTTTAGCGTGTCCTCGAAGTTACCAAGCATCTACCATAGTGGCATCCATCAAAGGTATGCGCATTGGTATTTTCTCTGCTTTGCGTATTTATGTAAAATGCAATAACGACATGGTGAAGACCTTTTCAGCAAGTTAACCGATAAGAGGAATGAGAAAAGAGCTAGACTAAATAGTTAACACGAAAAGTGCATAAGGTCGATTTGTATCAATGCTAGTAGATGATATGATGCGTAGCAGTTGCTCTATGTTTAGGAGGACAACTGTAAATAATCTTCAAAAAGAATGGACGAGTCCGGAATCGAACCGAAGACCTCTCCCATGCTAAGGGAGCGCGCTACCAACTACGCCACACGCCCAATTGATGGAAACTACGAAAGCCACACAGAGACATGTCAGGGGCAAGTGGCACATGCCGTTGCCATGGATTTTATCGTTTTCCATTATTTCAAAACGCATCTAAGCAGGTTCTTGATCCTCAAACATTTTACTGTATTCTGTAGGAAGGGATTCTTTACTACGTAAGTTATACTGGGATCTATTTAACGTCGATTCAGTATCTTTTGAGCTGTAAATTATCCGTCAACTGCAAATGTCGTCTTCCAGCAGCAAGCCGAGGCCCAAGCCTTGGGAATCACATCCACCGCTGGATGCTGATACGGGAAATTCAGTCCTTGTAAGCCCAAATTCAGGCCACGAAAACAATGAAAACCACACAACGAATCAGGAAAAGCCAGAATTACCTAGCAAACCTAGTGTGCTAGCATCGGATAATTTAGGTTCTAACACCAGCTACGCGCGGAATACGTACAACGGAATGGGGTCTATGTACGGTGGTAACTCGCTGTACGGCAATCCTTATGGGAACTCACTCTATGGAGGCGGAATGGGATCTATGTATGGTGGATATGGCTCCATGCACAATGGATACAGTTCCATGTATGGGGGGTATGGCTCTCCTTACGGAGGCATGTATGGTATGAACCAGCAGGGAGGGCCACAAGGATTAGCGGAGTCCACACAAGCAACTTTCCAGCTTATTGAGAGTCTTATCGGAGCAGTTGCTGGATTTGCTCAAATGCTAGAAGCTACCTACATGGCTACACATAATTCATTTTTTACTATGATCTCGGTGGCAGAGCAATTTTCATATTTGAAAGAGATGCTAGGGTCATTTTTTGGTATATTCGCTGTCTTAAAGGTGATGAAGAGGCTTCTTTATAAGGTAACTAATGGCAGAATTGGCAGCCCACCTAGGAAAGTTTTGAAAGAAGGATCTAGTAACAAACTTGTGCAAGAATTTGAGAAATTGCACGAAAATGACGGAAAACCCCGCTCTAAGAAGCGTATTTCTTGGAAGCCGTTACTCATCTTTTTGGCGGCTGTCTTTGGATTCCCTTTTCTACTGAATAAGTTCATCTCCAAGCTTGCCCAGATACAACAACGTAAAATGGGAGGAACCATGCAGCAACAGGTTGGACCACTTGATCCGCGCAACCTGGAGTTCGCTAGGGCAGTTTACGATTTCACACCCGAGAACCCACAAATCGAAGTGACCTTGAAAAAGGGCGACCTCATGGCCATTATTTCGAAGCGCGACCCCATGGGCAATGAGTCGCAATGGTGGAAAGTCCGCACAAAAAAGGGCGACATGGGTTATGTCCCAAGCAATTACATCGAGCTGATCAAGAGGCACAAGAAAATCGAGAGCGTCGAAGAGCCCGCGGCGGCGCAGGAACCTGCGAATGCACAGTAGCTCTCTTGAGACACGCTCGCCAATGCATCATGTAATAATTATTCTTTTCACTACAAAAATGTCGCCTATACTCGCGTGGTTGCTGCTCTGCAACAGCCATTGCATATATATACGTCCATCAGTCATAGCATGCTTAATTCCCGTTACTTTACTTTGGCCGTGTCCGTCTGCGCCGAGACAGAACACTTGGCCATTTTCATGCTCAATTCTTGTACTTATATTCTTTGGCCATTTGCTCTGCGCCCTCGACACTCTCAGCGGCCTTCTCCTTGGCGGTGTTTGCAGGGTCCTTGACGTAACGCTTGGCAGCATCACTGGAGTCCCACTTATCCTTTGCATTCTGCGCAGCATCTTTGGCTTTTTGCGCGGCCTGCTGCGTCTTGTCAATGCCATTGGCGGCCGCTTGGCCTGTCTTCTTGTTCACAGCATCAAGACCTTCCTTGCCGACATCTGCTGCAGACTCTGAATGCTGCCATTTGTCCTTGACTGTCTCTGCGCCCTTCTGGGCCTTGTCGATGCCCTCAGCTGCAGCTTTTCCGACGCCCATGTTGGCTTTGTCAAGGCCTGCATGCGTGGCCTCCTTGGCAGTGCCCACTTTCTCGCCGATATTGTGAGAAGCTTCTTGCGCACTCTCGATCCCGCTGGCAGCGGCCTGCCCAATCTTCTTGTTGAGGTCACTGAGCGTGTCTCTGACCTTTTCACCGATGTTGGTCTGCGAAACGGACGACGTGTGGAACGCGGATGCGGATGCAGAAGTCACGATCACTGGGATCGCTGGGAATGTAGATGGTCTTCTCAAAGATGAAGAAACTGCTGTCTTTAACATTTGCATTATAGATTTTTTAAAGCTTCGATGTCTTTTACAATGACTTGTGAGTGATTGCGATACTCTTCTACAAATAAGAAACTCCAGACTGCCTTCCCTTCTCAAACCTACACTTATATACAATGAACTTGCCCACTCCGGATGTGAGACCCCACTGCAACTTTTGCAACAGTTGCACACGTCCTCCTTTCGTACTGTGCAAAAGCAAAGCACTCTTGATGATTGCGTTTACTGCAACATCGCTAAGTGCAATCTTGCTTTGAAAAAAAAAAAAGGACCCGTAGCCAGTGGAAATAGTTACGTAACAGTTTACCGGACAAGAGTAGTACCTGGAAAAAGTCGTAGGAGTCAATAAGGTTCCAATCGTACACCATTCATCTAGTAGTTGTATTGAGGATTGCAACCCGATCTGACGTGAGCTTCCAGTAGCAAGAAGAAGCTGGGGACGTCCTATTATGTAAGTACGCAGAGCGGACCGTAAGACAAGTGAGCAAGAGTCACTACATTGCACTGCCGGTCGTATCGAAAAGAGGTGGGATCTTGCAGTAGGTGACAGATGGTTCGGAGGTACAATATCTTGACTGCGATTGTCGGGTGGGAAAGAAGACGCAAATACGCAAATCTCAGCATCGAACACGACACAGGTACAGTACGCCCTGGTGCTGAAGTCAGCGTGATGACTCTAAAATTCCTCTAGCGTTAATTTGCGCTGCGGCAGCACACTTGGTCCCGCCGTGAACAGCGTTCTTTAAATGGATGTTGAATATTGGTATGTAAGAATATACGTAAAAAATGTCCGGTTCCCAACCAAATTAGTGCTCATGGTCGTTGGGATCGATCTTGAAGATCTTATCCGGGTTGAGAATGCGCTTGGGGTCCGCAGCCAGCTTCAACTGGCGCATGAAGTCGACTGGGGCTTGGCCGAGCTCTTCCAACAGAAACTCCCGTTTGCCAATGCCCACACCGTGTTCACCGGTACAGGTACCTTCTGCGTCAATAGCACGCTTTACCATGTTGCGCACCAGTGTGTCTGCAATGCTACGTTCCTTCTCAGTGTACACAATGAAGGCGTGGAAGTTACCGTCACCCGCGTGGCCAACAATTGCGCTGATGAGCCCAGATTTTTGCATCTCCTCCTTGGTGTTTTCAATAACCTGCGAAAACTTAGACAATGGAACAGCCACATCTGTGGTCCACACGTTGGCGTCCTTGTTGGCTTCTTTGCCAGCATTGATTACAGACCAAAGTGCGACCTTACGTGCTTCCCACAACTCTAGCTTTTCATCGTCAGTTTTGGCAAATTCGAACTTGTGGCACTTATGAGCCTCAGCAATGCGGTTGACTTCTCCCACAAGTTCCTTGATAATGTTGTCGTTTCTCCCACCAATCTTGAAGAACAGCGTAGGGGCCTCGACCCAGTCAGTCTTGTAGGTAGCACCGCTCTTGTTAATAATTTTCATCATATTATCATCTAGCAGTTCCATGGCGTCCAATTGAATACCCTCCTGAATGATACGGGATGTGCAAGCGGCGGCGTCTCCTACAGTGGGGAAAGATACAACAGCAATGGTTTGCTTCTTGGGCATGACATGACACTTGATGGTAGCCTCCGTGACGACTGCAATTGTTCCTTCCGAACCAATTAGCAACCCGTTCAAATTATAACCGGCCGAAGACTTTCTTGGTCTCTTTCTAGTTTTGATAACCGTACCGTCTGCCAACACAGCAGTAATATTTACAACATTTTCCTTCATAGTCCCATACCTGTAGGCGTTGGTGCCCGAGCATGAGTTTGCAATGCACCCACCGATCTGCGCACCTGGACCAGGGTCACAACCAAACATCAGTTGTTGGTCGTTCAAAAATTCGTTCAAGTCTTCCCAAGGTACACCGGCCTGAACTTCAACGTCCAAATCCTCTTTATTCAGTTTGATAATTTTGTTCATGAACTTGGATAGGTCGATCATCACAGTACAGCCAACACGAGTAGGTAGGAAATGGCCTTCCAATGAAGTACCACCCGAAAAGGGGATAACTGGGATATCGTACTCGTGGCACACCTTCATGATTTCTGAAACTTCTTCGGTATTGTGAGGGAATAGTACAATGCGGGGCCTTTGTTCGGCCGTGGCGTGGTGAGAATTGAAATACGTATCAGAATGAGCATCAAGGTCGGTTTTTGCAACAGTGAAACTGTCCTCATTGTTGCCCACAATGTGCTTCAACTTGATCACTGCGTCGTCAAAGACTTTAGGATCATGACAATACTTGGGTGGTAAGATTTCATCCAGTCTAGTGGTCGAACTTGTGTCATCATCTTTGTCTGAATATCCAAGAGTCACTAGCGCAGCACCTGCCAAAGATCCTGCCAATGCACCTGCGAACAGTCTACCGTTAGTGTTCGTAGCTTTCGTGACTGCTCTAACAGGCTCCGAAGAATAGAAGCGGCGCACGGCCAATTGGCTAGCACTCGAAAATAGCGAGCGTCTCAGTAAGCTTCTACCAATCATAGAGTTTCTATAGAGCAATTTTCAATCAAGATTGACTCCTATTGTTTGTCTTCCGTCTCACTTTTATAGCCGTGCCAAGAATCAAAAAGCGTGGGATATATCGCTCGGAGCGTGGGTAGTGTGGGATTTTGCGGAGTAAGGTGTGAAAAAAATGGCAAACCTCGAATAAAAAAAACTCAAAGAACATCTGATGCATCCAATTGCTGAGTAAGTTGATTATTGCTACGCTGACGTATGTTCTTTTGTATATAGTTTCTTTGGCAGGATAAGAGCGGCACATATCTGACGAATTGTTCGAGCGATAGTTGCCCTGGCGTTTTTTACTCTCACGCTGGAGCCAGGATGTATCGTAGGGACCCTTTGCTTTCAAAAGTGCATACTTATGCATCGAACTTGTATTTAAATCTTTTCGATGGTGTTTTCTTGGTAAATTAACTCCCTCTCGATCGCTATATAGAACCGTCTTAAGATTTCGAATGCGGAGAAGAATCTCGAATTAACATTCTGAAGTTTACGGAAACATTCAGTAATCATAAGCTTGGAATTGCGTTCACATAATTGATTTCTCCACCGGATTTTCACTTCAGTTTTCAAAAATATTATAATCACAGGACAATGGAGCCTGCTAACGAGTCAAAAGTATATCCACAAGCAAGCTATATTCATTATTCATTACTAGCTCAGGATACGCAGCTGTACTCGCCGTGGTTCAGATCAGCAATTCAACAGCTCGGATACATTATTACCCCCCAACTGGCTCCTTGATGTCAGTTTTAAGTCTAAGTGATTTGAATTACGACTTCCATCTTAAGTACAGATAGAAAATGAAATGTGGTAATATACGTAGGAGCATGGTTCTATTATATCCAGAGTTGGCTCTGATTTACAATGATTATTTATCCATTACTAGCAAACAGAGAGCAGGGACAGACTTTGCAACTTCTTAGCACGTTGTCACTTCTCTATTACACTAGAAGCATCAAAAGTTTCCCAACAGCCGTAAGCTTATATATCGCAAAATGAAGTCCTGCCCATAGACAGATGCGCTCCTCGCGTAGCACTTATATTAGACTACACGTGCGAGCTGAGGTGAGTGAGCCTTTCTATCACCAACATTACATGAAGTCGTCATCGCCAAAGTCGTCAAAGTTGCTGCCGTCGAGATCAAAGTCTTGATCCTTTTTGAAGGCACCTCCCAAGTTAGCCTTAGCAGCCTTGGCCTTCTTCTTACCGGCACCACCAGTGGCAGTACCACCTCTAACCTTGGCCAAACGAGCCTGTCTCTCTTGTCTCTCTTTATCCTTCATCAAAACATTTAGAGTAGCAATCGTCTGTCTGATGGACTCGATCGACATTGGCTTAGCAACGTCACGGATCAAATCGATAGCCAATGCAGAAGAATAGTTCAAAGAAGACTTGGAATGCATCGACGTGATGGCAGTCGAAAGTGCTTTTCTCAAATCTTGAAAATCTGATTTGGTTTCTGCTTGGAATAAAGGATGGGACTCAATTGGAGTGTCCTTAGTGAATGCAGCTGGACGCAGCAAGCTCTCTTCCTCTTGTTGCTTCTTCAAGGCGCGAGCCCTAGGATGCTCTTCGGCAACACCTAGACCGCCGAATAGATCTGCAGCGTTATTCAAATCGGCGTCCAACTCTGCCTTCTTCAAAAGCTCTTTCCTGGTTTTTTCGTCAAGCGTGTCTATCTCCAAGAGCACTTTTTCCTGAGATCCCTTGCCTTTGGCATCCTTCTTTTTGTCAGGCTTGCTGGCCGTCTGCTTTTTAGCTGGCGCTGGCTTCTTGGTCTCTTCAGCGTCCCAGGAATCCAACAAAGCTTCGTCGTCATCCCCAGCTGCAGCGAACTCATCGTCCCAAGATGCCATAACTGGCGCATCCTTGGATGTAATTGGAACCTCAAACTCTTCGTCGTCCCAGGACATTGTTAAATCGATTTAATGATATGCTTCTTTTGATATGTTACAAAACAACCGCTAAGAAGATTAGGTGCAATTGCAATTTCATTGACGATTCAGCGATGCTTTGGGACTAAAATTTTGCAGTCACTTATAACGAGTAAGCATGGATCACATGGTCGTAATTAATCGGCTTTTCTTTTAAGTCATGACAATTTTAAGGCGCATGGAAGGGTCCATTGTTCATGACTAGTGGTTCGAATCAATACGATCATGTCGCAAACGTACAAGATATCAACGGGCCGTGGTGGTGCAGGCAATATAACCACGTCTAAGGATCGGCCCTCTCCTAAGCTTATCCCACAGGGATCTCAAACTCCTAACATCCTATCCCCGGTCTTTAGCACTGGAAGAGGCGGAGCGGGGAATATGCGCAAGAACGTGGATTCTAAGATGACTCGAAGGGCTCAGGACGTGGAAATTTCTGAGAGCGAGGATAAAATTGACGGCGTGGATGAAATAACACCACACTTCTCCGGGGAAGGTTTGAATACTGTCCAAAGTTCCGGGCTCAAGCCTAAAAAAAGTAGACATGAACCTCCAAAAAGCGTGGCCATAGGCAGAGGTGGTGCAGGTAACATATTATCACCTACCGCAAGCAAGAAGAGTCACACCAGTAGTAAAGGGAAGAAAGATGCCAAAAAAACTGGGGTTTGGGGTAAAGTGAAAAAGCTCTTTTCATAGCCAGCATGTTCCATACTCTTTCAAGGAACGCTCTCACGTCAACAGATAATGATGATGATAAATAATAAATAACAAATAAATAGGTACAAACACACTAATAATAATGTGAACTTTGTGGACAACGACACAATTGGACATTTAGACTCAGTTCTTCGACGAGACATTTTTTAACACACAAACACATAATGAAAAGTCGAAGGTAACTTGAAGTCAACGCCATACTTCGTGTAATGTTGCCACAGATAATTCAATGATATCAATGTTCTAGATGTTCTCAAACATCGTAATAAATAATATTACCGTGAATGCTTAAACGGTAGAGGCAAGTTCCTCCAAAAGTTTGTAATCACGTTTAACAATACCACCGTTACCCGGTAGGTTGGTTGAACCCATCAAGTATGTGTCAACGGAGGTAGCACACTTTCTACCTTCCTGGATGGCCCACACAATTAGGGATTGACCTCTTCTACAGTCACCAGCAGCAAATACTTTAGCGCTGTCGACTGAGTAAGAGGAGTCAGATACAGTGCCAATGGTTCCTCTCTTGGTCTTGAGGACACTTGGATCATCGAATAGCTCTGGGCCTACGAAACCCATAGACAATAGGACAATGTCGGCTTCAAAAATCTCCTCACTGCCAGGAATTTCCACCATTTGCCAGACGCCCGACTCAGATTTTTTCCACTCAACGCGAACGGTTTTAATGGCCTTAACTTCACCCTCTTCATTTCCAATGAATTCCTTGGAGAGGATGCAGTACTCACGTGGATCTCTGCCGTAGTGTTCCTTGACTTCGGCATGACCGTAGTCAATTCTCATCACACGGGGCCATTGTGGCCAAGGATTGTCCTTGGCACGTTCTTTTGGAGGTTGTGGAAGTAATTCGAAATTCAAGACAGAAGCAGCACCATGTCTAACAGAGGTACCAAGACAGTCATTACCAGTGTCACCACCACCAATGACGACGACCTTCTTGCCTTCAATTTGTTGACGGATGGTCTCCAAGTCCTTTTCAAGCAAGGCCTTAGTGTTAGCAGTCAACAAACTCATGGCAAAATCGATATTCTTCAAGTCACGACCTGGAATTCTGAGATCCCTTGGGATAGTAGAACCAATGGCATAAACAACAGCGTCATTGTTGGCCTTTAATTCTTCCATGGTAACGTCCTTCCCAATTTCAGTGTTGGTAATAAACTCGACTCCTTCTGCAGCCAAAAGGTCCACACGGCGTTGAACAATGGATTTGTCTAGTTTCATGTTAGGAATACCATACATTAACAAACCACCACAACGGTCGGCCCTTTCGTAGACAGTAACAGAGTGTCCTGCCCTGTTCAATTGGTCTGCACAAGCTAAACCAGCTGGACCGGAACCAATCACAGCTACAGTTCTACCAGTGCGTACCTCAGGAGGACATGGCACAATCCAACCCTCCTTGAAAGCATTATCAATGATCAATCTTTCAATTGACTTGATACCAACAGGATCATCAATAATACCCAGAGTACAGGCACCTTGGCAAGGGGCAGGACAGACTCTACCAGTAAATTCAGGGAAGTTGTTGGTCTCCAAAAGCTTGTCTAGAGCTAGCTTCCATTGATTCTTGAAAACCAATTCGTTGAATTTTGGAATGACGTTAGAAATTGGACAACCAGTATCAGAACTACAGAATGGAACACCGCAATCCATACATCTAGCAGTTTGATATTTGGCATCTTTCTTGGTGACACAGCTGGAAAGTTCTTTCCAGTCCTTGGTTCTAGATTTGGTTCCACGATAAGATTCATGACGCAACTTGTATTTCATAAAACCGCGAATCTTTTCTACTTTCTCGACATTCTTCTCCAATTGGTTGGCGTCTTGAATGGCATCTTCCAAATCGACTACCTTGGGTTCAGTAAGAGTAGATCTGTGGCTTATGTTGACCATCTTTTGTTTCTTCTCAGATCTGATGGCATCGACCTCGCCATTAGTAGCATCTGAGGATAAGTCGGTGCTAGAGTTGAATTTTTTCAAAAAGTTAGCAGTACTTTCCTCCTTCAACTTAGCCTTTTCAAGAGCGTCCTTTTCCAAAACTTTTTTATAGTCAGTAGGAATAACCTTAACAAAGTTCTTCAAGTAATGGTTGAACTTGCTCAAGATTCTGGCAGCCAATTCAGACTTGGTGTAGTTGTAATGCTCTTGGATCAAGTTCTTGACAAACGCAATTTCCACTGGATCACTCAAGCTTTGTAGCTCAACAGTTTCAAGGTTGATCTTTTCAACAAAATCGTCATAGTCGGAAGTCAAACAGTAAGCGATACCACCAGTTGCACCAGAGAAAGCGTTCAAAGACTCCATTTGAGACAAAACAACAGCTCTACCACCAGTCATGTATTCGAAAGCGTTGTTACCTTTAACCCTTTCAACAACAATGGTGGCACCAGAGTTACGAACACAGAAACGTTCACCAGCGGAACCGGAGATGAAAGCAGTACCAGAAGTGGCACCGTAGAAACAGGTGTTACCCACAATCACATTTTCGTCACTCTTGAATTTAGAGTCAGTAGGTGGCCTGATGATGATTCTACCACCGGATAGACCTTTACCGACGTAGTCGTTGGCATCACCATCCAAGATGAAAGTGACACCTGAGGTTAGGAAGGCACCAAAGGATTGACCTGCTGAACCTTCGATGTTAACCACGACTGTATCTTGAGGTAACCCTTCCTCACCGAACTCCTTAGAGATTCTGTAAGATAGAGTCGAACCAAGAGCACGGTCGGTGTTGATGATAGAAGCATCAATGGTGACCGGTAAACCACGATCCAAAGTAATTTCAGCCTCGTCAATCAATTTGTTGTCCAAGCGAGTGTGCAACTTATGGTCTTGCTTCTTAGTGAATTTAGTTGCCACACCTGGACGAATGACATGGGCAGGAGTCAAAATTGGTGACAAATCGATGTTAATGGCCTTGGTATTCACATTGTCCCTCTTTCTCAATTTTTCAGAGTGGCCAACCATCTCATCGATGGTACGGAAACCCAACTTGGACATGATTGTACGCAAATCCTGGATCAAGTAATAGAAGAAATTGATGACATGTTCAGGTTGACCCTTAAACTTGTCTCTCAATACAGGATCTTGAGTGGCAATACCCACAGCACAAGCGTTTAAGTGACACTTTCTCAACATGATACAACCCATGGCAACCAATGGGATAGTGGCAAGAGTGAAAGATTCGGCACCCAAAAGTACGGCGACAGCAATATCGAAACCAGTTCTCAATTGACCATCAGTTTGAACAACGACGTTACGTCTCAAATCGTTCAAGACCAAAGTTTGGTGGGTTTCAGCGAGACCCAGTTCCCAAGGTAAACCAGCATATTTGATACCAGTCCATCTAGAGGCACCAGTACCACCATCGTGACCAGAAACCAAAATGTGATCAGCCTTGGCCTTAGCCACACCAGAAGCGACAATACCAACACCGACCTCAGATACCAATTTAACGGAGATACCTGCTCTTGGGTTGGAACATTTCAAATCGTAAATCAATTGCTTCAAATCCTCAATCGAGTAAATATCGTGATGAGGAGGAGGGGAAATCAAACCAACGTATGGGGTAGAATGTCTGGTCTTGGCAATTTCTTTAGAAACCTTGTGGGCTGGCAATTCACCACCTTCACCAGGTTTAGCACCTTGAGCAATCTTAATTTGAATTTCGTCAGCATCGGACAAGTAATAGGAGGTGACACCGAATCTAGCAGATGCTACTTGCTTAATGGCAGATCTCATCGTGTCACCATTTGCGTGGACGATGGAACGTTCTGGGTCTTCACCACCTTCACCACAGTTGGACTTGGCACCCAAACGGTTCATAGCCACAGCCAATGTGGAGTGAGCCTCCATGGAAATGGAACCATAGGACATTGCACCAGTGGCAAATCTCCTGGCAATTTCGGTCCATGGTTCCACTTGTTCCAATGGGATTGGTTGGGAGTTCTCGAAATCCAATTCCAACAAACCTCTCAAAGTACAGTCTCTGATAGCTTCCATTTCCTTCTTGACGTACATGGCCCAAGAAGTCTCATTTTTATTTCTAACAGAGTCCTGTAGAGAAGCGATTGCGGTAGGGTCGTTGATGTGCTTGAACCCACCATCTCTCCAGTGGTATTCACCACTTTCTGGCAAGTTGACAGATTTGGTAACAGTGTATCTACTTGGGAAACCACGTTCATGCATAGAGAATGCATCTTGGGCAATGTATTCAAAGGTCACACCTCTGATTCTGGAGGCAGTACCGGCAAAACACAAGTCAACAACAGAGTTATCGATACCCAAACATTCAAAGATTTGGGCACCTTTATAAGAGGCCAAGGTGGAGATACCCATCTTGGACATGACTTTCAAGATACCACCATCGATGGCATGCTTGTAATTTTCCAACAACGTGACATCATCAATATGAGAATCGTCGTTGTCAACATTACGCACCAGTCCTTCATTGTTCATTCTGACCAAAGTTTCCATGGCCAAGTATGGGAAGATACCATCACAACCGTAACCCAACAGGACACAGAAATGGTGAACTTCTCTTGCTTCGGCAGTTTCCAAGATCAAAGCCACCTGAGAACGTTGTTTGTTTCTAATCAAGTGGTGATGGATGGCACCTACAGCGATCAAAGATGAAATGCTAATGCGGTCAGGCCCGAGTCTGCGATCGGAAATCATCAAGATTTTCTTACCTTGTTCGATAGCCTCGGAAGCTTCCTGGGTTATACGTTCAATAGTGGCAGTATACCCTAGCAGTCCTAAACTTTTTTCAAAGGTGATATCGATGTTAGCGACGGACCAGGAAGGATGCACTTTTTCAATATTTTTGATGGCTTCAAATTCATCCCAATGCAAGATAGGAGATTTCAAAAGCAAACGGTCACATTGAGAAGCATGAACCTCCAACAAGTTACCTTGAGGACCGACAAAACACTCTAGAGACATGACATTGGCCTCACGAATAGGGTCGATTGGAGGGTTGGTCACTTGGGCGAAAAGTTCTCTGAAATATTCATACAGAAGAACGGGGTCCTCATTCAAACAAGCCAAGGGAGAATCGTTACCCATGGAACCCAAAGCTTCTTTGCCTCCCAAAGCCATTGGAACCAACAACATCGAGACTTGCTCGTAAGTGTAACCCAAGGCCAATAGACGGGGGTCTTTTTGGACTTTCAAAGAAGCATGTTGATCTGGGATGAATTTACCAGGGATGTACTTCTTGGTTTTGACCAACAAGTCCTCTAGTTTGATCAACTTGGACAACCAGGACTTGAAATCCTTCTTCTTGGAAAAAGAAGCCTTCAGTTTTTTGGTGTCAACCATTTGGCCCAACTCGGTGTCCACCAGCAGCATGTCACCGGGCTTTAGTTTACCCTTTTGCACGACCAAAGAGTTGTCCACTTGAATGACACCAACTTCGGAAGCGCAGATGACACGGTCGTCGGAAGTGATGTAGTAACGGCAAGGTCTCAAACCGTTTCTGTCCAACATGGCACCACAGTAGCGGCCGTCTGTGAAAGTGAGCAAAGCGGGACCGTCCCATGGTTCCATGAGACATGCGGCCCAGTCGAACCAGGCCTTCAAGTTGGAGTCCATGTCCTTGTGGTAGGCCTCAGGGACCATCATCATGATGGCCTCTGGCAAAGAGAGCACGCCGTTGATCACGAGCAACTCCAAGACGTTATCAAGGGCAGCGGAATCGGAACCTCCTTCTTCGATAATGGGGTATAGCTTGTCGAGTTGTTCTTTGAAAGTCTCGGATGCCATGACACCTTCACGGGCACGCATCCAGTTTTTGTTACCACGCAAGGTGTTGATTTCACCGTTGTGTGCGATCCACCGGAGTGGTTGAGCTCTATCCCAGGAGGGGAAGGTGTTTGTGGAGAAACGGGAGTGGACTAACGCCATGTGAGAGGCGAAATGCGCGTTTGTGAGGTCGTGGTAGTATTTGTAAACTTGGTTGGGGGTCAACTGGCCCTTGTAGACGATGGTTTTAGGGTTGAGCGAGCATGCATAGAACCAATTCTGCAAGCCGATGGCGGTGGAGGCCTGTTTGCGGAGAATGTACAACAGAGTTTGGAACTTGATGTCGTAGCGTTCTCTGAACTCGGCTTCGGGCACGGAGCCGAACTGGTGGGCCTCGGTGAGCACGACCAGAGGCTGTAAGATGACGGGTTCGCGCGAGAGAGCGACGGCGCCCAGGATGGAGGAGTCACGTGGCACGGACCGCCATCCCAGCACGCTGAGCCCCAGCGAGCTGGCCATGTCTGCGAAAGTGCGCTTGGAGGCCTCGAGCACGTCCGGGGCGTCCTTCTTGAAGAAGAAATTGCCCACGGCGTACTGGCCCTTGGCGGGCACGTCGATGTCGAGGTCGAGCTTGAACTCGCGCACCATGAACTCGTGAGGGATGCCGACCAAGATACCGGCACCGTCACCGTTGCCGCCGGAGGAGACGGCACCACGGTGGGTCATGTTGCACAGCAAGTAGCGGGCGTCGGAGACGGTCTTGTGGGAGGCGACGCCCTTGATGTTGGCGACGAAACCCACACCGCACGCGTCTTTTTCGTAGTCTGGGTCGTACAGGCCCTGTTTGTCTGGGATGGCATCAGCCCAGGACTGATGCGTGGCCGAGGTCACTTCCAACGGCATGCCGCCATCGTACGCTTCCTGGAGAGGGTCGTACGCGTCTGATTGTAGCATTCAGAAGAGGAGAAGAGGGAGGAGACTGGGGTGGATCTTCGCTAAGTTGGAGAGTGGTGAAAACGTAGAACGTAAACGTGGATCGGAGAACTTAACGGGACGTACAATGAGCGATACAACGTGTGATTTAACGCGTGATTGAACGTGTGCGTGTGTTTGGATATGCAGATGCTACGGCTCGATTAACAAGTGTGGAAGCCTTGCGGTGTGTGTGTTTTGGTGGGGGGCGGGGCGAAAGGTTGCGTGCGTGTGTTGTTGGGATGGCCAACCGCCCACATTCCACGGCGCGCACATCGAGTCTCAATATATACCGGTGGCGCGTGTGGGTCGGGGGAGCATGGAAGGCGTGAGAGATAGCGTATCGCCAGAGAAGAGGGTCACCGGTTGTGGGCCAATCGGAGCGGCGCCGCTCAGACGGGGGCGCGGCGGGGCGGCAGCTGCAGGCGGCGAGGCGGCGGTGTCCGGGCCCGCAGGCGAGCAGGCCGGCGGAGCGCATTTTGTGGCGGGGAGCGCCGGGCGGCGCAAATTGCGGGACCTCCGGGTAACCGCTCGGCCGGGTAACCCAGTCCGGGCCTCCCTCCGGGTAACCCGCCTCATCCCCATATCCGCGCCCGCGTCCGCGCCGCGACCGCCTCCAACGTCTCCAGCACTCATGATATCCAAAAAGCGCAGAACCCACCGCAAAACCGGCTGCGTAACCTGCAAAGTCCGCAAGAAGCGCTGCTCCGAGGACAAGCCCGCCTGCAGCGACTGCGCGCGCCTGGGCTTTGCGTGCGTGTATCTCCCGGACGGCTGCACGCGCGAGCTGGCCACCCACTACAAGGAACAGGTGGAGGCGGACCTGCGGCGACGCGCGGCCGCCGAGCGCGCCGGCGCGGCTGCAGCCCCCGCGCACGACGCATGCGACGTTACATCATCAGCCGCCGACGTGACGTCGGCGGCTACCGGCGGCCCTGAGGGGCTGCACCCGCATGACGCACACTGCGGGGGCGCGGCGCCGGCCGGCGCCGCGGACGGCGCTACCCCCGGCGCTACCCCCGGCGCCACCCCCGGCGCCTACCTCGACGAACTGCTGGACGAGCTGTGCGCGCTGCCGTCGTCGCCCGCCGCGGAGTCTGCGTCGCGCGCGCTCGCGCGCTCGCCGTCGCTGCACCTGTCGCAGCCGCTGCACGACCCGCTGGTCGGCCGGCTGGACGCGACCGCGCTGCACCTCTACAACTACTACCGCGAATACCTGGCCCAGATCATCTCCATCGCGCCCGTGCGCCAGAACTACTACCTGCAGATCTTCCTGCCGATGGCGCACCGGCACGAGGGCATTCTGTACGGGCTGCTGGCGTGGTCCGCCCACCACCTGTCGATCGGGCCCGTCCGCGACGACGCGCGCCACGACGCGGACCGCTGGGCGCTGGAACAGGCGCTGGACGAGTCGATGCGCGGCGGCACGCCGCCGCTGCCGCCGACGCGGCACGCGGGCGGCGGGGTGTCCGGGTGCGCGGTCGTCGGCGACGACAACGGCCACCACGACTCCGCGGCCGCGGAGTCCGAGCCGGACCCGTCCTACGCCGCACTCGCCAACCGCTACACGCTCAAGTCGCTGCAGTTTCTGCAGGCGGACCGGGCGGGCGCGGCCGCGGCCGCGGGGGGCGTCGACGATGACCGCGACCCCGACCGCGACCCCGACCGCGACCGCGACCTCGACGGCGGCGCTAACTCCGCCCCCCGCGCTAACTCCGCCCCCGCTCCCCCCGCCCCCGCGCCGCCGTACCTCTGGGCCCTCGCCCAGATCCTCGTCCTCTGCGGCGCAGAGATCTGCCAGGGCGACGTGGCGCGCTGGAAGATCCTCCTCCGCTGCGGCGCAAACCTCATCCGCGACAACGCGGGCAACGACATAAGCGCGGTGCTGCAGCACGGGTCGTTCGACTCCGTCACCAAGCAGTGGCTGCTGGCCAACTTCATCTACCACGACGTGATGGGCTCCGAAACCACGCATTTCCCCATGTGGCAGTACGCGCGCGTGCTGCAGGCCAGCGACGTGGACGACAGCCACGTCGACCCGCTGCACGGCGTCAACCGGCCCGTGTTCCAGGTGCTGGGCGAGGTGATGGACGTGGCACGGCGCATCAAGCGCGAGCACGTGACGCGGTCGCACGCGCGGTTCCCCGCGCTCATGGCGCGCGCGCAGCAGCTGCAGGCCGCGCTGTACGCCGTGGCGCCCGATGCGCGCGACCTGGCGCGCTACGAGGACGTGCACGTGTCGCAGGACGCGCGGCAGCTGTGTCTCACGCTGTTCTCGGTGTTCCGGACCACGGCGCTGGTGCACCTGAAAACCGCGGTGCTGCGGCACGCGAAGGACTCGTACGAAGTGCAGTTCCTGGTGGGGCAGCTGTCACGTGAGCTGGACGAGGTGCTCGGGTCGCGGCTCGAGGGCGGGCTTTGTTTCCCGCTGTTCATCTGCGGCGTCAACTCCACAGAGCCCCTGCAGCGGCAGGACGTGGAGCGCAAGTTCAGCGACTTCATCCAGCGCTACAAGTGTCGCAACGTCGAGCGCGCGCGCGCCGTGATGCGCAAGGTGTGGCGGATCGACGACGACAGCAGCTCGCTGGGCAGCGCGCTGCGCGAGCGCGACTGGTTCGACGTGGTGGACGAGATGAAGTGGGACATCAGCTTTGCGTAGAGCGGGCGGAGGCCGCGCCGGTGTGTATTCTCGTATGTACAGTATAAATAAGTCGCTACATGCGCGGGCGCTGCCGGGCCGCGCTGCTCACGTCCTCCAGCCGTGCTATCACGTACGCCATGCCCATGCGGCTGGTGTGGATGTTCTCACCAAACTTGGCCATGGACCACTGCTCGATGCGCTGGCGGATCCCCGCGTGGAACCCGCTCGAGAACTTCACGCGGCTCGCCACGCGCGTCGCGCCGGTCGCGCCGTCGAACCGGTACGTCGTGTACTCCTCCACCTGGATGATCTGCGTGTGGTCCAGGTTCCGCGTGTACGCATGCAGCGTCTGGTGGCGCGCGTCCACGCGCGAGTCCTCCAGGATCCACGACTGCGAGATGCGGCCCAGGAACGGACGCACCCACCGTGGCAGCCGGCCCGTCTTCTTGATCAACCGCGTGCTGCGGAGCTGCCCGTGCGAGTCCACCTCGCGCGCAAGCGTGTCGATCGACAGCACGTGCGTCGAGTAGGGGTTCGGGTACCGGTTGAAAAACGCCAGCGTCACCGTGCAAAAGTCCTTGTCATAGCTGTGCGAGTTCTTGTGCCAGAGTACCATTTACGCTTGCGTGTGTGCGTTACTCCCGAGCACTGCAAGTAGCGGTCACTCCGGTGGCTCGCGCGCCTCCTGAAATTTTTATTATATTTTTTTTTTCAAGCATGCGTGTGTTGCAACTGCGGGCCCGTGGCCCGTTCCCACTTGGTCCGGGATCCGCTGCTGCGCAGCGGGCTCGTCTCTAAATACTACTTAAATATGAACCGCGCCCGGTCGGCGCGTCTCGGTGGCCTCGGGCCCGGTAGGCGGCCTCCCGCAGTGCAATTGCCTCCGTCCCACGCGCGAGCGTGGTCGGACTGCTGCGACTCTTGCAGCCCGCATGCCAATGTTCGCGCGGTCTTCTAACATTTCCCCCCGAGAAAATTCAAGATCGAGCGCACAATGATGCTCTGCTTCTCGATGTGGACCGAATGGCCCGCCCCGGGTATCTCCAACAGCACGGAGTCCCGTATCTTGGCGTGGATCATGCGGGATTGTTCTGTGCAAAAAGTTAGTAAAAAGATCGTAGTGGGTCGGTGGACCCTGCAATGTGCCTTCGTTACATACCTAGTGGGCAAATCCAGTCGTTCTTGCCCACGACAATTAGCGTCGGGATATCGACGCTCCCCAGTTTGTCGCGGAAATCAAAGTATTTCTCCTTCTCGGAATAAAGCTCGTTGTGGCTTTGCGCAGAGTACTTGGTGCCCAGCACGTTGGCAAGCCCTTGGTCCGCGTCGTAATCTTCCACGTAGAGCGGGCCCAGCGCAAACATCGTCAACCGAAACTCCTCGTCGCTTTCAAACGACGAAAACACCTTGGCAACCATCTCTCGCGAAGCACACGTCGCTTTGGGCAGCCGTTTCATCAGCTGCGACAGGCATTCCTCCTCGTGGTGGTACGACGGGGCCGTGCCCCGCAGCACCAGATGCGACACGCTGCGTGGGTACGTGATCACGTACTGCTGCGCAAGAAACCCACCGAAACTCCCGCCAATCACAACCACTTTCTCACGCGGGCTGAACGCCTGCTTGACTGCCTCGATGTCGTTCACCAGCTGTTTGAAGCTGAAAGGCGGAGTCGCAGAGCTGTTGCCGTGGCCCCGGTAATCAAAACTCACCACCGTGTAACCGTAGCGTGCGAATTGGCTGTAAACGTTGAAATCCGATTCTTTCGAACCAAACCCACGTCCACCGTGCAACGTAAGTATGACTTTACCATTCGATTCCACGGGGTCCGCACGGCTGTATTCAAGGGTGGCCCCATTGATCACGATCTTGCTCGTAACTGTCTGTACTACCGACATCTCAATGCTCTTGCTAAGATCGAATTTCACAAGTGACTGTTGAGCGGGAAAAAACCGTAACGCAAAACGCTACTTTTTATTTGTTCGACGCGTTAACGCGCGAATCAAGTTTCTCTTCTGGTTGCTACTCGTTTCTTAGATCCAGATTTTTCGTATTGACTCATGCGAAATGACGGTACCATACCTAATGCAGGCACGCGATCGTCAATATGTATGGAAATGTCTTCTCACCCATAAGACGAAGTGGGCTATTCCATAAAGTCCAGTCCAACATGTACTATCCTGCGACGCATGATGCAGCCCCTGCATCAATCGGTCCGTCAATTATGGGCAAGATTCCACTCCAACCACTATTTCACCGTCTTATCTCGAAATGCCCATGTTACCCTCGAGGCTGCTGTAATTATCAAATTACCTCATGGCCGCTGTTTCACTTTGTGACCATTGCATTTTTGATAATTTGATTTCGACACCGCCGCATCCCGGAAAAGGTAAAAGCGATTTGAAAGAGATTTACATCAAAAAAATATCCATTTCCAGTTTTGATCTCAGATCGAGAACACGATTATTTATCAATCCTTATAGTACATCATATATATAGGAAGTACGCTCTTCACAATGCAATGGCTCCAAGCGCAACGGCTCCAAGCCCGTACAGGAGATCCACTCCGGGACGGCCGAATGCAGCATTTGTCGAGTTGCTGGTAATGGATGCGGTAGAGGAGCTGTTGCTGTTGGCAGATACTGCGGCCATGATAGTAGTTGGTTTGCTTGTAGTTAGTGTTGTCAAAACAGAGCCTGAAGATAGTGTTATTGTCTCCTTCACGGAAGATACCACTGCTGTCTCGCTCGCCGATGAACTGCCATCGATTGAGCCGGTGGATGTGGTCCACCAATTGGTTACGCTGGGAGTCCACCATACGGTCGATGTGTAAGTTTCACCTGCAGAGTTTGTGGTGGTGACAACTGTAATGGCGCCATCAGCATTGGAGGTGGTGGACACCGAGGAATCTGTTGATTCAGTGGCTGCAGAGCTCAATTTAGATGTTTCATCAGAGGCCGTTGCAGTTGTTTCAGAACTACCACTACTTTCGGGAAGATACCATAAATATTGTGTGGTGGTTTGGCCGTTCGAATCTGTTGTGACCACGGTCGTGCTAGGTTGCACTTCGAATTCTGCCGTTGTAGTAGCCGTATCGGAACCCACTACGTTGCTTGTTTGTACTAAAGATGCGGTATTTGACGATTCTGTCACAGCACTCACAACGTTACTTGTTTGAACCATTGATTTCGTCGCGGAAGATGCTTGACTTACCGCAGTTGACTTAGCAATCGACGAGCTGGCAGCGCCAATTGAATTATCCTCTGAGTTTGATCCAGAGTTTGTGCCATCTAATGAGCCAGAATTCCCGGCTAGTGCAAAAGATCCGAGCGTTAGAATTGCGAGAGGAGTAAAAAGTTTCATTGTCTTTGAATTGCTTGATGTGAAGAATCAACCTTAACGTTCTGTATTCAATTGCATTTCTATAGCACTTTTATATACTTGATCCTGTTTGCTGGGCATTTTTAATTAGCAGTCTGAACTGATCTAACGTTTCTGCAGTTGAAAGCCTTGGCTCTGTTTCGGGATTTGATCGTTTGCCTTCAACCAGCCTCTTCATTTTTTTCCCTTCTGAAGCTCCGAGCTCGACTGAAAGAAAACTAATTACACTGGTGTGAAGGAAAAGTTCTGTGGAGGCTGAGAACTTCGAGGCTGAAGGATTTTCAAAGATGTGTCAATTAAACTTGCCCTCACCATTATTTGCGCCTCGTCCATCTGCGCAGTAAAATTAGCTATGTTGCTAGCTATGTTGCTAATTTTACTAAAAGTGTGCATGTCCATTTTGAGTTTCAATCCGGAAAAGAATTATCTATAGACTGACCCTACTGAAGCATATTTTGAATCTTCTGAGTGGTCACGCCATAGTAAATCGGCACCAGGAATAATATGACCAAGTCGGTAAGCCGCCAACCGTGGGACATGTGTTGGAAGATCTGTCGTTGGTAAATGTAGCAGCAGTCGTAGCTAAACTTGCAGAAACAACTGTTGGTAAAGTTGTGGTTAGCGTCGTCACAAAACCATTTGAAGAAACTGTCAAAGTAGTTTTCACGTTAGTGGTAATCTGGCCTCTTAATGCCCCTGAGCTTGAAGTTGTAACTCGTAACAGTCTCTTCTCAGTACGCCAAGGTGGTAAACGCTTCACCTAGAGAGTTAGTAGTAGTATAGAATTCGATTACAGCCTTAATTTGGTCACCTAAAATAGAAATTGAACTGAACAAATCTTCATCTGAGACTTAGCTGGCGATTACATTTGATCCGGTGGCAAGCATTGCAAGAAAAGCGTAAAACTTCAGTGTGTTACATATCTCGGTGCTCGGAGTATTTGACGAATTATGTCATCCATGGGTAATGAGTGCTTTAAAAACGTTAAGATATTGGTGCATAGACATTGTCAGAATTTAGTAATTTGAGAGGCCTTATTCAGCTTCTTCCCTGGTACCAAGCAGCTAAGGCGTGAAGAAAACCTCCATTATAAGAAGGAAAAGAAACGCTTTCCGAATCGAACTACCGTGCCCCGGCAATTTTCTTCTAAGCTCATCCTGGCCAAGCCCATCTAGAAAATTTCTTCCTAGTCAAGCTTGGCTCAGCCGAGGCAATGAGGCACTGAATGGTGGAGGACTGGATTAGGAGACTTCACACCTGCTCTGGTTATAAGTACCGATCTCTTACTGATACATCACCATACTTTAAAGGCAAATGGTAATTTCATTGGGCAAGATCGATAAGTACAGAAAATAGTAAAAGTTGAATAAGGAAACTACTTAGTTGGCACTACTCTGATTCCCTATCATAGCATTACAACACCGACGTTACTACGATTCTTCACGTCGAAGGAATTATCATCTGTCAAACCACCTGAGATCGGGAATGCTTTGTAGTTGAAAAGATAGAAGTTCAAGAATCCATCTCCTGGGCCAAACTTTAAATCATCCAAGAAAAGGGTATTGTCTTGACAACTCATGGCGTTAAATACATCCATCTTCAAATCACGCGCTATGATGCAAACATCGGAGATCAAGTGATTTAGTCTCTTTTTCAAGGTCGAGGTGGCAGCTGGATCGAATCTATCGTCAAAGCCCAAATCAGCGTCAGATGCATAGTAAAATAGATACCCGATCCCAAGTTCCTTATACATTGGATTGTTTAGAACAGTAAAGGGTAATGAGTAGAAAGACACAAAATCCGTGATCTTTCCTTCGGTCTCGACGACATATGAATAGATAACAGTGTCTGCTCCCAAAAACCAATGCTTGAATTCTTCTTTTGTAAATACTTGAACTAAATCAAATCGATCCTGATAAGCGTTGAATAAATCAAAAACTTGATCTACATCTTCGTACTTCATGGCACGTAATCCCGGAGTGTCAGTTCCCTTGGGCAGAGTGTATTTCGCAATCATTTGTGTTTTGGATGCATTGGCGGGCAAAGCGGTAAAGCCAACCTCGTGCAATTTAGACCAATTCAAAGGACGGTGAGCATAACGACAAACTGCTATCGGAGATGGAAGTACCACACCAGCAGTGTAAAGAGCTTGCCAAATGTCGCATTTGTTCACCCTTCTTGTAATTTCTTTGATTAAGATAGGCGTTAACCTCTTCGCCCGTAATTTTTTGTGGATACACAAGAAATTGATCTCTACACTCTTGACTTCCTTTCCTCTGACTTTCAAAGTTACTGGAATTGCACTGATAAAAGCGACCAGTCTGCCGGAGTCTCTAATGCGCACACCTACATGCCATTCTTTGTGCCACCCAGGAGGTTTTAAGGACCAATTGAAGAATTCACGAGTGTAATTGAACCTGAAAGTTGCATCCTGGTCTTCCACGTAGTTTTCATTCAACAGCACGAAAACGTCCTCTAGTTCTTGGGGATTAGTAATATCCACAGTGCACCACTCAAATTCTTTCAAAAGTGGATATGGTTCACTTGGAATGTCAGCCGGAGTTCTGCTGCTATCTATGGGTCCCTCGTTATCCACCTTTTCGTCGAACCTCGCGACGGGCTGTGTTCTCCAAAATTTGTACTCTTCGAACTTCTTGCGTTGTTGCACAGTTAACTTAGAAGTATCTCCATTAGAAAGAGATAACAATTTCAAGAGCTCCTGGAGCTTTTTTGCTTGATCTGGATCTTGGGACATACGTCTAACGCACCTTTTACTAAAGAATGAAATAGCGAACAATGAATCGGGAATTGAAATCTTTTCAGTCTTCGTGCTTGTTAAATCGCATCACGTGATATGGCGTGTGACGTGAAATCTAAATACCGATATGATTGTTTTAATGGCAGTCTTCAAATACAAAGGGTTTCAACGAATATTTTATTTGTTTTGTCACCTCAATAATAGCCTGTAGATTTTCCGTCCCACTCAGCGGCTTCTCTACAGATCTAGAGGATCTTGTACTTTGATAATGGACTTATGAAAGGTAATTAAAATAAAATGCGAAAAAATATAAACAAGTTAGAATAGCTATTCCCATTGGAAAGGTTCCTTGATTCAACGAGCGTTACCAGCCCGTTTCATTGCACCTACTTGTTCGATGAGCTAATGATGTTGTCACCGTACAAACGTACTATTTAAGGATTCATTTCTTTTGCAAGAAGGTCAAAAAAATTTTCTGATTAGCGATGAGATGAGCTCTTAAGTAGCATCATCAAATCAACAAGTCATGATTTCATCAAGCACTTGGGTCCCAAGAGGATTTCCGTCAGAATTTCCAGAGAAGTATGAACTGGACGATGAAGAAATGGAAAGGATCAACCAATTGGCACAATTAAACTTGGAGGATGCTCAAGAGAATCTTGAAGAAGCCCAAGAGGATGGTGAAACACTCAAGGAGCAAGTTGAGCTTGATGACGATCTGAAAGAATATGATTTGGAGCACTACGATGATGATGACAATGAAAGTGATGGTGCCGAAGCAGCGATGTTCCCAGGGCTCTCGGATGAGGTTAAATTCCACGAGGGAAAAGATGGAGAGGACCCATATCTGACCATGCCAAACCAGGACGAGGATCAGCAAGAGAAGCAAGAGCTGCAGGTTTATCCAACCGATAATATGGTACTGGCGACCAGGACAGAAGATGATATTTCCTACCTTGACGTATACGTTTACGATGATGGTGCTGGTTTCCACGACTCAGAGATTCCACAGGAAGCTGGCGATAATCAGGATCCTGACGTCGCACGTGGTCTAGTACGTGACAGTTCTCTTTATGTACACCATGACTTGATGCTTCCAGCTTTTCCTTTGTGTGTTGAGTGGGTTAATTACAAGCCGGGTTCCAATTCCGAGGATCCAGCGAACTTTGCTGCAGTTGGTAGTTTTGATCCACAGATTGAGATTTGGAATCTCGACTGTGTGGAAAAAGCTTTCCCAGACATGATTCTTGGTGAGCCACAGGACAACTCGTCAGCCGCACTCAAAACCAAGAAGAAGAATAAAAAGTCTAAATCGAAGCACGTTACAACTCATCACACGGATGCTATATTGTCTCTTGCTCACAGTAAGCACTTCCGTGCTGTTTTGGCCTCGACCTCTGCAGACCATACTGTTAAGCTTTGGGACTTGAACCAGGGTAACGCAGCTCGCTCTCTTGCATCCGTTCACTCAAACAAAAACGTTTCGTCTTCCCAATGGCATCCTACAAGTGGCTCTATTCTGCTAACCGGTGGTTACGACTCTCGTGTAGCTTTGTCTGACGTGAGAATTGCAGATGATTCTCAAATGAGCAAGTACTGGTCAGTTATGTCAGGCGAAGATATTGAATGTGTTCAATTTGCAGATGACAACGTTTTCATGTGCGGTACAGATTCCGGTAATGTCTATTCATTTGATTTAAGAAATGGTGAGAATAGCAATCCACTATGGACGCTAAAGGCTCATGATGCTGGCATATCATCCCTCAATGTGAATTCTTTCATTCCTAACATGATAAGCACTGCTGCCATGGGTGAGAAAACAGTGAAACTGTGGAAATATGGTGCTAATGGTCCAAGCATGGTATTGAGCCGTGATTTTGGTGTGGGCAACGTGTTGACGACCTCCTTTGCTCCAGATATTGAGGTTGCAGGAACAATTGTTATTGGTGGTGTTAACAAGGGTTTGAAATTATGGGATGTTTTCACCAACAGATCCGTACGTAAGGGATTCTCTGAAGAGTTATCCTCTTTGCAAAAGAGAGCTCGTGAAGAAGCTACCAAGTTGGGAAAAGGATCCAGAATTGCTAGAAAGTATACCAAGAATGACAACCCCGATACGGTTGTCACTATTGAGGACCAGGGCGAAGATGAAGAAGAAGGTGACGGAGAAGAGGGTGAAGGAGCGGAATGGGAAGACATGGAATGAGCATGCACAATGGGACGCCTAAACGCATTCAAGCAAAGTCCAAAGTTGCAAATAGATTTTGAAGTCATTTATTTTATTTTTTTTTCATTTTGAACCTGTCATTCAGATATATGTATATCTACGTTTGTGTAATCTAATCATGTTTTAACAAAGATCTGAGGTACATGTTCTCTGATGTGTCGGTGTCAACATCTATTATTATTGTTTCAGCTTTCTTGTAATTTCCATTCTTCGAGTCAGATACAAAACTTATGCTCCTTTCAGACCGCCGACGAGGTCTCAAGATTTCCTCAGATAAGCGCCTGCGCAAAATGCTATCTGTGGAATCTATGTCATCGTTCTCATCATCTTCAAATACATCATGATAGGCACTGTTTCTGCGTGTGACAGATCTAACCCGTTCCAGTAAAGAGGTTATCCCATCCTCATGCCCATCATAAACTACTTTACACATTTGTTGATACTGAGATGCAAATAGGTCTTGATTCCATGAGAACCCCTGTGACTGCGAGGAGGAAATTGTAAAATGAGCTGACTCCTCGGAAGACATAGCAAACGTCATTGAATAAACCACAGCGGTTTCACTGTCGATCATAGCAGAGGAAAGTAACATAATTTAAAAATATTGATCAGTGAACTTGGAAATGTTCAAAGGTTTGTCTTTCAAAGGGGTGACAATTTAGACTGGAAACTTGCCTCTGCTACCCAAAAGCTTCTAAGCTGCACTAAACGTAAGCACAATCTTTATCAAAAAGAAAAGGTAGATACACTTAACAACATTCACGTAGTCCAGTCCTCGGTTATCTATCAGGAAAGTACTATCGGGGTTTTAAACGGGACTTTGGCTGGTTTCATTGATATACATATCACTATGTACTAATATATTATGATATCTATAAATTCATAACTTCCGGGTAACATGTTAGGATTGCAAGTTTCTTTTTCTCTTGAAAATTTTCATCAAGCTCATCTCTGGAAAATTTTTCTTTTGTAGGAAGATGAGGTAGAGGGAACTAGTAGAAAGCATCACAAAAATGGCCCCTATTGAGTACTTGCTATTCGAAGAACCAACCGGGTACGGTGTCTTCAAGGTCAAACTTCAGCAGGATGACATTGGGTCTAGATTGAAGGAAGTTCAACAACAGATCAATGACTTTGGGTCATTTACTAAGCTCGTGGAGCTAGTGTCGTTCGCGCCATTCAAGGGTGCCGCTCAAGCTTTGGAGAATGCTAACGATATCTCTGAGGGTTTAGTGTCGGACTACCTGAAAGCCGTTCTTGACATGAATTTGCCAAAGGGCTCGAAGAAGAACACTGTCACTTTGGCAATCTCCGACAAAAACTTAGGTCCTTCTATCAAAGAGACCTTTCCATTCGTCGACTGTGTTTCCAATGAGCTAGCTCAGGACTTGATCCGTGGTGTCAGACTACACGGTGAGAAATTGCTCAAGGATCTTCAATCTGGTGACTTGGAAAGAGCACAGTTGGGTCTAGGTCACGCCTATTCCAGAGCCAAGGTGAAGTTCTCGGTTCAAAAGAATGATAACCACATTATTCAGGCCATTGCTTTGCTTGACCAATTAGACAAGGATATCAACACTTTCGCCATGAGAGTGAAGGAATGGTACGGCTGGCATTTCCCAGAATTGGCCAAGATTGTGCCAGACAACTACAAGTTTGCCCAGCTTGTGCTTTTTATTAAGGACAAGGCTTCTCTAAATGAAGAGTCATTGCATGACTTGGCTGCCTTGCTAGACAACGACGCTGGAATTGCTGAACGTGTCATTGATAATGCTCGTATTTCCATGGGCCAAGATTTGTCTGAAACAGATATGGAAAACGTGTGCGTTTTTGCTCAAAGAGTAGTTTCTTTGGCTGATTACCGTAGACAATTGTACGATTACTTGTGTGAAAAGATGCACACTGTGGCTCCGAACTTGTCTGAGTTGATCGGTGAAGTTATCGGTGCTAGATTGATTTCTCATGCCGGTTCCTTAACCAACCTATCTAAGCAAGCCGCTTCTACCGTCCAAATTCTAGGTGCCGAGAAGGCCCTTTTCAGAGCTTTGAAGACTAAGGGTAACACTCCAAAGTACGGTCTAATCTATCACAGTGGTTTCATCGCCAAGGCTTCTGCCAAGAACAAGGGTAGAATCTCTAGATACCTTGCAAACAAGTGTTCTATTGCCTCTAGAATTGATAACTATTCTGATGAGCCTACCAATGCTTTCGGTTCTGTTTTGAAAAAGCAAGTTGAGCAAAGACTGGAGTTTTACAGCACTGGTGCCCCAACCTTGAAGAACGAATTGGCTATTCAAGAGGCAATTGAGTTGTTTAACAAGGACAAGCCAGCTGAGGAGATTCAAGAGTCGAAGAAGAGAAAATTAGAAGAAAGTGAGGACGAAGAAGAACCTAAGAAGGAGAAAAAGAAGGAAAAGAAGGAAAAGAAAGACAAGAAAGACAAGAAGGAAAAGAAGGAGAAGAAAGAAAAGAAAGACAAGAAGGAGAAGAAAGACAAGAAGGAGAAGAAAGAGAAAAAGAAGAACTAAACTTGTCAACCCAACCCTCTGCATTGCTTCGTGTACCGAATTTTTTAACTCTTTTGTAAATTGTGTATATCTAACTAAAGAAGGAAACTGCTATGTTGCTTAATCATTTCTTGCCCTCCCTACTTCACAGCTTAAAGATACAAACCGGTTTGTGCTCCCATCGCAGTACCATTCAATCTCCAACAGCGGTGGCATTCCGTAACATACGAGTCTCGACTTAGGTGGTTTACGATGGGCCAACACAAGTCAATTAACTTGTCCATAGTTTCCAAAGACAGCTTTTCAAAACCAGAGGGCCCTTCACTAGGCGCTACAAATCCACTAAATTTCATGTGAGATGCAATTAATTGGTCTATTAGACTAGCTGTGAAGTTGGTGATAAATTCTGGTGGCGCCAAAGGCGGCAGATCTTCTTGACCGAAAGGACAACTTCCAGGCGCACCAATCGATTTAACTTCTCCAATCCTATCAGTAGTTCCGATCACCAAAAACTGCAATGTAGAGCACTTTGCTACTATTTCTCTGGAGAGTATATTCCAAACTATAGGAGGAACGTGTAGGAAGTTTTCTTCCACACAAAGGAGCAGAGTATTATTATCCAATTTTTGCATGGGGAACTCGATAGATCGTTCGGTTTTCTTAGATGTAGCAGCCTCTTCTGCTTGAAAGTCTTCGCGGTAACGAAATTCCTCTGTGGTGTTGGTCTGCCAAGTACCCTGAAATGATGCAATGTGCTCCAATTTTATCAAACGCTTAGGAAACAATGGCTCCAAAGTTTTCGAAATAACAACCACTTTTCTGAATGACATCAAGTCAAGTGATCCTGAGAAAGTTACCTTTGGCAAAGTCGATATTTGGAGTGATTCCAAATTCGTGGTATCTTCTAGGGGCGCATCCAGGTGATGCCTTGGTTCACTAAAATTATTCCACTGCTTGAACTGTAAATGTCCTAGTTAGTATTTCTAACTGTAAGATTGTTAGTGCTTGATTTTAAATCGAACGTACTAGCATTTTCCACTCTTCTTGATGTAGTGTGCAAAGTTGATCAATCTGAAGAATGATTTTTTTTCATCATGAAAGACAGAAAATGATCTTCCGAAACCAACGTATAGAGCTTAACAAAAGAAGGTAATGTCAGCAAACCCCAACGATATTACTGCTAAATACACGTCTTTACAGCACGAACTTGAAGAGCATGTTATTGCTAGACAGAAACTAGAGACTCAGCTGCAAGAGAATAAAATAGTTCAAGATGAGTTTGAAACTTTAAAAGAAGACTCACAAGTGTACAAACTCACTGGTAACGTCTTGCTGCCTGTAGAGCAAGACGAAGCCAAGAGTAATGTACTCAAGAGGCTTGAATTTATAAACACTGAAATCAAGAGATGTGAGGACAACATCAAAAGTAAACAAACTCAGCTAGAACAGCTTAGATCGGAAATTATCAAGTTGCAAGCTAGTCAAAGTCCTCAAGCATAAGTAGAATGTTGTACGTTATCATTTAGTGCCCGATACAATATATATTTGTATATACTTACCCTCCAATAATGAGATAAAAGTGTTCCAGAACACACCTCATCCCCTAGTCATTTGAGATTTAGCTAAGTTGACGCTCATCAATAATGTGTACCATAAGTACTCTTCCGTGTTATTGTAATATTCGCCTAATTTGGTCACCTTATGAAGCTTTTCCTGCGCAAACTCGATGGTTTCGCGGAAACTATCGGACTTGTCTTGGGCCATGAATAGCTCAGAACTAATGTACGCGCATGAAATGGCCATACGTTTCGAGTACCACGCAAAATCGTGGGAGTCGGGTTCGCGCGAGAAGTACACCATGTCATCGGACAGTCTATGCAACTCAGGAAGGGCGGTCTGAACAAGAAATTCACCTGGTATAGAAAGGTAAGATAACATTTGCGACAAATGAGAGCTTATGGGCTCGTTCATCTGCAGCCTTTTTAAAAAAAGCTGCTCCAAGGTTGGCTCCTCATTGCTCTCTTCCAAGCCCTTTGTGAGGTCAAGCCTTTTGGTGACCAGATGAAATTTAACCAGCTCGAGAACTGCGGGCGACGCATTAAAGAAAGAGGGTGAATTGGGTGCTCCAAGTACGGATAACATAGACGAATTACAACCTAAAGCTGCTAAACTCGCAACTATCGCCCTTTCATTGAACCCGTGCAACGGCACATTGACCTTAAGTGCATGCTCTAATACCCTATACTGAATAGAGTCTCTTGAATACGTCAGAGGGTACAATTCCTTTGGAAGAGCATGTTCCAAGGTATTCGGATGATACAGTCTTCTTGTTAACCTACTAATTGGCCTGAACATGTTCCCACCTCTAAGGCCATATTACGAACGACCTTGCTGGTCTCCAGTTTTTTGTAAAACTTAAAAGCATGTATTACGGTCTAACAGAAGAATAGTATATAAACGACAGATTTATAGGGTGTTACGACACCACCTTAATAAATATAGCCTACTAATGCAATCAGAAACGCTAGCTCCTTCAGACCGCAAATAAGTATGAAGTTTTGAACAATTGGGAATAATCGGGAGAGACTTAGGAAGATCATGAGAATTGGCAGGAGAAGAGAATAATTGTTCGTAGATGATTATACTTTATATGCGGGTAACCTCCGGCTGGTAACGATCACGTGTAGCTTCCCGATCGGGATTTTATACCCTGAAAGGAAAGAGGGGTACGGTCTATTGCCCAAAGCGGTGATAGCCGCCTGTAACTGCCCTTTTTTTTTCAGATAAAATGTTCCTGAGGTTGCTCAATTTCAATTTACTATCACTCTTCATCAATAATACTCATCCCTTCTAACTTTACTGTTTACAATGTCTACTGAAGGAAAGCCAATTACGTGCGTTGCCGCTGTCGCATACGAGGCTGGAAAGCCTTTGACGGTTGAAGAAATCGTAGTTGACCCACCAAAGGCCCATGAGGTTCGTATCAAGATTGAGTACACTGCCGTTTGCCACACAGATGCTTACACCTTAAGCGGTGTGGATCCAGAAGGTGCATTCCCTTGTGTATTGGGTCATGAAGGTGCTGGTGTTGTGGAGTCTGTGGGAGAAGGCGTCACCAACGTGAAGCCTGGCGACCATGTCATTGCGTTGTACACTGCTGAGTGTAAGAAATGCAAATTCTGTTTGTCTGGTAAAACGAACCTGTGTGGTGCTGTGAGAGCTACTCAAGGTAAGGGTGTCATGCCAGATGGCACTAGCAGATTCCATAATAAGAAGGGTGAAGATCTACTCCATTTCATGGGCTGTTCTACGTTTTCGCAATATACCGTCGTGGCGGACGTATCTGTGGTCGCTATAGACCCAAGTGCCCCCTTGGATAGAACCTGTCTGCTAGGTTGTGGTGTTACAACTGGTTACGGTGCTGCCATCAAGACCGCTGACGTCCAAAAGGGTGACACGGTGGCTGTTTTCGGTGCAGGAACTGTTGGTTTGTCCGTGGTTCAGGGTGCTAAAGTCAGAGGAGCTTCAAAAATCATCGTTGTGGACCTTAACGATGAAAAGAAGCAGTGGTCCGAGGAGTTTGGTGCTACTGACTTTGTTAACCCTACCAAGGATCTAAAGGAAGGTGAAACAATCGTCTCCAAGTTGATTGAAATGACTGACGGTGGGCTTGATTTCACATTTGATTGTACTGGTAACACTCAAGTTATGAGAGACGCCCTTGAAGCTTGTCACAAGGGATGGGGTCAATCCATTATTATTGGTGTTGCTGCAGCTGGTAAGGAGATCTCAACAAGACCATTTCAACTTGTTACTGGTAGAGTGTGGAAGGGTTCTGCATTCGGTGGCATCAAGGGTAGATCGGAAATGGGAGGTCTTGTTTCTGATTACATGTCTGGAAAGTTGAAGGTTGACGAATTCATCACTCACAGGAGACCTTTCACTGACATCAACAACGCTTTTGAAGATCTTCACCATGGTGACTGTCTTAGAACGGTGTTGGACTTGTCAAAATAAATTTTTTATTTGCAGAAAAATACATGTACCTACATTAAACGCTGTAAATAAATTCATACCTATACAACTCAGAGACGAATGAGGTTAGACATGCGTTCCTGACCATGCTGGTTCCGAAAAGCTCCTCGCATCCAAAGAGATACCCATCCCATTATTAGCTTCTTGAATGTCACTGAAAGAATTGGTGGCACCCAGTTCCTTCTGCTGGGGTTCTGTGTTCTTAGGCCCTCCACAACGTAGACACACGACATTCTTTGCAAAATTGTGATAAGTGCAAGTTGCGCACTTCCAATCGCCAGCTCTGAAGGGGACATTCGAACCTCCTTGCTGTTGATTTTGAGGGAAACGCTGTCCTTGAGTGTAACGCATACGCTGTTGCTGTTGTTGTTGTTGATGCAAAGTTTGGGGTTGCAGTGATGGCTGTTGTAAAGCATTTTGCATCCGTGGCTTGTATGCTTGTTGCTGAGCTTGCCCTGTAAGTGATGCTTGCGACGGATTCTTGATATAAGCATTCTTATTAACAGCAACCGCGCTTGTGGCTGGAAAAGAGCATCGGAAACATGCAGTACGCCTTTGGAAATTAGAAAATCCACAAGATGGGCAATTCCAATCACCTGGTCTTGGTTTGTTCTTACTCTGTGGGAAGGGGGAAAGGATTTCATGCGCACGATCCAGGACCCGAGCACTAGACGGTTGGATCTCTACAACATGCTCAATGACTCGTGGTTGTTTGGTATTGGCAACGTTTGATAAAATAGACCTACCATTTAGAGACAGAGCTTCAGTGGCTTCCTCGTGCAATTGAAAAACCACAAACCCTGATATACTGTCCTGCATTTCAACATACGTGCTGTTATTACTCGACCAATTATTGTTGACGTTGGAAGTTTCTTCTACAATGTTCTTGACTGTCCAAAAACCGACCGGTCTGGCGCCAAATTGTGTGAACCATGATTCTAGTTCACTCTGTGTTGTGTCAGGTGGTAAGTTGTTCATGTACAAAACTTTTGACCGCTCTTGCAAAAAATTACGAACATCCAAGTAAGAGTCGTACGGATGCGTTAAGACCATCGATTTGTCCTCGGCACTGACACATTTCTTGTGTAGTTGAAGAAGAACTTCTATTGACAGAGACAATATGTCTGTGCCTTCATCATTTGTATCTAGCTCGAGAATTCTCTTCAACTCAGATATATCTTTGAGCTTCGCGCCGATAGCATCACTCTTCTTCAAAGCAATAATTTCTGGATGATTCACGCACCATCTATAATATTCCTTCCATAAATCAAAAACTTTTGGGTGCTGCAAGTGTGGCGGAAGAATAAAAACTTCGTCGCGAGCCTGACGTGGAATAGTCACCCGAAATTGCCAGGTCGAATTCAGAGAGCATATCACAAATTCTCCGTCAATCTTCTCAGAAATATCTTGGTTCAACGTTGTTATACCGTCCTGAAGTGGTTGATTAGGCTCCAGGATCACATGCTTGTTCTCCTCGAAAACTGGTTTCAAAGTCTCTGCATCAAAAAATTGGTAATGGAATTTTGTGATTCTACCTTGATCTCGTGGACACTCTTCATTATACGCCGTTTCGACTTCTAAAACGACATAATACATCGTTCAGAGACCGTCTTTCCCGGATCCAAATTGTTAGTCCACTTAGCCTAATAATGAGATGAGATATGAAAAAAGTGTTTGCCTGAAAAATTTTTCATGTTGAGAAAACTAATTAATTACGAATCTATTAAGGCACAACTAGTAGGTCAATTGACCTACTAGTCAAAATAAAAGATTGCTACGTACCCACTATTTATCGCTTTGAGATGAATCCTCAGATTGAGTATCATCCTCATAATCTTGATCTTCTTCGCTGCTTGCATCTTCGTTTTGACCGTCCAATTCGTTGGTCACACCGTCCTTGTGCTGCTTGAGCCAATTTTCAGTCCAAGCTACTATCCTGTCGACGTTTTCATCCATTTCATCTGCAGTATCGCTTCGCAGCTCAACCACTATCTCTTGCGCATATGAATCAAGCGCGTCCTGCATAACCACGCCCATAATTTCGGCGTCTAGGTTTTCTTGAATCTTAGCATCGTGATACTTCCTCATTTGTAGTCTATCATATAGGGTGGAGTTGTCGCATCTCAGTACGACTACAAGATCAATCAGACGCTCTGGGAACACATCATTGACGTGCCAGTCAACGATCGCACCACCTTTGCGTAACAACGGTTCAAGCTCATCTAACAGCAGATCCTCGTCAACAATATGTGACTTACGGCCCTCATCGTATCCTGAGTAGCAGTTGTGCTCACGCGCAAAGTCGCTGATGTTATAATACGTAGCATCTTTTAGTCTGCGCTGCAGAAGTTCACATGTCGTAGATTTACCGGTTCCGGGGGTGCCACTCACCAAAACGTTAGGATTCAGTCTACGTGGTAACATCTTCTGATATATTTTGCAATCTTTACAAACCTGTGCAATTTCTCGGTTCAGTTTTCTGTCCTTACTTTAAGCATCTCAACATGAAAAAATTTGTTACATATCCAAGAATTAAGTTGTAAGCCAAAAAGAAAGAGCCAAGCAAATAACATGTCACTTGAAAACTATGGACTGAAAGCACTTCTGCCTTTGATAAGGCAAGAGGACCAGTCTTCAGAGTACGATTCCTCAATGACCCTAGGCATAGATTTGTCCCCGGTACTGCACTCCTTGGGGATACATCCTAATAGCGTGTATAGGAGGAAAGTTCTCGACACATTCCAATCGCCCTGGGTAGAAACATCGCGAAGTGAGGTCGAGCCAAGGTTTTTCACTCCTGACTCTTTCAAAAACATTCCCAACGTATTACAAGCGGGTGACCAACCACCCAGCTTTAACTCCGTGCAACAAGACCATGCAAAGATAGCACTATTTCAAGACGAGACGCTGTTCTATTTATTCTACAAGCATCCAGGGACAGTAGCGCAGGAGTTGACGTATCTTGAACTGAGAAAGAGGAATTGGAGATATCACAAAACTCTCAAAGTATGGCTGACGAAGGATCCCATGATGGAGCCTATCGTTGCCCAAGACGGTGCAAGTGAAAGAGGGTCCTACGTATTTTTCGACCCACAACGTTGGGAGAAATGTCAACGGGATTTTGTATTATTCTACAATGCGATAATGTAATGGAGGATGGGTTTCCGCGAGGATTAAAGTGAAGTATATATTTACAAGTGTAGACAAAGGAGCCCGAAAAACGAGGGCGATCATACCTCAATTGCATGGTATCTTTTACCTCTGAAGCCTGCGATGTACATATTGAATTGATAGACTTCCTGAGGATTCATGTCATTAAGTTCCCATTTAGTACTGCCAAACACATTTTTTACGGGTTCCATCAACATATCCAGCTCTTTCCCATAAGTGCTCTCTACCGCGTCAATGTCGCGTTTGAGATCTTTTTCGTTGAAACCAGTCGTGAAAATTGCACATTTTGTTTCTAACAAGGCCTCCATTGTCTTGCCCATCCAGTTTTCTCTTGACTCTGGGGCAGCAAACCCAGGATGGAAACAAAAGAATATGTCATTGTATGGGTCGTAAGGGAAGAAGTCTTGAGCTTCGTGATAAACGTGGAAAAAATCAGTGTGGTAAATAAAAGTTAAAGTTTCGTCTACCCTCCTTACGATTGGTGTTGATGAACTCACGTACTCGCGCTTGTTGCGATCGAAGTAAGACTCGTGCCCGACGAAATGGAGTTCTATTTGTGTTTCTGGGAACAAGAACTGCAGCTGTTTCCAGACGTGTCCAGGTAGCTGTGCCTCTGCACGCGCTCCGAGAATAAACACGCGGAGAGGACTGTTCTTTGCCGTCGAAGTCACTTTCCTATTTTGTTCTGGATAGAGTGTGTACCTTAGAGCGGCAAGAGACTTCAAACCCTCGAGCGTGATGGGGCCCTTAGGGTTGAGCGAGTAGGGGGAGAACTGGTGGAGAACAGACCCAATCGTGATTGGGTAACTCAGCATTTTTGTGACGGCAGCTAGCTGGAATTCAGTATCCATCGAGTAAAATCCACGCGTATAGAAGAACAAATCCCAATTAGTCATATTGACCATCCTGTCGAAATCCTGATCCAACGGGAAGTCGAACTCGGGGAACGGTCTCCCAGAGCGCAGGTCATGTTCATAGATGTTTGCCTTCTTGAGAATCTGAGGTCTGCCTGACTTGTGGTATTCGTTATCCCGTTCCCAGGCATCGCGAGAGTGATGTGTGGGTATCCCTGATGTAGGGCATGTATAGTTTATTTCTTTACCTGTCACGGGGCACTTTGCCATTGCTCGTATGGTCGCAGCCCGCTCCCGTAGATCAGGCGAGGGTGACACATCCCAAGGATGAAATCTGTTTTCTGGTGTAGGGTCATCTGGGGATGGAGGTGGATCGAGTCCAAGAGCATTTCTAACAAACCCCATTATATGCCTTTTCTGCATGTGAGAGGTGGCCCTCCATAGTGGCTTGCCCTTATACATATACAATCGCATGGCTATCACAGATGCTCTCACTTCGCTTCTCTAATTGTACAACTTTAAAATTTTTCGTTCTTGAAAGAAAGGGCCAACTTCTTTTTTCAACAAATGTCTCACGTGCTTTTCATGTGATCTGTAGTCATTTGGAACGGTTTCGGGTATCACGTGCTCGATGCTTTTAATATCCTTTTATACGTCTTGTCTTGCTGAGGAAATCTCTATTGGGAAAATTTTCAGATTACACCATTTTCTATCTATAAGGACAACGTCAAACGTCGGCTAGCTCCTCAAGGTCTGGTTCTTTATTAAGGTCTAAATTCGACGTGAAGGTGTCATGTTTGGTGCATTGAGACACCTTTGTACGCGGGTGTTAACACCGCGTACTCTAGTCATGCGTAACTCAGCGTTGGTCCGTCCTCTGCATACAATGCAAGATAGGTTGACGGTATGTGCGGAGCCAATTATGTTTATACAACCCGTGGCAATTGAGGAAGCGGGCCCATTACCCGATGAGGTATTTGTGGACAGTGTGATGCGTAAGAGACGGCTTAAGATGAAGAAGCACAAGTTGCGCAAGAGAAGAAAGAGGCAGAAGGCAGAGAGAAGAAAACAGTCACAAGGTAAGTAATTTCAATTTCCATGTACGCTAAGGACACTCTTGTATATAGATGTTAAAGGAAAAAAGACGCGGCCGACTGGTCGCGCCATGTGCATATGCTATAAAAGAGCGATGTATAGAGTCGTTGCGACGGAGGTGCTCATAGCAACCTGCGAACAAACCAGTACAGTATTAGGAACTGCAAAGCCGCGCCCACGGCCAGCACGAGCGTCTTTTGCTGCTTCGACAGCTTGTTGGTGTATTTCCACTCCTCAAGTGCGAACGAGAGCAACCGGAAGCTCATCTTGCCCATGAGTTCTTGGCGGTTGATCTCACCAATCTCTTGAATGACACGCATGTTCCAGTCGAAAATGTCGTTGGCCACGTCCAGGATGTGCAATTTCTGCTCCTCTGAAAGACCCGTGCGCGTTGCAAGCTCGTAACCACGCTTATACTCCCACCGGAGCTTGTTTTCGGCCTCCACACCCTCGTCGCTGAAAGTGAAGAAGTTGGTACCTCTGTGAACCACTTCCTGCGGCGTGAGATCCGGAAACTTGGGGAACAACCCGGTGTGGCGGTATATGGTCGAGCGCATCACACGCCCGCCTGCAAATAGCGCTAGGTACAGCACGTGGCAGTACGCCAGCACACTCGTGGGCTGCTCGCGGATTCCATTGTGCACGTAGTCTACGAACGCTTGTTGCTCTGCGGGCAGCTTGTGCTCGTTGAGGAACTCATTAAGACTTTCGCTAGTGGGGTACTCTCTGGCATAGAGCAGCTCTAGATCCTTGAAGATCCGTGCACTGCGTCTGAACTCGTCGCACCAAAACTGCCTCAGGATATCGCGTGTCTGCAGCTCCTCGGTCGTCACAGCATCCTGAAGCAGCCTGTCGATCTCCTGTTCGATCGCGTCGAACACGTAATAAAATGCCAACACTCCTTGTCTGTAAATGAACCCGTGTTTCATAGCAAACGCGAATTTCATACTCATCTGCTTATCGATCTTATTGTGTTGGTCTCGTGTGTGGAAATTAATTCTGTTGGCCAAAGCGCCAACGTCTGTTGGGGAAGGAATCGTAGCGGCAACCATGCTTCTAAAATGTCCTCAAAATTCAATGCTTTCTCGAGTAATTGATCTATCCATTTGTCATCTACCTACTTGACCTTTTTATACCAGCCACGAAATGATTTCGCCAGTGACGCAGAATGGGTGCGCGCTGTGCCAGCCGATAAGTCCTTTTCGGTCACATGTATGAAAATCAAATCATGGTGCGAATCATCATAGAATAACCAGTAGTGAAATGCGAACGTGTAGCAATCTAAACGGCTGAGGGTGTGATGGTGGGTATGACGGTAGCGGAGAGGCGGGGATGAGACAGTAGGGGGCTGTAGAGTACGAGTTGTGAGGAATTGGTTGGAGGAGTGGACAGGAGAAGTGTCTGGTCTGGGGTGTGACAGGGTGCGGAAAGTACGGAACGTGCCCATCGGGTGTCTATCGATGTAGGAATGTGGAAGCGCGAGGAAGTGAACGCGGACCTGACAGGGGTGCAAATATCGGGGTTTTCGTCATTGTGTGTCTATAAACAGTATACAGGAAGTGGGACGGGCAGTGAACGAGGCTGGCCAGCATCGGTGAACGAAGATATGGGTGACACTGAGGTAGACGTTTCCAGCCAGAATGGTGTTAACTTTCACACCTCGGCACCCCGTCTGTGATTCACTTCATGTGGGCTTGGCTCTCGTAAAACTCAACAACTTGCTCCGATGAGGTGGCATCTTCCACAGACTTGTCGTCGCGGATGCGGATGAACCGAGGAAACCGCAGCGATATGCCCTTGTCGTAGATACCGCTGCCAGCCTTGTATACCGGCGACAAGGATAGATCCGCAGTCAGGACCTCGAACAGCATGGAGGGCTCGAACCACACGTCCGGCGGAGCACTCTCGCTGTAAACGTAAAAGGCCTTGGGCTCGCTGATTTCTGTGGGGCTCAATTGCTCGTATAACTTCTGCAACATCTCGTCGGAAAATCCGGTGCCGATCTTGCAACAGGTCTCGAATTCTCCGGTATCCTGGTTGTAGCAGCCCAGTAGGAACCCACCATATGTACCCGTGCGCTTGCCCCTTCCGTAGTAAGCGCCCAAGACGCACAAGTCCAAGGAATCGCCCACGCCCTGCAAGTAGTCTTTTTTCAACTTGAGCCAGTTTCGCGACCGTTTGCTTGGCTCGTAGTGCGATTCTTCGCCATCTAGCACCTTGACCATGAGACCCTCGCACGAGTCACGCACCGATTGGTCTAAATAGCTTTGCATCTCTTCCAGATTCATGGTCGTGACTTCGCTTGCATATTGAAGCTCTCCTGGCACCGGCTTAAGAGCGCGCTCTAAGTATTGCCGTCTCTCTGCCAGCGACTTATTGATTAGCGGCTCGTCATTGTAGCATAAAATGTCAAACGCAAACAAGCATACGCGTACTTTGACGTCTTCTGCGACTACTCCTTTCCGTTTTCTCGTGCTCAGGACTTGGAATGGTAAAATCTTGCTTTGCTCTTTGTCCCAAGCAACTGCTTCGCAGTCAAGGATTAAAGTGTGCGTCTCTGCAGGATTGGCAATGAAATCGCTAATGTTGATCTCTGGATACCGTTCAGTCATATTTTCACCATTACGCGAATAAATGCGCATAGTGCCATCTGGTAGCAAGTGAACTTGTGCCCTTTCACCATCGTATTTATACTCGCAAGTGAAGCGTTGGCCTTGAAATCTATCAAGCACTTCTGAAATCGACTTTGAAGGTTTTGCCAACATCGGCTTCAATGGGATTCCAGGTGTCAATACACAGTGCTTGTCCAGATTCATGATACCGTGCTCCAACGCAGTATTGATCACAATCTCATAGTTGGGCACTTGGCAGAATGCGTCTCTGATCTTTTGTTCTGCCGCGTCTACAATATCATTTGATGGTTCTACGCCATTGTGTTCGTAGGTCAAGATAGCTTGTGATAGTGCAATTAAAACCGTTTTCTCCGCAAGCCCTATGCGGAGTTTAGACTCCAACGATCTGATAAGATATTTGGCTTCTACACCTTGGCATGCAGTAAGCATCCGTTTGATGAGCTGAACTTTACGCTGTTGCGAATCTTTGCCCTGGGCACGCGCAATAACCTGAAGATTCGAAAAGACTTCTTCGGTTGTCAAAGGTTTGGGCTTAAACATCGTAGGCTGTACGGCACGCGCCTCTTGTGCGATGCGGCCTAAGTCTCCGAGTTCACGGTACTTGGCTTTGATTTGCGCGAGCGACTTGCCGCAACTTTCGCTAATTGTTTTCATAAGTAGCCCTTCACCAAGTCCTAGCTCGAGCCCAGGCTCGTAATCGGGTCCCAATTTGTTAATGAACAGGTAGGTGATTGGAACTAGGTCTCTTGGCGTCTTGTTCAACACAGAATACAAAAACTCGCTGCACAGTTTAACAATTGATAGCCTCGAAGACGTATTTTCCACCTCGTTGAACACTTTGCACACATCTGAGTATAAAATCTTCCCTTCTTCTTTCTTGTCCTTGGCGAGAGCAAGACGCATCACAGGTTTCGGTATCACAGGTTCTCGAACAGGTTCAGCTGGCTGCGTAGCCATTGTCTCTACCTCCATCTTCTCATCAGGAGTTGCCATCTTTCCATCATAATGCTCTGTCTTCCTATCAGTAGTGTCTATTTTCTCATCAGAGCCCATTGTGCTGGTTAGAGGGGGTGTCGTCTTCATCTTCTTGGGAGACGTCCCAGCGGTGCTTTCAGGCACGCCGCGCTTCATAGAACTGAAAAATTTGGCCAAAGTGGCTTGTTTCTTAGTAGATGACATTCCTGCTTGAATCCTACTGAACATTCAACCACGGCTTCCGTCTAAGGTTGCTATGACGAGCTGCTGTTGTTTGCATCCTGAAGTGGAATGTCCATTTTTTGAGTCGCGTAATTGCGCGATGAGCAAACAAAGTGTCATCAGACATGAACTCAACGAACATATAGGGCAATATACTCACCAATGGTCGCAAGTGAGCTGTGATACTTGACTCAAAGCCTACGCCGTCTTGTCATATCTCTAACACGAAGTGTGTACAACTCACGTGATATTTACCCGGATATAACCGAGCCATAATCATTAGCCTCTTGAAAAGGGGTGTTCAAAAGTAATGAACAACCATCAGAAGAAGTTATTCCTGCAAGTGAAGTCAACAAGATAGAGGCGAGATGTCGAAGGCTTTGATTCGTAAGGCAAAAAATGTCGTGAATGGGTACTCTTCTATGCAAGTTTTGGTGCGTGAAGCGACTTCAAATGACCCTAACGGCCCCTCATTAGATTTGATGGATGAAATTTCGGAGCGATCCTACGACAGCGTGGAGTTCTTTGAGCTGATGGATATGCTAGACAAGCGATTGAACGATAAGGGTAAAAACTGGCGCCATGTGGCTAAATCGTTGACGGTGCTAGATTATTTGGTGAGGTCAGGCTCCGAGAATTGTGTTTTGTGGTGTAAAGAAAACCTGTATGTGATTAAGACACTTCGGGAATTTATGCACGAGGACGAGCTTGGGAATGATCAAGGTCAGATTGTGCGTGTCAAGGCAAAGGAGCTGACTTCACTGCTTCTGGACGAAGAGCGCCTGCGTGAAGAACGCGAAATGCGCCGGAAGAAGAGAAAGAGCAGACGCCGCAGAGACCCAGATACGTTCGACGATGATTTGCAGCGCGCGCTCGAAGAAAGCAGGCTCACTGCCGAACAGGAGGAACAAGAACGCAGAATGCGCATGGGGGAGATGGCCGATGATGAGGACGACCTACAAACCGCATTACAGCTCAGCAAAGAGGAGGAAGAGTTGCGCAGACTCAGAGAGCTGCAACAGCAGCAACAATTGCAGCAGGCGCAGGCGCAAATGTTCCCACAACAGCAGCAAGCTATGTATTACGATATCTTTGGAAACCCCATCTCTGCTGAAGAATACATGCAGTATCAGCAGCAGCTTGCGGAGCAGCAGTATCAGCAGCAGCAATATCAACAATTAGCCCAACAGCAAGCCCTTGCTGCACAACAGCAGTATTTGGCAGAACAACAAGCTCTTGCCCAGCAACAGGCCTTCGCCCAGCAACAGTATATGCAGCAGCAGTTTACTCAACAACCTTTGGCCACTGGCTCCAATAATCCATTCGCATTGGGTTCTCAGGGCAAAACTGGAAACGCAGCTCCTAAGCCTGCCGCTACCAGCCCAGCTATCTCTGCCCCTGCTCCTGCTCCTGCTCCTGCCGTCTCATCTCCTCAGAAGCCCTTAACACAAACGAGAACCGGTAATCAATCCATCACAGATAAGTACAGCGCTCTCAATACCCTCCTAGCAACTGGTACTGGTATTGACACCTTTGGTAACACTGGTGATACGCGTGTTCCAGCACAACACACAAAGACAGGTAATTTCATCAATTCTCAAGGTACAGGTTACAGACAAGTTGGTGACCAACCAAAGCATAATCCCTTCTTGGGCACACAGTACACTGGTCTACCCAGCTCTAGTATCGTTCCTTCCTACACAGGTTATGGATTCGGTAATCAAGGTGGACAGACGCAGCAGAGCAATAACCAGCAAAATAACGCCGATCAGGGTTTTAGTTTGATCGATCTATAATGAACACTCATTATACTCTTATCTGTACTATATGTAAAAAGCCTTTATTTTTTAACATTATTTTACTTCGTCTTTACATATCCAGCAGTAGCAACCCTGAAATCTTTTCTAAATCTTTATGGGTCAGCACGATACTGTCATCTATCTGGTTATCGTCCTCCTGTTTTACTTGCTCCTTGTTTTCGATTGACCTCAGAACCGCTTCTCTAATAAATAGTTCCATATACTTGTCCATCAGTGAGAGTGTGTTTTCAGTAATCCTCGTAGAATCATGTTGAAATGAGCATGTTTGAAATATACGAGCAATGGTATCCTTCGGTAGTCTAATGCTCATATTATTGTGTAGTCTTTGAAAATATTACTTATGCGTTTTCAAAATCAGAGAAATTACGCGTTTCATGTTAACGCTTTATGAAATAACCATCAAGTTTGAAGATGAAAAAGACATTCAAAAGTACAAATACCTATTTTTCCAATATATAATGCAACATGATCTTATATGAGGAGAATGCAAGTTTAAATTGAAGAATATGCTTTGGCTCATCTTTCAGAAGGATGAGCGGAATGATACACCACCCATTCCCTTGATCTATTATCTTACTGTTTTCGATCAATGAATTAGAAGACTTATTATTGCCAAGGGAGTATAATTGTGAACTACTTTTTCCTAATCTTCTCGTTCTTTCCTTGCGTGACAATCTTGTATCTGCTTTCAATTGATAAGTTGGAATGGTAGTTGCGAACAGTTCCATTCTATGAGAGATGGACCTACCCTCCTCTTCTATCACAATTTTACTGTAGGAAACTGTAATTTCAGTGATTGGGATGTATAATCCACTGGATCCCGATATTTTGATTTCCATGCTTCCTTGAATGTGAGGGCCAAGAACTACTAGAGCTAATTTATTAGTATCACATTCTGTTGGTAGTACTTGTTGTAGGGGCAAGACGCGTATGTTGGGGAGGAAATCTACAGCAAATGAACTTGTAACGATTTTGGAGCTTCTGGGGTTAGCATCAGGCCTCAAAAGACATGAACGGCATTTAGGACACGAATATTGGTACTTACAACGAAGCCGAGAAGGAAGAGGCAATTCTGTAGAATGTTTGATGGTTTCATACTTTGCAGGCAATTCTTCGCTAATCAATTCGTACAGTTTCTTGGTAGCCAACCTCTGCAATACATATTTTCGTTGTGCAATGCTAGCATTAGATAACGCATCAGTCAAGTGAGGTGACGATTCGCATTTTATGAATAGACCTTTGACATTTAAGTGCTCTTCTAGTGCTCTGTAACGTTCTAAAACGGTGTCTTTTGTTTCCCTCTCAGACTGAATGCAATTAATTAGTGATTCAGTCCGAGTTACCTGGGGTGAGGTATACGACCAATCACACCCTGCGCACTGTAATATGTACTTTGAACTCCTGCTATCGAGCTCTAACATTTTGATTTGTAACGGTAAATTGCAACGAGGGCATTCGAAGCAGTTTTTATGACAAGTAAGCTGGTTGTTATGCAAAGGTACATTTAAACATTGTGGACAATATTTGACGACAGGCTCGAAGAGTTGGCAATTGACACAAGATAAACTGTGGCATTTGGAGCAGAAGTTGAGACTTGAGATATTAAGCTTGTCTGTAGAGCAATTGCATTGCCATCTCACTCTCATCACTTTATTCTCATATAGAAATAAGGAACGATAAAACTCGTTCCGAAAACAATTCGAAATATCAAGCCGACGGAAACACAAGGTTGTAAAGAGATAGACATATATTCTACATGCTGGTATGGGGTATTCTATGGCTTCTGCTGGCTTCATGCATGGGTCATGAAGCTGCAGACCCGTGGTACACTATCGAGCAGAACTTAAAGAACTTACCGAAGAAGCCCGATCCTATATTGTCATCAGCACAAGAGATAGATCCATACCTTGATCCAGTGTCCGATGGTATTAAAATTTCTCTGCCTATGGACTATTACGAAAGGGAGCAAGAACGAATCTATGACAAGTTTTGGAAGGGAGCCAGTGAACTGCAGCAAGAGGTGTATGCCCAATTGAAAACGTCGAGCGCGGAGTTCAACAACAGTGAAGCTACTTATCTTCTCGCTCAAATACATTTAATTGGAGAATATGGCTATCCGCACAACAAAACATTAGCATACTATTACCTTAACAGATTCAATGAGATGACGAACTTCACAAACGCTACTGTCCTTTTTGAATTGGCAGTAATGCATTCGACGGGCCTATTCGGTACAATACCGATTGATAGCTCGAAGGCACTTATTTATTATCACTTGGCTTCTGGGTTGGGCGATGTGAGAGCAAAAATGGCCCTTGCGTACCGTTACCAAAATGGCGTCAATGCTCCTCGCGATTGTGATAAGGCACTTTTCCTCTATAGCGAGATTGCTCAAAAACTGAGAAGCAGTTACAGCGATCAAGAGTGGGACATTGTTTCACCTTTTTTAGAATCTTATGATGTGCGTATATGTGATTTTACAGGAGGACTGCTAAGCAAGGGCCTGAGCAGTACGAGGTTATCGACTGTCCGAAAGAGGGCTCTCAGACCTGATATCACTTCCTCAGTGTTGACCAATTTGCAAGGGGGACGAATTATTCTACAGTTCGGTGGTGGTGGCGGTAGTGGGTTTGTCGGAGGTGATGATGAGGAGGAAGAAAACGGACTCATGAACATCTACTATACTGCGCTTGACAATTACCAGGGCACATACACTCAAAGAAGAAATATGACTGTAGCCATGCAGTTACTCAACATGACATATGCACAGTTTGATAATGATATTCGATACATGGCTGATTTGGATCGTTTTTTTTACGGAAAATGTTTAGGATTATTGGGCCATATGTACTTTAGAGGTGAAGGAGTTGAAATGCCAAATATTACTCTTGCTGAGCAACTTTTAGAAAGAGCTATTGAAATAACTGAAGTCTCGGATAATTTCAGAAGTGCTGCGCATGCTGATTTGGGGCTCATTAATCAGTACATTTATGGAAATTTGACAGAAGCCATTAAGCATTACAACAGGATGGTGGATTTGGCAAGCTCCGATGGCACTGCAGAATTTCAACTCTCTAAAATCTATGCAGGTGTTAATGGGCACTCAGGGGAAGAGCGTTTGGCTGTAGAAGATCCGCTATTCTTGATGCGGAGAGCCGCGCATAAAGGATTTACTCCAGCCATCTACGAATTGGCCTCAATGGCAGAAAAAGGAATAACTGGAAGAGTGACATGCGAGGAACTAACGAGTATTTACAAGACATTTATTGAGGAGAATGATGAAATAGTAGCACCTAGTCTGAAGGAGGGGTTCATAGCTTTGCTGCGTCAAGAAACGGAAGTGGCCTTGTGGGAATATGCTAAAGCTGCCGAGCAAGGTTACGAGGTAGCACAAACGAATGTGGCGTATCTTTTATACCAACCACCTCTTCAATTACAGGAGCCTCCCATCATTCCAGAGGCAAGAAGAAACATGGCACTTGCATATTATACGAGATCTTTCATGCAGTCTAATGCTGATGCCGGTGTTATTGCAGGTGATATTTACTACGAAATCGGTGAGTATTCCCGTGCTGTCGCACTCTACCAAACCGCAGCAATGAAGATTTCTGTTCAAGCCATGTGGAACTTGGGTTATATGTATGAGCATGGCCTAGGTGTTGAACAAGATTTTCACCTAGCGAAGAGGCATTATGAGCAGGTTCTGGAGCACAACCATAAGCTATATTTTGGAGTAAGATTGACAATTTTGAAACTCAAGGCGAAGTCCTGGTTTATTTGGTTAACTGGAGGTAAAGTAAATTACTGGAAAACGTCAACCGATCCACACCATGTTGCATCAGCCAGCTCGTCCTGGTTTTCGAGGCTTTTGAAAACATTTAGAGAAGCCGGTAGAGAAAACTCAGGTCATCCCGAAAATGAAAGCATTCGCCCAGATCAAAACTCGAGTGGAAGCATCCTTGATACTCTTCAGTCGTGGGGCGTTCACGCTGAAGACCTCATAACAATAGGCTTTGTGCTGTTGTTTTTTATTATGAGCTTTGCCCTTAGGACCGTAGCTTTAAGAAGAGGCTGGGCTGTAAGGGTAAACGGTGTACCATTGCAACCCCAACAGCAAGGTCAACAAGGCGGAGTGGATATTCAGTTCTTTGCAATTTGAGTCATGCCTGCAATGGTGAAATAAATCTTTGTGTATAGTTAAAGTTACATCGTTTTTTCAATTGAGCTGTCGAGCAGTTGCTCAAATACCGGTGAACACAGTGAGTGGCCTAGCGGTCAATAGCTCATGAGATTCAGTTTGCTTTTTGACGATAACAGCCCACTCAAGCCGCATTACTGTAGTAAGCGATCGCTTTAAAAGTTGAAGAAGATTATTGGCGAAAGGAAATAGTTTAGGGATTATATAGTCAAAGTTTACGCCGCTCCTGCTGTCGACGAACAGACATTTACATTTAATCTAGCAAGTGCCACAAGGAAGCTTGAACTTGAGTAATTACTAGCCTTCTCGATCATATTTGACTACAGAGCCCTCTTAAAACTGCTCCTAATGCCTGCGGTATAAAATAAATGCAAGAAAGACTCTTTTTATGGAATTATGGGCCGCATTGTCCATCTATGAGAGCTGTTTGTACACTGTCAGTCTTTGGTGTCGTTACCCTGACAGAATTTTTTTTATACACATTTCATACCAAAATAGTCAAGGTTTAAGCGTGGCAAGTGTTTCTGTAAGTCGGTGCAAATTGAATAGGGAAACGTCACGTTTGGCACGATGGTTACAATTTCTAATGCCCACACGGAGCTGATTCACGATGCAGTCCTAGATTACTACGGGAAACGTCTTGCGACGTGTTCTTCAGACAAAACAATCAAAATCTTTGAAGTTGAGGGCGAAACTCACAAACTAATTGAGACATTGCATGGCCATGAGGGTCCTGTCTGGCAAGTTGATTGGGCTCACCCTAAATTTGGTGTCATTCTAGCATCCTGCTCTTACGATGGTAAGGCCTTGATCTGGAAAGAAGAAAATGGTAGATGGTCTCAGATTGCCGTTCATGCGGTGCATTCGGCATCCGTGAACTCTGTACAATGGGCTCCTCATGAATATGGTCCTTTGCTATTGGCTGCTTCATCTGATGGTAAGGTGTCAGTAGTAGAGTTCAAGGAAAATGGCACGACCTCTCCAATAATTTTGGATGCACATGCAATTGGAGTCAACACAGCTTCATGGGCACCTGCAACCATACAAGATGGTCCAAATCCACAACAACTACGCAGATTTGTCACCGGTGGCGCTGATAATTTAGTGAAAATTTGGAAATATAACGCTGATGCAAACACTTATCTACTAGAAGATACTCTCGAAGGTCATACAGACTGGGTTAGAGATGTAACCTGGTCTCCATCTGTTTTGCTACGCTCTTATCTTGCCAGTGTGTCGCAAGATCGTACATGTATCATCTGGACTCAAGAAAATAACCAAGGTCCTTGGAAGAAGACCCTATTAAAGGAAGATAAATTCCCTGATGTGTTGTGGAGAGCCAGTTGGTCACTCTCAGGTAACATTCTTGCTATATCTGGAGGCGATAACAAGGTAACTTTGTGGAAGGAAAATTTAGAGGGAAACTGGGAGTCTGCAGGTGTTGTTGACCAATAAGCATCCATGATCTCTGTATTTTCTTTCTCTGAGAATAAACCAGCGGAATATGTATATAGGTGTGTATCTACATCTCTATATTTAAATAGACAAGAAGCTGAGCTTTATAATTCTTCAACCACAGCTTCAATAAGACATTGCACGTCAATAGACGCCAAGAACCCTTCTTCCAAGACTTCTTCATGTGTTGCCTTACCCTGTTCGATAGGAATGGGACTTTCATCAAGGGCGCTTGCAGGTGGATCAACCACACATTCGTTTGTCACCAAACTCAACGCTAATACCCTCCAACCACAATGCCTAGCAACGATAACTTCAGGGACAGTACTCATTCCTACCACATCACCGCCTAGCATTCTAATGAAGCGCGACTCGGCTCGTGTCTCAAAAGTAGGTCCACATACATATGTATAAGTTCCCTCATGCAAGGTTCTCTCCAACCCCAATTGATCTTTCTTTTGGAAAAGGAGTTTCCTCAATTCGAGGTCATAAGCGTCACTGAGTGCTAAGAATCTAGGGCCGTATTCGTCGAAGTTAGGTCCTCTCAATGGATGTTGTCCTGCAAGGCCAGGAAGATTCACATGGTCATTCAAACACATCAAATCACCTGTTTTGTAAGTAGAATTGATGCCACCACACGCGTTTGTCACTATAAGGTATTTCATCGATTGTAGTTCATTCAAGACTCTGATTGGGAATGTAGCCTCGTGAAGTGCATGCCCCTCGTAATAGTGTAAACGACCGCACATCAAGACAACGGGGCTATTGTTCATGTAACCCAGCACTAGTCTACCTTGATGGCCAGGCACGGTACTAGATTTAAATCCTGGGATCTCTTCATATGGAAGACTCAAAGGGGCGGGTTTTATTGCAACTTTCTCCTCGATACCACCCAGTCCAGATCCACAGATAATCAAAGTTCTGGGCTCAAATCTGGTGAAATGATCGAAAATTCTTCTCTTGATGTGTTCAACTGCTGATACAATCAAAAATCTTTGTTCATCGATATTGAAGGTGCTCATTGAAGTTTCCTACGCGATAGTTCAATATTATTTTGATTATATGTGCTTTATCGTTACTGCTCGAGAAAAATAAATTTCCTTCGTGTTAGCCTGGAAACCTATTTTATGAATACCTAAAACGCGGATATAGATCAGACGCAAAATTTCTGCTTTAGTGAGAAGATGAATATAGTATGTATATATGTAAGTTGTCGTAAGGTCATTCAATTGCGGCCGATAACCATTTTGATTACAGCACACTGTATCTGTGAATAATTATTTTCAAGAAGTTCGGCAACTTGGCAGAATTCTTTTTTAGCTTCTGTACCCTCTTATAAAAGTAAAGGACAGTGCACGTAAAACACGTCGTGATATGGTAATATATTCTATCTCGAAGGATCACATGTTGAGCAATGCGCTTGAGATAGTAGAATAGTACACGAAAATATGCATCGATATTTAGGCCCCAGAATTGATGTGGATTGGAAATAAATCATCTTTTTATGCTACAGTACACGACTTAATCCGGAGATGGTTTCGAACAATCGACCATTGCCTCCTGTCAAACCGAACTTAATAGTTACGTCAAAAAAAAAAAAAAAAAAAAATCCTTCAACATGCCACACACACGCTCAGTATGGCTGTTGAGAGACATGTTGCTGCGGTGGTACAGCTGACATGGTTGGTGGATAACCGGGAGGATATGCTTGCTGAAACTGCTGTGGTGGGAAGTGTGGTTGAATATGTGGCGCCTGAAATTGTGGATGGGCTTGTGGAGGTTGAGCTTGAGGGGGGAGTAGTTGATTAGGAGCATGAAACTGAGGTTGAGTTTGTTGTGGTGGCAATTGCTCATTTGGAGCATTCGGAGCAGTATTTGGTAGAACTAGTGGGAAAGGAACAGGGACTGCCGAGCTATCTTCGGCGACATACAAAGATTTGTCGATTTGGGCAGGAATGGCAGCGATCTCAGTACCTAACTCTTGTTCAATTTTATAAAGGTTGAAGCGATCGTTCCAGTTGATCAAGTTAATGGCTAAACCCAAGTGACCAAATCTTCCAGATCTACCAATACGGTGTAAATAAGTTTCAGCAGTTTTTGGGAAATCAAAGTTGATCACAACATTAACAGCTTGAATATCGATACCACGAGTCAAAAGATCTGAACAGACAAGGGTACGAACTTTACCTTGACGGAATTCGTGGAAAACCTTATTTCTTTCTTGCTGTTTCATTCTTGCATGTGAGTAGTAACAGGAATAACCTAAATCAGTAATTTTTTTCGCCAGCAATTCGACACGGTTAGTAGAGTTACAGAAGATGATTGCCTGGTTTATTTGTAGCTTGGAGAATAATGTGTTTAAACAATGAAGTTTTTGCCTTTCCTCAACAAATGCGTAATATTGGGTAATACCCTTTAACGTCAGTTCATCCATCAAATTAATCTCATAAGGCTTGTGCAGATGCTCTACCATGAACTCCTTTACAGTGAGTGGGAAAGTTGCACTGAACAGCAAAGATTGATGATGCTTAGGTAAGAAGGTCAAGATTTGCTCAATGATAGACTTGAAATCTCTTGATAACATTTTATCAGCCTCGTCCATTACAAAAAGAGGGCACTCGCTTAGGTCGGCCACTTTTCTCGAGGCTAAATCGAGAACACGGCCAGGCGTGCCGACAAGCACGTGAACTGGCTCATTCAATCTCATGATGTCGTCCCTTAGATTGGTCCCACCTGTGGTAACCATGCAGGACACACCGCAGTGCTTCCCAAGCGTTCTGACTACCTGCGAAGTTTGTAGTGCCAGCTCTCTGGTTGGCACCATGATCAGCGCTTGAATTTTGTTAACCTTGGGCTTCACCTTCTCCAGCGTGGGAATCACAAATGCGGCTGTCTTACCAGTACCGTTCTTTGCTCTTGCAAGAATATCTCTCCCTGCAATGGCTAATGGTATCGCCTCTTCCTGAATGGGTGAAGGCTTCTCAAATCCAGCTTCGAAAATGCCCATCAACAACTCCCTCTTCAGGTAGAAATCCTCGAAAGTATTTCCCTTTGTGTTGAGCACATCGTCTGTTTGCGGCCTTGTATCTTTCTTGGGTATATTGAGCTGCTGCTTCCAATCCTTTTCCATTTTTGAAGGCTGTTTACAACGTTTATTTGCTTTCTAGTGGCAATCCTTCTCAGCTATAATATTTCTCGGGCTGCCTTGTTTGGGCTCGCCCCTTGCCGAAAAATTTTCATCAGATCAGGGTAACCTCATTGAAGACTAGAATTGGGATAACAGGTGAAGGACTCGTTATACCTAACTATAATCCTCATTTCAACAAGAGGGTGTGTTGATCTGTGGTTTATCGTCATTCGTTAAATTTTCTGGTAATTAAAATATTCAAATCTGCATTTTTCTTTTGATTGTTCTGGCATAACGGTTCAAGTATGGAGCCGCATGGAAACAGTACACATCAATATGAGGGCCCGAGAATGGAGCAAACCAGGCTATTCCAACCGTCTTCTCTGAGACGGAAGAATTTAAAGAAACTAACTCTTGGGGGCTCCTCCGCATGCGTGGCTTCTCTTACCGTTGAGAGACCTTCAATTAATCGATGTGGCTCTGACACACTTGCCATGGGATTACATGCTGTGAAGCCCGATAGCAGTGCAACTGGTGGAAATCTGATTCTGCAACCCAGTCCGACGGGGTCCGACTTGTCCTCAGCCGGTGTAACGCCAACTGATGAAGTGAAGGAGCTGGAATCTGAATTTCAGAATTTGTCGTTATTCAAGGACAATGGCATACAGTTGCAGGACCTTGTTCAGCTTGGAAAGATTGGGTCTGGTAACTCTGGTACAGTCATCAAGGCATTGCATGTGCCAGATTCGAGAGTAATAGCCAAGAAGACGATCCCGGTAGAAAATAAGACATTGGTTAAGAGCCAATTGATAAGGGAACTTTCCATAATGCAAAACGTCAAGCCTCACCAGAACATAGTAGGTTTCTATGGTGCATTTTATACCGCCTCCACAACAAATGAAATTGTCATTCTTATGGAGTATATGGATTGTGGTTCATTAGACAAAATACTTTCGACGTATAAGAGATACTTAAGTCGTGGTGAGCTAGAATTTCGCGACCCATGGTTTAATGAGCTTGTACTCTCTAAAATATCGTTTGCGGTTCTTAACGGCTTGAGCTATCTCTATGGACATTATAAGATCATTCACCGAGACATTAAACCTTCCAATGTACTAATTAGCAGCAAGGGATTCGTAAAAATATGCGACTTCGGCGTTTCTAAAAAGCTTATCAATTCTATCGCAGATACTTTTGTTGGTACTTCTACTTACATGTCCCCTGAACGGATTCAAGGAAGTGTTTACACAACAAAGGGTGATGTCTGGTCCCTTGGTCTTATGATCATAGAACTAGTGACCGGCGAGTTTCCACTCGGTGGACATAAAGATACACCTGAGGGTATTTTGGATCTTCTGCAAAGGATAGTCAACGAGCCTCCGCCAAGATTACCCTATAACCCTGAGTTTTCAAAGGAGATGGTCGATTTTGTCAACCGGTGTTGTGTGAAAGATGAGCGTGAAAGGTCCTCGTTACAGGAGCTTATGTGCCATGGCTTTATCGAAAGGTACAAGTCGCAAGGTGAGCGAGAATTTAGGCACTGGTGTAAACGAATTAAGCGGAGGATTAAGGAAGATAAGATGCTCAAGCGTGAGGAGAAAGAGCGAGCAAAGTTGGTTAGCCGTCAATTGGAAAGTGCGGCAAATGCGGCTGCTGCCGCGAGGCAAAATCGTTAAAAGCATTAAAGTTGTTATTACTACATAATTCATTAGGATATAGCGTTTAAAACCTATTGTACTCTTTGTTTTTGTTCCATAGCCAGCCCTCGCTCCCCCGAATAAATCCAAAACCTATCAAACATCCACCGACTGTTCGTAAGGTATATCTCCACCATGCTGGATTCAGCTTTTGAAAGTCTTGTGGGCTTATTCCCTTATTCTTTTCTTTCTGAGAGTATTGGAAAGCCTTGCCACTGAGAAGATAAGAACCGAAACCAACGGAAAACATAGTGCTCATAATTTGGCAAGGAATGCAATCTCTTGTTTCCTCTTCTGTTAGTGTCCTTTCAGGGGGAGGGTTAAAGACTGATAGAATATTACTTTGCATATGAATAATTTGAATCACCGATGATGATGACGATGATGACGATATAATATAAAAACTGAAAATTTCAATTTCATATAAAATTATCTTCAATACGCGTAAATCGATGGGTGAATTGAGTGAATTCCAGAAAAGAAGGCTTGAAAATATCAGGAGGAATAATGATTTGTTAAAGAAGCTTAATTTGAATGGCGCATCCCGGGAACTTAGGAGGGAGGCCAATGTCAGAGACGAGCGCAAACACAAGAAGCTTCCTGCAAAGAAGAAAGTAATCAAATCGGAGCCCAAGCCACAGAGACTACCCACCCGTCGATCTCGTAGACTTAGAGGTGAAGCAGCAGAGGGGGAAGGAGTTCCCAATGTCAATGACAGCCAGTTAATGAAAAGAGACAGCCCTGAAGTCGATTTAGAACAGATCAAGGATACACCAATAGCTGGCGATATTAAATTGAGTGACATCATTAAATCAGAGGACAAAGATGAACTGCTTACAAAATTTCAAAAGTTCAGTAACCAAAAATTCTCTTCGGGGGACTTTTTCAAAGAGTTGCAAAAGCATAAGCGTGCGTCACCAGAAATTGAGCAGCTCCAGGAGGACTTCGATCTGCAACTGTATGAGATATTCGAGCCTAATGAAATAAAAATTGTTCAAGACCGTGTGACTGCCATGTTTTTTCATCCGCAGAAGGATAAGAAATTAATTATTGCCGGTGACACTTCAGGAAACGTGGGATTATGGAATGTACTTGACAAGGACCCAGAGGACGACCTCGCAGAACCGGATATCACCAAATTCAAGCTGTTTACTAAAAATGTCGGTCGCATTGATTGTTTTCCCACAGACTCGAGTAAGATTTTGACAGCTTCCTACGATGGTATCATTCGCTCTATTCACCTTGGAAACCTTCAAAGCGAAGAAATATTGAAATTGAGGAATGAATATGATGACTATCTAGGTATCAGTGACTGTCAGTTTAGCTATGAGAATCCCAATCACTTATATATCTCAACGCTCAGTGGAGAGTTTACGATCCTTGATACCAGGGCGAAACCGTCCTCGATATCTCTCCATAGGCTTGCAGATAAGAAAATCGGCTCTTTCAGTATCAACCCACAAAAACCGTACGAAATTGCGACAGGTTCTCTGGATCGAACGTTGAAAATTTGGGACCTACGGAATACTGTTAAAAACCCTGAGTGGTCCCAATACGAGGACTATCCTAGTCATGAAATTGTCTCAACTTATAGCTCACGATTAAGTGTATCGGCAGTATCGTACTCTCCGATGGATAACACCTTGGTGTGTAATGGATACGATGATACTATCAGGCTATTCGACGTTGGCGGCGAGTTGTCAGAAAACCTAGAACCAAAGCTTACCTTGAAACATAATTGTCAGACGGGAAGATGGACAAGTATTTTGAAAGCACGATTCAAGCCAAATATGGATGTATTTGCGATAGCAAATATGAGCAGAGCCATAGATATATACAGTAGCGCGGGTCAGCAGCTCGCACATTTGAAAACTGCGACAGTTCCAGCTGTCGTTGGGTGGCATCCTCTCCGGAACTGGATTGCTGGAGGAAACTCAAGCGGTAAAGTATTCCTCTTCACAGATGAGAATAAGTAATGTAACAGTATAGGACGTTTATTAAGAGACAGCACTACTTCGCTCTATAAATCATCGAGTGCTTGTCTAAAAATGAGCGCGACCTAAAATTTAAAAAACTAAATAACTGTAAAACTCGTTCAAGAATGCAAAGCACCCGGCAATTCATCCTTATAATAAATCATTAAGTGGCCGACGAAACCTTCGCCGTTGGGGTCTGGCCTGCCCCTGGAATCGACTTCTCCCTGGCCATAACGGAAAGTGAGATAGTTCTTGAAGCCAAAGTACTCATAAACGGATTTCGCATGTTCTGAAATCGCTTCCAAAACCAATGCGACACCTTCTTTGTCTGCCTTTTTTTTGTAAGTATCAAAAATAGCCCTGACAGACCCTCTGATCTCAGGGTGAGTCAAATCCTTAGCCAAGATGAAAAGATAGTAGCAATCCATTCCCTTGGGCATGACCTCCTCACGTTTTTTATACAAGTCATCGAAGAAGATCTTGTTGAACTTTTCGTCGTTAGTCTCGTCCTGATGGAAGTGGTGGCCGGGACCAGTCCAAACGGCAACGGCGTCGAAATCGTTGGCCTCAACAATCTCCCCGCCTTTATCCGCGTATAATGCAGTGAAATAATGTAGAATTGAGTTGATTCTTTTCTTTGAAACGTGCTCTTCAATTGGCAAATTGAAGAATTTCTTCATCAAGTAATCATTCGATGGTGAATCAACGAAAGCCTTGATTAAGGTTTTCGTAGCTCTTTCGACGTCCTGGGTTCTATTTATGGGCACCACAGTTCTAGAGTGGCCGTTATTCAGTTTTGTATGACTGCCAAACTTACTTGCTGTTCCTGGCGTCGCTGATTGTGAAATTGGCGAAATCATTCCTATTGAATTAAGTTCTCTTGCTTACTTTAGACTTTCTTAAATGATACGGAATCGTTTGGGAGGAACATCTATTCAGGCATTCGCACTGAGCATCCTTATATATCTGTCTCCTTCGAGGAGCTTGACCTTTTTGTCGCTTAGTTTTTTGTCTTATCGATAAGCGACTGCACGGAATTTGTGTGCGTGATTCTTTAAGCGCTTCCAGGGGAATTACATGCAGGAATTCCGAACGAATAATCAAAATCGCCATGAGTTGCGAATAGCGGTGAGGAAAAAAGAAGGCAAAGAACGTGATTAAAACTCATCAGCGGATTTGTTTCTGCAAGAATGCGACAGCATTGAAAGTAGTATTTTACTCGATTATTGAATTATTTCGAACTAAATTATTACTTGACAGATATTTTCTCTGACAAACAAGAGGTTGATATTCTCTCTTTCCCATATTAATTGAAGCAGATTACTTATCTTCAATGCACCGTAGGAATGTATAGTTTCGGAAGTACTTTTAAGGTATTCTTTAATTACTAGTCTATCATCTGGATCGACAGTAAATGCGCCAATGATGAGAAGAGACCATAGTAGAATACAAAGTAAAGGATTTCCTTTTTCGATGTCTTTGAGACTCTGTACAGTGTACTTCACTACACCTTGGATCTGAAAATCCTTGACATTGAACTCATTAAATCGTAAAATTTTACTCAATAGAAGGTAACACGCTTTGCTTATTATGGACCCGCAGAGCAAGCCCGGGCGATACTTTTCGTATTTGGCAGGATTTTGGCGAACCTCCTCCGGGAGAGATGGTGGTGTATAGTATAAGCACTCTTCTAGTAGCGCTTGAGCAGTTTCAATCCATTCTGGTGAAGATAGAGGAAGTGGCATACGACTCAAGTAGGAAACTTTCGCTAACATTTCAAAAGCATCAACAGAAGGGCCCAACACAGGATTGTTCATCCATTCAACGTCGCAATCATTGAAGATAGGGGATTTCAGTAATATGGTCAAGTCGTGAAATATCTTGCTAAAGGGATTAGGTAGTTTTGATAGGTCTCTTGCAACGAGTAATGAAACCGTATAGTTATACATGAAGCTTTCGATTAGCATTCTGTCCGTGGGCGTTGAGCCCTTTTCTCTTATTCTTTGGATTTTTCTCTTTATGATGTTGAAAGAGTGGGCCAAGTTGTCAACACAGCGGTCAACCATTGAGGCTCCATGTCCACCGTGCAGCTTATCAGTTAGACATAGCAACTGAAAGCATGCAAAGGCCCACGTCTCATCGCCTCGTATTCGCTGTGAGACGATTTCTTCCTGTAGATGTGCTTTACTCTTCTGGTAGAGATGCTCTGCTATGTGAGAGTATTTTTGAGGCTGGCACCAGGCCAGAAATGTTGCGCCACAGCATAAAAAAACATCCTTCACAATTGGATGCTTTGACATTAGGGGAACAAACGTTTCTGTTGTAGTCAGCTGTGGAAGCGTATGCTGAGGTCCTATTGCAGGCAGAAAGTAGAAAACGCAAGTATAGTAAAGTAACAACTCGTTCTCCGTAAACTGATACTGTGACGTAAGTCTATCGACGGACGCAGTTTTCCCTCCATCCGATAAACTCGACCAATGGTCAAATTTCTCCATCAGTTTATCATAAAATTTTTCTGTTTGCTCTTCATCAAGGCCATATATGCTTCCCTCGTCGTCAGAGCCATTTATGCTCATCAAGGAGGCAGTAGTACGCAGACTGAGCCCTTCCTTTTCGTCGACAGCGGGTGCTACGGATGTTGGTGGTATTATCGAAAAATTAGGAGAGATTATTGGGTCAGTAAAATTAATATCGAAGAGCTTTTCCCAAAAGAAATCAATAGAAGGAATATTAGGTGTGCCATCAGGCGTATCTGGGATAGAGAGCCATCCATTGGTGGGACTATTGCCACGACGTACTAACTGTGTTTCTGTCTTGATGGAATCGCGCTCCATCTCCGACTCCACTTTAGGACTTTCGCTTAATTTCAATTCGTCGAATTTGTCAAAATCCTCCCCAGCAATTTCAATTGAAGTGCTTTTATCAATGTTAAAGACCTGCTCGTCATCTGAATCCTCACGCAGATCTAAAGTGGCATCTCTAACTACCACATCGCTGCTCAAGAGCACAAAGTCCTTTTGAGTGTCTGTCGTGTAATTTACGAAGGATGCGCGCTTATTCCGATGTGTCTCAACCATTTCCCACGAGTCCTGTTGTTTGAGCTGTACAGGCGAGTCTGAACCTGAATTTGAATCGTGCTTAGGGGTGAAATCTTCCAAGCTCGTACTTTGTTTTTCTATCTCTTCTTGCTCCAGAGTTTCAGCGCTCTCTTTGAGAGCTTCAGCTGATACGAAGTCATCATAGAGATCCACTTCTCTTTTCATTTTTTCTCTCATCTCTTTGGTCAGTCTGCCCTGGCCACGCTGTGGCCAAATGCATTTCAGCATATTCTTGCTGCATGTTCCACATTTCGGATGAACTTCGTCACATTTCTTCCGTCTAAGTCGGCATGTGAAGCATCCTGCCCGCGATCTTTTACGTTTGGGTTTCAAATGAGATTGTAGCTGTGCTGGGCGTTCGGTTTCGAATGAAAACTCTGATGGTGGTTCCATCGCCTGAGAGAGAGTTCATAAACTTTTTCAGTCTTCGAGTGTGAAGAACGTTAACAGCCATTCCTTATCAATTGTTTAACTAATTTGGATACGCATTTTGTCACGTGACTTTGTTATCGCCGGAGAAGAACGACGGGCGCATATGCCAAAAAAGTACTTGCCTAAAAACGAAGCTTGATGTGATAGTCAAATCATTGAGGGAGTCAAATGGAAGAAGCTTTGTCGCAGGTCGTCGTTAATGAACTGCCTAGAGTCTTTTTTCTGGGTTGTCTTGAAGCGATTGCAGTTGCCATTGATGGTTTTAGTCGGCACAAGTACTAAATGCGTATGGCAGACTGATGGCTTTCCATCAGATACGTAACAAGATATGTATTTAAGAATACATTTGGTCTGATGAGATTCTCATATGGTGGCATCTCTAGTGAAGATTCTGCTGGGGGACAAATCAAGACTTTTGCTTAAGTAATAATTTCCTGACCATCCAATGAAGCAAGGATATAAGACATTAAACATGCCTCAGATTGGGGGTGAGTCTTTGTCTCGACTGCGATGCATTATACATCATAATTCAAGCTTTTCGAGCAGATGTTGACGAAAAGCGTGTTTCAAGATATTTAGCCCAAGTACAACTTTTTCAGACACCAACGAAAATTCAGAACAACATATTAAAATATAAAACAGAGCACCTACTAAAATCCTGTATCAAAAAAAAAACCAACAAAACCAAATATCTCAATGCTGCCCCTTATGGAAGAGTTCAAGCAGGTAAGGATCTTTCGAGCGGAGGAATTTCAGACACTTCTTTATTTACATCATATAATAGATAATTTGTGCGGTTCAGGTAAAGGACACTTTTCGAAAGTTAATAATTCTCCGCAATACTTCGTCCTAGTTTCCGTGAAAGAAAGTTCAGAGTTTTGCCCTTCCCTCCCAAATTTTCTAACCTTTATCCCGCTCTTTATTATTTTCTTTGATGTCAAAACAAGCTGATTGTTTGTCCAATTTTCGGCAGAACCAAAAGAGGGGTACAATAAAATTCAATTCCGCCAAGACACATTCCCTAAGCCTATGCAAGGTGTTGCGCACAGAAAAAATTCAAGTGATTCGCACAAGGATAAGGTCTAAAACGTTCTAGACTGCAAATTGCCAGCCTCGTACCATAACCTTAAATGCCCCGCATCAAGTTAAAATTACATACACTGTAAATCATTCGTATACCTAAAGTACGATGAGTACGCCGTACCCAAAGCTAGTGTCCCTGCTAATCTACGTTTAAGATTCTATTGGGGAAGACCTGAGCTGTAGCAGCCTCTCTGAGCAGTAGAAAAAGTTATGCTCTATCTAGACTCTACTAGGATTATGGCCTGATCGGAAAATGCTGCAAATCTATGCGTACCCTTCAGCCGGTGTTCGGGAGGGGGGAATTGTTGTTTTTCTGAAGACGGTAACCGAAGACACAAACTAAAAAACACGTGAGGCGCGGGGCCAGGTAAATGGCTATCAAATAAATATGGTTAGTTGACATTTCACCAATACAGAGGAAGTATGAGATTTAACTTGGCCGACTGTCTCAAATTTGCATCGGTCGAAACTCTGTCTTAGTAATTTTTTCGTTTCACTGAGATGCTATAGATATCGTGCCAAGCTGTGTTTCCTTCCGGAAGAATTTTTCGCCGGGGCTCCGGCGAACAAGAAAAACAAGCTTCAGATGAGAAGCAAGAGCCCTCCCCCCGCATTTCGGAGATGGTCACTTAACTGCCACTTTATGCGAAGGCACAAGCAATGAAACATTTTAGGAGCCCAAAAGACAAAACATGCATCTTTTTCGGCTATTTAGTTCTCTCACCTATACTCAAATTGATTGTAAAGTCCCGAGGTAGGTTTATGTGTAACTTCAAGCGAAAGCCGAAACGAAACCATTTTTTACAGACTTTCTCGAAAGCCTGGATAAGCGTCGTTTGTGCAGTTTAATTAAGCGACAAGGCACACTCAATTCACCCAGCTGAGATACCTTCTCTAGATGTTGGTGGTTATTACGGCTTCTAGGCCAACTGATCCATGCTACTGAAAGAACAGGCTGCTTGATTTTTCTCAGACGAGGCAGGAGGATGATAGAACGTGTCAACCAAGACAAATGAAGAAGCTACCGTGCGACCCGATACGCCAGAAGAAACCCTAGGACGCGTAACGGTGTACGATATACTTCGATCGTTTGAATGAGGGCAGGTAGACTCAGAAGTTGTCAGTTGGCTTCCTGGAGGCTCGCTTTCGGGCGGAAGGCACTCACGTGCTCCTGTGAACTTCCGTAGAACTTGAGGCGTGACTGCAAAAGGCACACTGTCTTTTCTTGAATGGACGCCTGCGATGCAGCGAGCTTAAACTCACCATTTATTACCTCATAAAGTAAAAATTAACGCGTTTATAGTTATTTACGAAATGTAAGAGACGGTATCTGGACTGTTCTCATCGTTAGGCAAAATGGCTGTAAACAGGAACACAGGAACAGAAATTTACTCTAGAAGCTTAGACTGAGGGTGAACGCCTTCAGATCATGCTAAGCTTTCCCAACCGCTTTTGCGTCGCATTTGAAATTGTGGGACCAGAAGAATTGAGCCTGATTCCAAGCCCCGTTGAATCATTCGCGATATTTGCGAACGTTGAATGCGCCACTCTTGGCACATTGCATGGAGCGATGAATCCTTTCCCGACTTAGTTTCGAATGGAAACATGGAAGAGGGGGAAAAAGAAAAGAATCTCTTCGAAACTGAACACCCTAGGAATGAGTTAGTTACCGTAAAAAAATACCTGACCTTTAGAGCGCGGCTTAGACAGGGCCGGTGAAGCTCTTTGCCTGCATACTGTCCGCAGAACGGTACAGGTGGAAACCCGCAAGAACATGTGCCTACATAAGAAATGCACAGGAACAGGAACAGAGCTAATAGAGGGGCAGATCGGTGCAAAAAGCATTAGTCTTCCCACCCGCTAAAGAGCATCGACATTATGGGAAGACCTCAAGAAAAGCGATGAATCAATTAGAGACAAATTTGGTATATAAAGCAGAGGATATTGCATGAATGGTGATAGATCTAATTATATTCCAATAACCAAATTTGCTTGAGACTCACCTCGCATACAAACATTCTCTCATCTCGTTAGATCAATATATCACTATGAAGCTTTCATCTGTTCTTTCAGTCTTTTCATTGCTAGCTGTTGCTACGTCGAATCCAATTGTAACTGAAGTGGTCTACAACACAATCGAGGTTGTCACTACTGCCACTGCCACTGTCACTCAGACAGTTCAAGTTACCACCATCAGCGAGGCTAAATTTGCTTAAGCACGCCACTGACAGGTTATTTGCATTCACATCACAACTGCATCGCAAGTGTTTTAACACTGCTCATATTTACTAGTTTTGCATAGGTATTATAGCTAATACAATAATTCGTTTTTACCATTTTACACACTTAAGTCGCTTGAGCGCCTTTTTCAGAAAAAACCAAAAGGCAGCATCTTCTTCGAAGTCGACTCTAAAAAACTGCAGTTTAGCACGTTGGCAGCCGATAAGTGGTGCAGAGTCCAATGGGAGCGAAGTATATCGGGGCTCTCTAAACAGTCCTGCGATGTGAAACAGACGCACTGCAGAAGAACGAAAAAGAAAAGAATGTTTCTCAACTGCTCGTTTGGCCAAGCTTAACGGTAAAGCTAACTACCTGACTACCATGCGCTAGCACTGGTTGAAATGGACAGCAATGCAGAGTTCTTCTAAAAATGCGCCTCCAGTAGAAACCAACTTTCCGCACATGCATGAGTTCCTGTGTATTAAGCGTGAAACAGCAGAGAAGGATTATGTTATTCTACACGAAGCGACTAGATGCATTAAATAGGCACATGATCCTTCTCGCATCTCGCATTAGGAACACGCGAAGGATCTCGAAACCACGCAAGTGCGGAAATGTATTTGTGAGATTTGAGAATTGAGTTTAGCCCCGTCCTATTTCGTTCTGCCCTAATTGGGCAAATGATCCAGCTGGACGCGTCTGGCACGTTCATGCGCTCTTTGAACAGTGCAACTATAGCAACTGGCAGCTGAATCAATTTTTCGGACTGTCATCTAATACTTTGTTTGCCTTTGAATATTAAAACTTCTAACATGTAGAAAGCTTCAGTTATGTACGAACAAGTAGTCGATAAAATGTAGCATTCTAAATGTTAAGGCTTCTATGAAACCAAACTTTTGACTGTCACGTGATCAAATCACACTTTCTTGCGATGTGAAGTATTTCGCGAAGCACTCGTCGAGGGGCTACTTAAGACGTAGTTTTTTACGAAGATGCCAATTTCTTATTTTACAGCAGCGCGTGACCGTTTTTTTGCGAAGATAACGTAACACGTAGGTGGCAAGCTGCAGGCGGGTTTCCGAAAAATCCTTCTAGAAGCGTTTTACCCCATTCATGCACGGAAAAACGATAAAGAAGGTTTTCGCAGGAACCAAAAGAAATGTATACTTACATAGGCAGTGGCTTTGTGTCTCCTCACTAACGGGAAAATAGATCGGTTTTCGATATAGCGAAAGCCGTTATCCTTGCAAAGCAAGAGACGGAAAAAACAGTTCGAACGCATGCGCCAAAGGAAATGTATCGGCGAACTAGGCACAGAATCTTTTATGTGGACTGGACACTATCCTGCGGGCCAAATATTTCCCATTTCCATGCGCTTTTCAATATTCCGCTCTTTTCTATTTTTTATGGTGCCATTGTCAAATGCACATAGGAACACTATGAACTCCTGTGAACTGGAATTAAAACCTTCGTAGCATTTTAAATTCTGGCCAGGACAGTCGTGGCTTTGCAAAAAAAGCGTTCTGCAAAGAATTTCTTCATTTGAATGGTTTTACCAATTCGATACTTCTCACACAGTATTTTGCCTATTCAGCAGTTCAGCTGCTCAGAATGATAAAAAGTTACAGCATCACTTTTCCTTTGACCTCTGGTAGTATGCGTATTCGCTAATTTTTTGTCAATCCGCGGAAGTTCCGTTAGGACGCTTTACATGCATACCCTAAAACAACACACCAAACCGTACAAAATGACACAATCGCGACTAGGTTCTTGTTTTGATTTTGCCCAAAATTTTTCAATTTTGTGTTTTGGTTTCTAGGGAACTTATTGCACAAACAAGTGTGTTGATTCTCTCTGGTATTGTCCATCGTCAGTAACTGATATTTTTGTCAGTTTATATAATCAAGAGGTATTTCATTATCGAACTCTTGAAATCTGAAATCAAACCCTAGACGGCAGGTGAGCAATGAGCAACTTGCAATATACTTCACAATTTACTGATGGAATAAGTGATGAGAATGCAGTTCCCTCCAATTTCAAACACCACGCCTCTGCCGAAACAAGGCCTTTTGGCCACAGAGTTGCTTTAAGTGATGTCACTTCGCAAATAAACAGGCAACAATTCGATCAAACTTCCTATAAAACCTCAGTTTCCCACGGTGGGAGACAGTCTCAAGGTGAAGAAAGTGCTTTTCAATTTTCCAAAGGATCTTCAGAAGATGAGGATGTGATACGAGAAAGCTATGACGAGGATTCCCTGACGGAAGAGGAAAACGATAGGACCTTATCAAGTACCACCTATGTTGCCAATGACGTTGCTTCAACAACGAGCCGTGCAATTCGTGAGCAACCAGAACAAAATGAAAACTACGAAACCTCCCCCATTGAAACAGATGATGAATTCTCAGATATAGAACCTTTGACCTTAATAGTTAATGATCAAACCAGATATGTTGTCCAAGCAGCATTTAACGAACTTCACAGAAGCACACCAGATCCTCTAGACGAGGATACCTATGATTTAGTGATGGTCGTTGAATATACATGGGAGATTTTTGAATATTTACACACTCTAGAAGAAAGATACAGACCACATCCACAGTACATGAATTTTCAACCCGAATTAAAATGGTCTTACAGATCTACGCTGATCGACTGGATCGTTCAGGTACATGTAAGATTTCAACTTCTGCCGGAAACTCTTTACTTGACGGTAAACATTATTGATAGGTTTTTGAGCAAAAAGACTGTAACGTTAAATCGGTTCCAGCTGGTTGGAGCTGCAGCTCTTTTCATTGCTGCTAAATTTGAAGAGATTAATTGCCCGACGGTCAAAGAAATTCTGTACATGTTGGATAACTCTTACACAAAAGATGATCTTCTGAAGGCCGAAAGATACATGATTAATACGTTGGAGTTCGAGTTAGGCTGGCCGGGACCAATGTCTTTCTTGAGAAGGGTCAGTAAAGCAGATGACTACGAATATGACATACGAACTCTGGCAAAATACTTATTGGAAACCACAATCATGGATCCGAGACTTGTCTCAGCGCAACCGAGCTGGCTATCTGCTGCTGCCTATTATCTCAGTAGGGTAATACTAGGCTTTAATGAATGGGCAAAGGAACACGTATATTACTCAGGATACACCGCAGAGCAACTTTTACCTTTAGCAACCGTTATATTAGAAAATTGTCGATATGCAAGAAGGCGTCATCAAGCAATTTTCGAAAAATATTCTGAGCGTCGACATCGTCGTTCCGCACAAGCAGTTGCAAGATGGATTGCCTTAGCAGAGCAACGTATAGACTAAGCAAAGCATGAACTACAGTTCCTAGTGCGGCAGAAATTTCATAGTATTCTGAGGAACCTGGTGGACCATATAGAATGTACCTCTGGTAAAAATGTTAGCCGCATTTATGTCAATCTTCATCTAATATCTGCACTGATTTCTTTATTTATAGTCCAGACAAAACCTGAGGGCTAAATACTGCAAAGCTCATTTTATCGTAATTCAAGTAAGTATATTCAGATGATCACGAAAATGCATTCACTTTAAAAACCACGTAATTTACGGAGTAGTAGGACTATGAAAAATATGCATTGACTATGTGTATTACATAGGTGCACACAGCACCTTTTAGCTCCTGAATTTGACAGACTTCGCTAAATTCTTCTTAATACCCGTCTTCTCACCCTCATAAGGTCCTGATTGACCAGAATAAACTGCACGGACGGACTTCAACTTCTTTTGAGCCTTTTCGAACTTCTTCCTCTTCTTTACACGCGAGTTTCTGTTGTCCTTCTTTCTCTTTGGTGTGAGACCCTTGTTCTTCAGTATTTGATAGTTGATTGCGCGCTTATGATCATCACCAATTTCTTCAGCCAGCTCGGCCAGCTTGCCAGATCTTGCCGCCAGCAGAGCATCCTTATGCGCCTGCTTACGGGACTCTCTCTTACTAAGTGTTTGGCGCTGAATTTGATTGTAATAATCAGATTCTGAGTCTTTATTAATCGCTTTAGCTATCGATTCGTCTTCTGAACCATATTCATTAGAATCCAAATCTGCACCTGCAGATTCACGTTGACCACGTTTCCGTGCCTCCTCGAGTAGTCGCTGTTGACGTTCGTATAATCTCTCCTTGTAAGGTATGTCATCGTCACCCTTAAATCTGTCGGTCTTTTTATTTTCTTGCTGATCAATCTTCGAAGTGTAAAAGCGCAGCGTCTTCCTTCTTGCTTTCTTTTCTTGCGCATCTACATCTGCTATCTCACTTTCAACATAGTCATCAACTTCAGTGAGTCTATTCTTATCGTGTGATTTCTTTGACACACGGGGTTTGCTAATGTCGATGTCAAAATCACCACTTTCTTCTTCACTTCCACCTACAATTTCATTTGCCTCCTCCTCTGCTGCAGAATTCAAACTCTCGGCATCTGATTCCTGCAGAAGTTCTTCGTCAAGCTGTTCAACATCAGATACTTCACCATACTCCTCTTGCTCTTCATCTTGCTTTTCTTCGGATTCCAAAACATCGACATCCTCTGGCAACTCTGAAGCCTGTCTCCAAATCTCTTTGCAAGTTAAAATTGCCTCCATTATCGCATGATCTTTCATGTTTTGAAAATCGTCATTATTTTGAAGCTCATGTAGGAATATAGCGAAGTAAGAAGAGATAACACCCAAATAAGAGGTTAAAGCCCGAATTTTGACTTTGACAAATTCATTAGAGCCCTTCGCCTTCAATTCTTCAAGAATTGGCGCTAAACTCACCAATTCTTCCGATAGCGGAAAGAATTCCGGGAATGAAGTCTTCAAGAAACTCTCTTTAGCGTCGGGACCCATACCGAATACATCCTTAACGGAAAAGGATCCTTGCTGTTGTTTGACAGACTCTTGAAATTGCCCCAAGTCAAACTCCTTAGCGCTCTTGGCCCATTCTTCATTGACTTCATCATCTAGGTAATCATTCATATTCAGGCTCTCTAAGTGCTTTTTTTGTTGGCGGCGAGCCTCATTCTCGATTTCTTTAGCAGTTTCCTCGTCATCTAGGTCGTCTGCACCATAGTACTCATTCTTACTACTTCCCCACGCATTGTCATTGTCCAACATGGCATCGCCTTCGTTTTCGCCTTCATCGCCTAGATTCAGTCTCTTACCAAATACTTGCTTGTATGCTTTCTCACCATCAAGTTCTTCTACATTATCCTCTTCTGCAGAACTATCGTCACTCATAGACATTACTTCCTCTTCCTCCTCATCAACTACCAGATTATCATCTTCATTATCTTCATATGCTTGTGATGAAAGTCCTGCATCTTCCAATAAAATCTTTTCTCTACGCTGAGCAAAGCTATCAACCTCATTTAGTCCATATGGCACATCCTCACTTCTTCCTATGCCTTTAGAAGACTTCTTGATGGGCATTTTGGATTCGAATGTCAGTGAATTGGCTTATGTTAATTCCTTACTAAATTCAGCTTTAAAAAATTTGAAGCGATGAGCACTAACATCGTATTGCTTTTTCAGTGGAAAATTTTTTTTTTTCATTTCCCGTGATGAGCTAAATCGTAAAAGCATTAATATTTTGATTAGTAGTATCAAGGTATTATCAGAGTACACAATGAGCGGCACTGGTCGATTACCGTCTCTAAACCAATCCAATGGGAAACCAAGCTTGAAGTTCAAGCCAAAATTTTTGGCGAGAAGATCTAAGGAGGAAAGAGAAGCGTCAATTCCAAAGACTGCGCCGGAGGAGGTCAGTAGACCCTTCGATAAAAAGAAGTATAGCAAGCGAAACAATGGCCCAAACCAGCAAAAAAGATTACCACGCTATCTCAACAATACAAGAGTGATCACTTCTGGTCCCCTTGGTGCTGGAAATTTTTCTGCAGGGGGAAGTGACCCTCGAACGGGTTTTATCAAGACGGAAGGTTCAAACTTCGATCTTTTACAGAAAGGACTGAAGGCAGCAAACAATGGCCAAGATGAAAATGACTCAGATGGGGATGGGATTACGAAGATCAATATGGGGAGAGAATACAATGTGCATGAAATTGGCGACGATGAGGAAGAGGAACTGAGCGAAGAAGAAATCGATGAGGATTCTTTACAGTCCAAGATGCTGGCTAATCTTTTCCCTGTCAGAGCAATTCGCGTCAAGCATGAGGATATGGATATAATAAAAAAGGAACTTCAAGAATCGATGTCGGACGTCACGACAAGGGAACATACACCTGGCTTTCCCAAGCTTGAGAATGATGGGGCGAGCTTACAGAGTATTTTAGAACATAGGGATACGGAATTACAACAAAAACTCGATAATTTAAGGCTTCAAAATGAGTTTCACTCGGTTGACTCTGCAGAAGCGATGGAGGAGGTTAAGATGCTAAATGAAGACCATAAACATATCGTGAAAAAGCTCAACAAGCTTAACAACATGCCCAACAAGTTTATGGTCTTCCAGCTTCCATCTGATCTTCCAGATTTTGAAGTACCGGAACCTCCAGTAGAGAAGAAAGCGGAAGTTGACCAAGAAAATACACAGGCCAGTGGTGAAGCTGAAAAAACAGAGGATGAGGTCAAAGTTGCAAAAGAAGAAGGAGAAAAAGCACCTAAGAATCACGATATGGAGGAAGAAAAGCCTCTGATGGGCCGTATCGGTTCCATACGGATTCACAAGTCGGGCAAATTATCTGTTAAGATAGGCAACGTAGTGATGGATATCAGCAGAGGATCTGAGACTTCCTTCCTACAGGATGTAGTTGCCCTTGACGAAAGAGACGAAGAAAGGACAGTTGAACTTTTAGGAAATGTCGATGGAAAAGTTGTCATAACACCTAGATTCTGAAACTTACGTATTTGCATAGCTCTGAAATAATAGTCACAATAGTCAGGAGCAAAATATCTCAGTTGAGAAACAATACCAGAGCTTCGGCACTGGAGTGAAACAGGTCTCGAAGTATCGAAACTATCTTCGATTTAAAGTTCCGACATGATATATCATTACTAACGTTATTATATAATGCAAGTTGAGTAACTTCAACTACCGATAACCCTTAAAAACTAGTCACATAAAGAACCTTATTGCAGAGATACGCAGGGTCAAGGAAGTCTCCGATTCAGAATGGACAGTAGCGGGCCGAAGTTCAGTAACCATGAGCGCAATACTTTTTTGTCTCGAGTTTTTGGCTCACATTCTGCAGTAGGAAACTCTCTAGGCAATACTGAAATGACACAGCTCCCAATAAGCGAGGAGAGATCCATGAGCCAAGACGATGATGTGAGGATATTGGAATCCGACCAGGACAGCTCTTCGGAGGAGGATGAAGAATCAGAAGGGCCTCACAATAATGGGCGTTTTGACGGAATTCAAAGCATCGAGCTGGGCCCTGATTCCAACGAAGAAAACTACAGCGACGCAATCTCCAATCGTTCACTACCTAAGCTGGGCCAAGGCGAGAGTACTGACAGTGAGGATGAGGATGATGTGGAGAACGATGAAGAAGAAGAAGATTCACCGTTATTTCGTCAGCCCGGAAATTCAAAAAGAATCAATTATAAGCTGCATGGAAAGGCTAATAGTCATTTTACGTCAAAAGCTAAGGGTCATACTGAACCAGGATTTCAGAATACACTGGCAGAAAGAGGGAAGGCATTTTTCAAAGATAAGAGACAACCGGCAGAAGAAAGCTTCCTTTTTAGAAAGAAGTCTATATGGGACGAGGAGAATCAGCTTCCGAAAAGGAAAGCAAATAGACCGCGGTTGTTCCAAAATTTTACAAACATCAGCAGAACTCCTGCCAATAAAGTAAACACGTTGAGTCCACGAGAAAGAGCACTGTGGAAATGGGCAAATGTTGAGAACTTAGACGTTTTTCTGCAGGAGGTCTATGAGTATTACTTAGGGAATGGATTTTACTGTATATGCATCGAAAAAGGTCTAAATATAGCAACTCTGCTATTTGTTGTCTTTGTTTCAACATACTTGGGATATTGCATCGACTATTCGAAACTTCCAAACAGTAATAAATTTTCAGAGGTTTACATTGGTAAATGCTACTCAACGCAAATAACGGGCGTGACAAAACTTCTTTTATGGATGTTTTATGTCTTTGTTGGATTGAAAATAGTCCAGCTTTATTTCGATATTAGAGCTCTGCGGGATATTCACAATTTTTACACTTATCTGCTGGACATATCTGATAAAGAACTTCAAACAATATCCTTGCAAAGTGTAATTAAGCAGATAATGCTGTTGAAGGACCAAAATGCTGTTACAGCAAATGTTGTTGAGGTTAAAGCAAAAAACAGGATAGACGCTCATGATGTCGCAAATAGAATTATGCGGAAAGAAAATTATCTCATAGCCCTATTCAATAATGATATTTTAGATCTTTCGCTACCAATTCCTCTTTATAGAACGAGTACCCTGACCAAGACCCTCGAGTGGAACCTCAACCTTTGCATTATGGGATTCGCTTTTAATGAGTCCGGTTATTTGAAACAAGCGTTTTTGAAGCAATCACAAAGAGAATATCTCAGTGAAGAGCTAAGGAAGAGATTTATGCTCGCGGGCTTTTTGAACATCATTTTATCTCCTTTCCTTGTCGCTTACTTCGTGCTATTATACTTTTTCAGGTATTTCAATGAGTACAAAACAACACCTGGAGCTCTGAGCTCGAGACAATATACTCCTATTGCAGAATGGAAATTCAGAGAGTATAATGAACTGTATCATTTGTTTCAAAAAAGAATAGGCTTAAGCGTTGACATAGCCAATGAGTATATCGACCAATTTCCCAAGGAGAAGACCAATCTAGTTCTTAAGTTCGGCGCTTTTGTTTCGGGATCGTTTGTGGCTATATTGGCATTTTTAACCATTTTCGATCCCGAGAATTTCTTAAATTTTGAGCTCACGCCAGAGAGATCTGTTCTTTTCTACATCAGTATTCTGGGAACTGTTTGGGCTGTTTGCAAAAGTTCGCTCTCGGACCAATATAAGGTTTTTGACCCTGAAATGACCTTGAAAGAACTGATCTCATACACGCACTATGCACCAAAAGAATGGGAAGGCAGGTATCATACAGAGGAGGTCAAACACGAGTTTTGCAAACTTTACAATTTGCGCATAATACTCTTATTGAGAGAGCTTGCAAGCTTAGTCATGACACCATTTATTTTGTGGTTTTCACTTCCTAAATCTTCTGGTAAGATTGTGGATTTCTTTCGAGATGTCTCAGTATATGTGGATGGTTTGGGATATGTTTGCAAATATGCTACATTTGACATGGCTAGAGAGAGGAACTTTCAATACAGACCCAAAAATCGGGCACGGCGTTCAAGGAAGAGAAATTCGGCTTTTCATAATGAAGAAGAAGAAGATTATTCTAGCTCAACAAGTGAGGGGTCGGATAAAAGCGTTAACAAAATGATGCAATCATACATGTATTTTCTGGATAGTTACCAGAATAAAGACAACGAAGTGGGGAAACATCAGTTGCCCAAAAACTATGCAAACTTAGACCAGGAGCATTTAAGGAGGGCTACCAACTATTCCTGGAAAACCCAGTTTCAGTTAGGACCGCGTTCGGAAAGTTTTCAGAATAAAAGAGTCAATACTCAATCTCGCCGTCCTTCTGATTTTGCTAACGAACCAAGAAATGACAGTAAAACCAAAAGAGTTAATAACAACGACGAATTGAAGTTTCAAAATGAATTTGACAGCAACTTAGGCGAATCTTTCATCAACTCCATTCCTATAGACGATTACAATGGATTCGGTAAGTTCGATGAAAGACATGGAGGTAACGGTGTTCTTGGATTGCTGAACCAGTATTATAAAAAATCGGACGTTGGCAGATAAGATCAATTGGCCTGCTAATTCTAAACAGAATCTTGATGCATATTTAATAAGTACAATTATATAATTATTTTTTGCTACTACGCAGCTTTTTCTCCCGCTCATATTTACTTTTTTCCCTGCCTTCTTCTGTGCTGATAGTATTGATGATGCGCGCCATCTTCGCATGGTATTCTTCTTGTTCTTTCTTCTTTGCGTCAATCTGCTTCCGAGCTTCGAATTTGGTATCTTTACGGATCTCTTTCATGGTGAACTTGCGCTCTTTCTTGATTTGCGCCTTCATCTTGTTAAGTTCATTTCTTGATCTGTCAGGATCGTAAGATTTCTTTTCTGGGTTGAAATTGTCCTCGTACTTTGGAGCATACGTGGGAATACTAACCGGTTTATGGTTTTGTAACGATAAGGGATAATGCTCCTGAAACCTCTCAAGCCTCTCAATCTTCTCGAGAATTCCTTTTGCTTTCTCAAGACTTGGAAATTTTGCAACATACTCCTCAAGAATGGGCTTAAATGGAAGTACAAGCTCTTTGAAAGCAGATAATTCTTTCCAGATATTGCATAAAACTTGGTCTAAACTCTCCAAAATATTGAAGAGGAGTGCTACTTTAACTTCGTCTGTGAATTCGAAATCACTCTTGAAAAGCATACGCAGATTTAAGTTTAGTTGTGGCATGCTTTCAAAGTCAAATTGTTCAGGCAAATTCAAAGGGCATGATTCGGTGTTCTGCTCAGAAAACCTTTTTGCTTTGTTGACATCATTCGTTGAAGGCAACAATGAGATTAACGATTTCTCAAAGAAATAAGCCAACTCAGGAACAAACCTCTTGCTTATTCTCTGATACTGTAATGAAATTCTAGCCAATACCGCACAGAATATCAGCTTTTGGAAAGTATTCAGTTTTATTTGCTCCAAAAATTCACCAATCAAGATACTGCACGGTGTTACTACCAGGTGATAATGATCAGATGTCGAAAATAAACATCCCACAAGAGTGAAAAACACCAAATCCGAAGCCTTCAAACCATAATATTGTTGACTTTTGAATCTTTCTTGCATATCTTCGATTATTTCTCGACAGGTGATCGATAGAGGTTCATTATACTTTTCAGAAAGGACCTTGAGAGTTGTAATCATCGAATTCTCGACATCTTTTACACTCTGGACATCTTTCGCATCATAGCTTGTCGAAAGAAATAGTATGTGCTTCAACAAGATACCGGTAAATACGCCTAATCTTGTATTATTCCCTTCTGCAAACCTTGGTTGATATTTTCTGATAATATTTTTGACTAACTTTGGATGCTCTTCAAAAGGATAATCTTCGAGATAGCCAAGGAGCTCCGCATGACTTGAAGGACATGGAATTGCTGAAGAAGCCTTTGTATGAACATGTCCTTTGTGCTCATCATCACTGAGCGGCACATCATTATCTGAGTTGACCAGATCGTCCTCATCTTCTCCATACATTTCCTCTTCGGAATCATCACCGCCCCAAAAACCGTCATCAAGATCTTCCACACCCCTTTCATCTTCAAAGTTGACCATGCCGCTCATTCTATTGATTCGATCCTGTTCGAGCTTTTGGCGTCTTTCTTCGTCTTCTTTTCTCAATTCTTCTTCAGTCTTAGTACGATCAGCAGGTGCCGCTCTTCTCTCGAGATTCAACTCCTTTACCTTAATATCATATCCCTTGTCGACATCGTCAGCCTGAACTGGGAGCTTTTTCTTGGGTAGCGCATTAAGAGCCGACATAACATCCTCGAAATCTTCATCCAAATCCCCAATTTGATCTTCAAGCTCCTCCTGAGCCTTTTGTCTTTCATGCTTATAAAACTTGGATTTAGCAATCACTTCTTGCATCACCTCTGCCTTTGTTTTCTTTCTGGGCTGTTCATCTTCAGAAGCGAAATGCTCGCTCCATTTCGATTTAGAACTTTTGGTGACACCGTCATTGTCATCGCTTAGCCCCAAGTCTCCCTCATCAAAATCATCTTCTAGAGCCAAAGACTTACCATAATGGGTCAATTTTTCGCCATATATGTCGTCGTCCTCATCGTCGTCCAAATTGAATAAGGATTTCTTCGAGGATGACTGGTGTTGTCTTTCTCTCGTAAAACGCTCCAACATCTTTTCTTCACTACTCAGGTGCTTATTTTTTTCACCAAAACGTCTATCAACTATTCCACCATTTTTGTTCTTCCTTGAATTTCTCAACTCATAAGCCTGTCGTCTCTGATCTTCTCCGATTTGTTTCGAAATACCAGGCTTACCAACTGGTTTTTTATCATTTTTAGAGCCAGCTGCCTCTTTCTTATTACGATTAACCTTAATCTCAAATGGATTGAATTGCTCACGGATTTTAGCGATCACTTTGGCCCTTTCCTCACGATCGTGCTCTCTTGGTTTTTTCTTAGCATTCTTGGATCCTTTGACATTAGCCTGACCGGTTAAGCCATTTTCCTTCAAGGTCCGTTTCAAATTCTTGAGTTGCGATCCGGCCATCTTTAGAAAAGGTGTTAAATCCTCTGATTGGCACCAACTTTGGACTCACAGTGGTACTAGTTACTAGGATTCTACCTCATCGCATGAAAATTTTACGGAAAAGAAATCCATACTATTTTCAGGGCACGTGATATAGACATTATGCACGAAGGTTAACATTACTACAGGTTCCGGTGGCAAACCGTCTTAATATTAATTCTCTTGTCCAAGGATACATAGTCTTGAATTTCAGACTAAAGCGTTGATTTAGAGGTTAGTATGTCAAGAGACGCGCCAATCAAAGCTGAAAAGGACTACACGGAGCTTCTTCAGGAAGAATTTCCCAAAATTGAGGCACTTGCTAATAATGATACACAGGCCGCGTTAGACCATTTACTGGTGTTAGAGAAGAAGACCAGACAAGCTTCTGACTTGGCATCGTCTAAAAAAGTCTTGGTCAAAATTGTTGACTTACTGATTGAAAAGAACAATTGGGATGAACTGGATGAGCAATTGACGCTGTTGTCTAAGAAGCACGGTCAGCTGAAGCTTTCGATTCAAACGATGGTTCAAAGGATCATGGAAAAGTTGGAGAATTTAAAGGATTTGGACACTAAAATCAAAGCTATTGAAACAATCAGGACTGTCACTGAAAACAAAATATTCGTCGAAGTCGAAAGAGCTCGTGTCACAAGGGAGCTAACTCATATAAGAAGGTCTCAGGGCAAGATTGATGAGGCTGCTGATTTGTTGTGTAAACTGCAGGTCGAAACTTTTGGATCCATGGACATGTATGAAAAAATAGAATTCATTCTCGAACAGATGGAATTAAGCATCCTCAAGGGCGATTTTTCTCAGGCTACTGTTTTATCTCGCAAAATTTTGAAGAAAACCTTCAAAAACGAGAAATATGAGAAATTGAAGCTTGAGTATTATGACCTCCTCATCAAGATAGCTCTTCACAAGAGCGATTATTTAGAGGTTGCTCAATATTATCAGGAGATTTATTCAACCAACTCCATTAAACAAGATGAAACTAAGTGGAAATCTGCATTATCGCATGTTGTGTTCTTTTTGGTTTTGGCACCCTACGACAATCTTCAAAATGACCTCATCCACAAGATCCAGCTAGACAACAACTTAAAGAAATTGGAGATGCATGAGTCGCTAGTGAAGCTATTCACTACACCAGAGCTCATGAGATGGCCCATAGTCAAGGAAACATACGAGCCTCTTCTAAAAAAGGATGACGTGGCGTTTGGTAATAATGCTAGCCATTGGGATGACCTTCGCAAGAGGGTGATTGAACACAATCTAAGAGTAGTTTCAAAATACTATGCTAGGATAACCTTGGCTAGATTGAACGAATTACTTGACCTTGCAGAAGCGGAAACTGAAGAATTTATCAGCAATTTAGTCAATCAGGGAGTGATCTACGCAAAAATCAATAGACCGGCCAAGATAGTGAACTTTGGTCGTCCAAGAAATTCAAGCACGCTCCTCAACGAATGGTCTCAAAATGTTGATCAACTGCTGGAGCAAATTGAAACCATCGGCCATCTAATCACTAAGGAGGAGATCTTACATGGCTTGAAAACTAAATAGCGAGCTAAGCAGTGACATCTTTGTGTAAATTAACAATAATGGAACCTAAATGTTAAAGACCTTTCAATCTTGCTGCTGATTTCGTTTCTGTTTGGCGCTTTCCACTAAGCTGTGCCAACGCTCTCTTAGCTTAATAATTTGATTCGATAGCTTTTTATTCTCCTTAATCAGAAGTTCAGTTTTGACATCATAATCCTTCCATTTCTTTTGTTCTATGATGCAAACATCTTTTTTGAGTTGATTCAATTCTTGTAGAAGTCGCAGTTCAATTGATGAAGCTCCGTCGTTGTTTCCAGAATGCTCAGCTTTCAGTATAGAAAACAAATTATTCTGAAATGCATTAAAAGCCGAAACGAGCATCGGATCCAAAGATGTGCTACTTAAGTTCATGGACCATCCGGTGTTTGTGTCAAGCAATGAGCTTGCATCTCGGGATATGGGAGTATCAACTCTACTTTGTGAGTTGGCTTTTTTCTGCTTACTGTACTGCTGCAGTTTCTCAATTTCTTCAATTTTACTCACGATGTCTTCATCCAATAGTCGTATTGCCTCTGTGACTTTATCTTTTTGACCTTCATTTTCGAAGCCACTTTCTAACTGTCGCAATTCTTTTAGGGTGTTCCAGTATATCTCTAGGGCAACCTTAAAATTCTTATCTCTTAGGTGCAGTTCAGCTTTGTCGAGATGCTCAAAAATCTAATTCGGGGTGGTTAATAAAACATTCTCTGCAGAGCAATTTTGAAATATACCGTACTTTTGCAAGCTCCACCATTCTTTGTGTGCATTCGATTTTATCTAGTGCTGATCACCGTTACAATTCTAGGTTTTTTTTCAACTACTTCCCGAGTAGAAATACCTCACTGGTCTCTGAAAAGGATCACACATTCGTTTTTTAAGAAGCATCGGCATGCTTTTCAAGCAGGCTCGGCATGACAAGTCGGAGAACACCTCCTCAGATGTGGCACAATTCTGGGGATCAATGGAGCGCCTCCTTGAGATTGAGGACGAGAAGGACGAAGCTGTAGTCAATTCGGAACTAGTATCATATGTCAAGAAGGCCTCAGATAATTACAAAGAGTACCTGCATACAGAGCAAGACATTTATCGTTTGGCCCTAATTTTAACTCAATCGAAACTTTTCCAAAATAATAGAGAGTTCTGCCTAAGTAAACTTTTATCTCTCCTAAGCGTTGACCTTTTGGAAACGAATTTGAAATTCATTATCAGTTACATTATCCTTTGTGCCTCTAAAAGCGATTCTTCATTGTTAGAGATACTATTACAATTTCAGGGTTTTACAGTAATCTACAATAATTTGTACAACCATTTTGCATACCTAAGCCGTTATGGGGAGGAAAGATTCCTCTCAAACAAAGTGACCGAAGAACAATCCGATTTAACGGATATTGAGTTTGAAATCATTGAAGGATTGAAGCAAATTTCAACCGTTTTGATGGGAATTTTGTTCCAAATTTTCAAGTACTCCAAATGTGATATTGGGAATATTGGAATTGTGGACGACTTCTTTGTCTATTTTCTAATGAAATCCATCCGATCTGACACAACAGATGACATCTTCAACAACACGAAGTTTAAATTACTTTTAGCTCTGAACGAGCAGTATATGATATTCTCATATCAGTATGAGGTGGAAAATAAGGTTTACAAGTACTTGATTAATAACTCAGTGTCTAAAAACTTCATGGAGCTTCTCCTTTTGATGTTTAATAGAGTGACTGACAGATCATTGCAAATAATGATGTGTAAAATCATTTATTTGATCCTAACTTCTGATGAGGATTTGGCGAGAGATTTCTTCTATTTAAACGATTTACATGTATTTGTGGATGTTCTTCTCAGAGAGCTCAAAGACATTTCAGAGGATGAGGAGCTGATCAGGAATACTTTTCTCAGAGTACTGTTTCCTCTCTTAAAAAACACTGAATTAATCAACAGCCATTACCGTAGATCGGATTTGGTAGAAGTACTGGAATACTTGTCATCCTTAGACAACATATGTTCGACTGAAGAGATAAAAAGGGAACACAAGACTACTAGCAGACTTGCTTTGAAGTGTCTGAATCAGGTGGAATGGCTACAGTACTCAAAACCCGAGGGATCAGACAAAGAAAGTAGCGAGGGAAGTAGGCGATCAAGTGTTAGCATAGGTTCTATTCCTTCACAACGTGGTTACCTAGACAAGCGTGCACAGCACTTATACATGAATAATCAATCCTCTCTTTCAGCAGAGTCCATCACCAAACGTCTTCAAGCCCCCCCACCTCCACCCGCCAGAAAAGCGCCTTCGCGTGTTGGCAGCGGACAAAAAGTTGCTCAATTTAAGCCCAACTAATGAAAGTAATTAATAAACAATGCAGCAAATACTAGAATAGATTAATCTTTACTATTTGTACTCAAATTATATTATCACCATCTGCGTCCATCGCATCTCCACTACCGACGATATTCTCATCTTCAAGCAGAATGTCATCCAAAAACGAATCCTGCTCCGCAGATATATATTCATCGATCACTGATTGCACGACCTCTCTTGACTCTAAGAATTCGTCCCACCCATTTTGAAACATCTTGCCATTTTGATACATATGCAAAAAAGCGCCCTTCTTGAAAAGAACATCAAAACTGTTACATGCTGTTTGAAGAAGCGAAGTAACAGACGTGGTATTACCCAACATCATCCCGCTTACGTTATCGGAGTTCGGCGACTTGTTGTAAGGCGATTTCCTACCGATATTCACGTGAAGCGATGAAGACGACCAGGAAGGTGATTTTACACGTTGTTGGGCCTTCGCCATAGCTTTCATTACGTCATTTTGGTCAACAGTTCCCTGAAGCGCATCAAAAATACCGAGATAGATAGGCGAATCACTTCTGCGGAGAACCATCGAATTGTTTTTATCGAAAAGATCCAAAATAACATCGTAGGCAGTGCTTCTTTTGAATTCTTTAGCATCTGGTATGAAATCTGTAGTAAATGGAGTAAAACTTGGAACTAGGAAATGCAGATCTGCTGTTGGTATCAATGTAGAGAAAATACTGGGTAGAGAATTGAACATGTAGCCAGGAAAGCGAAGACTATTGGTTGTTGACGATAATACGCTTGCAATGAGCTGATTGGTTTGAGCATAACTTGCATTAGAATCCTTAAAAACCTTAGATGCCAAATTAAGCAGTGCATTATTATCAAAAACGACAGACGCATCACTGTTCTCTATCAGACGTCGCAGTGTTAGAATTGTATTATAAGGCTGAATGACAACTTCCGATTCATTACTCGGGAAGACAGAATAGGTTGTGGTTAATTTTTTATGATATCTATCCGATAACGCTTCAAGGAAATTAGATCCTAAACCAGAACCAGTGCCGCCAGCTACCGAATGAATAAGCTGAAATCCTTCAAAATGCTCAGTTCCGTCAATTTCACGGTCTATCATATTGATGAACTCGTCCTGATTTTCTAACCCATAATCATAGCCTTTTGACCAAGTATTGCCAGCGCCTAACTCATCTTTGGAAACCCATATGTTTCTTTCGTTAAATAAACCTGGAAACGAATTCTGTACATCACCAATAGCGCTGGGCTCAAGATCAAAAAGAAAAGCTCGCGGTGTATATCGATTAAAGTCATCTTGTCTGAAGAAAATATTAGTATCGTCCTCCCTTACTGCTTGAGGACTATCAAATGGCCTGCTTTGCCCATCTCTTTCAATTCCATGTTCTCTAGTCAATTGAGACCAGAATTGCTTACCAACCTGATTCCCACATTGACCTATTTGGAGCGTTATGATCTCTCCCGTCATCGTCGTTAGGATAAATCAGTGATAGATACGCGTCTCTTGTTGACATAATGATCTCCTCCAAACAACTCAGTATTTACAGTTCTTTTTTTGAGATAAATCACTTACAACGAACGTAATGGATCGGTGCAGAGACGTATTTCGATCTCATCATTTAACATAATTTGTGTAAAGTTCTAACCTTAAACTTTGCTACAGGATATATAGTGCGACAATCGGCCACAATCAATCAAAGACGGATTCTCAAACCGGACGAAGGCACACCGATCTTAGAAATCAAACTAATGCTATCAATTTTTCCCTTCTCGGATGCATGATACTTAGCACCTGTGAGAGGATCGGAAACTTCTGGTGAATCCTTGTATATCGGAGTGTAAGAAGATGCGCAAATGTTGAAGTCTGCATATGGATCAAAGTCAACTTCAATGGCATCATGCGCTAGGGAATCCGCTCTATCTTTTATCTTCTGGGCTTGTTCAGCACGGGGACCTGTGGTCACAATTTTTAAGAACTCGGCGGCAAAATAAGATGCCTGAACGAAATTTTTGTGCTTGAAAGATTGCGACATCGCAACCTGAAGAGCAGTGCTTCTGTGTTGAGGTAGAAGTTTTGTTCTAGTGAAATACGAAGCAAGTTCCAAATTGCGTTTAACATCATCTGCTGACAGAGCACGACGCTTCAACTCCATGGATAGACCCAAAATGTACTCACGTGCCTTTACAAGTGCACTTCTAGCAATTTCTTCGTCTTCGTCATTGTCCACCGCTAAAAGTACGATCATATAGATGACATCACGGAAACACTCAATGGCAAGTTCCAGCTTATTGGCCTTAAACAGCTTAAAGCCCTCATTCATCTTTTTAGTTACGAGGTCTATGCCTGAGATGTAAGGGAGAATCTTAGAGGCATTCTCCTCATCAGCATTTTTGTTCACTAGACCACTCACGGCTGATAGTTCATTTGGTGTAGCGCTCATGTAAATTCTGCAGCCCTCATATATATCGGTAAAACGAGATCTGAGTGGCTCGAAGTTCACTACACCAGCTTGCTTGTTCAAAGCTTGTGCTGCTGCCTCGAAAGCACCAGTTGCTACAAGAACGTATGGTAGTTTAGAATTTCTCACCCACAAAGCGAGTTGGCTATCCTCAATAGTGGCAGAATCTTCCTCGACAGCACCACTTTCGTTAAGTTCTTCCTCAATTTCCAAGTCTTCATCACCTAAATCCCAGCCACCGTCGTCTTCAAGACTTTCGTCATTACCTAATATTGTGTCTTCATCTTCAAAATCACCGATTTGGGCCTTACTCTGTTCTGATTCATTTACATTCTCATCGATCTTGAGATCCTCCACTTGCCCCAATAGCGCTTTTTCAAAAAATGACAATTCAGCTTTCTTCAATGGCCAGCTATCAAGAGGCTGAGAAATTACAGGTGCCTTCAAGAAAGTAGAAGCTGATAGAGTATCAGGTAACACGACATCTTGTTCATCAATGCCGGCCTCCTCCAGAAGAGAAGCAGCAGCGTTGCTTTGACCATTGGCCTTAGCAATTGCATAAGCCAGAGGCAAACTGCCTGCTTTCGCGAAAACATCAGTTCTTTTTTCCATTCTATTACTGTAAATGGTGTTAAGGATCAACCCAGAAATATCTCCGCGACGTTCAGCAATTGACTCCATTTTGGCCAATTTAGACGAATCACCAGTTATCAAATACAAAAACGATAATTTGTCAAATTGCTTCTGTGTTTGATAAACTAGTTCAACAATCTTCGTATTACCTTGCGCTAGTGCTTCCTTGCCCAATCTTTCCCAAGCGGCGGCATTATCAAGCTTCTGGGCCTCCTCGAAGGCAATGCTCAGGTCTCCGTGCTCTATAGCTAAATCAAATCTGGTTTGTGGCTCTTGGACGAATTGAAGAGCAATATCTGGAAAGCCAGATTTTTGCAAGTATGAAATAATATTTTGACCAACCAAGTTAGAATTTTTGATGATTCGTAAAACCTCTGGAAAGTTTTTATTGACCAAAGCTTTCTTGAAACGATATTCAGTAGGATCTATAGTGACGATTTCAACATCACCCTCACGATTTAGCGCATAGACAAACTTTCCATGAACCTTTGTAATGTACAGAGTATTTTCTAATGTTTTGATGATACCATTGTCTCCATTGAGAAGTGTGTACTTTATGTGATTCAAAGTTGAGTAAATCAAAACACCAGTTTCGTCCCAAGCAGCGCTTTTGATCCTAATTGTCTCATGCATAGAAGTGACGACTTCTAATTGCTTCGTAACAATCGTAATCGTGTGCTTGCTCATTAAAGCTAAAAATTGCCCATCTGCTGACCAAGACACGTACTTGACATTTTTAAGGGCAATCTCGGCAAGCTTTTTGCCTTGCTGCACGTCAAATAAAACAACACTTCTCGTTTGCAGGATCAAAACACATCCTGGCCCACCATAAACTATGTCTCTCACTGCGCTGTCACCATCAACCTTGATAGATTTTGTGATTTTGTTATCCAAGCTCCGCACCTCTAATGAAGATGATGACACGTTATAGACAACGAATCTGTTACGTGCAACGAAAGTAGCAAAACTACCCGAGTCTTCTAAAATTCCTGTAGGTTCTATAGCTCCAGTAGGCTGTTTAGGCAATGTACACAATGCAAATCTGTCGCCTTGACTATCAACACTGTTCACTAACACGGAGTGTTGAGATGGGTTGTAGGATATACTTCTAAAAGCATTCCATTGATGCCCAATTTTTTTTAAAGAAACGTAGGGCAACGTTGCAACTTTCTTATTGTAATCAAAAGTTTGGACCTGCTTCTCTTTGTTAACAAATATCAGTTGGTTTTGACTGATAGCACTGCATGGTCTTTCGCGGTCTAATTTGAAAACCATGATACCCGAATCATGAGCAGCACCAAATAGATTGATATGAGGATGCGCTCTCACAAGCCAGAATCTATCGTTTTCACGCTTGAATTGCTTGACGGGAGTTCTCTTATCCAAATCCCATACTCTGATCGTCTTATCTTCACCTACGGAGATAATCAGATTTTGATAAGGATGGAAGATGACGCTGTCGACATTGTTTGTATGACCTCTGCAGGTGTCCACCTCCCAAGCCTTTGTAGAGCTCATTCTCCATAGTTTGACTTGGCGGTCGTCACCACCCGAAACGATTAATGGCAGTGTTGGGTGAAAACTTGCCCAATTCACACCTCTTGTGTGACCCTCAAGAATGAACTTGACTACACAGTCACCAAATCCACCATCTAGTAAATTTTGTTGGGCTGAAAATTGATCTTCGAGATTAAAGGAACCCGGAGCAGAATGCTTCTTCCTTAGTCCAGAGATGTCCCAGACTCTCACTGTCTCATCCAAAGATGCAGACACCACAAGATCCTCAGATGGGTGGAAGTCTGCGCACATTACAAAGTGATTGTGTCCAGTCAGACATGCAATTTCTTTCCGGTTCTGCCAGTTCCAAATTCTTATGGTTTGATCATCGGAGGCGGAGATTATCCAAGGTAGTTCACGATGAAAAAAAACCGTACGCACATAGTCAAGGTGACCATTCAACGTGAAGAGACATTTTTTAGTTTCTAGAGACCAGACCTTAATCGTATAGTCGTCACCCGCTGAAACAAATAATGGTTGCGTTGGATGGAAATCAATTCCACGGACAGGGCCCTCATGATCTTCAAACTTATGCAGCAAGGTACCCATTCTGTAATCCCATAATTGAATGGTTGACGAAAACAGTGCGACCAAAACCCAAGGTCTTGAGGGATGGAACGCCAAACCTTTAGCCCTCGTAGACTTGGACTCAAACTTTGTTAGCATCTTCATCTTGAACTATGCTCTTAGATCACAGAAGAGTGTTAATCAATTGAACTGAACTTATATTTCTTCGGTTCTAATGTCTCAAGAAAAGCCCAATATCGTTCTGTTTTCAATGACAGGTGGCGATTACGATCCATGTATTCTACTTTGTTTTTCCCCTTTCCATAAAATTTTTCTGGCGTTCATTACCCGGATATAGGTTCAGAAATTATCATGCAAAAATGATTAATAGCTATATACAACAAGTAGACATTACATTGCTATGATATCTTCTTTTCGAACAAGGATGCTTAGCGATGAACTCTTGCCGTTGATTCCAAAGAAAACTATATTCTTTTCATTTCCAGAATTATTGTGTTTTCAAATCTACTATTAATTTATTTTCACGTGCAAGTAATAGGAATGCGTTCTCAATACTTCTTTGCAAAGTCTCAATTGTGGAGATTTTTTCCATGGCAATGAAGGATGTAGCTAAAATAGGTATGGTTCACGAATTGGGTTATAGTTACAGTGAATATTGATCTTATCCACATGTTGAGGATTACAAGTTGCGTTCCAAATTAATTCGTAAAACTACACGAAATTGAAAACCCAATGTACGATTTTGGATAGGATTTGGAAGCAACTAAACCGTGCTGCCTTGTTCTCCACCACGATGTAATGGTCACTGTATCCGCTTGAAGATGCGAAAGCCCTTGAACTATCATTACCAATAATGGCTTCTTTACGGATGTCTTGAATAAAGATCTGTTTGTTGTGTATCTTACGGACTGGCTTAACGGCACTGGTTAAGCTTGTGGTAGACTCACAACAAGAGACTGGGATATCTGTTTTGTCTAAGCCTGGTTTGATATCCAAAGCTTCCGAATCAAGCTCTAGATTGAAAAGAATTGGTCCATTTTGCCATTGAAGACAAGACTCATCAAAAGTATCGCACTCGGGATCATAGGTGAAGGAACTATAACTAGGTGTTCTAGACTGCTTGTCTAAAGCCACGTAGAATTCCTTCCTGGGATTCATCATCAGGGAATTTAGGTATTCGTTATCATAAGGAGTTATTTGGATATGGCTAATACTTAAGCAAAATTGACCTTTTTCGAGAATATCGGGAGAATTTTCCCAATCTATGAGTCCTCCTGCCCACATTATGGTGCCAGGATTGTTACTTTCCGAACCTCCTGGCCACACAGCTATTTCAAGTCTCATTGGCGTTTGTGGGTACTTGTAAATGTTCAACTCGGGATCAAAGGTATCTTTCTTATAAAGCGTTCTCACTACCTTGCCATCAATTAGCCAATGAATACGCTCCTGATCCCAATCAATTTCATACTCGTGATAGTTGTAAAAGCTATTAGAATCAATGGTAGCTTTCTGCATTCTTGTGTGAATCAACTCACCTTCGTGATAATAGTTTGTTTGAGCCATCTCTAGTTCACTTCCTAGAAATTCAAAGTCAATTTCGTCCTTGACAGCAGACATCAAGACCAAAGCTGATACAACCCCAGCTCCTCTTGCTGTCTTCATTGTGACAGAAGCTTTACCATAAAGGAATGATTTGACAGATGAAATTAAAGAGCCAGTTGTATGTTTTGGCATGCCCAAGAGAACCCCAGAAGGTTCGTCTAGAACGCTCAAATAGCCGCTGTAAGTGAAATCGAAATCATCGAGTTCTTTTTGGGCCTTTATGGGATCAGAATCGATTTCAAAGTCAGAATAATGGACCAGACCTCGAGATCTGTACTTCTTCTCGGCGTTTCCTGATTGGGAATCTATGACATCTCGTTTTACTTCGAAATATGTGTTCAGAGCAGGCATGAGGATACCTTCTTCGATATAATCTACGTCAGGGGATACATCGACCATTCCAGTAATCATTTCTTTAACAGGCAGAAGAGCTGGAACACTGGCACAGCTTTCAAAACTGAATGAAAATCTTGGATCACAACCTCCTAGGCAAAGCGGACCTTTACCGCACTGTCCAAATTGCGAACAGCATGGCCACTCTTCGGGACACTTGTTTTCTGCGGAGCATGCGACATAAGGATCCGATTTATACATCTCAAAAGCGCCAACGCTAATAAATGTAGTCAGCACTAATATATAATGTATCATATCCGTTCTATATCTGCGATCGATATTTGTTGTGAGTAAACATGATCCACTATTAAAAACTCATCAAGTTAGAAAATTGCCGCCACAAAAATAAGTCCAATCCCTGAATTCAAAAATTGTGGACACCGAGAGCTTCCAAAAGTAAAAACCATTTATTCAGAAAATTCATATTCCAGTTTGCTAAATAGTTCTCGTATGCGATTGGGCCAAAACGACAGCAAGATCCTGGCATGACAAGTGCAAATTCCGACGTCTATTAACTAAGGCATGCTATTGAAAACTATTATAAAGCGTATTCTGATATAGACTTTGTTACATTTCCATAGATGCAAAGCTGAGCACTTAATTACTTTCAAAAATTGAGTCAATGGAAAGTTATCTACTGTGGTTTTGTTTAAGCAGGAATATTATTTTGATCGACTAAGCGGGCTGTCTTCTCATCAAAATGTATCAAACCCTTTTTTTCTTTAACTTTTCCCTGGAGAAGCGTCAATAAGTGATAAAGCATTGATAAAGTTGGCGTTGGCACTTCATTTTGTGCAGCAATACGGATAGGATTTCCAAGAATTATTTCTAATTCCATTAGCTGCCCTTTCTCGATATCGACACACATGGAAGGTTTGTAAACAATATTCTGTGTAATAGTTACGAAGAAATCAACCAATTCACTCTCCAATGTAATGCCCTCGCTGGCCGCAATAGCGATGATTTCTCTCATAGCAGGCCTGAATATATATTCTTCGGTTCCCTTCTTGTTTTGAGAAAATTGAAGGCAACGGGGAACATCAAGGCCAACCAAAGCTGTCGTCGTATTTATAGCGGCATTGTACAACAACTTTTTCCATCTGGTGTATCGAACGCGAGGGTCGAACTCAACATGATTATGACCCTCATTGTTATACATGGCAACGAAATCCTTCGCAGACTGAACTGCTAGGGCATCTTGCGGATTAAACGCGCCAACAATGAGATGATCTAAACCTTTTTGATGGATGTAGCCGGGGCTCAATTTCGTAGATGCGATCAGCTGAACACCGGATAGCAAACACAAGTGATATTTATTTTTGTCAAAGCACTCTAAAATCTCCTTTTCGATATCAATACCATTCTGAATTAAAAGAACGCTGGTGCGCCGTTCTGGTGCCACGTCGTGGTTCGATTCGATCACTGGTCTGATTACTTCGTGCACTCTGTTCTGGATCGGACCATCTGGGATGTTCTTCACAGTGACGACGATATAGTCGAAGAAACTTCCAGACCTTGCGGCATCTACAGTATTCTTGAAGACTTGATGCGGCTTCCAATTTTCGACGACGCCGTAGTCGCACGAGTCGATCTTATATCCCTCCTGCACAATATGTGAATAGTCGGATCTTACCACCATAGACACATTGCTTCTGTCAGCGTGAAAGAGGGAGTAGGCAGTTATAACCCCAACCCCGCCGGCTCCAATGAGCAAACAAGATGGCTTTTCTGTAGACATACCGTTTTCTTTCCACTGTGTACATTTTTGAGATGGTCTGCAACAAAGATCTACCTTAACTCGAATGGCTGCATCGTAGAGGATGCTACGCACCCCGCTTCATTATGGTTAATGTTGACTTTCACAAATAGTGAATTTCGATAACGGGGTTCAAGATCCTATGCTAAAGACGATAAACAGCAGATAAAGGCGGGCAGATGTCTCATGTTCGCTGAATCTGCAGGGGTGTTCAGCAAGAGTCTTTACTTACAAGGATCGCATATAAAATCTCAACTGCTATCTCTCTAGCAAAGTCTTGCCACACTTGGCTTCTACCCGAAGTGGGAGCTTAACGCGCTGGAAATCGAATTTAAACGGCCCCGGATCGATTAGGTCGGATTCGTCCGATAGAAAACTCAGATAACCGATTCGCTGCCGTTTCTTTAGCATTACTACCGTTCTGTCTGAAAAAAATACATAAATGCTCAATAACTCTAATGTAGCTCTGCTATACCGACCATTAACGCAACAATACTTTCTTTTATCTTCTCATACTGTGGTCTAACCTTCTCCTTCCCTTCAGGTATATTCGCATATAGCTAAAAGCCGCAAAAATCCTTGGAGTGGACCCTGTAGATTATTTTTTTCCTTCGAGATTTTCTTAACGAGCATTTTACTGAAATGTTTAAATGCTCAAAGAGTTCTCAATTTGAGTTCGTAGGTGTTGAAGAGCATTTTTTCGAGGTTGAGTAAGGTGTAATTTCAAAAGTTGAGCTGAAGTATATATCACAGTAGTTCTCGAACCATAGACAAGTTCGAGGAACCTCTCAAATTAGTGATGAGAGTTTTACATTGGACTCTTATAATCGCTTCAGTGGTGCGCGCGCTTGAGCTAGTAGACTCGACACTAGCATCAGCTTGTATTTATTATGACGCGACCTATGATTGGGGATGTGGTTCGCACGGAAATGGTATGAAGGCCTATATGTGTCGCTGCGCAAATATCAATTGGCTGGGTACCGTCACTAATTGTATGAAGAGTAATTCGAACGACACTGGTCTGGTAAACCATGGGTTTCGTCACTTAGCGCGGAGATGTAAGGAAAAAGGCGACTTCAATTATACGCTTGCCGACATGCAGCAGTTCTACGAAAATGGTACGAAGTACCTCAGGGCTCCCACGCCACGAGATCTCAATAACACAGTTTATACAACACTGTTAGTGGACCAAGACACATTCGATTGGTACTATCGAAAATTTAAGGATTTAACATTTTCAGTAGAAAGAAGTCAGTGGTTCGGTTGGGGCCTGGTGTTTTACTGGGTCGCAGTCGTCACAATTGCCACTATCTACAACCTAAACCAAAAACTCTTCGGTTTCAATATTGGGGGAAACTTTATCAATAAGTATCTTACAGTTCCAACAGTATTTCAGCGTCTGAATACAAAAGACAGTCTTCTCCGAAAGTGTTTTCCTGGCACTTGGCCTAATTATTTACAAGTTGGCGTTGTGACGGCGTTTATACTACAAACAATCATCTGTGTGGGCGTCGGATATGAAATGAAGACTCCGCATCCTTATCTGACAACAAGATGGTTCATGAATTTGGATCTTGTAAGTTATAGAGTCGACTTAATGTCAATTTCACTGTTCCCCGTGATTTATCTCTTTGGTATTCGTAATAACCCGTTAATTCCTATCAGTGGTATCTCCTTCAGCACGTTCAACTATTACCATAAGTGGTGTGCTTACGTTTGCATCATATTGGCGTTCATTCACTCAATCATATGGACAGTGTATTCTATACAAGAGGGCGGATACAAGACCTGGTGGGTAGATTCTTACTGGCAATACGGAATTGGTGCAATGGTGCTGATCGCCCTTTTGGGTGTCCACAGCATAAAGCTCTTCAGAGATACAATGTACGAGATATTTTTGTTCTTTCATAAAATTATGAACATCTTTTTCATTGTATGCATGTATTATCACCTTAACATATTAGGTTGGCTTGGCTGGGTGTGGTCAATGGTTGCAATAATGGTTTTCGACAGGGTCATGAGAATTGTTAGAATTGTTTTAAGTGGTGGCTTACAGAGTGCAACTTTAGTAGATTGTGGGAACGGAGTGATCAAAATGGAAATCAAGAAACCTAAGTATTTGCAACATTCTCCGGGTTCATACTCTTTCATCTATTTTATTAGTTCTCAAGATCCATGGTATTTTCCATGGCAGTCACATCCCTTCACATTGCTATCCGCTCCGAAAGAGTCTGGTAATAACACACTTGTTGCGTACTTCAAAGCTCACAAAGGAATCACAAGACATCTTTTATCGAAGATCATGATGTCTCAAAAAGATTCCATCCGTGTTAAGATTCTTTTAGAAGGTCCTTATGGCAATATGATTCCCCAAGTAAAACCTGTTAACAGAAAGTTTGTGGGCGTAGCTGCAGGTCTAGGTATCACTGCAATTCACTCTCAAATCATGCATTTGCTACCGGTCCAAAAGAGCAACTTCACAAACAAGATATATTGGGTTATAAGAGACATTTCTCATGCAGAATGGTTTTTAAACGAATTGGAATGGATAAAGTCAAAAAATTTCGAACTTACCATTATGTGCACCTCTTCGAAGGAATTTGAAGAAGATACATGCTCGAGCTATTCAGAGAAGAAAGGTTTGCAGTCATTGGATGTTCAACACATGAGTGGCAGGCCCGATCTGCAAAAGCTAATCGCTGGGGAAGTTTCTAAAGCTATGGAAGAAAACGTTGACGTCACATTCATTAGTTGTGGGCCCACTGTCTTCAATGGAGACTTCCGCACTTGTTTGTCGCGAGAACTGAACGAAAAAGTGACTATATCTGTCGAACTTCAAGAAGAAAGTTTCACTTGGTAGTAGTCCAATGTCAATATTTAATATACTAAGTAGCATTTATCATATTATTCTTCATCATCACTGGACTTTTCATCCTGCTGCATTTTGAGCAATTCTGACCATTTTCGTGCGAGTTCTTGAATGGCCTGCGAGTCGAAACTAGCGTCAGTGACATCTTTAGGAACATAATTTTCGGAATGCTCTTTCGAAGCAAATCTTCCGATATTATGCTCCTTAATTAGCCGGAGTTCATAATCCTGATCATCTTCTGGATTCTTAGTAAATATTTCGTTCCAAGAAAATAAAAGAGAATCCGTTTTTCTGGCAAAAGGATTGAAATCTACTACCCAAACTTTTTCAAAGGGCCTTGGTATGTAAAGGTCACAAACGAACGAATGATCTGGAAATGTAGGTACGGCAACATCTTCAATGAATTCATCAATTAAATCTTTGAAAGTGTCTTTCAGTGGTTCCAAATAATCGTAATAATTTAAATCTCTTTGAGACACACCCACTACTTTTTTATTCTTGACAAAAACTCGAAACTCCAAGGCTGGGTTTATATTAAACCACGATCTTAGTATCAGCTCAGGTTCAACGTATTTTTCTCCCTCATGTTTATCTTCACATTCATCGAAAGCAGAATCAAGGTCATGAGTAATATAGTTTGAGGAATTTAGTAGCAGATAAATGTCGTTGGGCTCGTTGCATTTGAGGGTATTGTTCGGCAGAATCCATGTTGCATCCTTTGGTGAAGACCAATTTAGCTTGGGTGTCACTGCACCATGCTTGTTAATGAGATTTTTTATGCTCTTATGCAGCTCTGGAAAGAGAGTCAAAGGATCGTTATTCTCAGTTCTGTCTTCCTCTCCGTCCTTTTCGCTTTCTTCCCAGTCGCTGTACTCATTTTCTTCATTACGTTCTATTGTACTGTAGTAGAATGAACCTCCATCGTTCTCGTTTGCTAATCTGATACCATCTTGCTCTAGGTATGCTATGAACTCTTGGGGAAGAGGTTTGATGATTTCAGATTTACAGGTATAATCCTTAAATTTGGGGTACCAGTTAGAAAAAGAGCAGTTTATCAGTTGCTGAACAGAAACTGGGACATACGCCAATTCAGCGAAATCGGAGGACATTATGATTTTGAAGTTAGACCTCTTCAGTTAATGCGACGACCTTAGATTGAGATATCGATGATTAATTAAAAGTCATGGGGGACGAAATGCATCCTACTGGAAAAAAATTTGCCACCGGTGAAGTTTAAGTGTTAAAATCAACCTTGGTCGAGAAAATAACACGCTTTGGTGAATTAGCTCCAAACAATTCAATTGTACCTTGATGCCTCCAAAAGCTTCATCTAATACCACCTTCAAGAATAGGGAAAAGCCTCAAGAGGTGCGTAAGGCTAACATTATTGCCGCGCGTGCAGTCGCCGATGCAATTCGGACATCGTTGGGTCCTAAAGGCATGGACAAGATGATCAAAACTTCCAGGGGTGAGATCATTATATCAAACGATGGACATACGATTTTGAAACAAATGGCAATCTTGCATCCCGTTGCAAAAATGCTCGTGGAGGTTTCTGCTGCCCAGGACAGCGAGGCTGGTGATGGTACCACATCTGTAGTTATCCTCACTGGAGCACTTTTGGGTGCTGCAGAAAAACTGCTTAATAAGGGAATTCATCCTACCATAATTGCCGAATCGTTTCAAAGAGCTGCTAAAAGATCTGTTGAAATCCTTCTTGATATGTCGCACAAAATATCGCTCAGTGATAAAGATGCTCTCGTGCGTGCAGCAGCTACTTCTCTGAGTTCGAAGATTGTTTCACAGTATTCATCCTTTTTAGCACCTTTGGCCGTTGATTGTGTCCTAAGTATCACTGACGAGAACTCTAAAAATGTGGATTTGGACGATATTCGTTTGATCAAGAAACTCGGTGGTACTATTGACAACACTGAGATGGTGGATGGTGTCGTGTTGACACAAAATGTGGTGAAAGCTGCAGGTGGTCCAATTAGAATGGAGAAAGCAAGAATTGGGTTAATTCAGTTTCAGATCTCACCTCCAAAACCAGATACCGAAAACAATATTGTTGTCAATGATTACAGACAAATGGATAAAATTTTGAAGGAAGAACGTGCGTATCTTCTGAACATTTGTAAGAAAATTAAAAAGGCAAAGTGTAATGTGCTTCTGATTCAAAAGTCGATCTTGAGAGATGCCGTCAATGACTTGGCTCTGCACTTCTTGTCGAAGTTGAATATCATGGTTGTGAAGGATATTGAGAGAGACGAAATCGAATTTTTATCAAAAAGTCTGAACTGTAAGCCTATTTCTGACGTTGAGCTATTCACAGAAGACAGGCTGGGTTATGCCGATCTGGTTGAAGAGGTTGAAAGCGATGGTTCTAAGATTGTCAAAATCACTGGTGTCAAGAGCTCAAACTCCAAACCTACCGTTTCTGTGATTATTCGCGGTGCGAACAACGTGGTACTAGATGAGACTGAGCGGTCTCTTCATGATGCGTTGTGTGTGATTCGCTGCCTGGTGAAAGAAAGGGCACTGATCGCTGGTGGTGGCGCACCGGAAATTGAGGTGTCTCGAACACTCACAAAGGAAGCCAGAGCACTTGAAGGTGTTGAGGCGTTTGTCTGGCAAGAATTTGCTTCCGCTCTTGAGGTTATTCCTACAACCTTAGCGGAGAATGCGGGTCTCTATAGTATCAAGGTTGTCACAGAATTGCGCACCCTTCATGAAAATGGTGAGAAAAATGCCGGCATCTCAATTAGAAGGTCTGGAACGACCAATACATTTGATGAGCACGTTCTTCAACCTGTGCTTGTCAGCACCAGCGCCATTACTTTAGCATCAGAGTGCGTCAAATCTATATTAAGAATTGATGACATCACTTTTAGCCGTTAATAAAGGAGTATACAAATACCAATTGTCTGCGAACACCATAAACGTGGTAAATTAAGTAATTCTATCTGTTCATACTAATTACGTGATTACTTTCAACTCAATTGAAACCCAGCTTTTCCCACATGGCTATTAGCAAGTCTAACTGTTGTAAAAATTACCTTTTTTTCAAAAGGGTCCACACTAAAACTGGAGAAGCGGCAAGAGGGAACTTCAGAATAACACTTTGAGAAGAATTAATTCATTCACAAGTTACACACAGATTGTGAACCAAATAAGAGCTCCTTTAGTATCTTATACCGGAAATTAGGAGGCGACATTATTTTATTTTTACAACGTAAATGAATCACACCTGGCTTGCGTCAATCATCCTGATAAAGACGTGCAATTATGATTTATAATTTCTGTTCCTTGACCTCTCATTGAAAAAGCACGATTTGTCTAGCTATCTCTGCATTGTTGTTATAACATCATTATTATCTTTTCATTATATGTCGTCTTTTTCCACAAGCGATGTACTTAATTCTATAAGCGATGCTAAAAAGCATTAACTTTGGTCCCATTTTATGGTGTGATACGACAGATGGTCAAAACCAGCAAGAACCTCCAAATTATCGAATATGATTTTTGGATGAACTCTGATGAACGCGTTAGCTACGATGCTTGCGTCAGGAAAGAATCACCACAATCATTTAGGCAATTCTTTTATCTCGGGTATCAACTACTGTCAAAGGAAAAAAAGCGATCATTCCAATAGCACCTAGCTTGAATACAATCGCTGTCGTAATGTAGGGTACTGTCTTTTCCGTTTTTCCAGGCTACTAGGGGTACTGCTTTCGAGTTTGACTCGGTTTCTCGTTCACCTTATCTTATCAAAAAAAAAAATGTGACTGTGTCTCAGACTTTTAGTTGTCACTAGAAATCTCAGTGGTGCATATTGTCCATAGAGATATGTTTCCCTCATCTTCCCGAGACTTTCGCCAATGAGCTATGAGTCCGCTGGTATTCATCGAATCAGGTATTTGAGGCCGAGTGAACCTCGGCAATAAAACAGGCGTGGTTGCTGCCCGCGAGAGTTGCCTACCGATTTGCATCTGATAAGGTCGAGCAAAGATGTAACGATAAGGAAGTGGAGAACAATCAGCGCGCGTTAGCATTGGTAAAGATCCGGTTGTACCTTGTGTAGTAGATATCTCTTGCTGCTTCTAGAGGAATCCCACGAGTTATAAAAGAGCACGACTTGCACTGCTGTTGTTATCGGCATTGGAAGAAATCAAAGCGCATCGAGATATTTCAAAATCCGTAGCTATGAGCAAGATCGATCACATAATTGATTCGGATGGCAGCTCTAACAATGTACCAGATGAAAAGATCCATAACGTTGTATCAATTACCGCTGAAGAAATTGGCGACGAGAATGCCGTCATCACAAGCATCTTATCACCCTCAGGTAGGGAAGTTAAGATTACAGGTGATGTCGACGACGCCATGAAACTCGCTCTAGAGTCGAAGGATGTTACCTTAACTCCTGAAGAAGATAGGAAGTTGGTTCGCAAGATAGACTTGTGCATGTTTCCATTAATGTCTCTACTTTATGCTGTACAATTTATGGACAAAGTATCCAATAGTAATGCAGCTATCATGGGGTTGAGAACTGATTTAAAAATGCATGGGGACCAGTATTCCTGGGTAGGCTCTGCATTTTACTTCGGTTACATGCTTGGCCTTTTTACCTTACCCCCATTGATGCAAAAAACTAAATATTTCATGAAATTCCTATGCACCATCATCATGATATGGGGGATGGTTCTTGCTGTTCAAGGTGCCCCAACAGTTAATTATGCTTCGTTCATATTTTTAAGATGTCTTTTGGGCTTTTTCGAAAGTGCTGTTACTCCAGCTTTTACGATTATAACAGCACAATATTGGAAAAAGGAGGAACAGTTTTTGAGAATTTGTATATGGTTTGGTTTTAATGGTTTAGGTGGTATGTGGGGATCTGCAATTGCGTATGGGTTGTATATTCACCAAGGGTCTTACACCATTTCTGAATGGCGATTGGTTTTTATTATTACAGGCTGTATCACCGTGTTCGTAGGCATGATGATGATGATCCATCTGCCAGACTCTCCCGACAAGGCATGGTTCTTGTCTAAAAAAGAAAAACTCCAACTAGTGGAGAGAATTAGAGGAAATCAACAAGGGTTTGGTAACCACCATATCAAGAAGCACCAAATATGGGAAGCTTTGAAAGATGTTCGTACTTGGTTGTACTTTTTGTACTCAGTCGCTGGTGATATTCCAAATGGAGGTATGACCAACTTCTCGTCAATTCTCTTAACAGATGATTTCAAGTTTGCAACGAAAGAATCTTTGTTAATTAATATCGGTGTTGCATCAGTTGAATGGGTCGGTTGTCCAGTGATTGGTTTGATCTCATATTACTGTTACAAAAAGAATGTAAAGTATTTGAACACAAGGTTAAGTTGGGCTTTCATTACTACTGCTGTTGTCTTGGTTGGTGTATGCTGTCTTGCGTTTGCCAAGCACAACAAGCACGCACGCTTGTTTGGTCTTTGTATTTTCAGTATCTCACCTATTCCCTTTATCTGTGTTCTATCCAGTATATCGGCAAATACATTGGGTTACACTAAAAAATGGACAGTATCTTCAATTAACTTGCTTGCCTATGCTGCTGCAAATATTGCTGGTCCACATACTTTCATCGACACCCAAGCGCCCGATTACAATGGGGCTAAAGTTGCAATGGTTGTATGTTACGCTGCAGCACTAGTGATAATTGCTCTCTTATATCTGGTTAATGTGAGAGAGAATAATAAAAGGGACAAAATCGCCGCTGAAAGAGGAGATGAGTCTCTCATGGAGAACATTGAGTTTGCCGACTTGACTGATTTTGAGAATCCCAAGTTTAGATATGTATTATAGCCACTTGACGTGGTTATATGGTGAAAGGGACATTTATATAATTGATTATTTGTCTGTATCTTTTTCACTAAGAGCTTCACTTATGTTTTAATCGAACGGCTATGGGGAAATCAATTGAATTTTGTGGTTTATATGTGAGATGTTAACTCTACTCTAGAATTGTGCAGGTGTACTCGACTTCGTTTTCAAGATGCGAGCTTACTCCTTCACATTGATAAGCAGACTTACGAGAATTTTAAGTTTTGAAAGACAGTTGGAAGACTTCAATGCTCTTTATATACAAGACTCAAACATCGATGCTCCTATTTAATTTTCCTTAAAAACCTTACAGCATTTTTGCTGAATACATACGAGAACCCACTTAGGACCGTGGTGGCACCTACTAAATATCCCATCCATCTAAATGACTCGTGAAAGGGGCTCTGAGATTCTTTCTCATCTTGTTCCTCGCCAGTAGATTTTATTAAAAGAAAGCCGAAACCCCACCCTAGGTAGACCATTTGGAGAAAAGTGTTCCATTTTGATATGCGAGTAGGTCTAACTTCTGCACTAGGATAGTGAAAAAAATCCCAGAATGTGCTCCATGTTACTCTTCCGTACGCGTGCTTCATGGAGGTAAATCGAAAATATACGGCACTGAGGGCTAGTAAAAAATCTCTGCCAATAATCAATCCCGCCAGTAAAGGTGGAATCACTTGCGGGCCACCTGGATATGAAAGCGAAGCAGTTGTAACTAACATCAGAAGTTTGTCTGCCATAGGATCTAAAATTGTTCCCGCTACTGATTTCATTTTGAATGTTCTCGCTAGGTAACCGTCAAGAAAATCTGTTACGCATGAGTAGGTGAACAAGCAAAGTGCCGGGGTAACATTATTTGATATGATATAGTGACCGATAAGTGGAGCGACTGCTATTCGCGTCATGGTAAGCATATTGGGAATTGTGTACACCGATGACAGAACTGTGGAGTTTCCACCCCTAGGAGTTTGAGTAGCATAGTAACGGGTTAAAAAAGTCGCAGGTCTAAGTAAACAATTCGGATTAAGAAGAGTGGCGGCCTTTAACGGTACTATGACTACCTTCATCGGATAAATAAATATGTAAGTGTACAAAATTTTGGTGAAGCCAATACCGATCCATTTCAATGTCTTTTTTTCGTGTTTAATGCTATGATATTCAAGCTATTACGAAGCCAACGAAGAGGATTGACCATGTTACCCGTTTGGCTGAAAATATCAAACAATTTACCACCACAGTTACTTTCCTGTTTAGACACTACTGAGTAATCAAATCGTTCCTTGGAGTACTAATATCACTGACCTTTTTCTCGAGCTTTTCTACCAATCACGGTTCGAACTCTCTTTCTAAAATGAATGTGCTAGTTTACAATGGTCCGGGAACATCTCCTGATTCTGTGAAACATGCTTTAGAAACTCTACGCCATTTACTAGAGCCACATTATGCGGTCAGCACTACATCACCAAAAGTTCTTCAAACGGAACCCTGGGCTAGTAAAACATCAGCGATAGTATTTCCTGGTGGGGCTGATTTACCATACACGAAAGAATGTGCCTCTGTCTTACCACTGATCAAGAGATTTGTGTCTAGGAACGGAGGAAGTTTTATCGGGTTTTGCGCAGGTGGTTACTTTGCTACTAATAGGGTTGAATTCGCGTCTGGAGACCCGGAACTTGAAGTGATCGGAGATAGGGCTTTGAAATTCTTTCCAGGGACTGGTCGAGGACCAGCTTTTGGTGGATTCAAGTATAACAGCGAAGCTGGAGCCAGGGCAGCCAAGTTAAAGTTAGCAGATGGCACAGAATTTTGCACCTACTACAATGGCGGTTGTGTATTTGCTGATGCCAATAAGTACGAAAATGTTGAGGTGCTGGCCCATTATTCAGACGAGGTTGATGTGGTGCACTCTGAAAATCCCACAGACTTAGGCGCTGCCGTTGTTCTATGCAAAGTTGGCGAGGGCAAAGCATTATTGACTGGGCCTCATCCAGAATTTGTGCCACGACTTCTTCAAAAGTCATCTAACCATGAATATAATAACAAAATCGTCGAGACTTTGAGGAAATATGAAGTTGAACGATTGACTTTTATGGGAAATGCCTTAAGCAGATTAGGTCTTCGTTGTAATGAGAATTACCTGTCAGCAGCTGTGCCTAAACTGACGCCTTTGTTAGTGTCATATCTTGGTGAGCAAGATTCCACTAATGAACTCGAAGAAAGGTTTCTAAACGGAGGTGCAAGCGATGCACATGATCATATCATCTTGCAAGCAGAAAAGGTGGCGTTCAACGTTTTTAAGGGATTTAATTCTTATGATAAAGCAGCTGCCATCCTTGAAAATAAAGAGCCCGAGGATTTCGTTCAAAGCGTAATACTTCCATCGCAAAATCAGCGAATTCCTCCTAATGATATGACGCCGAACTTTGACGTTTCAAAGTACTATCAATACTTGAATCCAAAAAACTCTGTTGGTTCAATTTTAATGTATGGAGAAGTTGTGACTTCCACGAGCGGATTACTTAACTCTAATAAAAGCTTTCTTTCGAGTTTCCCAGAAAATTCTCTTCTTCACGTTGCCGCTGTTCAAGTCTCGGGACATGGTCGAGGAGGAAATGTTTGGGTAAATCCAAAAGGTGTATCTGCATCTACAGCATGTATTAATTTGCCTCTTCAATCATCACGAACTGGAAAACCTTTGTCTGTTGTATTCGTCCAGTATTTGGCAATGTTAGCATATTGTCAGGCTATCTTAAATTATTCGCCGGGCTATGAAGATTTGCCGGTAAGAATTAAATGGCCAAATGATCTGTATGCTATGAAGCCCGAATATTACCATAAGAAAAAATTGAAGCTAGTGGGAAAAGGTTCATATGACAATCTAGTGCCATTAAATGATATTGATCCAGCTTACGTCAAAATTTCAGGTTTACTGGTGAATACCAACTTCATTAATAATAAATACTCCTTGCTTCTCGGATGCGGCCTTAATGTTAGCCACGACGGGCCAACTACATCTTTGAAGACTTGGATAGAACTTTTGAATAAGGAACGAGAGCAGCTTAATATGGAGCTTTTGCCCTACGTCGAGGTTGAGAAATTACAGGCCCTATACATGAACCATTTAGATATCATTCTCAAGAAATTTGTTGATTATGGTGCGGAGTCAATCTTACCCGAATACTATAAACTATGGTTGCATACCGGACAAATAGTGACACTCACAGATCATCAAAATGTGCGAGCGAAAATTTCAGGGATCACTAAAGATTATGGACTCTTGATTGCAAAAGAGCTTATATCCGGTACTAACACCCAATTCACTGGAACAACCTTTCATCTCCAACCTGACGGAAACACTTTTGATATATTCAGGGGGTTGATATCCAAGAAGGCTAGTTGAGCTTCTCTAGAATGATCTATTTGTGTGTTTAAATCTTATGGTGGAAAAAAAGCATTGATATCTTTAACTTACATATGTACGTGCGAAAATGGTACAGAACTTCTTGAAAAAACTAATTTGCTCCGTAAGATCTATTTCCAAGAAAATAATACAATAAACAGTATCCAGAAAATCCTGTTAATGGCCTGTTTATTTTGACTTGTCTTCTTCACCGTCCTTCTTAGGGGAGCTTGGTGAGTATGAAGGGGAGCCAGGACTGTAGCTGGGAGATGTAGGTGAGTATGATGGTGAAGTAGGCGAATAGTTTGGTGAAGTTGGTGAATAGGATGGCGAAGTAGGGCTATAGCTAGGCGATGTTGGAGAATAAGAGGGTGAGGTTGGACTATAGCTGGGTGAGGTGGGAGAATAGGATGGGGAAGTAGGACTATAGCTTGGTGAAGTTGGGCTGTAGCTTGGTGAAGTAGGGCTATAACTTGGCGAAGTTGGTGAGTAGGATGGCGATGTGGGTGAATAAGCAGGTGATGTGGGTGAGTAGGATGGAGAGGTAGGAGAATATGAGGGTGAAGTAGGAGAATAGCTGGGGGATGTAGGTGAATATGATGGTGATGTCGGACTGTAGCTTGGTGAGGTGGGGGAATATGATGGTGATGTTGGGCTATAGCTTGGTGACGTAGGACTATAGCTGGGCGAAGTGGGGGAGTAGGATGGCGACGTAGGACTGTAGCTTGGTGATGTAGGTGAATAAGCCGGAGATGTTGGAGAAAAACCGGGAGAAGATACGCCACCAAAACCTGGTGACGTTGGGCCATCTCCATAGCCGCTAAATGGGGATGTAGTGCTGCCGTAGTCAGCACCGCCATAGGCAGTGAATCCTCCTGACATAGCGTCCGAAGACCCTGAATCCGCTAATGGCGAGAACATTAATTCATCTTTGACATCAATCTCTGTGTTGACAAGTCCATTTTCATTACTGAATGGAGTGCTGCCTCCTTCCTGGCCATCAGCTACTTCGCTTACCTTCTGCTCTGGCATGAACTTAATTAACGATTCCTCGTCGATCATAACATCGAAAGCACCGGTACCGATCGGAGCCATTTGACCTAAAAGCACATTTTCTGAGACACCACGGCAATCATCCAATTCTGCAGATGCACCTGCTTCGAAAAGAATCTCTACAGTTTCCTCAAATGAACATCTCATTAATGCACCCGTGTCGGATCTATTGAAACCATGACGAGTCACAGACATCAAGAATCCTTGAGAAGTCATGACATCAACCAACAAAGCCATATGACGGTAGTTCACATACGAACCATCTGATGCAATGACATTGTAGACTTCCTTGTACAAAGCAGCACGGCCTGCTTCAATACCTAGGACATTCATAATATCTATGAAGGAGTTGGTGTAAATTCTAGAAGAATCTACACCTGGAACGGTCATGACCTCCGCCAAGTTAACACCATCTGTTTCCAAAACCCATTCTGGAACCTTGTGGTACTCACCAGTTGGACTAGGTACTTTACGATCATATTTCATCATAACAACACGCGTAATGTCCTCAACACCACGCAAGGTGATACTTTCAAGCATGGTGTTTTCTATTCTTTTCAGCATGTGATCCTCTTCTGCCTCAGCCTCCGCATCCAAAGTTTTTGGATCACGAACAACTCGGCAACGGATGATCAGCTTTTCAGCGTTGTCTTCAGACCATATGACAAACAAGTCGTTTTTAAAGGTTTCCTTAATCTTTTCACCAACTTGTCCCATAGTCAAGTCCTTATCATTCATCGCTGCACGGTCCAATTCGAGACGCAATAGCCATGGGGATTGATGATCTAGCGATTGCTCAGTTTCCTCATCCATCAATGAGAAATGAAGCTGGATAATTTCTTCATCCTCGTCGATAACTGTTGAGCGAGGGTCAGGATCATAATAAATCTCAGAAGCAACCGTGACACTCTTTAGAGTTGTGTGCTCAATGGCAGATCTAATTAACTTTGCTTTTTCTTGGTCGGCTGCATGATTCTGGTCTAAGTATACCGTCAATGATGGTGTTTTCATGTTTTTAGCTACATTCAAAATCTCCTTCAAACGTGGAACACCTGAAGTCACCTTCTTGGAGGCGACACCTGCAAAGTGGAAGGTGTTCAAAGTCATTTGAGTGGCTGGTTCTCCGATAGATTGAGCAGCTAGAACACCAACCATTTCACCTGGGTGTACAATGGACCTCAAAAACTGTGCTTCAATGTTGCTCAACACCCAGTCAAACGTTTGCTTAGTTAATTTGTATTCTTGAATGACTCTTCTGGTAGCCAGACGAGAGCGTAACAAACAACAGAACAAAGTAATAGCATTCCTTTGCGCTTCTTGTATGATCTCACTCTTCCCACGAAGAACTAGTAACTTTTCTTCCAATTCCCTAACACCGTAGACAACATCGCGAATGGTCAAATCAGTGGGTTTTGTGTGATCAATTCTGAAGGTCTGTTGAGCGTTCTGAACTATACGCCTAATGTTTACAGGTAATGGCCAATTTTGTTCACCGTCCACAAATATCTTTCTCAAGAACTTTCTATCCTCGACTAATTGCTTGTATTCTTCATCAAGGATAGCCTGTAGTTTCAAATCCCCAATAATTTCAGAGCCGGATTCCAAAAGTGAAGGATCAAGTGCATGATTTGGATTTAGTAGATCGATCCTGTACCGCTTTTCAAAGGCGGCATCAGATGACGCTATGCTATCTATTGATTGCTTTTCAATGTGGGCAGCATCCATTCCATCTTCACCATAGATAAATTGAATAATGTTACCCAAAGAATTTCTTGTTGTACCATCATAATGTACCATGATATCCTCTAGAGCTTTCACCAAACGACGTTGGATGTATCCGGTTTCTGCGGTTTTCACTGCTGTATCAATCAAACCCTCACGTCCACCCATCGCGTGGAAAAAAAATTCCTGAGGTGTTAAGCCTCTCAAATAGGAGTTCTCAACAAAACCTTTGGATTCTGGAGAATAATCATCCTTGGAGAAATGAGGAAGGGTTCTGTCTGCAAATCCGAAGGCGATACGCTTACCTTCTACAGATTGCTGGCCCACACAGGCAGACATTTGGGCAATATTAATAAATGAACCTTTCGAACCGGCACTTACCATCTGTTTGACGTTATTCAAATCTTTCAAATTTACTTCTGCGGACCTTCCTGCCTTGTCTCTTGCTTCATTCAAATAACGAACGACATTATCTTCAAACGACTCACGCAAAGTCATACCATGTTTAGCCGTCAATAAATTAGCTTGAGCCTCTTTTGTGACCTCTTCGACCTTCTTTTTGGCAATCATAATAGCTTCGGTAATCTCCCGCATAGTTTTTTCGTCAGCGATTGTATCACCAATACCAATCGAAAAACCGTTATGTAATAGCCAAAAGTTGACAACCTTTTGAATATTGCCAAATAGCCTTGCACATATCTTTGGACCCTTTTCTCTGGTAACAACATGGATAAGACCGCCACTAGATGAACCTACCGTCTTCTTGTCTACGACACCAAATATAATTTGACCGTCAATGATCAACATACCATTGTCTTTTGGTGACAGTAGAGTCGTTCCTTCATCAAATCTTTGCAAATGAATACCGCTTGGAATGGCGATCGACAGAATTTGTTTACCGGACCAAAGAGGTTTTGGTTTCAATATAGTGGGCACAGGAATTACACCATCCCAGTCTGGGATCCAATAAAGCATGTTCAGTACCTGATCAAGTTCAATGAATGTGTCCCTTAAAGTCATCTTACGGATACCACACAAAGTATCTTGCACGATACCCATACAAGGTTTGTTTGATTGCGCCGAAACAATCTGTTGTGGAACCGCACAAAGTTGAGACAATTCTGCTCTAGTTTCTTCGGATTGAGGAACATGCAAGTTCATTTCATCACCATCGAAATCGGCATTATATGGTGAAGTGACTGAAAGGTTCAATCTAAAAGTTGAATAAGGCATTACCTTCACTCTGTGGGCCATCATAGACATTTTGTGCAGAGAAGGCTGACGGTTGAACAAAACAGGATCATCATCTATAATATGACGTTCGACCTTCCAACCATACTGAAGTTGAATGTCACCTGCCCTTTTGCTATATCTGAGGTCAATTCTATCACCATTATCACGGATGACATACTTAGCACCAGGATGCTCGTTCGGACCATTACGAACCAGTTGTGTCAAACGATCAATATTATAAGGCGTGACAACCTCTGGATAAGTCAAAGTTCTTGCAATAGACTTAGGAACACCGACTTGATCCAAATCCAAGTTTGGGTCACCGGAAATAACAGTACGTGCTGAGAAATCGACACGTTTCCCCATCAAATTACCTCTAATACGACCTTCTTTACCCTTCAAACGAGCACGAATGGACTTGATAGGACGACCAGATTTCTGCAGAGCTTGAGGTTGACCTGCAATATCGTTATCCATATAAGTTGCAACATGAAACTGAAGCAATGACTCTGATTCTTGAATGACGTGTTGGGGGGAACCATTTATTTCAAGCCTTTGCACATTAATATTAGCTTTTAGTATATCACCCAGTTTATATGTCAAATCATCCTCACCTCTCTGTGTTTCATTAAAAGAAATAGATGGACGAACAGGTGGCGGTGGAACGGGAAGGACGGTTAAAATCATCCATTCGGGACGAGAGAAATCTTCGTTAAATCCTAACCGCACTGAATCTTCCGGTGAAATGTGCTTGAAAACATTAAGAACTTCATCAGCTGAAATAATACGTTTTTCTGGCTGATCAGTATCATCAGCTCCTTTTTCCTTTTTCCAAGTACCAACAAGTGACAAACCGTCTTTTCGAATGCTTGGCTGCGTGTTACCGCATCCACCTCTTGAAACGTACTGTGTGGGGTCATCAGCAGAGGGAACTTCGGTTTCGCAGACCATTTTAGTTTTCGCCAATGACCATACAGCATTGAATCTTCTTTTAGGATCTTTTATTTTTATCGCTTGCTTCATCAACTCGTTGTGCTCATCAAGTAGAAGTTTACCACAATGCATGCAAACACACTCACAAACTTTCTTAATCTTGGAAATAAACCCAATATGAAAAACTGGCTTGGCTAGTTCGATATGGCCAAAATGACCGGGACAGTCATTCATGCCTTCACCACATGTTTGACATTTAAAGCTACGGTCAATGGACCCTAATCTAGGATCATTAAGACCGCCCACCTTGGCTCGCATTTGTGTTTCATCCATTGTCTCAGGAAACTCAATCTTTGCTACACTTATTGCCCGTACTTCTTCAGGAGAAAAGAGACCGAATTGGACTTCTTTGACAGTACGCAACGGCGCACTTGAATAGGGAAAATCAACCATTATCTATTTTAAATTTTTTTGAACTTTAACGACTCAATATTCTTTCCAACTGAGCAACGAATTTGAAGATTTGAAATCTTTTAATTAACGGACTGATTGAAAAATTTGTAACAAATGAATTTAGTAGTGAGATGAAAGAGATGTGTATCAAATACTACACTACTAGGATGCAAAGGAACAATGAAACAAATGTATCTGTAAACAGAATTGTTATACCTTAATAAACTGAGCTGAGATGCAAAGCTATATCAGGAGACCACACAAGCTCACTCCAGTCTTCAGTATCCTCTTCACTAAAGATCTCAGACTATTAAAAGACTTTTTGGATCTTCAGAAGGCTATTCTCACGAATAAATAGCGATAATAGGTTCTTGGGTTTTCGAATTCTGGTTTTCTCACGAAAGTCCAGGGATTGTTGTGAATGCTAACTTGATGTTGTTGAACAACAAATTCTTCGGAAAATCTCAAACGGGTAAAACCAAGATATTAGCCAACTATATCGAGTGAATGAAACAGGGTATAGGTCTAAAGTGGGATAGGTGCCTAATTCCGTGGTGCGAAGTGTGCGATACTCTTCTACAAGCTGCTATGAAGTCACTATCTCCTTTTTTCGTTTCACGTATGTTTTTGCCACCCTCCGAAAAATTTTCAAAATTCGCAACTACATAGAGTAGGGTAACTATTATACTCCAGCTACATATACACAATTTAATTGGGAAAATAGCTCCGAACTATTGCACGTCTTTGTTCCATTAGACCCTACTTATATGAACTGTTCTTTTAGTTAAACATTTTGGATAATGATTTCTTCTGTTTTCCGATGTTTTGCTTTTTCAATCTTTTAGCGTCGTCTATGGCCTTCAAAATACCGGCATCATTCTGTTGATACGTAGTAGCAAATTCTAGATCAGTCAATGCCATCTCCGGATCATTCATATGGTAGTATGCAAGACCTCTCCTATAAAGCGCTTTCGCTTTAGATTTGTCATCAGCCTTCTCAGAATGCAACACTTCGGTAGAAGCTGCCAATACTTTTTGATAGCTTTTGGTTCTTAGAGCAGACAATGCGATGTTGAGATTGATAGCAACCTTCAAGTCTTCAACTTGAGCAGTTTGTTGATCGCTTAAATCTTCTGGAAAGTATTGTTTCAAAAATCCAGAGCTTTTTTCATATTTAGATAGGGCAGCTTCATAATTCTTAGCCTTGAACTGTTCGGTACCAATTTCTTTCACAGCGTGAATGGCCTTCAAGACGCTCTCAAAGTTGTTGAGATCAACCTTGTCGTCGTCAGCCAGAGAGTCTTCGTAATTATCACCATATTGATCGGTAGGAGTCTTTTCTGCATCTTCAGGAACTATATAGTCATCAGGCAAGACGCCGCAATCCACTATCTTGACGTCTTCAATTGGTTTATCATTTGAATCAGTAGGCTGGTTTTCAATGGAGCGGACAATTCTCTTTCCTTGAATCACCTCACCAAATACAACGTGCTTTCCGTCCAAATGTGGAGTTGGAGCACAAGTTATGAACGCCTGAGAACCATTGGTATTAGGTCCTGCATTAGCCATGGATAGTAAGAAAGGCTTGTCGTGCTTTATATTGAAGTTCTCGTCCTCGAACTTCTCCCCATATATAGACTCCCCTCCCGTACCGTTGAAGTTCGTAAAATCACCAAACTGGCACATGAAGCTCTTGATAACACGGTGAAAAAGAGATCCCTTATAGCTCAATGGAATTTCCGGCCTTGTCTTACAAAATCCGGAGTTACCTTCACAGAGCTTCAAAAAGTTCTCTGATGTTTTAGGTACCACATCATTGAATAGCTCAAAAACGATACGTCCTTTTGGAACTGAACCAATTGAAATATCAAAGTAAACCTTGGACCTAGTCATGCTTTCTATTCAAGCTCTTTAATTTAGCCACAGTATCTTAAAGAAATTACCAACAATGATTTTTGGTTCTATCATTGGATATAAATAATTTTCAAGATTTAGTGGAAAGTGCTAGAAATTTCGCCATTATTTTTTTCTCAAATAGCCCGTAGTACTAGCGATCGGAAGTCGGCGCATCTTTCTGTAGGACCTTTAGTTTTTCGTAAAGTTCTCGTTGGTTTCCGCTGCTTCGCGCATCGCTTCCATCGCTATCATCACTCTCAACAACTTCTTGGTCATCTAAACTAGCTTGGTCGTCCTGTTCATAATTCCAAACGTTATCTTCAGTATTGTCGACGTCTAAGAGATCACTGAGCACGCTGACATACTTGGCATTATCTGATCCATGCGTGGACAGATTCCGTATGTGGCCATTGTCTTCGATGATTTCTCCGGTCGTAAGATCGACAACGTCACCTTGATCAATATTAGACTCATATTTTTCGATGATTTTTGACCATACCCGCTTCATATTCTCATCAGCCATACGATGCCGTTCCATTACTTCATCATCACTTAATTTAGGGATGAGTTGGCGCTCCTTCGACAATACGTAGATTATTCCGTTGCGTTGGGCCTCCACCTCTCGCTCATGCACTTCGTCCTTGCTGGGATCTTCTGTGCACTGTGATTCATTTTTACATGTTGATTTAGTAGTTGGATGTCCCGAATACTGTTCTTGATTGAGCAATCCCTTCAATGCCCCCCTCAATGTCCTCAAAGTCTTCTTTCGGGCCTCCCTCTTGACAACTTTGCCCATGCTCGTTAAGTCACGTTTTTGACTGAATGAAATGTGCTAAAAACGAACTTTGCGTTCTTCGTTTTGATCTACACACACGAACGGTATATACAGTGTTACCTAAACTCATCTGTCTACTGTGCCAACCCGTTCTCTATTTCCCTTGGACTCCCAACATTTCTTGAATAGTGCCATCTCATTAAGACACTGTCTCCAGTCATTAGTATCTGCGTGACAAAGTTGGAGGGCCATATTTTCTACGTAGCAACCGGTTTTATCTATTCTTGTATCCCAGTCATCTTCTTCTTCCTCTTTTGAAAGTTCTTGATACTCTTCTAATGCCTGTTGATAGTAACTTGAGCTTGGAGCTTTGTCATCCATTTCAGCTGTGGTTTAATAGTTGTTCTGATTATTATACTCTTGTAGCACGTTGTTCTTACCTAACTTTATGCTTTGGAGTTTAGTCGTACATCACTATAAGCGACCAGAACCCTTCTAGATCTAGCGTTCATGAAAGCTCAAATTTAAACTTCGCACCTTTCTACCTCCGTTTAGTGTATACTCTCTCTCACTGCCGATATCAGTCATTGATCTATCGTTGTAAATTGTGGAATACTCCTCAATGCTTTCAAAGCTTATTTCTTGCCAAGACATGCTTGCGAATAAAAACTGGGCTTCAAGATTACACATCTGCATTGATTCGATGCATAAGTTTCTACTAGTAAAGATCGAGTAGATGGATTTTAAAATACATTATGAACATCTTAAGAATAATGGGGAAAGCTGATAAGGTTTTCCACGTTTGCTCATATCTTTATCATTGTCTTGCCGCGTGGCTTTTTTTTGTTATTTTCTAATAGTACGTTTTTCGTAGACAGATTTCGGTTAATTTGTCTGATTATATTTGAAAGATGTATGAATCATCTTTTTTGTTACAAACATATAATACACTAGGTATAATTTTTTTGAAAAAGTAAATCGTTTTCATGATTATCTGTTAGAACGCCGAAGTGACTAAATTGTAATAATAAATTAGAACGGATCGCACGACATTAACGAGTAAGTGTATGTCTATACTAAATAATATTCCTCATAAATCTTCATATCGTATTAGACGACTAAATTCTTTCATCGCTCACTCTCGAAAAAAAAAGCGGTGAGGGTGGCGAAAACAAACACCGTGTGCTCCATACCCCTTTTACAAGTATCTTTGGACAATAGAGAGTAATAGCTGAGGCAATTGAACTATGGTCAAGCTTGCCGAGTATCCTCGTACAGCTACGTTTGCCTGGTCACACGAGAAAGTTCCATTGCTCGCCACTGGGACAGCCGCGGGAACTATCGATGCTGATTTCTCAAGCGATTCGAAACTGGAATTATGGTCGTTGCTATCCCCAAACCCCACGGAACCATTGGGCACTATCACCGCAGATGCTAAATTCAATGACCTGGATTGGTCTTACGACAACAATATCTTAGCTGGTGCACTTGACAATGGCGCAGTGGAATTTTTTTCTCCAAAGGACTACAATTCAGTCGCAAAAATCACCAAGCATACGATGCCCGTGAATACTTTGCGATTCAATGCCAAGCAAGCTAATGTGTTGTGCTCCGGTGGCAGTAATGGAGAGTTGTATATTTGGGACACAAACAAGATTACTACTCCTGGCTATGTTCCATTCGTACCGGGGACGGCTATGACACCAATCGATGACATTTATTCTTTGGCGTGGAATCAGAACCAGTCACACGTTTTCGCATCTGCAGGAGCCTCCGGATTTGCATCCATATGGGATCTCAAGGCAAAGAAGGAAGTCATTCACTTGAGTTACACATCACCAGTGACAGGATTAAAAAATCAACTTTCGGTTGTGGAGTGGCATCCAAATAATTCCACGAAAATTGCAACTGGTAGTGGATTTGACAATGATCCCGTGATTCTCATCTGGGATTTGAGAAATGCAAATGCCCCCCAACAAGTGTTATCAAATGGTCACACCAAGGGAATTTTGTCTTTAGATTGGTGTAGACAAGATGAAAAGTTGATGTTATCCAGTGGTCGCGACAACACTTGCATGCTTTGGAATCCCGAGCAAGGCCAGAACTTGATTCAGTTTCCAACTCGGGGCAATTGGTGTTTTAAGACAAAATTTGCGCCAGAGGCCCCAGACTTGTTTGCCTCTGCTTCTTTCGACAACAAAATTGAAATTCAAACTTTACAGAATTTAACAACAAATCTAGACCTCGAAGAAGATGTTCACAAACAGCGGGAGTCAGAAACAGAGTTTTGGACTCATGTATCAGAAAAGGATTCCAACGAAAAGCCGATCGTTAACAAGCTTCAAGCTCCGTCATGGTACGGTAATAAGTCTCCAGCAGCTCAATGGGCTTTTGGAGGCAAATTGGTTTCAATTACAGGGGGTGGTAAAGACGTAACGATATCAAAACCTTCGATTCCAGGTATTGAGAAGAATTTTATGTTAGATGACGCGCTTAAATCCAAAGACTTTAAGCCAATCATCAACAAACGTTTGGCTCAAAGCATTGATGATGTGAACGAAGATGACTGGAATTTATTAGAGAAGTTATCTATGGATGGAAAGCAAGCTTTCTTGGAGGAAGCATTTGCATTAGATGATGAGGAAACGGAAAAGAAGAATGATGATGACGGTGATGACTTTTTCAGCAGTTTGAATGAAAAGTGCGTGCCAGAAGGTCCTTTCCGTCTTGAGACTGATGAAAAGTCAGTAGCAATGATGAAAAGTTTATTTGAACGTGATTTCAAATCCTCTGTCACTTCTTGCTTGGAGCAGGACCTACTTCTAGAATCACTAGTGATTGCTCTAGATTCAGATGACGATACTTTGAAACAAAAAGTCAAAAATGCCTACTTTTCTAAGTACGTCAAGGGTTCTTCGCTAGCTAGGGTACTTTACTCCTTTTCAGAAAGAAATGTGGAAGACTTAGTGAAGAATCTTGAAGTCGATCAATGGAAGTTTACTGCAAAAGCCATTTTTACTTATACTTCGGATTTGTCAAAGAGGAACGAACTTTTGGTAGAGTTGGGTGACAAGGTTCTTGCTTCGGATAATAGGCAAGATGCGCTAGTGTTGTATTTGGCTGCCCATTCCCTTGATAAGGTCGCTTCGATTTGGTTGAAAGACTTCATGTCACTCGAAAGTAAATTGAAATCCAAAAAAGAGACGGTCTATGAAGCTCATTTGGAGTGCTTGACTGAATTTGTCGAAAAGTTCACTGTCTTTTCAAGTTACGCAAATGATGGAGGTGATTATTCCTTGACAAATGAAGAATTGATTTCAAAATTCCTTGAGTTTGTAAACTTGACATCAGCAAGTGGGGATTTCGATCTTGCGCTTGAATTTTTGGATACTCTACCAAGTGGAAACGAAGATGTAGCAACGGAGAAGCAACGTGTTTTGATAGCATCTAATAAGTTGCCATCCTCAACTTCAAAGTCTAAGAACGCAAGATACGCAACCGCTACCGCAAATTTGTCCACTCCAGGTGCAACTAGCGTCCCAACAATGCCACCTACCGGTATTTTACCACCACAGGGCCCTGCCGTATCGACTTATTCACCAGCTTCGCCATTCAGTCAACCAGCCGCACTAAATTCACGTAATGCTTCGTTCGCTGCAACCACTTCGAGTTCAATCAAACAAAACCCATATGCGCCCCCAGCATCTCAGATTTCAAGTATCCCCAGCAAGTACGCACCAGCCGCGAACTTGTCGCAAGCCCCAGCACCTTCCTTTGCTCCACCGGCTAATAATATGCCTGCTAACCCTTATGCTCCTGCCTCCACAAGAGCTTCTGCAGCACCTGTCAATAGTTCATATGTCGCCCCACCGCCTCAAACGTTTGGTGCTTCTCCAATACCTGTTGCCAGTGTAATTCCTGCAACTGCAGCACACTTAAATGATCCCGATGCGTTTTTGCCACCTATATCTCCAAGCACATCTGGTCAAACTCCTCATTTGAATAGAAAAGCAAACGACGGGTGGAACGATTTACCACTTGATGTCAAAGAAAAGCCAACTCGTGCCAAGGCGGTGTCCGTTGCACCTGTTAGCGTGAATGTATCACCCAACCTTGCGTCAACAGCTAACTTACCACCTAATTCCACCTCTCTACCTCCTCCTCCTTTATCAAGAGTAACATCTGGTGCAAATATTGCAACTCCTTTGCCTCGTAAGGTCAGTGCTAAATCTTTTACACCTCCTGCCTCCATCACCTCACCTCCACAGCTCAATCCTTATGCTCCACCTACTAATAGTGCTGCTGCTCCCGCTCCAATGCCTACCAATCCGTATGCTCCCCCTACACAAAATCCATATGCGGCCTCCCAGCCAGTATCTGTGCCTCCCCCAGTCACTACTCCATATGGCATAGCATCGCCTGCCAATGGGACAGGCTACATCGCCCCACCAAAACCGGTAGTTGGCCCACCACCAAAAACGATGAATAGAAAGTCCCATGCATCCCATGAAGTCAATTCTGCGAACACTTTACTAGAGTCTGTACAGCATATTTCCGAAGCTCCCACTCCTCAACCGGTTCCAGCCGCCAGTACTTCCAATCTAACCAGCAGCTCGTCTGTACCACCGGCTGCTGTTGGTATTCCCGAGAGTCAACAGCCAATCGTTGATTTTCTAAGCAGTGAATTGGCTCGTGTAGCTCCTTTGATACCGCAAGAATATACAAAGCAGTTAAAGGACTGTAAAAAGAGGTTAAACATTTTATTTACTCATCTGGAAACACAAGATTTGTTGACTCAACCAACTGTTGATAAATTACATGAGATAGTTTCGTTAATGAAGGAGCACAGATACGAAGAGGCGATGAAAGTTCACGTGGACATTGCAACTAATCATGCCCAAGAAGCTGGGAACTGGCTAACCGGCGTGAAAAGGCTGATTGGAATCGCCGAAGTTACATCCAATTAGATCTCTGTTCACTGGTACATTGTATAATTACACACATAGTGAAAATCAATTATCTGCGGCTTCTATAAAAGATCTGAGGTCACGCCTTGTAGTTGTCCGGGCGTTCGGCTCATTTAGATATCATAATGTACGTTCCGGGTCCAGTATCATGTAGTTTTTAATCCGCTTCCCCGTGCAGTTTAACGGACAACTGAAGGTATTCCAATTCTACACTGGAGCCCACAGAATCAAGAGTTACTCAGAAGCAAACCAATATATAATAATAATACCCGAAGAAAGTTTCGGTTTTGAATTCAAGAGGACATAATACTATTTTTGCTACAAATTACCTGAACATTACAAATACTGGTTCCCTACCATAAATGACGTTCTAAAGCTCAACAATGCAAAAGGAAGAATCTGAACAGGAGGACCGAAGTGTTCTGGACAAAGTGATCAAAAACATAAGCAAGCAACTGTCAGTACGACGCTTGAAGCGCACATTTAAGGAACCAAACGGAAACGAGTCTGGATCACCTCAAGGTGGGTCTAGCGGCGCATTTGAGGAGGATGGACAGGTGTATCTGAACTTTTCTGATGTTGATTCTGCTCTATTCATGCAGCCGCCCCAACCACAATCTAGTTTGATGTCAATTTTAGTTGGTGCATTTGTTGCTGTTGGCGGATTTTTATATGGATACGATACAGGGCTCATCAACAATATAACGGAAATGAACTACGTCAAAAAGAATTTTGCGTCTAATCAAGATCAATTTACTGCCAAAGAGATGTCTATATTAGTATCTTTTTTATCATTGGGTACATTTTTTGGTGCCCTAGCCGCGCCATTCATATCGGACTCGTATGGTAGAAAAGCCACCGTTATCTTCAGCACGTTCTTCGTTTTTATGATTGGGAATACTTTACAAGTTGCGGCTCATAATACAACCTTATTGGTCGTCGGACGAGTTCTGTCTGGCGTTGGTGTGGGCTTTATCTCTGCCGTTGTTCCACTATATCAAGGTGAAGCCGCACAGAAATGGATTAGAGGTGCGATAATTTCGACATACCAATGGGCTATCACTTGGGGGCTACTAGTATCAAGCGCTGTATCTCAAGGCACTCATAACAGAGACAACGCATCATCATACAGAATACCGATTGGTCTCCAATACGTCTGGTCGTCTATTTTAGGTGTTGGCATGCTTTTTCTTCCCGAGAGTCCCCGTTATTACGTTCTCAAAGATAGGCTAGACCGAGCTGCAAAATCCCTGTCTTTTTTGAGAGGTGTACCCGAGTATGACTCTGCTCTTTTGGAAGAACTGGTTGAAATCAAAGCCAACTACGATTATGAGATGTCCTTTGGAAGTTTCTCATACTTAGATTGCTTCAAAGCAAGCAAAAGCCGTTCTAAGCAAAAGCTTAGAATGTTTACAGGAATTGCAATACAGGCATTTCAACAGTTTTCAGGGATAAACTTCATATTCTACTATGGCGTTAACTTCTTCAGCAAAACGGGTGTTAGTGAGAGCTATTTAGTGTCATTCATCACATATGCTGTGAATGTGGGGTTCAATATTCCTGGGCTATTTCTGGTCGAATACATGGGAAGGAGGAAAATTCTCATTGTAGGTGGCATTTTAATGACGATCTCAAATTTCATAATTGCTATCGTTGGTTGTCTGACAGATTCGGTTGTGGCGGATAAGGTTATGATTGCATTTATCTGTGTCTTTATTGCTGCCTTCTCTGCCACATGGGGTGGTTGCGTTTGGGTCATTTCCGCAGAACTTTATCCTTTGGGGGTTAGATCAAAATGCACAGCCATCTGTGCTGCTTCAAATTGGCTTGTAAATTTCATATGCGCTTTCATCACCCCTTATTTGGTTGACACGGGTTCGCACACTTCATCTTTGGGTACTAAAATCTTTTTCATCTGGGGTAGTTTGAATGCTACGGGAGTCATAATTGTTTACCTAACCGTTTATGAGACGAGAGGGTTAACTTTGGAAGAAATTGATCAACTATATAGACTTTCGCCCAACAGTATCTCATCCGACTCATGGAACAAGAAATTACGCGAATCGCCCGGGAATGTGTATATCGTGAAGGACAGTAATTTTCACTCAGAAAATGAGTCTGAAGTACATTCTAATGTATCCCATAGAGGTGCGGACTCTTCCAGCTCTGGGAACGATGGCCAACAATCTCAAGGGGAGAACGCTCTACAATCGAGCGTGGCCGATTCCAACTTCGAAGATTCCTCTCCATCGAAAGGAAACGACAGCCCAAGTCACAATTATGTTGATTTGGGAAATGGATTGGCGTTAGCAACCTACAAGAGAGGACCTCCCTCCTTACTCATGAACTCTAGTGACGACGAAGATGTCGAAGGCGGGTCCTTTCACTACGAGGGCGACAAAGACGATAATAGAAACAGTTTAAACGAGTACATGGCACAGTTGGTAAACAGCTCGAGTCATGGTAGCAGCAGTAATAAAAGTATTACTCATAAAAGCTTTCAAGCACTTTCTCTGAATGCCTACACCGGGGGAACACCAAATGTCGACAACTCAAGAAACACTAATGAACAAATGGAGGAAGAACAATTTCAAAGGGCAAAAGCATAAGCATCAAAAGAATTCAAGGATATGGACAATAGCGACAAATTCCTAGTTCTATTCAATGGGAGTTTTCGTAGGGTATAGTTTTAAAACGTCATGATCTTTATGTACGAATATATTATTCACAAAAGACCACTTTTCTTGTTGGCTCGTTAAGAACTGCGCTGGCCTTTAAATTACTTACAAACACCATTCCAATTTTCGATCTGATTCTTTCCAGAGCTGGTTTCACTGTCAATTTGTTGATATTTGAATTCGAAAGGTAAAACATGGATAAAATCCAGGAGCGGGTGTTAGAAGCAACAATTGCGGATACTGATGTGGGTCAAGGTAAGCAAGAACATATACCTCCTCCTACTAACAGCAAGAATAATCCAGCAAAACCATCATTATACAATATGACTGCTACGGCTGAGATAGCCATGCTGAAACCGTCCGGAAATGATGCGGTTGAGGCAAAAATGAAAACATCGAGCAGTACATGGGCTAAAAGTTCCAACAAATTGGAGTACCTCTTCTATAAAACACTGCTTACCATACTGTATATGATCTACGCGTGTGTTAGGTATGCGAAATACCAATACAATAGAACCAAAATCCAAATTTTGAACCTTGCTTATAGTCCGTCCAACACACCTCAACTCATCAGACAGGATGTCTTGAAATTTCAAAAACTTCCTAAGCGCCTAGCTACAATACTCGAATTCAAGTCTGAAGGAGATGTCGGTGGAGGTTTAGGTGGTCTTATCAACGATGGCAGTGAGCTAGTGACGTGGTCCATTTCCGCCGGTATAAAGCACTTAACCTTGTACGATTATGACGGTCACCTCAAAAAGAACGTAGACGAATTTAGAAAAGGAATCCACCATAAACTCTCGAAATATTACGGGCCATCAAATGTTCCAAAATTTGCTATAAGGATACCACAATGGAACAAGGTTTATTTCAACTTGCCGGGTACTGCGCCATCAGATCCTGATTCTAAGAAAGTCGCATTGGAAGTTTCTCTTTTATCCAATCGCGATGGTAGGGAGACAATTGTTGACCTTACCAAAACCATGGCTGATCTTTGCGTCAACAATGAGATGAAACTCAGTGATATTACCATGAAACTGGTAGACTCAGAGCTTACCCAACTAGTAGGTCCTGAGCCGGATCTCCTTCTATATTTTGGCCCGAGCTTAGATCTACAAGGATTCCCCCCATGGCATATACGTCTCACCGAGTTTTACTGGGAGGAGGACAATGACCAAGTGACTTATTCCGTTTTCATTAGGGGGTTGAAGAGCTATTCCACCTGTAAAATTAACGTTGGAAAATAGCGCTCTTTTTCTTCATTTGCTAAAAACTTGCTCGAACCTATTTAGCTTGCATTTTCATTTCAGTATGCATCTCCGTTACTGTCTACACTAATAAGCGTAACTAGCATTAATATTTTGTCGCTATTATTTATCATTTTACCGATCTTGCTACATTTTTTTCTTAACTGACGCTTATAAACTTCTCAATATTACCCTGTCTGAGCGCGTTGCTACCTTAATAAAAAAATAATAGGGAGCGCATTGCACCTTACACTCTCGAATCAGAACTTCACGCCAGGAACGGTAGCTCACATAGCATTATAAGTATGTCACGATACTTCTGCGTATTTGGTGATACTATGAAGATTAAGATTTACGCGCAATGAGTAGTTTGCTTTTCCCATTCGCGCCAAGTACCTTTTTATGTCGTCTAGTTCGCGTTTGTACTAACAAAAAAGATTAGAGACGAAATGGGGTTGTACATCTCAAAGCTATTTAACAGCCTTGTAGGCTCAAGAGAAATGCGTATCCTGATGGTTGGTCTTGACGGTGCTGGTAAGACCACTGTCTTGTACAAGTTGAAGCTGGGTGAAGTCGTGACTACGATCCCAACCATTGGTTTCAACGTCGAGACCGTCGAATACAAAAACATCTCCTTCACCGTCTGGGACGTTGGTGGACAAGACAAGATCAGACCTTTGTGGAGACACTACTTCAGAAATACCGAAGGTATCATTTTCGTTGTTGATTCTAACGACAGATCGCGTATTTCTGAAGCCAGAGAAGTCTTACAAAGAATGCTGAACGAAGACGAAATCAGAAACGCAGTTCTACTAGTTTTCGCCAACAAGCAGGATTTGCCAGAGGCCATGTCTGCTGCAGAGATCACAGAAAAGCTTGGTTTGCACTCTATCAGACAACGTCCATGGTTCATTCAAGCCACTTGTGCCACATCTGGTGAAGGTTTGTACGAAGGTTTGGAATGGCTAAGCAACAGCTTGAAGAACAATTCCTAAGACTGGACTCGCGCAGTATAACGCATCGGTTTTTTTCCACTTTAAGTATTTGGTTTGCTCTTGATGAGCAGAACATGTAACAAATTTACATTGATAACTTCGCTGTGTCTCGAAGGCTGGGCACATTGCAATACTGGCCGTTGCACTATATATAATTACTGCATTTCTATAAGCTGTTAATCAATTCACTGAGAGCACGCTCTTTCATGGGGACCATTGCTTTTGGTGCGTGTGTCTAACATTTCGGCTATAGCCTTTCAAAATACAATTAATCAATAGCTGTCAATGATCTCAAAGAAGTGTGCATAAATTTTTATGTTCTTTCGCGTTGTCCAATAGGTAGTCATTCCTGAAGTAGGCGTTACCCTCCTGATTCCGATTTATTTGATTTTGACGGAAGTTTGGGAAGGGAAAAATTTGACAAAACTTACTTTGTATCCAGATCCGGGATTTAGAGCCTAGCAATAAAACAAGGAAAAGAAGTATGTTGACAAATTAACTGGTTGCAGAGGGCTTGCAATGATATTTTCTGATAGCCAGAAAACTAGTGATGAGCTTGTCTTGTACTTGAAGTAACTCTGCTGTACTTTTTGATTATCGCTCAGACTTACGTGTCCCATTTGCAACCACGAAAACACCGAACATAAATGGCGTTTTCATCAAAATTGAGGCTATATATCTTTAACGAGATATCACCGCAGTGATAATGCCTATGAAATCATGAATTCTTAGGATCTTCGAGGTGTTGTCCATGGACAGCTTTGTTGTCTAGGTGCAAGTTTACTCAAATGTTTATTGCCACTAAAGGTGATCATGTGATGCGGATTAGCCTCAAGATACATAAGTTTGATGGCGTATTTTGCCACTAGCGAAATCAATGGGTTGGTGTTGAAGTTACGAGTCGAATGCTTACCTTATCGGATTTAGCCCCTATTTGAATATTATTTTTACTAACAATATTTTAGAGATGGGTGTTTCTTTCTCTAAGCTGTTTAGTAACCTTTTCGGTCACAAGGAGATGCGTATTTTGATGGTTGGTCTTGATGGTGCTGGTAAGACCACCGTCTTGTACAAGTTGAAGCTGGGTGAAGTCGTGACTACGATCCCAACCATTGGTTTCAACGTCGAGACCGTCGAATACAAGAACATCTCCTTCACCGTCTGGGACGTTGGTGGACAAGACAAGATCAGACCTTTGTGGAGACACTACTTCAGAAATACCGAAGGTATCATTTTCGTTGTTGATTCTAACGATAGATCGCGTATTTCTGAAGCAAGAGAAGTCTTGCAAAGAATGTTGAACGAAGACGAAATCAGAAATGCAGTTCTATTGGTTTTCGCCAACAAGCAGGATTTGCCAGAGGCCATGTCTGCTGCAGAGATCACAGAAAAGCTTGGTTTGCACTCTATCAGACAACGTCCATGGTTCATTCAAGCCACTTGTGCCACATCTGGTGAAGGTTTGTACGAAGGTTTGGAATGGCTAAGCAACAACTTGAAGAACCAATCCTGAACACAACATGGCATAACCTGCTAGTCTACTTGAAAATTAATAGTTGTGAACTATTGAAACCAACAGAAAGACGTGTCTGATTCATACTATCCTATGTACTTTTTAGTATCTTTCTGTGTTAACAATGGATGTAACGGTGAGTGAATCATAGATCTTAACTGCTTTTTACTACTCATCCTCTTCAAAGGAGCGTTTATGAGGGATTATCAAGCATTTCATTCTATATTATCTTGAAAGTCTCTTCAACATTTTCATGGTAGGGCTCAAATACAAATAGCGAATTTTTCTTAGGGCTCGGATTGAAAACGCCGACTGCTAATACAAGCACAGCCCATACATACGATTAAAAATGTATGGGTCTGAGTTTCAAGTTGCTCAGAAAATGGTGTACCACAAAAATTTTGAAAGTCATGGAAAAAAATACAATTTTCGAAGAAGTCGTGATTGTCTTGGTGGTACCGACTCGCTGCCACGGAGCGACTACCCATCCTCTGTAAAAGTAGATTACTGACATCGAATCGAACACTCAGTGGAAAGACAGAAGAACAATCGAAATGGTACGTATAATGTGGTGGAAACAAGTGGAATTTAAAGCTACGGAGATCTTTGATTCAATATGAGGGCTTAATGTGACAAATGGTTATTGTTAAGAGTATCACATATAATTATAGAAAACGGAAAGAGACTAAACAAGGCGATCTACTACCCCAAGAAAAACTGATAACTTAAGTGATTTATGGAGACTTTATGAATAGGAATGAGACCTTTTCTTATCAATGGTGGATCCGTAATGGTCTAAATTACTGACAAACAACCGGATATGAAGAGAAAGTGATATGAATGGCCTTCTATTATGCTCACACTATTAAATTGACATAGTTTATTCGTCTGCTCTAAATTGCCACCCCACTTGGAACTGGGAGCATTCAAATTCTAGAACTCTTACTAACTTTCTATTCAGGCCGGTATTAAGACTTACGAACTAAGAACCAAGTCCAAGGAGCAATTGGAATCCCAATTGCTAGGCTTGAAGAAGGAGTTGGCTGAATTGAAGGTCCAAAAGTTGTCTAGACCATCTTTGCCAAAGATCCACACTGTCAGAAAGGACATTGCCCGTGTCTTGACTGTCATCAACGAGAACCAAAGACAAGCCGTCAGAGAGTTGTACAAGGGTTCTAAGTACCAACCAAAGGACTTGAGAGCAAAGAAGACCAGAGCCTTGAGAAGAGCTTTGACCAAGTTCGAGGCTTCCAGAGTTACTGAGAAGCAAAGAAAGAAGCAAATCGCTTTCCCACAAAGAAAGTACGCTATCAAGGCTTAAATTTTGCATTTAAGGAACTTGTTAAATTAGTTTTTTAAATAATTGAATAAATTACTCTCTGTTGTAAGTGGATAGTGTAAGTGTACTATTGGTCTTCTTTATACGTGCCTACTGTAGCAATGTTACAGAAGAGGTAGACATTACGTAGTTTTAAAACGGCAACAAAAAATGATATGCCTGTGACTTTCTAGTCTTCAATTTTCCGTTGCTTCTTGGCGCTTTTATAGTCTTCAATTCTTTGTTTCAACTCCACGTTAGGAATAACGTCTTCCAGTTTTAAGGGCATTCTATTGAATGGATCAGTAGAATCACTCAGCAAATGTGCCTTGATCGTACTTCTGTCAATAGTTACCTTTGATGCTGGTAAGATCACCGGGTCTTTCATGATTGTGAACATAAGTGGATCCAAAAATTCGTCGGGAGCGTCTCCCATCTCCAAGTCTTCCTCCTCCTCGGCAATCCTTTGATCTTCGGCATCTCTTGCAAATTGCATTAGTTTACAACAGAATTCATCCGACGCAAGCCCAGTTCTTGTTCCTAAAATATGGATCGCTCTATCAAACATTGATTTATGAAAAGATCTACCATCTCTGGCTACTGCTGAAATAAATTCTGGTTCATCAGAGAGATTGATGTAAACAGTGCTCAAGTATTTCAACAGTGATTTTGGATCGAAAGAATATTTTTGCGGATCCTTGACCTTCAACTCGCCACATTTTGGCCCCACAAGTGACCCCAAATTGTAGTCCAGCATTCCTGCTAACCTGTCAACAATTTCTGGAGTCACAAATGCTCTTGGAATATCTTTTGTGAATATATCGAACAAAATTATCGATTTCTCAGCCAAACCACATGAAGATCTGGCCTGTCTCTCAGCTGCCACCAATTTTGACTGTAATTCTTGGTCGTTTTCTTCCCTACGCGGTTGCAAGCCCCTTGCCCTATTTTCCAGTTCATTCTGAATGTTATGCACTTCTGCCAAATTACTTAAGCCTTCGTCAAGTAGAAACGTCAGATCATTCAACATACGAGCCACAAACCTTACGAAAAAGTCGGCGTTATTATTTGCTTGCCAAATTATTTGGTTCCGATATTCAGGGATTTTGTAAACTTCTTCTAAAACAATCGAAATGCTGTATCTGCTATTAAACTTATCGTAAAATTGAGAAGACGACCCAGTTTTTTCAACTATGACGTAAAAGTCGAGTAATGCATAGAGAAGATGTGACCTGACCAGCTCATTATTTTCGAATACATCCATCATAAAACCCGGACTATCGTCACGCATAGGAAGTGCTCCTATACTCAAAACCTGAACTAGTTTTCCCTTCAAATGTGGGTTGGAAACCAGTTCAGGACACCTCAGAACAACAGTTGCTAATTCGATAAAAGAATGTAGACGGGTGTTTCTAAACAGTGGTGACATGACATATTTCGTAATGTACTGTGAATAATTGATGAGGCCTTCCAGAATATACTCTGGGTAATATTTGAAAGGAATAGGCGCGTTCTCCCTCAGATATTCGGCATTGTCTACATTTTCAACGCCAACTTGGTCCGGAATCAATGGCAATTTGATTTGCTTAAAAGGATACTCATGATTCGGGTCAATAACTCTTATTAAGAAAGTTGACGCGCCACTAACAAAGTCAAAGATCTCAAGTTGTAGTTCTCTATGGGAGAAAAACCCCTGCAGCGCTTGTTTCAAAGAACGCGTGATTTGTAGTGTTTTCTCCAGAGAAGGTAGTTGCATCGCCGCGAATCGTGCGAACATATCTTGAGATTGAGCAGCACGCTTGATCCTGTCAATTTCTTGCTTCATTCTTTTCAGTTGGGGTGTAATCTTCTCATCATAGAGAACAGTTCCACCAAGGCCGTAGTGGAGGTAAGTAAGGGTTAAGAAGAAGCAGTCAGAAATGAAATTTGGCCTGCAATCTTCAGACTTTTTATTCCTATCATAAAATTCGTCGGCTTCTTTAAAATCAGAATTCATGCGTGTCTCCTGGGATAAGTCAATGAATAGATTCAAATTGTTGAAATAGTTTACATCAATTTTGTCCAATTTGGTATAAGAGATATCGAGGAAAGGCTGGGAAAAGCGCACCAACAGTAATGTGATATTTGTGACAAACGCATTTGATGCTAGTTTATTAGAGTTAGCGTGATCACCTCTCCGTAAATGGTTTTTATTCACTATGTGAGCAAAGTATGTTAATAAACCATTTCTAGATTCAGCTGAACCACGAACGATTTTATCAATGATGAAAAACAGTCTTTCTAGAACAACCTTATGTTCTGCCTGCAGTGATTCATGAACCATATTTGTCTGTTGTTGCGTACGTTCCAAATTATCACCATAATTACGCAAAGCAACGTTAGGATTTAGAGGAGATAGGGTTAGAATAGGACCTAACAGTGTAGACTTCTCAAATTCGTTAGGCTTGATATCATGACTAGCAAAGAATCCATCAATTTGAGTGAATATTGCGGCGACTGGCTTATGAGAAACAAACATTTCAAAACACGTCAAAACACTAGTGTAGACGGAAGAATCATTCAAATCAAATAGTTTAAGCGAGGTAACATACAATCGTAATGATCCAAAAAAATTGTTCACAAATTCAAACAAAGAATCTTCTTTTATTGCCCTTAAAATCAGGTTGTTGAAAAAATCAGTGTAATCATCTATCGATCTAACCACGTCCTTAATATAAGTAATGAAATTATTCTCGCCTTGAGTGAATTCCTCGACCTGGAAGATCACCAATCCATAACCTACAACAAGGCGGTCCATCTCCTGCAAGAGACCCAAATCTTGCGACACTTTTTTGGATAGGCGCTTTTGTTGCTGAATCCTCTGAAAACAATCCTTCAAATATCTAATGGCCGGCTGGCCCAGCGAGGGGTTCTCCACAAGTTGATACAATAAAACGGAATCCACTTGATCTACGCCCAATGGGGCTTCGAAATCAGACGGAAGGACAGAATAATCCTTGTTAGCATCCTGGGATGTAGTGACACGCAGGATATCCTCTAATATAGACATTTTGACAAAACCTCACTCAAACCCTTTATCTACACTTTGGGTGGCAACCTAATTCAAAATGGCGGAGGACGATTACGATTAACTACAGGTAAAAAGGAATTACAGGTCACATGACACACACATTTAATTGAATACCTCCCATACTTTTGTGTTATTATTCAGGGCGTGCAAGCGTTATGTATAGATATCCATATAGCATTGAATTTAATCGCTAGTATTGGTTACATCATTGATGCTATTTTGAGCGCTATTTACGCCTTTGTTTCTTGTTGTGAAAATCGCAGGCCTTCCGAGCAAGGAAAGGAAAGACGCGCCTCACTATCAATTCGTCTAAACTAAACTGTGTAACGCCAAATACGCGTGAGATTTTCTTACGGGCTTGATAAACTCGAAGATGGAAGATCTGCAGTTAACGCCGGCGTTGTTGATAGCTCTTTTCGAGAGGCCCCATGATAGATATTTCCTTATTCAGTTAGAGAACTCAATGGTTTCGTTCATCAACTCTCATGCCCAATCGTATCAATTGGAACCGATGAATTCTTACTATAGATTGCTTGCACATCAGCTAGCTGAATATCACGGTCTAAAACACACTTTGGCACAAGGAAACGACACCTGCATTGTGGTGTTCAAGGACGACACTTTTGGGGGCGGAATGAACAAGCCTTTGTTACAGGAGTTGGATCCACCAAGGCAATACCAGTATAATGCGCCTTTCTATCCCCCTAATCATCAGAATCACAAGAAATTTAAGATATTAAGAAGAGACAGTCAGTCTGAAGAACAACATATCCCCTCTATCCAGAATTCCAATGCCGAGGAAAATCAAAGAACGGGCATTACACAACAGCAGTATGATCGTCATAAGAGCGAAATCTTTTCAGAACCAACAACACCCCAAAAGTCTACAAAAGCTGTCGAAGACGATTCGCCGCAGCCTCACCAATTCGAGACTTCAAGATACAAGTTTAAACAGCAATCTTACAAACCGAAAAAAAAGAAGTTTCACAAGAAGAGTAATAGTTTTCAAGTACCTCAATACTATTATCCCCCACCTGCCCCTTTCCAGATGCCTTACATGATGTATAATCCTTACGCAATGATGTATGTTCCTCCAGAACATACTTTCGCACAGCTGCCACCGCAAATGCACAAGAATAATCCTTACATGTATGCTCCAATACAGAACGGAAGTCCATTTTACTCGCCAGGTAGTCCATATTCCTCGAAGAATAGCAGCAATGTCTCACTAAAAAAGAAGGATCGGCGATCGAACTCACGAACACAACTGGGGAACAAGTCAAGCGACTCATTGGCTACTGACAACACCCGTGATTCGCTTATGGATCCTAGTGCTCCCAATGCAAGTGCGGCAACTCCACCATTAGAGGATATGAGTAATCAGTTAGGAAAATTATCAATATGAAATGATTTTATTGGAATCGGTGCGTATAAGGTAGTAAGAAAGTTCATCCCGTCACTTGTTCATTATTCACTAGTGTTTAAGGGATTCGTATGTTCGAAATCTATAGAATTTAGATAAGTGTTGATATTCTCTACCTTATAAAACGTAAAAATAGTGCTTTATCAAATCACTTTTTCACAATTTCCACACCCCAGTTTAGAGTTAAGTGGTTAGTCTTGTCATCGTCTATAAATTTGGATACTGCACTGTAGCCACCTCGAGCCAAAAATCCGCTGGGAGCTTCACTTTCTGGCAAGTCGACTTCGTAGTAGGGCTTCTTTTGCGTGTTTGGAGCGTAAGAACCTAAATGATCATCGATCTTATCAACCGCGATTCCTGCCTTCTTGATGTACTGAACGTATCTCAGTCCCGTTATGATTTCGTGCTGAACCTTAAATATAATTTTAAGTTTGTAAATGGACTTTTCCTTTATCTTGTGGCGTTTAGATGCCAATTCCTTCAAGGTTTGTTCGTTGGTCAAATCAAAGGTAATAGGTTCTTTTTCAGTGTTGATTATCAATTGAATCTTGAGGATGACTACTCGACGCGTGTCACCTGGAAACTCCAAGGGCAAAAGATCAGAACCCAAACCTAAGTTTTCTTTCCATTTTGCCAAAGATTCATCCTCGGCGTCCAGATTCTGGTATTCTGCAAGCGTTTTCTTTGCGGCGACCGTGTAGTTGTCATGAGATTCATCGTTAAAGTCTTTGAACTCGTTCTCTTCGCTCATTTTTCACTGGTTATCGAGGCTCTGATGCTGTAAAAACCATCAGAAAATGATTTGGTTTTTTTTTTTTTTCTCGATCAAACGGACTTTCCCGAAACATTCAAAATTGAGATAGCACGACAAATACAGTAGTATATATGGTTCTGCAAATCCAGCGAACTTCTTGTGCTGGATCTCGCTAAAGCTTGGATATGTGTTTACCAAAATTCACAGAATTTCTAGATTCTTCGATTGACGAACAAACAAAAGTGCTTGGCACATTGTTCGAGCATAGTGATTCTTTAATATGGTTCACCCTTAAGAACAAGAGCTTCATGACTCGTCACTGGGCTGGGTACATATCCTTTATTGAAAGTATTCGCCAGCGGTTGCTTGAATTGTGCGATGACACTGAGCGTGAAGGGATAAGCTCCAGGGGCGTGGATCATTTGGCTAATATTATAGCTGCCCACCCTAAACTAGGCGAACCCAAGCAGCAGTTGTCCTTACACTCATTGGACGAACAAAAGAATCTTACGAATGATGATACTCCTGAGGTTCAACAGGCACTCAGTGCTTTAAATAGGGAGTATGAGAATATCTATGAAGGCCTACGGTTTGTGGTGTTTGTCAATGGCCGATCTAGACCTGAAATAATAGATGTGATGAAAAGAAGAATAAATTCCGGGAATACATGGTATGATGAAGCACGTTTGGCAATTAGAGAAATGTGTGATATAGCAGAAGACAGAGCTCGGAAATATGCACCTGAGTGCCAAATCCACCGAATGTAGCCCGCTGAATGTACATTGATAGTTTGAAACTAAAGTTTTGTTAATATAATATAAACAAATACAGTAATAAAAAAATCGAAGGTTAGAGCGAAAAACGCAAACTAAGCCAGTGCAAGTGACAGAACATTAGGAAACTTCATAAGAAATAATCAGGTGTTTTTCTACTCACAGTTGGCTCGCCTGGCCTCATGGAAGGATCATATTGCAAAAATTGTCTGTTATGGTTTTCGTCAACTTCCATTATTGCTGCTTGGTTACCGCATCTGTAGCAATAATTAGGAGCACTAAAGATGGTGACAACACTTTGTTGGTGAGACCAAGCATACCCCTCCATAACCAGTTGATGCGCTCTAGCGATGAGCGATAAATCATTCGTATGGTTAAACTGCTCGCTAATGTCCTGGCCAAAAGTGAAGCCTGCTCCTCTTGGACTGATACCCCACCCGCCCCGATCATCAGGGTCAGACCAGAGCAGATCGCACATGGGTCCTTCGTGTGGTACTTCTTGTATCCTGTTAAGTTCTCTTACCTGGTCAATAGTTTCAATCATTGGTGATAGACCACCATGTAAACAGAAGACTTTATTGTCGACTAATGCAGTAATGGGAAAATAATCAAATAGATCAGTAAACATCTTCCAGACGTTTGCACTTCCGTATTTACGCAAACATTCATCGTAGAACCCATAAACTTGAGTAATTTGTCTAGACTCATGATTACCTCTCAATATGGTTATTCTTTTTGGATAGCGAACTTTCATGGCTACCAGATATGAAACAGTTTCAACGGAGTAATATCCTCTATCAACGTAATCACCCATGAACAGGTAATTTGTGTCAGGACAGGGACCTCCTATCTTGAAAAGTTCTATTAAGTCATGAAATTGGCCGTGGACATCACCACATATAGTTACTGGAACGTGTACGGGCTGTACATTCTCTTCAAATTGAAGCACATCTACGGCCATTTTACACAATCTGCTCACGTCTTCCTCTGATAATATCTGACACTTGCCCAAGTGCTCGATCCATTGGTCAAGTTGGCCTATGTTGCTTGCCGTTAGCTCCAACGGTTTGCTGGATTTATGGTCTGCTATTCCTGAGGATCCTGGGTTAGCTTGAGTCTGAAACTCGGGTGAGTCCTCATCTAAAGTGGGGTCCAATGGTTCCTCGCTTGCGTCTTGCATTGGAACGTCACTATCTATCTCCATGGTATGCAGAATGCAAAACTAGTTTTCAAAATATATCCTTCCCTCGGACGTTTACCGCTGTCACCTAATTCCTTGAATTACCCTTAATTAGGAACAAAATTGAAAATTCGGAACCCTTCAACTATTCAAGTCTAAGCAACGGCCTATATCTCAAAATCCAGCCACTGAATCGCTTGTTATCGATCAATGTGGTGGCAAAAGGGGGTTTGACGTTGTCCCATGTTGAAATTTTTCTCCTTTGAGGAGAAAGGGTACATCGAAAAAGACAGGGTAACAATGCACGAAACAAGAGTTGAAATTGAAGCCAGGACTATAGAATAAATGCCAAGAGGCATTGCTGTGAGGGGTGGTGGTAATCGATACTTAACTTTGCATCAGTGGAATCAATATCTTAAGGTTATGACGTGACATTGGCTCAAGACGGTTTGTTCATGTCAGATTTTAATGCAGCAACAGCAATGGTTATGAAGGATCTGGTTTTCGGAGAAGCAAGATACTGCGTCTATTAAGGGACAATAAGATTCGGTAATCAAATTATAACGATGGGTCTTATTTACAGGGCCTAGTGTTATCCTGGTAATCTCATTCATGAAAACAATTCTTTCGAGGCATGCTTTGTGTAATTACGTTTGTGGCTGCGCGAACGACGCAGAGGGATAAGGAGGGCAACCACCGTGTGGTAAGCTTTTACATGATTGATCACTTTTGGTGACTTAGTGGAAATCTATAAAGCATGGAAATGCGCCACGGTCATGATTTTCTTGAGAATGAAGCAGATGTTGCAGCCTATCGGCCGGCGATATGCCAGACGCTTCCGATCAACGTACGGCAACTGGTTATCAATAAGCAGAACAGACGCTTACTCCCGGTACGTGACCAATTGATAGAGAGAATGGAGGATGCATTGGTACGCTGGCGTCCACCAATGTCGTGCCACGTAGGCTCAACAGCAGCCTTGCGAGGGAAACACCCCTACCAGATGGAAGCTTCTCCAAAGGCCTCATCAGCACCACGTCCGCTAAGAAGCTCGGTTAAGCAGTATTTTGACACACTTTCAAGTGCAATTCATTGGTCGCAACCCAGTGCTATACTCTCCAGCAGCAGCAGCAGCATGGTCGATGAAATCCGCCAAAGCGTAGAAAACGCTGGTAGAAGTAACACTACGCCATGTGCTACAGCAGTACTCGACACAGTATGGTCACCATCCTCCCCGCCCTCTGCTCGAGCACTTGATTACAACTTTCCAGTCCCACCCTACTATTTGCAAGAAGTGCAACGTGATTATCGCATTGCAGCAACTGTCGGCCCCCGCGCGCCTGCTACAAGCAGTTGCGACCCCAATTCAAGCATAAGTTTGTGGGAGGAATGTCTACAGATGATGCAAGAGACTTGGAGCGATGTGGTCGCTGCTTGCAGTTGCACTGAGCAACGGGAATACTGACAAGTGTGATGGCTCTTATTACACGTGATTCGATAATCATCACGTTACTACTTGTATTCTCGTACATAGATATGTAATTTGCAGGGTAACCACGTTATGAAAAAAAAACTTCCTAGCCATGCCATGTCTCCCTTAGTTAGTTTTGCAACCACCAGGGGAGACATACCTCTATTCATTAAAGAGTATAGAGAATTAGAGGCATTGAACGTCGTCAGTCCTGTATCCAAAACAAGTGATAATTGGTTGAACGATGGCAGGTGGTTTAGAAAACGCTTGCAAAGAGATAAAGAGAATATCGCTAGAGGACCACGCGGAATCTGAATATGGGTCCATTTACTCTGTTTCTGGTCCGGTTGTTGTGGCAGAAAACATGATTGGTTGTGCAATGTACGAACTGGTGAAGGTTGGTCACGATAATTTGGTTGGTGAAGTTATCAGAATCGATGGTGACAAGGCGACCATCCAAGTTTACGAAGAAACCGCCGGTGTTACTGTCGGTGATCCTGTGTTGAGAACAGGTAAGCCTTTGTCTGTGGAGTTGGGTCCAGGTTTGATGGAGACCATTTATGATGGTATTCAAAGACCTTTGAAGGCTATCAAGGATATTTCGCAGTCCATTTACATTCCAAGGGGTATTGATGCTCCTGCACTAAACAGGGAAGTCAAGTGGCAATTCAAGCCAGGCAAATTCAAGGTTGGTGATCACATCTCAGGTGGTGACATCTTTGGCTCCATTTTTGAAAACTCCTTGTTGGAAGACCATAAGATTTTATTGCCTCCAAGAGCCAGAGGTACCATCACCTGGATCGCCAGTGAAGGTGAGTACACTATTGACGAAAAAGTTCTTGAAGTCACTTTCGACGATGTCAAGTATGAGTACACCATGTACCACACCTGGCCTGTTCGTGTACCCAGACCAGTTACTGAAAAGCTATCTGCGGACTACCCTCTATTGACAGGTCAGAGAGTGTTGGATGCTTTGTTTCCAGTCGTGCAAGGTGGTACTACATGTATTCCAGGTGCTTTCGGTTGTGGTAAGACAGTTATTTCTCAATCATTGTCAAAGTACTCCAACTCCGATGCTATTATCTATGTGGGTTGTGGTGAGCGTGGTAACGAAATGGCCGAAGTATTGATGGAATTCCCAGAATTGTTCATTGAAAGAAACGGCAAGAAAGAACCAATTATGAAGCGTACCACTTTGGTTGCAAACACTTCTAACATGCCTGTGGCTGCCAGAGAAGCTTCTATTTACACCGGTATTACTTTGGCTGAATATTTCAGAGATCAAGGTAAGGATGTTGCTATGATTGCTGACTCCTCTTCTAGATGGGCCGAAGCCTTGAGAGAAATTTCCGGTCGTTTGGGTGAAATGCCTGCTGATCAAGGTTTCCCAGCTTATTTGGGTGCCAAGTTGGCCTCCTTCTACGAGAGAGCTGGTAAGGCCGTCGCCTTGGGTTCTCCAGACCGTGTTGGTTCCGTTTCGATTGTCGCCGCTGTGTCTCCAGCAGGTGGTGATTTCTCTGACCCTGTTACCACTGCTACTTTGGGTATCACTCAAGTATTTTGGGGTCTGGACAAGAAGCTTGCTCAAAGAAAGCATTTCCCATCTATTAACACTTCGGTTTCTTACTCTAAATACACCAACGTGTTGAACAAGTATTACGAGGGCAACTATCCAGAGTTCCCAAGTTTGAGAGATCGCATCAAAGAAATTTTGTCCAATGCCGAAGAACTAGAACAAGTTGTTCAGTTGGTTGGTAAGTCTGCTTTGTCTGACAGCGACAAGATTACTCTAGATGTCGCCACTTTGATCAAGGAAGATTTCCTACAACAAAACGGGTATTCTACCTACGACGCATTCTGCCCAATTTGGAAGACTTTCGATATGATGAGAGCTTTTGTTTCCTATTATGACGAGGCTCAAAAGAGTGTTGCCAATGGTGCTAACTGGACCAAGTTGTCCGAAGCTACCAGTGATGTTAGACATAGTGTGTCTTCATCCAAGTTTTTGGAACCTAGTAGAGGTGAGAAGGAAGTGCACGGTGAATTTGAAAAGTTGTTGACCAACATCCAGGAGAGGTTTGCCGAGTCGACCGATTAAGTCACTTGAAAGAATTTGAATATTTGTTTCTCGCATCGCTTGGACGTATTTTGAGTCCCAATTTTTAATAGTAAATGCAAAGTAATGCTTAACAGCGTGTCACTTTCATTTTGTAGACTTCCCTTGCCTTTGTTATAAAGATATAAATAACCGATTTGTAGATTCCAAGCCAAAAAACAAAAGAGTTATCATTGAAAGAGTATAATCTAACAACACAATTGATCTGGTTGATGCTTCCGATTACAGATAAAAAACACCCAACTTCTTTACAGAAATAAGGCGTTCAATACTGCAACTGTATGGCGACGCCAAAGAAACTCACTTATAGCATGAGTAAAGTTGATGAAAACGGACATTAATTAACTATTTAAAAAGATCTAGATACAAAGGAAGGATAGTCCACCCTTCTTATCTGCACAACTTCTGAACAGCCGCCCAGTTGTGAGCAACTTCCCATAAAAATCATGCTTCAACCCCTCAACAGTTAATTGAACTTCGTGACAGGAATAACTGGCTAGAATAAACAAATCATAATCGGAATTTAAAGTGGCATATAACCATCTAAACTTCCATTAAGACTGTGTCCGCTTATTTGGATCTAGCTCTCACCTTCCGTCTCTTTCTCTTAAGTCTTCTAGTTCTCTTCTTTCTCCACTTAGCACGCATTGCAAATGAATGGATAAGCGATTTGATGAATTAAGTAGAAGAGATAAATGAAAGGAGTAGGAAATGTCAAGGAAATGATCGTTGCAACTTTTTTTCAAGTCCAACGATCCAGCTTGGGTTGGAGACGATTCCCCTAACACGCCGGGTAACTCCATCCCCTGAACAGAGGGCCGAACCAAGAAAATTTGGAGGGCCCCCCGTTCCGTTGTGGAAGTACTACGGGACTTTCTGGAAAAGGATAGGCATATCGGACAATTATAAAAATTCAAGAAGGGGGCTGCGCGATGAACTAACTAACCTAGCTCTCGAATATGTTACAGGAGCTTCACTTACATATAATTCTCGTTACGATACCAACGTCCTTTGGACTTGTGGACGTTACTAGCTTATTACAGGCAGTTTATTCCAAATATTTCACGTGACCTTAAACAACCTTTGTTGTCCGGAACGAATGGCATAGTCATAAAAATGGTACTAAGCCTTTTTCGAGTGTGTGGGTGTGTAAATATACGTATGTGTGGGTGATCTAAAAGCAGTCATAAATTAGCAATAGGGCTTAATATTAGGGCGCGTTCTTGAAGGGCAATCTGTCAATTTTCAAATGCCGCTGATGCAAAAAATTGGCCTTAAGGGGAATTTTATCATAGGACTAAAGTGATCATGTCACATTCATTTATTTAAGAAGAGATACACGACGTTTCTATACATAAATTCATGAAATATCAGTGGATTATTTTTACATGCTATTTAAGTGTTTTCTCAGTAGTTGGAGGCAATAGTCTCTTACTCTCTTGGCGAATAGCTTTTTCAAGATCGGGTGCAATCTCATGTATCTCTAGAACGTCCATCAATCGGGCAAGAAGTTTTGGAGTGAGTACCATCTGTTCAGGTAATTCCAAAGACACTCTGTTATGATTTCCCATTGTAGATGTTATTAAATTAGAGTAGTCCGGCAAATCCAGAAACTTTATGTTGTATGCTTTGCTTTCGATTAATGCTTCCAAATGTTTAGCACCACGATTTGCCTTAAAATTTCGGTACGCTCTATAGAGCAGATAGAACCCCGGAACGTTGGGCACAATAGGTACTAGAACAAGCGGAAGCGTGAAGGGAATTGCAGCAAGGCTCATTAACGCATATTTGCGATGATATTTTTGCCCGTTTTCCCAAAGCTGGCGTAACTCAGCCTTCACTAGGCCTTCGCTTATGAATTCTTTGGGATAATAAATATTAACAGGCTTGGCTGTAAGCTGCTCAGGTCGCTTTAGATATTCTTTGAGCGTGAGCGTCCGTTCTTCCTCCTTCTCCTTAACGCGTTTGAGAATATACCCCTCGGACGGTATTGTGTTAAGCGAGTTTTCCGTCCATGGCGTCTTGTCGAGTAAAGATGTCACCCATGCCACGACTTTCTTATTGTAGGCCTTTGGCGATTTTTGAAGTTTGGTCCACAGATTAGACGCCTTTTCTACCAGCTTAGTTTCATATTTGACCACTAGAGATCTGTCATTTAGTAATTCTGACTTGTGCTTATAATACACGAAAAGCTTCTTTGTCGTTACCGGTATAATTATGATCTTTACGGGATCTGATACATATTGCTGAGATGTGGAGAAATTAGGAATTGATTGAAGTCCGGTTGACAAATGCCTTCTTTTCCCAATATAAGAGAGTATTCTCATTGACAAATGGTAGATCTTTTGACTTGATTGTTTACCTTACTCTTAACACTTGCTAATTAGTGCCGTGGCTTATCATTGCTGTTGGCATTTTTTCGATCACAGGGAGATGTCTTCACATTGCAAAAATAGACCGAGGGGCCGAGAGAAACTTGAACACGCTCCTTATTCGTCAACCCAACTTACGACGTTCCTAGCACTCAAATAGTTTTTAATCGCTTGTCAGCAGAAAACCGATTTATCGCAGTGATCCTCTTCCCAAACGTCGCAGTAAGCTCAGTTGTCGCATTTTGTGTAGTGGGAAAAATAAGTCGCCTACCATACCTAGGTGAGGACAAAATTGCTTAAGCTGAGAAAAATGGCTTCTGAAAAGGTCAAAGACGAGCCAACGGAAGAGGAGTTGAGCTTCCCGAAACTGGCTAACTCTTCAAGTCTTTCCTCGAAACAAAGTCAACGTCCTTCCGTCGAGCTAGCCCATACGAAGAATAGTAGTTCATATAACGAAACGCTGAAAGCTCCAAGATGTTTAAATGCGTATGGACTCAAACCAAGCACCGTTCCACCCTTTGCATTGGACGAAGAGATTAAGAAGCTCAAGCTTCGAAATTCGCAAAATGTTAACAGTGTTCTAGATGACGAATTTAGGAAATACTGTAAGGACCCTTTCCTTGTGTCGCATAACGAGCAATGGAATGCTTTCATTGAAAACGTCGGGTCAAACGTAGCTTACATGACCAAGGGAGTAAACGGCAATGTTACCTCCAATGGAACTGTATATCAAGATACTGCTACGATTTCAAGTGCATCGCTTGATAAGGAAAAGGATAATAATGGAGCCGATTCACAGTCGACTGATACGGAAACGGAGCGAGAACAGGTACGGAAAGAGGTATTCGAAAATTTAGATGGGGCATGGGAGGGTGATCAGCGTTTGAAGGCTGTTTTCAATGAGCCAATGCTTCATAACTACAACTTCACTAATCAGCAGGATCGTAGTGACTGGACAGATTATCTCGAGCAGGTCAAGAGATTTTACTATGGAAATAATGAGTCAGTTGGGAACATGGACAGAGGAAATGTTGAGGATGAGAATGGAAAAGTAACCTCTTTTCTAGATAGGCAGAAGGCCGAATTCAAAAAGAAAAAGAAGCGCTGGCGGCAACTGGAGAAACGCAAGAAGCAGAAATGGCAGCCGATGTTGGAAAAGATGCTATTGGACAATCAGTATGTTCCTCTAAGTTTCAGGATCTTCATTGTCATTCTCTGCGTTATTGCATTGGGTCTGGCTATTAGGATCTACCAGAATTCCAATTCAACCATTGACGCTCTTGACGTCTCTGTTCCGCAACAGGCAAGTACTATAATGGCAATTTGCGTCAATTCCATTGCAATTTTTTATTTGATTTTCATTGCACATGATGAATTTTCGGGCAAGCCCTTGGGATTAAGGAATCCTTTTGGGAAACTTCGACTCATTCTTTTGGATTTGTTATTCATTATATTCTCAAGTGCAAATTTGGCCTTAACCTTCAATACCCTTTACGACAAACAATGGGTATGCACTTCATCTGGTGACCAAGAGCTTCCCAAGATTGGCTATATTTGTAGAAAACAGCGGGCGTTGGCTTCTTTCTTGTTTGTAGTATTATCAATGTGGGTCTTGACGTTTACCATTAGCATTGTGAGGGTTGTTGAGAAGGTCAGCTCCTCCTCACCAAGATAAGGACTAAGCTTTTGTAATTTAGAAAAGAATAAGACGGACATTCATTTTAACTCTACAGTATCTACAATAGTTTGATTGCTACAATAGCACTTGATCTTAATGCGATGTTGTGCATTTTGGTTACCCGGCCTTGTTAATTTTTAAAGCACTTGTTATATATTTTTACAGTGGTGGCAAAACAGTATCAAATCGGCAGGGTGAGTTTGATCTTGGGAGTTCTTACATTGGAGGTCTTGGAAAGAAGCAGAACCCTAATTAGGAATCATGGCTAATAGTCTACCACGGTCGGATGATTTAGAAGCAACATGGAACTTTGTTGAGCCGGGGATCGGCCAAATATTAGGCAGAGATGGCACTCCGTCATCTGTATTGAAAAGGGTTGATAAAGTCTTATCGCCAACGATGTATGTGGAAGTATATACCGCTATCTACAATTATTGTGTGAACAAATCAAGCTCCACGGGTCAATTCAATACGGATAGTAGGCAGAGCCAAAATTCCATTCTGGTAGGGAGCGAGATTTACGAAAAACTGAAGTTGTATTTGAAGGACTACATATCAAAATTGACTAGAGACCCTGAAGAGACGTTTCTCCAGTTTTATGTGCGACGTTGGAAAAGATATACGGTGGGCGCTATCTTCCTGAATCATGCTTTCGATTACATGAACAGATACTGGGTGCAAAAGGAGAGGAGCGATGGTAAGAGACACATCTTCGACATTAACACGCTATGCCTGATGACCTGGAAAGAGGTTATGTTTAATCAAAACGTGGACACATTAGTGAAGGAAATTCTGGAGCAGATTAGGTTGCAAAGGGATGGCGAAATGATTAGACAGACTGATACGACGGTGGCTATCCGTTCTTTCGTGGCTCTCGGCATTGATCCCCAGGACTTGAAGAAATTGAATTTGAATGTCTACATACAATACTTTGAGAAGCCATTCTTGGAAGAAACTAAAAACTATTATACAATGCTATCAGGAGAGTATTTGAAAGCGCACTCCGTGACAGATTACATTTTCGAAGCGCAACGGAAAATTGCAGATGAGGAAACCAAGATTGTATTATATCTCGATGAGCATACAAAGAAGCCACTATCCGAGGCGCTCAACTTGGTTTTAATTTCGCAACATGCTGAAGTTTTGCAAAGTGAATTTATTGCTCTTCTAGATTCAAGAGACGAGAGGAAAATAGAAACACTTTACGGTTTGATGCAACGTGATATCTTATTACTACCAAAACTGGCACAGGCATATGAAGAATATGTCAAGAACACAGGTGAAAATGAAATTTCGAAGCTTTTGATGACCCATAAGGTTGCCAATGAGGCTGAAGAAGGGGGTAGAAAGCCAAATTCGAATGTTATAATCCCACCAAATGAATACGTGAAAAAGCTTATTGAGGTTTATGAAACTTTTATTAAGATTACGCGCGACTGCTTTCAAAATGACTCCTTATTCACGAAAGCTCTCGACAATGCATGTCGGACATTTATCAATACGAATGAGTTTGCTATACCACCGGGATCTCCCAAATCTGTTACTTCCAAAACGCCAGAAATGTTGGCCAAATATAGTGACCAACTTTTGAAGAAATCTAGTAGAGCGACGGACTCAACTTCTGAAATGTCTGTAGACGACATTATGACTATCTTCAAGTTTTTGACCGATAAGGATGCATTTGAATCCCATTATAGAAGGCTGTTTGCAAAGCGTTTGATACATGGAACGTCCACTTCAGAGGAAGATGAAGAGAACGTGATTCAAAGACTACAAAGTGAAAATAGTATGGAATATACCGGGAAGATAACAAAGATGTTTCAAGACATTAGACTTTCCAAGCACTTGGAAAAAGAATTTGAAAATGCGATCAAAATTGCTCCTGATTATAACAGATCTAAATATCCTGATTTCCAACCATTTGTATTAGCGGAAACAATGTGGCCATTTTCTTATCAAGAAGTTGATTTCAAGCTTCCTAATGAACTTGTGCCGACTTATAGAGGGTTAGAGAAGCTTTACACTAATAAACACAATGGTAGAGTACTTAAATGGCTGTGGCCATTGTGTCGTGGTGAAATCAAGGCAGATATTGGTAAGCCCGGTAAGCCTCCCTTCATTTTCACCGTGACTTTATTTCAAATGGCTATTCTTTTAATCTTCAATGAGCGCGATGTGTTAACACTTGAAGAAATTCAAGACGCGACCAACTTAAACACGCAAAATATTGCCTCTTCTATGATCCCCTTTATTAAATGGAAGCTGGTGCAACAAACCCCGCCAGGATTGGATGCACTAATGAGGCCTGATACACAATTTAAGCTAGCGACTCCTTATAGGGCTCTGAAGACGAGAATCAATTTTGCAGCTGGTGTGAAAGGTGATGTGTTAGGCGCCGTTACCAAAGGCGATTCTTCTGAAAGTCAGAAGATTGAGAAGGAATTAAACACTGAGAGACAAATTTTCCTTGAAGCATGCATTGTAAGGATAATGAAAGCGAGAAGAAAGCTCACACATGCGACTTTAGTAAATGAATGTATTGCACAATCTCATCAGCGGTTCAATGCAAAAGTGTCTCTTATCAAGAAGGCCATTGACAACCTTATCAGCAAGGAATACTTGCAAAGATGTGATGACGGTGAATCTTACGAATATTTAGCATAGATCACAGATATTAATAGTGATTTCAATTATAGTGAACGTAGTACTCTCATTCATCGTCTAAATAATGAGATACGTATACAGTGAATTATTACTCTTTTCCTCCGATGTGCCTTAAAAAAGAATTTTTGAAAAATTTCTCAATTCCGCTGGAAAAATGCTCGAATGACTGACCCCCCTGTGAGTCAAGTTTATTTCAAATTTTCACTTAATAATCATCCAGCTAAAAACTTTTAGATACCACTTTAAAAGGTTTAAGAGCAGTAACTAGTTCTTTCGAGGTTATTTTTGTGATCATAGCTGACTTAAAAATTCCTTTAGTATTTTAATTTATTCATAATGAGTGGTCAAGGTATGTGATTTACGATTATCTGGAGGCTATAAGTCCTCCGCGTGGATCTTGTAGAATGATTTCATACTAACAACGTTGTCTTAGAATTCCAACAAGTGACTGAATCAACTGCCGGTCCTGCTAAGCCAAATCCATATGGCCCTAACCCAGCCGACTATTTATCCAATGTGTCTAATTTCCAACTGATCGATTCGACCCTGAGAGAGGGTGAACAATTTGCGAACGCCTTCTTCACCACCGAGAAAAAGATCGAAATTGCTAAGGCTTTGGATGACTTTGGTGTTGATTACATCGAGCTAACTTCTCCAGTAGCCTCGGAGCAAAGTAGAGAGGACTGTGAGGCTATTTGTAAGCTGGGCTTAAAGGCTAAGATTCTAACACACATTCGTTGTCACATGGACGATGCCAAAGTTGCTGTTGAAACTGGTGTTGACGGTGTGGATGTAGTAATTGGTACCTCCAAGTTTTTGAGACAGTACTCGCACGGTAAGGACATGAATTACATTGCCAAGAGCGCCATTGAAGTCATTGAGTTTGTCAAATCCAAGGGCATCGAAATCAGATTTTCCTCAGAAGACTCTTTCAGATCTGACCTAGTCGATCTATTGAACATTTACAAGACTGTCGACAAGATCGGTGTAAACAGAGTGGGTATTGCAGACACAGTAGGCTGTGCGAACCCAAGACAAGTGTACGAATTAGTCAGAACTTTGAAGAGCGTGGTATCATGTGACATCGAGTGTCATTTCCACAACGACACTGGTTGTGCTATTTCTAACGCTTACACTGCCCTTGAAGGTGGTGCCAGACTTATCGATGTATCCGTGTTGGGTATCGGTGAAAGAAACGGTATCACACCTTTGGGTGGTTTGATGGCCAGAATGATTGTTGCATCCCCAGATTACGTCAAGTCCAAGTACAAATTGCATAAGATTAGAGATATCGAAAATTTGGTTGCTGAGGCAGTCGAAGTTAACATTCCTTTCAACAACCCAATTACTGGGTTCTGTGCATTCACTCATAAAGCAGGTATCCATGCTAAAGCCATTCTAGCGAACCCATCTACGTACGAAATTCTAAATCCTCACGATTTCGGTTTGAAGAGATACATTCATTTCGCAAACAGGCTGACCGGCTGGAATGCCATCAAGTCAAGAGTGGATCAATTAAACTTGAACTTGACTGATGCGCAATGTAAGGAAGTTACCACCAAGATCAAGAAGTTGGGTGACATTAGACCTTTGAACATTGACGACGTGGATTCTATTATCAAGGACTACCATGCCGAGGTGTCTACTCCTCAGTTGAAGAGTATAAGCAGTGGCAATGATGAAGACCTAGAAGCCATTGACGCTGGAGAACCTGTGTCCAAGAAGGCCAAAACCTCCAACTAATTAGGCTGTTAGTATAAATCTGGGCTTAGCAAAGGGTCAAGCCCAAGAGCGCGCTAAAATCTCAAAGGGGTGAGGAACCGACGTTTCAAATATAAATGGAATAGGAAAATATTAAAAGCACGCTGCAGGCGAGGTATACGGTCTTGTTGGCGCTTTTGTAATTTTTTTATAACTTGTTAATTTTTCAATATAGACGAATAAGTATGTTACATTCTATAATTGCGTTACGCGGAGCGATCCATCATTAGCGCACATCAATAACGAGTTTGATTTCCCGTGGTAATCCATGTCAATGACGGGTGCAGTGTGGTGGTCTGCGAGTTTAACTTGCGACGTTACGTCGTAAACTGCACCTTCGGTAATTGCGTACCTGTCGCCATGGATAAACTTACATCTTACGAGATAACGGTCATCATTGGGAGGAGCATTCGGGGTGGGGCATTGGTTTAAATATCTGGATTTACGAGAGGAACCGGTAGCTGCGTCGTAGAATTGCAATTGGCCATCGAACCCGAGGGAGCACAGCTTCCCGTTCGGCGAAACGTCGATGGAGCATATGGAGTCGTCGTGCATTGTGGGCCAATTGAACAGCTCTTTGGAGATATTCCGGAGATCAAATACGTGGATAGTGGGCTCGAGCCCCGTGGCATACACGAGGTGATCGTCAGCAGCTGCGAGTGTCATGAGAGGGAATTGCGTGGAGGTGCTCCAGACGGGTTTCTTGGTGGCTGCGTCCCAGAGCAGAAGTTGGCCGTCATCGCCAACAGAAGCGATCTGGTGGCGCGTGCCAGCACGCCGTACCTGGTTCACGACCCGCGTGTGGCCCGTGTAGCGTCTGAGGGTGATACCTGTTTCCAGGTCGACGAGCGCGAGATGCGCATCCGAGAACGCCGCGACGCACGACTTGTCCAGCGGTTGAAGCGATGTGATGGCCGCACGTGCGCGACCCGGGTGCTCGACGACGTAGTTGGTGCCGGCGGCGAGATCCCAGATGCACAAGCGCGCGTCGAGCCCGCCCGACACGGCGGTGGAGCCCGCGTTGGCGAACGCGCACGCGAGCACGGCACCTTCGTGGCCGCCTGAGAGCAGCCAGTCTTGAGATTCATCGGGGGCATTGTGCAGAGTGAGGGACATGCCAGGATGGATAGATTGGCGACGTGAGGGGGGGACGAACGAGTAACAAAAGGAGCGAACCAAGAGACGATGTAGGACAAATTGAGAATCATCGGCGATGAGTTTGGTTTCAATGAAGGCACGTGCAAAGCACGTGTTTGTCACGTGCGTTTTCCCCTCTTTTTTTCTCTTGCCCTTTTTTCGACTCCGGCCAATCAGCGCGCTCACTTTCGGTCGGTGGGACGATGCCCCATATTTTTCCAGTGTGCCGCGGCCCCTTTGAACTTTGAGCACAACCCACAATCGACAAAGAACACACGAGAAATGTTGGTACGTTCTGGTTTAAGACAAGCGATGCGTTTGCAAACTGGCGTGGCTGCGCGCTTTTACTCTGAGGGCGCGACCGGCTCTCCCAGAGCGTCCGGGTCCGAGGACACTTTTCTAAAGCGCGAGCGTGCGCAAGAGGACTACTTCATCAAGAAACACGAAAAGGACCAGTTGGCGCACTTGAAAGAGCAGTTGAAGCAGCAGCAGAAGAAGATTGACAGCTTGGAGGAGAAACTGGAGAACATTACGAAATAGGCGGGCAGTGGCGGGCAGGGCAGTGAGGGGGCGACGGCGGCGCAAGAAGGGGTGGCGCGACGCCCGCGGTGAGCTGTGGCCCGTGGCTGCTCTTTACACGATTTATGTCTCGTTTTATATTCGTTGGCCTCGTTGGCATGCTACATACATATAACATATTCTTAGTAGTGAAGTGAGGGAGGGGAAAGGAAGCGGGAGCGGGAGATACGCTCCACGTGACCGCGAGCTGCCGCCACCCACGCACCAGCAGTCACAGGTGTCCCCTTTTGCGCCCGTGCACCCTGGAGCGCCCGTGCATCCGTGCACCAGCTGGTTCCCCGCTGGTTTTTCAAACTGTCGCGCGGCCGCGCGGCGCTGGCCCGCCCGCCGCTCGGCCCCCGGTCCCTTCTGTGACGCCGCACGCCGCCGCGCGGCGGCGCGACCACCGCAGGCCCGCGCCCACACACCCACGCGACGCACTCGGCTCGCTGCGCTCGCTCCCGTCGCGCCCAAGTCGCACACCTGCAACTTGACCACCAGCCCGCACGCCAGCCCGCACGAACCATCAACACAATGTCTGAAGCTGTGATCTCCTACGCGACTTTGATTCTCGCCGACGCCGGTTTGGACATCTCCGCCGACAACTTGGCCGCTTTGGCCAAGGCCGCCGGTGCCTCCGTCGACAACGTATGTTAGCCATGATTTGGAGAAGTGAAGCTTGCCGCGTGCAAAATGACAAGGGAACTAGCGCTCGGCGCTCGAAATGTGCACGCTGTGTAGCGCGTGTTTCGCCTTCCGTGTCCGTCTCGTTCCCTTTTGCTCCCCCGTCGTCGCCCCCCACGCTTTCCGCCTCGCTTCGCTGCCTCCGTCGCGCCCTCCGTCGCGCCCTCCCCAACCGCTCCCCGTACTAACCCCCCGCAGATCTGGACCGAGACTTTCGCCAAGGCCCTAGAGGGTAAGGACCTCAAGGAGATCCTATCCGGTTTCCACGCCGCCGGCGCCGCTGCCCCAGCCGCCGGTGCCGCCGGTGCCGCCGCCTCTGGCGAAGCCGCCGCTGAGGAGGCCGCCGAAGAGGAAGCCGAAGAGGAATCCGACGACGACATGGGCTTCGGGCTGTTCGATTAAGCGCGCCCTGCGTGACCTGCGCTGACGTCTCCGCGCCTGCGCCCTTGCACCCCGCCCCTACATAATAGTACGTACGATCACGTGTCCCACCAATACACGCTTTTTCGCATACCGCGCACTTTTCGGCCGTAGTCGCGGCTGGCGCGCGGCCCGTCTGGGCCGCGGGCTGTGCCCGCGCTGCTCTGCCCGCTCTGCCCTGCCCGCTCTGCCCTGCCCTGCGCTGCCGCCCTGCACTTCTCTGCACCGCTCTGCGTAACCGCAGGGCCCTGCTGGGCACGCGATTGCAGCCGGTGCCTGCAGACGTTCTGGTGGCCTGCGGCGGCTCTGGGCACCTCACCCGCATCCGCAGACGTTCTTTTCCGGCGTTGCACGCCGCAGCGCGCCGGCGCCCGCTGCGCGCAGACGCAACCACGGTATTTAAAGGGACGCAAACGGCGGACCGATCCCCGGGCAGCCCCCGGCTGAGCTTACCCCAACCACTGCTGCTGCCGCCGTCGTCACCACCACCCCCACTGCTTAGAGGCTCTGCACCCCCGCACTGCACGCCCTGAGTTTTTGCCCGTAGCCCGCGCCAACCCGCGTGCCCCACCTCCGCGCCTACCGCCCCTTCGCCCTCTGCCCGCCTTGTCCCCCACCGCATCGCCTGCCCGCCCCATGGCCGCCCGCAAGCGCGCGTCCGTGCAGGCCATCACGCCCGAGGAGCCGCCCACCGCGCCGCCTGCCGCCAAGCTCGAGGATTCTGCGCGCGCGCCCGCGCGCGGCGGCGAGCCCTGCGGGCTCGACGCCACGCGCAGCCTGGAGTCCGCGCTGGCGGAGGCCATAGCCGCCCTAGAGCGCGACGCGCCCCTGGACCGGCGCGCGCTCGCCGCGCTGCTGAACCGGTCGCTGACCGCGATCTCGCACTGGTCGCTGCAGGCTCAGCTGTCGCAGCTCGAGAACCGCGCGGCCTGGGACTCGCGCCTCGCGGTCGAAAACAACCTCATCAAGAAGGAAGTTGAGTTTTTTCGCAACCGGTGTCTCAACGAGCGGCGCTTGTCGGCGGCCGCGCCTGCGGCCGCCGAGAAGCGGGTCGCCAAAGCTCGCGCCAAGAAACCGGAACAGCCGTCGCTGCTACGGCTTGTGGAAAACAATAAACCGCACCCACGCATGCGTCGCAGCAGCGACAACCCGTCTGCCAACGAGTTTGTACGGGTTTTCCACCTCGAGAAACTGTAGGCAGCCGCCTGTAACATTACCGCCGCGGCCGGTCTCTGTAGATTTATACATACTCGCTAATAACTAATGCCGCGCCCTGGTTGCAGCGTCGGAGGACGCCGGAGCACGTCGTTGCGTCGCTGGACGTCGCAGAACGTCGCAGAACGTCGCAGAACGTCGTTGCGTCTCACGACGCAAACGTCGCGCGGGTTCCCCGTCGCTCGTCGCTCGTCGCTCGTCGCCACGCCCTTCGCTGCTTGTCACCGCCCACGTCCCGATATCAAAAAATTTCACAACTTCTTGATCCCGGCTGCCGACCGCGCTCGAATCCCACCGTCCCGCGACCGCCCAAGCCCTCCGCTCGCGACCGCCACAGCCCATCTGCCATGGCCCGCATCAGCTATGTCGCGTCGTTCTTCATGCCGCTTGTTTGCTCCAGCAAATCCTACGTCAGCCTCCTCGCGCTCCTGAACATCGCCGCGCTCTTCGCCCTCGCCTACGTCCTCACGCAATTGCTCGCGGCCCAGTACCATGACCCGTCCATGTTCCGGCCCAACAGCCAGGACTACTTCCGGACCGCGCTGCTCGGCTTCTTCTCGCCGTTTTGCCTCTACTTCGTCAAGCACTTCATGCTCAACCTCAGCCCGCGCTTCGTGCTCGTCGGGCTGATCGTCGACTACCCGGTCAACGACCTGTTTTGCCTGCTCATCGTGTTCTGTCTCGCCTACCCGCAAGTGCAGGACGCGCATTCCTACTCCCTCGACGACACCACCTGGCACATCATCCCGAAGCAGTCGTGCGTATTCGGCATCTCCTGGTCGCTGTGCGAGTTGCTGCTGTGTCTCGTCGAAAGCATCTACGCGTACGAGGAGCTGCCTTCTCCAGAGTCCGCCCAGCGCCAACTCGAGCTGCAGCTCCGCCAGGACGAACAGGACTCCGCTCGCACCGACATCACCCTATCCAAGTGTGTGGACGTCAAACGCAAATCCTCGCACATCTCTGAAAACGTGTATTGCCACGACCCGCCCGACTCCCCACCAGGCCCCGCGTCTGCCCTCGCCCCGGCTCCGGCCCCCGCCCCCGCATCTACTCCTCTCCTGGATCCTTCCTACGGTAGCATCCGATCCGACGACGCTGCCGCTCCCGAAAGCACCGTCGTGGTGAATTTTAACGACAACTCCATGTCGTTTCTACGCGACCTCGAAACTGCAGGCTCGGCATCCCACTCTCGTACCCGCCATAACCCTCTCTACTCCGGCAACATCAAATACTTCCCGGAAATCACTTCTGTGCGTGACTTCCTCAAACAGCTCTTCTTCTCCAACCTTGTCATCGCCAGTAACATCTTGCTCACCGTGGGCCAGGCGCTCATCTCCTCCATGTACTTCATCTACGTCCCCGGCCACGACAACCTCTTCACCTCAGCTGTCATCTACTTCGGCTCCCGAACTTTCCCCTTCTTCTTACTTTCCGTCGTCACCCCCTTCACTTTGCTCAACTTCCTGGTACATCTATTACTCTTCTTCTGGAAAGAAGATACCCCCGACTCCTACGACCCACTCACCAAGAACACTAGCAATTTAGATCTACGCGTACACACTTCCCAACCCCAAAGCCTTCAGTATATCACTTCTGATCAACTTTTTGTGGTAAACTCCATCTACACTCAAGATATGCTGGCTTCTGACGAAGACGCAGGTTTCAAGATTTTGCACCTTTTCCGCAAATTCATGTCCACTTGGCGGGCCATGGCTTCCCATCAGAGCTTTATTCTAGTAGGTCTCACTCTTTGGGCTACGTCGGTATTTATATTTGCCATCGTGTCCACTATCAAGCATTAGAATTACAGTACTTAAAACTTGTATTACCTCTTTTCTTCCCAATGCCGATTTTTTGCTTGGCCCTTCGGCTTCGAGTTCTTTTTTTTTCCGCAAGGATCCTGAACATCGATATTCTCTCTTGCCCTTCTAAAAGCTACAACACTTTTAGCCAACGACTGGTCGTTTAACCAACTTACCCGAGTGACTTTATATCCCGATATAAACAATTGCTAAGTTCCGCTAAGATTGAGAAATTCCGCTAAAACTGAACTATCCCATCTTTCCAGCTCTGCGTTATCAACCATTGATACTAGGTAACTATTAAGGTAATCGGCAAACAATTACCATTCAATCATGAACGTAAACACGCCTTTACTACCATCCAGCAGAGACGCCAAAGCACGCTCTTTCTTGAAGGCAGCAACGGAAGATATTAAAGTTGTGGCCTACTCCTCTCCAGTAAATATACTTCTGGTCTTCGTTCCCATCGGTTTAATATTCGGTTATGGTGGATTGTCACCCACATGGAACTTTTTGTTCAATTTCCTGGCCATTATCCCATTGGCTGCCATTTTGGCCTTTGCCACAGAGCAACTTGCCGACAAAGCAGGAAGCACTTTAGGAGGCCTCTTAAATGCCACCCTCGGCAATGCTGTCGAGTTGATCGTGTCCATTATCGCGCTTAGAGAAGGACAAGTTAGAATTGTACAGGCCTCGATGCTTGGAAGTCTTTTGTCCAATTTGTTACTTGTACTGGGTTTTTGCTTTGTTGCTGGTGGTTACAACAGGGTTCAACAAACTTTTAACCAGACGGCTGCTCAAACCATGTCCTCTTTACTTGCTATCTCATGTGCTTCGCTACTGATTCCTGCTGCCTTCAGAGCGTCGTTACCCGATGATAACGAAAAGCAGGATCTTTTGATTAACCAAAAGATTTTAAACTTGTCCAGAAGTACTTCTATTATACTTCTACTTGTTTATGTGTTCTTTATGGTTTTTCAACTACGTACTCATCACAAGCTCTTTGAGCAACAGGCAGAAGAGACTGAGCACGCCGTGGAACATCATTCCTCGCGCAAACACTTATCCGTCAAGTCCTCATTGACTTTCCTCTTTATCACTACAGTTATAGTGTCCATATGTGCTGATTTCCTAGTCGGCAGCATTGATAACATCGTCGAGAGTTCTGGATTGTCAAAGACGTTTATTGGTTTGATTGTTATTCCAATTGTGGGGAACGCTGCAGAGCATGTGACGTCTGTTATCGTTGCTATGAAGAATAAGATGGACCTTGCGCTCAGCGTCGCCATTGGATCCTCTCTACAGATTTCCCTATTTGTTACCCCATTTATGGTTTTGGTCGGATGGGGTCTAGGAGTACCCATGACTTTGAACTTTTCTCAATTCGAAACAGCCACTATGTTCATCGCTGTCTTCTTGTCAAACTATCTCATCCTAGATGGTGAATCGAATTGGCTCGAAGGTGTCATGTCCATCTCCATGTACTTGCTAATTGCTATGGCTTTCTTTTACTATCCGGACGAAAAAGCCATAAGCTCTATAACTACTCTTCAAGGCTAAATGATTAGGTCGTTGTAACTATATAGAAATGTTTATTAGCTGGATACTATTTGAGTATATTCCTCGATATTATTTACCTCTTTGAGCCTTAACCATCATGAACTGTTCGGATTGATCATTCTATTTTAAAAAGGCTGGGTACAACGCGAAATTCGCTACCATTATTTCTTCCGTTTTTGGCTGGTTTTTTTTTTTTTCACGCGAAATTACGCGAAATTCACTAGTTTCAGTTTGCTGGTTCCACGAAATTAGTGAACGATGAGACGTGGGGCTAGCCAGTAGGGTGCTGCTCACGTTAGGCGCGTAGTCTTGCGGTTTTAAAGTATTTATTATAGAATCTTTGAAAGTGCTAACCACAGAAGGCCAACCATAAACCAAAAGATCTCTAGTGAGAGGTACGCAAGAATGTCTGATTATGAAGCTCTCCTACAGTTTAACCGAACACGAGTGTCGCTAGAGATGGTGTATTTTTTGGCTTCGACAACTGCTTCGATCATACAAGTTCGCGAAAGACGTGGGACGCCAAATGTATCACTGGTCGATTTCATCAAAGGATTGATCACACGCTCCAATGTTCAGACCCCCACTCTCATGTCAACGGCAGTGTATTTGACTCGCCTCAGATCAATCATTCCTGCATCTGTCTATGGAATCGAGTCCACGAGACATCGGATCTTCTTGGGTTGTCTGATCCTCGCTGCCAAGAACCTCAACGACTCATCTCCTTTGAATAAGCACTGGGCATCATATACTGATGGCCTACTTGACATATCCGAGGTCAACACAATTGAAAGAGAGCTGCTTGAATACTTCGACTGGAATCTCAAAATCTGCACACAAGATTTGACCACCTGTTTAGCTCCCTTCTTGAAGCCTATCAAGGATGATCTCGTTGCTCAGAAACAGGATCTCTTGTTGTTCAACTCCCCGCTTCCTGGATGTATGCGTGCCCAAATCTATGAAGAATCTCATTCGCGCTCTTCGAGTAGCATGTCAATTCCATCGCTTGTTTCCAGTGCTACTATGTCCACCATATCGACTACAGACTCGAGAAGAACTCCAATTATGAGTCACCCCTCCGGTAATATTTACTGCATTAAGGAGGAGGACAGCCATCACATTAAAAACAATTCAATCCAATCTTCAAAAGATGTATATGACATTCAGGGAAAACACATCAGTGATAAGTTGAGTTCAGGCGTGTCTCACAATTCACAGGGAAGGAAGAAAAGTGATAGTATGGCAAGGCCTATTATACTGAAGACTGGGTTAACAAAGCCAGTGAACAATATGTCATCCAGTTCTAGTAAATTTGGGCTGAGATCTAATTGGGCTTCTATTTTCAAATAAATGAGGGGACGTTGAGGCCAGATTTTGGTTACTTCAACTCGGATGATTGGGATTGCATACGCAGGGACTATTAACAATTTGCTACCACAGCGCTTTACTTATCGCATGAATTATACTTAAATATATAATGTAACATTAACTTTATTACTTGGTAGTTTTAAACTTCATAATGATAGCTTTATCTTTCCCGATAGGCGTATACGACTAAAAAACAAGGTATATCAGTAATAATTTTAAAGGTTATGAATTCGCTCTATTACACAAAACCACCAAGGACGCGCTTTTCAGCTGTACAAGTCATCATCTTCATCTGCAGCTTCTCCAAATGCTGCACCTGAACCCTCGGCAGCATTTGTGGCGGCCTCACCAGTAGGAGCATCACCAAAGCTGAAGTTACTGAACTGACCTCTGGAAGCCTTCATTTGTTGAGAGTAGGCCTCGTAACGACGAAGTTCGGCATCAGAAACAGAACGCTTAGCCGTTTTCATAGCCTCGGCAAAATGTTCTTTCGTAATGTATGGCACGGCATCTTCAATTTCCTCTTCAGCTGCCGCGTTTTGATCGCTATCACCCATTTCGACATCTTCAGTCTTCACCTTAGCTTGACGTTCAGCTTCTGCGCGTCTTTGAGCCTCAATAGAATCTTTGATAGCAAACTTGGCTGCTCTCTGGACGATATAGGACAAATCAGCACCAGAGAACCCTTGTGTGGCCTTGGCGATTGATGTAAGCTCCAGACCTGGTTCGAGTGGAGTTTTTCTTAATTGGGCCTTTAGAATAGACAATCTAGCCAATTCATCTGGCAATGGAACATAAATCAATTGATCCAATCTACCTGGTCTCAAGATAGCAGGGTCAATTTGATCTGGTCTGTTGGTTGCACCAATAACAAAAACATTTTTCTTTGCATTCATACCATCCATTTCAGTCAACAGCTGGTTGACAACCCTGTCGGAGGCTCCACCAGCGTCGCCCAAAGAACCGCCTCTCGCTTTGGCAATAGAGTCTAATTCATCCAAAAAGACAACAGTTGGAGCAGCAGCTCTGGCTTTATCAAAAATGTCACGAATGTTGGATTCAGATTCACCATACCACATACTCAACAATTCTGGACCCTTTACTGAAATGAAATTGGCTGATACTTCAGTTGCGACTGCCTTTGCCAGCAAGGTCTTACCAGTACCTGGAGGACCATAGAATAGAACACCCTTGGAAGGTGCCAATCCAAACTTGGTGTATTGATCGGGATGTAAGACAGGATATTCGACGGTTTCCTTAAGTTCTTCCTTGATTTCGTCCAGACCACCAATGTCATCCCAGGTGACGTTAACACTTTCAACAACTGTTTCACGCAAGGCAGATGGATTAGAGTTACCTAGAGCAAATCTGAAGTTATCCATAGTAACACCTAGGGAATCTAGTACCTCGGCATCTATTTCGTCTTCATCTAGATCTATCATATCCATCTTCTCACGAATCTGTTGCATGGCAGCCTCGGAACACAAGGATGCAATGTCAGCACCAACATAACCATGTGTTTCTGCAGCGAGAGCTTCCAAATCAACGTCATCTGCCAACTTCATATTCTTGGTGTGAATGCGAAGAACTTCTAGTCTACCAGTGGCATCAGGAATACCTATGTCAACCTCACGGTCAAATCTACCAAATCTTCTTAAAGCTGGGTCAATGGAGTTTGGTCTGTTAGTGGCCGCAATGACAACCACATTAGATCTGGCCTTCATACCGTCCATTAGGGTCAATAGCTGGGAAACGACTCTTCTCTCCACTTCACCATTAGTCTTGTCACGCTTTGGTGCAATGGAATCAATTTCATCAATAAAGATAATTGCTGGCGCGTTCTTTTCAGCCTCTTCAAAAGCTTTTCTTAAGTTGGATTCAGATTCACCAGCCATCTTAGACATCACCTCAGGACCATTGATCAAGAAGAAAAATGCACCAGTTTCGTTAGCAACGGCTCTTGCCATCAAAGTCTTACCAGTACCAGGTGGACCGTACATTAAAATACCTTTTGGTGGCTTAATACCAATTGCTTTAAACAGTTGAGGGTGTCTTAGAGGTAATTCAACCAATTCTCTAATTTGTGCCATCTGCTTGCGGCAGCCACCAATGTCATCGTAACCAACTTCATTTATGTTGTTTTCTTCATCTTCTCTGTTAATTGGCTCACCTTCGGAGTGAATAATGGTATCTTGAGCAACGACAGCATATTCCTCGGGCTCAACATCAACAACCTTAAATTCTACCTGTCTCATACCACCTCTTACGACAAAATGGTCACCTTTTCTAACAGGCCTATAAGCTTCCACGAAGTAGGGCTTCAAATAAACATCGAACAAACTACCTGTCAAGCCCTCAACAGTGTCAGCAATTGGTAGCACAGAAATTCTAGAGGCATATTTGATGTCCGGGCAAGGATGGATCGTTACCAAGTCGCCTAGCCTGACACGTAAATTATTACGCACCACACGGTTAATCCTACAAACACCGTTCTCGAGCTCATCATCGATAAGAACGATCAAGACTGTGTCCTTTCTCTTCTTACCTTTGACTAAGACTGTGTCACCACGAAACAACTGCAACAAGTCCATAGTGTTTGAATTGATGGCGATGACGGAGTTATCATCATTAATAGCATCGTCAACCATTAAACAGTTGTCTTTCTTCTTTCTCCTCAAAATAGCGGTAGCTGTCGCATCATCCTCAGGTTTAACAGCACCAGAGGCATCCAATAGTGTCTTCTTATCTTCAACCATTGTTCTAATCCTAGTGCTTGGTTGGTTGATCAGGTGGCAAAGGGGTGTAACTTGATCTTTTTGCCACCGAGATCCTTCTATAACCTTGAATGCCAAATTACGTAGATAATGATTTAACTGCCATTGTCCAGCTCTAAGACTATCCCATTAGCGAGTTCTCGGACGAGAAGAAATGTAAGTAAATCATGAGCTATATACTGGTCTAAGAACTTGTCGCAGCATTGTGCGGAAGAGTCAGTTCCTTGACGAGTCATAAAATGTGCAATCGATCTTACGATGGTAAGTAATGTACTTAATATGATACCACGATCATTGCTTCTCCAAATTAGCTAAAATCTTCTTATGTAGTGCGCCCAGCTTCTCGAAATCAGTTTCTTCGGTAGGCCATCCAACGATAAGTCCTGTTTTTTCGTCTCTCTTGGGGATCAAATGGAAGTGCACATGATCCACCACCTGGTGTGCGATTCTCCCATTATTTTGGAGAATGTTGTAGCCTTCGCCCTCTGGGCCATCCACATCGAAGCCAATCGCTTTTACCAACTTCTTGGTAACAGGTAAAATGTCAGCCAAATATTCATCCGGAACATTATGTAACTTAGCACCATGGTATTTGGGAATAATCAATGCATGCGCCTCAGCAGTTGGTTGAATATCCAGGAATGAAAACGTTAGTGGAGTCTCAATCAGTTTGAAAGAGGGGATTTCGCCTTGCTCGATTGTTAGTAGCTATTCGCAGAAATGCAGTTTTGACAATTTTCGAAAATGAATAACTTACCCTTGATGATTTTACAGAAAATGCATGCGGCGTCGTGAGCAACGGCAGGAGCTGACATTTCAAAGTATCTTAATTTAACTATGTGTCAAAGTATGAAGTTTCAATTTATTCAATAGCAGCATCGTTCCCTGTCTCCCAAAATATTACAATTATGCTTACCCCTCCACTCATCATTACTTACGTTCAGAAGCTTCTCGTTTCACTTGAAATCCGGATCATACATATACGAATACCTCAATATACATAATTATTCCGGCAGCAGTCGATATTAGGATCATTATCTCAGGTGAATTTATTTATTTGCATCTTTTTTTACCGTGCTTGAAGTCTTTTAAGCACTGACTTCGCCACTGTGTTGCTATTATATAGCCAATCGAGAGGGAGAGTCTAAATCGGTCCGCAATTATATTTAAATATTGAAGATACTCGATATTTTATAATTGAGTATAGAATTAGTATTTTTGTTTTTTTTATTATAGCTGATCTATTTTAGAATATAAACAGGTAATATTCAATTTTAAAAACATGCAAAGGAATTGTTGCTGAAGGAAACGACATGGTGTACTTTTGAGATTAACTCATTAACTATCACTTGGCTTTTCTTTGATAGCATTTTGAATACTATTCTTAATCTTGTAGTAATTATTGGTAATAAGTTGTGTTGTCTTGCTAATCAAACTGTATCCATATATTTATCCGATTTATTGTTTGTCTCAGGATTTAAACATTAAGTAAAGGAGTTTTATGATTTGGAAACAAGAATTACAAAATAAACAACTCTACAAGGAAATGATGAAATTTGTATGATACGAAAGATTGATAGCATCTTAAAACAAGTAGCATGATTAGTAGAATGGGATTACTCTAACATGGAGTGCCAAGACCATAAGTGAATAATAAATTTTATCACAGCGTTTAAAAAACTCTCTGACGAATCTTATAATGATTCAATCAGATGTGTTTATTTTGATGAGTTAAACAGCTTAAGTGTTCGCTCGGTTGCACTATCATCAGTCAGGTTGCACTATCATCAGTCAGGTTGCAGGCAACCATCCACTACGATAAATAGTGATGACTCCGGCTTAAAAATTTATAAAGTATGACCGTCAAATTTGATCACATAAATATCCAAGATTGACAGAGTCTTAAAGTGTCAATTGCCTTTCAACATATAGCATGTTCAAATCATCGCTGCAAGCGCATAAGCGCATTGCTTTTGCATGTCACCGGAGAGCAGCATCATTCTCTTTTCTGCCATCTCTCAAGATTCGTGTAACCGTTAATGCAGCCAATAGCTTTCATCATGCGTACTCTACTAAACCCCTCCCAAAGCTCACTGCTGAATCATATCCTAACGTTACGCGTTCTTCGAGCTTCAAAGAGTTATCCCCAGAGGATATGAAGTTTTTTAGATCAGTTCTTTCAGAACAAGAGATTCTTTCTTCGACGAACGAAGAAGATCTGGCATTTTTCAACGAAGATTGGATGAGGAAATACAGAGGCCAGTCAAAGTTGGTATTGAGGCCAAAGACGGTTGAACAAATCTCCAAGATCTTGAAATACTGTAACGAGAACAAACTAGCGGTCGTTCCTCAAGGTGGTAACACAGGATTGGTTGGTGGGTCCATCCCAGTGTTTGATGAAATCGTACTAAGCTTGACCCAACTCAACAAGATTAGGGACTTTGATCCTGTGAGCGGTATTTTAAAATGTGATGCAGGTGTCATTTTGGAAAATGCGGATGCTTTTCTAGCAGAACATGGTTACATCTTTCCTCTAGACTTGGGAGCCAAGGGTTCTTGTCACGTCGGTGGTGTTGTAGCGACAAATGCAGGCGGCTTGAGACTTCTCCGCTATGGGTCCTTACATGGTACTGTACTAGGCTTGGAAGTAGTTCTTCCTAACGGTGAGATCATGGACAGCATGCATTCCTTGAGGAAAGACAATACTGGGTATGATCTCAAACAATTATTCATTGGGTCCGAGGGTACTATTGGTGTGGTGACAGGTGTTTCAATCCTAACTCCACCTCGTCCAAAGGCTTTTAATGTCAGTTTCTTGGGTGTTGAAAGTTTTGACGCTGTTCAGAAAGTGTTTGTACGGGCCAAACAGGAACTATCCGAAATTTTATCTGCCTTCGAGTTCATGGATTTGAACTCACAAAAGTTGACGAAACTTCATCTCAAAGAAGCCATTCACCCTCTAGAGGAAGAGTATCCATTTTACATTCTGATCGAAACTTCCGGCTCGAACAAGGAACACGACGATGCTAAGTTGGAAGCTTTTCTGGAAAAAACCATGGAGGAGGGACTAGTGCTTGATGGTGTCGTGGCGCAGGACGAGACCGAACTGCGTAACTTGTGGCAATGGAGAGAAATGGTCCCTGAATCTAGCCAGGCCGGAGGTGGTGTGTACAAGTATGACGTATCTCTTCCATTGAAGGACCTATATTCTTTGGTAGAAGCCGCTAACCAAAGACTGGAAGAAAAGGGCCTATTAAGCCCAGATGATGCTTCAAAGCCCGTGATCAGTGCCGTCGGCTACGGACATGTCGGTGACGGTAACCTTCACTTGAATGTTGCTGTGAGAGAATACACGAAGGATGTCGAGAATGCCCTCGAGCCATTTGTTTATGAGTTTGTTTCATCGAAGAGCGGTTCTATCAGTGCAGAACATGGTCTTGGCTTCCAGAAAAAGAATTATATTGGTTACTCGAAGAGCGAACAAGAAATCAAGATGATCAAAGACCTAAAGTCACATTACGATCCAAACTCTATTCTCAACCCTTATAAATACGTTTAAATTATCTGCCATATTTATACTATGTATGGACCTTCATATATATTCAATTTCAAATTCAATTGCGCTGTGATACTTTACATATGCTCTTGCTAATAAGAGCATCTGTAGCAAACTCCGAGCGGTGTCCGCAATTGACCTGCCAAGTGCAATATGAGGTGCATTCAATGTTGATTACTAATCGTGAACTGTGTCCTTTGTTTTGCTCTGTCTCGAACCCCCGTACCCCAGGAGACGATAACAAAATAGCATAAAAGGACGGGCAACATTTCCACCCTAAAATGGATCTCGGCAGAAATTTGATTATCATTGACGAGTCAATTGAATCAATTGAATCAACTCATTGCTGTAGCTCAGAATGCCTTTCAAACAAGAATATTTCACTCTAAACAATGGCCACAAGATACCAGCTGTTGCTGTGATTGGCACAGGAACCAGATGGTTCAAAAAAGAGGAAACTGAATCAAATTTCTCGCACGAATTGGTTTCGCAAATCAAATATGCCCTTACATTGCCCGGTGTGATTCACATTGATGCAGCTGAGATTTATAGAACGTATCCAGAAGTGAGCCAAGCTTTGAAGGAAGCAGGAAGAAGAAGAGACGAAATATTCATCACTGATAAATATTCTACATCCTTGAAGCTATCCGAAAATCCTGTTAAGGGACTGGACATAAGCTTAGAGAAATTAGGTTTGGATTATGTTGATCTCTATTTACTTCACTCACCATTTGTTAATGAGGAACAAAATGGCTTCACCCTGGAACAGGCCTGGAAGTACATGGAGGAGATCTACAATTCTGGGAAGGCGAAGAACATTGGTGTATCTAACTTTGCAAAGGAGGATCTAGAAAGAATATTGAAGATTGCCACGATTAAGCCCCAAGTGAACCAAATCGAGTACTCTCCTTTCTTACAAAACCAGACCCCTGGTATCTACAAATATTGCCAGGAGCACGATATCTTGTTGGAGGCGTACGCACCTCTAGGACCATTACAAAAGAGACCTACTGATGCAAGATCTGATCCTTTCTATAAGATTGTCGACAAATTGGCACACAAGTATGACAAATCTGAGGCTTTGATAATCCTACGTTGGGTTTCGAAACGTGGTGTTCTTCCTGTTACTACATCATCAAAACCTTCTAGAATTCAAGATGCTCAGCATCTATACGACTTTGATTTGACCGGTGTAGAAACCGAGGAACTCACTAAGGCAGGCCTAGAGCATGAACCATTGAGACTGTACTGGACTGAACAATATTCTAAGTTTGATTCGGAAGCGCAAAAGTTGTAAATAAAGACATTATATGTACTTATTCATTCATGGCAAGAAATGACCTAATTTAAGACTTTTCACTGCTGCTGTAGATATGTGCCGAAACCTACTAGATCCTAAAGGAGTGCCGCCATACCAGCGTGTAACGATTACAAGTACGTTGATCACATTAGCGCGTTCGAGTAGCGTCAACAATCGCTGTCCTGCCCCGGCTTCACCACAATCGCTGAATCCTTGCTGAAGATTAGCCACTTTGTCAGTTTGCTTCGGCTCGTTCTTCTTCTTCTTGGTAGACTTCTTGTCTTGAATCGATACGTCTCCCGTTCGCCAAGCGTACATATGTTTATGTGAGGCCTTCGAAACGGCCTTATTTTGGTCTACTAGTTGCTGTAGCAACGATGGTATTTCCTCTTGATCCCTTATCGCACAGCATCTGCCTTGGAACTTAGACTTTCTATCAAGTATGATTTCCGACTCGTTCCAACATATCATGATGTATGTCTCTTTTCGGTGGATATGTCTTTGGGAATATTGTCTCTGTTTCTCTCGGAAAATAGGGCAATCTCGATTAATTCTGTTTCGCGAGGAATCCCATCGCACAATCTTTTGCACACACACCAAAAGATCAGCGAAACTACATATCACAAACCGGAGACAGTTGTTCTTTGGAGAAGGCATTATGATCCGTTTCGCCATATCTACTCCCAGTAATATCAAGGGCGAGGTGTCTGGATATAAAGTGTTCGAATATTTTGATGGCGCTTTGACTGTACGCCCGCCGGTCATAAACTCTAAAGCAGAAACCAATAATATCATTCAAAAGTTCTGCTATCTTAAGCCAAGGAACAGACCTGTGTCACCAGAATGCCTCAATAACAGTCTAATGGATTCTTCCGACTACATGATTATTGCGAAGTCTAACGGATTTATAGAAGTTATCAGGGATTACCAGCACAAACTAGAAAGTGACCTTTCACTGAAACCAGACTTTGTCCTTTCCTGCATACCACTAAGCAATAACTATATGTTAACTACCGAACTGTCGGTAGCAGGTCTAGAATACCGCGATGGCTTATTATATTGTTGCACATGTTTCGGGGACCTATACGTTTTCGTTTTGAACCTCCCCGCAGACTATATGCAGGCTGAGAACATGTTCAAAATGGGACCTTCTAGCGAAGAATTTGTCCAAGATAAAAATGCTTCGGGGACTGATTTGCATTCCTCTGAAGAGTCATCATTTCTTCTTCACTCAAGATTTACCGGTAGGACAAAATTGAAACATGTATGTTATTATTTGATTCCCGCGGATTCAAACGTTCGCACTGGGGTCCAGAAAAGATATGGACGAATACCTTGCTTTCAAGAAACGATATACACAAACCTTAAAAAGAACATTTCGAACTTCCACATCAATCCATTGGACAAGTTCAGTGTCGTCACAATTGCTCCTAGAACACCACTTACCATTCATAAAATAAGGCTGCCCAAGCTTTTCGTTGATTTTTTTGTCGCTGTAATAAATTTGAAGCAACATGTAATAGATTCCAAATATGAAGAAGTATGGGATCTTAATGCCGCTTGCCGTGAAATCCATAACCAAAGCATATTCGAGTACCTAAAATATGATACTTTAAGTTCTATTGATCACGACGCAGATCCAAATTTGTGGAATTCGCTGGTAATAAATATGGGCATAGCTGATCTGAATGCATTCTCCGTATGGAGACAAAAACAGGGCCAACTGAAGGATGAAATTTATGAGTTATTTCATGGCCCTAATAACGAGTGTCAATCGAAAGGTTTACCAAGTTCTGATCTTGAGGTCTCGCGTGAGAGGCCCCAATCGAGGAGGGAGCGACCTCAGAATCAAGCTTTGAGAAGCAATTCTTTAAGAAGAGATATTCTAACGAGAGCCATAGACGCACCATATTACAGCAATACTACCGTGGACAAGTTCATTAGAAGCGTGAGAAGAAACACCTGTCCTGTGGATTTCAAAATCGTGAAAACTCGTTCTTGCAATACGAGCGATGGAGATCACGATTTCACAGGACATGATGGTGATGACACAATGACTTCCTTCTTGACAGACAACTATAAAGATATGGATATCATTTCCATCGATAAGTTTTTAGTTCTTACAGCATTTCGGCCAAAGTACATTGATGAACCATTAATGAAAGTGGAATCCTTTCATAACTCAGCTGCATTATTCTGCGACGCTGAAAATCACGAGTCAATGCTTACCATTCAACGAACACTTAGAAATTTTTCGTCATTCAAGAGGCTTTTCATGATCAATGATTCCCTATGTTTAATATTTGACACTCACGGAGTTTTATTGTTCGACAGATTTAAAATAAGAAACTGTAGAAATCTTTTTGCCAACTGCCCTTCGGCGCTTAAGGCTATTGACTTCAACATAGGTCTAATAAATGATGTCGCTGTGGTAATCAACAATCTTAATGAGTGTCGGAATTGTGACGATTGTGAGGATGATAAGAATATTTCCTTCGAGGCGTTTGCCACATGTGTGACTGGGGAGGTTTTGGCGTTGCATGGGGAGTTTTACAAACACTCCAGAATCGGAAAAATGGTTCTCCGAGACTGTTTGCGCATCAACAAAAACAACAAGTTCGTGGATCAAATATTGCTTATCAATTTTGATGAGGACTTTGAACAGAGGAAACGCAGACCATCTGAAGAACTGGCCTGGACCTCAATAAAAAGAGTTAAAAGATAATGAGATTTTGCTCCAAGGTAATTAAAAATGAATAGGGAAGGAATTAAAAATAAGGACTAAATAGTATGTAAATTACAAGCGCTAAAAGCGAGTAAGCAGAAGTCAAACCGTTTCGGTATACGGAGGGGGTGGACATGAAGGAGAGTCGCTATCTTTTCTGGAGGTTGCCAGTAAGGGCGTAACGGCTGATGGTTGCTCGGTAACAACCTCGCGATGGTTACAGCTTCTCGAACCGCGATTGTCGCGTCTTCCGTTTCTACGCCCATCTTCCCACCCAGCCTGATAATAAAACCTCGTCTCATGATCTCTGCGTAAAGGGCTTGTAATCGTGATGTAGTAAAAAGCGTGTATTAACCCTGGAACAAATCCTAGCAGAGTCAGCAGAACGTTTAACAGAAAATCTGAAGAATATAAACCTGACCTGAAAAGAACTGCAACTGGAGGAAATATGATTGCAACAATATAAAGTATCAAATCCGATACCGTGCAGCAAATACAACAACAACACATTTTATTTTGATCGTTTGTCGATTGATTCTGAGATGGCCTCCTTATCTCAAAATTCTTTTATATCAAGGCGTACAATGGCGAAAAATTTGATATCCAGATACACGACAAGACAGAGATAGCCATTAAATACTTTTGTAAGAGGCTCTTCTAATTAGTTTGTCCCAGTGACATGACTTCATGTCCGTTTTGCAAGTTAGAAAAAGAAGTTATGCCATGAAAGGAGCAACTCAGAGCAGAGGACGATTCTTTATGCTCTTTCAGCGTGTTCCTGAATGTGTTGTAAGTACTGAATTTCAAAATTAATGGATTTTCAATTCGATCTCGAGGCTGTTCGGTGCAAGTTGACGTCAGTTGACACCACACTGTTTTTATCATGAAGAGCAGGATTAATTTCACCGCCTCTTGCCCAAAGTTCCACTTCTAAAAGGCTGATACGAGTTGTAATGTCTATAATTATCTTGGCTCTGGCGATAAGAAGAGGCCCCTCCATATCTAGACGCTGTGATGTTGTCATAAGGTCTATTTCCACCCGAGCTACGATCGAAATCTAGAGGATGTTTCCTCTTCTGCTTAGGAGGCAAAACCGTACCTTTTGAAGATGGCTCTGGAACATATCTAGACTTTTGATACGGTGGAGGATGAAAACTAGAATTGCCATCATTTCTTCCGCGCCGCTTCCTCTTCTTGTTGCTCTTCGAACTTACATTATCATCGTAGAAGGCATCATCAAATTCGTAGTCGTCCACCTCGAAAGGGTCATAATCTTCGGTGTCAGAAGGATACAGGGATGTAAATCTGCTTTTCTCGCGCCGACTCTTATTCAACTGCCGATAATATTCAACCTTAAGCTTCTTAGGCAAGTTATCTCCCGAAAACGCACTTCCATCATCGTTAGGGACTCTTGATGAGCGTCGAAAATCACAGTCATCTCCAAAATGTCCTTTACCACCGCAATTATAGCAGAATATTTTGTGCATGGGCAATACCCTTTTAGAATCTCCTTCAAGTAAGAAATAGCTTCTCCATATGCTAGGACAGCGATTTCTCGAATGCTTTTTGCTGTTACAGAGTGTACAGTAAACTCTTTTCCATTTGTGCGGACACTGGCTTCTGTAATGTCCATTCTCATTACAGTTTGCGCACTTGATGGCCTTGGGACAATGCTGCGAATAGTGATCATCCATGGACCCACAATACGAGCAGATTACGTGCGGACAGTTTCTTTTAAAGTGTCCCCTTTGAGAGCAATTATTACACTTAGGCTCTAGCTCCTGAATGCCATCTGCAGGGTCCTCAAGACCAAAGTAACGACCCTGACCTCGGATACTTCGTAGCTCTTCCGGATTTGAATCAACTTCTTCAATGGATGGCGCGATGATTTTCTCACTTGGTTCTAAAGATGGTGATGTGTCTTTCACAAATGGCAAACCATCCATAGACTCGACTTCTGCTAGCATAGAACTCATATTAGTGTAGCAAGTATTACTGAAGTTTATCTGATGAGATAGTTTTTGAAAATTTTGGTAATATGACGCGCGCCATCGCATCCATAAGAAAGAAAGAAATTTATTCTTTGAAAAGGATCAGAACTTGGAACAATGAGGAGGAAGGCCGCCTGAGGAGGTAAGGAGGCTGCTACTAATTGCCGGTCAAATACAGTAGTAGACTTGCCATATACTTCTAAATGGATCAACGCATCATGCGATACGAAATATGAAATTCGAGTCAAGAATACTGCTGCATGTGAGATTTTCATCTCACTCAATACACTAAAGCATACAGATTCATCTCCAGTACTATTTTCCCCCATACTAGAGGTATTTATATGTTGAGAATGGATGTATGTCGCTCCTCCTGGGAATGAGTAATATCACGTCAGAAATGACAACGAAAAATTTTCTTTGTATAGCAGCGCGTAAGATTTGAAGCTAGTGACTCTTCAAAGTTACAAGGCTAAATAGCACCAATGAGCGTCCAAGAGGCTATCAAAAAGGTAGAGGAAAAGGTCAAAGACCTTTCCGTAGACAAAAAGGACAAAAAGAAGCAAAATAAACAGGCTTCTTTGTACTTGGATCCTGAGCCAGATTTCATCGAGGAAAGGATAAAGTTCTTCGAGAAATTGCAGAAGGAGTATGAGGACAAAGTTGCTCAAATGCCTCGAGTACCATTGAAGGTGGTTCTTAAAGATGGATCTGAGAAGGAGGCCACTGCTTGGGAAACCACTCCAATGGATATCGCCAAACAGATTGCCAAGTCTTTCTTCGAAAGACAGTGTATCTCAAAAGTGAATGGCGAATTGTGGGATCTTGAGAGACCCTTGGAGGGCAAAGAAGGCGATGTTTTGAAGTTAGAATTTTTTGACTTCGAATCTGACGAGGGTAAGAGAGTGTTCTGGCACTCTTCTGCTCACGTTCTAGGTGAAGCTTGTGAATGTAACTTGGGTGCCCATATCTGTTTGGGACCACCAACTGATGATGGTTTCTTCTATGAATTTGCGATCAAAAACCCTCCTGGCACCGCGGAGGATGTTCCTGAAAGAACAGTCTCTCAGAACGATTTCCCTAGCTTGGAAGCTGTTTCAAAGAATGTTATCAAGGAGAAGCAGAAGTTCGAGAGATTGGTCATGTCTAAGGAGGACTTGCTAAAGATGTTCCATTACTCCAAATACAAGAAGTACTTGGTCCAAACGAAGGTTCCAGACGGTGGTGCCACCACAGTTTACCGTTGTGGTAAACTGATTGATTTGTGTGTCGGTCCACACATTCCTCACACCGGCCGTATCAAGGCTTTTAAACTACTTAAGAACTCCTCTTGCTACTTCTTGGGTGAGTCGGACAATGACTCTTTGCAAAGAGTTTATGGTATCTCTTTCCCAGACAAGAAATTGATGGACGCTCATTTGAAGTTCCTCGCCGAGGCTTCCATGAGAGACCACAGAAAAATTGGTAGGGAACAGGAACTATTCTTGTTTCATGAAATGTCCCCAGGTTCCTGCTTCTGGTTGCCACATGGTACCAGAATTTACAATACCTTGGTCGAACTTCTAAGAAACGAATACCACAAGAGAGGATATGAAGAAGTCATTACACCAAACATGTACAACTCGAAATTATGGGAGACTTCTGGTCACTGGGCAAATTATAGAGAAAACATGTTCACCTTTGATGTCGAAAAGGAAACTTTTGGTCTAAAGCCCATGAACTGCCCTGGTCACTGTTTAATGTTCAAATCAAGAGAACGTTCTTACAGAGAACTGCCATGGAGAGTTGCAGATTTCGGTGTCATTCACAGAAATGAGTTTTCAGGTGCCTTGTCGGGTTTGACGCGTGTTAGAAGATTTCAACAAGACGATGCTCACATTTTCTGTGCTCAAAACCAAATTGAACAAGAAATCGAAAACATTTTTGACTTTTTGAAGTATGTTTACGGTGTCTTTGGTTTTGAGTTTAAGATGGAACTTTCCACGAGACCAGAGAAATACGTTGGTGACCTCGAGACGTGGAATAATGCAGAAGCTAAATTAGAAGCTGCTCTGAAAAAGTGGGGTGGTAACTGGGAGTTGAACCCTGGTGATGGTGCATTCTACGGTCCTAAGATAGACATCATGATTTCTGATGCCTTGAAAAGATGGCACCAATGTGCTACTATTCAATTGGATTTCCAATTGCCAAACAGATTCGAACTTGAATTTAAGTCGAAGGACAATCAAGAAAATGAAAACTACGAAAGACCAGTTATGATCCACCGTGCTATTCTGGGTTCTGTTGAAAGAATGACTGCTATTTTGATTGAGCATTTTGCCGGTAAATGGCCATTCTGGCTATCTCCTCGTCAAATTTTGGTGGTTCCAGTTGGTGTGAAATATCAAGATTACGCACAGGAGGTTCGTGACAAATGTGCCGCTGCTGGATTTTACGCAGATGTCGATTTGTCCGGTAACACACTTCAGAAGAAGGTTAGAAACGGTCAAATGCTCAAGTATAACTTCATCTTTATCGTAGGTGAGCAAGAAATGACAGAAAACTCTGTTAACATCAGAAATAGAGATGTTAAGGAAATGCAAGGTAAGAATGCTACCATTCCAATTGACACAGTTTTGGAACAGCTAAAGAGCTTGAAGGATGAAAAAAGAGCCGACAATGAGCTGATCTAACTCAATTAATTCAGGCGAAGTATGTACCGTGATTTCTTTACCTATTCGTGTCCTCGTTTAGTATTTAAATAAATCTAAATCGCTGCAATATTATAAGATTCTAGGAATATTTTGATTGGTTTATGCATGTCTTCAATTAATGTATTTCATCCTCTCCACGACGTTCTCTTTCCAACAATTCATCGAACTCCCTCTGCGAATCATCTTCAGGGATTCTGTCATCACTGAAATGTTCCGCTTTGTCATGCCCAGCACTTTTTTGAGCGGCTATTTTTGACCATGTTGGAGATGAGGAACTAGTTTCTACGTTGTTCTCCTGGCGAATTCTATCCCAAGACGACAATGCTGGCCGAGACGAGCTTTCTTGATCAGCTTCGCCAAAAATATCTCCATCCTGATCTTTGCACGACATCGATGAAGGCTGTGGGGTATTTCCAACCTGAGGAACACCTTCCTTCTTGTCAAACCTAGGGCCGCTGTACAAGCCCAGTGGATCACGCTGATTGAGAAATGGGGATCCTTTAATCAACTTGCCATCCTCCATCTCTTTCAGTTTGCGTTTTGGATCTGGCAACCTTCTTTCAGGGTTAGTGTAGGTCGAGTAAAAGTATGTGGCCCACCGTGGAGCCATTCCTGGCCCTAAAAGCTTCAGCATTTCGTATTGCCTCTGTTGGCCACTTTTTGCTCCGGATTGTGCATCACCATACGCTCCAGCAGAGTGAAATTCCCCATTAGGATCCAATTCTCTCAATCTAGATTTATAGGTCCGGTCGCCTGCGATTCTTTGCCCTATAACCAAGCCAATAAGTCCGAGCACAAAATTCCTTGGCACCTTTACTCCTCTTATGGAGCTTGTTTTGTAATATCGATAAGCAAATGGCGATCCAAATATAGTTGCAAATCCAAGCCATCCTCCCCACATTTGTGCCCTGACAAGAGATACATATGCTTTGGAGATTTCCAATCTATCCCGTGAATCGAGAGCGCTATCCTTTTCATAAAATTCGACCGCGGATTTGTAGGCATCTTGAAACCAGCCCTGGTTGAAGGGAGCCTTATTTTGAGCCGTAACATTAATCCCTGACTCGGAGCTACTCGACATCCTTCCTTCCCTGCTGTACAAGAATGAGTAAGAGTTGTTCATCTGCCTAATCTTTGCTGTAAACTTCAGGGAAACTAATATCATAATAAACGGAACATACTTTGGAGTTCTGTTCTAGTTCTTTTTACCTTCAAACACTAATCATATAGGTAGATCAACAATAAGTGTGAAATGGATTACTTTACCATAAAGCAACAATACTACACCGGGAACTTCGAACAGGCTCTCCAAGAGGTTGCAAAACACAATAAAGTTCAAGATGACACGTTGCTTTTCTACAAAGGAAAATGTTTGGTGGCTTTGGGCAAGTACGAATCGATGGGAGAGGATGACATTTTGAGCAATGCTTTCGATAAATACGCTGCTTTCCTCTCTTCAAAGAAGCTAAATGAATTAGAGCAAATTTCCTCGGGAATTGGAAGTTTGTACGTTTTGAACTTACTGGCTTCCGCACAAGCTATTAATGGCGATTTTGACGCGGCATTAAAAACCTGTAATGTTGGGCTTGACTCAGAAGAGGAACACGGAAGATCAGAATTGGTTCTTTTAACAGTACAGATTGCTTTGCTGGACAAGCAGTACTCAATGGCATCGGCTGTTTTGCAACACCACGCAAGCACACGTGAGAATTACTCTAATGATGATGAAATTATCATCAATCTTGCTGAGTCATATGTGAATTTTGCAACTGGTAAAGAGGTTACTGGTTCGAACTTTTACTTTTACGAAGAATTGTGCCAAACTTTTCCAAGTTGGAAGACACAATTGGGACTCTTATGTTTGCATTTACAACAATCTCACATTCCAGAAGCTCAATCAATTATCGAATTATTGGAATCTGAGTATTACCAGCAACAAGCGGAGTATGCCAGAATCTACACCCCCGATCTGCTGGCGAACAAAATTACCTTAACAATCATGCAAGGTGAGAAGGCTGATGATCTTAGATCTGAGTTAAGAGATTTAAAACCAGAACATCCCCTATGTAGAGACTACCAAGCGAACAACGTAAAATTCGATGAAATCGTAGCTAGATATGCTTGATTTATCACTAATGTACGCCCCAAATTTTTATAGTTATTTCGACGAAAAAATTTCCTTGAACGTGTAATGACCACAAGTCATTTATCTGTCGAACAATTGGCAGGCATGTCAGAGTTATCAGAGGCTGAAAAGCGCAGAATCCTGCGTGAAAGAAGACAAAAGAAGTTTAGTAATGGGGGCGCGTCTTCAAGATTGAACCAGATTACTGGTCAAACAGAAAAGAGTTTTTTGTCTACAGAATCACCACTCGACTCCAGAAGCTCCACCCCCTCCACTCCCACTCCAGCTCCCACCAATAATGAGCAGTCAACAAAGCAGATGGAGGAACTACTTGCTAGCATATCAGCACCATCCTCAGCTTCTAAAGGGAATAAACCTAAATCTGAGGGTTCCTCCAATCCACAAATGGATTTGTTTGCCCAACTTGCCAAAATGCAGCAAAGCGATGCTAATGAAAGTACACCAGATACTCCTGATATTTTTGCTCAACTTCTGAAGTCTGTACAGCAACAAGAAAGTGCACAATCTTCCAGCGAACCGCCGGCCGATGCTGCGATGATCGAGGCTCACAACAAAAAGGTGAACAAATTGAAGGCCTTTACGGTTTTAATCAAATGGCTATTTTTCTTGACCCCCTACATCATTTACATCACCAATCCCGCCCATAACGTCGTAGGTTCCTCACTTCTTGATTCGATGCTTAAAAGGTCCAATTTTTTCACTGTATTTACTTCATTTGAGGTGGTCGCTATTTCTGTTTACTATCAGATACTTCTTTCTGTGGAGAAGTCCCATAAAGTTAACACGTTGCAGAGCAATAGCAAAATACTACAATTGGTCAGTATGGTTCCTGAAGGACTTATCCCCATCAGAGATTTACGAGGAAAAGCTTCTCTCGCATTACAGTACTGGGATGTTCTCTCAATGTATTTGACCGACCTATGCTTTGCGTTGGTTCTTATGGGCGTTTTACATCGATTTTACTATGCCTTTTAGGACCGGATGTTAAGAATTTATATATAATTACACGATAGCTACCTAAAGTGTGCTTTTCACCCCTCTTGAATTCATAAAACGTTTTACTTGTTATCTTCTCCTACAATGTCCATCCACGTTTTACCCTCTTTTTTCAATTCAGCGGTCACATCGTCCTTGATCTTGCTAACTATAGCCGGCCCTTTGTAAGCGAAGGCAGTGTACACCTCAACAAAACTAGCACCAGCTCTTCCAAATTCCAAGACATCTTGCGCTGATGAAATTCCCCCACATCCAACTAAAACTAGACCTGAATCTTTAGTATATTTAGAGACATTTTTGAGAGCTTTCAGAGCGAATGGTTTAAGTGGCTTCCCCGACAACCCTCCAGTCTGATTTTTTAGTTCAGGGTCGGGAGTAATTAAACTATCCGGCCTTTGAATAGTGGTATTGGATACAATTATGCCATCAACTTTGGATCTTTTGGCAGCTTCTGCAATAGATTGTAACTCAGGCTCAGTTAAATCTGGAGCAATTTTCACCATAACCGGAGGTTTATGAGCCTCTGCACCAAGAGCGTTTCCATGATTTACCAATTCATCCCTTTTCTTAACTACTTGAGTTAACAAGTCCGTCAATTTAGCCTCATTTTGTAGGTCCCTTAGGCCTGGGGTATTAGGGGAAGAAACATTGATTACTAGAACATCAGCTAGAGATTGGAATTTCTCCACACCTTTAAGATAGTCATTAACTTCGTCTCCGTTTTTATTTTTACCCAAATTGATTGCCAAGAGTTTGTCTTTGTAAAGGGACAAGTTAGCAATGCTTTTGTCTTCAAAATATGAATTAAGAAACGCGGAGACCCGATTAGTAAGTAACGAATGGACAAAGTCGTGACCATTGGAGTTGAAACCGTATCTATTTATAACAGCTTCATCTTGAGGCAATCGAAAGAACCTTGGTCTTGGGTTACCGGGTTGAGGAAGTGGAGTAATAGAACCAATTTCGTGATAACCGAAACCACTTTGAAAAATACCATCAACAGCTTCACCATTTTTGTCCAAGCCTGCCGCGCATCCAATTGGATTGGTGATTGTCTTGCCAAAGGCTTTGACATGCAATATTTCGTCATCTTTGTCGAATAATAACTTAGGAGCGAGACCCCATTTGAGTAAGAATATTCCCAATTTATGACCTTCCTCAGCATCAGGAGTGGCCAACCTGATAATTGGACACAACAGGTACTCGTGAATGGCAGACCGGGAGTTCATCAGATAATATCCCGCGACCGTACCTCCAACGAAGCTTGCGCTATAAAGCACCAACTTTGCGCCGCTGAAAGCGGACTTCAAAGGAATCCTGTTATTAGAATAGAAGTAATTATGTCCCTTACCCAAGAACTTAGAGGTCAGGCCCCTAGCTAATGACATCTTCAATGACAATTTCCTGTTGTCGTTAACTCGAAAATCTCAAATTTTTCACACATTCAATTTTTCAACTCGGGAACTGCTGTTGGTTACATAATTTAGCTCACATTTGGAATTTGAATGATTGATATGGACAGGCAACTATATATAGTACCAAAAAATACGAAAGCTTTAATAATATTCATACATTAGTATATTATAGATTTAAAAGCTAAATTCAAATATTATTTTCAACCTTAGAAACAACCGGTTTGTTGATTTTAGCCGCTGGGTTAAGACAACGACATCTGCATAGTACTCCATAAGATGTTGAATCTGCAAAAGGTATAATTTATGAAGTCGAACATTTAATACTTAAGCCAAAGAAGTGAATATCTTTTCAGAACTCAGGACATTTCCAACGGGATCCGAGGTATATCAAGAATGTAACGAAATACACAATACGACATATCCCTGAGGAATTTATAAATGCTCAGGATTGAAAGGAAATAGCCCCCGAGGATCATCGATCGTAATAACGAATAGTGCTCTTTGCATGTTACGCTTTAAAGACGGATAGTCACATGACAACGACTTTTTTCTTTTTAAATGACAAAAAATTTTCTGGCGATGAGATGAGCATAGAGGAGAGTATCGTCAGTTAAAAGTACATATTCCGGAAGAAAGGGCCATGTCAAAATCCAGATCGACTGGCAACCAGTCAAAGAAGGACGGAAACACTAGCAGCAAATTTGAGAGAGGTCACAATGGGACTCATAAGTCTCAGTATCTCAAGACAAAGGACAAGAAGCTGAAGGCAGGCCTGAAGAGAATAGATGAAAAGTACAAACAAGCAGTGTCTTCCGCTGCTGCAACTGAATATTTATTACCAGAGGCCCAAGGCTACCTAGAAGCCGAAAATGAAATGGAAAAGACTTTTAGAATAAGGCAGAGTGAGATTAAGGATGCAGTTGATGTTACGACTGCTGCAAAAGCTTTAGATCTAAAACTGAAAGAATTCGGGCCTTACTCGATTAACTACTCAAGAAATGGTACACATTTGCTAATATGTGGAAGAAAAGGACATGTCGCTTCCATGGACTGGAGGAAGGGAGACCTTCGTGCCGAGATGTATCTTAATGAGACATGCCAAACAGCTACTTACCTCCAAAGCGAGCAATATTTTGCCGTTGCCCAGAAGAAGTATACTTTTATCTATGATCACGAAGGTGTTGAATTACACCGTTTAAAGCAACATATCGAAGTTAAACATATGGAGTTTTTGCCTTATCATTATTTACTGGCAACGGCTGGCCAAACTGGATGGCTTAAATATCAAGATGTCTCAACTGGTCAGCTCGTTGCAGAACTCAGGACAAAGCTAGGACCTACCTCTGCAATGGCACAAAATCCATGGAACGCTGTTGTACATCTTGGCCACGCAAATGGTACAGTAACTTTGTGGGCGCCAAATATGCCCACCCCTCTCGTTAGACTACTTTCAGCCCGTGGACCGATAACTAGCATTGCCATTGATAGACAAGGCTACTATATGGCAACTACAGGAGCAGATAAATCAATGAAAATTTGGGATATCAGAAATTTCCGAGAATTGCATTCAATTGAAAATCTACCAACGCCTGGGTCAAACGTAGCTATCTCCGATACCGGTCTATTAGCCGTAACTAGAGGACCTCACGTCACACTCTGGAAAGATGCATTGAGGAGTAGTAAATCCTCAAGACCATATTTTGGTTCAAGCGGATTTTCCGACAGAAACACCCCGTATATGTCACACTTGTTTCCCGGCAACAGAGTAAACAATATACAGTTCGTTCCTTTCGAAGATTTAATAGGTGTTGGCCATGAAAATGGTGTTACCAATCTAATTGTGCCAGGGGCAGGTGAGGCGAACTACGATGCTCTAGAAATCAATCCATTTGAGACCGCAAAGCAGAGACAAGAACAAGAAGTGAGAACACTGTTGAACAAATTACCTGCTGACTCCATTGCATTGGATCCAAATGTTATTGGAACTGTAGACAATCGTGCGTCCGCTGTCAGATTGAATGCAAAAGCTTTGGCCGAGATTACTACAGAAAAGGAAAATTTGTCTAGATCAAATAAGGACATTCCTGATGTCAAGCCAGACGTCAAAGGGAAGAACTCTGGTTTGAGGTCATTTTTGCGTAAAAAAACTCAAAATGTTATAGACGAAAGAAAGATAAGGGTTCAAAAGCAACTAGAAAAGGAGAAGTCTGCGCGTCACAGGAAGGAAATGATCAAGAGGGGAGAGATTGATGAGGAACACAAGGATCTTGTAAGCGAGGCATTGAATAGATTTGGTTAGTGTGATATAATGTATAAAAAATCTTGCATTTGCTGCAACTTATACTGACATATGTAATACAAGATTCAAGGTCTTTACATAGTCGTTCTCCGGTAAAAATAGACCTTCAATGGTTTCATTATAATTTGTCGCTTTCTCCTAATATTATACTTGATGATATACACTATACTTTAGAAAAATCCAACTCCTCCTCAACTTTGAAAGGTGTTGGCAAAGGTGCATCGATGTCCTTTAGTTGTTTGGCGGTTTTGATCAAGTCGACAGGTTCATTTGGATTTTTATCAATCAGCACAACGACACCGTTACTACCCTTAAATTTACGTACCGGAATAAAACGTTCCTCTTTTGAAAAAGCAATGTACTTCAACTGCTGTGGTAGCACGCGCGAAGCGTTTTCAATCTGGTAAGGTTTGCTGATATATTTCACCTTATACGAATCATCATCCTTTGTTTCAGGTTCACCTTCCTTCTTTTCAATTTTTTTCTCATCTGTTTTGATTTCTTTCTTGGACTGCTCAACATTAAATTCTTTACTCTCTTTTTTAGTTTTCTTCGCTCTCGCCTTAGCTTTTGCTGTGGTAGACAAGACCGCTGTGGCTACCTTTTCAACACTTTTGTCTGTATTTTCCTCAAACATTGGTGGATAATCAAAAATATCTGGCTTGGTGTGACAGTTAATTTTGAACGAAGGGATACTGATGTCTTCACCACGAACACCTATAATTGTGGTAGGACTGAATGACAAAGATAGGAAGTGAGCCAATGGAAACCAATACCAAAATTGAGAAAACATGGCTAAACCAATGACGGCTTTAGTATCCAGCGTGCCCATCTCAACGTTTTCAAGTTGAATAGTAACGTTTCTTCCACCAGCATTCATAATACCTTGTGCAACGCAGGCACCGAACTTCGCTAACCCTTCTTGATGTTTGTTGGTAACCACATTGCTGAATAATTCGTTGATCTCCTTAACCCTTGGGTTAGTTTTTTCTGTTTGCTGAATGAGAACCATTGCCAAAGAAATCATTGCTGCTTGACGAACAAAATCAACTGGGTCTTTAGTCAAGGGTATCAATACATCGACAGCAGCTTGGAAGCCGCGCCCAGCACACGAAATACCCAATGCGAAAGCAGTACCACAACGAACATGTGCGTTATGGGACTCCGATAACAGCTCGACAATTCGAGGGACAGTCGTATAATCACGAATGAGGACAAAACCCAGGGCAGTGACAGCCGCTCTTCTGACATCGTCATCGGAATCTGAAACAGCAATATGCAATAATTTTTTGACAGCCTTGTTGTTACCTGTACCGGCGTATGCCAATGCAATAGTGAAAGCACCACCATAACGTAATAGCCCATTTTCATGTTTCAACATCTGTTCAATAGTTTCGTCGGCCAGCTCCTCACGAGCGTAGTTGATAACTGCTAGACCCATAGCCAAACCACGAGTTATGTTACCGTGTTGAGTTTCCTGGGCGTAAGTAAACATATCGTGGATTACGGTTTCATTTCCAGTGCCCAGCATGATAAGGCCCATACCTAAAGCCGACGCCTCGCCTGAGTTGGCTGAATCATTATACAGAACCTCCTTTAGAGCCTCGTAGATTTCGCTGTTCGCAGACCCCATACCTGCTAAACCTATACCTAATGAAGCACCATGTAGAAGTACATCGACATCATCGTCCCCAACAGAAGAGCTATTATCAGTAATATGAGTTTTCAGGTAATCGATAACCTCCCTTCCATAGCCAGCGAAAATCAAACCCAGCCCATACAGAGAGCCACCTTTGATATAACGAGATGCTGCACGGCTTCCGGGCAAATATGGCTCCATAATCTTCCTTCCATCGGACAAGTTACCCTTATGGATGACTCCAAGAGAGGCTGTCGCAGTAAACTTCGCCCAATTTTGAGCCTTACCTAGCCATGGTAGATTGGATCTAATAAAAGAATCGTCAGTAGTACCAGCGTGCATAAATCCATTAGAAACACTCAGGGCGGTGTGAAACAATGAAAATTTACCATCCATGGATGATTTGGTTTTGTTCAATAAACCCAAATCTATGTTTTTATTTCTAAATAGAAATGTGTTGTAATAATCGCAAGTCGGTATGCCTGACAAAATGTCCAGTAACTTCTTGTCAAACTTCTGGGCATCAAGCGCTGAAATGAGCCCTCCTAACAATTCTTGAGATGCAGATGTAACCAAGTCAAAAGCGATTTGATATGATATTTCGATATTTTCTTCACTGTGGAGTTTCTCGAACAACGCAGTAGCCAACTTTGTATCATTCAGGTTTACGATAATCTTTGAGATCGTGAAATAGTCGGGACTTTTCAACGAACTTAGAATTTCGAACAGCTTTTTCAGAATGCTCACCCTGAAAGGGGTACTGGTTACTGTTGTGCAAGCAGCAGAAAGAACATACGTCACCAATTTTAAGGCATTTGCCTCTGTATCATCGGCAGTCCTTTCCCTTAATATTGTTTCAATAACATCTAAACGATAACTTTCGAGAGCTATGCCCAAAGCCAATTTGTAATCCGCAGTTTTAACACACTTTTCCAACATTTTTTCAAATATAAGTGTCAATTGTGGGTCAATTGATGAGTTTGAATCATTAAGTTCATATCTCTTAGTAGAAAGTTGAATGTACATTTCGATACTTTGTGAGATTATCGTTTCCACGAACTGTGACTTTTCATCAAAATTGAAGTAATCTTCCGCGGCAAGAGCAAACTTCACAGCTGTCTCGTAATCACCAAGATTGTAATACACCTTCGAGGCAACTAGAGCTGCCAATTTGCGGTCCTTAAATGAGTTGTCATCATAGAGAGCTTCTATATCTGTAATATCATTTGAGATCTCGGACCATAGCTGGTCAACAACTCCGTTAATCGATTCTAAAGCAAATGACTTGACCGAATTGTCCTTTTCTTTCAGCAAAGCCAAAAGGGGAGCAGCTGTAGTAACTGACATAATTTGGGTAGGTGTCGAATAGGCCAGTTTATATCACAACTATGTGGTTTTAAGGAATACCAATCAATTTGCCACCGACTTTTTTTCTAATCATAGTAGAGGGAGAGTTTGGATATCACGTGACTGGAGTTGATAAAGGAATTGACGTGTACTGACGAACCCTCAGCTATAAAGCAACGCTGGATACCGACGAAATCAGTTCTTTGAATTATTTATCATTTAGAATAGTTTAACTACAGATATATAGGTGTATAGATAGTGGTTTCTCACTTTCTCAATATAGTAATCTGATGGAAATTTTGTATTCAGTCTCGTTCAGTTGATCGTAAATTTCTTTGATATCACTTTGATTTACCGAGGAAATGTCTGCCATCAAGTAAGCAATGTCGCCGTTTGAATCTGAAAATTGTTTTTCAATGTTGTGGTTAGACAAAATATTGTTAACAGTCTTCAAGACACCTGGAACGTTGTGATGAATATATAGGACACGGACAGTGTTTTCCTGGTCTAGATCCAACGATCTTAGAGAAACCTCTGGGAAGTTCACAGAACCAACAGAGTTACCCTCATTGATGTACTTCGACAAGGCCGCTGCCACTTCGATACCAATTGCACTTTGAGCTTCTTCAGTGGAGCCACCAATGTGGGGAGTCAAAATGATGTTGGGTAAAGAGACGAGTTCAGAAGTCCAGCTGTTCAAGTCGTCATTGAAGGATCCAGCACCATTTTTGCCTGGCTCATTTGGATAGACATCGAGGGCAGCACCGGCAATCTTGTTAGCCTTAATAGCCTGAATTAAAGCTGGGATGTCTATAACAGTACCTCTGGAGGCATTTAGAACATATGAACCGTCCTTCATGGCTGCAAATTGAGGAGCAGATAACAAGTTTTTGGTTTCAGCAGTTTCTGGGACGTGGCAAGTAACAAAATCAGACTTGTTCAAAAGCTCATCAAGAGTGGAAACTTGCTTGGCGGTACCCAATGCCATGATTGTGACGATATCATAGTACAAGACATGCATACCGAAAGCTTCCGCCAAAACAGACAATTGAGAACCAATATGACCATAACCGATAATACCTAAAGTTTTGCCTCTAACTTCCCAGCATTTGGCCGAGACCTTGTTCCAGGTACCAGTATGTAGTTCAATGGATCTATCGCCTAGCTGTCTTGCCAAAGAGACAATCTCAGCCATGATTAATTCAGCAACTGATCTGGAGTTAGAAAATGGTGAGTTGAAAACGGCAGTACCGATCTTAGCAGCGTAGTCCAAGTCAACTTGATTAGTACCAATACAGAAACAACCGATAACGACCAAGTTCTTAGCATGTCTTAGAACCTTTTCAGTCAACTTAGTCTTGGATCTAATACCAATAGCATGAATGTCCTTGATCTTTTCGATCAACTCATCTTCTGGTAGAGAGCCTTTTAGCACTTCAACCTGGTAGCCCTGCTCATTGAATATTTCGATGGCGGTTTGGTTAACGTTCTCAAGAAGTAAGATCTTGATATCACCAGTAGAAAATGGCTTCAAGGCTTTTGTTTGCTTTGAAACGCTGATACGACGTGGAAGTGTGTTCATGAAAGATTGTGTTGGCGATGTCGAGACGGCTCCAGGTGATCCTGACAAGGTAGCCGCTCTTTGAAATGATTTTTGGAGATTGTCGATTTCTTGTGGTGAAGCCATTGTACGATACTAGACTGGTTATCTAAGCTCAATCAAAGGGCAGATTAAGAATTTGCTCTTTCTTATATATGGCGTTTTACTGATGATTACTCACAGATGAGAAAAAGCTCAATTTTTGTGTTGAAAAATTTTCACCGCCACACATGTGATATGACATATTCCTGGTCATTTATGGCCCAAGGTGCATTATCCTTACTATCGTTCGATCAGTGGGTAACTACGCATCTTCAGCAAACCGACAACGCTTCGAATGCCTCTTTTATGGTGAATTTTACTATCATTGATGGTCTTGTGAAGAGAGGCGCTCATCAGTTCCCGCCTCCGCGTTTCTGACTTGGAACGCTGAACAAGAGGTAAACCAATTTTCACGACATCTTACATAAGCGGCCAAAGCTAACGCCACGTGCGATGGACGGAGTGTGACCCTGCAAACCTCGCTTAGAATTTACTTGAGTGCGGTTGTGGTGTCTTACGCACGGTTGGCTATTAGTCACAAGGCCTAGAGATGATTGATCAAATTCTGTAGAATAGTAACCATCTTAACTCAAGTCTCACTTACAGGAGGTGTTCTTTGGGCTTTAACTTCTATGTAAGCGGCGTAGTTCGAATAATAACGCTGTCATGCAGAGATCAGCGTTAAATATTGGCGGTGAAAACTGTTACAGGCTCAGAAGCATTTTAACATCTTTACCATCTAGGGCAGTTTGTTGTTTAACCTGAATTAATTCTAGCAAACTCAAATAACTCCCTTCTGAACTCAGATGATAACCCCCAAGTGGCCATTCGATGCTAATTACAATATGACGAGACCGTATACGACCTTCCACAGCAATACTAAAAAAACTTGAAAGAATATAAAACGTTCATAATATGTTAGGAAGAGTAGGAGGAAGTCGCCTGCACAATATACCTACTTACACATTTGCGGTGTTCAAAGCGTAGTTTCCGTCTTCTCCTTTTACTAGAATTTGGGACTTCACCAGATTATCAAACATGTCTTGAGGAATCCAGCCTTGCGTGGCCGCAAAAGGCGAGGAAATCAGCTTTTCATGGAATGCTGTAAGGTCCTTGGCATGTTTTTCAAGCTGCTCTTTGGAGAACTCTAATGGAAAGGATTTCTCGCTAACAAGACCGTTCTTTGCAAAGACATCCCAAACCTCTCTTAGCTGAATCAACGCTTCATCAATCAGCAAGTACTCCATGTCGCTCTTTCTCTCAACACAGGCAATGTATGGGCTTCTCAATAGTTTGACTGGCGGAGCAACAGAAGAAATCAAGTTGTTTGAGTTTTTGTTCAACGCTGACTCCCACAAGAACTGATTGCGAGTACGTTTGTACATGAATTGATATTGCATTTTTTCTTCATTCGACATGTCCTTGTAACCTTCGATATCTTCCTCAAGGTTATAGATCTTAGGACCATCATATGCCACAAATTGTGGCGAGTTTTGTAAAATGAAAGGCTTTATACATGCGCCTTCGAAATCTAATAAATATGGGGCATTTTCGTCCTTTACGCTCAATAGCACGTTCATAGGATCCAGATCAGGATGATATAGTCTGGGCTTCAAAAGATCCTTGATATTGGGGATTGCACTCGTATTAGTGTTGAATAAGGCTGTTGATATTCTTGCAATATTGTCGAAGGTGCGAACTTGTTCACTTAGTACCGTTTTGTCGACGGTTTCAGGAGAAGCGCCAGCTTCCTTCAATGCCAATCTGGCCTTTGCATTTTCAGCCTCAACTAGACCCGTATTCTTAATAATATCCATAGGCTGAGAGAGAGGCCATGGGCCGATATATCTCTTGAGCTCTTCAAATTTGAGCGCAGACTTCTTTCTCCAAAAGCATCTTTCGGTAGTAGGACCCACCTGCCATCTTTTTTGCAAATCCTCATTGCTTTCGTTTTGGTAAGCTGGTAATTCACTCACTTCACAATCCTTTGCGAAATATAAACTGCCGAATTGAGTGAATTCAATTTCAGACATTTTGGCTTGCATCTTAGACAAAGGCTCGATAACACTGTTCAACTTTTTTACATGAGATTCCTTATCCTCTGCGTCATCTTCTAACGGGTTCCAATCTCTCATTAAAAGTCTTCCATCGACGTATTCCTGGAGAATAAAGGGTTGTCTAATTGGATTTGAAGCTTCTGACGCATAACAGAAAACCTTCGGAACTTTCAGCCCGAGCTTTAAGTCTACAAAATCCATAGTAGCAACTTCACTATTGATCCTGTATGAAATCGTTTTCTCATTTTCCAAGGCGTACGGAATTCTCAAGACAAAAGACTTTCCCGCATTTGTATCCACCTTATAAATTCTGTGGTGCTTACCTTCATGAATACTGGCCATAGCAGTTACACGAATATTCTCGTTAGGATTAACCGTACCTAAATTCTTGATCGATACATTATGTGGTAAACTAACAGTGCGGTTGCTGTTATCAATGGGGGCAGGCACATGCGATTCATCAAACTGCTGAGCGTTTTCTTTCGATTGAGTATAAATGCCGTTCAGCACATCGTTCAAACCTTCAATGGAGAAACGAGTAGTCCTTTTGGCCTTTTCATGATTATCATTCACAAGCCAAGAGCCCCAAGAATACTTAAAGAATGCATCCCTTTGAGGATCATTTTCTTCTGAAAGTTTGGTGAATATTTCATCTGGTGTCTTCGAGATGAAACGGACCGAATTCGTGATTTTTAATAATGATTTAGTTGGAACTGCAATTGATGCTTTCTTAAGTGGGCTCTTGGGCCGTAAAGCTATTCTTAGCATCCTGTGGTCTTCTTTCTTATCCGACGAAGTTTCCGTTATTTCCAATTTTTTCAAGAGTTATAATTTGCTAAGAAGAGGCAATCCAACACTTTTGAGCAATGATACATTCCAGTCGAATATGCGCTAAACACAATTTTAGATATTAAGCCACAGATTTTGCAATTAAAAACGCTAGAAATAGTCCAACAATTTTACGAACTCTGCTCTATGAGTTATCAGTCTGCATAAGGCTAACGTGAAAAAGGAACCAATTTCACTATGGCCCGCTACACAAAGAACGAATAAGAGGACGCTATCACAATTCTTCCCTCTCGAGGACCTAGGGAATATTTTTCTTAGCGCTCCTGCATTGAATGAAATCTTTGTTTCAAATGGATAAGCTTGCCGCTCCGCGCTCAGTCAGTTCTTGTCAGTGGAAATACCATATTTAAAATTCTATTCCAAGACGCGATGCCCTTCAGAAAAGATCAATCTTTCTAAAAGTCAAGTTTTCCGAGCTCATCGAGATCTATGTCAATACGTTTAGTCATTTGGCGAACCTCGGTATCTAAAACTCTCATCTGAAAAGTTGGTCAAGATTATACTTGATTATGGCAGTGGTTTTTAGATTCACCAGAGTAATGCATCCCTAAGATCGTAACTGCTCAGTCATTTGAGCTTAAGTCACCACTCTACTGTTTCAAAAATCTGTTGGAGGACAGAATTTGCAACTAACTAAAAAAAAAATGTTCATAGGCCATAATTTAATGCGATGTATGCCAGTTGGTCATAATTGCAGCTGGTGTATGTTTCAAGCGTTTAGCACCCCAACGCTAGTTACAAAACCGTCCAAGCTTGAAAAGAATAAAACATCATCCCTTGGAAGCATCGGAAAACCACCTGTTGTTAAAACCTTCAATTTTCTGCGAATCAAAGCTCCTGATGAGCTACAGGAATATGCGATAATTATAAGCGCGCTAATTACAAGTGCATCAATCACCCGATGGTATGCGATCGCATGAGAGAAGCATCCAGAGTATATGAGGTTTCAGCTAGCCACATCGTCAGCATTCTCAAGAGCGGTACTCATAGATTACATGAAAACTGTTCCCAGATCACTTGAATTCAAAAGATTACCAAAAATTTATTGATTAATTATAAAATCCCAGGACAAATATATTTCGATCAAGATACACCAGCAAGCGTCAAGCTGCTGATGGAAAGCTGGATACCTCGGTATTCAACTTTAGAAGGGAAGATTGCGGCAATTGCAAAGTTACTGAAAAGTCTTTTGCACACTTACCTTGTGGTGCCATCAAAATTTGCCGTCACCAATACGGGAGGCAAGCTTCTTGTATCGTGCAGATAAGAAGCGTCGTCACCTATGGTGCTGAGATTGCTTTCATCTTCGCTATTGATCATTTCATAAAAGGAGCGCGAGTTTGTCTTGCTGTCTTTCAAATCATGAGTGTCATCCAGCGACATGTCCATTATGTCGTCATTGAAAGATTCAACAGAGGAGCTCAAGTGAGGCAAGTATGATTTATCATTCAGTAAGCGCATCTTGTCTCTAAGTGTCATAGGTGGTGCTGAGGGAAAATCCTGACTACCGTTCAAACCTGAATCTTCGTGTGACTTTGGGTATAGCTGCTTTTTCAAATGCGATTGAGCCATCGAATTGAGCAGATTCAATGAATACTGTGGAATGCCGTATCGGTGAACTTTCCTACCTTCCACTCCGTCCTTTGTGGCGATCATAGATAATGACGACGTCACCGAAGATCTCGACAACGGTCTCGAAATTGCTGAAGCTTGTGGGTCTTCAATCTGATCTGATTCGAATCCTGACCTACTGGCCGTAATATTCTCATTTCCATCTGCCGTCGATAAATTGTATAGTGAGATCGCCGATGAAACGTCCTTGGAACTCAACGACGAAACTGAGGAGTTTTCCATGTTACAAGATTGGCTCATAAAAGAAGAGGGGCAAAATGCAAGAACGGGAAGCAATTGAACTGACTGTTCCGCTGATGCTGTCAGCTCAGTTCACTCCTCCTTCAAGGGGCCGAGATTCAACGAATATTGTCACTATCAACGCTACTGCAAAGCCACCCCAGACCAAAATTCTTTGGGTGTTCTCCACGAAAAGAAAGTTCTGCATTCTAGAAACTCATGAAATTAAAGTTCCTTTATTCAATTTGCTCGCAAGAATTTCAACGACCGATTTTCTTTTCGTAGTCCAAGGCACTGTACATCGTTTTTGTCATTGGAAACAATTCTCCAGAGAATGCTCGTAGTCAAAACTTCTCCAAGGTTTTTTTAAAGCTCCTTTTTCGACTATTCATGACTATTTGGGCTGATGTCGGGGAAGTAAACGTGCCGTAACAGCTGTCAACTATCATGCTGTATCCAGGGGGATAAAACATTGCTCAACTCAACCTACCGCTGTGTGAACGTTTCTGCCACAGCTATCTTGACTGGAAATGAGCTTCAATGGTTTTATACTGTTGAACGGTATGAAACCGCTCTTGCAATGTGGCGACAGCTAGGGATGTTCTTATAGATGGCAAACTAGTAAATAAAGGCCATGTACTTCTTATTTTCCACGGTGGTGCTAAGTCCAGTAGTTGATATATGACTTCCGTTCAACATTCAGTAAAGATGAAGACCAGTCAAATGCTTCTATCTGTCACACCAAACTCAATGGCCATTTAGCATAGGTTGGTTAAATATCACCTCAATTGTATTTATGAGTTTAGGAAGAAAGCGGTTGCGACGTTCTTCTGAAGTATACAGGGATTCAACTTGAAACTCAGGTCAATGTTATTGATAAGTCGGTGGTAAAGTCATGTTAAACGAGTATCAAAAGGTCGGCGGCTATTTTCAAATCATTACGATATAAAAGTTGCCACCCAAGGTGGTTAACTTCCCATTACTTCGAACCTAGACGCACAAGAGATAAGAATGTCAACACTACAACAGGTGAAACCCAAGAACGAGGTCAAGACGTCCACGGCATTGACTTGTGAGCAGTCTCAAAGATTGGTCCAGACAATGCTTACAATGTCTTTCGGATGCTTATCCTTTCTCAGGGGCCTCTTTCCGGATGATAACTTTGTTGACCAAAGGTTCGTTCCGGAAAAAGTGGACCGTAATTACAGGAAGGATAAAAGCTCAGCCAATGCAAACTCAATCAAAATCAAAACCTTGGTGCGCGGCAAGACAGCTGAGGCAGACTTATTTCTCGATTGGCTTGAAAAGGGCGTATTCCAATCCATAAAACTGAAATACCTGAAGGCATTGAGCTTAGGCATATTCATAGATGAGAATGCACCCACAGATTTGTTAGAAAACTACATTTTTGGTTTTAGCTATGACGAAGGTGGAAATGTCTCCATGCAAGTGAACGACGAAAACGAACAAATATCACTTCTTGATTCTAGAAAAGTGGTTCAACAACTTATGAGACGATTTATCATCATCACTCAATCTTTAGAACCGCTGCCTGAAAAAAGATACTTGACAATGCGCTTGATGTTCAATGAGAGCGCCCCCAGTGAATATCAGCCGCATCTTTTCCGAGATGCCACCAATGACGCTGCAACAACTATCAAAATCCCAGAATCCGCGGACTTGGAAACTTATTCTGTAGGATCGTTGGATACCAAATATCACAAGTATGCATTCATCAATTAGTCGTAAAGACTTTCAACATTACTGAAAATCATCACTAACAAAACTGCAGAGTATCCCTAAAAGTTTTATCTGTTATTGAAACCGCTGCGAATAGAAAAGAAGAAATCATGCGAAATTTAGACCCTTTCGACCTCATTGATAATCACAACTTTCAGGAGCGCGTAATTTCAGGTCATCTTGAACCAAATGTGTCTAGCTTTGCTGCTAGTCAAACAACAAGTATGTTACAAGGGTTTTTGAAGACCTCACCACTTTGTGCCACGCAGGCACAGTTTATGGACGATTCTTCAACCCATGACTGCGAATGTGGTGTGTCTGATCCGACGCCGCTATCGAAAACTCTGTACTGCGCTAGATGTGGAAAGCGTGTTCATCGCTTGTGCTATGGAAACTTCAGAGGCTCAAACATTCCAAATTGTATTTCTTGTTTGGGAGTCAGTTCAATGACCAACTCTTTTGAATTGAAGGTTATGATGATGTTACGGAGAATTTATAGGTTTATGACAAAAAAACCGGCATTTCCAAAATCTGTCACTGCTCTGTATGAAGTCCTATTAGGGAAGGATTTTGATTCCAACGGTGTTGAACAGGTCAATATGGCACTCTCTATTTTATTTGCTGATAAAGTTTTTGAATTAAGTGATGAGCGTAAAAAGGGTTCGAGCACTAATGCGTTTCTCAAATGCTCAAATTACATTGATATAGATCATGGTGGGATTCTGGCCGGCAACGCTGGAGTTTTGACTTGTAATACAAGAAAGGTTTGGACATTTGTTCACAACTCTCCTCATGTTCAAAATTGCTACAGCATGGTTCTTATTCAAACTGAGGCGGAATTGGTTGATGCTTTGAAATCCGTTAAAAATTCAATCGCAAGCATAAGAAGCGTAAATGATCCCAATGATGACAGTTATGCATTTTCAAACATTCAAATGGATTCCTTAAAAATCTCTGACGACACCCAGGAAAGTTTAAGTACAGGAAAAAGGCAATTTGCGAACATGGATGAATTTACCTGTAATGAAGAGGATGGTCAATCTATCGAGACTCAAACTATGAATGATAGCTATTCTAACAAAATTAGAAAAGTAAGTGTTTCGAAAAAGACACTGAGAAGCGTGTGGTAGTGGTTAAAGATATTACTTAATGGAACTTATCCAAGAATTTTTTCATACTCTTAAATGTTCATCGCTAAACATCAATGTTTTTTGGAGTAGATGTCACTACGGAAAAAAATAATTGTGTCGGTGACAAACATATTTGCTATATAAGGTAATTATTCGATCTTCTCAAGATATCTAGTATCAGGAAAAGTTCTCCAAATCAACGGTACGCTAGACGTTCAATCAAACTATGTTGCGTTATTTGGGCTCAAGTAACCTGAAGAGAGTACTCCAGCGAAAGTGTGTGCGTTATATTTCAATTAGCGGGATTACATTGCAGAGTCAAAAGTTCCTCAACAGACAAAGACCACCTTTTCAGTCGGGTCAACCATTGTATGAAACCCGTCCTTTTCTTTTAAAACCCGGTGAACTAACAGCAGGGATCACTGCTACTGAGTACTTCGAGCGGAGACTGAAACTCGCTAGACGGCTGCCTCCAAAGAGTTGCGTGATACTTGCCGGCGCACAAGTTAAATACGCTTCTGGCCCTGTGTTCTACCCCTTTCAACAAGATAATGACTTCTATTATTTGACTGGATGGAATGAACCGGATTCGGTAATGGTTCTGGAAAAGCCTACCAACAATATCGAAGACACTGTCTTACATCTTATTGTTCCGCCGAAAGATGCCTTCTCAGAACAGTGGGAGGGGTACCGCACTGGAACTGAGGGCGCTTGTGAGATTTTCAATGCAGATGAAGCTACTGACACTCGTCAATTATCGGTATACATAACCAAGATTGTTCAGAGAAATGACTACATCTATTTTGACAAACCGAAAGAAAATACTGATTCTCGCGCCTCCTCTTTCTTTGAGTCCTTCTTCTCCGTATCAAGCCATCCACCATCGGCGATTTCTATCAACGATATCATCAAACAATCCGGCACGCATAAAAAGGTACGTGGGATCAAAAAAGTAATAGCTGATCTGAGATCCTTAAAGTCACCTGCAGAAATCAAAATAATGAGGAGGGCCGGCCAGATATCAGGAAGAGCGTATAACCAAGCCTATGCCCAACGATTTCGTAATGAGAGGACGTTAAAGTCTTTTTTGGAATATCAGTTTGTTTCTGGGGGTTGCGAAAAATCTGCATATGTCCCTGTTGTAGCAACAGGAGAAAACGCTCTTTGTATTCATTATACTCGAAACGATGATGTGATGTATGATGATGAACTAGTGCTCGTGGATGCCGCCGGTTCATTGGGTGGATACTGTTCAGATATATCGAGAACTTGGCCAGTAAGCGGACGTTTCACAGCAGCCCAGAAAGATTTATATGAAGCTGTTTTGAATGTTCAAAGGAAGTGTATCAAGCTTTGTGTGTCGTCCAACTTTTATTCCCTGCATGATATTCACGAAAAGAGCGTATCCTACATGAAGGAAGAGTTGAAAAACGTTGGTCTTACAAACCTCCAAACATGGGATGTAACAAAACTATATCCACATTATATTGGACATAATCTGGGTCTCGACGTTCATGATGTTCCTGAAGTATCGAGACATCAACCTCTGCAACAAGGTCAGGTAATCACAATTGAACCCGGCTTATATATCCCTGATGATCCAAAATACCCCTCTTATTTCAGAAATATCGGTATTAGAATAGAAGACGATATTGCAGTAGGATTGGATAGCTATACGAATTTAACCGTTGAGGCTGCCAAAGAGATAGTTGATATTGAAGATATTGCACAAAATGGCATAAAATCAAAATTTGAAAGTGACGTTACAATCCCTTTGAAGTAGTTTTCATATAAGATCATACATAAACCTGTACATAAGCTCAATTCATCCAATACCGTTTTTATATCCGATGTACCATTAAATGGGGTGATCGACGTCTTCTGAGCTATCATAGTCGGTGCGCTCAATAATGTCTTCAACATTCATGCCTTCTTCTATCAATGCAGCCTGATGCATGGTACTGTTATCAATTATCGACTGTTGTATAAAATTGCGAATTGCTTCGTTTCTTTTCCTGAGTGTCTCTATTTGACCTGACAGCATGTTATCAGTTTTTTTTATTCCGTCCAATATATTATTGATTTCCTTTCTACTTCGGAAACATATGATGTCGCCTTCAATATTAAAATTCAAGTGTGTTTCAGATATCAACAAGTTAACTTCCCTATTAACTATATCGTAATCAATCCCAAGAGTGTCTGAGAGATATTTTATTTCCACCTTGTTCGCTATTCTCATGTAGAAGAAATATACTTTATTTCTCATAATAGACTGCACAGTGTCCCATTGTCTATCTAGAAACATGCTTTGTTCGCACATATCGTTAATCGTACTTTTCATTAGCTTGAAGAATTTATTGTAACTTGTATTGATCAATAAATTCAAACACTTGATGAGAATGGGGCTGCGCTCGAAGAATGGCTCTAATTCTTCTAGATGAAAAAAAGTCTCATAACTATCAAGTGGAATTGTGGTTAATATTGATAATGAGATCATTAATATTAGCTCATGGCTGGTAACGAGAGGTCGTGACATCGGGGCTATTAGTAATCTTATTATTGATTCGTCATTCTGTGCTATGTTTATGAAGTGTTTCAAGCATTCAAAATATCTACCTTGTAAGAAATAAGACGCCGATACTAGAAGTTTTGCTCTCTGATAAGCGTCTTTCTCAGGCGGACTTATATCATGGCATGTGTTTTTCATATGGCCATCTAAACGATGTTCTATTTCTTCAATTGATCTCCAATTCTCTCCAAGTATTAAGAGCTCCAGTATTTTTTCCAGTTTTAGGAAATAATTACTAGGTTCTATGTCGGTTGCTTCAAGGAGTGAAATGGCATCGGCAAAATTGTGAGAGATGGCTTTTTGCTCAATGAGTATGTGACTGTTCTTGTCATCGATTTTTTGCACAGAATAATTATTGTTTGGTCTGTTCATGGCTGGAATACTCTTGCTGGCGGCAATCAACTGCTGCAGATATGGTGTGTTAGGTTGGCCGACAGAACACCAATATTGAAGAGCCAAGTTGGCGCATTCAGACTGTTCGTCAGTGGTTGCGACATCTTTCCGCAGAAGATGTGCCACTCTCTCGATTAAGATAGGACCAACAAATTGATTCATATATATATATATATTTATCACGTTGTCGTATCTTATCCTTACCTAATTGGTTTAATCCACAATTGGCGATATGCTTTTTTTGTTGTATCCGCTATTATCATCTCAAAAATAATCTGCATGACGAAAATTTCAAGATGAGAAGAGCATGTCTCATTAAACAACTAAAGCACTCTTGTCAAATGTTGAAAAATGGCAATCTTATATCAATAAGAGGCTTCCATAAACTTCATTTTCAATGTGTCTCCCAAGTAAAGCTGAAACTTGGATATTTTCAAGCCAAACAAGAAGTACTTAAGAGTACAAAGTCTGAAAGCCAAAGAAAGATAGAAGCTCAGAAAACCAGACTCAAAAAACTTCAGAAGAAGGCTTATTCTCGACAACATGCACAATATATTCTTAAATCTAAGTATAATGTACCTTCAAAGGTGCTAGAGAGTACAAATGTTGGACCAACGAGTCAGTCAGATCTCAAGTTTTTAACCATGACACGAGATAGACGACTAATGTACACTATGTTAGGTGTCACGGGAGAGCAGCTGAGGGATTCCAAGTTAGTTTCAAATGATGTTACAAAGTTTCTAAAGCGAGGACAGCTTGAAAAGGCTGTTTTCCTAGTAAGAATTGCTCGGAATAAAGGAATTGTGGGGATGAATAAAATTATTGAGTATTATTGCGAAACTCTGTTTGATGCTAATTCTGCGATCGACATGTATACTTGGCGAAAGAAATGGGGAATTCCTCCCAATGAATATACACATACCATACTATTCAATGGTCTGGCAAAATTAAGACAATCACTAAGCGAAAAGCAAGCTTCTAAGATATTGAAAATTGCAATTCAACTCATCGAAAAAAATGAACTAAATCAGATTGGTTTTAATGCAGCTTTAGAGGCTCTTGTTAACAGTACAAATATTGAGCTCGTATTTGAGCTTTACGATAGGAAGCCCAAGTCGATCAAAAATGACAAAATCACATTTTCGATACTACTTCGAGCGCTTTCAAAAGTTAAGGATGATAGACTTTGCATGGCAAGAACAGATGTGGTAATGGCGCAGATACCCAGAACTGCTATCGATAATCAAATAATGTATGAATATTGTAAAATATGGAGTTGTAGAACAGATTCACAACTAAGCCCGTTGGCAATATTAGCCATACACAGGCTGTTTGATATTGATCTAGGTCAACACAAGATAAGCTGTCCGGAAGGGGTGGTACTACCCGAGTTGGACTATTGGAAACTCGGTAAGCGTTTTCCTGTCAACAGATTTATTCTCGAATTGTTTCTTGATTGCTGTGACAAGAACAGTCAATATCAGCTTGCTCTCGATACCTTTAATAAATGCGTGTCAGCGAATAAGCAAGCCCTGACTCCTCGAATTTTTGAAAGAATGATTCAAATCGTCACAAATGGGTTTCCCACAGGGTGTTCACAGCATGCCCTTCGGATATTCAATTCTATGGAAATTGAATTCAGATCGACCAAAAGCTCTATGATTTTAGTGTACAAATCCTTTGAGCGCCAGGCTGGGAAGAAGTTAATTAATGACGATAGCGTCAAACTAGACAAATTAATCCACAGCATGCGTGAGTTTGCCATGCAAAATGAAAGCAAGCACAGCGCGTATTTCAAGTGTTCCGTGTTAGAATGGAAGGCCTGGATTTTTGCTTGGAATATCATTAATAGAGGCAATGAACGTCAAAAACTACCCGTTCAAACGAGAAAGCTGCTTCTGGATGATTTCATCAAAACTTTTATAACCATGAGTTCGAATTTGAATACTATCGACAAAGGCGATCGGCAGAGCTTGAGACATGTTGGATTAGAATGTGCACGGTTTGTCAGCGCCTTCGCGGATCGATACAAGATAGAGGGATCTTTAGAAGTGGCAGAAAATGGGCCTCTGAGAGAGAACTTTTTATTCAGAAGAATGCTCATTCGCTTCAAAAGCAAGCTACTGGAATTAGTGAAGGTTATTGAGGCTGAGGGCGATAAACTCAGTGAACCCAACTCATCGCTTAGAGACACTGCGGAGCTCCTCTTGGGCATGAAAGCACCGGATGCATAGGCTCCACAACTTTATACAGGTAAGTAATGTCAAAATTTCGTGTACATACAGAAGGTGGTGGAATAAACTCATTTAAATACTATGTGCAAGAGAAGGATGAAACGCCGGGCGCGTCGTCTCGTTCAGTGGAAGAACGATTTCATGTTCTTCAGCCATTGAATGTACTCGGTGTTCTCCTTGAATTCAGAGTATGTTCCGATGAAAGAAGCGAGCTCGTCGGTGATGCCCCTGCTCTCCAAGTAAACTTCGAGAGATTCTTGAAGTTCTTCGTCTAGGTTGGAAAATGGTGGACCGTGGTACACGAGCTCACGAGCAACTTCGGCTTCGGCAGACTCGTTGAGCGCGGCGGCCGCATCGGAGTATGGCGTGACGCTGTCAACGTAGAAGGTACCCTCTTGAAGGTTCATCAACAGTTCGAAAGACACAGCGCTGTTTTCTGCGTCCTTGACGACAACAACATTGACGTTGGCAAAGTTGTCGGACATACCATCGTAGTCCTCTTCTTCCTCGGCAGCTGGCATCTCGGATTCCAGCGCAGTCGCCTCGTATGGCAGATTGGCCACTTGCGCCACGTCGAAGAACACGTGAACAGTCTCGCCGTCGCTGGTGGCGCGCGTGATTTCAGCAAGGTTCTTACCGGCCGTCAGCTTCGTCTTGAACCCGGTCTTTTCAAGAAACGTCTGAACGGTCTCGGGAACCTCTTGAGAAGCCTCTTCAGTCTCTAGGGCAACTTCACTGCCGAGAACATCAGCGACGCGCTGGCTCTGCTTGTTACAGACCATCGCCGAAACATGTAGGGGGCGGACAACCGCTGCACGGCTCAGCAAAGCGGCGCTTGGTCTGGTAGCAGGAGCATGACTAGCAACCTGAGCGAATCTCAAAGCATTACGTGTAAATAGTCTCAAAGACATGTTTCTTAGGTCTGGTTCTCAAGGATGGATCAAAACGTTTAACAGAAAATTTAACCATCAAATTTTCATAACCTCTCTACATTTGAAAACAGAAAAGGCGAAAAGGTGACTTTGGTCACGTGCTTCGCCCCGCATGGTATGACTCCTCCTTTTCGTGTCGAAACATTTCTATCCGAGCCACGATGGCCCAGCGGTCCCCCGTGCCGCCTCCGCCTCCTTAATGCCCGCGTTCGAAACGTCCCGGACACCTTTTCGACTAACCCCTCCGGTTGAAAATGTCTTTCGACCGGGCCAACCCCGTTAGTCTTGCGGTTGTCATGGCGCGTTTTTTTCGCGCGCCGCCCATGTTCGAAGCCCTGCGGCCTCATCTGGCCAAATCCAACGGTGCGGCTTCTAGTTTCTTAGCTGCATCCACGTGACGAAGATCGATGCCACATCGGCATCAGGGTTTGGGGCTTTCTGTTTCACTAGACCCATGTGGTAACAGTCCGTTTGTACAGAAGAAGTCTCACTCTAGCCCCACTGCATAGTTCTTTACGTTTCCTCATAAAACTAAATGGCTGCATCTTTTTTGTTCGCGATCCTTGTGCCAAATAAAGCCCATTCTAGACTGCATTTTCCGGTCATGGCTTGCTGTTGGTGATTTTCCTTCAAGTCGCTCCAAATACGTAATACGCTATCTCGACAAAGAAGAGAGAAAAAAAAGAAAGCATAGTTATACGCACCTATATATTTATAAAACACGAGGGCTCGGACGGTAAACGTCAAATCTTCAAGAATATTTCAGTTAGCCAGCCGTTTAGAGGAGTGATAACGATAGTATGTCGGACGCAAGTTCAGTGGTATCGTCGTCCTCGACTCTAATAGGAGATGTAGCGACCATGGCTGCCAAAAATGGGCGAAATGTGCAGCCGCACCGAAGAGCAGTGTCTGCGTTAGGTTTTGGAGCATCTAGTGGGAGAGGTGACTGCACAGCTAGCGATAATCCATTCATGTCGCCTTCAAGCCCCGCGAGCTCGACCAAATCACCCGGTTTGGGAGCGTTACCGTCGCCCAGCGCGTTTCTGATGCGCTCGAACAGTATACCGGCAATTCCGTCGTTCAAAGCAAAAGAGGTGCGGCTTCCGCGACCAGATGGATGCCGTGTCGTTAGTGCGCTCGAGCTGCAGCGCGATCTGGAGGGCGACGACGCAAATGCTCAATCAGACAATTGCCCAGCAGTCCAGGACACTGGAGATGTGGTGGTGCTGGACGTACGGCCTTTCGTGGACTATTCACGTGCGTCCGTGCGCAACGCAGTTCATGTGTGTCTTCCGTCAACGCTGCTGCGACGCAAGACTTTCACACTAGACCGGCTGGTTGAAAACCTGCCGGAGCCCGACCGCGCACTGGTGCGTGCCAAGGTGTTGGAATGTGCGGACCCTTCCAAGGTCAAGGTGATAATTTTCGACAACAACCCACAGGCCTCGGATGAAACCATCAGCATCGGGTGCCACGGCATGGTCTGCAAGTTCCTTCATTACGAAGGATGGGCCAACGATGCGCGTCCGCAAGTGGGTATCCTGGAATGCGGTTTCATGCGTTTCAAGGAAATTGTACCTGAACTCATAGTAGAGCCTTGTACAATGGCTGCAGCTACTACCAATGCGGCAAAACCGCCACCGTTGAACTACTCAAGGTCCACATCCTACATCAGCACGTCGCCGCAATCGTTTCCAGATTCGCCGCTCTCATCCAGCTCTCCGGTAGCAAAGCTTTTCAAGTTCCAGCTCCCCACGAGAGCAGGCTGTCCGCCACCTTTCAAAATGCCTCAACATGAGGAAATCTCTAATTTAGAAAGCTACCTCAGTGCTGTGAACATAGGCGAAAAACAGTTCTCCGCAGAGGCAACGCATATATGCACCCCAGGAGAGCTAAAATCTGCATTCCCCACTCCAACCGAGTTCAAGTTCCCTCCTGTAAAGAGTAGTCCAACTAGCGTCGATCTCTCATCGCCTTGCCGTACTTCTCTGAGCAGGGGAGACAATAAGTTGAATTTTCAAAAACGCTGCTACATGTTGGCAGACGTGTATGGCAACTCTCGTTTCAATTTCGTCGTACCTCAGTGGTTTCAAGATCTAGTCGGCATTTCGAAGCTAGATATAGTTTCACAATTCCAAAAAGTAGATTTACTGGAGAAGAAACGGTTGAGTTTCTGTGTGAGTAATACCAGTAATGGAGAAAAACGCTCGGACTCTAGCGAAAAGAATCACTCCCGTGATTTGCATGAAGAAACATCTACTCCAGAGAAGCCATGTTGCATTTCTCAATGGCTCGATTCGTACGACCCTACCGAGGACGATCAAAGTATCAGAATTTCATCGGGTGTCGAGCTCGGCGTGAAAAACAGATACAAGGACATTTTCCCCTATGAGCACACTAGAGTCGTTTTGAAAAAATCATCTAAACCCCACGATATAAATTCATTGGGTGACGTTTGGGACACGTACATCAATGCAAACTACTTAGTGAATCCATTCACAAAAATTGTTGTCCCCCAGAGCGAAAAGTGCGTCAATGTGCGTTATATTGCAACGCAAGCTCCCTTGCCGTCGACAATTAGCGATTTTTACACTTGCATCTTGAACAATAATGTTCCAATAATCCTGACACTGACAGACGAATACGAGAACGGTGTGGAGAAATGCCATAAGTTTTGGGCGGAGGGGACATATGAAGGAATAACTGTTAAGCTGCTTGAAGAGTATACCATGCCGATTTTTGACAAAAGTGTTGCATTAGATGGAGAAATTGTCATTAGGCGGATACAGCTAACTCATGGCAATCATCAACATTTCGAAACTTTGCAGCTGCAAATAAAAAACTGGCCAGATCTTGGGGTTTTAGTGAGACCATGCGAGGTTCTTGAAATTATTTGTTTGAAGAATTTAATCTTGGAACAGTTATACGAGAAGAAGGTTTTTGTTAATGATTACATCCCCAACATTATTGTGCACTGCTCGGCAGGATGTGGACGCACGGGAACTCTCTGCACCATTGATTCCATTTTAGCCAATTTACCGAAGTTTGATTCTATACGTCATGAATGGGTAGAAAGGCAGACTTGTAGGGCGGGAAATTCCGAGCATGAAGCTCTCAGCACAAAAGTTTTCGACCCAGTGATCATCACCATCAATAACTTTAGAAAGCAGCGTATTTCAATGGTTCAAAATGTTAATCAATATCTCTTCATATATGAATGTTTGCTTTCGTATTTTGCGTTGAAATTGAACGATGATGATCCTTCGGGAATTGACAGCTGGCATGCATTGGAAGAGAAAGGCGGACAACTGGACATTTTAAAGCATTTCATCGACACAAAAATCGATGAGAAATCATGAACACTAATATGAGGATTGAGCATAGGGAAGCCCTTCTTTCGCATAAGGGGCGATTTTTTTTATTTCGGATTAGCGAGATTTTGGTTTCGATCAATTAATTTGATGTTTTGTATTGTTTTATTAATTTGATGCGCTAATAATATCTATTTGTTATGTACAGACTTTCATTTAATATACCAAGCTATTAATTCTGTAATGGTTGAGAATCTGAAACACCTGCAAAGAGAATAAGCGAAGGTATATTCATAACAACGACATTCAGCCCTAGTATTAAAGCTGTTTTGATCCAATTATTTTCTTCTCTTGTAACAGAGGTGGAAAATTAACCTAGTAGCAGTTCATAGATGATAACCAAAATGTTAATTCCTATCAAAGGAACTGATTGAAGAATGAATGTTAGTGAAAAGGTGATGGAATTTTTTTAACGCCAATACTTACTTCTCAACAAAGTCTGGACAGCCCCAATTAGGTGAACCAACTTGGATTTTGCACTACTGTCTTGTTGCCCGAATACTGGGGCCTGGTCGGAGCTAGCTCCCAAATTGACTGTACGACGAATGTTAGTAATAGTTTCGTGCGAGGGTCAGAGATCTTGCACATACTTCTCCTTAGAAAACGTTCCTCACTCAGCACAGCTACAGCATTTATCAGCATGAGTACAACGTAGAATAGTCTTCCCAATCCAAAGATCATGTTGCAATGTCGGTTTATTGTCTCAGCTCAATGATAAGCAAAATAGACTTCGAAGTGTAAAGTAAGATGAAATATGTGCATTTCGTACGGATAGCGTCGATTCAATATACGTTAACCTCCTTCTCACTATAGAATGAGAGGATCTGACTATAACTCGATGCGAATAGATAGAATATCATAAAGAAAAGGTAGATTCTTTAAGAACAAATGATAATGATTTTTGTTATATTAAAACACAATATAAAAAAGAAGTATTTTGGGATGTAAAAGTAACGATGTTTGTGATTACTTTAGTCAGCGTTACGACGGGCGACCTTCTTAGCCAATCTCTTACCAGTACCAAAGATCTTCTTGTCTCTGTTCTTCTTTTGCTTTCTTTGTTGTCTGGAAGCCTTCTCAGCCTTCTCAGCCAAACCGTATCTGACCAATCTGTAGGTTGGTTCGAACTTCTTGGCATCGGCAACAGAGTTGTAGACCAAACCGAAACCGATGGACTTGCCACCACCGAATTGGGTTCTGAAGCCGAAGACGGAAACAGCGTCCTTCTCAGCCTTGTAGATTTCGGCCAACTTTTCACGCAATTCATCCTTGGAGACGTTAGCTCTGTTTGGGTGCAAGACGTCGACGACGAATTGCTTTCTGGCCAACAATGGGTTAGTGATAACCTTTCTAGTACGGATAGTGATAGCGTCAGACTGTGATGAAAGTTAGTAAAGCATTCTATGAAAGACGAATAAAACGATGAAATCTCAGCCACAAGTGATGGACTTGAAAAGAGCAAGACGCTAGCATTGGAAAGAGAGTCTTCCGTGTATTGGGTCACCACCAAAAACTATCTTTCGAGATACTTCTGTACTAAGCTTCCGACGGAGATTGCTCTCTTCTGAAATATGTCCTTTCTTCTATCTTGAAATCATTACGCATCAGCTGTTCAATATTGGAGTCTCCATGATATTGTTCATAAATCAATCAAAACCATTATGTTCCGTTTATTTCCAATCATCTCCCAATCTATAAGACATCAGTTTCTTCATATAATCCATCACTCCCGTAACTCTTGGTAGTTATATCATCGCTTCTCAGTATTCAGACGCATTTCACATACCATTCTGTTTATCCTCTGTTATTACCTGTAGGCTTCGTTGGGAAAAGACCTCTCTTCAATATCCAAGAGGATGCTTGAAAAAATTGTGAAAAGCCCCACACACTGGGGGGGGGTTCAGTCTAGGCTCGGCCCGGAGAAGGATCGACTACACGATGCTAGGCGGTGTGGCGAGCAGTGGCGTGGCAGGGTCAGGCCGGCGGGGGAGCTTCGGGATCCGTCCAGCACCGGACGGGCCAGTGAGACGGGCTAGGCTAGAGTGAGCGCAGCAGGCCTAGGGGGGCCTGCGAATGCAGTAACGCATTTCGTCAGTTGGGACTACTAAAGACGCGGTATTTTTTACATACAGAAATTCCGTTTGTGTGGGTGTTTTTAATGGTGTATGGGTTAAGATAGTCATATGTGGAAGAAGCCCTCATCTAGGGCATTGTGTATTTTTCAATTCTTTCATCTATTAACTGAAAGGGGTAAAGCTTAGAATATTTGAAATTTCCCTGCGTGTGTATTCAATATCTATGAGATGATATATGTGTATATATATGTATGGTCGATTATGAATATAAAGTGTTACAAAAAAAACTCCTGTTCTTAGGATTTTTTTACTGATTTTTAATGTGTTTAATATTCAACCTTGTCGATAGACATTCTGACAGCTTTAGTTTGAGTGTAGTTGTCTAAGGCTTCAGCTCCCATTTCCCTACCAATACCAGATTGACCGAAACCACCGAATGGAACACTCTGGTGGAAGTCGTTGTAAGTGTTGACCCACACAGTACCGGCCTTGATTCTGTTGGAAACGTCGACAGCTTTGTTGACATCCTTGGTGTGGATACCAGCAGCTAGACCGTACTCGGAGTCATTGGCCATGGAAATTACTTCATCCACAGTGGAAAATTTGGAAACGGTAACGATTGGACCGAAGATTTCTTCCTTGACAATTCTCATGTCTTCCTTGACGTCAGCGAAAATGGTAGGCTTGACGAAGTAACCCTTGTCACCGTCTCTTTCACCACCAGTCACGACACGGGCACCTTCTTGGGTACCGACGTTAACGTAGTCTAGAATCTTGTCGATTTGCATTTGAGAAGTTTGAGCACCTTGGAAGACGCCTTCGTCGAATGGGTTGCCGACTTTCAAGGATTCGGTATATTCCTTGAACTTCTGTAGAACCTCCTCGTAAACGGTGTCTTGAACGTAGACTCTGGAACCAGCGCAGCACACCTCACCAGAGTTGAAGAAAATACCAAATGCAATGTTTTTGACGGCCTTGTCGAGGTCGGCATCAGCGAAAACGATGTTAGGGGACTTACCACCAAGTTCCAAAGTCACTTTTTTGACGGTGTCAGCGGCAGTCTTCATGATGTGACGGCCCGTAGCGGTGGAACCGGTGAATGCAACTTTCTTGATGTCAGGATGGGTACATAGTCTTTCACCGACGATCTTACCGAAACCTGGGACGATGTTCACGACACCCTTGGGGATGCCGGCCTTTTGAACCAACTTGGAGGCGAATAGTGCAGACAGAGGAGTGGCTTCTGCGGGTTTTAGTACCACGGTGTTACCGGTGGCGAGGGCAGGGCCCACTTTCCAGGACCACATGAGCAATGGGAAGTTCCATGGGATAATCTGGCCACATACCCCCAGAGGCTCTCTCTTGGTGTATGAAAAATGGTCGCTGCCGGTGTCGATGACACGGCCGAAAATCTTGTCGGACCATCCGGCGCAAGATTTCAGATACTTGGACACCAACGCCACGTCTGCGCGCGAACAGAACAGCGACTTACCGTTGTCGAGGGACTCGATGCCGGCGAGCGTCTCTGCGTTGTTCTCGATGAGCTCAGCCAGCTTGTAGAGGCATTGTGAGCGAAACACTGGGTCAGCTGTAGACCACCCGTTGTCGAACGCTTTCTTGGCCGCAGCGACTGCGATGTCCACGTCGTCCTCACGTGCCTCGTACACGTGTAGGATCTCCTCCTCAGTAGAAGGGTTGATGACCTCGAAAGTCTTGTGTTGTCTAGAGGGCACGAACTCACCGTCGATGAATAACCCGGTAGGTTGTTCGTAGGTGGTGCCGTTGGGCAGCGTCACGGGTACGCTCAATGGGAGCTGTGAGTACAGGCGCACGAATCTTCTTAGAGTAGTAACTTGCGAGCGAGCTAGCATGTTTGGATACTTACAAATACACCCAACAAACCACTTCTGGCTCAATGAGTTCACCTTGCTACTTATATACACCAGCCGGGTGGCCCACGTACCTACCATCTTCCACCTCCCCTCCTTCCTCCCCTCCGTAACCTACCTTCCGGGTACGCGCCCCGCTCTTCTCCTGAGTTGAGAGCGTGGTGGGACCCAGCGCTGCGCTAGACCAGCCCCCCATGCAGGTCTGACGTACGCGCCGTCTTAGTAATTGCAATGTACGTCAGATACGCCGCTGCAGCTCTCACGAGCGGGGCGTTCTTTTGCCTTCGGGTAACCTGTGCCAACGTTTTTCAACGTTACAGCCGCACGTTTTTGGGAGCTGCGGGGGTTTCTGGGAGAGCTGAGGGGCAATGCTCGAGGAAAGGTGGGGCTCGGATTCTCTTCGAAGAAAGTTCCGAGACGTGAGGGGCCGAACAGAAGCCAAGCCGGTCTCGTTGCACGTAGCGGCGTCCGGGCCGCACTAAAGCCGCAGCGGATGCCACGAAGACGGGGGCGGGGGTCTCGTGGACCATCCGTGGAGGCGGCTTCGTGGCGGGCGTACGAGCAGTTCTCGTTCCCTGCGGCGCCGCGTGGCGGCGACGAGGGGCTAGAACGGGAAACGCCGGGCAGGGCGGGTAACACGAAGCGCAGGGCGGGTAATAAGAAGCTCAGGGCGGGTAACTCTGAGCGGGCAGAAGCCGGCGGAAGCCGGGGAAGCCCGGACAGCAATCTGGGCGGGTAACACTTGCCGTCCGAGAATCCTCTCCGGGTGCGGCGGCCGGGACTCGAAGGGCCGCCGGCGGCTGCAGCGGGCCGTGGTGCTGGTGCTGGCGCTGGCGCTGGCGAGACGGCGCGAGACGGCGCGACAGGCTGGAAGGAAATCTCAAAATGCTGAGCAGCGCGCTGGAAATGCGCTACTGGCGTGCTAGATGATGCACGACATATGCACTTCATATGCGCCAAATACACCAGCAAATCGACCAGTAACTAGCGTGCGAGCTTCAATGCAGCATCCAGCACCCAGCACCCGGCCCTTGCAGAAAGACAAGCGTCGATTATTATTTAGTTAGTTAGCTCTGCTAATGTACATAATTAGTACGCGTGGACCGGATGCGTGGTGGCCGAAAGCGTGCCGAACGCGGCTAGTCGTACTTCAATCTGAGAATGAAGTTGACCACCACGGCAATCAGCAAGAAGAAACAGAGCAGCGTAGGCCCCAACCTATCGTCGTAAGGTCCGGAGCCCCTGCGTCTGATGGCCGCAGCCCTCCAGTGGTAGGTCACCAGCGCGTACACCATGGTGGCCATAGCCACCAGCGTGAACAACCCGGCACTGATTTGGCCCACTTTGTCACCAAAGTTGAGCAACCCGACACCGAGACCACCCAACATCACGGTAAAATTTAGCCACGACAGAAACGTACGTTCGTTGGCGAAGAACACCTTAGGCTCAACTCTGGTTGGTAGCGCAATCTTCTTGCCTGGAGTCCTTTGTAACAATGGAGCAGATGACATTGGCGTATCAGTAACGATCTCTGGAGGTGAGCTAGATGCTTTTGGCCTCTGAGGAAGAGAGTGCAGAAGAGTCCATTTTAATAACTGCAAGGGCTTTTTTTTTCCTGCAAGTTTAGGGTAGTCCACGTGGAGCTCAAATTAATATTCTTTGCGCAAGGCACCGTGCCACGTGATGGAAGATGGCGGCCCTCGGTTTGTGTCACGTGCCGTGGCCCTCGGATCTTCGCTTGTTCATCAGTCCTTTAAATGTATGCCTGTTGCACTTCACATTGGCCCGTCCAGCAGGTTCCGCGGAAACAATATTGTAAATGGCGGCGTACGAGGTCAATTCCGCTATTGCAACTGGCGAGGCACCAGTCACTTCCAGTAAGCTATCACAGGTCATCGACAATTGCCTGCCGGATGCAGATAAACCGGTGGATTTAAATGCGTTCACAGAGGCAATTCTTAAACAGCTCAATGCCGCCTCGACGCTGCACAAATTCGTCGTATCTGTCACTCGTGTTGACGCCCCACATGGCGCAGATGTCGACTTGCAAATTGAAAATCGCATCGGTGCGTCCTGGAACAAGGAAAAAGACGGTCTGTACACCCACAGGGCACAAGTGGGCACTGCGTCGTACCTGGTCACGGTAATGTGGATTTCCAAATAGTCAGTACGTAGTTTATGTAAGTTGGAAACGGCTAATAAAGGTGGGATCGGCATCGCGGGCCTTGGCTTGGCTCAGTCTCTGCGGGCTCTGCGCCAGGCGCTGCGCGGATGCGACCATGCTCTTGGTGCTCGAGGAGTCCACGTCCTTTCGGCATTTGAGAATAGCAGCTAGTAAAAGCACCGGACAGTCCCAATACACCTCCAAACACTGCTGCCATGTTTCCATAATCCCGTCTGCAGGCCCGCAGCAGAAGTCCATGAAGAACTCCATCAGCTTGAACTTGTCATCTATGATACCCTTCTCTTCTTCCGGAACAAACTGTACAAACAGCTTGTAAAACACTTCGAAATCCCGCTTCATGCATTCCAAAAACTTGTTGTTCTTGCTCTTGAACGAATGCTCATATTTCAAGCACTCGATGAATCTTAGAATAGTTTCCTCAATGACACTCTCCACCAGAGTTGAATAAACAAATGGATTCATTTGTGATTTGATGTCGCCCAGGTACTCGTAAAGAGTATCGGCAATCTGTTGTGCTTGGTTGCCCGTGTACCATGTTTTGCTAAAGATTTGTGTGTATGGCTTCCGTAGATCGTCAAACATTAAAGTGATTAGGCCCATGCTGCTGCATTTTGCCACCTCTGCGAACCCATCCAATGTATGTTCGATGTTATTGGAAATGGCCCTTTCGTGTACTTTGGATACCATCGACCCGTATTTTTGAGATATGGCGACAGCATAATCAGCTGCCTTCATTTGATCATTCGCAATGGCAACCAAATATTCTACCAAACCTCCCGCACTTTCATCATCTTTAGTCACACTTTCGGGATTCTCTTCGAATTTGTGATTGTACTCTATACATTTCTTGACTTCAATGCCGATTGCATCCATCCATTTCTTTTGTCTCTGTGCCAATTGGGCACAAAACTTCTCCACTACACCCACAAGAATTTTTGCTTGTCCAGACCCCGCAGCAACTTCAACTTGTTGAGAAAACATTTGGAAACACGTCTTAGTTCCATCCAAGAACAATAACCCTTCTGAATCCGTGTGTGGTGGAGTTGTTCTTTCCATAAAAATTTGAATCTCTGTCTTGGTCAAATTTCCAAACCATTCTTGCATTTTACTTACAATCAAGTTCAAGTAGTCCTTGAGCAACGTCTCTTTCTCTTTATCGCCAATAACGCTTTGCAATTGATCTTTTGTGAATCCGAAATCTTTCTTTAAAGTATTTTGAAAGCTCTTGTCGTAATCTAGGATATCCAAAATAATAATCGTTTCTGGTTCCGAATAGACAAGTTCTTGTATGAGTTTGTTTAACTCCTCGTAATAATATTGGTAGTATTTGTGGAAAATTTGCCAATGAGAGGGACAATATTTTGAAAGATGGGTCTTTGCGATTATGAGTTCATTGAATACCCAATCTAAGTTATTAAGAACTTCGAATTTTTTGTCTCCATCATACGTTTTACGAACCTCGACGAACATATCTTGTATGGATTTCTTGATCTCTTTAAAGAAAAATTCCTTGTAGCCACGAGCCTGTGTGCGTGACTGAATAGTACCATTCAATATTTCCTGAGCAAGTGCTGCATAGCTAGGATATTGTGAGGTAGTGGAATCAAGCTCCTCGACATTTAAGGTAGAAATTTTGTTAGGTAGTTTTCTTATTTTTGCGGCCTCAGTTTCACGTTCTTTCGTTTCAATGATATGTCTTGTGGCAATAATCTTGATGTCTTCGCGTTCCTCTACGTCAATAATCTTGAAGAGACGTATCAAAAGCGACTGGTTTTCTGTTCTAACTGCTTCAATCAAATCGTAAACTATCGATTCCAAAAGCTTGTTGAACTTTTCGATAATTTCTGGTAGACGAACGAAAAGCCTTTGCATTGTCCTCTGGACATCATCGGTGGAGATGTGGGCCAAAACGCATGACTGATCGTGGAAATCGCGAGCCATTGTAAGCATGTAGTGGATGTGTAGAAGATAGGGGCAGCCAGTATCAAGAGCATCACCAGCTAGCTCTTCGTCAAGTGACTTTTCGACATGCTCAATCAAATCGTTGAAATTAACGATCTTATCATAGATCGAGGTCGTTTTTTCGATCAGCTCATGTATAATTGTAGCGTTGTTGATAATCTCATAACGATCAATTGAAGATTTATTTTCTTCGCTTAGAGTATTGACATCGCGTAGCTTATCTTTCAGGAATCTAACGTTCTTTTGAGCAATGTTAAGCTTTTCAAGGCTAACTACAACATCTTGAAAGTTCTTGGTTGACTCTTTACTTAGCTGATAGTCCACGGTGGACTTCTCTTTCGCTAGTTGCTCTTTGATTTCCCGAATTTTCTCAAGCGAAACTTCATCCTTCAAAAGTTCTGATACTTTCTGAAGACTGTATTTCGACATTGGATGAACCTCGCGGTATTTTGTCTGTGAGTTTCTTCAATGGAATGTCGGTTACATACCTTAATGTTAAATCTTAATCGTTATATTTCGTTTTTGATGACAACTTTATGTACTTTCCGATGGCTTTGAGGAAGTTCAGCTTACGCCAAGTAGCGGTTCGTGCCATTCACCGTAGGGCCATTCCATTACTGCCGCATTTGTATAATCACCACGCTCTTTTCCTAAGGAAGCAATATTTGCCCTGGCAACTCTTAAGTATAAAGGGAGCGTTTCGTTAACTTCAAGGGACGCTTTAATCAAATTTGAAAATTCCTCATTCTGAGCGATTAGAGTGTCTATATTGACAGTAGTATTTTCTCCCAAATAACGCTCGACGTCATTGATCAACAACGAGAACCCGTCAAGTTTTGGAGATGATGTGCTTTCGGTATCTGCAATTTCCCATGATACCTCATAAGGAAATTCAGCATTAAAGCTAAAGACTGGAGGCTGCCACGAGTCTCCGGCTTCACCTCTTGAGAGTGCAATCTGTGTTTCGACAATGCTAGCAAAGTCCCATCTCCCAACCCCAGACAAAACAAGTCCAATCAAAATTCCTTGGAATAAGTAAGCCGAGGTTCCTCTCGTTGCGCATCCAGGAACAAGCATCATGCCTAAAATGTAGTGATGTATTCTTAATGTCAGACCAGGAAGAGATCCAAGTGCTACAAGCCCCACGATTATCGATATGTATATTTTGAAGTACTTCTGAAATCTTCCAGACTTCCACAACGAATAAGCCTGAATAACAGCACAAACCAAAATCGTCAAAATGATACTACCAACTGCGGTAAATGCGCCTGCTTGTTCTTTCAAATCTTTTAGTGTTAGTCTATCAACAGGAAGTCTATCAAAAGTAACATTATTCATGACGCCCAACCAAAATGTCGGGAACCAGCAGATTATTTTGGCTAAAGGCGATCCATCAGTAAGCGTCCTTCTTACAGCGCATTTCCATAGTACGTATAGGATAAAGCACAATGGTAACAGTCTTTGAAACCCAATACTTATAAGCTCAAAGGTTGTTTCGGGTTTATGAGGATCCGTTAGCAAAGGTGGATCTAAGGCAAGTACCAATGTCCAGTAACCAACCAATGTGACAATCCAGTATCCAACAATGCTCTCATATAAAAAGAATATAGGCAGGCTTGCAAGGATGTTAATTGAAACGACTAAGGAACGGGGGTCATAGCACCCAGTGGCTATCCCATCTCGCAGCTCTTTAAAAGTGAAAGATGCGGGGAAAAAAGAATTGAAGCTTACCGAGTTGTCTGTGCCATATCTTCCGCTCCGAGACGGAAATGAGGTCTGACCACCAGTGTATGATAATTTCGCACAACCTCCAAAAAATGGCGATACTACTCCAGCATGAACAGCTGAGCCGCAGGGGAAGGAATCCGCTCTATAAGGGTATGAAAGCAAGTCACTTTCATGACGTTCACCACCACCTATATCGTAACCCGTGTATTTCACTCGGCGGTCTCCTACAGTAATGGCAGAGTATGTCCATCCACCACGGTCACATAATGCAGGGCATCTAATAATTACTTCCTCTCCATCAAAAGGTCTGCATTCCAAAGCATTCAAGCCACACATATTGTTTTTCCCCTTCCAATTCAAATGTGAATTGCATTCTAGTGACTTGATTGCCACTTTATTTCCTTGCTCGGAGTGGAAGTAGGGAGGTTTGACTAGGTAATAGTACAATATACTGTACATGATACCACTCCAAACGCAACAGTAAACTATTAAGAGCGTGACCCGTAATTTTGAGCTTGGCAATCTTTTGCGAAATATATCCTTGGGAAATGAATCAATAGCTCTTGTAAATTTCCATCTTGATGCGAATTGTGGGGGCTCATCAGCAGGTTCGCGAGGGCCATGCCATACCCTTTTGAAGAATCTTTTGAATGGGTTGGATTTTTTCAGTAGCAACCATTCCTCCTCTGAACTGGATTCATTTCCCTTAGAGTGCTGACCCGTTTGCGAGTCTAGAAATTCTAATTCAAATTCATCAGAGCCAAGCGCTGTGCCGCTACTACTAATACCGCTTCGCTCTGCACTCGTGTCTAACTTTTTAACATATGAACTGTGCATTCGATCATCTGATGGCATATCTTCGCTATCCTCTGCCATCAATCTCCTCAAGTCAAATGATGCCTGTGCCAAGGTTTTCAGACTGCTTTACTGATTAAATCAACCAGGTGAAAAATATACCCTCATTGTCTCGGTGACAGAGAACTATTTTGTCACGTGATTGAGCTCGAGCTCATCTCCAACTTTCCTCCGTATACGATATCTAACTTCTGTTCAAAACAACTTGATTTTCCAAATAGACTTTGTATTAAGTTATGAAGCTACGCGAAGCCGTAATTACACAATGTATACTTAAAAAGATTTATAATTACATTTCCCAAAAAATTTGAAATTAGAAGAACCCTGAACTGAAAACAAAAAAACGAGACAGAATGCCTCTCATTAACCTGAGCACATTTCACAAGCTTCAGGGTTGTTGATCGCACACGCGACAACCTTGGAGTTGTAGATGTCATATTCCTGCTCATCAGTTAGTGCAGGCTTTTCTTCCGTTTGAGTTTCGGTAGGAGCAATAGTGGCAGGCACGACTGGCTTGCTGTCGTCGATTCTCAAAGATGCTATGCTATTGCTCATTGAAGATTCTGCAGAAGATGGAGCAGGCGATACCTCTCTAATGTCTGTTGTTAGATCTAGTTTCTTGGCAGCGCCTTCTGTGAAGTTGACCTTACGTGGAGTGTACTTTGGACGGCTCAAGTTCGATAGATCAGCAACAGTGTTCCCAGCTTGCTCGGCAACTGACTTATCAATGGTAAATTGGATAGCAGCAGAGGCAGCTTGGGTCCTCAAGTAGTACATACCGGTCTTCAAACCCTTCTTCCATCCGTAAAAGTGCATACTGGTCAATTTACCCATTGTTGGAGCACGAATATGCACGTTCAAAGATTGTGATTGATCAATGTAGCAAGAACGATCAGCAGCCATGTCAATAATTGTCTTTTGAGACAATTCCCAGACTGTCTTGTAAAGGTCCTTCAATTCTTGAGGAATGTTGGGTAGGTTTTGAATGGAACCGTTGTCAGAAATAATGTGAGACTTCATAGCTTCATCCCATAGACCCAAATCCACCAAATCACGCAACAAGTACGGATTGACAATTTGGAATTCACCTGATAGAACACGACGTGAGTACATGTTTGAGGTATATGGTTCGAAACATTCGTTGTAACCCAAGATCTGGGAAGTAGAGGCAGTTGGCATTGGGGCTAGCAACAGAGAGTTTCTAATACCGTCTTTGATAATGTCTGCTCTCAAAGTTTCCCAATCCCATAGATCAGTAGGTGTCCTGCCCCACATGTCAAATTGAAGAATACCCTCGGCAGCAGGGGATCCCTTGAATGTCTCGTATGGGCCCTCTTCCAGGGCCAACTCGTGTGATGCCTCTAGGGCAGCGTGATACATAGTCTCAAAGACGTGAATATTCAATTCTTTGGCCTCCTGAGAGTCGAAAGGAATACGCAACATCATGAAAGTATCGGCCAACCCTTGAACACCCAAAGCAATAGGTCTGTGTCTCATGTTGGATCTTCTGGCAGTTTCAACGGGATAATAGTTACGGTCGATGACTCTGTTCAAATTACGGGTGACAACCTTGGAAATTTCATGTAGCTTCTCAAAGTTGTACCATTGAGTCTTTCCGTCTTCAGAAGTTTCAATGAATGCTGGCAATGCAACAGAAGCCAAGTTACACACGGCAGTTTCCTCTGGGGAAGAGTACTCGACGATTTCACAACACAAGTTAGAAGACTTGATGGTACCAAGGTTCTTTTGGTTAGACTTTCTGTTACAAGAATCTTTGTAAATCATGAATGGAGTACCGGTTTCCGTCTGAGCTTCTAGAATGGCATACCATAGCTTCTGAGCTTTGATAGTCTTTCTACCACGGCCCTCTTGCACGTAACGTTCATATAAAGCTTCGAATTCATCACCATAGACATCGGCAAGACCGGGAGCTTCACTAGGGGAAAACAAGGTCCATTCACCGTTCTCTTGAACTCTCTTCATGAACAAATCTGGAACCCATAGAGCAGGGAACAAATCTCTGGCACGGATTTCTTCCTTACCGTGGTTTTTCCGGATGTCGACAAAGTCGAAGATATCAGAGTGCCATGGTTCTAAGTAAATTGCAAAAGCACCTGGTCTCTTGTTGCCACCTTGATCAACGTAACGAGCAGTGTTGTTGTATACACGAACCATGGGGATAATACCATTCGAAGTACCGTTGGTACCTGCAATGTAGGAGCCTGTAGAACGAATGTTGTGGATGTGCAATCCGATACCGCCCGCAGTCTTGGAGATCATGGCACATTCTTTCAAAGTATCGTAGATACCTTCGATGGAGTCCTCTTTCATGGCTACCAGGAAACAGGAAGACATCTGAGGATGAGGAGTACCGGCGTTGAATAACGTGGGCGATGCGTGAGTGAAATATCTTAGAGACATGAGATTGTAGGTTTCGAGCACTCTTTCGATGTCGCGGCCGTGGATACCGACGGCAACACGCATGATCAAATGCTGAGGACGTTCTGCGACTTTACCATCGATACGGAGTAAGTACGAACGTTCTAGGGTCTTGAAACCAAAATAGTTGTATTGGAAGTCTCTGTCGTAGACAATAGCAGAGTTGAGCTCATCTTTGTGCTCCATGACAATTCCGTAAACTTCCTTGGAAATCATGGGCGAGTGAATTCCATTTTTAGGGTTCACATAGTGGTACAAATCGCTCACCACCTGCGAAAACTGCTTGGTAGTTTGCTTATGCAGGTTGGAAATCGCAAGTCTAGCGGCTAACGTCGCATAGTCAGGGTGAATTGTCGTCATGTAAGCACATGTCTCAGCAGCCAAGTTATCCAACTCCACCGTCGTCACACCTTCGTACACACCAGAGATGATTCTTTGTGTGATCTTTACTGCATCGATATGCTTTGGGTCCAGACCATAGCATAACCGCGAAATACGCGCTGTGATCTTGTCAAATTTGACCGGTTCTTGGCGACCGTCTCTCTTATACACAAACATTGAATCTTAAGTATCTTTCTTAGAGATTTCAATAAAGAATTGGTAGCCTATGAAACAATAACAAAGATGAATTCTACACTACTCTTTACCTCCTAGACTGGCCACCTTTATACTTCAGAAAATTTTTCGTTTGGCGTTTTGCCCCTGCTGACGCGTCATCCCTCGTAATTTATCTACGAAACTTTCTGAGGTGCGCCATAATAATCCTGCTTATTTTTCTAGGGCTTTGACGTGAACGCGTCTCATCTCTTTTTCTTTAAATCGCCTAATTGACGCGTCTGTAAACATTGGAAAATCGCGTTCGTGACGCGTCTCTCATTTCTTTTCTGTATGCGGTATTAAGGAGGCGAATCGTCAGCACCCGTGAATCTGGGTGCGTGAAAATCTTACTCGTCCGTCGTGATACTGCTTCTAGAAAAATGTTTCAACTCGTTAATAATTATATATGATTTGTGTTTGGGTTCTTGGTTGTGTCACGTTCATGAAGCCGGGTAATAGATGTGATGTTTATTGTGGTCATGTGATTAAGTAAAAGCTTACAGCTCGCATGCCGACTGACGCTGAAAAGGCCGAAAGTTCTATGGCTTAATTATTTAAAGTATGGATTCGGAAGCTTCCACGTATCATACAGCAGATTGATTGAAGCACACTTGGAGCCATTCTTTTCCGTAATATATTACGAATGATTGAATTGAAGCTTGTTTTATATACATATGTAGTTATCTGGTGTATGCTAGCGGGATGAGAGAGCTGCTTAAGACGCAAAGGTATTTACTAGAGTGGTTTTGGGGTCTGTCTGTCAGAAATGGTGAGGAATATTTGCATGTCGGCAGGTATGTAAGATCTAGCGTCTTCTATTTTTAACGAACATACCCGCGAGCGTTGCAGCAACTGCAACGCAACCACTGACAATCGCAATACCCTTGAAAGTCTCTTGTTGGATCTTGTTCTCGACCATGCCCTGCAGAGCGCGCGCTTGCTGATTGTCAGGTTCATGTGAGCATAGAGCATCAGCATATCTTTTAGCCATGGAGAACTCGCCAAGCTTGAAACAGCCGATCGTGAGGTAGTACAGACACTCACGCCTGCGCGTTGGGGATTCCTTGTATATGTCTGTTAGTAGTTTAACGCCCAGCCTTTGGTCGTCCCGCTCAGCGGATTTAATCAGACCCCACGAGTAGTTGAATCGTGACTGGATCGACGCAGCATCACCTCCCTCAGAAAGCACCTGTTGCCTTAGTATCTCTAGTTGCTCGCGTGACAAAGATCCGTATGCATCTTCAAGGGTAGGCAAAAAGCTAATTTTGGTCATATTCGTGCGATTTTTGTGCTTTGCAGAAAGTGTTAGTTTCTTCACATGAACGCCCCTTCCGATCGTGAAAATTATCAACGCCGATCTCATCGAACACAATAGGTCATTGGAAACACATATATGGCTGGTATGGAAGATACAAAGAAATTAAACACCTCAAAACTTGGCACCAAAGAGTATTGGGATGATTTTTACGAGCTTGAAACCAACAACTTCAAAGAGAATCCGGAAGATACCGGCGAATGTTGGTTTGCCGATAACGATGCCGAAGACAAAATGATCGAATTTCTTATAGACAATACCGGCGAATATCGTGTTTCCTCTGACTCTTCGATGATTGATCTTGGTACTGGCAATGGGCATTTACTTTTCCAGCTTTATGAAGAAGGATTTCATGGTAGGATGGTCGGTGTAGACTATTCAGCAAAATCTGCCGAATTTGCGGCCCAGATCTTGCAGTCAAAGTATCCAGAAGCTACTAACCTCTTTTTTGAAGCTTCGGATATTTTTAGCACAAATTGGAACCCCGGGCAATTTGATGTCGTTTTAGATAAGGGCACTCTGGATGCCATTGCCCTTAGTGGGATTGTAGGTGAAAATGGCCAATCGATTGTTCAGCTATATCCAAAGGTTGTTGAAAAGCTGCTAACAAAGGACAGTATCTTCCTCATCACATCTTGTAACTTCACTCAAGATGAGCTCATACAAATCATTGAATCCGAACATCTGAGAGTTTGGAAGACTATTGAGTATCCTGTATTTGAATTTGGTGGGGTCAAAGGTGCCAGTATTTGCAGTGTTGCGTTTGTCAAAAAATAGAATATCTTAATATCTTGAATGTCTGGCAATTTGACAGTGTTCGCGTACATGTATATATAGACGATCTATATAAATGCCTTCTGCTAAGGCAGTAGTTTGATAATACTATTGTATAGCTCCTCAGCTATTTCCGCTTTACTGGTCCTTAAAGCATATTGCACCGGGGTCTTTTCCTCATTGACCGTAATTATGCGGATAAACTTATCACCTTGTAGTGATGCTGGGAATCCTTTGTGAACACTCACTCCTTTAATCAAAGGTACATTCAGGATTACTTTAAGTAAGCCTCGTGATCTCATTACAATTCTAGATTTGCCCGTTTCGGGATTTTCATTCACATGCAGCCCGCCAACTCCTCTTTCCTTCCATCCTTCCTCTAGATTTGTTAATTGATACAGTTTGGCGTTTGCTTGGAAAATAGATTTCTCTAATTCTTCTCCTGACTCTATGTTCTGTTTTTCTAGTTTTACAATTCCGTCTTTCTCGACCGGAGTAGTTTCTGACGTATCCTCTTCCTTGTGATCCTCTGGCTTTGAATCGGATTTCACCTTGGTCTCTTGATCATCTTTATTGAAAATGTTGCCGCTCTTAGATTTTTCTTGGTTCAGTGCTGCAAAACCCGCACCGAATGCAAAACCTGATCCAAAAGCAAAAGGTTTGCTTGATCCCTCCTTCTTGTCACTGTCTTCGCTCTCCTTATCATCATTTGTCTTGAAAGATTTTGCGTTGGCTGACTTAGTAACACCAAATCCCAAACTGAAGGCCGAGGAACCACCAAAAGTGAACTTGGGCTTCGTTTCAGGCTTCTTATCTTGTTCAGAGCTTTCTGTTGTGTCGTCTTTTACTACCGGTTCTCCAAGTTTCGCTTTATCCACATCATCTCTGGTTGCTTCTTTGATATTAGCATGCTTTTCATCATCTTGTTCTCCTTTCTTCGTTTCGTCTTTCGAATCTAACTTTGACTCGTCTGTTTCAGAATTCCCTATTGAAGCGGCCTCATCCTCTTTGTGAGTCTTAACCCGCTTAGTATGTTCATCAACAGGTTCTTGCTCTGTCTCCGTTAACGTTCTTTTCAAATTGTCAGTTTCCTTTTCTCCCAAAATAGGAGCTTTTTCCTCCTTCTTTGGGTCGATGGCAGGCTCCTTAGTGGGTGTAGTCATCTCTTCCGATGATGTTCCTCATTTTGTCAAGGTCTTGAATTACAGTTACACAGACTTAAGCTGTGTCATTGCATCATCAAAAACGATATGAAATGATAAATCATCGAGACAGACAAAAGCCTGAAAGCCAACGCATAGATCTCTTGAACTTTTCAGTTATGATGTTACATATCCTTGATTGTACTACTATATAACATGAGTCACACCGTATTTCTATCAGACAAATAGCGCACGATGGGCCCCACACCTGAAACTTGTGTAACCTTTTCGAACCACGATAGGAGTATGCCGCCCTGCTTTTGGCCTTCTGGAAGGCTCATGCCTTTGTAAAGATACTTGATCAAGACTTCTTGTTGCTTAGGCGATAGCTGTTTGACAATATTGATTATTTCCGCTTGTCTAACTTGAGTGAGGACTTCTAACACGGCTGAAAAGTATTGAAGTTTGGTTGCATCGTCCGAGTTATATGGGGGATCTGATGTAGCCAATTGCACGGCACTGGCGAAATCACCGCTCGTTGCAGCGGAACGGAGTTGTGAAATTTTTGGCTGCAGTTCTTGTAGACCTACTTGGGTAGCGTAGGGGGGTTTGAGGTCTTCTTCTGTTAACCGACCACTTTCAGGATCGAATGCATCAATATCAATTCTTCTCCAATCCTCCATCACGGATATTTAACTTAATAGTGTTCGCTTTAATACCCTGCAATAGAATGAAGATTCATTACCTATTTTGGCCCCTTTTCATGAAAGTAAAAATGTCACTTACGTCTAACGTGATATAAATGTTCCACTATTTAAGCGTCGAATTATGTAGTGATCTAGGCTTTAACAATTTTATCTTCTGGAATACCGTCGTATTCACCATATCCTAGAGCCAAATTAATGTTCTGGAGACATTGGGTAGCGGCACCCTTCAAGAGATTATCAATTGTTGCACAGACAACCACACGATCTTGAGCATCATTTACTTTGAATCCTCCCACTAAAACTCCATGAGTTCCGGAAATGTTCTTAACTAAAGGAATATCCTCGGCAATGTGAACTAGCTTCTCACCTTGGTAGAATTTCTCGTACAGGGATCTGACTTCCTTCGAAGTTAATGATCCTTTCTTGATGGGAATAGATATGGTATGAGAAATACCTTGAAACCACTGAGCAACGTGTGGAACAAATGCCACTTCTAAACCCAGACGGGTTGATATTTCACGTTCGTGGATGTGGTTTGTCAATGCATAAGGAATCAAATTGTTGTTGAGAAATTTGGGATCGTTTTTGGGAGATGGTTTTGTTCCAGCACCAGAATATCCAGATACACCGAATATAGTTGGTAGGCCAGTAATAAATTCAAGTAATGGCGCTATGGCAACTTGAGCACCCGTCGCATAACATCCCGGGTTGGCTATTTTTTTCGCAGCAGCAATCTTATCCCTACTGTTCAGCTCTGGTAACCCATATGCCCATTCAGTTTCTGGGACAAAACGGTAATCTGCAGATAGATCAACGATCTTGGATTTCCCTTCGACACTTTCAATTGCTTCAACAAATGGTTTGCAGACACCATTTGGCAAAGCCATAACCCACATGTCAACATCTCCCTTCGATTCTAGGTTCTTGACATCGTCAGTTGTTAAACTTTCGTAGATAACTTCTGACTTGTTGTACCCTTGTAGTTTTGTGCCTTTCAATTCACGAGAGGAGACATGAGCCAAGTTCAAATGAGGATGGTTGTCAATCAACGAAATAAGGTTTTGACCGGTGTAGCCTCTTGCTCCAATTAGTGCTACGCGACCAGGTTCTGTATTAGTACCTGCGGGTTTAGGCTGTGATCTGGTCGAATAGGCTCTCGTGGATTGGCCAGATGCAAAAACACCAGAGGATCTTTCAGGTTGAGGTGTGGATACATCGTTAACAAAATCCTTAATCAAGTTGGACACTGTGTTGATATCTTGTACTCCGTACCAGAAAAGAATCTTTCCGTTCTTCAAGTAAGATCCATCGGACTTGTTGAAGTGCCATGCAATATTCTCGTCATCCTCGTTGATAATCCATTGCAAAGCTGGAAAATCACGTTTAAGAGCGTTGAAAACATTATCCGTGACGTTGTTCAACCAGCCAACTTTTGAACATAAGAATTTGTCAAGAATGGGGACTTCACTCTCCTTTACAATAGCAAGAACTTCAAGGGGCTCATCAGAATATGACACAAAATTTGAAATCTCTAACCCACGCAAATAGGATGCAACAGATTTCACACCAGAAGCAATCTCTGGATCCCTTTGTAAGGCAGTTCTTAACGAGTCTGGTGATGGAAATTCTCCCAAAGAAGATCTTTTAATTAACTTGTAACCTCTTCTGATCATAGTACCAGCACCAGAGTCAGTAAATAGTTCCTTTTGTAGATCCTGAACGTTAATAATGGCAACCGATGAGGAACGTGGTAAATAATCCAGCAGGTCCTTGATCTCTTTGATTTTCAACTTAGTCCCGTATTTAACCCAGCTCTGTTTCATCAAGTCATCGTACTCTTCATCCAAGTTAATTACGGAAACCTTTTCACCAGTGTTGCCATTGATGATACCACCTTTTTCATTCAAGTATACGATCTTTAAGGGTTCAAAAATACGAGCAAGTTCACCGGCGGCAATGTCAGCGTTAACATTCAAGGTCTGACCAAAAGACGTCTCAGCTAAAGAGGTCAGAATTGGTAAGGCACCAGCCTTAATAGAAGCCTCAATAGGATCCTTACAAACGGAAGTGATATCTCCAACTAGCTTGTATTTATCTTTGTCAAGATACTCAGCTGTGAAAACACCTGAAGTGATAGGTCTGGCACGGACACCGAGTTGTTCAAGGGCAGTTACTAATTTCAAATTCTGTTCAAGGAAACATTGTCTAACAACAGCCATCGTTTTCTCATCAGTGATTCTGATTCCATCAATGTAATCAGGTTCAACCCCTAGTGCTTCCAACCTACCATTTACTTGTGGTCCAGTGCCGTGCAATACAATAGGGTAAAGTCCAACATGATATAAAAACGCCAAACAAGAAGCCAGTTCCTGGAGGTTGTCGCTAATGATGGCTCCCCCAACTTTAATAATAGCAAATTGTTGCTGGGAGACGGAGGTGAAGTATTTTAGATACTGTTCAACCTCCCTTTTTGAACCGATATTGTTCAATAATTGGATAACGGTTGATCTGGTACCTGAAGTTCCCACACCATTTAAACTGGATATCAATCTCTTAGAATACCCAACCTTCTTCTTAGTGAAAGAAACAGTACTTGGCGCGCTAGCTTTGGCTAGTAACGATGCCACGGCTTGAATTCTGGAAGGCTTGAGTCCCTTCGTAGACACTAGAAATCTAGCTGACATCTTTGTTCTCTATTGGAAATGAACAGCGACCTCTCTGCCTTCAGAAATGATCACGGCGATATTTTATAAGCCCAAAACTAAATTTAAAAAGTAATGACTCAGCCTGTGACTAGGAAATTTGTGAAAATTTTCCATGATAACGCCGTGTCCTTGTAATAAAAAATGATGCCTAAAGATAACTTTCAGCGAGTTAACCTACACATGCCGTATAACTTAATATTCGGGCCTTGCACTTCTATCTAGACGCCGGGACCTATCCTGCCTGGATTTGTAAGTAACAGAATTTTGGTTCGGCAGTGGTCTCTTAGCGGGGTTGAAACCACCGAATCTACTCCGAGGGTATGCTGGAGATGAATTGCGTGGAGGATGGCTCCGCGGTGGTCGAGAGTCTTCATTCGTAAATTTGGCCATCTTGTCTCTCTTCATGTAGCCACGGCCACCTAGCCCACCTCCAAGCCTCCTCGGTTTGAAATACTTGACGGTTCGACCGCGCTCGATGTCCACAATCACCGGTCTACCATTGATCTCTATCCCGCGATGGACACCAATTTCTCTAAATGCATTGCGAGCTGAAATTTCTTCTTTAAAGAGAATAAAACCATAACCGCGACTTTTGTTCGTTGATTTGTTTCTTACCACTCGTACTTTCTCTATTTCACCAAATCTTACAAACTCTTTTTGCAGTTCAATCTCCGTTATTTCGTAAGGCAGTCTACCCACAAATATGGTTCTATAGGGATCGCTTCCCTGGATATTTTCATCTGTTTCCGGACTCCATAAGTTTACTTTCTCTTGTAGCTCATTCATTTCCCTGTGCCTTGCATTTCCTGCATCTTCATATATTTTGAGATGGTTTTGCTCACTGCCTTTCTCAAACTCCTCTCTGTATGAATTCAAGGCGTGTAGATACGGTGCCAAGCCTTGAATGTTGGGATTCGTTTTGCGATTCTCGATTGGGTGATCAGTGGGCCTTATATATTGTAATGGCGGTCTTGGCTGAAACATCTTGCTTGATAGTGCATTAGATAGCGACTGAAACACAACTCTGCGTTAGTAAAAGTTACATAGGGGCAATCTGTGGTTATTGACAAATAACATACCATTATTTTCAGACAAGAGATCTCCCTCTAGTTCTTCAGCGAGTTCTTAACAGAAACTATCGTGCATGCTTCTTTTGTATTTTTCTCCTGCAAAAACATCGAGGAAAAATGAAGCTCTCTTAAATCGAATGGTGAATTCATTACATTATATATTTACAAACAGGAAACGATGAATGCTTTACAATATTACATACATATATATGTATATCTTTTGCTACATGCTAGCAGTGACCTTTTTACCATTGATCAGTTGATTTAGTAAATCCGAAGAGTTGCTTCCATTAGTAGTCATTTGAGGGGCAGCAATAGGTCCGTTACTCGACGCAAATATGCCCGGTGGAGGAGGTGTGTTTACAGCTCTTTGCTGTTGTAGTTGTGCTTGAAGAAGTTGAGGAGTCATTCCTGGAGGGGTAGGGTGTTCTGGTCTACTTTGTTGTTGCTGTTTCTTGGCCAGTTGAATCTGTTGCTGTTGTAACTGTTGTTGTTGTTGTTGTTGTTGTTGTTGTTGTTGCACCTGCTGCAAGATTCTTGGGTTCATTTGAGGGGTTGTCTGTATGTATGGCAGTAGGGATGCGGTATGGTCTACTGGTTTGATTGCTAACATGTCAACAAGTCTATTAGCAAGCACATTGTCAGATTCTTCAGAAACATCAATGTTTTCAAAGGAGAAAAGAGATGGATAAGAGTTATAAGTTTCATCATCTAACACATTGTCTCTCAGTTTATATGTGCGAGTCTGGTAATTGGACAGCGACTTGATGGTTTCGTCAATAAATCTAACAGCAGTTGAGAGTGGGTCGTAAGGATCGATATAAGTCTTTTCTGAGTTCTTCTTCGCCTTTCCTTGATTGCCACCATTGTTGTGAGAATGGCTCGAGGAGCCGCCAACAGATTGAGCTTGTGTGGCCTCGCCCAAGGTTGGAAATGCAGGTGAACTAGTGGTTTTCACTACGCCAGCGGTTAGGATTGGAGTCGCAGATTGAGTTATACCCCATGGATTTGATCCACTAGGTACGGGTGCTGGCGTCAACACAGGGGTGTGAGCCGCCGAAGTAGAGGACGATGACGAACCCTCCTCTGTCTGGTTCAAATGAGTCTTGGCAGGCACTGGAGAAGAGGCAGCAGAAGTCGCAAAAGGAGTTGTCGAGGTACCTGCGGGCTTGAAAGGAAGACCACTTGCGCTGCTAGACTGTCTTGGGATGGCATGATCATGTTGCTTGCTGCTAAGTTCTCTTCTGTTGAAAGAATCAGCTTCTTCGCCAGGCTCATGCAGAAACATGCAGTTTGGATTGGGACAGGTTTGACCTCTCAAATAGGAAGAACAATACTTTGTTGTACCGTAAGCAGCTTTCACTAAGCGACCGTCCATGTATGTGCCATCGACAGCAGCTATGCACTTGGCAGCGTCGTCTTTCTTGGCAAACGTAACGTATATCCCATATCCTGTATGGTGATGATGCGCATGACTCCCGCCGTGGTGATCGCTATGAGCAGTTTTCTTATTCACGACAATCTTGTTGATTTTGCCATATTGACCGAAATATTTCTCCGACTTGAGCAGACTAGCAACCTCTTCGTAGGGAACAGGCGGGTTCAGTCCTACCACGTAAACAAGATTTTTCTGGATTACCCGCATGCCGGCCAGATGTTTTCTGTTGGCATATTCATTTTCCTTGCGCTCCTTATCCCTCAGCTTTCTGTCACGTTCTTTCCTCGCTTGCTTCGCTTGCTCCATCTTCAACTCCTCGGGGGACAAAACGACATATTCTACACTTTCATCGTCATATTTACGACGACATGCCGGACAACGGCCATTAAGTTCCGGGTTTTGCCTGATGTTATTGTAACAAAACTGACATATTTGATATCCACAGGGGCAAGGCTTAAAATTTTTGTCTGTGATATCCATCGGCTCAATACACAAGGGACAGTAATCTTCTTCATCGTCGGACAAGAAAGAAGTGTCATAATTTGCTAATGCAGCCTGAATGGCCTGCATGTTGGCGTTGGCAGTCATCTTATTCATCCTTGATGTGGCTTCAAAATAATCGTGCTTTTGGACTATCGAAACATCGAAATTTTTGCCACCACGGAGCTCGTGCTATGTTGCTCGACCACCAGCCAAAAACCCTTACCCGGATATGAGTCACGTGACTCTTGTCCTTTCATCGACTCACCGCTATCCTTCCTCTCTAGCTACGTTGTTGAAGGTTATGGTGGTCAGCCTTGATGTTACCGTGAGCCACAACGCGTGTAGAATTCTTGCATGTCAATTGACCTAATTGATGTTTTCTTCAAGACAGGTTACACGCCGATTATGTTTCGTCTCTGGAAAGTTCATTTAGTATTGCAACAGCGCCAACAAGACAACTACGAAATTGTAACTTGCATGGAGCATTTTCTGTTGGCACTTGTATGTTTACATGCTAATCTACGTTATTGTAAGTATGTCGGTATTTACTCTGGTGTCGCACTTTTCTCTCTTGGTTCATTTTCATCACATTTATGTGTGCTAAAAGCTCAAAAGTCGTAAAAAATATAAACCTTCCTTGAATCGTTTCTCATTAAATCATTACAAAAATTGTACGTAGCGTCTAGACCGTGCGTTGGCCAAACTATAGACGTAACACAGGCTGCGTCAAGTAGTCAACATCTATATAAGCACTGTCTGAGTGACACTCGACGGTGACGTGCACTTCAAAGTCCTTGCCATGGTACTGAGTCTTATCGTTGTATTTCCATACCACGTGCTCGAAAGTTTCCTCCTTGGACTTGTCCTTGAAGGTCAACTCAGGAAGTTGAGCTGACTTCTTAATGTCCTTCAAGAGATGCTTTTCGACGTGCTGATGCAGGTGTCGCACAAATTTCTTACTGTGGGAGTTAGCAGTGTCCTTGATTTTCTCAGGGTCTTCGTGGGACTCATGAAGCACGAAGGGTGGGTAGTACTTGAGATGACAACGGACGTGGTCGAACTCGTCGTCCTCAGTTTCGTTCTTGATGAACGTCTGGAATGTGTCCAGGTCCTCGAACACCTTCATGGTGTCACCCTCTTTGGTGGTGACGGTGGTGATCTTTGGCTTCTTATCTTTCTTGGTCATTGCAGAGTAGTGGTGTTTGATGGGATGTTAATTGTAGTTGCTTTTGATGGCAGACACAATCGATGGAGTTACAAACAAAGCAATGACAACCTTGAGGCGCGGATACACACATTATATACCTGGGAGCTGATCCTGTCTCCCTGAGTTTGGAGAACCTGTTCTCACGGTATTCCTCTTGTACGGGGGGCACGAGATTTTCTGCGCGCGATGCCAAAAAGTCCCCCCACAATTGTCATTCCCCGTCACCCTAATATTGATTACGTGCAAGAACGAAAATCAAGCTCACCCCAGTTAGGCAAGGAATGTAAACGTGAGAGCCAGGTGGCTTATAGGGAGCAACTCAAGTCCGGTTTTCGGACCAGACATGCATTTCCGAGCGTTATAGCTCTAGAATCACGGAAGAACGTAGCACAGCATCCTAAGTACCACCAAACTCAGCACCCCGAAGTAGCATAGCAGCCACATAGACGAGACCCGACTGCCTCCTCGGGGCAATCCAACTGCGCCATGTCTTGTTGAGGAGAAAGGAATTCCCCGGGTACGCTCAGCCGTACATTGGCATAAGGGGGAAGAGGAACGGCAGCCGTTGGCCCAACGGGACGAAAAAGAAGCACCACCAGCGCAGGAACTCTGCGCTCGTACACGCAGGCGGCGGGCGTAAGGCAGCGCAAGCGGGCTGAGTCTTATATGAGGCCGCCGCACTCTTCTACAACGAAAAATGAGTGCTCAATGGCCGATTGTCGAAGCACCACGGCCAATTGTCGAAGCACAACGGCCAATTGTCCGCTATCGAGAAGTTCGTCCAAAGGGACAACAGATCATCGTCGACGGACACAAATGATCGTATGCAGTTACCCACGGAATTACTACTATTGGCCCATGCTGGGCCTTGTAGTGTGCTGCGAGAGGTAGCGCGGCAGTACAGTGCGATCAGGCAACAGATGGTACATTCGAGGAGCTGTTATGCGACCCGCTTCAGTGGCGCAATGCAGACGCGACGCCAGGGCTTCCGCAGCAACTCCGGGGCCAATAATCAAAAACTCATCAAGTGCGCAACTTCAAGTGTGCTGCAACTCTGAGCGCAGAGCGTACTCCAACCACGATACCTGTATTCCCATAAGCAGCGAACCCTTGCATTTCCGCCTCAGGCACTGTGCTGCCGAGCACCTGCAAATGCACATCGCTATGCACGTACTTGCCGGACCTTCGCCGTATTGGAAACACCTGCTTTTCAGGGGAGGCTAGCGATGTTCCCGCTGCAGCTCGTGGGTGGTGCTTGGAGGACGGCTGGAGTATCGTGAAAGCACTCGTGCTACCATCTCCGCCCACAATCTACATACCCAAGACTCGCCTGGCCGGCACAGGGCAGAGACTATCCCAATCCTGGTGCTATACGCCTCCACCGTGAAGAATGCAGAGCCAAGCAATGAAAAGTGATGATTCTTGGGTCCGACTTCCGTTTTTCACTGCGGGGTCTTCTGAGGGTGCCTGTGGGAGCATGATGACATAAGGTAATTAAACATCGCCGCATGCGCATGCCTCCTCGGCTTCGAGTGTTTTGGTGAGTAAATTAAGAAATGGAATTGCATTCCGAAACAAGAACACAAGAGCGGTGGGGCAGAGGGGTAGCGGTGGAGGGGCACATAGGGTACGGTTACGTAGTTCGAAATCATTAATATGTAAATTCCAGTGCCGCGTCAAAGGGTCTGCTGGTCCATGTGTGGTTAGCGGATTTCAGTCCCTTTGAAAGCTGCTCTCGTGTAGACGGTTTAGGCCGTATGCATGCTAGAAAGAGACAGCTGCTTACTCCCATACCGTTCTTTATTCCTGTGCAATTTTACTGACCGAGTACTGAGCAGCATTTAGCGCCTAGCGCCCAAATGCTCTGCGCCTGCAGTAACTCATAATGCAGCACACGTGCCAGCAACCGGATTAATATCGTGCTTTGCAGGCAAAGAAAACTGCTGAGGACATGCAAACGGGTTCTAACACTCAATGAGCGGGAGCTGCTTTTTGACCTATTCTGGCAAAACTCTGCGTTTGTCGGGTAATCGATTATTTCGCTATGCAGGCAACGTGTGGTTGCGTACACAAAGTCATGACAGAGTGAAAGGTGGGAAACACATCGCTTCGGTTGTTAGGAAGAATGTGATGCGCGATGTGCATCCCGCCCACGTTCTCAATTGACGGCGTGCAGCGTCCACTACATTGAAAGTTGGAGTATAAGTTGACTACAGGTAGCAGGCGTATTGAAGATCTCGAGGAATTTCTCTACTCACGATCAGTGTTTGCATTCCACGGGATTACTCGCCAAAAATGATGCTTCCAAGCGTTGTGCTTCTAATTCTCGTATACCTCCGTCATCTCGTCTCCGCGTCGCCTGTCATCACCGGCAAGGAGGAATTGTCGGACCTGCTAGACTCCTCCTACGGTTTCAACGATGCCAGTGTCGTTTCTGCGTTTGTTGGCGAGTTGAAAGCCTTGAGCAACCAAAATATCACCAAGTGTGAGAAGTGTATCACTAGACTGGCCATTGGAAAGTCGCTTTCATTGCTCAGACCAGACTTGGTTCCCCAGGTTTTCACCCAGTGGTGCCAAGAAACTGCATACTGGTCCAACACCACCTGTACGTCCACTTTTGGTAGAAACACCGTCTCCAACAGTAACACTGGTACCAATTTTGCCGACATGTTGTCCTTGATGGACCCATTCGGTTACGATGGCCAATTGTACTGTTATTACAAAGAGTCCGCACAATGCGCCAAGCCTGCTACTCCAAACGTGACTTTGTCCCACATGTGGCCCGAAAAGCAGGAAAAGCACTACGTTGCACCTGAGCCAAGCGCCAATGACACCATTAACGTCTTGCACATTTCTGATTTCCACATTGAATTAGACTACACTGTTGGTGCCGAAGCCAACTGTTCCACGAGTATGTGCTGCACGCCACACTCCGTGAACGCCAAGACTCACTCCGGCCAAAGTAACGTCACCTGGAACTCTTTCTACAACTCTACCTACGAGAACACCACTCTTGTGAAGGGTTCCTACATCGACGTCTTTTCCAACAGTTCCATTTGGGTGCCAGCCACTACTTTCGGTTACTACGAGTGTGATGCTCCAGAAATTTTGATCAACTCCTCTTTGAACTCCATTGTCCAATACAGTCAAGAAAACGAATTGGACTTTGAGTTTGCCATCTTCACAGGTGATCTTGTCGACCACGATGAGATTAAGTACACTGGCTACCAAATGACCGTCGAGTCTGAAGAAGTTATTTTCCAGGACATGAAGGACAAATTGGGATCTTTGCCAGTGTACTCTGTTCTAGGTAACCACGATACTTTCCCCTACGGTGAATTAGGCCAAGAAAATCACGGTTTCACCAATTATTTTGCTTGGAACGCCGAGTTAATGGCTGACATGTGGGAAGATTTCGGATGGTTGGATGCTGACGCTTCCCAATATGCTCGTAAGCACTACACTGGTTTCTCTGTGGAGACCAAATTGGGTTTGAAAATCATTTCCTTGAACTCCAACGTGTGGTACAAGAAGAACCACTACGCTTACTGGAATGCGTCTCAACCAGACACTTTTGGCCAATTTGAATTTTTGATTGACGAGTTGGTCGAATCGGAGGCCAAGGACCAAAGAGTCTGGGTCATTGCTCACATTCCATTTGCTAGTGACTCTTTGCCAATTCCATCCAAGCTATTCGCCGAAGTTGTCGAAAGATTCTCCCCATACACTATCGCTGGTATCTTCTTCGGCCACACTCACTTGGATCAATTCGAAATTCTATACGCTGGTTCCGGTGATGACTCCAAGACTATTGAGAATGTCATTAACGTTGCATGGGTAGCTCCTGCAGTTACCCCTTGGGTTGAAAACAATCCTTCTTGGAGATACTACTCCGTGGACAGAAAGACCTTCTCTGTCATGGACGCGTACAACTTCTTCACTCCATTAAACGAGACCTTCAACAACAACGGTGAAGAACCTGTCTGGTCTTTCGAGTATTCCGCCAGAGACGGTTACAACATTTCATGGCCAGAAACCTCTCCATTGAACGGTACCTACTGGCATCAAATCGCTTCTGGAGTCAACCAATCTCTAGAGGTTAATCAACTCTACGAAAACTACGCCAAGAGATTCTCACCATACGTGCCAGACTGCGCCAACTCAGACGACTGTGAGACCGATTACTGTTTCTTGACGTCCTTCACTGTTGACGATTACGACAACTGTGTCAAGAACATAGCTTGATACCCCAAAATCATAGACTTTCAATTTTCGCTTAACGATGTTTCCGTTCTCAATGGTTCTATAGTAAATCATATAGCCTTTGTTTTAAAATGATGACAAAGCCATTTACAAACTTGTGGAGAGTTGGGCGGGTTTTCTTGTGCAGAAAAACGCCGCGTCAGCGTAAAAAAAGTGACGGGTGCTATGTAACAATGATGTGGGTCAAAAAGACCGCTACGAACGCGATGATCGCAACCAATACCCAGAAGCATCCACAAGACTTGCCTCAGCGTGAAGATTGGTTTGATGCTGCTGCGAGGAAATCTTTTTTTTAAAGGTGGCACCATTGTGGTCAGGAAAAACACGATACCAAGAACATGAGAAAGCTTTTACACGAGTGCGCAAAACGACAGACATCTCGCGGTGTCAATTTTTTTTGTTTTTTACATACACATCAAGGTAGCAGGTATCTGGCGTATCCAGTCACAGCGTCCTTATTATAATGAAACGAGTACCGAATCTGCTCTGTCTTCTTGCTGCCTTATTTTACTATCGCTTCATGACAGTTTCTCTATACACAAACTGCACTTTGCGCGCTGAGACCAGGTCTTACCTGGCATCCCATCGTCCAAGTACTCTCGATAAGATACTTCCCCCGCGCAACTGCAGGGCACAGAACTTGTCGTAACTAGTTATGACGTTCTTGAAACTAATGAAATGAGTTCTATTTAGCCCTGTTCTCCTCCTATTTAGTCTCATCGTATCCTCAGGACTTCGTAATATTTATAGCTATAGATTGCGACCTTGTATCGATCCTCACTCATGTTTGAGGTTCAGTTTGGTATCTCCGAGGTACCTCAAGATCTTACTGTTTCATAACAAAAGCCAGAGTATTCTTCCGCGCATATGCTGTGCCTTTTTTCGATGTGATATAACGTGTCACCGCTCCTAGTGGAGTGGTGAGCAACGTTGCAATTCATGGGTTCAATGCTCTTGAGAAGCGTACAATTGTGTAGATCACTTTGTACGGCCGACATTATGGCCGAGGGGTTAAGGCGACAGACTTGAAATCTGTTGGGCTCTGCCCGCGCAGGTTCGATTCCTGCTGATGTCGTTATTTTTTGATTTTTAATTTTTCGGCTCCAGGTGCGGCGGTCCCCGTCTCCATTGGCGCGAGGATGGCATTTTGGCCGAGGCCGCCGATTCAAAGGTAGCGAAGGCCATTGCGCCGACAACATGCCGCCCGAAACATCATGACGAGACAAACGTGGATTCCATTGCTGCGAGGAGATGCAATGTGAATCATCGCCGCCCAAGTGGTATAAAGGTGGCGACAATGAGCGCGGTAGCAATGGACAATTTCAACCAAGAGCAAGCTCAAGACTAGTATCAGACTGAAATGCCAGTGTCTACCGAGCCATTCGCAAACAACATCGAAGCTCTCAAGTTCCAACTGGACAAAGATGCCGCCGAAATCGAAGAGTGGTGGTCCAAGCCACGTTGGAGCAAGACGAAACGTATTTACTCTGCCAAAGATATCGCGGTGAGACGCGGCACGCTACCACCTGTGACGTATCCATCTTCTGTGATGGCCCAGAAACTTTACAAACTGTTGCAAAAACACCACGACGAGGGCACGGTGTCCAAGACTTTTGGCGCGTTGGATCCCGTGCAAGTGACGCAAATGGCCAAGTACTTGGACACAGTGTACGTGTCGGGATGGCAATGCTCGTCGACTTCGTCGACGAGCAACGAGCCCGGCCCCGATTTGGCCGATTACCCCATGGACACGGTGCCCAACAAGGTGGAGCACCTTTTCAAAGCGCAATTGTTCCACGACCGGAAGCAATTGGAAGCGCGCGCGCGCTGCAAGACGCAAGAGGAGCTGGACGCGCTGGGACCCGCGATCGACTACTTGCGGCCCATCGTGGCGGACGGAGACGCGGGCCACGGCGGGATTACGGCGGTGTTCAAGCTGACCAAGATGTTCATCGAGCGCGGCGCCGCGGGGATCCACATGGAGGACCAGACGTCGACCAACAAGAAGTGCGGCCACATGGCCGGGCGGTGCGTGATCCCCGTGCAGGAGCACATCAACCGGCTGGTGACGGTGCGCATGTGCGCAGACATCATGCACTCGGACCTGGTGCTGGTGGCGCGCACGGACTCGGAAGAGGCGACGCTGCTGAGCTCGACGATCGACGTGCGCGACCACTACTTCATCGTCGGGGCCACGAACCCGGACGTGGAGGAGTCACTGGCCGAGACGCTGGACCGCGCGCTGCTGGAGGGCGCGTCGGGCGCCGAGCTGGCCAAAGTGGAGCAGGAGTGGAGCGCACGCGCGGGGCTCAAGCTGTTCCACGAGGCGTTCGCGGACGAGGTGAAGCGGCTGGGGCTGCCCAACGCGGGGCACGTGATCGACGAGTTCAACGCGCGCGTCGGGCCCTACACGGGCACGTCGCACCGCGAGGCGCAACGCATCGCCAAGCAACTGGTGGGCAAGGAGGTGTACTTTGACTGGGACCTGCCCCGCGCGCGCGAGGGCCTGTACCGCTACAAGGGCGGCACCAAGTGCAGCATCATGCGCGCGCGCGCGTTTGCGCCGTTCGTGGACCTGGTGTGGATGGAGTCCAACTACCCGGACTACGCGCAGGCCAAGGAGTTTGCCGAGGGCGTGCGCGACGTGCACCCGGACCAGTGGCTGGCGTACAACCTGTCGCCGTCGTTCAATTGGACCAAGGCGATGCCCACGGAGGAGCAGCGCACGTTCATCGACCGGCTGGGCAACCTGGGCTACATCTGGCAGTTTATCACGCTGGCAGGGCTGCACACGAACGCGCTGGCCGTGCACCGCTTTGCGCGCGACTTCCGCGACCGCGGCATGCAGTCGTACGCGGAGACGGTCCAGCAGCGGGAGATCGACGAGGGCGTGGACATTGTGAAGCACCAGAAGTGGTCTGGCGCGGAGTACATCGACGCGCTGCTGACGTTGGCGCAGGGCGGCGTGAGCGCGACGGCGGCGATGGGCGAGGGCGTGACGGAGACCCAGTTCCGGGACGGGCAGGCGTGAGGAGTCTGCTTGGCTCTTGGCTGTTGTCCTTGATCCTCGCTTCTTCGTCCTGCATCCTCGAGCCTGCCCGCGCCCTCTCGGCCGCAGATATCGGCCGCTCACCCGCTCTCACCCGCTCTCGCCCGCCCTCGAGCCCATATGCACGAAATAGTTTATACCTTTGTTAGTAATCAACATGCCTGAAACAGACACACCCGGGCCGGCCGGCACCTGCCCAGAATCCCCCGCAGCACGCCCGCAGCACGCCCGCAGCTGCTCCCTCAGTAGCCCCCGCAGCCGCTCCGCAGCCCGCGTCCCAGACGCGCCCGCAGCGCCCCCTCCCACCAGTAGCCGGCCGCTCCCCCACGGCGCCCGCGCCGAAAATGTGTCAAGTTCGCCTCGGTGAGTCGTATGACTAATGAGTGAAAAAAAAAAAATTGTGCCGGCCCAGACGCACGTAGGGCGTCCAAGCGGCGTAAAGCAAGATGGTTGCCGCATGGTTGCCGCATGGTTGCGACTACGCAAGACTCAGGGCGAGCCGTTCGGCGCGACGGATGACTCGCGGTCGCAAGTCATCCTCCTTCGTCAAAAAACGGGCATGGGTCGCACACGAGGCTATTTATAAGAGAAAGGGCCTAAGACACAAGGCGTGGCATCGCTCCGGGTGGTAGTGTCCCGACAACGCAGCCAATGACTAGCTCCAGCGCGAGTTTGAACAGAGTGCACAAGTCGTCAAGCTCTGGAACCACTCATCGGATCCGAGAGCAACTCAACTTCACAGACGAGCGTCGCTGGAAACGGTTCTCCGGGCGACGGCTCGAGCTGATCGACAAGTTCGGGCTCAGCGAGCGCAAGGCCAGCGAGCAGGACGACAACATCCGGCAGATCGCCACGATCCTGCGCACGGAGTTCGGGTACCCGGCGGCCACGGCCGGCGAGTTCGAGAAGCTGGTCACCGCAGCGGTGCAGTCGGTGCGCCGCAACCGCAAACGGTCGTGCAAGTCGCGGCCGACGGCGGGGTCACGTGACGAGATGTCCGGCGTCGCTGCTGCTGCTCCGGCCCACGGCGCAGCCCCAGTCGCCGCGGCCGCGTCGACCGCCCCATCCGCGGCCTCGTCGCCCGCCAGCGAGCCCGCCCGGTCCCTCACGCCCGCGGGCGCGGCCGCTGGCGCGGCCGCGCCGCCCCAGCTCCCGCTGCAGCGCCAATTGCCCGCGCTGGCGGGCGCCCCAGCCCCCGTCGCCGCGGCCCCCGTCCGTGTGGTCGCCAGGACGTCTGCTCCGGAGCAGCTGCCGCCGCTCGCGCCGCAGAACTACGACGAGCTCGTCAAGGCCGTCATCGGCGACGCGGTGCACAACCGGGTCGCGTTGCACGAGCAGTCGCGTCAGGACGACGCATCGCCCAACCTCGCGGATTTCGCCATGTCCGTCAACGACGGCAGCCTGCTCAATTTGGCCCTCTCGTCCAACCGCTCCCACGACGGCAAACACCAGATCTCGCGCGATGACAGAATGCCCTTTTTCCTGCGCGAGAAAATCCTCCTGCACATCCAGCGGTCGCGCGCCTGCTTCGAGGTCGCGTCGTCGCAGGGCTCGCTCGAGCTCTACGCCAACCTCGAGATCCTCGGCGAAACCAGCATCAAGTCCTCCGTGGCGTTCGTCATGGAGCGGTTTTTCTCAAACCTGTCCGCGTCGTCCATGGAATACATCACATCCAAGTTGTGCTCGCCGCAGGAGCTCGCGAAAATCTCCGTCAAGTTGTTCGGCCCGGCCACCGAGCGCCAGCTCGACCAGATGGCCCGCGACGCCCAACTCAAGGTCTTCTTCCTGGTCATGGGCGGCATCGTCAAGGATTTCGGTTTCGATCCCTGCATATACCCGTTGAGCGAGATCATGCACGACGTCATAGTCAGGCACTATCCGTTAGTGTGCCATCCCTGCGGCGATTCCAAGCGTACCACCATCATGTCGACGCTGTCGATGGTCCCGGCTGCTGCCAACAAGGACGTCTACAGAAATGTGCTTCTGAAGTTCAAGGACAAAGAACAACATTTTACTTTCCATCTACTGAGCAATGGCCCGCCCACCACCGCGGAAATCCTACAAAATTCGCGGCATCTGTTCCAAATCGTGTCCCAAACCAAGAGCCTGCATTTGAAGCATAACGGGGCCGCAATCAGGGACGACATGGAGTTGGCTCGCATCTTTAACCGCGTCACAAGAGAACAAATCGTCATTGAAATTTGCGAAATGAAACAAGAGTCCTTCGACGCCCTCAACATTCTCAGCAGTGTATCTGCATCCGCCCCGCCAGAGCTCACCAAGGATTACGTGCACACGGACCGGCAGCTGGCCGCCAAGTCACGTACCACGTCGTCCTCCACCGCATACTCATCCTCGGACCATTCTGTCAGAAGCACTCCGCAACCAGGCACCGAACACCCTCAAAACAGCATGCCCCGAATCGCGTCTCCCACAGAGGCAGAGGGGGCCAACGGGTTAGCGTCGCCCTCAGCCGCAATCTCAAATAGCCCTCCAATGGTCCGCGCCAATCACCAGTCCAAGGGGCTCTTCGACAAAGGAAGCCTCTTCGACAAAGGAAGCCTCCCGCAGCCTGTGTTCCAACCGCTCCTATAGCGTCCAACACGACAAGAGCTCCAACTTCGTAACGAAATACATATAGTCTCAGCGAATGTGCAAACCCTTACCCCCAGTGATAGTTATTTTTACCTACCTACATTGCTATTTCATCTACAATTCAATTCTCCTTTCTAAAAATGCAAATCTCACCTGTCTCTGGTCCGCTTTTCATTTCCACGGTCCGTGATACCCTTTTTTACAGGTGCTATTTTGATTTATTTATTTTTTCCCCCCAGAAATGTCTCACCACTCGTAAGCGGGCAGCTCAGTCACGTTCAACACATACCCTAATGAATATTCTTGTCCTTGCAAACTTTCCAGACACATGTCACATAGCTCTCTCGAGTGGAACCCCACTATTGCTTTGTAGATCGTGGCAGACACCACTCGGTGGCTGGGCTGTAATGAAAGTTGTTCTAAACTGTGTGCGGCGTCTTCAACATCCGGGTGGTTTTCTAGCTCGCTTGCTTCGAAAAGAGGGATGCCTCCATTCGGCTCTTCTGTATTCTTTTTCTCCCCATTTGCTTTGTCTTCTTCTTGTTCCAACACCTTACCGGAGGCTGTGCGATTTTGAGTCCCCGCCCTCGACTGAGCATTGTCTTTTTCGGGGTCCTCTGCGTAGTTTTGATTTTGTAGTCGATTTTGATTTTGGTAATGATCCTGATCATTATGCTTGGCTTCTTCAGCTTCTTGTGGGGTATCATGTGGTGGATTCGTCCCACTCTGAGATTCACTGTGCACTTGGTTTGAATCTTGAGCCGGGTTGGGTCGACTTTCGTCAACTTTCAAATCCACATCCACGTTGACCTCTTGCGCCTCGTACACCCCCACGTAAAACTCTCTGGTGTTGGCGGTGGCACCTGTACTTTCCATCTCTAGCAGTTTATGGCATTTCAATTTTATAAAATCTTTCAACACCGTCCATTTCAACTTGCCGTATTTTTCAGGATGCGAGGTGCGTATAGTGATTGTGGGCTCCAACTGCGACGCCCTCCTGGATGTGTCATTCGAACTCACATCCCAATGCAGACACGGTGGGAACCCTTCCAAAAGCAACTGCCACATGCCGCGCGCGGTCATTTGCTTGCGGAAGCTTTCCTCGCTGAACACTTGCTTCATCTTCTTACCGGACTGTTGCAACTGTCGAGAAAACGAGCTTTGATGGACCGAGGGGAAATACATGGTGGGCATCGGTGCGTACGGCATCATCATGGGAGGAGCCTGCTCGCCCATGGCGCCACCGTTGGGAGTGTGGAGCGGCGGAACTGCGTATGCTACGAGCCGGTAATAGTCCCAGGTGTACCCATTGAGGTCGATCAGCAGCCTGTTCAATTGGCTGTCGGACCTTTTGAGCGACACTATGCAGCTCTGGAACGGCATGAAAGGTGGCACTATGGATTGCACCGGTGGAAGCATTTTCACCTGCAAAATGTTGGTATGATGAACCATGCCCCCGACCAAGTACTTGACCTGCCTCCAGGTTTTGCCGGGGGGTAGGTTATCTATCCGGATGTATGCAACTCGGGCGTTCGACTGATCCATCGGTACTGGCAGAGCGATTTGAGCGTTCATATTTGTTAATGGGTCAGTTTGGCACTTCTCTGCCCCTTTGCGCTGCGCACCGGTGCGCCTTAAGCGTGGAGGAGAGTTGGGTTGTGGGTGTGTGGGTACGCCGGGGCGTCGTCGCCGGGCACGTGAAAATCACGTGACGGGAGTTGCCTCTCAAAATGCCAAGCTCTTCTGGATGCTCTCCGGTCGGGCCACCACAGCGCGGAAACCGCTCAGTGCTGGCGCCGGTCGCGGCCTCGGGCGCTACCGTGACGCTTGCCGGCGCTGCCACGCTTGCGCTTCGCAATGGTCCCGCGTGGTTTGTCGTCGGCAGCCAACCCGAGCCCCAGCTCGCGTGCGAGCTGCGAGCGGCGGTCGAGCCCGAACTTCTCGGTCCTGGCGACCTGTCGTTCGAGCGCCTCGATGGCTGCCTCGTCCTGGGCGAACTTCTTGGCACGGTGCAGCTTCTTGCGTAGATGTTCGAGTGCAACAGCCTTGCATTCGTCCGCCGTCTTTTCAACACGTTTTTCGATGGGGTTTTCGGCGGGTGCGGGCGCCTCCTCGGGAGCTGGCGCGGCTGGCGCGGCTGGCTCCACATCAGCATCATTTGCCAGGTCCCCAGCCACTTCCTCGGGTGCTAGCTGGGTCTTTTCGGGCTGTTCGCTTTCGTTGTCCACGTTGGCCGCCATTTGTTGTTGTTTTCAGGATGCGAACCGCGGTGTCCTATAGGGGCGTGGCCGCTTTTCAAACAGCGGCAGACTGGAGGCGCTCAGAGATCACGACGGACGGCGGAGGAGAAAAAAAAGGAACAGACACCACGTGACACAAGCACGCCACCCACGCACCTCGCGTCCTCTCATGCTACACGATGATCACGTCACCCAAACATCCCACGCGCCATCACGCCCCACGGCCGCCTCTCACCTTGCCCCCCACTGCTGCTCCGGTTCTTTTTCCCGCGTCGCCCGCGTCTGACGTAACGGCGCCCCCTGGGTCACCTGCCCCACACCCGATGTCTCGCAAATGATTTGCGGAGTCGCGGCTGCCGTCATGTGGCCCGGGATGCCCGCGCCCGACCAGCGCCCGTGCCGGCCGGCGACTGCACGGTCCGGGAACCGCGCAGCCACCATCAGTTGTTCCGAAGAGTGGCAGCCGGGCTCCGAAGGCACGCAAAAGCAATTGAAAGTACAGGAACCCACACACCGCGGCGTTATCGTGGCCGCCGCCGCTGTTTTGGCCCTGCGCCGCTCCCGCGTTGTCCCAGACCCTGTGTCGGACCCACACATTCGTTTGTCCCACACGCGAGTGGGTCTCAACTTGACCTAGCGGTCACCCAACGTCACGTCATATGGCCCTCGATAGAACGTGGTATGAGTGATTACGAGAGGAAGGGCCAGGTGTTTCTTTTTGGCACAAGTAAAGATATAAAAGTGTTAACCGGAGCTTATCAGGATAGAGTCTAGGTTGTTTCAAGTGTAACCAAGCAACTTCCACTGCTAATTCATCCATTATCATCATGACTGCCGCTAAGAACCCTATCTCTTTGAAAGTTAACGCCGCCCTATTCGACGTGGACGGAACCATCATCATCTCGCAGCCAGCCATCGCCGCCTTCTGGCGCGACTTCGGTAAGGACAAGCCTTACTTTGACGCCGAGCACGTGATCCACATCTCACACGGATGGAGAACGTACGACGCGATCGCCAAGTTCGCCCCAGACTACGCCGACGAGGACTACGTCACCAAGTTGGAAGGTGAGATCCCAGAGAAGTACGGTGAGCACTCCATCGAGGTGCCAGGCGCCGTCAAGCTCTGCAACGCCTTGAACGCTCTGCCAAAGGAGAAGTGGGCTGTTGCCACCTCCGGTACTCGTGACATGGCCCAAAAATGGTTCAAGATCTTGGGCATCGAGAGACCCAAGAACTTCATCACTGCCAACGACGTCAAGCAAGGTAAGCCATACCCAGAGCCTTACTTGAAGGGTAGAAACGGTCTAGGCTACCCAATCAACGAACAGGACCCATCTAAGTCCAAGGTCATTGTCTTCGAAGACGCCCCAGCTGGTATCGCCGCCGGTAAGGCCGCCGGTTGCAAGATCGTCGGTATTGCTACCACCTTCGACCTCGACTTCTTGAAGGAGAAGGGCTGTGACATTATCGTCAAGAACCACGAGTCCATCAGAATTGGTGGCTACGACGCCGAGAAGGATGAAGTCGAATTCATCTTTGACGACTACTTGTACGCCAAGGACGACCTACTAGAATGGTAAGCGTCTTTTGGAGTACAGGACACCGCTCCATGTACATTAGGATAGAACGAAGATTTACATAACACACAACTAATGATAGAAGATAGTTTTACAATTTTTACTGCATTCACATTCTGGAGATAATCACTCTCTCCATGCTGGGACCTATTCCGTGCGTTTTCCGTGCAGCGCGATGCAGGTCCTCTGCCATCTGCTTTATTTTTCTGACAATCTCATCGTCAGGAAGATCCATCAGTCGGTCCCGAAATGCTACGCAGCTTCGAAAACTCATTTCCATGTCGAGAAGGGTTGTTGTCACAGGGTTGGGAGCATTAACGCCACTTGGAAACTCACTCAAAGAGTCCTGGAACTCGTTACTGGCCGGCAAATCGGGAATTGTTTCGACTTCTTCCCTTAACAATGCACAAGACTATGCTTCGCATTGCCCGCCCACCGTGACAGTAGGTAAAGTCCAAGACTTTGATCCCAAGAACTATGGAGACTTGTTCTCCACCCAGGATCAGCGGCGCATGAGCCTCTTCACTCTTTTCGCAATAGCCACGGCGCAGGAAGCGCTCGGAGACGCCGGGCTCCTCCAAAACCGTTTTGTCGATAGAGACCGTTTCGGATGCGTGATCGGCTCAGGGATTGCATCCATTCACGACACTTACGACACTATCATGGACTTTTCTGCAGGCAAGCGGGTATCTCCGACGTTTGTCCCCAAGATTCTCAACAACATGGCTGCCGGGAACGTCTCGATTAAATTCCAGCTCCGAGGAGTGTCGCACTGCGCATCCACAGCTTGTGCTACGGGAAACAACTCCATTGGCGACGCCTACAATTTCATTCGTCTTGGCTACAATGACATTTGTCTTGCCGGTGCAAGTGAGGCTAGCGTCCACCCACTCGCTCTTCAAGGATTTTTGAGAGCGAAAAGCATCACACCAACAGGCATATCACGACCTTTTGACAGCGAACGTGACGGTTTCGTGTTAGGTGAAGGATGCGGAATTGCTGTCCTCGAGTCCTTGGAACATGCGCAACGTAGAGGTGCCCGCATATACGCAGAAGTGGCAGGTTATGGCCTCAGTAGCGACGCTCACCACATCACCTCACCTCTTGAAAGTGGAGACGGTGCAAGGCGAGCAATGCAGATGGCACTGGGTGATTACGCCCCGGATAAGGTTGGCTACGTGAATGCTCACGCAACTTCCACGGTACTAGGCGATCGAGCGGAGGTAAATGCTATCAAAAACGTATTCGGTGGGAACAGGAACTCAAAACTTTTTGTCTCGAGTAATAAGGGTAATATGGGCCATCTATTAGGTGCAGCTGGCGCGGTAGAGAGTATTTTCACGATCAAAAGCTTACACCATGATGTTATTCCTCCTACGCATAACCTCGACGATATCGACCCGACGTTTGAAGTTCAATCTAGAGAATCCACAAATATGCATTTCGTAAAGGGACAGCCTCTTGAAACGAGTCTAAAACTAGCTATCAATAATAGTTTTGGCTTTGGAGGTGTCAATTCTTGCATCCTTTACAAGAAATGGGAAAACGACGTTTAATGCTATTTTATCTGTATAATGACTATGTAACTTTTAACAACTCCAATTAGAGTAGATACGGCAGGATTGCATATGGTGGGGTTTTTGATGGGAATTTCTTAGCATACCACTCTCTGGTCTCAATCGCCGATATAGATAAATTCCCCAGTACCCATGCAAAGCAACAATACATCTCCGCGGTGCCTGTGTATGATGCCAACGATAGGTATATTAACACCTCATCAAAATAATGTGCACTAGTAACCACCTGGAATAATCCATATTGCGGCAAGGTGTACTTCACGAGGTGCGATAAGTGAAGATGGTTTTTGTACTGGTCAAATGATGCCAACGAAAAGAGTGCAATCAAGAAAAGTCTAGAACCAATACTATGGGTTTGATGTGACGTTGAGCTGATTGCTACTGCAACATTCAGAGAAGTGTAGAACCATAAACCCACTAAATAATGAGAAATATGCATCCTGGATCTTTTTCCAAACCGATTCACATAATGTGTTTCATATACTCTTCGAAACGAGTGGAAAGCCACCAGCAGCGAGACAAGGTTCATTGACGACCACAGGTTAATTATCGAGAGACAGCTCGAAAGAATATAGAAATGACGAAACCATTCCTTAGGAACAGTTAAATGTAGTAGAATGTCAAACATTCCATCATTTTGGTGCTTCTGGTCAACCAATGTCTTGCCATACTTCAGTAAAATAGGAATCCTCCACCTTGCGAGAAATACGCTTAACAACCCTATCCCGAATGAAGAAAAATATATCCAAGAAAGGATCTTCAGAAGGTCAACCATACGTCCTCCGTATTCTTTTTGTTTGGATTCAAAAATTTCAAGATGAGGTTAGCTTTTCTTTTTCAACTTCGAACATTAAATCTACAAAGCGTGAAACAATTACAAGTTTATATATTAAGATACAAGTGGTTGCTATACAGAACGCACAGCGCCTCGCCTAACGACCTAGGTACTTGATTTCGAATGGCCTTATGATATTGTAGGTAATAACGGAGAAACCGAAACCAAGTTCGAATCCAATGTCACCACCATACTCACCAATGTAGGCTGCAATCTCACCAGTCCAGTATGTTTGACACATACCTACTGCGACACCTACGCAACCAACAAACAATGCACAACAACCGGCGACACCTAGAGGTAACTTGTCCCATTTGTCCCAGTCATCGACGTTGTATCCCTTGAAACCCCTTCTGTAAATGAAGTGCTCACTCAACGAGATACCAATATAAATACTCAAGTAATATGAGATGGCATCCATGAAACTGGACATAAATGTTGTAAACTTGTAATAAGCTGGAATGGCAATAGCCAAGGTGACAAGGTTACCTGCGATGGTCCAGAATACTCTTGGAATTTTCGCTAGTGGCTCCCACATAGCTTGTGTACCCAAGGCGATAGAATACATGTTTGGAATGTTGTTAGCGACAGTGGACATGGCAAGTAGAACACAGCAGAATTCACCAAAACCATGCAAAGAGTCCTCAACCAAAATAGCATAAACCAAACCACCAACACCATCGTTGTTGTAGTATTCAGCCCAGGTGTCATTTGTAAAGATAGCCATAGCTGAAGCACCACCCAAAATCAGAGTAAAACATAAGGGAAAAGCCAAACCGGCAACAAGAGCAAAGAAAATCTTGTACTTGTTGGTGTCTCTTGGCATGTACACGGTGTAGTCCGCAGCATAGGTAGTCCAACCTGCAGCAAAACCGAAAACAACACCACCATACGATAAGAAACCACCGGCAGTTGTTGCACCACCGACCCACTCACCAGTGGTAAAGTTACCTGATATCTTCAAACGAGCGATGATTACCAAGAAGACAGCAACATTTGGAATCCAGGACCATTTCTCATACGCATGAATGACTCTGTAACCGAAGAAAGTGACAATAATGGTAGAGAAGATGATGATCAAACAACCAGCCCAAGGTGGACATCTCGCACCATGTTGGTTAACCATGTGCAGAAGTTGAGCGGAAGCAATAGTGTTCACAGCACCCCAACCAACACATGCAACGACGTTGATCAAGGCGAAAATTCTTGCAGTCACATTACCCAAAAGGAAACGAGACAAAACCATCTGTCTCATACCTAACTCAGCACCAAAAACAGAGAAGAAAGCGACTGGAAGCAAACCCAAAATAGAGAAGAAAACAGACCCAATCACATTCTCCCAGAAGTTCAATCCCCAGACAACAGGGCCCAAAACACCCAAGGCGTAGGCAGCGATGACCATGTTAGCCGAAAACCACATCGAAGCGGCACTCCAGATGGAAGGGTCATCCTTTTCTTCATCAGTAACAGGTTCAATACCCTTCGTCTCGGCATTCAGCTTGGCGGCAATTCTGTCGACGAACGAGAGCTGAGTGATTTCAGCAGTCTCCACAACAGGAGTGGACTCGTAGTCGGAGAGATCCGATGGGAGACGTTGGTTTTTCTCCAAGTCCTGGATTTCGTACTCTTCCTTACCGGACATCGATTGTAGGTTTGCCTTACAAACTAAAGCTGGATGCTCTCACTCTCACATCGAGTGGCTTTTCCAACCGTTCGGGACATGCCAATATATACAGTCTGACTGAGTTGAAAAAAAAAAAGAAAGGCGGGATTCCTCTTGATAACAGTGTCATATCATTGACTACCCGATAACAGAAAAAAAATTTCATGAGAGGCGATGCCCATTGACAAAGAACCATAAAAAAACCCCCAGATGCCGGATATCCGCGGGGTACTTATCAATCAAAGAAACCTCATATCTTGTTCTTATATCGGACCTGCCCACCGCTATCTTTTCTGAGCACTTCCTCGAACTTGTACACCATTCCCCTACTTACTGTTATCCATGGCTCTTCCGCTGGCAAAAGCGGCCCTTACTAAAATTTCTTTTTTTCGTTGACTTCTACTTATTAAAAAATTAAAGTAGGTTGCTGTCATTTTTTACAGGGTCCTTGCAGCCTGTTTGGGGGAGTTGCTTGGCATCAGTTTAGCGGCTTATATGCCCATTTTACGAACTACCAAGCTACTGATACCCATTTTACCGCACTTTGGTACTTTGCGGGCACTGTTGAACGATCCACAATGCCGTACGTTTATCCAGAGTCACTTTTGGAGTTAACTGTTGATGTGTATGGCTGTTAATGGAAAATCCGTGCAAACCGAGCGGCATATCCGGTGACTGCGGGTGTGTGGGCGCTTTACTACAAGATACAATGGACTAAGAATCCCTTCATACGAACTGTTATGCGGTTCAAGGTTGAACTACAAGTGACGAGTGGGCATTAGGCATGCGATGTACGATGATAGTATGATGGTTGCGATAATTCTATATGTTCTGACAAACGCGGCCATTGTATCTGTGTAAGGTCATTGAACAGGCCAATTTCGTTTAGATAGAAGAATTAGTGCTGGTGCTAGCATTGAGACTTGCACATGCACAATTATACGCATATTTCTGCAGCGTCGAGCTGGCGCGGTAGCCCTAGGCGCCTTATCTGTAATTTTGTTTTTTAAGTTAGACTGTTATTTCGTCGGTTTTCAGGCACACTTGCAGCCACACCGTAAAATTCAAGGGCTCGACGTCTCCCGCTAATCGCTTAGCTCTCTGGCACGTAGAAGGGTTCACACGAAAGATGGAAGGTGATAGCTTCAAGTCTTTGTTGCACAGTTTCAAATTTCTGTGCATGATTAGGAATCGCAAATGATAACCTGTCAATACGTGTCACTACGGATTTCTCAAAAAACTAAATGATAATGCTATCGAAGGGAATCGAAATGGTTAATCCGGCATTCAACGGAGTTCAAAAAGAAATTAGAGATACGGTGAGGGTATCCGGTTTACTCGAATTGTAGATAGTACCTTCAATTAAAAATCGCAACCTACGGGCTGCAGATGCCAAGTTAGCCGTCGGATCACGGCCTTAAGGGAAGTCTCGATAGTCTTGGCAATAACGTGCTCGGAGCCTCGGCAAACGAAGCGCAATGAAGAGCGATAATTAGTTCATACACTTCAGGCTGGCGTTACTGATGCACTAGGGACTTTTTCAATCGGATACATAGGGGTTAAGTTGGATTTTAATTTTTAGGATACATTTTCGCAAATTTAATGAATATGGAATAAGCTCTGAATTTCATAAATTTCCTAAGATGACGTATGTCTTCTAAAACAACCGCGTTAAATTTTAAGGAGAGAATGATCTCCAACTTAACAGTAGCTGTGATATCATAAACTTATTTCGATTAACAAGTAGCCACGGAAACCTAATCGTGTACCCTGTGCCTCCTGAACGAAGTACCATTGAAAGACCAATTTGATGATTATAACTTAACTTGGATTATCCAACTATTTAACATTTCGGCAAAATGTGCGCATATTACATACAATCGCCCGGAGGAGGATCCAAGCTCTGGAGTGAGCTCGTTCTCGTCGGAATATATCAACATCTTTCACGTTACTCCAGACATAAAGATACAAGTCGATATTACAATTAAATCCCCGAAATAAAAAGTATTATTAATCAGAGTTCTCGCGCTGCCAGAACTCATACAGAAGATCACCGTACTTCTGTAACTCCTCTACTCCAATGATAAGCTCAAAGTCACACAAGACTAGAAACTGTAGTTCTAGGTAGTTCAATTCTTGTAACGAGATGCCACCAACTCTAGCATAACGCGAATTGCTGTAAAAAAAGTCACTAAAAAATTTGGTGCTGACCGTAACGGCAGCAATAATTAATCGATGAATATTGTAGGAGTCCATCACAAACATTTGATCCATGTCATGGTTGCATGCTTTGGCAATCCTGTCGAAATAAACCAGAAGCGACAGAAAAACGTCGTTAGTAGTGGGACAATACTTTTGAATCCGCTGGAAATATTGTTCCAAAGTAATAGCAGGAACGTGCTTGCCGCGAAAGCTCAGTACTTCTGATCTGTATTTGCTCGCGGAGTCCTTCTCTGGTTCCGCTGGTTTATCTTGGCGTAGTTGATCGTTAGAACTAACTATTTGGTTGAGAAGCGCTGTAAGCATTTGCAATAGACGATCTGTGGGGAATTGCGCGAGTTCTAGAAGCTTGGCATCTTCTTCTTCTTTCGCTTGGGGATCTTGTTCATCCAAAGGTACGGGTGAAATATTAGATGGTGCACTGGGCAATGAAATAGGGTTATTGGAGTATGAATTAGATACGGATGTTGGCGTGTTATGATATGGAGTGAATTGTTGTAGGTAATCATCACCTTTAAGACTTTCTTCGAAATACTTGGAGGATAAATTTCTCACCATTGGTTGAGCGATAGCAATGGGTTCTGTCGGTCTCGGTATCCTTTCTGTCTCTTCGTCTTCAATGGCGCTTTCATTTATCGGCCGTATCTTGGTAATGTGTTCATTATCGTGACCTTCATGGTCAATTAATGCTCCATCTCCGTCTTCTTCTTTTGATCCATCAACAGTGTCATCATCGAAAGATGTCGAAATATAGCTGCCATTGCGTCCTACAAATGAGCCGCGTGGATAAGAACTCCCATAACGAGTAAAAGAGGGTCGTGCTCGACTTATCGGGCCACCAGGAGCCAAATTTATACTACTCGCTTTCGATAAATTAGTATGATTAGAATTCAGAGAACTTCCTTGGCTTTCGATACCCGACAATGTTTCATCGGCATTGCCAAGAGACTCGGAAGAGTGTGAACTACTAATAGTCTCCTCTGTCACACTTGTGGGATCGTCTGCCAGTATATTTGTGGAGCTTCGTGGAATTACCATAGGTCTTGTTCCGCCCTCTGCTGAAGCACAGTTTGCATCCTCAAGATATGAAGTTCGAGGGGGCATGTGCACGTAATCCCTATCTTTTCCACAATGTTTGTCCGTGGTGTAATCTGCTCCCTTGAAAATTTTGGTTTGATCCTCGTGAAACATCATTAAAACTGACGGTCAAAATGACAACTAAGTAAAAGATGCTGATATGGGATTACATGTCGCACTCGATATCTTAATATATATGATAAACACTTTTAATACGATTAATTGGATTTAATGCTGGATTCAACCGCTTATAAAGCCTTAGAGTTTTGAGTCGAGCCGTCCAACCTGGCATTGCTAGAAACAAGGGTTATCCGATTAGGTAATGGGTACCACCCTTTCAATCAGATGCGGCAATATGGATCATAATGGAAAGGAAAAGTGCTACTAGACAATCAACAATCTCATATCGCCTGAAGCGCTTTGGTGCATGCGTTGCAAGGGTGACACCTGTTACCGTGAACGGCTGCTTTTCATGTCTAGGTGGTACATAGAAAGGCCAAAAGAAAAGGAATAGGCGGGAAGGACATTTACCCTCGGATAAGCGCATCAAGCGTACGACAAGGAACTTCAAGCCAATCTTGAAAATTCATATAGTACATTTCAAAACCTCTTATTAACAGAAGACGATTCGATGCAAATTCAGCATTGTTTGCTATTCGTAGACCAAAAAGTTCAAAAAATATTTACAGGACTTCTACTAGCCGATGGGCTACTTCTCAACTACTTCTCCATCTTTAGTCAGAATCTCGCCAGACAAAGGTTGTTGTGACTCGAACTTCTTCCGCAGCTCCTGCTGCATTTCATGCTCACTTTGGTTAAAAAGCTTCTTGCGCTCCTTTTGAGGATCAGCTGCAATCCCATTTTTCTTGTCTGCCATTCTCTTCGCATCTTTGATTGGACCCTGATGAAGAGTTTCTCTCTCCATATCTTGAATAATGTGCACCCCAATTACCGTTGTGACTGTGAAGAGACAGGAAAGTCCCAATGTGATCTTGCTGGCTCTGCTCATTCTTTACTACTCCCTCTGGCCCACTTAAACTGCTGGTAGCTGTCAACGAGGAAACGCGCTAGCCAAACATCTTCATACCCATTGCTGTGATTGCATTCGAATTTGCGTACACAGTGACACATCAAGTGGATTTCATGTTCCGCTCATATTACCTTCATTTTCCATGTTCGTATCAGCGAAACTACTTTCGAATCGAATTCCTCTCGGTGACTAAATTGTAAGTGTTTGTTAACCAGTGATGTTCTTGAGAAACTACGCAAAACAAACGCTAAGAACCATGTCTACTCTAACACCTGTCCGTACTCAATTGGCTCCTCCACCAGCTGCATCTTACTCCCAAGCCATCAAGGTCAACAACATGGTTTACGTCTCAGGTCAAATCCCTTACACCCCTGAAAACAAACCAGTCGAGGGAACCATGGCTGACAAGGCTGAGCAAGTGATCCAAAACGTCAAGAACATTTTGGAAGAGGCCAATTCCGGTTTGAACAAGATCGTCAAGGTCAACGTTTTCTTGGCTGACATCAACGACTTCGCCGAATTCAACGGCGTCTACGGCAAGTATTTCAACAGCCATAAGCCTGCCAGGTCTTGTGTTGCTGTTAAGTCCTTGCCATTGAACGTCGACTTGGAAATGGAAGTTATCGCTGTTGAAAAGGACTAGATCGAATTTGCCTCCAAACTGTATGCAATTAATCTAACTGATATACAAATCGCTTATATACGTATGAATTTCGATATAGATCTCGGCTACAGCTGATAACAATGGTTCGCGTGCGGGTTGTTAGCGAATTATATAGCGCCTGGCTGTTTCTTATTTAGGGTTTGAATTGGATCTCCCCCACAAGTTGTCAAATACATTACCCTGTCACATGCACGGTTTAATTTCCATTTGACTGCTATTTGAAAGTGTTAAAGTCCACTATGTGGTGTATGGGCCACTACTTTTCCATTTTTTGTCTTTGTATTAAGGTGAGGTGAGTGGGTGTATGATCAATATTTTCACGAAATTTTTTGTCACTACATACCGCGCGAGAGTCGCTTGCTCGCTCAGGCTCAGCGTTTGGCCTGCATCGAGCCAGGTGAGCATTGCCGGCCTGGGTAGCTGCTCGCGAGGTGCCCGTAGGGGGGGAGGCCGCTCCCACCCCTGCCTAGCTCCACGCCGGGCGGGAAGCACTCCTCCCCGTTGCTAGTCTGCCTAGCCCACGCATCCTCCTGGGCAGGAGGGGGAATCCATCGTCGGCCGTGCCAGGCTGCACGACTGGCTGGCAGTGTCTCCGGTTGAAAAAATTTAATGCAATTAGAATAATATCTTGAAGGTCTGCGTTTTTGCAGTAGTAATAGTAGGATACACAACCAAAGATGGCTCAACGTGTTACTTTCAGAAGAAGAAATCCATGTATGTTTAAAGACGATTAGAGAACTTTACGGAGAAGTGCGAAGTGTCAAAGATTAATTGAATTGGAGAATGATATCGATAAACTTAGTGGAACCAGCTGTTATGCTTAGAATCAGAAATGACATACATATTTACTTTTGTGGTACAACACTTGATTGAAAATTGAGACGTTTCATGCTCGAATCTTCAGGACTTGGGTTCAAGGAAATAAGCAGATCCAGTAGGCTCCAGGCCGAACTGAAATGGAACTATGTCAATGTAGTGCATGGAAGCAGCCAGCTAAACTCCCAATATTATCAAAGAGGCAAAGAAGTCAATATTTTTAGCATCAATAACCTTCAACTAGGGCGATATCGTGATCATTTCTGAACAGCACCTCCGGTAGAAACTATTGAAGATCTCATAAATACTAACTAACATCGCAGACAACACTCGTTCCAACAAGATCAAGGTCGTGAAGACTCCAGGTGGTGTCTTGCGTGCTCAACACGTCAAGAAGTTGGCTACCAGACCAAAGTGTGGTGACACCGGTGTGCCATTGCAAGGTGTTTCCGCTCTAAGACCAAGAGAATACGCTTCTGTCTCCAAGACCAAGAAGACTGTCTCCAGAGCTTACGGTGGTGTCCTTTGTGCTAACGCTGTCAAGGAGAGAATCGTCAGAGCTTTCTTGATCGAAGAACAAAAGATTGTCAAGAAGGTCGTCAAGGAACAAACTGAGGCTGCCAAGAAGGCTGAAGCTAAGAGCTCCAAGAAGTCCAAGAAGAACTAAATCTTATCAGTCTCATCCTAGATAACTGTGTATTACGTTTTCTGTAGCTTCAAAACATCTTTCAGTAATTAGTATCAAAATGTCACGTGGACATGAACTGGAACTAGCCGACGTAATTCGTGATTGCTACATTGTTTTGGGAACCCTATTCTCTCAGTATTTACTATGAAAGCCATAATTCACCAGTAGATCGATCCCGCAGAGCTACAAACGATAAGCTACTGGTTTTCGTGTGATTGACAAAGGAGGCACAAGATTCATCTTACTCATTTTGCATAATTAGCTCGAGAATATCACATTTGAGAGATCCGATGTCCTTCTCGCCACCACCTGGATCTCATAAACGGCAGGACATTTTAAACAAGCACAGAAACAGTATCGACTCCCTTGATCTTCAATTCGAAGACTCATTAGACGCAGCTTTAGAGTCATTACAGATAGACAACAACGAGACTTCTACAGGGGAGAACTTTGAAATGGCTAGTATGGGAGATCATAATCAGCCACAGTCACTACCGTTGAAGTCACATCCAGACCAGCACAGTATACACCTAGACTCAGATACTCAACCGTTAATTACTGGATCTGCATCACAACAAAATCGTTGGTCCGACCATAATGGAAGCCTCCATACCAACATGTCAATTTGGTCCAAAATACTCAATTTCATCAAAGCTCCACAGCGAAGAGGTGCTTCCAAATATAGATCGACTGATGACCTCGGAACATCAGCGGAACAGCAGAGCGAAAGAGAAATACATCCAGGGACGACCCCAATTTACGATAGAAACAGATATCCCGCAAATGCAGTCTCAAATGCCAAGTACAATCCTGTCACATTTATTCCAATAATTCTGTATGAACAATTCAAATTTTTTTTCAATCTTTACTTCCTAGTAGTAGCCCTTTCGCAAGCAGTTCCAGCCTTGAGGATTGGGTACCTATCATCCTATATCGTGCCACTCGCATTTGTTTTGACGGTTACAATGAGCAAAGAAGCTATGGATGACATCCAAAGGCGGCGAAGAGATAAAGAGTCTAATCATGAACTTTACGAAGTACTCAACAAAGCACAGCTAATACCCAGCGAGGATCTTAAAGTCGGTGACTTGATAAAAATATCAAAAGGCTCTCGCGCACCTGCAGATTTGATTCTTTTACAGTCAAGTGAGCCCTCCGGGGAAGTATTTATCAAGACGGATCAACTTGATGGTGAAACTGATTGGAAGCTAAGGATCGCCTGCCCATTGACTCAGAATTTATCCCAGGACGATTTATTAAATAGAGTCAACATCGTTGCATCTGCGCCAACTAAATCTATCCACAGTTTCTTGGGTAAGCTCAGTTTCAAAGATTCTTCATCTCAGCCGCTCAGCATTGATAACACTATATGGGCAAATACTGTATTAGCATCAACAGGCACATGTATTGGTTGTGTTGTTTATACGGGCTCTGACACTCGTCAGGCAATGAACACCACGATGTCAAGTGTTAAAACTGGGCTTTTGGAATTGGAAATAAATAGCCTTTCAAAAATTCTTTGTGCCTGCGTTTTCATTCTATCCGTGTCTTTGGTGGCTTTCGGCGGGTTTAATAACAGCGACTGGTACATTGACATTATGAGATATTTGATTCTATTTTCGACAATCATACCTGTGTCTCTTAGAGTCAATCTGGACTTGGGAAAATCTGTTTATGCCCATCAAATAGAGCACGATAAATCAATTCCCGAGACAATCGTTAGAACAAGCACCATCCCAGAGGACTTGGGGCGGATTGAGTATCTCCTCAGTGATAAAACAGGAACGTTGACGCAGAATGATATGCAACTAAAAAAGTTACATTTGGGAACAGTGTCTTATACCATGGAAACTATGGATATTGTGACAGATTACATTAGAGGATTATCTACAGCTAGTGCCGCATCAAATATGCCGACGACATCAAGAAAAGATCTACCGACCCGCGTACGCGACTTGGTACTCACTCTGGCAATCTGTCATCAAGTGACCCCTACGTTTGAAGATGGTGAGCTAACTTATCAAGCAGCCTCTCCAGACGAGATCGCTATCGTCAAATTTACCGAGTCGGTTGGGCTAACATTATTCAAAAGAGATCGACACTCTATGACGATACTTCACGATCAATCGGGCACCAGTTTTGAATATGACATTCTGCATGTGTTCCCATTTAATTCTGATAATAAAAGGATGGGAATCATCATTCATGATAAACAAAAAGATAGTTATTGGTTTTTACAAAAAGGTGCTGACGTTGTGATGAGCAAAATTGTTCAAAGTAATGACTGGCTTGAAGAAGAAACCGCGAATATGGCACGAGAGGGTCTAAGAACGTTAGTAATCGGGCGGAAGAAATTGAGTCCTAAAAGCTATGAAAGTTTTAGGAAAGAATATGAAGAAGCTTCACTTTCGATGATAAACCGCGAGAATTCGATGCAGGCTGTAGTGTCAAAAAATCTAGAACATGATGTTGAACTGCTTGGGTTGACTGGTGTTGAGGATAAATTGCAAAAAGACGTTAAGTCTTCTATCGAACTTTTGAGAAATGCCGGAATAAAAATTTGGATGCTGACTGGTGATAAGGTTGAGACGGCTCGATGTGTCTCAATTAGTGCCAAACTCATTTCTCGTGGTCAGTATGTTCATACTGTGACGAAGCTCAACAAGCCCGAAGGCGCACTTAACAATCTAGAATTCCTCAAGATTAATAAAAACTCCTGTCTAATTATTGACGGTGAATCGCTGGGCATGTTTTTGGAATATTACAGGAGTGAATTTTTTGATATCGTTATCCATCTACCTGCTGTTATCGCATGCCGTTGTACCCCCCAACAGAAAGCTGATGTTGCTTTATTTATTCGAGAAACTACTGGTAAGCGTGTATGTTGTATTGGTGATGGTGGCAATGACGTTAGCATGATACAAAGTGCGGATGTTGGTGTTGGTATTGTTGGAAAAGAAGGTAAACAAGCTTCACTAGCAGCAGACTTCTCTATTACACAATTTTGTCATTTGTCCAAGCTGTTATTATGGCACGGAAGAAATTCTTACAAAAGATCTGCGAAGCTAGCACAATTTGTGATACACAGAGGGCTGCTCATTTCGGTCTGCCAGGCCGTTTATTCGATTAGTTCTCAGTTCGAGCCTATTGCACTTTACCAAGGATGGCTGATGGTAGGATATGCAACCTGTTATACGATGGCTCCAGTTTTTTCGCTAACACTTGATCATGATATTGACGAATCACTGACAAAGATTTACCCCGAACTATATAAAGAGTTGACAGAGGGCAAAAGTCTCTCTTACAAAACCTTTTTCGTTTGGGTCGTATTGTCACTCTTTCAAGGTTGTGTAATTCAAGGATTCTCACAGGGGTTTACGAGTCTTGAGGAAATCGACTTTCAGCGCTTAGTAGCTTTGAGTTTCACAGCACTAATCATCAACGAGCTTATTATGGTAGCACTTGAGGTGTCGACTTGGAATAAGATAATGGTTATCGCAGAGATCACAACGTTTTTGGTATATGTGATCTCAGTTCCATTTTTGGGAGAGTATTTCGACCTACATTACGTCGCCCAACCACTGTTTTTTGGCAAACTCACTTTTATTTTAGCGTTGTCAATTTTCCCAGTTTGGGCAGCGAAAGCAATTCATCGTAAGCTGAATCCTCCAAGCTACGCAAAAGTTCAGCAGTTTTCCTTCTCAGTATAAATATATACTTTTAGAGCCATATAATGCTTTTAAAATTAAAATGAAGCTTTGCATTTGACAAATATTTTAGATGCACCGAAATCTATATGCTTATAATACTGTTAAATTGGCATTTGAAATATACCCTTTGAAAGCTTTTAAGAAACGGATGGAGTCACACCATGCTCTCCATCTCACTTTCACTTTCATCACTCTCATGAGAGTTCGCATCTGCAGCAGAGTAACTTCTGGGCCTTTGAAAGTCTCTAGCGTGCGCCCATGGTATAACTTTGGATACGTTATCGATAAAGGATGTTGTCCTGCCCGATTTAGCACCTGGGTATGCCCTGGTGGGCTCTTCTGGGTAGTCAATGTCTGCTAAGGCATAGTCTTCGTCAATTGCTTCTTCCGTATCAGATTCCAAAGGAATTGTCGTTGGATAAGGTAAACTGATCTCACCCGAAACCTTGAAGAGGTGGACATTAGCAACATGTTCGTTCTCAACACGAAAAATTACCCATACAAATCTTCGTAAAACTTCAAAAAAGGCCATAGCGAATGAAGTGATTGCATTTTGTTGAATGGTGCTTGGTGCGACAGCATATACAATCCATTCAAATCTAATCATAACATCCCAGATCATCGCAAAATAATAGACGAGCTTTCTGCGTCTCGAATAACTCCCATTTTTCCAGTTTCTCCGCCCAGCAAGGTACAGATCATCTCTCAAAAGCCAATTATGTGAATTGGGCTGTAAAAGCGACCAATCCATGATGATATCCCAAATGGCCGACACAGTTCCATTAATAGCCGCCAGCGCAACGAAAACCCCTCTTCTCGTATCAGTATGCGATAAACGATAGGCACAGAGAGAAGCATTGAAAGCGACACCCATCCCATACTTGAAGCCATTTAACAAATGGGGAAACCAATCTCCGGAATCCGCGTATCTCCTAAAACATTGCATCATTCTCCAATAACTTGGTATACAGGAGAGAATCCCCATAACCTTAGAATGTGATGATCCGCAATTACTCATGGGAGTATCAGAATATACGCAAAAAAACAGAGCAATGTCAGCCATGGTGTAAGTCAGAGAGTTTACGATATCCCCAAGGAAAAAGTCACCAAATTGAACTGGAAACATTCCTGAGCATAACAATCTTATGGCTGTCACTATCAACCACCGTCTTGTCTGCCTCAACTTATCCCAATAGGGCAACGCCAAGAAGTGACTTGCTTTGATGGAGGGCCACAGAAATAATACAGCTGCGCAAATTGGCCAAGCAATTGCCCATGGAGTTAAAACTTCATAATGGAAACTAATAGCACCCAAAATGGAGAACGGCAGAAGAAACACACTTGCACAATATAAAAGGAGGGGAATGTTGGTAGTTGAAAAATCATTGTTGAAAAGTACTGCACCATGTCGAGAGTGAACTTCTCCAAACATTATGAAACGATAGTTCACATGAGTTCTATGCCAAATGAAGCACGCCAAGAGAAGAAGATAGACCATCAAGTAAACCATATACCATCCTCCCCATAATGGGAGCAGGTACGTGTGGACCTTGGAAGAAACTGGGGCAAGAAATCCCTTATAAAGAGTGTAAGCAACGAGAGTTAAACCAGCTCCTGATGCTGAGCCAGCAACAAATATTTGTAAAATGGAAGTGTTGAATTTATGGATTTTTTGCTCATTCAATGAATATTGTAAAGAAAGATTACGAATCTTTTCTGTTTTGTGTTTGCGGTCCTTAGCATTAGTGGATAATACCTCAGTGTACCAATGCGTGACCTGTTGCTCCCACGTAAAAAGCGGGTCTGTGGCGTCCTTAGAAGCATCGGTAGAAATTGATGGCCGCTTAATCAAATTTGAATCCTGAATCTGCTGTGTAAGCAGATGAACGTTGGCCTCTGCATGTTGGAACATAGGCGAGTGTGCCTTTGCGTACTCCATGAAGTTGGGCAGTTCAGTGGTCCCACATGTTTTGTCAAACTTCTTTACGATTTTGCGAAAACCAGTAACATTCAATTCACGATAATTTTTGACAAGCTGGATCAACAAGTAGTACTCAATGAGCGCGTCAGAAAGCTGCTGTTTTATTTGGCTTGGGGTAAGTTTTACAGGTACGGGCGTAAAGGTTTCACCATGGATTACGGAAGGTGGCCCATGTTCTCTGCGGTGACCTAATAGGTCTTTAAGATTGATACAGTTGGGTAAACTAGGCATGAGATCAAGTTGCTGCAACTGACGTACAGCGCGCGCTCGAAGAGAGTGCGATGTGCGAGTGGGGGGTACAACTATCGGATATTGCACGTAGTCCTGAACCGCTCCGTAAGACTGATTTGACTGCTGCATCTCGTAGATGCGAATCTGTTCTTCAAGAATCGCATATCGACGCATACACTGCCGGAGCTGCCATAAATAAAAGTCGTTACATTTTTCGAGCTCACGCCCGATAACCCAATCCTGTACAAACTCTTGAATGAAGTGACGCTGGATATGCGTATAAGAGTTTTTCCATCGCGCGGACTGGCTGTCACTGGAATTCCCACCGATAGCCGAAATGTTGTTGATGAGAACTTTGCTGGCGAGGATGCTCTTGGTGCAGGATTTCAGCTTTTTCTTGCCCCGCTTGTAGTCTATGTATTTGTCAGACCATTCGGGGACTGCGGACTCGCGCAAATGTTCTGCAAACTTCATATGGCACGCTTCAACTTAATTTAGTCGCGCTTTGGTCTCTTGTTGCGTGTAAATGCTTGCAGCCCGGAGCGATGATTCCACGTGTAGCTGCCGAAAGGGTCGGATATATACGTCGTGAAGGATGACTTGATACAACGATCCGCGGCGCGATGCGATGCGATGCGATGCGATCTTAAGTGCCAAGGGGAACCAGAGTGCGGGCCCGACGGTCACAGGCGGCCATGCCACCACGCCAAATACTCTATCTTTTTGCCGAGAATTCCCGCTAACACATCGGAAATGGTGTACGATCAGCAGCAATTTTGCTCGGTTTGCAGTCAGGTGATGGCGCGCGCTCGCGCGGCAAATTGAGTCGCTCTGGCCGCCAGCGACCCCAGGAGCACGAAAGTTGCGAATAAAGCCCAGCGGGGAACAGAGGTTGGAGAAAGCCACCAATCAACAACGGTGCTCAATCGCAGATCGCAGATTTCCTCACAGACACAACAGCGACGGGATCTACGATCCTCACCAGCGTCTTGTTGACACATCTTGCGCAACCGGGTGCCGCGCGGCATTTGCGGTTGCTGCGTAGACTGTTGATAGGCAACGAGCATATTGCAGCGACATGGCCTGACGGGCTAAAACAGCGGACCGCTGTCAGCTGAGAGAGGAAACGAAAGCAGATGTGCATAGAAGTGGATCAAGGTGTCAATGCCGCTGTGGTGGCAAAATGGAAAGGACAAAACAAACGGGGGCCACTTTAACCGTTGGCAAGCGCTCTGTGACGCATTTACGTCACAGAAGGCAATAGCGTTTTTTTCCTGTTGGAATGACAAAATCACGTGAAACACACGTACACAACGACAACAATCACGTGTGCAAAATTCAAACGAAAAATTCGTCGATAGTTACTAGATTTGCACGTGGTCGGGAAGGCCGCTCGGCAGGGCCGGATTCACGTCGTGAAAATTTTTGACGTGAGTCAGCCCGACTATAAAAAAATTGACAACGTATTGGCAGTAAACTACCACGGGCTCGAGAAAAGCAAGTAGAGCGAAAGTATACCAACCATGGATCTAGTGAACCATTTAAATGACAGATTACTGTTTGCCATCCCCAAAAGTACGTTTCTTTAAGATTTACATGCGCAAATGCGACTGTGATCCTCCTTCACGTTGTCGTCGTCGTCGTCGTAAGCCAGATGCGACTCTTTTGCAGCTCGAGGAAATTCATCACTAACTGTTCTTTTTTTGCAGAGGGTCGTCTATATGAAAAGGCCGTTTCTATCTTGAAGGGTTCAGACATCCACTTCCACAGATCACAGCGTTTGGACATTGCGCTTTCCACGAACATGCCGATCGCTCTGATCTTTTTGCCCGCCGCAGATATCCCAATGTTCGTTGGTGAGGGTAAGTGTGACCTCGGAATCACAGGTGTGGACCAAGTGCGCGAGTCGCAAGTCGATGTGCTCTTGCCTCTAGATCTGCAGTTTGGTTCATGTAAGCTACAAGTGCAGGTGCCTGCGCAGGGCGAATTTAAAACGCCAGAACAATTGATCGGTAAGACCATTGTGTCCAGTTTCGTCCACCTCACCCAGCGCTACTTCGCAGAGCTGGAGGGTGTGCCAATAGAGAAGATGACCACCAAGGTGCGTTTTGTTGGCGGTTCTGTCGAGGCCTCGTGTGCGCTTGGCATTGCGGACGCCATCGTCGATCTCGTCGAATCCGGCGAGACCATGCGTGCCGCAGGTCTCAAAGACATTGCCACTGTGCTAGAGACCAGTGCCCACTTAATTGAGTCCAAGAACCCTAAGGGTGACGTTGAGTTGCTCCAGACCATCAAGTCGCGTATCGAAGGTGTTATGACCGCCCAGAGATACGTTTCTTGTAATTACAACGTTCCAGAGTCCTGTCTGCCTGATGTGCTGAAAATCACCCCCGGCAGACGTGCGCCAACCATCTCCCAAATTGACGACGAAGGTTGGGTCGCTGTCTCTGCCATGGTCGAAAGAAAACACAAGGGTGATGTCATGGACCAGCTGAAAAAGAAGGGCGCCACGGATATCATGGTATTCGAAATTTCTAACTGCCGTGTTTAGAAGCCTGTCCGCTTAATAGATAAGTTATTGTATTACTCAAATAGATAATCATAGAATGTGTTCGGAGGTTGACGCGGCATGTGCTGCTCCACAGAGTAAGACACGCAAGCAGCACGATAACGATTCTACAAGGCCCACAACTCCATCTAAAGTAATGCATGCGCCTTCCCACTATTGCACTGATAGCTCCCCGCGACTCACCCTAGTGGTGGCTTCTGTTTTCGTTTCGAGATTGTCAGCCCTCGAAACGTCCTACGTAGAGATGCCCTCGGAACTGTAAAAGAGTGCCACAGTCTTTTGGTCAGCTGATATTCTCAATTTTTTCATCACTTAACACCGTAGACTAAATTTGGTGAGAGGCTCTAGAGGTCATCTAAATCTCACGGCTGTAGTTCATCGATACTGGAAGATATATCACAAGCACGGTGCTAGTTTCCAAGTTGCGGGGACGAGAAAAGGTGTATTCAAAAGAACACAGGCTGTCTAGTGACGAGAAGGGCCAAAAAATGATGGACACGTCCACAATAGGCGATACGAGCAAGTTGCAGCAGAATGGCAAGCACAAGAGGGGGGTTCACGAAGAGGAAACAGAACTGGAGGCATCTGCAAAGCGCAAATGCCAACTACCACAGTATAACTTTGTCAAGTTTTGCTACAGACATAATCCCGATATCCAGAGCTCTCCAACGCATACGGCATGTTTCAAACAAGACCAACAGAGGTACACAGAACTAAACAATAAGATAGTTAAGCTGCCGCCGGCGGAACAACAGCAAGTTAAGGACGTAACCACCACATTTTCTAAATCCAACGACAAAGTCAGAAAGCTGCTACTGGAGAGCATTCTCACAACGTGCTGTTTTCCACAACTGTCATTCGTGGCATCAGAGGTGCACAAGATGATTAAAATCGACTTTATAGGTACGCTTCCGGAGGAGATATCCATCAAGATTCTAGGCTACTTAGACTGCCAGAGTCTTTGTAATGCAGCCAAGGTATGTCGGCGTTGGCAAGTACTAGCAGACGATGATCGGGTGTGGTATCATATGTGTCAGCAACATATAGACCGCAAATGCCCCAACTGCGGGTGGGGGCTGCCACTCTTGCATATGAAAAGAGCGAGATTCATCGAACCAACTGAACCCACTGTGGATAATCACACACAAGGCAACGGTCAGCCGGTCAACGGTGCCGGTCACAAGCCTGAACACGCGCATTCAGATGTCAGTGCCACCGCATCCTCATCCAATAGCGGGCGCAAGACACGGCCATGGAAAGTAATTTACCGTGAGCGATTCAAAGTCGAATCCAACTGGCGGAAAGGCGCGTGCCACATTCAGGAATTCAAGGGCCATATGGACGGTGTACTGTCGTTGCAATTTAATTTCAGATTTCTGTTTACAGGTTCTTACGACTCTACGGTGGCAATCTGGGACTTGGCTTCAGGTAAGTTGGTGCGCCGTCTCACGGGCCACCACGATGGTGTCAAATCGCTATATTTCGATGATCAAAAACTAATAACTGGGTCTCTTGACCGCACCATCCGTGTGTGGAATTACGCCACGGGCGCATGTGTATCCACGTACCGTGGACACTCGGACAGCGTGCTAAGTGTGGACTCTTACAAGAAGATTATTGTATCGGGTTCCGCCGACAAAACGGTCAAGGTATGGCATGTGGAGTCGCGTACATGTTACACGCTGCGTGGCCACACGGAGTGGGTCAACAGTGTAAAGTTGCATCCAAAGAGCTTTACATGCTTCAGTGGTAGTGATGACACGACCATCCGCATGTGGGATATCCGCACCAACGTGTGCCTGAAAGTGTTCCGCGGTCATGTTGGCCAGGTGCAAAAAGTGATACCATTAAACATTGTCGACATTGAAAATCTTGTGACAGATTCCCAAAATGAGGTGCAGCGCAGTGCTGCCACCGAGCCGGATGAACAGATGGCCCCGATGGATGATGCGCTTCCGTACCCAACTCACATTCTTTCATGTTCGCTGGACAACACCATCAAGCTTTGGGAGGTCAAGACAGGTAGATGTGTACGTACGCATTTTGGCCATGTAGAAGGTGTGTGGGACATTGCAGCGGACAATTTCCGTATAATCAGTGGTGCACATGACAAGACTGTCAAGGTTTGGGATCTACAAAGTGGGAAATGCATCCACACGTTCAAGGGCCACGATGCACCCATTACGTGCGTGGCTATTGGTGACTCGGAGTTTGTGAGCGGCGACGAATTGGGATGTGTCAAACTGCATCGTTTCGACTGACTTAACGCCGATTGAACTCGGAAACTATCAATTCAGCAATCGCATCGCTTAACTTTGGTCGTTCAGGTACGGCACCGGAGGCCTTGTCGGGCATCGCGGTAATCATTTCGGACGTTGTAGTTTCGTGATGCGGTGACGATCAGGGATACCAGGTAGCATGAAACGGCACAAAGGGCAGGGCAAAGTCCAAAAGGGCATTGGACAAGCCGTTCCCTTTCGCAAACGTTTATATAGAAAGGTAATTTGTAAAAGCTTGACTGGGTGGCATAACCATAAACACTGGAAATATATAACCCAGATAAATAGAAGCATAAGCAAACTGGCGGGGATTAGATTTACAATTAAGAGCCGACTAATTGACCCTTCTCATCATTACTGAACTTTTCCAATGTACATCAAGAGGTTGTCAGAAAACAGTCACGAAACGGGAAGGCCGAAGTCGCTTGAGTTTCTTCGCAAACCGCAGCGGGTGTCACAGCCTAAGATGCTGTATCCAGATGAATCGCTCAAGCGCAACACGGACATGAACCGTGGGAAGGTGTCGGTAGAAGAGGAGCTACGCGAGCACAACAATGAAAACGCTTTAAACGACGATGGGGATGGGCCATTAGACGGCGCGACCGCGCCACCACCCTTAGATACGTCGATGGAGACAAGCATTGACCCTGGCGCAGGTCTTCAGTCGTACTTCCCGACGTACCACGAAACAGATATGCCGTTGGTGCGCAAGAAATCTGGCGAAATAGTGCGTCCCAGCCTGAAGGGCGGTCACCACCAGCGGTCCAAGTCGTTGCCAACCACACCAAGTGACCGTGAGCTCAATCGTAGCCTCTACGGACCGCCACTACGTCCCAAGCGCAGCAAGAGTGTGCATTTCGACCAGCGCGACGTGGTCACCGTCAAATACTTTTGGAAAGACGACTCTCCGCTAGATGTGGCCTCGCAAGATGCACAAGAGGACCGTCTTGACCTACGTACCAACAAACCATCTCCGTACGACCTTTGGTTGCGCGCGGAGAACAGCGTGCAAGACGACGACGCTAGCGACAGCGACATCATGAATAATCGCGAGCGCTCGCCCGTGGACCTTACCATGGCTCTTGCCGACATGCGTCTCGAGAAGCGGCCGCACTCGGGACTACGTCGCAGCAAGCGCTACCAGAAACACAAATCCCACGCTCCGGGAAACGGCAAATCCGCGACTGCTGGCGCGTCAGATAACGGCGCGGGGCGGGGCCTCCAGGCAGACCAGCTGGGTCCTGGTCTACATAATGAAAACTTTGGCATCTTGACGACGACCAATCGTATGAGCCTGAAGCTCAATATTTTCCTCAACATTGCTCATCATCGCCAGTGTTTCCTGCAGGAAATCACGTTGCTAGGCAACCAGCAGTACCTCGTGGGCAAGGTGCTGGTGAAAAACATTTTCTACGACAAGAAAGTGGTGGTTCGATACAGTTGGAATCGCTGGCGCACGGCCCACGATATCGAAAGCGTGTGGGTCAGCAGCGGCGACGACGTGCTTCCGGGCATGAACATGGACAAATTTCAGTTTGTTATAGACGTGACGCCCTCGATAGCCCATGGCCACACCAACGGCCACAGTCACGGGCTGATACACACCCAGTCCAACGGCCAGTCCAACCATTACATACAAGACGCCTACAAGAACGGAGGATGCGTGTCGCAGCACCTCGAATTTTGCATCCAGTACACGTCGCGGAGCGAGCGCGAACGCGTCGAGTACTGGGACAACAACGGCGGGCGCAATTACGCGCTGGACGTGGTTTCGATGCCGCGCATGGGGTTCATCGACCCATTCGGAGACCAGGACTCGGAGCAGGAGTGAGGACGGGACGCCTGTGCGGCGGAAAACGATACGGGCCTCTGCAGCGCACGTGACACCGTACCACACGACACAACCACGACGAGCGACTACCGTGTAGCATGACCTTCAGTCTCGCGACGCACGAGCGTGGGCACGTGACCAGATCTCCGCCGCCCGCTTGGCCCGCATTACCCATTTCCGCCGCTCACGCCAATTCACGCCTATTCGGGCCAACTCACGCCACTTTGCATTCCCGTTTGAGCCATCGGCACAGGGCAGACCCTTGGGGCCCTTGGTGCGTCTGGCCCCCGGTGCATCTGGCCCCCACTGCGGGGCCCGCCCGATCGCCTCGGGCCGCCAGACTGGGCCTGCGCTGCCGGGCGGGGCCTTGGCGCTGGAGTCCAATACGGCCAATCACAGCCCGCCGTAGCCGGCCAGCGTCCGGCTGCGTGCGTGGGAAACGATGTAGGGCTGCTTACCCAAAGGTTGCCTCGAAGCCGCCCAGGCGGGCTCGTAGCCGCCCAGGTGGCCCCGCAGCTTTTACGGCCGCTATATCCCCGGCCACCACGGGACCGGTTATCGCCGCTGTTCGCCGCGTCATCACCCGACGCTCAGAAAACCGCGGACCTCGCGCGCACGTGACCTGCCCGCATGCAACGCACCTGCTTACAATTCTGGCGGCCCAGAAGGCGCCGCAGCGCACAATGCAGCGAGCAATGCGTCCGCGGGTGAGCGGTGCCCACGTCGCAGTGTCAGTTTTCTTTCGGCCGTGGGCCGCCCTGTGCGTCGTCTGCGCATCGCCCGTACCTCCGATTGGTAATACCCCTTTTTCCCGCGGAGTTGATTTTGAGATTATTATTCACAAATGGCATCTTTTTTTGTCAGCTACCTTGCGTATTTCTGTTTCAAGACGACTCCGGGCAGTTGTTTGCCGGCTTTTGCTGTGCGTGTTTTTCGGACAGCGTCATTTCGGGTTACATTGGGGAGTGAGCATATATTAGCGCCAACCTGGAGGGGGAAGGGCATTTTTTGGGAAATGAAAAGGTGTATATTAGTCCAACGTCTGTCAAATCAGTCGCTTTCTCAGTGGTTTCCTCAGCCTGTCCCTTCTAGTCACATCTCCAATTACAATGCAAGACCTACAACTTTTTATGTCTATTTTCTTCGTGATGTTTGTGTGCTATTGGCAAGCGCACAAGGCTACCATGAGCCGCTTCCGCAGTGAGGTTCCAGCGCTGCAGTAAGTAAGCTGTGCGTTGCACAGCAGCGAACCTCGAGCAGCCCCGACGCGCGCAACGGCCCTCGAGCCTCCCCTCCTCGTCCTCCCTCGGCACTCTCGTATTGCCGTATTCGAGCGGTGGGGCAGAGCGCGAGGGCGGCTGCGCCGTGCGCAGCGACGCGCGTCCGGTGATTTTTTGTCTTTATTGCTTTCAGCATCGCCTCGGCCCGGTGCGCCCGGTCCGCTAACTCCGGCGTGGGTGCACCCGAAACGGTTGGAGCCGGCGCGCCCACACACCCCATGCTTCCCTAATTACGTCTAATACTACATAATAATACACATCTAATACTGGTCGGAAACTGGCGCCCGCGCACGTGACATCCACGTGACCTCGTTTTTGTTCCCCAGTCTCTTGTCGGCTCCCCTTGTCCCCTCGAACGGCCGAAACCACCACCTCCCTCCTGATCTCGCCCTCGGACCACCCCGTCCCCGCCCTCGGTCCTCCGTCCGCCGCCGTACCTGCCGCTGAGAAGCGCCCCCGCGGCCTGCGCGAATAAAGGGCGCGGTCGCGCTCGCCTCACCTGCCGCGGGCCCCGTACACACACGCGCTGCCAGCCGGTCGGCAAGCTGCCCATTGCTCTCACATCCGTGCCGCTGCGATCTACCCCCTGGGCCAAGCGCCCGTATATATACTGGCGCCCGGCTACTTGACTCTGTGCCCAGAAGCGCCCGTCTGTGCTAATTAGCTACTCATCTAACCCCTCCTGTATATCTCCCCTCGCCTAGTATCACCTAGCGCCCAATGTCTTCATCCCCTTCTTCTGCTCCCGCGCCCGTGGCCCGCCGCCAGATCCCTCTGTTTTCGCCCGAATACTACGCCGCCTGCACGCTGGGCGGCGTAGTTGCGTGCGGTCCCACCCATTCGGCCGTGACCCCGCTGGATCTCGTCAAATGCCGCCGTCAGGTCGACCCCGCGCTGTACAAGTCCAATTTGGACGGATGGCGCACGATCGTGCGTAATGACGGCCTCCGCAAGGTGTTCACCGGCTTCGGCGCCACTTTCGTCGGGTATTCGCTGCAGGGCGCTTGCAAGTACGGTGGTTACGAATTTTTTAAGCACACTTACTCGTCTTTGCTTTCGCCCGAGACTGCGCATCGTCATCGGACCCTGATCTACCTGGGCGCGTCTGCGTCCGCAGAATTCATCGCAGACGTGTTTTTGTGTCCGCTCGAGGCCATTAAGGTCAAACAGCAAACCACTTTGCCGCCCTTCTGCCGTAATTTCGTGGACGGCTGGCGCAAGATCGTTGCCAACGAAGGCGTTGCTGGCCTCTACAAAGGGCTGACGCCTTTGTGGTGCCGCCAGATCCCGTACACCATGTGTAAGTTTACGTCGTTCGAGCGGATCGTCGAAGCGATCTATGCACGTCTGCCCAAACCTAAAGAACAAATGACGCAAATGGCGCAGATCGGAGTGTCGTTCGTGGGCGGGTATCTTGCGGGTATTCTGTGCGCGGTGGTTTCGCATCCGGCCGACGTGATGGTCTCGAAGGTCAACAGTGACCGTAAGGCCGGCGAGTCGATGATGGCAGCCACCAGCCGTATCTACAGCAAGATCGGCTTTGCTGGTCTCTGGAACGGGCTACCCGTGCGTATCGTGATGATCGGTACGCTGACGAGTTTCCAGTGGCTGATCTACGACTCGTTCAAGGCGTACATCGGACTTCCCACCACGGGCCACTGAGCGCGCGGCCTGCCGCGCTAGCGCCGTGCGTCGCACGGCGCTCGCGCCAAAGTACATATTCAATTTACATACACGGTTTCTTTCACTCTACTTGCTCGAGCGGCGTGGGGCCGCCGCACGGGTGCTCGAACGCGCCAGATGGGCTGTGGCCGCGCGATTCCCAGCGCTCGGGCTCCGCCGGCGCTCGGCGCGTATGTAATGAAATACACAACTGCAACTGCAACATTGGATCGGGCCGGACGGCGAGAAATAGTTGGAAAGCGCAAAATGAGCGAGAGATCGGGGTCACGCGAATGTCACGTGACACCGTCGCCCTGGGTCTGTGGCGCGCCAGCGAGTGCAAGGTCCGTGGTGAATGGCAGGACCAGTGGCGGCCCGCTAGAGTATCCTCGAGTTGCCGTCTTAACGTCGTCCGCTGTCGCTTTTTGCGTCTTTGCGCTGCGTGCGTTCTCGCCGTCGCGCATCCGGTGTCTCTACAAGCACACGACGGGCAGTTGACATGTGCCCTCGAGTCGTGGAGCTTGGATCGTCCGACGTCTCGAGCTGGGCGACAAATTGCCCTATTCATGTGCACAAGTGACTTCGGTCTCGTGTTGCACGCGGCCAATCATATCTAACAGTGACGCGTATACAGTTACTAAATTTCGGTTGTATATCATCAGATGCCTGTGAGCTGCAAGCTCGCTACGACCAGACGTTCTTGAACAGCTCGTTATCCTCTAAAGACGTGGTGGGAGCCGTCACGGACGGGGCGTACGCTCCGGCAAACGCAGGCGCGGCGCTGGTGGACGGGCCCGGGGCAGGGCTGACCGAGCTTGCAAGCGACCCTGAGGCAGAGTTTCGTGGCCTAGCGTACAATGACAAGATGGAGCGTTTCAGGTCCGGCCGCCCGTCCAGCGGCGTTGACGCCGGTACCGTAGACCCAGACTTGGGCGTGAGTGTCGCAGCAACCCCGGTCCCCGTAACGGGAGTCAAGTTTAGGTTCACCTGCGATGCCGTCGCAGACGCAGCTGCAGATCCGTGCAGACTCGCAGGCATGCTGACCGGCGCGCTGCTTACCATGCTACTGGCCGCACTGCTGGTACGACTCACAGGCTGGCTGACCGTTTCAGTGGGCGCACTTGCCCTGGGCACGGCCTCTGGGCGTGCCACGGGCTCACCGGATTCCCCGAACCACTTCTTCGCCTCGTACTTATTTCTGATAAAGTTGCCCAATTGAGAGGCGTCTGGAGTATGGTCACCTTGCAGTTTGCACTCATACACTGCATTGGCACGTTTGTTGTTGCCAAACTCCACCACTTTCCGTAAATGCTCCTCCTTCCATGTGTCCAAATCTACCGACTTGACCTTGGATATATGTGTGCCCAACGAACGGTGGATCCCTGCACACCGAATGCAAATGAACACTCCCATGGACCATGAGGCCCACCTTGGGTGGGTCGCAGTCTTACAATCAGCGCAGTATCCGTTTTCAGGGTCTCGAAGCAACCTTTTTAACACGGATTTGACGGCAGGAGTGGTCATTTATACGCGTTTCTGAATGATCCCTGGAATTCTTTGCTAGATCAACACTTCGCCATTTTGAAAATAAACGTTGCAGTAAAGTCTCAAAGGCCGAAGATACGGTCACGTGAACAATCTACTTTAGCCCTTTACGCATCGATAAAGCCTCCAAACTATCTCATAAGAACAGTATACACTTACCGATTCACTCTTCCAACGATTCCGAAGCTTCAGGCCATCAACGAGCGCATCTGCGTTCGCTGCGACTTTTGTCCGGGCCGCGACCCTTCCTCCTTCTTTTTAACGGACCAACGCAAAATTTTCCTTCTACTTATCTACACTTTCACATCCACATCAGAATAGATCAATATGATGGTCGATCAATCGGTGTCTCTTGATGAGCTCGGACGGCACTGCTCACCCCAGGACTGCTGGATGGCCATACATGGGAAAGTTTACAATGTGAGCAGGTATCTCAGCCGACACCCTGGGGGGGCACAAATAATGCTCAAGTACGCAGGGAGGGACGCTACAATACCGTTTGATGACGTAGGGCACTCGCTAGAGTCCCTACTGTTTGATATAGATCCAGAGGCGTTGGTGGGCGTACTTGAGCAGCAGCCCAAGTACGCTGTAAAAGTCCGGGCTAGTAACCACGTGGCTGAGGCATCCGAAGATTCTACTTCCAAGTCGAGCTGGGACATGATTTGCCAGTGGATATACTCCAGAGTCTTTACTTCTTGGTCTCATGCGCTTGTCTCCAAGAAAGAAGGGAGTTTGGAACACACAATACAAAATGGGGGGTTGAACACAAACAAGAGACTTAGCACCTTGGTTTTGGGAGGCGTTGTCCTGACATGTCTGGTCATATTGTTGTACGTGAAACTACGCTGGCCCAGTATGATAGAATACGTCGTTTCACGTGCGCGACCAGACGCGCCTACAGACACATCTTCTTACGGTATACCTTCTTGGGGTGTCTAAACCGGTACGTACTGCAGGGACGGTGCTCCCTGGGTCGCCGAGTATTCACTTGAGGAGTTGGACTGCTCTCTCACCACCGTGTGAGATAATGCGCAACCCCTTCCGGAAACTATACCAGAGAACAGAATACTTTGAGGATTAATTTCCAAGTTAAGACGGAGTTGACAGGTCCCCATGGACGTGATACCTCTTCCCCTGTCATAGTATAGCTCCACTGACGGGACCCTAACGTAACAAGGCTGTCCTATTCACCTTTCTGCGATCCGCCCTTTCTTCCTTTTAGCCTTGACTCTCCAGGTGAACTGTGTTATCGTCATAGCACATGACTCACAGGTTGGCCATTTCTTGGTCAACCACGAAACTTTTAGGATTCCGCTGGGTATCCGACTAGGAAACTACAGATTTTAAATGCATATTCATATAATTCTCTACTTATCCATATAATTGAAGAATTCTTTATACCTTGTTGCCCCACACGAAGTAACAGGTGGTTCTTTTCTGTTTATTTCTTCTTGCAATTCGGAGATGAGTCAACTGTGAAAAAAAAAAAAAAAAATTTACAATAAATGCTTGAAAAAAAGAGCTTACAGTAGAGAGCGCCTGACATTCACCATACGATAACCGCATTACTCAATTCGAGTCGCTTACAACATGACTGAGCAAAGTAACTGGATAGTACAAAAGTTTGGAGGAACTAGTGTGGGAAAATTCCCTGAGCAAATTGTCGACGAAATCGTCAAGGTTTACACCACCAAGTTTAAGCACAATGTCGCAGTTGTGTGCTCGGCTCGCTCTTCATACACCAAGGCCGAAGGTACAACATCGAGATTACTAAGGGCTTGTGATTTAATTTCCAACGATGACTCCAGCTTCAAAGAAGTACTAGATCTAGTTAGAGCGGATCACGTGGCCAACGCTCGTGAACGTATCTCTAATAAGAGCTTACAAGACAAACTAGTTCAAGATACTAACGCTGAATTAGACTTGGTCGAGAAATATTTGAATGCTTCTCAAGTTTTAGGTGAAGTGTCTTCGAGGACCATGGATCTTGTAATGTCCTGTGGTGAAAAGCTCAGTTGCCTTTTCATGGCAGCTCTCTGCAATGACCACGATGTGCCTGCCCAGTACATCGATCTTTCATTCGTTATTCCAACAGACTATGAATGCAAAGACGGTTCTTTGGACAACCAATTCTACATGTTTTTGGTCAAGGCGTTCAGAGAAAAATTACAACCAGTATTGGATGCGCATGCGGCTGGCAAGCCTCTTGTCCCTGTCATTACCGGGTTTTTCGGTCTGGTACCAATGGGTCTACTAAACGGGGTTGGTCGTGGATACACTGATTTATGTGCAGCGCTGATCGCCGTTGGTTTAAATGCCGACGAGTTACAAGTTTGGAAAGAAGTTGATGGTATCTTCACAGCCGATCCTCGCAAAGTTCCACAAGCCAGATTATTGAGTAGTGTTACACCCGAGGAAGCTTCTGAGTTAACGTATTACGGTTCTGAAGTCATTCACCCATTCACGATGGAGCAAGTCATCAGAGCCAAGATTCCAATCAGAATCAAAAATGTTCAAAACCCAACCGGTGATGGTACTATCATTTATCCTGACAATGTTGCCAAGAAAGGTGAAGCTACTCCACCACATCCACCTGTGACTTTGTCAAACTCGTTCTTCGAACATAAGAGAAGAGGTGCTACCGCAATTACCAGTAAAAGTGATATTGTGGTGGTAAATATTCACTCCAATAAAAAGACATTATCACATGGTTTCTTGGCTCAAATCTTTTCTATTTTAGACAAGCATAAGTTGGTTGTTGACTTGATTTCCACTTCCGAAGTTCATGTGTCTATGGCTCTCCCAGTACCAGACTCGGAATCTTCTAAGGCCCTGAAAAGCGCCGTCGAAGCGCTGAAAAAGTTGGGTTCTGTTGACGTGACGAAAAAGATGGTCATTATCTCGCTGGTCGGCAAGCAAATGAAACAATTTATTGGCATTGCTGGCACCATGTTTACTACCTTGTCAGAGCAAGGAATAAATATTGAGATGATTTCCCAAGGAGCTAACGAAATCAACATTTCCTGTGTTATTGATGAAGAGAGCTCACTAGTTGCTCTTCAATCAATTCATGGTAAATTGCTTGAAACATCTGCGGATTCTCAAGATTTTGGACGCGTGGTTAATGAAAGACTAGAGCAAATCAAGAAACTAGATTTGTAATTCTGCAACGGGGAATTAATAGTTAAAAGTCATAATAAATTATAATATAACCTTTATAGAAGCAGGTAACTGTGCATAAGTAAAATATTGAACGTTAACGATCATGAATGAAGATCAAATACAACGAAATTACGATGCAAGGACTACTCATCTGAGCTATGAATAAGCTCAAAAGATAAACACTTGATCGCCCATCTTGGAAATTGGCTTAGCCTTCGCAAAACCAAGGCTTTGAGAGTTTCTCTTGATCGATGAGACCATCCCTGGTGGCCCACACACCAGTAATTGGACCGAATCTGAAGAGGCCGGCAAATATTCCTTCATCACTTCAGTAGTGACATATCCAATACCACCATCCCAAGTGTCTCTCGCTGGCTTGTCTAGCAAGTAGCGGACCTTAAATTGATCTGGTTTTGAAGAAACTATAGCGTCCAATTCTTTCTTCAACAAAATGTCGTCTTCGGTTTGATTTCCATAAACCAAGAAAACTTTGGTTTTGTCGGAGGGATTAGCGTGAATTGACTTGATGATTTGATACATGGGCGCAATACCGGTACCACCTGCGATCATGCCGATTTCAGAATTCATGTTTGGTGTGTACGTGTAAAAACCCTTGGGTCCACGGACCTGAATTTTGTCACCAATTTCCAATTCCCCAATTAGTTTGGAAATATTACCTTGTTCATATGATTTGATCAACAATTCAAAATAGCCTACTGAATCAGAATCCAAAGAGGTTGGAGTATAGGATCTCACGAACTCTTTTCCGTTCACCACTCCCTTTATAGAAATGTGCTGACCAATTGGCAGTCCCAAGACATCTGTTGGCTTGGGAAGGCCAAATCTATAAGATGCTGTGTTATGCGACAAGACTGTCTTGGAAATCAAGGGAAATTCCTTGAATTGATCCTTCACCAGTACAGGTTCGGAGGGTTTTGCTCCAAATGCCTTGGCTAAAATAACAATTAATCCAAGAGCAATAAGAGCACCCAAAACAGGGTTCAAATCAAAAGGAAGCAAGCCCATCGAGTTTGATGTCTTTAAAGGTGATCTTGAGGTGGACGTTACGGAAAATTTTCCAACAAATGTTGAGATAAAACTCACATTTAACGAAGATTATTTAACTCGTTTAGAAGTCGACTCTTATTATGAAAGTGTAACGGTTTATATTTCACCTTGGGATCTGACATGTATTGCATCAAAGCTTTCAGATGATCAGGGGAAATTTTTGATAGCTCTTTGTTTGTCAGTATCCATTCTAATGTTCGGCCCATAACTGCATCGAAACTGGGAAATGTAAATTTCTTTGGAACTTTTGTAAGTCGTTCTACATTTACAATCTGCAACTGCTTCTTGAGATCTCTTATTGTAAGGAAATTGCCACCGATCACAAGAGAATCCGCTGGGGTATACACAGCATGTATGTAACCGCAGGGAATCATAAACAGGTCCCCTTCCCGCAAATCCATTGCAATGCCGTCGTGTAGCCGCTCGCCAAGAAATATAAGGTTTTGCTCATCGTTATCACACCAATTGCGGTACTCTGATAGATTATGGTCAGAAGGGGGGAAAAGGATGAACTTTTTTGCCCCGGAAACGACCTTGTAATAAACAGATGTACCAGCAAAGTCCAAATGGAAATCGGTAAAAGCATTTTGTACTGACATTAGAATATACTTCGTCACTTTGGGTCTTGGTGCGTTGTTTATTGATCCGCCCCAGACAATATCAACGAGGTCATTAGTCTCTACTGCCTTTGGTCTTCTGATACCGTTTTCGAACTCTTTTATGTGTGAAACCTCTAATGATATTACATTATAAATTCGGTCTCTCTTTTCAGCAGAGGTATGTGAGAAATACTCATTCCATTGAGCCATAGTCCAAGTTGAATTTTGTTGCGTTTGTACATCCATCACATCTAGCTTATAATCGTCACCTAAAACTCTTGTTATGGTCTCGACAGTCATCCTTTCATTCTGATCATTTAAATCAATTTTCAGTTCACTCAGACTTGGCACTTTCATTCCGGAGTTCTCCGGATCGATAACTTTCAGCGGCACGGTAATATTTCCAAAAGTTTCACTAAGATCTTTACTGCTTATCACATTCGTAGTATTTTGCCATTTCTTGAAGCACTTTAAAAAGTTGGGTACGTGAGGATGTTCATCTTTTAGTCGTTTGTCCTGACCCTCATTCAAGGCAATATAATCGATATGCTTCTTCTTCCGTAATCCTGGTCGACTTTCATCCATCTCGGAACTTGATCGTTTGTTGGATGACTTCCCTTTTAGCTGGAGAAGAGCTTTCCCATGTTTGTCACAGGTAAAGCTTATAATTTGCCTGGAATTAGTGGGGAGTTTTCCAACGTTCGACAAGTTTTCATCCACAAGACAAGTAGAAGGAATGCAGTCGACGTGAACCCATTGAGGACAATGATCACACTGTACCCATAACGTCCTATCAGGGTCGTCAATAGAGCAGTATATGCAAATATCAAATGTCATAGTTGCGGCAAAAAATATAACAGAGATTTGGATCCAGGGTTTAATATCCCATTTAAAGCTTAATGATTCGGATCTCCTCCGAAAACCGTATCGGCTTACAGGAAAGAATAGATGGTTCTCGCAAGCTGTTGTTCGATTCAACTCTAAATACCTGTGTCGAAAAATAATTAAGGACCGACTTTCTACATAAATCTCCCGTAGATGTCTAATGGAAAAAGGTAAAAAGATTTCCTACACACAGTAAAACTACGTGCAACATAAGTATATAAACGACCGAAGATTTGTGATCTTGCTCTTTGGTATTGCTTTCATTGAATTACTAAAATTATATTCTTGATTCTTAATTATATCTTTGTTTTTGTTGAGATTAGTGCCATATAGCTGACCAATTACGCCATATCAACCTTCTCGTTTCGTTTCGGCTCAAATTGATAGCAAAATCATTTAAAAAGTCCAGTGAAGCTCTTTCATGGAATCAGTTTATTTAAACGTTAATGTAAGTATAATCTTTTTTTGTTAGCTTTTGAACTTAATTTCTAAAGTTTTAAAAAGAGTTCCAAAATTATCAAAAACCCTAGAGTTTACTAAATGGTGTCAATCTCATTGTATGCTTGATATGAGTACATGCCAGCTCTTTCAAATTGATAAGTAGTAATGTTAAGAATCGGGCTATAGCATAAGAGTTTACGGGAAATTGCAAATGAATTTCCAAAGAAATATACTAAGAATAATAAAGCGCATCCCATGATTGGCTTGAAAATCAATTTCAGACGATATGAAGAAGTTAATGTACCATCCTTAAGGTTACGTTCTGTCGCATGCTGTTCGAAACGTGATTCAAGCTCAGATTAATTGAAATGGGAGAAAAAAAATTTACTCTCGAATGAAATGTTAGGTAGAGATATCCGAAGTACGCAGGAACAACCTGAAAGAAATGCTCAAATCAGCATTTGGTTTATTGAATACATCCAATAGAAGGCTGTTCAGCTCGAGTTTGGTTAAAGGAAACCTGTCCTTTCAGCTAAAGCTGACCCCCAACGAAAAGTCACAAGTAAACCTCCGCTCCAAAGGAGCTAATTCCTCTCAATCACAGAACAAAAAGATTGATCCAAGACTTGTCAAGAAGTTTCAAAGCGGTACAACCTATGATCCTTTTGACTTCTCCCTAGCAAGGCTGCATCTAGACAAGAAGTTTTCATCCAAGAATTCCTCAAATGACTTGTTTGATAAATATGGAATTGATCCTCTGGACCTTTACACAAACCCTGAATATCTTTCACAATTTGTTTCGTCTACTGGTAGAATCTTACACAGAGACGTTACTGGGCTTTCTGCTCGAAACCAGCGCCGGTTGTCGAAGGCCATAAGAAGATGCCAGGCCATAGGATTGATGTCTAAAACACATAGAGACGTTTCTTACCTCCCTCCCAGAATACTGGGCAAGTTGTAAATAGTGCACCTTAAATTATAAGCCCATTATGTATATAGTCTACAGAACTTCCTTACCGCTCAGCATTAGATATTTTGAAGGATTTTGGGTCCGGGCCTTTCAGTTTGATATAGACGTCGGTACCCCAACCCCACAAACTTTGTATGTCTAAGGTCCCATTGAACATCTCCAGGTAGGCCTTGCACATCGGGAGTCCAAATCCCATGCCTGAAACATTCGCGACGTCCTCTCCGGGTATAACATACGCGCTCATGCCAGTGTCCTTGGCGTTTTCTTCTACGGTACTGTAAGAGTAGTCGAACATGCGGTCTTCAACTTCTGGTGGAATTCCTCCGCCAAAGTCTCGTATTCTAATTTCTAAATCGCAGTCGTTCCGAACTATTGTCACCTCAATTGGCTTCTCTACCAAATTGTTTTGGGGCGTACTGTTCTCAATATGCGCTCTACTGGAGTTTTTGAGAATCTCGGTCAAAACATACTCCAGATCAGTTGCAATACAAGGGAAAGTCTCATCAGCGCCTTCCAAAATCTTTACCGGAACTTGATGGTCATATTTGACAAAACAGAGGTCTCCAACAAACTCCTCTACTCTGCGAATCAACTCGGAAATTTTTAAATTCTTATGAAGGATACCAACAGTTGGTAAATTTGGGTCACGTTGGCGTACTAGGGCCAGGTAATGTGTTGCCAGCAGTTTCATGGCAATGCGGTCTCTTAGATGATGATTCAGAAATTCAAATACCGACTCTTTAGGGTAGAAATCCATGATCTCCTCAAATCCGCGGGAAAGTGTCACTAGCGTGTCTTGGTGATCATCGAGAAATCCGGTCAGTTTTCTTACCATTGTATCCTGGTCATGCAGCCCGTATGGATATTCCATCGACAGCAGACTCTCAAGCGTCTTCAAGTACAATCGATTCGTTTCTTCGATATTGGGGTTTACCACCGCGATATACGGAAGCTTCTGGATCGCTGCAAGTCTACGACTTGTGTAAGTCAGTAGTAAGTTGACTGTTTTGATTGTAAGCGCATATTTTTCATTGTCAGTGAGTGGAGGCTTGTATTGCGTCAAGAAGTTGAATGTAATCGGTGACACGTTCTTCTTTGCAAAATCTTGAATGAGTAGTTCTATGTTTGACCTTATTTGATACAGCTCTTCAAATCCTAGCGTTGATAAGAAGTTGTGGTGTGAGTGCTGCTTAATATGACTCTTCGCTGCAATGGAAGCCGAGTGGAATTGTGATATTGAAACTTTAATTGCGGATTTGGTGCAGTTTCTCATGCACATTATAGGAATACACGGTCTGGCAAGCCCAACTGAACGAATCATTCTAAATAAATGCTGATTGGCTTCGTAGTGTGAGTTTTGAGAGGTTGTTCGGACAGATGGCCTGTCACTAGCGCCAAACATTTTTTTTAAACATAAGACTAGTTGAGTCATGAGAAACAAATGAAACCGTTAAAGCCATACTGTAATTAAATTCATAGAGCATCATATAAGAACGTAGATCAAACAGAACTCCTGGAGTTAAATGCCATCTAGAGATCAAAGTAATCACGTGACGAATTTGCCGATAAATGTAATTGGCTACGAAATGAAATTTCGTGTTCATCAGTGACGGACTCCAGGGATAGACTTGAAAGTTCCATGCTAAGCCCGCCAATAAACAACAGAAGATAAAACTAATAAAAAATGTCATTCAACGCTTTTGCAGATTCCTTCAGTAAAGGAATTCAGGCATTCTCCAGTCAAGTTTCTCAAAAAGCACAAGATGCGCAACTTGACAAGAAGTTCAAGGACTTATCACTAGCGGTATCTCAAAGGACGCAAGACCTAACAACTCAATTGCCAACTCTCGCCCAGTCCACTCAACGTATGGTCCAAGAAAAGCTGGGCCAAGTTACGGATATTTCTCAGTTGCCTCAGGAATATACGGAGTTGGAAAACAGGGTGGATAGGATTAAACTTGTTTATGAAAATTTTCTGAAGGTTACGCAGGTGTATGAGAACGAGAGCTACGACTACCCAAACAACGTGAGAGACTCTGTAAATGAGTTTTCGAAAGTGCTTAGTGTCAAGCTGCATGATTTATCCCATGCGACATCTACAAATGAAGCCCAATCCATATTGATCGCCCCGGGCCCACATAAAGATCCAAAAACTTTGAACTACGCGCTAAGCAAAGTGGCCTTAACTTCCAGCGAGTATCTGAACAAGTCTGCTGGTAACGAAGACTCTGAAGTTGCCAGTGCTTTGTTAAAGTACAGTGATGTTCAGGCGAAGATCGCTCAAGCAAGATTGCAACAGGACACTTTGATTCAAACGCGTTTCAACAAGAAATTAAGGGAAGCATTGTCCGAAAACTTGACCAAGGCCTACAATGCGCGGAAACACGTGGAAAACATGAGATTGCAGTACGACGTTGCAAGAGCCAATCTGGCTGCAGCGAAGCCCGAGAAGGAGGCTTCTCTAAGAGTCCAGATGGAGACTTTAGAGGACCAATTTGCCCAGGCTACGGATGACGCTGTAGTGATAATGCAACAAGTTATTCAGTCTTCCGAGTTCTTGAAAGACTTGCACGAGCTCGTAGTGGCTCAGCTTGCATACTACAAACTATCAGCAGAGTTACTATCTGACTTTTTGCCACAACTAGACATGTCTCTCAACCCCGAAATTGAATCCAGCACACAGGCAGAATCTGAACATGAAGTCACAGCTGAACCTGAAGCTGAGAAGTAACCTTATTCTTATCCCTACAAGTAGTTTTAATTTACAACTCTAACTTCTATATTCTACTTTTGTTATGCGTGCTAATACCTAGTAATCTCAGGACTCTTATTCATCATTTTCGTCATCAACAGTCTTGACATCCCATTGCATGGAGACATCCCACCTGCTGGACTTCGCTGACCAGCTTACATACTTAATGAACTGAAGAACACTTTCGTCTCTCAAGACTAGATTTAAGGAGTTCCAGCTAGGTGGCTTGTTGATTAGAACAGAATCTCCGGAGTCATCGGTCTTGTAGACCGCAGCGTCTTCGATGTCTTTGTCTGCTTCCTCATCATTTTGGTTGTCCATGTACAATTCGTACCCACCAACTTCACCAGATTCCCACCCAGCACTTGGTGTTAAGCACAAAGTACCCTCCAACACAGCATCAACAAACCCATCAATGTTTTTCAAAAGTTCGTTCTTGTTTATTTGAGTAGCCAAGGTGAAGTCTTTACCAGGCCTAAATCTTCTGATAAGCATACGCTCACTCAATGGGCATAGAAGCGTTAACAGAGCTAGGTACTTCTTGAAAATAGTGCTCTTGAGAAATTCCACCAACGAGATTAACTCATATTCGGTGTTGTTTTTGCTCTTGTTCAAGGATTGCTTTAGAAGTGTATAGTTGGGCAATTCCTCATTATTCAATCTCTCCAAAATATCTTGCTCAGTACGGAAATTTTCAGGAGATTTCCCATCGATGTACAAATATCTCCATTTGTGTGGAGGAATGGCCGTCTTCCAGGGTGCTTCAACCTTGTTTGCCTCGTATGGACATTCTTCTTCCAATTCATCATGCCTGATCAATTGTTTCAAAAGTTTAGATTTTTTTTCATTCAAGAAGGAATCTATCTGCAAGAATGATTTTTCCAAAAATTTGGACTGAAGAGATTTGATCCCACTTGCAGTTAAGTAGTCCTCAGAGATATACTCTGAAAGATAGCGCAATTCTTCATCAGTCAATGTGTTTGAATCAGCCACCGCACTCACGGGAGTGTTCTCCTTTTCTTTTTCGTCCGAATGGTCGGCTAGTATTTTTTCGAAATGCTTTACTTCATGATACGGCAAAATATCCCTCTCATCCTTGGGGAACTCGTAATCTTGCAAAACATTCGATTCCAATTGAGCAAGTGTGCTGGTGTTAGTCTTCACCCATTGCTCTTCCTCACCTGGGATATATCCTGGCTCTCCTTCTTGTGGAATGTGGTACCAGCCTTGAATCGACAAACGATGCTTGTTGACGCGCACTTCCTCAACATCGTGAAAAGAATAGCCCGGCTGAACTTGAAAGAATGCAATTTGATTGAACTGTGGGACCAACTTGGCGGTGTGGTCACTATGTGGAACATTTGCAACGATACTGGGGAATAATCTTAACCCACCACCGTAGTGTTCTTTCCAAGTCTTGTCAGGATCTGGCAAATAGAGGATAAAGCTAACCCTTCTGGAACCAATAACGTCATCGTGCGTCAGTAGATGACAACCCTTAGTATATGTGTTGATGGACATGTCCATTTTCGCACCTGAGAGCTTCCCAGCGCCAGTAACGTATGAGATAACGTCTCTATACACCTCAGAATACAGGATTTCTCTCAATTTGCATAGATTTGGAAGACGAGACAAATCATCCCAATCAAGACCGGAAAGATTCGCTAGATCACCGCTTTGGTTCACTTTGTAGATGTCCGTCTCTTTCTTGGTGAAATGAATTTCCGTTTCAATTTCCTTTCTTACGTTACGTAACAATTCATCATCGACCAAGTCGCGAATGTTACCCCAGGTGTAGGGTTTGGCATCGTGGATTTCCTGTTTCAGCTGATCTTGAAACTGAGAGTCCCAAATTTTCTTGTTGAACAAAGATTTGACTTTGTCAACCTCCATTACCTGCTGTTTAGAGGGCTTCTCGGCCCCTTTACCAGACGATGGCCTCTTCATATTTACACTAGCGAGTACCTACAACAACCAAAGGGAATATCGCTGCTTTGAGTGCTTAAATATCCTTCGTTTAAGTTCAAGCCATGCGATGATCCCGGCACCTGATGATTCGAAGAAAATTTTTTTCAGTAATAGCTAAGGAAGCCAAAAACCTGTCACGTGCAAATGTGATCTCCCAGAACCAAACAGGCCGAATGATCAATCAGCTGGAAAACTCGAGGTCAAAGCTGATCTATAACACGATGCTAGGACGAGACCGTATATCAGCTATACAAACATAGCACAAATGAATATGTAAATTTCTTATTTCGTTGCAGGCTGTTTCTTATTTCGCATGCATCTCGCATATTAGTCATTCAGTGGCGACGTTTGTCGTGCGAGGACTGAAGAGGCTCCACCACTAGCTTGTCAAAGGTGTACATTTGAGAGATGACGGACTGCCTCTTGAGCACGCCAAGTTCACGTTGGGCTTTGTTCCAGGCTTCGTTCAGCTCCGTGACATCCTCCAGCGTTTTATTCTGCCTGAATGAAGTTTTGGCTTTTCTAAGGAAGTAGTTCCTATAGTTGTAATTGCTAAAGTTGTTGGCATTTCTGATAAATTGTCGATATAGTGAGAGCACTTGCGATCTGGAGGGCAAAGCTGGCATCCTGCGTTGTTGGCGGGATGTATTTAAATTGATTCTGGCTGAACTGTCCCCGCTTTGTTAAATCCGTAATCGTCCCGAATGTTATGAATGAATAATACTTATGTACGGCCGATATCACTGACTTACGATAGGTGAAAGAGAGCTGCTGTGACTATGAGTAACATACATCATTCCATCGTAACATGGCCAATAATTAACGCACACTTGAACTACTTGGTAAGTTATTCCAGCACCATCTTATTTAGTGAAGCAAAAAAGGTCCTACCCGGATTCGAACCGGGGTTGTTCGGATCAAAACCGAAAGTGATAACCACTACACTATAGAACCGCAAATTAAGTTTGAAAACACACTGAGATTTGCCATAGAAGAATGGTGTACCAGGTCAGATACCCCCATTCCCAATATTCTTTCTCCCATTCATGCTCTTTTAAGACGTAGTGGTTCTTGCTGCATTGAATCTCATCATACACTCTTTAACCAAACTGGAAGGATTGAATTGAGATGACAACGACAGATGAGCTGGAGTATTACTGTTTTAAAGCGCTTAGACTAATCTCGCAATTCCTGGCGTGGTGCTTACCGGCGATTTTGAGATTTTCTAAAGCGCATCCTGTTCTCACCAATGCTTTGGGCTACGCAATCGCAACTTATGTGCTGTGGAAAATGGTGTGCCACTTTATAGTCTTTCTGAAAAGGTTGGTATATCTCAGCTTGATCGTGCTGGCCATTATCGTGTGGTATCGCGGGCCTTCGCGTGTGCTGTCGCAAGACATCCCCGAAGTGATTCACTTACTGCAGACGGATCCCACCATTAAGGAATTCTGGTCTGACCTGCTGAAATATGCTCGACAAACAGGTAAGCGGGCACAGTACTCCCTCTTTGCCAGCACAGACCTTGCTGAACTGCGAATGCGTTTCATGCGTTTTTTAACTACTCTCTAGAACTCGCTTTGATGACTTAGCATCTAAATTCGAGGGATGCGCTAATAACATTCTGCATCAGGCCAGCTACACAACTATTGTATAGAGTCTTCTCACAAATTGTGGGAGGCGCAGTTGTAGGTCCCTCCTCTCTTCCCATTACGCAGCTGCGATATATTTTTATCCTCGAAAAATTTAGTAATCATCACTGAAGTTTAACGGATGGACGAATCCCACAAACAAAATACAATGGTAAAGGACACCGAGTACTACGATATACTAGAAATCAAACCGGATGCAACACCTACCGAGATCAAAAAGGCTTACCGGAAGAAAGCTATGCAAACACATCCCGATAAACACCCCAATGATCCGGATGCTCAAAAAAAATTTCAAGCGGTAGGTGAAGCCTACCAAGTGCTGAGCGACCCTGATCTTCGTTCACGCTACGACGAGTTTGGTAAGGAGGATGCTGTTCCACAGCAAGGCTTTGAGGATGCAGCCGAGTTTTTCACAACGATCTTTGGAGGAGATGGCTTCCAGGACTGGATTGGTGAGTTTGAACTGCTCAAAAACTTGTCAAAAGGGGCCGAAATCATCGGCGATGAGGAAGAATCGACACAAGAGCAGAGCGATGCTACAGACGTAATTCAACATGATGGCAAGAGTGCAAAGAGCAAAAACTCAGATAAATTGACGAAAGAGCAGCGCGACAAGCTTGTGGAAATGGAAAATGAGAGGCGCGCCCAGAAGAAGAAGCAAGTTGAAGAATTAAGCATTAAGTTGGACGATAAAATTTCACAGTATTTGACCGCCAAAAAGAATGAACATTTGGATGAGTTCAATGCGAAACTTAATCAAGAAATAGAGGACTTAAAACTTGAAAGCTTTGGTCTCGAATTACTCCACCTAATCGCCAAAATCTATAAAACGAAGGCAAACAACTTTATTATGTCTCAAAAAACTCACGGTTTTAGCAAACTGTTCACAGGGGTGCGCGATAAGACAAAAACGGCGAAGTCTGCATGGGGCATTCTCTCGTCTGCGATGGATGCGCAGTCGGCTATGAAAGAGCTTGAAAAGCTCGACATGGATACAATGGATGACTATGAACGTGCAGAGGTCGAGAAGTTCATCACCGGTAAGGTGTTGGGCACAGCATGGGTCATGTCGAAGTTCGAAGCTCAAGGAAAGTTAAGAGACGTGTGCGATAAAATACTGACCGATAAGAATGTTCCAACAAAACAACGTTTGGAAAAAGCAAAAGCCCTATTATATTTTGCAGAAAAATTTGGCTCTGCTGTAAGATCCCCTGACGAAGCCGAAGATGCAAGAGTATTCGAAGAGCTAATCTTCGACGCCCAAGGCAAGAAAAAGAGGCCAGACTCTAAAAATAAAGTGAAAGCATAAAGAGTGCATGCCTATTGATATAAATGCTTAAAAATTAGTGACCAATCTGGATCTGTATTAATTATACTGTTTAGAGTAAATTGTATTAGCTTTAGAGAAATTGAATTATTTTGAATAGTCGCGTGTAAAAAAAAATTGAAACACAATGGCGACTTTCCATGTAACGGATATAATCGCTAATGATGAAGGCAATTGTAAAGAAATGCGCTATATTTGTGACCCTGGTCGCAATTATCAGTAACATTTATATTTTTACCTATCCTTCACTTCATCCTCAATCATGCTCGTGGAATTGTGCTTCAAGCAAGAGAGATTACATCCCGATCGATTCCTTGAATGGCGTGGAGCGGTGGCTCTATTATGCAAAAAGATACATAAACGATGTGAAACAACAGATATTACCTTCAGAAACAGCAGAGGAAAAAGGCGGTCCTTCAGATATTCATCTTTTAGCATTGGGGGATCCTCAAATAAAGGGAAATTGGAAACATACACCTTACATAACAAGATTAGACACGTTCGGAAATGACTACTACTTGGGCCACATTTATTCTATGATGAAGAAAAGACTTCATCCAACGCACGTAGCTGTTATGGGTGATCTGTTCTCTTCGCAATGGATTGGTGATTCGGAGTTTTTCAACAGAACTGTAAGATACACTCATCGACTATTCAAACGGAATACAACTTGGCTTGAAGCCATCAGGGATGAAAACCATGATGAGGATAATCAATATAAAGTTGATTGGGTGAATTATGCAGATGACCTGCAAGTTCGCAGGGCACGAGTCCCGATGGATTTTCAATTTGGCTACGAGGATGTATATTCTTGGGACCCAGAGAATGAAGATTCGTTATTCATCAATATTACCGGGAACCATGATATTGGATACTCCGGTGATGCAACGTTCCAACATATGGCTCGTTTTTATGAGCTTTTTGGCAAAGACAACTACTGGATCGAATATGATAATGATACAGACCATCCTTGGAGAATCGTGGTTTTGAATTCTTTACTCTTGGAAGGTCCTGCTTTACAACCAGAGTTTTTGAATATTACATGGGAGTTTCTATATCAACTTTTCGAGAGAAGATTTGCCGGCAGTACCGTTCTACTAACACATGTTCCATTTTATAAGAGGGCCGGTCTCTGCGCAGATGGGCCAGAGTTCAGGTACTATCCTGCTGATTTCGAAAGAGAGCCTTACAAGAAAAACTTGCTGAGATCGCAAAATCATTTAAGCGAAGAAACAACGAAGAGAGTGCTTAATTTGATTTTCGACAATGGGAAGCCTGGAATCATCTTAACTGGACATGACCATGTAGGCTGCGAGACTATTTATAACAAAGACAACAAAAGTGGCCAGTGGAAGGCTTCTAAGGTAGTTGAGTCACCGGAGCACTTCATAAAGGAGATAACAGTCAAGTCTATGATGGGAGAGTTCAATGGAAATGCTGGTTTAGTGACGGGCCGTTTTGATTCTAAAAAGCTTCGCTGGGAGTGGACGTTTACGCTATGTCCATTTTCCATTCAGCATGTATGGTGGTTTACGAAAGTTGCCACAATCATAAGTGGTTTTCTATTATCTTTGCTAGTTCTGCTTTAGCAGTATTTTAATTAGCCGACTAAATAGCTACAAATTCTCATGATCACGTGACCAGTTATCGAGGACTTGAAAAGTAACAAGGCGCGGCTTGAACTTCGCCTGGAAACTTTGCTTAGTCTTGAATCACCAGCTCCCGTCGCATTACTTCCATGGATACCAAGGACAGTAGTATATTGACGAGGTTCACCAGGCTGCGCAAAAAGGCCCAACAACCGCTAACGGATTTGACGGAGCTGTACAGTCAGATAGCTAACGAATCAATATACTACCTCAAATTAGAAGATCAGCATGACTACAAAAAAGCTGTCCAAGGGTGGAAAGCTTTGAATACACACGTTTTGTATGAATTAACTCAAATAGAGCATAGCTATCCCAATATGCGCTCATACACGAGAGACGAAATTAGCATTCAAAATGGTGTTAGGGAATTGTACCATAAGAGTCTACAACATCTGGAACGTGTGCAAAAGCTTTACAAGGAGAGCAGTCCTAATGAAACAGAGCGATCCCCGTCTGCTTCTTTTGTGAAACGCCCTCCTGTGCCGATTCCGCCTTTACCCTCGAGGTCGATGCTAAAAACTTTGCGAGACCCCAGGATGGCTCACAACAAAATGCATTCTACAGGCTCCAGTGCCACCAATTCGCGCAACAATAGCAATACAGCTAAAATCAATTTTACGAGCTCAAAGCCACTTCAAACCGAGACTGCGTTCGACGGTTTCGAAGAAGAACAGAATCTCATCGACCTCTCAGACAATGAGGATTACAAGCCTTTAATCATCGACTCCCAAAACACATCAAACAAAATATCAGATTTTGACTTTAATGATTATTTCGATAATTACATGAGCATTGAGGAAGAGGAAATGAAAAGATTAGAAGCATTAAACCATTTAGAGGGACTGCATAAAAGCATTGATGATTTATCGATCAAATCGCCCAGCGCTTCAAGTACCAAACAGACTGTTTCTTTGAAAGAAACGAAATCAACACCTACGCTTGTTCAAGAAAGTGCTACTCCTCAAATAACGAAAAAGGCGGTACCGAAAAGCGTGAGGAATGTCACTAAACCCATAAAAAAGAGTTCCTCGACAACCTCTGCTCCACGGCCGCATGCAATGACTGCAAAATCTACACCAGTTCTTCGTAAGAAGCCTTTGCATACATCCGAAAAGCCAAATGCTGTTCTTAATAGTAGGGTTGTCAGGAACGGTGTTCAAAGTAAGAAACCAGCGATTAATCAACCGGCCAAAGCGACTAGAACTGTACAACGGCCACAAGCTCGAAAGCCAGGTCGTCCTGCAAATAACGAATCTAGTAGTCAATCTAGTTCACTCAAGAAGCAGCAATCACCTCCCAAGAAAACTGCTCCCCCAAAAAAGACTGCTCCTACTTCAGAAGCAAGTGGCTCATCAGATCCATCAGTGACAAAAAAAGACAATGTATCTGATGAAACTGCGCAATTGAAAGATGCCCTCGAAGACGAGATCATTGAACAACTGCGGGGGGTTGACAAAACTGCAGCAAAGCAAATTTTCTCCGAAATTGTGGTTCATGGCGACGAGGTTCATTGGGATGATATTGCAGGACTTGAAAGTGCGAAGAGCGCGTTGAAAGAAGCTGTCGTTTATCCCTTTTTGCGGCCCGACTTATTTCGCGGTCTCCGAGAGCCTGTTCGTGGCATGTTGCTATTCGGACCACCAGGTACCGGTAAAACTATGCTGGCCAGAGCAGTCGCGACAGAGTCGCGATCCACTTTCTTTTCAATAAGCGCATCCAGTCTAACTTCCAAGTACCTGGGAGAAAGTGAAAAGCTTGTCAGAGCACTGTTCGCTGTTGCTAAGAAGCTTTCTCCTTCTATTGTCTTTGTTGATGAGATTGATTCATTAATGGGCAGCAGAAACAATGACGGTGAAAATGAATCAAGTCGCCGGATCAAGAACGAATTTTTAGTGCAGTGGTCGTCGCTCTCCAACGCTGCAGCGGGCAACGAATCGGGCGACGAGGAGGAGGACGAGCGTGTACTCGTGCTTGCCGCAACTAATCTGCCGTGGTCTATAGATGAGGCTGCTAGAAGGAGGTTTGTCAGAAGACAATACATTCCTCTGCCCGAGTCTCAGACGCGCAGTGTTCAGTTTACCAAGCTTCTCGCCAATCAAAAACACACCCTCACAGAGCAGGATCTCCTCGAGCTGCTAGACTTGACAGAAGGATACTCCGGAAGCGATGTTACCTCCCTAGCAAAGGACGCTGCTATGGGGCCATTACGGGAACTAGGTGATAAACTCTTATTCACACCGCGAGATCAGATTAGACCCATCACGTTACAAGACTTCAAGAATAGTCTTAATTACATCAAACCTTCCGTATCTCAAGAGGGCCTCGAACAATACGAGGAGTGGGCAGTTAAATTCGGATCATCTGGTGTATAATGGCGATGTCCGATGTATAATAGCTCCATCTAATATGTAATCCATCCGATAATTCCATACGTTTGGAGATGTCCGAACCGGCAAATTTTTAAGGGTCCCGCACGGCAATTCCGTTTATCAAGGAGAAGCCGGTCGGGAAGTCCGGATATGATGATCAGATCAACACAAAGCAATCAATCGATCAGATAGTATATAAAGAGCAATAGTAGTCAAGTGAAGTTCCAGTTACCGTATTGTAAAAGATCATAAATACTCAGTTTATTTCTAATAACCTAGAGAAATGCCAATAACTGTTACACCATTAGAAGGCCAACCATTGGGAGCCACAATCAAGTTACCTGAGGGATGTACCGATCCTAGTGAACTGTCACCGGAAGATTTCAAGGACTTGTACAATGCTTTGCTCACACATCTCGTTATCGTAATTCCAGGAATGGAAAAGCTTCCCCCAAAGTCTCAATGGAAACTGACGACCATGTTCGACCCAACTTGTAATCAAACTGGACTAGCGTATGGTCACGGCAAGGAATTTCGTCACGAAAAATCAGTTTTGAGAAGAGACGGAACGTCAATTCCTGATCAGCCCCAGGTTCAAGTATTAGGACAAGGCAGCTGGCCTGCTGGCCACTACGGCTTGGGAGATATCGACTTGAGACATCCTACTCACTTTGATTTCCACAGAAACCCATTGACCGACGAGCAGGCATTCGAACAAGATATGACTAGATTTTATAGGTGGCACATCGACTCTGCGCTCTATGGTCTGTCCCCTCCTGTTGCAACCACTTTGTTGGGAATTCATGTACCTCCACATTCCAGAAAGCAAAAGATCGTCTATGAGGACAATGGCGATGTTCTGGAGGTAACCCAAGGTGCTACAGCGTTTGTTTCTGGTGAGAAAGCATTTCAACTACTAACCCCAGAGGAACAGGAACGTGCTTTGGGCACTACTGTTGTATATGCGCCTCACCCTTATATTTTTATCTCACCTGCTCGCGCTACTTCCGATGGATTGACCATGGTGTCAGAAGGTAAAGAAATGCCTTTAGATCAATTGCCACCATGGGAAGAATCTAAAGTGAAAAAATTGCCTCTTGTATGGACAAATCCTGTCACTAAAAAACATCACCTCCAAGTGCACGGTTGCTGCATCCACAGATTGGAGCTCCCAGATGGTACCACACTTGAATTAGAAGATGCTCGTAAGGAAGTCCACAGATTAATGAGACCAGCTATTTCGCCAGAAAACATTTACGCACATGCTTGGAATAAGGGTGATTTGGCTATCTTTTTCAACAGAGGTGTATGGCATTCCGTAACTGGTCAGTTCTTGCCAGGTGAAAAGAGGCTCATGCATCAATGCAACATAGCTTCAGGGCAAGATCCATTTACTCTTACCGACCTCAATGTGAAGAGCCCCGTGCATGTGTCTGATCAAAAACCGGGTGTTACACTTGAAGCATCCAATTCTCCCTCAATTGCTGCTTAGTTAAAAACAATTGCTTTATGTACTTTTATGTCATGCTGTCTAATAAAACATGGTTCTGATTCAATGTAAACTTCACGTAACGAAAAAAAACACATGAATTCGTCATTATACTACAATCTAATAAATTCGAGGTTCTCTTATAAATAATTCTTGAACTTCATGCAAACATAAGGTGTGTTGAGAGTAAAATCCTAAAGAACAAGTGCGACCTACGATATTTTAAAGTCTACTGGGCTGCAACAAAACCTGGCTTGGCAAGCAAACCGCCCTGTTTCAACTGCTGAAGTAACTGCTGCCCGTTACTCACATCCGGTTGTGTTACCGGTGGATTCCTCAATAAACTGTAATCTAGCTTGAAATTCAGTTTGTCAACAACTGTCCAGTCATCTAACTTGAATATTTTAAAATCTGCAACTTCACACAGTTCATTAGAAAACTTAGGATTCCCATGCCTGAGGAACCAAGTGTCGCCTGACTTAGAAATCTTCCAATCGCGCTCTGTCAAAAGACTATATGCTATTTTTTTCTCAAGGGGAGTAACTGAGTAGTAGTAATTGTAAAACAATGAAAAAGTCTCCAACGGTCCAAATCGTGGTAAAAGGGTTTTTAGCTTAGTTTCGTCATCCCCTTCAATAGTTGCTATCTCATCTCGAAGACTGCATCTAGTAGAATCCCATTGACTTGTAGATCTGAAAGCATCCAAAGGAGATGGTGGATTCACACCTGAAGGTATCATTTCCAACCGTGAGACTTGGCAAGCGTCTGAGAGAGTTTGAATGTTACTCTTACGTCCGTTAGCATCTTCCATTTTGTTTCTTGATAGGAGAGAGCTAATAATCATATCCTGAATACCACCAGGTAGTAGAAGAAGCTCCGAGTCATCGCAAAGGACATGTTTCAAATGATTAGTTACCTGTTCTCTCCTCTGTTTTTCCTCTTCACTCAACTCAATTATTTCCGTGTTAAGTGGTTCATCCTCATCAGACTCTTCTGAGTCGTAATCATCAACTAGTTCTGGTTCCATGGCAGAGGATGGTACATCTTGCACATCTGTTTGTTTGGAGAGTTCGGAGTGTTTGATAATTGGAGATGATTGGTTGTTTCCCTGCTGCTGTCCATTAGTTACTGCGCCAGCCAAGACTTTGGAGGCCAATGAAGGTTTCTCATGACTTGTAGATAGAGAATAGGTCGGAAGAACAGGAGTGTTGGATACACTTGTATTCCTGCTATTGTTGTTAGAAGAGGAGGCCGAAATTGTAGAAGTTCCATTGGAAGCATTGATTTTTTTTTCTCTTTCAGCAGCTTGCGTGGCAGCTACTGCCCACCGCAAATCTCCGGCTGGTCTCACAGGCACAGTTGCGGGCTTCAAAGTACTAGTGGTAGTGATTCCATTGAGAGATTGATGAATGTGGGTATGACCTTGTAATTCGGGGGTACTCTCTCTTGAAAGTATTTTTACTTGTGTCCCTTGATTTCTGTTCACAATTCCTACCGAACTTCCGGCTGTTGAAGTGCCATTAGGTAACGTAGTATTGGCAGTGGAAGGAATACTAACACCCATGGATGAAGGAACGGGAGAAGGTGAAGCAGACGGACTAACAGAGACAGAATCTTTCGATTGCTCTACCGAGTCCACAGACTTTGTCAAATCATTTTGTCCTGATATATTAGCATGCTCTTCTCCAGGTGTGACAGCCTTGGCGGCGGCCTTTGCCGCTCTTTTGGCCTCTCTTTCGAGCTTCCTTTGTTCTTTTTTAGATAACTTTGAGGAGTCTTTTGAAGATTCTTCTTCTGATTCGTCGTTCATTTGTGCAGCAAAAGAGGCAGCAACCTCATGCGCAATAGCCTCATTAGAGTCGAGGTTTAGTCCATCATATATAGTTTCATCCTCCACAAAATCTGGTTCTTGATTGGATTCTATGAAAAAATTGATATCATCCTCAATATCCTTAACATCCTGAGGATTTAGCTCTTCATTCGCAATAAGTCGTAGCGCTAATTCCATCTGCTGCTGGTGCCATCTATACCTCAGCTGCATTTCTTTCAGCTTGTTTTTCTTCTCCTCGTTAGCTACCGTTGCTGTTTTCTTTTTCTTATTCAATAATATCAGTCTGTCTGCCTCCACCTGAAGGGCGTCGTATTGGCGTTCTAACTCATCTATTGATTGTGACAGATAATTCGTGACATCTCGCCTTTCCATTTCCTCAGGGTCCAGCGTTTCTGACTTCTTCAGACTCATGTTAGAATACGCCTTCTCTTTAGAAGCTTTTTCAACCGCTTTATATTTCTCCATCGCGACTTCAACTGATCGTCTGTAATCCAGCAGCGAGTCCTTATCCTTTATATCCGGCGAGCTTTGCCACGATTTGATCTGCTCCCGCAGTCTTTGAAGTTTCTTAACCTCCCTTTTCAGATCTGCCTCCAGTTTATCCTTTTGAGAGGGATTATTCGTGCAATTCTCATGCCTCTCATAGTATGTATTGAAGATTTCCAGACCTTCGTTAATCTTTTTAAAGACTTTGTCGATTTCTTGCTGAAGCTTCCTGTGAGCCATTGTTTACCTGTAAAATGATTCGAAAGGAAGACCGGCAAACGATTGGAGAGTCCTAGTGAAATATTTGACCTACTCCGTAATGATGGATCAATGAATTGAAAAATTTTTTTCCTTTATCTTCATTCTTACATTCGGTTAAAGTTTCGCTTCCTCTTCAATCACGTGAAGTAAGATATATACATTCTACGAAGGTTTCCCCGTCAGTGTATGTAAATATTTACATTTGCGATGCATATACGATGCATATACGATGACTACTATGCAGTGAATACTTTGATATGTCTTTTTGACAAACAAGTTAACGTGGTACTTGCAGAAATTCGGCTTGGAAAGGTTCCTTCTAATGCCTCATTTCAGGTCTAAGGGGACGGTATTTATTATCATTTCCTCATATGTCATCATCTATCCATATGCTCATGCATTAAAGTATGTTGTATGATGATTCATTTAATAGCTATCAAAAATACCATTTGAACTGTCAATAAATGTTATCAAGTTCTGCTACCGAAAGTCCGAATCAATTGAGCCGAGTTTAATATGGTGTAACAGGCCCAGTGTGCCATACGTGCTCAAAGTCCGGAACGGGATGAAACACAATGATATTGGTTTTGTTCCCAACTGGCGTGAGGCCAGTGCATCGTGTGCAAAGATGGGTAGTGTTTATTCTTTTTTAAATAAATGCGGTTCATGGTAATTCAACCGTCCACTGAAGACTAATCCAAAACCTGCGATCCTATAGGATGCTACTCAAATGAAAATCTCTCAATTGCTTTTACGAACAATCGGATTCTGTCACATAATCATTGCAAGTAAGCCGAGCAGGTGGTGGAAACATACGCAACATAAAAAAAAACGAGCGTTCTCTTGTAGCTAACTTGAACTCGATCTTTGATGCCTTTTTGTAGTTCTGTACTGGACCTTTTACTTAAAGATCGCGGGATAAAAGTAACCTTTTCATGCGCTGAGATAGTTTGATTAAATATGGAATTTGCCAAGAATGCCGGGAGAGTCGAGACAGGAATATTGAATGACAAATTTCCAAATTCCCATGGAGGTATTAGCTTTTGATTTAGCAGTAATGGGTTTAATGAATTGGCGAGTTCCTGCATACCCATATCTATATTACTGCAAGCCATAGTTAGGGTTCCGTTTCCCTCATTAAATAGTAAATCAGACAACGTTCTTTTAAGTTGATTGTCGATGTCTCTTTCAAAATTCGAACAAGCCTGATCAACATTCTCAAAAAGGCTCGGATTGTAATTGATGAGATAGTCGTCGTATCGTTTAGTAAGTGAATCCGCTGTATCGGTCTCAATATCCAATAGAGAGCAAATGATTGTAAACGCCATCACTACAGTTACAAAAAAAATCCATAAATCTTTTCCGTTGGTAAAAATCCACCAATTAAACGCTCTTAAGCGATGATATGCAGTTTTTGATCGTCCTCTGACCAATTCTTTTGCATTATTAATGTGTTGGAAGGACAATTTCTCGATCACAACAAATTGCTTTTCTGTGATGAATTCAATTATCGTATATCTTGTAGTAAACATCAAATAATGTAATGCGGTTTTGAATCTTTTATGCAATTCAACAGGAAAATGCGGGCCTTCTTGAGGGCCCATTAAGAGTCTTTCTGCATGCCACAGCTGCTGCACCAAAATTGTATTGAAACAACTCACTTCGAGTTTGTAACATACCAGCGTTAAGTTTGCCAAAAGAAGAACCCAAATTAAATAATCTACCACGACAAAAATCGAGAGTTGTTGGCATTTTTTCTTCAACCTAGAATTGTAGTTATCATTTTTTAGTCTAGGAAACAAGTGTATGTAATTCTCCCGTTTGTCCAACTTTGTTAATTGAGATATGCTATAGGTTTGAAAAAACATCTCAGTACGTTCTTGTAATCGTTGCACTGACAATATTACATCTGGATTCTTAAGAAATTTGTTGAGTGCATCTTGACACGAGATATTTGTTAGATTGACACTTGGTAGCGGAAATGCACGAATATTTCGCAAACTTTCCAAGTTCAGAGAAGTATTCTTGAATAATACATCGAGAAAAGAGTAGTCGAGTAGCAAGCCCGATGTCAGGGAATAAGCTTCGTCTGAAGACACAACAAACCCTGCCTTCGAAAGTTCATCTATTGTACCATTAATTCTTTTTGCTTGCTCAAAGAGATTTGCATAAATGCTGCTGTTGTATCCCAATAAAGTTTCCAGTGAGCTCATGTAATGTTCCATATTCATAAATAGAGAGCTGTTCCAGTAGGACATGTTGTTGGTTATTTCATAGTGAAGGGGTCCCCTCAAGATTTCATTGATCAGTGTGACAGAATTATTTGTCTTCCATTCTAAAAACTCGTTCACGATTTCTTCCAATTTAGGACTCGATAGAGTAATTTTCGGAGTAGGCGTTGATGTCGCTATTGATAGGGATACAATCGTTTTTGTCGCTGTATTGGTGTAGGTTGAGGATGAACCTAAACGTTCTCCAGTTATGGGATTTATCGGTGTACCGGTCCTTTGGGTAGAAATAGTCATTATCTCAAAAGATGACCATATTATTATCAAGAAAATGGCATGTGTTAGAAATATATGAGGATTGAATATGCAGGACAAAAGTCGCTGCTTAGAGTTTGGCTGGAAAAGTGGAATTTGATGGCTCATATCTCATGTCACTTTATTTTATTCGCGTGCTCGCTTTGTCAATTCGTGTCTTATATGTGAAAAAGTTATACCACGCTGGAGTATTTCTGAATTGACTAAAGTTATTGATGTTTTAGTTTGAAACAAAGAAAAATCTTCACACAAATAGTGGTTTAAAGTGGTCTGGATTTTTCTTTCTGTATAAGCAGTTCTGGCAGCACAACATCTAGAAGTTTCTTCTTCGACATCTCAAAAAGTAGAGTCTTCAAAACCTTGTTCAAGAAGGGTGAATCACTAGTACACAATTTCTTCATATCTTCAACGGATAACGGCCTTAAAAATTCCTGAATCTTTTCAAGTCTTTGTCTATCGACTAGAGGCCTTTCGAGGTCCTTTATCAGGGCGTCTTCTGGCGACATCATCTCTGTGGCAGAGACTTCACCACACTCACTGGCGCTGCTGTCTTGTGGAAATTGGTCGTTATCTACAGTGTCTTCGATGTAAAGTTGTTCGGGTTTTGCAGGCATTCTAGTCCAGAAACGCTTCCTCACGAAACCATTCTTTGACTTCCAGTGATGGCTGCCGAATCTCCACCCGTAGCTCCATCCTTGGTCATCAGTTTCGTATTGCCCACCATGATCCATAGACACAAACCACTTATAGTCCTTTATATTATCATTTAAGTCGAGTGGATACATTCCTGCTCCCGCGACTATCTCGTTCGCATCGACAGTCTTTCCATTGGCAATGAGTATCTGGAATTGAGGAGGATCTAAGCCATGAATCAGCAGATTAGGTGTGAAAGCCGGATAACCTAAAATTGTCAACCCTCTCTGATGCTCAACAACTAGGTCATGGCATCTAGAAGGCATCGGCAATTGCATGTGGTGAGATCATCGATAGGTTCGAGTAGAAAGAGGAATCACAAAATCGTTAGTACAATAAGAAATCACGTGCTCTGACAAATCAACTAGTAATTTGAATAAGACAGCTTCTAATGTTACTCTTCTATTGAACAATTAATCTATTATCGTTTAGCCTTGAAGAAATCTGGTATTCCAGAAATTTTTAAGTCCGAGCATGCATGCATGTCGTTGTGGACTGCAACGAATTCGAAATAGCGAAAACTATAGAAAATCGTACGATAGCATTAAATTATACATTAAGAAGTTGAAAAATTTGTCCCTCAAAGAGCTTCGGTCGGAAAGGACTCTCGCTAGAAAGTAGTCGCACGGAAGGTGCTAAATTATCGGACTGTATTGAAGCTGTGCATCGGTATGGAAAAGATAAACATCAAAACAGAAGATATTCAAAGAGTTTTACCGCAAGAAAGCTCTCATAATCCGTTGTCCGGAGACATAATGATTACAAATGGCGCCAATGGTGGTTCCATGAGCAGCGGAACGGGAGTAGCAAGTGTTGCACCTATGCCCGTACATGGGGGAAATACTGTGTATCCTAATGGACCCAATGTGGGTATGGGAGATCCTTCCTTACAAGAATATTTATCGCCTTTTTTCCAACCGTTCGGGGTGGATGTGTCGCACTTTCCTTTAACCAACCCTCCTATTTTCCAGAGCTCGCTTGCCAACTACTCCGATGGGCCTAGGAGGCGGCGAATTTCGATATCCAATGGTCAGATAAGCCAATTAGGGGATGAGACTGGGAACTTTGATGATCTATATTACAACCAGCCTCCTCCTTTGCCTCAGAGGCAGGAGTTCATGAGTGCGAAAGCTGCAACTCAAAATAATGCCATGGACGTTAAGATTGCGCCAGCGCACCCCCCTCATCCATTCGTACAACAACCAACTGGCTTGGTAACGCAACCTCTGGAGGTACAGCCGGCTCAAATGCCGAGCGACATAGAGATAAAGGACGAGACTTTTGGCGAACAACATGATTCTAGGAGTGCAAATATGATGAGCCCCTTTTCTTCTCAGCATAATCAAAACACCCATTTTGAGCAAAGAACGCGACGTGTTTCAAATCACGAACCTCTCCCCGGTACAGCGGCATGGAAGAGAGCACGCCTTTTGGAAAGAAATCGGATAGCTGCTTCTAAATGTAGGCAAAGGAAGAAAGTTGCACAACAGCAACTGCAGAAAGATGTGGTGGAACTATCAAAAGAAAACAGGGAAATGAGAAGGAAACTCGACTATTATGAAAAGCTGGTCTCCAAATTCAAAAAGTTTACTGAGATTCACATGTCGTCATGCGGAGGCTCAAAAGATCAACTGAATATGATCGAAGAAATGTTAAAAATCGATCATAATATAACAGATACCAGTAAGGGACCAATAATGAGAATGGGAAATGGTAAGAGTTAGTAACTGCACCTTCGTAACAAACGAAAGCTTCAAACGTAATGAACGAGATCAGGAGCATTCACGTTGAAAAAAGAAGAGCCCGCGTAGATCTGTTACTAATTCTAAAAGAACCTTTTTAGGGGAAGACTACCCCAAGTAAAGTTAGATCCTGTGTGGAACACAAGATCTTCTAGTGATGTGTATAGTTTCTTCAAGAACTTTATCAGTTTGATATAAATAGAGAAGATCTCTCATTTTAGACATTCTGCATCATAACATTTGAGGACGTAAAGTACTTTTGGATCCACTGAGTAGCTTTTTCTTTCGATAGAAGTACATTTATTTGTCCATGACCCGATGGCGCAAAATGACCCATTTTTTCTGTCTTCATTATTTCTGTCTGTTTCCCTCAAATAATTAACTCTGCCAAATAAAGTAGTTCATATTAAAACCCGGTCACGATTTGGTCAATGCCATCACCAACGTTATTATCAACAAGTTTTGAGGTTGATTTGTTCATTGTAGGTTTATTAAAGTTCATTATAAAAATACAAACTCCGTTTTGACACTAACACTAATGACGTGTGTAGGCCGTGGGAATTATAAGGAATAGAAATAAAGAGCTATGGATGAAGATATCAGAATCCATTGACTTGACCCGGCGAAGTGATAGGGTCTTGGAACCAAAATTCGCAAATAAGTTTGTTACACCATCGGCGGTTAGTGCTTCGTCAAGGGATACAAAGGATGACATTTTATCTATTGTCGATCCTGTCATCTACAGAATAACATTGAACGGTCTGTTTGTACACTTAAAGCCGGCTTATTTCTTTCTGCGCAGGTATAACTTCAACTCGAGGTCTTTAAGTCGTAAGCAAAGTCTAGTGGAGTCTCTTAGTCAAGATTTAACTGACGATGAGATGACGAGATGGCTTATACCAAGTTTCAAGCAACTGAAGTGGCTTACTGCTTTGAAGGGTGATACAGAAGAAAGAGCAGCAGATACCAAGATGTTAGTAAGCTGTTTTGAACTGTTACTTGTATCCTACTACGCATTCCATGCGGAAGAAAAGCGTACTAGACATATCATAACCCAGAATTTGATATTAAAGTTCCTCAAAGACGAGCTCTTTATCGACAGTAATGATAAAAGCAAACTACCAAAACTACTAATCGACTATGATAGACGGAATAGCGTCAACGCACCTTTGATCAGCTTTTCGGCATTGTGCGTTGAGCAATGGCGAATTTTGAGCATAATCTTGAATTTTAAAATTAGGCTCAATCATTTTGAATTTTCCTTGGAGATCATTTATTTTCTTCTAGATATTTTAGAAAGTTTAACCGTTTGTTTCATCCAGATTGGCCAAGTAGAATTGGAAGCTCATGCGGGAATGAAGGTACCAGCTTATAAAAAATTCCATATGATGAGATCGAAACAAATGAATTATAGATTCGTGACAGCATTTTTGAAGGCAACTCAAAATACGACTAAGGATACCTCTCTGAAGCGGATTGAGATTGCTTTGGATAATCTTTTTGACGTATTTGGAAAAATCGTGTGGACAGATGCTATTTTGAATTATGCCGAAGAAGACGGTTTGATCGCTACAAAACTCCTCAACTATCGAGTATACTTACAGAGCTCTGTACTGACCACTGGAAATTTGGATATTATCCAAAAGTTTCGGAAAACGCGATGGCCACAAATAGAGGCAAAACATCTAGTACACAATGCGTGAAGATACTGTTTTACTATACATTGGTTCAACAAATTTATTTCACGGCGTACTCTCCGTTTCTTATAGGAGCAAACCATTTGTGCTGCATAGCTTCTCTAGCGGTCAGCCTTTCTTGATGATCGTATTTCAACAAATTATCAATAAGATCGATAATATCATCATTACCTGAGAGATGCTTGTTAGAATCGTTAACAAACCTATGCCATGGTCTTCTGATGTATTGGTCTATATCATGGAACTCGCGGGGAAGAGTTATTTCGTATTTGTAAAGATACTTTTCAAAATCATCGCTGCCAAGAACGCGTACTATTTTTACCAGCTGGTCCGTATTGCTGGTGCCGTGAAAGAAGGGTTCTTTTTGAAAAACCATGGAAGCAAGCATGGTACCGTATGACCACATGTCTAGAGAATAGTCATACATTCTATAATCTACCAATAGTTCTGGACCTTTGAAGAACCTGGATGCGACCCTTACATTATATTCCATATTTGGATGATAAAATTCTGCCAAACCCCAATCAATCAATCTTAGCTTTTTCTGCTTGTGATCAATCATAACATTATGAGGTTTCACGTCTCGGTGCATAATGCCCATGGAGTGACAGTAGTCAAGAGCTTTCAAAAGCTCAAGCATGTAATATCTAATGTCCATGTCTCCGAATGTGGGATAAAGAGTACGAAAATCAACATTATCAACGTACTCAAATACTAAAGCTGGAGTTCGAGAAATTGGATCTCTTACGACATCTAAAAGCTGGATGATATTTTCGTGACCATTATGAGGAAGCTCGTACACATATGGTCTGATGAATTGAAGAACCTCTTCCTTTTTGTTCTCATAATATTTGTCTTTATTAAACTCTTGCGAGGTGGGTGGATTTGCCTCGTTTGACAAGTTTGTGAGAATTTTAATTTCACGTTTGATTTTTTTCTTCTTGACCGGTTTGAGCATTTTGATAACAATCTTATCATGCGTCGACAGCTGAACGCCCTGGAATACTTCGGAATACTTACCACGACCCACCTTTGTCTCGATTTCATATGCACTGTTGTTGGATGACCAATCTATGGTAGTATTTTCGTAATCCCAATACGCTTGACCTCTTTCTTTATTAGCATTTGTGTAAACGCGTGCTTCACTCCACTTTCGGCATTTCATGTTGATGAGATTATGCTTATAGCAGTACAGGACCCAAAGTTGCCAACCAACTGATGATGGAATGAACAAGCTGGGTGATTTATGCAAAGAAAAAATTCAAGTTTTTTCTTCCTTCGTTATATGCGATGTAAGAACATCAGCGCGTAGCTATTTAGAACGTTAAACCCGTTTAATTCTACATGCCTTGCAGACCTTTGATAACCTCTTCGTGTGCAGTTTTGTTTTGAGAGGAAGTCTGTGAAGAGCTGTCTCTTAGTTCGTGGTAGATGTCTCTAGTCTTATCGAAATAAACAACTTCCAACAAGTTTCTCATTTGTGACTCTATTGTTTCAACCAATGACCCCAAATTAGATATGTGCCATACGTGCAACTGGTCTTCAGAGAGCTTGGAAGGAGCAGGAAACGATTTTTCGGTCTGCCTGGTTAGATTTCCAGAAAGTGTCATCTTTCTCGCCGCACCCAAGTGAAGTATGATTGTCGTTGTAATCCGATACACGACTTCAGAGCCCTCTTGAAGAACTTCTATAATATGGATACCGTCCCAAGAGCTGAGACTCTTGTCGCCCTTCTTGAGCAGCACTACACCAGCGAAATCGCTGGAGTTGTCGCCTAAATCCCATAAGTAGACAGAAGATACACCACCTTCGTAGTATAGATCTCTGTATATGTCAAAGGAGTCGTTGGCTAATACTTCTAGCTTCCTAACAGATTCAGATGGGAAAGGTGACTCTTCCAGTTCTTCGGTGCTTAGGGCTGGAACGTACTGATTGGACCAGGGAGATCTATGTGAGTCAATGTCGCGATTATAGTCGCAGCACAAGAACTCTCTTTGAGAAGCATTGGGGTCTTTCTTGATCTGTAGTGGTGTATCTACAGATGCAAGTAGGTCTTCGGCCAAGCTAGGCTCTAATTGAATCAACTGCGCCAAGTTTTTTTCAATTTTCGTCGGATCAAGTCTGCGAAGGATATCTAAAGCGGCGTCAAAGGCTTCTGTGGACATGATGGTGAGTGCTCTATTGTTCAGAAATGTTTAAGTCAAGTAAGACTGAAAAGGGGTTCATCATTTTCATCAACTTAAATATCGCCGGGTACGATTATTTTACAAAGTACCTACCTCTGTTCTGATAGATATTGGGCGGATAACTAAGTCAAGAAACCATTACTTATACGGAAATTATGTATGAGGTCTCTTTCGAATGGTATCATTATGAAAGTTTTGGTTTTTCACGAACCTTTACAGCGGGAAAGATTTAGTCTTCAGTAATTATGTCGCATAGTTGTTTAGCAGTTGTGCTACAAATCGAATAGTGTTATAGCTCAATACCGTCAATGACCTTCGGAAACAGCGTTTCATAGTAGTTTCCGTTTAAATTGGTCGTCCGACTTCTCCTCGTTGTAGAGGATCTCTTTGAAATATGTACTCATATGGGCATTTAAGATCAAGACGGCCTACTGACCATTCAAATAATCACCGATAAACTAGCCGAAGCATTCTAGAGCTGCTCAGAAATTTATATCTTGATTCGCGACATGTCCTTCAGATTATGCTGCTCGCACTTCAAAGAAAACACCCGAATGACCAGCGTTTCGATTATTTACGGTCGACAAGTGGTGTCGAATAGAGTGTTTGTATTATAATACCTTAAAATCACATTATGGCGATTTTGGACCTGCAATTTTGAGACGGTTATACAAAACTCAGCAATTATTTCAACTTAATTCTCCGTGAACATTTATAAAGCCTGGCAAATGGCATTTTTTAGGGATTACACTTCATTTAGAATTATTTACTGTCAGTATTCGAGAAGTAGACTTCCCTTTCCGCATCGAGCGCTGAAGACCTTGAAATCTTGCGTGATGTGCTTCTTTGGCCGCGAGACTTAAACGACGTTTTTTCCGTACAAAAGAGAGAATTGGGCTTTTCAAGTACCATCAAGTGTTCTAAAACCTTTAAATGCTTTCCTTTCAACAAGTACTCGAATCCACTCAAACTGCCTTGAAGTCGATGCCTCCCGGCTATTTGCCAAAATGGTTATTGTTCATCTCTGTGGTCTCTGTCTTTAATTCAATTCAAACCTACATCTCTGGTTTGGAATTAACGCGTAGAGTTTATGAACGTAAACCAGCTGAGACTACGCACTTGAGTGCTAGAACATTCGGTACGTGGACATTCATCAGTTGCGTGATCAGATTTTATGGTGCTTTGTACTTACAAGAAGAGCACATTTTTCAATTGGTATTCATTTCCTATCTAGTCGCATTGGTTCACTTCGGTAGTGAACTACTCATCTTTGGTACCTGTAAGATTGGTAAGGGTTTCATGGGGCCTTTGGTTGTGTCTACTACATCTTTGCTTTGGATGTATAACCAGAAGGAATACTACACCGGAAAGGGATGGTGATTATACCACCTTTAAGCTTTTACTCTATTCAGTACCTTTTTCGATTCCTACCAAAACTAGCTATATTTACTAAAGTAAAGAAAATATTATATTGAACCTATAGGAATAGAAACAAGTCTTGTAAACTAGAAATTGAGAAACTTGCGGCGACACTTGATATTGCCTTCCAAGAGATCTCGAGCTCCTTAATGGTGCACATTGCGCGTAGGATCGTTTAATTTCAGAACCTCGACTGCTGGGCCTAAAAGCCTCTGGAAGCCGCTCTTTCCCAAAGTTGCAACTTTAGTCTTCTCGGTAGCGGTAACAGTAGCTTGACGAGGCAAATCATTCAGTAAAGCAACCTCACCGAAATAATCACCCTTCTTTAGACGAGCAATAACTCCTTGACCTTTTTTGGTTACTTCAGCCTGACCATATTCGATGAAATAGAAGTTTTCACCAGAATCTCCCTCACGGATGATTGTCTCACCCGGTTGATATATCTCAGTGTCTAGTGCATCTGCCAACTTAGCACGGTCATACGTAGACAGCGACTTTAGCACAGGCATAGACTTCAGGAAATCATCATACAGAATCCTCTTCTTGAAGGAACCTCCCAGTAGAATTCTTCTAAATGTTAATCTATCGAGAGCCCAAAGTATACAGTCGGTTGATGCAATAACTGTGGCAGCACGAGGGCTATTGTACATTAGCGCAAGTTCACCAAAACTAGAGCCTGGGCCAGATGTGTTGACTTTGTGATGATTAACATAGAAATCCACAGTACCATTTTCGACGATGTAGAAGTAATCCCCCTCATCTCCCTGTTTAATGATCTCCCCCCCTTGCTTTACCGACTTTTCTTCCAAAGAGTTAATAACCAATTTCTTCGAATCAGAATCCAACTTGTTGAATAAAAAATTCTTCCCAATGGCCTTCTCCAGACGATTTAGTTGCTCCTTGGTCTTCTCCGTATAGTTTGTAGGTGTCCAGTCGTCAAAGTTGCTTGGCTTCAAAGTTTCCCCACTAACAGATGTACGTCTCTCGGCATTGAAATTCATAGGTAATGGTTGTGGATTCACCACAGATCTTCTAGGCAACGCAGATTGTGGAGGAGGTGATAGAGCTTGATCGGGGGCCATAGGATCCACTACCTTGGTGGCGTTCTTGTCTGCTGCCTGTCCGACGTTGAAATTGTTCTTGAAAATTCCACTGGGACCTTCTTCAGACTCTTCTCCCTCGACAAGATGAGTGGTATGCGGATCGTGATCAACAAAAGGTGATTTAAATAGCACGTCCTGATCGTCTGCGGTACTAGGGCGTGTTGCACTGCCCTGTAAGGACCCTGCTGCTGTCACTGAATCATGCTTGGAGGCGTGTGGGAACAACACGATTCCTTTTGATAGAGCGAGAGCTTCTTGGTTTCTGATGAAGACCCGTTGCTGCTCTAGCCTTCTATTGAAGTAGTTAGAGGCAAACTGTAGGAAATCTTCGGGTTGCTCCTCCTGCACCTTTTTGCTGAAAAGGTTCAATTCATCTGCAGGACCCTGAGATGATGGCATTGTTTATTTATCAAGTGCTAGGTACTTGTTGTACTGATCTTCAACTTCCTTTCCCGAAAATATCTAGGGGGGTCAAGTGGGTTTTTTTTTAAGTTATGAATCGCATGATACGTTTCACTAATCACGTGTGTAAAGACTATAAACTCTTAAGTAGAACCTTCGAAACCAGCCGTTGTCTCGAATAACTTGATGTGAGGATATGTTTCATCCGCTTTCTCTCTTTTGAAAGTCTCCGGGGAACGATTGATCAATACATGGAGTTCCTCTTGTGTCAGTTTGCCATTGCCCTCTTTAGCAAAACCTATACTAGATTCATCACTCAAAAGTAGCTGAGAGAGCTCGTTTACCAAATTCTTGTTGGTATTTGCTGCTTGCCCTGGTGTAGTTATGAAAGTGCTTTCGTTGAGAGCAAGCTTCTTGAGAGTGTTAAAGCGACCCATCTGTATAACCATCTTTTCTAGTTTCCGCTTGTTAGCAGCACGCGTTAAGATGACATGCTCGATGGTGTTGTCACAGCACAAGCGGTACACCACAACAGGTTTAGTCTGACCTATTCTATGTGTGCGATCCATGGCTTGGAGGTCGACCTGCGGATTCCAATCGCTGTCGAACAAAATGACGGAGTCCGCCGCAGTAAGATTGATGCCCAACCCACCAGCTCGTGTCGATATGAGGAATATGTCAATATCGTCATTCGATTTGCTAAATGACTCAATTTCCTTCTGGCGGGTTTCGTTGTCCATTGAGCCATCGATTCTGCAAACGCGCAGATCATTCAAATCACACCAATCCTCCAGTAGGTCCAGCATGTTCACGAACTGTGTGAATATCAACACCCTGTGTTTGGCTTTAACCAACGGAGGAACTAGTTGTTGTAATGTCTGAAGTTTCCCGGAGCTCTTCAAAAGTGATTCAAGAGTTAAATCTTCGGGTTCCAAATATGGGAAGAAAAACAAGAAAGTCGAATTTACTATTTGGCGTAGTTGCATCATCATATTCAGTAATTTCTTGCTCAGCACCTGTCGATATATGTGTTCTTCATAAAGCTGTGACATCTGTGCTTGCAAATCAGACGAAGGCGCCGAATCTTCGTCGCTCAGTTTCCATTCTGTGAAATCCTTAATAGACTTATCACTAACCTGTCCAATGTGTTTCTGATTCAATCTGAAAAATTCTTTGATGGCATACTTGAAAATGGCCTGTTTGAGATGTCCACTTAACGCACTTTTATACATTTTTCTTTGTGCCTGTGTCAGTGGGCAATTGATGATATATTCTTTCTTCGGTGGAAGCGTATCAGCCAGTACATTCTTTTTCAATCTTCTCAATAAGAACGGCTTCAAAATAGTGTGCAAGTTTGAAATCAGGTTCTTCTCTAGCTCATCATTGATCAATTTATTCAATCCCTTCGAGCGACTATTTATTTCAAGATCGCTAAAGTCGAACCACTTGTTAAAAATCTCAAAATCAGCGAATATATCTGGTAGAATGAAATTAAGCAATGACCACAGCTCTGCCAGATTGTTTTGTAAAGGCGTCCCGGTTAAAAGGAGACGATTAGATGTATTTATGCGTTTCAATTCTCGAATTAATTTGCAATTGATATTTTTCAACCGATGACCTTCGTCCACAATCAAAAATTTCCATTGATGGGACAATATCTCATCAATATCTCGTATAATAATCTCATAAGATGTCATAATGACTCCCTCGCCGTTGTTTTTCTTGAAGAAATCACGGAGCATTCTGTGACGTTCACGCTGACCTTGCGAGCTGTAATACTTGAGAATCGGGATATCCGGCGCGAATCGTTTGAACTCATTCATCCAATTGGCAACCGTACTCAATGGCGCTGCTATCAGAAACGGGCCCTTGGTGTCCATTTCATAGATAAAGGCAAGCAACGCAATGCTCTGGATTGTTTTCCCCAAGCCCATCTCGTCTGCCAAAATACCATTCAGCCCATTTTCATATAAGGTTATCAGCCAGTTGACACCTTCTAACTGATACGGCTTGAGTTGGCAATTACGCAGGAGCGATGGTTGACCATGCGACAGCTCGCTCTCTACTGTCTGATGACCCTTCTTTCCAAAAAAGTCTGTGATCTTGCGTCTCTTTCGCGGCGCTGTTTCTTGCTGCTTTGACTTCTGCTTTGACTGACGCTCCTCTGTTCTTTCCAATAGAGTATCGGCAATGATACCCGAGTAGACTTGGCTCTGCTTTACGAACTCCTGTAGCCTGTTTAATTTAAGGGACACTGTGGCATCGTCCACTTCCTCCTCATCACTGCTTTCTCCGTGAGCCTCCCTTTTAGAGGCGCTCTTGTCAATGAGGTCGTTCAGCTCAGTATCTCCCTCATCCTCGGAGCTCAAGTTGACCTGCTCGTCATCTACATTGTCATCTTGAAGCCAAACTGGCTTTACTGGCTGTTCATCTTCTGAGGAAGACGTATCCACGATGTCTGCATACAAGTCACGTTCACTTTTCTCCTTGTAATCAACTTTTCCCTTTCTAGTCGAGCGTCTTTTGCTAGTCATGGTCCTGCTGTGCTAGTCGCGTATTTAATTCTAATCTTCGCGTTCGCCTTTTCAAAAGCGAAAGGGCCTTATGCAGGAAGCCCAACATGATCGATACGGGAGACTATAGATACATAAAGGATGCTATGAACCGTTCAAATTTAAGCATTAGAACAGACTGGAGTAGTCTCTTGCTTTAAGCATATATTCACGAACCATCACCGAGCAGAAACAGGAACATGAACATGGACTCTATAGATGTGATTAAAGTAAATAAAAGATAAGAGAGTTGGAATAGCCCAAGCTCTCAATTGACGCTCATCGTAACCACATGGCGTAACAAACGGAACCAAATGGGTTTATGTCCCTTCTTCGGTCATCACGTGATCTCGTACTGACTGATTTTTACCAAGAGCTAAATTGTGGCAAAAAAAATTTGGTCTCCTATAAACATAGCATTGGTGGAAGTGACGAACGATGAGTGAGGCTGTCGACGGTCAACCCGCCGTGGAAAACAACAATGCGCCGCCAATGCTGCCACATTTGCAGCAGCAGCAGCAGCAGAATGAGCACGCAAATATCGACTATGATCAGGAAGCGCGTAAGCTCGAGGAGAAGGCGGTTCGTTTTCTCGCCAAGCAAGCGCATCCTGTGATAATTCCATCATTCGCATCATGGTTCAAGTTCTCTGAAGTACACGAAATTGAGAAGAGGATGCTGCCAGATTTCTTCGACGATTCTTCGAGGTTCAAAACTGAGAAAGGGTACAAGGATGTGCGTAACTTCATGATTAATACGTACAGACTGTCACCCTTCGAATACCTAACGGTGACCGCGGTCAGAAGAAATATCGCCATGGATGTGGCATCTATTGTAAGGATACATGCGTTTTTGGAACAGTGGGGCCTGATAAATTACCAAATTGACCCTAGATCGAAGCCATCGCTGCTTGGTCCTAGCTTCACTGGCCACTTCCAGATAGTGTTGGATACACCACAAGGGCTGAAACCATTTTTACCCGCTGAAGTTATTACTGAAACGGAAACACCAGAGGTTGAAGAGAGTAAAAATGATGCAGCTGAAACGACGCAAGAGAAAACGGAAGCTAAGACGGTCACGCGTATCGTTCCACCCGAAAAGTTCCCTGTCAACTTATCGCTGAGAAAAAACATTTATGATAATGGGCAAGACTTTAACTCCTTGCAAACCAACTCTCAGCAATCTAGGCAGATCCACAAGACTTACATATGTCACACCTGTGGTAATGATGCGGTAGGGATCCGTTATCACAATCTGCGCTCCAGAGATACTAATTTATGTTCACGCTGCTTTCAAGAAGGCCATTTTAGTGCACATTTTCAATCCTCCGATTTTATTCGCTTAGAGAACAACGTTAATACCAGAAAACAATGGTCAGATCAAGAAGTACTGCTTCTGCTTGAAGGTGTAGAGATGTACGAGGATGACTGGGAAAAGATTGTTGAGCATGTTGGAGGTTCAAAATCTTTAGAAGAGTGCGTCGAAAAATTCCTCGTTCTGCCTATAGAAGATCGCTACATTGATGAAGTTGTCACAGCTCCTGCAAAGGAAGCGGTTGCTAAGAAAAATATTGTAGACACAAAAGATGCTGTAGATGCAGCTATCAAGGCCTTAATCAATGGCACAAATGACAAAATTCTCAATGAAAACATACCAGAAAAAGCAGACAGTATTTCACAAAAGTATTTGGAAGAAGCTCAACTTGTTGTCCAAGATTTGATAAAGTTGACTGTAGAGAAGGTGGACCTCAAGTTTAAGCAGCTAGATTCTCTCGAAACTACTTTAAATCAGGAGAGGGAAAAATATGTTAAGGAGGCCGATAAGTTGTTGAATGAGAAGCTCTCACTGAGCAAACAAATTACAGAATTAAATGATGAAATGGCAAAACTGAACGTTTCGAAAAAGTTAGTCCTGCTATCAGAGCAAGCAACCACTGGCATAAAGCTAGTTGAAAAAGACGAGGAGGCACAATCGAAGGAGAGAAAGGCTAAAAGAATGGAGGAACTACAAAGCATTTCACATGTAGAACCTCAGTTATATAAACCTTGGTCCCTGTCTTAATATGTGTAAAAGTATATCAGGTACGATTAATTAAAGTTTTTTTGAATTGGAAAAATCACTCGCTCTTCGAAAAATACCTTTACATAAGGAGCAGAGATTGAAGTGAGGAATGAGGGTATAATGTTTTCCAATCTGATATCGCTGGCCCACTTCTGTGACAAGCATGGCCCTCGTGTGCTGCTCGTTACGCAATGTGCCGAAAATAGTGAAGAACTCCTACTTCCTTCCTATCCGACTGACTCCTATTGCGAATCGTGTTTGATCAATTTTGGGGGCTTTAAGGATGAGGGCCTTTGTTCTATGAGGACCAAATTGCAATCCAAACACTATGTCTCGACTCAGTATTCATCTATCAGGTACCAGCTCTTGTACTCGATTGTAAGGTATATGTTCTCGGAAGAAACGATGAGTTACGATGGAAGTCCATTAGTGTTTTACGACAACTCTAAAGGTTTAAACCTTGTCATAGGTTTTAAATTGCAAGATGCAAATGCAAGAGGAAATGAAAGAAGATACGGCTTGATTCTAACTTTAGATTCTCATGATCACCTCAAAGATATGGCACTATTATCTCATCATTGGGAATTTATTATTAATGGGTTTAATAAAATGGTTGGATACATAAAGAAACTACGCGACGATGAAATTGAACGGAAAAATAGGAATGAGACTTGTGGAGAATTTACGCCAATTGTGGGAGCTTATCTGAGGGGTAACAAACTGAAAGAACCCAGAAATTTAGCCAATTTAACAAATGATGAATTAATCTTCGTTAGGTTGCACAAATGGAACACATTCATGCTTGATGTATTGGGAAAGTAAATTAATATACAGAAATAGAGATCAATAGACCTTAAATACATATGCGGATGGCATTTGCGCCCGCGGGTACTTAGACATTCAAATTGACTTGGACATTAGTAATCTTCTCTTGGAAAGGAGCCAAGGCTTCTTTGACATCATTATTGATAAATTTGTCAACTTGCTCAGGAGCTCTGCCCACGAAAGTGGAAGGTTCCAACAAGGAGTCAAGCTCTGACCAGATAGGCTCAAAGAAACGATCACCCTTAACACGTTCAATCAAGTCATTGTCGCCACCTTCTTCCTTGACGACTGCTGCAGCTTGGTGAGAAAGAACTCTGATGGCTTCATGTACCTCTTGTCTTGAAGCGCCTTTTTCCACCATGGCCATGATGATGTTTTCAGTGGCCATGAATGGAAGTTCACTCTTGATTCTTCTTTCAATAACCTTTGGGTAAACAACCAGCCCCGAAGAAATATTTAGAAGAGTAGACAATAAAATGTCAGCGGTCAAGAATGCACTTGGTAATGAAATTCTTCTGATTGCAGAGTCATCCAATGTTCTTTCGAACCATTGAACAGACGCAGTTTGGACAGCATCGCTGAATAAGGATCCTAAGTGTCTCGCTAGGGAACACACACGTTCACAACGCATTGGGTTTCTTTTGTAAGCCATGGCTGATGAACCGATTTGAGACTTTTCAAAAGGCTCTTCAATTTCCTTTAGATTAGCCAGTAATCTGATATCAGTTGCCATTTTGTGAGCAGTAGCTGCAAAAGATGATAATGGTGCTAAGACGTCGATATCGATCTTTCTTGAGTAGGTCTGGCCAGTAACAGGGTAAACGGTGTCAAACCCTAGCAGCTCAGTAACTCTCTTGTCGAGAGCCTCAACTTTATCGTGTTGACCGTGGAACAAAGCCAAAAACGAGGCTTGTGTACCTGTGGTACCCTTGACACCACGTAGACCGATATCGTTTCTAGCTCTAACGAAATTTCTCAAATCCCACAATAGCTCTTGAATCCAGAGAGTCACTCTCTTACCTAAAGTGGTCAATTGAGCAGGTTGAAAGTGAGTCCAACCCAAAACTGGCAGATCCTTGTATTCCATTGCAAATTGAGATAATCTGTTAATAACGTTGACCAATTTTGGAATTAAGATATCGTAAGCATCTCTCAAGAAAATCAAGTCAGCATTATCTGTGACAAAACATGAGGTAGCACCCAGGTGGATGATACCAGCTGCACTTGGACAAGTTTCACCGAAAGTGTGCACATGGGCCATAACATCGTGTCTGACAATTGCCTCCTGTTTAGAAGCCAAGCCAATTTCTTCATCTGTGATAGTGAGATGTTGGCTCATTTCTTCAATGGCTTTATCAGTGATAACAGAAAGGCCTAATTCCTTTTCAGCGATGGCCAAGTTCAACCAAAGCTTCCTCCAGGTTGAGAATCTGTTTCTTAGGGAAAAGATGGATGACATCTCTTCAGATGCATAACGAGAAGAAAGTGGAGTGCTGTATTTATCAAACTCGGACATTGCTCTATTATTATTTACCAGATTGAACAACTTGTATTCTGTTAATCTTTAAAAGTGTTGCCTTTTTATATATCTTTACATTACAACTGTTAATTAATATAGCTCATCTAATATTTCAAAAACCCATGCAGTGACTTCTGCTCTTCTGAGGAAAAAAAAAAGAGTTATGAATGATCCTCGGAGAAGTCAAAAAGCACAACTCAAACTCCCGTAGTTGATGACTGCTGTTGAGCAATCTTGAAGGCCATATATGAAGCGCTAGGCCTTAGACCAAGAGCGAAAGTGCCTTGCAGAGTTGTATCTTCGTCCTCTGAGTCGTCGATGTCTTCATCCTCTTGTTCTTCATACTTGTAGTCATTATCTTCTGCATCGACTTCTTCGTAATCTAACTTCCGCTTCTTGAACCACCTGTTCAACGGTAGATTCGTTAATGCGTTTCCAGAGTTTAGAAGCCTTTCGTTGATGGTAACACTTGGACCTTTAAACCAAATCACCTCTCCTTTTCCTCTCTTTCTCTTAGGAACTTGCTCTTTTCCTAATCTTCTAACTTGGCTGTTGTAATCAGCTCTTTGCAGGACCTCAACATTTTTTGTAATTGAGAGAGGTAACACGTAAGCGCCTGGTGTATCTGCAACTATTGTCCCGATAGTGGCACTGTTTGTGCGTGCCTGTGCAGCCAGACTATTAATAATCGAAGGAGGGTTGTATGCCGGTGTTTGAGTAGTGCTGCCAAGTTTATTCAACTGTTGAGAGGAAGCTTGATTTGGTAAAGGCATTTGCTGCTGTGGTACCGTACTGTGACCTGGGGATTGGGTAGGTGGATAGTATTGCGTAGACTTCATCAGTGGTGGATTATACACAGCGGTGTTCGAATGACGCAATGGTGCCAAGCCTGTCATACTTCTGCTTTTGTTTAGAGAAGTTAGCCTAGTAGTCGACAAATTCATTTTTGGAAGGGCACTTGCAGTTTGTGTATTTGTTATAATAGTACCTGTTTCCATGTCTATTTTACCCTGCTCCGGTGGATCCCCTGGTCTAATGATGTAACGTGGGCAATCATCGGATGTGGAATACTCACCTAGATCATCTTTCTTAAGTTTAGGTCTCAGGTAGACGGCTCCTACAAGTGGGGGGGCATTGACTGCACCTTCGGTTGGCTGAGGAATAGGATCGTTTACGGTTGCGTTCGGTGGCAAGAGATGTTTAATTGGAGACTCATATTTGAAAAACTTTCTACCCATTACAGGCATTGTGGCCTCTTCAACATCTCTCACTTCTTCTGGCAGACAGCCCTTCCATGTACGAATCTTGTTGAAAACCTTTTCACTTTCATTGTAACGAAACTCGCAAACAAAAAGCGGGCCTTCTATTTCGACGTCAGGATCACCTCTTTGAAATCTCGTGAAGTGGCAAACATAACATTTTCCAACAATTTCTTCAACTAAGTGGTCTCTGTATTGCCCTGATTTTACGACTTCGTTCTTATAAAACAAGCGGTCAACACGGTGAACTGTTTGTTCAGGTCTTAGATACCAGCATGCATTGAGCCATCTTCTACCGTCTGAAGTATACCACAGTCTAAAGATTTGAGCAACAGTTGGCTTGGTTTCGTCATTTGGGTTCTGCAGCAAAATCCAGTCACCAATCTTGTAAGTTACACCGTTGTGATCTACCTGATTCAATGGGTACTTCAATTCTCCATCTGTCATGAAATCCTCATCTGGTCTTGACAGTTCATATTGTGCAAGCTCATTGAACCTTCTTTCCAATTCCGCTGCTCTTCTCAACTCTACGGGCTGCGAACGGTGGTACATCTGATAGTTTGAAATGGTCAGCTTAAAATCTTGTTGAAAAGATTGGAAATCTTTATATTTACGTTGCTTGACCTTTTTACGGATTTCATCAACCGAAATTGGGTTTGTGATGACGCTGTAGTACTGAGGTTCGCGCTCTTCGTCTGGTAGTCTATCAAACGCGGACGTAATATACTCTCCACGCTCGTTGACATCTTTCTTTAACACTTTTAGCACGTTTTTAATACGCTGCTCATAAGGAAGATCGATGACAGGAGGCCGACCACGCCTCATGTGTGTTTTTTGTTGCTGATGTCTCTGGTATAAAGGTGTAGGCGTCATCGAATGTGATGGTGGAGGTTGGGGTACTGGAGACTGTGTCATTGGAGGAATACGAATTTTTGGAAGTGGCTTCTTTTGTTCAGTGTACTCTTCGTCGTCCTCCTCTTCCTCCACTGCAGGTTCCTCATAATCTTCTTCATCCTCCTGTTCGGCAGAAACCATCTTGACATCTTGATCTTTTCCTACACGTACAAATCCATCCATTTCATCTGGTAGAGGTCCCAGGTTCGGATATATAACACCAGGGTAGTGTTTCTGTAGTTTTGGAATGATAGCATCCTTGATGAAGTCGTCCATAATCTCCGCATATGTGTATATATCGGATTGCTTTGTGTTATAAGTACGTGCATTCCATGTTATCTGGACTAAATCATGGATAAATTCTTGAGGGGTTTTGTAATTATTGTTCAGCCGCTTCTTCACAGTACTAAGGGACATTGGATGTTTGATAATTGAGTAATAATCTGGGTAATCTTTCCTAGGAGGGAGTATCTGAAATATTGGATAAATTTCCAAACCATTGGGTTCCTTTACGGTCAAGATACTTTCATATAGAGGACGAAGCCTCTTTTGGAGTAGCTTTTTCTCCTCTGCCATCGCTATCCAACTTGTTTTCGTTTCTGTCAAACTTGCCACTTCAATTTTCAAAAGTGAAAGTAATGTTTGTATATAATAATATACGTAGGTCACGTGCAATATTTGATAGCTTGGCGAATTTGAGAGTTGATGATAACTGTGTTGAGAATTAAATTGGCAATAGCTCATAATATGGAAGCTGACGATCCGCATCTCCAGTCTTTCCATCGATGCCTCCAGAAATCTCGAAGGATTCTGTGCATTGTGGGGTCAGGGCTGTCTGCTAGTTCTGGTATCCCTACTTATCAGTTGCAACATGGAACTTGGCATGGATACACTGCCCTTGATCTAGCGACACCAGAGGCCTTTCAAAACGACCCTGGTCTCGTTTGGCTTTTCTACTCGAGTCGACGTTACGAGGCGATGAAAGCAAAGCCTAATGAAGGCCATTTTGCTCTGGCAGAATTGTGCCGAAGATACCCCAGCAGAATGGCTACCTTTCCACCATCGACCGGTGGCAAGGGGCTTTCAGGCGACGAATCAAGTAAACAATACAAGCATCATGACATAAATGGTCCCCCTGTTAGTGGCGGTGTGAGCGATACTACTTTCAAGGGCAAAAGCGCACTTGTCATCTCACAGAACGTCGATGGCCTTCACCAAAGAGCTGGCCACCCTCAAAACTCGCTAGTCGAACTGCATGGTAGTCTTTTTGATATGAAATGCACGCAGTTTTTTTGCAACTATCGTACCCACAACGAGCATGATCTCTTTCTAACACCAACCCTTAGGACATATACACCAAGAAGCTCGATGAAGAAGCGAAAGCGGAATTTGGCAAAGAACTCAAGATTGGAAAAATCACCTCCGCCTAAGAGGCAGCGTGTAGACTCTGATGCATCTGTCACAGATGAAACGACAGACCTAGAAAATGTGAGTCATTCGTCTGACGATCTTTCGGAGTCGACCAATTCTTCACAACCTGATGCATTTCCTACGCTAGATCCTCAGGAGTTACCCCACTGTCCTAAATGTCATGAAGGCATACTGCGACCTGCGGTTGTTTGGTTTGGTGAGTCGCTACCACTGCGCCAGATGGATCAGGTTGACCAATTTTTTAGTTGCGGACCGCCTGTCGATCTTGTACTCGTTATAGGAACGTCAGGCAAGGTTTGGCCTGCTATGGGATACGTTGAAAGAGTTAAAAAAAATGGTGGCAAGATTGCCATCTTCAACACAGCGATTGAGGACATTGAAGAAGTTAACAAAAGTAAAAATGTGTGGGGTTTTCAAGGTGATGCTTCCAAATTACTTCCAGAGGCTCTGAAACCTCTCATCGGTGAGCATTATAAACCTAGAGATTGGTTTAGGCGTTGATCGTTAATTTAATAATAATTATAATGTGCATTTCCCTGTAGATATATCTACACAAGCTTTCGCAGCTAATTCCCAAATAATAATTTACATAGAAATAGTTGTGGATCTCACCACTTCGGCTTTGCTCGATTCTGTCGTGAAGCCATCCGTCTGAATACCTTTTTCTTCGCTGTCATCATTTAAATACCGTTTAGTGATTTTCTTTCTCCAAAAGCCATCTTCGCCAAGGACGTCTATGTCGGTCAACTCATACTTACCGATTCTTGGTAAAATGTGTGCCCATACTAGCCAGTAGAAGCCACCAAATGCAAAGATACCCCAAGCAACCACACAATGAATCCAGTACGGTAGAGAATTGTACACGGATTCTCCATCTGTTGGGGGCACATAAGGAGCGATGACTAAGTAGAGATTTGCGAGCATGAAAAACGTCGTAACAATTACACCCGCCTTAATTGGAGGATTCCAAGTAATCTTACCCTGTCGACGTTGCCAGTAAATCCACAGTAAACCACCACTAACAAAGAAGTTGATAATATTCATGGGGTAGGAAATCAGGTTCATAATGAAATTATAGGCATCACCGGGTGGAGGGGCTAGAATTGTAACGACACAAACGATGAAGTGCTGAAGTAGACCCACGCTGGGAGAGTTTAAGGGCTTCGAAGTTGCAAAAAAGTTACTGAAGGGCAGAACACCCTCACGACCCAATTGTTGAATGATTCTCCCTTGAGAAAAGATAACTGACATAACGTTACCTAACGCACTCAAGCCAACAAATACAGCTGCTGCAGTTTTCGCGCTGCCCCCGAATGCAATGTCAAAAAAGTCAGCCGCTAGAACTAATTTAGAGGAAATGAGCTTTTCTTTTGGTACCACTGCGAAGTATGCAATATTCACAAAGATGTAGACAATCGCTAGAAAAATTAGCGAGGTTGGCCCTGCAACTTTTAAGGTCTTCACTGGATCTTTAACTTCTCCAAGGGCATAGTTAACATTGGAATATCCGACAAAGGACCAAATGACATTATACAAGGCGTTCACGACACCATATGCGGTGGCATTTTCGGTACCTGCAAATGAGTCGTGAAAGTTATCAGTCTTATATCCACCTTTGAGGCCACCGCCTAGGGCGACCCAGCCAGTCACAGAAATGAAAAGGACAATGCCGATCTTGAAAATACCGAGTAAGTTCTGAATGTACAACCCAAGTTTAACGTTGATGGAGTTCACAAGAAAGCAGAAAGCAATCACGGCCACACCCACACCACGTTGGTTCCAAGTGGTGATTTCAGCATTGGCCGCCGTCAAGAACATCACAGCGGTGTTGACAGAGTTACCTGCAGCCCAACCCAGAAAAAACACATATGCGGCGTACATGGAGGTGACAAAGAATTTGGGTTTCTTGAAAATATATTCCAGGTAGTTCTTTTCACCACCATTTCTTGGAATGGCAGTTCCAAATTCCATGTAGACGTATAGACCTGCTAACGCAATAATAGCACCCGCTGCCCACATAATTAGAGACAGACCAATTGACCCACACAGGGTATAAACCGTAGAAGAGACCGCAAACACACCGGTACCAAGCATTCTGTTACATATCAAACCGATGCATGATACGAGGCCTAAACGCTTCGATCCCTGGTCTAACTCGGTCACAAACTGTTCGCCTGCCTCCACATCGCCTTCATTATTCGAGTTCGCGTCTTCTTCAGTGAACTTGTAATTGTCCTTGTTAAAAATATTCAACTGAGAAGTGAAGTTGAGCTTTGACATCACTGCTCTTGATTAGGATGAGCCAAATTACTTGCAGGCATCACTTATTGTCGAACGGCTTAACATTGTCCATTATAAATAATTTGCTTGACATATGTGCGACTTATTTTTCAGACATACTGGTGTGGCTTTCAGCTGTCTTGACCATGCTTGTAGCCTTTAAATTGCCCATTTTGGTGCCAAACCTTCGATGTAATGCCTTACTGTGGCTTTTAACTATCTTTCCGCGCCGCACGGACCCTTCCTGCGAAGTGAAAATCTGGAGCCGCATGTAAAAAAGAAAACTAAAAGTAACGTGGAACAGTGTAAAAACCCGTGAGGTGAAGTTTGCCAAGCTTTTTGGTATTGCGTGGAGATGCACATCATTCTTTAACACCCAACGATTTCGGCTTAAACGGAACAAAGACTTTATGGCTTAGAGCGCTATCAGTGTGGCTGCTTAGTCTCTTTATTAAATTGTTTAGCGGGGTGTGCGCTGAGGTGTCGGGGGTATGGTATGTGTCAAGTCATTTCCTGCAGCTGACAATGCCATCAGTGTCGAATGATTATGCGTATGTAACCTGAATCTGGCAATGGATGATTGTTGGGCGTTGTTCGGCGGAATCTTGGAATGTGATACTTTCCTCCGTTCAAATAAAAGTGATGGAAGTATCAACTCCAGCCCAAGAAACTCTTGCGATGAAAAAGACCTCGTTTCACACATGTTTCAGTAAAGATTTCAATAGCTTAATAGTGGAGGCCAACCTAGCAGTGGAGTTTTACACCTTGTGGTCATTTGAAGCATATCACTTTTTTTCTTCTGACACATTTTTCATTGAGAGGGTATTGTCAGTTCCCAAAACGGAAATTAGATAAAAGAGTGCTAAATCAGAAAATTGTTTAATGCGGTGACACGGTGTAATACAGCAGCAAGTGGGATTTGAGCATCAATATTTCGGTCAATTATAAAATGGCATGTAGATCCCCTGAATTCCTTTGAATTTACTTAATATTTTAGTTAAGGTCAGTGGAAAATCAGAACTTAACAGCACATAATATGACATTTGATCCATCGCTTTCGTTCATCACGTACACTTCTGCCTATGGCAGCGATACACAGTTGAGCTTTGAGCAGCTGGAGAGTCTTGCACAGACGAGGCTTACGCAGGGCATCCTTTTCGGAACACGAATTGGAGCAGCAGGTTTGGCTATCATCGTGCTTTGGATGATCACAAAGAATCGCAAGACTCCAATTTTTGTCATTAATCAGGTGTCTCTGTCCTTCCTTTTTCTACACTCAGTTCTTTACGTTGGATATCTGTTCCGTCATTATGCTTCGATAATTTATAACCTGACAATGTTTACAGACTTCGTTCCTAGATCAGACGTTTACCTTTACGGCGCAATTAACATATTTCAGGTATTGCTTGTGATTTCAATCGAGGTCTCATTGACGTATCAAATTCGAGTAATTTTCAAGAGTGACAACTACAAACGGATTGGAAGGGTACTCATGGTGATTTCGATAGTGCTGGCAGTAGTAACTGCTGTCATGTACCTTGTCACAGCGATCAAATCCATGATTACGATTTATTCAGATATTTCTGGTAACCCAGATACCGTTCTTTTCAACGTTTCTACTATCCTATTATCTTGCTCAGTTAATTTCATGACCCTTATTTTAACCTCCAAGTTATTACTAGCGATCAGGTCGAGAAGGTTCCTAGGGTTGAAACAATTTGATAGCTTCCATATTCTCATGATCATGTCCTGTCAGACACTCATACTTCCCTCGATCTTTTTCATTTTAGCATATGCCTTGAACAAAAATCAAGGCACAGATACATTAGCTAGTGTAGCAACCTTGTTAGTTACACTTTCCTTACCGCTGTCTTCTATGTGGGCCACTGCTGCCAATAATTCTTCCTATCCAACTTCCGTTAACACTCAGTATTCATCATCTATGTATGATACCGAATCTGATAGATTTGAAAAGCCAAGCCTTTATACCCACAGTGCGAAGTCTTCAGTAAATTTTAAGAAATATCAAAATCATCTTTATGATATCTATCCTGTTACGAGGGATCAGATGGTTGACCATGGATGCAATGATGCTGACCTGGAAAAGAATCAGACAAGAGGTACGAATCTCTCTATCAGGGATGGAGAATCTGCTCCTGGAAGGGGCGATCGATCAGACGTGGGCCGGTTAGATGTGCCTGGATATGATTTGAACGATGCAAGTAGTGCTTCTAAAGACATGATAAACCTCAATGTTTACACACCTAATACTCTAGATGATGAAGAAGCGAGAGAGTTCTGGACGATTAATGACTCGAGTTATCACCCAAGGTTGACTAAAGGATGCTCGAAAAAGTACAGCGGATCGATCAATTCATAGCAAAATAGCTACAGTTTTTTTTCATTTATTATGTAAATTTGGGTTTATTGACATTAAGGGACTTATTAAATGCTATTGAAGGAGTTCGAATAGTTATATGTATATCTTATGAAGTTTTTTCAAGTATATAATCATGCAAGGTTACAGAACAAGAGCCACAGGCAGAAAAAGTTGAAAAGATGATGTAGCCAGTATAGATTTCTTGTCCCGTAAATGAAACTGTAGACAGCAAAAACAACTAGTGAACCCACAGTTATTGACCCAGCAAAGCTCTTATTTGGAAACCTCGCTGGCATCCGCAACATTGTATTACGTTCTATCAGAAGTATGATCGGCAGCACAGCTAAACAATTATGATGTGATCGAAATGGTGTTTCCCATCGTATGGCCACATTATGCAGAAACACTAAGATAATTGGGGCATTAATTGGAACAATTAGAAGAACTAGCATCAATAGGGAACTGTTATAATTTCTCAAGTTACAAAAATCTTTGCCTTTTCCACTCAGGGCAGATATCCTGATGCAAATTATAACTTGGATGAAGCTGACTATCACAAATGCAAACTGGTAAGGCATATAAAATAATACCGATAAAAACAGTAGACTTGCCCCTATGAAATGGCGAGAACGTCTGCTATTTCTCGTGCCTTCATTCAAATAGCCTTCGGATACAATATCCAAGGTGTCCAACGCGGGAACTGGTTTATTCAGTCCTCGAGCTAGTTTAGAGCATAACTGCTGTACCATAACAATAATTTTGAACAATATAAAGACAGCAGCAATCGTCATGGAAAGGAAAACGGGGCCCAGCCACCACATGAAAGTTTCACGAATGCCCAAAAAATAGGCATTGGAAAAGATAACCTTCGCTGACTGAATGCCTGAATCAATGACACCTATTGAATCAAACATGGATAGCAATTGTTCTAATATGTGAATGTTTGTCAATGGGGTCAGTAAAGCGCTAAGCAAATACAACTTGACCCAATATCTGTTCAAAAGTACAATCATAGAATCATCAAAGGAAGGAAACACACCTGAATTGTTGTAATTCCAAAATTGATATGACAAAACTAAGAATACTAACCCAGTCGTAAATGCGGCAATGGCTAATCTGTACCTTATGAACAACATCTTGAACGTCAATGGCCAATCTATGGTTAGGGAGACACTTATATCCAGTCCCGGAGGTTTTACAATCATCAGTTGTAAAGAAGAGTTATACTCAAGGTATGTTGGTATGAATGGAGCAACACTGTGAAAATTGAGGTCCTGTGGTGCCTCTAGGATATTAACGTGCCATTTGGTTTCGAAAGGTTTATCAATTGACTGCCTAATAAACGGCTGAAAGAGGATGTCGTCGGGTCTAAAATTTGCTTTTAGAGAGTACGAAACTAGAGAGTGTGATAAGTGTGGTAGCTCAACTGTTGTAACTAAAGATGGCGAAATTTCTCTCTGGTATCTGAGGGTTGGTCTTCTAAATAATACCTTGAATGGGTTATAGTCTGCAACTTTGGTTGCGGCGGTAGTTGTTAATTGGGAGACGAGGAAATCGTCATCCCTTAACCTTGAGCCGGGCTTCGTGATTAAAATGTAATTGTACTGTGATATCACCGTATCGTTGACGTTAAGCATCCAAAAGGGCGATTCTGACCCTCCTAGAGCAGAATCAGAGGGGTATTCCGTATTTTTTGTTGACCTTGGAACTACGGCCAAGTCATCATTTGCTGCAATACAGTTCAACTCATTCTCGTCGGGATTGAATTTAATGTTGGGATTAATAATGTTGTTACGACAAAAGTATAAGCCAAAATCTTTGAAAGACGACAAAAGAGCAAAATTTATTACACCAGGATTATCAGGTATGTGATGGAGGTTAAATTTTGGTAGGTTGCTCATAGTTTTTTCAGTTATTTCGAGTGCAGAGTTGATATCCACTTCACCAAAACTCTCTGAAAGTTGTACAGCCTGAAAAGATTCGTCTTCACTCAAAACTACTTTCAGGTCTTGTGATGAGTAATTCTCTAGCTTGGAAAGGAGCAGTTTTCTTGCAAGCCTCATTCTCTGGTCAACACTATGTGTTCTTGAACTTACGGAGTAGTCCACCATCTCTAGAAGCAGTTTCGCGATAACATTTCTTAGTTGATCGCACCACACAATTGCCAAATGATCAATGGGAGTCCAAACCTGAGGAATGGTGGTTGTATATACGGTAAATCCGTTGGTATAGGGGATAAGATCTTCGATAGTAGTATAATCAGCCGGTAAAACTGTATCTAATATCCCCCCTGTAATTGACACTACCGTGACATTTTGAGAAAAGAAGCTTGTTTTATCATTGAAGCTCGATCTCCAGAAATTGTTGGTTTCCTTGTAAATGTTAAGAATATCACCATCAAATGTTGCTGGGGCTACAGCATGTGGTGCAGAAAGAGTCAGTATCGTGTTGACAGATTCTGGAACATGATTTTTCAAGGTTGGCATGACCCTCGCAACAACTCCCCCCATTGAGTGGCCAATAATCAAAACAGATTTAGGCGGGACGTAATCTGCATCATGTTTCCTTTCCGCATAAAGACTTAAAATATATCTTACAGCATCATTCAGATATTCAGCTTGATCGAGCATTGTCCTCCCATGAAAAGCGGTAAAATCCTCATTGAAGTCAGCGGTGAAGAAATCAAGATTTTGAGTTTGCGGATTATCGATATCAACTCTTTTATCGAAGTAAAGATTGGCAGTCGCAGCAGCTATAGATCGAGCTTGTTTGTAACTACCAGCATTTCCCGGTATGAACAGTGCTGGGATTCCATCAAGTGTAATAAGATTATTCTCGGTAGGAGCTCGGTCTTTGCCTTGCTCACGATAAAGATATAAATGATACTTTTTAGCCAGTTTTGTGTAACGTGTATCAAATCCATTAATCTTCGCATAGGCCGGATACATATAAATTGATAAGCATCTGGGTGAATCGGCGCCTCTTAGTTGATTCGTAAAGCTGCAAACAACCGTTACTAAAATCATCAAAATTCCAAGAAGAACTGAGATATAAAGTTGCTTCTTTTTGCGTTCGATTTTCTTAAGTTCAACATCAAAGTTAGGGTCTGACTCTTTAAGCTTATTCTTATATGCAAGGGTTTGCCTTTCGTCAACTGAGAGCTTCGTTGATCCAGAACCGGGGCGTGAAAATGTTCTCACAAGATCTGCACCTTTTCGGGAAAGAGCTCCGACAGCTTTACGGATCCCCATCAATTGAAAGTACTATCGCTGCCCGATTTATCTACCAATCTTCGAGGTCACGATCTTGTAAGCATCACATATGATGAGATAAAATAAAGTCTGTTCGCCAAAATATCACTATATACGCTGAAATATGTAGTGGAATTGTTTAATGCTACATATTAATGTCATTAGGGTCGTTAAAAGAGTCCAAGTAGTAAACAGCATAATTCTAATCACTTCAATGCTGGAGATTACAAAAATAATGATAATGAAATTCTTGCGAAAATGCGATGGTTCTTAACATAATGATACAATGTGGAAAGGACTTCCTACTTTACAGGAGTAACCTGCTGCTGTTTGGTATTTGAAGTTTTCTTTAATGAAGACGCCGAAGGCGGTCTGAGTGGTGTTGCGGTTCCACTGGTAGATGATCCGTTAGATCCGTTGGATCTCTGCTGTCGTGATGAGTTTATAGTTTTAGGAATCTTCCTTTGATTATAGATCTCTTGACGATATTTTAAAGTGGCGTCTCGAAGTTGCTCATAGGACTTGGTACCTAGCATGGTTCCAAATCTAATTACTTGGGTCTCGTTGGAAATTTGGTTCAGCCTCGCCGGCTCGTTAGAAAATTTTGTGCCATATTCGTGTGTTTCAGAATTATACTTCCACTTATCATGTAGTCTGTATAGTTCGTCCAGTTTAGAATCGTAGACGTCTATAACGTCGTTCTCCCTCTCTTGCCTTTCGATTTCCGAAAAGTCCAAAAATTCTGCCAGAGAATTTGAATCGTTTTCAGACCTCCGGCGGTCAACATACTCGATTCCTAACCGGCCAACACGTCTCCTTAACTTTAAAGGAAGGTCTCTGGTGTAAACCTCTCTATGTTCATCAAAAGGATTGAATAACTCCACTTTCTTGTATTTTGGATTTTCTACGGATTCGCCATCTTTATTGATTATGCGAATTTCATCAGTGTTACCACTTAGGTAATTCTCAAGATGGGGAACGTAGTATGACCTATCCGTTTCGAATTTTGATGAAGCGATGGATGAAAAGGGAGCGTTACTAGAGGACACATTTTTTGGGATTGATATATCGAAAACAGGATTGTAAGGATCATCCGTAAGATTGAAGAATAGCTCACCATCCTCAAGTCTTCTCTTACGCATCCTCTCCTCGACATATCTTCGGGCGCTCTTCTCCTTAGTGGACAATATATTCTCAACATCCTCCAAAATAATGTCCGGAACTTTCGAGCTGGGCAACTTAACGTACACATGAGCAGCAATAGCATTAGCTTGTTGCTTCTGTTGTTGCAACTGTTGTAGTTGCTGCATCTGTTGAGCTTGTTGCTTGGTAAGTTTATTTGAACCTTTTGATAAGCCTGGCTTCGCATTAGGCGTTGCTGATGCTGCTTTCTTAGATTTACTCTTCAGTTTTCTGGCATTTATTTCTGACGCGTTCGTCATTATGACATTGCTGGTCAATCTTCTCTTTTTATGGCTGACCAAGTCCTCATCCTCACCCCTAATACCCAGAGACCGCTTCAATGGTTTAATGTCACGTCTGAGTTCAAAAATTTGGCGATCTTTCTCGAGCATGTCCATTGACATTTTTTCACGTTTTGCCACTAAAAATGCCAGTTCCTTAGTATACTGTAATTGTTGATATAGTAACCGCAGTTTGTTACTATTCTGAAAATCCACCCTTCTCGTTTTTCTAGCATGCCTTACCTCCCTTCTACGGAAGCAAATGTAGGGGTCGTTGTCATCTTTTTCCCCAGGACGTTCAAACTTGAGTTGTGGAAATATCTCGTCACCATGAGCTTCGATTTTTCTCTCCTTCCAATATCCGTAAATTTGTGAACCGAAGCGCTCCAGCAGCACGGAGATTGGCCTAGGCTCGACTGTGATAGGTGGATCCAGCTGAGTCATAAAGGGCTTTGAATGTAGGCCAAGCTCTTCAGCAAGTTTGCTTTTTATGCCAGCGTCGCCCAGAGATCTTTTGAGAATCGTTGGTTTAAGTTCTTCAAAAGATAGGATGTTATGTGGATCCATGCTCAAAAAAGGCTGTCTCTCCTTTATGGCTGTTTCGAAGTTACTGCATATTATTTCGAACTCATCTTCCGTCACACGGTCGTCTTCCTCCAGTTTTGAGTTCACTGTCTCCTTCAGATATTCCTCATCACGTTCATCCATAGTATAACAAGGACCACAGCAGTCCTCAACCGTCGCCGAAAACCGTATGTAATTCCCAGGCTCAATAAACTTCCCAGTGTAAAACTTTTCGTATTCAGGCCATGTCCTCGATGCATCTGGTGTGGGAATATACAGATCCTTCGATGTAAGCTGATTCTTCTGCAAAATCTTGTGAAGATGCTCTTCTTTCTCTTCATTCTTTTCCACACCTGTCTCTATCTCTACCAATTCTCTTTGTTGAAGCTCATCTTTATCAAGTGACTTCAGATCCGAGGCCTTGTACACATGAAGCCGCTGTTTGACGGAGATCTTCCTGTGCCTAAACCGAGTGTTTGCAGCCTCCGACACAGATGGCGTTGGCATTCTTTGACGCAATCCCGTGACCTCTCAAACTTTATAATCACGTGTCCCTAAGAAAACTCTTTCTGGTTGGGGTTGTCCGGCCAGGGAGGTTTCAGTGTGAAAACGGAACAAACACTCCTCAAAAACTGTTCAGGAGAGTTTGAATGTGTTCTTCACCGAATAAGAGATGCGCTCGATGTAGAAAGAGTCCAAGCTTTCAACTTGGAAATTGTGTATGTCTCTTACCACTAAGTGCGACCTTCCTACAGGAAGAAGGAGGATGTGTGTTGTCCGGATATTGTTGCCACCGAAAAAAGAAAATAAAGAAAATTTTTTTCTTCTCTTTTCTTGCCCAGGAAAACTCCTCAGAAGGCAGCCTAGTAACTTTATCCTTATATACGATTGTTACACGTGATTGCGTGAGTAACTCTTCTTCTTGATTCTGGTGGATGAGCGCAAGTCTATTGATCAGATGTGTCAATCCGATGGAGTTCAGACGGCAAGGCTTGTTAAAGTCGATAATAAACCTTGATGATTATGGTAATTACCAGGTCTTCGTGGTCATCTTATACGGTGTATAGCGATGGAAGATTTGCGGATCTTATCACGTGAATGTGGCACATGACTCGTGATTGATTTGGGTTGGTGAAAAATTCAGCGATGGCATCAACTGGCATCGACAAGAGCAGCTGCCAGTTGAAAGAAGCGCTGGATAGATGGATGAACTTATTGACAGTGTCAAGAAAACCATAAGTAATCTTCAGGAGAAGAGGTCTTTTCTGGAAGATCAACGTGTACATTACCGTCATATCAAGGATAGTTTATTATGCTATGACAAGAGCTCCTTCGACGAGGATGCGACTGAAGATGGTCACCAACGCGGCCAAGTGTTTGGAGAAATCATTATCTCGTCGAAAATTTACCTAAATCTGGGTTACGAATACTTTGTGGAGAAGTCCCAGCAAGATGCCATCGAATTCATCTCCGAGAAGATTAGTTTGATTTCTAATGCGATAGGTCAATTCGATGCAAAGTTGAGTGAAGCAAATGAGACGTTTGCAAATCTACGCAAGGTGCAAGAAATGGATGTTAAAGAAGCAGATTTTTCCAACGATGGCTACGGTGACTCTGAGGAAAAATTGCCATTCATGGAGATTAGGGAGGAGCTTGATGAGGATGGAAACATGATAAGTAGCTCGATCAACCCTACCGCACAATCTTTCAATACTCTGATGACCAAATCCAAAGAAGATCCCTCGAAACAGTCTGATGTGAAGCAAGAAGTGAACACCGACTTAGAAAGTAAGACATCGGACTGCCGTGGATCAATTGGTGAGGCCCTATTCGATACTGAATTTGAGAAAAGGATACGACAGAAGTTGAGTAGAGCTGATTCCGCAACGGATGCAACGTTCTCTCCTAAGAGGGGGGATATTGAGGAAATATCGAGAGGTGTGCTGTCGAAAACTGAGGGACCGGTAATAAAGGAAGTAGATATTGAGGATGTACACGTCAAGGGAGCTCCTGGTGTAGATGTGAATCAATATGATCCATCCAAGCCTGCCATAGATCCTAAAGACATATATTCTTTTGAGGACATTGTCCAGCAACTTGAATATGAGGATGAGCTGGAGGATGGTAAAATTGATGAAAAAGACATAAGCTATGATTACGAAGCATACGGAGAGAACTATGAATCACTGGGTGGAATTTTTGACGACGACACCGATGAAGATGATTATGAATATGATTTCGGGCCCTCTATAGTACCTGGTGGGGCTCAAAATATGTTTATGGAACAAGTAAATCGCTTACGGGAAGAAAAGTTAAAGCAATTGAATGAATCAAGGAATCAATATACAAAGTCCATTCTCAAGAAAGATAATAAGATTAAAGATTCAACGAAAAAGAAGAAAGTTGGTTTCGCGGCAGAATTAGATATTTGTGAAATTGAAAACTACAAAGAAGAGACAAAAAGGAACACATTCAATGGTCTACAGTCTTCCATTGAATCTCAAATTTACAGCTCAAACAGTGACGAAGAGTTTGATTATGAGCTATTTGCTAAAATGATTGGGGTGAAAGATCCGGATGCTCTTCATGAGAGGTATGAAAAGAACTCTGCTGAACAAGTCTCGGAGCCAACTCTGCCGGAAAGAAGGAGCAAAAGAGTTTCAAGGTTCAAAAAAGATAGAGCCGTTGCAGCTGGAGGTAAAGCTACGGACGAATATTCTACTGTTACGGGAAGCACAATCAAGGAAGAACACAATCTACAAAATGAGCTGAGCGAATCAACGATATCTGATATTACTGAGCGTACCATATTAGTTGAGGATGGAGGTATCTTGACCGACGTGAGTGAAAGTACCTCGAAAGTCGACCTCTCTTTCAGTAAACTCACAATCGAAGAAAAAAATGATATTTGCGAACGCACTGGCAAGAACGATAATACCCATGAGAGTCAAGATGTAAACCCTACCATTGATTTGTCTTCGCCGGAAACTCACAAAAATATTGATTCAGGAGGACTACCCACACATGAGGGTAAAAGGTTGAGCAAGTTCAAAAAGAATCTAAACTCGCTACAGAGACCTAGAATGAAAAATACCAACACAAAAAAAAGAATCAAAGATCTCTCTATTCTTGAAGAAGATGAAGAAAACTTTGATACAGACAAGATTGAGGCAGAAAGTACCGTGAAGGCAAAAAATGTTGAGCACGTTTCAGAACACAAGGAGGATGGCTTTCCCACTGAGATATCCAAGATCATTAATGAGAAGGAATGTGACGTAGTGCAAAATCCAAAGGTAGATTACCAAGTATTGGGGGAGAATATTGATGACATGGCAAGGGCTTACATGTTGGGCATGTATAACGATGACCTGGACGACCCAGGTACCGTTTTGGAAAGGCTAGATGACTTTGAGAGCTATAATAAACAAGCTCAGAGCCTCGAAGGGGACGTGAAAGAGTTTCTTACGAAAACTGCACCCTACTTGGAAAGCGATAACGACGAACATCAATCATCCGAAGACGAAGGACCTGTCGTGGTTGATATAATTGAGAAAGATGATATCAACTCCCCCGAAGAGTGCGGAGACGATATCGGGCTTGAGCTAGCTACACTTCAAGATGAAGTTTCTATGAGTTACCATCGTTTGAGACATAAGATAATAGCTGCCCAGGGTACAGGTCAAAAATCGTCCCAAGAACTTGAGCTGGAGCCCATTGATGAGCACGGAAATCCGATAAAACTCAGCAGATTTAAGTCTTCAAAGTTAAGTATGGCCCCAGGGCAGTAAGTGCTCTATTGCCAAGTGTCCGGGGTTGCAATTATGAGCCACTCTTATTGGTGTCAAAGTCGCAACTAATTGCGCCTGACTTTACAAAAAACGTTTTCTCGATCTCGATCGCAGCATAATGTCACGTGACTATTATTTTTTAAACACTTCTGGATCATGATAGTTAATGACTGACGGATTTATTTTCAGTCGCATGGAAACATCACAATTTGGTATTGGTTTTGCCAAGTCTCTTTGTCAATAATCCTTGCGAGCCAATGCTGTCTGTGCTTAAACGCGTTTTCGTTCAAAAGAAAAATGAAAAGGTGGTGCGGCTGTCGCCTATATTTATTGTGGCTTCAACGCGCTCGCTTGTCCCGTGTCTTCTCCACAGTATACAAGGAATGAAAATGAGGAAACGCCGCTTAATCCCAAGGGCAAGCGGAAATGTTTGCATCCATTATAAATACTTCTATCACCGGTAGCACTCATTTCGAAGCTTGTTCTCCAAGACAGATTTAAGAATTCTGTCAAGATACAGGGTTCCACTCAAGACATTATCCTTTGAAAACGAAAACGACTTGGCTTGCTAGCTCCTAGAAATCGGTCGTGCTGCTTAATAGCACATTCATACATCAACTTATAAATAACGTGCATTGTCCTATCGGCTATCTACCGTGACATTTAATCTTATTCAGACGCTTGAAGGATGAGAACCGAAAGAGCTTCCAAGTTCGAGCAAAAATTGCAATCCTTAATGGCTGATGAATTGGAAGAGCACCTTGCTCCCCCAGGTTCACAAATTGCAAATTTAATAGATTCACTGGAGCATGAAACTGCCAAGGAGTCGACTGTGGTTCAAAAGAATGCTATGACTCCTCCCAAAGATGAGAGATACCTACAAGGCGACGGTTTCCATTATACTTCAACGTTTCAAGTTAGACCTCATGCAGACTATTTCGACTTCGACACCGAGTACAATGCAAGTCGCGCTGTGCACGACGAGTATGCAGAAGAGATTCACCACTCGCCTGACTACGAGATGGGCGATGCTGCTGAGGTTAGGGGCGAGTTTGATAATATGGATACTAACATTGACGATGAGAATGCTAAGATACAAGTAATCATCGACAGAGTGAACATTTTCAAGGAGGAATTTCACTCGCTGATTCAAAAAATGGATGAAGCGTCGATTGCCTCATCTATTGGTCGCAGTGGCACGGCACAGTCAACTGCAAATCCGCCAAAAATGACCAAACTTGTAGAGGATATATTGAATTCATTGCGAACGCTTCAACCCTCAAACAACTCTACGGTTCCTGGCAACGTCGATCGGCCTAAACCTCAAGATTCTGCACCAAAATCGGGTTTTTTGCAGACTTTATCGTTCGCCTCGACTGAAGATGACCCATGTGCACAACTACCTAACTTCGGTGTGATATTAATTAAATCTCCTACCTCTGTTTCACAACTGTGGGATGAGTACACAAAACTTCCGAGTGAATGGTCTGTGCCAGACATGTTCAATGTCATGCAACAACAACAACAACAATCCCACCCTAATCCTTCAAAAGACAATTTTGAGCTTATCATGCAACGTAAAACATCAATTCAAGCATTAGAGAGAAAATATGGATCGTCATGGCGCAATAACGATAAAAACTTTTCAAGACAGGTAAATCGGCGTAAAAAGATATGGTGTGCTATTGAGGCAGGGTTAAAAGATGGACTTCAACTGCACGAATGCTTTTCGATTCTAGAAATGTATGTCAAGAAACGGGGTAAAGGCCTGAGCTGGTACTACAATGGTGTTCCCTTCAAACTCATCGAGATGAAATCTGTTTATAGTGACTCGACATAGTCTATGATACTTCTGTACTTTTATTCTTAATTCTACAAATTACTTACTCTGGTGTACATAACGGTACAGTTGATGGGTGCCCATTTTCTTGAAAAGGCGATACGTTCTCGTGATACAAATTTCGTTGACAACTATCAAAATGACAAGGCGCTCAGAATGCCAATGTCATTTTTTTGTGTCTTATACTAGACTCAATGCTGCAAAGATATTGGTGAAAGAGCGGTTCGGTTTTATTTTGAGAGGACTCCATATTCCACTGTAAATTACTAATGACATCACGGGTCCTAACATGCTTGATCAGTACGTTCATTGAAAATACCCGCCAGTGCTCAGCCTGTTGTTGATTCTATCTAAAACTTATCATATCTGAATTCTAACCTTTTAAGCAGTTGGAGAAACACCAGCCACGCAATTTCTTGCTTGGAGACTTGGACTCTCTAATTCTTTCATCATTTTAGTTTCAAAATCCATCTCCAGTGATGGTTTGGTGTCCTGGAAATCTTCGAAGTTGGGTTCGAATTTCTATCGACCCAATGAATTTGCAAAAGAGTTTAACGAGCTTCAATCGAAGTTGTTAGACAGCGAGGGTGAACCTAGGTATAAGCTTGACATTATTGTTTTGTCATGTCTGTCTATTTCTTCTTTGAAGAAGTATAGCCAGTTACTCTCGAAGTTTAGTGACAAAGAAACCATTGTTTTAGTTGACGGAAATTGTGGAGTCGATCTTGAGAAGCTCATCATTCCAATTTTTTCTGATTCATGCTCTTGTGTCCTTTCTGTTCTGTGTGATGTCGAAGGCAGGCAGTTGTCATCGGGTTCTTATGCCTTGGTTAACGATAATTACAGGTTTTCGTTCGGCGTATCCTACGTGGTTCCGAATAACGCTCAAGATCAGACGCTGGTTTATAACCTCCAGGCTACCCAGAAAATATTTGAAGATAGAGACTCGATCTTGAATTGTATGTTGACTCAATTAGAGTGCACAAAAGTTGAAGAAATCATACGCATGGTTCCCACCAACAAAAACGAAATGGCGGTAAAAATTTGGGAATATGTTATACCAAGGATTTCTCTCAATCTTCTGTCTATTGTTTTCGAACAATTTGACTACGATAAACTTTTAGAAAATCCTGCCTCGTCACTTTGTTTCAAGACTCTAGTTGAAGAATTAATAAGGATTTGTTATGCACAGTGCGGAGGCATAGTTGTCAAGTTTATCGACTCGGATTCCAAAGTTAAGAGCCGACAGCCTATGGATATTGAGAAAGTTTTGGGATCCATTAACTACGACAAGATTTTGGAAGAGGCTAAAACGAGGAAGAGACAAATGGACGAATTCACAATTAATGAGTATCCAGAATTTCTCACCTTGTCGTTTGAAGCATACTGTTTTTATCACCGGCTGGAGTATCCTGCACACGTTCTTCTCTATCAGCCAATATTTCTTGCAGAGAAATATGGTCTCAGTTATCCAAGTCTCAACTTTCTCTTTGCCTTCTACTGCCGTCTCTTATCCATTAGTGGGTTCTCAATTGAAGGTGGGTATCTTAAAGTTTCAACACCCTCCTTGCTTTTTGGTAGGAATGCACATTTGCCTAAAGATGATGAACATGGAATGGTTGCCGATAGATGTAAATCTGATGACAAGTGCCCAGAAAATGATACATCGAACAAAAAAAAGAACTCGAATAATAACAAAGATGAGTTCGAGAAGGGGATTACAGCCGAATTTTCCTCTTATAGAAGCCGCTTTTTTCCCCATAAGGAAGCAGCCACAGTGAAGACTCGCAGTTGGTTCAGCGCTCTGCATAGGCCTCGAGCTAATAGCATATTTAACTCCAGCTCCTGTACAGATCCAAATGTCTTAGAACGCGAATCGTCGGTAGAACCATGCAATAACTCCCCGCCTTCGGATAAGCGCGAAGATGGGAAGAGTTTTCTATTTGATAAATTTGAATCGCGTAAGTGCAATTGCCAATGTCACCAGATTGTTAAATGGGATGCTGGTGGCAATGACAAGCAAAATAGTCAGGATCTAGTTGACGAATATATCAAGTTGCCCAGTTTCAGAAAGAAAGAGGTCAGAGGGCGATATTTTCAACAGAAGCCATCCAAAAGTCTGGTGCCTACGGTCACGGCTAAGCAGCCAGTGGCTATTTCGACTTTCAATAGCTTCGAGGACGAGATACGAAGTAGCTTGTTCGGCATACCCAGCTGTTATGGTACGTCCAGTTACCAAGGCAATTTCCAAGGGTCAAAGGAATATCAAAGTTTTTTGTCACTTCGAGAGGTCGAATCCCGTAAGCTCTGGAAGATGAAACGTAGCTATTTAATAGATGCAGGTTACGTGAGCAGGCCAAGCACGCACCCTGATCAACCTTATCATGACCAAATTAAGTTACTTAGAAGAATCAACATGGGGGGAATCTTAAGTGTGACTACAAGCAGATACGGTAATGTTGACTCCTCTCAAAAGATCTTCGATGAATGGAGAAAAGGGTCGAGACACATTGGGTTGCCTGACAAGACCTCCACTGAATCTAAGATCGAGTGACTCCTAGGGGGTACTGCATCTTGGCAAATCTCTGCTGAAAGCAAGTTAGCAACAAGATAGATGCACATAAAAATATTAGATAATGTGTAGTAGGATTCGTGCAATTTTACAAAAGAATTACGCTGTAACTGCATCGCAGGGAAGAACGGAAATAGGATAATTACGAAGATTTGCGCTCGCACCTTTCAACTTCTTTACGCGTTTGTTTGTGCCTTTTGTGAAAAATTCACAAGTGTGAAAGTGGCGTTCTTATCCTATTATAGAAATACCTATTCTCCCACGCGGTCAGCATGATCTGAGACATAATACTGCATACGGAATTAGGAAACTAATGGCGCATTCAGGCTTAAAAAAATATGAAGATGATCGTGCGGTCGAGGACAAGAGTATAACCTCCTTACATTTCATCAATAAAAAGACGCAATATTTGAAAAGATTTTTAGCCGAAAGAGGAAAAAGGAACTTCCGGGTGAATCTTTTAGTTATGTAATCAAGATAAGCTGGTAACTATGATGCCACTCTGTGAGCTTGTATCGCTTTTGAACAAATAGTAAGTGGTATAAAGGAAGAAATCCTATCCCACATAGAAGAGGTGTTTAACAGCTGCTGACAGGTTATTTGACATTGTTTGGTATACTTCCAATTGGGTAGCACATTGTGATGATTTTCGATAGTGGTGAACTTGGCTTTGAGGTGGAATCGTTCGAGCAACCTATGACATATTCGGTGATAGGCTATGAAGCAGACAATAATTGCAATCAGGTTCAGGACCTTTTCGATATGATCAGAGTGGATCGTTTACAACCTTTAATCGAAAGAGAAACTCTGGAGCCAGATGACTGGCAGAGGTTTTCGGGGACCACCAATTCCATATCACCCGATTTAGTGGACTTACCACAACAAGGCGAAAAACGTCAGGCCTGCGAGGAAGACAATCCTGTTACCAACGTTGGCCAAGGTGGTTCGGTGGGCGAATCCAGGCAGGCAGTGCCGAGACCTCAGCTCAAAAGACGGAAAAGCAATCCATTCTACTCACCTTCAAGACACATCAAGAATATGATTAAAAAAGACAAGCAACGTAAATATCCATCAAAGAACGAGCGTGGGGACCACTCGGACGCTGCTGATCAGCGCGTGATTGGAGAAACCCATATGAACTGTACTGTCAAACCGTTTTTAGAAAGACGGCAAACTGTCGGATAAGGCGCGATCACGAAAAGAACTGCAGGTGCAGTATAATCGCGTTGTAATATAGAATAGGGAATTCACCTTTATAGAGATGAAAATAAAGACTGAAGAACGCAGAAAGAATTTATCTAACAAACTGTATGGCATTATTCCTGTTTTATCTATACAATCGAGGCAGAACAGAGGCTGACATTGGGGAAATCATTCATACAAATCTTCGTCCAATCTAGCTGCAGGATTATTCTCGATGAAGTCTAGAGACACTTTGTGACCTAACAATTCTCTAATGTTTTGCACGCCGTATTTAATCATTGTTGGTCTCTCCAGCGACAAACCCCAACCGAGAACTCTCAAGTTCTTTGGCAAGCCCATTGATTCTGTCATCTCTGGTCTGAACATACCAGAGTTACCAATCTCAACCCACTTACCTAAACCTTCGTGCCAAGAGTAGATTTCTAGGGAAGGTTCAGTATATGGGTTGTAAGTTGACTTGAATCTCAGACCTGTGACACCCATCTTTGCGAAAAACTCCTCCATGAATTGAATCAAGTCACCAAGGGTAATGTCGTAGTCAGCCAAAACACCTTCAACCTGGTGAAACTCGGCCAAATGCGTAGCATCAACAGCCTCATTTCTGAAAACTCTATCGATGGAAAATAATCTCGTGGGTTTTGGGTCCTTCGCCAAATCTTTTAGCATAGCAGCAGAAATGGCTGTTGTGTGAGTTCTCAAAACTAATTTTTGGGATTCTTCTGGCACCCAATTGTAGCGGTAACCAATGGATTCATATTTACCATTTTCGTGGACCGCCTTAATGTTTGCTATGTAGGTTTTGTCCTCAGGAAGATCACTCTTGACCGGATCTTTCAAGTAGAAAGTATCTTGCAAATCACGAGCAGGATGCTGTTGTGGCACATATAGTGCGTCAAAATTCCAGAAACCAGTTTCGACGTATTGGTTGGATGGCATTTCTGTGAATCCCATCGAAAAGAAAATTTGCCTGAACTCTTCTCTAACCTTGTTCAATGGATGTAGCGCACCGGACTGTGGTAATATACCCTCAGAGTTGAAGTTGTAGGGCTTGAACTTGAGGTCTTTGTAAGAACCAGACGCAACCATCTCAGATGTTAAGTCAGTCTCAAGTTTGGTCAATTCGGTCGAAAAATCTGAGCCCTTGACAACATGGAAAGATGTTTGCTTCTTTGGTGCTATTAGTTTTCTCTTTTTCAATTCGTTCAAGACTTTATCACTAATTCCAGCTAGGTCGTCCTTTTGGATCTTGAGCAGTAGTTCCTTGGTCTCATCGGATACCTCGTCAACGCTGCTAATCTTATCACTCAATGAGAGTTCGTTGTCCTTGTTTTTGACAATCCAGCCATTCTTGAAAGCTCTAGCCTGACCCATCTTACCGTCAGGACCCATATGAGTCATGACATCTTTAATTTGTAGTTTACCAAATTTGTTGATCAGTTGAAGTAATTTGACTTCGTGAGAACCATTTTCGATAATTTCACTACCTTCTTTGGTCAAGGTGTAAAACAATTTGTCCTCTTTAGTGTACTCTAGTTTACTGTGAGCTTTCAGAGAGTTTAGAGCTGATAAGATCACTTGAGGATCTAATTCAGGGAAAACTTCGAGAGTCGACTTTATTTCCCCTAATGCATCCAATTTATGCAAGATTTGAAGTTGTAGGTCGGACATTGCGGTAGATACTTATGATCTCAGTACACTACTTATTCAAGATCATCATCATGTCTGAAAATTTTTCTGTGACCAACTACCGCGTGAAATCTTTACCCGGACAAAGCGTAACACTACAAATATGCTGTACACAGTTAGACGAATGCATGTCAGAACTTCACTCTCTGTCTAAAACTTGTCGTTTCCTCTGTTGCATATATCTTCCACAAACTCGAATCAGCACCTCTATCATGGTTCTCTATTTGCCGTAAACTGTTTCAGTGGCTCAAACAATGTTCCTTTTGGAAACGGAAGTTATAATGGAAGATAAAAGCATGAATGATCATTATTTCCAAATACAATTAGACAGCGCAATAGCGCCACTACTTAAACACGCATACGCTACTCGCATCTTTGCTTCCAAACAGCACAGTTGTTTGATCTTCGTCCCTTGTGCTGAATAGATCAAATTTTATGTTAGCGTCAAGCATTAGTTCTTTTTTCAAGAACCATCTCTTTTCTTCTTGAAGCAGAGATTTGTACTCTTTGAGCAGGTCTCGATTTATTTCGAGGTGCCACTTGTATTTTTCAGCTAAGTCCGTTTCGTCGGTTACTTCTGAGTCTTTAACATTCTCCTCATTTTTTTCGCCCTCTTCCTCGAGTTTGCCTTGTTTGGACAAGAACTGCTCGTTCATAGTGTAAAGACGCTTTTTGTAATAGTTCGTCTTCATCTTGGCAATCTTGTTCATTTGTTCCTTAGCAACCTTGTTTTTTGTCGAAGTTGAGGGGGAGCTTTCTATGAAATTACCAGGCGTCGTCTTCACCATCTCATAGTTTATTTTTAAATTGTCATCAACCGTAATGATATTGCGTTTGTGTCCACTCTTGCGGTCATCGTCCACATCGTTGGAGTGACTGGCCTTATAACGCCTCACTGCGTTGCATGCATATTTAACTTGCGGATCTACTCGCAAAAGATGATAGTATTCATTCAGTTCATCCAGTTCGCCGCCATAGTGATCGGTCTTGTCCTTCATTACTATTCTGTAGTTGAGGAGTATCGAACTGTCCTGAAGCACTATATGGGATAAACTTAAACTATTCATCATTTTGGACGCACATTATGGGAAAGAAATTTCAACGTCAAATATGTGAAAAATTTTAGGTTCATGATGCGATGAGCTGAAGCACCAATGGAATCTCAAAGTATAGAAGAGCTCTTCGAAGCTCTTAAGAAGACTAAAACATCTCCAGATTCCTCAAGCATAGATCAATCAGGTGAAAAAAAACAAGACTTTGACAAGGATGTCTTAGAATTTGATGAGGACTCCACAATTGCTAAACAGCAGGAAACATTCAAGGAGATAGAGGATAAGTTGCGCGCTTTGCCACGCATGCAGACCAAATTTGACGCTCTCTCTAATAGTACTGAAGCTAAGGAGGCTCCTAAAGTGGAGGATGCTGTGGAGATTCTGCAGATGCGCAAGAAAGACAAGACCGTGAAAAAGCCCTCTGTCACAGAGCAATGGTTCACACTACCCAAACCGGAACTTACGAGGGAGCTAAAGCGTGATTTGTTGCTGCTGAAACATCGTGCTGCTCTAGATCCAAAACGTCATTACAAGAAGGAGAAATGGACTGCACCAGAGAGATTTGCTGTGGGCACTATTGTTGAGGACAAGACAGAGTTTTTCAGCAGCCGTTTGACAAACAAGCAGCGCAAGGAAACAATCATGGGTACGTTGATGGCTGACGACGACACTAACAAGTATTTCAAAAGAAAGTATACGGAAGTTCAGGAAAAGAAGACTAGTGGCCGCAAGGGCCATTATCGGAAGGTGACCGAAAAGAGGAGAAGAATTTAAGAGTCCATGAAAGACAAATCATCACATTTGAAAAGAATATCAATAAAAAAAGATTCTGATATTGCATTTTGTGCAAAGAATGCTTTCTGTCCTCCTTTGAACCTCTGGGTGTGAATTATTTTTCATTTCGTTCGATACAAATGGTGTTTCTGCGTGTTGGATCTTGGATCCGAGCCGTTTCACGAACAACAGATTCACATGGCAAGTTTTTAAGCCCTTAAGGGATGCACACCTCCTTCTCTTGTTTACCGATGACTGCACACTTCACGGAGCGGTCTGACCTCATAATTGTATATCTACTGATCTACTGATAGTAAAGAATAAAAGAATTCATGGCATATTTATTTACTCTGTAACAACTATTTTCTTTCCTTATCGGAGCATAACAATTTCGTTCGTCACAAATTAAATCTATCTTTCAATTACATGAAAACTAGTCAAAACACTAATTAAAAAAAAAGATATTATCCGCGGCTGCGTTGCAGATGTTTCCAAAGCATATTCAGCTATTTTGAACCAGCCAACTATACATTAACATAGACTGTTTTTCATTCTAATTAGCCGCCAACGCTTAAAAATTATCCTTTCGGCCGCAAGACCCATCCTGACCGCAATGTCCCCAAATGAGATTTTGTGGCTTTATGAAAATGTCACAATTGAAACAAACTTCCCTTCCTCAACTTCCTCAGAAAAACATTCCAATACTTATGCTTCAGATGTATGTTCCAAGCTAACTTGGCGAGTAACGAATGATATTTTGCCGTTTATTCAATTAGTTCTGAGCATAAATTTCAAGACGACGTTCAAGCAACCTATAGCGTGTCGCTTGAGCTTTATATGCGATTTGAGACAAAAAGGCTCTAAGAATGTATGCCAAGATGGAGAGAAACAGCTAGACAAAATCGTCACGCCATGTCACAAATCATGGAAAGTAATTACGACTTATTTGTGCAAAATTCCTACACTCAAGCTGCTCGAAACTCAGATGAATGCAGCCGCCGAACAAGCGGATCTCAACAATCACGTGACACACAAACTGCAAATCACATAACACGGAAATGCGCTTAATACCGTCGGATTTTGCCGAGTCTTACTTTCGCAGGCGCCAAGTATGCTGCGTACCGCGGTTGCGGCCTCGGGCATTTCTTCACATTTTCCGCATTGGAAGAACTGCGCCGCACCAGTGGGGCCGGCCCGGAAGAGCCGGCGGTGCGTAAGCTTTGACGATTCCGTACACCCAACCAAAATATGCTTATCAGTGATGTGATAACGGTTTCGTGTGGTGCACGGATAGCAGCGACGCAGATTGGACGCTGATCACGTTTGTTTATTTACGTTTTCGCACGGGATCTAACGAATGCAAGGTGCTCAGGCACGAGCAGTCCCTCTCTGCCCAAGAGAACGCTGTGGCTGCACCAAGATTTGGCAAAGATCGAGTATGGCGCACTCAGAAGATGCAGTAGCAATGTACAGAGCGCAGCGTTTAAACCGCTGCTGGCATTTGTAGTTGCTTCAATGCTCGGACCTACAGTTGACACCGTAGTTAATGCAGCACTCACGCGAACGGTATTAGTATTGCGCACTCGTCTACCAAGTGCCGAATTAACGGCCTCTTGCCCCCCTTCTCGTAGTCTCATAATTTTTTTGTGTTGGTAGTTCAGCTGATAGTCACCTACAAACACGTACAAAGCACACACTAGTCACATCAGCACACGGTCGGAGAGCAGCTGAGCAGTTTTGCATTAATGACAGGACCGAACGAGATAGACCACCGCAGAAAGCTGCTAGAAGCTGTGGCAGACCCTTCCGCCGAGGCTCTCTGGCGAATGTATTCTAAGGCCAAAGCTTCACTTCCGTACCGGGAACGCATGACAAACCTGACCTGGCGGATGATGGGCATGAAAATGCGAAAATTCACCCTATCTCGACACTCTCACGATGCTGAAGAGTTCGACTATATAAGCCAGCTGCGGCAGCTAAACGGGAACGGCGGCGACACTGATAATGGAGGCGAAAATACAGCCCTCGGCGTAGGACATGAAGTAAGTTCGAGCAATCCCGCAAGCGCTGCCACGGCCGCCATTATAGGCGTAAATCCCATGGAACTTAGAGCGCAGAACCCGCACACTGCCTCTGAATCGTCAGGCTCACGCATCGGCGACTCCGCCGCTATGCCCGCTGGATTCGATCTTCACGACGAGGGCACATTCGGATCATTTTCCAACCTCGACCAAAACGTTGGGTTCATGGCTGACATGGATGTTAACCAATTTAGCCTGCTTGGCCATGACGGAGGATCTGCCAGCAACAGTCAGGACGAGGAAGATATCGTACTGAACGAAGCCACCTATTCGTCCCCCGCCCTGATTAGTGATAGCGGGGTGTCGTCCTCAGGGAACGCTCCTTATAACCAACTGTCATCTTCTGCTTCAACCATTTTCAATGCGATAGAACAACAGTCTGCGAATTCCACAGCTGCTAGCAGTGCTACTATTAGTGGGCTTAACGCGAACATGCTTGGAGGGCAAAGCTTTTTCGATGATGCTGAGTTCTTGCAATCAGTGGGTAGCCAAGCGCTGGCACAGAGCCACCACACAGAGCCCACAATGGCCCCACTCCATGCCACGACATCGGAAGTTTCGTTGATCGACCTACATGAGAGATCCAATAACGGAACTTCTCAGCCTATCTCAATCAGGAGACCCAACACCGCTTGGCATGGTATGTCGAGTGGGTTTGGATCCCTACCCACTTCACTGAATGCAGCACCAGCTGGCAGCAACACATTGTCTTCTTCTCAAAACTCCCGCAGGTCGGCAGCTGCCAATTCTGTAAGAAAGAAACAAATAAAGAGCTCCAATTCAAGAAGAAGCAGTTTATCTGTAGCATCAATAAACAACCAAGATACAATGAATGATGCTGTGGGTGTACCCAATACTGGCACATCTTCTACAGCATCCTCATCAGCCAATAAAGGTGACACTAAATGCACCAATTGCCACACGAAGACCACCCCATTATGGAGAAGAGATCCGCAAGGCAATCCATTGTGTAATGCATGTGGATTGTTTTTGAAATTGCATGGCGTTGTAAGACCACTCTCCTTAAAAACGGACGTGATCAAGAAAAGGCAACGTTCCTCAAACAAGCCGACATTGACAAATCCTCCTACTTCTGGCTCATCTTCCGGTAATTCACCTGGAAAAGATAGCACGGCAAATTCTAAGGTCAGGAGACAAACTTCCAAGAAGAAAGGTTCAATCACCAATACTATCTCGGAATCAAGGCCCATTATACATCGATCTCAATCATCACTAGCTAGAAGGACGAGCAAAATTGGAACCCCAAACTTACGTGATTCCGAAAGTTCGAATAATAACAGTGGGTCAGGTACCCCAAATCCACCACAAAAATTTTCAATTGAACAACCTAATCCTCAACTAGCACATATGGTGAACTCGTCAGAAATGGACGTGGATCAAGTACCGCCTTCAGAATCTTCGCATAACAGTTTTGATGTCTTTTTACAGGGATGGCCCCAGCAACAACAACAACAACAGCAACAACAGCAACAACAACAACAGCAACAGCAACAACAGCAACAACAGTCCCTAACCCAATCACAGCATCCCTCGCACCAGCAATCCCATAGTCAGGCACATAATGATCAGAGACAGCCGGACAATCAATCGTTCAATTTCGATCATCCTAATAGCCGCCAGTCCGCCACTTCTAACAATGGAACCGTCAAACAGGAAGGACGAGCCTCTAATAATGCAGGCGAGAATACTAACTGGGAATGGTTAACGTTGAGTTTGTAATCTCGCTTGTGTGTTGGCATCCCTCTTCAACCGTTGACGGATGCGAACCTCCCATGCATGATCATTTTTGAGATATCTATGTTTCAGACTTCATTTTGTTATCTTAATGTATTAATCTTAATTCCACTACAACAATATCAATCGTTTCATTGATTTCTGTCGTGTCTTTCTTTGTATATATTTATAGGTATTTTTATCAGCGAGGACAAATAACGCAAATATATAGATACATTTGAATTTTTTGGGCATCTTTGTTTTCTAACCTTTAAATGTAAAATACACCTTTATATCTCCCACAAGGTTGGACAAACCCCCTTGTTCAGAAGCGATACAATTTGCTTTATTTTCGGAAGTTCAATTATACCGACGATAATATGATTTAAAGTGACTTGCTTATCTATCTATTCCAATTGACAAAAAAAGCGACTATGACTTAACCTATATGCATGATAAGATTTGCAAATCCGGAGATCGAATATCTCTCAAGCAATCAATTGAGAGTAATCCATAAGAGACGTGATTAGTCACCAGCTTTACTAATACATTTAAAGATTTCAATTCAAAGGTATCGATATGAAGGTACAACGATAGTTCCCCTAATATTTGTTAAAAACCTTGATATTGATCTCAAGATTACCGCAGTATCCAGAACCAAGTAGATAATAGTAGTGACTATGTCATGAAACAATAAAACCTTGAGGTACCTCGGAGACACCAAACTGAACCTCAAACATGAGTGAGGATCGATACAAGGTCCCAATCTATAGCTATAAATATTACGAAGTCCTGAGGATACGATGAGGCCAAATAGGAGGAGAACAGAGCTAAGTAGAACTCATTTAATTAATTTCGAGAAATTCATAACTAGTTACGAAGACTATTGGCTGAAACCAAAGCCATAAAGTACAGTAGCTTCATTAAGCCTCCATACTAAACACTGGGCGTGTGGCGTAGTTGGTAGCGCGCTCCCTTAGCATGGGAGAGGTCTTCGGTTCGATTCCGGACTCGTCCATTTATTTTTGCACTTTTTCAGTGCCCTTGGCAGAAGGTGAAAAGTGGATTGAAGTGAAAGCCAGAAATGAACAGCAAGGATTCGTTAATCATTGACGTGGCACTCCACGACTTCTTAATACATATATATAGGAAATATCAACAAATATCGCATATTAGCACATTTAGAAGTTGATTGGCTTGGAATAGGCAGCTAGGTTGGCTTCTTTGAAGGCTTCCGACAAGGTAGGGTGAGCGTGACAAACACGTGCAATATCTTCAGCAGATGCACCGTATTCCAGAGCAAGACCAGCTTCAGCAATCATTTCTCCGGCATTTGGACCAATAATGTGAGCACCGAGAAGACGCTCCGTTTCAGCATCAATCAAAATCTTCACGAAACCTTCTTGATCTAGGTTAGTCTTCGCTCTGGAGTTGGCAACAAATGGGAATTTACCAACTTTGTAAGCAACACCGGCTTCCTTCAACTGTTCTTCTGTTTTCCCGACCCAAGCTACTTCTGGGTGAGAGTACATAACGGCTGGAATATTGCCGTAGTTGACGTGACCATGCCCGAGCTTCAAATACTCTACAGCAGCAATACCTTCCTCTTCAGCTTTATGAGCAAGCATAGGTCCAAATGTGACATCACCAATGACCTTGATATGTGGGAACTTGGTGTTGAATTGCTCGTCAATCACTAGACGGCCTCTCTTATCAACTTCAAGACCCAACTTCTCAGCATTCAAGCCTTGAATGTATGGCCTACGACCAATGGCGACCAGCAAAACATCAGCTTCAAGTGACTCTTTCTTACCAGTCTTGACATTTTCCACTTCAATATTGACGACATCGCCATTTCTTTGGGCGGAAATAACCTTAGTACCGAGCTTAAAGTCGAAGCCTTGCTTTTTTAGGAATTTTTGTGTGGCGGTAGCAACTTCACCGTCCATAGTAGCACCGATTGCTGGTTGAAATTCGACAACAGTAACTTTGGAGCCTAATCTGGAGTAGACGGAACCCATTTCCAACCCGATTATACCACCACCAATGACTGCAAGCCTTTTAGGAACTTCCTTTAGAGACAAGGCACCAGTTGAGGAAACGATTCTTTCTTCATCAATGTTAATACCTGGGAAAGGAGTAACCTCAGAGCCGGTGGCAACGATGATATTCTTTGCCTCCAAAATGGTTTCTTCGGGAACAGTTCCCTCTAAACCTTCAACAGGAGAAACTTTAACATTGTTTTCATCTTCAAATGAACCAAGACCCTTATAGTAAGTTACACCGTTCTTTTTGAAAAGCATTTCGATACCACCTGTTAGTTGTTTCACAACTGTGTCCTTTGCCTTTTGAAATTGGGGAATGTTGATCTCAACGCCCTTCACGTCGATACCCCTGCCCTTCGCATCGTGTTTCATTTGATGGTACATGTGAGAGTTGTTTAACAACGACTTAGATGGAATACAGCCGACATTCAAACATGTACCACCCAACTTGCCTCTTTTCTCGACACAGGCGGTGTCCAAACCCAACTGAGCAGCTTTGATCGCTGCTACGTAACCACCTGGGCCCCCACCAATAATTACAACATCGTGTTGCTTCTTTGCAGCCAATAATCTCGAAGTGCTGAACAGCGTCCTTCTTGAAGCGCAAGATTGCAATTTCACTCTTAGCATTGCTCGATTACTTTTAATTGAGAAAACCTTTCCTTTGCCCCTTCCTGACTGTGTTTTGACTTCTCTCTATATATATGATAACTCTTTTTTTTCTCTTGTCTTACGGGAGCGGCGTAAGAAATGCGACGTATAGCTCGTCGAAGAACGTTAGTGCAAGATATGGTGCCCTTTTACTATTTTATTGACCCCATTTTTATGGAAGAGTATTTAAATACTGTGTCGGATTGTAATTCGAGCCTTTAAACTTGTCAATGTTATCATGGCTTGTATTGGATTGGTTTTACAAAACTCCCCGATCGGTCCCGAAAACCATGCCAGTTATCGCGAAGTAGCTAAAGTACGATCATACACGAAAATCGCACTGGCGTACAGGATCTAAAGGCCTAACTCGGGCAACATGTTTCTCAACTATTTAATGTCATATAAAACTTTGCTAACGCTAAAAACGGCGGTTTCAAAGAAATTTATCTCAGAGGAGAGCATCAAGTAGGGGGATCGGAAGCCATTTCAGTGCGCAGTCATCCCACCGGAAGCGTAAATAGTCTGTCCGGTAATCCAGTCTCCGGAAGTAGCCAAAAACCCAACGATAGGCGCAATGTCTTCAATCTTGGTGAGGCGGCCATCAAAGGCAACCGATTTGTAAAACTCCACATCCTCAGGTTTTTCTTGAGAGTAGAAGAATGGTGTATCCATAGGTCCAGGTGCTACACAATTGACAGAGATGCGCTTGGAGACAAGTTCCTTAGAAGCGCTCTTGCTGTAGTATTCAACAGCGCTCTTAGTACCCTGATAAACAGCGTAAAATGGTGTGTATGCTGCTAGCAACGATGTGACAAGGGAAATGATCCGACCGCCTTGACTCACGTTTTTGGCGGCCTGCGCAATGAAGAAGAATGCAACTTTGTTGTTGATCACGTCCATTTCGTCAAATTCTTTCTCGGTAACCTCAACAATTGGCTTCTTGAGCACTTTACCGACGTTATTGATGGCAATATCAATTGAACCGAACTTAGCCTTGCAGGCCTCGAACAGCTTGGCCACTGATTCTTCAGAGCCAAGTTTGCCTTGATAGACTTCAACCTTCACACCATACTTGGAAGCCAATTCGTCTGCCAGCTTTTGCTCACCACCTTGAGAAGAGTTGTAATGCAAAAACAAGTTTGCCTTATACTTAGACGCCAGTTCGATAGCGGTCAATTTTCCGAGGTTTTTGGTACCACCAGTAATTAGTGCAGTTTTTCCTTCGAGAGACATTTTAAGAAAATACTTATTTGGAGCCAGTTAGATTGAGGACAGTTCTCTGAAGAAGTAAGCATCGAAGCTAACTCATATTCTGATCCTCTTATATACACTTCTCATCACAATCCATTCGTCGGCCTAGCCCTTTTTTCAACTCCGTCATCAGGGATAGGGAGCGGCCCAAAGACGGAGAATACCAACTCATCTCCAATTGCACTGGAACAACGACGGATGACACGTAATTCACAGCATACTCACATAAGGCCGTACTTGATTGATTTTGAGCACTAATAGTAGGGTGCCAGTCGTCATTACGTTCACTGGGGCTTTTTTTAGGTTCTGTCACTGTAAGACGGACATTTCACGAAGGCACATTTCAAAGGAAGTCATCAATACGTACGACTTGGCCATGGCATTTCTGAAATTTGAGCAGCATGCAGCAGGAGAGAAACTAATAAGGCAATTTATGAAAAGAGTGAACATTATAGCGTCATATGTGGCTTATTCAAACCGTAAAAGAATGAAATTTAGACTTACTTAAAACTTAATAGAATGAAGTTAAGACTTATTCTCCGGTATGTATCAAATAATTTGTCAGATAAAAATACTCTACCTTGTGCGTGAGAGATCGCTTAACGTCAGAAAGGCTATAAGAAGTACGGCAGAGTTGGCTCCATGTAGTTTGAGGATATAGACCGGCAGACACATATATAGTTTGAAAGATGACCAATTATCAGAAGCATCCAAAAATCCAACGATAGCTGTGATGTCTTTCTTCTTTGCGAGACGATCTTCAAATACAGCCGTTTTCACGCGATCCATCGCTTTAGGAGGCTCTTGATAGTTGAAATACTAGAAACCAGGAGGCCATGCGCAACATATTTAATCGGGTGGGATTTAGAGATGGACTCTTGAATAGCGCTCTACGTGAAATATTCCACAGTGCTTTTAATATCCTGATAAAATGCGCAGAGTGGTGCGTATATCGCCAGCACTGAAATAAGTAGCGCTCTGACTCATGTGCATAGAGGTTTGAGCAATGAGGAAAAATGCAATCTTAATGTTAACATGCTCCTTAATCGATCAAGATATTTACGCTGACGGAAGATAAACGGACAGTGTAAACCAGTAGCTGCTGATTAAGGGAGATACATTGCTCACTGTACTAATAATATATAACCGCATTGACTTCGTCTCAGTGAGTAAATTTAGATGTCCCCTCCCTCATTGCACTCTCACTGCAATAGTTCTTGGCTTCAAGTATCACAACTGACATGGGGTATTTTAATAAACTTCACTAAATCATTAAGTACGTTTGAGGATGAATTTTGTCATATCCATGATGAGATACAGTTGTATGAACTAACGGCGAGAAGCGCAATTGAAAACACGATAGAACACAATGGTATCAACACCAGAGCTGAAAAAGGTATGTGAAATCGATGAAATAGAGATTTGCCTAGCATCTGATAATGTTTACTAACAATAATACCCAGTATATGGAAAAAAAAGTGTATTTGCAACTTAATGGATCGCGGAAACTGGTGGGCGTTCTGCGAGGTTACGATATCTTTTTGAATGTTGTCTTAGATGACGCGGTGGAAATTCGAAAAGATGGGTCTAAAATGGTGATGGGGTCGCAGACGGTAGTGCGCGGCAATTCGATAGTATCGTTAGAAGCTCTGGAGGGGCTATCCTGAGGGCAGATTTAACGTAAAGTATGTAGAATAGATACGTTCAAAGCAAAATTCAAGTAGTCACATGCAAGTGACAAAGCCACATGCATTATCTGTTATAGACGGTGGTCCATCTCGACCCCAGCTCTGCGGTAACCGCACTTTTCATAAAACCCGACATTTTTCTCGTCACAATCTAGGATAACTTTGTAACATCCATGCTCATGTGCGAGCGCAGTGAGGTGCTGGATCAATATCAGTCCAAGTTGCTTGCCTTGCTGGTCTTTGGCAACAGCGATGTCTTCCACGTGGCCAACCAGACCTCCTTCATGGATGATTTTTCTCTCCAGGAAGACAGTTCCTGTTGCAATGACACGTCCAGATCCATCTAAGATGACACGAGGGTGATATGCATGTATTTGCTTACCGTGAAAGTTAATTGTCGTGCTATTCCAGTAGGTCACAATATCTTCGAATTGCTCTCTCGAGATATCCCCAACTGTTGTAAGAATCCTCAAAGTGTCGACCACATTTTCGAAGTCGCGTGGCTGAGTTCTTCTAATAGAGTATCCTGGCGGTAACGAGGGCATAGAGTGGTTTGCCATAGATAGTTTATGTGACCAGAATGGATCGTCACGATTTGACAATGCCATTGCAAGTGGTTACCCGGCTACTTTAGCGCGCAACTCGAACTTGCGAACCCAAAAGCGGTAGCTCGTAAAGTCCCTGAGTAAGTTCTGTTTGATTTATATATCTATAAGTATAATTCTACACCGTGAGCTGTACCTGGGTCACTTTGAGGTCTTCTTGAGTTAATACGAGGAGGCAAATATGAGGTCAGGAATAATCCTATACCAATTCAAAAAACACCTCGACAATCTTAATTGCAATTAGACATTCCTCACTTACAGCTTAAAGTCTTTATTTACCAGTTTACCTTGTCCCTTTTAGTAGATTTGTTTGTAAATTGAAAAATTGCCTCGAATCCTTGCGCCTAGCTTTCGAAGTCTTTAAATTTAACTTTTGAGCCACTGCAACAACAGTGGGAGGTCGATATGGACGCTCTTGATGCTTTTATTGATATCTTCCTGTGAACCAAAAAATCTGTAAGAATGATTGCGCAGAACGAAAGGCCATATTCTGTCGAGTACGGAATCCAATTCGTGATAGTACGAGGTGAGTATGAAAATATCCAATAATCTCATTGATAGTTCACGTGGTCCATTTTCCACGACATCGCATAGCGTTTCGACCATAAGTGGCCAAATAAAATCCCTGGTTGGGTCCAGACGAAGTATGACCGTGATATGATAGTACAGTGCCTCGAATTGAGATTCAAATGTCTCGTAAAAGTTGGCAACAGACGCTTTACCCGTAGTCAACCATTTGGAGCGAGTACAGAGATTGGCAAAAATTTCATCCGATCTATCCTCCAAAAGTTTGTCCAATTTGACGCGCCACTTATCGAGAAATGGAGCTACATGTTCTGTCCGTGCATCTTTCATGAGGCACAGATCGTAAATCAACGGCCGCATTTGCCATGGTATACCATGGTAGATCAAATTGTTACGTCGTACTTCGATAAGGATATCTTCTTGACTTACGTGCTTGATCATATCCCATCTTTTCTGGCTTTCCAGATCGGTACGAACCAGCCTCCGGTTCTCAAATTTGAGTTTTTGAACTTCGAGCTTTTCGACATGCTCAGCATGCTTAACGAGCTCTTTGATTGTGCTTCCATGCTGAGCACGCTCTGTAGTGGGCATCGGGGGTAAATTGTGTGGTCGTGCGCATGTCGTGTACTTACTGCCAGCGGGCTCCTCAGATACAATCTTTAGCGTACGCACATTTTCCTCGTGCTCGCTGATACGCTTCTTATTCGATAAAATAAGAGAATCCAGCGAATAGTTGCGAAACATCAAGTTCTGCAAGTCGTCATTGGGCTTGAATGTCAGGTCGTCTTGCGATCCTGCCTCGGATTCTACGCCTGGTATTACCGAGAAAACTGATGATGATTGGTCTGAGCACCAGGTTGTTCTTCTGCTTGCATCTGGTGGTTGTAGTACGGGCACCGCGTAGTCAATTATATTAGGCTCATGTACCGACAACGTTAAATCGTCGACCGTAAGTGACTTCCATAGGTCGTCTCGCGTAATTTTGTGTCGCGAACGATACAGCTTTTTAGAAGGTGGTATAAATGACGGTTTCATCGTGCTGAGCCCCCCTCTATTGATCTGATTACCTTGTCCAGGAACCACTCTTGGGTACTCGAATGGTTTAAGGAAATTGAAGAGCCAAGATCGACGCGAAAAAATTCCATTTTTAAATGTCAGATCAAATCGGGAAGCAGAGGTAAAAACGGGAAGGTAGGGAAACAAGTAGACGACTGGATTATCTAGTTCGGGAATCTTGAGTGCACTGGATTCAGAGTACGGCGATGAGTAGAGCCCAGCTCTCCTATCTTGATTACTGGAATTCGATTGGTGCTACCAGGTTGAAGTTTACATTTAGGGGAGAAACATGGCGCATCACCTCGTAAACGCACCGGGGCGTTAATAATCATGGTTTAGTTTGGAACTGCATACATTAAATATACACGCTAATTAGATGGAGTTTGTGGAGATGGGTGGCCTGTATCCTCAGAACTGGACTTCTGAACTTTTCAAGAGGAATGCCCTTGACAAGAAACAAATGTGTATCTTTGTACCGAGCATAGTCGCGATTTCGTTGGAAAAAGGCTCTTTTATATATGTGCTAGGTGCACAGGGGCTATTGTAGGCCATTTGTGGTCGTGGAGTTCGTTAAGCGAAAAATACGAGGTACAGTGGCAGCAGCAAGTAAGGGACGTACAACCCGATGAGCTGCAATTTGTCTCGAGTAGTCATCGAGATGAAGGGCACCGATGGGTAGTAACCCCGGATCCAAATGGCGTAAATGCACACGAGAGTGGTTAAGGAGGCGTTCCAGCCGTAAACTTTTAACCACCGTGATAACGTAGCCTTATGTTTGTGAACTTCCGCCTTGTCCCTCTTGGACTTGTGTTCCTGCATAGCCCATAGCTGTTTGATCTTGACTGCAAACCAAAAGAAAGCAGGCAACTGCGCTACTACTTCGACCCATACGAAGCATTTTAACCACAGTGGTTTTTCATATAGTAGGAAATCGTTATTTTGAACAATGTGCCAATCCACGAGACGGCGTGTGTATTGAAACCGGTCGGGGAGTATGACGGAGGAGTCAATTAACACCGTGATGGGGATATGGATGATAAAGTACCAGTAAAAGAAAGCTTGTTCGCGTTTGGAAAGCATTGTGTTGCGATTGCGAATTGGGTTGAGGGGTCTGATGTGCGATGCCACTTTCAAGTTTCTCGAAGGAGAAAAAGCTTTAAACGAGTTTCAAATGGAACCAACGTGCAGAAGTTGCAATTTGAAAGAAAAAGAGTGCCACGGAATAAGTTAATGGAGCTTGTTAGTGGGGAACAGGTGGTCTCCTCATTTCCTCCAGGAAAGGCTTCTAAGGATTACCAGCAGCATCACGAGATAACCGAATGGAGGCTACCGGGTGCCAGCAAGGGAGGCAGGGTTCTCAAGGAAGCTGATCAAACGGTAAAGATTAAAAAGTGTAAACCACATCTAAGGCTGGATATATACATGAAGAGTAGTATTTACAAATGCGGTGCTCAGCAAAGAGCTGTGTATAAGTCATTTCTTGTCGCCTTTGATCTTCTTGAATGTGTTCGAGATGAACTCCTCCAGTCTACCTAGCGCACTTGGGGTATCTGGATTGGAGTCTGATTTCTTGGACTCAGACACGTTGGAATGGGGCTCAGATGGCGACACAGAGCGTTTGGCGGTGGTGTCACCTGTTATATCTGCCAACGCTTCCCATAGGCATTTTTCGGCCTGGGATTGCGGTTTCTTGATGGAGATGCGGTATTGGACCTTCATATCACCGCGCCCAAATGTGCCCTTGGGTACACCCTTCTGTGGGATGGAAACGACGTCGTTGTGCTGGGTGCCCGCGGCGACTTTGAGACGGATTTGCTCGCCGTCGACTGTTGGGATGGTGACGACGCCGCCCAGCGCCGCAGTGGTAATGGAGATATCCTGAGTGAACCAGATGTCATACTTGTTTTTGATCGAGAAGCGTGGGTCTTTGTCGACGCGGATGCGCAGCAACACGTCACCACGCGAGAGCCGCACGTTGTCGCGCATGGCCGGGTCCAGCGCCAGGTTCGGGTACGAGCCCTTGCCAGAGATGCGGATCACGTCGCCGTCTTGCAAGCCGTGGGGCAGGTCAACGCTGATGTCGTGGTTGGCGTTCATGGTGACACCTTCGCCGTGACAACTGGAGCACATGTCGGAGTCGCGCACCACGGAGCCCTCGCCGTCACACTGCGGACAAGTCGAAGCCATCTGGAACCCAGCACGCACATGGACGCGCGTACCGGTACCGGAACAGCCTGGACAAGTGGAGCGAGACGCACCAGTTTTGAGACCGGAGCCGTGGCACGTGCCGCAGGGGTCGAGCGCGCTGAACTTGAGATGCACGTTTTTCGCGCCAAAAACTGCATCTTTGAAGGAAATGCGCTTGGACAGTTCGACCGGGCTGCCTTGGTACTCGCGGTACATGTTTGCGCGCTGAGAGCGGGCGCCGGCGCCGCCGGCGCCAGCTCCGCCGCCAAACGCCGCGCCGAACAGGTCTTCGAAGTTGATGCCGCCGAAACCGCCACCAGCTCCAAAGCCTCCGGAGCCGAAGCCTTCGAAACCGTGGAACCCCTCGGCGCCGCCGAAACCGCCTGCACCGCCTGCGGGGCCCGCGCCCGCGCCGCCTTGCGAAAACGCAGCGGGCCCGAATTGGTCCCATTGCTGGCGCTTGGTGTCGTCAGACAGGATTTCGTACGCGTTCTGGAGGTCGTGGAACTTCTTCTGCGCGTCCTCGGCCTTGTTGATGTCGGGATGGTATTTTTTCGCCAGCTTGTAGTACGCCTTCTTGATCTCGGACGCGGACGCGGTTTGCGCCACGCCAAGCGTCTTGTAAGGGTCCTTGAGCTCGTTGCGAGCAGGTGGCGAGGTGTGGAATGCGCGACCGTGCGCGAGAACGCGGCAGCCGCCCGCGTGCGCCACCCAGGCGCCACTGCGGGCCTGCAGCCCGGACGCCATCAGTCTGGGCACCGTGAGCCGGAGCTTGCCCAGATGGAGTAGGGAGTTGTTGTGCATGGAACTAGAGTACAGATGCAGGTGCGAATGGAGTTGGAGTGGAAGTACAGAGGACAGAACAGCGAGCTTCCAGATGTAGGACGAGCCAGCAACCAAGCCGTGAGTGGAAACGGTGGGAAGCGAGTAGAAAAATCCATGGAGGGGATGGGCCGCGCCGTGCGGAGCGACACGGTAGCCGGTGGCCGCGCACGTGGAAAGCACGTGGCCGCCCATGCCCTCGGCTCCCTGCCCTCGGAAAACAGCCCCCTCCCCCTTTCGCCCGCCCGTCGCCCTTCCATCCGGCCATCCGTGCACCAGCCGCGCGGTCACGTGCCGCGGTCACCCGGTCTCGGCGCCGCCGCCACGTGACCCACATCCCCCCTCTTTTTTGCTTTCGGCGCTTGCGCCGCAGCAACTTCCCCAAACTATTGCTTTCAAAAATCCATCCACAGCAACAACTTCCACCCCAATCGCAACTTCCGAGTGCCAGTGGCGCGGCAATGGCCACGTCATGTAGCAAGATCGAGCAAGATCAGCAGCGGCGCTGGCGCGCCGCTGCCCATGTATAAATATGGAGGTGTTTGACTCCTTGTTCTTGTTGTGTCCCTCTTGTTCTTATCCTCTACATCAGTTCATCGAAGCATTCGAGACAACAACTGCTAAAACTCAAAAACTAAATCTATTCAAAACATGTCTGACGCCGGTAGAAAAGACTTCTCTGACAAAATCCAAGAAAAGGTTAAGCCTGACAGCGAAAAGGGCTACGTGGAAAAGGGTAAGGAGTACGTGACTGACGCTGCCGACAAGGCGGCCGGAAAATTGCAACCCGAGGAAAACAAGGGTGTGTTCCAAGGAGTGTCTGACTCCGCCCACAAGGGTAAGGAAGAAGCTCAGGGCAAGTCGATCTCCGAACAAGCTGGCGAGTACGTGGACGCAGCCAAGACCAAGCTCAACGACGCTGCCGAGTACATCTCGTCTTCGATCCACGGCGGCGAGTCCAAGTAAGCGGATCAGTGGCGGTCCTAGAGAGCTCTCGGGCCCCTCGTCCCCTCTCCTCACGGCATCACGGAACGTCGGCCGTCGCACGTCGGTGGTCTGGCGCATATAACGACTTTTCTCCCCTCTGTGTGTGCCGGTAGGTATTTCGCGGATCCACGTCTTCACGTATTCACGTCTTCGCGTATTTTACGAGTATTCTAAATATTTGCTATGTATCTAATGCACACTTTGCATCTGTGGGAACAAAATCTGTTTTGAGCGCCCTTGCTTGTTGACGGCCGCGATTTCCCAACATGGACTTCACCTCCGACTCGCACAACCCGTCCACGGCCGCCCCCGTCGATGCCCACACCACGCCGTCGGCACCGCCCACGTCCACGGCCGCAGCCTCCACGGCCGACAGCGAGCTGGCACTCGATAACGACGAGCTGAGACTCGCCGCCCTCCACGATGAGAAAGACCTCTTGCTGGAGCAACGCGACGCGTTGCTCCAGCGCATCGACCGTGCTCGCGCGCAACTGGCCGCCCGCCAACACGACGGCACGCCCGCCCAGGCCACCGCTCCACGCATGTTTGATGAGTCCACGCTGGCCGCCGCGTTGGCTCGCGCTACCGCGCCTCGCCAAGCGCCGGCTGTCGCATCTCGCTCCAAAATCGACGGCAACGTGTCTCTTCACGACGAGCTCTCCAACAAGTACGACGCGCTGCCTCTGCTGAACTGGGACCTGCGTTTCTCGCGTCTGCGTGCTCTGTTCCCCGGCGTCGCTCTGCGCGTCGCCAACACGGCCACTACGACTACGACTCACGGGCCGGACCTCACCGTCCAGACCGCGACGCTCCAGTTCGATCCTGGCGACTTCCACCTCGTGCTGGAGCTCCAGTTGCTCCACGCTCGCATCCACGCGCTTCGCGTGCTGCAACTCTCCTCCAAGGTGCGTCTCGCCCTGGCGCCGCTCGTCGCCCACGCAGAACGCACCTGCAACGTGTCGTTTCTGCTGCTGGGTTGCTACGAGTATGCTCGCCTGTGGGACGAGCGCGCGCGCCTGTGGCGCGCGCTCGACCAGGCCTTCAAGGCTTGGAACGTGGCTCACACTTCACCCAGCGTATGGTCCCTGTCCCGCGACGCGCTGTCCGTCACAGTGTGCCTCGACATCTCGTTCAAAGACCTGCCGTTTCCGCACTCGCAAATCCGCGTCGGCCTCTCAAACAACGCGTGCCCGATCCCGCACGCGCACGCTGTCGCCATGGCCTTGATACGCGAGTACGGCGTGCACCACGGCATCGAGTCCTTCGTAAGGGCCACGTTCAACCTGTAAGCTCTCTCTGCGGGCCAGGAGCTCCTGACCTCGAGTTCCACCACCACCACCACCGCGCATCTGTCAAATTCGTGTCATTAGCTAATTATATCCGTACTTACTCGAATCTAAACAAGTCCTCCTCCACATCTCGTCTGTTCATTAGCATCACCTGCTTGGCGCCGTTGAGCGTGCGGATGAAATCTGTCTCGAACCCCAGCACCCCGTCGGAAAACTTCTTACGCTTCTTGCCTCGCACCCCAATCACAGTGGCCATCGTCACGTCTTCAAACTCGTTGAACAGCTTCACCAGCCCCAACTCCTCGCGCTTGTGTCGCGCCGACAACTGCGCACTTTGTAGATCCTTCAAGAGTTGCTCTTGCGTCAGGTCACTGGCCACTTCTTCCAGCCGGTCCTGCTCAATCAGCTCATTCACCTCATCGCGTCGCTTTTCGTCAACGGACTCATCTCGAGGCGTAGGCGTCGAGACCACCGTTGCGACCATCTTGCGTTTTTTACGCTTGGGGCCCGGTTTCTCAGTGTCCGGTGGTTGTGACTCCTCCATAGGTGTGTCTTCAACTTTCGTTTGCTCCATCGACGTCCTATGCGCCTCGTTCTGGTTTGCCGCATCGTGTGGCAATCGGTTGTTCTTCTTCAAAAACTCTAGCCGCTTCTCGCGTTGCTCTTCGCCAAATCGGACTTCTTCTGGTGTATCTACATCGTACTGGTCTAAGCTCATGTCCAGCTCAAATCTGTCGTGAACTCCAAATATCCTCAGAGATTCCTGTATCGCTGGTTCTGTCATGTCTGTTTCCAGATGTATGTAAAGTATCCACAGAAATATCTGTGCACGTTGCATTGGATCATAGTTTGGATTGTCCAAAATGTCGAAAAAACTCAGTTGCGACTTACTGCTCACATACTCATTAATCAGTTTCAAATTTATAAGCGTAACGTTGTCGCACAAATTGAAAATTAGGTTCACCGGGTTGCAGTCCAACTTTTCACCGGGCGTACGTGTTTCGTAAAACTGCGTGAGGGACACGTTCTCATTGCCCTGAGGCAAGTTCTTCAAAATTGACTTCAAGCGGGGCGTGTCCTGCAACGATTTCGGATCCCGCGTATCTCTTTGAAGACACGGAATTGAATGAAACGTTCTTAACTGTGAAGTCATCTCTAGAAAAAAGTTGATGGTCGTATTGAGACGTCCTGTGTTCACCAGAAGCGATAAAACACAAGTGGAAAACGCTACGTTGCGGTCAAATAAAAGTTTGTCTCTCAGTATCTTGGAACATTTGGTCGACGACGCAATTGTCAAAAGGTAGTATTCCGAGAATGTCAGTTTGTCATTGCTTATGAACTTGCGTGCCACGTACGACTCGTCTGTGACATTCAGCGCTTCAGAATTCTCGGCAGGAGTGATGTTGAACGTAGACTTGAATGTGTTGGTAAAGAGCTGCTTTTGATCTGAGAACAGATCATGCAAAAATTGAAACTGGATATCTTTGCGGTTGAAAAACTCTCCATCGGGCTTCTTCAAGTGCCGCACATATTTGCTAGGCTCCTTCAATCTCTTCTTTGAAACTCCTTCATGTTGAGCAGGAACAGAGTTATCCTCGCTTTGCGTAGATTCCCCGTCGTCGTCGTCCATCGTTGCCGGTATCGACGACTGAACTTCGTGCGAATCTTCTACTTGGTAATTGCTTCGTTGAGACCCATTCGTCTCTTCAGGATCTTGCACCTGGAAAACGTCGTGAATAGGGTCATAAACTCGATTGCCCATTGATCCTTGCGTCTTCACGTTTTCGCTTAAAGGACAGCCATCTTTCAAAAAGGGAAAACCGTTCAAACCGGAACTTTGTATCAAGAGACCTCTGAGGAAAAAAAATTTTGATTTGGTGTGCTCGCAGAGCGAATAAATCATATAAGCAAGAGTTCCGGTGCACGTGAATACAGCTTCGCCGTAGTGCCATATCAGACGTAAGTGTATCGTAAATTTGGAGATTGTCTACTAGTTTCAAGGTCTTAACTTGTATGTCTATCATTTATTCTATTTGAATATATCCTAAAATCGAGAATAACGACTTGCTATGTAGCATACAGATAAGCAGTCCCACGCTACATATCTTGGGGGGAAATGAACGTCTAAAAAAAAGCTAGATTATCTGTAAAGACTAGATCATTGTAAAACTACGCCATGGTAAGAAATTCATAAAAATCTTGCCCTTGTCTCTAATGCAAGACAAAATGGAGGCCAATTTAAAAGCCACCGTGGTGGCCACCTCCATGGTGGCCACCGTGGTGGCCACCTCCATGGTGGCCACCTCCATGGTGACGTCTATCGTCACCGCCACCAAAGCCACCGAAATTGCCGGGACCATCGAACCGATCAAAACCACCGCCTGGAGGACCTTGGGGACGTTGGTGGCCACCTTGGAATCCACCTCCGAATCCGTTGCCTCCACCGAATCCGTTGCCCCCACCAAATCCGTGGTTACCGTTGTTGCCGTGGTGGGACGAAAAGGCGTGTGACAATAGAGAACCAGCCAACAAACCACCACCAACACCTGCAATACCGCCAAGAATTGTGCTACCGTAACCCTTGCTGCCCTTCTCCTGTTCGGTCGCAGTCGCAGTAGTTGTAGTAGTTTGTGGGTAAGTTTGCTGCGTGGCAGAAGCTGCGTAGTACCCCTGTGCTGCTGGTTGCTCGTAACCTGGCGCAGCTGGCTGCTGTTGGTAGGTCTGTTGCGTGTATGTCTGCTGTTGGACATAACCCTGCTCAGATCCAGATTGTTGCTGAGGTAGAGCCCCTTTTTCTGGATAAGATTGTTGGCCATTGTTACCTGCTTGTTCTGGGTAAGGAGGAGGGACAGCATTGTCCCATCTCGTACCCTGTGGTTCGTCCCATTGGGATTGTTGGGTTGCGAGATTCACGTAAAAAAAAGTCTGGTATTGGTCGTCATAAACTGCCTTCCAGCCTTCAGGCACCGTAGGGGGGTTACTCTTGTTTTGAGCCATTTCAATTGACAATTAAAACGTCCAATAAATCTCCTATCTATTTTTTTTATTTGACCTTTTATACTCAGAAAGGAGGCGTATATTTTTACCAAAGGTGACTCAGTCACGTGTGCGGAGAATTAAAGTTGAAACAAGATGTATAGAAGATTCCATCACAATTTGGGTGCAGGACACGTGGAAGAGTACAGTTTCAATGCATGAGTTGCAACGCCAAGGGAGGTCTCGTAACCCATACCACCTAAACCGTAGGCATGTATCACCGGCCCATAAGGTGAACGTTCTACCTCGACTCTACTTCCGCCTCTCCTCGCTGGCCTGAAACCTACATTGACACGAGCCACACGGAACTTACCGTCGCACATGAGCTCTGGGAACAGCACGCGGCCCCTTGCCATTAAAGCGTCGGAGTCCCAATCGCGTGGCATCACTGAGAAATCGTCGGGCTGTTTTGTGCCTCCAAGAATAAACTGCGCAGCCGATCCGTCCGCGGTGGGCCTCTTGATGACAAAAGTCCAATTGCCAAGGCGATCCTGGTGAGTGATGGTCATGCGATCGTACTTCGTGGTATGTGGCACATCCAGTAGTAGCGTCTGACCGCGAATCGAAAAACACGCAGTGTCGAATCCCCCGTCCATCTGCAAGCCTTGGCCTGACGCATTGAACAGCGCAGTGCAGTCAGGGAACATCGTGTAGACCTGCTTGAGCGCGTTCAATGTCATACGCTTCTGTAGCAGCTTCGTGCCATGCGCCAGGCACAGCGACCGCACTTTTTCCTGCAAAAACGCAAGGTAGACGGGCGCGTTGAGGCAGTACGTGCGATATTCGCAGCCGAATGCCACATTTCGAGGGAGCTCTGCCACATCCAATTTTCTGAACTTTTCGAGGCTGTCGCTGTTATAGCCCGGTCCCAGCGTCTTGTATTCTACTGGAGGATCCTCTAAAAGATCGACTCCCTTCATGAACTGGATTGTGGATTCCGGGTGCTCTGCAGCCAGCCTCTTGAAGATGTTGTAAGTTACACGCGTGTATTTCGACTCGCGCTCGTCGCTCTCATATGTCTCTGGTCTATGGGGAAACGGCCGGAAGTGCGCACCAGCCCATGGCGACGTGAATTCGTGGCTGATAGGCTCGTCTTGCGGAAAGTGTGCGGCTATAATCGTCAATTTTTCGGGCCGAAGTTCAGCACATTCGAGCAATTGATATGCTATACTCAACCCAATTACACCGCTACCTACGATAACCGCGTTTGTCATACTGTTCTAAGTTTGTTGTGATAATCTCTACTGGCGGCATTTTCTCCAGCTATCTTCGAAAAACTAAATTACTCATTTTTTCATCAATTAGCACCGCATCTCAATGGACGACTCACAATACACGGGACAACCGGTCATATGAGGCACATCGGGTGACTGGATGCTATTTTAGCTCGGTCCGGGGGTCAAGCCACTCGTTCCACATCTGTAGTTGGCGATTCTTAGATAAATTGGGTAAACAGGAGAGTTCATACTGAAAGACACGGCGAAGGTACGACGCTTAGCTTGAACGCTTGATTTTTTCTTTTCTCGTTATTTGGTCGTAACGGTTTTCTCAATGTCCTTGCGATGCTACTAGAGTACACATGGCTGTGATTAGAATATCGTACGAATGACCGGCTATTTCATGTGTAAGTATGAAACTATTTTTTCGGTGCAAAGCGATAAATAGCTTCAGTTCAGCCGTTGGAGAAACAGAGAACCAACGCTCAGGTTCACTGAAAGCTAGATTACACAAGTAACTTCAAGAACGTACCTCACATGTGATAATTTTGGAGGGCTCACCACTAAATAACGTAACCTGCACCGTAGATTATCATTTGTCGCCTAAAGTACTCCAGAGTCGGATCTGAGTGTTGTGTAAACCCCATTACAGCAGAAACAGAGGTGTAAAATGCTTGAAACCGTATTTAAATAAACCGAACTACTTTTAAGTCAAGTGAGTCAGGCTGAACTACTCGTGTTTTTCAATGTATTATATTTTCTTGATTGCTTCTTCTCATGTCACTTGTGCAAAAAAAAAAACCAGAAGTGCCATCAAGTTTATCTTTCAAAACCAACCCTGTAACAAAAAAGCTGCCCTGCATATCTCACTCTGAAAACAGCACTGATGAGCCGTGATCTAAATGAGTATCCTCTTTTAGATATTCCCATGCCATTTCAGTATCAACTGAAAGAACTTGACGATGGCGATGCCGTGGCGATGCTTAATTTGTTGAAAAGCCGTACGCCCGACAGCAGATCGATGAAAAGGAAGCTTATCTCGGGCGATGACAGGGATCACGACGCGAAGAGGTCAAAAGTCAATGAGCAGACCAGTCCCAACGCCGGTTTACCAGAGGATATCGTGCCCACGCCGACAGTTGAGGCCAGGTTGAAGTTCGAGTTGGAAGATGAAAATACAAACATCAAAGGGTCCTCTTCTCGTGAGAAAATTCAGCCGGACAACGCTAGTCTGCCTTTCTCTAATCAACCATTACAACTATCATGCATTACTGGATCTTCTGGAGATTCTCCAGTTGCCCTCCCTAACAACAGCGTTGTGACAGTAGCGAGTCAAACAGATGAAGCCTTGCCGCTATCACCCATCGCATCTCCTAGCTATCCTCCTTCTGAAAACTCAGATATATCCCAACATGCTGATTTTACGAGCAACTATTTAAGCACAATCGCTTCAACGGCCCACTCACAGCTTACTCCTGATGCTTACAAGAACCTCATTTTCCAGCTCATTAGTAAGATGAACAGAAGCGGTCTTTCCGATTTGGGAACTCTTATTAAAGATAATTTGAAGCGCGACTTCATCGGTTCTCTTCCCTTAGAAGTGTCGATCAAAATTTTGACAAACCTTGGCTTCGAAGATATCGCCACTTGCTTGGGAGTGAGCAAATCTTGGAACAAACTTATAAACAGCACATCATACTTATGGAGAAGATTGATGGTAGTAGAAGGTTTTCTTTCGGCAGAGGAGTTCAAAAAATATTGCGAAGCTGTTCCTCATAATCAAGCTACTTCTGCAAATTTAGAAGATAGATTTCGCTTAAGCTTCCTGGAGAATCGAGCATATTTGAAAAATTGGTACAGCCCATCTTACAAGCCACATAGAACTACTTTGAAGGGCCACAGTACGAGCGTGGTTACTTGCTTACAATTTGAAGATGACTACGTGATTACTGGTGCAGATGACAAAATGATTCGTGTTTACGATGCGCATAACGAGCGTTTTGTGACCCAGTTAAGTGGCCATGATGGAGGAGTATGGGCACTCAAATATGACACTGATGGTATTCTTGTAAGCGGTTCTACAGACCGCAGTGTCCGTGTTTGGAATATTGAATTGGGTAAGTGCACGCACATTTTTAGGGGTCATACCTCCACAGTTAGATGTCTCGATATTATAGAACATCAAGGTCAAAAATTTATCGTGACGGGATCAAGAGACCACACGCTTCACGTCTGGAAATTGCCTTCGGCAAGTACTAACGACTCATCTCCCGACGAATGTGAGATTTACAATACCACTGATTCAAATCCATATTTTGTGGGCGTTCTCAGGGGACACATAGGGTCTGTACGGACGGTATCTGGTCATGGTAATATTGTAATCAGTGGATCTTATGATCACAATCTCATGATATGGGACATTGCGAAGATGAAGTGTTTGTATGTTCTGACCGGCCACACGGACAGAATATACTCTACCATTTACGACCATAAAAGAAATCGTTGCATATCAGCCAGCATGGATATGACGATCAAGGTCTGGGACCTTGACCGTGTTCAAAACAATGGTCATTGCTCGATGATAAGCTCAACGACAAACCCATGCATAAAGGTTACTGGGTCAATGCTAACACTTCAGGGACATACGGCTTTAGTGGGATTGCTTGGGCTGTCGGATAAATTTTTGGTTAGTGCAGCCGCCGATGGTTCTTTACGTGGATGGGATTCTAATGACTACTCTCGAAAATTCGCTTACCACCATGCCAACTTAAGTGCTATCACAACATTCTATATGAATGACAACCTCCTGGTGAGCGGCTCAGAGGGGCAATTTAATGTATACAATCTCCGCACCGGAAAACTTATATATTCCGATTTGTTGAGTGACGCAGATCAGATTTGGTCCGTGAAGTTCAATAATCGGAAGCTTGTCGCAGCGGTGGAAAAGGATGGGAAGAGTTTTGTTGAAATACTTGACTTTGGAAAGGATCTGCGAAACTACCAACGTATAGACGAGGATTCTACTGACATTAAACAAACGCCGACTTCCGGAGTCCAGGATGATGTAGGAGAGCATAATTACCACGAGTCTCGTTCTTTTCATTTCCCAGGTCCGCACAATAACGAAAATGCATAATTCTATGTGATGTCTTTAGCATGCTTCTCGTAAATAATAGTTCTATAACATTCGTATTTCAATCAAGCCGGTGCCATAACCACCCTGCGCGCTTCACAACATACGTACTTCACAATCCTTACAAGATAACTCACTCATGAGTAGGGTACCAGTATTATCAATATTGTCAGTAATAGCATAGTGCTTTTTAGGAATGTCACAACTATTTCGACTGCGATACACACATGCGCAAAAAATTAAACTAGCAACAATCATCCAAGATTGCACCACAAGAAGGAAAACGACAAGATTAGACAGCCTGGCTATAATATGAAAACTTTCTAATTTTATGTGTTTCGAAAATATACAGTAAGCTAACGTGGTTTCAACTACTAAAGCAACTATAGCCTTAAGTCCGGCTCCTAGCATGTTAAATCTTCGAAAAAATCATGTAATCAAGCTACAAGCGAACTCTCGGCACTTGCTAAGTGATAATCATGCAATTGAAGATGTTTCGACGAACCACAACGTTTACAGTATGTTTTAAATGATAATGTAAGAATTTGCGGATCACATGATTCCAACGGTCAAAACTGGAAGTAAAGGTATTCTTCCCAAAATGGAAGTCTTAATATCAAAAGTGGGTGCAAATGCAAGAGAAGCCAACGCATCGGCAAGAACAAAGTTAAGATTACAGCTACAATAGCTACCTTGTACAATACGATCACGTAGTCAATATCAAGGACCACTGTTCGTCATGTCTCAAGTTGGATCGTCCACATCTATGCTCCGTAATAGATCTCCTCGCATGAGACTGACTGCAGAGGAAAGAGTATTTGGGCCATCATTTTACCCCAGAGGAAGAAGGGCACTTGGATCCAAATATACTTGGGGTCTTCTGGCTAGTGCAATCCTTGTGGTGTTATCAGCTGGTGCGATTTTCCTCTTAGGAGTCAACATTGTAATAGAGTATCGGACTATTGTGCCTGAAGATCGGTCAGGCATGACCCGAAAAGCAGGCTACATTGTTTTGAGTGCTATGGGAATTTATGCTTTACAAACATTGAATGTTTGGTTTTACAAGAAGGTTCGTGCTGCTGCATCGAGACAGCCTAATTACGATAGACTTCCCACCGAGGTTGAAAGCTACGAGATGTCAGATCGCTCGTGAACTTTTTTGGTTACATATATAGCATTAGAGTAGAATTTTCTCGAAACTCTGGCGACGTAGATGCCATTAATGAGTCTACTCGTGTCATTGGTATGTAAGAAGTCATAGTGTATCTCTTATTTACCTCATCGAACTACTTATATCCTGTTAATATTCCTTGATACGATCTTAACCGATAGGCGACGCGTCAACAGAAAAAAATAGGAACGGCGCGCCATCTTGAAGACGCGCTCTTCAAACAAATTTCGCCATCGTCGACGACCAGACCATTCATAGCAATGGGAAAACTATTAGGGTTGGAGCTCAACAACTTCAAGTCCTATAAGGGTACAGTACGCATCGGATTTGGCGATTCCAACTTTACAAGTATCATAGGTCCTAATGGTTCAGGCAAATCAAACCTTATGGATGCTATATCATTTGTGTTAGGCGTCAAAAGTAGTCACCTAAGGTCTCATATGCTGGCAGATCTGATCTATCGTGGAAGTGTATCTCAAAATGCTGATGATGAAGATATCGCGGGTGGTGGGCAGCTTGGTCAAAATCCAACTTCCGCTTATGTCAAGGCCTTCTACAGCAGAGGCGAAGACGAAGACGAAGCAGAGCTCATTGAGTTGACGAGAATAATCACAAATGCACAAGATAGTGTTTATAAGATTGATGGAAGAACTGTTAGTTTCAAACGCTATTCGGAATTCTTGGAATCAGAGAATATCCTCATTCAGGCTCGAAACTTTCTGGTGTTTCAAGGTGACGTTGAGCACGTAGCTTCTCAAACACCTGCCGAGCTAACAAAATTGCTAGAACAAGTCTCTGGGTCGATCCAGTATAAAAAGGAGTACGAAAGGTTGAAAGAGGAATTAGAGAAAGCACGTACTGCTACTTCCGAACTGCTTCAATCGAGGAAAAGGGCACATGCAGGTGTGAAGAGCTTTAAAGAAGGAGTCAATAAAGATGAAGAGTTTAGGAAACAATCTACGGAAAGGGAGAATTTACAAAGGCAATTGTCCTTGTGGCAGTTATTCCACTTAGAAAGCCAGAGAACTCAGTTAACCGAGAAATTGAAAACCTGTAGGCTCAAATCGACTGAAATTAAAAATAAACTCGCCAGTGAGGAAAAGCTTCTCCAAAAATCGAGGACTTCATATGCAAAGGAGGAGATAAAGGTGACGAAACGCAAAACAAATATCAATAAAATCATGGAAACTAGAGATGAGCTAAATTCAGCACTGTTGCCCATCAAGAGTTCGAAAAATGCTTGTAGCAAAAGAATTAATTCGATTGAGAGGAGAATTGATTCTTTAAAGAGAGACATCGAGAGGCAAGAAGCATCAGTAAAACAGTTTGCTCATCAACTCAAGGTCGTAAATAGAACAAAAGAAGCATTTGAACGTGAAATTGAAGAAGCTTCTCGAGCATTTGGTAAGTTCAAGCTAGAGGATGGTGATCTTAAAGAGTATGAAACGTTGAAAGAACTGTTTCTGAGCTCAGGTGGATCTGCTTTGGAGGAAAAGATAGCCTTAAAGAAAAATGATATGGAAGAAACTCAAAACGAAGTGAGTCTCTATCAAAAGAGAATTTCCACTTCTGAGGTAAAAATAAATGAAGTACTGAACGTAGAGATCGAGGAGTTAAAATCTCAAGTTGAAGAATCTACCCAGAACCTGAATGATAAGAACTCATCTTTATCTAAAAAAGTAAAAGATTTAAAGGCATTACAATCAAAGGCAGAATCAAGAACAAACAAGGAATATGAGCTCAACTACAAACTTAGAGAAATCCTCAAGAAGCTTGATGATATGAATGCGGACCAAAGGGAGAGTAACAAAGACCGCAAGTTACGTGAAAACGTTTCGATTCTCAAAAGGTTATTTCCTGGCGTGAAGGGCTTGGTCCACGATTTATGCCATCCCAAGAAAGATAAGTATGCAATTGCTGTTTCTACCGTATTAGGTAAAAATTTTGATTCTGTTATCGTGGACAGCTTTGCCGTTGCACAGGAGTGCATTTCCTATCTTAAAAAACAGCGCGCAGGTATAGTGTCATTCATTCCTCTAGACACAATTGTTGTGTCAAGGCCAGCAATTCCCTTCAATGACGTTAAGGGTTGTGTTTTGACCATCGATGCTATAGAGTACGAAAATCAATTCGAAAGAGCTATGCAGTATGTTTGTTCAGATTCGGTCATTTGTGACAATTTATCTGTCGCAAAGGATTTGAAATGGAATCGCGGCGTCAGCTCGAAAATGGTTACACTTGAGGGTGCTATAATTAATAGGTCAGGACTTATGACTGGTGGTGTTTCCAGGAATTCGAGCAACAGATGGGATAAAGAGGAGTATCAAAGCTTAATGTCTTTGAAAGATCAATTGCTCGCAGAAATATCAGAATCTTCCTTGGAAGGGAGGTTAGAGGTGGAGAAATTGAGAACACTAGAAAATGAAATATCATTCACAAATGCAGAAGTTTCAAACCTCAGAACTTATCTCGCTCAATTCAAGCGTGCTGTAGATGAAAAGAACACAGAGGCCCATTATCATAACGATTTGATAAATAATGACTATCGTCCAAAACTAGCTCAATTACAAACGACAGTTGATGAGGATAAAACTGCAATAACAGATTTGGAAGTAAAGAGGTCTAAGTTACAGGAATCGATTTATTATGAGTTCACCCAAAAAGTCGGATTCTCCATCTCAGATTATGAGAAACATTCTGGTGAAGTAGTTAGAGAACAAGGTGAACAGCTACGTCAATTACAGAAGCAAATTGTCAATGTCAGGAATAAGCTTGAGTTTGAGCAAGAACGACTAGCGGCAACGAGAGTACGTTATGAGAAAGTGCTGGACGATCTCAAGAAAGCTTCGGAAAATTTGAAGTCTTTAGAAAATGATGAAAAACGGGTTTTAGAGGCCTTGAAGGATTGTGAAAGAGATTTAAACGCAGAGCAGAGTGAAATTGATGATCTTCTAATCAAGCTAAATGAAAAATTGCAAGGTATTAAGGCTATGGACGAATCTGTCGAGGAAATGACCGGTATCTTACATCGCTGTAGGAAAGAAAAGGAATTAATAAAAGAAGATATAGACAAGATAAGTCTCGAAAGGGCTAATCTGTTGAAAAATTGCAGGATGCTCAACATTGCTCTTCCTGTAATCTCTTCCTCGCTGGATGATCTTCCCATGGACAAGCTTGATACGGCTACAATCGAGGTTGCAAATAACATTCAAGTCGACTACAGCGATTTGGAAACAAAATATCGGCAAAGTAGTGATGAAAGGATAGGAGAAAAGATACGAAAGTCGATTCGGGAAATTGACGAGATTTTGACAATTTTACAACCTAATTCTAGAGCTGCCGAGAGATACGAGGATGCCCAGGCCAAGTATGATGCCATTTTCAAAGAAACAGAAAAATCCAAGGCTCAAGAAAAGCGTGTCTGTGCCGAATTCATGAAAGTTAAACAATTAAGGAAGGAAGCTTTCGAAGGAGCTTTCAATCATGTGAAAGAGCATATTGATCCGATATATCGGGATTTAACGAAAGACCCTCGATCGACAGCACAGTTAGCAGGCGGGAACGCCTCTCTTACCTTAGACGATGAAGACGAGCCATATCTCAGTGGAATTAAATACCACGCGACGCCACCCTCAAAAAGATTCAAAGATATGGAATATTTATCGGGGGGCGAAAAAACTATTGCTGCTCTGGCCCTGATTTTCGCTATCAACTCATTCCAGCCTAGTCCCTTTTTTGTTCTGGATGAAGTGGACGCAGCTTTGGATATTTCAAACGTCGAAAGAATCGCTACCTATATAAGGAAGCACGCACAAGCAAATTTACAATTCATTGTCATTTCATTGAAAAATACAATGTTCGAAAAGTCTCAGTCTCTTGTCGGCGTGTTCAGACAGCAGAAGGAGAACACTTCCAAAGTATTAACCCTGAACTTGGATCAATACTCTGATTAGTTTCCACTTCGTTTATATTGCTTTCATAATAGGATTTAATACTGTATCATGTGCAAGTATAATCTGTCCATAGGAATGACAAAAGAAAGAATTAAGGGGTGCTTTCTTTTGAATCAATTGTAGTCAAGCGTTCCCCTCATCAGAAAAGGCATCCTCAACTTCACAAAGCATATTCAGTGCTGAATAGATAAGAGGAATTGACTCACTTGACTTTTGCATTATTGAGAGGAGATTTAATCGCTGAACTCGTGTAAACTGTGAAAAAAATTTCGTAACATGGATGATGATATCAGAGCGCCAATACCTAGCAGACAGATAAGACTGTCGCAATTGAATCTGGCTAGAATGAAGACGGTTAGATCGAGCTCAAGCTCAGATAACTTAGATTCAAAGAGATCAAAATTGGCACCAGGAATTACACCTTTAGCGTCTATTCCACGACCAAGATCGGCAACGCCACTGAGAAATGAAAGATTATTTAACGGTATGGACTCTGATGACTTATTGAAGAAAAGATTGAAACATTATAACTTGGATTATGTGGCAAACAAACAAGAGCATTTGAAGCAAATCTACGATCCACGGTCTAAGTGGTTTAGCAGAGACGTAAAACCGAAATTTTATGTGGAGGACTGTCTTCCTTATAAAACAGAAACACACACTGAGCAGGCAAAATATTTATGTCATGTTCTGGTTAACCTTTATATCGCCATCTGTTCGCTTGATATTCAGGGCTTAATTTCAATCTCCAGCAGAGACCTTGCGGGGTTAAAGAGAGATATCGATGATCTGGCGTTAAATACAGACCTATTTCAACTTTCCAACGAGGAGGAGACATCATTGAATGACATAGGAAACTTTGATGAAGATGAAGATGAGGATGATAGTGACGATTTTGATCTAGCTGGCCCTAACTTTAACGCCACGGGTAAAATTACCGCGAAATCCGCCACAATTATTAATGTAAATCATTGGACTAATGAATTAAAAAATTGCATGCATTTTGATATTCCCATCAGTTTAAGAAAAGTTTTAGCATCAGTCTACTATAGTCTGTCTCTCGTTCAAGGCCAAAAAATTTACAGGCAGATGCACGTTGACCTCTTTGAAAGCTTGGTCAACATTGATGATGAAGGAACGAATTTCACCAAGCTTTTACTAGAAAGCGGACTAGAACTAGACTATAGGCCAATGCTAAAGTTTTTAAATGAGTTTCTACCTTACCCTGAGGTTGATTTTTCTCGATATGATATTAGTTGTAAAGCTGACCTTCAATTATTCAGACTACTCCTGAAGCTAGCTCATTTATCCAAGCCATTTTACGGTACAAAGGATAAGGAAATTTTACAAAAGACAATCGACTATTTTACCTCAAGTCTTGCTCCAGCTACTGTATCGTGTGTCCTTCCCATTATAACTTCGTTCGTCCCATACAGTTATCATGAAAGCTCAAAAATTACAGATTATTTTCCATTAATGTTTACTCTGTGGACCACCACAGATCCATCGGTGGTTTTTGATACGCATTTTTATGATTTTATTGGTTGCATTTCAGAAGATGCTTACATTAAATTGATCCGAGAAAAAGCCCCTGACCTTGTGACGAAAGGCAAACTCACTTTTGGTGAGTTTGGACTACTCACAGAAGAACAAATGAGCTTTATATTCAATAGAATTCAGAATCATTTGAGAACGGATTTTCAGATAGTTTCTTTTGCAAGAACGGTTCGTCCGCTCATCTATTCAATCAATGGATCAAGTTCGGACAATTTTTTTTCCAAGTTAAAAGGATTAATTACCTCCATCGGAACCTTTGCTCATCCTTCTAACAGTGGTACATGGACGAAAGTCATAGCAAAGTTTATTCATGGATTTATCAAAATGTATCACGAGCGGGTGAAACTGGAGCTCAGCGAAAAATCTAGATATAGATCACATCTAAACCTCCAGGCAGATTCACATTTGAAGATGGTTGAAATATTTCTTGATATTCTAGTGTTGGGCTCTCAGAATAAGAATTCGGACATGGCAAATTACTATATCTCCAGTTTTGCTTACCTTTTGGATATCAATTCCGAAAATAAATATTTGATCTTCGATAAGATTATGCTAGATCTTTATGATTCACTCACAGATCAGTATGTCAATTCGGTTCACCGAGTCATTGCCTCACTGAAACAGTTCACAAGGATCGTGCGTTTCATGGTTACCGAGCCGTTATATCGAGTCCACATTACAAATATTTTATCAATGTTAGTCTCTAAAATTGATTTCAATGATATCTCTCTTACGAGCAACGTTGCGAACTGTATTGTATCCATCGTGTCTTTCATCCCACTCGAGAACCTCGTTTCCGAGAATGACTATGCCACTTTTGAATCTAATACCATTCCATTTACACAAGAGCATCTTTATTTTTTGAAGGAAGGTCAAAATTCTGATACTTTTCAGTATGATTCCAAGATTTTGGACGCAGCATTCCGAGGATCTACTACTGTTTTTGAAAACATTTTAAAAGTTTACATCGATAAAATTTTTCAGCTGGTTGATATTGATCTTGAAGACGGCTTCACTACTAAGATCAATCAAACTACTATGATTATGATGGAATCGATGTGTGATGAAATTTTTACAGTGTTTAAATCAGCATTAGAAAGGAAGTTTTGGGAAAACGACTCATTCAAGGAAAAAAATCCAAATTATGAATTAGTGACAATTCCTTTGGCAGCTGCTGTTAGGAGGGATAGAGAATTTGGTAAGAATCTTTTTTCTTCCCTATCTTTCCATATTCGAGAAGAGATCAAGAGAGGTGCAGGGTCAGTCAGAAGCTCATCTGAAATTCAACCAAGAGATATAAAGCTTGTTACCTACTTAACTGCACTGAATGATATTTTGAGAGAATCACACGAATCTATGTTGGTGTACAGTGATGAACTTATGGATCTTTTATTTTACATTTTCGACAACGTAACAAATCCTCCTTTGGATGTTCATACTTCCATGATTGTTCACCATGTTTTGGCTAGTCTGACCGTAACCGAGGTGGTAGATTACAGACTATTTCCCTCTAGCTCAACGATACCGAGTTCAGAGAGATGGGGGGGGATGCAATTCGATGATCGTAAATTTTCAAAAGAAAATCTCACTTTTGAGTGGCATGTTCCATCTGAGGATGAGATAACCTTTGCAATTAAGTTGTTACAAAATTTGGTCGACTACTGCATTAATCACGTTGAGGATATGATGAAGAGTCCGAAATCCGACTCAGAATATAGTGATAAACTAAAAAAATTCATTCTCATCATTGCGCATGCATTATCAGGTTCCAGTTTACTTTTTGATCCAGACTTCAATAAAAATAAATCTCAAGTGTTGCCTATGGACACATATAAGAGAAAACTTTTACTTTTGAAGAGCATCAGAGATGAGCGATGTGATAGTCAAGAGCTTAATATTGATATTGAACAAATTCGAGCAGAAAACACAGACGAGGAGATTAGTCTGGGGACCTCAGACCTTTCTGATGAAGCACTAGATGAGATTCGCATCACCGATGATGATTTTAAAGATCATGATAGTGAAGTAATACTTGACGATGTTGATATGTCTGCAGTTCCGTCTGGTGTGGGAACCCCAGAGCCTGGCTTTCATGTGAGTTTAGAACAAAATTCTGCTATGAGTAGTTCATTGGCTTTTAGGGATCTCGACATATATGCTTGTAATTACTTTTTTGGTATGGGCTTCGAGCAGAAAATGAATCATCCTTTGTATTTGACGGTACATGAGATACGAACTAGAGTTGGTCTTTTTTTTCACAAAATGTTCAAATTCTTCAATACAAACTTCGAAGATAACACGATTCTCTTCAAGATTCTTCTTCACGGGCTAAAAGTATGGTTCACCGACGTTGGCCAAGAGACGATATTTGATGACGATCCAGGAGCCACTTTAGATCTCGAATTCCTTGAAAACATCCAAAATTTGGCTCATTTAAGTGAGCCATATACACGTACATGTTTAGCTGCGAGGGCCCATACTTTTCATGAGGCAAGAGTCCTTTTGCACTCAACCAATCGAACTCCCTCTAGACTTGAAACTCTTCTTCTTAAGGATACGATAAAGCTTTCGATGTCTCTCTATCCTAATATCTATAAGCCGGCTCAGGGATGTATGGCACATGCGATGAAACAGCTCATTGGCTCTTACTCGGTGGTGATGAAGAAAACTGTGAGCTCTTTGAAAGAAGCGATGGACAAAGCAGAGTATATGAAGGTTGAAGTTATACTTCAGATTTTACTGATTAAGAAAATTCACCGTAAGCTTATGGCAGACTATAAAAATTTGAAACCAGTTATCGATCTATTAATCAAGGCTTGTTTAGTCAAAGACTTGAATGTTTCTATTTACGCTGACAAGATTTTGACTGATATTTCAATTTCTCTAAAGATCCCTTCTAGCGTTTGCCTGCTGAATCTTGAAACTCTTCATGGGCTTGAGCCAGCAGATGATTCTATTAATCAGCAGATTAGAGCTGTTAGAAAGGCAAAGGAGAAAAAAAGAGGCTATTATGTCTCGCTACTTTCTCAGCTTCAAGATGATTTAATCACACTATTGGGCTCTGAACAAGAACTTGGGTGGAAAATTCCATTATTTGCGATAAAACTTCTTTCCAAACTACAATCTAGCTTTGAGCTCAAGGCGAGCACAAAAGCGCTTGTGGGGATTCTAAGGCTGACCAAAACGAAACATCCACAAATTGTCCATTTATCCATTAGGTCCTTTTTGAGTATCTGCAATAAAATTACGAATCTTGCAGATTGTCATTATGATATAAAAAATGTATTCGATTGGAATTTCAATCGAGATGAGGTTATCACTCTGGAAACTAAAGGAGGTAATTTTACGGAAACCTTTCGAAGGGAAATGCAGAACTTCGATTCACCAAGCTTTTATATTGATTCGAAAGCTTTTGTTGGCTACGTTGCATGGGGAAGAGAGTTGAAAGCAATCATGGGTAATTCACCGGCTACATTCAACGTGAATACAGAGGATTTCAAAGTTTTGAAAAGCTTTGGCGAGAAAATAAACCAAAAGTGGTTATTAGAAATTTGTAAAATCCTTATTCAGGATAACGAGACAAGAGGGGTTTTTAGCAGCTCTAATGTTGAGTTCTTTGCCTTAATCGTGGCTTTGACCTCTAATGATTATACTAACATCACGTATGATAGCGTTTTGGACTTATGTGCATCAATCTACGACAGAGATGACAAACCTTCCATGATAATGTCAGTAGAAATATTGGCAGGGTTGTTAATAGGATCGAGGTTTACATCTGAAGAAAATTTGGTGAAGAGAGATAAATTTTTAGATGAGTTCTTGAACTCTTGTTTGGATCACGAGTTAAATCAAGATGCTGTTGACATTTGGTCAATTCTTTGTTGGTGGGTACCCAACTCCGTTGATTTGAGACGCTGCGCTCCTCTGTTCAAGAAAATTGCCGGCATAAAAGATTTACTTGATCCTACTTCTGATTCTTCTGCAGATCAGGCAGCAAAACTTCTGCTGCTAAAAAATACAATGGCTACCTTGGGCTTCAGAGCACCTTACGTTGAAAAAACTTTATCTTTCCTTGTGTTCGATCATCCTTATGATCAAGTGCGCCAGGCTGTGTCTAAGCTTTTTGCTGTTCTTATCCAAACTCGTGCCAATCCCTCGTTTGGGAGTGTTCCGGAACTCCTTGAAGATACCGTTAGCGATTCTGGTCTTGGACGTTCAATAAAACATCTCCCGGTGTATTTTGATGAACAAATACGGACATTGTTCAGCGAAATTGAGAAAAGTCGGCTTGAAATTATCGACTATTCTCCAAACGAAGTCCTGAAGACCAGGTACTACTACCTGGCATCTACAATGATGTATTGGCTAATGGAGATGATGAGAAGTCATAACAAAGTCATCATAATAAATTATGTCGAAAATTATATCGCCCCATTTTTGATGCATCTACTGCGATTAAAAGAGGTTTGCACCCTTGCAAATCTTGATCCTGCAAGATGCTATGTTGCGATGTCATTCTGGCCACTAAGGAAGGAACACACGGCTATCATAGTGGATATGATAAGTGAAATGAAGCTCTCTACCTCGCATGAGCTTCGTGTCCAACTCTCTTTCGTGGAGCATTTCTTTTCCAACAACATACAACAACTGTCGGAAGAAGAGAAGGAGATGATTTTGAAATTTGTTGTTTCAAATATCTACAACGAATCCTTTGTGGAGGTTAGGTTACGGGCAGCGGAGGTCTTATCAGGTCTGATTCATAATTATAGTGAAAATGACAAGATTCACGAACTCATCATTAGATTTGAAAAAGGTCTTGGGAACTACACATTCAAAGAGAAGAAAGAGCTATCGAAGACCGACATAACGGTGCATAGTTCGATCATTGGTCTTGGTGCGGTTATTTCGGCATTTCCGTATGTATTTCCTTTACCTTCCTGGATACCTGAACAGCTAAGCAACCTATCTTCTTGGGCGAGAACTAGCGGAATTTCAGGCCTAGCCGCAAAGGACATTATAAGTGACTTCAAAAAACTGAGAGCAGATACCTGGCATTTAGATCGTCATGCATTCACCACCGAGCAAATTGAGGATTTTGAAGGAGTACTGTGGAGAAGTTACTACGCATAGATGTTTTTAATAAGCGAATATTGATAGCTCGTGAATCTTAGTGGTAAAGCTCCATCATACACAGCCCTCTATCGTAGTTAAATAATTGTATACCACCAACTGTTCAATCATTTGACCTTATCTACCGTGTGCAGTGCTTGCAAAGGGCGCGGGACGTTTTTACGACGCGCAACTGGAACCTGAAAACGATTTCCCCCCATTCTGCATAGCCAAACACAAAGCAGCAGTTCTCCACTCGTGTACCTGACTTTGGTTTGTGTTTAAAACAGTGAAGTATAGACGAATCGAGGCTATTAAACAACATGTCCGGGCTAAGAACAGTGTCTTCTTCGTCTGTCAATGGGAAGAGTTATGACTCCATTATGAAGATCTTACTAGTGGGCGATTCAGGCGTCGGGAAGTCATGTCTCCTCGTAAGATTCGTGGAGGACAAGTTCAGTCCATCTTTTATCACTACAATTGGTATTGATTTCAAGATCAAGACTGTGGATATCAACGGCAAGAAAGTTAAGCTACAACTTTGGGACACAGCTGGTCAAGAGCGTTTCCGGACCATCACCACCGCATACTATCGTGGAGCGATGGGTATTATTTTGGTGTATGATGTTACAGATGAGAGAACATTCGCAAACGTCAAACAATGGTTCAGCACGGTCAACCAGCATGCGAACGACGAAGCTCAGCTGTTGCTAGTAGGAAATAAGAGCGACATGGATACCAGAGCTGTGACCACCGAACAAGGTGAAGCCCTTGCCAAAGAGTTAGGAATACCCTTTGTGGAAGCCAGTGCCAAGGATGACACTAACGTTAATGAGATTTTTTTCCAATTAGCTAAGCTCATCCAGGAAAAGATTGATAACGACAAACTAGTTGGCAATTCCTCCAAAGATGGCAATGTCAATATTAACTCTAGCGGGAGTGGCACCCAATCTGGGTGCTGTTAGAGACAACAAAGATTACTACGTGTGTTGCAACGCCAATTCTTTTAATTGACATTATTTCAAGCATCTTTGTCTCTCCTTTGTTTCCATCACTATCATTGCCGCAGTAATTCCTGTGCTATATTATCATTCTTGATGCTCATACCCATTTGAAGCATCTCTGAAAGTTATATACTATTCGAACATTCTTATATGATTGAAAATTGTGTCTTTAAAATTGCTTCTAGGAAACTTGATTTTAAAACTTAAGCTCCCTTCTTCCTCTTATTATGCAAGACTTGAATTCGATAATAGTTGTAGGATCTGAGTTCGTCATAGTAGACCCTGAACGAACGAAGCATGCCTACATGAGTGTAGCCAAAGCGATTTAAAAACTTATATGACACCCAAGCATTGGCTTAAAATTTTTCCTCGGCACGTGGGCTCATTTCTGAAAAGATGATGCCTCCCCTCATAGTAATAAAAGTCGTCCTTAAGGAAGTGCAAGGTATTTACTTTGCAGGTATCCATCCGCAGTAGCGAAGATGTTGTTCGGTGTTAAATTGGCCAACCAGGTGTATCCACCATGGAGGAGCTCGTATATTGACTACGAACGTTTGAAGAAGCTGTTGAAGGAGTCGGTATTGAATGAGGATGGAATGAGTGGTCAGTCCACTAAGAACAAGAAGTCAGAAAAAGACGATTGGAGCGAAAAAGACGAGTCAAACTTTGTGTCAGCGTTAGATGCTGAGTTGGAAAAGGTTTACGGATTCCAGGTTGCTAAGTACAACGCTATTATGGAAAGGTTAGTCCGCTTGGAGAAAAAGACAGACGACGAGGAAGCCATGAAGACTCTGGACTTCAACGCTTTCCAACACATGTTGGAAGAGTCTTTGAGCGAGGCCCAGGAGTTGGATAACTTTTCCAGATTGAACTATACTGGCTTCATTAAGATCGTTAAGAAGCACGATAAGCTACACCCTAAGTACCCCTCGGTGAAGTCACTATTGCAAGTCAGATTGAAGGAGCTTCCTTTTCACTCTGAAGAGTACTCTCCTCTTCTCTACAAGATTTCGTTCTTATACAATATTTTGAGAAATAGTTTCCCTTCTATGTCAAAGTCCTTGGCCAACTCTTCTAAACTATCTAGTGTTACTAATGGGGAAGACATGTCTTTCCAAAGCTACACTTTCTGGATCCACCCGGACAACTTGATGGAAGTGAAGACAAGAATTTTGAGGCATCTGCCAGTTTTGGTCTATGCTTCTGCGCCAACTGAAAATGATGACTTGATCGATCGAATTGAATCGAGCATCCTGAATTCCAACATTTCAATGCAAACGCCATCCAGTTCTAGTAGCGTAGCTGATGGTGATGCCATAGGCAACAAAACCTATGACCCTGTGATCAGAACAATTTATTTTGATAACGATTTTTTCGAACTTTACAACAATAAGTTGCTGAAAACAAACTCTTCTCCTACTTTGAGATTGAGATGGACAGGCAAATTGGCAGACAAACCTGACATGTTTCTAGAGAAACGTATGTTTGTGGAAGACAGTGAGACTGGTATAAGTGACTTTGATGAGGTGAGATTGAAGCTCAAACCCAAATTTATCAACGGATTTATTTTCAATGGTGACGACGAGTTCAAGGAAAAAACATTGAAGAAGTTGAAAGACAGAGGTACGGTCGAGAATGAAATTGACAAGGTGAGTAACGACTTCGACAATATTAAGAAATTTGTTTTGGAAAATGAGTTGCAGCCAATGTTAAGAGCTATGTACACTAGAACCGCCTTCCAAATTCCTGGTGATGATCGCATAAGAATTACTATCGACTCTGATTTAATGTATGTCAGAGAAGATTCTCTTGACAAGGATAGACCTATTAGAGATCCTAAAAACTGGCACCGTTCCGATATAGATGCGGATGTTGCCAATCCGATGAAATTCTTGAGGCCAGGCGAATACTCTAAGTTCCCTTACTCTGTCATGGACATAAGGATCAGAAATTCTTTTGCAGACGCTAAGTCCGGCCAAAAGAGCATGATTCAATCCCAGTTGCCAAGAAAGCATGGCAAGTGGATCGAAGAACTTACGAATTCACATCTCGTCAAAGAGGTTCCAAAATTTTCTAAATACACCCAAGGTGTTGCATCTTTGTTCGGAGATGATGATAATTTGGATATGCTTCCATTCTGGTTGCCAGACTTGGAAACAGACATTAGAATTGATCCCAAACAGGCCTATGAAGAAGAAAAGAAGAAGCTGGAAGAGCAAAAGGAGAACCAAGCAAGGATTGCTAAAATAAGGAGAATTTCTGCTGTTCCAACACCTGGATCGGTCGAAACTGCTGTTGAACAATTGCAAGCTCCGGAACTTCAATCCAAATCCTCAGACGAAAGAGGAGCTGATTTGGATGATCATGAATCATCTGATGAGGATGAGTCTGACGCGAGATCCAAGAAATTGAAGAAGAAGCAGAATCGTGATGCAAACTTCTTCAGAATCCTGGCAGGAAGACAGGCAAAGCTCACAGGCGTGGATTCTGAAGAAGAGGAAGTAGAACTTCCTCCTGGTGTTAAGAAACCTACTTCCTACTTGAAAAATGCCGGTCCTGTCAAGGTTGAAGCCAAGGTGTGGTTGGCGAATGAACGTACTTTTAATAGATGGTTGTCATTGACGTCTTTAATGAGTGTCTTGACTTTTTCAATTTACAATTCGCTTAAGAGAGCCGAGTTTCCCAACTTGGCTAGATTCTTAGCCTACGTTTACTTTGGAATTACCATTTTCACTGGTGTGTGGTCTTATCGCACCTATCTAACAAGACTCACTGTTATCAGGGAGAGAAGTGGAAAGCATCTCGATGCTCCATTTGGTCCATTATTGATTGCAACCATGTTGACGATCACCTTGGTTGTCAACTTCGTCTTGGCTTTCAGAGAGGCAGCAAGCAAGAGACATGATGCGTTAAATGATGTAGCCGTGCTGACCGTTGATGAACTTCCCAGGTCTTTGGAGCGTATTTTGAACTTCGTGTTCGCCATGGTTGGAGCTAAGGTTCCTTCATCAAACTAGATTTTTTAATAAGTTGAACTTAAATAGAGTAATTGAACATTGCAAACTCGCAGTGATAGTAATAAATGTATGTAAATGATAAAGACTCATCTATTTCCGTAGATTAAGCTTCAGTTTAATGGGCTCAACCATTCTATTCACTTATTTTATGAAATTTGTATCATCGGATACGACAAAAATACAGATGTGTCTCTGATCGTACATTGTAGGAATAAAGCTATATCTTAAGAGATCTGTTTAGCCGAAACCTAATAATTCATGCTCAATAGATATTCTGAGAGCCACCATAAAAGGAGGAAAAGGCTTAATTATTATAGTCCATCATATTCGAGTATTTCGACTTTCAGCTTTTCTCATGGGCCTACAGTCTTTAATTCTCGGAGAAATACAGATTGCAACTCACATTTCACCGGTACGGTAAAGATGCCACGCAATGATGTCGTCTCTTCTAAAAATACTGAAAACTCGTGTGAAAGCGAAAGAGGGCTTTTAGATGATATAAGAGATGTGCTCTCAAATTCCAGCAAGCTGATTTTCAAATGGGTACGTAGTTCTAAGGATAACAACAATGCGCAAAGTGCTGCCGCATCAAAAGACTCGCATCCCAACGTTCATGAAAAAAGGCCGGGTACAGGAAGTCTTTTAGTACCGAATAAGCGTAAACATCTCTCTCTATCCAACGAAGAATTGTTTCTTCACAGCACTCCTCAAAAAGCTGTCTTTGGTGACGGAACAGCTGAATTGAATGAGAAGCTGGAAAAAGCCTTCACCCCTGCAAAGGAAAGCGATATTACATTTTCTTCCAAAAAGGATCCTTTTAATTGGGACAAGGTACAAGAAGAGCAAGCAAACCCGTCAGGACACTTCCAATATGGAAGTAAGTTTTTTCGGCGAAGAAACATAGAGAGACAGACCGCAAAAGGTGCAAGTAACTCATCCTATTATGAACCCAATGACGAAATTTCGTACTTGAGAATGGTTTTTAATGGTGAGTATCGGGCACCAAAGATGATTGAGGAAGAAAAAGATAGACAAATAAAACTTCTCGAAGAAGATAGGATACGAAAATCTGACAAGAGTAAAAACCCAATAACCCAATTGACAGAAAGGATTAAAGCTGTTTTGATTGAGAATAAAAATGTACCTACAAATGATGACTTGATTATTGTGAGGGAACAAAAAGCCAAATCTCCCGCCAAGTATCAGAGAAATAACTTTAATGAACAAAAATTAAAATTCGACACCAGCCTTCTAACTTTTGAAGAGGAATTCAAAAGCTACAGGAGGTTACTCGAGGAAAGGAAAAAGGTTCAGGAAGCTGTTAGACAGAAACAACAAAAAAAACTTCTACCTGAGCTTTCCGTTGAAGATCTTGAGGCATTCAAGAAGACATTGAACAGATCAGACAATAATGTCCTTTTCAATAGTAATAACATCGAACTCAAAGTCCATGATTTCAAGACCTTGGGTCCAAAAAGATGGTTGAACGACACAGTAATTGAATTTTTCATGAAATATATTGAGTCCCATACGCCAAAGACGGCCGCGTTCAATTCATATTTTTACACTACTCTTTCTGAAAGGGGTTATCAAGGCGTTCGCAGGTGGATGAAAAGGAAGAAAGTTCGTATTCAAGACTTAGACATGGTGTTTGTTCCCATCAACTTGAATCAATCGCATTGGGCACTAGGCGTCATTGATATTGGTGAGATGAAAATTCTTTACGTAGATTCGCTCTCCAGTGGTGCTAATTCTATGAGCTTTGCCATTATGAAGGATCTTCAGAATTATTTGATGGAGGAAAGCCAAGGAAAATTAGGTGAAAATTTTGAGTTGTGCCATTTAGACTGCCCGCAGCAGCCAAATGGCTTCGATTGTGGCATATATGTCTGCATGAACGCACTATATTTAAGCAGAAAGGCAGGATTGGAATTTGATTACAATAGCGTAAGGAAAATGCGCCCTTATATTGGAAATCTGATCCTTTCCGGTAAGTAGTATAACCTCTGAATAGTCAGAATACATTCAAATTATTAAGGCATCAAGAAGCTTCCTTCGTCTACCATTTCGTATACGTAATACTTCGATTCACTCTACTGATTTTCTTAGTAAGGATTGATTATCTGGACATGACTTCATTCTGCAGAGGCAACGTACCCTAATTTCGATAACGGGATGTTGAAGATTGATTGCTATTTTCTTTCCCTAAATTACAGGGGCAATATTGTTCAAGTATCAGTGAGCGGCCCAAAAGTACAAATAAATTCAAATACTTTGTCGAGAGACGACAACGACAGACTTATACATCAAGATTTTCCAGTTTCTTCGTCATGTCTTCAATTGAGCTTTCTAATACATCGACCAATTTGCCATTTTTTTCTCCAACTTCGATTTGCTTGTGGTTGTCCATGATCAACTTCTCGAGCTCCTCATTCCAGCCAAGTTCACGAGCAAGTTGTTCTGCCGCTTCATCTATGGCGCATTCAAGGACTACGTCGGACTTTCGAGGGTTGATTTTGAAATCGCCCACCACTTCCAGATTTATCAAAGCCCTTCGAACTGAAGACGGAACCTCTATAGGTAGCGATGCAAAAGGGTATACTGCTAATGATGTCCCAGCAACTACTACGAGATGATCTTCGTTCATGTCATCCAGGTCATCTTCCCAACTGTTGAAAAACTTTGGAGGCAGATTTTCACCGAAGAAGACGATATTTGGTTTTATCAAACCTTTGCACTTGCATCTAGCATACTCTTTGCCCTCTAGCATTTTATCTTTGAACACCTTCAATGGGTACTCTTTTTTGCATTCAATACAATGATTTTTAGCAAAGGAACCATGAGCTTCAATAATATATTCATCTTTAATCCCAGCGCTTCTCTCCAGAGTGTCAATGTTTTGTGTATAAACTCTCTGGAGCCTGTCCTTATCTTGAAATAAACGCAACAGATAGTGAAACTTCGACGGCTCAAAATTTCCTGGATATAACTCCTTGGCCAAGGTATAAAATGGCTTGGGATTTTCTGAAAAGTAGTCTATGTCAAAAACTGCTTCTGCAAAAGGCAAATTTAGTTTTGCCAAATTATCATAGAGTCCGGTGCCAGGTGTTCGAAAGTCAGGAATACCACATGAAGTTGAAATACCTGCACCTACTAGAAATATAACCTTACCGTTGGGTTTCTTGAGAAGATGCTGCGAGATTCTTTTGATCGACTCGCTTGTTTTCTTATCCATCTCTATGTGAAATATAGGCTAAAGATGTACATCTCTCCCTCCCAATCTTCGAAGGGCTCTTTCATGAATCTCTCGTAGAATCATACAGTTTCTGAGCAAAAAAATCGACCTCGGTGAGGATTGAACTCACGATCTTGCGATTAACAGTCGCACGCCTTAACCAGCTTGGCCACGAAGTCCTATTACGCGGAAGGTTTCGTTTGATTTATCAATTTCAACTCACAATGAGCTACTCCTTCGTGTCATGAAACAATAAGATCTTGAGGTACCTCGGAGATACCAAACTGAACCTCAAACATAAGTGAGGATCGATACAAGTTCCCAATCTATAGCTATAAATATTACGAAGCCCTGAGGATACGATGAGACTAAATAGAAGAGGAACAAGGCTAAGTATAACTCATTTCATTAGTTTCAAGAACGTCATAACTAGTTACGACATCTGGTAGCGCCGCTCGAGTAACGATTATCATGGAGAAAGAAAATGATGTGTTGACAGGAAGTGGTCCTATATTCAAAGGAACAGATGGCATTAACGAACTTCCTGAATTCTTAGCAGCCCTACGATTGTGGTTTGTTAGTAAGTCAATTGAAAAAGATGACAAGAAAGTAAGAGAGTTGATTGGCAGATTAAGAGGAAGTGCCATAGACTGGTTTGATGGATTTTCAGAAGTCAACGATATCAACGAGACTACATATGAACAGGTAACAACTTCTCTACAAGACTATTATGGTTGTACGGTCTCAAAGTTCTATCTTTGGTCTCAGTTCATAAAACATAGACAAAGTGGTTCCTTAAATGAGTATAACACTAAATTTAGGAATCAAGTAAAGTTATTTTCTGAGAATAATCGACCTGACAAAGAGATACAGTTATTACAGTACGTTCATGGCCTAAGGGCAGGGACTAGAGAGTATATTTGTAGGAACAACCCTGAAACTATACTAGAAGCTCAACGACTAGCAAATTTGTGGGAATTGGCCGATGAACCTACCAAAAGCCAAGAGACACCAAGGTCCACTTTTGATTTCAAAAGAGGTGCAGGTAGAAACCCCAAGGGAAGCAACGAAAACGACAGTAACCGATGGAAAACTCGTCGACTCAACGGGAATCAGCAACATCAAGGAGTAACGCCCCGCAGAAATACAGCGGAGCCTCAACTTTGTTTACTTGCAACAAACCGGGTCATTACAGTGGGCAATGTCCTGAGAGGAGTGGATTTGACAGAACGACGTTTCTTATAACACCTCAATCTGAATATGATGAACACCTGTATAACCACGAAAACGTACTGGAAAGACATCAACAGCAGAAAGCGCAACTTCCCAAGACAGGGAACCGAAAGGAGATTGAAATAGAAACAAACGAACGAGTTAAGGTTAAAACCATATTGGACACAGGTGCTCCAACATCATTCGTTCACAAGAATTTAGTAAGAAGACTGGAACTACAGTGTGTACCAGTACCATTGTATAGATTCAAAGGAGCACTACCACTCCACATTGGAAGCGCACAAAAAGCAGCTATGGTAAAATTCACTTATCGAAGAAAGCGTTACAATGTGCAATGTTACGTGACAGAAGATCTCACTGCGCAACTAATCATAGGCAATCCGATCTTGGAAGAGTTCCCCGAACTCATGAGCACGGAAAACAAGGAAGCGATCAACAAGGAAGGTCTGGAGATTGACCAAATAGAGGATAACGACATACAAGATCAGTATGAAGGAGATACCGAGATTTTCACTGTACAGCTAGAGGAAAATGAATGTAACAGAACCGATGACACTTTTAGAAGGTTACCAGAGAGCTTACAGGCAAAATATCGAACGACAGTCAGGAATGATCTACCACCGCGAGAGGAACATATGGGAAAAGTACAACACGAGATAAACACTTTACCAGACAAACCACTCCCTAGGTTACAACCTTACAGACTAACACCGAAGAACGAGCTTATTGTCCAAAACTTGGTGGCCGAACTCATCGAGAAAGGGTTCATTGTACCATCCAAATCTCCCTGTAGCTCCCCAATTGTCTTGGTCAAGAAGAAAGATGAGTCATTTAGACTTTGTGTTGACTATAGACAGTTGAATCGAGCTACTGTAAAGGATCCATTCCCTTTACCACACATAGAGACATTACTGGGAAAAATTGAAAATGCACAGTGGTTTTCCACTATTGATCTGCACAGCGGATACCATCAAATACAAGTTAAACAAACCGACCAGTATAAAACGGCATTTGTAACACCCTCTGGGAAATATGAATACCGTGTAATGCCTTTTGGACTGGTAAACGCACCTAGTACTTTTGCGCGATATATGGCCGACTTATTTCGTGGAGTTCCATATGTGTGTGTTTACCTGGACGACATTTTAACGTTTTCAGAGACAGAAGAGGAACACTGGAACCATTTAGATCATGTTTTAGGTATCCTAAAAAGGGAGAGTTTGATAGCGAAGCTCAAGAAATGCCATTTCTTCGAAGAAAAAGTGGAGTTTTTAGGATACCAACTGAGCTATAATGCTATCCGGCCCATTCAAGAAAAGTGCGAAGCCATCGCAGCTTACCCCACGCCAAAGACCATCAAAGAGGCACAGAGATTTTTGGGAACTATTAATTACTATCGTAAGTTCATACCACGATGCTCAGAAAAAGCAAGAAGTATTATTAAGTTTATTACGCAAGAATCTAAGTGGGGAGAAGCCCAGAATAAGTCCTTTGCAGAATTGAAAAAAGCACTAACGCAAGAACCTTTGTTAGTACCATTTAAACGCGATGGAATATATAGAGTTACCACTGACGCTTCCAAGGAAGGAGTGGGTGCAGTGTTGGAAGAAATACAAGAGGGAAAGTAGAAGGCGTCGTCGCATATTTCTCTAAATCACTACAAGGAGCTCAAAAGAACTACCCTGCAGGGGAATTAGAATTACTTGGAATCATAGAAGCATTGAGACATTTCAAGTACTTATTACATGGTAAAGAATTTACTTTACGGACTGACCATATCAGCTTACTTGCTTGCCAAGGTTTGAAAGAACCAAATCGACGCATTGCAACTTGGCTGAATGAGCTCAGTGAGTTCGATGTAAAATTAGAATACTTATCCGGCAAGGATAACGTAGTTGCTGACGCAATATCTAGAGCGGATTATCCCGATGTTATGATTCTAGACACTGTAACATCGGTAGAACCCAATCTATGGCTCGAGGAGCTGAAGGCAGATCCGCTGGGAGCGGCTGCATTACGTTTTTTGGATATCGTGGACACAGTATGTGTGTCGGACGAGGATCTAAGTGCATACGAGAAGTATCGCAAGAAGTTTCGTCTGTCCGAACAGTTTCGGCAGAAGTTTAGCTATCTGGAGGATAGGCTGTATTATGACCAAAGACTGGTCGTACCGATGTTGAGACATCGCGAGATTTTAGAGACATACCATGATCACACACTATTCGGAGGACACTTCGGCACTAATATTACTTTCGCTAAAATTGCAAATGTATATTATTGGCCCAGGCAGTACCGAACTGTGGATCAGTATGTGCGTAGCTGTTTGCAATGTCAATTGATGAAGGCACATCGCCCACGGAACCAAGGACTCTTAAAACCCTTGCAGATTGCGGAGGGCAGGTGGAGGCACTTGTCAATGGATTTTGTTACAGGACTACCCAAGACCATTGATGGTCAGGATATGATCTTAGTAGTGGTTGACCGGTTTTCAAAAAGAGCACATTTCGTTGCATGTCGAGAAACGCTAACTTCACAGGGAGTTATCGATTTACTGTTTCGATATGTTTTTGGATACCATGGATTCCCACATACTATTGTCAGTGATAGAGACACCCGATTTACTTCAGACTTATACCAACAGCTTACTAAACGCCTCGGTATTAAGCTGCTATTTTCGAGTACTAACCACCCCCAAACAGACGGACAAACCGAGCGATGCATACAAGTACTATCCCGATTGATGAGAACTTACACACAAGCAGCTGCGACCACTTGGCATACTTGGCTCCCACACATCGAGTTTGTTTACAATGCAACCTACAACACTGCCATTCATGCCTCACCATTCGAAGTCGATCTAGGATATTGCCCTAATGAACCCCTTCTAGACAACACGACACAGGGCAACGCTAGAGACACCCCAAGGACTGAACTAACGGAACAACTGCAGGCCCTAACAATGCGAACGAAGGACTACCTCATTGAAAACCAAGTAACCATGGAAACTTCGAAGAACGAGGGAAGAAAAGATATTAGGTTCAAAGTTGGAGAATGGGTCCTATTACATCGAGATTCACACTTCACAAAAACAACCCATCCCAAGACGGCCCCGATCTATTTGGGACCATATCAAATAACGAAAGTTGTGAACGATAACGCCTACGAATTGAATATCCCCAACCATCCCACTTTACACAAAGTTGTGAATGTACAATGGCTTAAGAAATACATACACCGATCAAATGAATACAATAAGGCAGTACCAACATCTTCCCTAGAAAAGATCCTACGTGGATCAGAAATAATGGAGGTTATCGGATTCGACACGTTAAACAAAAAATACTTTTGTAAAATGAGGGACGTAGACCCCACACTAACAGTTGAATACGCCGAACACGAATTCAATTCTATCCCCAATAGTAGAAGGCAAGAATTACTAGACCACTTTAATCAATCGCTCACAATCAGAACGTCCCAGCGGGAGGAGGGGGAAGATGTCATGAAACAATAAGATCTTGAGGTACCTCGGAGATACCAAACTGAACCTCAAACATAAGTGAGGATCGATACAAGTTCCCAATCTATAGCTATAAATATTACGAAGCCCTGAGGATACGATGAGACTAAATAGAAGAGGAACAAGGCTAAGTATAACTCATTTCATTAGTTTCAAGAACGTCATAACTAGTTACGACACTTCGATGTCTTAAAATCATTGCTATTATCTAGCTGCCAATACATTTTCGCTACATGGCGAAATGACAGTCTGCAATAAACGTTCACCAACCGTGAGATGTGACTGCTTCCAGATTTTGGGCCTGAAATTAGTACTACCGTAGTTATAGGATGACCGGCATGTACTCTCTCTTAATCAGATGTATTTGAAATTTTGAGACTCCTTTGGAATTGTTGGAACGAAAGACAACTATCGACCATCGACTAGTGTTCGTGTTACTAGTATATTATCATACACGGTGTTTTAAGATGACATAAAGAATGAGAAACAGTCATCGAAATTAGTGGAAGCTGAAGCGCAAGGATTGATAATGTAATAGGATAATGAATGAAAATGTATAAAAGGAACAGAAAGAGTAAGAATATTTGTAAGTAGAATTATTGACTCTTCTTTCTGGATTCTTAGAAAGAGGAGGAGAACTTCTAGTATAACCATATACCAATAATTATAGCCTTAATCAAAAATGGAATCCCAACATTTAGCTCAATATTCACCCATTTCTCAGGAATTACGTTTATGCTTGATTTCACGGTCAATTGCATCATGAAGAAAATCGAAGCAACGAAAGATGTTATCAAGCTATTAATTGTACTCACCGATGACCTCGGATATTCAGAAGACTGATCTTTTTCCGTTCTGCAACCAATAAGCGGAAAACCCGCATAAATTTTTGGATTTAATCAAGCAAATATTCAATTTGCGTTGTAACTGGATATACTTACCTTGTGTTATAAACTGGCTGGTCCAAACTTGTCTCAATGACGCATGAATCTTTGGATTTGTGCGGGTAGCTCCCAAAATCAATAGTTTTTTTTCCCATTTCATTTTCGTGAAGTTTTTCAAGTTGGTTTCTTTGCAATTGTCATTTGATATTCTGCAACATTAGATATGAAACAAAGAATTAGTTCTCTGGACTTACAGATACTTTCAAAGGAGCTCAAGAAGCAGCTTGAAGGCTATCGACTATCTAATATTTATAATATTGCTGATTCGAGTCGGCAATTTCTATTGAAATTTGGAAAACCGGACTCGAAACTCAATGTGATTATTGATTGCGGTTTAAGAATTCATTTGACCGAATTCAGTCGTCCTATTCCACCAACACCATCTGGTTTTGTTGTGAAGTTGCGCAAGCATTTAAAATCGAAAAGACTTACCACGGTTAAGAGAGTTAACAATGACAGAATTCTGGTTCTAAGTTTTAGCGATGGGATGTACTTCCTGGTCTTGGAATTTTTCAGTGCAGGTAACGTCATCCTTTTGGATTCTGATAGGAAGATCATTGCATTACAGAGAATAGTACACGAATACGAAAATAAAGTGGGGCACAAGTATGAGATGTTTGATGACAAGTTTTTGGATGATGTTAAAGTCACAATCCCTGATGTTCAAATCCATACGGAATCATCAGTTTCTGATTGGATAGAGGATGCAGCCGTTAAAGCGTCTGCCAAGTCAATTGGAGATCGGAAGAAAAGTGCCAAGATACCATCCATTCATAAGCTTCTCTTTATTCATGCGCCACATCTATCCTCGGATCTAATATCGCGAAACCTGAAAAAAAATGGATATGATCCGTCTTCATCATGTCTTGACTACCAGCAAAAACTCTCGAGCATTGTTGATTTGCTAGATTCAACTGAAAAGGAAGTCCATGAACTGTTGAGTGCAGACTCCAAAGTGGGATACATTGTGACAAAAAAGAATATCAATTTTGATCCTACTGATAGTGCGAAGAGCATCGAATATATCTACGAGCAGTTTCATCCTTTTGATCCTTTCATAGAGCGTAAAGGTAATGCAGAAGTCAAAATTATAGAAGTAAAAGGAGATTATAACAAGACGGTCGATAACTATTTCTCGACGATTGAGTCTTCAAAGTACGCCTTGAGAATTCAAAATCAGGAGCAATTAGCCAAAAAGAGACTTACCGATGCGAGACTCGAAAATGAAAAAAGGATTCAAGCTCTTAGAGACGTGCAATCATCCAACGAACAGAAAGGCCACCTGATTATAGCCAACGCAGACTTGGTGGAGGAGGCACAATCTGCAGTAAGGGGATTAGTCGAACAACAGATGGACTGGAACACAATTGAAAAAATGATAGCTAATGAACAAATGAGGAAAAACAGAGTGGCATTACTGATTCAACTTCCTCTAGATTTGAAAAACAATAAAATCACTTTAAAGTTGCCATCGATAAGAGAGTCTGCTGATGATTCTAGTTCTGAAGAGAGCAGCGGTGAGTCGGATTCCTCTGATAGTGAACTTTCGGACTTTGAAACTGAGGAACTGCAGCTGCCCTCGAAAAGTATTGAGAAAAACTCTGAGAAAAACGCACTACCGGCGTACGTCAATGTGGTGGTGGATTTCACGTTATCTTCGTTTGCGAATGCGTCCAATTATTTCAACATCAAAAAGTCTACTTTAGAAAAGCAGAAGAAAGTTGAAAAGAATGCAAGCAAGGCTCTAAAGAACATTGAACTTAAGATTGAAAAAGATCTTCAGAAGAAACTGAAGGAGTCTCATGAAACTTTAAGAAAGACACGAAAACAGTATTTTTTTGAGAAATATAACTGGTTTTTATCAAATGAAGGTTTTCTTGTAATCATGGGCAAAAGTGGGGCAGAAACAGATCAAATATATTGTCGTTATATTACAGACCGTGATGTTTACATCTCCAATAGTTTTGGAATTCAAGCATGGATTAAAAATCCTGATGGCACGGAAATTCCACCTAATACGTTAATGCAAGCGGGAGTTATGTGTATGTGTGCGTCCCCTGCCTGGTCAAAAAAAATTCAGTCCTCTCCATGGTGGTGCTTTGCAGCAAATTTGAGCAAATTTGACGCAGTAGATGGCAGTGTCCTCCCAATAGGAGCATTCCGTATCAAAGAGGAAAACCAGAAAGTGTTTTTACCACCCGCACAGCTGGTGATGGGATTCTCATTCCTATGGAAAGTTAAAGTACCTGGAAGTGAAGATTTGGATTCTGATTCCGAAGAAGTTGTAAATGATGTTGATGAGGATGAAAGCAATCGTCGAGAGGAAAAAGAATCAGAGAGATCTGATGATAAGTCAATTTCCGAAAAACTTGAGATGGCTCACATTGGTGATACGGAAAGTACTCATGGAAGCGCTGTTTCAGAAACGGGATCAGATTTAGGGGACAATGAGGTACTCACCCCAAACAATGCTCTCGATGCATCGTCGTCCAATTCCACTTTTCAGAATATCAACAGGAATATCAGAGGGAAAAGAGGAAAGTTAAAGAAAATTCAAAAGAAATATGCAGATCAGGACGAGGAAGAACGTATGTTGAGGTTGGAGGCTTTAGGTACGTTGAAGGGTATTGAAAAGGAGCAGAAGAAAACACAAGAAACTTTGATCAAACAGCATGTGCGGGAGGTCCAAAATGCAAGGCGCGAAAAGCAAAAACAAATACAAGCATTGAAGTTCAATGAAAGCGAAAAAGTCAATATTGACTACAATAAAATTTTCAGTGGATTGAAACCCTCAATTGGTAAAGATGATGAGCTTCTGGGAGTGATACCTTGTTTTGGCCCGTGGTCAGCCTTAACAAAGTATAAATATAAGGTTAAAATTCAACCTGGAGCGGGAAAGAAGACCAAATCTTTAACTGAAATTCTACATTATTTCAACAAAAGGAGGATAGATGAAGAAGAAGCCGACAGAGAATTAGATTGGCCCAGGGAACATGAATTGATTAAACAGTTGAAACCGGCAGAGCTTGTACCTTTGATATATGTTGACAAATTGAAGCTGGTGATTCCTGGTCAACCAGATTCTAAAAAAGGCAAGAGTAATGGTGCTAAATCGAAAAAGGGAGCCTCGAAATGAAGAAAGGTTTTATGAGCCTAATTCTCGTTATGGTTGAAGTTTTAAAAAGTTAAGTATCACAAAAATAGGCTAGTAGACAAATAACGTATATTATATACCCTGTTGTAGCCTTTCAGCTAATTTACTTTTTGCGAAACCCCACGCACTCAACAAGCCTTTCTCGCTTAGCTCGATATTAATTTGAGCATCCTTACTTGGTGGCTTTGTAACCCTTGAAGCGATGGTAGCAGGATCTGTTTCGAGAATGATACCGTCGTCAATTGATTCATCGATAGCCAATGCAACCATATCATAATGCTCAAGAATGTTTTTCTTGTCAATTCCAGTAGCCAAAATCAGCTCTAGTGAGTCCTTAATCGCAGAGAAGGCCTGCTGTAACACCAACTCATTCTCGTCAATTGAACCTACCAAATACAGAACAGTATCGACATATTCCTTGCACAGAATCAAATGATCTTCGAAAATCAATATATCAGCGTTTTGTTTGTGAGTTTTCTTGAATAATCGCAATTCAAAGTCGTTTTGTTGTTTGGTAGAGGTTCCAATTGGATTTTGTTCTATCGATAGCTGTTGTTCGGAAGTTAAATGGGGAGGATGATAGTACTTAGTGTAGATTCTTTTTCCCTCGTTATCCAGCAATAGGACGGCCTGCACAGAATACAATGAAAGCGCTGACATCTTCTACACTTGACTTACCGTGTGTTTTAGAATCTAAAAGCTCTGTTGTCACCTTCAAAAGACGTACGGAAATACAAAGCCGGGTAATTCAACCAAGCTGTTCAGAACTTCGAAATCGAAGGTAATGGTATACAAGAACAGCTTCGCATTCGATAAGGAATCAAATGACGACTTCAAGAAAGAACTTCTATTTTGGAGTTCTCCGAGTTTCCATGATACAACTCCTGAAATCTCAGGGATTTGACAAGGCAAAGCCATCCACCGTCGATATGCTGACGGATCTATACGTACGGTTTCTTCAACTTCTTGCTCTAGAGGTTGCGAAGTTATCCGAGAGTAGATCTGATGGAGACGGCATCGCCCTACAGGATATATCACAAGCTATGCAGAATCTTGGGATGTTGAAACCAATGGATTTGTTAGATGTATATGATGAAAACCCTGACCTACCCAGTGATGCAGGCATGCAGAAGTTCAAAACTTGGTGCTTGAGCAACGTCGCACCTAAAGAAGCTAGAATAGTAGCACACCCAACTTCAGAGTTGCTACGACCCAAAGATAAGAATTCGAAGCCCCTATCTATGATTCCGGAATATATCAACCAATTAAATCCTATGACAACAAAGAAAAACGGTGATAAATCTAGCGAGACTGAACTGATAGAGCAAATGATAAGTAATGGGGACTTTGATGATTGGTTGGTGTTTACTATAACTAGACAGAGGCTTAATACTGCTAGGAAAATAAGCGGTCGAGAACCAAAAGATATACACAATCTTCCTGCCCTTCCAGGCTTGCGATATACAGCAATTTATAAGCAAAAGGCGGTGGGTAACAACGAATTTGAGCCTTCCAAGATTGAAAGCACAGATAGTGATGATATAAGCACCACTGAGCAAATCTTAATTTCTAAAATGCCTGTCTCGCAGAAAGAAAACCGTTTAGAAAACATAAGCCTTTCCTTTGAAGAAGAGCTATCAGATGTCGATATTGAAAATGTTGACATCGACATGGACGATGCAGATTTGTTGAATACGGAATTAAATGATGATGAGGAAGCATTTGGTTCAATTAGCAATACCTTGACACTCAATCCCTCAAGTAATGGTGAATTCGTTGACGGAGATAATTCGAATGCCTTTCAGAGAAGGGATTCTTTGAATTTTGACGATGTGGACCGTTACCGCGATCATAGCTTCAATTTTGATGAATTTTAACTCATGAACTCGATTCAAGCACATGAAAAAAAAGTAGCTGTTAATAGATCAGGTTTAGCTACAGGTTAATTGTATTAAATAATATTGAGAAAGATAACAAAGTTGGTATTCGAACGATCGATTGATGACGAAAATTGAACTTTGGAATTCCCAGAGTAATTACGTTGGTTGAAAAAAATAATGTAATTTATGATTGAAATGATAAAAAATCAGCATTTTGAGTGTTTTACTGTAACTCTTGAAAACTCTATGTACATTAAGCATTAACTCAAAGCTTTCTTCTAGATTTGAATTTCCCGCCTTTCTTAACTGACTTTCTGTTTTTTCCTTCGATTTTCTTGACCAATTTAGACTCCGCTTCATCATCGCTGAAAGTCTCATCATTGCCCGCTCTGTTTCCTTTTTTAAATTTCAGTCTGTTCTTCTGTCCTCTGATAGGACCATGTTCTACAGCTTCCAGATAGGCGTTAATTCCACTAGTTATTGCCTTCAGAGGATCATTCTGCTCCTCTGTCTTGCCATCTTCATTGTCTACAACCATCCTCCCTTCGGCATCAAAACTGACGACATCATCCTTGACAGTTCTTCTAGAACCCTTGTCAAACTTTTTAGGCCTTGTTGAGGATATATGGCTTAACGTTTGGGCGTCCAAAAGATCCAAAGGATTTTCTTTAGATTCAACGATGAACTTCTTGGATCTACGCTGGTTAGGATTCCCTTCTTCATCGCTGGCATCTTCTTCAGATGATTCATATAAGACCTCATCCAAGGCAGACATAAATCTCGATCCCTTTTTGGCTGTATCAGCAGAATTGACCTCTGGTAAGTTGACTTCATCAGTCCCTTTTCTTTTATTTCTATTACGAGTCTTTCTTATGTTCGCCAAAAGCCTCTTATCTTCCTCTGGGAAGTTCTGGTCAATAAAATCATAACCAAATCTTCTTATCAAGCGCTCAATAATGTGTTTTACTTTAGCTTTAAAATGCCCTGTGTGCTCATGAGACCAACGCAATAATTTAGGTAGAATAGCTGGAATCTTTGGTTTTATCATTTCTTCTGGAAGCCCAAGACAGCAAACCTTTGCGAAACCAATAGCGCTTTTCACAATCTCCCTAGAGTTGGAGGTTAAGTACAGCTCAATCGTATCGTAAATATCGAGCAAAACTTCTGTACTTACCTGATCCCTGAATTCAAATACCAGACAGGAGTATGCCGTGATAGTTGCGCTAACCATATGTTGCGACTCACCAATCAGACCAGCAGATATGATTTTAAAGAACTCTGAAATAGAGGATGTTTGATTAGGTATGGTAGGGTCATATCCAGGAATCTGACAAAGGATGATAACGCCATTTGGATCGGACATCCTTTGGGTCATTTTGATCAAGGTCTCAAAGGCTGATTCTCTTGTCTTTTCGTTCACGTCCTTTGTTGCCAGAATAACTTCAGGAACCACTTGGACAATGAATCCTAAGTGATCCACCGGAATCATGTCGATGAGTGTCTTGAGAGCTTGTAACCTCGCAGCCTTTGAGGATGTCTGGACGGTATTTGCACTTTGGATCATAACATCTTCAATGTTTGCAATGTAATTTTGGATAGCCTCCGAACCCTTCTCAAGCTCAGAAAGTTTGGTTATAATTCTGTAGGATCTCTTCTGAGTTAATGCATCGGTAGAATTGACGGTAGTATTGAAAAGGGCAAAAAGTGCACCATAACATTGAACTGGGACGTACTTTGTCATCGCAACGACAATATCCAATAATGTAGCGCTCATCCTCACGCCACCATTCTTGACTTCTCTGCCATTTGCTTCCTCCTCAAAAGCACCCTTTAACAAAGCGCAGACGTTATTGAAAGTTTTTTCTAAATCCTCTGCGATTGTAATCTTTAAAATACTTTCAATGGTCTCCAAAATATAACCTCTTGCATTTGGGGCTGTTTGAGTGTAAACATTGAATAGAACTGCCAAAAGATTAGACGCTTTTGAAGAAAGATATACTAGGTTTTCATCGGCTTCAACGCGTGGAAATTGCTGCTGTAACAATAAATGTGTCTCAATGCTTCCACTGACATAAGACGAGTTGCTTTCCACCAGATTTTTGAAAGCTCGACAAATAGTTGGTCTCAGTCCAACATTGCTGTATAAAAGGGAAGATAATTCAGCAGCAAACTCGTCCGTAAATGACGTTCTTAAGTCTTCTGGTAACTCGCAAAAGCTGGGCAATGTGGACCATACCTGGTCAATAACAGTTTGAAAGACTTTAGCTTGCACCGACTCTTTCTCCATACCTTCAATTTTAGATTCAAAGAAACTGATTAGCGGAAGAAATTGGTTCACGAATATTGCCAGTTTACTGTGCTTTGTAAAATCACGAACTAACGGAATCAACCATGCACGTCCTGGTTGACTAGGTGAGTTCGATTTTAAGTTCATTGGAAGTATGCTAGTAACTGTATCTGGACCGATGGCAGAAATTGCAGCTCCAATTGCAATTTCTGACTCAATTTTGAAATCGAGAAAGTTATCTTCATTCGTTCTCCATTCTCCAACAATAGCAAGTGGTTTTAAAAAATCTGGATTGCATCTCAACGTGAACTTGTTAAATCCTGTTGTAAGGACAGCAAGTATTTCCTTCGCACAATGAACATACTTTATTGATAAAAATTCAACGAACACGTCGGCTAAAGAGCTTATAACATTGTCCACAGTTTCAAATGTCTTTTCGTCAACAGCAGGAGGATAAAGTAAAAGGTCTTCTTGAACAGTGTCATTCAGAATGGTATTCAGGCACTTTGAGGCACTTTTATACACCTCTGGAGTTTCACTTGCTAGATAAAAGCCCATAATATTGAAAACGTCGGGGAGTTTCATAAAACACGTCAGCGGTTGATATTTTGCATAAGTGGACATTCCTTTACCAACAACAGAAATCCACGTATTGGCCAAGTTCATATCGTTATTTGATGGTTTCAGAGAGAAGATAACATCCAAAACTTTCAAAAACTTGTTTTCCACTAAACCGGAGGAAGCAGTGGATTCGGCAATCGATTGAAATAGGGATTCGAAACATTGGAAAGAACTTGAGACTAAGAATTCGTCGGATGATTTAGAAATCTCAAGTAACACATCACATAAAGCATCAATTCGTGAGGAAGGCCATTGTTTCGTCGACAAGATTTTGCTCACCAATTTCAGGATATGAATTATCTTGGTATTAAACTCATTAGAGCCTCCCTGAGCTTTCAGCTTCTTGTTTGACACTGAGGATGCCTCATCCATAGCAGATGCTAGGGCGTTTATTGTGAATTCTGCAACTATAGGAGCGGCAACGTGCTCGGCAGTAGGGGAAGGGGGAGGATTTGAAAGAATATTACTGATGGCATCTTGTGCTCTCTTTCTAACCTTCGGCCTGGGATCTAATGATAATTCCAATAGACCGCTAAGCCCTCTTGTTGGAGTGATGCTTAAATTCTGCGTATTGTTCCAAGACTGGGAATCTTGGGCAATCAAAAGTGATTCCAGGCATCCAACGGCAGATTTTATAAGAGGAGCTTGAGATTTTTCATCTGTAATGCATGGCGCTATTTTGGTAAGCATTTCAGCAAATTTAGATCTTAATAGTGCTTTGGGCGTGTACTTGAAGAGTATATCTAGCAAGTACGTAGCGGAAGTTGCCAGTTGGAGCTCAATTATTTCATGTGTTTCTGGGTTTGTGGCTTGATCTAAGAGTGACATGAATGAAATTAGATAATTTACAATGTTCTTATTCGTGGCTTGCTGCTCATCGATATTTTCTTCAACAGCGGTCAATATAATGGCAATATGTTTTTGGTTGTTGAGTTTAGAATTGATCTGAGATCTGATATGACTCAGCTTATCTTCAAGTTCGAGAAGATGAGCAACTTGATCTTGATCCATATTGTCCAACTTTCTTGCTGAATGATGTAGGGAAATGCAATGCGATGAGATGAGATTAGTTAGAAAAATATACTATCAGAAAAATTTTCAACGTCAAAAAGAAATATACAGAGGCGTGTGTTGTGTCACGTGATTGATGATGGAAAAAATTGTATTGACGATTGATAGTATCGGAATACCTTCAACATATAGACAAGCAGTGAGACTCAAAGTATGTCAAAAGGCTTAGTGAGAATAAGACTGGCCAGGTTTGGTCGCAAACATGCACCAGTGTATAATATCGTTGTTGCCAATGCCCACAAAGCCCGCGATAAGACGCCTATTGAAGTCCTTGGAACTTACAACCCAATACCCAAGCCATTAACTCGGAGAGAAGTGAAAAGAGGATCTGTGCCCACAAAAGATGTTGAACTTGACTTCTCGAGAACGAAATATTGGATTGGTGTCGGAGCTCAGCCCAGTGAACCAGTTACGAAACTTTTGAAGAAATGTGGTATTCTCGGGGAGGAATGGGGAGGAAAACATGCGACAAGCAGGGAAGTGGCTCTTCCTAAAAGAGAAGTCATAGAATGATGCCCACACATTTGGAAATAAGCTAGTCTCACTTGTACATAGAAATTAATGGCAATATCGCGTACATTCTGTTGTTAAATATAGCAACAATGTTACATCGGAAAAGTATATATGTAGTACAAATATATCGACATGAGTTGAGTATTTTCTTTACACAATATTTCCCGCTGGAGATCGACAGTTACTGGAATTGCGGTCCCCCTCTTTGGTCCTTAAATCCCTCTCTTTTTCTTTCGATTATTTCCATGTTCATCATTTCTTCAAAAGTCCTTGAGGTGTTGCTTCTCTGTCTCGATATTATTGGTAATTGTGACTCGCCCGCGATTGAATTTGTCGGTGTTAACATAAAAAAGTTATTACTACCAGACCTTGACCTTGCGTTTCCTTGGGCCGGTACGTTTCCTATTTGCTGTATTGATGATGTTTGGAGTTGTTGAGGCATGGAGTAAATAGTTGAGCCGCTTCTACTTCGTCCCGCAGCACTGATAAAACTGTCGTTCCTGGAACGAAGAAGAGTTTTCGGCTGTACGGGCCTATGTTCGAATGGAGATTGTAGCGGTTGTGACTGGTTGACATTTATCGAAGAGTTAGTGAATGGGGAAGACAAAAGATGCTGCGGAGTGACCTCAGTATTGATATTGAAATAATCAGTAGGTGGCATAGTAGATGCTTCACTGGGACCAAATTGAGGCATAGGTGGAAGCGATACCATTGAACTATTTCGCGACCGAAATCCGTCTTTCCTAACTTCATGCAGGAGTCTTTGGCGGACAAAGGTAATTAGCCAAGCGTTCTTCTCCTTACCAATTTCTACTCCCGAGAACTCCGCGTTCTCAACAGCAGCTTTGGCAGTTTTGTTGAGAATACCGGAGGGCGGATTAGCTGTGTCAAACGGAGTAACGGTTGGATCTGAGCATACTTCCTGATACACGTCCATCATAAGCCTTATGAATTGCTGAGTAAACGGAGAGCCATTTGCTGGGCGCGCTGCATTTGAAGGGACGAACTGCAGGTCCGAAACCGAACTCGCAAGTGAAGAAACACTGCCTTGTTTTCTTTGGTTCATGTACATGTAGGGTATCATAGGTTGCGTCGTAGGCGTCATTATAGGTGTAGAGACACCTTCTTGGGCTATAGTTGAAGCCAGCTGTGTATTCAGCTTCAACTCCTTTCTGTCACATTCTTGTTCGTCAATGGACATCCAATCCATATCTTCTGGCTCCTCTGCTAGTAGGGACATTCGGTTCTTGTTTTCTGCCTCTGAGAGCGTATCTTCCACCTTATCTGATCTCTTGCCCTTTGACCCGTGGAATTTATTGTGAAATCTGTCCAATATCATTTCTTATAAAGGGGCAGAGGTTCGCAAAAGTTACCTCTGACACGTCTCACACACTGTTCCCCCTTTTCTTGTTCTGTTCAAAGAAAAGCTCTTAGCACAATGCTTCTCGATGATTTGCTCTTCTTCCTTACACCCGTGACGGAAATGCGCGTCTTATATTCTATCTCAACGAGGGGCTACGTTCAAAAACACCTCTTCCACGGTTGACGCGTCTTTTCTGGCCAATATATCTAGCTGCAAATGCTCCGCACAGGCCGCGCGAGAATTCCGTTGCTTAAATGAACCGATAGAGTGCCTTCATGCATGTTTTGTGCGGGGGTTTCTGTTTCAAGGAACTTGTTTTCCTACTTTATGCATTCGGTGAACATATGTGCCTTCTCGTTTATCGAGCGCATTTTCTATGATTATATTTCCCGATAAAGTAATCTGGTCATGTGGTCATTTCTGCGTTTTGCCGTTTGTGTATGTTGAATGGGTCGAAGGCGCCCCGCAACACCTCTTCGCGTTGGGCCCATACAACCTGGCGCGCTACCCAGCCGGAGAAAGCCTTCGTTCCTATCACAACTCCTGGCGGTAAGGGTTCGGTAACTTTCGCTAGGAGAATTGCAGTACTTGCCTCTGCTACGTAGATTAGTAACAATCCTAACAGCCTAAATTTCATGATAAGTGCGTAAATGGTGATGCCGTATCCACAGAGCACTCCTCCACGAGCTCTCTGCCACATGACTTGCTCCATGCGTGAAAAACTGGCGCGAGAGAAATATGGCAGCAACAACAGCTGCATTAAAAGATGGCAACTCCATACATGCGACATTAATTGAGCTTGTGTCGAAGGATATAGTAATGTAGACAGTAGCATGGCAAGCGATAGTGAGCCCCAAGTTCCAAGGGCTGGTCGTGAGAGATTGAACCAACTGAAAAAGAAGATAGCATATATCGCATGATACGTGTAGGGTAGCGGTGGGGATGATGCAGCTGCAGCTGCCAAACCTAGCATGGCAATGCACATGCATACGTAGCGCCGTTTGTAGTTGGTAAAAATTCGTACCGCACTGTTGCTAGTGTCGTAATTAGGATGGTGGTGGAACGGGGTGTAGTCGAATTCTGCGCAAGCTTCTCGCAAAGAAGTCCAGAAAATACGCTCAAATTCGGGCAGAGCACGACTGGTCACGCATGCGCAAGCCAACCATACTTCTAAAACTCTTAGGAAAGGCATAGATAGCAACTGCTGGAAACCCACAGCCGAAAATATTTTCGCCACTATGTCAATGGATACATTCAACAACAAAGACACAAGACCAACCTTTGCGAATTCCCGCAGTCCGCCCATGGTAAACAGTGCTGAACCAGTAAAGGAACGCAAAATTGCAAGAAACGCTAACTCAATTCCCCTAATGAAAGACTGTGCAGAAAAGCCTGCGTGTGGTCTTGATACAAAGATCGGAGAAGCCATGTTTCCTTTCAAATCCGGTCCTAGGTTATCCGTCTAGCGAGCAATGACAAAAGATTTCCTATTCGGTGAGTTTTACTGCTGTGCTGTTTAACGTTTTATGCGCCCGAGATCTGAATGTAGCTCGAAAGATTCCTCTCGCTTTTCTCTCGTTTAGCCGCTTAATAAATTTGTTGATCTAACGGGTGGCTGGGTGCCACTGGAAAAATCGGTCGAGTTTCGGATGAGACATCACGATTTAAAGATGAATCGTGAGGTTTGAGATGAAATCCAGTTCAAAATTTTGAATCGATTTGGAACTGACATCATTACGGTGGGATAGTTCTGTTCCACATGCCCTTTGACAGAACCTTCCACCATCCATTCAAGCCCTATGATATTCAAATAGACCTTATGGAACAAATCTATAATGTCCTCACAGAGGGCAAGAAGGTTGGAATCTTTGAAAGTCCGACTGGTACAGGTAAGACACTTTCTTTAATTTGTCCTACGGTTACCTGGCTTCGTGAAAACAAGGCTGACTTCATGAGTGGAAGTGATGCTCGCCTACATAGGGCAGACTCCAATAATCACGAAAGTGACACAGATGGTGAACCTGAATGGGTTAAAGAAGCCTACCAAAATTCGGTACTGGGAGAAAACATTAAGACCCTGAAAGAGTATGAAGAATATCTTGAATCAGCGGACTTCAAGCAGAGTAGTGCTATTTTATCTGGCGCGACAAACCCCATTTCAAAGAGACGCCGAAAATTGAGGCACTTGCCAGTCACTTTTGAGGAAACTGATTATTTACCAGAAGATCCGAATGGTGATTCCATTGCAAACTTTCATGATAATGACAGATATGATAGATATGACAGGTATGGCGATAAACAAAAGTTGAGTAATGAAGTCAAGGCACTGCTTGATAAGTTACACAGCTCAGATGTGACCCAGAACAGCCCTAAAATCGAGCTTTCTTCTCCACTGAAAATTTTCTTTGCCTCAAGAACGCATTCACAGCTCTCGCAATTTGCTTCACAATTGACGTTACCGCGTTTTCCACCGAGTTTTGAGGAAATGATCCAAGAAAAAATAAAATTTCTCCCTATGGGCTCCAGAAAACAGCTCTGCATTAACCCCAAGGTCTCAAAAATCAATGGTCAGAGCATCAATGATTTTTGCTTAGATACCATCAAGAAGAAACAATGTACTTCTTACTCGCAGCATAAAGATCCTCAAATAACTCAGAGATTTAGGGATCTCACATTTAGCAAAATTCATGACATTGAAGAGTTGGTTGAGATTGGAAATGCTATCAATGTTTGTCCTTATTATGCATCGAGAGAAGTATTACAAAGCGGGGTAGAAATAGTGGCTCTCCCTTACCAGCATTTGTTGGTCGAAACCACTCGCAGGACCCTCGGTATTGATCTGAAAAACGCCATAGTAATCATAGATGAGGCTCATAATCTCATTGATACGATAAACGCTGTAAATTCTGCTGATCTATCCCTATTCGAGTTACAAGACTGCAAAAGTGGACTTCACACTTATTTGTACAAATTTAAACGGCGACTCAATGCAATTAGTAGGGTCAATTTAACGGGATTGTCCAAGTTAATTGACATACTCATTGCGTTCATTGAACAAAATTACAAAAATGGGGTTCAGTTTACAACCCATGAAATATTTAGCGGTACAAATGCGGATTTGCTAAACATTCACCAATTAGACAAATACATGAGTACATCTAAAATCGCTTTCAAGATTGACACATATTTTCAGATGACACGAGAATCGCATGATAGTATTACTGTAAAAAAGCCGCCGGTTCTTTTCAAGGTAGCGGCTTTCCTGAGAACACTAGCAAATCCCTCATTAGAAGGCCAGTTTTTCTTTGACAGAGGCTATCAAATGAAATACATGTTACTTGAGCCAAGCCACTGTTTCAAAAGTATTATTGAAGATGCAAGATCTGTCATACTTGCCGGTGGAACCATGCAGCCAATAGATACTTTTTTGAATGATCTCATACCTTCGATAAGGAAGGATCAGATTAGCATATTTTCATGTAATCATATTGTGCCGGACGAGAACCTCAACGCTTTCATCGTGTCAGAAAACTTTGAATTCACATTCGACAAAAGGGAAAGTCAAGAGTTGGTGGATGACTTATTCTATTTTTTATCCAATTTGGCAAAAGCTGTTCCCTCCGGGATTGTGGTATTCTTTTCCAGTTACAATTACCTGGATTTCATTGTGAAATCATGGCACGAAAAAGGGTTCTTCGATAAGCTAAATGAAGAGAAGACAATATACTCTGAGTCGAGCGACAATCTAGATATCCTCTCGGAATATACACAGCATATTGATAATTCGAAAAAAGGTGCGTTTTTATTCGCAGTCGTTGGTGGCCGCCTTTCCGAAGGAATAAATTTCAAAGATGACCTTGCAAGAGCAGTTGTTATGGTTGGGTTGCCCTTCCCCAATTTGTTCAGTGGAGAATTAATAATGAAAAGAAAGCATTTGGAGAAAAAGGTTCTCAGTAAAGGAGGGTCTTATTCAGATGCTAAGAATGCAATTAGGGAGTTTTATGAAAATATTTGTATGAAAGCTGTGAACCAAAGCATTGGTCGTGCTATAAGGCATATCGAAGACTACGCTAATATATATCTCGTGGATAAGAGGTATGAGTCCTCTAACATAAAAAAGAAGCTGTCAGGGTGGGTCAGAAGAAGAATTAGGCCCGAATGTTCTCAAGCTGACATTCTAAAATGTACAGCTCGTTTCTTCGCTAGAAAAGAGGAGTGCAAAGTCAAAAAGGCAGCCTCATACTAGTTGCTCTATTATATTACTTCATTGTCATTCTGCATTTAGCATCTTTGTTCCACTGTAAATACTTTCGTTATTTAAAACTTTCAAAATTGTTCCCGTAAACCACCCATAATCATTATGGATATCTTGTCTAATATTGATTATTCGTTGCGCACTGACTGGACAGATTTTTACCTTTGTTGTCAACAGCGGCAGGAGAGTGACTGAGCAACGTCTCCAAGTGTGACCTTCCTCAGATGTGATTATTTCAGGATCGAAGTTATTATCGAATCTGAATGTTTCCGAGATGAAGTCACTTTTGATTAATACCACCTCAGAATGGATTGGACTTGGTTTTTTTAATATATTTGCAAGGGATTGGACGCAAGCTTTATCCAGTGGATTATCAATAGCATCTTTATTTTGTTCGGCGTATCTGAATATTGCCTCTCTGTATTTATTGTTTTCTTTCCTATCATTAACAAAATTCAAAAATCTTGATTTGTTAATATCATTATCCTTTAAGAGACGGCGAAGAAACAATTCAAAGTCGACGTCTGCGTCCAACTGTTCAGTATAACTGTTTATATTCGAATCCTCTGGAAGTCTCGAGTCATATATGTGGAAATTTTGATACCAAGCCAAGCCAGTGGTTTCTTGAGAAATGAACCATTTCTCATTCAAGGGAATGAAACATATTCGATATTGTAGCTCTGACGCAATTCTGTATCGAATAGATACCCTATCTATGTTGTATAATATTGCCACGGATGCTTCATCGGGAGATACAGCCAAGCCATAAATGAATAAATTAGTTTCATATTTATTAAACTCATTGAAAACGTTATTCCATTTTTTAAATTTTCCTTCCAGGTGAGGGGATATTATGCTATCCGTATGAATAGTCATTTCTTTCTCCAGGTCAACCATGTAACTCGTTTTATTAGAAATCAAAACTGCAGCATTTTGCGATTTGACTGGCAGAATGTAAAACTCGTCACATATTCCAACTTCTACAAAAGTTGAAAAGTTATCCTTCAAGCTGATTTTGTGCAAAAATCCTGTGCTTGTTATAAAAGCGTCATTGTTTATAACTCGGACATCTGTGACCCTGAATCGCGAAGATTCTTTTACCTTCATGAAAGAAAAGTCCTGTTTCACAACATGTACCGAATTATCACTTAAATGAACAACTATTGCATTTTGACTCCATTCAATTCCCAAAACCCACTCAGAATTATTTTCATCCAAATTGATTGCTGTCTTAAGCGAGAAGTCCACTTTATCTGAACTTCTTGATACCGAAAAGATAACTAGATCACCATCTTCATTCCCAACAGCGAAAAAATTGCCATCAGGGCTCCATGCCATTGAGTGATATGTTCTTTTCTTCAAAGACTTCTTGGGCTCATCAATTTCCACAATTAGCCGTCGCTCTCTGAAAACACAAACATTTCCATTATTGGTCATAATTGCTAGTAAGTCATCAACCGGAGATGGTTTGCAAAGTTTAACGAAGGATTCGGGTTGCGAGTTCAACATTGTATTCTCTTCAGTAAGCTCATATTCTATTTTATTTGGTAGCGATAGTGGATATTCTTTGACATGAAAGAGATCTTTACTGCTTCTGCCAATCTGTTTATTATACACTGGTAAACAAACTGTGAGTTCTGGGTAAGTAGTCAGGAACAAAGTTCCATCGCGACTCCATACTAAGTTTCTCGTCCAATCTGCAAATTCTTTTCGCGATATTGTGAGGTCTTTCAGCAGTTTCATAGTAGCTTGACCCATATACTGTAGTAAAATGTTTGTTTTCGTAGGAAAATCTTGATAAACTGGAAATATTGCTCCCCTTTTCACAATGCATGCGAAACCGTTCAAACAATATGAAAGGCCTGTTTTGCGCTATGATGGTAGTTCTGTTGCCACTGATTACAGCGGTACAGAATTCTCCTGCGACTTGTGCAATTTATGGGAGTTGTGGCAAGAAATCTATGTTCGGTAGCGAATTACCATGTCCAGTTCCCGAAAACTTCAAGCCAAATCCTCTGCTCAGAGAAGAAAGAAACCTTCTGGTACAGGTTTGTGGCCAAGAATGGAACGATGTGGAGGAAGTTTGCTGCACGAAGGATCAAATAATTAAACTGCAAACCAATTTAAAGAAGGCGGAGAATATTATTGCATCATGCCCTGCATGTGTCAAAAACTTTAACAATTTATTTTGCGAGTTTACTTGCTCACCAAAGCAGAGAACCTTCGTTAATGTTACTGAGACGTCTTATTCTCTCGATAAAAAGGAGGTAGTGTCTGAGCTGGATTTTTTTATGGATCCTGACTGGGCATCTGCTTTTTATGATTCATGTAAGGGTATCAAATTTGCGGCGACTAATGGATATGCTTTAGATTTAATCGGTGGTGGCGCAAGAAACTATCGAGAGTTTTTGAAGTTCCTGGGGGATGAAAAGCCCATGCTTGGAGGTTCTCCTTTCCAAATAAATTACAAGTACGAAGATTTGGACTCTAACTACCGCCTTTTCAATGATACAGTTTATGCATGCGATGACAAGGACTACAAGTGTGCCTGTACAGATTGCGGATCTTCTTGTCCAGAACTTGATCCTTTGAAAGTTGGGAAGTGTAAAATTGGTGGCATTCCCTGCTTCTCGTTTGCTGTTTTAGTGACTTACTCCACTCTAGCGATATTGATAGGTGCGTGGCATGTTTATTATTTTAAAACTAAAAGGCAGCCTATAATGCTAGAACATGGAGAAAGTGAGAACTTAGACATTTTAAATGAAGACGTCGTTAATGAGCATTTGTTCTTTGACCACACCATAACTACCTCACCTTTGAATGAACGCATTGTATCATTTACGAATAAACTGTCGGACATTGCATGTACCTTTCCTATGGCTGTTTTGGGTATATCTACGACTGTTGTATTGATTCTCTCTATTTCTATGTATTACTTTGGGGAGCTTGAGAGGGACCCAATAAATTTGTGGGTCAGTAAAAAGTCACCTAAATATAGAGAGAAGCAGTACTTTGATGAAAATTTCGGACCCTTTTACCGGACGGAACAGATATTTGTGGTTAATGAAACTGGACCTGTACTATCATACAGCACTTTACAATGGTGGTTCGAAGTTGAGCAAAACTTAACGAAGATTATAAGATCCAAACAAAACGTTGGCTATGAAGATATATGCTTCAGACCTACGGAAGATAGTACTTGTGTCATTGAGTCTTTAACGCAATATTTCGACGGAGAAATCCCTAAAGAAGAAACTTGGCGTGAAGAGCTGAAATTGTGCACTGATTCACCAGTAAATTGTTTACCTTCTTTTCAACAGCCTCTTAAAACCAATTTACTGTTCAGTGATGATAATATCTTTGATTCTAATGCCTTCATAGTAACACTTCTGGTCAATAATCACACAGACTTCTCCGTATTTTGGGAACAACAGATTGAAAATTATTTGCTTCATTTAAAAGTTCCCGATGGCTTGCAGTTGAGTTTCAATACTGAAATGTCACTAGAAAAGGAACTGAATAGAAACAATGATATTATCATAGTTTGTGCATCATATTTGTTGATGTTTTTGTACGCTTCATGGGCTTTGGGGAACAAGACGCGTCGCAACAGAGTACTGTTAGGGATTTCAGGTATTGCTATTGTTATCGGGTCTGTGACATCTGCAGCAGGGCTGCTCAGCATCTTGGGGGTCAAATCTACGCTAATTATTGCGGAAGTTATTCCGTTTTTGATATTAGCAATAGGTATTGATAATATCTATTTAATCACACATGAGTATGATAGAATTTCGGAAACTAATGGTAATTTGGATATCTCTGAGCGCATTAGTTTGGTAATGAGTCGAATTTCACCCTCTATTCTCATGTCTTTATTGTGTCAATTGAGCTGCTTTTCGATTTCGGCATTCGTCAGCATGCCAGCCGTAAGAAATTTTGCGATATATTCCGCTGTGGCACTAGTGTTCAACGTCTCGCTGCAGTTGACCGCATACATATCCATTTTGAAGCTCTATGAAGAATCAGCCTCGCGACTCTCTCCTGAGACAGAATCCATTTCTCGCTCTCACCCAAAATTTTCATCATTTTACTTCAATATGATTACGAAGAAAAGAAAACTAATAGGTATCTTCGTTTCTTGGACATTATTATCGCTTATTTTTCTTCCTTATGTCCAATTAGGTTTAGATCAGTCCTTAGCTGTGCCTCAGGATTCCTACCTAGTGAAGTATTTTCAAAATGTCTACAAATATCTCAATGTGGGTCCTCCAGTTTATTTTGTAGTCAAGAATTTAGATTATACTTCTAGAGCAAACCAAAGGAAAATATGTGGTAAATTTACTTCCTGTGATGAGTATTCCTTGGGTAATATTTTGGAACAGGAACGCCAAAGGTCGACAATTACGGAGCCGGTTGCCAACTGGTTCGATGATTATATGATGTTTCTGAATCCACAACTTGATACCTGTTGCCGCTTCAAAAAAGGTACGGATGATATATGCCCGCCACATTTCCCCGCTCGGAGATGCGAAACCTGCTTTGCGGAAGGGGAGTGGAATTATAATATGACAGGATTCCCCGAAGGGAAAAGTTTCATGAAGTATTTTGATATTTGGATTGATACACCAAGTGATCCCTGCCCATTGGGCGGTAAAGCTCCATATGCTTCTGCTATCGACTACAATGAAACGGCAGTGGTAAGTTCGACTTTCAGAAGTGCACACCATCCTTTGAGATCTCAAAAGGATTTTATTGAAGCGTATCAAGATGCAGAAAGAATAACACAGTCAATGAAAGGATTGGACGTTTTTGCTTATTCTCCTTTCTACGTGTTTTTTGTACAATACGACACGATTATTTCTTTGACTTTAAAGTTGTTAGCTTTTTCATTATCCGTTATTTTTGTGATTTCATGTTTATTCCTAGGATCCGTTAAAACTTCGCTGGTTTTAGCGGTGACCATTCTCATGATTATGGTTGACATTGGAGCATTTCTTGTTCTCTTCGGTATCTCACTAAATGCCGTCAGTCTTGTCAATTTGATCATTTGTGTCGGGCTTGCCGTTGAGTTTTGCGTTCATATAGTAAGGGCATTTACTGTTGTTCCTAATGTGATTAAAAACGATCGCGATTCTAGAGTAAAGCATGCAATGAATACTGTCGGAAGCTCAGTCTTTAGTGGTATCACATTGACGAAATTCATTGGAGTTTGTGTCTTGGCATTTACAGAGTCTAAAATATTCCAAATTTTTTACTTCAGAATGTGGTTTTCTTTGATTATTATCTCCTGTCTCCATGCTTTCCTGTTCCTGCCTGTAGCGCTGGGACTATTTGGTGGGAAGAGTTATGCTGATGGTGAATCAGTATTGGATAGTTGAAAAATTTACACATTGATAGCATTTGCGAATATATTATCAAAGTTCAAGTATTTCTCTCTAAACTTAACATTAAGACTCAAAATATTATTCTTCAGAGTGCGTACGGAATAGTAGACTGTGATTACTGTGCTCGATATTTTATACTGTAAATAAAATATAAAATTACCAGGAAGTATGCATTCGAAAGCCAAGGTGGGTTTCCTTCGCTTTCAATGCTTTTGAGAAGTGGGGAACCTCAGAATGAGATCTTACTGAAATTCGACACAATAGATTTTATACTTGACCACGAAAAATTAAAAATAAAAGCAGTTCATCCTACAACTTCAAAAGGTTTCTTAACTTTATGACTATGACTTCTGGAGTAAATGTTCTTCAAAAGGTTAGTAAGGGGATATTAAGAAATGGTATTAATGAGCTTGATATTGAGGCTTTTAAATACATCAAGCCTTCTTCGTTTGAGCCTGCAAGTCCACTTTCTCAAAGGCCGCATTGCAAGACAAAAACACCAATTTCGAAAAATGAGTATCTGCGGCAAAGGATACACCTCGTAGGTAAAGGCTCTAACTTTGAAAAACAAGTTGCAAAAGAATATCTTTCTTCCCTTCATTTTCATCCCTTTGCAAGGCACGAAATTCAAAGTGGCTACGATATTAATAGGGCACGCTCCACCTACACAGGCTTAAAACTGATTAAAGCATCTCCAAACTCGAAAGCAATCTTATTTGACAGATCTCATCACTTCGTGGGCGAATTAATTTCCTTACTTATAAGTTCAACCCCAAAAGAGATGCCAAATATCGAACCACCGAGACTTTTCCCGAAAGAAATCTTTTCTGAAATCCCAGCGGTTCCAAATTTTAGGAATAATCCTGACTCTTTTGCAGATTACTTAGCTCTTTTATGCCACTCAACCTTCTATGTCAAAGGTTCGTCACGTTTAAATGGAATAATTCCCAAGATGGTAAGAAATTTCATGCATCCTTCAAATATGAATACTGCACAACTTCGAGACATTAATGTTTTCAACGATGTGCTATACTTCTTTAGTGAGAGAAGTGACTACGCTACGTGCCGTGAGCTATTTGCCCAGATGAAAATAGAACGAGTGACTCCAAACACAAAAACGTTCAACATATTATTGCGCAACGTTCTAAAAAATTCACATATCAGAAAGAAAAAGTGGCCTTTTGATGAACTTATCTATTATCTCAAACAAATGAAGCTGAGTAATATTTCGGCTGACGAGGTTACTTGGACAACTTGTTACAATTTACTACTTGACGATATTTCAAGAGATGTGTTCATCGAAAAAATGATCCAGAATAATGTCCCTATATCACCTCATTTTGTTCTTGCCGTGCTCAAGAATGGAGATTTCACTTCCACACAAATACTTAAATTCCTATCCGAAAATTCAATTCCACTAAACTCGAAGTTGTTTAACCTATGCATTACCAAGCTCGTGGAAGAACAAAAGTATGAAATTGCTTGGGCTTTTGTGGAACACGCATATCAGAATGCCAGCTTCAAAATAAATGAGGACTGCTTGAATATATTTCTGAGGTGCTTCGCTAAAGCTGGGCGCCTTGACCTTGCATTGCTCACTTTCAATACTGCTACGATAAAATATGAAATTTTCCCCAATGTTCAAAGCTTTGAGTTCTTGTTCAAGGCTCTCTCGAGGAACGGATACACCTCTAATTTCCCGATAATTTTTGAATTTTTAAAGAGAAGATTAAAAGAACATACAAGAAACAATTTTAACAATAGCTATTGGATACTTAAAGCCCGAGCTATAGTAAAGTTTAACATAAAGAGGATACCGACAGAGACGCAGATATCGAAGGCCGAAAGTATCCTGCAGACTGCTCTATGGAATAATCACGGCTTTCAATGGAATTGTTGGGAAAACGGTGGATCATCGATCAGGAAGGTTCTTAGATTTTTGGGTTGCGTGCCGAAACATGTGAAGGCATCACGAAAGTACCATAGATTTGACACTTCTGTTTCTATTATTTCCAAAAAAGCGTCATATAAGAAAAGAATCAGGTTCATTGCATTACAGAACGCGATGCTAAAGAGAATTCCATATGCCGAGAACAAATTTTCCGCTCTTAAATCAGAGCTTTCAGAGAGGAATATACTGCATTAGGAACAATTAGCATAACGCAATCATTAAGCCAATTAGCATCTGCATGTGAATATTGTTGCTTTACAAACAGTATTCCACTACATAAATTAAGAATTAGATCTCAAGTAGAAGAAGAATAATATTCATTTTCAAGTCTTACAGTTACAAACGAACTTCCTGTCGAAGACAAAGGGTCGTCCACCAAATGGTTGACAACTCTCTCAGAGAGGAAGACCCTCATTAAAATTACGTTGTCTGGTTGACGTATTAGGCATAATTAATAAGGAACTAGTGAACTTCTTATTTTTCAAAGTGGTCCCTCTTTATTTGGTTCCATCCTCGATCTCTTCAACGACTTCTTCCCCACCTTCGTGTTCACCAGCCCATTCTTGTTCAGCAGCAACAGCATCCTCTTCTTCTTCTTCATCATCGTATACATCATCGACTGTTTGGTGGAAGGACAAAGTTGGTTTAACCGCAGCCGCGTCCAAAGTCCATCCCTCTAAAGCAGTCTCAGCATCCATGATTATTTGTCTGGAAGCGTCGTAGCCATCATAAGCTGCTCTACTTTCACCTGGAGTAACTGGTGAATCGTCTAGCAACTCCAACAATGCTTTTCCATAACCAGCAATCAAAGCGAACTTTTCAGCCAATTCGCGAACAGAATCAAACTGATAATTAAAGGCTGCCTTTAATTTCTCCCTGGTGATGTTAGACAATTGCGCCTCGGCGACAAGCGATTCTGCTTCTGCACGAACCAATTCTTGCTCCAAAACGGGGATCTTAGGAGAATTAGGTTCCTTGTACTTCAAACGAGCAATTTCGTCAGTAATCTTCTGTTTACGATCTCTAGATGGTTGAACCGAAGCTTCAATATTTCTTATACCTTTCAAGGTAATACGGTATTGGTCGTATTTGTCGATGAACTGGTCCTGCAATTCGCCCAATTCGTAGATTAAGACTCCGAGCTTGTCGGTGACATCGGAGACATCGTCATCATTGTCCAAACCCCATAGCGATAATTGCTTAGCAGCGGCGCGACGCTCGTTGGCTACAACTTCCAAAGCTCTCAAAACTCCCTTCTCAGTCTTGACCAATTGTGAAAGTTTCCTGGCCAAATCTGGGCCAAAGTTACCAGCAGCGTTCTTTCTAAAATTGGAAGCAATAGAAGCCTTACCGAAGAATTTTGACCTAGTAGTGGATGGTGGAGGTGGAGGGCTTTGCAATTGCGAGGCAGTTGGGGCTCTTTGGCCCCTCAAAGAATATGTTCTGTGCATAGTGCTGTTTTTTCTGTGTTGTGGGGAATGGCTGTATTTCGAGGTATTCTCTGCTTTGACCCTTTTTATATGCACCGTAACCAGCACAGGTCCCCCCTCTCCCCCTACTTAGTTTTTGCTCAAGATTTAACACATGCAGCATGCCGGGTAACACTGAACAGCAAACACACAACCATGGACAAGTACGATAGGCAGCTAAGACTCTGGGACCGAAGAGGCCAAGAGCTATTAACCGAGGCCAGAATATGTATAGTCGGCCAATCATCTCTAGGTCAAGAAGTTTTGAAGAATTTGCTTTTACCTGGTGCAAGTAACTTCACCGTAATTACCGAAAAGATGCAATCCGATCAAAGTTTCTTTGAGGGTGGTAGCTTAATGCGTTTAAATCCTCGTGCTTCGATTGAAACGGTTTGCTGGGATACAAACCAAATGGCTAATAAACATTTTTGGGAAAAATTTGATCTTGTTGTCATTGTCACTACCTATTTTAAGATACTCGAAGTACTATCGAAAGTAAAGTTACCGCGGAGTTTGATATGCTGTACACATGAGTTTTCAGGATATGTAAGATTCATTTCCCCGCATCCACATTTCGTGATCGAATCACATCCACAGCACACGACTCCAGATTTGAGGATTATGAATCCTTGGACTGAGTTGAAGTATTATCTAGAGTCATTTGACTTCACATTGGAAGAGGATGATTTCTCCGATGTACCATACATTGTAATCATATATCAAGCATTACTTAGTGTAAAAAAGAGGGGAGATCCAGTTTCTAGAGATGCTATAAAAGAGGAAATAAGGGGGATGCGTGCCCTTGTTCATGAAGGAACTACTGGGGCGAACTTGTATGAGGCCGAAAGATTTGCACATTTAGCTACCGCACAATCAGAAAAAGTTCCTGATAATCTAGTACGCTGCTTTGAGCTCCTAGATCAAGCACCAGAAAATGGTTTCGATCAAACTGTGCAAATTCTACTCAAGAGTCTGAAAATCTATTTAGGAAGTGACTATAGCGACAAACAACTGCCATTGAGTGGAAGCATACCTGACATGATATCAAGTACCGAGAACTACAATAATTTAAAGGACCTGTATCAGAAAAAAGCGAAAGAAGACGTCAAATACTTCTCTTCAATCGTCGCTAAATCACGGGTCCATATACCAGACACCGTCATCAACACCTTCTGTAAGAATACAAAAAACTTGAGAGTAGTACTTCCCTCGAGATCACTCTGCTTTAGACCCCAAGCCACTCAAATATTAAGTCAACAACAAGATGCTCCTACAGACCTTGTCAAGTTGCTCACCGATTTAATTAATAAACAATTCAAAATATCAGATGCAGACTCTAAGAATAAGATGGACACGGAAAAACAGTCGAACTCTGAGATGAAATCCGAATCAAAAAAGTTTTATCCTGTGATATCACTCATAGCGGGAATAGCTGCACAGGAATCTATAAAAATCCTTACACATCAGTTTGTCCCTATCGAGAACACATTTGTGTATAATGGCATTTCAAACCAAAGCTGGACGCTGAAATTGTGACACTATAGGTCTGCGAAATTACCTTGCACAGCAGAGGACGTTTTTTTTCTTTTGTTTTTCCTCACCAGCTCTTTCCAATCTTCTTCAGTCGCGCTGTCCTCTCCGCTGCCCTCCTGAGAAATTTTCTCTTCGATTGCTTTTCGCTTTGCAGCTAGCTTTTGTTTTCTATTCACCTTCGATTCTTTTGCCTCCAACTTATTCGACCAAGCCATATTTTTCTTCTTCAGCTCAGATTTTAGCTTTCTCTTATCACTGACTTCCTTTGATTTGTCGAGGTTTTGAATCCTTGCCAATTCCATCTGTTTGTTCAAATATGAAAATTCATCTAAATTAATCGGGCTTTCAATTAACCAACCTGCTTCGGGTATCTCATCTTGTGGGATATTTCTGGTTATTTCAGGCATACGGGGCAAACGAATAAGTCCATATAGCTTCGCTAAGCCTATGTAATCCAGAGATGCGAGTCTGAAAATTGAAGATGCGCTGTGCTTTGAATAGTACCTAATAAAAGCCACATATGCTTTGATACCATGATCAAACCTCGCTCTATCATGCAAAACCCACTTTTTGAACCTGTTTTCAAAGCCGTCTATGGGTTGAGCATCGGGAATGATTTCATCAAGTTGAATATTTTTGACTCTGAGAAAATGAACATAGTCTTCTTCCCGACCCTCATTTAAGAATGTGATCGCCTTTCCATTCCTGTTAGCTCTTCCTGTTCTTCCACATCTGTGTAGGAACATGTCAGGGTCTGTTGGCGGATCAAATTGGATCACGAGGTCAACATCTGGGATATCAATACCCCTCGCAGCAACATCTGTCGTTAGTAAAACGGCGCTACTCAAAGTATCAACAAAATTTGCCAGTGTAGTCATTCTTGAGCTCGTCTGCAATTTCCCATGCAGCGAGTATATGTGCAGATCATCATTCAAGAGACTGTTCTCGCCTAGGTACTTTAAAAAGGAGTAAAAATAAGTCACAGAAACGCAAGTTGGAAAGTACACAATGCACTTCTTGTACCGTATATCTTTTAGGATACTGACGAGTAGTTGCAATTTCATTCTGGGTTTAACAGTCATATAATGAATTTTCAAGGAACCCGGTGCACTCATTTTAGATTTTACAGAAATTCTTACAGGATTAGTCATGCCTGTCTTAAATATGTCGGCTCCAGCGCTGCTGAGAGTGGCCGAAAATAATCCCGTTCTTCTTTGTTTAGGAAGAAAATTCAAAATGCTTTCGATATCCTTTTCAAATGTAACATCTAGCAATTTATCAGCTTCATCCAATACAACCATTGCGCATGAACTAGTTTTTACTGTAGCATTCTTCAAAAAATCCAATACCCTCCCTGGTGTCCCAACTAAAATTTGAGGTCTTTTGTCGAAGAAGTCATTTAAATCATCCCTCACTGATGCTGAGTTTGTTCCAACAAGAAGTTGAGAGTGAACAGTAGTTTTGTCTTCAGGTAAGTAACTCAGAAAAGAGTTAATTACGGATTGAATTTGACTAGACAATTCTCTTGTAGGAGAAATGATTAGGGCGAAGAAATGGCCTTTCTTCAGCTTGCAGTTGTTTTCTTCATCTTGGAATAGCTTCTGGAGAATGGGAATCACAAATGAAACTGTCTTTCCAGAACCAGTAACCGATTCGACAACAACATCCTTGTTGCCAGAAAACATCGGTATAGTTGATGCTTGCACAGGGGTCATAGTCTCAAATCCCATTGAATCTATTGCGATTCGAATCCACGGCTGGATGGAACAGTTTAGATCGTTCCATGACAGAGATTTTGACATTATATGTGGGTAAGTGTACTTACGCTAATCTCATCGCCTCCATCGCACTTTTTAAATTTTTTTTCATCTCGATCTGAATATATAATCGAAAATTCCTCGTCATGAAAAACTACTTTGCGTATTGCCAGATGGACTAATACTCCAGAAACTAATGAACTTTCTATCCAGAATCTTCAGAGTTGGCCAGAAAACAAGGTCAAACCTTGCAGAGGAGCTAGACTACGCCAAATGGACCAAAGAACAACTAATCGAAAGAGTACTTGAACTAGAAAATAAAAAGAAGAGACACATCGAAGAAGAAAGTGAGCAATCTGACCAGCAATCAAAAAAGCATAAAGCGGCGTCTCCTGATATCTCTAAAAAGAAAATTAAGCAGCAGAGACCGTTTGATTTTTCTAGATTCAACACAAGATTCATCGCTTTAAGGTTTGCTTACTTAGGATGGAACTATAACGGTCTAGCCATACAAAAAGAACCAACTCCACTTCCAACAGTTGAGGGGACTATTCTTGAGGCAATGAACAAAGCAAAATTAGTTCCATCAATGGTCCCTCAAGAGTACAACTTCAGTAGATGCGGAAGAACCGATAAAGGTGTTAGTGCAATGAACCAAGTGATATCACTACGTGTCAGATCAAACTTAACAGACGATGAACAGATTGATCCTACCAACGACCATAAAGAGATTCCATACATAAACATCTTGAATCAATTACTTCCTGACGATATCAGGGTATCTGCAGTTTGCTTACGCCCCCCCAAAAACTTTGATGCGAGATTCAGCTGCAAACACCGTCACTACAAGTATTTGTTCAATAAAAGTGGCCTTGACATCGATGTAATGAGAGAGGCTGCAAAGCTTTATGAGGGCGAACATGATTTTAGAAACTTTTGCAAGCTCGATGGCTCTAAACAAATAACGAACTATAAGAGGACAATCATGAAAGCCCAAATTCTGCATGTGGATGGTGATATATATTGCTTTGACCTGATTGGTTCCGCATTTCTATGGCATCAAGTCCGCTGTATGATGGCCATTCTCTTTTTGATTGGCCAAAAACTTGAAAGCCCATCATTAATAGAAGATCTCGTCCATATTGGAAAGACTAAGCAGAAACCTATCTACGATATGGCTAGTGATATACCCTTGATTCTGTACGACTGCCAGTTTCCCGACATGGAATGGTCTCATCTAGGTGAAAACGATTTCAAATCAGTCAACCCATGCAGAAGATCAAATGCGATGGTTCTTGGTTATCAACTAAAGGCAACAATTTCTCGTATTTTTGAAGAAACAGCTATTGGTAATATAGGTGAAATGAGTGGCAGAACAATTATTAATACTGGTGATGGTAAGGGGAAAGTTGTTGTGAAGTATCAAAAAATGCAGGATCGGAACGTAATGGACTCTGTGGAGTCAGTCAATCAAAAATATAGAAACCGTAAAGCAAGACGTAAGTAATTGTTTCTACATTTTAACATTTCACGTCATCTTCGCCTTCTTAAATTACATAAGAGAGCTAGAGCGTATAATCCACGCTGGATCCCAATATAGAACCTCACCCTGGGCCTGGTTGTCAGTCCATAATAACCCATTGGCAACCATTTCCTTCAAAATCGCGTCACTCCTAAAAGGCTTCCAGTTAAGATTCACTCTTAACAAAGAAATACTTGCATATCCTAGGACTGAACATATTTCCAGAATTTTTGTCTGATCATCAGTTAATTCATTGGGAACACTACGAAGAAACTTTTTACCCTTAATAAAGAATACTTCAAACCCACCATCAAGGCTTTGCAGCATTTCGATTGACTTTTCAAGATCCTCTATTTGTACCTTTAGCATGATAAAGTAACCTTTATGCAATTCATCAAATGATATCACGCCGCCATTGAGATCCTTGGTCTTCCGGCATATTTCTATTACTTTGACGCATATCTCGTAATAAAAATCGTTAACGTCAAAAAGATGCCTCTGTCTATCGAAAAGAGAGATAGGATCGATACCGATAGAAGCACACATCCGGATAAATTTAGCTCGGAACTCCGGGTTCTCTTTGAGCTCCTTATTGTGATCTTTGGCAAACTCTACTAATCGTTCTTGAAAAATAGTAAGCTGCTCCTTGAATTCTCTGGTCTGTCTTCCCAAGACATTGGTACTTAAATCTTGATAGTGCCTATCCCAACTGGCATCAAAGGCAGCCAGACCGAACTTCATAAACTTGTGCTCGTCGATGGTGCGGTTTGCCTTACAATAAAATTCGAAGCATATTTTTTCTTGAAATAAAGAGTAATATCATTAGAGACAATCAAGTAAAAAACAAGTATTGAAGAACTCACGCTATGACTGAATTTGATTCAGTTGATCAAATGAAGCCAGAGTTATGGACATCATCTGCTAATTCTGTTATCAAGCTTTCACTAGTCGATGATAATGGTGCTATTAAATTTTCACCTCTTTGGACGTATCCTATATTTGGTGATTCCGAGCAAATCTTTGGATACAAAAACCTTATTGTGAACTTAGCATTTGACTCTGTTACTTTCAAACCATTTTTGACGGTCAAGTTTGCCTCCAAATTGAACAGTGATGTCGAGAATGTTCAGCAAAAGCTGCTCGACTTTTTACCACCAAAAGACGTGATCATTGATGATGAAATAGTTTGGGTTGATGCTTTCCACGAGGAGCAGCAGTCATATTGTTTGCCTGCAGAAAAATACATCATCGACAGTTATGAGTGTGGTGGTGATGAATTTGCTGTCTACCAGTGTAAACTCTCTGACAATAGAATAAGAACATTGCATCGGAGAATGCAAATCTTTACACTCTTTTTTATTGAGTCTGCCTCCTATATTGACGAGACAGATGATATGTGGACTCTGTTTATCACATTTAACAAACGAACAAAGCAATGTATTGGGTATGCAACTACCTATAAATATTGGAGGTATCCTGGAGCTAAGGATTTCGATAACAACACAATGTACCAATACACAGCGAAAATATCCCAGTTTCTTATCTATCCCCCTTACCAGGGAAAGTCACATGGATCATTACTCTATAACTCTATCGTCAATCAATGGCAACGCGATCCAGCGATTGCCGAAATCATCGTAGAGGATCCAAATGAAAGCTTTGACATTCTTCGGGACAAAAATGATCTCTCAAGACTATATCAGGATGGACTTTTCGACAAGATTCCTAACCAAGTACCTTTGAGTGACTCATGGATACTTAGTGTTAAAAAAAAATATAAACTAGAGACGAGACAGCTTATGAGATTGATAGAAATGATCATGATGCATAATCAGCACCCCAACCTTCGCTTACAGATCAAGAAAAGACTCTATGAGAAAAATTTCGACCTTTTGGCGGATCTTGACAATTCAACACGAAATGACAAGTTGCAAACGGCATTTCTTTCAATTAGAGATGAATATAAAAACATTCTGTCCTCCTTACCATTAGTAAAGCGAGGATTTGATGGCTTAAGTGATAGCAGTATAGTAAAACGAACTAAACTAGACTAAATAAAATATCTTTAAATGCAAAAGCAAGAAAATCACGTGCTTCTGGTTTAAACTTTTTGCACATATTACTTAATGAAATAATACTTTAAATTAAATGCCTCAAACTCCTTTTTAAATAATAAAAAATTAATAGCTGTCCATACTAACATAAATCTATATATTAGCTTGCTATTTAAAAATCAAATAATTTTTAAATATTGTATTTGTGTATGTGTTCCGAAGAAAGATTTAGTCTTAAAAGATTATCTGAAAAAAAAGAAAAGAAGAAAAATAGTATTTAGTTTTTTTAATATGCTTAAACAATTCATTGATGAATAAGGGCATTATTGTGTTTCTCTTTTTCTTTTTTTTTTTTTTAATTTCATAGCTTGCTAATTAGACTGAAACAGAGTTGCGGTTGTGTAATATCGCATAACTACATATGAAAGGGCGAACTTTTTAGTGGCGTTTACTTTGGGATTGAGTCGAAATCTTGATATTTGTTATCCGGGTAAATGTGATAAACGTCGCCCAGTAAGAAAAGAAATCATTTTGAAAAAGTTTTTCGATGGTATCTCATCTCATCGGTATTCTTATTTCGGTACATCGAGGAATAGTTGAAATAACAAGAACCTCTCCTTTTCTTTTATCGAATTGACATGGCTGGAAAACAATCAAAAACGGCCAAAAGAGCTAGCAAACAGAATGGTACACGGGTGGTTGCCCCAGAAGTATTTGAAGATTCTCAAGCAAGAAATCAATTGGCTCACGTCCCTGAACAAACTGCAAAGTCGGTCCGCAAGCCAACTAAATTGAAGGTGAAGAAGGATCAAGCTCTAACGAGACTTTATGGTAGGCGCAAAGAGCCGGCGAAAGCTTACTCCGAAAGAGAGCTCAATGTTCCAACGCTAAATCGTGCCATTGTCCCTGGTGTGAAAATGAGAAGAGGGAAGAAAGGTAAAAAGCTGGTGAACGATAATGACACGGTTCTCTTAAGCAGACTGATCAATTCGATTGGTGACAAGAACGACGAAATTACAGAAAGCAAGCTTGAAAAGGCCAGGCGATTAGAGGAGATTCGGGAATTGAAGAAGAAAGAGATCGAAAGAAAGGAGGAAGCAAAGAAAGAGAAATTGGACTCAAAGAAGATTGAAATCAAAAAGAAGTCATCTGTTGCTAGGACAATACGCAGGAAAAATAAGAGAAGTGAAAGAAAGCAGGAAAGTGATGCGGCCAAAATCAAGAGTGACAAACCATCGAAAAAAGTCAGCTTTGCTTAAAGCATCAATTCCTCAAACATTTTTTGACATTAAGAAAATTTGGGAACGTGCAGAAAATATGGAATGCCACGATTCCTCGCGCATTGTTCCTATCTTACCCAATAATTATTACTCTCGAGGGTCCCTTTCTTAATCGGAGAACGATTTGTGAATAGTAACCGTAGGTATTATGAGAGAGCCTGGCGGCATTCATGACACTTAGAACCAAGAAATCTTCTCTTCGAGATGTGGGTGTTTTCAGTAATTGGTACATCTCGGATATAAAGGTAGCGCCTGATGAAGTGGATAGGGTCTGAAAATCGTTCATTGTTTTATTTCATATTATAAACCTACATACTTAGCATAATGACAAACTCAAGGATTTTTGTCGACCGTAAAACTATTCCCAAAAATTGTCAAACCAAACTGAACAGACATCTAAATAGGGAACAAGTAGTATGTTCAACGAAATTGTGCGCTTTAGAAGGAACGTGGCGTTCGCACTTATTAAATCAAAGGTTCTATTGTTCTATAGTGCCTAATCGTCAATATGGCAGAATGCCCATTTGCCTGAGGCAACCGAAATTTTAAGCACTGTTATGTGCATCTTACCTGCAGAGGTCAGTGACCAGCCCGGGCGATGATTGTTTCAGACGACCAGAGGATAAAAGTGCTCGTCATCTGCCCCTAGTGGTAGTGAAATTGTATAATAGTGTGCTCTAAAGTTAAGAGGATGATTGCATGTGGCGAACTGAAACACTAATCAACTCGTTTATGAGCTAAAGGTACTTGTGAGATTTTATGCTTTTGCTGGATGTCGCTGAAAGCTTAAGCGCCTGAATCAAAACATAGCTGTCCAGTTTTGACTCACCTATTACGACACCATATAACTGCTTTCAAACGTCAACAAAAATTTTCTTATGGAAAGGTCTTTAAATGAACGTGGTAAACAGCGTATAAAGCAATTCGATGACAGGTTCCAATGAACTTATATCTAGATCTGCTAGGAGCAGACAGGATAATTTAAAGGGATCTGCGAAACTGTTCAATGACTTGATCGAAACTTCAAAAAACTTACCGACTACTACATCGGAGCTAGGAACTATACTCTTGAGTGTCAATGAAGTGAAGAAAAGAGCGCATGAACTGAGGGAAAAAAACAATTCCAGATGTGATCATACCAAGGCTCATTATCTATTGGCTGGGAGTGGTCTCGCTATACAAGATGTAGAATCTTCTCTAAAAAATTTAGAATCAAGGCAGTTCCTGGAACAAAACGTTCCCAACAAACACGATGGTGACCTCGACAATTACCTACGCACAAAAAAGGATGAAAACATTCTCTCCTCGATCGAACAGTCTCTGGCTTTAGCATCTAAGGATTTTGATAATTTTGTGAACCAAAATTTTAATCTCGATTGGCAACAGAGGAAAGAAGAAATTAGAGAGAACTTTGGTGTCTTGATTAAGAAGAGAAAAACCAGTGACATTGCAGCAGGAGCTCCTCTTAATCGCTCTGCCCCAACGTGGGGAAGAACAGGACGTAGTATTCTCGATGGAGAATCGAGGCTGAATGTGAACGAAAATTATGCCATGCGGGATAAATTCGAAAGATATGCGAGGATAATCAACAGGTTCAACAATGCGAGGCAAGCCAATCATGATTTTCCATTGACCTCCGAGTTCATACAGACTTTTGATAAATCTACGGATTCCAAATATCGTCAACTTCTTGAGAGCTGGCAAATATTGGACAATCTCCACGGTGATCGGGATATTGTAGGCTCATCGAAAAGGTTCCTCGAAAGGCAGTTCTTGACATACGTGGATAACTTATATGAAAAAAATCCCAGCGAAGGTCTTCCAACTAATATTAACAAGATAAAGTCATTCATCGAATACAAATTGAAGAATTCGAATAACACTTGGAAGTACGGTAATTTAACAATAGTGAATGGAACACCGGTATGGGCTCTTATATTTTACCTTCTTAGGGCTGGGCTCACTCAGGATGCACTTGAAGTTGCCATCAACAATAAATTGAGTTTTAAAAAAGTTGAACAGTCCTTTTTGACGTATTTCAAAGCATACGTTACTTCAGAAAATTCTCGATTGCCGCAGGAGTTTGTCTCTAAACTTCACACTGAATACAACCAACACATAAAAAACTCACTCGATGGCGATCCATTTAGATTGGCAGTATACAAGATCATTGGTAGGTGTGATTTGACAAGAAAGAACATATCGTCCATAACATTGAGTATCGAAGATTGGATTTGGGTGCATTTCATGTTGATAAAGGAGGATATTTCAGGAGACGATCCCATATACGAAAGGTACAATCTAGAGGATTTTCACAATATCATCACCTCCTATGGTGTCTCCAGATTTAATAATTACTACCTTCAGGTCCTACTACTGAGTGGCCTGTATGAGCTAGCAGTTCAGTATGCCTTTTCAATTAGCGAGATCGACGCTGTGCATCTGGCAATTGCCTTAGCTTACTATAAATTATTAAGCGTTTCCAACTTCCACGGGATCAGTGATGATGATCTGATTACCCTGAATGAAGGAAAAAGAGAAATTAATTTTGCGAAGCTATTAGGGAACTATACAAAGTCTTTCAAATTCTCAGATCCTAGAATTGCGGTCGAATACTTGATATTGATAGGATTAATACATGATAAGAATCAAATTGAACTGTGTCACGAAGCATTGCGGGAATTAGTCCTAGAAACAAAGGAGTTCACCATTCTGCTCGGTAAGATTAACAGAGATGGAACAAGAATACCAGGTATTATCGAAGAAAGACAACCATTGTTATACGTCAGTGACGAAAAGGACTTTTTGTATACGATCACTGAACAAGCCGCCAGACGCGCAGATGATGACGGTAGAGTTTATGACAGTCTTCTGCTTTATCAACTCGCCGACGAATATGATATTGTATTATCTATTGTCAATAAATTGTTGGCGGAATTGCTGAGTAACACTGATTTAGATCAGCCAATTCTCAATCTCGATGATAACAGTGAGACGAATCCAGTTTTAATAGCGAAAAAGCTAATCAACGTATATGGTAGTAATCTGGAGATCTCTAAAACTATCAATCCAAAAAACAAGGAAACTTGCCTCTTGTTGTTGAAATTAGTGGATATCAGAAAATGCTATCTCGCTCAGCAATGGCAGCGAGCTTTACAGAAGATAGAGGAGATTGATTTGGTTCCTTTTGAAGATGAGCTTGCAGCGAGGAAGAAGGCTCAAGATTTTCCAAATCTCAATCTGAATATCATCCGAAACATACCCAATCTTCTGATCATCACCATGTCCTGTATTTCCAATATTATTTCACAGTTAAATCAAAGTGATTTTCAAACGGACCCCAAAACTCAGCAAATTAATGCACTCAGAAAAGTGGCGAAATACTGCATGATTTATGCGGGCATGATTCAATATAAAATGCCTCGAGAAACTTATAGCATACTAATCAACATCGAGGTGGGCCTATGAATCTATTAGAGCATCCATTTTTATATATATTAGTGGAATTTCTTATATCACGTATTAGTTTCTTTGTTTAACTGTTTGATTTAGTGCTTACTTTTACGTTGTGTATAATCAGGTTGAATTTCGTACGCGTTAGGACTTGAAGATCTCTTATGCTGAAGTTTTCTATGGCGCCGTTCTTTTCTCAGCTTTCTCCTACTATCTATATCCATATTCTTTTCGGCATCCGATTCTGAAGAAGAGGACGAAGAGGAGTCGCTGCTATGGGAACAATGATCACATTCTACATCATCTAGATCATCAAAATTTTGCTGCGGATGAAAAATGCAACAGATTTTGGACTTTTTTTTGTTCATGTGCTCATTATCGATCACATCTTGCTCCCACCTGACTTGATTTCGTTGTGGCCGCGCACTAGTCCTTTGAGCAACTTCCGTTTCATCTCTGGCATGCGAATTTGATGCCCGAAGTTGCAAAACTGGTAGTGGCTCACTGATTGTCACCGTATGGGATGTATTATGATCAGTTATTGCTTGACTCTGCGTAGTGGTATTTTCGTTCATTGCTCGTGTTATGGGAAGTGGGGTTAATACCTACTTTCTGTTCTCTCAATGAGACCTTAGGGTACCTTTGAACTCTCAAATGACGTCTCCGTGAATAATGATTTACAATTAGGGTAAAGTGGAACGGGTGGCAAAATTGGAATTTTGATGTCATGTACTACATTGAATTAAATATTGACCGAAAACAATGGAGAGACTTCAAAGGCTTATGATGAATCAAAGAGTGGGTATGATGGGCGGAGCATCTTCGAGTGAAATGCCAATGGATGATACGAAAGAAACTGTTTACATCTCGTCCCTTGCGCTCTTAAAAATGTTGAAGCATGGACGAGCTGGCGTTCCTATGGAGGTCATGGGATTAATGCTTGGTGAATTTGTTGATGACTATACAGTAAACGTGGTAGACGTATTTGCCATGCCTCAATCAGGAACTGGTGTTTCAGTTGAGGCTGTTGATGATGTATTTCAAGCGAAAATGATGGATATGTTAAAACAGACTGGCCGGGATCAGATGGTGGTTGGTTGGTATCACTCACATCCTGGGTTTGGCTGTTGGCTATCATCAGTTGACGTTAACACACAAAAGTCTTTCGAGCAGTTGAATAGCAGGGCTGTTGCCGTCGTGGTAGATCCAATTCAATCTGTTAAGGGAAAGGTGGTGATAGACGCGTTCAGACTAATTGATACGAACATGATCATGAGAAATCAAGAGCCAAGGCAAACTACTTCCAACACAGGTTTACTAAATAAACCTAACATTCAAGCGCTAATTCATGGGTTGAACAGACATTATTACTCTTTAAACATAGACTATCATAAGACGTCTTCTGAGACGAATATGCTGATGAATCTCCACAAGGAGCAATGGCAATCTGGTCTTAAAATGCATGATTACAGAGAAAAAGAACAAAACAATTTGAAAGCCACCCAACAAATGGTTAAGATTGCGGAACTTTACTCAAAGAGAATCGAAGAAGAAAGAGACCTAACCGAGGAGGAACTGAAGACTCGTTACGTTGGTAAACAAGACCCAAAGAAGCATCTATCAGAAACCGCAGAATCTGTGCTAGAGGATAATATTATTTCTGTATTGACAGCTGGTGTAAACTCAGTGGCAATCAAATAATCAAGGGATCTTTTTGCTGCGCATATCTAATTTCTGTTCATGCAGAATTATCTCCTATATACTCTTGTAACATAGAATACCTACTGGATTTTCTCCCAAACTTGTAGAAAGCTTTCGTCCAGAAATAGAAGCTCCTTTTCTTTGGCGCGAATCGACTTATCTTGGAACTCATACCAATCGCCAGATAGCGGCTCCAGTATTTGTATCTTCCATTCACTACTCAAGTCTTTGTCCTCCTCTTGGCTGCCATTCCGGCTTGGGAGTGCCTTGTGAACAATATTGCATATCAATCTATATGATGCCCCACCAATTGACATATTTAGAGGGAACTCAACAACAGCTTGATTTCTATTTTTGACAGGCATTGGCATCTTATGTGCGAACCTATCAATATGCAATATCAGATACGATGGAAGTTTAGTCAATTTATATGTTCTCACACTGTTACTGCTATGAATTTGCTTGGTGCCATCAAATTTCTTCATCAAATCAATAAGTTTGACCTGGGGCCAATTGTTCACATTTCTGCCATCAGCAAATAGAGGCTTGGGAGGCAAATCAAGAGACAGAGTCCAAAACTTTGAAATGTGTGAGCGCTTTGATTCGTGGATTTCCACAAATTGAAGTCGCTTTCCCGACTCGTCTGTAAGTTCTTCAACTTTTGTTGAACTTACACTAACTTCTCCACGACAATTCCCCGTGATGGCTTCCTTGAAATCAGAACTTTTATCTGAGGATAAGACATGGTTAAATATCCAGAGTAGAAAATCCTTTGGGTCTTTCTTATGATGCAAAGTCTTAAGAATCTTACTATCCTTAGAGAGAATCGAAAGATATTGAAAAAACTCATATGGTGAGACATGGCGCCTGAATAACTTAGGTGACCACATCCTTCTCACTAATACCGACAGTCTCTGTGTTAACTGATCTTTGTACTCATCTTTTTTATTTTTCAGTAACAAATAATCTCTCAAGGGCGAAATATGAGCTATAGCATGAATTATCACATTGGCATACGAATCACCTGAAACGCAATTTAGTGGCACAAAACCGCTGATATAAGAATCATTATCCAAATCATAACACTTCTGTGAATAGTTTTGCCCATTTTGAAGTATGAAGGTGGGAAAAATAGCATATTTGATATTGTCTAAGTATCGAAAATCATTGACTTCATAATTATCAGGCAAAACATAAACTTTCAGCGTCTCCGTGTTAATAAAAACGTGATGATCATCATTGATGGCGTGAAGAAAGGCAACAGATTCCTTACCTCGTCCCTGAAGGTATTTGCCACAGACTAGACAACAGTAAACGTTGAGATGTGATAAGGTAACGGAGCAGATCTTCTCAAGGTCAAAATCGAGCTTCTTTAAGTTAATCGTCTCCAAGTACAACCTCCCTAAAGCTTTAGTTGCCTTGGACTTTTTTGCAGTGTTATACAGTTCATCTTCATCTGGCTCAAGCCTTTTGGACCGATTGTACATGTCGGCTACATTAACATGATATTCACTTCAAAGCTTTCTGTAAAAAAAGATACTTGTTTCTTTTTGATATCGCGAAAATAACATCCGTTCGTACTCGCGGCGCAGGATAAGCAACACGTACATAAGCACTTAAAGAACGTCTGGGGAGATCAGCAAGTGCAAGTAACTGTATGATCCTAAGTATCATTTCCTTGGCGCTAGTATCGTCCACTTTTACGTTCATTTCTGCCACTTACTACACGAAAAGGAAATTCAAGGCCAATTCTACATCTACCACATCCCTAGAAAAAACCATGAAAGAACTCGAGTCCAACAAATATCCCGCAAAAGCCCATAATTTGAAGGTAAAACGAAACCTTCTGGGGAAGAAGGAGAAACTCGATGTTGCTCACACAGCTCTATTCATCAGTGGTGGGCAAGTGGAGTCTATAAAATATTGTGATCAAACAAAACCTTTTCGCCAAAACAGGTACTTTTTTTATTTGTCTGGAGTTAACGTTCCAGGTGCATCGATTTTGTTCAATTTTAATACTGAGAAGTTAACGTTGTTTTTACCTGACATTGATTATGATGATGTCATGTGGAGTGGTATGCCCTTGAGTGCGCAGGATGCTTTAGAGAAGTTTGACGTGGACGAGGTGCTCTACGCCGAAAGAATAAATTCAAGTTTGAATGACTTAAGTCACTATACGATATACACTACGGACGTGGACAATATCAATGACCCACATTTGTCTGAATTGCTCAAACCCTCCGACCCCAATTTCTTTTACGCCCTCGATGAAGCGAGATTAACTAAAGATTGGTATGAAATTGAACTTTTGCGGGAAGCAGCTAGAATTACAGACAATTGCCATTTATCTGTGATGTCAGCTCTTCCTATTGAAAAGAATGAAGGTCACATGCATGCCGAGTTCACTTACCATGCGATCCGCCAGGGCTCTAAGTTCCAAGGGTATGATCCCATATGCTGCTCAGGTACAAATTGTGGCACTCTGCACTACGTTAAAAATGATGAACCGATGGATAAAAGACAATCTGTTTTGATCGATGCAGGTGCTGAATGGGAAAACTATACCGCGGATGTGACACGGTGTTTCCCCTTAAGTGGAAAATTCACTAAGGAACACCGTGAAATTTACGAAGCTGTGTTGGATATGCAAAGTGTGGTCATGGAAAAGATTGCGCCTGGTGTTCATTGGGATGAATTGCATCTTCTAGCACATAGGGTTTTGATCAGACAGTTCTTAAAGCTTGGCATATTCAAAGAGGAATATTCTGAAAATGAGATTTTCGAGAGAAAAGCTTCATTATGCTTCTTTCCGCATGGATTAGGTCACTTACTAGGATTGGATACTCATGATGTCGGGGGATATCCAAATTATAATGATCCTGATCCTTTACTGAAATTTCTGAGACTTCGTCGACCCTTAGAAAAGAATATGGTTGTTACAAATGAACCTGGAATTTATTTCAATCCTTTTTTGATTAAGGAATACCTCGAGAAGCATCCCGAAAGAACTGAAGTTGTTGACAGAGAGGTGATGAAGAAGTATCTCTATGTTGGTGGGGTAAGAATCGAAGATGACATTTTGGTCACAGACGATGGATACGAGAATTTAACCAAAATTACAAGCGACCCAGATGAAATCGAAAGAATTGTCAGTGCGAGTTTATCGAAAGGGAGATCTCATTTTCACGCAATCGTATAGATAGCTATGAACCTGTTTATACGAATTGAAATTGAATAAGCTAAGCGTCCGAAGCATGTTACTGCGCGGATACTATTGTGCGACGGGAATACCCAGGAAGGCCGGCAGCAAAAAATTATAATCGTTGCGAATTCTGTGGATCGAACACAGGACCTCCAGATATCAATGGACCGAAGTGAATCTTCAGTCTGGCGCTCTCCCGACTGAGCTAAATCCGCAAATTCTTGTTAGTGGGGCTGAATTAAATCGGAAGATAGCGAGATTTTTTTTACAGCAATGTCATGTGTTGTAAACCATTGATTGCTGTGAAAGGCCTGAATAAATAAAATCACAGATGATGAGAAACATCAGTGATGGTGAGATTTGCTATAAAACCTCAAATTTACAACTGTACGTACTACCGTATTACCAGGCTCTAAGCTTAGCACGTAATTGCTTGGAAGGAAGGAGATAAATGACTGCTACCTACGCATAATATATCAAATGTATACTACGATTACCTCGAGAAATTCCGATTATTTCCATAGAATATAAATAAACGTAAATATTAATAAATAGTATTTGGCACTGTTCTCTGACGTATCATTTGCCTTCTTCACATAATCAGACTAGAGACGAGTTTGCATAGGTATTCGATAAAGATGTGCACACGCTCGCCACTTCCGATATGTACGGGCTCTGCTGTGTGTCGATAGCTTTTAATGCACTTTGGATTGTTTCAAAAAACTGGGGATAAGCGACCGCTATTTCTACCTGCGCAGACCCAGAATCAGAATTATCGAGTTGAATCATCTCGGTTATTCCTGATGACATAATTCTTTCTCGAACGTTCGGTGTCATAGGTACTCTGGCAAAATACACACTGACATGCCTTTTTCTGTAAGAAGTAATGATCTCACAAAGGATTTGAGCCGCGGATGAGTCAATGTAAGTCATTCCATGAAGGTCGAATATAACGTTTCTCACCTTTTCTCTCTCTCCCGACTTTGGGCTCGCAGGATGTGCTCTCACAGATCCGTAATGCTCGAGCCTACTCAATCTTGATTTCAAGTCTTCTGTATTGGTAAAGGTAAGTGGCTCTGGTATCTTTACTATCAGACATCCTTCAATTTGCTCAAGATGAGTGTCGAATACTTCTTGAGCAATTGGTGAGCGATAGTATTCATCGGCGTTTACAAATCGGCTTGTTCCCGCAACCCTTCCTAATATTTGTATCCGCGACTTTGTAGAGTTTTTAATCAGGCGTATAATTGAATATGCACACCCCACCGTGATACCAGCCTCAACAGAAAACAGAAAGGTAGTAAGAACTGTTATAGTAAAGATGATTAGTTCATTGTAACCACGACATCTCAAATGGAATCTGATATCAGAAGGAGCTTCCTCAAACAAGGATATTCCCACTACGGTAGTAACCACTGATAACACACAAACCGGTACATAGCGAATAAAACCCAATAGGAATTTGATAGTAACGATAGTCACCAGTCCCATACACCCACCAGATATTGCAGTTTGTGCTCCTGAGTACGCATTTATTTTAGATCTACCATATCCACCAAAAGAAGGCAATGCACCAAATAACGAACCAACTAAATTGAGACTTCCTAATGCTATTAATTCTCGATTAGATGAGATGGCAAAGTCGTAAGCAGTTCCTAACGATTTAGATGCAGTTGTTGACTCAAAGAAGCCTAAAAGAGCGACCATGAACCCAGGATAAAAGAGGTCGCTAAATAATTCTAATCTCGTTTTCGAGAGAGGATTTTTTATCGAAGTTAAATTGTCTGTTTGGATATCACCAACGACATCAATTTTATAGTCATGTTTAATGTTCATAGTGTAAGATAGAATGATGGTTGAAACTACCACGAACAATATCTCGGGAAAAAACACTACCCACTTGTGTCTTTTCATTAGCTTTTTTTTCAAGTATCTCAACAACATTAAAACGCTAAAACAAGTAAAACTCAGAAGTGCAGTGGGAGCGTGATAATTATTCGGACCATACTCGACGAGAAAAATAATCTTCTGAAAAGGTGAGTGATAGTGACCTGGGGCATCAGCAAAGACCTTTTTCAATTTTAATTCCGTTATTAAAGAATTCAATACCATTACAACACCAATGGCACTGATGAACCCTCTCAGAAGTGCTCTACTCAGAACGTTATCCAGAAAACCAAATCTTAAAACGCCGAAAACAAACAAAATTAATCCACTTATGAAAGTCATAACGACACATAAATCAACGGCACTTAAAGTGTTATCATGTTTGGTTATACGTTCGATGGCTTGGCCAACAACTAGTGAAATTGCGCTTTCAGGGCCAACGATCATCTGCGGAACGGAGCCAAAGACTGCGTATATGAAAGGAGTGAACGCCAGCGAGTTCAGACCACATATGGGGGGAGTGTGGGCAATGGAAGTAGCGTAAGACATAGCCAAGGGTATCTGAAATGAAGCCAGGGATAATCCGGCGACGAAGTCACCGCAGAATTTTGAAAGGTTGTATGATGGTAGCCAAGAGAAGCAGGGAAGGTAGTAGGTCAAGCGATCCCAAACTGTTAAATTTCTGCTATCTGAAAAAGCCCCGGTTGGCATGGTTTTGCTCGTGAGTCCTGGTAATATAGAATCATCTATGTTTCCTGGAGTCTGAACATGACTACTATTGCCATCCGTTCTCGAGCTATCGGAGCTAGAAGCACGAGACTGGCCGATTGACTCCTGTAAAGAGTCATACAACGGAGATCGTTTGTACTGCTGTTTGGATTGTCTTACAAGCAGCGGCTTTGTCTCGTTGTTCATGTGCTTGTTCGTTTTCCTTTACAACTTATGTGCATGCGTGCGGAAATTATTCAATCATTTCGATGTTTTTGCGCATCCAATACATCACGCTTTTACTGCGAATATAAAAATATATATAAAGTAATCATAAAAAACCGTGGAGAAGGCTTGGTTCACCTCATGTTCACAATTGATCTTTACTTAGTAATTTTTTGAGTTAGTTCGGGAACTATTTCATTCAAGTCTCCGACTAACCCGAAGTCAGCGACTTGGAAAATAGGCGCTTCAGGATCGTTATTGATAGCCACAATAGTCTTCGAATCTTTCATACCAGCAAGATGCTGAATCGCGCCGGAAATTCCAATAGCAATATAGAGATCTGGTGCCACAACTTTGCCAGTTTGACCGATCTGTAAGGAATTATCGCAAAATCCGGCGTCAACGGCTGCCCTAGTTGCCCCGATTGCGGCGTGAAGAGAATCTGCTAGAGGTGTAACAAGTCTCTCAAATGTTTCCTTGTTCTTGAGGCCCCTTCCTCCGGATACAATTCGAGTAGCAGATCCTAAATCTGGACGTTCATTCTTGACCAAACTTGCACCCTCCCATTGAGTGCCTAATGAGGAACTTTCCATTAGAGGAGCATCAACAATTTCGGCCTCATTTGCACCCTCCTCAATACTAGGAAAAGATGATGACCTGATACTTATCAACTTTTTATCTTGAGGACACTTCACGGTAGCGAGAGCATTACCAGCGTAAATAGGTCTAACAAAAGTGTTCGCGTCCACTATTTTGGTGATATCACAGATTGGTTGATAATCAAGCAACGCACCGATTCTAGGCAATACATTTTTGCCAACTGAAGAACTAGAGACAATAAAGTGACTGTATTGATCACTTCTCAGAAGTTCCGTACACAATGGGGTGAGCATTTCAGGAAGAAAGTTATCATATGCAGCATTTTTAGCGACTATAATCTTGTTCAAGTTTCCACATTTTATTTTATTCCTTAGTTCCTCGCTGGCTGCATTGGCATTAGAGCCAACAACCAATGCAGATATTGGATTTCCTAATTGATTTGCTGCATTCAAAGCACTTAATGAAGACTGTAAGACCTTGCCTTCAGGGCTTGTTTCAATAAATGCCAATGTTGAAGATAGCCTCAAAAACGATGCTGATTTATACAAAACGGATGGCACTTTTGAAGCTATGCTAAACATTTCTGTAATCAATGGTAGTTTCGAATTGGTGTCGGGTGCATGTTTTAAATTTTTTTTTTTCAAATACGCTCCTTCTCATTGCTACAAAGAAGCAACCAACTAGGGACATATCTTGTATACACGAGAGGACCCGACTCATCTTCCTACATTCAAGGTGGGAAGTTGAATCATATTGGTACCATCACTGAGAGGACCTACGTATATTTGTTCTTTGCAAATCACGGATCACGAATAACGTGTATATATCTATATATATGTATGGTGAGTGGTTCCAATTGATTAAATTGTAGATGCCTCGGCAATGGTAAACACTGCATCATTAGCGGACAAAGTTATTGAGCTACTTTCGGATAAGGTTGATAGTAATTACAGGATTGCAGTGCTCATTGTGGGGCCGCCTGGGTCCGGAAAGTCAACCATCAGTGAAGAAATATGTGAAGAAGTTAATGCGAGATTTCAGGCATACTTGAGCGAAAATCAAGTCAAAGTGCACTTGCAAGATACTAGAGAAAGCTCTGTTGATATTTGTGAGGGCATTCCTTTTGCTAGCAGCTCAATTGAAAAAATCACTGAAAGCGAAGTGTTTAGTCATGTTGAGGACGAAGGGTATGTTCCTCATAAATACAACAGCAAAGATGGGGCAACGATAGTTGTCGGACGTGGGGGATTGCCAAATAGCATACAAGTCAAGCACGAGAAAGTGAAGGTACCAAACGATAGCGCTGTACGTATAGCACAAATAGTTCCTATGGACGGTTTTCACTTATCTCGGAAGTGTCTTGATCATTTCAAGAATCCATTAATAGCTCATCAGCGTCGAGGATCTCCCCAGACATTTGACAGTAATAATTACTTACAGCTGTGCAAGCTTTTAGCTGAGACTTGTGAAATCAAACCCCACTTCAGCCCTTCGAAGAGCTCTTCGAACGTCTTTGATAAATTGTGTGCATCATTTTCAGATGCTGTTCCTTCTATTTACGTACCAGGTTTCGACCACAGTTTGAAAGATCCGAGCAAGTATCAACACTGCATCAACGCATTCACTAGGGTGCTGGTTTTGGAGGGCCTTTATCTACTTTTGGATGTTGAGAATTGGAGAGAGATTTACCCTATTATGAAGTCTACTGACGCCATCATCATTTGCAATATCGACATTGACGAAAAGGTTATTGAGCAACGAGTAGCCAGAAGACATGTAATTTCTGGATTAGCTCAATCCCTTGAAGAAGGTCTCGAGAGATTCCGTGCAAATGATCTCCTCAATGCTAGACTAATCAAAAAAAAACAATTGAGGCCGATGACATTATTACCATAAGAAATGACTAAACCTTTTATAAACTTATTATGCACTTTCAACTGATATGAATTATCTAAACTTTTGCTCTTGAGTCCTTTGATTTTCTTCTTCTCAGCATGGAGCTGCAGTTCAACTTTAGGTCAAATGCAGCCCTACAATTTGATTCAGATTGAGATCGTGATCGGGGAGACGATGGTGTAGCCAAATTTTTGATAGCGGGGACCTTAGAAACTTTTTCCGCGTTTATAGCGTTGCCAGTACTTTTACGCCTCATGCGTCGGATTCTAGGTGCAGGTGTTCTGGGCAATGCATGATACTTGGTACCATACTTTGTAGACTCTTCCTTAGTAGTTGGAAGAAATCTATGCTCTAGACGAAACGATTCTTCTAACGGCTTTTTACGAGGAATATCATTGAGAAATATACCAGGAGAAAGAAATTTCGCATTAACTTCAAACTCCAGTTCTTTGTCGGTAGGAGTTTTTAGATCTTCTTCAGTTAAAGTCCCCAGCTCTTCATCTGTGCTGGACTCTCTACCGCTTGGCGGACTATTTTTGGCATGAAATGTGTTTGACCTTCCTGAAGTCACATCCTTCCCGGTTGCTACTGACTGAACACCTGCTAACTTCGAACTTCTGGTAAATTTCTCTTGATGATTGAACATGGCCATATCCTGCAAAGCGCCCCTTCCACTCGCAATGCTCCGTGGGTTTTGTCCTCGCGTTTGTGAGCACTCCACGTATATGCTTTTTGGATCAAACTTGAGTTTTGCAGTTTGGGTTAATCTGAAGTTACGCTTTACAACATCAGAGTTTTTAACATCATCATAATTTTTATTGTGGCTATCATTTTCATTATCATAAGCTATTTTTCCTCCCTCATCTCTACCATCATCTTCTTCATCTTCTTCATCTTCTTCATCTTCTTCATCTTCTTCATCTTCTTCATCTTCTTCATCTTCATCTTCATCTTCATCTTCATCTTCATCGTCCTCATCATAACTAGTGTTCTCTTCTTCGTCCTCGGAATTGCTAGACTCGTCATCACGATCACTATCATACTCATCTTCTCCGGAAGACAACACTAGATCCTGGATATGTATCGTGCCTCTTGGGATAGGTGTTCGCACAATTTTTTTTGATTGCTTGCAGTTAGACAAGCGATCGCTGCCTACCTTCGAGCGTCCTTTGATACTAGGTGTGCTTGGGACGAATGATATGTGTTCCATATTGGAAGACTTTCCTAGAATGGATGGTATTTTGGTGCACTTAGTCTCAGAAGCTAGTAAGCTAACGTCATCAACTTCATCACCGTTATCATAATTGAAGTAGTCACTACCCTCCTCTTCCTTTCGGTATTTCGGATATACTTGGTAAATAACTCCTCGGTCTTCGAAGAAATCCGTACAAGAATCACTTAGATCCCTAGGAGTCGATTTATCAAAAACTTTCAGGAGCACTTCCTGTTTGTCCTTATCAAAAGCTTCATAAATACGTGTATCCCTTGTCTTACATATCAATGAAACAATTGTGTAGTTATTATTAGGTGTATGATGAATAATGACCTCTGCCATTATTGAACTTTAACAAAAAGTAATACCTTGAAGAAAATAGACGGTCCCGCGTTATCTTGGGAGATTGATGGTCGGTTCTGTCTGCACTGACGCCGGCTTCTTTCCGGCTCTTGACAATGTTTTCAGTTTGATTGGAATGCTACGTCATTTGTGATAGACTTTTTTAAGAGCCAGGAGGAATTTGAGAGAAGGGTGCTCATGATTATTTATTCACATTCGACGAGGTTTTCAATACTCTGTGAATCTTAGAAGGCTTTTATCAATTATCTGCTTAGTATTGAAGGGCATGGATATTGTTGCTGCGATTATTCCGTCAATGAGGCGATCCTATATCATTACTTTCGTTTATCGTTCAGAAACATACACACATTTCATACTTTAACTTGTAGCATTCTATTGTGATGTGCTACATTATGATCGAATCAAATTGCCAATATTTTCGACGTTTTGGTTGTTCATCATAAATAGATTGCTATTAAAAATTAAATTTCCCCCAATTGGCAGCCTGTGGTTGTCTGTGGGCGACAAATGTACTTTTTGTCATCACTTATAGAAAGAAGATTATCAGAAATCATCAGTGACCCACTGTTTAAAACAAGTTATCGAGGTATCATCTGGCGCAAGTACAGGTCGATTTACTTCAGTTTCTCAAATATCTCTATCGATAAAGCTGACACATAAATCAAACAAATATAGTCCAATATATGCTTCGTTCACTCGAACGAGTGAAGGATCTGAATATTAGAACATTCTAGTAGTTGAAGTGTTCAAGATATAATTGCGGTGCATATCATTATTATACTTTCCATAGCAAACAAAAAAAGCTTGAGCTAACTTAAACTGAAAATCTTGCACTACAAATGCGTTCCGATGACCAGCTTTCGACCTATTTGAGTTGACAAGATAATCCATACGAGATTAGCAATTCATTATTAAATGTAGATGATAATGTTGCTACCACCCATAAGATCCAGTGGATTTTCAACCCCACAAGCTTCTAGATCGATGTAGCTCTTAGATGCCAATTGAAGAACGGTTAAGAATGCGTTTGCAGCTATTCTTTTATTGATTACATTTGATGTACTGCCAACTTCCTCATGGGATAAGTGATCTGAGCTCAATCTACTAGGGATAATGTCTTCAAAGTAAAGCTGCCGCATTAATGATGAACGATGACCAGTATTCTGTGGTACAGATGCTGCACGCAGTTCAATGTAGTCGTAAAATTTTCTGCTTCGCTCATCGAGTATAGAGCGACATTCATGTAGATTAGTGGGGAGGATGCCTGTGTTGATCGAATTGATCTCCTCGTAAACATCATCTAGGTTATCTGAGCTTCTCTCATAAGATTTGCGCTGCTTCCAACCAGCTCTTTGAAGCTCATCCACGTAATCCCTGGAACTTGACGCAGTTTTGCTCACTGTGCGCCCAAAACTAGAGGGCGGTAAATTTAAGTCCATGTGCATTATGTTTTCCTCCCCTTCAAAAACAGCATCTTCACCCAAACCAAGCTCCTCATCAATTTGGTTCAAATCAGGCAGGACAGTAGATGCGTTTTCACTCTCCACAGATGCTCTGCGGGTGTCTATTGAATCAACCCTCCGCCCTTGCTCGGTACTCGTCAAACTACTCGATCTTGAGGGAGGAAGGGAGACAATATTTTGACGTCCTCTTTCGATCAATCTTGTTGTTTCTCTTGCCGCCAAGTAATCTAAAGCTTTCGTATTAGCAAACAGAAATTGAAAACAATCGTTAAGAAAGATGGGAGAGTTTTCAAATGGCACTAAGCTTTTGAAAAATCCATCGAAGGGTGCTTTGGAAATTTGCGTGTCACTTTTAGCATCTTTTTCGGCGGTCATAAAATTGCAGTACTCATCGTTATGTTTTCTTAACAATTCCGTGGATAAAGTAGTCTTGTCATCAGACATAATTGTGGAGAAGTTTTTGTTCAACCTCCTTCTTTTTATTTGCTTCTTGAATCCTGTCTCTTGAAGGATAACCTTATTCTTTGATGTTTCGGTTTCTTGGTCATATGTCCTCTTTGACGCGTTCGATCCTCCTCGCTGATTGTCATTTGTATCTTCAAAATCCGATCGTTCTATAAAATCTGACTCTGCGTACAAAGGATTAAAATCTAATTCAAAACGGTCTTCCGTTCTGTCAATTTCACCTGTTTGCCGCTCAGTTGAAGAGCTAGAGCGCGTTCCAAAGTCGCTCATTACGTCCCCGAAGTCGAGGTTGAGATCAAAATCGAGACCGGATGTCCCATCAAAATCAGGATTCGAACGCGAATAATTTCTATTTACTTGCGACAGGTAGTGTTGCGTGTCGTCATCCCCATTATAGCCATTGCTCAACTCCATCAAAATATCGCGCTGCTTAATCAAGGATGAGGAATTTGCGGAGCCAACTTTTTGATGGTTTAGAAAAGAGGTATCTCGCATATCGTTTATGTTGAAGAGAGGATCGTCCGTAAGATAGTGGTTATTCATGCTATTCGTTTCATTCCGAAGACACATTTCCCTCTGTAGCTCAATTATGTTCTGATATTCATCAACACCATCGAATATTGTCGTCACTAAACCCTTTCTATCAGTTCGAGACTTCCTTTGGTTACTCAATCCCATTAAATGCTTCTGGAGCTGTGATTGAAGATGTGCTATATCTGCAAGAATAAAATCTGTTTTCCGACTATAGCATAACGTTACTCCCAATAGCAAGTTTGACATGTATTTCAATGGAAGGTCAAGACTAGGGTCTTTCAACAAGTTACACGTCTTGGTAATTGACAAGGATAATATGTCTTTTTTCCTTACGTTTACAGTATTATTATTGCGCGTGCCACCTAATGTCGATAATAGCCAAGCTGTCATCACCCCATATTGCAGTTCTTCACCTCCTCTTTGTCCCCGAAGCCTCAACGCGTTTGAAGTCGATGGCTCAAAAGATTTCATTGCTTGAAACTTCCAAGTACTTAGGAGTGTTGTATTGCCAAGGGTGATTGGTATGTACTATCAACTCCCTTTTATAGCATTTGCCATTAGCCGCCGAGATGACAATCTTCCAAAGTTACCCGGATTTCGCGTTGTCATTTTGGAGTGTTCTGTTCCTCTCGCTAGCACTTCCGGAGATCAATGCCCAGCACCGAGCTATTGAACCGGTAAAGACCAAACATTATGACGGATCAGCAAGTTGTATTCATGAACCCCCAAAATGAAAATTTGGATCATTTATACGATTTGATCCATCAAATATGTCGTCAGATGGATGAGAATAAGCAAAAAAGGGCAAGGTTGTTAAGAGATGTTGATGTACTTGCGAATCAACTGAACGCAAGATCTGGTAACGAAAACATTGGTGATGCAAATATCCCAGTTATAAGTGACTTCATTGCTCGTAGAGATCATACTGCTGCGAGCACAATTGGAGTGGAGAGTACTCGAATTGGCATGTTGAGGAAGCAAAACGATATACTCCGAAAAATGCTGAGGAATAAATGTCTGGTGAACAATGAAACCCTTAATCTGTTGAAGATTCATGAGGAGTATCTATCAGACGCCGTGACCTTATTACGACAAGATGTGCTCTCCTATCGCCAAGACTTGGTGCAGCGGTGTAGATCATTATACGAAGATGGTTTAATACCTTTAGAAGATCGCGAGTTCGATGAATATTTACTCAATGTAATGAATATTCAAGAGCTTCTTGATTTATCAAGTGCGTTTAGGGCTCTCTTAAGGGAAACGTAAATGACACTTGGATTCATCATTGTTATGCCCTCCTCATTTTTTTTAGAATAGAAGGCTTGCCGTCACAGAGAACTATTTACATAGCTCACCCCATCACCCCATCTTTGGCAAAAGAAACAATTGCGCTGATGTTAAGTCTATAAATAACGATAATAATAGTCTTTCCATCGACCTTCTTGCGTTAATGTGAGCAGTATTCATTCCATATTGGAGCTTCTTTCTCATCAATTAATTGAGCTTGAATATTCAAATCAGAAATTTTCTATTACAAGGTCTAATTTAGTGCTTTACTTGATGATAGTCAATGATGCTGTCGACCTTTACAATCCGTTCAATGATGCAGCTTCCTTATCCTAGAGTTTTACCTGTCGAAGATTTTGTAATCACTTGAATGTGGCATGGAATTCTTATGGTCATCCAAATAATTCTAACCTCATTTACTCTTTAGACGTTTATTGTTTACATCCTGTTTTTGAACTTCATAATTGTATTCTTTAAAAAAAGTGCTATCCGTTAACATTACTAGACGAGGAAAGTGATACGTGAACTAAAAACAAAAAATAATAACTCAAAAATAAATGCGCAAGCCCGGAATCGAACCGGGGGCCCATCGATGGCAACGATGGATTTTACCACTAAACCACTTGCGCTCTACTTGCTGGTAAAGGGAATGGAACAAGTATATACAATAAGCTCAATATAATGTGTCAAATATTTAGCATGTGCCATGGAGGTAAAGCTGACCATATGAGCTTCACATATAAGCTGCCTTGCACGTAATGTTTAACGCGATCGCTAATTTTGAAACAAAATACTAACTCAATACTAAAGTCAGCAGATGATCTTGTTGGAACGAAGTACAACTATAGACCATCGACTAGTATTCGTGTTACTAGTATTTTATCATACACGGTGTTTTAAGATGACATAAAGAATGAGAAACGGTCATCGAAATTAGTGGAAGCTGAAACGCAAGGATTGATAATGTAATAGGATAATGAATGAAAATGTATTAAAGGAACAGAAAGAGCAAGAATATTTGTAAGTAGAATTATCGACTCTTCTTTCTGGATTCTTAGAAAGATGAGGAGAACTTCTAGTATAACCATATACCAATTATTGTAGCCTTAATCAAAAATGGAATCCCAACATTTAGCTCAATATTCACCTATTTCTCAGATCTTATGAGCCCTGACGAGATTATTGAAAAGCGATTCGTTACCATAGGTCCCTAAGCGGATGAACTAGTTCTTTTCAGTGCAACAGGTATAACCCAAACACCATAAGATTGTAACTACATTTTGGTAACAGAAGACGAGCGAGAAACGGCTGTGGGGGGTGTTTTAGTAGCAACCCGTTTTAATGAATATGGAGGCAAGGGTGCCTCAGATGAGATTTGCTTGGCATGTGCTATCGGAGTAAATAAATTCCAGATTTTCAACCGACCAATCGTATATTGACGTTCTTATTATCCTCAAAAATTATTATGGAGTATTACACCCTTCAACCGGGGGAAAGCAAGCCGTATAGCTTGCAACATCCCTGAAAGCTTCGTAGCGAAGACGAAATTAAGGGCAGACACATCATCATCTATCTTCTATCGGGTTAGCAGAAAAGATGTTTTGTAATAACATGCGCCCAAAAAGGGGACAGCGGGTTAACTATACCGGAATAAAGTACGGCGAGCGTTAGCATGAAACCCGTATTTTAACTACGTTGCCAAGACTTGGTCATGAGGGTGGAAGGAGATGAAGAATAATAGTAATAGGCAATTTGTTAAAACTCAAACTAAAGCCACTCCCTCATAATTTCAAAGGCGAGGAATGCTAGCGTTGGAGTAGGAAATCTTAGCTACACAAGGCCGCGAAGAATTATAGCAGTCGCCAGCGATAGAAGCGTCGGAGCGATAAATACGGCTTCCTCGAAGGGTTGGTTTCACTACGCAAACTTCTGCGAGTGACAAATGCACCCAGAAAAAAAATAATTTTGGCCGTCGCTAAAGGAACCCGCTGAGAATGCCTAGAGGCCAGAAAGTGCACCCTCGCAGATTTCGCAAGTCTGCACTGCGAGCCTTTCTTTGTTCATTAGCCCAGTGAACAAATGAGAAAGAGAGGTGTGTTGGGTGCACTGCGTCTGAGAGAACAAGTTGCCGATCGCCAGATAAAGTTTTCATGTAGGTTCTTATATATAAAGCTATTGGCACGCTGTATGTCAAAGTGTAATTTGCTCGCGTGGAAGTAGTGAAATTAGCAGGAATAGTCGTGGAGCAGAATGGGTACTGGTAACAAGGTCTTCAACGTTGCAGTGTTCTTCGTCGTATTCAGAGAATGTTTGGAAGCTGTGGTTATTGTCTCGGTTCTTCTGTCATTTCTGAAACAATCCATTGGTGCACAAGATATGAAAACCTACAAGAAACTGAGGTTACAAGTATGGGTTGGTGTTGCCGCAGGTCTTTTTATTTGTTTAGCTATCGGTGGTGGTTTCATTGGTGCTTACTACGCTTTGGATAATGATATTTTTGGTAATGCTGAAGATTTGTGGGAAGGTATTTTCTGTATGATTGCCACGGTTATGATTTCTGTCATGGGTATTGCCATGTTGCGGATTAATAAAATGCAAGCAAAGTGGAGAGTTAAAATTGCACGTGCCTTGCTAGAAATTCCAGAACGTAAACGTGACCGTTTTAAGATCGGTGCGCTATCGCGTCGTTATTCCATGTTTTTACTTCCTTTTATTACCGTGTTGAGAGAAGGTCTAGAAGCTGTGGTGTTTGTGGCTGGTGCTGGTATTACGACTCAAGGTTCAAGCGCTTCCGCCTATCCATTGCCCGTGGTTGTCGGTTTGATTGCTGGTACAACCGTTGGTGTGCTATTGTATTACGGTACTTCTAAGTCATCTTTGCAAATCTTTTTGGTTGTCTCAACATGTATCTTGTATTTGATTGCTGCTGGTCTATTTTCCCGTGGTGCTTGGTACTTTGAAAACTACCGTTTCAACAAGGCTACTGGTGGTGACGCTTCTGAATCTGGTGACGGTAATGGTTCTTATAACATTAAAAAGGCTGTTTACCACGTCAACTGCTGTAACCCAGAATTGGACAACGGTTGGGATATTTTCAACGCGCTATTGGGATGGCAAAACACTGGTTATTTGTCCTCGATGCTATGTTACAACATCTACTGGTTGACTTTAATGATTGTATTGTTCCTAATGATGTTCGAAGAAAAACGTGGCCACCTACCCTTCTGCAAGAACTTGAAACTGAGACAATTGAACCCAGGGTACTGGATCAAGAACAAGAAGAAGAACGAGATCTCCGAACGTGAGAAGTCTCGTTTGTTCGAACAAGTTGAACACCTCAACTTCAACTCAGAGGGTGTTTTGAATCATAAGAACGGAGTTGCAGTTGCGGTCGAAAACGGCGAAATTGAGGAAGACACTACCGAAGAGGCGAAGGCGAAAAACGTTCAAGCTTCTGTCACTCCGCTGTCTTCTGACATAGAGACATCTGCGCGTTAAATCGTTATCAAATAGTTGATGGCCATTCCAACATGCGCCGAGGCGCTCTGAAATCGCTGTACATGCATATGCATAGCCTGTCAATATATATGAGTAATATTGCGAATCGTTAATGTACTAAGCCGTTCCTTAAAATGAAAGGAGTCTAGCTTTTTAAATATATAAACTTAATAAACGGGGAATTTCTACTTGTTAATACCTGAAAATTTCACACGGTTATGCGTGAAGTCTTTATGCTCTCAGAGCTTGAAAACTTCATACAGGGCAGGCAACCTTGTTGCCTCAAAAAACGTATGAACTGATAACTATAAACTTTATTCGACTTTCGAGCTTGGCATAATAGGAGCAAAAAACCAAGTAGTTCTCCTTTCGAAAGATACAGTAAGGTTGTCTACGAAAAATGCAAGCCAGTATTTTAAGTACTTGTCCAGAGCCGTCATTAGTAATCTCAATGGTGATACTGACTTTAGAAGTTTGTGCACGAAAGTAGGCGAGAATCCGCTAACGGCAGCCATAACAGGGCAATCATAAGAGCGGCGTTTACTTGTTTAAAAGCACTATTGTCAGCATATGCACACCAGGTCATATTTTAAAGAATGGGGTCGGTTTTGAATATTCGATTGTAAACTTTCACAGATCACTTGAAATCTCCATCATCCGTGTTAGTCCGAAACAGGTACAAGCGGCCACATCCATTTTTTTCGATTTTCTTCCCCAAGAGGTCAGCTTCATTTCGGTTGGGAAACTCTATGTGATGCTCAGTTCCTCATCACTGCTGTCGCTGCTCGAGCTCGGCGGCTATTCGTCTCGAGAGACAAAGATTGTGCACTAAATTAGTAGAATTTTCCCCGGGTTCCGCCAGCCTTCAATTACGGTGATATCTCGAGAATGTAATGTGAATAGATTGGAGCAACTTGACCAGATATTAGTGAAGGACCCCAATCCAGCAACATCTGGAGATTTTCAAAAAACGTTAGAATAATGTCGAAAACCCAGATGCTATACTTGAACAACGGCGAAGAGAAAAAAAACCTTGCTACTTAAGGTAAAAGGGCTTTCATTTATTTTAGTAGCCATTACCAATTGCGAGCGTTGCAGAATGCGTCTGTGTGTGTTCCAGATCACTTATCAACAGGAAAGAAAAGCGAATGTGCTTCAAAGAACTATGCTGAACACCCATGAGCTGCATAGACGTTGATTACACCCATCTGACTCACGCGTCTCATATCCACTAGGAGCACGTCCGAGGAGCGAAATGCAAAAGAAACCCTATCTCCACAACGCTTCCCGAGAACGGAGCCACTAAATTCTCACAGAGGACGCCGGACTTATCTCACCCTGGGGCTGAATGTGTACCCTTCTTGGACCAACGGGCAGAATACTAGATGCCTTATTTGCGCATCTATGCGGCTCGTATCCTAATTCCCGTCCTAACCGGTGAAGCTATAATTCCAGGCCGTATAGGACGACGCGACCGCAAAAAATTTTCATCAGGGGCGCGACTGAGCGAACTGGTACCGGCAGGGGAGAGCAGAGGAGTTGGAATTCGGGTCAGCAGGGTCGAACAAGATTCGGAAGGTTCATAAACACAAACAGACCCAATACAGCCGTATAAGAAACTGAAAGTTAGCCATAGAGTCTGGTTTTAAGACAGAAAGTTTTACACAGTTCGACCGAAAGTCAAGCAAGTTAGGCGGCCAAAGCATTTGCCAGTTCGAAAGTCCGTCGAGTCCGAAATTCGAAGCAGTTCACACAGCATCGAAATAGGTCAAAAAAAAGTTTGCAGGAGTTAAGAGATCCTTCAGTTCGCAGATATTTCGTGCGCTGTTTGCAGTTCGAGTTAAAGTTCGAGTTTTGAGTCCCTATCCGACTTAGAATTTCGCTGTTCGCAGTTTGCCATTTATCCTTAGAACAGTCATCTGTACTCGGTGGATTTTCTATTAAGGTGCAGCAGTCTGACGCTTTATCCTTAAAGTCGTTTTACATCAAGTCCTGCGACACAAGAGGTCCAGAGACAGAGACAGAACCTTTACCTTTGCGCTTTCACACTTCGCCTAAGCTAGCGCCACTATTTGTCAGCGTGGTATGCACCTAGAGCACAATTCAGAGTCAGCCTATACCGAGTTATCTAAAACAAGCTCTGAATCTTCAGATCTTATACAGCCCCAGGGTAAGATTAGTAAAAACGAAAATCTGTGCCAAAAGCGTGAAGACGTATTAGCCATTCATTTCAACCAATGGTATTAATCAACGGAGTTAAGTACGCCTGCGAGCGCTGCATTCGCGGCCACCGTGTCACCACTTGTAATCATACAGATCAACCCTTGATGATGATCAAGCCCAAGGGTCGTCCCTCTACAACATGTGCGCATTGCAAAGAACTTAGAAAGAACAAAAATGCTAATCCAGCAGGGGTCTGCACATGTGGCCGGCAGGAGAAAAAAAGGCAGGCGCAGCGAGCAAAGGAAGAAGCGCGAGCGAAGGCGAAAGCCAGGGAAGAGGAGTGCCATTGTGGCAACAGTGAAAAATGTGTTTGTCACTCTCGTCGTCGTAGCTCGCGTCGTTCAACCACGAGTAAGTCCAAGGCTCCTTCCGTACTTTCGCTGCCGACAGGCGAATCTACAGGTCTTACGGCAGCGTTTGATCCTTCTGATTCCGGTGTGAAAGTATCGAAGCCTCACGTTCTCACATCTTTGCCATCATTTCATTCATCGCAGTCTTTGGATCAAGATGTTTCTCTGGCGACAAGTCCTACCATGTCTACCTCGTTTTCAAATAACAACTGGGATGCGAGCTCAATTTCTAGCTCACTGCGCTCAGATTCGAGACTAAATCTGTTAGAAAGAAGTCACCATAGCATCGGTTTGGACCCACTCAACAATATAAAGCCTATTACTACTTCCACTCGCACACGCGTGGGTGAAGTCAGTGTTCCTCTAGAAGAGTACGTCCCTTCAGATATAAATGGCGTAGGAAACGTTAGCGATCTGCAAGATCAGTCAGGTTGGAGTAATCAAGATGATACGAAGACGGGTCTTCTCGACTTGTTTGCTGATACTTCTAATTCAAATACTAATTACTCCCGTATGAAAGGGCAGCATTATAAGCACTATGATCCATCTTCCGCCTCAGAAATACCATTGTCTCCGGATATACCATCCGCTGGCAAGTTAACTAGAACTCCATCCACTTTCGCTGAAAGGTCGGTTTCAGCGATATCACGAGCCTCGTTCGATGGTTCACTTCCAGATCCGGCAAGACCATCTTTGTCTTCTTTGAAAAGTTCAGATTCACTTTCTACGTACTTGGGCGGGAGCCAGGACGGCCATCACTACCAGGATATGTTACATCACTCTCATTCAGCTCGAAATTTTACCCCAGGCATCCACCAGGTCAAGCAGGAGCGGCCTTTTACAATTTTAGGTGACGATAACGAAAGTATCAAGAGTGTTGAAGTTCTATCGCTAACTCCAAGCTTTATGGATATTCCAGAGAATGGAAAATTGTATGCACCGACTTCAAACCCATTTTTTCATCACAAGGGCCCAGTAGTAAGACCTCGATCAGTTAGTATTGATCGCAATCATCGCTATGACCAACACGCATCATTTCATAGATCTCACTCAAGACAACAGTCGGATCAAAACCAGCATCAAAACGAACAAAAGCCAAATCTATCACAGCATAATTCAAGTACGTCTCAATCGCAACAACATCAAAAACAACACCAACCACCCGCGTTGGCTACAACTCATGATAAATTTGCGCAACCAGGATCAAGGCCTCAGTTAAAACTAAGCAGGACGAATGATTCGAATTTTAGCGGTGGTAGCATAAATCCAAGCATGTTGTCGAATTTTGATGGCACCTTTAGCCCCACTTTTAAAACCTCGCCTTTAAATGGCGAGTCAAGCACGCTAATGGATCTTCCTCAAACGATATCTCCTCAAGACGAGCTGACAGATAGGCTTATAGAACCCACGTCTAGTTTCACTTCAGAGCTGGATCAAATCTTTGGTTCGAATAACAATGATGCACAATCGATCCTTTCTGGTCCTACGAGCGTGTATGATGTGGTGAATAACATTAACAGTGACGATTCTCCTGTGGCGAACACGAGGTCAATAGCAACGCCATCTCCAGGTCAACCAGTGGGCGACATTAATTTCACCGATTTGGATAATTTGATGACAGACTTATAATCTGTGGAAAGGATTGTTTGCCAAAAGATCTGAGCTGGTTTTGACGATCTTATATGATTCATTGTAACACGTATTAGTATGCCCTGGTCTTCTGCGGTAATGTGAACATTATTCCACTCTCAAAGAGATATGAATCATGTATAAAAGCAGATCAACACATACGCTTATTATATACATATAGTCGATAATGAGTAATCTTTAATCTTATGAAAATTAACCAGTAACTTGATACTGTAATTTTTAGGCGCTCTTCAAGTCTATCTCTTGCAATTTTTTCGCTATTTCTTCCACATTGTATCTTTTGGCGGTGACTGAGTTTGGATTTTCGTCATTGAGATAAAGGGAGAGCCTCTCATCGTGAACTTCCAACACACTTTGTTGGTCACTACACTGCAGGGACGCTAGTCTGAGCAAATACTCAAGGAGGGCTATAGAGTGACTGATTTCATTTTCAACAACTGCAAGAGGTGGTTCTTCGTCAGTTGTTGAATCTGATTCGGAATCTGAAGCATCTTCTCCTTCGTATTCACCCAAAGCAAACCATTCGATATCTTGAATCGATGTATTCCAATCATCCTGAAGAGGACTTTTTAGATTTTTATCAACTTTCAGGACAAGTACGGAAGAATTTCTCTCCGCAAGTTTAAGTAATTTGCCTGATGCACTGAAGAAAAGCTTGATAATTTGCCAAATTTGTAATTCGATAAGCTTCGGGGTTTCTTCGTCAGTGTCGTGATATCTGCCATCATCAAAACTTTCTTGTATTCTCACAGAGTAATCATAATCTCTACGTTCATCCGGTTTCCTCCATATTGTGACTAACGCTTTCTTCATATCTTCTTTCCAAGTAATGCGAGGTTTACCAACATCTTTTGTCTCCGAAGACACCATATGGTAAAATACAGAAAACAAAGTGAGTTCAAAGGTTGGACCCACCTGGCATTTCTCAGCACCATTGAATGCGTCGTTACTCTTGATGAGAAAATTCGAGGCCTGTAGTAGCCTACCTGGAGAAACATGTTGTGGTAATGCCGTGCTGAGATTAGCTCCAGATGTAGTCAGGGAAAGATTTATTAGGGGAATAACTTCCTCAATTCTGGCCAGTAAACCATTAATATAGTTTTCAACAGCCACTATTGACTCTCTTTCATTTTTTGTACTCTGATAGTTTTCGGTAATCAAAGTAATCTTGGAATCAAAAGAATCAATTTCCTCTTTCAAATCACTTGTCAGCCTCAATGTGCTTTGCAAATTTGTGTTGCCTTTAGCCGCGACTAATTTGATGAGATCAATAGCAGAAGAAACAATTTCGATACGTGTTTCGAGCTTTGCCCGAAGCCTGATCAGGTTAGTAGCATCCTTTTCTGGAACTTTCGTTACGAAGGTAGCTACCGTTTTGATGGCATAGCTAGATGCAATGGAAATACCAGATTTGATTGCAAAAGTAACGGCTTGACTTCCTGCTTTTGCAAGTAATTCATCCATTATTTTTCATGCTACTGAGATGGAAAATTCCTGTGAGTACTTTTATTTGTATATGCTTTAAATATCCATTTTTACCTTCGAGAGGGGAGTTCATGTCCCAAAATAAAAAAAAAGAACGTTCAGTGTGATATATACTGGAACACATAACTGATGTCGTTAAACTGGTTCTCAGTACGCAGAAGATGGTCATTCGTCTTAATTAATGCATGATGATCTAAATGATTCCAAGTTGTGGTATCACCGTAAAGCATCGCCTGTGATTTCAAAATCTGCCTTCCATTCTTGCAACGTTTACAACTGTACGTGTCGTGTGTATCACATATGGTTTCAGAGTTATACTGAAATAATTGCCGCAGATTGTCTGCACTGTATAACCGCTCAACATCCTCCTTTTCATCCACAACACAAGAGCTTAAACTCATCTTCATGGATTGTCTTTGATAAATTTTCTCTTCGATAGTACCAGTAGAGATGAACCTGTAGATGAAGCAATCTTTCTTTTGACCGTCTCTCCATACACGAGCCAAAGCTTGTTGATCTGCCGCTGGGTTCCAATCGGGATCCATGAGAATCAATCTGTTGGCTCCTATCAAATTGATACCACAGCCACCTGCTTTCGAACTTAGCAAAAAAATAAACTCTTGTCCTTCTGGATCATTAAATTTATCAACGAGTTTTTGACGTTTGTTTATGGTCATAGTACCGTCTAAACGCAAGACCCCATAGCGATTGTTTCGGCACATGCGCTCTATAAGGTCCAAAGTTTGCGTATAATTGGAGATGATAACAATCTTATCGTTAGAGTTTGCTTTGATTGAATGCAAGAAGCGTTGAAGAATTGAAAATTTCCCGGAATGCCATGTTTGAACTTCAGAAGACCCGCGCTTAGCGTGATTAGAATTGCGATAATCTTCAGGTATCAAATCTTGGCTTCCATCTACGTCAGCTGGTAAGTCTATCAAGTCAGGGTGATTGCAAAGTTTCTTCAAGAGGCCAATGGCTTTCAGAATTTGTTGACCACCTTGGCTCTTGACGATTTTCTTCACTTCACGGGTACTGACAAATAATTGGTATACTGCACGTTGAAATGGAGATAAGTTCACAAATATTACATGTTCGTATTTGCAAGGCAAATATTTGGATAAAATATCGTTGGTGCGTCGTATGATGAACTTGGAGACGACATTAGACAATTGTTGCAATTTCAACTCACCTTCACGAATTTCGTGATCTTCAGCTTCTGCGTCACGACCACGTAAGATTGGTAATTCAAAATTCTTGCGGAACTGAGCACGCGTACCCAGTAGTCCAGGGTTTGAAAAATTCAGGAGTGAGAAGTATTCGGATAAATCATTTTGGATGGGAGTACCCGATAGAATTACACGGCGGGGGCAATTGATACTATTGAGAGATGTAAAGGTCAAAGAATCCGCATTTTTCAGACGATGGCCCTCGTCTGCTAGTAAAAGTCCCACATCACAATTGCGCAAATGCTCCACGTTACGGCGCAAAGTTTCGTAAGATATAATCATAACCGGTTTGACTATGTTACGGCCTTGAGCAATGGCCCATGAACGGACTGCTTCCGCGACAGTTCCATTATTTAGGGAGCTTTTCTTGCCATCTACCGCGAGCGCCGCCAGCACGCCCTTCCCAAGCCACTTAGTTATTTCATTGGCCCAGTTGTTGACTAGCGACGATGGACATACAATGATACATTTCCCGATAGTTCTTTTGCCGTGCGGACCTTGTCGCAGAAGTGTCCACATAAGAGCGATGCATTGTAGAGTCTTACCTAGACCCATCTCGTCTGCCATGATACAGCCATACGCGCCGCGATTAGCCTCTGGAGTTTGTTTGCAACTCACCATTGCTGCAGTGACGGCCTCGTCTGCGGCGCTCTTTTCAGTGGAAGTGGGTTGGGACCCTTCTAGCACAGCCTGTGCGTCCAGAAAATCCTTCATGACGAGACCTGTCACACATCGGTACAGAAATCGCACACCTTCAACTTGGTGGGGCCGCAGCACTTTGGCTAGCCTTGGGTCGATGACTACGGGCACACTGGGGAATTTCTTTTCCTCTCTGGGATCGCCCAGCAGCTCGCGGAGGGTCTTGTTGGGCACGCCGTTGGAGAGCATGCGTGGGGCCTGAGAGGCCGAGGGCGCCGCCTGGGAGCCCTGAGGATGCAATTGGGTGGGTTCGGGAGAAGCCTGGCTGGAAGATGCAGGGGACAGGTCATCTTGGGGCATTTCGCCGTCGACGGAGGGGTCGTACAGAACGATCGCGAACTCATCTGTCGGGTCGTGAAGCGGCCTGGGTTCCATGACGATCTTGGTCTTGGTTCCGAGCGAGAGGGGCATGTTGTGTCTTGGGACGTAGCCCCTGATGGGCACGGTGAAGGAGCGGCGCAGAACGGACCCGATTTGGTCGAGACGCGCGGGGTCTTGCAGCAGGCGGCGCGCGGACAACGCGTCGACGCGTTTGGAGGAGCGCGGGAGCTGGGATTGGGAGGAGTAGTCTGCGTCGTCGAGGGAGGCGGGGTCATTGATTTCGGCGGCCGGGTCCGCGTACGCGTAGGTTTTCACACGTTTGCGCGCGGAGCGGATGGGGTTGCGCAGCTGTTGGTGGGCGGGGTCCGCGGGGGGCGCACGCTTGAAGGGCACTTTGAAGGGCTGAGTGAGCTTTTCGTGGGCAGCCTCTACGTTGAGGGACCTGGGCTTGAGCTGTGGGCGCTCGCCGGCACCGATCCCGTTGGGTGGTCTGTCTGGGAGTCTTCTTCTGGCCATGATGAGGTTTACGCGTGGGTGGTAAACACAGGACGCGTTGTGCGTAAATGGGGGAGGCCGCGGGCTCCGGGTAACGCAGAGGCCCGGGTAACGGCGGCGCCCCGGGTAACGGCGGCCGGATGGAACACGCACGCTCCATCCGGCCGGCGTCACGTGACGCGACTCCCTCCCTCCCCCCTCTCGCGTGACGTCGCCGCCGCGTCCTCCGCCGTCGCGTCCCACGCCGCCACCTACGCCGCCGCCTACGCCGCCGCCTACGCCGCCGCCTGCCCCAGCCCACGCCCCCGTCTAGCCCACTGCCCACCCACCGCCTACGCCGCCGCCGGAGATTTCTCGCGCCTCCCTTCCGCCCCTCCCCGCAGGCCCGTTCGGACGCACCTGCATGCTCGGACGCACCTCCGCCATGGCGCTGCACCAATCCCATTCCGCGGACCACCCAAACCAGCAACAAAACACTGTAAAAGGAATTCCGCGTGCACCCGTATCGGGAGGGACCCGCCTAGACGGGCCGCCGGCCCCGTGCAAAGGCACACAACAAGCGCTTCAGCCCCGATCGCAGAGCAACGCGGGCGGGGAGACACTGCGACGCGCGTTTTGCCGCGCACAAGATCTCCGCCTGCGCAGCAGCCGGTGCAGCCCAACCCGGCGGCCGCTTAACGCCGCGCGCGCGCGCGTCTGGGCGCGCGTGCGCCGCCGCTCGAACAGATATCGCTAAAGCAAGGATCCCGAAGCACGTGACACTCCGGAAAATTGGCCGCTTCTCCCTCGTCGCCGCCGGCCCCCCAGGCGCGCCACTCTGGCCCTCGGACTTTCTAACCGTGCTCCGTTTTTATTCACGTCGCAGTGTGCGTCGTTCGGAGTATCCAAGTGGGAATGGGTGAAGTGGCGTTGTATATATGTGCCCATCGAAACCCGGCGCGGTGCGGTCGTGGCAGATCTCACTTCCAGTGTTTTACGTCGTTCCCAACCGGTGTGTGTCCGTGTTACCAAACCGATCTACTTCATGTTGCCCATAGCCATCCAGAACGGCAGACACAGCTCGCTGCCCCCGTTGCTCCTGCCGGACGTGTTCCGCCCAACTCCTTCCTACGATCCGTTTCTGCGAACCAAGCGCCATTTCTCCAGCCTGGGCGCGGGCGCGGACGCGCCCGCGCTGAGCGTGCCGCCCGTGGCCTTGGGCCCAACTCCACACACGCTGGTAGCCGCGGACGCGGGCTTGGGCGTGACCAGCCTGGAGTCGCTGGCCTCGCTCGCCACCAAGCGTCGCAAGTTGCAGTTGGCCGGCTCCCGGGGTGCCATCTCGCATGCGCTCGCGCCCGCTTCGGCCGCTGCAGCGGCCGTCTCGGCCGTAACGCCGCCAGCTGTACACCCGGAGAGCGCTGCCACGACGCAGGGCGCGGCGGCGCACGGCGCTCCGGCCCGCGAAACGCCGGCGGTGCCTTCGCCGCCGTCGAGCGTCGGGTCCATCACTCCGCACGAAAAACGCATTGTGCCCGCGTCTGCGCCTGTGGCGTCAATGGCGCCACTGTCGGACAATAAGTCCGCGGCGGCCGCGGCGCAGGCCGTGGGGGACATGCGGTCCAAGCGGCAGCGCATAGGGCCCAGTTGCGACAGCTGCCGGCTCAAGAAAATCAAGTGCGACGCGTCGATCGAGATCTTGTACCAGGACGAGTGCATCGTGGCGCTGGGGTCCGACTCGCTGCACGTGCAGCTCACACCCGAGGACTGCGCGCAGCTGCCGTGCAAAGTGCGCGAGGCGCTGCCGCGCAGCGTGCTGGAGCACGTGACCGGGCAGGCACGTGACCCCGACCTCGCGCTCGTCAAGCACGTGGACAAGCTCGTGGCGTTCCGGCCCTGCTCGTCGTGCGCCAAGCGCTGCAGCGGCGCTGGCAGTGCTGGCGGGCCCGCGACTGCCACGGCGGCCGCGGCCGTCGAGTGCCAGTTCTCCAAGGGCCTCACCCGCGCGGACATCAACGTGTTCACGCGGCTCGAGCGCCAGCTCGGCCCCCGCGACAAACTGGCGTCCTTCACGGTCGGCGACTACCGTCTCGTCGGGTACTAGCGTCGCACGGGGCGCCGCGGCGCGTGGGACGCGCTGCGGCGCAATTTATTCAAATCTAGGTACAGTACATAGCTCTCAGAATACAACCGCCTTCACGGCACATGCAAAGCCCGCGTGCACGGCCAGCACCGCTACCAACACGGGCCGCCAGCGCGCTGCGTCCTCTGCGTCGCACACGTCGCGCAGTTGCCGGAACAGCACCGCGCCGCTGTGCACCGCGCCCGCGGCCACACACACCCATCCGAACACGTTCGCCGCGCTGCTCGCTACCAGCACGTTGGCGATGCTGCTGGCGACCGCCACGGGCACCCACGCTGCGTTTGCGTACCCGTAGATGCACACGAGGGCAGGCAGGGTCACGTGGACGCGGACACCGAGCACGTGACCTGCGATCACGTGCACCGCCGCCGGTGCCAAGCCGGTGTATGCGTAGAACAGGAATGCGCACGACGTGAGCCGTGAGTACTCCGTCACGGTATCCAGCGGCGTGCTGTGCACCAGCGCGGTCACCAGCAGCCGTACGCTGTGTGCGAAGAACAGCGCGGCCACCACGGTCGCTGTAACCCACACCGGCGCGTACAAGTCGGGCTCCAGCTCGAGCTGGCCCTCTGGTTGTAGTTTCTGTAGCTTCAGAGCGGCCGCCAGGCGCTCACGGAGCTGTTCTGGCGAAATCTGGAAATAGTGAGCGTACGAGCGCGTGTCCGCGCCTGCAGATGCGTTCGTATCCGCAGGCGCGCTGTCGTGGTATGGAGGCGGCGTTTCGAGTGGTTCATAGCTCTTGGTACTGGCGCCGTAGTTGGCAGCATGCGAGTCTGCAAAGGGATTGGGGTCGTCCATGGAGTATTGTGCGGCGTCTATGGCTTCCGCTGTTTTTGTCCAGCTGCGCTGAATAGGGATGCGTGATGAAATCGCCTTTGGCAGATTTACCTTCTAATTTTTTTTTTTTCTTTCGCACCGTCTGAAATAACCGTCTCACTTGAGATTTGCATACACTACATGGAACCCAGCCTCCATCCCGCCGTATCAACTGGAGCAATCACACACTTCTGTGCTCGAGCGGTAATATTACCATGTGCGTCGTATTTGCGACCGCATGCGCCCTTTGTAATACAGCATTCCCAATGCTGTACGCCCGCCCGACATCTTTGCGTCCTAGCATCCTCGCGGTATGGCATCGCATTACTGGACCTTTCGGACATCGTAGTCGTTGTGCCACATTCCGATCAACTTGCAGCTGCCTCCTGGTCCGCTGTGCGAGCGGTTTCGGCGCAGAAACTCGCGTTCACTTGCGTGACGGCCGGCTTGTAGCTTGTATCTTCCAACGGCTTCCTGTATCGTATATCTGGTCGCCAATTGGATGCACGCACCGAGCTCGGAGTGACACTGCGGAAGCTGTCTTCTTCAGGAAAAAAAATAGGCAATTATCCCTCCATCGGTTGTTACCTCAGCGGACTCCGACCCCTAAGGTGATTGGAGGCAGATGCCCGTCCCCACGGACTATGGCAGCTGGCTGCTGGACTGCGTGTATGGCGCGGGTGCGCAGTTGGTGTGTGATCGGAGCACGCTACACGTAGTAAGCGGAGCTGGGCCGTCAACCCTCCAGCCCGCGGCGTCCTTTGTTCAGAGATTGAATTGCGGGAGAACGAAGACATGGCTGTAGGGCTTAAGGGAAAGGTCTCGTACACCCGGAATGAGCGTGGGGCCAGCTCGCGCGAGTCAACGCTTTTTTGGTTCGTTAGCTTGTTTCGAGAGATGCGCACATTTGTGAATATATAAATGCAATTGGCCAGTCTCTTGTCATGGTGGCGCGACCCTTGTTCAAGCTGTGAGCGAGACTCGTAACATAAAATTCACAATGTCCAAAACTGCGTTGATCACTGGTGCTGCCCAAGGTATTGGTAAAGCCATTGCCTTGAAATTGGCTGGCAAAGGCTTCCAAATTGGTATCGCTGATTTGCCTCAACAATCTGAGAAGGCCGAAGAGCTCATTGCCCAGCTAAAGTCTAGCTACCCTAATGTCAAGGCTCCAATCTTTGTTCCTGTCGATGTCTCCAAGCGTGACTCCGTCTTCACCGCTGTTGACAAGGTGGCCAGCCATTTCGGATCCCTACACGTCATGGTCAACAATGCTGGTATTGCCTCTGTGTCCAAGATCCTAGATGCCACTCCAGAGCAACTAAACCAAGTCATGAACATTAATGTCGGTGGTGTTCTTTATGGTACCCAAGCTGCTGTCAGTAAATTCATCGAACTCAACCGCGGTGGTGACTACACTCCTTCAACGGTTGAAAACCCACCAAAGCAAATCATCGGTAAGATCATCAACTGTTGCTCCATCGCCGGTAACCAGGCCTTCCCAATTTTGTCATTGTACTCTGCTTCCAAGTTCGCTGTTAAGGCGCTTACTCAAGCCTCTGCCAAAGAATTGTCCAGCTTGGGCATCACCTGTAACTCTTACGCTCCGGGTATTGTGTTGACCCCAATGTGGGACTACATTGACTCTCAATTATCCGAGGTTAACGGTTTACCTATTGGTGAAAACTTGAAGAGGAACATTGACAACATCGCTTTGAAGCGTGGAGAAACCCCAGAGGACGTTGCTGGTTTGGTTGGCTTCCTTGCCAGCGAGGACTCCAACTATATCACTGGCCAAAACATTGCCGTTGACGGTGGTATCTCTTACGTCTAAATACAACATAGATCCTAGCGCTATATATGCATTTGACTTAATTTTACATGATTCTTGTCTAGGCGGCATATTGGGCGGAACTAGCTTTTTCATTACCCACCCTTATTTTCTTTTTCATGAGGCAGACATGAAAATTTTCTGTGAAGGCTCATCGCTCAAAAATAATCTGAGTGCATGCCATATGTATGTTGAAAAGACTCTTATCGTCCATGTCCTTTAATACTAGAGTCCTAAAAGTGGATCCCAGCTCCATTCATTTTTCGCCAACGGCCCATATTGATGGGTCGTTGCCGACCATCACCGATCCAGAAACAAAGAAGAACTTGATGGAAGCTGCAAACATCATACGTGAGACTGACAATATCGTCGGCTTTCCCACAGAAACAGTTTATGGGTTAGGTGGTTCCTCACTCAATGACAATTCTGTCCTGAATATCTACAAAGCCAAGAACAGGCCCAGCGATAATCCGTTGATTAGTCATGTTTCATCCATCGACCTGTTAAACAGACGTATATTCGGTAACAAGCATAAAACAGATGTCCTGGAGAATATACCGAAAATCTATCATCCTCTAATAGAAAAACTCTGGCCAGGACCGTTGACCGTGTTGTTACCAGTACCACCAAACAGCAATCTTTCCAAGTTAACCACAGCTGACCAACCCACGTTCGCTGTGCGCATTCCATCTAATCCCGTTGCTAGAGCGCTCATAGCTTTAAGTGACACCCCAATTGCTGCTCCTTCCGCCAATCAATCAACGAGACCTTCTCCAACGTTAGCCTCTCATGTATACCACGATCTGAATGGCCGTATACCCATCATCTTGGATGGTGGTGCATGTAATGTAGGTGTTGAAAGTACAGTTGTTGATGGACTTGTCTCCCCACCGTTACTTTTGCGGCCTGGTGGGTTTACATGGGAGCAAATCCGTTCGATGGGAGGCTCACAGTGGTCGACATGCAAAGTTGAGAACAAGAAAACCATAGCTGAAGGTGAAAAAGTTAGAACTCCTGGTATGAAGTATCGTCACTATTCACCTCGAGCCAAGGTCATACTATTTGTTCCAGAACGTAGTGAGATGCCTACAGAGGAACGCCTTCAATATGTCAAGAATATCATAAAGGAAGAGTCGAAAGGAATTCAAAAGTATGCTCTTTTATCCACTCTTACATTCCCATCTAATCTTGTCGAGGAACAGAACTGCATTTGTGAGCAATTGGGATCATCGAGAAAGGAAATTCAAACGAATTTGTTTGCATATCTGAGGAAGCTAGACGAGGAGGAAAAGGTTGACTTGATATTCGTAGAGGGTATTGAGGACGAAAATGAGGGATTGGCAGTAATGAACAGGTTGAGGAAAGCGGCTAGTCATAACATTGTGCCTTTTTAGATAGTTAGATGTACTAATATATATATAAACGTAATTTCATCTTTCAAACATTAGAGTAGTCGTACGCTTCTTGCAAACGGCCTTTCCTGATATACAGCTTTCTGAGCTCATCTGCAAAGAACACGCTGCTACTGATCGCTAGTAGGAAACACAAATCACCCAAGCTTAGGCTCTCTGTCTTGAAAATACCTTGGAAGAACGGTACGTAAATAGCACACATTTGTCCAAGCAGGGAAAGGCCCACAGCATAATTAAACATCTTATTGGTGAAAAAACCTATCTCAAAAATTGATTTCACTGAATGCCTGCAGGATAAGGCATTGAACATATCAAAGAAAACAAAACAGGTGAAGGTCATCGTTGTGTCCCTATCTGATATTTTACCATCTTCGTTCATCTCCTTCATGAAAACATAGATAGTACCAACGATGATGAAGGCAGCACTTCCTAATAGCCTCTTGAAAACCTCATTAGTTAAAATTTTGTCAGTACGTTTACGTGGAGGTTTTTTCATTACTTCATGATCAACAGCTTCAACACCAAGCGATTGAGCAGGTGGACCGTCCATTAGGATATTAATCCACAATATTTGCATAGCATTTAATGGGTTAGGAAGCTTCAAAGCTGTAGAAATTGCGACTAAGGATAGAGCGGCAACAGAAGTTGAAAGTTGGAACGTTAAAAAGTTTTGGATATTGTTAAAAATACCTTTGCCTTCTTCAATGGCAGTCAAAATTGTACTAAAGTCATCATCGGTAAGAACCATATCAGAAGCTTCTTTAGCAACATCAGTACCCATTTTGCCCATAGATACACCTATATCTGCGAGTTTCAGAGCAGGTGCATCGTTTACACCATCACCAGTCATGGCAACGATATCTCCTCTCTTTTGCAAAGCACGGACAATATTCAACTTGTGTTCTGGAGTAGCACGCGCAAATACACTAACGTGATTAATTACATTTGCTAATTGATCGTCATTCATTGTGTCAAGCTTATCACCAGTTAATACAGCGATTTCAGGATTTACGACAGGAATACCAATTTGTCTAGCAATATTGACTGCTGTGTTTTCGGCATCACCCGTAATCATAATGATATGAACGGAACCCTCGGTCAAAGTTTCAATAGCCGCGCGAACAGTTGGCCTTGGAGGATCTTTCATTCCAATTAAACCCGCAAAAACCAAGTCATGAACATCGTCATCAGAAATCTTTTTACTACGATCGTTAGGAAGATCTAATTCTGCGAAAGCCAGTGTACGTAAGCCATCAGAAGCCAATGAGTTCCCACTTTCTATAATCTGTTCGCGTTGTGCCATATTGAGCTTTTCAACACGGCCATCCTTGTTAACATAATGCGTAGATTTTTCAAGAATCTTTTCGTAAGCACCTTTAACATACACCACCACCTTATTGTTAGAATCGACAGTTTTCACTGCCATTAACTTTCTTTTCGAATTAAAAGGAATTTCATCAACTCTTGAAACCCTCGACCGCTGATCATCAAGATCGAACTTCGGCAAGACTTCCAATAAAGCCATATCTGTTGGATTCCCGAGAAACTTGCCATGTTCTTGAGAAAATGTAGAGTTATTGCAAATGTTCCCGATTCTCAAAGTAGCTTTAATATCTTCGGTAAGATAGTTCTTCAGATTCCCTCCATTTTTCTTTTCCATGTTTAAAACATTTGTTTTATTGGCCATGCTACCCAAGCACCATATCTTAGCAACGGTCATATGATTAGCAGTTAAAGTTCCGGTCTTATCTGAACAAATGACATTGACAGAACCTAAAGTTTCGACGCTGGGTAGTCTACGAATAATCGCCTTTCTATTCGCCATCCTCAATACTCCAAGAGCTAATGTTACTGTTACAATGATTGGCAAACCTTCAGGAATCGCAGCAACTGCTAATGACACAGATATCTGGAACATTTCCAGCCAAGATCTTCCTTGAATGATACCAATTAAGCAAATTATGCCAATGAGAATAAAACTCATAAATGATAGATCCTTCCCAAGTTTGTCCATTGCCGTTTGGAGTGGCGTCTTAGGCTTTTCAATAGAGCTCATCATCTCAAATACAGTACCGAATGCCGTGTTTTTTCCGGTACCAACAACTATACCTTTACCATGTCCTTCTCTAACTAAAGTTCCCATGTAAGCAATGCATGTTCTATCAGCAATGGGAACTATTGAGCCAGGTAAGTCGTTGTAACTATGCTTGTCAACAGCATGCGAGCTTTTTAGAACTGGTTCATTTTCACCAGTTAGGTTACTTTCGTCAATCGATAAATCGACAGATTCCACAATTCGCAGATCCGCTGGAATTCTATCGCCCACACGAAAAAAAACCACATCGCCTGGAACCAAAACAGATGCCAAGACCTTTGATTCCTGCCCACTTCTAATCAGATGACATTCAGCTGGAACCAGTTTGTTCAAAGCCTCCAATGACTTCTCTGATCTATATTCTTGAACGAAACCGACCGTGACAACAATCACAATTGCCAATGTTATACTCACCGCATCATCGATGTTGCCCATGATGAAACTGATGGCAGCGGATCCGATAAGAAGTAAGATTAGAGGATCACCAACAAACGTGGAAAGGAACTTTTTCCATAGTGGCTCGTCATCATCACTTGCTATTTCATTAGCACCGTGAAGTGCTCTTCTCTGATTCGCCTCAGATACCGACGGTAAACCTTCCCTTATATTGGTATGGAGCGCCTCCGCTGTTTTTTCGGAGGATATCGTGCAATACTTTAAGGATGCACTTGTTGTTGAAACAGCATCGAGGGCGGCGGCCGGATTCGAATCTTGCTCAAGATGAGATGCAAAAGGGTTTTCACTCATCTGAAAGTGGTGAATCGTTTATAATCTGTCTATCTTCCTTCTTGATCCGGTGAAAAAATAGGTCGCTTGTATTGAGCACAAATTGAACTCAAACAGAGCGTTCTTTCAATCCAACAGTCGGCCAGAATAGCTTTGCCTTTCTTTTCAACGTTACAGTCAACGTATTTTTTTAAACTACTCATCAAATTTTCTTTTCACACACGAAACTAATACAATTTCGTAATTAATTATGCTCTAAGCCATGCTCTGGGTGGATATACTTAAAGTTTCATACATATGTACAATACGTATTTTTTATATTATGATACAAGGATGACTGGATTTTTATAGCTTTTTAAATTGTTATTACTTTGGCTCCACATTATAGCGGAGTTTTATGCCCATTGCTGAGAGTTCAGAATCCAAATATTTCAAAACGAAAGGAATGGCAACTGTGGTTGTTTCACCGCCACCCACAAACTTATTACCTTGACCATCTTCCCAGATGTGCGAGTCGTCGATGAAGATAGGATCTTCTCCACCATGCTGGGATACAATTTTCTTCGCATCCTCAAATTTGACGGCACAACGGCGACAGCGAACAGTTGCTAATGAACCTATTCTAGGTACACTGTAATGAGTGGTCAATATAGAACCACACTCGCGACAGACAGATGATTGAGTATAGTCTGAGCAGTTCAATAGTCTGTCTTGAAGCAAAAACGAAGTACCATGACCAATCAAAGCATCTCTTTCCATTTCACCAACACGAATACCACCGTGTCTCTTTCTACCCTTCACAGGTTGCATTGTCAAACTGTTTACTGGACCGGTGGAACGTACTTGGAACTTATCGTTGACCATGTGACGCAATCTCTGGTAGTAGACAACACCTACGTAAATGTCTGCTCTTAACTCCTCACCAGTAGCACCAGAATACATGGGCTCATTACCATGATAATTGTAGCCAGCTTGCAACAATTGCTCACCGAAATAGTCAGCAGGCGTGTGGTTCTCACTGAATGTCCATGGTGTGGCATCATGGGCCATACCATGTAGCGAGCCTGCTTTACCGGCCAAAGATTCAACGAACATACCAATCGTCATACGAGATGGGAAAGCGTGAGGATTGATAATGATATCAGGCTGAATACCAGTTTCACTGAAAGGCATATCGATCGTAGGCCATTTTCTTGAGCAAACACCTTTCTGACCGTGACGAGATGAAAATTTATCACCAATTTGAGGTGTTCTTCTGATACGGTACTTAATCGTCACCACTTGAAGCTCTTGAAATTTACTGGATTCATCACCAATCAACTTCACCTCCTCAATGTATGCTGGCTCGGACGAATGATAGGTTTTGATCTTTGTTTTATTCAAAGTATCATCAAAATACGAACAAATTGGATCTCCCTCTTCCACATAAGTTCCTACCAGTGGCAGACCATCCTCATCCAGTTTGTCCAACCATTCTTTTGGCCATTCATCGTTACCGAAACCAAAATGCTGAGTAATAGGATCACCACGGCTTCTGTTCATTGACAAATCGATCTTCTCTGTCTTGTACATGGTACCGTAGCCAAATCCTCTTTCGTCAGCTGATTTGTTGATAATCATTGCATCATCCATATCATAGCCTGTGTAGGAAATAACTGCAACAACTGCATTCATACCGTTAGGGAAGTTGTCCATTCCATAATCATCGTAAAGATTGGCCTTAACAATTGGTGTTTGACCTGTTTGTAGCCGATAGAGCTTGTTGTCAGAACGGTGGCAAAGTGCTACACCAGGGGTACCCATGGTTTGTTTACCCATTTGACATTGGTACATATTTCTAGGAGATTGATTGAAATCGGAGAATGGAGTCAGGTTGGCTAAAATAGATAAGATATTGGTAGGTGTGAACTCAACATGTGTATGAACATTATTCTGAATCTCTGGAGGTGTAACTGCAATATTCATGTAAACTTGTTCGAAAGGACCCACTATATCTTCTTTATCCAAGGGCAAATAACGAACTGGACGCATCATTCTAGAGTGACCACCAAAAATATACAGACCTGGATACTGCCCACGAGCTGAAGGTGGGACATAACCGATTTCCAGATCAAGTGGGAGCCCCGGTGTTTTACCTTCAACCTTCCAGAATCTTAAGGTGTCGGCGATGATTTTTCCCTGTTCATGAGTACACCAACCAACTATTCTACCATCAATTTGAACACAGCACATGGTTGGACCCGCAGCAAAACTATGGGCAGCAGGAGCTACACCTAAGGAGTATAGCAACTTTGGAATTTGAGAAACGTCAGACTGCTGAGTAGATATCTTACACTTGTGAGCAAAATGGTTCAAAAGACCACAAGGAGAACCATCCGGAGTATGCACGGGGCACAAGAACCCCCAGGATTCGGGTAGCAACTTACGCACGGTAGTCGTCTTTAGTTGAGCAAAAAAAGAACCTCTATGGACCATTCTGAAATGAGAAATAAAACGGTAGAAATTGATCTTTTCAGCCACAACAGTGTAACCAGAAACTTGCTGCAAATCAAGACCCGACTGGGAAACTAGGTTACCAGTAGACAAGAAGTACTGTAACTTTGATCCAATATTTTCGTTTACTCTCATCAATACCCTGCTCATGTACTTGCGGTCCGTAAAGCTAACGGCAAGCCCTCGATTAACATCAGATTGAATTTGTAATCTGATATTCTGTAAATATTCGTCGATTTTCTCTTTGACGATCATACCGTAAAGGAACCCACCAAGAAGAACTTCTTGATGCTGTGTAGCATCTGGATTGTCAGGTGAACACTCGCCAGCAACCAATGAATACAGTTTTCTTATCATGAACAACAACATTTTAAATTTGTCATCGTCGTTGTCTCCCAAGTGCACTAGAACAATTCTTCTAAGAACCTCTTCCCCGACTTCGTAATCGGTCATATCAGGGGATGCTTGAAACACGACACGGAATTTGTCACCAAGATATTGCAAAACCAACCTGCGATTCTGGAGCTGAGGGTACTTTTTCTTGAATCCACGAAGCAACAGTTCTAAACGATCAGTTAAGAACGAGTTCGAAGTATCAGAACCAACAATTCCGTCAAAGATTTCTCTGTCACTTGCATCTGATAGAGCTTTCAAAATCATAATAACAGGAACTAGATATTCATTTTTTCTCCATGAGAAACGGAATGTGACTTCACCATCGTTAAGATAATGTAAGACATTGGTTTGAGAGGTTTGGTCGGGTCTTACAGATCTCATCTGAATACCATAATGCGAATAAGCTGCACCTCTATTGGCAAAAGAAGGTCTAATAATTGCCATTGGGTGATTTCTACGTTGAACGATCAACATTCTAATCAACTTTTCAATACCATTGATGATAAAGTAACCACCGAGCTCGTCACTTTCTTCCTTATGTTGCACCAGTTCGTGAGGAGACATTTTATTTAAGTGACATCTATTACTCTGAAGCATAATGGGTAAGCCACCGCAGTCTCTAACCTCAGTAAATGTTTCTTCGCCATCATTGACAGACCACTTTAGCTTTAAAAGGAGTTTACCTCTGTAGGAGTTCAGTCTTTGCCTTGATTCGGCTGGAAAGACTTTTCTCTCTACAGCAGAAGACACACCGTCGTTGGACATTGGCTTTGTGACAGAAACTTGTTCAACACTTAGAGATAGTTTGTTACCCAAGTAGTTAGGGTTTTCGGTCGAAGACTTTCCATCGAAAATCACTTTACTACCGATATCCTTAATGGCTTCGTTCAACAGACCGCCGCTAGGACCTTCAGTTAAGGCGTTGAAGGATCCAATATGGGGCTCAACTGCTTCACGCAAGAGTGGAAATGCAGATTTATCTTTAGGAGGATTAGCAAAACGGGATTCCCTTTCCAAAGTACGAAAGTGAGCCGTTCTGCTGTCAGTGGGCAGCTTAATAACCTTGCTCATCTTGCTGAAGGAATGCCCTCTGTGTTTATTTCAATCACTCTAGCCTGGCTTATGTGGTTTTCGTGATGAGATGAGTTATGAAAATTTTCTATACTGAAAATTTTTTTAGATTGGTTTCTTTTTCAGAATCCATTCGATCACGTGAGTTATCAGCTTTTCGAACATCGGCGGCTAAAAATTAACTCAATTTCCAATCGTGATAATAAAAAAGACCGACGTACAAGAACGGTTTATTAGAAACACCATATTTGTTTGTTGTACTACTCTTGTTTGTTGCCGTAACTTATATTCTTCTATGGAAACTGAAAGGTTACAATCGAAAAGCGCTAGTCTTGGATGAGGTATAATATTCCACAATAGATTTAATGCATCCAATGTATTTCTCCTCAAAATTATTGGACAAGAGTGAGACAAACAGCATACTTACCTGAAACAAAGTTCGAAAATCTTATGCTACGACCAACACTCCATATGGATAGTCTTGTGCGTTGCTGCACTTGCGATGCAAATGTGAAACAATGGAATAACCTAATTTCTCTACATCTCCTTTAGGTCTATTTAGTACTATGAACAAAACAAAACATTGCCAAAACAGCAGCAATACAACATAGCTCATTTTATTGAGCTAAAACCTTTAAGAAATGTCCGATTTTGACAAGTGGTGCCTTAACTCACGCAGAGTCCTTCTGCATCATCAAATAACAATTTCACATTCTCTCAAAAATTTGCACAATGTACAGCGCAGCCAAAATAGTTATCTGCTTATCAGCCTTGGTTCAGACCTTGGAGCTCTCTGTGTATGAAAGGGATGTGAATCTTGTTTTCGTCCCACTCGTTGCGTCAGGAAACAATCTAGTGGCAGAAACAATACTCACTAGCTCTTCAGTTGTTGAACAAACCAGTACCAGCGCAGTTTCAGCAACTACTACAACTTATACAGAAGCGCCAACTTCATCTGCAAAAAACCCGTCCCCTTCTGTATCCGCAGAACAATATCACAATCCCGGTTCCGAAGGTATCACATATTCACCATATACTGATTCTGGAAGTTGCAAATCCGAATCGGAGATTCAGTCAGATATGGCCAAATTGTCGGGATTTGGGTTGATTCGGATCTATGATACAGACTGCAATATTCTTCCCGCAATGTTGCCTTCACTACAACCGTCTCAAAAGGTACTTTTGGGCATTTATAACATTGATGATATATCCACAGGTGTATCCAGAATTTCCGAGACTTGTAACGGAGATTTCTCAAAGATTTACGCTGTCTCCATTGGCAATGAACTTATAAATTCTGGACTAAAAACCGTATCCCAAATCGGTTCTGCTTTAAATACTGCTCGAACCGAATTGAATAAAATTGGTTATAATGGACCGCTAGTCAGCGTAGACACTCTTGTAGCAGTTGAAAACAATTTGGAATTATGCGAACTTTCTGATTTTTTAGCTGTCAATTCACATGCATTTTGGGATGGAAATGTGGAGCCGAGTAATTGTGGGCCATGGTTGAAAAACCAAATCTCCAGCCTGCAGAACAAATGCGGTTCGACCAAGGAAGTGCTTATAACTGAAACAGGATGGCCCACGGAGGGCCTTAACTTTCAGTCATGTACACCTTCCGTGCCCAATCAAGCTGCCTGTATACAGTCAATTGTGGAAACCTTGGGATCACAAGTGATTTTGTTTACCTTGTATAACGACTATTGGAAACAACCGGGCCCATATAAAGTTGAACAATACTGGGGAATTTTCGGTGACGACAAAACATAAAAAAGGTGGAATATGAAGAAGCTAACGCTCAACAACCTAAACAGCCAAGAAAGCTAATTACAAATCGAGAGCGTTTCACAGATTACTCAAACGAGGCAAGCGTTACCCTTTCCTACCTCAGAGCATTATCCTTTGAAGGTCAAATCCAAGTCTCAGGCTCTGACGTCAAATAGCTTGCATTCCGCGTCCAAAATGAACCATTTCCTTGAGAAGGCATTTGCCTAAGGTATCAATTCTTGATAATTGTGACTATATGTAGTGATCCACGAATGCGGATAGCCGAGCGTCATTTTAGGATGGACGCTTCCTTAAACTAGACTACAGGCTTGAACCGCTCGGTATCTCTTTCATTTACATAGTGAAAGCTTTCATACGAATCTCAATATCTCTCCTGATCATCGCTTCATTATCAACTTTTCTTATGACATTATTCGCTCTTTCAAGCCTTTAGTTTGGACCTATCGAGCGATGTTCCCCATTTTGTATTTATATCGTTTTGCATCAGCTCGATGTTAACTGAGAAATAATACATGGAAACGGGCATCGTCCCTTTGCATATATATCGCCAAGACACTTTTCGCGTTTCAGATTTCGCGGATAATTCGCCGTGTTTCATTTCTTCCGAAAAATTTTTGAAGTGTGCCGTTAATAATAAATCATTTTTTGATTTTTAACTTAGTAACAGCTATTCACAGCCTTCTTCAAACTTGCACTTTTTGGCCAAGACAGGATACATATTCTCTTCGGTTGCTTGAGCTAGTGAATTTCAAGGTTAGCCTTAACCAACACGAATACATATTCATAGCCCCGAGATGATATTTCTAGGAGTTGCTCAGCGTGTGCTATTATTAGCAGCATTGATCAGATCATCTTTACAGCAAGATCAGGGAGATCTCGGCGACAGAAACAACTCAACGCTATCCTCGACAAGCCCAGGAAGTTCCTCGAGCTCATTTGCTCTGTCATCGAGCTCGTCATCAACAAGCGATGCAAGTTCCACTACTCTGAGCAGTTTGAACTCTCTATCCTCATCCTCACGCTCGACAATATCGCCTTCAAGTGAGTTGTCATCGAGTTCTACTTTATCATCATCGTCATCATCATCATCATCATCCTCGAGCTCGACGTTTACTATATCGCCATCCTTCTCCTCAGAAGCTTCATCTTCATGGAGTTCATGGGTTACTTCATCGTCCTGGACAAGTGCAGTCGAGACCACTTTCACCTCCATCTCTAATACCTCAAGGTCCACTTCGCAATCAAGCACACTTACAGATAGCAGTACTTCCAGCAGCTCAACTTCAAGCAGCAGTTCGTCCAGTAGCTCATCGTCGCCATCCTCAGTAAGTTCGTCGTCGTCGTCGTCGTCCTCAGAAGACCCATCATCATCTACTACGTCTGATACGTCTATTACACCTGCTCCCTCAAGTTCCCGAGCACAAACGTACACCAGAGTAGTTAGTGGAGAAACTATCTTGTCAAATTATTACACCACGATAACGTATTCGGCAAGCGCCACTTCTGATTCTAAATCATCAAGCAGTTCTGGACTATCGAAGAAAAATCGTAACATTGTAATTGGTTGTGTCGTTGGTATCGGGGTTCCCTTACTGTTGGCTATCGCCGCAGTGATATATTTCTATTGCGTTAGATCCACAGAAACTAATTTCATCAACTCTGATGGTCAGGTAGTCACGGCTTACAGTCCAAATATTCTAACCAGATGGTGGTATGCTCTCATTGGCAAAGACATCAGCAGCAGGTATGGCGGAGACTCTCCCTTAGGAGGAACAACCGATATTGATGCAGAGCTGTCTGGTGGTGATCATAGTGGTGATGTTAGCAGAAGACCCACTGATGGCAGGGGCTCTCATTCTAATGACTTGATGTTAGAGGAAGAGAAGTACTATGATGAGGAAGGGAATGAGCTTAATGCACGGAACTACTGAAGTGATCCTGTGACTTCACCCTAACTCTCATACGTTTGCATAAATAAAGTATTTTGATTTAAGCGAAAATCAAGCTTTGTTACTAGAAATAAAAAAATTAATGGTTTAAAAAGTTATAAAGCACATAGGAAGACGTCTAAGAGAAATAAAAGTAATATATGTATGTCGATCTAATTCGAGATGTCACTGTTTTTCTGATCTTTGTCCTAGTACTCACTTAAATGAGATTAGTCCGATTTGAATAGTAAATTGCATAGAAAAGCAAAAAACCACAGCTTATGAAACACGATATATAAAGTGGCTTGTTAGGGTGAACTCCACAAGAAAATTCGTCCGCGATAGTTTAGTGGCTAGAATTCGAGCTTGTCGCGCTTGAGACCGGGGTTCGATTCCCCGTCGCGGAGTATTTTTTTGTTTCTGGCCTAAGTATCATTTGTTCATACGAAAGACGGCCCATCAAGATTAACAAAAATCTATACTACTGTCTAAAGTATCACTTCGCTAAAGTGTATTTGACTGTATGGCTCATGTCATTCACGAAGTCTTTGACAGCTCTCGTGTGATTTCGAATTACTTTGTCACTGGATCGGAGGGATATCTGATCTACACCGAGCTGACGAAGAAAGAGCCCGTGCAGAGCTTTCTGCATTTGAGAAAGATCAAAACTGATCGAGACTCTTCAGAAATACAGTATCGTTTGAATGTTCCTGCATATCATTTAGAATCTTTTCAAGCTAAGATCCAAGTTGTAAATGTTACTCATGTTACGAGAAGTAGGTTGGAGAATAGTTTTGTTCTTCTTGTTAATGAGGGTGACGGACTACAGCTTATTAAATTTGAAAATCTGTTCAAGGACGGCTGTACAAAGCGTGCTACTTTAGAGCCAAACAAGTGGCGTCACACTGAAGTAGGCGACATGATAACGTCTTTTTTCGCATATAATACAAGAGGTCAGCATCTACAAGTTGTTTATTGCACTCGACTAGGTAGCGTCAAAAAACTAAGCTACGATATCACTACTTCTACGTTCCAGGAAATCGATGGGATAAGAAATGCAACAGGCGACATTTTAAATAGTTGTGCACCATGCTATGCTTTGGATTTTTCTAAGAGCGAGAGTGTTGAAGTCCCTGAACTTCTCTTTTCATGCTTTGATAACAACGTGTATGTTTACGATAAAAAGCTGGAGAGAATTGCTGTAGCAGACGTCTTCGACGATAATAAAACGCTGGTTTTTGCAGAAGGTGTCATTGCAAAGAAATATAGCACGAATGCGCTTATATTCTACGCATGCAACATTACAAACAGTGGATGCCACCTTTTCAAAAAGAATATCATGGGACAGTGGGATCTAGTAGAGATATTTACAAGAGATTTATCTGTCGAAGAGAAAAGTCCCCTCGTAGACTGCCATATATATTGCAGTGGACGTACAAAGCTGACAATAGTATCTGGTAGTGAAAATGGCAAATTGTATTCATGGGAGTACGACTATCTTGATGAGGTTATTGTCGATACACATGTCTTGGAGGTGGGTGCATCATACGACGTTGTTCATTGCTTGCAATCCAGAGAGGATAAAATATACTACATGCTGAATAAGGATACTATAGGGTACACGCATCGTAGTTAGAAGCCATCGAAAAGCTCATCTATTTCCTTGACCACATCAATGTGAAGAATATCGCCTTTTCTGGTTATGAGGGATCCCTTTTTGAACATTTCCGGCTCATTGTTGTAGTTGATACCACACTCAGAGAATAAGATCTCTTGCTTATCGCTGCTCAACGTTCCACATAATTTTTGTTCTGCTTCGCGTGGGGTAAGCCGGCACTTTATGATTAGTTGCCAGAAAACTGTATTGTATAGATTATTTATGTGTGTGTCAACAAACCGCCAACATAAATAATCTTTGATGGTTTGTAGATTAGGATAGCAAACACAGCGGGAATCGAAAAACGGTAGATGCTTGTAATCGAGTTTTCTTTCAGGAAAAAACTTATCCCACAATGCCACATAGTTGGCTGTGAACAATGACACAAATAACGTACTTAGCTTATCTTTGCGTCTGTTGTATAAAACGCTCTGTCTCTTTATAATGAAAGAGTATTCATCACTTTCACCAAATGCAAGTATAATATCATTTCGGTATTGTAGCACGACATTTTTTGCAGATGCATTCATAAGCTTTAGTGCTCGAACATCATTTGGCTTCTCAAAATCGTAGCATTTTGAAAAGTCATGGAATTTCTTACCATCTATCCGTACAAGTATGTAGGTGTCTGGGAGAAGCTTTTCATGCGTCTCAAATTGTCGGACATACTCAAACCTCGAATTTGCCATGTTGCACTACGTGTGATACTTGGTGTTGGTTCCGTAAATTTTTTCTAAGATTTAAGATGAAAATGGACATCCCAAAACTAATCGAATTTTTGGCGAAGATATATAATGCTTGCTTGACGCCTATAACGTACTTAACATAATGATTTGTACTTAATGATAAATTTAAAGATCAATTAGATACCGTAGTGGATGAATTGAAGGATGAAAGTTTACTTTCATTAGGGTGCAGTCATGGCTTAAATCACAAGGCATTTGCGACCCCACTTTAAAATGCTGATTTTATGATTACTCTCATATTAACCATATTACAACCAGTGTACGATGTGATAAACAAAATCTATCTTAGTAGGCCACAATAACTCCTAAGCATTTAAAGAAACAATACCGAGACGAGCATATCTCTAGAAAGCCACATATTTCTTCTATTAATACTCCCTCGAATGAAGCTGGAGATATGATTGCAGGTTGCAATATGGGCCCAAGGTCCAGAAAATAGTATGCCCACTTTTAAGGTCTATAAAACGGTATAGCGTGCAATTTCAGCATTGTCCAGATAGTAGATGCTTCTTCAAACCGCTTGCGCCCAGTTATCACTCAATACTCCATCAAAAATCGGGGCAATGTCTCTGTTAACGTTATTTTCATTTACACTGCTTCATTGGAGCCCACTAAACTTTCCCATCGATCCACGGGAGATGGGGCAGTATAGGTTAACAATCGTTGCTTAAAGAGGTTATCGCAATCGTTGCCATCCGAGGAGTTGGATGGCCGCGAGCGTCAGTACATAATAACGCATTCATATAGGCGGTGCCAATCACAAAGTAAAATTCTTTAGAAAGAACTAGCTGGTAAATGATCAATTCTTTGAGATCTTCCATTTGAGCCATCGTTGACAAGTTTGAAGCACATTGGATGATATAAATGGGCATCATAATTTAATGAAAAATCCTAACAACCAATTCCAGTGCCTGCGAGGAATTCAAAGGAAAAGACCCATGGCAGAGGAATGAGAATCAGAGTCTGAAGATACAGCATAATTTCACGTTCCCGTGGTGATGGCTATGATGTGAGAAGCCGCTAGAGTAAAAACTTTTTAAGGTGCTGATATTAATTCTTGTGAATCTCAAATCCGCCAAAAGATTTGCTTAATTGTCAGACCCGTTCATAATTTAACCTTCTCCTTGATTGTGACCGTAGCTTCAAACTTCAGCTCAGCCTCCATCATATTTCCAAGACGTTAAGTCTATGACCATTGACGGTTGGTAACATGATATTTCAAACAGGCACACCTTGCACCATTACAGAAATGTGCACAATTTTTAGTAGACAGTGACCGACGGTCATGCTCCTTTTGATACTGTTCTGGTCTAACGCACTCTTAATTAATTCTTTTGTCCTGATCCGAGGGCAAATGACGTAAACAAGAATTGTCTTTCACGCTTCTTTTCCGCTCAAATAGATTCCCTGATGCTAGTAACTCCAAATTTACCCGCAGACTATTTTCTATCGATTAGTCTTTATTCATATTTTAAGCAAGAGCCACATATTATCAATCCGGTAGGACAGGGAATGACAATAGCTATAACAAACAATACCAGGTGCCATAGCCGCTTCAAGGGTGCTGAGATGATGCCTCTTCTGCTAGTCTCTTTCTCCAATAGTTGTCAATTTTTTTGTCCCAGTAGTCTCTTACACTTTGTCTGTGAACTTTCACTGCTTGGTCAATAAGTAAGCTAATTTCCGTGTCGTTATTGTGATTGCAATTTGCTCGTCTGGGATTTCTCGAAACAAACTCGTTCATAAACATGCACTTAAAATGAACATAACAATCGCTACCATCAAAATAGTATCCAGGACTGGATGCAGCGCCCGTTCCACAGAGATATTCATTCATATGTGCAGCGACAGTTTCCCACGGGCCTAATAACACGCCAGGACGATTGGCGATTACTTCTTTTAAAAGTTTCATTTGAGCTGTTTGTGACAAGGGGCTCCTTCCAAACGCAGCCACAGTGCAGCCAATAACCCCGGTAGCTAGCACAATCGCTTCTGAAATTCTTTTTGCAGAAATTTCCTTATCCACGTATGTCTTTGATAATATGATGCAAAGGAAAAACTCCACCAGTAAAATCCTTCGAAAAACTTCATTCCTTAATTCGAAAGCGCAACGGCTAGGATATTTATCTCTCGGAAGGGTGAGCGCGGCCTCTAATTTATTCCTACCATGATTATCTTGAGACAATTGTTCTTTGGGACCATTCTCTAACTCTCCTGATTGCATATTACTCTCTGCACCCTCGCGTTCAGATATGATATCTAAAATTGAAGCTTTATTTTCTCCTGTGTCCTATTCCACGAAAAGTGAATAGCGTTAGAGATACGGCATTCAAACATACCTCCTTTGAAAAAGACTTGCATTGAATTCAATTCCTTTATTTTTCGTATGAACCTCGGTAAGACGCCTTATGTGCTTAGCCATATCCACATTTAGATTATAACCTCATTAGATGGGGTTTAGGCAAAGCCCTGTTCACTTTCCAACTTTGGTCTCAATGAGACAGTTAAACTAGTCAGTTTGACTGAACAATTCTATGATGAAAAAGCTCTGCAATCTACTCCTTCCAGTAGTCTTTGATACATTGACAGTATATGGCCACTGTTTCATCTATTTTGGGTTTAATACCTTCGCCCAGTTCGATTTCCGATTAGCTGTTCAGAGGGCGCCTCTGTGAAATATGTTGAACATAGGATTTTAGTCTCTAAAAGCATGGCCTTGGAATGTAAGTGCCATCTGTTCCCATCGTAATAGTAAAGGGCCAAGAAGTAAAACCGTTAGTACATAAGTACTCGTTCATATGCGCAGAAACCACATCTCACATTTTCGAAAAAAGAACTAGACGTTGAATAACAATTTGATTAAGATGCTCCACCTTGACTGTCGTCGGCAGGGTGGGATTAAAAGTGACACATAAAAATCGTTACTCGCATCATAACGATACTTAGAAAAAGAATCGTGAGAACAGCAATCAATGGTCCATCTGGAAGTTTTTTTGAGTGCAGATACTGATGTTAATAACATATTGCGAAAGAGAAATTCGCTGCCAAGAAGGTGGCTTGCAATGTTGTGGTAATGAACGTTATTGAGAGCTCATTTGAAAATAAATTTGTGGGAAGGTTGACCTTCCATCTAATAGCATTCGTTTCTTGCAAAAGGGATGATCTATTGTCAGTAACCACAATAGTCTCAAGAACTTATCGGTATTATTTTTGAGTGGTTTTTGGAATTTCTTACCTCGACTTTGCCGTCACGATAATCTTATGATCTCAGGAACCGTCTCGAACGACTATAATTTGTACTCCGTGTAGGTAACATAGGCAAGCTCGTTGAAAACCTGGCACTGAATCAAAGGAGGAAATGTGATTACAGCCAATAATATGCGCTGAGTTGGCGTAACTAGACATACCAAAGCTACTGAACTATTATTGCATGTAGCCACGAAGTTTGTAAATATCTTGCCATATTAATCTATGTAGTATACGAGTACATGCTGTTATCTATGAGAACATGTGTTCAAGAATTTCAAATTGCTAATCACTCCTCCAATTTTCTTACACCAATTATGTAGAATCAATCACTTTACCAAATGGATAGTACTGTTGTACATCTCTTAATATAGTTTCCCTCCGGGAACTTTCAACATTTCCCGCACAAACTACTAGAGGAAGGGTTTGGTTATTTCTGTTTTCAAGTAATGTAGTTGGGACTCCTAACCTCTTTCAAATGATGATAAATTTGATGACTCCTTGGATTATCCGTATGAGGGAAAGACAGAAGAAGTGCGAATTCAAGTTCAGGTGATCTCAGATCAAAAAACTTAAACACACCGATATTGGCATTTCCTACTTATCTAAATGAAACAGCTGAAGTTGCTGATGCACGAACCTCAGCAAGATGAAAATTAAGGTGCAAGTGGGTCCTCAGGGTGCTGCGAAGAAGTTGTTTGGATTTGCTCTTTCCAGTATTGCTTTATACTCTCCTCATGGAGTTTAACTGCTTCATCAATGATCGGGCGAATCTCTGCATTACTGTCATAACGGGTCCTGGGCTTCTGTTGAGAACTTTCAGTGGCATTTTCATGATTCTGATGTGCGGTGCTATTATCAATGGGGTCTATACGAGTGAAGGTATTCATGAACAGTTGCCTGAAGTGACCATGACAATCATCACCATCAAAGTAGTAATCAGGCTTGGATGTTACACCTTTGGTGAACAGATACTCATTCATATGAGCAGCAACGACATCCCATGCATCTACTGATAAAGCAGGGCGTTGAATTGCCACTTCTTTCAGAAATTCCAATTTGGCTGTCTGTGATAAGGAAGGAGGCCGAAACGCAGGTGGAATCAGGGATAAAATCAATAATCCAATGAAAACTATTGGAATGAGAGCCACTGAAATCCCCAGAAGTACAACCAGTATCGACAGTAGAGTGATTAGAATAATTCCCCCGAAAAAAACTCTTCGAAACACCTTATTTCTAAAAAGAAAAGCTAGGCGCCCAGGGTACAAATTTTTTGGAAGGTTAACTTCAGTTTCTGCTATGTTGTGATCGTGTCGTAACAGCTCACTTTGAGCGCCTTCTTCTTCATCTTTTAACTTCATATGAGAACTACCGATATGGCGCTGTATCTACGAAAGGGCTAGCTTCAAACTTCTTTTTTAGCGTCATCATTCTATCTCATTCCACGATGTCTCTCACAGATCATGCAGGATAATATAATACCTCTTGGCAAATAGTGACATCAAAAACTAAAATTCAGTATCATAAAATCTAATTGCTCTATGCTTATGTAGTATATCTAAATTCTTCACTCATTTTGTTCATCAAGCTTCGCAGGAGACTCTCTATTGAGCTGACTTCCGATATTCTTCAACACTTTCTATATAAGCGCTTACCGCTTCGTCGATTAGCGGTTTTAACTCAGGAATCGAGGTAGCAGTACTTGATTGTTGCAGAAAAAACATTTTTCTAAAATGCTCTTGGCATGATTCACCATCATAATAATAAAACCTGCTCCCAAGATGTCGACTAAAACCAATCTCATGGAGATAATCGTTCATCGTGGCAGCAATCATGTCCCATGAATGCACAGAAAAGCCAGGGCGGTGAAACGAAACCAGTTTTAAAAGATGTGCTTTTGCTGCTAAAGGGTAGTTATCGCTTCTGTAAGTCACTGCAATATAGCCGAGGGGTAAACAGAATACCGAAACTAATACGATAACCAAGGTTGTCTGTATCCCGTAACTTGAAACAAGTAACACCCAAATAACACCTGCAATCACAACTAATACATAACCAATAATTAATGCCGCCACGGGAATGGCCCCCACTAATAACTCAAAGGCAAGAACCCTCGTGTACTTGCTATTCCAAACATTCCAAATTAGTTTTATAGGGAAGGTATCCTTTGGAAGCTTAGTACGTGCGTTACCGGAAATCTTCTCACCAAGTAGTGCTTCTCTCCCCCCGAAGTTCATTGATTGTGCTTATTCAGAATTCCTTTCTCACCGCTTATAGGGAGACACATAACCGTTTCCTACGGACATTTTTCATGTTATAATGTAACACGATGAAAGTATGTGATTAACAAGTAGACTGATTGATTTTCAGACATTTGAATCGAAATCGACTCATTTGCACTGCCTCACTATAACGCTTCCAAGTGCAATTAAGTCCCTTAACTCAGTAGCCATTGCTTTAATCTTACACCTATACAAGTAACGCGCCTACCATGCAATTTCTAGGCTATGTAGAAGCCAATGCCTAATATCAATTACTGTGAAATCACAGATATCCCACATTAACTACAGTCACAGAGGAGACACCTGGATGGGTTCGATACGATGAGATTCCTGTCCAAATTCTTTTTAGTCACGTTCAGATAATGAAGCTTCCATCACTTTAAGGTATTCTATAACGTGCTCAAATATATTAATATTAACCCTTCAGGTTCGCATTGATAGTTTGCGGTGCACTCACGTCGTCCTAGAAGGCCCACTGCATTCCTTCTTCCACCCATTGAAACTCCGAATCTACATCCCGACGCACGAGGAGCCTTTAATCTCATAGTACCCTTTCCTTCCTTACGCATCTCAGCATTTGTAACGCTCGCAAATGACTTCGTTTCCGCTTCGTACAAGACAACAAACGCAGTGGAATCTCTGGGGTGCCGGAAGCGGCCACGCAGGAAGCACGCAGAGTCGTAGTGAAAAATTTGCAAATGAATCATCATGGCAGGTGAAAAAATTTTTCAAGTATATAAATGGGAGATTGGGAAAATAGATGTGTTCAGCATTTTCCTACAGAGAAACAACTGTTGTATTCGAAATGTCTCTAAGAATCCAAGCTACCAGACTAATTGCCAACTCTCGTGTGATCACTGCCAAGAGAACCTTGTCTTTGGCCTCTCGCGCTGCTCTAAGACCAGCTGCCGCCAGACAATTCATCAAGCCAATGGTTGCTACCCGTGGTATCAAGCAAATCAACTTCGGTGGTTCCGTCGAAACTGTCTACGAAAGAGCCGACTGGCCACGTGAGAAGTTGTTGAACTACTTCAAGAACGACACTTTGGCTTTGATCGGTTACGGTTCTCAAGGTTACGGTCAAGGTTTGAACATGAGAGACAACGGTTTGAACGTCATCGTTGGTGTCCGTAAGGACGGTGCCTCTTGGAAGGCCGCCATCGAGGACGGCTGGGTCCCAGGTGAAACTTTGTTCGATGTCAACGAAGCCATCCAAAAGGGTACTTACGTCATGAACTTGTTGTCCGACGCTGCCCAATCCGAGACCTGGAACTCTATCAAGCCTCTATTGACCAAGGGTAAGACTTTGTACTTCTCCCACGGTTTCTCTCCAGTTTTCAAGGACTTGACCCACGTCGAGCCACCAAAGGACGTCGACGTCATCTTGGTCGCTCCAAAGGGTTCCGGTAGAACCGTCAGATCTCTATTCAAGGAAGGTCGTGGTATCAACTCCTCTTACGCTGTCTGGAACGACGTCACTGGTAAGGCCCACGAGAAGGCCCAAGCCTTGGCTGTTGCCATCGGTTCTGGTTACGTTTACCAAACCACCTTCGAGAAGGAAGTCAACTCTGACTTGTACGGTGAGAGAGGTTGTCTAATGGGTGGTATCCACGGTATGTTCTTGGCCCAATACGAGGTCTTGAGAGAAAACGGTCACTCCCCATCCGAAGCCTTCAACGAAACCGTCGAAGAGGCCACCCAATCCTTGTACCCATTGATTGGTAAGTACGGTATGGACTACATGTACGACGCCTGCTCCACCACCGCCAGACGTGGTGCTTTGGACTGGTACCCAATCTTCAAGGACGCCTTGAAGCCTGTCTTCCAAGACTTGTACGAGTCCGTCAAGAACGGTTCCGAGACCAAGAGATCTTTGGAGTTCAACTCTCAACCAGACTACAGAGTCAAGTTGGAAGAAGAATTGGAGACCATCAGAAACATGGAGATCTGGAAGGTCGGCAAGGAAGTCAGAAAGTTGAGACCAGAGAACCAATAAGCGGCTCGCAACTAGCGTGCAGCGCTTGGCGCTCGATCTTTTTTAATATAGTCAAACATGAATTGACACCCTGTACATTACTCGCGCGGGTTTGATCACCTGTGTCGAATGCATTAAGTTTATCGTTATTCTGTAGTTATTTATGTAGCGGCACTCTTGTTTAACTGAATAAACAGATGTCTGATGCATTTCTACGCACTACTTTGACGGTTTTTTTATTCTCCCAACGAGGGTCTCGCTCGCTGTAGGGTGGCAGACCGGCTTCGTTCTCCGCGGGACCGATTTCACTCGCCCGCGCCCGGCAGCTGGCGGCCGACGAAGGCAATTGGTAGTATAAGGTTGGGTTGCGAAAAAAATCTACTTCTGTCCGAAAATGCAGCGAATCGGCCACCCTGCAGCCTAAATCATCTTCGCCGCAAATACGCTACACACACCATCCGTCCGCAAGTGTGCCTTGGCTCCATCGGCCCGAACTTTCAAGTCGGCATGTCTCATGGCATCCTGGACTTGTTCGACTACACACGGGGCCCGAGATGCTTAGTTTTCTCGCTCCCGGGCCACTTTACGCCAGCATGCACCACTGGGATCGCCGCATCGGCCTCACTGCAACATGAGTCTGCACATCGCAATTGTCGCTTGTTGGAGTGGTCGACGAACGGCTCTTCGACGCACCAGGAATGGATCGACGAGATTGAAACGGTCACGGGGTGCGGTGTGCAATTCCCGCTCGTGCGAGACGAGGTGTGCACAACGACGTGTCGTACTAGATGATGAAAATATCCCGGCCGTGCCCGTTCGATGCACGTATGTGGCAGATCTACCGCACCGGGTGCGCACAGGTCAGTTACCCCGCTGTCTACGAGCCGTAACAGGGTGGAGATTCCGCGTTGTCTGGAATGCGTAGCTGGTGGATCAGGAGCACGCGCGCATTGTGACGACATTCTGGCATCTGATCAGACGAACAATGAGACGCTCGCACGATTCCCCATGCACGTGAGTCGCCCGGCTGACACCGCCGCACCCAGGTAACACCGCCGCACCCAGGTAACACCGCCGCACCCAGACACCGCATACCGGACCGCTCGGGACCGCTCACCGGCCACGGCGCGGCCGTTAGCGGCCGGCGCATAACAGCCGGCGCATAACGTCCGGGCGGGCGCCAAGAGAACCACGCCCAGAGTGTCCCGCGGCTGGCGCGGGCGCCACTGCACGCATTTGTTTGCAAAACGTTATCGCCCCACGCTAAGAGAACCTATCGGCACTGCAGCCGCGGGGCTGCTCGATCAAAGCGCCTGCCGATGATTGCGATCACGCCACTAAGGCGCGCTTTCGCTGTGTCGGACACGGGCCTTGCAGGACACCTTGCCAACCGCCTTGCCGGCCGCCTCCCCAATCTCCCCGCCAGCCGCCTCGCCAACCAACCGCCCTTCCCCCAGCCGCCTTCCCCGCCCGCGCGTCTCCACTGCATGCACCTCCAAACCCTGATCATCTCACGGCGTCTGCTCGCATGGCCATGCAGCTTCCAGACAATCAGGCACCGTGCATACCTGTGCAGCAATCGCGTCATCATCGGCTAATCTTGGTGCCTGTCTCGTATCTGCGGCGATTTTCGCCGGAAGACGGTTCTTGCGCCCGCGCTGTAGCGGGGCACACTCGCGTTCATGCGTACCTGATGCCTTATCCTACGGCCATCCTTACGCTGATCCCACGCTCCGTTCTCCGCGGCATAAGGCTGCGCAGTATCTGCACCACGCACGAGTTGCGTCCGGGGAAACCTATTCTATCACCACTAGCAATTTATGACAGTGCATCGCTCGTTACAAGCGCCGGTCACAGGGATCGTGCTGTGTTCCGAGCCACACACAAAAAAAGAGAAGAAACACGATTAGGTACGGCCATGTGACACTACTACGGTGTCATCTTCGAGCAACTTTTAGGGGTCATGATATTGCGATCGAACCATCTACCGTGTTCGGACTGGCTCTGAGGGTGCTTCGGAACGCTCTGGCAAAAGCGGTCTTCAGAGCGGGAACAAAGTGAGCGCTCAGTATTGCACAGCCGCAAACACATCGTAAACTGCGCAATTGCTACGTCTATTGGATGAAGTTTGCGGCCAACATAAACAATTCTTCTGCAATACTTTTTTTTCGGTTTTAGTTTGCGGCGTGGCTCAACCCATTTTTTTCGCATTTCTCCGCGCCGGAGTTGGACGCCGCATAAGTGGGGAGACAACTGCACGTTTAACGTAGTATCTCTTCGTGCACTACGCTTGGGCCGCGAGGTTAAAAAAATTCAATCGAGTTGCTACCCCAGAAAACGCCGCAGGCACTGGCGATGAACCCCCACGCGAAATTCTGGGCAGGCAGAGTTCGGCACCAGTGTCAGATCATTGCATGAGAACCTGGCTAGGCGTTTCAGATCATTAAACTGGAGTTGCCGGCAGAGGTGCTGGGCTGTTAGGGTCGCATACTGGGAGTGGGTGAGCCGGATTGCGTATATAAGACGGCGACGAGAGACAAGTAGAAATAGAGCAAAGGGGTTTTAGCTGGTTTCAGATTTCAATTTAGTGAAGGGACGGCAGCCATGTGCAAGAACCAACAGAGTGTTTTTTTCACGGCGGACAACGCATCTGAGCCGGCTTACGATGAAATCCTTTATTTTGGTAGTTCGTGGGACGCGCTGAAAAAGATGAGCAGTTTACAGGATCAACAACGCGATCCGTGGCATCAGTTTGAAGGCGGCGAGTATCTGTTTGGCAGCGACATGTCGGAGCTTGGGGCGTCGTCCGGGACCGCGTCCGGCGCGGTGTCGGGCGCGACGTCGGGAGCGACGTCCGCGTTCCAACTGACTTCGTCGCCGCTGTGGCATCACGTACCGCCGGGCCACTACGTGGGCCCCGGTGCGGACGCCGGCGCGGTCCCCACGCCGGCTCTGTCTGCGGCGCCTGCGGCGCCGCAGACGGCGCAACGGGCTCAGCCTTTCCATCAGGAAGTGTCGCGGGCGGCATATTCCGCGGCGGGCGCGGCCCACCCGCACCCTCGCACGCTGGTAAAGTCCATGTCGTTTTCGGAGGGCATGGAGGACTCCATGGCCGAACATCTGTTTTTGCCAGACAGCTTCGCATACGACACGGTTCCGTGGCAGTTCACGCCCCGGAGCAGCGGTTCGGACGAGCCGCTGCAATCTTTCTACGAAAAACAGCAAGAACCCATGCGGTCCGAGGTGCAAACGCCGTGTTCGGTCGGATCGGAGCCCCCCAGCGCGGAGCCCACCGTGCCAGCCACTCGTGCCGCGCGCAGCGCCAACGACGAATTCTATGATCGCTTTTACAACGCCTTCAACAACATGGACCCGGAGCCGGTCTCCAGCAAGCGGCTCTCGGTCTACGAGCAGCTCATTGCGGACAAGCCCCTCATGGACGCGCTGTCCAAGAAGGTCAAGCGCGGCTACTACAGGTGCGCTCACTGCCCCAAGATGTTCTCGAGCGTGCTGGACTACGCAAAACACATCGACGAGTTCAACATCCGCCGCGAGTACAAGTGCCCCTTCAAGCTCTGCCCATGGAAAATCCTAGGCCTCCCTCGCCGGCCCGAGTTGAGGCGCCATTGCGCTATACAGCACAAAACCGAGATCCCCCGCGAGCTCAAGTCGGTCTTGAAGCTCTGCGACTCGGATTTCCCCATCATGGAGTGTCCATCTCCTTACTGCAACAAAAAGTTTTACCGCAGAGATTCGTACGCCCGCCACGTCTCCATGGTGCACGAAAAAACCGAAAGCAGGTTCAACAAGAGGTTGGCCAAAGTGCTCATGGAATGTCCGTACGCCCCACGCATGGACGAGCACAAGAATTACGTGATAAAAGAAATGAGCAAGCCCAAGCGGAAAACTAAGTAGCAAATTTGCACGCTGCCGTCCCGCGCGGGCTCATCTCATCGTTTTAAATTTTGCTCGGACAGTATCTAATTCAAGGAATGTAATTTATAGCAACGAGAGAAACAGTTTAGTATCTCCGGAATGTTTCGTTTTTCAAACTTTTCACATGTGATCGTCTGATGTGTCAATTTACGAACTTGATCTAACTCCGCATTCTGATCTGACCAACGTGACAGGCCATTTGATCTGTCGAATTATCTCCGGCTGTAAATCATGTACGCTTTGAATACCGCAGGCACAGATCCTGGGGGTTCCTGGGTTTATGGTTATGCAAGACAGAATTCCGAATTTCAAACTGTAGTTATGGCCATCTTTACGAGAACACTAGAAGGTATCACCCTACTCTTGAAATTGGCCCAACCCACACATGAATTTGATTTGGAGCACCGGGTATAGCAATTCTTGTTTGATTTTCAGCTATTCTCGGGACTCGCCGATTCAGGCACACTAAAAAAAGGTTGTAATCGGAGGATATTTTTATCTCTTGGACAAAGCGGAAAGTCCTCGATTTTCCGATTTGGTACGCCCACGTTTTTTCTCCAGCACCTTGTTCCTTCGCTAATGGCTTCTATTATCTTTTTTCTTATAGAACGCTGTTCCGTCGCCGAATCGATCGCATTTGCTCGAAGCTAGAGCCGGGTTTCGGCAGTGGTTGTCAAAGGAGAAAGGATTGACGCTGCCACACAAAGGGATTCAAGTGATCACCAAACGCCGAAGTATGTTTGCGATTTTAACCTTATTGAATCTGCCTCAGCGGCAGATCGTCAAAGTCTCCGTTGCGCCTACTGTGCCCGTACGCCTTTCCTGTTCCTGTGTTAACGAGATTTCTGATCAAACAGCCGAACGATGACAGCAAAACCGAGCGGAAACGAGACAAAGAGACAGGAAGGATCAAGAATTTTGACTTGCATAAAAACCGTTTCATTACGTAACTGTACATCAACTGAGCACCGTTGCGAGTGAGCTTCATTTTACGTCTTATCCGGCGATATGAGCTCGAACGTGGCGTTGCATGCAGGCAAAACCACAGAGGCACATGTATTCGACACATTTTTGTTGGGTGTTGTGGATTAACGTTAATGCCCACTACTTGAGGGTGAAGAATGATTCGACTCCACTCTCGGTAAAAATGCATGCTGGTCGGTTGCAAGCAAAGGTGTATGGGCGGCGCCAGAAGTCGCGATTTATTGGTGGATCATTTCTCGACGTTGAAGAAAGGACGGACGACCAGAATTTTGAGGCACCCGAAATGATCTGACAAGCTCAATTAAGTATAAAAATTCATTCAAGGATGCTCGCGGGTAAATTTAGGGTGATGACAAGGAGCGCTTCTTTCGTTCCTTTCCCAATCGGAGCGATATCGCGGGCGTGGTTGTCAGCGTGGTCGCCGACGCGTTGGCCGACGCGATGGCCAACGCGACACCCCACAAAATGTGTCGATGTTTGATCCGGTACGCGGTTGCCGCCGCGATGCCCTAGAGACGCTTTTGATCCCCCCCCTTGATGCCACACGAAAGTCCGTAATCGCGTGGGAGGAACGCGTGAAGCAGCGAGATTTCTGTGATGATCCAGGGCTTCCATCGCGAACGGTGTGCAGTTTGGCGTTTGATGAGCTTTTCGCTGCCATCCTCATCACCAAATGGTATATTTGTAGGATGACCATGGCTTGTGATCCTTCAGACTGGTACCGCTATCGAGTAGCCATATCGCACGTCTCTAATGAAGCGCATATTTTACCAAGAGGATTACAGGAAATACAAGCATGTCAAGAAAGAGCTAACACGATACAGTGAGGAGACAATGCTCGACGTTTCCCGTCGAAATTATGTTCTCCTGCTTTCACGTAATCAACACTCGAACGGAATGAAGCTTTTTCTTCCCTTGATGTTGGCTGAATCGATGGGGCGATCATCCGACCGCGCAGCTTATCAAATAATGTACCACTTTAAGCATCATACAGAATTCCCAGTGACAACTACACAATATGGCGGCCAAAGAATTGTTTCGACGGCCATGACAGTGGGCGGGGTTTATTTTTGGGATGAAACGGTACCGGCCTACCTGTACATTAACGCAACTACACGACCAGACGGCGACTACTCTCACCTGACTGACAGTCAGCAGAAAAAAAAGTTTAATGGTGAGAAGGCGAAAATAGCCGCAAAGGAATATTTGAGTGACACTTCTTTGTCCAAAACGGTTGTGTCGCAAAAATATGGCATATCACTTTCAACTTTAATTGACGCCATAAAAAGACTCAAGCGTGAACGAGAGGTTAGCGAAGGGCAAAGCGGAATAATAATGGACTACAAAACAGCCCCTGATCCACAAACCAGGAAGCGAGTAGCAAGTGTTGCATTGCTCAATGTACTCAATTCTCCAGTTTCGCCCTCGAAACGGTGTAAACTGATCTCCCATGCCGCTTTCAAATACAACATTCCAGAAAGGACTCTAAGAGATAGATTGAAAGCTTTGAATCCCAGCCTTTCGAAATCAGCAGAGGGGACACGCAGGCGGAAGTTGACACCTGCCGCAGAGCAATTCTTGACCACGTTTTACGCTATATGCGATGCTAGGAACACCCAGATGACTGTGAAACAGGCAGATGCGATTTGCAAACTCATGGCTGAAACTACAGGCGAGTACAGTCTTTTCAACTTTCAACCAGGTCCCGATGGAGACATGAGTCTATCCAGGTTTTTGGCTGATCGAGAAGTGCAGTTAGGGAAGAGCTTTGGATGGAGATTCAGGCTGAGGAACGGTTTCTCATCTTCTAAGCCAAAGAGAATGGACTCTAATCGATTGAATGCCTCGAATGTAAATAACATAGCTATGTGGCTAAGCGATGAAGCTTACCGCATCCTGTCTTGTACACCTCGAGAGCTCATATATAATGCAGATGAGATCGGGTTTGCCCACACAATTGACAACTCCAGCAGGCACTCCCGGTATGTGTCTGTAAACGTGCCCAAAAGTTCTGGAGGAAGGGGCGTCATCTATAAAGTCAAGGAAAAAGATGAGAATTTGAAGACGTTGACAACCGTAACAGCATGTGTTTCTGCAGCCGGTAAAATTATTCCACCAATGGTCACAGCAGCTTCTTCGATAGCAAAAAGCAGGACTGATTGTGTTACGAGCAATAGCAGATTCGAATGTAATGCACAACAGAAACTTCATCCGGAGGCAGGTAGAAATGTCAGAACAATATTTACTCAGAATGGATGGAACAATTCTAGGGCATTCATGGAATATATAAAGTGGTTTGACTACCAGACCAGAGAAGCTGCTACAGTTTCAGGTGGTGATAGCTCGCAAGCTCACTTAAGAAAGCGGGTTTTGATTGTTGACAACCATTTTTCGCACTATGGGAGAGCAGTGTTGGATTATGTCACTGAAAATAACATACTACTATTACTATTACCGCCAAATACCACACATATACTTCAGCCTCTGGATGTTGGGGTTTTCAGCTCATTTAAAAAACAGGTTAGAACGCTGGCGACAGAATGGTGTCCTCAACCAGAAATCGGACTAGATGGAAAATCAAGATATGGCCACTTCGATATTCTCTGCAACTTCGTTAATGCTCTTTTTCACGTCACAAAAAATAGCTTTAACCCTGCAACGATCGTTCAAGCATTTAATAATGCTGGTATCTACCCACCAGAGAAAGCGCTATTCAATCCTGCAGTGAGGAAAGTAATGAAACACTTTGACGGGCATGCAAAGTTGAAGAATATCTTCCTGACAAATATTCTGCCTTTAACAGAGAGCTCATTACGATCATCGAGATCTATAAGCGGAGCACAGATTAATGGCTCTTCGCAAAATTCGCGGAATTCCCAAGTTATTCCTCTAGTTGACAGTAATGCGTTCTTCATTGGAGAAGAAGAAATAGAAAGTTTGGATTACCTGGGGGTCAATACAGCGGAGATTTTAGCTCGCTCAGATGAGGTTGAGGAGAGTCGACCAGACTCAACTAAACAAACCACTTCTAAAGAGGAACAGCAAATTAGAGCTATCGATGAAGCCTCTCTAGTTGACCATGACTTCATAACCAAGTTTACATTTGAAGATATTTTGCAGATGATCACTAACTCAATGAACGGTGATGCCGTGGATAAAGAGGTTTCCTTAATTCCTAAACTAATAAAACGCCTCGATAGCTGTTCAACGATCGCTTTCAGCAGTAAATCACATTTTACTATTACGAAGGAAATATTCTTGGAGCAGCAGTCAAACGTGATCGGGATTGTTATGTATCTAATCTACTTTGGAGCATGTTTCCTTGGAGTAAGAGAACAGGCAAAAATAGAGGATTCCTTCCATATTTTCGAAGGCAATAACCGCCCAGAAAAACACATACATTCTTGTACATCTGGGGCACCGACAGTTGACATATTACGAGACATATCAAAGAAGCAATTTTTCAAGCTTTTCCCAAAGATATCCAATAATATAGACCGCGACCTTTTCAAGAAGCTTTCCACCATTCAACAGGGACGTGCAGACACATCTTCTATTAGTCAAGAAGTTATTAACACACTTGGTTCCACTGTGTGGGACTTTTTGAAAGACATGCTGAAAAACGAGCACTCAGTATTGGCCACTCAGCCTGAAGAGCTCAAAACCCGTGTACTCAACACCGTCATAGATTCGCCCGCAGCCCTGGCCAAAGCGGCCACCATACGCACGATATTTGGGCAAGATGGAAAGATTTCACTCAGCAAAAACGATTTCCCAATAATCTCCAAGATAGAGAGTGTGAGCGTTCTTCCGCAAGAGCTCATTGACGTCAACCTCACCGATGACCAGTTTGCATCAAAACTCGCGTCCCTGCGGGAAATCGCATACCAAACAATGCAGGACATGGTTGACCGCGAAACAGGCGGCAACAGCGACGACGAAGACACCCTGGTAGAGGACACCTCGCTGGAAGAAGAGGATCGGGACCAGAAGCTCCTACAAGACTGGTTTTTGATCTACCACGTTGACAATGTCGCGGCCCGTATCATTAAAGCACGTGAAAACAAAGCTCTACAAAGACAGAATGCGGAATATCGCCGGCAAATCGAGCATCTTTCCCAAATCATATCGGGTATGACATCTCACATACGAGATCAAGAAATGCACTTAAGACCGCTCCGGAACCCCTTTGATTCCCCAATTCCTTCCAGAACGCTTATGTAGTATAAGTGACCCATGGCAATGGATTAATAAGCGCACTGGAAGCACCCACACCAAATGCTGGTCATTTGCGAATCCCTATTGCTAATTGTAATATATGTATCCATACACAACCTTGCTAATAAATATTTTGTACTTCTTTAGGCCACCATTAGCGAACTTCGCACATTATTGGTGGATTACTAAGGGCGCGGCTTCTAGAAGCGGGTTAGTTATCCTTCAATACGTCATTAAAGGAAGGGAAAAATCATAAAACGTGACATTTGCTCACTATATACGTGGAATTTGGCCCTTTTGAAAAATTTGCCACCCTGAAAGTTCGATCCGTGCACCATGATAATTACATATGTTTTTGCTGCAGATTCTTCTTACCGAGTATAAAATGTGGGTGGGCATAGTTACCTCACAAGTAGTATCTCCTATAGATCATAACAACGTTTAAAGATGTCTCACGTTGACAAGAAACAAAAGAAGTCCAACTCTCTAGAGCAATTGAAGGCCAGTGGTACCGTGGTGGTGTCAGATACTGGTGACTTTGAGTCCATTGCCAAGTACACTCCACAAGATGCTACTACCAACCCTTCTTTGATCTTGGCCGCTGCTCAAAAGAAGGCTTACGCTAAGTTGATCGACTCTGCTGTTGCATATGGTAAGAAGCACGGTAAAACTGTAGAAGAGAAGACCGAACAAGCTGTTGACATGCTTTTGGTTGAATTCGGTAAGGCCATTCTAGAAATTGTCCCAGGTAGAGTTTCTACCGAAGTCGACGCCAGATTGTCCTTCGACAAGGATGCTACTGTCGCTAAGGCTTTGCACATCATCAAGCTTTACGAGGATGCTGGTATTTCCAAGGAGAGAATCTTGATTAAGATTGCCTCCACGTGGGAAGGTATCCAAGCCGCTAAGGAATTGGAAGAGAAGCACGGCATTCACGTGAACTTGACCCTATTGTTCTCTTTCTGCCAAGCTGTTGCTGCTGCCGAATCCAAGGTCACCCTAATTTCCCCATTCGTTGGTAGAATCCTTGACTGGTACAAGGCCAGCACTGGCGAGACCTACTCTGCCGAAACCGACCCAGGTGTGCAATCCGTCAAGAAGATCTTCAACTACTACAAGAAGTACGGTTACAACACCATTGTCATGGGTGCCTCTTTCAGAAACGTTGGTGAAATCAAGGCCTTGGCTGGTGTTGACTTCCTAACCATTTCTCCTGGTTTGTTGGATCAACTAATGAACTCTCAAGACAGTGTCCCACAAGTGTTGGACGCCTCTGCTGCCAAGGACGAAGACATCGAAAAGGTTACCTTCATCAACGACGAGCCAGCTTTCAGATTCGAATTGAACGAGGACGCTATGGCCACCGAAAAGCTTTCCGAAGGTATCAGAAAGTTCTCTGCCGATATCGTTACTTTGTTCGACTTGATTGAAGAGAAGGTGAAGGCTTGAACTCTCGTTCCGGACCCTCTTTGATGATGACGAATCAGGTTTTTCTATGTGATCGATATGACGCTTGTACACAGCCAATGTTTGCTTTCTAGTTATTCCAAAGTATATACAAAGATTTAAAAAGCAGCCATTTATTTTCAATGCCAAAGTATTGGTTTCATTACAATCTACTTGACGGAAGCACTATAACGATGTTGTGCGTTATTTTTTGCTTGGCATCGTAGAGTAATCGAAGACGGTTAATAAACACGTACAAAAACTTAAGCATGGATCAAGCGGCTTTTTTTCAATCAACTCCGAGAGGTAAAATTGAAGAATGGGTGGGGACCCCGTTATATGCCGTATGATGTACCAGGTCTGAATGCTTGAAACATTTCCGTAGCGCCTTTGTCATTCAATATTGTGGCAAGAATTTCTGTTATGTTCTACGGGATCATAGGATGTCAGCCTCATGACATTTCCTTGGTAGATTACCCCATCGGCATGTAAACGCAGATCATAATAATAATTATTGCATTTGGAAAGCACTAGAATAATCTTCATAGGTCAGATATGCTGAGAGCAACGTGACAAGATCCGTTTCTACGTATTGAGCGGCGATGTGCCGATTTTTGTTCTAAGTAGAGGCCGAAGCTTCCCGAGAAAATAATTAATCTCTCAACTGACACGGCCTTTATAAGGACGGATTTACATTTCCTTAACCGCCAAACTAAAATGTGGTACAAAATTTATTGATGCCACTGAAGAAACGAGTTTCTAAAGCCTGTGATACATGCCGCAAATCCAAGACAAAATGTGACGGCGAAAGGCCGTGTCAAAGATGTTTGTCTGAAAACAAAATTTGTACATACTCTGATTGGTCAATTGGTTATTCGGAGGGTAAACTGAAGCGTTTATATAACCAGGAATATGTGGACTTGCTCGAGACTAGAGTTTCTCTCCTGACAAAATCGTTAAGTCTGCTCTTCTTGGAATTTGATCGATGCCTCGAGGCGGGCCTCGTCAAAATCGACCCATCGCATATTGATAAATTCAAACAACTACAGTATGAGTCATTAATGCTAAGGCAAGGCATTTCACCTATGCCCACGAATGAAGATGACGAAGATTCTATGAGTTCGGGACTCATGGAAAACATGGGAAACTCGGCAGAGGTTTGGACGCGCCTATATCAGAACAGACGCATGTTCATAAATCCAACTACCAAAAAGCTAAATATCAACCAGGTGGTTTATTCGATCATACCTACAAGTGTGGATATGGCCACCAAGTCAGTTAACTTTACTGCTTGCACTGAGGATAACATGGAAAAATTAAAAATGATTGTTGGAAAGAATAAAATGACACCGGAAGATATTCCGCCGGATATTGCCGAAAAATACCTGAGTGAAGGTTATGTAAATAAAGACAATCTTATGACTCTCAACTGCTCACACGATGGTATTCCCGCAAACGTAATACCCGACTCAAGTCAACGGAAACGAAGGAAATCGAAAGAGGAACATGAGCCTCCCATGATTTTCGAAACACAAACGACTAGCACAAATAACAGGCTACCACCCGAAGCATCATGGTATGATAATTTCTCAAATGACGCCCAGTCGTTTTCCAGTGGCTCGTCTCAGGCAGCGTTCTACTCGGAATTTGCATCCCCATCGACAGACAATACTAGTAACATGGGGCAATATCAATCAGATTCGATTAATAATGTACATGTTGGTATCAAACCAATTGCGAAGTCCGGAAACTCCTGAACAGCATCGATTTATACGGTTTTAATCTATAACGATTTACATGTAACGTGATCTTAGACGCTTTGTAGTGCTGTGCACTCTCATACTTAGATAAAAATGTAATTGAATAGAATATGCAGTTTTCATTAATAGCCTATGCATTCGAAGATGTACGAGAAAGGCTGATGGGTTCGTGATTGATAGTGACTCTTCTTCTACTTATCCGTATCTCGGTACCTGGTTGGCTGGATTGCCCACTACCAAGATGGTCCTTTAAATCGAACAAAGGTGTTTCACTAGATGAGTTCATATTATTGCATTGGAGGTTATGGGGGCGATATACCTTGTCTGGTAGAGAATTCGGGAACTCTGTCGAATACAAATTGTTGCTACTAAGCGATACCGCAGGAACACTTTGGGCTTTTGCAATCGTCTTCCTTTGAGCTTCTTCACGTGCTTTTGAAGTCTTTATATCTCTCATATCCAATGCTAAGGACTGCGGGCCGCGGGATATCTCTTTGGCCTGGTTATCAGAATTGTTTATCAGTACTTCTTTGATGGTGCCACTTTTTGATCCTGATCTACTGTGATTCATTTTCCTACATTCAACGCTGTGATCTTCTGGTTGTAGAGGTATCCTTTGCAATTTATCAGGTTGCTGTGCTCGTGAATTAGTACGTGATTTCGAAATTCTTCGGGGGGGTTGAAACGGCTTGTTAAATTGTAGTGCTAGACTATTAGAAAATCTCGTGCGGCTGAGACTGTGCTCTGGCGGTACTGCTGTGATTGTTCTGTTCGGTACCATAGTTGTGGATGGATGGGATCGTTCATCTGCTTTGGATATGAAGTAACGTTTATTGTCTTTAATAAACCCATTTATGTCACGCTCATATTGGCAATGCAAACTCTCAATGACTACTATATATTGACTGAAAATTTTATGTTCTTCCGCTCCGAATCCTGTCGAATCAAGTATATGCTGTAATTGATGCATGTTGGTGACGAATTCGCTGCTAAGTAGCACATTGTCCTCAACGGTGTAAAGTTGAAATTTATTGTTCAATAGGAAGTATTTCAGTTTCCCATCATGCCATGTCTTATGCTTCTTCCACAGCTGATTAGTATATTGGCAGTAGTATTCCTTGACCTTTGAAACTACACCGTTCGGAGCAGCCATGCTTGCTGTTGGCTTCTGATTTATGGACCCCCAAGAGGAATTAAAAGAGTTTTTAGGCTTGAGATATATCACGTGACACTATGCATAATGAACGTATGTAGGAAACTAAAGTCTTTCTATCCGCATAAATACTATCCTACCCGATTTCTATTTTTTTATTAGATCATCACCATCGATCCATTTAGTACTCTTGTCATAAATTTGTTTGGAGCCAGGGTATATTTCTGGCATTGCAGTTTTAGCCCAAGTGGGAAATTCCCACAATCTGTCACTCCATTGAGCTTCGATGCATTTATGGCCTTTTTTTACTTCAGAAATTCTTTCGCACTCACTCCAAACCCTCAATGTATTGAGGCCCATAAGTTTTGCTATTTGCTCTTCCGTTGCATCATATTTACTCCATATTGATTTGACTAAATCGGGATATTTAGACACATCTTCCAATCCACGAGGTGTGCCCGGAATGCCGTCAAAATCTGACCCGAATCCGACATGATCCCAACCAATGAGGTCGATAACGTAGGATACATGATTAATTGCATCACTGATCGTGGCAATCGAATTTCCCTCTTCGTCGACATCCCCGGAAGTAATGAATGCCGGACAGAAGTTTATTTGAATTACACCTCCATTTTCTTTAAGTTTCAAAAGAACATCATCCCTCACATTCCGTTCATGTGGTGTAAGTTTGTAAACCGAGGAATGAGAAAAGATAACTGGAGCTTCTGTCACATTGAGAACATCTAACATCGTTTGGTAGCTTACGTGGGACAAATCAACCATCATTCCAAGTCTGTTCATTTCATGCACACATTCAACGCCGTATTCGGTTAGGCCAAAGTCTTTCTCGCGATAAGGAATAGAGCTGGCAGCCATTGCGAACGGATTATCACAATTGTGAGTTAGCGTTATGTATCTGACACCAAGTTCATAATAAATTCTTACCACCGCTAATGATAAATCGCACTGATGTAGCCCTTCAACTCCCAACGTGATTGCGATTTTTTTCTCATTCTGATAAGTTTCCATCGCTTCTTTTGAAGAATTAACAAATTTCATATCTTTGAAATGTTTCGCCACTAATCTCTTGGTTACATCGATCTGCTCCAGGGTATCTCTTACCGCGCTATTGATTTGATTGAAATCTGTATATAGGAAGTCACCACCGTCCTTACATTCGATGTAAACGCTAAAAAACTGAACACCTACGTGACCTTCCTTCAGCTTTGGTAAGTCTGTGTTGCTTGTCAAATGGGAATTAAAATCCAGCTCATTGACTTTATTATGTAATTGAACTCTCAATAAATATGGAAAGTCATTGTGGGTATCAATTATTGGGATTCTATGAGACAACTTGAGAAATCTTTCATCGACTGATTCCGCTTTATCCCCACTTAAGTATTTCTTTAAAAACATTGTTGCAGAACAACAGATATTTGTTCTCTAAATCGTCAAGCAGAAGACAAGAATATTGTTTCGTAGATAAGTCATATTTATAGTCCACCCTTTCCCATATCTCCGTCATTTTGCAGCCATCCAAGACCCATCAATAGGATTCGCATAGTGCGTATCAAATGAGGTAAGAAAGCAGGAACCCCAGATTATCAAACAGTGAGGAAAATCAAAGTACTTTCTTTCACGACTAAGTTATAAAAACTACTTTATAAATTTATTGGGATCTTCAAACGCAAAGAGGCTAATCACACCAAAGAATGATTAATTAAAGTCTTATAACATCAAATAAAATTAATTATTACTTAAAACACAAAGCGCCGTTATTTATTCCGAATCTTCGTGAGTTACGTATTTTCAATTGAAAATCAGCAATAGTTCTTATTCCCTAGAAATCCCTACACCGAAGCCCACACCAATGCACGCACATATTGCCAGTATCTCAAAGCACCCCAAAATGAGACAGAGATGTCTGAACCATGACACGTCTACGTCCCATACGAACCCAGCAAACAAACCCACTCTAAACTCTTTCGTCATTATCAAATTCATTAATCTCTTATCCGTAATACCTCCTTTGGGCCCAGCGCCGAGCATGAAGTAAAGGGGAGGGGCCACGATGCATATCATTAGGACCATTACGATCCTGCTAATACTAAAGACATCCATGAACTTACCAATATTTGAGTCATGTGATGAAACTGACGCAGAATCTACATGCTGAACTGCTACCAAATGTTTCTCATGATCGAATTCATGCAATAGGGCCCTGTACTCATATATATGTTCCATGGTGTCTTGTGATATACGAAGGGGTAATCTGACTGGTTTTTGAATTTCTTCTGGACTCTGGAGGCTTTGCTTAGGAATTTCTTTAGCATGTTGTTGTTCCTTTTCATCGCTGGAAACATGCTTTTGAATCCTTGAGCTACCAGAAATTTTTCGCAGAGCCGGTATAACGGGAGCAGTACTTGATTCGTGGTTCAGTAAGTTGTTCTTCCTTAACGTGTCCTTAGAAGCCTTTTGGGGACTTTTATTTGCTGGTATGAGTATATTGGCTAATAATGATGGGTGTTGTATGCCGCGCGTCATTCTTCGCGTTTGTGAAAGCTCCGAATACCGACTACTTTGATTACTTCGAAGAGATGCTTGTGACCGCTGTGGTGGTATTATTCTTGAAAGTGGTGACTGTATCAGTTGAACTGGTTGTGGAGTTGTCGCCTCCCGTTTGAAAAGTTCGGCAGCTTCTTCAATAGCTGTATTTATCAGACTATGAGATGCATAACTGGTTTCATCGTTTTCTTCTTCAATTACATTTTGGCTGTTGATGATTTGTGGATCGTTCGTGGGAGCTTCAGGTAGTAAGTTTGATGATAGTGATATCGGCCTATTGACAGAGTTGCTATCTGACGTATTTCGCTGAATTATATCAGAAGATCTTATTAAGTATGTGGAAACTGTCCTTTGGCTTTCCCCTCCGGTTAAACTACTGACCCTTTGAGAGTTTTCATCCAATCCTGCACCACTTACATTCCTAGTCCTTTCTGATATCGCGTTAGTAGTTGGAACATGCGTTGAATTTGAATTTGTGGTATTTGGTTCGTGTTGGCCGAATGGTGTCGATGTTGGTCGTGACTGTATCAGGGCGTTCGTATTCACCGTCTCTACACTTGTGTTTCGTAACATACATGAGTTTCTCGATGATGATTCTGATTCACTGATAAATGTTGAGCTACTCGCGACAATTGGTGTGGAAATATGTGAAGATGACGATGATGAAGGATTCGATTCTTGCAAAACTTCGGAGCTTTTCCTTAAGACTATACTGCGATTATTTGTCTTAGGTTCAGGCGCACTCAATTTCAGATTCTCCTTTGACATCTGTGGCTTCTGTAAATCGTTCTCCCTCTCGATGCTAATACTTTCTATTGTGTTGTCTCCATTACTGCTATCGCTGTTCGAATGGTATGCCAGTTTTGAGTCATCAAAGTATACACTGAAGGAATTGGTAGAAGCATTAACTGCAGGACTAAATGCTTCCTTGAAGTACGAACTTGTTCTATTCCTCCTTTTCGGAGGAAGTGCGATCTGTTCAGTAGATGTTCCGGATGAACAGCTTGTGTCACAAGAATCCTGCTGTTTTTGGGACATTTAATTGCAGGGTACTTTTTCAAGCCAAAATTTTAATAAATGAATGCCTATGGTTGATTTTTAGAGGCCACTGAGTGATAGAAAATGCTATATTAAAGGAATGACGGGTAGTTGGTATAAGTTGGTATTCGCGGCGTAGGACTCGACCCGCACCTTGTTACTGGGAACTCTCTCGTGTTGAGAATGATTGGTGCCCTGTAAGTATTTGAATTACTAGCAGCAAACGAAATTGACTTCGAGTTTTGCCCGGTATGTGTACTGTCTTTCTGAACCGTTTCTTCTGGTTTGTTTTGTTTTCGGAATGTAAATCTGCTTACGGTAAAAGGTGAAAAAAAAGCTGGCTAATATACCCAATTAGGTATAATGACCTTTGGTACGATGAGAAAATGGAACAATGTAAATCACTGCACTACTAGGCTTTTAAGCTATAATATCTATACATGCCACGCTCGATGCAACCAAATACAGCGTATTCGTCTACAACTTGGAGATGCTTTCGATATAATTCAGACATCGTTGAGTCATTAGGATCGTAAATGAAAGTCTCTGAGGATGTCGAGTTCTCGAGTCGGTTGTGTTTAAAATGTAATTTGAGTCGCGCAGCGCTTTTCTGCGAGCCGAGTAAGCTCAGTTGTGACCTACGCCGCTGCAGCTCGTCACCGTTCATGTAATCGGCATCCGTTTCCTGAAATGGAATATGCTGAAGGTCAGAGATGGAGCGATCCCAGTACAACCCCATTCTCGTTGGATTTGAACTGGGAGTATGGCTATCAACCTCAGGAGTTTCTTCCATATCTTCATGCTCCGTATCGTATGAATCTCCTGACTCATCATTTTCCATGATTCGCCAGCCACCGGGCGGCCTGCTAGGCACAGTAATAGGCGGGCTTCGGGTTCCCATAGTGATCCCACCATTTCTATCAAAGAATTTAGAAATCTGGGGCTTGAAGTCTCTGTATGAAAGTTTTCTTCTTACACTACTTTGACTAACAATTCCGCAGCCTAGCATTATTTTATTTTGAGCAAATTTCAAAAAGTCAGGGTGCTTCACAATGTCGATCATCTTGTGCCCCATGGAGTCATATCTTGTTATATTTCCCCTAGCATCTAGGTCTCCTCTGTTCAGAGTATCATCAACCTTGTAAATCCAGTAACGCCTTCCATAAGCGGATCCAATGTAACATTTCCACTTTATTGCTTCAGTATTTGCGAAATCTTGAATGATCGATTTGCTGCTGTTGGTGCGGCAGATGATCTCATGCCTTGGATTCGATGCTTCGATCTGCTGCCATGGATCAAAAGATAGCTCAACAGCACATAAACTCTTGGAAGTAGCAAAGATTGTAGGATCCTGTATAGTCCATTTGTTCACGTATGAGTTGTTGGCGATATTTAAGTATTTTAATTGCTGTTCAGGAATGTGTTCATCCGGTGTATCGAGATTGGAATCGAGGAATTGTGATAACTTGGGAATGGGGATATTATTGTCCTTGATGCTTAGGCTTTTCAGTTTGGGGAAATTTAGCTTGATGAATTGCAAGGTGTCATTGCATTTCCAGTAATAGTTTGTTTTGAGGACTGTTGAGTCGTCCGATTGATGCAAAGGCATACCGCCTATATTTAAATATTGAAGCGTTTTATTATGGCCATACCGGCAGAGCTTCTTGAGGAGAAATAATGTTTGGACATCATTCCAGGATGATGTATGAGCGTTGACCTGTAAGTTTAGCCAAAGTAGTGTGGAGCAATTGTTTTCATCAGTTACAGCGGGATGATAACTGAAAAACTCCATTATGCCGCGGGGTGTTAGCTGAGAGCACATGGCTAACGATAAATGGGTTAAGTTCTTTAAATGTGGTATGCTGTGAATGATGACATCATCATTGAGTGAGGTATGTGCAAGATCGAGCTTCTGGAGCTCTGGGAGTGTTGTGAGCAATCTTCCAAGCGTCCTGGATGATATAGCCGTACAATCATTTAAACCGAGACTCGTTATTTGATAATTAAAATCCCTTACTTCGCTTCCGGCATACAGCTTGTCCACTGCAGACGTGAATTTCTTGGTGAAATCATCGTGGGAACACCCACAGAAGTCCACTACGCTCAGAGGTGTGCCGGGTTTCAAAAGGAAATATATTATCCGCTCATCGAGGTCACCCTGAATATGCTCGCTCGCCAGAAACTCCCGCAAGTAGTTCCCACTCAGCATTAAGAACTCCCATAGAGTTTCGTTCGTGAGGTTCTTGATGCTCTTGTTCATTTCTCCGGTTCTGCCCAAACCAATGGAGGTCAGCTCTTCGAAATCTGCGACCTGGACCAACTTAACAAGCTGAGGATTGGCCTTTAATGTCCCTAGTAGTCTGTGAAACCCTCTAGCGGTTGTAAAATTCAGATAACGATAACATAGCACTCTACAAACATGGTAGAAAGTTTTGTTCACCGTAAGATTGCTCCGAAGAAAGATATTCAAATTTGAATAGAACTTTTCTGGACTGCTAGGGAAATCATTAGACATGATATCTCGGAACTGGTAAGAAAGGATCTCATATACGATCTCGGGTGGCAGCTGCATCAGAATGGTTTTATGTTGCGTTTTACGTTAGTAAAGGCACTTTATTGCGGAGAGGCGCCTAATTATCACTTTATAGAAGTTTATAAGAAAGGGGTGCGAAATGCAGAGCGAAAAACAGGACAAGAAATCATATATTACAAGGTATTTATTTATTGAACCTCTCAATTTAAAGGCTTTGTAACTTCTTCGTAAAGCATTTGCCTTAAAGTATCCATTGAAGGTTCATCATCGTCCGAAGGTTGTTTGAGATCGTTATCGATTTTCCAAAATTCATCTTCTAAATTTAAAGGTGGGTATACCGGTTCATCTTCAGGATCGTGGTAAACACGTAAATAAGGATGTTTTAGGGCCTCGGCTGCACTAATGCGTTTGTCAGGGTTAAAAGTTAGCATTTTATCCAGTAAATCAATAGCAAGTGGGTTCACATTTGATGTCTGGAGTACTACTTGCCAGGGCAGCTTTTGGCGCAACGGGAGATTAGATATATATTCTCGAGCCCTCTTGGAATTTATGTTTTCAAAATCTTCGTAAGAGGGCGTGCCTAATGCTTCAAGGATGAGCCACAATTGATGGTGGTAGTCACGTCCGGGGAATAATGGCTTGCTTGTGATCATTTCTGCGAGAATGCATCCGCAAGACCAGATGTCCATAGCTGTAGTGTATTCTTGGAAGGTCAGCATGATCTCTGGTGCGCGGTACCAGCGTGTAGCAACGTATTCTGTCATGAAGCCAACAAGATTTTGGCGGGAGTCGGAGCTGCTTGCTAAGCAGCGAGCTAGGCCGAAATCACATACTTTGAGATCACAGTTAGAATTCAAAAGCAGGTTAGAAGGTTTGATATCCCGGTGAATAACCTCTGCGCTATGGATAGCCTTCAATGCACGCAGAATCTGATAAGTGAAATATTGGATATGGTCGTCACTGAGAGGTGTACCTCCACCGTTGATGACCTTGTGCAGATCCGTTTCCATGAGTTCCTGTACGAGGTACACTGCTTGAAACTTGGTGAGCGAGAGTGGACGTACCACGTCGAGCACACTGATAATATTTTCATGACTGTGGAAGAGCTTTAGCAGCTTTAGTTCTCGTAACGTCCTAGTGACAAACATCGGTTTACTGAACGGCTGAATCTTTTTGATAGCGACTTTGGTGCCCGATGGCTTATGGACCGCTGAGCATACCGTTCCGTATGCCCCTTCTCCTACCAGTTCCACTAATTGATAGCAGGAGGGTATATCAAACGTAATAGTCCTGGCCATTTGCACCGGTTCAAACGTGTTATCGCTATTAAACAGCGACTATAATAGCTCGTGAATGGCCTCAAACAAGTTCCGATGTGTCATCGTTGGCAGCGATGTGAAAAGTGTGTAATCTTTTCTTGATATTCACGTGACAACATCAGACCTCCAGAATAAAATGCAGCCAAGGCCGACTAATCAGATAGTCAACGTACCCTCCAAAACAAGATAGGAAATCTATGAGCGTTCTCAAACACAAATTAAAGGTAGCATTGATCCAGTTTGCTGGTGGCACACCGGACAAGACAGCTAACTTGAAAAGAGCTGGCACATTCGTTGCACGGGCCATGAAAGAGCAACCCGGCACAGAGCTGGTTGTTCTGCCAGAATGTTTCAATTCTGTGTATGCGGTTGATCAATTCCGAAGGAATGCAGAGGTAATTAAAGACGACTCGCCCTCCGTGCGGTTCTTGAGCGATCTAGCGCGCGAGCACAAGATCACATTGGTAGGAGGATCGATCCCCGAATTGGAGCCCTCAACTGATTGCGTGTTCAACACATGTCTGGTGTTCGACAGCGCTGGAAACATCATTGCTCGCCATCGTAAGATGCATCTTTTTGATGTGGACATCCCCAATGGTATAACGTTCCGCGAGAGCGACACTTTGACGGGAGGTTCTGAGACAACCACGGTTGGTGCACCCTTTGGGTCCTTCGGTGTTGGAATTTGCTACGATATCCGGTTCCCTGAATTAGCGATGATCAGTGCGAGACGGGGCGCTTTTGCAATGGTTTATCCAAGCGCGTTCAACACTATCACAGGGCCCTTGCATTGGCACATGCTTGCCAAGGCGCGCAGCATTGATAACGAAATTTATACGATCCTGTGTTCGCCTGCAAGAGTTCCTGGCAGTGGGTACCAAGCGTATGGCCACTCGCTGGTAGTGGACCCACAGGGCACGGTGATCGCAGAGGCCGGAGAAGGCGAGGAAATCGTGTACGCGGAATTGGACCCCGACGCGATCGCCAAGGTCAGGCGCGGGATTCCCGTGACCACGCAGCGCCGGTTCGATGTGTACAAGGACGTCAGTTTAGATGCGAAATAGACAGGCCAACGGGCCGTGTATATAGAGTTTTACATAGACCGTGGGCAGTATCAGGACGGAGGGAGTGAAAAGAGCCGAGTGCAGCCACACTCTTGTGATAGTTTCTTATATTTTCATTTTTTGAAGGAAGGGGACGGATATTCTATTCATTTATTTGATCTGTGCTGGGCTGGTGATGCCGGGAATGGTTACGCGGAGTCTGTGGGTGACTGGTAGTTTGGGCACGACGGCGACGAATGTAGTTAGGCAGAAGTTGAGCACGAAGAGCTGGAGGTCGTATCTGGCGTAGTGGGTGCTGACGAGGAACAGAGCGATCGGCACGGAAATGAGGAACTTACGCGCAGGCGTGTAGAGCATGCCGTCGTTGATTTGCTCCCACATCGTGAGGTTGTCGTAGGCCCCGCCATTGAAGTCGAACGGAGTACCTTTGACGAGGTGGAACATCACGTACGAGCCCACCACGTACGTGGTGTTGGTGAGGGTCCACGACCACTCGTTCGTTACACCGGGCAGCAAATTGTAGAAGAACTTGAGCAGCGCGATCAGAACCACGTGTATGACCCACGCGCCGCGTTGATCCACCCACGATGCATTCATGTTGGGCAGCATTTGCTGATCGTTTTCGTCTTCAAAGCTCTCGGGCTCAACATGTGAAATTATACTTGAGGACCTTCTTCTGCGGTGGTCCTTGACCGGTTCTGTAATCCCGTTCGAGCCTCCGTGAGATGGGAAAGGTTTGAGCTGTGACATCTTAAGGATTCTGGTGTGAACAATGCTTAAATCTGGCTGGGGATGATGCATATGAGGCAATGTTCTATATGGAAAATTGTCTCGTCCTGCGCCCCCGCCGGGGGAGGGAAAGCCCGATCCGCCGGATCACCGCGTACGACGCGTTTCTGACTCAGGAAGCAACTTGGTGTGTGTCCGTACCGGCAATGTTGTGGGAAAACCCGTACGACGTTATATTCGTCTCCGTACATAGCGACAGATTCCTGCTCTTCTTTTCGCCCCGTCGTCACGTGCCCGCCCCTTCCTCTTCCCGCCGCCGATCCCCAACAAAAACGTCCCCACCGATTGCCACTCTGGCTTCCTACAAACCACAACGACGTACTCTCCAAGCCATGGTCTCTCAATTATTCCAAGAAAAAGCCGAGGCTGTTAACAACCTATCCACCACCCCCTCCAATGACGAGTTGCTTGAGCTCTACGGTCTGTACAAGCAGGCCACCGTCGGAGACAACAACAAGGAACGCCCAGGCATGTTCAACTTGAAGGACAAGTACAAGTGGGACGCGTGGGAAAAGCTCAAGGGCATGACCCAGGAGGAAGCCGAGCAAAAGTACATCGAATACGTGGACCAATTGCAGGCCAAGTACGCGTAAGCAGCGAGAGCGCAGGATGGCGCGCACGTGACGTGGCCGTTCGAGAAATTTTTAGATTTATGTAGCAGCGTCGCTTTGTACGAGTGTGTTTTTGTGTAATCGTCTCGTCGTCTTTTTTTTTCCCTCCTTCTCCTAGCCTGAGATAGTGTTTTTCTTCATCGGCAAGCAGCGGTCTTCTTCTTTCTTGTGCGTCTTTTTGCCACCCATTAAGAGGCAAACGCAGTTGACACGCGTTTCGATACGAATATCAACACGAGGAGACGGTAGGTAGGCTATGTCAGCAGAATCAGCGCAGCTAGCACAGCTTTTAGAGCAGACGATCCTGAGCCCCGACGCTACGGTGCGTCTGGAGAGCGAGACCCGTCTGAAAAAGCTGTCCAACGAGAATTTTCTACAATTTGCCGGGCTGCTAGCACAAGTGCTGGCAGACGAAAGCGCACGGTTGGAGGCGCGGATCCTGGCCGGTCTGACGCTCAAAAACGAGCTTGTCAGCAAGGACTCCGTCAAAACGCAGCAATTTGCTCAGCGGTGGCTCACACAGGTGGACGACGCTTCGCGCCAACACATCCGGCAGTTTGCGCTCATGGCGCTGGTGGCCAGCGAGCCCCGTGTGGCCAACGCGTCGGCGCAATTGATCGCCGCCATCGCCACCATCGAGCTGCCCCGCGGCCAGTGGCCGGATCTCATGAAAATCATGGTTGACAATACCGCCGCGGCCCAGCCGGAAAACGTCAAGCGGGCGTCGCTGTTGGCGCTGGGTTACATTTGCGAGGCCGCCGACCCTGGCAGCGAGACCTTGGTCGCGCAATCCAACAACATCCTGATTGCCATCGTGCAGGGCGCGCAAGTGAGCGAGCCCTCGCGTTTGGTGCGGCTCACGGCTCTGAACGCGTTGGCGGACTCCCTGGGCTTCATCAAGAACAATATGGAGCGTGAAGGTGAACGTAACTACCTAATGCAAGTCGTGTGTGAAGCCACCCAGACGGACGACTCCGAGATTCGCGCCGCTGCCTTTGGGTGTTTGTGCAAAATAATGTCTCTTTACTACTTCCTCATGAAGCCTTACATGGAACAAGCCCTGTATGCGCTCACGGTGTCCACAATGCAGTCCCAAGACGAGAAGTCTGCCTCTATGGCTGTGGAGTTCTGGTCCACTATCTGTGAGGAGGAGATCGACATTGCATACGAGCTCGCTCAATTCCCTCAATCTCCTTTGCAAAGTTTCAACTTTGCTTTGACTTCCATCCAGGAAGTGGTCCCCAATCTGCTAAATCTGCTCACCAGACAAAACGAGGACCCAGAGGATGACGACTGGAACGTGGCCATGTCGGCAGGTGCCTGTTTGCAGCTGTTTGCGCAAAACTGTGGCAACTACGTTGTTGAACCAGTGCTCAGATTTGTTGAACTCAACATTACCAGCGACAACTGGAGACAACGGGAGGCCGCTGTGATGGCTTTCGGTTCCATCTTGGATGGCCCAGATAAAGTTCAACTAACCAACCTCATTCACCAGGCCTTGCCTCCGATTTTGAATCTGATGAAAGACCCCACTTTGCAAGTTAAGGAAACAGTTGCCTGGTGTATTGGTAGAATTGCAGACCTCGTTATTGGAGCCATTGATTCCCAACAGCACCTTCCTGATGTTATTCAAGCCTGTCTCCTTGGTTTGCAAGACCATCCAAAAGTGGCCACGAATTGTGCCTGGACTATTATTAATCTGGTAGAACAAATGGCAGACTCTCAGGGTTCCCCCATTTACAACTATTATCCAGTCTTGGTTGATGCTTTGATGAAAGCAGCAAACAGAACTGATAACGAACATAGCGCAAGAGCTTCCGCCTTTTCTGCACTAACGACCTTGGTTGAATTTTCCACTGACCAAGTCGCAGAGTCTGCTACTTCAATTTCCTCCTTCATTTTGGACAAACTGGGCCAAACCATGAGCGTCGATGAATCTCAGCTACCTACAGAGGCTAGACAGAACTTGGAAGAATTACAGTCCAATGTTCTCGGTGTCTTGTCAGCTGTTATCAGGAAAAATCCGGCTTCTGTCACGTCGGTCTCGGATATGCTGATGGATCTCTTTTTAAAACTCCTTGATAAAAAGGATACTGGTTATGTGGAGGATGACGTTTTTTATGCCATCTCTTCCCTTGCAGCTGCATTGGGTAAGGGCTTTGAGAAATATTTGGAAAGGTTCTCCCCATATTTGGTCAGCGCTTTGAATCAAGTGCAATCCCAAGTGGCCATTACCGCTGTTGGCCTGATTGCCGATATTTCTAATTGTTTGGAGGAAGATTTCAAGCAATTTGCCCCAGCTTTCATGAACGTGTTGGGCCAAATGATTTCCACCGACAACGCTAAGAAAGAGTTGAAACCAGCAGTCTTGTCGGTTTTCGGTGACATTGCATCCAATATTGGTCCTGATTTTATCCCATACCTAAATCAAGTCATGGCGCTTTGCGTTGCCGCTCAAAATACCAGACCAGAGAATGCCTCTCTTGAGGCATTGGAATACAATGTCAAGGTCCACGAGGCAGTGCTTGATGCTTACGTTGGTACAGTTGCAGGGCTACACACTAACCCTGACGCTCTCTTCCCATACGTTGGTACCATTTTCCAATTTATGAGCCACATTGCTGATAATCCAACTCTCAATAGTGAAGACTCTACTGCAAGAGCCGCTGTTGGTATTATCGGTGATGTCGCAGCGATGTTCCCCGACGGTAGAATCAAACAATTTTACTCGCAAGACTGGGTTACTGAATTCATCAAAAAGACTAGAAGTAATCCTTCCTTCAGTCAATCGACTAAAGACACCGCCAGATGGGCCAGAGAGCAACAAAAGTTCCAAATTGGACTATGATACATTGTTACTTTTGTCTTCCTCATATTCCTAGATTCATATCTGGGGCTTTTTCCTTTTACATTTCTCCTTTCTATTTTTTAACCTCTCCTCTCTACTACAAAGCATCTTTTCCTCTCTCTTTTTTTCTATTTTTCTGCATACTCTCTACTGTACTTTTGTATTCACCGTTTTCTCATTACCTCTACTTTATTTAATTCCCTTTCCTACTCTTGATATCCTTTTTAATGACCCTCATCATCCTTTTACTTTTCTCATCTTCTTTTTCCTTTTACATCTTCATCATCCTTCATTTCTAATTCACTCTTTAAATTCACGACGTTATGATCACCATTCACATTGATAGATAGATGACTATCTCATTTTCTTGTAAGTATATTATTCGTACATTCAGACCAAATTTGAAGTAATTGTTGACAATTTCATCATCGGCTTTCGTGTTTTCCAATACTGTAGTGATGAACAATTCGATCGTTTCAATCAACCAAAGTCTAATCCCTTTCGATGACACGTACATACTTTACGATCCAAATGACTTTTTATCTTACGTTTTAGTATACTTTTCACTTTTACCAATGCTGATCTTGGTTTTCTACTTTTCATGGTTCATCACTACCAGAGAACTGGAGGCTGTGATTATAGCTGGAGGTCAAGTTATTAATGAAATCCTTAATAACATTGCCAAAAATATCATCAAACAATCACGTCCAGCCTTTTTTGGCGACTCCTTTCAAAAAGATACTATAAGGTCCGCGTATGGCATGCCAAGTGCACACTCCCAATTCATGGGATTCTTTTGCATGTACTGGTCTCTTAAAGTTCTTACAAACTGGAGATCTCTTTCAAAAATCAGAAAGACGTCGAGCATCCTAAGTTTCATCACGGCCACTGCGTTAGTTGCCTTATCGCGTGCTTATTTGGGATACCATTCAGTTATACAAGTTGTTGCGGGTGTCTTATTTGGAAGCTTTTTGGGATCAGGATATTTCATCGCTGTTGCAATTGTCAGGCATATAGGTCTCATAGAATGGGTGCTTTCTTGGTCCATAATTCGAAGATTTTGGATCAAAGACTCGTTCAACATTGCATCCCTAAGTCTTGCAGATGAGCACCAAGCGTGGGAAACCCGCCGCAAATCTCCCCAAGCAAAAAAAATGCATAAGATATACATGAATATTATCGAAAGTTTTGTCTTTACCTTAGCTATATAGCAGTTGGGTTGTAACTCTCACGATGCTTTTTGATTAATTGGAATGGGAATCCTTCTCACTTTATTCTCATAAGGACTGAAGGATATCTCGATAAGCTCATTTCGAGTAAATTTCAAGCTCGGAATTTCGGAGCATGAGCAAGCCATCAGATATCCGTAAAGAACCCGAAGAGTCGATTCATGACCAATAATTAATATATCGCCGCGCATACGCTCCATTTCAAGTAAAAGAGGTTCCATGCGCACAGCTAAATCATGATAAGATTCAGCCCGAGGGTATCTGTAATGATAAGGGTCTTTCAAGCACTCCTTGTATTCCTCCGGGAAATTGTGTTTAATTTCATCTTCAGATACATCTGCAACAACACCAGGGTGTAATTGTTGAAGTTGAGAACACTGTCTCACATTTACTCCTTTTTCTATGAAAAACATAGCCGTATCGTAAGTACGTTTTCTTGGCGCAGTCCATACAACAAAAGAATCTTCATCACCGCCATCACCAGATGCGGGCTGCCTCATTGAAGTATTTCCTGTAGATTCCGAGCGTCTTAAAGTTGCGGATGTTGGTATTAATGGCGAAGCCGATCTGGTGGGGCCACTTGAAGGAGAATTTTGCCATGAGCCTACATCTACGGGTGTGGAGCATTGTGAGATTCGCCTGGAATTTATTGTCTTCAAAACCAAATCAGTCAAGACTTTAGAGTAGTGAATACCTTCCACGTTCAGCACCTCATCGTCAATGTAGTTATCCTGATCACTTGTGCCGCAACGAGCAAAATAAACACAGCCCTTTTTGTCACGCAGATTCATCAGGAAGAAAACAATCTTGTTGATCAGATACCCATAGTGGTTATTATTCACAATCAGTTTTTCTCCGAAATTTATGTATTTCAGGTAGCTCAGGTTCTCCTCTGGTTTCATTTCTTCATACAATTTTTTGTTCACCATTAATCTGTTCATGAAGTCACTTTTTGCTTCCGATTTTGTCCATCCTTGGTAGTCGGCAGATTTGGATGCCATCTCAACATTGTGTTTAATCAGCTGAGGGTCAGTAATCACAGACTCAATAAAAAGTACCTTGATATTCAATCCCAGAAACAGTTTATCAAGATGGCTCCTTTCTTCTTCCAAAATGTTTAACGCATCATATATCGCCAGTTGGCCCTCATCTTTGTCGAAAAATGCAATCATGTCCGTTAAGACCTGGTTGATAGTCTCCTTGCGCACTTTGCGACCTCTTTCAGTCGTCGGTTTGGCTGAAAAATAGTCATTAGGGAACTCAATAGAGTCTGCATTGGACTTTTGCCTTCTGTACTCAGATACATGAAAGGAGCGTGTACGTACTCCCAACCATTTAGTATATCTTGTGATTGCCACTGACAGCAAAGTCTTCGACGTAGCCGGCAGCCCAACTAGTACTATTAGTATTTTACCTGCATGGAAGAGCCGTCCAGATTCAGTCGAATACAGCTGTCCAGGAGAAATGAAATTGGCTGTTATATTTTCATGAACTGCGTCGGTTGGTCGTGCAAGCTTCGGACGTTTATCACTCGAGCTGCTCGACCATCTTTTATTTATTCTGGCCATGTGATTGCCGCTGGTAGCTTTAAAATGCTCCAAGCTTTGTGAGCTGATACTGATGTTGCCTTCCTCATCATCGGAGAGAATGGCAGACATTGCACAACGTTCTATCAACGTTTGGTACGTATCATGAACACCTCGAGTCACTAAAATCCCCGGGGTGACCTTGCGAAATCCGTATCATATGTAACGATAAACCGATCAATACCGACAATGATCTTAACGTTAATGGTCAGAAATGTAAATTACATTTATATAGAAGCTAGTGAACATGATTATTGAGATAAAGCAAGCAATAAATGATTAATTTATTCCAACTTACCGCCCTTTCTCTCAATCAAAGCCTTTCTGTCCTTGTCCAAGTGCAACTTGGTGATGACGACCTTAGATGGGTGCATGTTGATTGGGATAGAAGCACCGTTAGACTTCTCCTTGGTCAACTTCTCCACTTGGACAGCGTACTTCAATCTGTAGACAGAGGAAACCTTACCTTCTTGGCCCTTCTTGGAACCTCTAACGACCAAAACTTCGTCATCCTTTCTGATTGGCAAAGCCTTGATGTTGTATTGCTCACGCAATTCCTTGGACAAAGGAGCGGACATCAAGACACGACGTTCAGAGGATGGAGCAGTGAAGTAAGCCTTTCTGGCCTTTCTTCTGTCGGAGGAAACGTCTGTTTTCATTGTTAGTATCATTGATCGTGACTTAACGAACGTATTGGACTTATCACGTAACTGGTGAACGAACTTGTAACCTTGCAGCCGCATTTCAGAAATTTTCGGTTCAAACATGATACTGAAGATTTATAGGTGACATTCAAGTACTTCATAGATCATCCCTTTCCTGGTAATGCTGGTATGTTATACCACAGACCCACCTGCTCCTTGTCTGAGATAGTCGGAAGCGGAATATGCATAAGATCTTTCAGTATGGTCACTAACAGAAATTCTCCTCGTCGGTGTCTCCAATGCTCGGTTCACGCGCCTTATCTTATTCCAATACTTTCATATAATCGTTTATCTTTTGTGTCTTCAACATACCTAGAGATTGCTTAGCCATTACGATATTACCTTCTTACGGTTGTATACCTATGAACACCAAGATTTCGCTAATATGAATTTTTGAGTTTACAGGTTGTGGCAGGTTGGTACTCGGCACGGCAGCCGCGGGCTCAGGCTAGCGGCCCGCTGCGTGGGAGATGCTAAGGGTAGCTAGGCAGGGAGGTGGAGCGGTGGTAGAAGGAAGCCGGCCCAACCCCCCTAGCAGGGTCAGTAGCACGGGAGACGCCTCGTCCTGCCCAGTGAATGGGATGCTCTGCCTACGATCACATACACAACGCGTGCTTACGTATATAATTTTTCAGCTCAAAAAAACTCCATTATTTCTGTGTGTATGGGTCTTGTTTTGAATGTATGGGTTTTAAGCAGTCACTTGTTTTGTGAGATAAGGGAAATATATTGATACAGCTTCACATATAAACAAATGTTGAGAGAAGTGCTGTACATCGTGCTGAAGGCGACTACCGTAGAGCTTTGTCACATTTTTAGGAAAGTGCCAATAAACATTTGCTAATGAACATTCTAAGATTTCCAAAAATAAAAGATATATTGTGGTAAGCCCCTCCCGGGATTCGAACCCGGATCACATCCACCGGAAAAATGTATGCTAACCATTGCACTAAAGGGGCAGAATAGACCACTTGATGGCTTTAATTGTAATTCTCGTATTGTGCAGCTATCACCAAGACTCCCTTCGGAAGACCATTACATATTGTCCTTTATACGAAAATTTTTGTATTCGCCTATCAAGAGTAGCTCCATTGTTAAAAGAGCGGTACATCCGGCATGAACTACACCTTTTCTATTTTAAGGATGCCAATCAGGCCTTCAGTGAGATCTACTCTGTCCTCCATGCATTTTTCAAGGGTGAGAACTCCTATCGCGTTTCCTTCGAAGCAAATTCCTAGTTTGTATACCCTTAAGTCAAATTCGGTCTCCTATTACTCGACTTTTAATGCTAAATCTAACAGTGGCGATTTCTCTGATCAGCGTAAAAAGAAACTGGGCCTGTGGCCAAGAATAAAGGCTTTTGCTTCCTTCACGGTATCGGGTGCACTAGTCATCGGAGCTTCAGGTCTGGCAGGGCTGGTCATCTACTTAATCGTCTCTGAGCTCTTTTCTCCCTCTGGTGACACAGTGATGTTTAACCGTGCGGTGTCCACCGTGGAAGCCGACCCTAATGCACGCAAGCTACTAAAATGCGAGGATACCGAAAATTCAAAGGAAAGGCTGAAAGCTTATGGTGAATTGCTCACAGACGACAAATGGACTAGAAATAGACCGATTTCGTCTACGAGAAGAAGGGGTAAGGATGGTAAAGAACATCATTATATGAGATTCCATGTCGAGTCCAAACAAAAATTGGGCCTCATCCACATCGAAGCTCGAGAGTCGGACAAAAACTATACTCCTGACATAATTTCTATGTATATGGATGTCCCAGGTGAAAAAAGATACTATTTCGTCAAGCCACAGTTGTCCTTGAAACAACCTCAAAAGGGCTTTTTGGGCGTGAAATGGGGCCCCAAAAAGGAGTGATGAAGCGCCGTTGCCCCATGTAATGACAGTTAATGATACTTTTAGCAGCTTCTATTTATCATATTCATTCGTAAACTAATTCAATGATTATCAGCATTGTTACCCGACAATTTTACTCTTCAGGCACAATCATGTTGCCCTTTTCTATATCAAGAATATATAAATGAGTTGACAATTATCAGAGCTGTTATGAGAATAAGTCGCGGCGACACTAGCATGGTAGCTCTGGAAGAATGCCTGTCGGAAGCTCTTCCTCGGTGCTTTGGCAAATCGTCGTCGGTGCCTTTGCTATGGGAAGAAATCTCTACTATTTTACCGATTTGTGCACACTTTCCTTTACTCTTTTCCTGACTTCTTTTATTGTAATACACATCGATATCGGATAGTGGACATTCTGTTCCCGAGTTACCACTTCGTAGATATAATTTGCTTATTTCCAAAGATAGCTTTTGAGAAGTACTGCAATCAGAAAATGCACCGTACTCACCACTAGTTCCGTTACTATTAATGTCTGAACAATCTACCTGCCCACAAACGTAATCAAATAATTCTTTGTATCTCGCAGGTGATTTAGGGCGTCGAACTAGACAGGGCAGAATTTCATCCAAGCATCCACATTTAGTAACATCCGGAGTTTTCGGTATTGCCCATGATGCTTTCCAAGTCGACGTTATTGATGGGCATTGTTTCGATTTGTCGCTTCGCGTTTTGACAGCCATGTAATCTTTTTTCGTGACGCCCTTCGGGTTAACTCGAGAAAATTGTGACACCAAGTGCTTGAAGTCTTCAAGCTCCTTCACTTGATTATTATTAGTTATTTTAACTACTCCGTAGCCATTTTCCTCTTCAAAATACATGTATGCTAAACCTCCGGACCATGTGCCTGACATCTGGGGCCCGTATAGAGCTTCAACCTCTGTAAACGGCCTTGGCCTTACCGCATTACATCCAAACTCAGAAAAAAATACGGGTACGGGATAATTCTTGAACTCAGCTGTTCTTTCTCGATACCCGCTTGTTCCATAAGATGAATAACCACACCACTCGTACATATTAATTCCATAGAAGTCAGCAATGCCCTCACCTTCGCAAACAAAATAATTTGCTAAATTCTCCCTCGTTTCTAAGTCATCATTGGTCGAATATCCAATAGGTATAGTACGATAGGATTTCTCTGTTATATAGTCTTTCACGTCTCGGATGGCTGCCTTCACAAAAGGAGAGGCATCCGTATTTGTTATATCATTGGTCACTTCATTGCCAGCAAAGAAGCCCAAAACATTGGAGTATGAATGCATAGAGTCAACCACTTTTTTGTATCGCTGGAGAAGATCTACGTTCCAGTGTGGTTGATCTCTTGATATAGACACGTCTGGCTCAGAAAGATCAATCAATGTATATATTCCATTTTCAGCCAGAGCTTCCATACAAACATCATGAGACTGCGTTGGATCAATTGAATAAACACGAATTGTATTCACACCAAGTTTCACAAGGTGTGGTATATCTCTTAGGCATATTTCAGGAGATGCAAGCGGATCAATATACCTAATTTCTGCGTCAATATCCGTGTTTAATTCCATTGAAGACATGCTAGGTTGATAGGCAATGCCTTTAATAAAAAACTGCTCGCCGTTTTGAGTGTTGAAGAATTTACTTCCAAATATCTCGATAGGAGGTAATATCTCTGCGATTTTTTCAGAAGCACGAACATCTAGATCTTTAGCATTGACAAATCCAGAGGCGGATAACCAAGCAGCTAAGAGCACTGTAGTAGTTAGCATGTCTAACATGAATGTTTTCAAGTTCATATTTCCCTAAGGGTTGAATTAAAGCAAATTAGTTTCTGTCAAGCTAATTTGAAGTACACTTATCATTTTCATTATCCTTTTATTTGATTGTGAATAACTGACACAAATGCGCCTGGGTGTACAGTGAGCGGCCACGACAGAAAAAACTGACACAATCTGTAAATGTTACCCTCAATTCATAACAAAACGTAAGAAACGCGAAATCCATTTCATAACTTGCTATGTAACTAGTAACAGAAATAACTCTTGTTTATAGGTATAGCATCTAAATATTTGCTGTACAAAAAGTAAAATACATAACGTAATAATTTCGGACATGAAAATAAGTTGAATATTACCACCCCAAGCTTAACCTTTTATTTTAAGCTTTAGTTGAGTAGGAAGCAATGGAGGGGGTACTCGAGAAGTAGTGACCTGACATTGTTGTCATAGCAGGACCAGTATCATTGTTGTCTTGCTTTCTTGGTTGAACAATGTTCGTCAATAGGTCAGGAAGGTCAGAGGTAGAAAGGTCGATGTTAACATGACTAGAAGCAACCGCTGGACCTATAATGCATCCAGCAAAGATGGCCAAAACCAAGAAGTAAAGAGAACAGTACTTTCTGACCATACGCTTACGCAATCTAGTTTGCTTCAAAGAGTAGATTGGAGGGCGGATTTGACGAGATGGTTTCAACCAGAACAACATGATGGAGTGGAACTTATCAATGTATGGTATGCAGAGAACAGGTAGCTGACAAATCAAAAGGATGTGGCCTAAGATAAAGTCGCCGGCAAATTGTGAAAGTTCAACAACCTTAGCGGCAAATTCTCTAGATGGCTGAGTCCAAGCCATGTAGCCAAGTCCAGTACCATACCACTTACCTGTCCAGAAAGCGGTATTAGCATGATCGTTCTTAAATTCACGTGTAAGCATGAAAACTGTGATACACTTGAAGATCAATCTTTGACAGTACAAGCAAGTGGCGACACCGGCCAACATCTTGGCAAAGTTGAAGTTTTCCAAAACCCACATAACAATGAAGAACACGATATGAACAATGACTGCAACGCCGTGAGCGAAGCCTGCCATGACAGAACCAGTCTTCTTGCAGCACATACCAAACAAAGGACCTGAGCAACAAGACATTCCCATACAGAAGAATAGAACACCCATATTGACACCGATTGGAGCCAAAGTACAGATCACAATACGCAAAATAGAGTTTACCATGGTGGCATCTTTAACACCAGTTTGTGCATTGATAAAGGTGAAGGCAATGAAGCAACCACCTGCGTAAATAGCACATGGTATGATATCGGCCAAAATCAAGTTACTCTTGTGAGCTCTGGCAGCATCACCAGCAGTTTTTTCAGATTCATCACCGACCAGTTTACGTTTGAAACCTGTGATACGGGATCTCGACATTCTAACGTAGCCAATCCATGAGTTCTTGTGGTATTTGTTGTTACCTCTGGAAAGCCATCTAATGAAATCTCTGTAGTCTAGGAAGAAATCTTGCCAAGAGAACTGATGAGGATTGAAGATAAAAGGCGAGAACATCAAAGAGGACAACGAAGCCCAGAACCACAATAGCGGAGCTTGCCAATGAGCTACTGACCCAAACAGCAGTAGCAACATACTTCTAGAGCCCATGTAAATGGCAGAGCCGGCAAATCTCGAGTACAGAATTGAGAATGGGATACGCGACGTTGCAAAACCACGACCAGTAGAAATGTAACGCGCACCACCCACAGTCAAATCACTCAAAAGTGAGGATGAATAAATTTGACCGGCAAACACTTCGAACATTGGAGACAATGATAACAAATGTCTGAAAAATCTTTGCGTAGCTTTCCAAACACCACGTTCAATCAATTCCTGGACAACGATAGGGATGAAAGATATGAAAAAAACGATAAAGATCGATAAAGTGTAACGTCTAACCCAGTCAACAACTGGAGAGAAATTGTAACATCCTAATGGATATAACACATCAGTCTTAGGTTTGTTCTTATCGTAGCTACACATGATCGCTTCATGAGCCATTGCATTCATATTCATCAGAGTTAGCATGAACATTTGTAAAGACAACTGAATAAACAAGTTATTCAAATGGAAACCAGGGTGCGCAAAGTAAAAAGACAAGAAACGATCAATTGGTAATTGTGTACCCAAATAGTAGTACTCACGAGATAACATCTGCTCACCCATACCAGCACCAATTTTTGTGGTAAAGTTCAAAATAGTACCGAAACCCAAATCTCTACCTTTACCACACTGATAATATTCACAGTGCTTAATACGACCACCACGTAGTATGGCGTTCATACCAGCATAAATATCTTCATTCAGATGTAGACCTTTTTGGGCTTTAGAGACACCACCTCTAGTAGTCATGTAAGTAGCGTTAATGAAATCAGGGTGACCATAATGAAGTTTACCACCGATTTGAGCGAGAGTTCTTGCAAAAAGCGTACCAAAAGTTTGTTCCTTACCAGCAGCAACGTCACCTAAAACACCAGAGTTCTCAGAGAAAATATATTCTCTGGCACCAACAATAGCGACTGGGTGATTAGTGGTTTGTTCTTCATATTTCAATTCAGGAGCGTACGGATTAACTTGTTCAACATTCAGTTCTTCAAATTCAGCCAAGATCGACCGGATTTTCAAACATTCTTCCAAGTAATTATCTTGATTGGCATCAATCAATTGTAGATATTCACCTCTGTAGAAAATCATTGCATGGTTTTGATTGTCGGACTTACCATCACCCAAGATAGGATTACCAGATAGTTGAACTCTGAACTTTGGACGTCTACGACCATTTTCCAAAATTTCACAGTGACCATCGATCAAGGCAGAGTAAATACGAGGTTCTTCGCCTTCATTCAAAGGAGGTTCTTCATCCAAGTAAGCAATTTGCAGATCAGGATAAGCTCTTAACAAAAACTCAGCGTTCTCCGATTCATATGGTTTAAATTTAGCCAATCTTTGCATAGATACCAAGAACTTGAACTTTCTTCTGGCCATCTTTTCCAATTCCCTTTCTAAACCTTCCGCATTACCACCAAACATTTGGACGATTTCAGGATTCTCAACACGATAGAGCAGTTTTATGGCTCTAGCATAATTCATGAAACCTGATACGGTACGATACAAAGTCTGAGATCTCAAGGAAGCCCAGATACGGGTACGAAGTGTATACTCAGGAGCAGCAGATTTGAAACCAATACAGTAAAATGGTAAATCATCAATTTGAGACTTGAGGCCATCTTCTTTCTCTGGATCTTCCTCATTGCCTTCATAGGCGGCAGTCTCCTCAGCTAAGATCTTCGTATCCTTAACAAAACAATCCCATTCGACAGGATGCAATTGTTTCAAATATTCCAAAAGAGTGACTCTAGAGAATTGGTCATCCTCACGAATAATCTCTCTCAAAGATAGCAGAATTCTTTCAGAGTAATGTGGGGTCAAAACTGTGAATGTTGGCATGTTATCAACAGGTAGCGGTTCTGGAATAGGAGTGGCCAATGATTGGGCAAAAAACGAGATACGACGTTCAGCCTCCGAATTTCTTGGGAAGAATTCCGTTTCGAAGTTGTTATCATCCTGCGAGACAAAGAAAGTTGGTGCTCTGAGAGTCCTTTTCCCTTCAATTTCAGATGGAACTTGATGGTATAGCAACTTTTGAACATGATCTATGGCTAACAAATGTTCTCTGTACATCGAAATGATAATTGCATTCCAAACTTGAGAGATCAAAACCTTAGGTTTGTACTTAATCTCCATGTCTGTAGTAGCCAAAATCTTGGAGTAAATTCTCTTTGGTAATCTGGTGAAAATATTTCTCCAAGGCGTCAAGATAGAGATACCCAAATAGAAAGACCGGCCAATAGAGAACACCATGTTACAAACAACGTACCACATGTAAGTATCAAGGAAAAATAAAATCATATCGGTGGCTATCATCAAGGCAAGCACAACTTTTGGTTGTTGTTTGCACAAAACGTCACCCTTGAACCAGTATTCACCAGTACATCTCATAGTGGTTGTAGATAAAATTCTCAAAGGATCTACCAAGGATCTGATCAAAAAGTAATAGGACTCTCCAAATTTGGCTCCGAAAACTGTACACCATAATAAATACGACATCCATCTATCTAGCCCTTCTAGCGGAGCGAAAGAAGCGGTGAAAGTCTGTGATGCAACGTAACGCCTGGTAGATTTTTTCATATAGGAAGTGAACAACCCCCCAAGTGGCATAATTGAGAAAAATACAATAGTACCAACCGCAACGAAAAACATCACTGCAGCCACAACGTGAGCAGCTTTAGATTTAACATTCACCGGATCATAAGCAAAGACGAAAATGATGGGACCTAAGTTGACACCGAAAATAAGAGCCAAAAACCAAAAACGACGGGACAAGTGCTGAGCGCCTGCCCACTTTCTAGGAACAAAAAACCACTCTGTCACGGTCGCAATCAATTGAATTAACGATGCGAAAGATCCCGCCAAAGCACACGAGGCCCATCTATAGGCAGCCACCGGTTGATTATCGACCAGTTGTTGGTAGTTGTGTGTGTAAAATGTTGGAGCGTTGTAAGCGACGTACATCCAATAGATAGAACCATGAATAATCCAAATACGGTTAAAGTTCGTGACCAAATGGAACCAAGAACGTGTTTCCTTATAAGTTTTGAAGAATACATCGTCCCAGACAACATCACCTAATCTTAAGTAACGTTCTTCAGCTGGCAAATCGATTAAACGAGTACCATCCTCGAATACGATTTTCGCAATACCCTCTGGGTACCAGAAAAGTTGGTTCACATCATCGTAACCAATAACCTTGTTATGATCCTTTTCACGCTTCACGAAACGACCGTCAAGTACTTCATAAACTTGAGATCTCAAATAACGGTAAAGCGGAGTGATGATCCTATTTAGGTAATCACCTTCGGGCATTGGATCTCTACGTTGTTGACATAGTGGAGAGTCCAAATAATCTGAGGCACACTTGTATAAGAAACACAAACATTCTGGAGTAAATCTGACCTGGTTAGCTTCACCCCAAATCAACAAGTAAAGGGCAACATGACGAACCATTTCCAGTGGTGATAGTTTATTCATTCTAGCTTTCCATCTGAAATCGGCGGCCTCTAGAGAATTGTCACCTTCTAGTTGATTCAATGTGGCCTCGGTGTCTTCAGCATTGGCCTCTTCCATGGCCTTCTTATTCTTCTTCTTTGCCTTTCTGGCTTTCCTGGACAACTTACCTAGACCCATGTTACGGAAACCAACTTCGTCGTCCATGTCAAGCTGGGCAGCAAAGTACCACTTCTTGTAGTTGGCGGTGTCACCACCGATGTAGTCCGCATGCAACGAGAGTAATGCCTGTTGGGGAGACATTCTGGAAGCTCTAGAATCTAGCAAGACCATAAAGTGGTCAAACATGTTTCTCATCGAATCTCTTTGGAAGCCAAACCTGTTAGCTAAATCAATGAACACATCTTCGATTTGTTCAACGGTCACAGGGGACTGGTCGTCTGCAGTCCAAGCTGGGTAAGGTTCATTTGGTAGAGCCATCGCCATAGCGGAAGCGTCGAACCCTTCGCCACCGTAAATTGGGGTGGAGGCACCCGAGGATCTTGGATCAGCGTAGCTCATTTGCGATGGTGTGTACTGGCCGGCACTTGGAGTGCCATAGCTATCGTAGCCGGGTGTGGCTGGTGGACCGTAGCTGAAATCTGAGAAGTTCTCAGGGTCCTGGCCCATACCGCGAGGCTGCTCGTAGTAGCCCGCGTTGGAGTAGTCCATCTGCTCCGGATCGTAGCCCTGCTGGGCGTAGTAGTCCGCAGAGTTGGGGTCGTAGTGTGCACCTGCGTCCACATCGTACTGACCGTCCGGGTAGATCGGCTGGCCGTACTCATCATACTGAGGCTGCTGTCCGTAGCCCTGGTATGGATCGGCGGCGTACTCCTGCTGTTGATCGTGGCCCGGCACGTAGCCCGGCTGATCGTGGTAGTTAGCGTTTTGATCGTTGTAGGACATATCTAGGAGGAGGCAAAAAGTCCTTGGAGCGTTCCTCTGTCTCTGTCTATCTTCTGTGCTGGATGATCTGTTAGTCCGCGTTCACAAATACGGCTTCTGCTCTACAGGTGTGAAAAGATATACCAGGGAGATACAGCTGTGATTCTCTTGTTGTTATTCGCTAGTGCCAATACCACGTCTTTGCGAGAACCGAAATAGAGTTTTTGCTAGCCTCTGAGTTCCGTGTGCGATAACACCTGTGTGGATCACTGGTTGTGCCTCGAGTCTTCGCTCCTTTATAAATCACGATCCAAATCCGACAAACGAACTGGGAAAAAATCGCCAGAACAGCAAAAATGCCTGCTCTGTTCAAAAGAAACGCGTTGAGAAACACGAAAAAAATTTTTTTTGGAACTCCTTCTCTCACGGTGCCGCGTAAACGGTCCGATCCGCTCGCCTTCCCTCTAATCGCCGCCCGCCATTACTCTCCCATTATTATCTGCTGTTGTGCGCACTCCGGCCGTTTCTTCCACAGACGCGTTGCGCTCCGGCCCTGTCTGGGCAACTCCACTAACTCCACCCAGAAACCAATCCTGACATGCCGAGATAACCCCGTCACGTGAAGTTGCTACGTGACTTTCTGGGCGCCAAGCCACCATGCCCCTTTTCGTCTCTTGTTCCACGGAGTGCACTGGCCGCCTTCTGCGCGTCGAAGCGCCCGAGGCAAAATATGCCTTTCCTCCAGATCCCGTTAGATGCGACAAAAAACCGCGAACCCAGAACTCGCGTTCCGCGCCACTGGATCAAAAGAATACCTGATGAGGAGAGGATGGCGGTGGGAGAGTAGAAACGCGGAAAACAGAATAAACAGCGAGGTACCAAAAGCTGATATATCTTTTCAACCTAGTAGAGTGTCAGTAGAAGTAGAAAATATGGGGTTAAACATACCTATAGTTCGTAAACTCTCAGAAGTCGTGTCTACGACGTCGTGTTTCAAGTTTGATCTAAGCGGTTAACGCGAAAATGTAATAAATCCTTTTCGAAGGTGGAAAACGAATGACACAGTATTTGACAGTAATGCTAGTTAGCGATCAGTAGCGCTGGAAGGGTGGAATGCGTGTGGTTGTATCCGGCGACCTTCCCTTTCACACAGTTGTTGTGAATGTTGGGAAGAGAAAGGAAACTTTTCCCAAGCGCATTTTACAAGAACCGAGAACGGGGCGGAGGTTAAAAATAGACGTGGAAACCTGTTCGTCGTTCGTGTGGGGTGATGTATGTACCGATATAACTCTATATTCTGCAGAGCAGCAAGTAGCGAGCGGGCGTTGGCAGCAGCGGCCGGGGTTTGGTCAAAGTGTGTCGTCTTCGTGGCGCTCTATGAAGTCCACGATGTGATCGACGCACTCCTTCGGCTTCTCGGTGTTGACCCAGTGGCCCGCGTCGATGTCGCGGATTTCAAAGCTGGGGAAAAACCGGCCGATGTCCACGAGAAACTCGTCGGCGATGTAGTGGGATTGTGTACCGCGAATGAACAGCGCGGGACCCGTCCAGCGGTGGACCCAGGGGTTGAACTCCCAGTTGGCGATGTTGCCCTTCACGATGGCATCGCTCAAAATCCCCAACGGGATACGCGAGCGGAATTTCCACTCGCCGGTTGCCTCATCCTTGTAACGCTGCAGCACGGTGAGCAGGAACTGGCGGATCACGACGCTGTTCTCCACCGCCTTGAGGGCCTCGTCGGCTGCTTTCAGCGTCTGAATATCTTTGGAGTTTATGATCTCGAGTAATTTTGTCGCGTAGCGTGGGAAAGAAGTCGTAGGCATCGTGGCAACAGGCGCGTTGTCGATGCTCACCATCATTGAGCACATGTCGGGTTTGCGCAAGACGACGCTCATCGCGACCTTCGCGCCCATTGAGTGGCCCACAATGATGGGCTTGAACTCGAACTCCTTCTCGCGAATGAACCGCTCGATATCTGCGGCCATCGCCGGGTAGTCATGCCTTCCAATGTGAGGAGACGCGCCGTGGTTGCGCAGGTCTGGCAAGTACACGTCTCTCTCGAGCCGCTCGTTCAACTGCCGCGCAATGGTCCTGTTGTTGGCACGCGAACCAAACAGCCCGTGCAGTACGATTATCGGTGCCTTTGGCAAGTATGTAGACGTATGCTCGTTGACCAATTCAGCCTCTAGCTTGACCGTTGGGATCGCATCAGACATCAAGTCATCGTTGAGTACCTCTGTGCTACCATACGCTCCCTGTCTAGTGGTGGTCCGAAAAGTATTGTTGTGGTTCCCAAACAAAGGTCCCTCTGAATAAGCTCTCCTCCATCCAGCGACAGTCAGACTGCATCTAAGACCGGGAACTGCATGACTTGCTGGAGCGAATACACTTGTAACTTTGAGAAAACGAGTAATGCTACCAGCAACTTGTCTCATCAAACTGCTCTCAGTACTAGCGTTGTGAACGGGATGCTAAATTGAACGAAAAAAATAAAAAGTCAATTTTAAAACTAAAGGGATAATCTATAAATGATAACTTTTAATTCCCATTTGAACTCATCCCTCTTTTGATATGAGATACGCCCTTTTTGCCCCTCTCCCCTGTAGAAAATTTTCATTTCCGAATTATAAGCGGGGCATAATAAGAGGTTATGAAACCCACACCTGCTGTCAGCATACCAGTCGATCTTCAGGCCGAACAACTACTCACGCCTCTTCACCAAAGAAAAGGAACATAAACCTCTTCTTTTTGTTCTTGAATCGCTCGTATCGGTTGCATTCTGTTATTAGATCGCTGAACGTGGTTCGATCGAATAAATCTTCGAAACGCGTCCCATCTTGCAGACTTGTTATTTGCTCTTGCTTCTTTCCTGCACTGTGAAACATCACTTGAACTTGACCCGTTGCCGATCTTTTCGGCCGTTTCTTAGTCCCGTGAGACGTTCTAAGAGACCGTTCTGACAAATCCTCTTGTTCATCGGTATAACACGATCCTTTGAAACGATTAGCATCCTGGCGATGAGTTCCAGATCGAAAAGACAATCTCTCGACTAAACGTGTAACTTTGCATTTTGCTCGATGGCATTTGTCCAGAAATTTATGCCTGCTTCCGAGATCATTCGAATGCAGACTCCTGAACCATGTGCGTAGATTATGTCGTCTCGAATCGCTGTGATGCCGTTTTGCAATTTTAGTGTCGTATACATTCGTAGGTGCATGCCAAATGCGTGGATCTATGTCGGCTTTATCTGTACTAACAAATGTTTCGATTTCGCATGTCTCAATTGATGAAATTCTATTATCTGCGTCGTTTTCGAATATTGTGAGCCACCTAAACTCACTTGGTGGTCCACTGCCTGATGGTTTTACTGTAACAGAAGGTGGAACAACGGTGTTCTCGTCACAAATGTCTATTACTTCGTTCACGAACAATTTTACAAGGTCATATTCGCATATAATAGGCGAATAGGCGTTATAGTTTCTCGAATCACAGTTTTGTGCCACATCGTTTTTGGCTCTCCGGATTCCCGAGCAATCCCAATGATCTATCAAATTGCTTGCCCAAACCTTAGTCAACCTCTTCATTTGATCGTCGTCCTGAGTCCATTGTTTTATTAGCTTGTCTAAACCCACTATTAACTCGGCGTTCCTACAAATGACTGAACTGTATAAAAAGGCTTCCAAGCACTCCAAAAATAAATGATGGTCGACCATAACTTGAACTCCTGAAGTTCTAGCTATCGCTACCGTCACTTCAAAAAGCTTTTTCATTTCCAAAAGGAAAATAACGTAAACTAATAATAACTTCTCAACTGCCTCGATCTGTTCTCGATAAGATTCGAAGTTTTGTCCATATTGTGGCATAGAAATGCCAAAATTTAACGAATTGAGTAGTGTTGGAGGAACATGGCATAAACCTTCCAGTTTTTTCAATAGAGTGGAATCTTTTTCAATTCTAGAAAACCTTCTATGTTTGGAATACCCGGTATTCGTTTGGAGATGATGAGCACGTTTCAAAGACTCTCGAAATAATCGAGATAATGGATGGGCGTCAGTCGTTGGGACATACTCCAAAATCAAAGATCTCAAAATTGAAACAATCTGCTTCCCGAAGATTTCCTTCTCCTGGTCAGAACACTTCATAAAAAGAGGTTCGCCAGACGAGAATTGGTAGCTCATGAACTTATCAATTGTCTGAATGATTTGATCTACATAAACAGTCATCTTGACAATTTCTCGAGTTTTCCTTCGGCACATTTTTGTTTCCATCTTGGAACCGATTTTTTTCGATCTATCCTTGTATTTTGTTTCTGCTGAGCTTATGCTTTTATCTTGGAAGCATACATCGGTTATTAAGAGGGCTAAGTATACATTCAGCAATTTTAAATTTAATTCTTCATTACTATCTGAAAAAGATGGTATAAAAGCTGAAGGTTGGATTGTTGGTACGTTTGCTTGATTTGGTGAATGGTAAATTGAGTAGTGTATGACGCTATTTGTTTCCAAATCTACTTTAAAACTATTTGTAGCACTTAAACAGTTTTCATCTGCTGTAGAAAAATTGGAAGCACTTTGATCCCCATAAGTTGAGAGCTTTTGCGAGTGCTCACTGTATTTGAAAACATTTTGGAATGGTAATTCAGTTGTGCGCACTGTATTTTTAAATCCGAAGCTTCTTGGCTTATCACTGTCATTGGAGCGATTCATCGGAATTGGTGAACTCGGTGTGGATTCAAGAAAATTTAGACCCAAAGAGTTTAACTGCTTTTGATGAAGCATTATTGTTTATTGAGTAGTCTGAATTGAAGAAGCTGTGATCATCTTTCTTTGTGACTGGGTTAATATTTTTAATAGTTTGCATTTGTGACATAATATTTAAAACGCGAGAGACGCGTTTGCGACAAAAATATTAATATGAAGTGATAAAAACCAACTGCCACTTGGCATTGAAAGGTCTACCGGCAATTATTACAAAACCCAGCATGTACTTTACAGTAACAGTAGAAAGAAATTTAAATTACACAATTTTTATGTAGTTCTTATTCATGTGACACCGCTTAATCGAACAAACCGAAACCCATGTCGTCGTCGGATTCTTCTTCCTCTTCTTCGGCAGCTTCTTCAGCTGGAGCATCAGAAGAGGCAGCAGCAGCAGCAGCTGGAGCAGCGGAAGCGTACTTGTCAGGGTTTTCAATTCTGTCCAACAATTCCTCGATCTCTGGGTAGATGTAGTTGGCAGCGATGGCAACAGCCATCAAGTCCTTGTAGGAGTTGACAATGGAGTGACCAACAGATGGCAAGGTTGGGTAACCAACAGCCAAAGAGATACAAGCAATGGTGTTCACAGCGGAGACAAAGTGAGAGACCAATTCGTCATCGGTGATATCCAAGATGGAGGATGGGAAGACTTGACCGTTGTCGTAAACTTGAACAATCTTCAAACCGTAAGTGAAAGGAGAGATGTTCAACAAGTTCAACAAAGAGGCTTCGGAAGCACCGACCTTGTTACCAGCTTCGACGACCTTGACGTCAGAAACAATTTCAATGGTACCTCTGGCAATCTTGGTTGGGACACCCAAAGCTTGGAAGAAAGAGGTCTTACCTGGTTCCATACCAGTGTTGACGGCCTGAACCCAGATATCTTCTGGAGCGATGGCACCGGCTCTGGCTGGAGCAGCAACCTTGTTGGCAATGATGACCTCCTTGATGTCCTTCAAAGAGTCGTTGGTGAAGATGAAACCAACGTTACCTCTGACGAAAGGCAACAACTTTTCGTAGTCTGGCAAGTCAGAGATGAAACCTCTGATGGCACGTCTGACCATGGTGTTCTTACCCATAAGAACGACGGCTTTGCCTCTCAATTCCTTTCTGACTTCGTGCATTTGTTGAGAAGTGACATTGTCGACACCAACAACGAAGACGGACTTGTATTCTTCCAAGTACTCTCTCAACTTGGAGAAGTATTCAGCTTTCTTTTCACGGATTCCTCCCATTTCGAACTTATTACGTTGATAGGATGTTTAAAGGTATTCCTAGATCTCCTTCAAATTGGCGATAAACATGTATATTCAATAGACTTCGCTGATAGTGAAAAAGAGATTCCTGGAGCAGAGACGGCAGAGAGTCGATCGTACAAAAATACAATCCGTCCCTTAGTTTCCATTTTTAGTATTGAGAAAATTTTTCTTAAAGAGGTCTGGGTTAATACTACATTTACAAGAGGCATGGGTTAATAACAGTCATATCATAATCGCATGCATAGGGCATATGTAGGGCATACAATAAGACTTCATTCATTAGTAGAAGAAGCACAGAAGCATGCTAATTAGATAATTGAAGGCCAGTGATGGAAGAGAAACTGATATCAAAGTCCTGGTTCGGAATCAATCATCGTGTTTTCGAAATATCGAAAGTTTCACTTAAAAAGTGCGTTCAATCAAACTCGTAGCATTAGTTAAAGTCGATTACATTACTTCAACTCTTGTGATTTACATTGAGACATGTATTTTTCAAGTCAATTTACTCATTGCTTCTCATAGATGACCTAGACTTTCACAATTCTTGCCCATTAATTTCTTCTGAATCTAGCAAGGCCATTATACTTAAAAGATGCTCGTGACAGGTGAAAAATTTCCGATGAGCTTTCTCTGCCCTTACTCAGACGGGGAGCACTAAACACAACAATACGCCTATGATGACTGACCGTGGAGAAAATGAAGATCTGGTAGGGCCCAGGGAGTCGCTTAATTTTCTCGATGTAGAAACAGGACTTCAAGCGTCGCAGACGAAAGCTTGCTTTGAATATATTAGGAAACATGTCCTTCCCCGATCAATCGACTTCGAGCAACTACCCAGCCATCATGTGAGATATCTATCAAAAAACAGCAGCATAAGAGATTACGTCGACGAATTAAGTGTTTGCTTCAAGACAAAAGAACAAAATTTAATTCTTTATTCATTCGGTGCGCATATTCAAAAAGCTTTGACAATTGTCGAGATTCTGAAGAAAAGCCTTAGCAAAGGTCAAGAAGAAGGTGCAGATGGAGCCTATAAGCAATTCAACAGGTTGGATCGCTTCGTAAATGTTGTACCAGGCAGGAATGAACTTTTGGAGAAAAAGATAAGTATTCCCATCCTGACTATCGTACTTGCCCATCCAGGGGTCGTTGAGGATATCAAGGGCTTCTCAAGACAGTCCGAGTGACCGATACCTGCGGATACTCGGATTCGATCAATAAACGGTTGTCCAAAAACAATCCAGGTTCACGGAGTTCTCGAATACCAGATAAGGGACACATCTGAATCTAGGGATAACATCAAGATTCATCAATGGAATCTGGTTATTCGATCGGATATGGCCATAGCTTTGCAGTCCCTTTTTCCCACACCTCGACTCTAACATGCTGTAATGTAGGAGGATAAATTCCGATGGAAAAAAAGATTAATCGGGCGACTAGAACCGATATCTGATAAGGCCCTATATATAAATGAATTCATAAGATGTGCGGTCTATTACCGCTCATTTAGGTTGAATGGCATAATATGATAGATCTCAGCATTGTACTTCACAAGGAAGTCACTTTTCCGGCTCTCCTCTATGTTTGCTATCTTTTGCACAGAGACTTGAAGTCAGCAAAAGCCACTTCACAGGTGGATGATAATGCGCCGGAGGTTGAAACTCAGCATCATGTAAACCCTTCGTCTTCATTGGAATGGAACCCAAATCCTGCCATGTCATCAGTAAGGCGTATAGACTCCGAGGAGGATTATAAGCCATGGCACGAAACCAAACCTTACCCTTATAAACCTTTCAAGGCCGGCGAATACCGTCTCACAATGGGTGTAAGACCAATTCCTTCAGACGATTGGTTGGTTCTCGAAAATACATACAAGGAAAGAATTGAATCGAAGTGGGAAATCATTAAATCTAATTACAAGGATGTCATTTATCACCTTGATCCAGCGATGATCAATTGTTCGGAATCAGACATTGGTCAAAAAACAAGCGGAAAGGTGCTCACCGAGGAAATTCTGATAACCCAGAAAGACGTTGAAAATAGTAACGTAGCATTGTGTGAGCTTTACAGCTATGTTACGAGCTTCCTGATTCAACGTTTCCCTCAATTTTTTGAGATGAAATTATCTCCCTCTGAAGAGAGTCCTGGCGTTTTCTACAATAAAATCTTGGATGAGTTTCATCCTCTAGATCCTGCAAAATACTTGGAATTAGAGGACGGTGACATTTCCTTCCTCAAATATTGCTGCATGAATGTTGAATTCATTCCCCGTGAACTTCAAGAGGGCAATTGCAAAACCGATAAAGTTGGATATATTCCATTGGTTACCTGTTCGAAAACGAGACGTGCACATGAACTTATTCTGTCAATGAGTAGAATGGTAGAGGAGGACCTCGTATTACTTTTGCCTAACGCCAGTAGACAATATAACGGCGAATATATTCTTTTTACAGGGTGTTTTGCATTTGCAGCTGGATTCAATCCACGTCAACGTTACTTAAAGCCTTTAACATTGATTCATGGCCCTGTTCCCGATTATAAACGCAATTTGCAATCACAGATGAACAAGTTCTTCGAAACAACCCGGCAGGGAAAAGTTGTTATGAGATTGAACTTTTCATTTCAAGTTCACGATAAGCTTTACGTCACACAAGAGAATAAAGGAACGGAAGACGAAGAAATCCGTGCCAAAACACTGGATGAACTAAGAGGTGGCCATGACTTATACTACCGGTCCGAAAGACAATGCGTGGTAAAGTTGGGTCCACAAAGTAATGCCATTTGCTTCTCGATCAAAACATACCTATGGAACATGGCAGAGCAATTTTTAGAGGACGAATTCTACGCTCAGGAAAGTGTCATTGAGGACTTACGCAGTGCTGTCACCGGTATGCAGGAAAATATCGGTCAGTACAAAAGAAGGCCCGAATGGGGTCCTGCATTAGTAGATCTCTTACAGAAAAGACTGGAACGGTTCAAGTAATCGATACCAAGATCTCGAAGCATATTATTATTCTTGTTTTATAATGCCTCTATGCAAGCAACAAGTAGATTGTTCAGACGTATAGTAGAAGTAGATGATACCACGGACGTGAACGAGAATCTTCGCAGTTATTTCTGTCGTGTCAAGAATATAAGTTTTTGCCATTTCTTTAATCATCAAGTGTGTATCAAACCAACTAAATTCTAGCATTGCTAAAAAATAAATGTTGACGAGCATTTCTACATCAAGGTTATAGATGTCCCATTGAATCTTTCAGAAAGCTAAACTACGTTAACAGACATGATGCACAAGACCTCTGCAATGAGACAGGTGCTGATCCAATGAGTGTATACTCTGCGCATCGCTTTGAATCCACAAACCACTGAAGCAATAGGTTCGTGGATCTTCGAAGATGCCCAAAACGAGTCTGTAAGATCTCGTTACTGTAGTAAGGTTTTGAGAATGAAATTTTTTACTAGCGTGGATTTTTATAGCCAATATCAGTCATATTTTACGGAAACGAACAGATGACTATGAAAATGTAGTCTCTTCGACAATATATCTTAATAGGGGCGGTTTATTGTCAGTAACAAAGCACTATTTCAAATAATGGCCGGCCCACCACCACCACCACCACCTCCACCCCCATCAGGTTCGGGAGGCGTTGGAAATTCCGCACCAGCTCCGCCAAAAGCACCAATGGCAGGAAGAGATGCATTACTAAGTGATATCAGAAAAGGTGCCAAATTAAAGAAGGCTGTTACCGATGACAGAAGTGCTCCAAAGGTCGGAAACTCTGGTGGAGTCACAAGCTCTTCAGCGGCACCAACGGTAGCATCCCCAGCACCTGCAGTACCTGGTTCGATGACCTCAGGCAGGGTTCCCTCAGGGCCGCAGCTCGGGGACATTTTAGCGGGTGGAATTCCGAAACTCAAGCATGTGGGATCTACCGCTACCCCCCCTACCAAACCAGCTAGTGCGCCTCCAATTCCAGGAGCTAGCGCTCCATCTATTCCTACAGCCAGTGCACCTCCAATTCCTCCCACCGGTGCTCCAAAAATTCCTGGAAGTAGACCACAAATGCCATCTTCTAGGCCCACAAGAAGAAAAGCGACTGGCAGCAATGTACCAACTGCACCTGCACCTTTCAATATCCCCAGTATTCCAACAAGTGCACCTCCTATACCTGGAATGGTCCCTCAATCTATGAAAAAAACTTCATCACACTCGTCTGCTGCAGCTGTTCCGCCCACTTCTTCGGCCCCACCGATACCGACATCGGCTCCTCCACCTCCTCAAACCAGTAGTACGCGAGCTGATTCAACTAGGTTCCCTGACAGTAATCCTCAAATTCCGTCAGCGCCAGCCCCGCCAGCTCCACCATTTTCTTCAGCTCCACCCGTACCAGCGGCTCCGGCGCCGCCAGCACCACCCGCTCCCCTAGCACCACCAGCATTACAAGCACCACCGGCACCACCAGCACCACCAGCACCACCGGCTCCACCGGCGCCACCAGCGCCACCAGCGCCACTAGCGACATCAACCTCTAAAGGTCATCCATCTAATACTACACAAACAGCGGTGCCTTCTGGAGGTGCCCTGCCTTTCCTTGCAGAAATACAAAAAAAAAGAGATGATAGATTTGTGGTGGGAGATGGTACTAATTATTCAACCAAAGTAGAACAAGAGAGCCCACAATTTGATGAGAAAGCTAAACATCAAAAATCATCTTCGGTATCATCGGCGCCTCATCCTGCTCCTACTGTACCAGATGCTGGGATGTCACTGCTGGACGAAATGCAATCAAAACTGAAACATCACCACAGTACTTCTACCGGAATTCCATCGGAAGGACATACGATTGCTGCCTCTGCACCACCTATTCCACAATTCAGTGCAAAAGTTCCTAATGCTACGGCGCCTCCTCCACTACCAAGTTCAGCAGCTCCTCCACCACTTCCTAACCTAGCAGCTCCTCCAGCACTTCCAACATCAGCAGCAGCTCCACCACTCCCACATTCAGGAGCACCACCACCGCCACCACTTCCACAATCTGAAGCACCACTGCCATTACCCTCATCAATGGCAGCTCCGCCTCTCCCAGCAAGCAGTGCACCTCCACCTCCACCAATTCCTCCTGCTTCAGCCCCTAGTATCCCAGGTGCTCCTCCATTCCCTCCCACTCAAACAAATTCTGGGAAAGAGTCAAAACTGCCAGCTCCATCAGCAAATGGCGGATTACCTTTCCTTGCTGAAATAGAAAGAAAGCGTGATGACTCCCACATTGTTGATGGAAGCTCCTCTTACCAATCACAGGGCATGTCTAATGAAGTGAGTACTGCAGGGCCAACATCTAATCCCCCAATAGTTCCTGGGGGCGCTCCACCAGTTCCTCCGTCACTACCACAGAGTGCGCCACCACCATTTCCTGTATCAACATCCAAATCATCTCAACCTCCTGTTGCACCCTCACTACCTGCAATTAACTCTTCAGTTCCAAGTATTCCTACATCTTCCGCACCTTCCGCATCGAATCCATTCGATAGTGCTGCTTCAGCATCAGCTAAAGTACCACCTCCGCCACCACCTTCATCTTCTGACGCAAGTGCAAACAACTCATACAAACATCGTCTTTTTTCGTCATCGTCTGGAGCTACTACGGTTGTCAATCCACATACAAACGAACCGGAGATTGATGTAGGTGCATATACCATAAGTGGAAGCTCGACCACAACAGGTGTCAAGTTTGACCACCAAAAAGTCAACATTGAGGACGCGAGATTCAAGTGGATCAATGCCTCGCAACTTCCGAGACCTAGGCCATTTCAAGGAAGAACAAAACTCTATCCAAGTGGAAGAGGAAGCAGTGTACCACTTGATTTGAATCTATATGCATGATATTGGTTTTTGGATAAATATATAATTAACTTCCATAAAAATAAGTTTTATTCTATTGATTTCTTCGAATCTGAGCGCATCCGATAGCGCTTGCGAGAAGACGCTACTAAGAGTCCCACCCTTCCTTCCACCTCTTTTCCCAGAAGTTGCAGTCAAACCGTTCCTTTCCAAGTTTTTTGTTAACTTCATTATGGGCATCACATAACCATCTCCCGAGCTCATCTCGTGAGTTAACTTTTGGTGAATTTTGAGTAATAAACTTCTCGAAATCTTTAGCGCACCACCAACATGGATAAACATGCGAAAAAATGGTCATAAACTTCTGCATCTCATCCTTCTGGGTCTCAGAAGGCTTCTTAGGATATCTTGCAGCAATGGTATGTAAGAGTGTCCAGCTGGAACGGCCAAGTACCTCCACATCTGGTGGGTCCACTTTTTCGTAGGTTTTAGAACCAGGGATCTTTTCGGCAACTGGCACTACCTGAGGATCTTGAGATATAGGTAAAGGTGCCATTCTTCCAGTCGCAAACTTAAAATCGAGAAGTGAATTGCAAGAGCGGCATCTAAAAATGTTAGTAATTAATCACTCGAAGGTATATGACCCCTTGAAAATATAGGCATGCTTACGGTTTCCCGTCTTCATCGTAAAGTATTTCTTTTCCAGAGATACCCAACTTGGGCGTATGCTTCGAATCCACTCCTTCACACATATTCAGTAGAACAAGGAACTCTCGATGACAGTTGTTACGTCTGATACCCAAAATATATAATTTATTCCATCGCGTACACGATGATCAGAATTTATATGCCAAAGACCTACAAATCTTTAATCTAGAGAAGCTGAGCCAAGCGGTACTCGAGCATCTAGCTTGAGATTCTTCAAAAAATCCTTGTTTTTGAGTGGCCTCATATCCACAACCACGTCTTCTCCCTCATTAGCCAGCTGTCTTTTTTGTCTTATGTACTCCCTTGCTGCATTCAAGGCGGCATCCCTGCAAAGCTCCTTCAGATCGGAACCAGACATGCCTCGAGTAGCACTGACAAGATAATCAAGATCGAAATCCCTTTTATCCAGCGCTGTATCTTTGAGTAAAACAAGTAAAATCTTACGACGCTCATCTTCGGTGGGCAAAGGAATCGGAAATCTCTTGGAGAGTCTCCGCAGGAACGCACTATCAATATCAGTCATTCTATTCGTGGCCCCCAAAATCATAATCCGTCCATTACTTGTAAGGCCATCCCATAAAGTCATGAATTCAGCTTTAAGCATCGCCGTCACTTCATGATCCGAGGAAGCGCGCTCGCGCAGAAATGAGTCGATCTCATCGATGAAAATTATACAAGGTTGAATTTTGTTTGCTAACGAAAAGATGGCGTCGACAATCTTGTTAGATTCACCGTACCATTTGTCCATTATCGATGACATTCTGATAGAAATGAAGTTTGCGCCACTTTCTTTGGCTAATGCCTTTGCAATCATGGTTTTACCACATCCGGGGGGCCCATAAAGCAGAACACCACGAGGGGCAGTTAAAAGAGAGTGCGATGTATATAATTCCGGGGTTGTTAGGGGATAAATAACACTCTCTGTTAATTCTTCAATAATATCTTCAAGCCCCCCTATATTGGAAAAACTGACATCAATATCCTGTGGAATTACAACTGAAGAGAGAACGGTACGCTCGTAAGAGTTCAGATTGACTGAAGCCAGATCAGGGTTCATTTTGACAAGTGTCTGCCATGTCTGGGACTGTTTCTGACGGGACTCCTTGGATTTACCAGATAACGGACCACCTTCTGCTTCATTAAGGAGCCTGTTAACTAAATAATACAGTGAAATTCCTGTTCCAATCAGAACTGAGAGATCTGTTATTGTTTTCAGGTCAAAAGTTCGAGCCATTTGTCTCCGTGTACTTGCTAGGAAGATTGAAAATAATTAACGGAAGAAAAATTATTTTGACGATGAGCTCATACAGAACCAAGAAAGTAAGATGTCCAAACCGCATGGTATTCGCATACCGGGAGCGATTCTGGACGTGCTGAAGAATACAGATTATGAAAACGATGAACGTTTCGCTAGCAAAAAGAGGAAGAAAGGCTCTACGGTAGGAAGGAAGGAAAAAAGAAAGCAACAGCGTTTGGCTAAAAAGCAGAGACATCAAAGGAATGATCTACCTCGCGGCGAAAACGTCCAATCTTCATTCAAAAAACCCAAGTCAGAGAAGAGGAAACAAGTTAAATTTGTTGATGATGTTGTCTCTGAAGATGACCAAGAATCAAATGAACTTCAAGAAGACAATATAGGCAACTTTGAGCAAGCCGACAGTGAAACCGAAGACTTGACTGAAGATGACAACTTTAGTGAAGATGAAGATACTGAAATGACAGTAGAGGAGACAATGGAAGCTCTAAAAAGAGCAAAATCTTCTAAAGCTGCAAGAACTGAAGATCACACAGTAAATTACCAACAGAGTGGTAGCAAAGATGAAGAGGAGCTCAGCGATGACCTTTCAGGAGAAGAAGAAGAAAAAGAAGAAGAAGAAGAAGAAGAAGAAGAAGAAGAAGAAGAAGAAGAAGAAGAAGAGGAAGAGATGACAGTTGAGGAAACAATGGCAGCATTAAAGGCTGCCAAAGAAAAGAAGAATGGGAAGGACAAGAAACTCCAAAAAATAAAGAGTGAAAGCAAATCGAAGGGATCTGAAAAAAGCCATCAGCCAGCTCCATTGACACCCTCGGAACGAGCTCAAATAGAAAGAGACGAAATGGACATGTCGTACTACGCTAAGAAGTTAGGTTTGAAAGGAAAAACAAAAAAACTCAAGGCTAGCGATGAATTTGACGCCGTTGGGGGTCTTCTAGAGGGTTTAGATTTTTTCGAAAATTACGGCGAAGATGATGCATATGATGGAAAAAACTCCATCGCTGGTGTACCCAGTAGCGATGAATATGATGGTACCGATGAAGAAAATCTCAGCAACGAGGGATCTCATAGAAACGGTGAAGAATCAAGCCATGATGACTCCAGTGAAGATGATATTCAAAAAGCATTCTCTTCGGATGACGAGTTGTCTTCTGGCGACTTCGATGAATTTGATGAAAATGATCTGAACGAGGAGGAGTTAGAACAACTACGAGAGCTCGAGGGGGATGATTCGGATGTTTCTAGCGGCAAGAAAGAGAATCCCTATGTGGCTCCTAATATGGATGCTACTGAGTATATTCCACCTTCTTTGCGTCGCCAACAATTGTCAAGCAATGAACCAGATAATCTAATTGAGCTGAGAAAGAAGATTAAATCATCTTTGAACAAAGTTTCGGAATCAAATATATCCGTTATTGTTGCGGCTATTAATGATTTATATGAGTCAAACCCTAGACAGTATGTCACAGATATATTGAGTGCTCAGATCACCGAAATTATATGCCAGAAGAATAAATTATTAGATAGTTTCATTCTCAATTATGCTGCCCTGATCGTATCAATGTGGAAGCTCAGGGGTATTGAGGTTGGTGCTTCTTTCACACAATATTTGGTCCAAAAATTTTTGGATTTGTATGAAGCTCAGCAATCAGTTTTGCAAGGCGCTAACGCGCACGGGAACACCAGTGAACCAGTGATAATTCCCAAGAATTGCAGCAATTTAATAACTCTTCTATCTTACTGCTACAATCTTGGTTTAATATCTTGCAAACTAATATATGACATGATCGCGTTATTCATCATGACTCCAAACGAGTTCACCACCGAATTGTTACTGAGAATAGTATCGGTATCAGGTCCATTAATTCGTGGTGATGATCCCAAGGCTTTGAAGGAAATTCTTTCTGATCTATTGAAAAACGTCAAGTCAGTGTCGTTAACGCCAAGATTGAAATTCTTACTGGAAACAATGTCAGATTTGAAAAATAATAGATTAAAACCATCGGTAATGGCTACCAACCATTCGAGCATGAAGAAGACTATGTCGGCATTTCTCAAAAATTCAATTTCCTCAGCCACCGATCCATTACAAGTTACGCTAGATGATATTAAAAGCATTGAATCTAAGGGTAAATGGTGGCTAGTAGGTGCATCTTGGAAAGGCAACCTCGAAACGGCATTTGATGACAGATCTTCATTGAATGAGAATAATAGCCAGGGAGTCTCAAAGATTGTGGTTGAGGATAATCTTCTAGATGACATTCCTGATTGGACTGTAATTGCGAAGCAACAGAGGATGAATACAGACATTCGGAGGGCCATATTTGTGAGCATCATGGCCGCTCAGGATTTTATGGACGCATTCGCAAAGATCGAGAAATTGAATCTCAAAAATAAGCAAAGTCTTGAAATACCGAAGGTATTGATACATTGTCTATCGATGGAGGGAAAGTCTAACGGGTATAATCCGTATTATGGTCTTTTAGCGGCGAAACTATGTGAACAAAACCATCACTTATTAAAATCGTTCCAATTTATATTCTGGGATATTATCAAAAAGTTTGAAAATGATCATGATTCTGATCCTGAAGATGACCTGAATGAGGATGAAACGGACGAAGCGCAGCGCTTAAAGAAAATAAGTAATCAAGGACGCTTTTTCGGTTATCTCATTTCGCAGGGTGTATTTAGCCTAAATGTTTTTAAGCATGTTCCTTTAATGGGCGGTTTAAACTCGGACGGGATCTTATTCGTGGAAATTCTATTATTTCAAATTCTTCTCTCGGTAGCGAGGAAGAGCGAAACAAAGTCAAAGAAAGATTCTCAGAAGGTGTATGAATACAAAGATGATCACCTAAGAGGACTCATAAGTTCCCAGATTAAGCTGGAAAACAAGCCAGTCATCTTGAAGGCTTTCAAGTGGTTTACTACCAAGAAATTTAAATATGAGAAGTATGTCTCTTCCAACGCAAAATCGAAGGAATATGAGCGAGAAAAAAGGCGTTTACAATGGGCAGTACCCAAGTTCGTCGAGTTAATTAACCAGGAACTGGCAGTTATAAGTTCTTGAATGCACATTTAAAATTTAATAGAAAGATACAGCTTTATAAAGAATTCCATATAGTGTTCGACACTAATGCCAAAAAAGCAGTCTGACTATATAGTATTTTGGGCATCTGCAATTGCCTTGCAGAGTTGACGGCCATCAGCCTTTTGTTTTACTCTAATAATATAGGTTTCCAGTTTCCCTTCTGAGTTTATGACGGGGCATTTGACAAAGTTTTCTTTTTCTGGATCAGCTGGTACATATTGAAAACTTTTAACCACGCTGGTGTTTAGTAGTATATGGCCCATACCGTCCGAACGGCAAAGTATCCTGATCTTAGTGAGATCATCTTTGTTTTGTAATAGCTTTAATTCCCCAACACCACGTGAATCATAAGCCTTTGTGTCTGGATTGATAATCATTAATTTGGCACGCTTGGAAAATAAAACCGTTTCATTCTCTTCACCATTAGTCATGCCCATAGGTTGTGAATCATCTTTAGTTTCATCTTTGGTCTCTTCTTTATCTTCCTGCTTGGAGCTTTCCTCTTTTGATTCCCCGGTGGCTACATTTCCATTAGTTTTACTCTCCTCAGAGGTTGATGCTGCGGAGGCAAAAGGCAAACTGAATTTGAATCCTCCAGATTTACTGTCGTTAGTCTCTGCAGGTTTTCCAAAGCTGAAACTAGGAGCTGAGGGGGCATTTGAAGTGCCAAAGGTGAAAGTTGGCTTTGCAGAATCTTTTTTTTCAGCAGGCGCACCAAAAGTGAAAGGTGCGGAGGAGGGTTTTGCAGTGTTCGCAGAGAAAGAAAAAACAGGCTTAGATTCTGCAGATGTAGCTTCTTCGACGGGGGCCTTTGGGTTTGGTTTATCATTACCTGTTGAAGATGAATTTTGAGTAGTTGAGCCAAATGCAAAACTTGGAGCTTTCTTCTCACCTTCGACACTTTGGGGAGTGGTAGTACCAAAGGAGAAAACTGGCTTCGCGGATGCGTCCTTCTTTTCTAATCCAGTGTTTTGAGGAGCACTGGCACCGAAAGAAAATGCCGGCTTCGAAGAACTCTCTTGTTGTCCTTCTGTGCTAGAAGACCCAAACATGGCAGTTGAATTCTGGGATTTACCGAAAGAAAAAGATGGCGCTTTATTCTCTTCAGCACTATTTTCAGCAGTTTTTGAGCCAAAACTAAAAGAAGGTGCGTTCTGCTTGCCGCTATCGGCCTTTGGTGCGCCAAAAGTGAATCCAGTACCAGTAGGCTTGGTCGTTGCCGAGGCCGAACCTTCGGTGGGGTTACTTGATTTAGCTGCACCAAAGGTGAATGCAGGTGTGGTGGGTATCTTAGCATCAGAAGAATTAGCAGGACCAGAGTTCTCAGGTTTGGGGGCACCAAATGTGAAAGTAGAGTTTTTCCCGTCAGTAGCCGTGCTTCCAAAGTTCAATTTAGGCTTTTCTGTAGTGTCAGCTGGAGCGGATGTTGAGGCTGTTTCAACAGGTGCGGTTTTGTCGTTTACTTTGCTTAAAGAGAATGGACCACTAGAAACCGAGACATTGCCAGAAATTGTAAACTGTGGTCCCTTGATCTCGACATCGCTTTCACTGTCGCTGGAGTCTGCTTGGCGCTTTTTCTTAGGTCCAAAAGAGAACACTGGGTTTTTGGTGGTGGGTTTGCTTCTAAGAGTGAATGTGGGGCCTTGAACCTTCACGCTGCTATCGGAGTCCGACTCAGAGTCGGAGGCTGCGTCTTTTTTTGCTTCGCCCGGCTGAATAGGAGCATCAGCAACGGGTTTCTTCTCCATTGTGCCGTTCTGGTCACCGGGTTGTATGCTAGCTCTGAAGCTCTTATATTTGTCGACGACACTTGATAAATCAACGAAGGGGTCACTGGAAACACACTTGATAACCTTCTCGCGGAACTGAAGATTAAGCGCCTTACACTTGGCGGCCGAGTCATTGCTAACAGGTTGCGATGCAGGTTGCGCAACCGGCGTTGCAGCAGGCTGTTGCTGCGCAGAAAACGAAAACGCAGGTTGCGCTGCAGCAGGTTTGCCATTGTTAAGGGCCGAAAAACTAAACCCTTGAGCTAAGGCTGATTCGCCATTACCACTGTCGCCCAAAGCCTTTCTTTTCCTGGGTTGTGCGATCTTACGCTTGCGCATCACATCGTCGGATGCTCTCTTGGGTCCGCTACCCGTGGCGTCCACGTCTTCCCCATCAGAATCCTCACGAAAAGTCTCTCTGGTAATTTGAGAGTCAGCAAGTCTTTTAGCCATTGCTTACAGCTGTCAGACGTGCACTGTGTTGACCAAAACTGGTTACTGCAATTGAATCGGAGTGATGCGTTTTGAAGATTTTTCAAACAAAGTTAAAGGAGAAGAATATTGTTCTGAAGCAAAAAATACTCCGATACGGGGAGTCGAACCCCGGTCTCCACGGTGAAAGCGTGATGTGATAGCCGTTACACTATATCGGATAATTGATGGAATGGAACAGTTTGGATCGTGGTAAGAGGTTGCAGGGCGCTCAGGTTAGCTTCACAGGGCCTAGTGGGTACTACTTTGCTACTCGAAATTTAAAGAGTGTTCGCAGGGTTTGGTGATTGTGTAGCAATGAAACTCTGCTTTTGGCATGTCTTGTAACAGTTTTCGGGTCTTTCTTCCGTATGTTGTTGGGTCAATTATACTCATGTGCCTCTGTTGTTTTTCTGGGCTGTGTACTACTCAGACGTACTACACATAATATAAGCACTTTATTCACGTAGGATGGAGCTGAATCTAAAGTTTTGGATAATAAAACGCTGGCCCCATATCCAGCACACTACTCTAGCACATCCTCCACTGCACCTTTTGTATTTCCTGAGCCCTCTAAGTCTCTTCTCCTTTGTCCCCTCAGTATATACCAGAACGCTGTATCTACGATAATCTCAATGATTGTGCGCCAATTCCGTCTACGAGTTGTGAGCTCATCGTCACTTCGACTTGGCAAGATCGTACCGACGCCAGGGCTCTAGCGATCTCTATTAGGGCTCTTGCTATCCATGACTGTCACCCACACACCCATATAAAAGTATATACATCAGTGCACCCACAAAACATTTTGTTGTCGACTTCACTCCGAGATCGCGTAGCGAAAGTCGCAGACTCTGGATTGTCGATGCGGCGCGGTTGCTGCTGGGACTCTACTCCAAACAATAAAGTGAAAGTTGGAACCTCTAGTTTCAAAGGTTGAATTTAGAGAACCAGCTACGGAATTTTAGAGTATGTGTGCAATACCATGAGGGGAAACGATGGATAATGATAGAGAGCCAGACCTGGGAAATGTGATAGCTGAAGTCCAAACAGTTAATTGATTCCAGAGGTTCATTTACAGCTCACCAGAGATTGCAGAATTTCTCAAGGCCAATAAGCGTGGGGATTTGGTGTATTGGCAATCAGCACTACAAAATAGGAAAGCTGAAGCATGCTAAGCATGATGGAATGCCTCATTTTGTGGGTCCCTTTAGGTCAGAACAGCCTCTAGTCATGGAGAAAACGTTCCCATTTGCGTCGCGTCGGATTGTGGTTACTAACTAGCTTTACAGTCAAAATGCCTCCAAAACAACAATTGTCTAAGGCCGCTAAAGCCGCTGCTGCCCTTGCTGGTGGTAAGAAGTCCAAGAAGAAGTGGTCCAAGAAGTCCCACAAGGACAAGGCCGCTCACGCTGTTGTCTTGGACCAAGAGAAGTACGACAGAATCATGAAGGAAGTCCCAACTTACAGATACGTTTCTGTTTCCGTCCTAGTCGACAGATTAAAGATCGGTGGTTCTTTGGCCAGAATTGCTTTGAGACACTTGGAAAGAGACGGTATCATCACCCCTGTCGACAAGCACTCCAAGCAAGCTATCTACACCAGAGCTACTGCCTCTGAATAAACGCAATAGATCGCATATTTACTATATCTCTAAATAACTTTTATTGTGTTAATACATCTCGTTTTCGATAATGTCAAGTGCGGTTCTTAGAATGCTGTAATTTGAGCCCTAAGTGCGGGCAGGGCATGCTTGCACGAAAAATTTTCAGGCGAGAAATAGTATATATAGCGAATGAAGAACTTTCACTTCTGAATTCGAACGTTCTTTTACAAATCAGCAAGTATTCTGAGATCAGAATACGGCAATGAACTGTTTTAGCTCCTTTGTCTGCTCTTATCCAAATGATTATAAAAACAATCTTTTTGAGTCTGAGGAAGTATATGCAGGACTTTATTGTTATTTAGGAATTCTTCGTTTATGATCTGGACAAGGCACACAGGGGATGTTGGAGTACAAGCATTGCCCGTGCGTCCATGAGCTCATGGACCAGCAGTTGAATAATGAGCAGATTACACTGGAGTGATGAATGACTTCCACGTCTTTTCATCCGGCGATGATTCTCTGAATATGTGCCGAGGATACAACATGCATCACCATCTGACCTTGTGAAATCGATTCTTTATCAGTGTTGGCAAACGCATGTGGGACGACGTACGTCGAACTCTTGAAATTGCCGTAAGCGTTTGGCTCTCATCTTTATTTTGTGATGATAAACTTAACATCAGTTCTGCTTCTGAACCAAGGAGGAAGATAACCATTTTTACCAAAGCTCAATATATCTGAACTGCGAAGATGAGAACCCATTCGGGGCGAACCTTGAGGGCGTAAAGATCTTGACTCGACCTTGTTAAATTGTAATTGCCTGCGTGTGGAGCTGGCGTTTTGAAATTTCGGACGAAACGACACGACATGACACGACACAGGTATGCTTCTCAAAGCTTTGTCTACAAATCGCTAACTAGCTGTGAACTACTATCTGTCAACTACTACCTACAATCTTGACTCAACCGCCCTTCTGTTTTTCTTGTTCTCTTCGATTCTGAGATAGAGAAAGTTCTTGATATCTTCCCATTGCTTCTTCTTGCTGGCGGGCACCTTCTTGTCGATTCTCAAAAGGATTCTGAGCAAAGTGACCTGTGCGTATGGGGAGAAGTTGAGTCTGAGCCAGTAGATACCGAGGAACAACACAAGAACAAACCCAGAGGTGCCGTCTTTGAAAGTTAGCGTGTCCCACAATAGCGTGCCTATGATGACAAGCTCGGAGTACGCCATAACATGTAGAATCTGCTTGTTTTTCAGGGTGGCTTCTTGCTCATTGACGTCCTTCTTGACGGTCAGGTGCAGGTAGCTATTCAACAGGAAGGGCACCAACTTGAACAGAGACGCTCTGCTGAACAGCCACAAGGTTGCAATCAGAATGCTCTGAAAGTTTTCTTTGCTCAAAAGGTCGTACCACGTAGGGTTGAGTTGGACCCAGCTCTGGTAGTTGCTCACAGTGTATGCTGTTATAACCCCCACCAACGACAACCGGTACACGAGTTGCGGTGTGAGGCGCCACAGCCATAGCAGCCATCCGGCAGGCTCCCTGGGAGGTGGTCTGGCAATCAAAAACAACGTCTTCCATGACCTGTACCGGTAGCAAGTGAGCAATTGGAACAGGTAAAACACTGCGTATACGCCGCCGCACACAAGCGTGATTGCGTGACCAGCAGTCCACACGACACGCTGCAAGGCAAGTGGATCCTTCTTGGCCTTTTCCTTCTTCCTAATAAGCTTTCTCACAGCCATTGGACTGGTTCTTTGCGTGTTTGCGTGCTTTGCAGTTTGCGCTAAAACAGCAAGGTTTCAGCTTGAACCAACATGCTTCATGTTCTTGCAGACGCAAGAAGCAAGGAAGAAAAAAGTGCATGGAAGATGCCTACGTACGAAATAACAGTGCACAGGGAAAAGGTCCGTGCTGTGGCCCTCGCCGGTTAGAGGTGGGTCGCGCTGTGGAATAAGAAGCCGATTATGAGCAACGAATGCGGGTTAGGAGAGATGGTTGGTATCTTTGGTGGTGCGAAGCACCAGCACCAGCACCAGCACAACTACTATTTCTAACTAGTGACAAGATGAGGTTGGTGTAGATCACTCGGTACGTGGATCGAAACCCGCCGACGGCCCCTTTTTGCATGGTTTCTTTTTTACTCCTTTCCTATTAGGGAACTCCGGGTAATGATTCCGTGGATTGTGATTCTCAATCACGTGACAAGCACGTGATTGTTTCGACCTCGTTCTTGCCTTCCTTTTTCGTCCCGCGTGATCCCCCTTGCCCCTCCTTCTCATCATCAACGCGGTATCCCGTTCACCATCACCAAACTCATCCCATCTCCGGAAGAAATGTCCATTTGCCTTGCAGTGACCAAAACGGTGGCAGTGTCGTCTCTAGGACTGTACTGCGGCATCGTCTCCTCCGCGACCACAATTGCGCTCATCAGCCCGCTCGAAGCGCTCACGTCGCAACTACAACGGCCGATCCGTGTTGTGCTCAAGATCGCGGGCGCGCTGGCCGCCACCTCGTCCGCGTTCTTCGCGGCGAGCTACTTCGGGGCTCCACCCCACTGGCGCCATCCATATCTACTCTACGGAATGCTCGTGGCTCCGGTCTCACTCGTCTACATGGCTGGCGCATCGCTCGCCAGCGGCGGCGCACGCTGCCGACGCGCGCGCCAGCGTAAAGCGGGCAAACCAGGCGTATGTCCCGCGGGCCCACATCCTGAGGGCGCGGTGGCCACGCCAGACCACGGATTGGGCGACTCCGTCGTGGATTTGGGCGCAAAGTCCGACGACGAAGAACACAATCCCGCATCCAAGTGTCCTGCCGGGGGGTCCGCAGGGGGGTCCGCTCCGAGCTCTGCCGGGGCAATGTGTCCCGGTGCGGCAGCAGCTGCTGCTGCTGCGGCCGCGGCGACCCCAGCTGCCAGCTGCCACTCGCGGTGCGTGGGCCACCTTGCCGTTCTCAGCGCCCTGGGCGTCGCAGGCTTCGTCCAATCCGTTCTAGGGGTCTATGGAGAGGGCTTGTTTGTGTAGGAGTTTTTACCATTCTGCAATATCTCAAATAGTTATGCCACTTCTTGCTCTTATCTGGTATCACATGTTTCTCCAGATTTGGTCCGCCGCTCAGAATGTCGCGCAGTCCGGCTCGGTATGACTCTAGCACGAAAGCGCAACTGGGATTTGCTTTATAGACAAACGAGCCAATCGAGATATTTTGATATATAGTGAGGTGCGACGAAATTCAGAGGCAGATCTAGAGATTGCGATCCAAAGCGTAATGTACTGTCGTCTTGCCAAACTGCAGACCGGGTCGTTCAGCACCGTGTACCGGGCGTACGACTCGGAGAACAAGCGGGACGTTGCGTTAAAGGTGGTGGAAAAACCAAGGGACCTGCGAACGCGGACCAAGCTCAGCCAACTGATTGCCAACGAGTATAGGGTGCTCTGTAAGCTGGGGTCGCGGCATCCGAATGTGTGTGCGCTGGTGGACTTTTACCAGGCGCACGAGAGCTTCGTATTCGTGATGGAGTTTGCGTCACAGGGAGACCTCTACGACGTGATCAAGAACTGGAGGACGGCCAGCCGGGCGACTAGCGGCCGCGTGCCAGCACCATCGCTCATGCCGGTGGATTTCGCGCGGCTCGTGCGGCAGCTGTGCTCTGCCATCAACTACGCACACCAGCTGGGCGTGGCACACCGCGACATTAAGCCGGAAAACGTGCTGCTGGACCACGCGGGCAACGTCAAACTCGCGGATTGGGGGCTCAGCTGTGAGTCCATGTACTCGGACGACCTGCGTATCGGCACAGAGAAGTATCTGGCGCCCGAGACGTTCGAAGAATGCTACAACACGTTTTACGCAGACTACTGGTCGCTGGGCGTCACGTTTTTGTACGTGATGTTTGGTGCGTGTCCCTTCCGGAATGCGTCTCTCCAAGACCACACTACCAACTCCAACTTTGCGCGTTTCGTCGCGGACCGGCACAGTTTCATCTCCGAATACTACTTTCAAACCTCACTCGGCGACACGCAGCAGAAATGGCGTGGTGGTTTCCACAAGAGCAACATCGCTCGTTTCGAGCCTGCGTACTGGCTCAGTTTCCCGGGCACTCCCAAAAACCTCGACAGAAATCAATTGCTGTTGCTATGTGCAACATGTGTGGTTACCTGTCTTCTACCCATGAATCCTTTATCCCGAAGCATGCTCGAATTTTCAGCTAAAATTGAGTCCTTCTTCTCCGACGAGTCGTCGAATTTGGAGACAGATGATCTGAATAGCGATTTTTTTTATTCTGGTTTGGTGATGAACCCTGACGTCGTTGCATGCATTTATGGCGACAAAAGTTCCGCCTTGCCAAGTACCAATTCATCGTTTGCAAGCTCTATGGACTACCTAGCTGACGAGCTAGAGTGTTAGTGATCTCCATTGGATCGCACATTTCTCATAAAAGTCATGCCGCATAATGCTATTTCATAGCGTACAGGGTCAGTACACTCATACACGCCATTTGCAACATTCTCGTCGTCTGGTTGCATTTCCACATACAATACCAGCTGGTAATTGTCAACAGTCAGCCAAAGAGCTTCATGCACAAATGCCTTTTTGATTTTAACGCATAGGACCAGAGCGTGCTCACACTATCCTTTTCCATTTCACCCAGAACAGAGCATCATATCTCATCACTTCATATTACATCACATCACAGCACATCTCGTCCCTCCCCTCATTTCTCTTATCATCTTACTAGATTACATCACATGTCATTACCCATATCGTATCACCACATCACATTACATAACATCACATCACATCATTAATATTTATAACTTATTTACACGTATTTTCTTGCCAGTCCTGGGGGATTAGCATGCCAGGGCTCCAGTCTCAGCCTTCTTCTCATCGTCGGACATTTCGACGGCGTCAATCGTATGCACTACTATCTTAGAGTTATCATCATTCATCTCAAATATGAATATACCTGTAATCACCCTCGATATTTGCCATTGTGAGTCTGTGACTGGACGCGCATGTTGCGACATCATAGAATCTGATATTTTCTCTCCTGGATGAAATATGTAATTCATGATCTCACTCTTTCCCGTATTACTTTCGCTGCTCGAAAATTGGCTGTCAGTAGCCTTGTACAACCCAAATTTGGCTCTCGATGTTACATTGTCAGGACCTAAGTGTGTGCAACCCTCAGAACAACTTTGCCAATGAACTACCAATTTATCAGTCGTTGTAATAGTGTTGTATCTCGGGCATTTATCTTGTCCAGTGAAGGACTCGACCTTTGTCACGTGGAGTCGGCATCGCTCGTTGAGTACAAAGTTTCGAATTATAAGCCTGATGGCATTCATTGAATGTTTATACTTGTTTATACCTTGAATCGTTGGCATGTACGGATGCGTTGTTGGTAGTAGTCTGAGCTTTATTTGGTTGTCTAGTTTCGTATCATCGATTGGCTCCTTCAATAAATTGGGAATTGCTCGTAAAGTTAGATATTCTGTTATTGATCCCAAATTTGCATGCGCTTGTGAGCTATACGTTCGGGCCAAGCTTCTGAAAGGAATAGTTCTAATACGCAAAGCAATATTTACCATCCTTACTTCAATGTGTAGGTGCAGAAACTGTGTTCTGATGGCTTCTTTCTCATTCTTCATATTCTGCTTCAACCGATAGGGTCGCTTCGTACGCGCATAACTCAACATCGTTTCATAGCTAACCTGCAATAAACACACGCAAAACAAAGAGATCTGAGGACGCCCATGGATAACTGGTAAATAACGGCTGTTTTATAAATTGAATGATATTTAGAAAACTTAAAAAAGAGACTCGAAAAAGATAGAATAAACTTGATGATTAAACAACAAAATGCAAACTTTCTCAAATGTACTATGATCCTGCTACCTATGCATTTTCATCTTTCCAACCTAAGAACTCCAGTTCCTTTAGCACTTTGTCCTCAGACTGAATCTTCAAAATTTGTGTGTCCTCCAATTTGTCACCTGATTCAAGCCTTTGCTTGAGAGCTTCGATAGCCCTTAGCTTTTTTAGGAGAGAACGTATTTTCTTCTCCTCAGGAGAGGCTTCCTTGTTGGGTTTTGGACCGTCGTTGTCAATTGGTGTAGGAGTAGGAGATGATTGGTTTTCTGTGGCAGCGTCTTTTTTCTTATTTTCTCTCTTTTTCTTGTTTTTAGATGCTGTTTTGGATTCCTTGCTTGCCATGCCTGGGATAGTGTTGCTAGCTGGCGCCATACCTGGGACAACTCTTTGTACAGGTTTCGATGCCATTCCAGGAACTGTGGATGAGACACCAGCTCTTCTAGCATGAGGGGGTCTGTATGCACCAACGGGCTTACTGGCAGAACCGTTGCTCGAACTGCTCTTCTTTTGATGCTTCAAATTGTATTCAACAGCGGTTTGGTGAACTTCAAGTTGCTGTTTGCTCAATTTTGGATCAATGGTTTCCTCATCTTTGTTGTGCATATCCTTGATCACATGGCTTCTGCCTGTCTTGTATGGGAATGGATGCCTCCAGTCGACCTTCAACAACTCCTTATACTCTTTAACGTAACATAAAGTACCAGTAACGTGCCAAATCTTTAAGCCATTATCAACTCTGAGGCGTGGAGAAGTAGTCGCTGTTAAGATGAATTCACCACCGGGAGACCATTTGCATACGGAAGTATTGGCGGCGTCAAATTTGGAAATGCACTTGAATTTGTCATGACGATCTAAGATCTCCACAGAACCTTGTAAATTACCGAACCCTGCAATCAAAATATATCTACCCGAAGGAGAGAACAACATCGTATTTTTTGGTTGCTCAGCAAGTGTATGTACGATGTTACCCCTAACATCAAAGAAAGTGATCGTGGCAGGCATATATCCGAAGATCACACCAAATTGCCTAGATGTTGGCGACCAGGTGAAATCATGAATTGGACCTTCTTGAGACAAAGGTACACGTACTGATTTACCACCTAACGCACCATTGACTCCCTGGAATGACAGTAAGTAAAGTGTATTTTCACCATAGTACGACTTGTTCGAGGAGTCGAAATCTGTGATCGCTAGACATAAAACAGCATTACCCAAAGGATTCCACTTAAGTTGGCATGAATCAGCTTTGAAAAAGGTCTTGGATGCGATTTTTTTGGTAATCGTACCCTCCTCAGTGATGGAGTAAATGGCTAGGATAGCAGGTTTACCACCTTTCTCGGGGGAGAAAGTACAGATGGTGGGATGCTCTGCAGGCGATATCAGATAGTTGGAGATGGGCTGCTCTGGTACTAGTCTGGTGTATGGCTTATTGAAGTTAAATTCAGTATCCTCATTGTCAAGCTTCACAAGTCTCACTTCTTTTCCGAACTGTTTCGCAGCGTAGTCATCAAGCTTGCTGAATTGTAAAGCCCATCCATTTTGAACCTTAGCTTGGTACGCAAACTTTGGTTCCGAGGAAGGCGCTTCGACATTCAAGTACCAGATCTTCACGTTCTTGTGTTCCGGTTCTGATAGCGACGGCCTTTCCCAAGTACTCAAAAAATTCCCAGAAGGAGAAAAATGCAAATCATAAACGTCTTTCAGAGGGAAGGAAATCAGTAAATTGGTAAATTCCTCATTAGTGTACACGCTCACTGCATCGGTGGTGGCTAAAGCCATAAATCTGCCACAGGGAGATAAAAGTGATACGCGCACCTGTTCGGCATTGTCCCTCGTCAATTGATCAAACGACGGATAGCCTTGAAAAAGCTCTATTTCACTCGATGTCTTAGCAAGGAACTGGGTAGACATTGTCGCTAATTGCTGAACGAAAGAGTGTAGTTCAACTTAAACCTATTAAATTGCCACATTCGACGAAAACTTTTCACAGATCATGAATCTCCACGTACGAACTGGCATTAAATTTCTGAGGCAGGGTAACTCTCTGATCATAGGATTTACTTCAGAATTCGTTGGGAAGTCGTTCTACAAAATTTGAGATGCTTGGTCTGCATTGAGTTAGATCAACACTTGTATTCTCTTTTCGTCTTTGGATGGGTATGATTCTTAGCCAAAGAACGTTGTTTTTCGGTGTTCTCACCCAAAGAATCAGCTTCCCAACAAGATCTAATTTGTAAGCCATATCTACCTCTTATAACTTGTAAAGGCTACGGTATCTGCTCTAAGCTCCGACCAACTTTGAATTGGAAAAGGACTCATAAGATTGTAAAAACTGTGTCGCATAAGAAGTACATGTTTTTAAGATGATGAATGCATTCAGTTTTCGGAACGGAGCTGAAGCTTCTTACTGAATTTTCGTTTTGTGGAATTCATCATTGTAGCATCAAAATAAAAAAAAACTCGATTTGAGGATGCTAAAAAATTCGGTCGCGCTCGGATTCGAACCGAGGTTAGCGGAATGTTCAAATTTCGGCCCAGACGAGGCAGGGGATTTCAGAATCCGCAGTGATAACCTCTACACTACGCAACCTACTTTTTAAGGTTGTTTCAGAAATTTTAAAGATTGATACAAAACGAATATGTTCTTCCAACTGCGGACAGTACATTGTGGATCTTGGATATAATGATGTAGCCTTTCTTGACAAAAATAGTCCAGTAAAAGCCCATCGCACTGATTTGGTTGACAGAGAGTAATGACCGATAATGATACTTTGAAGCGATCTCCAACGACACCATCGACTCCCAGTCTCAGGGCTGGGGCGAATAGCAAGAAATTCAAGAGGCATAATGAGGAATCCCCCACAAAAATAAGACAACGAAGAGAGCCGCTTGCTGAGGATATTACTAGAAAGTATTTAATTATGAAAATGGAACAGCAGCGTATGCAAGAAACCATCGATTTTTTGGAATTAGAGAGAACATTCAATAAATGATAGTTTCAACGGCATGAAATGATGATCTAGCGACTTTTAAAGGTATAAATAAGAGATTGTTAAGATTTAATTAAGATTCAAGCAATTCAACAAGCTCCATGCTACTGATTCTCATTGTGGATTCAAACGGTAGCATGCGCAGCAGGGCAGAGATGAGAATTGACTGGCGCTTTTGTGCTACCTCTTGAAGCCTGGGAAATAGTTTCAAGCATGTTTTTCTTTGCTCCTCCTCTGATTGATCTAACACATAATTGCCATCACCCTTACTACCGAACATGCCTTCAAACGCCGGTGAACCATAGTCTCGTACCTCTGGCCACTCCTCTATCGGAGGAATACCCAATTCATGAAATATGGACGAAATTAACCGTATATCACTCCCCTGATGAAAAGTCTCACTTCCGTCATCTACAAATGCAGGAATGTAGTTTTCGGTTTTGCTGGATGCTTGGAATAACTGCGAAACAAGGATAAGCAAAGCCCAGATATCTATAGCATACATGTAGTTTTTAACACTGAAAAGCAGCTCAGGAGCCTTGTATATCGATGTGGAGACGTCTGTTATCTTATTCTCGGGTGGTTCTTGTGGATTGTTTACATCATAAGCTATTCCAAAATCAGTTAGGACCAAGTTGGGAACTCCTGTGCCTGAGCAGTCCACCAGAACGTTCTGTAATTTTACATCTCTGTGTATGATCTGACGAGCATGAACAAAGCATAAGGCCTGAGATAACTGGTGGAAGAAATCAATTGCATAATTGATGTCCAGTTTATTCACGAAACTTAACGTCTCTTCTTTCGACTTCAAGAGATATGGATTCCAACGCGGCTTTTTGAAGTATTTTAAAAGATATTGATGAAGATTTTCCTTAATGTAAGGAAATTTCAAACTTACTATTCTTTGATTTATGCTGGAATCTTCTAATTCAATTACGTGTTTAATCCTGTTCTCTTGTAATTTCTTTAATATCGCTAATTCACATACAGGATCATGAGGCTTTACCACCGAGTCTATAGGTGTTGTCTTGATAGCATTGAGTCCCTTTCTTCGAATAGTCGAAAACTTGGTAGATGTGATAAACTCCTCTGATTGTTCACTCATTCGAACTGCTCAAATGATAGAGTTTATCTGACACTCATCGCGATTGATATTAGCGGTTTGTGGATTTCATTTGCCTTCGTACAACAGAATCTGAAAATGAAGTCATGTAGGTGTTAAGCGGACTTATCCACTTAAAATCCAGCGATCTCCTAAACGAATCTAATTCCGTTACAGCAACCAACTTGAAATAAAATGCTTCAATAAAATGTACATAAAATAATACATAAGAAAGTTCATGTGAAAAATGTATCTATCGTGGGCGTCATGAATGCCATGAATTTAAGTACAGAACCATGCTGTTTAAAAGATCTGGCACAGATTCAAACTGAATAGGTGTTTATCTGCGTTTGCATTCATTTGTTCTTCTTCAAAAGCTTCTCTTCAGTACCGTAAACTCTGTCATCTTCATCACCTTCGACCTGCTTCTTGATGACCTCCATCTTCTTAACTTGTTCTTCCCAGGTTCTTGTGCTTTTCTTTAGGGATTTGTTGAACAATTCCTTGTCTGGCTCTCTGTAAGTACCACCTAGTCTGTCCCATAGGGTGGTGAATTGACCGTAGTTGTAGTTGAAGTATAGATGGTGTACAGTGTGGCAAGCAGCACCGTTAATGACTGGGTCGTTGGCCAAGTATTCACCGTCGTGAATCATAACAGTCCAGCAGTTAACGAATGTGAACAAAATTAAGTAAGAGACCTTGTTCAATGGGAACAACATTGGGTACACATGGTATGGAAGAGATTGGAAATAACCGTCAACTGGGTTGAAAGCATGAGAAGCATAAGGAGTTGTGACTAGCCATTTGTGGTGTGGCTTGTGCAAAGCCTTGTACACATTTGGCCAGTGCAACCATCTGTGCAATAGGTAGATACCACAATCGGTGAACATCAAAAAGTAGAAGTACTCCAAGAAAAATTGGCGAATACCGTGGTTCTCGTAGTCAATGTTCATATAAAGCTTAGAGTATCCTCTCAACTCGAGCAAAAACCATGGAATGGTCAACAACACCATGAATGGGATAGCGTTAAAGGCCTGCTTGATTTCCAAAGACATTTGGTTCTTCAAATAACGAGGATGGTTGAACATAGCTTTGTCGAATACGAAGACATATGAAAAGGTAGCCATGACAAAATATAGCACCCAGCCAAAGAACGTCGTGATCACGAACAGTGATAACAGCTGTCTGAGCATGTTGTAACGAGGCAACAGGGACTCGAAAGTGTATTCAGACATGTGGAACAGGTAAGGAGCGTAACCGTACACATCTTTTCCGCTTCCGACAGATTTTCCTGCTATCTCTTGCAACAAAGAAGTTGCATTGCTAACACCGGAATTGATGTCGAGCATGTTCTGCCATTGTGGTGGGAAGTTTGACGCCAGGGAGGCTGGAAGAGCCTTGGCATACGCATAATCGAGACCGTAAGAGTCAAAGAACTCTAGAACTAAATCCATGGCAAATTTGGTTAAGTTGCTTGGTTAATACGAAATGTCAAAATCGATAATCTTCTCGGTGATGCTCAGGATTTTTATATATTCCTGGGGCTCGTTTGAAATTTTTTCGGGTTTTGATATACGAAATACTAACATACGACAAGATCTATACGACAACAAATGGGCCCACCATTAAGCGTTTGATGCTCCGGAGGACTCTATCGGTTGTTGAAATCTATCCGCTAAGTTGCCGCAGCTTCTTATTTGCCCTCATCCTGTGATAGCCACGCTAAGGCCAATGGATGTAGCGACTTTACATATCCAACGTTCGTGGTAGTGCCATTTTGAATTACACCCTCAATATCCTTGTCAAAAACAACGTTCTTTTCGTAATCTAAGCTTTGAACTATTTTTCCATGACATATGTGGATCACTTTATCGGGCCAATTCGCAAGACCATCGAAAATGTGCGTTGCATAAACGACACTGCAACGACGAGTCCTCGTTTCACGCTCCAAGAACGACAGTAGCCTGCTTCGGGCAACAACATCAAGGTCGACGGTCACCTCATCTAGTAGCAGCACTCGCCATGGCTTTAGTAAGCCCATGGTCAATTGGACTCTTCTCTTTTGTCCATCACTTAAACGATGCATTCTCCAATCAAGATTAACATCAAAGATATCAATTAGTGCCTCTCCTCTTTCTCTGAAGTGTTCGAAACCTATACTGTTGAGAAGTTCCAGTACACCAATGTCTCTGTTAATGATACTCATGTGACACCATTCAGTTCCGAGGTACGTGGTTGTTTGACATTCGTCCGCTTCGTTTTGGTGCATTGACAAAGGGCTGAAGGGATCGAGTCCATTCACTAAAATCTTACCATTCAGGCACAGATGCTTGCCACTGAGAAGCTTCAATAACGTCGACTTTCCAGCCCCGTTAGAGCCCACAAGCAAGGTCCGCGTGTTCCAGGGTATTTTCAAAGTAATATTCTCTAAGACAGGCTCATTTAGCTGCGCAAACTTATAAGTGAGATCTTCCACCTCAACTGCGAGGGACATTTTTCTCGTGTACTTGGTAGTGTACTTTTCGAAGGGACATTTTTTTTTCAGGTCAAATGCTCAATTATTCCTAAGCTACAAACGAGAGTAAAAGGCATGATGTTTAATTTGAAGAAAAAGGATAGCAGCCTTGAAAGCTAATCATTTGTACCAGAATGCTGGAAAACTTATGTTTTTTTTCCAAAGAGGCTAATCTCTTGCAAATACTATAACATCATAAGTCGCCCAGCATTGGCAAGACTTTATGTTTCCTACTGCTAAATGTCCTTGATGGACTGAATTCTTGAGTAGTATTATGAAATAGTAGTGAAGTGCCTAATCGACCTTAACGTGTAATCTAAGAAAGTGATGAGGGACATACCGTACATTATGACCCATGCCAACTTTAAAGAACGTTCGCCAATATTAACAGTACATATCGACGAGTTCCGAAGTAGGGCGAACTTTATCAATTACAATGGATGATGTGGACGATATTTTAAATAGCAACCAAGTTGCCGAAGAAGAAGAAGAAGAAGAGGAAGAGCTCGATGAGGATATCGTTGACGCAGCAGGGAGTGAAAACCGTCAAGAACAAGACCAAGAACAAGACCAAGACGGTGATCATGGCCAAGATGAGGATGAAGACATGGATGCGAATGGAGAAGACAATGAAGATGATGAAAACGACAATGAAGACGATGAAGACGAAGATGATCAAGATGAAGATGAAGAGGATGACATAAAAGACGACGGTGGAGACAGTAATGATGAAGATATGGACACTGATAACGTAAAAGGTACAGAAGGTGAATTAGACGCTCAATTGAATGAGCAGAAGAAGCCTTCATCGGCTTTTGACAAAGTTCACGAATACTACACCCAATTATATCACTCAGCAAAACTAGCAGAGTCGTATACTATCTATCCTACAGCCGCTATACCTATACAGACACATGTTCATGCCTTAGCAATGTCTAAGGGGCTGAAGTACCTATTTTTGGGTGGCGAAGATGGATACATCAGGAAATACGATTTCTTGAATACCATAGAGGGTAAGTTATCGCTGACCATTCTACAAAAGCATTCATTGGTCGAATCTATCTCCAACGCAGGTATACTACTTTCCTACTGGGAAAACGAGGTACCACAGAGGCGAAAAGATGTTAAAGTCATGAAAAATGGCAAGGAATATGATCCTATCGTATCACCTGTTCACGCCTTGGAGGTACAGAGCGAGTGTCTCTTTGTGCTTAGCGGTTTACAAAACGGAGGTATCACCATGCAGGGTTGTCGCTTCCTAGAGGGCCAGATAGCTCATTGCTTTTCAAAACATAAAGGGAGCGTTAATCAATTAAAGCTGAACAATGATGAAACAAGATTCATTAGTAGTGGATGGGACAGACAGATTTTAGAATGGGATCTGAATTCCGGAAAGTGCGCTAACGAGTTTTTAGGAGCTAGTGCACAGGTGTCGTCTCTTGAATTCAGGCCCCTCTCGTCTTCAGTAGATTTAAACGAGATTGCAGGGAAAGAAGATGAGGATCAGGTTTCAAAAGAAGAAGACGACGAAGACGTGGATTCTTTATTCGGAGATGAAGCCGAAGTGGAGCTCAGAAAGACTACTGACGAAACTAGCAACGCTCAACAAGGAAATCAAAACCCCGCAGGATCACCTTCAAAGAGTAATAATCTCATTAACGAGATCTCAAAAGAAACACTCAGAATTGTCTACGATGAATCGACGTTTTTGACATCCTGCACCAATGGTTCCATTCAGATATGGGATCGACGTGATAGCACGAAACCCTCTTTAAAACTACACAGAGGGGCGCAAGTACCGCCCTGGTGCATGTCAGCATGCTGGTCAATGGATGGGGATCGGATTTATGTTGGACGAAGAAACGCTGTAGTCGAGGAGTTTGATCTGAAGATGGGGTCAAATCCCTCTAAAACTCTAAAATTTCCCAGCATATCGGGGCCAGTGTCTTGTGTACGCACTATGCCAAACAACAAACATGTTTTATGTGCTTCCAACGACAACATTAGACTTTATGATGTGACGCAATACGGAAAATCATCTAAAATTCCATTTTTAATAGTCCCTGGCCATCATGGAGGGACAATATCAAACCTATACGTAGATCCAACGTGCAGGTTCCTAATCAGTACAAGCGGCAATAGGGGATGGCAGGGAAATTCAACCGACACGACGTTAATTTATGACATCGATGTCGAATAAAATACTTGTAAAGTGTGTACAGATATAATAGATACAAAGTCTCAGCGGCAATTTCACATCAACATATTTGAGGCTTCTATAAAAAATTGGAACGGCTGGGAGCTTTCAATAAATTCTTCAGCGGATCAATCCAAAATCTGTCGGGCTGATTCAAACCAAGCAATTTCAATGGCTTAACATGGCCGGCATAAGAAGCTAAGGAAAACGTGTGATCACCCTGTATAGTCTGGATATAGACTTTCAAAAGTATTGCAGCAAGACCTAAAGCAATTGAAAACTTAACCAAGCCGAATCCTCCACCATGAATGAGCTTTTGCCATTTGGTGATGATGCCTCGCTTATGATCGCCTTTGCGGTTGAAAGCCTCGGACATACTTCTTTCCTGATTGAGCTTCATCTCTTTTGACAACCAAGACAGCACTTGACTGAGCAATAATGGCTCCTCTATTTGTTTGACGTTCTTAACCAACACACTGTATTTGTTAACAGTCTTAGTCGGTTTCCAAGAAGAGTTCTCCATCGAAACTCTTGTGTAGTCAAGTACCTCGCTCCAGAAATCGATGCCAAAGTCAAGACACATGACCTGCTGGATGACACCATGTACTAGATCTGTATCATTATCAAAGTTTTCGATGTTCTCTTCGTATTTCTTCAAAAGTACCTGTTTTTTGGCTAATAGAAGCTCACTGTAAATGATCAAAGGTACCATCATTGATTGGAAGGAAATTACCAGATCAAAAATTTGGAAAACAATTCCACGATCGTCATTGCAGCACGATTTCAAATCATGAGAGAATATAGTCAAAATCGAAGATAAAGCGAAAAAAGGATCTATCTTTGCAAGTTGAAACTTGTTGTAAAATTCTTCATCTTTTTTCTTCACTATCCATGGAATCACTTTTAATTGGTCAATGGTGAACGCCAGTGAAGACATGAGAAAATCACGCAAGTAGACGAGCGTGAATACTTCTACCGCCTCAAAGAGGGCATCGGAGTCCACGAGAAGCAGGGAATCATCTAAAAGCTTAGTCGAAGACGAACTATTGCTCAAGTTTTCTTGATCATCGGAGCCATCAATGGACACCTCCCTGCTTGTACATTCACTTGAGCCTTGGTCGTCATCCAATCTACCCTCTTGAGTAAACACCAGTACAAACACAGACACTACATCATGGTATCCCTGATAATAACTCAGTTGTGGATACTTTCTTAACATTCGTACTATTGTGCTCTCAAGCGTTTGCCTCAGGAATTCCTTGGTTTGTTGGTCTTCGACACTTCCAAAAGTTCTCTTCACGTCGAGAGACACTTGGTGCTCATCCTTATGTGGTAAACTCTCCGAATTGTCGGACAGAGAGGTATCCACAGTCATTGTTGAATTCAAAAGCTTACTCCATGCTCGTCTTCGCAAGGAGTGATTGACAAATCCGCTTCTACTAGCACCTAGCTTCTGTAAGGTAGATAAATCATCTTCCCGTAAGGCAAACGAAACAGCCTGTGCCTTTAAATCCAACCGCTCTTCTTCCTTAAAATAAACGGATGACTTTTCATCAAAAAGTGAATCGCTCAAAAACTCGTGGCTGCTCAAAAATGAATTATAGCCTGATATCAAACCTTCACTCATAGTAAATGAACAAGCTCAATTGCAAAGTATTGATAATCTGGTCATTACCTCACGGCCCAAACAAGAATCAATGAAAATCCTTACTTTCTTAGCGATTAGTGATTAGGAGGAAGCTGGGGGCTATGAAAATGATTTAAGGGTAATTTCAAAGCGGCTACAAAACAATATATCATCATGAACGAGAATGCTATGATGGTAGGCAATGACAATATGATTCAAGGCATTGACTGAAAGAATGTGATACTTTGATTTGCGTGAACAAAGATTTTAGCACCCTGGAAGAAACTCAGCTTCTCAGAGTTCTCACTTTGTGAATTTTTATTGGAAATCTATAAGAAAAATTAGCTTTATCAACGCTGAATCAAATAATCAAAACTTCTCTCTTGCAAGGCTCATAGTCGCGGTGTCAAGGCGCGAGAGAAATTATGAACATTGATCCAGTGATCTTACAGTGCTCTTGATGTGTTTGATGATTTGAAAAACTTTGTTCGAGATCCGCAAATACAGAGTTGGAGTTGATCCCTCCAACGCCCAGAATGGGCTCACTCGCCGCAGAATCCGGGTATCATTTCAACGTCGCAATGAACACAAACGACTAGCTTTGGGATATCATCAAGTAACAGAATTTATGTGTTTTCGGAGGTTGATCGTTCCTTTATTTATGATGGCATGATCTAGAATACTATTTGGTACAGCCGGCCAGCGGTTGTCAGCCATGGAGAGCGTCATTGTGGGAGTCAAATGAGCCCCGGCCTGCCGGTTTGCGGGCCAGAGGAGTGACCAGATTCGTGATCATGTCCACTCGACAGGATAAGTCGTCCATTTGCCGCTGTAAGGACATCATTGTGCAGAGGAGCTGCTGGATGTCAGTACGAACATCAGCCCGCTCTATCAGAGGCACGCTGCTCTTTGCGACGTAGTGTCTCGGGAGACACTGTGCATTAGCTGTGACGGTTTGCTGCTCTGTGAAGCTACCACTTGTCTCACTGGCCGACAACGGGGAGGATTCCGCAAGCACGATCTCACTGGTGTCAGTGAGATGGAAAGTGCGGAAACACTGCTGCAAGAGCCACTCGAGCTTGCTGTCGGGCGCTTGCTCAACGTTGAACTGATTTCGAGTAATAGATTTCTGGAACAAGAGCTTAAATCGGTCACGACATTGACGTTTGTTCTTGGCCATCCCAAACTGCGTCGTGAGCTCGGAGCTGACCAAGTGCCAGAAGCTGCGACGTTTTTTGGAGCGCGGCCCGTGCAGTAGGAGCTGGCTGTTGCTGAGCACGACCGTTAGGAGGAACTCATCCTCCCGCATGCTCCAGAAACTGCGGGGTCGCGAGCGGTCTTCATCGGGGTGGGCGAGCTGCTGGCCTGGGCTTGTCGTGATAAGCATTTTGAAGAAGTCCGTCATATTAGTGTCGTTGTCAGAATCTACCATCTCGGAGCGGTGGTGGACCAGGAAGAGGGCGAGATGAGCGAGCTTTGCATGGCGGATTCCTTTTTTATGAACACAGGATTAAAACATGATGCTCTGGACTTCGAAGTCACGTACTTGCATCCGTAAACCCCAAAACCGATCACTCAACTAGCACACACCACTTCAGGTTCGCAAAAGAACGTTGATTATGTCGGGCGCTCATGATCGCCGCCGATTACCTCAGAGAGTGGAATTGATCGGACAGCAGAGGCACCTGGGCAACGACTACGAGGTCCCAGGTACATGCTGCATGAGGCACGGTCCATAAACGTGTGCTACTTTGGCACGAGCTGGTTACGCTGATATCGGAATCTAACGCTTTGTTCGAGAGGTTGACCCTCAAATCTGTCCGATTGCTACTACACTTGGGGACTGGGCTTCTATGCATAGAAAACCTTCTGCTTTTGCGAGTTGAAAAATTTCTTACCGTTCATAGATGCAGCAAATCGCACATATGCGGAAAGGTACAGGAGCCGATGCAGTCTCCGTGCCTGTTACTGTTACATTGCCGCGGGACCGCGGGCGTGGAAGCGGCTTTTTAACGTGCCTTCCACAGAGCCACGCGCGGAGGCTATTTTCGTACCACGCAGTGGCACTTCCAGATGCAGTACATCCAATCGCTGCGATGCTTCGCTATTGACTGGTGACTCAATTAGGAGGCGCAGACCGCAGGACAGCTCGCACGTTGGCTGTGAGAAGCACACTAGACGTTATTCTGACGGATATTTTCGTGACAATGCCTACTGACGTGTCGAATTGCGGTGCTACAAACGTGCTTGCCCACGGTCGAGTTGCCAATGGCATCGCAGAACACATACAGGATATTGCGGGTGCCAGGGCAAGAAAGACTGTGCGCACGTCAGATTCGCGTTTCCATATTGCCCGACTACGAATCATGATCCCACCGCATGATTACCCCTGGCAGACTAGACCGGACGCCTCTAGTGCCTAAGAAACTTCTACACTCGTATCATCCTCGCCGCTCGCCCGCCTGGCCGCATACAACGAGGTTCTATGTGTGGCAGAAAGGCGGGCGCATTCTTTTTAGAGATGTCTTTCCGCGACTGCGTCGCAGTGCGTCGTGGAAGGAAGGCAAAGGAACAAAGGCACGCACACGGGTGCATGTGCAGTAAGCGATTGTTTGTCGTAGCAGCAGCACGTCGCGAGGTGCGAGAGATGCGGAATTTTGTTTGAGTCAGGACGCCACGATACGAAGTTTCCCGAACAAATAGGGGAAGGTTTATTTGCTCATGTAGTGGCAGACGTAGACTTCGTCTTCTGTGCAGGCACGGTGCCTGGGGAAGATACTACATCAAGAAGCCCAGATTAACATGGACGGTGCCAAGATAGCCAGGTGTGTGATTGGTGTGATTGCAAGGGCAAGTAACGAGAACGAGGCAGTTGGAAGTGAAACCGAGCGTTGCATGGGACTGCGCGTGTAGGAGCGCGCGTGCGTGCAGAATGGCGGGCGGAGGAATGTGCAGCTGGGACGCGCTTGCGCGGTCAGATACTCCGAGTATATGCAGCTGGAAGCTCCGCGATGTCAACACTCCCGGAGCTGGACGTGCGCGGGGCTTGTGGTATCGAATAGGGCGGAGCCCTACCGAATGGGGCGACGAGCGCGGAGCAAGAGCGGAAAGATGAAAATATACACAAATGAATGCATGATGCTTTTGGAAACCGCCACTGGGGCACAGTATATACGAATATAGAGGCAGGAATGAGGGGGGGGATGGCAGGGCCGAGAGGGGCCGCATGGTCTAGATGCGGATGCTACTACTGGTTCTCTGGCACTGCGTGATGGAAATTGTCGTTGAGGTAACCCGCACTCAGTGACTCGAGAGTGTGAAAAGATTGCTGCTGTGCGCTAATGGGCTGCGGCCCCGGCACCGACGCCATAGTGGGCGTGGGGTACATTACGCCGAGGCCGAGCCGCGGATGCTGGACGTGAGGTGCGTGTTGCAGCATCTGCTGCTGCTGCTGCTGCTGGGTCACGTGGGGCGTGACTGCAGCCACGCCAGGGTAAGGCATGACAGGCGAGTCCGGCGTCGCCTTCGCGGACGCCAAAAAGTCCAACCGCGACCGCTGCATGGCCAGAACGCCGCACAACTCGTCGACCTTGCGGTTCAGTGTGTACACTTGACGCTGTAGAAAATACGCCATATCCGCGAGCGAGTCTGTGGTCATGTCCGGGTAGTAGCTGTTCGAGCTCGACGGACTGTCGTCCGTTTCCGAACGCGGGCTGTGATGCGGCTGCGACAATCCCGCCGCCGCGGCAGCACTGGAAACAGGGGTGGGAACGGCAGCCGCAGCTGCAGCTGCGGCGCCAGATTGATCGCGGTCCACGTGGTCTCGTAGCATTATGCTATTGTTCTTGTCGATGTAGAAGAGTTTGAGACACTGGAGCAGGAGCCGGTCGAGCTCACGTGTGTCGTCGGTTTCGGGTTTCTTATTGCGCACGGCTTTCCAATACAGCAGGTTGAATCGGTCACGGCACTGGCGCTTGTTGCGCTCGAACCCGTGCAATTGTCGCAGCTCGTCACTGATATGGTGCCAGAACCGGCTGCGAGGCCTGCTCTTGCTCGGAATCAGCAGCAAATCGCGGTTATCGATCACTACGCTGAGCATAAATGAGTCCTCGTGCACGGACCAGAAATTACGCACAGACCTGGTTTTGTGTGGGCCAAACGCGGCAAACTCGTCGCCGAGAGCGTTGCCAGACGTAAGCGACGCAAGCTCGCCGAGCTCGCCGAGCTCGCTTTGCACGTCCACGCACCCAGGTATCCCTGTACTGTTAGAACGCGCGCCCGCGGCCGACGCGGCTCGAGGCCCGCCCTTTTCTGCCGACTCAGCACTGCACGCTCGAGGAGGCAGCCTCAGGATGTCTGAACCCATGTGGGACATAGTTGGTAAACTTATAGAAGTAGGGGTCGTGTGTAGGTTTGTCACAACGAAGGTGGTGGGGTACGCAAGATGTAACCTCGCAAACACTTGTTCTTATATGAGTGGGGAATTTTACTTCAAGCTTCTTCCACGTTAGACCCCATCATCTTGCTGCGCTATTTATATGCAAGCCAACTGGTCCGCAACTCTAGGGCAGCATCTTTTCAAAGCTACCCATCTGAGACTCCTGCAAACAGCTGGCGTGTGCTTTGCAGCGCCCATTCAGGCACGCATGCATGCCTGCAGCTCGTGCCTGTGTTATGCATGCACGAGCTGCATCTTCCGCCACCCCAAAAATATACGCAGACGTGATCCTTCGCGCCTCGAATAAGTGTTCTAGAAGCAGGCCCTCGCTGCGCGCGCGGCTGACTGGGCCGGTAAACCCCGAGCCCAACCGCTTTTCGCACTTCGGCCAGATGCGTTTCCGCAGCTGGCGTGTGGTAATCTTTCCCGGGAACGGCTGATTACCATTGATGGTTCTGTGGTTGTTTTGACGGCCATCGACCGTATTTAGGCATGACGTCTGTTGACGTTCTTGCGATGTGCAATCATACGTCGGAGTTGGTGCAGTCAGCACGGCGGGTACCATTCGCGACTGCGTAGGCCATGCAGAACAGAAATGTAAGATGCAGTGGGGCGTGCTGCAATGGACGCTACGTAAGTGTCGAACTCTGGCTCGACCAACGTGTGGCATGGCGGCCGGGCCAGGCCAGGCCGCAAGAGCTGACTGCATGGGAATCGGCGCGGTTACCCGGCGACGGGGCAGCGTGCGCGGCGGAGAGCGGGCTTCGAGCGGGGAAGAGCGGCGGAGAGCGGCGGAGAGGGGGCAGGCGGGAAAAAAGAAACGGGAGCAGGCACGTGAAAGGCACGTGAGCGCTGCGTGCCCTCGGCCGCGCGCCGCGCGCGCCCTCGGAAAGCCCGCAGGCCCCGCAAGCCCGCCAACATGCCGGGTCCGTTCTTGTCGTCGCCGCTGCCCGGCCAACAACCACAACAAGTGCGCAGTTGCTCCGTCTCGCATCCAGCTGACGCTCACAAACGGCACTCCCGACCCCGCTCGCTATGAAACTGGCCGCCGTGTTGTTCAGAAGGGCCCGATCGGTCGTCGTCCTCGTGGGCACTGTCTCGCTCCTCTTCTACTACACTTTCCAGAACGAAATCGACACTTTGAACTCTTACGCGCAGACAGAGTCGCTGCCGCAGATCAACCGGCCCGTGGCGCCGGCGCCTGCCGCGCAGCTGCTGCCTGAGGCAGCAGCTGCTGCCAAACGGCCACCCAGCGCGCTGGAGGCGAATTCTGATTCCGAGGGTGTGTCCGCGACGCCGCCCGTCGAAGACGGCGAGCGCAGCGTCGCACGGCCTCCCGTCGCTGAAAGCGAGCTGAGCGACCCACTCGTGCTGGTCGAGAAAAACAAGTACTTCCCGTTGTTGCTAGCAGACCCCGAGGGCATGGCCGTCGACGCCGAGTGCGGCTTGCGCGACGTTGCGGCCGCAACCGTGTTGCACGAGCGCTACCCCGTTCTGTTCGAGTCCTCGCTCAAGAACACGTACCAACAGGTCAATCTGAACTACCCGCGTATCCAAAGCACGCATTTCCCCGCCTCAGATGCACTTTCAGAGTCTGCTCGCCAGGATGCGCGCAAGTCCATCAGAGAGCTGTTCCTGCACTCTTGGACTTCCTACTCGCAGTATGCGTTTGGCGCCGATGAGCTCAGGCCTCTCTCCAAGCAGCCCACGTCGCGCGGCCTTTCCTGGGCAGCCACTATGATCGAGTCTCTCGATATGCTGTATCTACTGGGTGAAAAAGAGCAAATCCGCATCGTACTCGCCTATCTCGAAAGCATGGATTTTTCTCGTTCTAACGAAACCTTCGTGGATGTATCTCAGAGCGCAGAGCGCATTCTGGGCGCTCTATTGTCGTCCTACGAACTTTCAGACAAAACCGAGCAATTGCTGCTTCGAAAGGCCACCGAATTGGCCGATTTCCTGCTTCGTGCATTCGACACTCCTAACCGTGTGCCACTTCTCCACTATTCTTGGCTCACAAAGCTTGGCAATCGTTTCCCCTCTCAAAATACAAACATAGGGCAGCTCGGATCATTCTCCCTAGAGTTTACTCATCTCTCCCAACTCACCAAAAATAACAAGTACTTCGACGCCGTGCAAAGAATCTACAAGACTGCGGCGGCCTCTGTAGGTGAATTCGATATTGACTATCTATTTCCTAATAACGTGGACGCGAGCGGTTGTGTACTTTTACACAAGGATAAAGTCGAACAAGGTGACCATCTTCGTAGCTCCAAAGTCATGAAGAGCATACACAATGGTAAGTTCGTACAATGCCAACAAAGCGGTAAATTAAAACCGCTTCATGGAAACAAGGAACGATATGCATCTGACCGAAGAACGCTTCCTTTCTATTCAAACTTGGCCAAATTTGTGCATCTACTAAATGGACACGATTCGTCGGAAAATCTGGAGTTTACAAAATTACTTCTTAACGGACTAGATCGTATCAGGAAACTAATGATATTCACCCCTAGCCTGCCCAACCCTAGGATGCAAAATATCTCATTTGTAACCTCATTGAGCACACAATCCAGTTTCAATGCACTATCCAACGAACGGGTAATAGAAGTATCTCGCGATTTGAGTATGCATCATTCATCCTGTTCTGTCGGTGCAATGATGGCTTTTGCAGGAAGGCTTTTCAACCAAGATGACTTTTTGAATGTTGCTGTCGATGTCACCAATGGCTGCCTTCATATGTATGACTTAATGGGTGTGATGCCTGAAGGTGTGCTCGTTGACCAATGTGCAAAGCGCCCCTGTGAATTCGACCCTGAATTAAAAGATTCTCAATCAGCCTTGAATGCCGGAAAACCAAAAGAAATTGATTCTGTCGCAGGAATCAAATTGGAGCAAGAAGATGTTAGCATTACAGAAAAACCTTCAAAAATCTACGTAATGAATAGTGGCACTTCAGCTTCCGAAGGAACCGATGAGTTGGACGGCTTCACACAAACTTTAAAAATGCCGCCCTATCTGGACGCTGTAAATGCCAGTTATTATCTTTCATCGGAAGCCATCGAATCAGTATTTTATCTCTATCGTATAACTGGTGATGCCACCTGGAGGATGAAGGGTCTGAACATGCTGCAGTCAACTTTACAAAAAATTAAGAGGGAAGGCGCAAGGGGTGTCTGGGAGATATCATCCTTGCGGAATACTTTCACAGAAGAAACCGATGATAGCCTTCCATTGGACTGGTTTTCGAAAACTCTAAAATATTATTACTTGCTGTTTGCGGATCCTACTGATTATAGCCTTGATGACTATATATTTACAAACGGGGGTCACATTATAGAGAGAAGCGCTACTTTAAGCCAACTTTATAATAAGGATTATCGATTGGATACCCAGACATTAATTGAGGAGATGGAGTTTAGAAAGGAAACTTGAATATTTTAACACCGTTCGAAACACTTGGGGAAAATTGCCTATGAGCGCACTTTTGTAAGCATCGGTACCTGAGTTCATGAAAAGAAAATGAGGCCCGCTTCATTTCCGCTGTACCCGAAATAGTAACCTCTCTTCCCAATTTTAGGTGCACTCTCCCCTAACCTTAATGCCAATTGGATGGCACTGTACTGAGCCGGAGCTCAAAGATAGTTGCTTTTGGTGACTCCATCATGAAGGGTAGCCTCAACTGGGGCGACTCTTGTCGCGAATGTAGAATGTTTTGGTTTTCACCGTGCTTATTTTTGACGCATGTAACATGCATGCATGCATTGTGCTGCGCGTATTTTTTTCCATTCTCGATCTGAACTCGTATGTACTAATTCGGTGATGAGAATAACATTCCACGTTGATAATATGCTCTATTTAACTTTCTTCTTTGGAAAGTGCGGTTCCTGCAACACATTTCTGACCTTAGAGCATAGAATATTCGTGAGGCATATGTGGGGAATTTTCATAATGCACCTCTATGCATGGTGGTAAAATGAAGCAACTCCTTTCTGAAGCCTGAGTAACAATTTAAAAAAGTTGGTCTTGAGACTGGCAGGATGCAATTGTAAGAACTCCGCAACGCATTTCGTATAGTTTATTTTTTGTTTTAGTTTAACCTTTAATTTTCTCGGCGTATAATGTTGAATTATATGAGTACAAACTTATACAGGCGTTCCTTGATAAAATATCCCTAATTCATTATTTGTTGAAAATGCATGTAAGATAACGAAAATCTAAATGGTTATCCCAACTTACACTGGCAATGGAAATTCACCAGTCCAGTTGTAGATTTCGTTCTTTAGTTGATCGACCTCCTGGTTACCTTCGTTGATCTTGGCCTTGAAGTCCTTTAGTCTGTTAGCTTCCTTTGGCAAAGATTGTTGAACAGCGCTAGCAATTTGAACAGCCTTGTCAATGTATTCAACAATCTTAGCGAAATCTTGCTCACCCAAACCTCTTGTGGTCATTGCTGGAGCACCAATACGAACACCACCTGGAACTAGAGCGGATTTGTCACCTGGGATAGAGTTCTTGTTCAAAGCAATGTTCATCTTTTCACAGACGTATTCGACACGAGCACCGTCGACACCCTTTTCTCTCAAAGAAACCAAAACCATGTGAGAATCAGTACCGTCGGAGACCAATCTGTAGCCCAACTTGTTGAATTCTTGTTCCAAAACCTTAGCGTTCTTCAAAACTTGTTCTTGGTATTCTCTGAATTCAGGGGTGTTAGCTTGCTTCAAGGCAGTGGCCAAAGCAGAGATGGTGTGGTTGTGAGGACCACCTTGGTGACCTGGGAAAACAGAGAAGTTGATTGGATTTTCCAAGTCATACAAAACTTCCTTACCGGTCTTTGGGTTAACAGATCTGACACCTCTTCTGAAGAAGATCATGGCACCACGTGGACCTCTCAAAGACTTGTGAGTGGTGGTGGTGACAATGTCAGCATATTCAAATGGAGATGGAATGACACCAGCAGCAATTAGACCAGAAATGTGAGCCATATCAACCATCAAATAAGCGCCGACCTTGTCAGCGATTTCTCTCATTCTCTTGTAGTCAATCAAACGACAGTAAGCGGATGTACCAGCAACCAAGATCTTAGGTCTGTACAAGATAGCATTCTTTTCTAGAGTATCGTAATCGATAATACCAGTAGCTGGGTCAACTCTGTAAGGGAAAGATTCGAAGTAGGTGGAAACAGCAGAAATTTTTCTGGTGTCGGTTTGGTAACCGTGGGACAAGTGACCACCGTCTGGCAAGTATAGACCCATTAGTCTTTCGTGTGGCTTCATCAAAGCTTGGTAGACTTGCAAATTAGCAGGAGAACCAGAAAGAGTTTGAACGTTAACACCCCACTTGTCTGGAGTAACATTGAAAGCTTCTAAGGCTCTCTTTTGACACAATAGTTCCATACGGTCGATGTGTTCGTTACCACCGTAGTAACGGGCACCTGGGTAACCTTCAGAGTACTTGTTACACATTGGAGTTCCCAAGGCGTCGAAGACAGAGGTAGAAGTGAAGTTTTCAGAGGCGATCAACACAATAGAGTGCTTTTGTCTGTCAATCTCATCCTTGATGATTTGTTCAACCTCAGGGTCGGATTCACTTAGATGGGATGAAACCAACTTCTTGTGGGCATCAGAAAGGGCGTAAGGCATTGTGAATATTATGTATGTGATTTCCTTTGGTGAAGAAAGATACTCAAGTTGTAAAAGCTTGAAGAACACGATGCCCTCAGCCTTATTATATTTATATGAGACCTGATAAAATTTTCATCTCAATTATTTTTCACGAAGGAATTAATTATCAATTTAATGCGCGCTAACTTTGATCACACTTGGCGACCCTGATTACAGGTATATCCCGGCCTAGCGCTGTGCTAAACTATAAAGTGGAACGAGTCATCCGCATATCAACCCTAGATTGATGTGCGAGACTAACGTAGATTTTGAACGACTCGTGCACTTGTTGAATCACTTTAAATGATTTATGACACCGTGCTTAACCGAGTCAGAAAAAATTGTGGCGTCAAGCATGTGAACTTCACGTGCTTTAAACTTAGTATCTTTAGCTATAGACACCGCTCCATAATCTACTTTCTACGTAGTGGGCATAAGGCTTCCTTGCTTGAAGTTAGTTTTTCCAGCCCGGTAGTTCCTTAGCTATCCTTGAAAGTTCTCACTTACTGAATAACTCGAATTTTTGCCTGTGAGTTCGCAACTGGTTTCCAACAGCGAACAATAAATCATTACAAGCTTTCCTTGATAGCTTCGAAACATTTTTCCATATCTTGTCTAGAGTCATCACAGGCAGAAACACCCATGTGCCCTATTCTGATATATTTGTCCTTGATCTGTTTGTGAATGCCGCCTGCAATCACAATGCCATGTTGTTTCACACCAGAAATGACCTTTGGTGGATTCTCGGTGTAGGCAGCAGTGAGACCATGTGCAGAGACCTTGTCGTTGACACTAACCAATTTCAAACCCAACTCTTTGGTGAGCTTCGCCTTAATCCAGTCACTTGTTTGCTTGTGCTTAGCGACTCGTGCATCGATACCCTGGTCCAAGATTTCTCGAAGTGACACATCCAGTGCATTCACTAGCTGAACAGCAGGTGTCGCGAAATATGCGGGCTTGCCCTGCTCGTAATTTACCATGATTGGCAGCCATCTCTTGAGACTTGCGAAGAAAGATGACTCAAAAGGCCTCTCTTGGGCAACTTTCACCGCTCTATCGCTGAGCATAGAAACGCTGAGTCCCGGAGGTACCCCGAGAGCTTTCTGAGATGCCGTGAGAGCGTAATCAATACCCCACTTTTCGAATTCAAATACCTCACATCCGATAGAGCATACTCCATCCACGACAATCAAAGTTTCTGGCGACAATTCCTTGACTGCTTTACAGATCGGCTCCAACTCGGTGAGAACAGCAGTTGAAGTGTCCACATGTGTAATGGTGATCATGTTGTAGGACACTTTACTCAATGCATCTCGTATGGCGTCCAATGGTACAGCGTCACCCAGTGGGGCAGTGATCTTATCCACATCCGCACCGTACACCTTCAGGCATTCGGCGAATGAGTCGGAGAAAAATCCTGTTGAGAGCACCAGCACCTTGTCACCGGGTTGAACAAGATTCGACGCGGCAATGTCCCACCCCAGGGTACCTGATCCGGCAAGTACAACTGGCTGTCCGCTATCGCCAGCTTTGAACACCTTACGTACATTTTTTAAAGCTGAAGAAAACGTCGATGCAAATTCGGCACTGGTGTGTGACACTGAAGGAGTGCCAAGGGCGGCTTGTACATTTTTACTAATCACTATGGGGCCCGGAATCAAAAGGATATCGTCGGTCATTTTATTAATGCTTGAACTACAAAATTATAGAGAACCGCTTCGAGAAATCCCATCTGCTATTTATCTCATTAACCGTTGTTCCGGTTTATCGTCTTTTGCTATAATTTCGTGTCATTCATTCGCATATCGCCGGAAACTCGGAGATAGAATTGCCTGGACAGTCATTCATGACGGACTCGAGACCGAGAGGATAACCGGCCTCTCTTAGCCCGAGACAGTTGTTTCAACGACGTGACTACTTGTGTTTCTTGCGAGTCAATTTTTTTTGGATTCTTTCAAACTCCTCATCATCAAGTTCTGCATGTGTGCGCTTCTTGCCCGTGGCCTCTTTTTCCAATTTTGATATTAGCGAATCCCAAGTGTTCTTGTTCTTTTTGCGAATGAGCTGCTGCAAGTGAGCTTCGCTTTGAGGTCGCTTGGCAGCGTCCATCTTGGAGAGCATTTTTTCGGCCAAGGCCTCTTCCTTGGCGATACTTTTCTGAAGTGTGCGAAGAAACTTCTTTCGATTCTGTTTCCAACGGCTGAAACTCTGATTGGTATCTTCGATTAAACCGCTTGCCAGTAGTTCAGAAACTTTGACAAATATATGGTCCTCATCCTCTGTAGTAAGCTCGAGATGTGGCACTTCTTGGAAAAGCAGGCTGAATTGGTCCTCATCTGGCCGAAACCTTTTGCGAGCCTTGAATTCCGCATTGTTCATCCACGACTCGATTACGTCTTGAGTCTCGTCCTCACTTCCCCTGTAGAGCTTCTTGTCCTCTTCGATGGTGACGCGGTTGATCACGACATCCACGTCAAACAAATCCTTCCAGTCGCTTAAATCAGTACTATCAAAGCAAGCCTCTACCGATCCAGTCTTATCGTAAAGCTCTTTGAACTTAGTCAGAATTTCATATGAAAACTGTATCTTATGGAACTGCTCCTGGGCGCCCTCTTCTTTCGTCTTGTCAGGGTGATGGAGTAACATCAACTTGCGATATGCTTTCTTTATTTGCTGTTCAGACGCATCCTTGTCTAATTTCAACTCTAAGTATGGCTCGATATCAGGGAAAGGGATGTTTCTTTCAGTCATTTCTTGTCTGTCAGCTGTTACAAGTGTTCAACGTTTTCGCGTAAGGTACGGGATATTAATTTTCCGCGTAATCGAAACGCGAAGAAAAGCCCAAAAGATGATCATCTCAAAACAATCCACTACTTGGAAGATAGTATCACCTACTTCTGGAGGTATTTTAAAGTACCACAGATCACTCATTATATCTAAAAAAAAAACCGTTTCAGATACTTACCAATTAACCTACTTACTATACAAATGAATTTAATTTGGCCGCTGATTTTCGCGAGCCTTTCCACTGATCAAGATAACGAACTAATGACATGCAAAAAAGCAAGACACTTTGCACCTCACAAACGACCGTGAATCCTTATATATCGACCAGTCGCTGCCACGGCACGAAAGCCGAGGCGCGCCACATGTCATAAGAAACAGAACCGCCCGTAAGGTCAAAAGTAGAAGTGCAATAAAATTCCGCTCACTGTATGGAGATGAAATCGTCTAACTCAAGGGCTAAAGAACTTGACTGCGCTTCTGGCAGCAAGTAGAGCTAGAAAGAGAGAGTGTGGGTGAGTAGCAACACAAACAAAAGACCTTCCCATGCAAACGCCCGCACAGCACGCGCCAGATGAAGAACAGTCCACATTTCTCTCTTTCATGCCCTCTTAAATTACAGTAATCACGGCTGGATTACGCGTATGGTCAAGGGCCCAAGAATTATCAGTCATCTCCATGATGGGAGACTCGTCCTCGTTCGAATACACTTGATAGTCGTTGTCATTTGTCAGCAGAAGATTCCAGTTGTCTGCACCGGGAACCCCACTGTCGAAGCTTGTATCGAAGTCCACCTGTTTCAAAGCCGTCACCGGGATGAACTCAGGTCCCAACGACACGTCGGCACCAGCCTCAGTCTCCAGTTCCTGCTGGCTCAACGGAGAGCCAGGAACCAGCGAAGGAGGCGTGGACATCGCCGAATTAGGTACAGAGGACGTCGATGCGCCCACAGAAGAAATATCGGTCGCCGCTCCACACTTCTTGGAAGGGGGTGACGAGGGAGAGGCCGGTGACGCCTGGGGATCGAATTCCGAAACTAACGACTGGTACTCCCCGTACATGTTCCGCAGTCCTTCGTCACGATTCGCAATCTCCTCGATTCCGATCCGTGAGATGATCCGCTCCAGAATCGTCGCCTTTTTCTCCAGAAATTGCAAATGCAGTCTCTTCTTTTCCCGGCTTTGGTGCGCCGCTCTTCTGTTTCTCAAAATCCGCTCGATTCTCCTCTGTTCCTTTTCTTCTTTGGTTTTCGCCCTCTTCCGTGGAGGAAGAGTCGATTTGAAGTTGCCTGGGATGTCGTTTGTGTTGCTACTCATCTTTTGATTTGTTCTTACCTCTTCTGAAATGTGTGAATTTGACACGCAATTCTCTTCACTCTTTTTATATTTTTTCTCCCAACATGCCACCAAAATGTGAGGCGAAGTTCTGCAGGCATGAAAAATTTCCAAATGCGTATTCTGGTAAGTCGCGCAGAAAAGACCGCAGTTGCTGTGATTGAAACGTGTCCTGGGCAATTATGGGTACCCAGTCCAGCAGTAGAGAGGTCGAGGTTACGTGTCAGACTGCGACAGTGGTAAGGAACGGTACAACCGGGTGTTCTATTTTTCGTCGGTTCACGTGAAATGGGAGGTACACGATCTAAATTGTAGTTAACGGATGGTGATTCGTGGAAAAGTTGGTTCAGCGGAGTCTGGCTGGATAGTGGTGAGATGATGTAATTGATAAAATTGTTGTCGAGAATTGAGAATCGCAGAGATGGTTTGAGAAAGGCTTGAAATATGCTGGACTGCGCTCACGGCGAGGTGTTGAACGACGGGCGTAGATCGTAGTGATTGGTTTTCCAGCGTTGAAATTAATTGGTGCGTTGCAGGCTAAGTTTACTGCGCTCTAGACAAAAATCTTGGAGCTGTTTAGAGGAGGATATACGTCGAGAAGGCAAGAGTACAAGCATCGTGGCTTTCACTAATTTGAAGCAATTACATTTGGGCTGTAATCGATAGATAGTACGAAACCGTTGACGGTGATTCAACGTTGTGAACCTTTTGTAGAACTTAGTCTTCCAGGCGAAGCCTGACCATGGTGAAATTAGAATCAATCGTAGGACAGACATGATGATTGGTAGAAGGGCGTATGGCACGCGACTGGCGGGTCAAAAGTTCAAGCTGCTACCCGAATACAAGCTCAGGTGCGGACTCGAAATACACACTCAGCTGTGCACCGCGAACAAGCTCTTCTCGGCATCGACCAACAGTCCTTTTGCCGCGGCAGACAAGCCCAATTACCACACGTCGTACTTCGATGTGTCGCTTCCTGGAACGCAACCTCTGTTCAACCACGAGGTCTTGCTTTTGGCCACCAAACTGTCGATCGCATTGAACTGTGATGTCAACTTGAACTCTCAATTTGATCGCAAACACTACTTCTACGGAGATCAGCCACTAGGTTATCAAATCACACAACACTACAGCCCATTTGCGTCTAATGGATTTCTGAGGCTCAGAAGTATATTTGACGACATCGATCAGGATTCAAAGATAATTGAAATTCAGCAACTGCAAATTGAACAGGATACCGGTAAATCAGTGTACAAAGAGCAAGACAGCAAGTCCCTTATAGATTTCAACCGCTCAAATGTACCGTTAATAGAGATGGTGACAAGACCGGACTTTACAGATTTGAAGCAGATTCGCTCTTTTCTAAAGAAATATCAGAATTTGGTGAGGCATCTCGGAGTTTCTACCGGGGATTTAGAGACTGGTGCTATGCGTGTTGATGTGAATATTTCCGTCAACGACTATGCTCGTGTTGAACTGAAGAATTTGCCGAACACGAGCTCCATTTTCAATGCAATCAAGTTCGAATATCAAAGACATGTAGACATCATTCGCAATGGTGATGCAGAAGAAACGTTAACACACTCACAGACACGTGGTTGGAATGGCTCTTCTACTGTGAAGCTAAGAAGCAAAGAAACAACCATCGACTACAGATACATGCCTGATCCCGAACTGCCTCGAATTACTCTTGCCGAAGATTTTGTGCCTGGTGTATCCCAATTAATGCCGGAACTGCCTGATCAGGTTCTTGAAAGACTAATGTCAGCTCCATATAGTTTATCGCTAAAAGACGCCAAGATTCTCACTATCAACAGCAATAGTCATGACCAACTTTACACTCAGCATCAATTGCAACAATTTTACCTTGATACGTTTAAAATGTATCAGCAGCAGGCAGGCGAGTCCTTCAATCACAAGCTTCCCACAAACTGGATCATTCACGAGCTTCTAGGAAATATGAATAAATTAGAGATTTACCTCGAAAAAGTAGTCGAAATACTCCCTCCTGAAGAGTTCAGCAATCTGCTCATGTTCATACATGAAGGCAAAGTATCCAAAGCAAGCGCGAAGCTGCTTCTTTTCCATATTCTGAATAGCTTCAAAGAATCAAATTTTAAGAGCACGTCTTCTTTGGACTTGAGCTCTCTCATCAAGGAATTTGAACTAGACGCCATAGAAGTTGTACCTCAAGAAGATCTAAGACAGATTTGCCAAGGGATTATCGATGATCTCGGAGATGACAACATGATCAAGGGCATAATATCTGGCAAGAAAAAGAACTCTCTCAAATATCTAGTCGGCCAGGGAATGCGGTTATCCCAAGGTCGCATTAAGCCCCATCTATTTGAGAGCACGTTTAAGGATATCTTAGGCGTTAAATGGTAAAATATCACATATTTATCCTTCCTGTAAATCTCGCAATGCAAGTCAATAGAACATGCAAAACACAAGTCATTACTTAAACAAGTTTATAAACACACTGTGCTTAAATTCGATTCGTCTTCCCACGATCGAATCACTTAATCCGCCTCTATAAAATAGGAGTTTAAGCACAGCAAAACCAATCAAAATACAAGCAAAGCTAGGGCCGACGGACATCGATCTGCAACTTATTACAAAAAAAAACACCAACCGTGGCAGTAATGACTTGAACCATTCCATGAGTCACGCCATACTCCCTCCAAATGACATTACATCAAATAAAAAAATCCTCCAAGTCGTCGATATTAACGATTATGGTAAAAAAACAACTGATTGCACAGACTTGCAATCAAAATTATTAGATCATGAAAAGGCATGAAAAAAAGGTTTCTCGAACTTAATTTGACCAACTGGGAAAGAATTTAGTGTCGTTCATATAAAAAAACCCCAACGATAACTATGTTGAGTCAAAGCCAAGGATTAAAAGAATTTCCCCAAAATTACCCTGTTTAATCTTCAGCTAACTCCAAACGCTCATATCGTTATTCCAAATACCAAAGGAACCCGTGTTGGATGAAGTGTTAGCATTATTGTTTCCCCAGCCCTTAGAATCTTGCATCATAAAATTACTACTAGAGCTCGTAGTAGCGTTTGAGCCAGATGAAGGGTAAGAAACCGTGTTTCCGAAAAAAGAATTAGTATTGTTGGTTGTACCAGCAAGGAATCCATTAGGATTCATTCCCTCAGACAACAGAGAAGAAGGTAAACCATTAATAAAATCAGTGGAACTCGAGCCGGCGCTTTCAATTTTAAATCCTGCTGGAGCTGAGACAACAGAATCCAAGTAACCACTCGACATTGTAGCAGTTGAAGGAGCAGTGACATTCGTTGAAGTTGGGACTGAATTTCCTGCACTGTTCGACGACATGTACTGGCCATTTACTTCATTAGGCAACAAATATTCGTACTCTCCACCCAATGAGGAAATAGACGAGGTCCCGCTTATTGAAGCATGCAATATAGGAGGAGGCGTGGAGCTCGAAGAGGAGCTGGCAGTCATGAATTGCTGCTGAGTCTGTGCAGCCCCATACAATGTAGGTGATGGAACTTGAGGTAACGACATAGAGCTGCTGTTGCCAGCACCATAAAACATCTGCGGATAGGCAGGTTTGAATGAGCCTCCAGACCCATTCTGGGTTTGAGCCATCACACCACTACCAGATTGTTGCCCGTACTTCGTAGTATTATTGTTGTAACGATAGACTTGAACTCCATTAGTGTTGTTCAACAATTTCTTACGAGTGTTCGTGTTTCCTCCACCAACACCATTGTTCATAGCTCTATTGACATTGTAGCGCATTTGTGGCTGCGTAAAAGATACGGCATTCTGAGGCATGAGCTTCAAACTGCGGTATTCAAGAAGATACTTGTCCATATCTTCAATCTGAGAAAGAAAGGGAATGCTAACGATTTGACCCGGCATCACTAAATGAAAAGCGATAAAACCTAACGAACTTGGGAATGCAAAAAATGACAAAAAATCGCCAACCAGTTATTAGAATGATAATTCCACTCTAAACTTTGCTAACGAATGATGCAAAATGCGGAGAGTATTGCTCTTCCTTTAAATGTATTAGTTACTACAAATTTTAGAATGTATAGAAAAGTTCAAATCATGCGGATGTACGTGGAAAAATTTTCCACTGAAAAAAATTTTCAAGAAACTGCAAACAAAATACGGCCAATCTTACAACCTCATATATCACGTGCTTTACCAGACCGTAGCTTGGCCAAGGTAATCGAGTTGATTGAGCGCGGTGCTTCTGATTGTTCAATTACAATTGTTATATGCAGGAGTTTATATAATTTCCATCACCTTTTTTTCTTCTCTTTGACCTCTTCCTCTGTTGTAGCGTGTAGCCTGATGACATTTGGATAGTCCTGTCTGTTACCCATGTGACCCTGATGCCAATCGTAACTTAAGGCGTACGCAAAAACCGCACCACTTCTGTTGAAGTTGCATACAGGTATGGATGCTTTTAAAGAGGGAAAGCCCTTTAATCTATGCCGTTGGTTTTTATCCCAAAAGTGGAACGATCCATCACCTCCAGCAGTTGCAAATGTGCCGTAAACAGGGTGGAATACTATGCTATTCACCGGATAAACATGAGATTCAGTACTAGTTCTTCCACCAGCAGCACCCGTGGCCTGTTGTTGAACGCGGTGACACTTGAAGGAGAACCCTGATTTTCGTTGCTCTTGATCATCCACATATTGAATAGCACAGCGACCTTCTATCGACCCAATGGCAAAGCCATTGCCCTCTATATAACAGGCCACAGACCTTGTCTGCCACTTCAAAGGCGAGGTCGTGGTCTTGAAAATAGTCCCCGGGTTATTGAGATCAATAACCACTATATGTCTTTCCGCCGTACCAACGACCAGTAGCTTTTGTTTTGAATCCATGCAATAGACGCGCTCGGGCATCACGAGAGTAGAAACTGGCTGAGGCTGTCTCAGATCCCAATATTTTACAGTCTTGTCCCAAGAACCGGTTACAAGGCACTCAGTGTTTGTAGGACCACACTGCACAAAGCGCAGACATTTTACTGCTGAATCATGTGCTCCTATTTGTTGGGATTGTCCTGATGCAACATCGTACAGCATCACTGCATTATCGCACCCACCCGATGCCACTTTTGTACCATCTGTAGACCACCTTGTTGTCAGTACTGGCGCTTGATGTTGATACTCGGCCCGTCCCTGAGCAATTCCTCCGTTAACATCCCAGATCCGCACTTTTTTGTCCCATGAACTTACGCTGAATAGGAACTCTTGCTGTGGTGAAAAAGCGATATCTGAAATTGAATCTTCAGCTGGATTATTAATGACAATGTCATTAGCAAGATCCTTATCAGCTGATAGCGTAGGAGTTACACCACCTGCCGAGGTATTAGAACGGTAAAAGGACATGTATGCTGCTTTATACTACCGTTAATATTTGATACTATAGTTCCACGTTCAAATGTTCATTTTTTTTTTTGAAAAAAAGCATCATGATGTACGCTTTACATTTTCAAGAAGTGCTAGGACTTCGGAAGAGACTCTCATCCATAGTGAATCAAAAAGTCTGGGTTGATAATCCATTGAAAAGCGATAAATCGGTTAACAAATGATGACCATGATACTGACAACTCCAGTATTATAATAGTACATAATTGTGCCTATACGATTACGAATAATGAGTGATTTGTACCTTAGATATTATTCTGTTCCCATCCTACTGCCATTGCAGTAAATTTAGATCGTTATAATTCATATTTGAATTAGGATCTAAGAAGTCTAAATCAAATGGTTCCTCCATTTGGGCATCAGTTTGCTGTTTTTGCTGGTCCGATGGCTGATTCTTCATTTGATTGCCTTTGTCCAGAAGACCAGAGTTCATGGTGAAGATCTCTTCATCTTCAAAATGATATGCCGGATTACTCAACGTAGGATCGTTCTGTCCCATTGGGTCAAAATCAGTTTGTGGAGTAGGGTCTGTAGCCACTGATGTGGGAAACATGCCGTTGTTACTACCGCCCTCGTTGCTGCTAGCACTCTCGGGCAACGCTTCATCTACGGTAAGTGGAGTAGTGCCTGCTGACTTCGCTATTCTACCGGCTTTGGCGCTTTGAACGGTATTTGTTCCCTTTTTGGGTCGCCCGCGTGAGTTTTTCTTGGTTTGCTTAACTTCCATGATACCTTCGATATATGGCGGTGTGTTGTTAGACGAGCCGAGGCTCGGTATCGAGTTCATGGAATGAGAGGGTTGCGTCTTCTTTAGTTTCTTGGGCCTTTTTAAAGATACCTTCTTGGATGCTTGCTCATCATTATTTTCGTCGTCGTTTTCTAGTGGTGTCTCTGTGACTGTTGAAAGGGAGCTGGGAAGAATAGGTTTGTTTGCATTACCACTCGCAGGTGTGATAGGACCTATGGGTGTTACAGGCTCAGACGAGAACTTCTTACTCGCAGATGCGGCTGGCATACTTTGCTGATAAGTCGCTGGCCTCCTCCGAAATACTTCTTTCGTCTTAGGAGTAGTTCCCGCACTAGCTGGACTATTCATAGAATTCAATGTTAGCGGGGAAGCACCCGAGTAAGTAGAAGACATAGCATTTTTCTTGGGTAGGTTATTTGAGACAAAAGCTGGAGTAGAGTTCTGTGCTGGCATGTTGGTAGGCGTATTACCCGCGGATTGAACTGCCTTCTCATTTTCTTTCTCGAGCATCAACAATTGTTTTTGATAATTATAGAGTCCCTCCATGCTTGAGCGTTTAGGGTCTGCTTTGTTGTGTTCTTCAGATTGTTTTGAGGTATCCTGCTTTTTCCTCTCCTTTGGATTAGTTTTGTTAGAGCTCACAGTTTGCGGATATGGTTGCATCTGAGGTGGAACGTGTTGTATGAAGCTCTGAGGATAGTTGGATTTCGAATTAATGGACACATTTCCACCATTATTCATGTACATTGGAACTGAGCCATTTGGAGCGAACATCGTACCATTTCCGTTTACCATCATTTGCTGCGCATATAACATAGATGCTTGTTGCTGCTGTAATTGCTGCTGCTGCTGCTTGTGCTGCTGCTGTTGGTACTGCTGCTGCTGATTACGCAAATGTTGAAGCTGCTGCTGTTGCTGCTGCTGATGCTGTTGATGTTGCAGTGGCTGCCCTTGCGGTTGTTGCTGGGGCTGTTGCTGAGGCTGCTGCTGCTGTTGGGGCTGTTGCATTTGTTTTTGTTGAGTTTGTTGCCGCTGTTGTGTTCGTCTTTGAATTGGCTGGTCGGGGTGCAAATACGACTGCTGACCATTTCGAGGTGATTGACGGTACCGGCCGTTATCACTTTGCCGCTTTGGTACAGGCATTACGTTGTTGCCTGAAAACATCATCGCAAACATCATGGGGTCAAAAACTTCATTTTGGTAGTCACCACGCTGTTCGGCTTGCTGCTGCATTCGAGCAGAATGCATGGCGACGTTTCTATAGGTATGCTCCTGTCTCCTTGTGTCTATTTGCATTTGAAAATACTGTTGTGCCATCTCCGAACCACCACGATGCGTTCGGGCGTTAAACACGTCCCAAAATATCTGCCACCATTCGTACAAGAATCCTTGAGGAGCATCATTCTGAGGTTTGAAGACACCTCCGTTGCGATTCAAACGTTGGCCACCTTCTTCAATCTCGGCCTCCTGCGAAAAAGCTCCTGCTGTCTCCGCTAGGGAAGATTTCACGAGGAAATCGTAAATATACGCATTGAGCAGCTGCTTGGAGTTTTTTCCAGTATTTTCATCTGTTGGAGGCACACGTTGCTCGTTAGACTGGGAGGAAGTGTTCATTTGCTTCGGTGCGTCTTGTCCACGAACAAAGACACCTCTTTGACCCATCGAGTAGGTATGCGCTTGTATTGGCTGCTGTTGCACAAAAACCGGAGGCTGTCCGTACTGCATATTTGCATGCGCCTTCTCACGGTCCGAGGACATGTATTAATCGACTCTCTGCCTCAAGGCCAAACACTATTTTTTGAGGAACCGCACGTGTGGGGTTCGAGTAAAGTCTCTGAGTTATAGCGAACGAATTAACCACTGAAACTGTTATTCGAATTCCACTTATTGACAATAGGGATACTCCTAGTTTCGGTGAAAACGTTCTTCTTGTGAAGTCGAAATGCGGGTACGCGACTAACTGAAAACATTACGCGCTCTATTTCACCTCTCCCTTCTCATCGAAAAAAAAAAATTTACGATAAAGATCGCGTTGCACGTTAATCTGCCAGGAGATATTCAATGATTATAGAGAAACATTAAGCGTTATTTACTAGCACCTCACTGCTCCTTCTTGTCGCTTGTGACTTTTACTGGGTAGTTTAAATATGCCAAAATGAGGAGGACGTTGTTCAATAAGTATAGAAGGCCGCTCGCGATATCGTTAGGAGGATAGCTATTCCAGCACCACTCATGAGCAAGGTACCAAGGAATTCCAAGGTACATAGGTAGACCGCTCCAGTGAATGATAATTGGCAAGTTCCAATGATACCACGATAAGAATTGATAATGCAGTGACCTAGCGAAAACAATACCCACGAAATTGGTCATGATGAGTGCATAACCAATGCTTTTAGGCGAAGGCACGAAAGAGCGGGTCACTCTTGAGAAAGGATGAATTAGCGACTTCAAGCCGGATTTCACCTGTAAAGGAGTTGTGAACCGAGTGAAAGCGAATAACAATAGGACCAGTGCATGAGACACAAGCAGAGTGCGATGAAATAATTCATTTTGGAATACGTCCTCATCAAGGAACTGCCAGTTGACAGTCCACTTGTACATGAATTTACGACCGAAATTGAAAGCTGTTGTCCAGTACTCGGGAGCGTAGTCTTTAAGAAAGTCTCGAGCAATAAATAATTGCCAACCATCTATGATCACAATGCAAAGCAAGGTTTCGAGAATTTGCCCGCCTGTGAGTAGAAATATTGATAATAAGACCGCTGGAAGATAAGTAAGAGCGTTCATTTTTATACTTATCGCAATTGCATAAGTGATGCTGGCCGGTAAGCAAATGAATCTCCGTTGGAATCGAGCCGAAATCAGAAGTAAAAGGACAGTCAAAGTCATAAAAAACGTGGTAAAACAGTCATTGAATAGTCGCAGTACATAGATAGAGTGCAATCGTTTCGATAATGAGGCCAAAACAACACACCACGGTGGGATTTCCAACATGACATAGCATATCATTTGCAGTATCATAGTGCCGATGTACAGGTGTCTGAAGATATGCTGACCAGCCTTAAGATTATCCATTCCTGACGTTATCTTCTCCATAATTCGGTAGATCCACACGTGTCCAGCAGGATACACTAGGGGCCCTGTTGAACCTTCGATCATGGAGTAATCCCTTTCACCACTCTGTATAGTCCAAATTTGTTCCATGTACGCTTGATAGTCGATTTCAGTATAAGGGACGTTATAAATTATCCATTTCAATGCTAAGCTCTCAATAACCACTAGCAGAGGCATAATAATATGATTAGCCTCTGGATTGAAAATTAGGTACCTCGTGGCATCCTTAAAATCCTGCCACAAGTCAATCTGTGGCAAATCAGAATCAATAGACTTTTCACCCTCATTTGCCGGCACACGAGCAGTAGCTTGCTCTCCTGCGCTGCTCATTTTTAATTAATTGTAATCTCTTGCTGAAATATTCAAATGAAGCTCGTTGCAGGAACTTTTTTCAGCATGTACGACAGCGCAAGCTTAATTTGAAAAATGAAAACAAAACGAGCACGCTATTAAATTCTAAATCAAACCTCAAATTACTACCTAGTACGCAATGTATTTCAGTATTTTACATTTAGACAGTGTACATATAATCCTGCTATGAAGACCTCAAGTTGACTCATGCAATCGTTTGAGCCAAAATAGGCTTCTGTGCCACTACGCCATATGTAGTGTTTAGATATTTGAGCAAGTCTACAACCTTCTGCTCCATTTCCTTTGTCTGGAATTGTTTCATTCTGTCCATATTTTCCTCCCTTCCCAATGTAGACTCTTGTTCAAGTTTGATTCTCTCAGCTTCCTTGGTGAAAACTGCAGCGAAGAAATCGACTACTCTTGGTGTCTCATTGATTATCATGTTGTTGTTAGATTGGTAAAGCTTCATAATCAATTCGAAAATTGGGTCATACTCCTCGAACCCGGTCTTGAGAGGTAAGTGATTCAATAAGGCTGGTAAAGTGTGCTCTAAAGGAACAAGGTTTTCATGTTTCAAAGTCATTCTAGCAACGCAACCAGTAGCGTTGGCAAACGCACGGTCAACGATTTCTCTAGTAGCTTCGTCATCCTCAGCTGCAAGCGCCTTTTGGTCAGCAGTACTGAGAAGTTCGTACATGGCTCTGAGGACTGGCTCGTAGATTGCGGAAATGTCGAAGCTGGCGTACTGGCATAATAAACCAACACCATAGGCAGCGTTTCCTCTGACCTCGAGTGACTTGTCCGTGGTCAATCTAATTATCAAACCTTCCAGCAATTCTTGGACAAATGGGTTACTCTCCTTCAATCCAAGTGCAATCTCAGAAACAGAGCCAACTGCTGCGGATCTCTTGTTTTTAGATTTGGATTGAAACAAAGCCAAGACGACAGGCTTGAAGTTTTCAAAGATTTTGGCGAAGTCTGCACCTAGAGCATATGAAAGACCCACCAAGACTTCCAGAGCGCAATCTAGGAGAGCGGCTTCAGTCTCTGATGCATCAGTATCTTCGTCCTTTGGCACATCCTCTTCGTAGTCAATGGTTTGACAGGCGTGAGTACCCTTTAAAACGGACAAGACCTCGACGCAAAGTCTTTCCAAAGAAGAAGAGTCATTGTTGTCAATGATAACAATAGGACCGAATTTTTTGATCATTTCGCCAAAATCTTCCAAGATGGTGATAATCATGGAAGTCTCGAACTCATCCGTCAAGTTGTCCAATGAAGTTTCTCTAGCATTTTGCACAACTGCCAAGACACTGTTATCCACATAGGAACCAGATGGAACCCCAACTGGGTAGTTTTCTTCTTCGACGTTGGCAGTCAAAAGAACCGCCTTGGTAATGTTCCACAAAGTGTGTAGCGCAGTTTCTCTCAAACCATAAGATTCGTTTACCTGTTCATTCAACACTTTCAAAGATGGCTCGACGTACTTCAAGAAGCTTTCTCTTGTAGCTAGAGCCAACTCAGACAAAGCAGCAGCAGCAACCTCCTTTTCATAAGAAATACCGGTATTTACAGTGAACTTTTGTTGCAAATCATCGACGTCAGCATCTTCCGCATAGGCAGCAAGGTCCTCTGCATCTCCGTCGAAGTTGAACTGATATTCTTCTTGTTCTAAAGTCTTGAAAATTTCTGGCAACACTGTCTCCAAGAAAGGTGCGAAGTCTCTGCCGTATACCTTAGCCATATTTGCAATGAAGGCGTATCCAGACTCTCTCAGTCTGGCAGAATCGGTTTTGATTGCTTCATAAGCCGAATTCAATAATGGTTCAGCGAATTCGTGGAAAGCTTCCGATCTGACAGCTCTACCCATAGTTGAGATATTCTCAAAGGTCAAAGCTCTTAGTTCAATGTCATCTTCAGAGAGACCCTCAATTTGACCAGAATTCTGAATAAACTGTTGGAGGTATTGCACGGACGTCTTGAAATAAGGCAAAAATGAGGCACCAGCTGCAAAAGCTGCGGAACCAATAGCTGAAACGATGGCTGCTCTTAATTTTGATGAAGTGTTAGTATCTAACATGTGAAATAGCTTGTTCATCAAAGGTTCCAAGTATTTAGAGATAGCTTCATAGGCAATGAACTCTAGTAATCCATCTAGAGCAACAGTAGCATATTTGTAAATAACGACATTCTTGGCAGAATCAATGATGTTCATGATCAATGGCAAGTATTCCTCGTGGAACTTGGCAACCTCATCTTGCAAATCAGTGGTCAATTGAGAGATACATTTCAAAGCTGCCAATTGGACAATTGGGTGACTATCTTTTAGCCCTGCAATCGTGGCTGGAATGATTTTGTCAAGTTGAGACAAGATGTAATCTGGACAACCAGTGACTGCGACGGAGATGGCTAGCAAAATAGCTCTTCTTTCGAAAGGATTTGAAGATTGAAGCATAGTTGGGAGATGTTCAATAATTGGTACGGCAACTTGAGAAGGTGGTAATTCAGAAGATGCGAAAGCTAGAAGCCTAATAGCAGTCAAAGAAGGTGTGTTTTCTTCGTTTTCGGCAGCTTCATCTTCATTGTTTAATTCATCATCAATATCGATTTCTTCAGATGCAACTCTTAAAGCAGCGACAGTGATATCGGGGCCAAGCTTCGCCTGAATGATCTTCGATTTTCTGAAAGACAAGCCGGAAGTAACAAATTGGACGGCGTACACTCTAGCATCGTCATCGACATCAGCGTTCACGGCGATCTGCAACGCTAATTTGATCAAGTCAATGATGGAATTGCCGGTCAATTGCGAATCCAACAACAGGAAATCATTCAAACAGTTGAATATAAGTTTCGTGTTGACAGAATCGTCGGCCTTGATGACTGCTTCCAGAACACTAACGACAGATGGGATCAAAGAGGCGAATTTGGAGGCGTATTCGGGATTAATCTCACCTTCCTCCTCAATTAGATTAGACACCTGGTTGAGGGCCTGAGCAGACAAAGATCTGGTTTCCAAAGAAGCGCCTTCAGAGATGGTCACGCTGAATAAAGTCAGAAAGTCACCGATGTACAAGTTCAATGCAGGGTTCATATTGTCGAGCAAAGACAACAAAATGAAAAGGGCGGTTTCAGAAACTTTAGTGTCGTCCCCAGAAGCAGCTTGGATTACATTGGGTACAAGCTCAGGCCATTTCTTTTCATCTAGCTCTTCAGCACCGATAGCAGCAATCACACGTGCGTTCGCGTGGCGAACAATTTCCTTAGGTTCGTTGAAAGCAGAGTTCAAAAGTGAGTTTTTGATTTCAGACTGAACACCCGCATCTAAACCACCCCAGTACTTAGTTACCAGCTTTCTGGCCTCTACACCTGCCAATTGTTTCAATCCATCATCGCTACCATTCTGTAAAATGTGCACCAAGGCAGGCAAAGCAGCAGGTTGGGTGTAAAACTGTGATTGTAGAGCCTTAGTGGCATCTTTCAAAGAGGCAGAGTTAGGCTGGATGATGGCTCCCAGTAACTGCTCCAACTGAGATAAAAATTGCTGATCCATTTTAAGTTTCGTATCTGTTATCGATCCTTCGTCTCGACTTCAAAGAGGGCTCTTCGAAAAGAACTCCAAGGTAATGTACAATTAAATGAAGAGTGATCCAATAATCCAGAGTACCTGAAAATGATAGCTCTTTGGAATGCCTGTTACACTTAAAATCCAAGACTTGTTTCTTCAACTGCTCATCTCATCTCATCTCATCTCAAGAAAAATTTTATTGGACTCGCAGTGTACGGATGCACTTTCTTTTTTTTTTTTCAGGTAAGGTAGCTTACCCGGCCATGTAGTGCTAACATAAATCTCGTACCAAATGGTACGAAACAAGGCTTCAACACCAACGTCAGGTTGAAATGTTTGTTAAAACTAATTGTTATAGTAAAATGTAATGTCCGTTATAAATGTAAATGTTCTAGGCACTTGCGCGAAGGTCCTGCTCAATATCATCGAGTTTAGAGTCGATGTCGTCTATGGTCAAGCCTATGAGTTTCCTATATTTCTTGATCTTTGGTGACGAATTTATTTCGCATTTGGCTCTCGCTATTTTGTCGATCATGTGCTTACGGCCAAATTGCAGGAGAGTTAAATGCAGGCCCAATTTTACCAGCTCTTCGTTAATCACCTTGTTTGGTGAGCTATCATCTGTCCGTTCAGGTGAGCTACCTTCTGTGTTCATCTTTGCTTCTTCCTCATGGGCTAAAGTAGCCAGTGCCAACGCTTGCGATTTTTCTGAGGAATTAGCCAGTACCGCCATTTTGATGCTGAGTTGTTTTGATATTGTCTTGACAGCTTCTTTTAATTCCTCTGCACTTGTGTATTCCCCCAGAACTTCTTTCTGATGCGCGTCATTCAGCTTGAGAGACTTTTGTATGCTTTCAATACATTCTTGAGTCTTTTCTTTCTCTAATTCTAAACTGCCAATCTTTTCGTCCACAGATGTTGTAAGTGTAGCGGTAAGCTCCGACAGCTGCTTAGTCAATACCTGAGATGAGCCTTCTCTGTTTAATTTGATTGTAGGCTTGACCGTCTTGTTTGAACTTCCAACTGACGTTAAAACGGACCATGGCTCCACAGTCTTGATAGCAGTTGAGCCAACAGGATTTTTCATGACTGATGATGTAAGGATTGAATCCTCAGTAGTCGAAAATGATGATAATTCATGAGTTAGATTGACCGTGTGCTCGTCATTGATCATGAAACTGTTGCTCTTTTTTCTGGTTCTAACAGGTGTGCTCAGCTTCATTTGTTTTTCTTGAGGCTGTGCATTACTCACAAATGCGTGTGGGAGCCCATCAATCTGTTGTGATGTTGGGGGTACGAGGTTGAATCTTGCTAGTATACTTGTAGCAGTTTCATGCTCCAGATTAATTATGTCCATTGAGCTGCCCAAGTAACAGAGCTTATTACAGAGCTCTAAATTGAGATTGAGTGCAGCAAGATGTAGAACCGTGTTACCCATGTTATCTTGATAGTTCAAGCACATGCGTAACAATGCAATATCTTCTTGTTGTAAAACGTCCAGTATGGAATCCATGTAATAGTTGATAACAACGGGATCCTTGGATTTATTGACACTTAATTCGACCAGATAGTGAAGAGGTAACCTGCCATTCATATCTGGTGTTATCAAACAAGGCTTCAGCAATTCTAGAACCTGTGGAAAGACACCAGCTTTGAAACAGTTATTATAAAAGCAAGCCTTGGTTATTGCAGTAAATCCCCGATCATTACATTGTAAAATATTAGCAGAAAGCGAGATAACGAGTTTGAGCAAAGGGACGTTAGACAAGGCAGCAGCCCAGTGAAGAGTTGTATGACCTTGGTCGTCTATTATGAAATTAATGTCTAATTCTGAGGGCGGATGGAACAATGGCTCGGGCAAGACTATGGATTCTTGATCGTCGCCTGAATAGTCCGAAGATAGCACTTCTAGCAATAGCTCTTTATACTCCTCCATATCTACCGAATTGGATTCCCTATCTGAATTTGAGTCCGCAAGCTGTTGATGTCTCAGCTTTGGAGATATAGAACGTGACGACATAGGCGTGGGATTTTCGTTTGCCGAAAAGCATTCGATGGAGGATCCATGGGAACCATTGGAGCCATTGGATCCATTAGATCCGCTTGAATGTGTCGGTTTATGAGAAGCAGGTTGCGTTTGAATAACCACAGTTTGTGCTGAAGGTTTTGATTGAGTGTGTAAGTTATCTCTAAACTGCTGTTTTATGATTTGGAAACTTTGTTGTGCTTGTGACTGTCCCGTGGCTCGTTTCGCACTCTTCTTTTGTTTCTTGGCTTGATGTTGATTATAATTATTGGAGTCGAATGTCAAAAAGGCTGGTTGCTGTTGAGGGTAAGGGAAAAACTGTAGGGGTTTCTGTGTTGTTTCATAGCTATTCATTTGCAGTGGGGTCTGCTGATCTTGCGCAACCACGGTTGAGTTATTATTTTGAGAATTCTGCTGTTGCTGGTGCTGAGGAGTTTGGAATACCAAGTTCTGTAACGGGCTTGGTTGCAATTGAAGTTTCTTAGCTCCGTTAACACCCTTCTTCTTAGTCTTTTTAGCGATTACTCCTCCGATCTTTTTAGGAGTTTTATTATAGCTTGAAGGAGACTGAATCTTAGTACCAGGTGATTGTCGTTTTATGATAGAATTCTTAGATCTTCTCAAGGGTGGGTTCCGCGGATCTAGTTGGAAATGCAAGATCGTCAAAACCACGTTGTCGCTAATGCTATACTTTTGGACCAAATAATGCGCATTTTCTAGCGGGATCCATGTTCCCTGAAACCTTCCGTAGCCACCTTGAATCTTTTCGTGTTTCACCATGTTCGACTCCTTTTCCAAAATTTTGGTTCTTTGCGTCTTAGTGAAAGACGCAATCTTGAACACTTGAGTTATGTTCACCCAGTTGTCCATACACCTTCTCATTACTATCCTGGATTCCTGGCCACGGCAGTAACACTCGTAAACGTCCACGCCAGCATATGTTGCAATTTCTATCACCGGCCGCCTCGGACTCTCTCCTGCCGTTCCGTTGCTAGAGAATTCTCCGATTTCACTTTCAGCACTAAGCATCTGGGGCTGCTCGTGCTTCATCGATTCAATTCCCATAGTCTTCACCTATCCTGGATGCCTCTAACACTATTAGATTGCTCCCCAGTTTCCTCAATCTTGACCAGGACGAAAAAACTTTCCAAGTTGGATTACTTTACTATAAGAGGTAAACGTTTGAACTGTACGCGTTATTTTTTCGTGATTGGCGTTCAAGCATCGGATACGATAGCAACGATAAAATCGAGAGCTTTATGCTTCATTACATTCTATGCATACTGAATTATGAGCCGCAGAATGCTGCGCCCAGTAATTTTACCTATGGTGATCGTCTGCGGTGAAATTCTTCTTCTTAGCGGCTGGTCATCTTGTCGTACTTTTCAAATGTAGTGTTCTAGATGCTCGCAGTTCGTAGACTAGATTAGAGCTCGCCACAGATCAATGAGAGAATGCGACTGAGAGAACGATTAGCGGGTCTGTAAAATGCGTCTATATGCCATGAATCTAAGGAAAATCTTGCGAACCGTCAACAATGGCATAATTGCACGGTGCAGCTCTGTTCGGTTTAGTTTGCCTACTCTTCAGTCCATAAACTTCCAGGATAATGGCATAGAGCTGGCATATTATCAGATATTGTGTTCTGAGTGCCCTACCAATGCTAAAAACACGCTCACCCATTGGCTGCTACCATTTAACGGGCAGGTGGCAGATAATCAATCTATACTTTGGCGCGGGTTATGGACCGCTAAGATCAAAGGTCTACTGTAGAAAGAGTCTTAAAAAATGCAGATTGTTGTACTGATATGAAAGGATTTGGCGATAAGATTTAATGTTGTTTCAATTTAAAACGCGGTGTTCGATGTTGAAACATCAAGATATTCAGCCGCACTGCGAGCGAGGATTTTAATGGGAGATCCATATCGATGGGATGCCAATTCCTAAAGACGAGCATATCATTCATTCATTCATTTGGCAGGAGGACGTGCGCACTCCGACCTCCTTGTAGAATTAGCTTGCCTGCCGTAGTTTTCCTGCGTAAAGTGTCAAAATGGTTGCTGATGTGGTTTTGTACTACGTCAATAGGTGAGTGCTCAACACACATTTTCGCGGGCATAACATCACTTTATGATCTTATGCACTCTACCTTTTCTTCAAGACTGAAAGCATAAGAATTGCAGCAAAAGCACAAGAACAAAAATCAAAAGCTTTAAAAGAGAAAGTAAAGGTTAAGAGAGCTTCGCCTGGATGGGGTTCATTGCATCGATGCTCTTAATGTAGCTGAATGCTTTTAAGTTACCCGCAAAAAAATTAGTCGAAGTCATTCAAAGTTCATGGAGAAAAAGTTTTAAAAGTAATCTTCAACAACGAGTAGGTCAAATAATCAAAATACAAGGACATAAACCTAGTTACTATGTTACCGTTGTACCTTTTAACTAATGCTAAAGGTCAAAGAATGCTAATAGAGTTGAAAAATGGTGAAACCATCGAAGGCCAACTAACAAACGTAGACAACTGGATGAACTTGACCTTAGCCAACGTTACACATACTTCGCCCAACGAGATCTTACAGCTTCCTGAAATATATCTTAGAGGCAATTTCATCAAATACATCAAGCTTCAGGATGATATCATCGAAAAGGTGAAGCAATCCAACGTTCAACAACAATCTCAAGGTCACCATCAAAACAGAGATTTTAGGCGCAGACAAGGTGGAAGAAGAGACAATGATAGAAGGTTTAATCAAGGCGGTGGACAAAGAAGACATGAAGGAAGAGGTAACTATAACAATGGCGGAAACCGCCGCTCTTATGGAAACAGACAGGCTGAGGGCAATACTGCCATGGGGGGATTTGTACAACACCATCAAACTACGTCACAGCAACCCACACCGCTGGGTCAAGTTCAGTATTGAACTCAAGCTGAGGATTGTGTATACTTAATGCATAGTTATTATTATTTTCTACTTTCTTCTTACTTACGGATATCGCGACATGGTGCCGGAAGCATGAAGCTTATATATTGCCTAAAGAACTTTCCGCGAGTTGCAAATGCGGCTCAAAAACCAGCAACTGGAAAGGTAACCCAGGGCACCAAATGCGCACCAGCACATAATATTAAAAAGAGCGGTGTAACAGACAAATAATAAAATGGAAGAAAAATCTCTCAAATGAAGCACGAACACCAAATAATACAGGGAGTACAACTCGAAATACCACGCGACACTACCACCAGCTTGAAAAGTTTTCCACCTCCAAGTTGAAAAAGCTCCTTCAAAATGCCAGACAACTGAATTTCTTACTTCTTCAAATAATAACCTCAATCCGGACAGAGAGAAAGAAGTTTTCCATGAGATCGATAAATTCTTGGGCTCACCCGTGCGTGAAGTGCTTCCACATAGGTCTGGTAGCTCATGAATCATTAGTAAATAGCACACAATCATAGAAATTTCGCAAACTATGATGCAAAGAAGGAAGATATTGGCAAGCAGAAATCCACAGAGATAATAGAAAGAGGTTTTCTCTAACCATAAGAATTTGTAAACGAACAAAAGTTCAACATAAATTACTGTCAAAGGTGGAGCACCTGCAATTAACGTCAGAAGTATTGGATTGCGCAATATGAATGGGGTATTTTTAATGGCAGTCTTATTGCTCTCTATTGAAGAACTAGAAAAGTCGGAATTATAGTTCATGTTTAAAAGGAAAAACCGAGAGGGCTTGGTGTCACCAAGTATAACTTGCTTAGAAAAATCGTTTCTGAGTTTCTTGGCACTCACTGCACCCAAAACCGAGAGAGGCACGCATACCACGAAGTATATAGCTATCAGTAGCACAATTGTACCAAAGGGTAATGCGTTTGTAGAGTCCTTAGCCCAAACAATACAGTTGAGAATCAAAACTATGCAGAGGGTGAAAGCAGGCAACCCAGATCCATACAACACGGATATCCCAAAGTTGGTAAATAATCCGGCGGAAAGCAAAGAACCTGTGAAGGAAGCACCGTAGGCACCAAGGATGAAAAACACCAATGCCATGGATAGTACGGAATTCCGCACGTTATGCAGTTTGTTCAAAGAACATGATATGATTAGTGAACCTAACACAGTAAATAAAAACTGGATGCCCATGGAGGTAAACAAGTTCAGATGGCCAAGTAATGGGGACTTTTCGCTCAACCACGTCGCAGCAACAGAGTATGCATTGTCATCTGACCGTACGCGAGTTAAAATGAGCGCCAGGAAAGATGTCATGAGTGCAACGACAATGACGCTGTTCGTGAGGGATATCCAATGAAATTGGCTGGATTTCTCGCGTGAGACGTCACTATTCATGAAGAACTTCCAGCGATGAGCCCAATCGACTTTGAACTCCTCACGCCAAAATACAGCGTATGTGAAGGGAATATAGGTAACTTCTGAAGCGTCGGTATCTAGTTCATAGCCTTCGTATTCCTCAGAGAACCCAGGGCAGTGGTAGTCAGAGACAGACTTGGGGTAAACTTCGAATCCGACGATGGTATGTTTGTTGATATCAATTGTGTGGTAGCGAACAACGAGCGAGACATGGTTGTACAAGAACGCCTTGTTCGAATCCGTGTCCACGTACCCCAACGGGAATCCGGCGGCATAGTACTTTTTCTGGTCGCGTTTGGAAATAAATGTGGTTGCAGCGGGCAGCTCATCGTCGATTAGCCATTGCGCAATGTAGCGCTGCCGGATGAGCTCGTCAGCCTTGCGAAGACCTTCGGGTTGCGTTTTGCGGTCGCACAGACGCACGCATGGCTGGTCCTCGCCAAATTTGAGCTTGTAGTCGCTCTCCCATTTGCGGTCGCCGCGAAACACCTCGTTAAGCGAGAGATGGAGCGGCTTCTTCTCCTCGCGGGGGGGACACACAAAGGGGAGCTCGTAGTAGCTATAAGGGAACTGCGTCACATCCGACTCCACCTTGTTAACGAGGATGTTGACGTCGTCACCATTACTGTACACGTTAGGCTGGATCCATCCTAGCTCGCTCATATGACGCGGTCCGTTCGCGCGCCCGGTCCGCGCTATCACCCACACCAGTGCCGCTGTAAAGCACAGAAATACCGTCAACTTCGATTTCAGCTTCATAGGAAGGCCTCCGGGGGTTAAAACACCTGTTGTGCACGCAGGAAACTAGCGTTGAGAAGTAAAACGAATGAAAACAAGCGCTAGCGATTGACAAGTTTGTCCTGTGAAGCGGCGAAAACTTTTTCGATGTTGAGTTCGCAAGGAAAAAAAGTTTACGGCAGGGAACTTGACAGGATGTTCCGACAGCGGCGGCAAAGAACCTGAAAACAATAACTACAACAACACACGAAAGAACCATAAACAAGAACTACTAGCTTACCGAACCACCAACACGAAAACAACGGTTGCAAGACTCAACGCCGTACGAAAATCTTGCAATGGCGTGACGCGGTTTCACGAACCTTTCGGGAATTTCTGCACCTGCATCCGCGTTCCACTTTCTGCAGTCCCTGGGAAACCTAGAACACGCCACCCTGAGAGAGAACCTACTACCTACGCGCCATCTAAGTTCCTTGACTTTTTAAGTGCTCTCTGTGAACTACTCTCACGTAATCTAACCATCCTGGGACCCTGACACACTGGCAAGATTCACCACTACATTCACCAGCCGCCGATTGAACGACAATACATTGTCTTTTCTCCGGTCCGGTTATATCCGGGAGACGAACGACGCGGCGGATCAAAGGAAGGGATCCGGCTTATGGCAGCAGTCTATTTTTGGGAAAGCCGCGAGAGAGTGGGGCTGGACCCCGGACGAAAGTACGAAAACTCATTGCTTTTTTTGAAAGGGAGGGTAACTAGCATGCGATCTGTCGTGTATGGGTTTGGTATGATCAGGTCACTTTGAACGTATGTTTCCGTGTATCGTGACTTTTCCGCGAGGTCCCATTTCTTCTCTGTTTGTCATGTTCGATCCCGCCTTACCGTTTGTGTTCGCGCCCCGGTACTCGCCAGAAACATCACACGACATGTTCCGAGCAAGCTCTGGGACGCTTCTAGGCGGTTCAATCGAAGACTGGACGACGCTGCGTGAGCTCACCGAACATTCGATCCTCCAGAACAACCTTGAAACCGCGGAATTTCAAGCTGAGCTGTTGAGCAGCCTGTGCGGCGCGATGCGCGACGACCATCGCGCCCGACTCGATTCGGCTTACCTCTACGGATACGTGCTGTACTTGCGCGGAAAGTACACGCAGGCGGCTTTGGCCGTACGGACACACCGCGATGAGAGCTTTGGCTGCTGCTACGTGCTGGCACGTTGCGCACTGCAGCTCGACGAAGAGCGCTGCAGCGAGACCCTGCGCAGCCTAGTTGCACACGCGGATCGCATGGCTCTGAATGGCAGCGGAGCTGTCAGCGAGGCACTTTGTGGCATGCCTGATGAGGCCACGCTCCACGCGGTTCTAGGCCATCTCTATCACAAACTCGAGCGCTTTGAAGAGAGCAGCGTGTCGCACGCACGCGCATTGGCGCTCAACCCATATCTTTGGGAGTCGCTTCGTGCCCTCTGCGACATGCGTGCCGGGTTCAGCGTTGGAAAATTGTATCGCAAGCGTCGGGATCCGCCTCCAACTGGCCATCACATAAAGCTCAGACGCGGTCTTGTCGGCAAACCTCACACCCCCTTCAAAGTCCCTGGAACAGATGCCAAGAAAAAACAAGCAAACGGGCAGCAATTACAACAACCATTTGTGCGAAACAGATCCATCCCCACCAGCTCTTTACTCAAATCAACAGGCATGGCTTCGGCGGCGCCTACTGCCACGCCTACAAATGCATTCTCGCGTCCCCGGCTATTGACCACGCCTCCTTCCAAATTTATGAATACCGATAAATCTGTCACACCTGAACACCTGGGAGCACCCTCGACTTTTGGTGGGCCAAATCTCAACTTTCAACTTGATGGAATCTTCTTTGCACTTGCGAAATCCTACAAGTCTGCATGCAAATATGATTGTTATAAAGCTATACGTATTTTGAACGAGGAACTCCCCAAGGATGTTCTCGAAACCATGCCCTTCGTTCTGGCCAACCTAGGTAAATTGCATTTCGAAGTGGTGAATTACGAGATGGCCAGAAAGTACTTCACCACTTTGCGGGACATTCAACCCGCGCGTCTAACAGATATGGAGATATTTTCAACTCTTTTATGGCATCTTCACGATCAAGTTGGATTGTCTAATCTGTGTCACGAACTACTCGATATCGATCGTCTTGCGCCTGAAACATGGTGTTGCATTGGGAACCTTTTTTCCCTTAATAAGGATCACGAAGAATCTATTAAAGCATTTCAACGGGCTACGCAACTCAATTCCAAGTTCACTTACGCATATACACTTCAAGGTCATGAGTACGCTAGTAATGATGCTTTCGATACCGCAAAGACATGCTATCGGAAGGCGCTTGCCACCAATTCACAACACTATAATGCGTATTATGGTTTAGGGATGTGCTGCCTAAAACTCGGCCAATATGAAGAATGCCTTTTACACTTTGAAAAAGCGCGTAGTATCAATCCAGTCAATGTGATTCTCATATGTTGCTGTGGGGTTGCATTAGAAAAGCTAAATCACCAGGAAAAAGCTCTTCAATATTATGAGTTGGCATGTGAGCTTCAGCCAATGTCTTCCCTTTCACTCTTCAAGAAGGCCCAGTTATTACTCGCGATGGGTAAATACAACTCTGCGTTAGAGAATTTTGAAAAGCTTGTATCGTTGGCTCCAGATGAAGCGACAGTGCATTTCTTACTCGGCCAATTGTACCAGATTGTCGGTAGGAAACAAGAAGCAGTGAAGGAGCTTACAATAGCAATGAACTTGGACCCGAAGGGCAATCAATTGATCAAGTCTGCATTGGAGAAGTGTCATCAGCAAGATTGAACTCTGTAAGCAATTTTGCCATGTTTTATTCTACTCAAAGAGTTTCCTTGTGTTTTCGAGTTTATTTAATATATTAAAAAGAAGCAGATTAGAAAATATCGATAGTTTTGTAGTATTACAACAATGGACAGAGTGACTTAGGACTCTGCATTTTGAACTTGCATTTAAATTTTATTACCCACATATTTTGGATCCAATCCGAAATAATCAGGTTGATTCTGGTCGGAAAATCTGCCATTATTCGTGGGAGGGCCAGGTGAAAGAATACCAGACGCCAATAGGTATGGACTTTGAAAACCAGAACCTAGAGTCGTGTTTTGTTGCATAGAAGAATTAGGAGTCGATCCATCCGTGATTCCATCGTGGGTTTCTTGTTCAGCATGCTGTTGTTGTTGTTCCCATAACATTTGATCTTCGTCCTCTTCATTCAAGAATCGCTGTTCTTCCCTTAACCTGGTTTCCTCACGAGCTTGTAACAGCATTTCCTGAGCTTTTGTCAAAGACACTGTTGGAGTAGCACAAGAACTTATTATGGGTACACTGGTGTCAATATCAATTGTAGCTTTTATAAGAGCCGCCATCCAAGCTCTCATCTCGTCCTTTGTTTCTACAGCAAAATAGTGAACGCGAGGCTGCGTGAATGTCAATCCCTTTTTGGATCCAGGTTGTGGGGGGAGTAACTTGAAGCAATAGCGACCCTTGCCAGTGCTAGCCGCGTATAGCGCAACAAACTTATCATCATCCTTCGCTGGCAAAACCCTGTGGGCTGTGATATCAATTAAGCCGCGCTCTCTGGTATCGGTTGTATTGGCAAAATATGATAATCTAGTTCCATGCAGTGTGAAAAATCTGTTTCTCCATACACCCATAGCACCAGAACCCTTCTTACTCATCCATCCCGAACAATCGGCCTCTTTCATCGCCTCTTGGACAGATACTGTTCTGATACCTTCCATAAAAGCAGATGTTTTCTGCTTACGTGGCACATTCTTTGAGCGCAACGTTTTTGTCTTCATAGCATCGCTCACTGATCTTTTATTCTTCTTGTCTTCAAGAACTTCCTCTTTGGCATCAAAGAATATGTCGCTTTCTGTAGCATTTGTTGTGATTGCTGGCTCCTTCGCGCTTACAGATCTTCTTTTATCTTTTTTATCTGGAGAACTTGATAAAGCGGGGGACTGTATCGCAGGAGAGGCAAGCATAGACTGTCTTTTGATTGGGGATGGAGGTTTGTTTTCTAGCGCAAGTGGCTTCATGGAAGAACCGTTAGTTACAGACATGTTCCGACTATGAGAACGAGAAGCGCTTCTTGAATGAGTTCTTTTGCTTGGAGATACTGCTCTTGCCATATCATCAGGCTTGTTTGATAAGAACGATAGGATCGACGAGTTTCTCCTGTGTTTTTTGACCTCGGTATTAGAGAATTGGGATGGATGTTTGATATGATGAGGAGATGCCGTTCTAGAATGCTCATAGACACTAGAAGAAGGCCTTTGAAATTGGCTCTCAGTGGGAGGAGTTTGATCAGAATTGCTAAATTCTCCATTTTGCGCTTGAGGTGAGAGCATTGAAATTCTATTAAATAGATCCACAAATGATCCGCCAGACTTTGTCTTTCGATGACCTTGTTGGCCTGAGTAGATTACCGAGCCACGGTTTCCAACAATATTTTCTGGGGACTTTACCATGTAATCCTCATCGAAATCATCGTCTGTATACTTCTTGTCCGAAATTTTAACGGGTGTGGCAGAGCTGGGTTGAGGAGGGGTCGTTTTTGGAAATTGGAAGCTTGGAGTATTCAACTCCTCAGAACTCCCAAAAGAAGATCCATGTTGAGTAGCGCGCTCATATATAGTAGGAGGCGGATGCTTATAGCCTTGAGCAAAGTTCGACGTAGATGGGCTGGGTGTGTAGTTTTGCGCCACAGGTGATCGTGGAGGTTGAACCGGACTTGGGTATGAAGGAGGTTTGGGAGCTTTTCGTGGAGATAGAAAAATATTGTCATCAAGTCCTGTCTCCTTCGTTTGATTGGTAGAATCTGGTGCAAGATTTTGCTGCCCCAAAGCCAAAGAAAGTGGTCTATACTTAGATGAGGATTGCTGTTCTTCTGTATTGGATGGAGTGGACGCCTTTGCAGGCAATTCCTCAAGTGATTGTGAAGTTTTACGAGTGTGACCAAGGTAAGACCTTTGGTTGACAGCTGCGGCAGGCATTAGTTGGCTTGTTCTTTTGGACGATTTCTTAGTGTTTACAATCTCCTTAATGGCTTCAATTTCCTTGAATATCTCGAATCTTGTTCCAAATGAATTGATATCTAACTCTTTTAAGTGGGCTAGCTCTAGTTCCATCAAAATAGCACCTGATATCTTGTGTTGCTGAAATCTGCTAGATGATTCCACGTCAAATCCTGAAGCTATAAAATAGGCTGTCACCTGTTCTGGAGTCCAACTGTTGGCATTCGAAGGCTGAAGTTCAGTTGTCTCTATCCCATTTATTGAAGATACGCCAAAAGATGTATCGTTGGTTAGGGAATGAGCTGACATAGAACCACGTATTTGCGGGTTCGATAATTCTGAAGTAGCAGTCGTGTTGGCAGTTATATCTTCGGTTGTATGATGCGACAAATCTGCGAGAGTTTCGCCTCTAAACTCTTCCAGGGCTTTATCAATGTCACTCATAGTAGTTTTCACAGAAATCTTCCGGTCTACGGGTTTGGTGGCACTTGCCAAATTTACTGGGGCAGCTGTCTCTAAGGGTTGGGGAGTAGGAAGTTCGCTCATAGAACCGTCATTCGAAAATGTCGACAGGTTCGTAGTGCTACCATTTGCTAAAGGACTAGCGACACGCTTTGCAGATTTTGCCCTCATGAGTGAAGGAGACGAAATTTCCTGTGTAAACACTTTGGGATACAAACCTTCTTCGTCTGTTCTCAGATTCCGACCATAAAACCAGCCATCGTTGTATTCCTCATCGTCAGTGATAACTTGAATCTTGTCACCGGGCTTCATGTCTAGCTCATCCTCCATCCTCTTGGTATATTCGTTGATGGCTATGTAAAGTGGAAATCTTCCTGTTGTTTGGGGTGTTTCAGTCCTTCTGAAACTTGTATCCACCTGAGCCAGCTGGGGTGTTCTCTTTGCACCCATAGTGCCGTTATCCATGGTGGTTTCCTGCTGTTGTTCTAAAGTTTACGTGAGCTTCTGTTCAAAATACTTTAATTTAATCGTGTCTTATTCAAGAATGCGAGGGCCGTTTCACCATTGTACTAACAGCGTATTTAGTGATTTTGATCTGAACGAACAGATAGACAGTCGGTATCATCTTTATCTACGTAAACCTAACAGTCTGACTACACTTGCCCAAAATATTGAATGTAACTTTATAATGCTAATCCTACGATTATTACTGAAGCGTTATTTGATTTATCACACTATGCGATGTGTGCTTTCTACAAATTAAAATATGCTCTGGGAGTGCTTCATAGCATCATAATTACTTCAGTCTCTAGGTAATGTCTCAGTAGAAGTCGCACGTCTTTCAAAACAAAAGCATTGATGCTTTTATCAACGAAGTTGAATATAATGTCATTCTTATCAGTTTTGGGTAATCGTTTTAATTCTTCAGTAAGCTGAACAATAAAATCCTTATACTCCACCATAGCGATCACGTCTTGAATCTTGTGGCTTGTTGAAATTCTCTTCGAAGTCGTTCTGTCTGAATCCTGACGATTCTGTTCACTTGCACTTTTTTTGATCGAAAGTACGTCCGATAAATTATTATTCCCGCGATTATTCCTTGGGTTAGAGAAAAGTTTAGATAGTATTCTTGACTTGCCTGATGAGCTTTGTATGCTTCCAGTAGTGCTATTTGGGTGTCGAATAGATTGCGTGTCTATTGAAATTGTTGACTGTCTCGAGTCAACAACATGATGAGGTGCGTTTCGGAGAGAGGACGCAGAGCCCCTTATTATGCTTTCCCTGTCGTGTCTATGAGATACAGGTGCTTCCATATGCGATGCTTGAAACAATTTATTGAGATATTGTAGGACTTTGGCTACAACCTCTAAATGTAGTTGATAGTTTGACTCTCTGTAATCCGTTAACAGTTTCTTCAAAGTCTTGAGTATATTGCACTTGACTGGCACATTTTCTAAAGGAAATTCATCGTGACGTTGCTCGTATACACTGAAGTCCCAGATGTATTTGTGGAGAATAATTTTCTCTGTGAGATAAACATTATCCTCGACCATACTTCTAAGAATCAGGTTCAAAGTAGAAATACTTCTTTCCGCTATTAAAAGGGAAGGTGTTTCATTATATGTATCTTCAATATTCAGCTCTGTGATCCCTTTGAGAAGTGCCTCATTTATTTTGCATGGCGAACTTAAGACTGTGTTAGATCGCAGAAGCGATGAAGTCGAGGAATCTGTGGTAGAGCTGCTTTCAATTTTTATCAATCCAGTCTTCCGATCTGACAAGGTCCAGTTGTCGGAATATATTGATAAGAAAGAGCTTGACATTTTTTGCTCTTTTATTTTGAGATGTTTTGTCAACCCCGATATTTTGAAATTTTGGTGTTACCATCTGAAATATCTTATTACAAGCAAGGGTAAGATGAAGACCTTCTCAGCCAAAGCTAAAAGTAAAAGACCCAAGTTTCTATTTAGCCTGAAAATAAATGAGTTAACCAATATCCCGCAATCATCAGGATACTGTTCTGTAAAATGGCATCTCAAAGACGGAACAGGAACAAACGGACATCATATTAGTTCGGCTACTCAAGAGCCTATTAAGGCAAGCTCCCAGAGTAGAGGTTCAACGCCAAGAGTTCTTGTGAAGAATCACCGTGCACGCTGGAATATAGAACTTGACAAGCCGATACAAATAAAGCTCACAACAGATAAGAATAAGAAGCTGCATAGCAAAATACTGAATATTGATGTTTACTTCGAATTTTTGGAGCCAATAAATGGTTCCGGTGGGAAACTACATCACGCTAGAGGCAAGTCCGACACCTCGAACCAAACCTCGAGTTCTAATTCCAGTGTATACACTCAAAAAGTTTCCCGGAAACTCCTTCTAGGGTCGCTCTCCATCAATATTGCAGAGTATATCAATAGAGAGCAAACCGCAGTTACAAATCGATTTCTACTGCAAAATTCAAAGGTAAATTCCATACTTAGTCTGGCCATACGGATGGAGCTTATAAGAGGGTCCTTCGATGACTTTAAGTTACCAGACTCCTTTTCTTCAGGTCAATTGCCGAATTCATTTCGTAATGGAATTGGCGAAGTTTTCGATGAATCATCGGATATGCCATCACCTGTTTCCTCCACTTTTCCAGCATCAACTACTTCCCCCGGTAGTGGACAGGTTCAAAGCCTTGATAGTCAAGTGAAAAAGGCAACAGAAACGCAAGGATCATTTACAATTGCTATAAACAACCCGTTTGTGGATAGGCTTTATCAGAAAACGTTTCAAATTCCTTGGGATCCGAGACCTGGTGAGTTTACTCCTAAAGAATGTGTTGATGATATATTTGAAGGTGGTGATGGATGGGCTAAGAATGAAAGTGGCATTAATCTCATCGATATTGAAGCATTGCAACTGTCCGAATTAGAGCGCAATTATGGATCACAAAGAAACACTTTGGCGGCAGATATTACTTATGGTGATATTGACAAAAGAGCGTATTTGGAAAGAAGAATTTACTCCGAAAGTCAAGTGAATTCACAGAGACAACATTCGAGTGATGATAGGGAGTCTAGTAATCTTGGTAACGACGCATGCGAAAACGAATTCGATGAATATGAAAGTAATAAGATTAATGACTTTAAGAGTTGGACAATTAGCAAGATCCTGCCGTGAATATAGTCTGTTATGCAAATTTCGGAGTAATAAACGGTCCAACAGCAGGTTCTATAATACTTATTTTTACCATTACTATCATAATGCTCTTGTTATATAACCAAAAAGGGTGGCTTTCATCATATGTACAAATGATAGCTCGCTTTGGGTTCTCGTTCGCCTTTGGAAGAGTATTTTATAGGATCACCAGCATGCCTTTATTTGCCAAATACTGTGTTTGAAATATTCTTCATCAAAGGGCTTGATCTCAGCGCGCTGGTTTGACAGACGCATCTTAATCCGGGTCTTACCAGATAGTCGTGTTTTATTCCCCTGAAACGACATTTAAGACTTCGAATGTCTTGCGCTCCACAATACAACCCATATCTTATAAAAAAAACATCACTTCCAGGGTTGTGGCACATCCTTTTAGGTCTGCGCCGCTTTTCACCCGATCGTCTGAGGAACCATAACGTTGGTGTCTTTTTGTGGGGAGCATGTTTGCCCTTCTGACTGCTCGGTATTCTGATCTTGAGCTCAATAAGCGTTACAGGTGATGATGCCCGATCCTTATTCAGATCAATCCTCGGGTAGCCGCTTACTGGGTTGCGCATTGTTGAATACTACAAGAATAATTTAAAGCTTATCACTTCTTGTGAAACATCTGCCAAAAATATCCATCAATCCAATGGCGCTCTCGCCTTTGAGACGCCGTTTTCATTCATGAGGTCTCTCATTTAATAATTTTTGTGCCAGGAGTCCATCCGGAGTTTTGACGGTAAAACGTCAGAAGAACAACTTGAAAAAGACTATATCAATTACATCAAATCTGATGTGGCGAATCGGTATCATATTTTAAAATGAGAGATTTTAGCTATTTTTCAGTACTCTCTTCTTTCTCATGATAATCATTCGAACATCCTTGAACTTGACCTCTTTTCTGCAGAGAGCACAATGGCCTGCTCTCCTATAACCTCTAGAACTGTTAACCATCTGGAAAAGACACTCGGTGCAGAATACATGTCCACAGGGCGTGACAAGTGCTGCTTCCGGGGGGTCAAAGCAAATAGGACACTTGTAATCAGATGCGCGCTTATGCTCAGAAGGTCTGACGATTTTTTCCTGAAGTTCGTCAGCCGGTTCTTCATCTGATATCTCGACTACTTGTTGTAATCTTGCTTCAGCATCACTATCAGAGTTGGCATCTGGCGTGTATCTTGCATCAACGCCTGCTCTGAAACTACGATCATCCAGTTGGATAACGCTTGTGGAGTGCTTGCTATGATCATGCTCTCCATCGACAGAAGCAGCGCTGTTCTCCCCAACAACCTCAAACGAGTCGTCATCCTCATACTCTAGATCTTCTCCCTCACTGGCCCTGTCGTTCGCCTGAGTAAGCTCAAGTTTCAGCTCAGCTTCAAATTCCTCAGAATTTTCCTCGTCAGAACTAGACTCCCCCACAGTGATCTTTTGTCTCTTCGGCCTCCGTACATATTCCTCCGGGATATCTGTTTCAACTTCATCCTCGTCATTATTCTCAAACATAAATGGTCGCTCTTGTACATCATGATCGTTATCTGTTGCTTCTCTCGTTTGTCGTGCGTTATCACAACCTGGAACTCCACCTTCACCAGAAATGCCGCTCATACTTTTGATTATTGACCAATCGTTCTTCTAATCGCGCATCAGTTAATAAAGTTACCGAGGTTTGCGGACCATCCATTTGTCTGTTATCACTTCGCTATTAGCCCTTAACAGGGCTCTAAACTTCTTTTGACTGTTCAATTCTAACATCCATACATATTTCTGAATTTTGTAAAACATCCCAACATCTCTCTTGTATCTTTTTTTTGAATACATATGCAGTTTGGGCATTTGTTACGAATGGTGGCACTGACTCCTGTGCCGAGCGCTTCCTGAGTGAACTTTCATCAAAATTGTTTAGAGCACAGCTACCGCTGCTTGCTAATACTGAATCACCAATAAACAGTAACAATGTCCGGTAACGGTGCTCAAGGTACTAAATTCAGAATTTCTGTATGTTTAGAACAATAATTTGAAGAATATGGCAATGCAGCAGTTTGTGGTCCCAAGAACGACGATATTGAGGAGATTACGATGAATTTAATCCTAAGCGATGTGGAACGGCCGAAATAATAGGATCGTGTTAGGATAAAGATGAACTGGAAGCTTTAAATATGCCTCAATAAAGTAAACTTCACGGATTAAGAAATTATTCATTACTCGATGCCGTATAATCTAAATGTCCAAAAAGGTTGGGTCCCCGGGTATCATGTTAGAAAGCTTTTAGCTTAGAGGGCAAACAAACATCTGCAGTCGACTTCGGAAATCAAGAGAGCTTATTACTAACAATTTATTTCAGCTTGGTTTGCCAACTGGTGCCATCATGAACTGTGCTGACAACACTGGTGCCAGAAACTTGTACATCTTGGCTGTCAAGGGCTCTGGTTCCAGATTGAACAGATTGCCAGCTGCTTCCCTAGGTGACATGGTTATGGCCACCGTCAAGAAGGGTAAGCCAGAATTGAGAAAGAAGGTTATGCCAGCTATCGTCGTTCGTCAAGCTAAGGCCTGGAGAAGAAAGGATGGTGTTTTCTTGTACTTTGAAGACAACGCTGGTGTCATTGCCAACCCTAAGGGTGAAATGAAGGGTTCTGCCATCACTGGTCCAGTCGGTAAGGAATGTGCTGACTTGTGGCCAAGAATTGCTTCTAACTCTGGTGTTGTTGTTTAAATACAATAAAGCTTTAGTTACAACATTAGGATTAATTAACATTTTACATGTGTAAACTTAAACAATAAGTGAATTTTTCGTTCAGCAGTAGTTTTCCTGAAGTTTCGTGTTGTGTGTGCTGCTAAGATCAGATTTTCTAATTACATATTTGGAGTTTTCGTACATCAATGACATTACTTGAATTGTATCAATTTCTGAAACTTATGGCCAATTCCTGAGTGGCAACCAGAAGAAATCACATGGAATCGTCTCATGTCAGTTCCACACTGGAGTTGCTGTCTTCAAGCAAGCTGAAAGAGCGCAACAAGGGGTTGGATGAACTGACAACACTTTTAAAACAAAGGCCTACAATCTTTCAGGCTAAGCATCTTAATACAGCAATTGAGAGTTTGATAGGTATACTTGAAATTGAACGCGCCAAGTTTATCAAATTTCAAAGTGAAGAATTGCAGAATGCAACAAGCAAGACCGCAGCCGCTGAAAACCGTCTCACAGCGACTTCCTACGTTCTGCGCCTTTTAATCGAGAAGACCAATGACAGAATGAGGGCCAAACAGATGAGATTCCTAGTTGTTATGCTACCTGAGCTTATGGTCATTGATGATTCATTGGAGCTTCTGAAACCTATTTCCCAAAACATTTTATGTGCATTAGAGACGCTATTGTTGTCCGACATCTTCCAGTTAAAATTTGAACTACATCAATGGATCTCATTGGTAAAGAAAATGAGTAATTCGCTATTGAAACACTTGGATCATGAAGTAAATGATAAAAATGTTTCTCAACTTTTCAAAGTGTTGGTGTCCTTGATTTCAATTGATACCATAGGAATTCAGGATGTTGTAGTGGACATGGTAGGGCCCATCATGAAATATTTGCGCATAACGCAAGAAGAAAACTCAAATACGAAAACGCTTCTACAACTCGTGAACAGATTTGTCATTAAGACCTACATGACCGAAAGTAGCTGTTGTATGAAATTGATAGAAGCTACGATGGCACACTTGGTGTCTGTTCAAAACTTTACTGGAGATGGTGTGGAGTACGAAATATCTATCTTTACCATATTTCTCAGTAACATTATAAATCACAAACTTCCTGTAATGGTGGGAGCGTCGGACTCGCTCTTTGCATGCGATCCACGGTCTTTACTGCAAACTTATCAAGACTTCCTTCTTGTGAATCTTAATTTTTACCGACCTGAAAAGCTTTCATTAACCTTGTTTGAGTTTGGAAATATTGACAATAGAGTTGAATGGTATGAATTAGATGACTTCCAGCTGTGTAAAAATGCAGACCCTAATCATTGGCTGCAAATTTATGGTATCACGAAAGGCGTTGTTGCTTACTATGACTTACTAAGGAAATGCAGTACTTTTGAAACAGATCAGACCACCAAAAAGCGTAAAGTCGCAATCTCTCTTGGCTCCATTTTAAAATCAGGACATTCCCCAATTGAATTTTTAGAAGATTGTGTTGCAAATGATAAGCCTTCTATCCAGTTATTTGGATTGCAGTTTTCTGCGTTTTTTACATCCTTATCTGTGCTTGATGCCGAAGTCATTAAAAACCTTCGTAAAATCATCATACAAAAGTTTGAAAGTGATATACTTAAGGGCTGGGCATGCCTTGCATCAGTTCCTTTATACTCCAGAAGATATAAAGGTATTCTTATCAACGATTTTTGTGAACGCCTTTTCAAACTATGTTTGCCGCTAATAAAGTCCACTGAGCTCAGCAAGGTTTCGTGTGCACTACTCACTACACTTCTGGAGTTGGATGAAACAAGTTTGATTACAGATCAATCGGTTGTACATCAAATATATGACGTTTATGAGCTTTCGGAAGTAAATGGGCCTATTTTGGTAAATAATGAGGCCTTTTCCTTTTGGCAACATCTTCATGTTTATGGGAAATCTTATCCTTCACATTCGCGGGAGTCTGAAGGTCGCAGAATATTTTTATGGCTTTTATCAAAATGGAGTCAGCTAGCTGATCTCAAATCTGATCAAAATGAACTGCACAACTTTGTTGCATGGTTAAGCGGTAGTAACTCAGTTACTTCGGTGCGAAGTTCGTCAACATATTTCAAGCATTTTGATAAAGTCTATTACCCTCAATGGCAAAAGTGGCAAACAGAGAGAGAATTCTTTTTGTTCCAAGAGGAAGTGGTTAAACCTTCAAGCGCATTCAAAAGTGTGGATCCAGTTACAACAGTTGAGCAAAATATGTTATGCACCTTTTTGGACCAAATTTGCATCATTCTTGAAGATTCAGCCATCAATACTGAAACTCTCTCAAAATGGGTCGGTGAAAGTATTAGAATTATTGATCATCTTTACGGAAACACGAATTTTGTGAATCTCGTTGAAAACTTCAAAAACTCTGTGAAACTTGCGATTGTGAATCTGAATTCCATGGAGATAAACTCAATATCGTCCTTTCCTTTTCATGCAGTCGCGGATTTGAAAGGTGTCAAGTATGCTTCGTATTCTCTCCTATCAGAATTCAACGTTCACTACTTAATAACTGAATTTAAGAATAACTTTTTGAGCACTGAATCATCTTCCAAATTGCACAGACTGGATAACTTTGAAAGCTCTAGGAAAAAGAACGACGTAAAAGCATTTTCTTTCATCCCTGATTTTTTGAGTAGAGGATTCTGTGAAAATCCGCTAAAATCAACCACCGAATTCATTCTCAATATGAGTATTTATTCAAGTGATCTGACCTTAGATGACGGCATAAAGACTCTACTTGACTTTTTGACAGGAATGCCAACGGAGTATATACTGCCGACAGTTCCCCCAATGGTTGAGCATTTAGCCAACTCCAAAGAAGAAATTTCTATCACAACTTTGGAAAACTTGACACATTTTTTGGGCTCCACTTTGCTTTCGTTAAAATTCAATAGTTCAAGCATTTCTCTGATTTCGCTATCCATGTTTTTGGAATCTATAAGAGATTCTTGGTTAACATCAGTAGGTTCTCTACTCAACACAGATTGCAATGACATATTTGAATGGATCGTTAGCAGATTCGAAGATAGTACAATCACCTCGACAAGCTCTCTGCTATGTTTATCAGAATTGATGCTTCAAATGTTAAAAAAAAATGATTTATCTAATGGCTCGGTAAATGGTGGTAAGCAAAGAATATTTGGTATATTCATTGGCTGTCTGACACGATTGCCTGCCTATATGATGATATCGAAAATAAAGGAAATGCAAGGTTATATATTGAAGGTTAGTTTCAAGAATCAATTGATTATGTTCTCCGCCATCACAGAACTATTCAAGACGCCACAAGAATCAATCGAAAATGCAGCCTTTTACACTTTCTCCTTAATTCCAATAAGTTCGATCTCATATCCTCTTCTCGTTCATTCTCTTCTTCACATGTTTCAATTTGTTTCTTATCCTCATGTGAGGTATTATATCACTTATGCTCTTCGTCTGATCTCATCACTCAAGAATTTCGAGGATTGTACGTCACTCTTTCGTCTTTGTCGTTTTGATATCATAAATTTTTGGTTTCAGGAATACGAACGAAATAATTATTATGATTTCGACTCATGGGACGTTGCTTTGTTCGGCTTTGAATCAATTCAAAGTTTTGTTATGGAGTTTCGACGTGAGATCAGTGGATTCATTTTTTCTCTTGGCTATCAAAAGTCGGATATGTTGGGAGCATTGATCAAAATAACCAGTGCCCAACATAATGCTTTGCTTCAGGACTCATTGCATCTCGCGATTCCCTTATCATACTTGAAAAGCGGGATTGGAGATCGAATATTTGAGACATGCCTCGAGGTATTGGGTAAAGGCTTTGAGAAGACAGTACGCGAGATACCCTTGAATTTGTTTTATTGGTTTATGAGATTTGCAGATTTTGGTTCTATTCAGGAAATGAGGATTGTTTTGCAAAAACACTACCATCAATCCCCAATATCTTCGTCATTGTTTAACTCGGAGCTTGATAAACATAAATATCAATTTGATCTGAGTATTCCTTTCTCAAAGGTATTGAGGACCTTAAAAACTCATATACGAGAGCAGTCTCTGCATCGTGCTCACCTCAGATTTTTCCTGACTAGAGAGATGTTTGACCTCTCCTTGTCGACAAGTATCGAAGAAACTGTGCGCATTTTAAGAAGTATTAAATTGCTGTTGATTTTATTTCGTGATTATTTGAATGATTGTGATTACTTGGTTTCTGTTGTTAAAACGCTGTCAAAGTTCATATCCAAGGAGAATTTGAGAGATGAGATATTTTCCATCATATGTTTTCTGCTCGACATATATCACGACTTTCAGTTCAATGGCATTGACATGTTCCCTGCTATATTTGCACATTTATTTCTCATCCAAGATGTGCATGATTCTCTAGCTAGTGTTTCTTTGAGAGAAACACTTGTTGCAGTGGTTTCAGCTCAGTTATCAAACCTTCAATACTCCCAAACGTGGAGCTTTTGCATTGACGCCTTGCAGGGTAGAAAGTCTGAAGATGTTTATTTGGCGGATGAGCTGCTCGATGACGATATCGTGGATTCGAATAGGTTGCTACTTCTTTCACAGTTGTTTAGCTTCCAGCCTAACCCTGAGCCCTTAAGTATGACCTTTCACTTTTCCCATAGGGTAGTAAGGAATTTAATTTGTACAGAATTGTCAGACGAAAAGCTGTCGAATAACTTTTATTTATGGAAAGGTTACTACGTTGGATCTTTTTTCCTGAAAAATGCCCACCTCCCTGAATTACTTGACAGTAAGAATGCATGGTCAGACTTAGAAAACCTTTTGTGCGATTGTGATAATTTCCATGGTATAATTGAACTGCTTCACAATTCGCTCCGCAAATCACAAGAACCAAAGTTGACGTATCTTTACGGATCAGTAATTGGCCTCTTAACGGGAGCAAGCACCGATGAGCGTGGACAGCACGGTCACCATTACGAAGACAATTCTTCAAAATTTGCTGCAATTTCTCTGCAAGATTTCGCGCTGTTTCATGGGGATTTGAGTCTAAAAGAGGGATCAGATGACTTTCTAAGAAGAAAGCACTTATCAGAAATCACTTACAATGACTGGCTTTTGAGCTTATTTTTCGCATTAACCATTGATCTACAAAGCTTTGCACCCATGGCATTCGCCCTTCCGGTTGTGGCGAAATATGATTTAGAGTTTGCTGAAATCACTATCTTACACATGTTTCTTTATTTACTAAGTCATGAACCAAGAATGGCCAGCAAACTAATTACAAATTTTCTTCAAAGTTTTGTGAACTTCGCCAAATTAAAAGATCTTAAAGACTTACACAAAAAGGCAAATGTGCTGTTCAAGCTCTTCTTTTTAATCAGGGCAGGAGCGAAGCGTAAAGTTACTCAATTTGTCACATTATACTCTCGATTGAATCTTTTCGAGTTCTACCAACTTGCTATGAAAATAGGGCAAATGGAGTTTTCTTTTATGATTTTCGAAGAACTTTATCTAGGGAACGTCGAGCCATTGAACTTCTCGTCTTTATCTACTATTTTCAGCGGCTTGCATGATGATGATTTGAGGAGTTCTCTTCCCACTGTAGCATCTTTATCCTTCGCCATTAGCCAGGCAAATAGAGCAGAGCCACGATCAATGAAGACGTTCATGTTTAATAATGGACAATACGATGTTGATACTCTGTTAATCGGTAAGGCAGATACTGAGAGTTTATTAAAGTCCATTAGCATTAATGGATTTAAAGGTCTCGCAGAAGTTGTAGGGGACAATACTGGTGCTCTCGATGACTCGCGCATGGATGAAATTTATCAGTGGAGCATTGAATTGGGAAAGTGGGATTTGCCCGCTCCTGGTCCATGTGACTCTCGACCTAAAGCACTGTACTCACTGCTGAGAACCGTCGAACTCTACTTGATAGATGTACGAGATGTAATTGAAGATACTCTCCCTCTGATTGCTAGAAAGAGAAAGCACTTTTCAGAGCATCCCGAGTGGGCAAGCGTTCTATCTGATATCGCAACATTATCTTATTTTGTTAAGTCTTTACGTGACTGTGAGCAGAGCACCCTTCTCTTGAGTTGTTTAAAGCTCTCTGATATTGCTTTCTTGAGAAATAATGACTTTCAAGACTATCAATTCACGATGAAAGTCCGTCAAGTATTTCTCAACCTATTAGGAAAAGACAATCGTTGTATGGTGAGTCAACCGCTTGTTGCATGTTGTGAAGTTTCAGAATTGGCAAAATATTGCAGACTATCCAGAGAATGTGGAGCCACACAAGAATCAATTACAACTGCGATGCTTTTAGACAGGGTGACAAAAATGAGAGAGCAAGAGATTCTGGGGAAACCCTGTAGACGAGTGGCCGTATTCGAAGCAGCTCAAGTTCTATGGGAACAGAAGGAAAACGCTGTCGCAATATCCATGTTGAAGTCGCTGTTGCAACAGATCGGCGAAGAAGACGAAATCAGTGTTGAATTACAACCAATGAATAAGTTTCTAGAGGTCTCGGATGTAAAAATCAAGTCTCTTTTGGTGCAATGGATTTCAGCTTCGAGACAAGAAACTGCAGAATCCATTTATAAAAACTATATTGCTTCGTCGCAGAGTGAAATATTCGAAGTTGAAGATTATAGAGAAAGGTCAAGCATTTTCTACAGGTTTGGCGATTTTTGTTATGAACAGGTACGTCTCCTTGGCAATAATCTTGAGATGGAAGAGAGACAGAAAAGGTTCAAGAAAGGCTCAGAGGAATTGCAGGTACTTTATGATATTGTCCATGATCTCAAGTCTTCGGAACGAGAGAGAAAAGAGGCTAGAAAGCATTACAATAGATTAAAATTGCAAGTGGAACAAGACAAAGAAATCGTGAATAATCTTTCGAAACAATTAAGCCTTTTCATTTGGAACTCACTTCACTTTTATTTAAATGCTATGGTTTACAGCAATGAAAAGGATGACGATGTTTTGGATAAATTCTGTGGTTTATGGTTTCAATATTCTTTCAATGAAGATGTAAATTCGAGGTTATATCAAGAAATTGGATCAATTCCCAGTTTCAAATTCCTACCTTGGATCAATCAAATGACTTCAAGACTCGGAATGGAGAACACTTCTTTTCAAAAAACCCTTCAATTAACATTGAAAAGGGTGCTTTTCAAATTGCCATATGAATCACTGTACTCTCTCATTAGTCTGAAACTTCACAAGCGATTTGATTCAGCAAAGGATCCATCTGTTTCTACTAGAGTGAGAACCGCCGAAAAGCTTTTAAGAGAATTGGAAAACTATGATAACGGCAAATATAATACCGAATTTGTCACTCCCATTGAAGAATTCTGTGACAAATGTGTCGACTTGGCGAGTTTACTTCCCCCAAAAAGAGCCTCTAAAATTGACTTAGAAAATCTTAAAATTGGTAATTATTGGTTACGACAATTGGGTAGCAAAAATCTTCTTTTACCGACCATGTCTTACACGATTACATGCTCTGCCGATGGTCGCAAGCCGCGGCCTATGATTACGCGGGTTGAAGAGACAGTTGAGATATCTCCTTCTGGACTATCTTTACCTAAGATTGTCACTTTTCTCTTATCTGATGGCACCAGACACAAAGTTTTAATGAAAGGAAGTAACGATGATTTACGTCAAGATGCTATCATGGAACAGGTGTTCAAACAAGTTAACAAAATTTTGATTCGAAATAAACAAACGAGAAGATATGGATTACGAATAAGAACGTACGAGGTGGTTCCACTGGGTCCGCAGGCAGGACTTATTGAGTTTGTGTCCAACTCAACATCATTGCATGAAATTCTGTGCAAGCTTCACAAGGATGATAATATTTCGTTTGAGCAGGCTCGGAAAGCCATGAAATCGGTTCAAACGAAAAGCAATGAGGATAGGTTGAAGGAATATAGGAGAATAACGAAATCTATTAATCCTCAGTTCAGAAGATTTTTTTTTGAGTCATTCCCTGACCCCCATCTGTGGCTTAACGCCAAATTGACCTATACTAAGGGTGTTGTTACTACTTCAATTATCGGATACATTTTGGGGCTCGGCGATAGGCATTTAAATAACATATTAATTGACAAGTCTACTGGAGAGCCGATACATATTGACCTTGGGGTAGCTTTTGATCAAGGAAGGTTATTACCGATTCCCGAACTTGTGCCATTTAGATTAACTCGCGATATGATTGATGGGTTTGGAGTAGTGGGAGTCGAGGGACCATTTCGGAAAAATGCTGAACGTGTTTATAACGTCTTAAGAAAGGACTATGAGAGAGTTATGAGCGTTCTCAACGTGTTAAAATGGGACCCGCTTTATTCATGGGTAGTGTCCCCTCTCAGAAAGAAGAAACTCCAGGCTCATTTAGCTGATGACAGCAATGATTCGGGTGTCAGTTACAATAAAGAATATCATACTGAGGATAATAATGAATCAATCAGAGCACTCAAAGGAGTGCAGGAAAAGTTACTTGGTGGCGGTTTAAGCGTGGAGGCTATAGTTCAAGAGCTCATACAGCAGGCGACCGACGAAAATAATCTTGCAGTAATTTATATGGGATGGTCACCGTTTTATTGAGTTTCATTCGGTATAATTAATATGAAACAATTGTACGTTATGTCTATGTGGTTTTTAGCACTTTATGTAACAATAGAATTCTGTATTAGACAGAACCATTTTCAACGAGCTCTACGTAATTACTAGGAATGATACCAGTTTGACCATTGGCTCTTTTGGCCTTCCACCATCTGCCTTCAATGTCACCGACTCTCAAAATTTCACCCTGCTCAAAAGATATCTCGTAAGCATCTGACTCGTCAGCATTATATGCGTATAGAGCCTTAGCTGTATAAGGAAAGCTGCTGAGCTCATCTCCAATATCACTGTACAGCCCCAGTGTGTCACCCATTGTCGTTTCAGTGTTTCCATTTGTCGTATCTGTAATAAACGTGTTCGTGTTGTGAGGATCACCTAGGTCGCCAGCAAATGCGGGCGCTACGGGTGGCTCGGCGTTTTCGAAACCATTTAGCGCGGTTGAAGACACATAATGTTGAGAATGCGTTTCGGGATAAAAGTTGTTTGGTTGCTGAACAGATCCGCGGTACATATCGTTTGGTGATGATGAGTATTTGGAAACATGACGACTTGCTGGTAGGGGCCTGCTATTTAGAGCTAATGAGGACTCTAATACAGAATGGCGCAGCCCCTTTACAGAGAACGAATCGATCCACCTGTTGGTAGGAGCAGCATTGTCACCACCGTAGTAGAATATCCAGATGAGGTTCACCATTGACAGCAGGATAACACCAGCTGAAGCGGCTGCCATTCTAGACCCATCGGAGTATACCAAGTTCGTGGCACTATTGGTGGTGTAAACGAAGGCGACCGCGATGGCACCACTCAGAAAATTCTTGTAGTAATCTATCAAGTCAAAGATATAGAACAGAATGAGGGCAACGATAATCAAAAATTGATATACGATCCCCCACCATGTGAATCGCGGAAACGACTCGCTTGTCGCAGCCGCGATGGAACCTGCAATGGCGATGATCCACGATATCAACGCCATAGAAAGTGATGACACTGCAAACGGATCACTGAGCAGGTTACTAACATTGAGCTGATGCACACGATGTGGATTATTTCTCTTTTGTTTGGCTTCCATCCCACTTGGAATAGGCATTGTTATTGTTGTTGGCTATACTTTTCCAGTTGGATTCAATGTTGACTGCGATATCATGCACCACTCGACTGTGATCTTTAATATCAAGCTAAAGTACAAGTTAGGAAGATAAAGGTACTTTTTTATCGAGAATCTATGAGATCGATTTATAAAGATGACTATTGATACGTTGGAGAATGATCGCTACTGTTGCGCGTTTCAGAAAGAGTATCGCGTTTGATGTTCGTTACACACGATAAATATATATAAATATCTAATTAAGGTTGGCATCATAAGAATAGTATTAATGACCTGCTCCATAGAAGAGAGTGGCAGAAAGGCATGTTACCAGTACGCAGAACCCCCAGCAAGTTAACAGTAATGCTGCATATTTGATTATCTTCGTTTTGACTGGCATAGGTTCGTTTTTGTATTCAGATCCGATGAGCTGGTATCCGAACACACCCGGCAGGATGAAGGAAATAGAGGTAGAGCCAGTGGCACCCACAATGGCTAGTACGCGGGCAAGAGATGTTACTGAAATTGCCAGTAAGTAGGAGCACAAAAGAATTCCGGATGTGATCAGTATAAAGGCACGGCGTTCTAATGGCACGACGCTAGGCTGTTGAGGGCTGCCCTCCTCTACCAGCTCATCAGTAGGTATTGTGAGTAAATGGGAATTTTCGCTGCTTCCCCTTGGAGTAGACTTGTTTGTGGGGGCACTTGACACGGATGGAGTTTCAACGGAATCTGGTGTGAATGTGAAATAGTGAAAAATATGGTTAATGGAGGCTCTTGCAGGGTGGCACTGAAGGGGGAACGCTAGCATCACCAGGATCACTATTGCTACCCTCCCAATTGTGGTAGAGGTGGCTTGTGGGTACAGCGTAATGATATTCCCAGCCACGTTGTCACCGAATGTGGCGTAGCCGGAACCCCCAATCATGACGTAGAGCAGCATAGCCAATGCCATGGCAGTGATTGCAACTCTATAGATGTTTCGTAGCGAATTGTCCTTAAGCTCGTTAACAATTGAAAACATATTATGGTGGCAGGTGTAGGCAAACACGAATATGGGGAAACTGCTGAGAGCGGAGGAATGCGAGTCATGAGGTTTCCATAGGTGCACATCCCCGCGTAGTTCTAGGATCTCCTGCGAAGGCCACAGGAAGTGTACAACCACTAGAACGCACAGATAAGCCACTGCAGAGATGGCAATCATCGATGCGTATCTTAGCGAATCAAGTCTCCGCATAAAACATAGCGGGGCCACCACAAAGAGCATCACCAATGTGATATGGAAGTTTCTCTCTAACAAAAGGTGATTTGTGGTAAACGTCAAGCAAATTTGCGGAAGTAGGTCACCCACCACCACCATGTAGGACACACCAACACCGAAACACTTGACCGCGATTGCCAGATCGAACACAACACTCAGTTGTGGGTAGGTAATCTGTGACAGTGCAAAGAAAGATGCATTATTAGTGCCCGCGTATTTCGAAGCGTGTCCCTGTAGAAGCAAGCCTGTTGCTGAACACGCACCGCAAAACACGATCATCACGAATCCCAGTACCAATCCAAATGGTTTAAACGCGTATGGCATTGCTAGAATCCCTGCCCCACATGCTGTATGCAGAAGTGTGACAACACCAGAACGTACGGTTGAAGACATACTGAAGAACCGCGCAGCAGAGGTTGTTTCAGTGTGATTTCAATGGGATTTAATGGATGTATATTGTTGCAAAATACAACATAAATAAACCGCATAAGGAAAGCGTTTTCAACGACTCGGTAAATGATAAATGAGAAACACTTTACACGCCTTAATACTAAGGTATAGAAGCCATGGTATCAATTTATATAATCTGAATGATATCGATATATTTGGATGTTGTCTGTGGCGCAATTGAACGTGGCGAAACAATTTGTTTGAAGTTGATTTCATTTTATGTTTTAAAGAGATTGACTTAAATTCAATGATCAAATAAATATCATAAATGGAAATCGTGAGCTCAATAACGCGAAGCGTGTTAAGCATTACATTGCACTCCTCTAAAAATCCACCACTGTTTTGAACGCTTGAACGATATTAATGAATTGGACTGCGGTGCCAGGCGCTGCCAGCTACCAACTGCCGGTGCTATATACATGACCAAAACGGCCGAAGCTCTATATACAAGACCTCATGCGAGAAGCAACATCCGTTAGTAACCCTTTCTCTTGGCATCCTTAACGATGTCTATCAGCCTCTTGAAGCCCTTCATGAAGTCTCTTCTATGCTTCTGGGATCTGCGCAGCTCCTTGGCCTTGCCGGGCTTGAGATGGAAACGCTGGTTACGTCTATCTTGTGCGATGCGATTGGCGAATACTATCGAGTTTAGCTGTCTGAAAGCACCTGAAGTGTCGCCGTTGAATACATCCACACTACGCCCTCCCTTGACGCCAGTCAACCGTGAGCCCATTGCGTCTTCCTTCGGAGAAAGTACAAAAGATTCCGCCAGCCGTTGCTGCGATCTACTCTGCGTTGTTTCGTTGGTCTTGGGAAGTTTCATCTCCAGTCTGTTGACCGCAGATGCACCGGCGGCCGTTCCGCTCAAGGGGTTCAATTGTGATGGATCAAAGATTGGAGAGTTCCCGCTATTGCATAACCTGGCGCAATTGCCAAACATTCTAATTCCACTCGTCACACGAGTACCCGATCTCAACATCTTCTGCCTTTGAACGCCGTAACACGGAGCTTGTTTCCTGGATTTCTCACTGTCTAGTTTTGAAAAATTTTCAGAAACGTTACTGGTGATATCAAATATCTCTAAAGTTCAAAAGATGTCAAGTCATTATTAAAACAAGAAAGTATCGGGAAGCTACTCACCAGTTATGGCAAAGGAAGATACAGAGGTTATTGAGAATCCCGAAAACCCCACCGAGGTGGTGACAGAGTCACTCGGAGAAAAACCTGCAGATGAGGACGCTAAGGTAGCATCCTCGGAGAAGAAGAAAAAGAAGAAGAAGAAGAAGTCTAATATTAAGAACATCGCATTGCTTTATCCGGACGAGAAATATCCAGAAGGCCAATGGATGGATTACCATCAAGACTTCAACCTTGCACGTACCACTGATGAGGAGAAGAGGTATTTGGCGCGTGACAAGGACCATGAACAGAGATGGAATGACATGAGAAAAGGTGCCGAAATCCATCGGCGCGTTCGGAAAAACCTGCAAAACAAGCTCAAGCCTGACATGACACTCACGGACGTGGTGAATACAGTTGAGGATGCGACACGTAAGTTTACAGGTCAGGACGCCAACGGAGATCATGTAAAGCTACCAAAGTCACAGGGTATCGGTTTCCCCACAGGTGTATCACTCAATCACTGCGCAGCGCATTACACGCCTAACGCAGGTGACAAGATGGTGTTGCGTTACGAGGATGTCATGAAGGTCGATATCGGTGTTCAGGTCAACGGATACATCGTGGATTGCGCGTGGACCGTAGCATTTGATCACAAGTACGACAACCTGCTCGAGGCTGTACGCGAAGCTACCTACACCGGTATACGGGAGGCCGGTATTGACGTTCGTCTTACCGATATTGGTGAGGCCATTCAGGAGGTCATGGAGTCATATGAGGTCGAGCTCAACGGTACCACGTACCAGGTCAAGCCCTGCCGTAACTTATGTGGCCACAACATCGCACCTTACCGAATTCACGGAGGTAAGTCTGTGCCTATTGTGAAGAACGGCGATACCACCAAAATGGAGGAAGGCGAACATTTTGCCATTGAGACTTTCGGTACTACCGGTCGGGGCTTTGTGGTTCCCGGTGGTGAGTGTTCCCACTACGCCAAGAACGATGGCCCATTACCAACTCCTAATTTGTCACGCGCAAAGGCTCTACTAAAGACCATCGATGAAAATTTTGGCACCCTACCGTTCTGCCGTCGTTATCTCGACAGACTAGGTGAAGACAAGTACTTATTTGCATTGAACAATCTCGTGAAGCAGGGCATCGTGCAGGATTATCCACCATTGAACGACGTGGTCGGCTCCTACACTGCGCAGTTTGAACACACTATTCTTTTGCACCCACACAAGAAGGAAGTCGTCTCAAAGGGTGATGACTACTAACTTAACCTACACATGTCCGCATAGGCTCTATATAAAAACCTCAATTGACTTTGTAGTCTATTATATTTGCATTTAAACGGCCCGGAAAGAGACCGGAAACTTGTGATAACTATGTACGTACGTATTCGCTGTTAACATTCGAGTACCTTTTCTTCGCATGAAATTGCTGCAGTGATCCACTTTGATCAGTAATCATCATCACCAAGGAAGAAGAGAGCAATGATCGACATTTCTCCCAATGTTCTGGAGTATAAAGGTATGCAATAAATGGTTTTAACAGACGCGTGACTGAACCCAGCAGGCGAAACAGGCTTGGCAGTGGAGTGTTAGCGTGGCGGCGTTGTTTACTATTGAAGAGATGGCCGTGAAAAGTGGTGTTCTCACGATTGTACATCCCAACAGGCTACTGTATACTAATTTATGGGAATGGCAACATTTTACTGGCCTGAAGATCAATCAGCCCGAAACTCTGGATCGTCACTTTCGTCAAAATGGCAATTAAGTGACCCCTTACTAACTTTTCTATATGATGTAGCCCCCTTTACCTCCCAATCTACAGAATATGTTACTGTCACCAACAATTCGGAGCAAAACATTGCTTTCAAGGTGAAAACCACGGCTCCAAAGTTCTACTGTGTTAGACCTAACGCCGCGGTCGTGGCTCCAGGTGAGCAAGTGCAAGTGCAGGTGATTCTGCTTGGCCTTGCAGAAGAGCCAACTCCAGACTTCAAATGCCGTGATAAATTCCTGGTCATAACGTTGCCAGCTCCCTACGATTTGGGTACCTCCACTGTCACGGAGGCGTGGCCCCAGCTAGAGGCGGAGTTCAAACAGCAGGCGGTGTCCAAGAAGATTAAAGTGAAATATTTGTTTAATGAAGAATCAAAGACCGAGGAGCCTGCCGTTGCAGAAGCTGCAACTGTCGACGAGCCTGTGACTACTCCAGCTGAAAAGGCCCCAGTTCAAAGTGCTCCTGAAATTGAAGAAAAAACACCTGTCAAGAATGTGGCAGAAAAGAAAGAAGCCGAGGTTCCTGCTGCCAAGGAAGCACCTGCTGCTCCAGTCCAGCAATTAGCGGAAAAGACAGAGGGTCCTTTAAGCCCATCTATCGTATTATTTGTCGCCTTGATTGCTTTGTTTCTTGGTTGGATGTACTATTAAGCCCTGTATCCTTTAGATCAAATCTAGATGACCACAATAGAACAGTAAAAAGACTTTATCAAGAGAATGAGCAGCAAGTCTATCATGTGTGTGTTTCGGTAGTTTCTACTTATTTTCACTTCTTTAACAGACGTAACATGTACTAACTTTCGTGTTAAATATTTTGATCAGGTTATAGGCATCGAATGATTTTGAGAGCCATTATTAAATCTTGAAACTAGATATGTCAAATTTGTTTTAAAATATACAACGTATTAAAAAAACCTTGCGGCTGATTTTTAAAACTTGTAAGCTTAAGCAGCCAAACCCAAACGACCGTTAGGGTTGGTGACCTTGACACCCAAGGCCTTAGCTCTAGCCAAGATGGTAACTCTGTTCTTGGAAGAAACGTTGTGAGCAATTTCAGCAGCGTAAGTTCTGGTGTGCATCATCAACAATTCCAAGTCCTTGATGTTAGAAACCAAGAAGGTCTTGTGACCAGATGGGGACAAGAACTTGGTCTTCTTGTTGGAACCGTAACCGATAGTTGGCTCAGAAATGTTACCTCTGAATCTTCTTCTGACAACAGAGTCAATACCCTTTTGCTTTCTCCAGTTCTCAGCGACTCTGATGTAACGGTCAGAGTGATGACGCTTGAACTTCTTTGTATGTTTCTTGACAATCTTTGGGTGTGGTAAAGAAGCAGCCATCTGTTTAAACTGTTAGTATTTTTTACTCGCAATTGGAAAATGTACGATGTGAGCTACGCCATCTGGACATCTTATGGTCCCTCGACTGATACAATTTTGTTCATCTTGGACAACAGGCCCACTCAACTAGCTTGAAACATCCTTATCCCGGTATCAATTACAAGATGCATTTGTAACACGATTCTCTGGAATACAACCACATGCAATGTTTTCACTGTGTATATCTCATTGTTTTGTAGATGCCCTCGCCTAGGTAACTGGTTACAACAGAGGATCCAAATTGTTCTGCCTTAGTCGATCACAAACTGTTTGATATCGGTTGCTCACTCGCTCGTTTCATCATTATTCATTTCCCACATACCTTTCTTATTACTTTCCTTGGTCTATTCTAAAGCTAAACAGATTACAGTTGCGACTGAAAACGTCAAATGTTTTTCGCTAACTCCACAGGCCGAGGCTCGGTGTGTGTGCACTGTCTACGGGCTCACCTTGCTGGAGGGAGTGCCGCCCGTTGCTGAGGCAGCTAGGCCAGTACCCCAGGCAGGGTTTCGGCCCAGAGCGCGGTACTGGGCAGAGGGGGCCAGACAGAGCGGCTGCCCGGCGAGCCCAGGGATCAGCCCCCACTCACAAAAAAACTTCCATAGGTCGCAAAAAACTCAACAAAAAAAATTGAGATGAGAAAAACCCTGACACCACATATTGAATACAGAGGACAAGGTCAGAATTTCACAACGGAGGCAGCTCATATCTAACCAGCCACCCCCCTGAAGCTATGAGGGCACTGTAAAGACGGGTTTACACCTCTATACTTGTAAGGAATGCGTCCAACAGTCAACAGGCCTGCGCAATAGGCTCTATGCTGTTGTTTTCGAGGTCGTTATGTGTTTCAATGGTAAAATGTGTGGGTCTATGAACAGTCACGAAATAATTAAAAGTTTCACCTTCCAACACGTATCCAGTGACACAAAAAATTATACGAAAGTCCAACAAAAAGAACTGTGAAAGCCGGATGAACAAAGCAACGGTGGAGAGAATCGTAAAAGAGCTGTGTCCAACAAATATCGCCGAAAGACGAAAGTGAGAGACATTTGTATTTATAACAAGGCAAGCTCTAGTTGATAATCGAGATTTTGACACCAATAGCTCTCCTATCTCTACAATATGACCACAATGGAAGATCACATTTCCCCTGCGTACTACTACTACGTGGATCCTGCCACGGTTTACCAACCTCAACAACCCAGCCCGGTTGATGACCTAATATCGCTCTATGGGCTGCAGGACCTTTCGCGACAAGTGGCAAGAACGAATCCAGATGGAACAAAAGCAGTGAAACTGCGGAAATCGTACAAAAACCAAATTAACGATCTTTCAGGTAAGTTCTCAGTGATTCCTACTCGTGAGAATGGCAAAGGAGGTGAAATATCGCAAACTTTATTCCAAAATAACCCGGATATGATGCCCCAAGTACACAGAACACCCGATATGTCGTCCGAACAATGGCGTCACCTGATGATGGATAGAGACGCGGCGTTGTTCAACGGTGACAACATGGACTGGAACATGTGCGAGAGCGTGCTCACACAGTTTGAAAAGAGTTATCCTGCGGAGTTCCAGTCACAAGGGTTCCAAGTCGATGACCTGGCGTTTGACTTGGATGGTAGCGGGAACGCCATCAAAAGCAGAAAAAGAAAGAACAAATCCAACGGCAGCTCGATGGCTACGCCAAACAGCGATATGCAAGAGGATTTGAAACGGAGAAGGTTGGAGTAGGAATTGGATTGCACGGGTTGCGAGTGGTGTCTCAAAGCGGTCAGCGGGATCGGGATGGACACCCGTTGTTTCGCATTTTTAATAATTGTTTAGAAGTCACTACTATATAAACTTTGATTGGATAGATTTATACAAAATGGGTTTTATTGTCGACGAAAGTGGTTCTATGTGTTAGATATCGGACAGGAAAAAAGGTTTAAGCTACAAATTTACAAAAGGCCAGTTTGGTATCATCAGTTTCTCAAATAATCCCTTAGATAGTTCCCAAATTTCTGTGCCCCTTGCTCCACGACATCTTTCAACATTTGGAATTCGTCATCAGCGCCGCTGTTGAAGTCCACAAACCCGTTGTTGCCTTGACCATGCACTACTGGGCGGCCGAATTCGTCTTTTTCCTCTTCTTCTCCAAAGTAAGATGAGGATGAGATCGAGGTGGCATTATTGAAATTAGTCTTCAACTTATCTTGCGCCTCCTTGGAGGCAGCCTCATCGTAGTCACCTCTTCCGAACATCTGGTTGGACGAGATGGATTTCTGGTTACCAAACTTGGACGCTACTTCACCGGTGTATTTAGGTCCACTGGCGGCCCTTTTGGCCTCTTGGGCCTTGGCAGCTAGGTCATTGGCATCGTTCATGGTCATACCGAAGCCGAGCTTGGCAAGCTTTGGCTGAAGTGACTCCACGCTGGGTTGTATAGACTCTTTCTTGATCTCGTCAAATGCAACACCGTCGTTGTATTCTGAAGTTTCCGAAGTGTGGGAAAGGGAAGTTATCTTGACGGGTTTGGGCTCATCTGCATTGACCACCTTCTTGGAAGTGATACGTGGGACCGGGGCATCTTGTTCTTCCTGCTTAGCGGCTTTTTCGAATTCGTCAAAGAGATCCTCGGCCTCGGATTTGTCGACTTTCTTGGCGGCGAGTCTGGTTGGTTTTCGGCTAGAAGACAGGATGGAGTGTTTCTTGGTTGCAGTTGGAGCAGTGGCGGTTCTTCTTCTAGAGCTGCTAGAGGAGAGAAGTGACGTTTTGGAACCGTTTCTCGAGTTGCCGGTGGAGACGGGACTCAAGATCTTTGGGGAGGGCGAACTGGCGGCAGGTTTCTCCCAATTGGAGAAAAAATCATCCACGCTGTTGTTTTTGGAAGAACTCACAGACGAAGAGCCCGACGAGGTGTCCGCGGCGTCGTCTTCGGCGGAAAGCACGATCTCGCCCGGGTAAGCCTCCATGTCCTGGGCGACTCTCTTGTCCAAATGCGCTTTGTAATTCTTGGCCACGCTGCTGGTGTACTTCATACGGGCATCGACGTTGGTTCCCAGGAACTGCTTCCCGTTATGCTTCAAGAAGTACTCGCGCGCACGGTGGTTCCCCCCGAGTTTGAACCTTCGCAAGTTGTTGACGGTCCATTTGTCCAGGTTGGAGGATTTGACAAACGTGATGTGGACCCCCAGGTTTCTGTGGACCGCGGAGCACTGGATGCAGAGCATGACACCGAAGGGTACTGCGGTCCAGGTTGGGTTTTTGGTGCCACAATCGAAGCACACTCGGTTCTCTTGTTTCAAGGCCAGCTTCTGGAAGACCTTGGTGGTCACGTCTTTGGAGCAGTAAACCTCGCCCGCGTCGTCGCTCATGGGTGGTAAGGTGCGTGTTTCTGGCGTTGGGTGAGTTTTGATTCGGCATGCGAGAGAAACAAGTTGGAATGCGCCAAATATTTTGGGTCGATGCAAACTGACATCGCGCTGCACGTCGCGGACGCGTCTTCACGCGCAGGGCATTTACATGTAGAGGAGAAACGTACGGATCTATGTAGAAGAGATGCGGGTGGGAGGGCACGTTTAGAAGGCGTTGAACCACGTCACGTACTTGAACCATTTGGGTTCGACCAGGATGCAGGTGGCCGAGGCCAGAACGGTGGAGGTCTCGCGACCCAGCGGATTCCACCACCGCTTGGCAGGCAGGGTCTCGAGCGTGCCCTTGATGACGCACTTGCGGCCGCTGGCCTCGTGGACGTGGGCGCGCAGCACGACGGTGGAGTCGACGGGCACGTCGCGCGCGTAGTCGATGCTGAGCCGCGCGGTGACGCCGCGCTTGTTGGGCAGCGACGGGAAGCCGCAGTAGCACAGGGCCTCGTCGAGCAGCAGCGCGAGCACGCCCTTGTGGACGCGGTTGTTTTCGTTTCCGAGATTGGGGCCCAGATGGTAGAAGACTATGAGCTCTTTGGTGTTTTCGTCGTGGAACACCAGGGGGTCGATCTCGAGGTGGCCCGGGCCGTACAGCAGGCCCTGGGCGACGTGGTAGTCGCGGTGCGCGTGCGGGATCTTTTCGCTCTGGTGCCAGCGGGCGACGTGGCGGTTGGCGACGAGCGAGCGGAACTCTGGGTGCTGGTGGATTTGGTCGAGGATGTCGAGACGCTGGTGGGCGAGCGGGCGTTTGAGGGTGATTGTGCCGAGGCCCTGGTCGTCGGCGGGGGGCCAGGGCTCGAGGAACGTGCAGACGCCGAGCGTGAAGCCGAGGGCGGGCGCGAGGACCCAGTTGGTTGCGATCCGGAGCGCCATGTGGGGGAGGTTGCAGCGGTGGTGGTGGTGGTGGGGCAGATGACGGAGGGGGTTGGGCGCGGGCCAAGTAGGGGCGGGCACGTGAGGGGCGGGCACGTGAGGGGCGCGAGCCCGGTCACGTGGAACGCACGTGCGCGGCGGCCCGGTCACGTGCCGCCCTCCAGCCCCGCCGCCTCGGCGAAACGTTGATCCGGGCGCGCCGCGCCGCCGCGCCGCTGCTCCGTCACCCCACCGGGCCGCCGCCGCCCCACGCGACCGCCCACGCGGCCCGCTACTCCGCGGCTAATGGCCCGTATCTCGCGTGCAGCTGCCGCCGCTGCCGCGTGCAGCTGCCGCCGCCGCCCGTCGCTCCACGCCCCACGCCGCTCCCCGCTGCCCGTAGCAATCGCGTCCCGGCCAGGCCCGCGTCATCGCAAAACCTGCACTCCTCCGGGGCGGCGGCGTTACGTCATGGACGCAACGGCGCACGGAGTCGCCCGCGGCAAACGCGCCACCCACGCACCCAGGCACGCGCGCGTCGCTGGCGCGCCCAGGCGGCCCCGCAGCCCGCTCTCCGCGCATGCACGTCGCCGGCACCCAGTGCGCGAGCCGCCGGCGCGGCGGCGGGCTGGACTTGCGGGTTGCCAGGGGTCACCGGCCCCAACCGCAATGCGCTTTGCGCATTGCGACTGCGCTGCTCCGCCGCCGCCGCTGCGGAGCGGGTTCCGTTGGCCCGCGCGACAGCGCGCCACGGCGATTTGCCAGCTTAGTTGCGGTTGTTGGGCGCGCGCAAGAACGCTGCGCAACCACGCTGCGCGTTCTTGCGCTTTTGCTGCATGCTTGGCGCGTCTCCGAGCGGGCCTTCGCGGTGGTCCGCCCCGCCGCCTCGAACCTCTTCCTGCCGCCCGCACCACAGGGCCCCACCCCCTGCCAGTGTGTGGTGTGCGGTGTGCAGCCAGCTCCGCTCGGGCCCACGTATATATACGGGCGCGCGCACGTCGAAGCTCGAGCCTCTGTGTTGTTCTTCCTCTCCCAACTATTTACTCGCTCGAAATGTCCGACATCAACTCCAACACCTCGCTGTCGTCTTTCCACGAGAAAGCGCAAGACGAGCAAAAGTCCCGCGTCGACACCGTGCCGACCGGCGGCGTCCTCGAACACAAGCGCGACTCGTCGTCGCTCGACGACGACGCCGAGCGCACCGCCGACGCGGACGTCGACAACGTCCTCGCAGAATACTCCGAAGAACAGGTCGCCCAGATGGGCCGCGCCTTCGCCCGCAAATACGACCTCCCCAACGACGACGACGTTTTCGCCCGCGCCGCCAAGCTGGCGCGCAACCCGTCCGGCTACGACCACATGACGTTTTTGTCCGAAGAAGAGCGCATCGCGTGCTACGACGAAATCCACCACCCGTTCCGCGCTCCTCCAAAGCTCATCCACATCATCTGCGCGTCCGCCATGGGCGCGGCCGTCCAGGGCATGGACGAGACCGTGATCAACGGCGCCAACCTTTTCTACCCCAAAGTCCTCGGACTTGCCACGGACGCGGCCGACCGCAACGACCTGCTGCAGGGCCTCGTCAACGGTGCGCCGTATCTGTGCTGCGCGCTGGTGTCGTGCTGGATGACCGACTGGCTCAACAACCTGCTCGGCCGTAAGAAGGTCATCTTCCTCACCTGCTCCATCTCGGCCATCTTCTGCCTGCTGCAGGGCTTCGGCCCCGCGGGCACGCGCGGGTGGCACTACCTGTTTGCCATGCGGTTTCTTCTGGGGTTCGGGATCGGGCCCAAGTCCGCGACGGTTTCTGTGTACCTCGCAGAGTGCTCCACAAAGCAGCTGCGCGGCATTGTGTGCATGAACTGGCAGACGTTTACCGCATTCGGCATCATGTGGGGCTACGTTTTCTCGCTGATCTTCTACAAGGTGGGCGACAGCGGGATCGCCGGGGGGCTGAACTGGCGGCTAATGCTCGGGTCCGCCATGATCCCCGCGGTGCTGGTGCTGTTCCAGATCCCCTTTTGTCCGGAGTCCCCCCGGTGGCTGATGGGCAAGGGCCGCTACAAGGAGGCGTACGAAAGCACCATGCAGATCCGCAACCACCGGATCCTGGCGTGTCGCGACCTGTTCTACCAGCACGTGCTGTTGATGGAGGAGAACTCGCTGCAAATGCCGTACTTCAAGCGGCTCAGAGAGGTGTTCGCCGTGCGCCGTAACCGCAACGCGTTCATCGTGGCGTTCATCTGCGCGTTCATGCAGCAGTTCTGCGCCATCAACGTGATCGCGTACTACTCGTCTGCGATTTTCCTGGACTCCGGGTTCTCGGAGATCTCGTCGCTGGCCGCGTCGCTCGGATTCGGCCTCGTTAATTTCTTCTTTGCCATCCCTGCATTTTTCATGATCGACCGGTTCGGCCGCCGGTTTTTGCTCCTCAACACGTTCCCCTGGATGGCGGTGTTTCTGTTTGTGACCGGGTTTTCATTCTGGATCCCGGGCCAGCAGGCACGTGTCGGGGTGGTGTCGATGGGCATCTACGTTTTCTCGGCGATCTACTCGTTCGGGTGCGGCGTGGTGCCGTTCGTGGTGGCCGGCGAGGTTTTCCCACTGTACGTGCGGGCCATCGGCGCGTCGCTGTTCACGGTGGTGCTGTGGGGGTTCAACTTCATCCTGTCGTTCACGTGGCCGCGTATGCTGCGGTCCATGCACGCGCAGGGCGCGTTCGGGTTCTACGCGGGCTGGAATGTGATCGGGTGGTTCCTGGTGTACTTTTTGATGCCCGAGACCAAGCAGCTCACGCTGGAGGAGCTGGACGAGGTGTTCGACGTGCCCCTGCACGAGCGGGTCGCGTTCCAGTTCCGGCAGTTGTGGCCGGACTTCCAGACGTACGTGCTCAGACGCAAAAACGTCGCAAGAGAACCCCCCATCGACAGACACCACCGCTTGGCCATCAAGGCGGCCGAGTGGAACGACAAGACGGAGGTGGAGCAGGTCGAGGAGGAGTAGGCCGGGGCGTGCGGGGCGTGCGAAGCTGCGGAGCGTGCGGCGCGCGTTGTCGCTGCTTGCTGTGTGTATTAATGTACCGCGACATACCATATATAATTCGAATTTGCAATTTTCCTGTGTGTCTGACGGCCGGCAGCGGTTGCGGGCCCCGGTTACGGGCCCCGGTTACGGGCCCCGGTTACGGGCCCCGGTTACGGGCCCCGGTCTTGTCGCTGTTCGCCTGCCCGCCTTCCTGTCTTCCCGTCTGCTCGGCGTCACACCATTTCTGACGGCGCGGGCCCGTCGCTGGCGCGGTGACATTTTTTTTTTCACTTTCATCGCCAACACCGGCCACTGCTGCCTCGACCCTCCACACAATGCCAGAGTCTGTTGCCGTGATAGGAGCCGGGCTGGTCGGGTGTCTGGCCGCCGTCGCGCTCGCGAAGAGAAACTACGACGTCACGCTGTTCGACTACCGCCACGACCCGCGGCTGGCGTCGACGTCAGACCGTAACCTCCGCTCCATCAACCTCGCCATCTCCGCGCGCGGGATCACCGCTCTGCAGTTCGTCGACCGCGCCATGAGCGAGCGGGTGCTGCGCGAAATCATCCCCATGCGCGGCCGCATGATCCACGACACGCTCGGCCACCAGGAGCCCCAGAACTACGGGCTCTTCGGCGAGTGCATCAACTCCATCGACCGCGCCGTGCTCAACAACAGCCTGCTGGACGAGCTCGAGGCGTACCCCAACATCAAGCTGCAGTTCGGCCACAAGCTGGCGCGCATCGCGTTCGGCGCCCGCCACCAGACCTGCGAGTTCACCACCACCTCGGCTGCCGGGCCGCAGTCCGACGCGCGCGCGCGCTTCGACTTCGACTTCGTCGTCGGCTGCGACGGCGCCTACTCCACCACCCGGTCGCAGATGCAGCGCGTCATCCGCATGGACTACGCCCAGGAGTACATCGACTGCTGCTACATCGAGCTCTACATCCCGCCCGCCAAGGACGTCAACCCCGCGTACGGCGGGAAATTCTCCATTTCCCCCAACCACCTCCACATCTGGCCGCGCCACAACTACATGCTGATCGCGCTCGCCAACGCCGACGGCTCCTTCACGTCCACGTTTTTCGGGCCCTGGTCGCTCGTCGAGAGCCTCGACTCCACCTCCAAGATCGAGGCTTTCTTCGTCGAGAATTTCCCCGATGCCGTCGATCTCATCGGTCTCGACGAGGCTGTCTACGCCTTCGAAAACCACCCCAAGGGCGCCCTCATGTGCGTCGAGTGCAAACCGTACCACGTCGCGGGCAAGGCCATCATCCTGGGCGACGCGGCTCACTCCATGGTCCCCTTCTATGGGCAGGGCATGAACTGCGGGTTCGAGGACGTGCGAGTCCTCATGCAGATCCTCGACCAGAACCATGGCAACAGGGCGCGTGCTTTCGACGAGTACACCGCGCAACGACACAAGGATCTTGTGTCCATCATAGAGTTGGCGAAAAATAACTACAAAGAAATGTCCCACAAGGTCACTTCCAAGTGGTTTTTGCTGAGAAAAAAACTAGACACCATCCTGGGGAGAACTTTGAAAGACAGATGGTTGCCCTTGTACACCATGGTTTCCTTCAGGGCCGACATCCCGTACCACAAGGCAATTGAAGTGGAGAAGAGACAAAAGCGTATCTTAGTTTACTTGCAAGCCGTCGTTATCTTGGCCACCTCTGTTGGCGGTTACGGTGTGTTCAAAGCACTGCGCAAGGCTCTCAGACGCCTTCAGTAATTGAGCGTCACCACCTTGCCTCTTCGCTGCAGTTTCTCATGCTCGCTGGACGCTTTTCAAGCCTTTTTTACATATAATGATATACGATATATTTCACGTAAACAAAAACGCATTTCACGCTTCGAAGACCACCGCACATCAGCACAACGTGCAGAGTCAAGCTATTGGCGTCACTCGAAACTCCCTTACAATGGCTGCTTCCATAAGAGATGAGGAAGACGATCAGGGCATTTTCACCAACAAGTCCACTATGATGGCCAATTTCGAGGAATGGATCAAGATGGCCACCGACAACAAGATCAACTCCAGGAACAGTTGGAATTTCGCTCTGATCGACTACTTCCACGACCTGAACGTCCTCAAAGACGCCGAAGACAACATCAATTTCCAAAAAGCTTCAGCCACACTTGACGGTTGTGTGAAAATATATTCGTCCAGAGTTGATTCTGTAGCAAATGAAACCGGGAAACTGCTTAGTGGTTTAGCAGAAAGAAGAAACCAAGAACACAACGCTCATAACGCTGGTGCCGATGATGGCCAGGGAAATGAACAAGAAGAAAGCGTCACAATAGACCCTGCCACGGGGCTGCCGATTTCCAACGATGTGGATAGTACAACAAGGAGGCGAAATTACAATAGGATATTAGAGACGACGCTAGTCGAGTTTGAAACGCTACGAATGAAGGAATTGGACCAGGAGCTTAGCATAGATCCTTTGTTTAAAAAAGCGTTGGCGGATTTTGACGAAGGAGGTGCCAAAAGTCTTTTGCTGAACACTCTTCACATCGACAATACTGCCAGAGTGGTGTTTGATGCAACAACAAACAACAAAGACAATGGGCGCCCAACAACGCAGCAGCCAGATGATAGTCAAGATGAAATACAAACGTCAGATGAAAATGAAGTGTCAAATTCAGGTCAAGAGAGCGTATTGCCAGAACCATCTTCTGCATCGATAAATCGGTCAAAAGATGAAAGTGCAGTTTCAGTCGACGTTGATGACGAAATATTAGCTCTTGGTATGGATCTAATAGACTTTCATTTGATTAGCCAATGCCAGCTCTGTCCCTCAATGCAACAATTGAAAGACGTGGTTGAAGACATCAGTAAAGCAAAGTCTTTCATTGAGGATGTAAACAATAAATTCGACAATTTTCTCACTGAGCAAGATCTGCAAGAAGCAGTTCCCGATAATGCTGCCAATGACGACAACGAATTCGAAACCTCATATGGTAATGACATCAACGTAGATGACGGTTTATTCGATGATGGTGATGCACAAAGCGCAAGTGTACCTGGAGAAGAAGACATCTCCATGGCTGATGAAGATAAATCAACGGTTGATATCATAACAAACGTTATGGATAAAGAACTAATGTCATATTTTGATGAGAGCCTGAAGAAAAGTTGGCGAGGAAGAGAGCACTGGAAAGTACGGAGTTTCAAGAAACGCGTTTTATCAGAAAAGGAAAATGATGGACAGGGGAAGAATGAAAAGGCCAAACCTTTGAATAAGGATAAGGATACCTCTCAGTCGGCAAAGGCTGTGAATAAGAACCAAACAATAGATTTCTTCAATATTAGCAACGATATCGAAGAAACCATTTTCAGCACCAAGAAGAAGGCAAACCTTGAAATGCCCCAAAAACTGCGAACGAATCCATCTCATTATTTATTACCCAACGACTACCAGTTTTCAACTCAAAAAGTTACACGGCTTTTCATCAAGCCTGAACAGCACATGAGCTTTTTCTCGCATCGCAAGTCACGTAGCAATACGGGAAGTCAAGGGACATTCAAAATTGATGATTTTGAATCGGTGAATAATGATCAGGTAAGTGAAATTGCTGATGAGAACTTTTGGGCAAAGAACTATAGACTTAGAGAGGAGGATCAAGCAGCTGCTGAAAACGGCGATGCTTCCGATAATATTCATCAGGGCGTCATGGATAATCCATTCGATGATAACGATGGCGGGATTGATTTTAACCAAGCTTTTGGATCGGAGGGCATGGATGATTACCCAGAAAACTCCACGGACTCCGTTTTGGCAGGATCTGCAGGTGCTTTACAGGAAGTTGGTAAGACAAATCTAAAGGTTCCATACTCTAGGGTCTCTAAAAAGGTCGATGTGAAGCGCTTAAAGGACAACATTTGGAAATCTATTGTTGAGACAGTGAATGAAGAGGATTTCAAGGAAAGCAAAGACGCACCGCAATCTTCTAATGATACATCCAAGCACGACTCTTCCATTGAGGAAGACGATCCAGAGAAGAGTTCCACTATCAAATTCACTGATATCGCTAACAAAATCAGCACAATATACAGCGGTGAGAGCAAGAAGGACCTATCCACAAGTTTTTGCTTTATTTGTTTACTTCATCTAGCGAACGAACATGGCTTCCAAATTTCAAATAATGACAATTTCGATGATCTCAAATTGAGCATTAACGAACTAAAGAACTAGATGCACATATACGAATGATCATGAGACCATCTCGATAGATATCTCTTATCTCTTTTTCCCTTTATCCGTCATCCCACGATACGAAAAGTCGAACTGGTTGCCGGAGGATCTTTGCAGCCCGTACTCCTTATTGCATTTCCATATTCGCTGATCATTATCCGCCAATCCTTTTCCTTGGGAATAATAATATGAACGCGCTTAACGTTTCATATTGTCTAGAACTCTGGATTTTTTGTTCAAAGAGACGCATTATCAAGCATTATAATATCTGTAACTATAGGAATTCCTTGTAAAATTAAATCTAGTAGTTAATCATGAGAAGTAGTTAGTAATGAGTGGTAGGACTCTATAGCTGTTCTGCTGCTCGAGATATTATCAATTCAAATTCGAAGTAGCAGCATCATGACAAAGAAACCGTATTTCATGATTCTGTGATGTTAAAGGCGGGACAAATTTTTTTGCCACTTATCCGGAAATCTAGTCAGCCTGATTATATAGCTCGAGCTACATTATCATAACATCTCTAATTTGCACTAAATCATTGATTCGGATATCGCTAGATACCTATGATGAGCCTTAGTGCGTTAGCTTTAACATCAAACCTAACAAGTAGGGGGCTTTCAAGGCCTCTACTTTTGAGAGTTCCATTACTCGCAACAACGATATTGAGAAGAAACTACCATTATAACAACAGGCTGGTATACCGTCGTTTCTACTCTGAAAAGAAAATCTCTCCTTCAGAAAGTTCCCATGATAATGCTGATCAGAGCGCGAATATGGCAAATCAGCCTGAACAGTCATCCCATAATTCGAAAATTCCGGTGTCACATGCTGTACTAGCTCAAAAGGAGCAGCAGGCCAACAAAGATTTGAATAACCCAGTAGCACAAGGTGAGTTTTATGAGCTACTGCTAAGATCAAACTATCCACAGTACGTAGTCTCGAGATTTGAGACCCCCGGCATTGCCTCATCACCCGAATGCATGAATTACTATATGGAGGCTTTACAGAGAATAGGCAGGCACGCCGAAGCGGAGGCAGTGAGACAATCACTTGTTCTTAATAGTGCAGCTACAGCTGTTAACCCAGCTTTGGCGACAGATTCCTCGGGGCAACCTTCCCCGGTTTATCCGGCATCCTCATACAACCCTTACTTTGGCTCTAGGAAAGAACCTCTACATGTGGTAGTAACTGAATCAACTTTCACGGTAGTCTCCAGATGGCTAAAATGGCTTCTAGTTTTTGGAGTTCTCACGTATGGGGTTTCTGAAGGATTTAAATATATTACCGAAAACACTACACTTCTGAAGTCATCCGAAGTAGCAGACAAGTCTGTTGATGTTGCCAAAACTAACGTGAAGTTTGATGATGTCCGTGGTTGTGATGAAGCTCGTGCTGAGTTAGAAGAAATCGTGGACTTTCTAAAGGATCCCACCAAATACGAATCCTTAGGCGGTAAGTTGCCAAAGGGTGTTCTTTTGACCGGTCCTCCAGGTACTGGTAAAACATTACTCGCTCGCGCCACTGCCGGTGAAGCTGGGGTGGACTTTTTCTTCATGTCAGGTTCTGAATTTGATGAGGTTTACGTTGGTGTAGGTGCAAAGCGGATTCGTGAGTTATTTGCTCAAGCTAGAGCGCGTGCTCCAGCTATTATCTTCATAGATGAGCTTGATGCCATTGGAGGAAAGCGTAACCCCAAAGATCAAGCATACGCCAAGCAAACTTTGAACCAGCTTCTAGTTGAATTGGATGGATTTTCTCAAACAAGTGGCATTATAATTATTGGTGCGACCAATTTCCCTGAATCCCTAGATAAGGCGCTTACTCGTCCAGGAAGATTTGACAAAGTGGTTAATGTTGACCTTCCAGATGTTCGTGGGAGAGCAGACATTTTGAAACATCATATGAAAAAGGTAACTTTAGCCTCTGACGTTGATCCAACAATCATCGCAAGAGGTACACCTGGTCTTTCTGGTGCTGAGTTGATGAACCTCGTTAACCAAGCTGCTGTGTATGCATGTCAACAAAATGCTATCGCCGTTGATATGTCTCACTTTGAGTGGGCAAAGGATAAGATATTGATGGGGGCTGAAAGGAAAACGATGGTCCTTACTGAGGCTGCGAGAAAAGCTACGGCCTTCCATGAAGCTGGGCATGCAATAATGGCAATGTACACTGCAGGTGCAACTCCTCTTTATAAAGCTACCATTCTTCCAAGAGGAAGGGCACTTGGTATAACTTTTCAATTACCAGAGATGGACAAAGTAGATATTACGAAAAAAGAATGTTTGGCCAGATTAGACGTTTGTATGGGCGGTAAGATCGCAGAAGAAATTGTTTACGGTAAAGAAAATACAACAAGCGGATGTGGATCTGATTTACAAAGTGCTACCAACACTGCCAGAGCAATGGTTACTCAATACGGGATGAGTGAAAATGTTGGGCCAGTGAACCTGGCTGACAAGTGGGAAAGCTGGTCGGGTAAAATTCGGGACATTGCTGATAATGACGTTATTGAGATTTTGAAAGCATCTGAAGAAAGAACAAGGAGAATGTTAAATGAAAAGAATGTCGAGCTGCAAAGGCTGGCACAAGGTTTGATGGAATATGAAACCTTAGACTCCTCTGAAATAGAAAAAGTTTGCAGGGGAGAAAGCATTGGCAAAGCTAAAACAATGACTAATACGGTCGTCGAAGGTCCAGATAGTGACGATCGTAAGGAAATTGGCGGCGATAAATCGAAAATTCCCGTTTTGATCAACGCATGAACACATTCATTGGTAACATCACAAGTTAAAAAAAATACCATAATTCTGTATACTCCATTACAGGATTCATTTCTACATACTGACTGTACATTCTAAATCTATTTAGAGGGAGGAATAATTACTGTACGTGAACAGTTCAATATATGTAAATAGAAATCATTTGAGCAAGTAATGTACATATCCAGTAGGATACATAGCCTTAAAGACTAATTGTTTAGGTTTTCTGTTTTTTCCTCTGTGATTCTTCCGGATCCGGCGTTGCAGAAGATGATTGCTGTTGACGTTTTACTCTCTCAATTACGGATTGAGGATTTTGGCTGAAATGAATTTTCGCCGCTATCCTCGAAAGTTCTTCCTGTTTCGTGGAATTTTTCCTTGAAATGATTTCTTTGCAATTTCGTATTATTTCTAAAAGTTTTCTTCCATTTAGACGTTTTTGTGAATCAATAATAGGATCTGAATTACCATCTTCATTTGGTGCGTCTTTGATTATATTAAACTTGAGTTCGAGGTACTTAGATGTCAATGCTTCATCCTCCCTCAGGAGAGCTGCTAAAGTAATCTGGGGAGGTGTGAAAAAATAAACAGCGTCTGTTAGTAGTGCATCTGTAATTGTTTTTTTACAGTTATTGTAGACTTGACCCATATATTTCAGATCAACTTTACCTTGTAAGACGGTCTGTATGTCAAGGAAAAAACCGTGAAGGGCTTTATATGGATGATGATTCATTAAAGTAAACTGCAGACTCTCGAGAAGTTTGAATTCGTGCTTTAAAATACTTTCAGGAGTTGACTTGGTTTTCTTTGCGAAAGATTCTACACCAATGAAGTAATTTTCCGACTTGCATGCGAAGAACAACGTGGTGTAAAATATTTCCTTAGGGACTATATCCATGACTGAGTTTACCAGGTAAAACCTTCTCAAGAATGAAGCTGCGGTTGCAGCAACCTCTGTAGGTAGATTCATCTTTCCCGCAAATGATATTATCATTTTTGCATAATAATTTACCAGCATATATTCCTCTTCAACTGTAACAGGTACTGCTTTCAATTCCAAAGCAGTGAGCTCTTCATCAGTTAATTCTTTATGAGCCTCTTTGAATTCCTTTAAGTTCTGGTCCGTCCTTAAAGCAGCCCGTGCATTTATGTCAATTCTTCTTTGGTTTAACTGTTCGGGCGTGAAGGACCATAGTCTGTATTGGGAAGAGTGCCGGTATAAATCATCGTCTGTTACTCTTTGGAGAGTTCTCACAGCCTCTTTATCCCCCGTAGGTTCTTTTGGGGACTCTGAAGTAGTAGCAGTCATTCACTGGTGCTATAAGGACCCTTTTCAAAAAGATATCGGTAAGCTTATCGGCCAAAACACCAAGAGTTCATCAAAGCGAATCAATCAATCAGCATTTCTGTCATTTGAAACGAAGACTAACCCTCTTACGAGATTTATACTTTCATAAAGAGAACTGAATATTAATAATTGTAGAAAATCGCTTTTCTCTTATTTCTAGTATATACTTAGATTTTATGTAGTTAAATCGTAAAAGTCATATGCCTTCTTTATTTTTGTAGTATCTTAAACTTGAAAAGGAACTTACAGCCAAATCGATTCGAAAGTAATGCCCATGCTTAGAAGGTAGCAACGAAAGACTCGGTGGCAGACTTCAATGTGGCCAATAGATCCTTGGTCAATTCACCCTTATCTCTGATGGTGCTTAGAATTTCCTCGTGGTTAGACTTCAAGTATGCCAAAAAGGAGGATTCAAATTCGGCGATTCTGCTCAAGTCAACGGAATCCAAGTAACCGTTAACACCAGCGTAAATCAATGGAACCTGTTCCTCGGCGGCCAATGGAGAGTATTGGTTTTGCTTTAGCAATTGAGTCAATCTTTCACCTCTAGCCAAAGTTTGCTTGGTAGAAGCATCCAAATCAGAACCGAATTGAGCGAAAGCAGCGACTTCTCTGTATTGAGCCAAGAACAGCTTCAAAGAACCAGCAACTTGCTTTAGAGCCTTAACTTGAGCGGCGGAACCGACACGAGAGACGGACAAACCGACATTGATGGCTGGTCTGATACCCTTGTAGAACAATTCAGCTTCCAAGAAAATTTGACCATCAGTAATGGAAATAACGTTAGTTGGGATATAAGCAGACACATCACCACCTTGAGTTTCAATGATTGGCAAAGCAGTCAAAGAACCACCACCGTTCTTGTCAGACATCTTAGCAGCTCTCTCCAACAATCTAGAGTGCAAGTAGAAAACATCACCAGGGTAAGCTTCACGACCAGGTGGACGTCTCAACAACAAAGACAATTGACGGTAGGCAACAGCTTGCTTAGACAAATCGTCGTAGACAATCAAAGCATGCTTACCGTTGTCTCTGAACCATTCACCGATAGCGGCAGCAGTGAAAGGGGCAATGTATTGCAGAGGGGCAGCCTCAGAAGCAGTGGCAGCAACGATGATGGAGTACTTCAAAGCATCGTGTTGTTCCAAAGTTTGCACCAATTGAGCGACAGTAGATCTCTTTTGACCGACAGCGACGTAAACACAGTACAACTTCTTCTTTTCATCAGCACCGCTGTTCCATCTCTTTTGGTTCAAGATGGTGTCCAAAGCGACAGCGGTCTTACCAGTTTGACGGTCACCGATGATCAATTCTCTTTGACCTCTACCAATTGGGACCAAAGCATCGACAGCCTTCAAACCAGTTTGGACTGGCTCGTGAACGGAGGTTCTTGGTAGAATACCTGGTGCCTTGACTTGAGCTCTGGAACGGCCAGCGGCTTCAATTGGACCCTTACCGTCAATTGGGTTACCTAGAGCATCTACAACTCTACCCAACATGGCTGGACCAACTGGCACATCAACAATTTGGCCAGTTCTCTTGACAACTTCACCTTCCTTGACCAATCTGTCAGAACCGAAAAGCACAATACCGACTTGACCTGGTTCCAAGTTAAGGGCCATACCCTTGACACCGGAGGAGAACTCAACCAATTCTTCAGCTTGCACATTGTTCAAACCGAAAACACGGGCGATACCGTCACCGACGGACAAAACACGACCAGTTTCGTTCAAGTTGGCCTCTTCAGACACACCTCTGATCTTTTCTTCCAAGATAGAGGAGACTTCAGTAGGTTGTGGCTTGGCAGAAGCGTATCTTCTGCCGGCAATGAGCATGGCAGGTCTAGCAACCCTGTTCATAGCACGGGCGACATTAACAGCAGCAATGGATCTGCTAGCAGAACGGATAGCAGTACGAGACAACATTGTGGGAATTTAACAACAAAATTTGACAAGTAGGAGAACACAGGTGGAGAAAAATAGGAATATATAAGAAAGGACGAGTTTCGAACTGTTTGTTGCTGATTCTTTAAACCAGGAAAGAGTTTGAAAAAGAGAAAAATTCTCTAAAAGGGGGTGGTTTACTGGCCTTGTAGAAAAATTTTTTTCCTTGACGGATTCTGATTCGCACGTTGGACCTGCCCTGGCCCGAACTTTTTCCCGCGTTGTGATTGGCCCGATGAATCTCAAGTCCTATAGCACGAAAGGCATGCGACTCAGATGCCAAATTCCACCGCAGGAGATTCGTAGAAGAAATCAGGTGTATGGAATTGCGGGGCGTGCAGATGGAGTTGGTGCCGATATCTTGAGAATCGTTTGCCTAGGCTTCTTTGGGCGATGTACTGCCATTTTGTAGTTTTCATGCGATGAACGTGCGATCTAGTGACAGGTGAAGATTTCACTGAATGGCAGGAGAAGTCTTTAAACATGAGAAGAACCACGGACTGGTTTAGTTGAGGCAAATTGAAAGATAAACGGTGAGCGAATCAGGGATCGTAGGTTAAAGTTGCATGATATTGGACTTCTTTTATTTCGGACGAATCTTTGGGCCTAGAGGTCAGTTTGCTGAAACCATTGTAGGATTGGGCGCTTTGTGAGGTTGCAGGTTTGTTTTCTGGCGTGCTAGATGAACGCTATAAATACCAGAGCTAGTGCTTTGAAGCGCGGCTCTTTTTTTATCTTGGAGGGATGCTAAGATGGGCTATCTGCCGACTAAGTTGTAGCTTACTAACTATGTGCCTCCCAGGCTAAAATCTTCCCGCACTCGCAATTGAGGTGTTAGGCGAGTTCACCGGTACATTGTTTCTTGCACCATCAAGTGCTACGGGACACTGATGAAAATTTATGCCTATCTGTGACTCTAACCACAGCATATGCGTCAGATTCATTGAGTTTGGCAAAGCGAGTACCCGCATCGTCAGCTTCTGCAGCTGCCTGTCAGATTCTTTGCTGGTTGCACGATATGTCTTCCTCTCAAGGCACGGTGAAACGCCTTTACGGTTGTTAATAACGACATGACCAAGATGCGTCTTGCGGCGCTAGCGGCTAGCAGCGAGTGTGGACCACAAATCGAAAATGTGTACAACCCTGTCGTGTTATTCCACCCTTGCTAGACCTCTGAGAAAAGAGAAAGTAGTGCAGGATTTCCACGACTGCTACGGTCGCTGATTTAGTTCCAGTAGTGGATTATTGTTAGTTTCTCGTCCTCCCAACTGCCTTGCTCTAGCAATTGTCGCGGCTACGTGCCTCTCGCGCCAAATAGTTACAAGACTTTTAAGAGCACATAAAAGCGTTGAAAACCACCAGCTCTTCACATGATTAATTGGCATTGGCAGCACCCTCGACATTTGTCTTTGAGGGCTCCGTCGAGTTTCTGAACTCAAACCCAGCCAGTTTTTGGAATTGTGACACTTTCTAGGCTTTTTTTCCAGAGGGTAACTTGGACCCCGCTTGAGCAGGGGATAGTGTCAGATCTAGATTCTGTATGCGTTCGATCCTCACCATTTCCAATTTTCGAGCAAAGTGATGATTACATGACATATCTAATCACTTGAAGCACAACGTGTTCTATATTCACTTGAATATCGTCGAGATAGTGATTTCACAGCCCTTCTCTGCTTCTCACTTAGCGCATTTGTCGCGGTTGTCACCAATGGAAGGCTCTAACGTCTCCGCATTTTCGTTTCAAGCGATCTAAGTCGAGCGGCGCTATCAAACGGAGTATGAAATATATATATGGTTGGGAGTATTAATAATAGAACATGTTTCTCTCCTTATTCTCGAAGTGTCTTGTATAGCGAAAATCCAAGCATGAAAGGTCGTTTCCAGGCTTCTCGAAGGTTTACATATCTGGGCTTCCTTACGACGCTAGCTGTGCTGAGCTGGTTAACGCTAGCAGATGTGCACAATGACGATGAAGTGACAGAGTCCGCCCTCTTGAGCGATCGACTAAAGTTCCGAGACTTATCCAGTGAGAATATTGAGAACTCGCGTAAAGCGTCCCAGGAGCTCGAAAAGCAAATTGTGGATTCAGAAGACACCTACTACGATGAGCAAAGGCGTATATTGGGAACGACGCATTTCTCAGAAAACACGTACTCTAGGCAGCCCTATGTGGCCAACGGGTATATTGGGAGTCGAATCCCAAATGTAGGGTTTGGCTACGCACTAGATACACTCAACTTGTGGACGCCAAACTCGACTGTGGCAGGCGCACTTGATAATGGGTGGCCACTGAGAAATCAGCGTTTCGCCGGCGCGTTTGTCGCTGACTTTTACAGTTTACAAGCTCATCTCAACTCAACAAACTTTCCGGAGCTTGACAAGAAGGGTTACACCACGGTGATTACTGCCATACCACAGTGGACAGACCTTAGTTTCTCGCTAAACGACACCTTCAAGTTCAATCCGGTTGATGTTCATTCTGACAGCATCACCAACTACAAACAAAATCTATCTATGTCTGAAGGAATTGTGACCACAGAAATGGACTGGCATGATCTCTTACACATAGAGACAACAATATTTGCGCATCGTACTATTCATCCTCTTGGTGTGGTGTCCATGGATATTACTCTGAATACTTCTGCCAATCTTGATGGCGCCGACTACTTGGATTTACAAATAACTGACAAGCTGAACTATTCGACTTCAAGAAGGGCTTTTCTGAGAAATCTGGGTTATGAAACAGGATCGATATACATGACCGTTGAGCCGGACAATGTGCCTTATTCATCTGCAGTTCTTTACTCTTCACTGGAATTTCCGTCTCAGTCGTTACTCAATGGAACTCTCTATCGGATAAATGACAATAACAGTACAGTTAGTCAAAATCAATATGTGAGAATTACTAAGGACTCCCCACAGATAAACATAAAAAAATACGTGGGAATTGTATCTTCGGAATTTCCAAGAGATGATAATTCTACAAACTTCGAACTTTCGAAGCAAATTGTGGAAGAAAACATCGGACACTATGATTCACTTCTAGCCTCTCACATTCAAGGTTGGTCTGATCTATATAACAATACTGAGGTGGAGATACCTTCTGACAGTCTACTCGAACTGGCCGCTAGATCCTCAATTTTCCACTTGTTAGCTAATACTAGAAGCGAGGATGTATCACCGGAAAGAGGATTACCATTACCTGTCGCCGGATTAAGTTCGGATTCATATGGTGGAATGGTTTTCTGGGATGCAGACATATGGATGATGCCCTCATTGCTTCCTTTTTTCCCCGAAATTGCGAAACAAATAGTGAATTATCGAAATGTTACTCATAGTCAGGCTGTGTTGAACGCCCAAGAAAATGACTACCTGGGTGCAGTCTACCCCTGGACTTCTGGAAGGTACGCTAATTGTACTTCTACGGGGCCATGTATTGATTACGAATATCACATTAACGTTGATATTGCCATGAGCTCATTTTTGCTTTATCTCAGCGGAGGGGCAGAAGCAGATGAAGATTATCTTAGATATACGACCTGGCCTATATTGAGAGATGCAGCAAGATTTTTCACATCCTATGTTAAATTCAATTCAACGCTAGGGATGTATGAAACTAAAAACATGACCGATCCTGACGAGTTTGCGAATTTCGTCGACAATGGGGCGTTCACAAATGCAGGGATTAAGACTTTATTGAAGTGGGCAACTGACGTAGGTACTTATTTGAAGTACGACGTTGATTCGAAATGGGCCGAAGTCTCTGAACATATGTTTATCCCAATTTCGCAAGCTAATATCACTTTGGAGTACACCGGTATGAACGCTTCTGTGGAAATCAAACAAGCAGATGTTGTGTTAATGACCTATCCACTAGGTTTCATTACTGATGCAACAATTCTCAATAATGCTATAAAAGACCTTTATTATTATTCTGAACGTCAATCTGCGTCTGGGCCTGCTATGACATACCCTATTTTCGTAGCTGCGGCCTCTTCTCTTCTCAATCACGGTTGCTCTTCACAAAGTTACCTTTACAAGTCTGTCTTACCATACTTGAGATCCCCTTTTGCCCAATTTAGTGAGCAATCGGACGACAATTTTCTCACCAATGGGCTGACACAGCCTGCCTTCCCTTTCTTAACAGCAAATGGTGGGTTTTTGCAAGCCATTTACTTCGGTCTAACAGGACTTCGCTATTCTTATAAGCTCGATAATTCTACCGGGGAACTTGTTCGGTTTTTGAAATTTGATCCTGTCCAGATGCCATTGCTCCCTGGTGGTATCACATTGAGGGGTTTTAGGTACATGGACCAAATATTGGATATTGTAATTGATGATGCCGCTGCTACTGTGTATCACAAGTCGGGAAACTCATCAGTAATTATTGAAATCTCTGACCGGAGTATCATTTACGATCAAAGCAACATTTTCTTTGAAAATGGCAGTACATTGCAGTTTAAAAAACGGGACCTCCCTGGAACCTCTTATACGCTGGAGCCTGGATCTCAGCTTGTGTTCCCGCTGTTCAAACCGAATCTAAATATTGACGGTAATATCGCTGAGGGCAAGCAGATCACAAACTTCACAGCCGGAGTATCTGGAGATGTGGTTTATTCTGTGATTGACGGTAATAATTACACACACTGGCAGCCACTGGATAAATATGAGAATGCTAAGCTCTTGATCGATCTGGGACCAGGTAACGATGAAGCGGTAACGCATGGCATGATATTGTGGGGGCAGCGGCCTGCTCGAAACATGTCAATATATGCTTTGTTACTTTCTGAGCAAACTGAGCTGCTTCTTCAAAACACATCTTCCACTGACCAGTACGAAATTCAAGATATTATGTCACCCTCTTTGAACAACGAGTTCAAAAATGACATTGATGAAGACTTCGAGAAGTTTTTAACATGGAAAATGCTGGATATTAATGACTTTGCGCAGATTGCGTCCAATCTGACCATTTTAGAAGGAAGGTTCGTTCCACTATTGGAGAACCTGCGTATCACTCCTTCTGAGCCTTACTACGAACAACATGAGAAGAACTCTGAAATTGACATTCTACCTAGCAATAGGACTAAGTTCACCATCAATTATCAGAATGTTTCGGCATACGGTGGTGCAAACTCATCTAATGATAATAGTTCTTCGGCATTTATTCCCAGGTATTATTTGATCAGTGTCGAGGGAACTTACGACGATGATGATGACGACAACGGAGCTACAATTAATGAGATAGCATTCATTGCTAATTGAGAGCATGTAGCCCGCTCTAATGATACATATTATGATTTTTTGAGATTTCTACGGCAAAAAATTGCAGTATTGACAAAACTGGCATATTAATCAAAAAAAAAAAAAATTAGGCCTTTTTGTAGTTCAAAAGTTTGTTCTTTCAATAGATTTTATTTCTATCGATTTTGACACATTCATGTATGGAAAAATAAATGCGAATTCTGTGGATCGAACACAGGACCTCCAGATTTCAAAGTGACCGAAGTTTTTCTTCAGTCTGGCGCTCTCCCGACTGAGCTAAATCCGCTTTTGTTGTAAAGGGGGGACAAGTGGATTGATCTAACGTCTAAACTTAGTCATGCATACGTGATTTTGCTCTGGGCGCCGTACGGAAAGGAGAAAGTATAAAGATGCAACCTTGAACCGATTCTCTACATATTCTTACGGAACTCTTTACAAAAGTCCTAACATCATTCAATATGGCAGACTACGTGAAACAATTTCAAGACGAGCTCAAAGCTTTGGACACCGTATGTAATAAAGATAAATTTTGTTCGGATAAAACAACTTATCGTTTGACTAACATTACTAACATTCTTGACAGAAATTTGCTGGTAACCCTGCTTTAGAACAATTTGAATCAAAGACGAAATTACCCAAGTCTTATGGTGTGCTTGGCGCCGCATCGGTCTACCTTCTATTGATTTTTATCAATGTTGGCGGTATTGGTGAGATTCTCTCCAACTTCATCGGGTTCGTTGTTCCAGCTTACTATTCTTTGGTAGCTTTGAAGACCACTGCAACCAAGGACGATTCTGATTTGTTAACATACTGGGTCGTTTTTGCGTTTTTGAGCGTGATTGAATTTTGGTCCAAGGCCATTTTGTACTGGATTCCCTTCTACTGGTTCATTAAGACTCTGTTTTTGGTCTACCTAGCTCTTCCACAGACCAATGGTGCTAACTTGGTCTACAATACCCTAATCAAGCCCGTTTCTGATAGGTACATCAAGGTTTCAGAGGACAAGAAGGACGAGATTGCTGGAAAGATGGAGAATTTGACTTCTTCCAAGACAACTGGTTTCTCAGCCCATTAAAGGTTTACATAGTATGAATTATGTAAAATAACAAACTTTTATCCCTTATTAGCGTGCGGATCAGTACTGTAGCCAGTTTTATCATATGGTAATATCAAATTTGTGATCGAATTGCTCTGCGTCAGCTTGTCCATTCGCAGTAAAGGAAACTTTAATTCTCAATTTCAGTTTTCCGCTACCTGTTATTTGCATGTGCTGTTTTGCAACCTCACCTCGCCCGACAGATGTGGATGATAAAGGACCCAGAGTTAGCCTTTGTGTTTTTGCGACAGCAGCCAGTATGTGAAGATTGGAAATGCTTTGAACACCTTTAATGAATACTTCTAATTTAGCTTCGCCTGCAACACTCGATGAAACCTCAGAAAATGCCTGTAAATTAGGAGATTCGTACAGCATAGAAGCTTCTTGAGGTATTTCCACAATATTCTTATAAGCATTCTCAGGCCTTGTGTTAACATTCAGGGCAACATCATTTGAGTGCTGGGAAGTGTTTCTCTCCTGGGCAAGAGTGTCATTTAGTAAATCAGGTACAGCATTGCTGTTTTCACTTGCGGTAGGGATATCATCCAGAAGATCTAATAGTAAGTTGGTCTCGACAGGCTTCGTTGGGCGTGCAATCTTCTCAGGACCTGGAGAATTGCTTTTCGTTCTCTTCGTGAACAAAGGCATTGCCTCTAATATGGCATGTTTACGTTGTGCGGGTTGGTTGAAAAGAATTGAGTATTGGGAACTTTTTGCTTGTAACATTAAGTTTGTGTCAGTGAGATGGCTGTTAATCAATTGTCTTAAATCTTCGATGCAGGAAGCAGTTTGGATCTTAGATGATAATTTCAAAGCAGCAGTCAATGCATAGCTGATTAGCTTAATATCGTCAGCATAGATATTGTTAGTTTTGCACAAATAATCTGTTAAATCGACATCGGTTATATTTGATTGGCCTAAAACGAGCTCGGCATACTCGCCAATTGACCATAACGACATCAATTTCCACCCAATATTGAACTCGCTTACACTTTCTTTGCTCTTCCCTACAGTTATTTCCAATATTTTCTTTATTGTCTCAGTTTTGAATTGCATATTTTGTGCATTGTTTATCATGATGAGAACATCTCCGATCTTTTCTACTGATATGTATTGTCCCACAAGTTTCATTATACGTACTATGATGTTCAATTTCCATTCATCGTCATTTATCTCACGAATCTCAAATAGGTCAATTGTATGTTCCACAATGTACGTTATCAAATCTTTATCATCTTCGCTGGATACTTCCAAGAATTCAATCAACTCTTCGATAAGTTCCTTCATGTTTGAGTCATCTAATATGGCAAACGTTAATTCCAGCGATCTCATTTTGATTGAAACGTCGACATCAAATAAACAGCGAGAGATGAATTTACGATGTCTCTTGACAGCTTGAGGTTCTAGAGGTACAACACGCAGCAATGTGTTCAGTGCAACGTATTTGTTATTGTTGTCCTTACCAGATAAGAACTTTGCCAATATATTGACTCCCAGAACTTTGAGCGATTGGTCTAGCTGCAAAGAGAAAATAGTTCTAACGCACTCGTAGAGCACCGCATGAGCGCTATTCTTCGACCCATCCACATTAGTCGCTATTTGAGTAAGCATGTCGTTTAGTTTATCCAGATAACGTTCGGTCTCCTGTGGAGCAGCTTCGAACATCAGGCGTAGCGTGTAAAGTATTTCCACTTGCAGAAAAGGATCGCAAGTACCATTGACGTCAAATTCGGGGTTGAAATTCGTTGAGCTTAAATCTTGAAGCAAGGAGAAGAGATCAGGAATAATGTTTGTCAAGGAAGACAAAATAGTTGGATAGTCATCATATTCGTAGGTGGCTTTTGAGAGTAAAGCTGACTGGCATAGTTTGGTAACACCCAAAAGGACACCGTGCGAATATAGTTGGTGCGATTTTATTATCTTCTCAACATATGGATAGAAAATCTCCAATAGAGCAACGTCTCTACTCACCAACTTGGCTGCACACTGGAGCGCTTTTTTAAGTAAATAGGTGTCCATTGAGTGGTTCAGAATATTCTCAACATCAGGATAGAGATCACGAGCAAGTTCCGGTGACATCAGCGATCCTAACGTATTCAAAGCCAGGGACACTACGTAGCGGTTGGGATGATTTAAATCATTATTCATCATGTTGGTCAAAAGCGTCAAAATTTCTTGGTTTTCATCCAACAATAGCATTGCTGCCAAATATCCCAATCTTTTATCCCTAAAATCATCAGAAGCAATCAAATTGATGCACTCTACCTGAGCGAAATGTGTTTTCTCGCCGAGAATGTAGAGATACAACAGCTTATGGATGTTTTTCCTTCTTTTGTCCAATGGAAGATGGTCATCTTTTAACTTGGTTCTGATCTTAGCTGACTCTTTAGTGATAATCAATCGTTCATCTGCCAGAGTTTTGGCACTCCTCACGTCTTTTATGAACGTCCTTAGAGATCCCATTTTGCTTTGCAGTTTGGTAACGAAACTTCCAAAGGATATGCACCAGCCTATTATTCGAATAGAAATCTCGCCGCACGGACGAATTAGTTTCAATCACGTGATATATTACATACGTCTATATAACCGTTTAGAGTATCAAATCTCATAATGTTTGAGTGTAATACCAACTCATATTACTTCATTGATCATGTTACTTTTCTTTTCCTTTGTAGTGGATTCTTATTTCTGTAGCCATTGTAAAGATTTTGTATCCCTTTATACTATTCACAGGAAAACATTTACGCAGGAAAACGTTTAGGCTTTTCAACCAGCAAACCCCGAAATAGCGCTTGAAGATATTGAATATGCCATTCATTTCCATGAAAGTACCTGCTAAAGGGGATTCGGGTACAGATAAATCTTTAGAGTCTTCATCCAAGGGAAACAGGAGGGGTTCCTCATCACTTAAACATACCTTTACTTCTATCCTTAGAAGTGGGTCGAGTGGTGCGTCTTCGCAGCCATCTAGCAGAGAGCATAATGTGCCAGTTTCTGCTTCGACACCGGGTATCAGCAATGCTCAGGATGTATTCTACCCTCATGATGCCTATAACTCATCCCCTTCCAAACGGATCTCAAGAGACAATAATGAGCGTGTGATAAATGAGGACGACTTTGATGATGCAGATGTTGAGTCTGACGGCTTTTTATCTGAGTCTGAAGATCTTCAGAGCTACTATGGGTCTTTACCACCCAAGGCTTCGCCACAGACGTCTTCAGGTCAGAGATACCTGATAAATTACTTATCAGAAAGGGGTTTTCTACAGCCGAAGCTCCTATCTTCTAAGAATGGTGTTTCACTTTTTACCGCGACGTCCTCTGAAATCATATTTCTTCCAACTATATCTTCGCAAGATGACGAGTACCTAAGTCATCTGGCTATGTCAGGAGAGGCAGATATAGCCCTCGAACCAAGCAATTCGCAGACACAGTTTTCAGACTCCGTAGGAGACGGTTCCTCGATTGGAAGAGAAGCTAACAGCAGTCACGGAGGATCGGATGGAACGTCGTTAGGCTCAAACCACAGTCAGGGACTGGATGCTGATGGGAAAAATGCTGTGTTTAATATCGCACTGATTGTGTCACTTAAGCGTCCCATTCGGTTATCCACGATCAAAGCACAGCTTTATTCTAGAGCAAGAGTATATTGGCAAAATGGAGTTCCACCTCAAAAAAATTCAACCGAAGAGTATTACAACGTTGGAGAACTCAATTGGGATCTTTCCATTGACAACTTCAATCTTTATGTTCCGCAGCACATAACGTCTAGTAATTCAATTGTTGAAAAACGTGAACAAGTTATTAGTTCGCACCTTTTCAAAAATAAGGAAAACCTGGAAACCCAATCCTATTTAGAGAAAAAGAAGTCGAAGCAAAACTTGATTCAATTACTGGATGAAAATCCAGATCAACATACTTTTCAAGCAGGGGATTACGTCTTCCTTCTACCAATTTTTTTCTCTAATAATATTCCAGAAACAATTTATTTACCATCCGGTCGTGTCAACTACAGCTTTCGTTGTGCTACGAAAATAGGGACAATGGATTTAAATGATGATTCGCAGAGCGAAATGTCTGTTTCTTCTGGCTCGACAAGTACAATCGGCTCAGAAGACCATCAAAACGATTCATCGAGCCATCTAAAATTTCCTGGTAACAAGCTCCTGAGGAAGGTCAGAGATCATCTACATAGCCATCCAGACAATGACCTCGTGGCAACTAAAAATTTGATTCATGGTAATTACTCAATTCCAGTGGTAAGAATCCCACCGGTAATGTCGGTGTCAACGGCAGACAAGCCAGTGTACATCAACAGAGTTTGGAATGAATCGCTTTCATATGAAGTTTCCCTTTCTAAAAAGTATATTCCAATTGGGAGTGATTTGCCAATCAAAATCAAGTTGGTACCATTGGTAAAGAAAATTTCCATTAAAAGGCTGCGTGTTAGCGTTCTTGAAAAGATTACATTCGTCTCAAAGAATCTTGAATATGAATTTGATCAGACAGAGGCTATCTCTAAAGATCCCTACAGTCCGTATTACTCTGAATTTGCTTGCAGACGGAAGCAGGAGCGAATTCTTCCTCTGCTTGAAGTCAGAACCAAGGAGCGGGGCTCAAGAGCCATTAGGGAAGAAGTTGTTGACAACAGCCGTTCTGATAATCTATTGAGCTATACGACTTGTCCTAGTACGTCACCAGATAAAACACCAGTTGAAATAGTTGATCCTTTAACAATTGAAACAACTATTAGATTTCCAAAATATTCGGTATTGGATAAGAGAACTTCAAGAAATGTGCCCCCTTATGGTGTCGATGAGTTCACAACTGTTCACCAACAATTGCCGACTTCATCCTCCTCTCGTCGAGGAAGTACAGCATCCGGTATGATTGGTCTCCTTTCCGGCCGTAGACCTAGCACTTCCTTTCGATCCAGAAACAACTCTGTAAGTAATGCGGAGGCAATAGGGCCATCGACGCGATTCAAAAGTAGTTCAAATATGAATGTGGAATGGCATACACGACTCAATGACCCTAAAAGAGGCTTGTACCTAGACAGTGTCAATTTCAAAAATATTCACGTCAAGCACAAGCTGGAGGTAATGTTGCGTATCAGCACGCCTGACACTGAAAGTGGAGGGGTGGAAAAGCACTATGAGGTTTTAATTGACACACCTATTTTCCTCGTATCAGAGTTATGCACTAGCGACAATATTGAACTTCCAACATATGACATGGCACTCAGGAATCCATCTAGCTTTGATAACCTGCCTCCAACCTTCGAGCAGGCAATTTCAGTGCCAGCATCTCCTGTGGGATCTCCTTTGGCTTCGCCAATCGCGTCTCCTAATCTGGTTGCTTCTTACGATGATGAGTTATCTATACAACAGCTGTCACTATCTAGGGTTTCAACGCAGAATGGAACCGATCACGGCCCCCCTGAAATACCTCCTCCTACTGGAAGGAGGTACAGTAACCTCGATTATCTGATGAATCAACCCGCAGGTGGCTCTGGAGACCGATTTATTTTCGGGGATGGGTACCAGATAAATGAGCAGGGAAGAAATAGGGAAGAAAATGCAGTTCTAAGCGATGATGAGCCACCCAAGTATGTAGAATGAAGGAAGCCAATTTGTCTCCATGCTAGGTTGTTTAAGTTTAGTTCACTTTAATGGTTTATTTAATGATTTCAAAGCTCCACGTTTTAGGAGGCTTAACATTTTACGTACACCTAAAGAGATGGACGTGGAAACCTCTGTCTCAAATCCTCAAGACGCCTCTGGCCTGGTTCATGCCCACAGTGCTAATCACCCTCAAACCTGAACCTCCAAAGGGAAAGTAGCTCACACCGTAATATATAACTGCGATAAGCTGTAGCACAGCGCATGGGATCGTTAGGATAGCTGACTTCTTGATAGCAGCAAAGTAGATGGTTAGAAAGCACGTTGTGAAAAAGAATAAACTGAAGGGCAATCTCTCCCGCGAGGTAAGATGCTTGATGTACGCAACAGGGCCCTGAAGAACTCCAAATCCCAGCACAAATAGCAGCGACCCCATCGACCATAAGAGACCGAATTTGCGGGGCTTCACGGCCAAAACGGGGAAGAGGAACACGCAAAGCGTAAAGCACCCCACAGAGCCTAGGATGAAACACACAAATAGCATCAACCTTTCAGTCCGTGAAAGTGCAAACCACGAGGGCTCTTGATCCTGTGCCAAATCCTGCTGCGTCATTGGTAGGCGCTGATAAACATCTTGCGCTCTTGCATTAAGGGAATCGGCCCACGATGAAAAAAGCGTCTTTGCGCCTTCATTAAACCCCTGTGAATGTTGCGAGCGCGACTCATTCCACCTATTTAGGGAGTCTCGAAGATTTGAAACCTGTTCAGAAGACATATTCGATCTTCAACTCAAGTAATAATCCTGTAAAGTAGCTTGAACAACTACTTGGTTAATCATCAAAAACCGTCTTCCCAAAAACCGTTGACCGCCGGTCACGTGGCAGAAATCTCGATGTTCATGTCACGTGAGGTGTGTAGTCTTGTTCCCGGAACGTTAGGTTTCGATATCATTTAAGAGCTCAAAGGTAAAAGTGGCAGAAACTACAAGAAAGTCGCTGGGGCCAAAATGGAATACAAACAGGACGATCAAGAGTTCATCAATGAACTCTTGAGCCACAATGGTGGTTTTGATGGCTTGAACGAGGTGGGGCAATCGCCCGCGGGCAATCAGAATGCGGCACCTCACAGCATGCTCTCGTACTCTACGGGTGAGAGTGTCGACAAAAGTCAGCCATATTCGAACCTGACACCTGCCAGACAACAGGAACTGCTGCAGCATTTCAACACAGGCCACTCGTCGGTGTCCCCTGGAACCAAAGAGGATGGATATTTTATCGACGAGTACCTAGCTCAAAACCAGCAACCAGGACGCGAGATACTGAGTGAGCACCTTCTGTTTCAGGAGCCTCTCAACGACGACGTAATGTCGAACTATACGGATGAACTGACCTCCTCGCTTGGGTCTAGTGTTCACACGAGCGATTTTCTCTCGCCTTCGTCGTCCTTTAGCTACCACCCGCAACAACTCAACTCCGTAGACTCATCGAGCTACACGCAGTACTTGTCGTCCAGTGTCAGGTCGCCCTCCACCAGTCTCAGAGGCGGGAACTATCTGTCGTCGTCGCTGCGTGGGCAACACAACATGAGGTACTCGTCGACAAGCAGCACAGCAGCAGGCACGCCGCAGGACAGCAGCTCTAACGCGCAGCTCACACACGAGGAGAAACTCCGCCGGCGCAGAGAGTTCCACAATGCCGTCGAGAGAAGACGCCGTGAATTGATCAAGCAGAAAATAAAAGAACTGAGCAAGCTAGTCCCTCCAAGTCTTCTGAACTATAATGACGAGGGTAAGGAGATCAAGGTTAATAAGGGCATTATTTTGAATCGGTCCGTTGATTACCTTGAGTATTTGAAACAGGTCCTTGAGGCGCAAGATCGCAAGAAGCAACTACTTTTAAAGAAAGTTAGGGAGCTCGAGAATTATAAACGAACATTGACTATGAACAACGCCAGTGTTCCTCAAAAGCACTCGAGACTTAACATAGAGAACAGCAATTCGCCAGAACAAATAATTGACACCAGAATAATGCCTCTCATGGGCGAAAACTCGGCTACTCCGTCCACCTTTCACGACGATTTACAGCAGTTTTTATCAGGGGAGGCTATTGAGGCCGAGGACAATGCCAAACTGATATATGGTGAGAATGGAAACGGAACCAGTGCAGATTATTTGCTGGATTTTGATAAGTAAATCTACGGGTAGTTTTATGTTACTTCGTATTTATGGATGTAATATTTTGAGTGATGAATTAATTATCGATAAAAATAGTGAGGGAGAGGTTTGTTTTGATGTCGGACGTGAAATTATTGATTAATCTTTCTTTGCAATTTTTAGAATTGATTAAGTTTCAATGTTGCTAAACGTAACAAAACAATAAATTAGGGGCACAATGATCTCTCCTTCCCGCGAGAGCCCTCATAAGGTGAGCAAGTTGAAATATGAATGATCACAATGCTAGTTGAACGCAGCTCACACTCTCCAAGTCCAATGAAAAGAGGGTGTACCACGTGATCACAAATTTCGATGCTTTTCCGTGTTTGTTTGGATTTTGCAGGTTCAAGCCGATGAAAATGCAGCGACTAAGAAGCTTAGTGATGGCCCAAAGGACAGCCAAATATGACGTCCAAGCCCCCTTCCTCAATTGATGAAGGACCAAAGTTACGAGAAGAGAAGCAGTATCAAGACTTCTACCCCAATTTATGTCAACAAACGACCTTGCCTGTTCTAGTCGATAATGAAGGCGATCAAAATGACTCGATGCCCACCCTCCCGCATCCACACATAAAGCAAATAATATTCAAGGACAAGGTCACTGTTGAACCAATTGCCTCAAACGCTGATAGAGTTCAGTTCAAAAAATGTAAAGTCAGAATATCCGATTTAAGCGGCTCCCATGGCATAACAAAGCAGTACTATCGTTTCGGTTACCGCCATAACCGTCATCCCACTAAATTTGACGAAAATACTACTCCATATATTAAGAAAACAGATTATCTCGAGATATCGAAGGAAGACCCCTTTGTCCAGATATCTAAGTATCAATCCCATTTCCAGGTCCAATATGATATGGATGAACAAGACGAACTCTATCTTCGATTTCTCAACACGAATCGCATAACATATATGAAAAGACGAATAACGCACGAAATTTTCGAGATTGTAATTACAGTGCTTGAAAATGAATGGTTTTACTTGGAGAAAAAAATCCCCCCTCGAGTCTCACCCAATGCTGATATATATTCCAAAGAGTCCAAGGCAGCGTGGCAATATTATGAGGCATATGGCTCTGACGATGGAACTGGCTATGTTCTAGATCAACCTTGTGCCATATGCGGGGGGACAGAAAGCGACAACTCCAATGCGATAGTTTTCTGTGATGGATGCGACGTTGCTGTACATCAAGAATGTTATGGTGTGGTATTCATACCAGAAGGCCAGTGGCTTTGCCGCCGATGCATGATATCGAGGAATCGAAAAATCAACTGCCTTTTTTGTCCTAGCCATACTGGAGCTTTCAAACAGACAGATACCGGATCTTGGGGGCACGTAATATGCGGCATTTGGATTCCGGAGCTTTTTTTTGCCAATACGCATTATATGGAACCTATCGAAGGAGTTGCTCTAATATCAAAATCAAGGTGGAAACTTAACTGTTACATATGCAAGCAAAAAATGGGAGCTTGTATTCAATGCTCAAACAAAAATTGCTTCACTGCCTACCACGTTACCTGCGCTAAAAGAGCCGGTTTGTGTTTGGACTTTGGAGGATGCTCAATTTCGGACGCAGCATCCAATTCCTTTTCTTCAGCTGTTAAGCTACAAAGTTTCTGTGACAAGCATTCTCCACCGGGTTGGAACGACTGTCGGGAGGGAATACAGAAAACTAGACGATATTTTGGGAGCATTAACGAAGTTAAGGTCCTAGAGCAAAGTAGAGACGACTCTAGAACTAAAAAGGGCTCTGGCTGTAAGTGGAAAACGAACAGAGGAACTCCTATAGCTCCCCACATCTTCGCGCAAGTTGTTAGAAAAGTGTTAGATTCCTTTAAGATAGAGAATACAGAGAGATTGGCGATCGAAATCTGTAAATATTGGTCAATGAAGAGGGAGCTTAAACGAGGGACATCACTAGTTAGAAAATTCGACCCCACCGCTTTCAATACATTTCGCACTGAAGAAATACAAGAGCGCGTTAATTTTGCTGAAATACTTCTCAATGATATGAACAAATTACACGAATTGGGATCACTGTTAGTTAAAAGGCAGCTTGCCTCGAAGTCTTTGCACGAAGCGAAAGCCAAATGTGATCAAATAGCACATCATCCGGTTGCATATCTAATAAAGACTTCCGTGTTAGATAATATTACAAAAACACAGGCATACAAAAGCTTATTGAGAAATGAAGCGCTTCCTTCCAATCTAAACACTATACTCTCTAGATGCGATTCAGGATATTATGATAGTATCTCCTCTTTCAAGAAAGACATATCAGAATACTTCAAGGAAATTGCATCGAATACTAAGATTTCGCGCACAACTCAAATGTTGGCTAATTCTGTCTTTGCTGGGTTTAAAGAGCGGTTGGCTAGAATTGAGGGAATCGATGTGCAAACTTGGATTAACGAAGATTTCGACATTCACGGTAGCGAAATAAATTTAGCAAAGTGGAAGGGACCAAAGCTTATGGAAAAAGAAGACTTGAGCGATGTCGAGGAACTATCACCGGGCGAGATTAGAATAATTAAAGCATGTTTAAAGTAGATGTGATTAGCACAATGTAATGAATTAACGAAAATATATCATTATAAACGGATATTTGTTAAGAAGTCAATTGCAGCTTTAGAAGCTTGGAAATCATCAAGAGCTGAAGACATCATCAATAGTAAATGGGGTTGATAAAGAAGGTACTTAATTGGTCTAATGACAGCGAATACGACTACCTGTCAGTAAATCCCACAAGGGAAGAAGTGGCTCATTATAGAGTGGACCCTGAGAATGAAGATGATAATTCAATTGTAAAAATGAACACAGTAAAGGATTTTGATAGTATCACCTGTTTAGACTACTCGGACATAGATGTTGGTCTAGTTGGTATTGGAGAAAAAAACGGTATCGTACGACTTTTTAATATTGTACCAGATTCTTCATTGTCAAACAATTTCAATCTGAGAGTGAGAGCGAAACAGCAGAGAACTGTGAATAGTATAGGGATTAGCAGCAACGGTCTTATAGCAATTGGCATGGAAAGAAACAGGCATGACCCTTCTTTACAAATATGGGACATAAACTATCAAAGTACCGATTCGAATGTGGTAAACCCGTCATTTTCTTATTGTCTGAATGAGACTTTAGTGTCCCTAAAGTTTCTCGACGACACAACAATTATAACTGGTACCACAAAGTTGTTGAAAGAGATTGATCTACGATCACCAAATCCAGTATATCAGCACCCAACTCGCCTCTCATACGACATTAAAATAAATCCGTTCAATTGCTGGCAATTTACCACGTATGGTGACGATGGTACTCTCGCAATATGGGACAGACGTAAACTTTCAACAAGCCCAACCTCAAATGAATTTCTGGAGACTCAACCTTTACTGAAATTTGAAAAACTGATGGGATCAGGAATGGCAACACGTAGATTTTCTAATGCTTGCTTTCGTTGGTCCGTATTAAGAAGCGGAGAATTTACAACACTACACGCTGGTCAAGTAATCAGAAGATGGCGCCTAGGGAGTGTTCCTCAAGAAGAAAACAGGTCAAGTGATGGTGAGGAACAGGAGCTCTCATCTAAGCCCCATGATGTTGAATCATTGTTTGTGTCAGCAGTCCATGACATCAATACTACATTCGACCGCGTGGCTACCTTTGATTATATTCCAAGAGTATCTGGAGTTACAAATTTCATTTGTATGCGGCAATCAGGAACTATTTATCGGATGTCTCTTGATGAAGGTATATCAAAAGCAGCCTTCAATAGTAACAATGACGTTCTATTTTCGAACAACGACAGATCGTACGTCGAGGAATTGAGAATAACTAACAACGACGATAGTTTGGAAGCCAACCATATTGCAAAAGAAATGAAAAATTTGTCATTTGAAGACCTTGACATTAGCGAAGGTGAACTACAATTCGAAATAGAGGAGTCTGAAAGCATATCTCCGCAAGGCGATGAAGATGATAGCCAACTTGAAGATGCAGATGATGGTGCTAGTGCTAATCGAGAAATGTCATCAAGTGGCAACTATTCTTTTCTCTTAAAACCCGAACAGCTACTGCAAAATGATATCAGCATGATCATGAAAAGGCGCGCCCTTCTGGGTTATGGCTTAGATCCAATGAGTACAGTAGAACTAATCGATTGCTCCAAATCACTACAAAATAATGCATATATCCGCAATACTTGGAGATGGCTTTCTATTGCAAAGGCATCTGTTGATGATGGTACAATGGTGTCAGGCGAGCTCGACTTGGGATACGAGGGTATCCTTGGAATCTGGAACGCATTAGATGGACTTTCGAAACAGGATAGATATAGACAAGGGACCATTTTTACTGAAAAGCAGCTGAACAAAGAGCTTGAAAAGATTATTCAAATGAGAGGGAAGAACAAGTCGAGGGGAGGAAATTCCAATGGATTGAGTACTTTTGCCAATTCGAATAAGCCAATTCAGCGTAAACTTTGTATGATCATATCTGGATGGGATTTAACACCTGCAGATTACGAAGAGAAATATCAAAACTTGATAAAACTCAATCATTACGAAAAAGCTGCTGGATGGGCTGTTTTCTTTGGCGACGTTACGAGGGCAATTGAAATTTTGAGTTCTGCGAAGAAGGAAAGATTGAGGCTGATTGCAACAGCAATTGCAGGATACCTGGCTTACAAAGATCAACCCGGAAATAACGCTTGGAGGCAACAGTGTAGGCGCATGTCGTCTGAACTGGCCGATCCCTATTTGAGAGTCATATTCGGATTTATCGCCGACAATGATTGGTGGGATATACTATATGAGTCTGCCATTTCTCTTCGGGAGAGATTAGGTGTAGCTTTGCGTTTCTTAAATGACAAAGATCTGACAAGATTTTTGGAGCGTACCGCTTCTACCGTAATTAAAAATGGTGAGCTGGAGGGTCTAATTTTGACTGGTATCACACCAAGCGGAATAGACTTGTTACAGTCATATGTTGATAAAACTAGTGACGTGCAGACAGCGGCTCTTATTTCTGTGTTTGGGTGTCCAAGATATTTCAAAAACTCTCAAGTGCAGGAGTGGGTACAAACTTATCGCATCTTGCTCAATTCCTGGGGATTATTTTCTATCAGAGCTAAGTTTGATGTACTGAGGACACGATTGTCTAGGACAAGCCAAAATGTAATCACTGCGAAGACTAAACCGCGTCAACTTTATATCCAATGCTTGAAATGTAACAAGAACATCAACAAGCCCGCTGAGGCGTCTTTAAGTTCGCGGGCACGTCAAAATAGCATGATGAAGAACTTCACAGGAACTAAGAAATTTGGAATTACCAATAACGCGGCTTCTAACCCCCAACAGAAACATTCTTGCCCGCATTGTGGCACACCCTTCCCAAGGTGCGCCATCTGTCTCCTACCACTCGGAACATCTAACTTACCTATAGTTATAAGTGGACGTGCCGAAAACTATGACGGAAAGCCTACAAATCCAGAAGATGCGGAGCTTCAAGAGTTAAGGGAAGCAAAACGCCTAAAGTTAAATGAATGGTTCAGCTTTTGCCTGAGCTGCAATCACGGGATGCATGCGGGCCATGCAGAGGAGTGGTTCGAAAAGCACTTGATATGTCCCGTACCCGGTTGCTTCTGTAATTGCAATAAGTAGACAAAGTTATATCTATAACTATATACCCTTTAGCCTTCAAAGATCATTGAATCGTTCTCCTGTGATTACATGAAGTTAATCATTGGCTACGTTTCCTAAGTCTAGTCAGAATGTTTTGAGGAGTGGCGAAAAATGACCAGATTCAGAAATAGATTTTTGATCCACCAAATCTCGCCAGTATAAAGATATAGTGCGTGGCAAACAGAAAGGTGTATCCGTGGAAGTGCTGAGACTTGATTGATAAAATTACAGTGGATAGTGTTGAATATTCTTAAACAGTTACCATTCATTTTTGGTTTAAACAGACGTGGCTGCACTAATTTCTCACAGCCATTAGATCTTCGCAGGGCTCACTATAGAATAACACCAATATGCTGACTCAAGTGGAACAGGATATTCATAAGAAGATTGAGAGGGAAAAGAACATTATTGTAGGGGCCTCGAATCTGAAGAAAAAGACGGATAATGTTATGGTGATACAGAAATGTAACACGAACATAAGAGAGGCACAGCAGAATATTGAGTACTTGCAAGAAACGCTAAAAAAGCTGCAAATGCAACAGACCAATGACCGCAAATACCCTGCTGAAAATCGTACGAGCCAAGGCTATGGCCAATTGACCACAATAGCGCCGGAAGAACATCGATTTTCAAGGTTGGACGTTATGAAGTATGATTGCCCCTCTCTCTCACAAAGGATTCAATATATGCTTCAGCAGCTTGAGTTCAAGCTACAAGTTGAAGAGCAATATCAGGAGGCTAATGACAAATTGACGAAGCTCTACCAGATCGACGGAGACCAACGGAGCAGCTCAGCAGCTCAAGGTGGTTCCAGAGAATCTAAGCAAAGGATTCTTCTTTTGAAAAAGGCTCTGAAAAAATATCAAGCTATCAATGTAGACCCTGATCTTTTGAAACACGCAGCGGATGATTTGACGATCACGCAACCAAAATTCAGGAGAAAACAGCTCACGGGGACTCTTACAATTGGAATCAATGCGATTCGTGATGTTGATCATATTGAATCGCCTCTTTTTTCGCGAAAACCAGAGACATTCATCACCATAAAAATTGATGATGCTATTAGAGCTAAAACCAAGCCCTCTCGAAACGACAGATGGAATGAAGAGTTTAACATTCACGTTGGGAAAGGGAATGAAATTGAGATAACGGTGTATGATAAAATTAATGACCAGATGGTTCCAGTTGCTGTAATGTGGCTAATGCTTTCGGATATTGCTGAAGAAATTAGGAAAAAGAAGGCGGGCCAGATCGGCCAGGCTGGATGGGTCAGTAACTCTACGATTCCTCTCGCCCCAGCTGAAAACGATACGTATCTTCCCACACATCCTGCCATTGCTGAAGCTAACGCCAATGGAGCTCTGCGCCAGACTAGTGATTCCTCCTATGATGGCCCAAGCCCCTCTCAACCAATCACTACCAACTCATGGTTTGTATTGGAACCTTCAGGCCAGATTTTATTGACTCTCGGATTTAGCAAGTCTAGTGAACCCACGGAAAAAGGTTTATCGGGAGGATTACATCGTCACGGTGCAATCATTAATAGGAAGGAAGAAATATACGAGCAGCACGGGCACCATTTTGTCCAAAAGTCGTTTTACAATATTATGTGCTGCGCATATTGTGGCGATTTTCTACGTTATACGGGATTTCAATGTCAGGACTGTAAGTTTCTCTGTCACAAAAAATGTTATACTCACGTTATCACGAAATGTATTGCAAAGACAAGTACAGACACAAACCCTGATGAGGCCAAGTTGAATCATCGTATCCCTCATAGATTTGAACCAGTCTCCAACCGTGGCACAAAGTGGTGTTGTCACTGTGGTTATATTTTACCATGGGGCAGAAAAAATGTGCGCAAGTGCACTGAGTGTGGTGTCATGTGTCATGCCCAATGTGCTCATCTTGTCCCTGATTTTTGCGGTATGTCAATGGAAATGGCAAATAAAGTGTTAACAGCTATCCAAGACACTAAGCGTTCTCAAGAACTTAGAAAAAAATCTGCTGGTGTTACCGGAGGTGCCCTGGGGACACAACCTATTCGTGAGACTCATTACGATTCCCTCAACTCCAATAACCGTAATGTACCACGCCTCGAACCGTTACAGAACACACCCGTCAACACTGCTCTTGAAAACCTACATATCGCTCCTTCAAACGATACACCAATAGGAGGCAAAAATTACAACTTTACTGAAGTATCTCATCCTCAACATGTTTCGATAAAGCCAACGATACCCGTTGCAGAGAGAAAAGCTGAAGTTAATAATAGGCTGAATAACTTCATCGAAGAAAACAGTGCATATCAGACCTTTACAAGCACTGCTGGCACGAATGATATGTCAGAAGAAGAAGAAATTCATCCTACGTTAGATCCTTCCTATACTAACATGTCTTTTGAACCTGATCATGAAGATATCGAATTAATCCAACGGATGAAGCAGAACAGCCACGATCAGTACTTGGAGGAAGAGCAAAGGGTCATGGAGCCTAAACAGCATAATTCACCCATGGGTAATGACGCTGATCACAATGACGTCCAATTGAACTTAGAAACAAGACAAACTCCTTATAATCTGATCCCCAGTACTGAAAAGATGGATATAGAGCCAATTATGTCCACCATTTCAAACGAAGGCAAATCCCAAAATCCATTTAGGGAAATGGATGCCGGAAGCTTTGAGCAACGGCAGCTCAATGAGATACATGGTGCCAACGAATCTTCACAGCACCAATTGTTATCAAGTAGAGAAGAGCCCTCATATGCATCGCAACAATCCTCTCCTCAAAAGTCACATACTAGTTCAAGGCACAAGAGAAGGACACCAAGACGTCGTAAAATTTCACTTGATGATTTTGTTCTACTTAAAGTTTTAGGAAAGGGTAATTTTGGTAAAGTTTTGCTTGCCAAATCGAAAAATAATGAGCGTCTGTGTGCAATCAAAGTTTTGAAGAAAGACCACATTATAAAAAATCACGATATAGAAAGTGCGAGAGCCGAGAAGAAGGTATTTTTACTGGCTACAAAGGCTAAACATCCTTTCCTCACCAATCTTTACTGTTCATTCCAAACCGAAAATCGTATCTACTTTGCAATGGAGTTTATCGGTGGTGGCGATTTAATGTGGCATGTTCAAAATCAAAGGCTTTCCGTCAGGAGAGCAAAATTCTATGCAGCCGAAGTGCTATTAGCGCTCAAGTACTTTCATGATAATGGTGTCATTTACCGTGATTTGAAGTTAGAAAACATCCTTCTGACCCCAGATGGGCACATCAAAATTGCCGATTACGGTCTGTGTAAAGACGGCATGTGGTATGGAAACAAGACCTCAACTTTCTGTGGTACGCCAGAATTCATGGCTCCAGAAATTCTTAAAGAACAAGAATACACGAAAGCTGTTGACTGGTGGGCATTTGGAGTTTTACTCTATCAGATGCTGCTGTGCCAATCTCCCTTTTCAGGTGATGATGAAGATGAGGTATTCAATGCTATTTTAACTGACGAACCACTGTATCCTATTGATATGGCTGGCGAAATTGTACAAATTTTCCAAGGCCTGCTAACAAAAGATCCCGAAAGACGTTTGGGGGCTGGTCCTCGTGATGCATTAGAGGTTATGGAGGAACCATTCTTCAAGAACATAAACTTTGATGATATTTTAAATTTACGGGTTAACCCACCTTATGTTCCCGAAATCAAAGCTGCTGATGATACGTCATATTTCGAGAAGGAGTTCACTTCAGCTCCTCCAACTTTAACTCCATTGCCATCGGTGCTAAGCTCAAATTTGCAGGAAGAGTTCCGTGGTTTTTCGTTTATGCCCGATGACCTTCTGCTGTAAACCATCAAATAGCATAATTGAAATAAAAGTATTTAATGTCTAGATCAAAAATGCTTCGGCATCGGCATCATGTTTTTGTGATGGATCGCTGACCCATTTAATATCATTGCAATTACTGAAACTCGTATAATTAACAAAAGATCACCATCACGTGATATAATAGGCTCAAAAACGGCTTTATTTTCAATTCATCAGTTGTGAGGGCGTCTTGGTTAAAGTAACTAAAGTTCCTAGGTGAGACCTACTAAGGACGCTGAGATCCATTTTATTGCATTATGTTCAAAAAGAGCAGAAGATTGAAAAGTGTATCGAATGCTATAAAGTCAGTTTCGAGCGCTGATGCGTCCGCAGGTATTTCATCAAAGATGTTTGATATAAAAGAGGTGAGTCGTTACGGTATGAACGGGAAGGTCACCAAGTTTGCTTTTGATCCTGTCCAAAGCTTGTTAGCGGTTGCCACTGATGCAGGGGAAATCCATGTTTACGGAAAACAGCAAGTGGAGGTCGTTTTCACGTTAGATTCAAAGGCATTCATCAAACACCTACGGTTTGTGAAGGGTATATACTTAGTGGCAGTGAATTCAAAGGATGCGGTTTTGGTACTTTCATTACTTTCTAAACGGATTTTAGCTTCTTTTTTTGCTCCTGGGAAGATAACCTGCGTTGAAACAGATCCATCACTTGACTGGATGCTCATAGGGTTACAAAGTGGAACAACGGTGATATACGATATTGATAGAGACAGTTTATCACCGGTACGGATTGAAAATCTTCAAAAAAGTCATTTTTTTCCCAAAAGTTCGCTTTCTCCGGTGGTGTCGTTACAATGGAACCCAAGAGATATTGGAACAATACTTATTTCTTATGAAAAAGTTAGCGTGACTTACTCACTGATTGAAGGTGAAATTAAGCAGCATTTTATTTATGACTTGCCTCCTTTTGCGCCGGGGGGAGATCCAACCGAGAAAAATGACGTGAAGAGAAGCCCAAAAGTGATACAATCAGTATATCATCCAAATTCGTTGAATATACTAACTGTACACGAAGACAACTCTCTAGTCTTTTGGGACTGTAATAGTGGTAAACTTATACAGGCAAGAACCCTTTTCGATACAGACGTGAACGTTCCTAAAAATGTCAACGATCTGTCGCCAATGAAAAATTCCCCAATCTTCAAAGTATCATGGATTTGCCAAGCTAATCCAGAATATACGTCCCTCTTAATTGCAGGTGGCTCTTCGAATATTGATGCAGGTTGTCACAACCTCACAATGATAGATCTTGGGGGAACTCCACTATATTCGGTGACGTCGTATGAAAAAATGAGCCAGTATTACGCCAATCCCGTGAAACAAAAGATACTGCCCATTCCTAACGAGCAATCAGTTGTCGACTTTCTTCCTCTCGCCAGAGGGTCACCATACTTTTCAGGATGTCATGACCCAGGCTTCATACTTATTCTACTTGCAGACGGTGGCATCGAGACTCTCTTATATCCCTCAGGCCATGTTTCTTACAAAGCTTCGTTATTCCCTCAAAGTATATCCTGGGTTCGACCAGAGGCCACAAAATCAGTGGCCACGTCAGTTCCAAATAAACTTTGGTTGGGTATGATGTCGTCTACTTACAGCAAAGATTATCTATTGAAGGGTGGTGCACCAGTGAAAAAGCCACTGAGAGTACATGATACGAGGTCGTCATTAGCTACAGGTCACACAAACGGATCCGTCAGAATATGGGATGCATCTCATGGGGAATTGGATGAAAGCGCCGTGTTCGACGTAAGTGTTTCAAGTGTATTGAATACTGCTACTGGTATTGCAGTTAATCATATTTCATTTGCATCAGAAACTGCGGAATTAGCTGTCTCAATTGATGCAGGGGATGTAGTTTTATTCAAGTTCCAAACCAATCAGTTTTACGCTCCGGCGGGGAGTCCTATCCCCCATGATGTTGAAGTGAATTTCAGGAGATTTTCTCTGAACGCGTCAACCGAAATTATGGTGGACGTATCCGACAGAGCGCCTAAAAATATAAGGGAAGGATTCATGCCGATCACAGCCATTCATGCTCGGAAGGGCAAAACGACTTCTTTAACGAACAGCAATGTTGGTTTCGTAGGCATAGCTTACGAGGAAGGGACTATTATGGTAATTGATAGACGGGGCCCGGCAATCATTTTCTTGGAGAACGTTAAAAAGATATCAAGACAGAGAAGTGCTTACGTCACTTCGATTGACTTTTCGATAATGGAGTTTGGCGAAGATGGTTATTCTAGCATTTTGATGTTATGTGGTACAGATGCTGGTGAGCTGCTTATTTTCAAGGTTTTACCAGACCCCAGTGGAAGGTTTTCTGTTAAAACTATTGATTCTACAAAAACGAATGACTCTGGCCCAATTATTTCCATCGATTCGTTCTCTAAAACATCGTCTAACCCGTGTTCCGCCACAATATCCATGATGCGTGACCTCTCAAAGGGTGTACCTATACCAGGGCAAATCATGATATGTGGTGCTTTTGACATTCGCCTTTTGAGTCCGGGCAGATCGAAGGATAGCCATAGGATTTTCAAATACCCGATTGCCTCTGCAGGCCTTTCTTATTTCAAACTCCCTCCTGTGAAGGGAGTAAAACGTGTCGCCACTGTTATCATATGTTTACTGGTCAATGGGGAGGTGAAGATATTGAATGTACCAGAGCTAAAAGAAATCAAGTCTCTAACATTACCAATGCCTATTCATAGCAAGTACATCACTGAATCTTCCATTTTAAGAAATGGTGATATCGTCGCAAGAGTTGGGAAAGCTGAGGCAAGCTTATTAACAGTTTTAAAAGAAACGGCCTCTGATATCGACAAGGACAACCAGAGCTCAGCAAATTCTGCCACTGACTCTTTATACAACCCCAATCTGAGAATTGCATGCAGACCACAAGTGAACTCTTTACAATGGGCTCGTGGGACTGTATACGTAAGACCCGAAGATCTTTCGCGATTACTTGGTGGTGATAGAAAGCCTTCCAAGTATGAAGAGAGCGCCATTGCGAATGGAACTATTTCAATCGATCCTCAAGAAAAAGTTAGTAATAGCCATGAACTATCTGCTGCGAATAATCATCAATATCAAGCACCAGTGAGACATGCTGCTAAATCTGGTGGATATGGCACCATGAAATATATCTCCCGTGCCGTTGAGAACGGAATGGATAACATAGAGGGAACATTCAATGATTACGCAGTGGCAGCTAACGAGACTATTAATGAGGCTTTGGAGCAAACCGGTTCTGATCTTGTGAAGGGTGCATTCAAGTCAAAGATGGGATTTTAATTATAACGTCTATAGTGATTATATTATTTAGTCATTTAACGCTTCACATATCGCCGTTCCCTTTACTGATATACAGGGCATCTACTGCAATAGCAAGCAGCTTATATTCATGGGAAACGAACTTACGATCAATACGCCGACCAAGGTTCTCGAATCAAATCTAAAAGTCAAGGGTGGGGATGACGTTCACATGGAGAAGTTAACTATTACGAGGGAAAGATGCATCAATCCCAGTCTTGTTGATAGCTTCTTGAGATTGCTTAGACATAATACAGATGACGTGATAAGACAGAAGCTCAATAATGTGGGGGGTACGAATGAGAAGATCAAAAGTGAAAGATGCAATGAATACGTCCATAAAGAGCTGTACTCCTGCTGGGCGGTGCGTGACAAGGTCATCTCATTCTGCGACAATGAAGCAGCATCAATGAAAAAGGAATTAGATGCAAATTATGGTGGAACCACTGAAACTATTACTGCTGCCTCTGACCTACGTCTGGATCCTTATGCTGCAAGAGAAAAACAGGAGGAAAAAGAGTTTCATTACAATGATCTGAGAAATCTACAGCGATGGGTCCAAAACCAACGAGAAGTAGAAGGCATACTTCAGAACACCAGCAATCGAATTTTACAGAGCTCATGCGATGCAAACACAAACTACATCGCCCAATTTGAAGATTTCAGGCGAACGATTCAATGATCTTCTTTCATCATGCATCGCACTATCTCAAATACGCTCTTAACAGAAACATGTAAATAGATTACAATAATTATTAGTTTGTAAGAGGGATGATATCCATCACATCTTTCAACTGTTGAAGCTTGATTAATTTGAGGGAAATATGAGCACTCCAAAGAGGCCATACACATCAGACATATCATGCACATTTGTGCTAAGGGATTGTAGCGGTGGTACAATTAATAAATTCCATTCTTCTGCATCATCTTGGATTAAGTCTAAGTTCCTTGCTCTTTTCCTTTACACGTGACATGGAAGCTGCGACTTTTGAAAAGAAAGAATTTTTTTTTCTAGATTGTCTTTTTGAAGGTGTCAGTGGGCTGATTAATATTATACATTAACAAACACTAATAGGTAATCATAAAACTTGACATCCCAACTAAGATTGTCAAAAATGAGTCAAGAAATACCTCTACCCAAACTAGAGGACTATGGGCTGTCTGCAGCTAATGGGTTCCTCCCTGCAGAATTTCCAGTCACTGAATTATCAGATATTTACTATAAACCGTGGGAAACAGTGGTAGCCCGGTTACCTTCGCTTCTTCTATCTAAAAAAATAAGAGCTGTGGTTGATAGGTTGCCCATTTTGAAAGTCAAAGAATCTCTATTGGATAATGTGGGCGAACTAAGAAGGGCATACTCGGTTTTGTGCTTCATCACAAATGCGTATGTTTGGGGATACGACGAGCCTTCCGATACGCTTCCGGATTGCATTGCAGAGCCTCTGCTGGTAATTAGTGAGAAGTTAGGGCTACCTCCTTTAGCAACCTATTCTTCACTTATCCTTTGGAATTTCAAGCCGATCCTGGATGATCCAGAACTTGTGGATAATTTGATGGACCTCGAAAATTTAACCACAATCAATACTTTTACAGGCGGAATTGATGAAAGCTGGTTTTACTTGGTTAGCGTTTTTTTTGAAAAAACGGGAGCTCAGTGCATTCATGCTGGACTAAATGCAATACAAGCTGTCAGAGATGGAAATGACAAAGTTATAATCAATGAACTCGAGAAGGTCGCCCAAGGAATTGACAATTTGGGGTCTTTGCTCATGAGGATGGAGGAAATGTGTGATCCTCACGTTTTTTTTTTCAGAATCAGACCTTACTTAGCAGGATGGAGAAATATGACCGATGCCGGACTGCCTAACGGCATAAGGTATGGCTCTACTGGCTCTTATCAACAATATGCCGGTGGTTCAAATGCCCAAAGCTCACTTATTCAAGCTTTAGATATATTGCTAGGTGTCGAACACTTCGCGATGGGGAAGAAAGCTTCTTCAGAGAAAACAATTTCCGCTCAAGCAGGCAAGAACTCGTTCATTAACGAAATGCGCAAATACATGCCAAAGGATCACCGCGATTTTCTGGATCACTTGGGGAAGGTGAGCAACGTCCGGGACTACGTGCTTTCTCACAAATCTAATGAAAAACTCGTTCTCTCATACGACGCATGCCTAGCGATGTTGAAGTCTTTCCGTGACAAGCACATTCAAATTGTGTCTCGTTACGTTATATTACAAGCCTCTAAAAAACCTGTTGTGAGCAAGGCTAAAACGTTGAGAAGCGGCCTCTCTAAAGCACAGGGTAAGAAAGAGCAGAAAGGAACTGGCGGGACATCTTTGATCCCATTTTTGAAGCAATGCAGAGATGAAACGGGCAGTGCAGCAGCTAGTGAGTGGGGTAAAAAAGTTCTAAGCACAGGTGTCTTGAAGGTAGAGAATTCAAGCAGTGTCGTGGGAATTCGTAAGAGAAGGGCGAGTGAACAGTCAGCAGACTCTGACGAAGACACCAAAAGGGTCAAGGTGGGCCTAGCTGGAGATTGGGATTCTTCCGATGATAACGAAGACATCAGCGGTGGCTCTGCAGGTCATTGGTGATAAGTATAGTTTCCTCTTACATAATGATATACAATAACGACTTAGTTTATGATTAAGACGCTTTGATTAGTAATCGCATGATTTATAAGTTGATCATTCTGAATATCATTATATTAATATGCAAAAAGGGCAAGTTCCTTGCTCCAGGACTTAAATGTTTTGAAGTAGTCTAGTGACTTCATCGACACCTCCTTGATAAATCTCGGACAATTTTTGCTGGACTTTTGGAATAAGTTCTTCTGCCTCAATCAACTCACCATCGTCACTAGCAAACTCGGGACCTAGACGTTTGACACGAAGCTTGTTATCCAAGTATTCCTCTTTACCAAGAATGACAGCGATTGGGCAGCCAGACTTCTCAGCAGCCTCGAATTGTTTTCTTGGATTTGCCTTAGCCTTGTAGACGTATTCAGCTTCGATTCCCGCGTTCCATAGTTGCTTAGCAACAAGCATTCTTTCAGGTAAGTAACCAGTCCAATCCTTACCACCTCCGAATGCCATGACAAAAACTTGAGTGGCGGTTGGCCTAATAGCAGTCGATAGTTCCGTTCTTTGCTTGATCAAAGAGAAGATTCTTTCAACACCAAAGGAGATACCAACACAAGGAATGGAGACACCCTTTTTACCAGAGGCTTCGGAAAACATACTAACTAAGTTATCGTAACGACCACCAGCCGCAATTGATCCAACACCAACGTATTCTGAGGCATCGTCAGAGTTTTTAGACTTCTTTTTCAATTCTTGGGCATTCTTAGGGGGAGCAGAGGCTGAAGTGACGACTTCATAGATAATACCCGTGTAATAATCGAGACCTCTGGCCAGAGAGAGATCAAAAGAAATATATTGGTCGATCCCAAAGGCCTTAGTATATTTCATCAAGGTGGCCATGTCATCCAAACCTTGCTTGGCCTTTTCATTCGAAGTAATCGCTGAATCTTGAGATAACACATCAAAGATTTCTTTCAAAGACCCATTTAATTTAACAAACTCACCAATTTTGTCAGCAGTTTCAACAGACTGGCCCTTTTCCACAGTAATTTCTTCTTTAACGACCTCCCATGGCGATTTGTCCAGCTTGTCGACAGCAGAAGAAATCTTTCTGACGTCTTCATCTCTGACACCTGCAATCTGGAAGATACCGTCCAAGATCTTTCTATGATTTATCTTTATCTTGAAATCTTTAATGCCCAGACTAGTCAAACCTTCGACTGTGATAGACAAGGCCTCGGCATCGGGTACCATTGAATCGTAATTACCAGCAATATCAAAGTCACACTGGTAAAACTCTCTCATACGCCCCTTGGTCATAGCAGGCTGATCCCTTCTATAGACCTTAGCAATGTGGTAACGTTTAATATTCTGAATATTATTCATGGCAACGAATCTGGCGAATGGAACGGTCAAGTCATAACGCAGGGAACACAACTCACCACCTTGATCCTCCAAATTATAAATAAGCTTGGAATCCTCACCGTATTTCCCCGCTAAAATTTCACGAAGCTCGAAAACTGGTGTATCAATGGTGACACCACCGTGACGCTTGAAAATACTAGAAAGTTGTGTGAAAATGGCCTCTCTGATGACCATATCTTTGTCAGCCCAATCTTTAGTACCCTTGGGGGTTTTCAAAGCAAATTGAAGCTTCGATTTGGAACCTTTTTCTTGTTGTGGATTAGCCATGGCAGAGATGATTCTTATGCTTTTTTTTGGTACTTGCGATATCCTTCGAAGATTAAGCATATAACATTAAAACGTCAACGAAGTGAGTCAAATAAACGTGATTTGATAGCGAAAGGAAAAATTTTTTATCAACAATCGCTAGATACGTACGATTGAAGTGAATATCGGATTGCTTAGAAATAGTCTTTCAATTACTTACATAGATTCTGAATATGTATTGATGCCTTTGTATCTATTTTTTACTAATACTTTCCAACCGTTTAACTTCTTCGTCAAAATTTGGCGTGCTGCTGAAGGTCACTTCACCGTCTTTGGCGACGTTGACATAGCTTAAATAATTTCTAGCACTACCTTCCATTGAAGGCAATGCTTTGGGAATTGAACTACCAACCTGAGCATTAGTGGATGGTGTTGCTGGAAGATAGACATTGTAGGAGCTTTGTACAAGAATGTTTCTGGGGCCCTTTATCTTCAAAAACCTTGTAGGACCATTGATAAATCTCGTGTAGTGATACTTTATGAAATTCCACGAAGAGATAATGGCATTCTTAGTCATGATCCAGAATTGCTTCAAATCAAATTCGCTTGCCTCGTCTGTTGATTTCTTGGCGGTAATTTTCGAAGAGGTGGGCGTCAATTGGGTTTCTGCGACAGATTTTATAATTTCAGCTTGAGAAGTGCCACTAATGCCAAGCAAGTGCTCGCTTTTAATTATTATCTCGTCAGAAGGAGACTCTAGCTCGATAGTATAAACGGATCCCGAACCACTTAAAAGAATATTTCCTCGACCTCGAGCAATTTCATATTTGTGAGGTAGGCTGCTCTTACGGGATGTAAAGAAGAGCGGAGACTGTCTTAGTTCCAAGGATGAATTTTCTTCAAAAGCAATCACCGAGTTTTTTCCGAATAAACACCAATCGCTTGTACCATCGAGATCAAGCAGGCACAGTGTTCTGAATGGAGTGGAAGACAATCCCATCCAGGAACCCAACTTCCCTGTATTGACATTTGGAGCAACCAAAGCATTGAAAGCTTGACTTGACACAAGTTTGTGATATAAGGAAGGCTTAAGGCTGCCATATTTCAGCAGATTCGATATAGGATTCATCCAACTATGCGTTAAAGCGAGTTCAGAGGTATTCAATAGTGATACAATACAACCTCTTCGAATGTACAATGAAACCGAAGGCGGGATACTCAAGGATGCCAGAGTTGGAGGTTGCCCTAGAACGCGAAATTGGGTGTGCAAAGAATCAGCATCCTGAGCGAAAAGGGGCTCAACATCAGGGACTTGGGGCACTTGAGTAGGCACTATTGTCGTAGGCGTCGGCCTGACAAGTGAGATTGATCTCCTACCAAGCAAGAAACCGCTTCTACGACTCATGCCAGGTGTATTTTGCTGTAAGAGTGCGGATGAGAAAGTAAGAAATTTTTCTGAAAAACGATATCTGATTGGACACTGTATCATTATAAATGAAGCAAAAGGCAATCACTCATCTTCTTGTATCCCTTCTTGCTGCTTAACAAATAGAGCGCTGCTCAATGAGAATATACGATCCTTGTCGCTGAAGGCATTTGAAGAGTCGTGCGTATGCTTACCAAACCCGTCGAAGCCTTTCACAATTGTTCCATACTGACTGGAGCTATTTCCAGATAAATAATCTGTTTCCTTGTCAAAGATCTCTTGTTGAATAGAGTCCCACTCTTGTTCTTGCTCCTTCTTCTCGTCTAGAGCCTTTTTTAGTTGCTCCTTAAGGTGGTCGTATTCCTTGCGCTTCTCGTCCATACTGCTGTAGTGAATTGAAAAAACTTCTCGTTACTGTTGTAAACAAGAAAAATATAGCTTCAATAAGAGAAACAAAATGAGCGTGGTTATTCATAACGGTACTCATACGACGATCGCTGGCTTTGGCAATCGTGATATACCTCAAGTCGTTTGTCCCAGCAGTTACGTCAAGAAACCAGATGGTAGTTTGATTTTTGGATATAACGAAATGATGATGGCGGAAGATGGGGATATATTTACAATCATGGATTCAAAGGGCATTCCATACAATTGGGATGCTTTAGAAGCTCAATGGAGATGGATATATGAGGAGCAATTGCAATGCAACCCTAAGGACTTGCCACTGGTGGTTACAGTAGCGGCCGGTCTTCCATTGTCCGCACAGTCGCAATACCTCGAACTAGCGCTCAAGAAGCTGCAAGTACCCGTATTTCAGATGGTGATCGAACCTCTTGCGGTATCCTTATCGCTTGGAAGAAACACAGCTCTTGTCATCGATGTTGGTGCGGCGAAAATGACCGTGACACCTATTATTGATGGTACCGTGATGCAAAATGCTGTTGAGCGCTCAAAGTTCGCAGGCGACTTCTTGGACTTTCAAATCAGTGAATATATGAAGGATAAAGTCTCTGATACAAACACGAGCTCTTACGATCTATGGCGGAATTCGCGCACGTGGATCCAAGATTTCAAAGCTTACATGTTGCAGGTGTCACCCTCAAAGATTCAAGAGCTGGATTCACTCAATCTTGATATGATGGGCATGAATTTTAGCAAAAATTTTCTGTACAAGCGTAAGAAAACGATCTCACTAACACAACGTGAATGTTGCACATTGGCAGAATACATATTTCAGCCACAATTGGCTTCGCCCCAGTTCCCTGCATCTGAAGGTCTTGCAGAGGTGATTGGAAAAGCGGTTAAGAAAGCTGGTGCCTCAACTGCTGGTGGCTCTTCGTCTGGTGCAAATGCCATATCTCCAGAGCAAATACACGCAGCTCTGCTGACAAACATCGTAATTACTGGGTCTTCGTCACTAATTGCTGGACTTGAGCAGCGTATTGTCAATGAGCTCAGCTACCAGTTCCCACAGTATAAATTGTCGTCTTTCGCCAACCCCATGGTACTGGATCGCAAGCTGCAGAGCTGGCATGGCGGCGTGACAATGGCCAACTTGCCATCTTGGGATCTAGGTGAGTGGGTATCTCGCCAAGATTACGAGGCTGAGGGAGTTGAGGTACTTGAGAAATAGACATAGCGAAGGATTACCAAATATCCGGTCCTCAGGTATTGAATTTGACCCCCGAGAACTTGATTGAGTACTTAGTAATCGTTTTTCAGATTTGTGAACGCGAGCTAGTGCTGCAATGCCCACTTATCACATGCTGTGTCCATTGCACGCATTCCAGATTACGATACACTGATGGAGTGTTTGCAGCAGCATTCGAAGTTTCCAGAAGTTTCTGACGCCAAATGGACATCAATTACTGCCCGAAACCTAAATATTTTTTAATTCCAATTTTGTAGACTCTCTGCTACTTTATGCGATCTCCTGAGTTTCTCGAAGCATTCAGCGAAAGTAAAGGAATTTTAATAGCCGCTTTGCGGATTACATCATAAAAAAATTATGATTAGAGTCTGTACAATACTAGAAATTTGACACTACAGTCGGTCATACGAAATATGGAAGATGTCGTGTCGATATGGGAGTGCCTAGTTCACTGAGCGACGCAGAAAAGAACTGTACTCTGCGTTTTCAAAAAAAATTCATGTTATGATCTTCCGGGGTACTGGCGAAAGAATTCAGTAAGAAAAAGGCATATGTAAAGTCCTATTATCTAGTGATATTATACGATGTACTCTCCCTCTGCCTGGCGTAGGTCTTCTTAAAGCTACAGAAGAGTTTATGGCCATTGACGTGTGTATGAACTTCAGTTACTTTTCCATCTCTGCCAATAGTGTCCATGGTCTGTGCTCACGAATTTGCCCAAAAGTTATCTCTGGGTCTCACAGCTGTGTTTCCGGGTGCGCCAGTGAGATAAATGTGCCAGAGTTGATTCCATTTCCGAGGACAAGAACGCGGCCCTCTCCGCGTACAAACGCACACCTTCTGCGGCGGCTCTGATTGCCGCAATTGGTCCGCAAAGGAGCTGTTTTCTACGTATTGAATAGAGACCATGCTAGAGCCCACACCAGTCCACTGAAGATACGATGAATTACCGTACAATGCTGCTAGCGAGGCATAACGCCTGCCAGGCCTCGGAATACACCACCCACACACACAAGACCAAGTGCTTACGTAACTCCGAGCTCTCACCGCAAGACAAGAGCGTTGCCCGCGCGCAAAACGCAATGTCGCGGCCAGCCCACCAGTGCCAGCGAAAAGACCCGACCTCGACTGCCCGGCGACCTCTCTCAAGCACCCAAACGCTGCCGCCAGCGCCGCCATAGCCGCCGCCGCCGGCATTGGGCGTCCTGGGACTCGCGAAGCCACCGTACAAAGTCGCAGGGCCTGGTCATATCACGTGACCGACGTTTTCCGCCCCTAACGCCGCTGTTGCCCGCGCAATGTCCGCCCCGCGGGGGCGCCCTATATATACCCACGCCAAGGACCGGCGTCCGCCGCACGTCGCAGGCCTGTCCACGCACCGATCGCTCACCACTTGCATTCCCAATGTCTCTTGCTCCAAGATTTATCGCATCTCACACTCTCAAGCCTGTCTGCGCTTCCACTGCCAACGTCGTTGACCTATACCTCGACTACTGTTGCCCGTTTTGCAAGAAACTATTCTTCAACTGGTACGAGAAACTCATCTCTCAGATTGATTCCGAGTTCGGTCCGGAGACCTTCCAGTTCCGATTTTTACACGTGCCTCAAACCTGGCATCCCACTTCCACTTTGATGCACGAGGTGGCGCTCGCTGTTGCTCGCCTTGCTCCAGAGGAATTTTTCTCGTTCTCGTATGCCCTTTTCGAACAACAATCGCGCTGGTTCGACGAGCCCACTTACGACAAGTCTCGCTCTCAGATCTATCGGGAGCTCGCCGACTTTGCCGAAGAAACCTCCGGAGTGTCCGCGTCGCGCATTTTGGAGCTGGTCGCCATCGACACCTCTTCAGGGGAGGCCAAGAACTTGGGGAACGCCGTAGGAAAGGACCTGAAGTACTTTACGCGGTTGCACCGTCAGAACGGCGTGCACATGACTCCATCGATCGCCATAAACGGCATTCTCCAGCCCTCCATTGAAAGCAGTACCCCCGCGGAGGATGTTCTCCGCGTTTTGCGCAGCCATCTCTAAGGGGAGGGGCGGAGCAGGAGAAAAAGTAATTCCGCAGAAGCGGTACACACACGTATATAGTGACCCGCGTTGCAATCATGCCTCATTGTGTTTACGCTTGGCCTCGTTCTTTACATAGAAACAAAAACAGCGCCCGGCACCAACTTTCTTTTTCGGACCCCGACCGCACCGCCGCGGCCGCACCGTGGCGGTCACGCCGCGGTGGCCGGGACCCGGGAAGAGCGATGGGGTAATTGGGTCACGTGGAGCGCAATTTGCGGTGGGACCGGCTGCATGTCCTGGCGCATTTTGACGTGTCCCCGATCGGGCTCAGTGTCCCTCGGACAAACGTATACAAGGCTATCTCGTTTCGTAGACAATTGCGGACAAATCTGGACAAACGAATACACATTATCTTATCAGCAATGGGACCCGGAATGGCCGGCTAAGGTAAGCTGGCGTGATGGTCTGGTGTGTTGCGTTCTCAGCTACACGTATATATATCAGGTTGGTCGGCAAGGCTGGTTTCACGCTTTACCAAGTGCAGGCAACATTCAGGAATCCCTAACGTTCGAGCATCTTCTCTTTTCGAGACACTTCGCTTCCCCTTCGCACATATAGCTCCACAAAGTAATAATGGCTAACATCGAGAAAACTGCAATTTTGCAAAAGTATTTGGACCTCGACCAAAGAGGTGCCATCATCGCCGAGTACGTCTGGATCGACGGTACCGGTAATGTGCGTTCCAAGGGCCGTACTTTGCGCAAGGCCATCCGCACCGTTGACGAGCTTCCAGAATGGAACTTTGACGGTTCCTCCACCAACCAGGCCCCAGGTCACGATTCCGACGTGTACTTGAAGCCTGTTGCTTTCTACCCTGACCCATTCAGAAAGGGCGACAACATTTTGGTTTTGGCTGAATGTTGGAACAACGACGGTACCCCAAACAAGTTCAACCACAGACACGAAGCCCACAAGCTTTTCGAGGCCCACAAGGATGCTGACATCTGGTTCGGTTTGGAGCAAGAATACACCCTATTTGACGAATTCGACAACGTCTACGGCTGGCCCAAGGGCGGTTTCCCAGCTCCACAAGGCCCATACTACTGTGGTGTCGGTGCTGGTAAGGTCTACGCCAGAGATGTGATCGAGGCCCACTACAGAGCCTGTTTGTACTCTGGTATCACCATCTCCGGTATCAACGCCGAAGTTATGCCTTCTCAATGGGAATTCCAAGTTGGTCCATGCCCAGGTGTTAACATGGGTGATGAACTATGGATGGCCAGATATCTACTTTCCAGAGTCGCCGAAGAATTCGGTGTCAAGATCTCCTTGCATCCAAAGCCTTTGAAGGGAGACTGGAACGGTGCTGGTTGTCACACTAACGTTTCCACCAAGGATATGAGAAAGCCAGGTGGTATGAAATACATCGAAGATGCCATCGAGAAATTGTCCAAGAGACACGCCGAGCACATCAAGTTGTACGGTGCCGATAACGAGCAAAGATTGACCGGTAGACACGAAACTGCCTCTATGAGCAACTTCTCTTCCGGTGTCGCCAACAGAGGTGCTTCCATCAGAATTCCAAGATCTGTCGCCAAGGAAGGTTACGGGTACTTCGAGGACCGTAGACCAGCCTCCAACATCGACCCATATTTGGTTACCGGTATCATGTGTGAAACCGTCTTGGGCGCCATTGACAACGCCGACATGACCAAGGAATATGAAAGGGAATCCTCATGATTCATATTGCGAATTATTTATTTTGACTTTTGATTGATTCGTCGAATTTCTCATTTTTATTCTTGTATAATATTTGATCCAGGAGATCGCATTTATAAAGTAGCGTTTCGTTATCAAAGAAAAGTATTCAGTTTTTCATTTAGAGATTTACTGGTAAATTTGAAAGAACCTTCGCCAATGGTACATGCGAGATACATGCGAGATACACTCAAACTGTCCGACTTGTTTCGTCGTGGTAAACGTCAAGCGGATATGGTGATGACTTGGTGATGTTCAAAATCCACTATTACCCGGACAAGAAGCCGAACTTTTTCATCATTTTTTTTGCAGCCATAAGGGGCCGTCCTCTCTAGTAGGTAGCATCAGCATACTCCGAATAACCAATGACTTCTGAAAAGCATATCCAGATCTTGCTGGATAGCATCCACTTCAACAATATCCGCAGTGCTATTCGGACTCGGTCTGTGGCATGGGACGCACTTGCGAGATCTTCAGAGATTAGCGACCTTGATGCCTCCGTCGCTAAGAAGCTCGAAAGTGTGCTAATCAAACATACAGATGTCAATCTGACACTTGCCGAGTGTATTCCTTCTGCAATTCATTTATTAAAGACGGCTCCAAATGCAGAGGTGAAAAAATACGTTTACAACTTATTATCCGAGTTGTTGTCATCTCCTCAATACGCAGAGCCTACTGTGGAATACTTCGCAAAGAACCCTACTGCTGTTAAGGACCTTTTCAGTGTTTCAATTATGGGTGATGATCAATCGGTTTTGATCTCTTCCTTTAACCTCGTGTCGTTGTTGATCCAACCAGGCCTCCAGAACGAGAAACTAGTCGCCAAATTGTTGGCTAGCGAACGTTTCGTCTCAGTCTTGCAAAATCTTGACCATATGGACACCAGTTACGTGTGCATAAGACTGCTCCAAGAATTGTGTGCCGTGAGCGAGTATAGAAGTGTTGTATGGAATGCTGAAGAAAAATACGTTCCAACGTTGTTTTACGTCGTGACAAAGGCATTGGAGTCTAATTCTGCCACCAGAGTTGCCCCAACCAACAGCAACAACTTGGCAGTTCAATTACAATACTACTCCCTTTTGACTTTATGGCTTCTAACTTTCGACACGGAGATTGCCTCCGAACTGGCCACCAAGTATTTGTCTGATTTCCTCAATCTTCTAAAACTTGTGAAGGTCACTATCAAGGAGAAGATATCTCGTTTGTGCATTGCAATCATTTTGAACTGTGTTGCACCTCACGTCAAGTCTCACAAAGTGATCATCAGACAACTCCTCTTACTGGGCAACGCCTTACCTGTTTTACAATCGTTGAGTGAACGTAAATACTCTGATGATGAGCTTCGTAACGACTTGACTTCTCTAAAGGATATTTTGGAGGAAACTTACAAGGAATTGACTTCTTTTGACGAGTATGTTGCGGAACTAGATTCGAAGATGCTGGTATGGTCTCCACCTCACGTGGACAACGGATTCTGGTCCGATAATGTGGACAAATTCAAAGACCAAGACTGGAAGCTTTTCAAAAAATTGGTGCAGCTTTTGAAGGATGCTAATAACGAACCTTCTCGCAAGGTGGCTGTCCAGGTCGCACTAAGTGACATCACGCACATTGTTGAGCTACTTCCAGAAAGTGTTGATGTCTTGACCAAGCTGGATGGTAAAGTGGTCATCATGGAACTATTGAACCATCCAGATTCCAAAGTGAAATACGAGGCCTTGAAGGCTACTCAAGCATTTGTTGCTCACACTTTCAAATAGACGTTCCACTTGGAAAGCGAATTAGATACGCATTAATGCGCTACTCGATAGCGTTCAATTCAAGTACTTACGTAATGGGACAAGAAAATTTATTGTATAGATGCAACCTAAAGTACTATAATTGAATTGATAAAAAAATGTTGCCGTGCATATGGTGTTTGATTATGAACATAAATCGTCGTTGTAACCAGCGTTGAGGTCTTTTCACGCAGGTTTTCCAGTTCTTTTATAAGTGCTTACGGTCGGACCGCCATAACCAAAAATCTCGGATTCATCAGGTTCTGAAGGCACTTCTTCGTCGTCATCGTAATCCAGTTTACTTTTAATATAGAACTGATCTGTAGACCTTTGATCATCAAACTCAGCCTCTTCCTCCTCATTGACGTTAAAGTCTTGCCACTTGTCCATGAGCTTTGCGAAAAACGGGCTTTGAGATTGTTGACTTTTTATTTCTTGGAACTTAGAAGCAGTAGCTTGTAAAAAGGAAGGCTTCATAGGGGCTACTGGTGGTTTGGGCCTTGATGGTAGTCTGGGAGGTAATTTTGGTTGCGAATCCAGTGGATCGACAGCTGAATCTTTATTGAAAAAGTTGCTGATGCTTTGCTTACTCTTTATCATTCGCGGACTGCTGTTAACGTCTTGAAGTGTTTTCTGAAATTTGGACGAAATTTCATGCAGCCTTTCTTGACTTTGCGGCTTGTTTTCTTGGCTTAGATCGCGACATTTGTGTTCGAGTGCGCTGAGTTCACGTTCTGCCTGTGATAGTTGTTGTTTTAACTCCACAACTTGCCTTCTTTTAGCAGCTAATTCGTATAGCAAGGCTTCTGATACCTTTGATTGCTCATCTAATGTGCTAGAGCGGCTAAGATCAACGCTCGACTCGGAGTCATGGCCGGACTCGAGAGGTATTGTTAAGGGAAGCCCTTTTCTAGTAGGTTCGAGGGGCGCTTCATCGTTTCTGGGGGGATTTTCCTCAGCTTGTTGTTGCTTGTTAACAATCGAGAGCTTGTATAGCCCTGTGGACTCGCTGATTACACGTTGCTTAGACATGCCTACAATTGGAGCTTTATTTTGTATCAGATCAAGTACCTTAGATCATGTCGAACTGTAAAGGGAAAAAAACTGGCATTTTTTTCAAAACATCGAAGAGCATCGAAACAGAGCTAGGGAAAAACAAGCGCTAAAGCCATGGAAGAGATTCTCGCGTGTTTTAATAAGAAACGCAATAGCAACACGCTATTGAACTTTTTAAATTATGATAGACCGCTCTCTGTAAATTTTAAACATATTGGCGCTTTGAAGAATGAAAAGGTCTTGCAGCTTTTGCAAGTCTGTGTGCAAATGAAGCAGGAGTATGCGACGAAGTGCACGGAAACGCACCGCACATCTGAACTATTTGATCTCTGCAACGAACAGCTCAAGCTATTAAACCGGATTGCGGAAGGCGAAACCAGGTGGATCGCGTCTCCATTGTATACGTCCGCTTTACAATTACTACATGTTAGCGAGTTGCTGGACAAAGCAGAGGCCGAGCAAGAGACAGCAAATGCACGCAAGAAGAAGGTGAAAGGAGACTTGGAAGATGAGAAATATTTGGAGAAATGCGTCAGAACTATTCACACGAGTTTCAAGTTGTGTCTGAATGACCGAAACCCCGATTTCAAAGATAACAAGAAGTGGGGCGTTTACCACTTCACGAACCTCGAGTTCAGGATATACCACCGCTTGCAAAACCGCGATATGGTGCGAAACTTGGTCAAAGTGCTGGACAGCAGGGTTTCGGAACTGCCCAGCCCGGAGACGGCGCTTCGCGCGTGCAAGGCGCAACTGGTCACGTACTACTACTACAAGGGCGAATTCTACGGCTGCCACAACGGGGATTTCCAGAAGGCATTTGAGTTTCTCAACAAGGCGTGGCTCGAGAGCTGCGCAGATGTGGACGTGGGCGCGCAGCAAAAGGACGCCATCATGGTGCTGCTGGTGCCCTTTGCGATCTTGGCGTTCAAGTGGTACCCAGACAGCGTGTTGCTGAAGCAATTGCATCCTCGCGTGGCAGTTCTCTACGCTCCGCTCCTGGCGTGCTTGCAGAATGGTGATTTGAAGGCGCTCGACACGTGGTTGGACGCCCACGAGCTGCTGCTGCTCCGCAAGAACCTCTACGTGGCCACAGTGCTGATGCGGGAGCTGGTGCTCGTGAAACTGGTCAAGACGTGCTGGCGAGTGAACGGCGCCCGCTCGATAGTCCCCGTAGACCTGGTGGCCACGGCCGTCGCGCGCAGCGCGACGCACGCGGCCGTGGGCGCGCTCACCGACGACAGCCTGGACGAAACCGAGTGCCTGCTGGCAAACCTCATCTGCAAGGGCTACATCAAGGGCTACCTGTCGCACGGGAACCGGGCGATGGTAGTGAGCAAGACGAACGCGTTCCCTCGCCAGGCAGCAGATGGGAACCAACAGAGCACCGCCACGTGACTGCCAGCCCGGCCCGGCCTTCTCTCTTCAAACGGCCCAGTCAGAGTCACGTGAAAGTCACGTGCTCATAGTCGCCTCTGCCTGCCGTTTCCGTGCCCGCTCCGCCTCTCCTCGCCTCCCGCTTCCACTCTTTATCCGCCCACCCCACCCCTCCCCCCACTCCCGCCGGCCTCTCTGCCCCGCCGCTCGTAGCGTTTTCCCCTTCCCTGCTGCACGTGTGCATGCTCCGTGCCTGAGTTCCGCAGCCCAGCCTGGGCGGCGGTCTGGGCCGCCCCCTGGATCGTACCGCCGTCGTGACCGCCGTCGTGTCCGCCGTCGTGACCGCCACCCGGCCGCCACCCGGACCCCGTCGTGACCGCCCCCGGGACAACACCCGTCGTTAAGCGCAACCCGCCCGCTGTTACGCCCGCCCGCTGCTACGCCCTCCCGCGCTTCCCGGCCGCCCACGCACGCTTAAGTCCCGGTTGCGAGGTACGACGGATCACGTGCGCGACGTCGGCGGTGATTTTGCGCTTCACAGGCGCTTTGCTGAGTCACGACGTTTTTTGGGTTTTTCGAGTCGTGCGGGTGGACACCGCGACGCCTGAGAAGCGGCCGCAGCGCGTGTGACGTAAGGTCGCCGGCGGCTGAGCGAAGCTGCGCCGGGTCTCGGAATCCGCGGGTCGCGTCGCTCGTCAATGTGCGCTGTGCGCATGGAATCGCTGACGAGTGACCTTGAAGGGTCACTCGAGCATGACCTGCAAGACGGTGACATAACTGTATTTGTCACACTTTCGCAAGGATACCAAATGTATAAATGCACAGTGGTTGGACCATGTTAATGAGATTTAAGTTTTAGATCCCCAGAATACAACTACTTTTCAAAGTAACAGTTATCTTCACAACATTCACACAACAATTCACACACAAAAAATGGCTTTCCTAGTTTTGACCTCAGACGCTTCTGAACCATTTGTCATCCCATCCGTTTCGCCAGTGTCGGCTCCTTCTTCAAGAAAGAACAGCACAGCCAGCCTGGACGCCGGAGCCGCCCCAAGAAAGAACTCGTTGTCTTTGCAATAGACACGTAGCATCAGGGAAACGGCATATCGGGAGAACTTTACGTATCTAGTCAAGTTTTATGTACATTAATGGATTGATCTTTTGACTTTTTGACCTTTTGACTTTGATCTTTTGATTTTTGATCTTCGATCTTTGATATTGATTACCGATTTTCGATTTTCATTTCACACATGGTCAGTGGTACCGGTGCCAACGGCTCTGTCGCAAACGACGCGGGTTGTAGGTTGCGACGTTGCGACGCGCACCCCGGTTTTCGCCTGGTAGGCTGGGAATGTGTTTAAATTACTATGTACTTATTTACGCGGCACGGCGCACATGCCAGCAGCTCATGGGTAGAATTCCTTGTACTTCTTGAAGTAGTATGCGGTCCCGGCTCCGCCAAGCACCGTCAAAACGAGCGGAACCGGCTTCGAGAAGCGCGAGGGCACCCCACGGATCACACCGGTCACCAACATCAGCGAACTGGCCCCCAACGCCAGCTCCAGCCCGCCGTCCGCGTTCTTGTGCAGCAAGTAGCCGGCGTAGCCGTATACTCCTCCAAAAACCAAACCAGCCATCAAAGATGGGAGCGATTTTTTGCGCAAGTATCCCATGCTACCTCCTAGGGCAGCCAAAGCTCCAAGTGTCCAAGCTGGGTGTTCCATTTTTTACTATTCTAGCTGGAGAATAGGACCTGGAGCGAACGAGAGAGAAATTCATCTTCCATTGTGAATGAAAAAGGGATGTGATTATGTACGAATGCATATGCCCCATCTGGGGACGAGATTATTACGCCAGTCGAAAGAATCGTGGCCCTAAAGGAAACTCCTGCTGGGGCGGTCAAGGTCTCGGCAGCGCGGTTTCGTTCATAGGATAGGATCCGTTGCTGTTCCCACGGCTCCTTTCCCGAAAACCAGACTGCGTTACGTGCTAGTCTGGCTCTGTAATTGATTAAGCCGTAGTTCGTGGGCCTCCATTGGAGTACGCTCTTCGCCACCACATCGGGAAATTTGGCCAACATTCGAGATGTGAGAAAGTTCCTACTATGTAAAATGCTCGCTCATAGAAATCGCACGCCCATAGAAATTGCAAGCCCGTAGAAATCAATACAACGTGTCAGAAGGTCCCAAAACAACACATGGGATATTAGATTACAGCCTGAGTATTCGGTTTGAATTCCACAGGTACTCAATTACACACCTCATCGCTGCAGCTTTCGGACGCCGTTTTCCAAGTATGTACCGAAATTTTATTGAATTGTCGCTGGCGACATTAAAGAAAATAATGCCAAACGTACTTTAATCGTGCACAAACACCCCAAAGGAACAGCAACTTGCTCAATTACCTCCCAGTTCTACTGATGCCTTTCATTAAATCACCACCTCCTGTCCGAAATTTTCAATGCTAAATTGTGTGCGTGCAACCCAAAATTTGAAGAGAGCTGCTGGCAATGCCACCCTCAAGACGTACAACTTAACTAAGCCTCCGCGTAGCGCTTCTGTAAACGTGCCAGGTTCCTCTTGTGATCTTTAGATTATCGAAATATAGAACAGCAAACTCCAAATTAACTTTTCTATATACGTTGCCGATCCTCAAAACCCCAAAAAGGGAATATTGACGTGTAGAACACGATGGTCGTTTCTAAACACTTGTTAACCACTACTCATGAACTTCAACACCACAGCGTCCATTAGATAATTACAATGACAGATGGTGATGTGCCCATTAGAATCGAGCACCTCAAATTGAAAAGAATAAACGAACTGAACAAAAAACTCAGACAGGAGTTGTCTAGAGAACGTATATCTGCGTCCAATGCCTGTCTTTCTATCATCGATTATACCACCTCAAAGAGAGATTATGCTATCCCAGATATATGGGGCTACCCGGCGCCGGGAACAAACCCGTATAGGGAGAATATTAAAGCACTGCAAAAGCTGAAATCCAAATCATCCCAAGACAGTAATACCTGTTGTATAATAATGTAATACGGTGCAGACTCGATACAAAACCTATGATAAAGCAAACGCAAATAGAAAAAGATAACAGGCTAATTATCTAGTTTAACCACCTTGCTTTCCTTCCTTTTCCAATGATACACCATTAAGTTTCAACGCATCACTAATTTTACCATTTTCGTCTCCGCATCCACAGTCGTAATCTTCCAAGATCTTTGTGCAATCGTACTCGGGTTTCTCTAGGAATGCATTAACCTTATTGTGAATGTGACAGCCCCACATTGCCGCAGCAAATCTGCTGGAAGTTTGCGGAGGGTACTTTTTTAGTGCGTTCACAAAATGGACCGAACACTCGCCACATGGGTACAGTTCCGCATATAGGTGAAGGAAAGTGGTCAACTTCTCACGCTCTTGTTCACTTGGCTCATCCGGATACCTGGCAAGTAGAGTATGAAAATATTTCCATGCCGCTCTCCCCAATTCTTTTTTGGCCTCCGGATCAGGCATAGCTGGCATGATCGCCGCTACTTTCTGTTGTTGAGGTATAGGTGTGCTTTTCAACAAATCTGGATCATTAGTTGTAGCATATGATAGCTTATTCGAAGAAAACATATACCATAGCGCTATCACCACTATAGCGCCAAATAAACTTGCTATTCTTTGTTTGTGTAACATCGCAGCCATCGCTTCAATGTATTAAAAAGTGTAAATTTCACGACAATAAAGTTCTTGTTCAAAAAAACCCCAAGGTTATAATGGATAGACAACGTGGCGCTAGACATGGCATAAACACAATTCAAATCAATAGGGCAAGAGAAATACATGCTCAAACAGTGCGCTCCAGAATACCACAGCCTACAGCAGCTTCAAGCACTCTTCATTCACACGATTGTGCACCCACAGTACCTCGCTACAGAAGCAATAACCCGAATAACCCCCCGTGTGCTCATTGCGGAACTGTCATTATTCCGGCTCCAAAGGCAACCTTTCCATTTGAAGATACTCCCTCCATTACTGTTGATGATTGGACCATCACTACGCGGAAGAAACCTATCTTGAATTCGCAGGAGCTAGATCAATGGGGTGAACAACTGTCAGGGTTGACCTTGCCAGAAATGATTTTTGGCAATAGTTATGTTCAGATCAAAAACGAAAAGCATGATCTTTGTATCCAATTCAATGCTTTAGATGCTTTAAAAGCTGTCAAAATGGAAGATTCTGGTATCCGAGTTTCGTACGCACATAAATGGATAAAATCCAAGAGGGAGCAACAAAAGACATCAGAGCTGCACGATTCGTCCTTAAAAATTGCCCAGCATTACGACTGGACGTACACAACTAAATATAAGGGAACTCACGCTGGTCCAGAATTTATCAGGGATGATTCTACTGAGTTACCACTCGATAAACTTGCAAAGCCAGATCCAATTCTATTTTATGATGATATGGTTTTATTCGAGGATGAGCTTGCAGATAACGGTATAAGTCTTCTCAACGTCAAGGTACGGGTGATGCATGAGCGCCTGCTAATATTGAGTCGATTTTTTCTGAGAGTGGATGGCGTGCTTTTTAGGGTCTTTGATACAAGGGTTTACGTGGACTTTCACGAGAACAAAGTAATTAGAGAGTATAAAGAGCATGAAGGTGAGTATAATGCAATTTTGGCTAAACATAAGATGGTACACTCTCATGATCCAAAAGCAGTGCTGAGAGACAGTAATTGGGTCGCTCAACAACTTCCATTGGTTAAGCGAGAATGCGAAGTGCTAGAGCTAAATAAAGATTCGGAACCAAAATGTGAAGAAAACCCATAAGAAATACCAAAACAACTCACGATTTAGGTCTAAGGATTGCGTTAATAATTTTTAGAAACATTTAGAGTACATAATCCTCTTCAATCATACACACCTTACAATTTTTCTAGAATTAACTTGGCCGTCGCACTATCAACTTGAGAGTCCGATTTCTGAATTTCCATCAGTTTACCTTTTGCCAGTTCCAAAAGTTCTTTCTTACCCAGTTCTTTTGAAATATTCGCGATAAAGGACCACCCTTTCAAGAATGTTTCAGAAAGCTCTACACTTCTCAAGAAGTTGTTCAAAGACGCCTCCAAAGTCGCTGTTTTGTTCGTTTTCTTATCACGCAAGGCCTTGTAATATAAAACTTGACCCAATTGTCCGAAAGCCACGTAGTTGAAAGGATGAATGCACAAAACCTCTTCTAAGCAATAGCTAGCCTGCTCAAATTGCCCAAGCCCAAAATATTCTTGTGCTAGAAACCACCATAACTCAGCATCCAAGGGGAACTTGTCCACTAGATCCAATACCTGACGAATGAATTTCTCCTTCGTCAGAGAATTGCGTCTAATACTCAAAAGCTTTTTGCTTACAAGTAGGTAGTCTAGGGCGTCAGTATCGTACTCCAAAGAATCCTTCAACAGCGTTGTCAGGTAGTTCTCGGCCGCGGCATCTTTATCATTAATCTGAATCAGAGTTGCTTTCATAACATGTAGATGAGGTGAATTTTCGCCCAATCTGTCTGCAAATGTCTTATAAAGAGCTTCTGCTTCCACATCTTTACCAATATAGACAGTTAAGTCAAATAACATGCGCATCAGAGACATATATTCTAGTTCAGTAAGTGCTTGGTCACCAGAACCCAAGTAAGTCTTCAGCTGCCCGTAAAGCGAGCTTACTTCTGCGGGACTCGCTATGGTATAATACTTGGTTTTTTCTATAGTGAGAAACCTCTCTTTTACAGGATCCATTGGCTATTTTGTGCTGTGATTGAGATGTTTTGAGGGTTTGTTCTTTCCGCTGCATATTTCTGAATTATGAGAAAGATGGTACGTCACGTGTATATATAACAGCACTTCCATCAGTTACATTGTAAATACTTACGCCGTAGCAAAGAGAAGCCAGGAAATGAACCATGAATTACCATGGCATTTTCAAATGACTGCTAAAGTGCTTCTCTAAATATTTTTTGAAATACAACGTATATTGCAAAGTTGCAAGAATACTACAGACTTTTGCAAAGCAATTAGCCTAGATGAGAAATATTCAGAAACTTGATTTTACTCAAGGAAAACAATTAGTCTTTGACTAATTGAACATCCAACCTGGAGAGAGTGTATTGTTTCTTATCATGCTTTTTATTTCCAGGGCATGTGATGGTTGAAAGTTCAAATCATTCTTGACTAAAATAAAATTTTTCAAAATCTCATCTCCATTAATCGATTCCACTTTCAAATAGCTAATTAATCATCTCAGAGAGATCAGTCATGTCCATTAACATCTGCAGAGACAATCATGATCCATTTTACCGTTACAAAATGCCTCCCATCCAGGCCAAGGTTGAAGGTAGAGGTAACGGTATTAAGACAGCTGTTTTGAATGTCGCTGACATTGCGCGTGCGCTTAACAGACCTGCTCCTTACATTGTGAAGTATTTCGGTTTCGAGTTGGGTGCCCAAACAAGCATTTCTGTAGACAAGGATCGTTATCTTGTTAATGGTTCTCACGAACCTGCAAAGCTACAAGACGTCCTAGATGGCTTCATCAATAAATTTGTGCTGTGTGGCAGCTGCAAAAACCCTGAAACAGAGATTATCATAACCAAGAGCGGCGACCTCGTCAGAGACTGTAAAGCATGTGGTAAGAGAACTCCAATGGACTTGAGACACAAGTTGTCTTCTTTCATTCTAAAAAATCCTCCTGAATCGATGGAAAGCTCCAAGAAGAAGAAGAAGGCTGCCACCGCTTCTGCAAACATCCGTGGTGGTGGTGTGTCCATTAGTGATATTGCACAAGGTAAATCTCAATCTTCAGCTCAGGCTAGCGCAGATGCTGATGGCGATTCGGATGATGATGAATTGGCTCGTCAAATTCATGCCGCAGCCTCCAAGCTAGAACAAATTGAGGTTGACAACGACGACTGGGCTGTCGATATGTCTGAGGAAGCTATTAGGGCACGTGCTAAAGAGTTGAGAGCTGCCAACGGTGGCGAAGACGACGAGATGTCTAAACTGGAAGAATATGGTGAATGGATAATAGGTGAAGAAGAGACGCCATCTGATGTTGAACTGTATAAAAAGGCTGCTGAGATGGACTTGTTGCAAGAATCAAAGATTGCCTGTGTATTGGCTCAGGTTCTATTCGACGAAGACATTGTTGAGGAAATACCAGAACATGCCGCATTCTTTAAAAAGCTATTCGTTTCAGAAGACTTTGAGAAGAACTTTTTAGGTGGTATCGAAAGATTCTTAGGTTTGGAACACCCTGACTTGATTCCAACTTTGCCCAAAATTTTGGTTCAACTTTACAACAGTGACATAATCTCCGAAGAGGAGATCGTGAGGTTCGGTACTAAATGCTCCAAGAAGTTTGTCCCTAAAGACGTTTCCAAGAAAGTCCGTAGGGCGGCCAAACCATTCATCACTTGGTTGCAAACAGCTGAGTCTGAAGATGAGGACGAAGATGAAGAATGAGAAGTTCTAGAAAACTTAACCAACTGTTTAAAGCAATTTCTAGCCTAAACAAAGAGGTATTTGTGTAGTTTTAGTTGGGTGGATATAGCGCTAAATATGAAATTGTCACGTCGATATTTTTTCACCTGTCGCTCTTGAAAAATAGTCAATAAATCGCGTTGCGCTCCACGCAAGATGAAGGAAAACAAATAAACACCCTCATGTCTAATGAACCAGAAAAACCTGATGAACCTAGACTATTTAGATTAGAAGGCAGGATAAAATCTTTTGAAAGGACATGGAACATAAATGGTAAGCGTTGTAACTGGCCATACAGAGTGATACCCCACCAAGCCATGGCTAACTTGGGATTCTACTATCATCCCACATGCATTGACAACGATAACACGGTGAAAAAAGACTGCGTTTGTTGCATATATTGTGGACAGCTGACATACAATTTTCATGATTGTAGGACCAAGCCGTTAGTCTCAACGCTTGGCAGAATCCTCGAAAAGCACTTGAATGAGAGCCCCAATTGTCTTTTAGCTCAGCTCCGACTAGTTTTAATGCGCTCTATCACAAAAGAAAATCGAATTTCAATAGATTGGGCAAATGCACCTATTTTTCAACAGCCACACAGCGATTCTCTGATAAGGTTTCGGGCTTGGACATTCAAAAATAATTGGCCATATCGTGATTCGCCCTTGAGCCAACTTGCAATGGCTCAAGCGGGATTACTACGTTATGATCACAATGTAGGCTATCCATCATTACCTGCAGAGTACAGAGATGCCACTTATTGCATATATTGCAATAAGATAATAGGTTCATGGGAAAATGATGATGATCCACTATGGGAGCACTATCTTTGTTGCAATGGTGGTAAATGTTTCTTCTTTGAAACTATTAATGATATTACAGTTTTGTCAAAGTTGAATGATCGATTTACTAGAGAAAGCACCCAAATAATGGGGGCTCCTTTACCTTCCCTAGATTATTCAGAGCTTTTAAAAGCTAAAATAGACAAATTGGAAGAAATACTATCAAGCGAAGAAATGAAACCGAAGAGAGGAAGGCCTCGAAAAATATCAATAATTAGTGAAACGCAAGCAGGGGTGCCGAAGAAGAGAGGTCGGCCGCGAAAAGTTTTACCGCCTACTGATTCTACGGAGGGCAAAGACAACATAGAACCCAGTTTCGAAAAGATAAAAAATGGTTCTCTAGATGCTGTTCCGGAACTTCTACTTGTTAAACGTAGGCGTGGGCGACCTAGAAAATCAAGTTCAGCTGCTGCCTTACAAAATGAACCTAAAATTGCAAGAAAGGAGGGACAACCAAGAAAGACGGTTTTTTCGAAAAGTTCAAATGAAGAATCGTTGTCTTCTTCCTTAGAAGGAACTCCCAATTCAGAAACTCAACAAGGTGCGGAAGGTGAAAATCACGGAAGTGGAAGTGATCAGTCTGAAAATAGAGTAGAAAGGCAGGCAAGCATTAGCCAATATGAACCACTCGATGCTTTAAAATCGACGGATGATCTTCACGCAGAGTCTAGCCATACATTAAATTTGAAAAAGGAGGTTGATTTAACTAAGAAAGAACATACTGAGAAAGCAGCAGCAACAGTTCCTGTGTCCCCGCGAAAGAAGATTAGACTCAAAAAGCATACCAAAATAATCAACAACGAAACGGAGTTAACTCCTGATGAGAGCGACTCAAATTCCACTAAAAGTATTGTTCTGAATTTCAAACCGAAGCAGTCAAAGGAACCTCAGAAGAATAACCCCATAATTGATGATAGTTTCGATGCCTTTAGCTTCAGCAACCAAGGTAACAGTGAATTCATTATTCCAGACAGTGCGTTCACCATTCATTCAGCCGGCTTGGAATCTGGTCAGTTGAGATCAAATAGCACTCTTCCTGTAACAACTTCCACCGGAACAGACACAGGTTCCCCTTATCCCGACAAAACCCCCTCTCCAGAGTTTAAGAGCCAAGGCAACAGCAATGGGCGTTTAAATGATATTGATTTGGACATCAGTATGAGTGAAGACTCTGAAGATGAGCAGAGCATATCAAACCGATCAACTCCTCTTCAGAGCCCTTTGAGAGAAGATGCCATTTCTTCATCTATCACACTTAGTCAATCAAGTGAAAAGGATGGCAGAAATCAGGAGAACACTTCTAATTCTCGGAAGGCTAGCATAAAAGACTTCATTATTGATGATATTAATACTACCGGCTCGTCTAGTGCTTCATCTAACTCAAGGTCACCAAGTATAGTTCAAACAGCTCACAAAGGTAATAGCTTACAGCTTATAAAACCAATGGAGCAAAATGGGCATATGCGTGAAGCCAACCTGATTTCTAGGTCGTTCGAAATTGACTCTATGAAAGCACAATTTCAAAGCCAAGAATCCAATGATGGCATAGAGGGTCTTGTTCTTTCTGAAGAACGTGTAAATGAGCCTAATGAAGAATCTACATCAATATTTGAGTTACCCAAGGAAACTGACCTCAAAGAAGCATCAAACTTTCTCAACAGGAATATAGAAGAAAAAGATGCTCCTCATTCAGATCAGGATCCGAGGGATAGCGTCAAAGGAAAGAACGATGACGATACTCCTTCTGAGTTTTTTGATAGGATTGATGAGAAACGACTAATGGTCCAAGATTATTTTCATAATTTATTAAAGTATATGAACAAAAACCTCGCCACTCTAGCAAATGATAAGGATGGCGATTTGAATTTTTTCGTTAACCATATGCCTGCTGGCGAATTGAACATGACATACAAATCTTGGATAGATAAGAAAAAAGAGGAGTTAATGCAAGAATTTGATATTGAGCTAAACAGAAAGCTCGAACGCCTGGAGAACGAGTTTCAAAAAGCAAGAAAACTAATTAATAATATCGAAGACGACGATATTCTTTTAAAAGTAGCCAAACAATATTTCATTCCAATTGATAAATAGACTTACAAACAATCTTACTTCAAGTTTAAAAACCCGTTCTAAACAATCTGTAACTAATTCAAAATTAAAAAAAATTAAGTAAAACTAGGCATCTTCCAAAGCTTCATCTTCATCAGGCGACGTAGCCGTGGGCTCTACATCACCATTAGGCAAAAAGGCCCGCATAGGAGGAATTTCATTCCCAGGTATAGGAATACCGCGTGAGCCAAACTGAATCATACGCATGTCGTTACGCATGTCAAATCTTTGCCAAAATCCGTTCCTGTCTTCCAACGCATCTTCCCAAACATCGGAATTTGAGGGTTCCTCTGAGTTGCCACCTTCAGCAGGCCTCATCGAAATATCGAGTGCAGCACGTTGGCGTGCTAGAAACAATTCTCTCTGTCTCGTGAGCGCTGCAACGTTGTCTCGCAAATAAAGACGTAGTACCACGGTAGTCAATTCGTATTTCTCCAGAAGATGCTCAAATTTCTCAAACCACATAATTCTCCAAATTGTCAGTCCCTTGACATCATTCGCTATACCCACATCATAAACTCTGTTTTGAATTTGCGATATACACCGATTCAAATCGACCATTTGAAAGTAGATATGCGTCATTTCATTCAAAAGAGCACCAGCAAATTGAAATTGAACTCGTACCATGCTTGCAACATTAACTTCAAAATCGCAGACGCGTTCCTGCAAATGGTGGAACTTCCTTACCATTTGTGCTAATTCGCTGTTCAGATCTTCTGATGCCTCCGGAGCAACACATCCATCCACACCAGCATATTGCTCGCAATCAGGATCATCACAGAAATCTTCGTCGATCAATGGAAATAGCTTATCAACGTCTTGTTCCGTAAGAATTCTGTCCTGAGGAACTCGTCGCAAACAGCTAAAAACATCGTCAAGCCTTTCGAAATTAATATTCTGGAACGCGAAATCATTATTGTTCAGGGCGTTGAGCGGAGTCAAACTATGAGTAGCGGCTAATATAGCAGGCGTCTCTTGGTTCAGCTCTCTAGCTACTCTGCGAATCCCAGCTTCTAGTTCTTCACCATCCTCAACGAGATGCTTTGAAACAATAAAATTTGTAAGGACCTCTCTAACATTAGTTTCGGGCCCACTTGTTGGTGCCGTGAGGCTGATCAAATAGTGCCTTAATTTATGAACTCCTTTGCCAGAAAAAACACAGAATATTTGACGTTGGTTTTCACTAAAGTCTGAAGGAGCGGCTCTACAAAAGGCCGTAATATCAGACCTTAAAAAAGATGGAACAGCAGTTAGCGAAAGATGAGATAACTTTGGACAAGCCATTAACAATTCATAAATGGGATAGATCGTCAAGTTAGAGCAATAGGACAAATGAACTCTTTCCAAAGTGTCATTACGTCCACGTAGAGCAATCATGTTAAGAAGACCCTCGTCAGTCATTTGGGAACATTTTACCAACCCTATTCTTTTCAGTTTGCTGAGGTCCGCGAGCTCATAGAGTGTACGATTAGTCAAATTAGTACAACATGCAAAGTCCACATACTGAATTCGAGGACATGATTGTATAAGAACTCTAACGCCATTGTCCGTAAGGTTAAAACAGTGACCGAAATGTACGGTCTGCAGATTTTTTCCTAGTCTTGCTAAATGAATGAGTGACGCGTCAGTTATCCGACTACACTTACCCAGGAAAACGTTACGCAATTTAGGCGCTAATGACACTAAAACTTCCACACTCTTGTCTGTTATATTTTCACAGTCGCACAGATCGATCAATCTTAATGCTGGTAGATGAGATACCTTCTGTGATAGCTCTTTCAAAAATTTGTCAGTGATATTAGAATTATGAGTTATTCTAAACTCTCTTAACTGACTTAGCTGGCAAAACAATTTCACTAAACTATGATCGTGCACATTAGGAGACAGTGTTATATCAACTTCCACAAGTAAGGGGCACAAATTCGCTAACAGGCAGACAAGCTCATCATCCATACTCAAGTTAGCTGTAATCTTTACACGCTTCAATAAAGGTGCGTGTGTAATGAAGGTATGCAATGCGTTGAAGGAGACATCTCTGGCTTGTGGAACGTAAAAGCCTTGAACTCTTTGACATTGGAATGCTAACGTGTTGAGTATACTATCAGAGACTTCCTTGATACCAGTTATATCCACACTTTGTAGGAATTTACAACCGTGCAATACCGCGGAAATGGACGCACTCGTAATGTGTTTGCAAAAAACCAAAGTTAGTCGCTCTAAGTTAGGACAGCCTACAAAACACGCGAGCTGCTTATCAGTCATATAATCTCCCACAAAAGAAAAGTTTAGCCTTTTTATCATTGCTCTGTAGTTGAATATCGTTTCACTGGCTTCCTTTTTCATTGTTTGCATAAACAAGTCTAATTGGAGCTTTTTGTTGATGTGCGGCCTGTAGTACAATAATTTAACAATAATTTCTGCCCACGCCTTGCATACAGTTAAAAGCTTCACAACTTCCGCTTTCTGAGAGAGTCTATCTAATACGAGACTTAGAATTTCGGAAGGCAACTCATTTAATGGAAACAGTTTTTTTACACTGATATGTTGGGAAGTGGGAACAGCCAGTGGATATTCACGAGAATTTCCGATGTCAAAGTCGTTAGTCTCTTCATTTTTGCTTGCTAAAGCCATCTTCATCCCTGAAACTTTGTAGGGATCTAACTCAACAAAAATTACCCTGTAAGAATTAATGGGATTCTCAGGATGTTCGCCACGAGATTTAGCAGCTTGATAGTTTTGAACAGCAATTCTAAAATCCGCCATTCGTGAATTGAAATGGCTCTTAACGCGCTGTAATTGTAGCGTCTCCATTTCTATTGCTCGTAATCGGATTCTTTGAAGTCTGTTAATGCTCGAAAGGAAGTCAGGATCAGCACTATCCCTAGGGTTTTGTTGAACCTGCAGAAGTAATTTATTGTCCGATTCAAAGGAGTGCAATAATCCGTCTCGCCTGTTCTCTATTACACGTACACATTCGGTCAATTTGGCATGCACCTCTTCTTGGAATTCACGAATCATCCTTGTGTCAACATCAATTCCTTCATCTGACATATTTATATCTTCATCTGATGCATTAGTAGATATCTCCTGAGGATGGCCCCCTCTCCTTGTTTCTGCCTGAACACTTCCCGCAACCGGAAAACTATTTCTTAACGCATACCTGCGTGGCTCGCCTTCCTGCTGTAGAGGCGTTCTATTATACCCCCTGTCTATCCTAAACCTAAACGCATCTCGAAGCGCATGCTCGTTTTGTGAGATCCTCGAAACGCGTTCCCGATTTTCCTGATTGATTCTTTCCCTTTCCTGACTGTCCACACTGCCTCTAGGCGGTGGTTGGTTTGTAAACCAGCTTGCAGGCAGCCCGCTATTCAAACTAGCTGCTTCTGAGTTTGTGTTATTCATTTTTGAAGATGCCTATCGAAAATGCTAGTGTGCAACGTATTGCTATTGGTAAAACAATCAATACGGAAAATGCAGCGCAAATCCTTATCTGGAATGTATTGTCGCCGCTGTGACTAACCTAAAGTCGGATTATGGTGATTTAACCGTCGACTATGTCTGATCTTGCAAGCAATGGGTGGCGAATTCAATCTAAGCTGACTACTTCCCGAGAACGCCGTTTTTTTTGTAAACGCTCTCATCAGAAAATCATATATAACGTACCTATGTTGACTAATGGTGTAAAGAACTACTCAAAGCTCAATAAAAGAATGAACTGCTGAATCATTGCTAGCCCAATTAAGGACAATGTCTGTTAGGTCAACATATAAACTAGTAAATATTTATGTATGCAGCAAAATTCATTACTCATTATCATTAGATTCGGTGAAGCAGGTTATATAACGAAAGTCCTGCACCTCATCTTGTCTATTCTCCATAATGCGTGTTTATAAACTTTTCAATAGCCGAACATCCCATACCCGTTACCATTATTGCTATTCGAGGTATTCAAATGATTGTTATTATTATTCATGCTTAGCTGGGGTAGCGATATTTGCGTTCCATTATTCAAAGTCATCATGTCCAACTGAGAAGAGAGATCATCTGCATTGACTGAGTAACCATTGCTACCGACGCTAAGTGGAAAAACGCCTGGGTAGTTGTAATAACCGCCTGGAACGTTCAATTTCTGCTGTGTCGTACTAGTAGCGGCAATTGGAACGGTAGAGGAACCGGCCATTACAACCTGTGGACCGCCGCCATTTGACATAGCCCTGGGACGGGAACCGTTGCTCATCACACTTCCTACGGACACATTTCTCATATGTCCAGCGGCATCCGTGTTGAAAACATGTGACATACTAGGACGGTGTTTGCCATTTCCCTGAACACCTGCTTGAGTTGCGGCTGACCCCAAACCAACTTCTTCCATCAGGCGACGATGCTGTTGAGTCGTGTTTATCTCCATCAAAACTTTACGCACTTGCTGGATTACGTGCATCCTCACATCGCCTTCCAGTAAAGACATGGAGAGAACTTTGTACAGGAAAGTAGGTCCATAATTGTTGTCACATAGAATTTGATATAGAGCTTGGGGAAACTCAACGCTTTCCTTTTTCCCGAAAACACTTTCCAAAATTAAACGCTTCGCTTTATCGTCTCCTCTATAATTCAAAACCTTGAGAACTGTTAACGATGCTAGTCGATGACAACATAGCTCCACTATGCAGGAGACTAGTTTAGGAGCTAGTATGGATTGCCTGTGAGGTAAAGTACATGTATCCAAGAACCATGTTACTAGCAAAGCGCCGTTGCTGTTCGTTGCCAAATATTCAGCATAAAGGACGATCATAGCACTCAAAACTAATAACTGTTCTCTCGTTATTATGTCGTGAGCTTCTAAGCATGCTCTAACAGCTCTGGCTCCGTATCTGTTCTGAGCAATTGTCCAGAAATTAGAAACAATATCTTCGAAAATAAAATTGTTCCAAGGAAATCCAAATTTCAAAACACATTGAATGACATAGTTACCAAATTGGTCATTAAATAGAGGAGTGCAATAACGTTCCACTCCCTGGGCAACCAGCATCATTTGTCTTGGTGTATCAGCCATGGTGATAATTTTTTGGCATGCCCAAGTACCGTTCTTATGGACACCCATAGACGTCAGATACTTGTTTGTTTTTCTCAACATTATATCCTTAATGATTGTGGACGAATGCTCAAACAATTTTTGAACAATTGTATTACCCAAATAGTCCGAACATAGTTCTGGCAGCTCATCTAACATTGCAATGGCGAGCTGTTCAATTTCCAAGTCTTTCATTGAATTGGCATCAATCGCTTTACGGATTTCACGCAGCTTTGGAGCATCAAATTCCCGATTTGGTAAAGGATCCGGTAGAGGACCAAAATCCGAGGTGTCAGAAGTGCCGTCATAGCTCAATGCGTTTTCGATAATATGTTTAGTTTGTGAGGAGTCATGACTTGTACTAAAAGATGTTATAGTGTCTTCAAGGGCATATGTGTAATCTGAAACACTTGGAGGTGGTAAAGGAAAAGGACAGTGTTCCTTTTCTGTTGATACATGTGTGGTTGAATGATTATTCGGGTGGCTCGTTGAAGTTTGGGCAGATTGGTTATTCAATACAGGAATTGAAACATTACCTTGCTGCTGGAATGTGACAGCACCACTATAGAGTTGCTCTTGCAATAGAGATTGGGGTCCTGCACCAGCATTAGTAGCAGTAGCTTGTGAAGATGTACTTGATTGCTGATGCATTGGTAAAACTTTTGCAAAAGATACTGTACTGGGAGCACCCACCAATGATACTTCTTTGCCCTGCAAGACTTCTTTGGCACGCATTGCGGCTTCAACAGTATCGAATTCGACTAACGCCATGTTGATGTCCTTCAATGTTCTCGCCGAAATTACGTTACCGAACTTCAAACACAAAGTAGCCAAACTAGTGCTTGTTAAATTAATAGCGTTGGCAAGATGGGGTTGCTGCTGCTGCAAAGAAAAAACATTTGAAATGGAAACTGTATTTGTTGGTAACATATTGGAAATCTGATTTATGGTGGGAACAGTCACGTCGGTTGTAACCCAATTGATTGCTCTCGGATCAACGTCGTCTGCGACCAAGGGAGTTGGCGGTTGATGGGATTTGAGAGGTGTATTGTTGAGAATGATCTGCGGCTGCTCCATGCCAAGTCCAAAGGTGGACGCCCTCGACCGGCTGGCGGCTGGATTGTCATACACCTGCGCATCAGTGTAAATGCTAGAGGCGTTAGATTGGGAGCGTGGTCTCGCACCCCAGATGTTTCCCACAGAAGTAGGGACAGTCAAATTACTGGTATTATTATTCATATTAATGTCAAAATAGGTGTTTGTCGAATACTCGTTGAGGGGACTGGGATTGAAAGGTGCAGCAACGCCAACCACAGGTTGTTCATTTGGGGAAGTAGTTGCAGACCACAGATTACTAGCAGATGCTGGTGCTTGCTGTATTGACGAAATCGAAGTGATCTGCGACGACACTGTATTGTTTCTGGTCCGAGACACCGTGTTGGAGGACGTAGTCTGCAAATTTTGCCCGCTGTTAAAAGTGAACGAGTCGTCTGATCTTCTCGGCTGAGAAATGAAAAACCCCGCGTCTGGCACTTGTACCATGTTTTCAGCCGGGTTGGGAGGCGTAATGTGGCCAGAAATGCTCACCTGGCTACCACTGGTGTTCGTGCTCGACGACCGGCTATGTGTGCTGTCTTGGGCGTTCTTTGGAGTCCCTGATGACTTCCGCGTATGATGAAGCTTGGCACTAATGTTCGGCAAAAGATTGCTCAACGTATTTGAAAACTTGCCCGCTCTCACTCTATAAGAGCCCAACTTTTGCGGCTGATTGAGATCGCCTTGCACCAGTTGCTCTTCGTATAATGGCAACGTAATCCCAGGATCAATCACCTCAGGTATTTGACTCAGACCATTCTTTTGGCCGGTCTTTTCCTTTTCCATCCTACTTCGTTCCTTTTCCTCTTCTTTTACACTTCCTGAGTTCATCGCTTGATGAATAAATTAAACAAACTTAGTCAATTGGCCACTAGCTTTTTTTCCCCTATACAAAATTTCTCGGACGGTAATAGATGGAAGCAAAGCCTCGCTATCCGGGAAAGAGAGAAAAATAAGCGATCACGTTCCGAGGCAGAAATATTCGTCTATAACGATATTAAATTTTTCATTGAAGAAACACACGTACAACGTGATTACTGTTATACGGACGCTAAAAATATGTACGTATACAATGATGCAATTAGAATGCTATGAAAATACACGTGACCGCTGTCAATGTCTAAAAGATTGATCGTGGTCACGTGATCTGGACAAGATCGAGGCGGCTAGGAGAGTACCTTCCTCTTTGGGATATTGTTTATTTACAGTTGCCGTTTTGGGAACAGAGGGTATATGTAAGTAATTAGTACCTTTCAAAACAATTATAGCTCTTCATCTCAACCTTCGAAGTAATTGGCATAAACAAAGTATTAATTTGCTGTGAACTATCGATCGGTTGCAGGATGGCTGAAGCAAGCGAATCACAAGATACTGGCCTGGGAAAAGAGTGTTGCACTACCTTAGATTCATTGTTAAGGGAGATTGACCAGGAAATACCTGCTGTTGCTAACAGACAGCTCCCCTTACAGGAGATTGGCGACGATACAATGGAGCAAATTGTCACTTACAATACTATGAATAACGCTAAGTCGATAGTTACTGACGTAGAAGATGCTGATGACACTCAACCTCTTGCGCAGCCTCAGTCGCACAAGTCAGTCATGTTCAGTGATGAATTCGAGCTTCACGAGTATCCACCGGGAGAAGAGGAAGGCATAGATCAAATCCAACAGCGTGATAGCTCTGCGCTTTCCTGGAGTACAGCATCCCTTCCCAGCGGGGTGGCTCGAAAGGAGAAAGCTGCTCTTCTCTTGACTACCGGGTCAGACAGTGAGCCTGAGAGTGACTCGCTGGAGTTAAGTGATACTGAGCTTAAAAGTAATTCCGTCACGAAATTGCATGAGAAACTTGAACATGTATTGGGAAAACCAGAAAACTCTGCTAATGTACCTCGGCTGAAGCAAATGGTTGATAGCATCGATGAAATGGTGGTCTCACGCGAACCAGAAGAAATCAAGCCCCTCAGCATAACTATTCAATCTACATTACCCCTAAATTCTCTCGAGGAAAAATCCAGTTTGCTTGAATATAGCGTTGAGGCCGAAATGCATGAAGATGAAATGCCAGAAAGAATACGGCACTCCCCATCAAAGATCCCTACTACAAATACCATTTCCATTAACAGATTCAACAAATCGGAAGAATACCCGGCATCAAGTAGATTATCATCCGGCTCGTCAATGGACGATAGCGTGACGGCGTTGGAGACTAAAACTATGCAAGACAAATTTAATCTACTTACGAATAAATCATTAGCCGCACACGCCGTTCCAAAGATGGAGGATTGCCAAGTTTCGAATAGAAGCTTATCTATGCTCCACGAGAACAATTCGAGAGTCTTCAGTGTAACTACCACCAACGATGAATATCAATCCGCCAAGGAATTTGATACAGCTGAGGCGTCAATAGATGATGTTGAAAACGAGAATTACATTGAGGAGTTGGGCATATCTACTGGGCCGACCAAAGACGAGGAAACAATCACGGATCTGCATGGACTGATTCAGGAAAATGCTGGAAGCGTGCCTTACACATCTGAGAACTATTCAGCTTCGGGTTCCGACGTTAACATTTTTCAATCACTAGACTTGCCAAAACTTCCACCTCTGGATGCATCATTTGTTGACTATGCTCTGCGAAAGTCGAGTTCATCTGGAACAGTGAAGGTTAATACCTTAAGTTTGCAAAGAAATACGTCAATCACAAACTCAATCAATAGTGACATAATTATCGACAGAAATCCCGACCAAGAATCTGAAAACGAATCCTCAATACCAAAACTTGGCACTACAGATGAAGAAAATATAACAACAAAAGTGACAGCAACAGAATCTTCTGAAGAGAGTGAAATTGAAAAGTCTTCTGAGTTCAGTGATGGTCATAGCCAAAATCAGGGAAATCATTACATTGAAACTGATTTAAATGAAGAATGCGAAGCAGGAAATGGCGAGAAGAAAAGTTTCGACAATGGAAGCGAAGAATTAGAAGTCAAAGAAGGTTCATCATTTGAAGAAGAATCACATGATAACAATTCTGAAAATGGTCTGAGAGCTGATACGCAATGCGCTCATGAAGTCGACAGTTCTACACCAAATCTTCCTTCTATAGGAAAGTTTTCCTCATTATTTAACGAAGACTATCCTTTTGATGGTGCGGAAGATACTTCGAACGATTCTATTGACATCACCAAATCCCTGAAGACATCTGATTATCTATCGATCTGGCATACGCAAGAAAACAGTATCAAGACATCCCCTGCATTAAGTTCAAATTCTCAGTTTTCCCGCCACTCCTCAGCAACAGTGAGCTCTTCGATTTCGACATCTTCAAAGTTCAAACTCAAGCCAAGAGTAATCAGCAGAAGCAAAGTTTATTACCCACAAGAAAATGCCTCTAGTAAGATTGAAGAAGAAGATTATATGCTTCCCCAAGTAGCAAAAAATAGTGTACTAGACCCATTGAGGAGAAACACCTTACTTTCCAAAAAAATTCAGCTGAGAATCAAAGAACAACAGAAACTATCACCACGCTACGGCCCATCAGTCGTTAGGCTTGTTACTGAAAAGGGAGACACGAACGACAAGGTGATCACCGAAGATGAAGACCAGACCACGGTAACATATGGGCAGGAAGACCCTCATGAAATCGCAAAGATAGGCAATAAATTTGAATCTCAACTAATAAATAGTCCTGAAAGGAGTTTACTAGTGACCGAAAATCACATCGAGGAGCCCACTGACGAATTCGAGGATGTAATAGGTGCTTTAACTCTTGATGCCTCTTTCAACGAAGAACAGCCAGATACTAATGACATTAGCTCTGTAGTCTACCATATTTGGGATCAAAATGCCTATCAAAACGGTCTGGATATCAAACTAAGAGATGGAGCAGCAAATGAAACAAAGAAAGCTAAGATGCGCGATGACATCCTTAATAAGTTATTGGAAGAGGAACAACATAAGGAAGCTCTAGATGAAGAAAAAGTCTCTTCGGGACTTGGAATAGTCAAAAATACTGAAAGTCAAATTGCAATTTGTCGAACCAGTGATTACGATGGAGTCGATGTTATCCGCTCGGACTCTTTAGATTCATCTGCGAGGAAGTCTATATCCTTACCATCAGAGGCGACACCTCGGACTCCTTCTCCAGTGAAGTTATCTCATATCGAGAGCCCTTTCAAGGTCACTAGAGCACGAAAATTGGAAGAATCTAAGCCCGAGGAGAATGAGAAGAACAAATCCACGTGCAAACTTGAAACCGCGGACTTTAGTGAAAATTCGTCAATCAGTGAAGCTCGGGAAAATGCTAATTCGAATTTGCTAACAACTTTGGGCAACGATGAAACTTCGTCCCTGCAAGATAATGGAAAACTTTACTTGGTTATAAATGGCATTGAAAGCCTAGGAATTAATGACATTAGGCGTCACAATGCCAGGTTTGCAATAGAATTCGATAATGGAACCAATATTGTACAAACCCCCTGGGAACGATTTTCTGAAAGATCGATAACTTTGGATAAAGAGTTTGAAGTATTTTTGAATCAAAAAGGAGCACCATCTACCGATAAGATTGTTATCACGTTTAAATGCAAATACACAAAGCCTCAAGCCGAATTGGTAGAAGTGGTTGAACGCATTCCTTTGAAGAAGAAGCTACCCTTTGGTAGAACAAAATATAGGACTGAAAAAAGATTTGTAGAGAAGCCAGTATCTTTCGACGATTGGGACTACATGTTCGCACAGGATGGCTCATTTGCCCGCTGCACCATAACACTTGACAATATGTTATTATCTAAGGCACGGTATCAACAAAGACTGCTTCACTTCAACCTTATTAATGAGTGGGCAAGGGTATTCGACAAAAAGAATGATGTCAGGGATAAGTACAAATTACCTCGCAAACCTGCATATAATGTTGGACAGTTGAATGTCAGAATGTGTTACCTACCACGCACATCGAACTTAGAAAAATTCCCTAAAACTTTGAAACTGGCTGAGCAGATTGTTAACAAATATTCTGAACAACAAAATATTAAGTGTGAAGGTTTCTTGTGGCAGGAAGGTGGAGATGTTGATGGCATGCTGCAAAGACGTTACTTCATTTTGCATGGAAACCAGTTGATATCTCATCATGAAATTACAAAAAAACCAAAGGCGCTAATCAATCTATTGAATGTCGTAAGCGTATTAGGCGAGGGAAACATCTCAAAAGAAGTCACCACCCAAGTAAGAAACTTTACTGACATGGTACTTTTTAGCGATTACTTCAAATTGATCTTTGAAAATGGAGAAGTTATTAGCCTAAATGCCGAAACCGTGGAATCGAGGATTGAATGGGTTACTCTTCTTTCACGCGTAGTGGAGCTAAACAAATTCCACCAACCATGGGTTAAGCAATTACTTGCATACCGTTCACCAGACACTAACGTATAATCACTAAATATAAGTTTAAACCACATTCAAGTTACTATTTTTGTTATCCAGTACTATACAACCATTTTTATTTTTTCTGTTGAGGATTCATGTTATTCATCATGCCAGGAAATGGAAATGGAAAGCCACCAAACATCGGAGGCATACCCATTGGAAATGCAGCAGGCGGGATTGGTGCATTGACAGTACTATCTGAAGATACACCGTCTGCGCTCGATTCATTGAGTTTCCCTTGTTGTTGTAAAGCCAAAAGGCCCATTAAAATCTTATGAGGATTGTATTCTTTACGCAGCTTCTCTTGACGATGCAAGTATTCTGTCCATGTTTGTTCATTGAAACCATAGTTGAAATAATCGCTAATATTCGCGCCTGGTTGCCTCCAAGGTTTTTCCTTCAGTACTTCAGGGTCAATGTCGGTGATATCTTGGTCTCCAAGCTTCCCGGGAGCATCTAAATCAAGTGTCTGCTGTCTATCTTCTGCGTTTACATCAGAAGTCTCGGCTTTATCAGATTCTAGGGGAAGTTTCGTTTCCGTTAACTCTTCATCGGCACCGAGAGCAGAGCCACTTTCCACGGTAGGTGCTGAGATTGTCACAGAGTTAATGCTTCTGTCCTTCTGGTCGAGTTTCGAAGTATCTCCATCCAGCCCTATAATGAATTCCACATCAGAGTCGTCATCTGATTGATCTTCGTCGCTGGACTCCGTTTCACTACTGCTTGAATCGACAACCTTTGCTTTCTTAGACTCTTCTGCTTTTTCATCCTCATCAAGAGGTCTCTTTTTATCAGATGCAGTGATTTCAGCACCTTCATCGTCAGAGCCATACAGAAACCTCTCGTCCTCGTCGCTGGAGCTCATCTCCCAACCTTGTTCAACAATGATCACTGATAGTCTCACGGGTAACTTGGTTGAATTTAATTATTTTTGTCACCCGGATTTTTAAAACCGTTGCTTGTGATTACTATTCATCGAATAACTCTTTCGCTTGACTTCATCAGTACTTAGGTTGACGGCTCAGTCATCTGATTAATAGTAACCGGGGATACTTCAGGATGATTGCCACACGATTGTTTTCTACTGCTAGACCTGCCCTTCGGATTTCCAAGAGCTCTTTGAGAAAAGTCCCATCTCCATCGGAACAAGTACCTAGTGTTGAAGTATTTTTGAAAACCATTGGACGTAAATGTGATGAGTTCGCAGAGACTTACGAGAATAAGTGGGAAAATCTGTTTAAATGGGACTCCAAGGTTCTGAAGGAAAAAGGTATTCCACCTCAACAACGTAAATACATTTTAAGCCAAGTGGAAAGGGCGAGGAAGAATGAAGCCATCTATGAGATCAAGGAAGGAAAGAAGTCATTCCTTGGCGGGGAAAGAAAGAGAAAGGAGAACGTTGCTAAAATGAAAGCCCAGGAGAGAAACTCGTAATCCATGTCGATTCCGTTTATCATGTATATAAATTTATTCTGTAGCCTACATTAACTTATTTTCAAGTCTCCTTTCTGAAAATCTGAAAGCGCTTCACGAAGTTCTTCAGCCTCTTGCACCATTTGATCTTCGGTACGAGCAATGCGCTGATCATCTGGCTTCGCCAATTGCTTCCTTCCATTGCGACCGCCTGCCGTGATATAGGCCTCACGGCGAGATTGCCAGTCTTCATAAGTCCATTCATCCAACAAATTATAGATGCGATCACCTATATTATTGAGTCGATAACGAGGAATTATATGAGTGTGTAGATGGGGTACGGTTTGACCTGCTTCGGGACCATCTTGAATTGCGATGTTCAAAGAATCTGCACTGTAATGGAGCTTGATAAACTTGTGTATAAGCTGTACCGTTCTAAAATAGTCGTCGTTTTCCTCAACAGTTAGATCAGCTAGACTGATAACACTTCTTCTAAGTGGCACAACTAATACATGCCCAGGAACTAAAGGTTTTAGATTTACTAGCGCATAAGAGTATTTTGATTGCTAAAATTGCTGTTAGTCCATATACGCTAGAACGATCAATTGAGAAGGAAACATACGTAAAACACTTGCTTCGTCACTAGGAACTTGCCAAAGTATATCGCGTTTGTCATTCCTTATGTATGTCAAGGAAAATTCTTAAGAGGATTTTCAAGATTTGATTTTTCTAATAATTTACATAAACGCTTCCGTCCTGATCTTCTAAACAAGAAACTAAGTCACTTACATCATCGCTATTCATATCCCAGCCCAATTTGGATGTCACCCTTATTGTACGTAGATTCGGAAGTCTATCCTCAACAAGCGCGATTGTTAAATCGTCTGGATGAACTTTAAATGCTTGTCCCAAATTGCCGCTACACTCTAATATTATCGTTCGAAGAGGGCGTGAATAAGGTAGTGGTGTGAGTAAGTTCTCTGAAAATGCCCATTTTGAGCAGTAGTCTACACTCAATTGAATTGATAAAAGGTTTGAGCAATAGCGGAAAACGTAGTCTAAAGAACTTTCATGAAGGGCTGGCATTGGGTAATGGAAGTATAAGTGGCGCAGGCGATCCCCAATTTTGGCTAATACAGTGTATACAGCATGCTCATTGATTTGTGGGCAGAAAGAGAATTCCAGAGTTTTAATAGTCAAAGGGAAAGTAGTTTCACGAACAAATTCGTTAGTAATTCCGCCGCTTAATTTGAGATACTTCAGGTTGGGTGGCCATACAAACTCCCTGAAGCCATCGCAATCAACAGAACTTCGTGGAAAAGATAAATGTGTGAGATTGCTGAAACCTTTTATCGCTGAAAACAATTCTCTTAATTGCACCGTTTCTGATACCAATCCTAAATCCAAATACTTGAGCTGATGGCAAGATTTTAGACTTATTAGTGGTGCATAGCCGAAACTAGTCTGAGGAGCGGTAAAATGCTCTAGCCTTGCACTGCATCGCCTCAGAAGCTTCGAGACGAAAGAATTCTTTCCGCTCTGTATTATTGTTGAAAGGTTCAAATTTATAACATATTCACCAAGCTTTTTCTTTCTATTGTTTATCAGAGTGTCGACGAATTTGTGAAAGTTCCTACTAGTAAGCTGTGGCGTATGATATACCAATGGTAAGCACATCAAATACCAGTGTCGACATACGCAAAGAAATTGGGGTTCAACTCTTTCACATTGCATTAGTACTAAACCAAATATTTCCCAAGGAAGAACCATTTCAGCCTCGCCATCCAAGCAGTCCTCGCTCCGCGGTAGAGATGGCCTCGAATTGATATGTACCACAGATTCTGTATTGATATCATAAAAATAATCCCCTTGGGGAGTATGAATAATACTATCTTTGCTGGCATCCGGGGTCTCCAACGAATCGCTACCTGTAAATCCCCGGGTATGGACGAAACCCTGACCAGCCACATATTTCTTATATGGCGCTTTGATCTTCTTCGGTCTCCGTTTGTTGGCCATCGTACTTTTTCTTTAGCTGCAACATGGGCAGTGAACGCATCTTGAACAAATTCATTTCTGCGAATAATACTTAGATATAAGAAAAAAAAAGACAAAAATAATACTACGTGCATAAAGAAGAAATCCGAAGTTGAAATGAGAACTGTGAGGCTCGTGAGATATTGATTAGCTTAACGAGTAGAAAGAATGAGATAAAGCAAATGAAACCATCTCCAAAAAAGAATGTTCTAACTGAGGTTCGAACTCAGGACCTTTGCCGTGTGAAGGCAACGTGATAGCCACTACACTATTAGAACAAGACATATGATATCAGTAGCATTAGTTGGTATCACGTTTACGGTTAGACCCAGCTTCTTGCGCGCATTATTGATAGGAAGTACGAAATGGATATAAGCACAAAGAAGAAAGAAAGCTTGAGCAAAAACCAAAATGATTGGTAATAGAGATTGAAAATCTTGAAAGGAACCCCAATCGCTTTAACTACAAAACTTTGTCCTCGAGATTTTGCGGGGGTAGTTGGTGACGGTAGTGGTTTAGATGGTGAGACAGGCCTTATAATTGAAGTAGGTATGTGTGACCCTTCTTTTCCTTTCAGAGGGCTTTCGTAGGAGTAAGGTGTGTATGATTTCAAGTAAGCGCACTGTGGTGTTTTGGGTGCTGGACAATCACTCTCTGAAATCTTGGCAGCCTCTGAGAACTGGTAATCCTCGGTACAACTTGCCCCAGTAGTTTTCTTCTCAGTAGCTTTAGTCATGGCACCTTGGGCTATGTGAATCTGCTCTGTGATGAACTGTGTGTCTTCAATGAATTTTTCGCTCTGATCTTTGACGTAGACCTCGATCTCATCGAAGGCGTCTTTACAGAATTGGATAAGGAGGCACCAGTTCAGCATGACAAACTGAGACGCAGAAAATATAACCAGCATTAAGCTGGAATATGCAGGAAACTTTGGATCATACGAAATTACACTTGTAGCGAGGGTAAATGTGGCGTGGTGGAGTAGTAGGAATCCGAACAGAGTAATACAGGGGAATACCATCAAGGACATTATACTCAACTTACGCCATACTTCACTTTGGTGGACATGATTTTCGCATACTAGTCTCAATTCCTTGTATTCCTTGCTGTACTTAAGATATAGCACATCCCTCCCAACTTTGCAGCATTCTTCATAATCCGATATCAATTGATGAATGTGCCACGGGAATTTTGCGAGAAACGGCAACAATCGAACAACCATCCACACCTCGGCACTTTGGAGTATTATATTATCAAGTTGAAGGATTGTGAAAGATGGCACTCCTACTCCTATTATCGCAGAGCATGATTTACCAAAAGAATACTGCCCCGATTCGGAGTTTGCAGTGTGAAAAAGGAAGAAGTAAAATCCTTTCAAAATTATTGGTACCATTAGACAATTCGTTGCAAGATTAATGGGCGATGACTCTGGCCGCTTATCTTGCTGTCCAATTGATTCACTCGCTGATATATCAATTTCGGCGGTAGGCCCAACAAAAGCGCCAGGTAATGTGATATCTTTGCTTAAGTTGTACTTCTCCAGTCTATCCTTAATATTTTGGCAGGCATGCTGGCTCTTAGCAATTGTTTCTGTCGCTCTTTCGATCACATTTTTTATCTTCAAAGAATTTGTGGTAATTGATTGATCTGAATCTTGCTGCGTCTCTAGTCTCAGAGGCTTTTCCTTTGAGACAACACTTTCATACCATGCGTGCTTTCCCTTTTCGAATTTAAAGTTTTCGACAGGATCACGAGCGTCCTTATTCAAGGAACCTTGCTTTATATAGCCAGGTTTTGCTCCACTTAGGTGCCTCCGTTGCACTTGTATAGCGTTTTGTTTTTTATCCTCCCCCACAGAGCTATCATACAAGAGTAACGAATCCTTCAAAGATCTATATTGCTGAGTTCGGTGAGTGAACAATGATCGTTCTTGTTTCGTGGAATTCTTAGTTCCTATTCCATGTCTACTTGGTTCTTCACTAAAGGACGAAAAATCTCTTTCAGGTAGCCGCGGACCAGCAAAACGATCGCTCGTATACTCAACATGAGAGATCTGGCTCCCAAGGTCGGTCATCTCACCTTTGATGGTTGCTGATGATTGTAATTAGATTTGTATGCCCTTAGATATCATGTTTTGTCTAAGGAATTCTTGACGGATTTCTCGACGTTTTTGTGTTTCAAGGATTTTAACATTTACCTATGGCGCATTGATAGAAAGAAAGCAGCAAAGTTTACGTGACCAATAGTTTAACATATGGGAGAAGAATGCTAATATATTAATACTTCCAGAATTGAACGTTCATTCTATTAATGTGGGCAATATACTTTATGCTGCTGTTATCATGAACTATGAAAAAAACACCTTGGGCGAAAAATGCAGGCTATATTGTTTTCATAAAGCATTCAAAAAATGAAGCTGGCAAGGGGACCTTATCGTCCTTACATTTCGCAGAATGTGCTATCGCAGCTGCTAACTGAGCGTATATCCAAAGTCGACTACTTTTTTGCTTCCATGCTTTTTCTCTCCTTTTTAGTTCGCCAATATTTAAAGTTTGATGAATTATTGGGACCTAGCGACTCTGAAAGTGACATACTGAAAGCGCTCGATCATTACAAAAGGAATGAATTCTTTCTTTCGACGTCACCCCCACTAGGAATTCAATTCCTATACGCCCTTTCGAATGTGTGTGGGGGCGTATCCATTAAATTACTGAGACGCGTTTCGGTTTCAACAGGATCGCTTACAATCTCACTGATATACCTCTCACTTAGAAAATCGAAGGTATCAAGAATAATTTCCTTGGCTATTAGCTTCATGTTTTCTCACCTTCCTTTGTTTGAGGATGAGGCACGTTCCGCATCCTTGAATATTCTCGAAATGATGTTCCTTTCCCTCACTTTATTCGCCTGGTTTTCATTCGAACAAGCACAGAGTTTTACAAAAGGCTGGCTCTCCAAACTTATTATTTTGGGATTGAGCATTGGTTTCTTGATTTCAACGAAAACCATTGGGTTTATAACATGGTTATGGATAATTATCCTCTGTTTAAAACAAATGTGGGATATCATTGGTGACTTGCGATTCTCTAACAAGGAAATCTTATATCATGGATTTCTAAGATTCATTGCCCTTATTCTAATGCCACTGATGATATTTACGTCCAGCTACTATCATCATATTTCCATTTCATGCAATCACAGTCAAGTGTTTTCCAGCTTTATGTCCCCATATTTTAAGGCAAATCTCCTCCCAGAAAGTCTCCCCCCTCCAGACATTGTGTACTATGGAAGCAGTGTTCTTATTCGCCATCAAAAATCACTCGCAGGATATCTGCATTCTCATAATTACACATATCGTGGTGGGTCTCAGGAACAGCAAGTTACTTTATATGACTATGCAAATGATGCAGATAACGAATGGATTATTGAGCCCGAAAACGAAGACAAGGCATCTGTTAATGGTACACTTCGTGAACCAATTCCTGTTAAGAACAAGGAATTCATCAAACTCAGACATCGCGTGTCAGGGAAACTACTTAGATCATCGAATGCAAAACCTCCCGTGAGTGAACAAGACTATGACAAAGAAGTAGCATGTACCGGAGATTCAGAGTATAAAGGTAACGCCGATGAGCTTTGGCGTATAAAGTTCATACGAGGGAAAACGGGTTACCGTGAATCTCTTTCTCCCGTCATTATTGAGTTTCAACTAGAGAATAAAGGCCAAGGCTGTACGCTTTTGAGTCACGACTTGAGACTCCCCGATTGGGGATTTGAACAGCAGGAAGTTTTATGCGTTGACCCACCGACCTTGGAACGGACCTTATTTTACGTGGAAAGATCGAATTTGTATAGCAAGCCAGGGGCTTTTCTCAGATATCCCCGCGAGTGGTCTGTCATTCGATTTGCCAAACTTTTTGTGGAGTATCTTCTCAAGCAGATCAAGTATGATTACTATGTCAAAAATTACAAACAAACTGGAGATGTTCCAGTAGAGCGGTGGATTTGGTTTACACATACAACAAATTTTGAGAACATGTTATGGTTGTCGCCACTTCTCTGTTCGTTATTCTTCGTGCTGGTTGTGCTCCATGACTTGACTACTTGGAACCCATGGTCTCCCAGCAACGAAGTCATTTCATGCAATAAGTATTTATACAAAGAAAATTGCATGAAGTCATTTCTAGGCTGGCTTTTGCATTATCACATTTTTACCAAAAGCAAGCACGAAAATCTATACTTGGTCCAGTATCTACCAAGTTACCTCCTGAGCCTTTTTCTGGCCGCACATTCATTAAACTTTTTGTGGTGTCATGGAAGATTCAGTGCGTTAATTTCCGCCTCTATCCTCTGTTTCATGTTATGTGTGTGTATGTTGCGCCTCTGAAATAAATTCACATTACCTCAGGTTCATGCGGATGATTCGGGCATCTCTACGGGCTTTCTCGAGTTTGCAATGCCTTGGGTAAAGTCACATATCATGCTGTTTACGCTTTTTAACAACTCTTCTTTTTCTTTTATAGCTTGGAGTTTTTCGTCCTCAACTTTCATAAGCTTTTTCTGAAGTGCGTCAATCCGGTGCATTTGTTCTTCAGCCGAAACATCAACACCAGGTAAAGAGTCTATCAACTTTATAATTTGCCTAGTTTTTAATATGAGATCAGTTGATAGCTCATCAATTGTATTCGTGAACTCCTCTGAGGTTGCGATTGTTGCCTGAGGATCTGTCATCTTTTCCTCTCCAGAACTGCTAGGCTCAAAATCGTGATTCTTGTCAATATAGTTGATAGTGGCACAAAATTGCTCCATCATTTGATCCAGGCATATTTGAAGCTGTGTTAAACGATCAGTCATCTATCTTTTTAAATCTATGATATGATACTTGGGAAAGATGATGGCTTCTCAACTAGAAAAAAACATTATTCAAATTAATAACCTAAAACGAAAACACAAGTCCAGCTCTAAATGAAGTACGAAGATCCTTACATTGAATTGGTAGAGCTATTAGCACAATACGATTCTCTATTGGAGCAGCTACAAGCTTCTTTTATTGATGGTTTTCAGCATTTGAGTCGGGCTAATTATTCGAACAAAGACGCTTTGCGCGGTAGGTACGGTCAAGATTATTGGGACTATACCTATGAGGGAACGCAATTTGTGTCGACAAAGAATAATAAGATTGATATTATCAATAGAGTAGGAAGTCAAGTAAAGGACTCCTCCAAAGTCGACGAAGCAGAGGAAGTTGATGACAGAAAGCTGAGAAGACGAAAAGTACATACCGAAGAAAAGGAACCAGAACGTTCAAAAAAGCCTACAAACCTAACAGACCCAATATACATGTTTGGCGGTGTGTTGTCAGTCCCTTTCTCCTTGCGACAATGTCAGAGTTGCTTCAAAGGAAGTATTCCATTACTTGCCGGTTTGGTCAACTGCAGGAAAGAAATAGATCTCATTCTCAAACGACTAGGGGATTAACGAGAGAATAATTGATTCAACCAGATTATTTAAAAGTCTATAATACACGATCTAATGGATGGCTTCAATCAATGCAGCATTGAGCTTTTATGCTAACGAATGGAGTGGAGTAGGCTAATATAGTCCATGCAAATAATATCAGGGCGGAACGAGTGAATTGAGAAGTCACGTTACCATGACTTACGTTTGAACAACTGCCGTGCAACAGATTTAGGTTCATAAATGCCATAGGTTGTCATACCATAAAAGTTTCAGTATCTTTATCCCACTTGGAAAGTGGATGTTGGACGGTACTCGAGTTGTCTTCAAATGAAAACTCGCTTGATCCACGGACATGAGAGCTCGTCTCACTTGTTTGATGATAGCAGAGAAGTACGTCATCGACAGATCTCCTAGTCCTTGGAGTATCCAAGAAAGATGAATTCTGATCCACAACGGGTGTCACAATAAGTTGAGAGTCTGACTTTCTTCTAGACAACATTTTGGTTACCTTAGAACAGTCGTTTCCTATCATTGTTTCAAGAAGTTCTGCCGTGTTTTCTGGTGATTCCCATACAAATCTGTCTATCTTCTCTTTCGACATATCCGGCGTCTTGAATTCAAGTAACGAAGCATCTTCCAACACGGTTGGAAATTGGTAATTCTTCAAGAAATCAACAGATATACTACTGGACTCCGATTTGTTGTATCTATGCTTGAGGTGCATCTTTTCTAAATTGTTCAATTTGCTCAATGAACGATTACCTTCCTCAAGTACGGAAGTAGCCATCGTCGATGTTGAAACTATCCGCCCGCTCATATTAGAGTATTGAGAAGATGAAATAGAAATAGAACGACGTTCAATCGAGGACTTAGAACTGAAAGACTTCTCTCTTTTGCGATTATCGGAAATCTGAGGCAGTCTTTCAGTTACAAAGGCTTTGTCTAAGTTGCAATTGTCTAGCTCTTTGATTTCGTTGTTATCTTCGGGAATATCATCGTCAAGCATACTTTTGACATCCGCATGGGAAATGTGCTGGAAGTTGAATGGAACAGAAATTTTGGTCTGCTTCGATGATTGGCGAGACTGCTTTGACTTAAAGAATTTTAGTAGCTTGTTTCCCTTGATTTCGAGAACGTTTTGATCCTGCGACTTAACTGTTACTTTCTTGACAGTGCGTTTATACGCAGTTGGAATTAGAGGTGGTAGATCAATTTTCTTCTTATTGTTCAGAACCGGTCTGTCACTATTAATCATTACAACATCAACCTGCTCTTCGTCGTCAGAGTCCATTAAATGCTGTGCTTGCAGCCCATACAGCTTTTCAGCCTCCTGGTCTTCATCGATCCAGATCGATTTCATCTGAGGTAAGTTTGCTTGAGCAGCCATTGTACCAGCGAATTCTCTATTCAATTCTCTCTTGTTTCCTTCGATTGGGTGCCTCAAAGGGTTTCGAACGTAGAATAACACCTAAGAATTTATATAGTGCGTTTTGATCAATCTACGGTTCAAATTTCTCGTCAATATCGCTTCCGCTTCAAGTAAGTTCACGAAAATAGGAAAAATTCTTGCCAGCCGAACGCGTCGCGCTTCAGATAAAACTTCGAAAATTTAACCTTAACGGGCTTTTTAACGGAGCCCTTAAACACTGGTCCCCAAAATCTTTTAATTGGAGTTCTAATTTATGAGACGAATTCAATACTTTTTAAGGGAGCTCTAAAGTCGAGATCGCTTGGAAAGTTACCATTGGTGCAAGAATAACACCGAGCAGTAGAAAGGTTTCACTTTGTCACATTTTAAAATTTGCCTGGCCGAGAATGTGAAGCAATTCATCACACAGACATCTTCAATTTCCATCTCACCGTGAAACTTGAATTAACTATCCTATTAGGTAGGGTAAAGTCAGCCGCAGAGTGTCAACAAAATAAATTGTGATAATATCTCGAAGATATTACAATCAGATGGACGTGAAAATTCGAAAGTAGATTAGAATGTGCTCGCAGCCTCCTTAATTCTCAACCTTGACTGATATGGACATGCATTTTATATATTTTTCAGAATTAGAAGTGAAACACTTGGATGTGTTTGAGTAAAAGCGGCCTCTTATCATGTGTGCTTTCATGGTAACTACTTTGATTCTCTGGCTTTGCGAAAAGAGACCATTTTCGTGTAACTTCTCGACCTTTACTTCAAACTTTATGTAGCTTAGTGACATGGCAAGGGCTGGTGAACTTTCTCCCAAGTCTGTGTAGCTTCGTAACTGAGAGAAAACTCCAAAAATTTGAGAAACACTTTTGGATTGCATAGGTTCAAATGATACATATACTGGAGTGACATAAATAACTATTCTTGCTCAAATCATTATTAATTGGATATATGATCACTGAATAAGCATCCAATCACCCCAGCCCTTTGAGGTTCATTCACTCTCGTAATTTGGAAAGGCTCGGTTTAAATTGTTGCCTAATTAAAGCACCGGATAAAGGTAATAAATACATCGTGATGCGGTTAGGAGGACAAATTCTATTGCACTGGCTGATCACCACCTCCTTCAGCGGCTATTCGTGTTAAAGGATTCGTTAATCAAGTCATCTAATGAAGATGAATGAGGAAATAGTGTTAATGAAAGTGAAGGTAGAAGAAAAAATTAATTACTTTAATTATTTATGACTAAAAGTGCTATACGATAGGCATAAAACTTCTGTGGAAAAATCAGCGGAAAATTAACTGAGAAGCTTCGAAAAACGAGGTATCTTTAAGATTTCTGTCTCTTTGAAGCATGATTCAACTCTACATCATCGTTGTCCCTTCTTTTCACAATCTTAATTAGTCTCAAATCGTCAACATCGTCGTCATTTACAACATCTGTGTTGCTTCCTCCACCCACAACAATAGTCTGTTTGTAACTACGATTTCTCAACCTGCCATTTAGTAGTACAAGTGCAGCGTTTTCTGAAAGAGCTTTATTGCATTTGTCACTTTCAAGGCCAAGCTGCTTGATGAGACTTGTAACCCCTAAAACGTTCCGGCATTCCAAGGATTTCTCTGCCCCACTGCTTATAACAATACCACGAGAACGTGAACTTCTGATGACACTTTTCACATTCTGGATAAATTGACGTCTGGCTTGTATATCTCTCAAAGCGGAAGAATATGTTATTTCTAACTTGACGCCACGATTTACACAACTGCAAATGTTCTTATGTTTAAGAAATGTAGGTAAACGTTGATTGTATTGGAAAGTCAATAGATCTATATCCAAGTTTGCTGTTGCCAGAGTTAGTCCACGTTCGCTGATAGGCAAGGCCGCAATGATATCAAATGCTTGGGAAATTTTTGACAATGATTGGCCTTTGGATGGATCATCAATAATCAGCGTTATCCGGGAATAAAGTTTTAGACCAGTTGATTTCATGAGTCCCGAAAAATTTTCTTTGATTTGGATTGGATTCATATCCTTCGCAGAGCTTGGGAATTTATCGCTGTGATTCACTGTGAAGTTTAGTGCAATATGTGTATATCCTAGAGTGTGTAAAGTCATTAGCGTAGCCTTCAATTTGCTTATCTCTTGTGGAGATGGTAATTCCCTAAAGCTTTTTTGAGGCCATGGGACATTAAGATCTACTAGCATTATGATATTACACTCTGTTAAACCAGGTTACCAAGTAAGTAGCTATGCTCATCGAGTAGAACAAATTTTTTAATAGATCCGTTTTTTATGATTGATTTTGATGATGTTCAGAAAATCGATATTAGGTGAGAATATTTAAAATTACATGTTCAAGTTATCGGTTGTCGTTACCTGAGTCACTGAGGGTTTTACCTCGCGGTTCTCTGTACCATCTTCGAGGAAGTCCAAGGTAAGCACGTTGTCAATGGCTTCATTAATATTATCTTCAGTTACACCATCTCCAAGAACTGGAAGGGGCTCACCTTTGGGGAACATCCACTCGCGCCATTGTGTGTCCGTATTATCACATAGATCAAAGAGAATCATTTTCAATAAAGTAATGTGGTTGTAAAACCATGAGACTGATCTGTTGATGAAGATTCTGTAGTTTTCCATCTCTTTGACCGCATGCAAAATAGTAAAAGCAGAAAACCCTCTCTTTTCTCTGGATTTATCCCTCCAGAATTCGAAAAGGGCGAACAAGGCTTTACGTCTTTGCCAAGTTCTCTTGGATTCTCGAAGCTTTAAACCAAGTCCGACCAATTTGTTTTCCCAACGAAACTCCATTAGAAAGTATTCCAAACTATTCACGTACTTCTCCGTCAACGTTATCTTGCTCAGTATTGAGCTCGCAAAATCAGTTTCAATCTCTATATCAGGCTTTAAAAAATAGGCATTGATCCGGTCCTGTCTTGTAAGCTCCGCGTAATCCTCTTCATTCATAGTTAAACGAATGAGTTCATCCTCTTTTGATTTGAATTTAAATTCCAAATATGCTCCCGTTGAAATAGGTGTCTGTGGGTCTGATCTCCGGTAAAAATATCCATCACGGCATATCAGTTCAATGGGAGATGCCAATAGAAGCGCAGTCGAATTGTCGCCGCTGCTACTGCTATTGGCGGGTCGCCCTCTGTTATCTTTCTTTTCGGGTAGCATTGGAATCATGGATCGAAAATCACGTTTATAATCATCATCTAACTTCTCTTTCTTCCTCGCATTTTCGGCAGTGGAGTTACTTTTGAATATTTCGGGTAACTTCCTCTTTTGAGGCATGACTTCTTCTTCTTCATCATTGTTCAGCATTGACATGATACCTACCTTCCTTGGGGGTATTGTAGGAAGCGGGGTAGCAACTTCGGAATGATTTAACATAGAAGATGATAATGGCTCTGTAATTGGCTCAGCGGTGAGCTCTGATACTGATGGTGGGGTGGCCGTTTCATGATCTTCAGGAAATGATTCACCATCGGTCATTTCCTCTTGTGCTGTTTCTTCAACTTCCTTATTCGCCGCATCACTGGATACTGAATATTGACTTGAGACAAGTTGTTGTGAGCTTTGCCCATTACGCGTAGAAGACAAAGATCTTGGAGATGGCGTGTTGGCGGTGGTGGTACTAGGTGTACCTCCATTAGATTGGTTCTCATAAATAAAAGCGGTCATTCTTTTCTTTCGTTCATCATCTCTCATCGCTTTTAATAAATCTTTATTTGATTCCATGAAAGACTTGGCCTTGTCGCGGTCACTGTATTTCATTGACACTAGCATTTGCTCGCGGGAGTCACGTCGACGTTCAAGCTCATTCTGCCTTACAGCCTTCGGCTGAGAGGGAGATTGTTTCCCATTTTCCTGCTTCTCTTGATCTGTCATGAAATTTGACTCGCTTAGTGATGCAGATCCCTCATGTGGTACGCTCGCGTCACTAGCGGGAACTTCTGGCGAGTTCTCTCTATCTAGGTCCTTTGGCTCCACTTTTAATGTAGCATCCCCATCAGCAGAGTTTGGTTGTGATGAAGGAGCTGATTGGGCAGCAACCTCTGCTTTCTTTGCCCAATGGTGCTTTCTTTTGGGTGGCCTACCTGGGCCTCTTTTTTTAACAGGTGGAGCGTTCGGATCTGCGTTAGGAGGAGGTTTCTTTGCAGCTTTGGCCTGGATGGGAGTCTGTTCTTCTGTCAGATTTTGTTCATCAGGATCAACAAAGTACCTTTTGTTTTTGGCTACAGTTATGGTGCCGTTGGGCAGAGTCTCTTTATTCGTGACCGACAGAGCTGCTATGACATTCGTTAAATTATTTCTGTTTTTTGGCGGCCTTCCTGGACCCCTATGCACAGGCTGCACTGGTGCAGAGGCTAAACTATTGTTTTTCACAGCTTTAGTGAGAAACTGCGAAACCTGATCTATTTTGTCGAAAAGTGAGTTTACGACAGAATCTGTGTTGGATTGATTTCTAAGTAGGTCTTCGAATTTGTTTTCAAGAACATGTTGATTGTGCATGAGGTTCTTGACTGTCGAGGTGAGATTTGCCAAAACGTCATTTACGCCAGAGTCATGGTTATTTACCTCGTTCTCCACATGCTTGACCTTATTGCCAATGAGGTTTATGGCAGTGGATTGCAGCTCTATTTGGGTCTTTAATAATGATAGCTCGATAGCGGCGGGCTTCCCCGCCTCTTCAATGTTTGGTTCCCCTGTCTGTGCCAGTGCGAATTTTGTAGTTGTCGTATATTCTGGGGCACTCCTGTCCTGAGTGTTTTGACTTTGATCCGGCACGAACGTAAGCAAGGGAGGCAGACAGTCACTTCCATTTATATTTTTATCATTATTATTAGCGTCATTATTAGGACTATTCATCGCGTTCCCCACTATATTACTCAGCTTCCTGTTATCTGCCCTGTACCTAATGGAACACGCTTCGCTTCACCTATATTTTTTGGGCTCGCCAGTAAAAAGAAAAATTTTCTGAGTTATTTGTCGGCAGTTGAAATAAAAGGGGCAACTAAATCAAACGCCTATTGAGGTGCTTCCCAAATGTAAAATTGCCTGAACACTTACAAGATGCGAATTTTAATCCAATTTGAATTTCAAATTGAAGATCAGCTGCTCTTTCTGCTTTTTTGGCTTCTCACTAATATCTTTGCAGATAAGTTGTCATTGGGAAGCAACATACGAGAAAAATTTTTACAAATTAATTCTGTCGTTTCAAAATCCAGATAGAAACGACGGAAAATCGCACCGTGCGCGAAGGCCTATTATAGATGTAAATAGTGCAAGAAATTAATTTGTAGGTAATAGTGAGCTTGCGAATTTTCTGAGGTCCCTGGGCATGGTGTCTGTCTGCTTACTAGCTCTAATTTGTTCGACGACTTCATCTGACAAGTTTTTTTTCCCCGTCCGACCCAGTCCGAGAGATCCTGCTGCAAGCCGTGCCAGCAGGTGTAACTACAGAATGTTTCATTTCTCAATGAACCAAAAACCGCGATTCAAAAGCACAGAAGTAACAGATGCTCATACGTCTGTCAGCTGTCAGCTGTCACAGCCTAAAAAATAGAAAAGCAAGGAAACTCTGTAGCAAGAGATGGCGACAGAGGTCACACAGCTTACACGCTATGGCTTCAGGTTTTCGTACTACCCTGGAGGGTCACTTGTGCATAAATGTCATTGGCGTTGGTGTTGACTGATGTCTCACACCCGTGCACCAGCAGTTTCCCACCACGACGGGCGCCAAATGACAGGCGCCAACTGTCCTGAAAAAACTAAAACTGTCCGCAGCAGGTAACCATAGACGGAGCTGGGGACGGAAGTTCATCGTTAAAATCTATAGAATTGTGTATAAAATTGACTCTTTGGCTCCATCCATCGCAAAGCGTCGCTAAACGTCGGAGTGAACAGTTGAAATTGACTTATTTATTCTCACTTTTTTCTCTTGTCGCCAAATTGATCTCTTGTTCTGTTTAACCCCAATCTTAGGTTTACAAGTGTTTCCACAGTCTGGTTCACTTTGCATTGTTCGGAGGGCAAACCTAGCTTCTCACAAAGTCTTACTATAAAGCCGTTGATGTACTGTATCTCAGTATCACGGAGATTGAGCACATCTTGTCTCATAGAAGAACTGTTGTCGTCGTTAACAATGCACCCGATTCTGATGATGAATTCAAGCATTCTGCTGGCGTCTAGTGTCCCAGTGACATCCAACGCAGGGAAATCACTATTCTTGGGCGTGTAGTCAAAGAGAGGTTTGTAGGCAATTTTCAGGACCGCTAGTGCCTCCGTGATTATCGACTCGAATATGGGCCCTGCAATGGTCTTCAGCTCCCCATTGATGCAGTCCACGATCGAAGTGATTGGGTTGATACATGCGTTCACCAAAAATTTCTCTAATTGGCCCAAAAGCATTTCTTGGTATGTCAAGTGCTTGACCGCTAGGCTCTCGACAAACTGAGGCTCGCAGAATGCTTTCATTAGTTCATTATTCTCTGCGTCCTCCCGCACAAGTGACAAGCTTTGTACAATATCTGAATTCTTTCCCACGGGCAGCCTAGCAATTTTGAGATCGGCAAACCCAGCATGGTTGAAAGTGAACCCCGTATCGTGGAACGCACCATGGGAAATTACGCCTTGGAATAGATTAGGACTGAAATCCAAGAATACCTCCTCTTGCAACACCTCAAAAACACCAAGCCCATTCTGAACAAGAATGATGTTAGTATCTGGATGGATATATTTCATGTATGGTGCCATTGCCTCCTTGGTTTGGTATGTTTTGGTAGTAATAATCAAGTTGTCGATCTTGCATTCGCTTGGCATCAGATCCGGGCAGGAGGCATTTGGAAAGGTAGCCACAAGTTCCGGATGCCCCTCTTTGAAAATTGAGCGGATCTTAGCCTTGTACTCATACTTTTGGAATTCAGCTAACCTCTGTTTGGATCTAAGTAAAGGGATAACATTTGCCTGAGCACGCTTCTGCAGCTGGGCTGCCAAAAGAGCACCTATTGATCCGAAACCTAATACAAATATGGTTGGCTGTGTTTTCGTCATATTTTATCTATTTCTTTGACAGGTTAATGGAGGTAGAAGGTGAGTAATCAAAAGTTGGCCGCTTCAGTTGACATATTTTTTTTTCTAGGAAGATAACAGTGCGATGCGTCTATAGTCTTATTTAAAGGTAACTGTACACAGAGAAAAATGATAAGTATGTATGACTAGGACTAGAATTGATTAGATCTCACCTTTAACAACTGCGCCAGACTTCAGGTCTCTTGCGGCAACTCGCAACAAGCCGTCCTTGTTGATGTTGAAAGAAATCTCCACGCCTTGCGTGCCCTTTACACCCAATTCCATTAGTTTTGTGCCCAAAGTATAATGCTTTTCTCTGACAACCTCAGGCTCATCGTCTTCATCAGACCAGTCACTCTCGTCATCCTCTTCGTTGTTTTCCTCCTTTGGAGCAGGTTCAACAACGGTTTCCTTGATATGGTGGTCACCTTCGTAGACACCAACCAACAAATCACCCTTAGCCCCCTTCAAAGTCAAAGTCTTCTTAACTGGGTACGAAGTTTCTGGCAAAAGAACTGGAACGAAGTTATCAGAGGCATCGACAAGGCCAATAGCTTTCTTCAAGTGCTGGGTGTTGATAACAATAGGTTCCAAAGCTTGAGCCAACTCGTCCGCATCATAGTTGGACAAAAGTTGAGCTTGTAGAGCAGAACCACAAGCTAGAAGTTCATTTGGATTATTGCTAGCATTCTTGGTTTGTGGGCCTAAGATCTCAACAGATTCTGGGAATAGGAACTCCAAGCTGTTGGTCAACTTAGGGGTGAATGACACACCACCACAAAGAATCACAGCGTTGATGTCCAATGGATCAAGCTCGGCCTTAGCAATAACAGCCTCGATGAATGAGCAGAACTTGCTAACCACCTTGTTGGTAACGAGCTCGTATCTCAATCTGTTAATCGAGGAGTGATAATCGAAGCCATCAGCTAATGAGTCGATGGAAATAGTGGCAGAAGTAACATTGGATAGTGTTTTCTTTGTGATTTCAACACTGGCTCTTAGCTTAGCCAACGATCTGGCATTTTTACGTGGGTTGCATTTGTTCTTCTTTTCAAAGTCCTTAGCAAAGTACTCGATCAATTCGGCGTCAAGATTATCACCACCAAGCGCATTGTCGTGAGCGGTGGATAATAGAGTGAAGATACCGTTGCGAATGGCGATGACTGCGGCATCAGATCTGACACCACCGAAATCAGCAACAACAACGTTGACATCTGCTTCAAATGGGAAGGCATCTGTGTGGGCCAAAAGGGCAGAAGATGGTTCGTTGATCAATTGGACAACCTCTAGGTCGACAGCCTTGGCAGCTGCACGAAGGGCATCCTTTTGCGCATCAGTGAAGTTGGTTGGAACACTCAAGACTGCCTGGGTAATGGTTTGTCCAATGTAGTCCTCAGCAGCTAGCTTCAACTTGTTCAAGTGTCTCGAAACAACTTCATCGACGATCAACCTTTCTTGCTTTCCGTCACCTCTAGCGATCACGAAACCAACTTTGCCGTCAATTTCAACGGCCGGGGCACCAGCAGCGCATCTGGAAACATCACACTCGGAGAATGGCAGACCGATAAAATCACGGAAGTTTATAATTGTGTTGGTTGGGTTTCTGATTAATTGCTGCAAAGCTTGACCACCATGGTACTCATCGTCGCCGACGTAAGATAGAACAGAAGGAATAGCACGTTCACCATCTGGGTTGGCAATGACGTCAACATCATTCTTTGGGTTCACATAAGCAATAGAAGATGAAGTGTTACCGAAGGCAATACCTATAATTGGGGACGACATGTTTATCTTGAATTACCTGATAATTTCAAATATTGGAAACCACGATGAGATATTTGAAAATTTTTCTTAATTGATAATTCTAACTTGTTCGTCTGGAATCACCAAAGTTGAAAATCTGGCGCGCCAGTACTTCATTAGCAAAAATGTGAGTAAATCGACCACTTTGACTACTCACATATCTTTTAGGTCTACACGTATCTTATTCTGCTGAGCGGTTTCTAAAGACAACTCATTGAAGAATTGCTGAACTTGCTCTAATGCAATGTTCTTGTGATGAAAATCACCTTAATCTTAAAGGTAATGCCAAATTGAAATAGTGCTCTACTGCAGCTAGCCTTGTTGAATTAAATTTAACTTCAACGTTGAGTCGGTTGTTTTTGAAAGGACTTTCATGAGATTATAATCTTCCCGCCAATGTGTGCGGCAAAGTAATTCGATGAAAAAACACAGTAAAGGAAAAATTATTTATCAACAGTTTCCGTCATCGCACCTTATGTTAGTCTTGTTTTTTCGCTTTGTTGGCTCTTCTTGCACTTGAATGAGTAAGTGAGTCCACGATATGCGGGCATCTTTTACATAAGAGTTTCCCGTTGCTGTAAAATCCACTACAATTTCACCAGAGTCATCATTCATTCTTCAGGTAAACTGTATCAGTAAAGGCCAATCATGATTCAGAATACCTAGAATATAGAGCTATTTAGATCTGCCATATAGTAGTATCCTGCCCTACCATCACGTGTGACCTCAATTGGTGATATTGTACGGAAATGAAGCTTTTACATTTGCATTCTGAATTGTGAAGATTAAGCTTCTCACCTTCCTTACCGTGGGATGTCTCGTTCAGGAGCTGCTACCTTCAAAAAGACCTCTGGTATCTTAACTATTGATGAGGATGTTTCCCCTTCAGAGCTTCTGTGGAGATCGACCGATGGTGACAAGACTCACAAGATTGTTTTAAACACAATCGATAAACTCCAGGCAACTCCAGTAACCAGTGATAAGATGATGCTTAAGTTGATTGGGAAAATCGCCGATACCAAGAAGTTGAAAGATAATGATGGAGAAGAAGTCGCACCAAAACCGCCTAGTTTTGTATTCTCTTTCAACAATCGAGACGTTATGGACAATATCAAAGACGCTTTGCAAATGATCATCGCTCGTTACAAGGATGAAGAGATCTTTGAAGAAAAGAAACGAAAAGAATCGAGTATGGGCCCTCAACCATCTGAGATGGCACCTCTCATCAATACATCTGCATTGGACGATTCACTCTCCCGTGAAAAACTGCTCATTAATCTAAAACTGCAACAGTCCTTACTAAAAGAAAATAAGTCTTTAATGAAAACCTTTCAAGAAACAGTCATCAATTCTGGACTACCTCCTAAGGAGTTTTGGTCTACAAGAGTCCCTTTACTACGTGCATTTGCTCTTACTACATCTCAGAGAACTGGACCTTACAATGTACTTTCGACTATCAAACCAGTTGCCTCTTCTGATAATAAGGTCAATGTGAGTGTATCAAGGGAGAAGATTTCAACCATCTTTCAAACCTACCCAATTGTGAAAAAGGCTTATGATGATAATGTTCCGAAGAACTTCAAAGAGCAAGAGTTTTGGGCTCGTTTCTTCTCTTCTAAGTTGTTCCGCAAATTAAGAGGTGAGAGAATCATGCAGAATGATCGAGGAGATATGATCATCGATAGATACTTGACTCTGGACCAAGAATTTGATAGAAAAGATGACGAAATGTTACAACATCCTGTTAAGAAGCTTATTGATCTGGACGGTAATCAACAAGATGATCCAGAGCGTCGTGGGAATAGAGCAGATTTCACAATGATTCCTGGAATGGATGCTAATGGGAATACGGACGGTGTTGTCGATATTTTAAAAGGTATGAATAGGTTGAGTGAAAAAATGATAAAGTCCTTGGAGAACGAATACTCGAGGGCAACTCTTTCAGCGGAGGATTTGGATAAAGAAGAGAGAGAAGAGCTTCTGTACAGTGATCTTGAAGATAATGAATTTGCGAGATATACAGAAATTCGCTTGAAGCAAAGAATGGTGTCTGAACAGCCCTTGAATAATATCCAAGAGTCCAAATCAATGCCCGCAGTAAATGCAAATGAAATCGAAAATCAAATTGACCTAACGATGAACGGTCTTTCACATTCAATTGATCTTAAGAAAGTTTCAGGGGATAATATCAAAATTAATAGTGCGGTCAATCAAAGAGTGGTCAAAGCAGTCAAAATAAATGCAAAGCAGGCAAGACAGAATACTTTGAGCGTTCCTATGGGATCTCTATCAGGTAATTCCAATGCAGATGGCATAGATGAGGTTGATTCTTTTTTACCATCAGATTTGTTAGAAAGTTGTAGAGTTTTACATGGTACTTGCTGCGAATTTTTGAAGCACTTTTACTTGCATTTCCAGAGTGGCGAAACGAAGCAGGCAAACACGGTGAAAAAGCTTTATAAATACTTAACGCAATGTTTGGACAAAATTTCTGCACTCTTGAAAGAAGTTGAGGGTAATGAAAGCGAACAGCATGAAGGGATGATTACCAACTGCAACGCTTATTTAAGACCCGTGTTAGAGTCATTGAATTTAGCAATTCAAAAATATGAAAACACGGTGGCAGAGGTTGATGCTTCCAATGTTATAACAATTTAATTCGCACTATAGCAATGGGGTGGCCTGTTTATATCTTTGCATACGCATTTTTCAATTGCATATAAAATAATTACTATATTCAAAAAAGAAAAGAATCAACCATTTATTTATTTATGATGCAGATAATTAGATTATTGCTCGTCTCTATCCATGTTATCTTTTGCCGACATTCTCCCTCTTCTCCCTTTTCCACGAGCGGCTTTTTCTTTGCTTCTCCTATTGAGTTCCATCACAACCTCACCATTGGCTTTGTCAACAGTATCTCTCATTGAGAGAATGATGCTCTTATCGACATTTTCCTTTGGAAGTTTTCGTCCTAAAACGTCCTCAATTCTAAGAATTAATTCTAAATCATATTGGGACACCAATGAAATCGATTTACCAGAACGACCAGCTCTTGCAGTTCTACCAACACGGTGAATATAAGATTTCGAATCAACAGGTATATCATAATTTATAACCACATCGACCGAAGGGATATCTAAACCTCTAGCGGCAACGTCAGTAGCGACTAATATCGATCTTTTTCCAGCCTTAAACAAATCCAATGCACCAGTTCTTTGGTTTTGATTCAAATCACCATGTAGAGCTGTAGCACTAAACTCTAGAAGATTGGCTAAGGTAGAAATCCTTTCGGCATTTGCCTTAGTTCTCGTAAAAACTATTATAGTCTTTCCTATGAACTCATTCAAGAGGTAGATCAGATAAGTGTTTTTAAGCCCACCGGGAACAACCATTAGAGTTTGAACGAGTGTCTCGACAGTCTGATATTTAGTGGATACCGCACACTTCACAGGGTTGGTTAAGCTTGCTCTTTGTAGTTTATCGATTTTGGATGTCATAGTCGCAGAGAATAGATAAGTAGTTCTACCTTGAGTAGGGATGATCTTTAGAATTCTGTCCAACACAGGACCAAATTCCATATCCAAAAGACGGTCAGCTTCATCCATGACCAGAAATTTCAGTTTACGAAGGGAAAAGCCTCGCGTGTTCTCCAGATGGTCCATCAATCTTCCAGGTGTGGCAATAATTATGTGTGGCTTACGCATTAAGTCCCGCGCTTGATCAATCATATTCATACCACCTACAATACAAACTGAACGAACTCCCATTAAACTTCCCAAAGAGTCGAACGTTTCCTTGATCTGTTGAGCAAGTTCTCTCGTAGGAGATAAGACACAAGCGTAATAAGGTTGCTGATCGTGCCACAGTTTGTTTAAAATGGGTATAGCAAAGGCAGCGGTTTTACCAGATCCAGTCTGAGCAAGACCAATAATATCACTTCCCTTCAATGCCGGTGGAATTGCGCGAGACTGGATTGGAGTTGGTTTCGCATAGTTTAAGTTCTTACATGCCTCAATAAGTTCAGGCACAAGGTCCAATTCTGAAAACGAATCAAACTCAGCATCACCATCATTATCTTCTCCTTCTTCGTTCTCTTTTTCTTCTCCTTCTTCTTCCTTCGATGTAGACCATTCTTCTGCTTTTTCGCTCTCTTGCTTGGCTTCCTTCTTCTGCTTCTCAAGAGCCTTCTGTTTTATTTTCTCAGCAAGAGATTTAAGGTCACTCTTTGAGGATTGTTTATTGGAGTTTTGCGTTGAACGCTTATCCACTTTTCCTGACATTATAGAAGTGTCTTATTTCTCTTGCGTACGGTTAAGCTCATCTCATCACATTTCATTAATAAATTTTCTTGGAACATATTCGACGAAAAAATGTTTCTTTTTCGAGTGAACAATTTCATGAAAATTTTTTGAAGAGCTCATCGGCCTCACATTGAACAACTTCAGCCATTACTCTAAGTTAACGGTAAGAATGGCTAAAAGAAGAACTAAAACGAGAACCCATGTTAAACCGGACCCTGAGGAACTTAAAAAAATTCCCAAATCTATGGTTATACGAGTGGGTCAAACTTCAATGAGCAATCATTCGCTGAATCAGCTCGTTAAGGATTTCCGTCAAGTTATGCAACCGCACACAGCTATCAAGTTGAAAGAGCGCAAGTCCAATAAGCTAAAGGACTTTGTCGTGATGTGTGGTCCATTGGGTGTATCCCATCTTTTTATGTTCACGCAATCTGAGAAAACAGGAAATGTTTCGCTCAAGATCGCAAGAACTCCACATGGTCCAACTATATCTTTTCAGGTTTTGAACTACTCGCTAGGAAAAGATATTAAACGATTTTTAAAGCGTCCTAAATCACTGGGAAAAGAAGACGTGTTAAACCCTCCCTTGTTGGTATTGAATGGTTTTGGTATTAAAACTAATAGCGATGACAAGGAAGTGCAAGAAAAGGCCAATGTAGAGAAGGTGGTGATTTCAATGTTTCAGAATATTTTTCCACCATTGAATCCAGCGAAGACTCAGTTGAACACAATCACCCGTGTGTTTATGATCAATAAAGACCCTGAAACCTCGGAAATCTCGATGAGACACTACGTTATTGACATCAGAGAGGTTGATATCTCCAAAAATTTAAAGCATTTGTACAGAGCGAAGAACAAGCTTAAGAAATCTGTTCCTAACTTAAATAGGAAAGAAGACATTTCCTCTCTGATCTTAGACCATGATATCGGGGCATATACGTCGGAAAGTGAGGTTGATGATGATGCGATTGTGAAAGTCGTAGAAAACAAAGATAGACATGTGAAATCGCTACCTGAAAAGAAGGGAGAGGACAATGGCGTAGAGGTCCATCAAGAATCACTGGACGTCGCGACCCCTCGCAAAAAAGCTATCAAATTGACAGAGGTCGGGCCTAGATTAACCCTCAAATTGGTCAAAATTGAAGAGGGTATTTGCTCCGGCAAAGTACTCCATCATGAGTACGTAAAGAAAACAAGTGCAGAGATAAAGGCTCTGGAGAAGAAACATGCCCAACGTATGAGGCTCAAGGAGGAGAGAAAGAAAGAACAAGAGGCTAATATAGCAAAAAAGAAAGAGGCAAAGGAGGCCAAGAAACAACGTAAACTTGAACGAAGAAAGCAAAGAGAGTTGGCTCAACAAGGCGATGTTGAAGCGGAGGGCACACAGTCTTCGGAATCTTCAAGTAGCGAAAGTGAAGCATATAGCGATGTTCCTGAGGACCTAGATAGTGATTTGTACAGCGACATCGAATAGAAAAATCCCATCCGGCATCAAATAAATATAACTAGCACCATCTGTATATTATTCAAATTTTAACGAGAATACAACATTCAGATACACCCTGACAAGTTTATATGTGAGCGACAGTTATTATACAAATTACACATTTGCAACCACACGCTACGAAGCAAACACCTAAGTCCCAAATATAATTAAAATACGGCGTCATGTAACGGGCAAAAGTTTTTGCCTGCAAATTTAATCGAGCCCGCCTTGACCTTTTGAGTCTTCTTCCTGAACCAACTCTTAATACAGTTATAGTGAAACACACACAAGCACTCTAATCGCCCGACTTTGTCGCCGCCTTTCATTTCTTCGAAACAGATTGGGCACTCAGGATAAGTGCCTTCGTTGTCGACTCTGTTCTTGTTTTCTGGTACGACATACACTAGCATTCTATTCTGAAATGTGAGGCTCCCTACCATGTCCACATTGTTGTTGTGTTGTTGCGCCATCTCCGCCATCTCAAGACAATGTTGCACATGTTCTCTAGAAGCATCCTCAGATAAGGAACCTAAATCTGCATTGCAGATCGGACACCGTTCGTAATCTTGATTGTTTTTCGATTGAGCTGCAGTACTACTGCATTCGCTACCTAAATCTCGGATATTCTCTGAGACTTGATTATTCTTAATTACCTCGTTAATACGAGCAGATGACGCCGATGATGCGGTAGGTGGAGCAGAATTTATTTCAGGAATCTCAGCATGGTCGTGATCTCTGGTGGAATTTTTTAGCCTATCTCCCCACGGTGACAATAGCAGCTTCATTTCAAGCAGGTTCTCGTAACATGGGAGACATGTCCTATAAGGCGGGAACTCAAAATCATCATGATCTTTCCTCTGTACCACTTTTACCCTTTTCTTGTCGTACCATAAGAACTTGTCACTGCAGTTTCCACAGAATATGCCTCCACAGCAACGACAGTGATGTTTCCGCACCATGAATGAAAACTTTATTTGGCAGTTCAGGCAACTTTGGATCAGCTCATCAGACTGCCATTGTGCGAAGTTATTAATAAGATCAGTATCATTAGGCATCTTTCAGTACCAAAATCTCCTTCAGATCTACTTCACTTTCTTAATGAGCTACTATTGGAGGAACCACAGGTACCGAAAACAAGCAAAACGATGCTGTTATTCGTCTTTCACTTTGAGTGACTGGATGCTATTTTTTCATCTGAAAATAATGTGAGGATCCCCTACTTCGCGTAGAATATGACACGGAAAGATGTGTCAAAAGATAGCCGACGATTATGTTAGAACTTCTGTTGTTGACTGAAATAAAAGCGCTGCTGAGTCTTAATTGGTCTTTGAAGCTTTGTTATGGAATCTGTGATTCACAGAACGAATTTATTCGTAGCCCGCTTTCTTGAGATTTTGTGATAAAGAAATAACAGAGGAATAATAGATTTCGATCTAAACGTAATTGACTTTGACGCTAGTGCTGTCATCACAGTATCGCAAAATATTGACTCTTGGAATTGCTCCGAGGTTTTGCTATGTTCATTGACCTCACACCAAACATATTCCTTCTATTAGTTGAAAAACGCACAAAACCCACTATAACATATCCAATTGCAAAAGGGTCTCAATTCCGATTATTAGATTCGCATGGCCATTACAACTATTATTGTCGGCAATGAGCGAATGAAAGAGAAAGAACTCATGTTAACAAAAAAACTAGTGGAGTAATCAAATTAAGGCCACGACCTAGGACTATACTTCTAACCTTATGATTATCCATTCAACTCCAGAGTGCAATCAAAATTGAAGGTTCTATAGTGTAGTGGTTATCACTTTCGGTTTTGATCCGAACAACCCCGGTTCGAATCCGGGTAGGACCTTTTTTGCTCCCTTCACAAGTAACAAACCTGTTAAATGGACTACTGGAACTCTCTAGCCTAGAGACGGTAGTGATTACTTATAGACATCTCTCGGGTGCAGCGAAATATTGATGAATGTATTTTTTGTATATACTATTTAGTAGCCAAATAGCCCGTCTTCATCGTCTTCCCATCCAGTGTTAAAGAACCAAGAAAATACAACGATGCTCAAGTAAATGATGACACCTCCAGTTGTGCTCATTATGCAGCTGTAGTGGTTGATTAGCTGGCAATGGTAAAAAACCGTTGGCAAGGCAAGACCGCTTGTGACCAACATCCCTGTGAAAAAGTGGCCCACATCTTGAACGTTATTTGAGGATTCGTTCATGAAATCATGGGACTCCGCGTTGTGCTTGCTAAATAGTGAATTTGGAATAGGGGCTAGAAGGAAGATCAGAACTGGTCAGAAGATTGTTAGTAGGAGTACGGAGCAAGCGGTAAATAGAAGCGATGGGCAGATGACGCAACGCATATCTAGCGACCAACAAAAGATTATCGCTTTGAGCCTCAACTGACCTTACACGCACTAAGATCGTATACCATGGAGATCTCGTGGAGTCTCGGAAAGGTGGAGCAGTGATTGAAGGTACAAGGATAACATACTGTCAAAAAGTGGGTAGTAATTATGGAACAAGGCACAGCTCAATATAACTAGCAAAAACCCGAGAGCCAGGAAGCCTGACAGAGAGATTATTTTCGTCAATGGAGAGACCTTCAACGCCATCTCTTTTATGATAGTTAGTGAAGATTCAGTGGCTGATGTTGGGACCTAAATAGCGGCCACCCTTTTCGGAGAAACTTTTGCATGGTGTTCGTGTGCGGCGATGTTTTTATGTGTAGCCTTACACACAACTAAAGATAACGCTGAACATAAACGGGGACCAACTTGCTTGATATTGTGAAACCTATATACAAGTTTATACAAGTAAGGTCCATACATACGTGAAAATATGAAGATAACACAATAAAAAAACGTAATGTTTTAGGATAACGCAATCACTAAGTACAAGAAAATATTATTGGGGGCATCTCGTTAAAAATTCGTTTATTGCTTGGTTTCACCGCTGTTGTTAGCAGAGTCATTCTTGTACATTTGCTCGAACAACTTCATGGAGGAGCTTTGCAATTCATCAGTCTTAGTCTTCAATTCTTCAGAGTTGACTTCTTCGCCGGATTGAACTCTGGCAACCAACTCTCTTAGAGAAGTTAGTTGGTCCTTGACCTTTTGAGCTTCAGCCTTGTCTAGCTTAGCCTCGAACTCCTTTAGAGAGTTTTCAGTGTCATTGGCCAATTGATCAGCCTTGTTGGCAGTCTCGATGGATCTCTTTCTAGCTTCATCCTCCTCCTTGAACTTCTCAGCATCGTTAACCATCTGCTCAATTTCAGAATCAGACAAACCGGAAGAACCAGCGACAGTGATAGAAGCATCCTTGTTGGAAGCCTTGTCTCTAGCAGAGACGTTAATAATACCATCAGCGTCAATGTCGAAGGAAACTTCGATTTGTGGAACACCCTTTGGAGCAGGTGGGATACCAGACAATGTGAAGTTACCAATCAACTTGTTGTCTCTAACCAACTCTCTTTCACCTTGGAACACTCTGATTTCCACCGAGGTTTGGCCAGCAGCAGCGGTAGAGAAGATTTGAGATTTCTTGGTTGGAATTGTAGTGTTTCTTGGAATCAATCTGGTGAAGACACCACCCAAGGTCTCAATACCTAAAGACAATGGGGTGACATCTAGCAGCAACACATCAGTGACCTCACCGGCCAAAACGGCACCCTGGATAGCAGCACCGATAGCAACGGCTTCGTCAGGATTGACAGCCTTAGATGGTTCCTTGCCAAACAAAGATTTCACGGTTTCGACAACCTTTGGCATTCTGGACATACCACCAACGAGCAAGACTTCAGAGACGTCTGAAGTGCTCAAGTTGGCATCCTTCAAAGCCTTCTTGACTGGGTCGACGGTTCTCTTAATCAATGGTTCAGTCAAAGACTCGAACTGAGCTCTTGTGAACTTCATATTGATGTGCTTTGGACCAGAGGCATCGGCAGTGATGAAAGGCAAGTTGATCTCAGTTGAGATGGTAGAAGATAGTTCGATTTTTGCTTTTTCGGCGGCCTCTCTGATTCTTTGAATAGCCATACGATCATTTTGCAAATCAATGCCAGTTTCCTTCTTAAAGTTGGCAACGATTTCTCTCAACAAAGTGATGTCGAAATCTTCACCACCCAAGTGAGTGTCACCGTTGGTGGATTTGACTTCGAAAACACCGTTGTCAATATCTAGAATGGAAATATCGAAAGTACCACCACCCAAGTCGAATACAGCAACAACTTTTGCGTCGGATTTTTCCAACCCGTAGGCTAGAGCTGCGGCGGTAGGTTCGTTAACAACACGAAGGACATTCAAACCAACAATTTGACCAGCGTCCTTAGTGGCTTGTCTTTGAGAGTCGTTGAAGTAAGCAGGGACGGTAACGACGGCATTCTTCACAGTCTTTCCTAGGTAAGCTTCAGCGGTTTCTTTCATCTTGTTTAGAACAAAACCACCGATTTGAGCTGGAGAGTATGTTTGACCTCTGGCTTCCAACCAGGCATCACCGTTGCTGTGCTTGACGATCTTGTAAGGAACCTGTTTAATGTCTCTTTGGACCTCAGCGTCCTCAAAACGACGACCAATCAAACGCTTGGTAGCAAACAAAGTGTTCTCAGGGTTCACGACTGCTTGACGCTTAGCTGGAATACCAACCAAACGCTCACCGTCCTTGGTAAAAGCAACCACGGATGGAGTGGTTCTGGCACCTTCGGCGTTTTCAATGATCTTAGGAACCTTACCTTCCATCACAGCGACAGCTGAGTTGGTGGTACCCAAGTCAATACCAATTACTTGGCCTTGGACCTTGGTGGAGTTGAAACGAGCAGCAGCACGCAATGGATTTAGAGGATTACGCAAAACAGACTTGGCAGATAGCATCGTTTAAACAATACGGGGCGCCGTTGATAGTTCTATAGTGACAAGTTGGAAGTGACTAAGAGAATGTCTTTTAAATAGCTTTTAAAAATTTTCCCTGGAAGGCTCTGGAAAAATTTTTTCGGGTAACTTAGATTTCCCCTATATCACTTGATGGTCATGATCATGTGAATATCACGTGCTTTGTTTCTTTGGTCCGGTCTCGGCTTAGTCACGTGGAATGTTTACGTAAGAGGATCTTGATCTTTTTCACTTTTGAAATGAGCTGAGAGACTCATCAAGATTCATTTCAAACAAGTTCGAACGTTGACCCATCATCAAAGGCGTTATGACGGGATTCAAACTGCAAACAATCGATCTAAATCACATATCCAATGAAAATCAGCTTTTGCCAATTGTGAAGAGTATTTTAATTGATAATGACACGTTTCTGCTGAAGAATTACGCTAATTTGCATTCGATTCATGAACTACTGGAACAAATAGCCACAGAAAGTCCTGATACCACGCAAGGCTTTGACGCGAATTTTACCGGCGCACTAACTTTGGAGCATGGAACTATGGTTGAACAATACATTACGAATACGGGAGAATTGCGGTTCCCAAGAAAGTGTCCCAATGCGGCGTTGGATAAGGTTTCGTCTCGCCTGCTGAAGATAGGTGTTTATTTTGCACGTTTATGTCTCGCTTCGGTTGCAGATAGTTCTCTGGTAATAACTGAGAAGCAAGTTGCTACACGTCTTACCCGCTACCATAAACCTGTCTCTAACACGTTGTTGGATATGCAATTTGAATACGACGACGAATTTATCGCAAGACAGCCATCTGGAATCATCTCGATTTTTCCATGCGCTCAAAATATCAGCTACGAATACAACGGTCAGTGGAGAAAAGTCGACGAACCAGATTGTATTTTGGTGCATACTGGAAAGCTGCTATCTCAATTGTCCGGTGGGTTGCATAGTAGTAACCGAATCAAATTCAGCTCTACCAATTCAATACATTTAGATGTTTTCCCCGTTCTTGACTCAACTTTCAATAATGTCACATTGGCTCAATTTGTTTTGGATGACCAGATCCAGGAATTTCCCCAAGTCGCACAGAAATACTACCCTCGCGAACTTGCACAGCAGAAGCTTCGTAAACGCGTTGATTTCCTAAAATCTATTTTCAATGTGACCGATTCCGTCATTTCACTTTATGCTATATCGGGGTCGATTTCTACCTCTGCTCCAGAACTTCACGCTCTTTTACCACAGATATCAAACATGTTGAAAAGAAAAGTCTCACAGGAGAGTTTTCTTAGAATGATGTCTCTATGGGAAGATGCATATATAATAGAGATTAGCTCAAGTGGAGAGCTCGCAATAAGAACGCCTAACTCAAGTCTCTTGAAGTCATTATCCAATAAATCTAGAAAACTGGAGTACGTACAAAGGGCAGAAACATGGTTCTCTGAAACTATTCAACGTGAAGTTATACCCGAAGATGTGCCTCTTTACAGAATAAACAAGCGTCGTGGTAGTGAGGGAACTTATGAAGCTCACAGCTCATCTTCGAGGACCAATAATAGGCCCATCTCCCAACCTGGAAGAAGGAAAGGTTACATTTTCAACACCAAGGAAAAGTTTATGACCAAAGAAATGTCTATAAACAACGGTGAGCCATCCTTACTAGATCGTATAAGAGAGAAAGAGAGAAAGGCTAGTGCCCTATTAGCACAACGTGAAAGGCAATATCAAGATTTTTTGAATGTCAAGATCAGTCAGGTATTTGATATTTTACTTTCTCTTCCTTCCGAACAACCCTACACTATAACACACCTACAGAACTTAATTGTGGACAGTCTTCTTGATAGTAACAACCCTATTGGTGAAACAGAAACGCAACAAATACTATTCAAGTTGCAGTATATTTTAAGTGACAGAATGAAAATTATTGATGTCGAAGGTGGCCTCAAAGTTTTTAGGTGGTCTCCACTCGATAAACGCCTGCTAGAGGACAGAATGAGTGGAAACAATAATGTAATTTAATTCATCTATAGATGCTAAAAAGAATAGCGCAGTTATGTACAACGATCTCAGTCACGTTTTGCTATATCAGCGGGCTTTGAATCCATGAAAAAGTACTTGAAAAACAACTCAAATCCCCAGCTACCGAAGTAGTCTAGTAGCAACGTTGAAGTCAATTTGACTTTGAAAACGTCATCCATGGGTACAAATTTCATAGCAGCATTCAAATCAGGGAAAAATTCGGTAGATCCTGCAAGCGCCAAGCCAGCAACACCAAGTAAGCCGTAGTACATCCCTTTGTTGCTTCTGATATTCTCTCTGAATGGTTCTCCCTGGTAATTGACAGCGAAAGTAGAAACTTGCTGGGCTAACTGGACCATGAAAATACCAGTGTTCAATAATGAAGGGGCAAACTCCTTTTCCAAATCTACTTGTGGTTCCCTAGGTTCGATTTTGTATATCTCCAAGGTGATGTAAATCAAGGTCGACATGTGAACTGCAAATTGGCCCAAAATAGAACCCATAATATAAGTGTTAAAGATACCAGGTTGAGGTCTTTCCTTTGACAGTTTCTCCAGTGGTTTACCCCTTGAAATACTCAAGAAGCAAACAGAAATCAATAAACCAGAAACAGTTGCTTGTGCGTCCCCAAACTTGACACCAGCCAAGAACATCACAGACAAGGAGTAAGCACTAATCAAACAATTCAAGGCCAAAATCTTGTACATCTGAATGGTGTTAATCAATGCACAGCGACCTTGTCTGATAATCTTGGTAACAGCAGAGACATTGGCAAGTTTGGAAGTAAAAGGAGCAGCACATGAAGCATCACCTAATTTTAGAGCTGGTGCATCATCTCCATCAGCTTCGCCCAGCGAGCTCATAACCATATCAGTCAAATCTTTTGCAGATTGCTTAGATGGATCGACTTTCTTGGTCACTACTGGTTTTGAAGCGGCTTCCATTGCCATCTTTCTCATTTCAGGTGTAATGGAAACACCTTTCTTCTCTAAGGCTTTCAAATAGTTTGGATTGGATGGACCAGCTGGATACAAGTGTGCTATAGGTTCTGGAACAGGTGGGTGTGGTTGGCCCCATCTGTCCATGAAGCCGCACTGCTTCTCGTACATCGCTTTCATAGTATCAATTCTACGCTGATCATTCAACTTCTTCAAGCCTTCTTCAGTACCGTTTAGCAGAGCGATACCAACATGTGCTTGCTTTAAAGCACCTACATCGTTGGTACCATCACCACACATTAAGGTTTGGTAGCCCATATCTTTCAAGGTAGTCAAAATAAATTCCTTTTGAGCAGGAGAGACACGAGCGTAAATCCAGCAATGACGAATCAACTCTCTCAATTGAGAGTGCTTTTTCAATGAAGTCAAAGCATGACCAGTTACAGCAATATCGTACTTGGCAAAAGTCTTGGAATGATCAAACTTGTCATTTTCGGGGTCAAATGGCTCCATAATTGTTTCATCGACGTTCCTGAGTAATAACGCATGAGTACTGCCATCGATTGGCTCATCCAAAATCAAAGTTTCTCTCTCAACAATTCCAACTTCTTTCGCAACATGAACTGCCGTCAAAGGATTATCACCAGTAATCATTACACATCTATGGGATGACTCGTTCAACATTTTGATAGTGTCGATCGCATCATCTTTCAGAGGACAATGGAAAACCAAAAATCCTCTAAATTCGAGACCAGTTTCCATGTCAGAACGATCAAGATTGTCAATCTTGTTTTGATTCATGGAGGGAAGTTGCTTGGAGGCAAGGGCAAGGACTCTGGAACCAGCACGCGTGAAATGCTTGTAAATTTCATCGTACTTTTCGGGAACTGTGGACAATCTTTCGCGGATGGTCTCAGGAGCACCTTTCACAGCACAGAATAACTGATTCTTGTAGGTGGCAATTGAGGAAGATCTTTTCAAAGCCGAAGAAAACTGAAACCGGCGTAAAACATCAATTCTTCCGATTGATTCCTTTTGAACAGTATCCTTGGCACCGACCTTCCACCCGCAGGCATTCAAAGTGGCTTTTTCCATTGGATCACCAACAACTTCACCATCATCCAATAAAACAAGAGCGTGGGCAGCACCAATCACCAAAGAAGTTTCTAAAGAGGCATCGTTGGCAGTTGATAAGTGATCAAGAGCATCAACTTTAGCGACGCCAGCTAATCCTTCAAACACTAAGTCTTCGCCAGTCAAGGTACCAGTTTTATCAAAACAACACACATCAACTCTTCCGGCTAAGGGAATTCTGAAAGGTTCTGTACAGTAGACGTAAAACTTGGATAGTGCTGCCAATGATGTGTTCACTGCCATAGTCAATTCCATTGGTAATTCAGGAGGAACAACAGATGTAATGATTAAGATACAATCCACAATTAGTTTTGATTGGACTCTACCCATTTTGGTACCCTCAACCCAAACGTACCAGGATGCTGCAATGGCGAAGATCAGCAAGAAAAGAATGAAGAAGAGAGCTTCTTTATTGCCAACAGAGACACGTTCCGCAGAATAAATCATGACACGAACCAAAGAGCCTTGAGAAGTTTCAAAACCAGTCTTGGTGACTACCGCCAACGCACCATGGTCAGGAGAAGGTGGCACGATGGAATTTGATTCTGGAGCAGTAACTTGCAGCGCCTTAGTACCTCCGTGTAGAACGGAATTCTTATCAAGGCCTTCCAACTGCAGTTTTTCATGGGCCGGACGTAACTTGATTGATTCTTTCAAAAGAGGGGTGGATTCACCGGAAAGCATCGCTTCGTTAACAATACAGGAACCATCAACTAAAATAAGGTCACATGGAATGGCACTTTCATCGGCTGTTCTGGTAATTGAGACCAAATCCATGGGGAGCAACTCGTTACTTTGTAAACTAATCCACTTTCCATTACGGAAGACGTTGATAGCATAAGGTTTGACACCCATTGTCCTAAACTCTTTTAAGGTAGTCAATCTTTGGAAAACAGCAGCAGCCTCCATTGCGATAATCATAAACAAGTTGAACAATGAATAGTACCATAAATCATCGAGCAACCACAGGCAAACACAAAAAATTTGAAAAACAAAGAATGGAGCGACAGCATGCTCTTTGAAAAGCTCTATGAAGAGAGGGATAGGGATATCAAAAGAGTTGTCTCCATACAATCTTTTAAGATGAGTTAAGTCGCCTGAGTTGCCTTTGCATTTCTGGAATACACTAATTTCTGGACATTCATCGACAGGAAATTTGGGACTTGAGAAGACCCGCTCTTCAGGATCCAACAAAAATCTCTTTTTTTGAAATTGAAAGAAAACTTGTAAATGACCGGACTCTTGGACTCTGTGTATTTCTACAATGCCATCGGCACCGTTATTGGGAGTCGTATGTATCAAAATATGAGTAGCCTCCTCGATGCTGGAAGCCTTCGCGTAGTTGAAAGTACTCGCAATATTAACATTCCACTGAGGTAGCAACAAAATCAACATGTTCAACGACACCAGTCCACCGAGGTACACAAAGGTCCATTCGGAGCCTTTAATGTACTGGTCATACTGGTTAAAGTAAATTTGGGCAAAAGTAGCGTACAGTGGCAGAAATGGTAGAACATAAGGCCTAAAAAGTCGATCCTTAGGAATCAACAGCTTAGAGTCCTTTACAATGGGACTAACCACTGGTGATTTTGAAGCCATAATCTGTTTTACTGCAGTCTCTGGAAGATATTTTCGACTTGGGCCGTTGAACGATATCCAACCATTAAGATCGGCAACACGTATTTTGCCACCTGTACAATCACTATCAACGCCCGAGAAAAAAAAGGAAGGAGCAAGCCGTGCATTGTCTGGACAGTTTGATAACACTGTTTTTTCCTCTATTCACGTAGTCGTATACATTCAGTTGTCACACTGATGATGTGGAGGTTTCTTTTCAGCAATTGATTTAACTTGAAAGTCTGTGATCTCAAATAATCGAGTATTAATCATAATTTTCAAAATGACTGATAATAATGAAGAGCCTTCAGGAAGAGAGTAAATTTTATAATATTGGCTATCTTCGCTGTTTGAGCAAAATATATAGGATTTCAATTGATAGTTCAAACAAGAAGGGGAACTTTGATTGTTTAAAAAGCCTTAGCGATATTCATCTAAAATATAAATACGGGATATGATAAGCAATTCGCACTATTCCTTTTGGCAGTACTCCTTATCTTAAAAAGTGTACGTCTGATAAACACGGGTTAGTGTATTAAAGTTAGTGCAGTGATTTTCTATCTTGAAACTATCGAAGGAGCTAATAATAATACAAATCATTGAAGCACTGCTCTATTTGGTTAAATAAAATTTTCTCTTGGCCATTTTGGGCACTCTCTTCTTATGAAATTTACAATTATACCCTTCAAAGGTAAATGTGAAGTTACTATAGTATTGGAAAGTTTTGTGGAATTCAGTAGTGGAATTATCTATCAAAGGAACATGATGACAAAAACATCGATGATTGTTTTTCTCTGGAAAATTCAAGTTTACTACTAAGTTAGTAACTTTTAAAACGGCAAATTCAATCTTGACCTCAGTCCTAAATATGAAACTAAATCTTATTATTACTTAAATTACAAGTTTAATCGACAGATGTCACAAAGCAATAAGAAACCATACTTAAACTCATACACGCCATACCTTTTCTTCAGCAACCATTAAATTATTTCTATCACTCATGATTTTCAAACCCGCCAAATATTCAGGTGGAGAGAATTTATCCTCTTCAGGTAGTTCTTCGTTAATCTTATCTAGTAGGGAAGCAACAGGATAAGACTCATCCTCGAATAAATCTGTTTGCATCAATCGCGCGATAATACCGGAAATAAGTGATAATCTACCTGTAGATATAGTTCCCGGCTCTGTTGCCTCCATGGATACGACTTCAGGAACATCCTCAATTTGTTCATGGGGAAGAATTGGAGAAGCTCTTACATTTCTAGATGGTGATAAAATATGCCTGCCAGTTTCGGTGACGGGGGTAGAAGCAAGTTGTTGTCTTCTTCTTGGAGACACTCTTAATCCCATTTCCAGACGTCTTTGTAGATCTTCTTCTTGTTCTGCCGGCAGAGCAACCATAGTGGAACTTAAATCACCAACAGGTTCATTATCGTCTTCTTCAAGTGGAACATTCTCATCACTTTCGTCATCGGAGTATATCTGTCGTCTTCGTTGCCTAGTGGGCGAGCTAACAAGGGCCCTTACCGCCCTTGTAGGAGATGACTGCAAGTCGACCGGTGTGCTTTCAACATTTCTGACACGCTGTCTTTTTCTAGGGGATTTTGCAGGTGATCTCTGGGTACTGTCGTCGATACCAAAGTTGTCGCTAACATCATCTTCACCAAGAAGTGCGAATCTTAACAAATGCGATGCAACTAATGCATCTTGACGATCTACAATTTTGGATAATCTCACTTTAGCATGGGCGGATGAAAGTCTGATCAAAGTTTCTAACGTTCTTGCGGTGATTGGCGATTTTTTCGTATTTTGATCATTTCTTAAATCAGCATATGATTTAACGATCAAATCAACAGCTTCTTGCGAGAGAACAGGTACAACTCTCTCCTTTGCATATTGAACGTACTTTCTTAAAAAAGGAATGGAGGCAATTTGAGGAATCTCATTTCCTTGAGCGTTACCTCTGTTTTTTGCCAACTTTGCTCCAGCATGCAAAAGTGGGTTAAATTTCTCAAATATCTTACCTTCATCATCGTCATCTTCTTCCTCCTCTGCAATATTTTCATCATCATCTCCGACAGATAATGACAAATTGATAGCCTCTCTTATTGGTTCACCCTCGAGATAGCCCGGTGGCAGGTATCTGTGTGTTCTCAAGACATGCTCACTGATAGCTCTATCAGTGTTTTCATTAATATCATCCGTCACCACGAACAACAAATCGAATCTGGACAACAAGGAATCAGGAAGCGCAATGTTGTAGTGAGGATCTTTGTTAACATCATATTGGCCAAAAACTGGGTTTGCTGCTGCGATCACACTACAACGGGCGTTCAAAGTTGTATGAATACCTGCTTTTGCTATGGTAACCGTTTGCTGTTCCATGACTTCGTGAATGGCCACACGATCCACATCACTCATCTTATCAAATTCATCGATACATACAATACCTCTGTCAGCCAAAACCATTGCACCTGCTTCTAGTCTTCTCTCACCAGTTTCTTTGTCCATGGTAACAGCAGCTGTCAAACCTACACCAGAGGAACCTCTACCAGTTGTAGCGATAGCCAAAGAGGCTGTGTTTAACACAAATCTAAGCAATTGTGACTTGGCAGTAGAGGGGTCACCCACCATCAGAAGGTTGATATCCCCTCTTAAATGAGAACCATTTTCCAAATTTTTCTCTACACCGCCCATCAACATCAGTAAGATTGCCTTCTTGATATATTCATGTCCATAAATCGAAGGCGCCAAAGATTGAGACAGCAGATCGAAAATGTCATTTCTTTTGGAAAGCTTGTTGATATTTCTAATATCTGAGTCCGAAAGGGCCTGTCTGGCTGCAACACCAGTTGAACGCGCATGCAGTGGATACACGGTGTTTGCGAGAATAATCGTTTTGAAACCAGATAGAGCGCTAGATTGCTCTTTGGAGCCACCGCTGCCATTGAGACCACCTGCACCGAGAGATTTATAAACACCGACGATGTTAATTCTGTCACCAGGCTTGGTCTTATCTACGAGATCTTCATCGAGAATGACATCAATGGAACGAGGCAATTGGCCCGGAGGGGCCTTTTCCGGCATTTCTTGAACAGTGATCCGTTGGTGATCTATGTAGGAGCTGTAACCGTATTCGGTGGTGAGCCTGTTACCTTCGGGGTCCTCGGTGGGATAAATGGCAGGAGTGGGGATCTGAGTGGTTAGTGTGGTGGTTGCATCCCTGTAGTCACGATAATGGAACCGGCCAGTCTTTTCCGCATAGTGCACAGAACGTATTAGTTTGGGTCTCACAAGAGAGACCTTGGTCACGATACCCTCGACCGAGATGAGCTGATTGAGATGATGGGAATTTAGCGTTCTGGGCGATAGTGCGTGTGATCCGAACGAGCCCTTGAAGGACAAATGCCATTGCTGTGATGCGAACGTGGCCATTGACCCCGAGGGATTGTCCTCTAGGACCATTGCAGTCTCTGAGAGCGCGCGTTCCGCTGGAGGTAGATACTGTGCTGGAGAGTTCAGGATACCGGTCCAGAACGATCTGTCGAATTCACGTAGATCATCAAGAGAAATGGTGATCCGCTGAGGTAACGTCTCTGTGATATCAGCTTTCTTCTTGTCTGCGCCTTCTTCCGGCCCGCGATGCGACGCGTTGTACAATTGGATGGAACGTACAGTGTCTTTGTAACCGGAGAAAGTATCGAGAAACTCTTGGAATCGACGCAGCCTATCGCCGAAAACTGCATCTGGCGCGTCATTGGTGGTGAGATCCATGCTTGTGAACTTTTACAGTTGTTAGTTCACGGATGACGTGAGAGTTATCAAGAGAGGAGGAAATCTGAGGCTCAATCGATGAAAAAAACCTTGTAAAGGGAATCGGGGCATGCAGAAAAATCGATTACTTTACCGGAAGAGGAAATATAACTATACACGAATATCAACCGCTTCAAAGTGACACTCGAGGCTGGACGAGCTTGAAGGCCCGTAACCTATGGCTGTTGCGAGTTGTGGAGGTCTGCGCAGCGATGAAGCGCGGCCATGCAAGCGTCCTCGCCGTCTGCATCGAATTGAGCTTCGAGCTGGCGCAGAAACGCGTCGATGTTGGGGTGAGCTCGCCTGGCCACGAGTTCGCCCCAGGACGGCGAGAAGATGACGTGCAAGTAGACGTCGTTTTCGAGCAGGAAGCGTAAGGTGCGGAATGCAAACAGCGCAGTGGCAGCTGGATCATGGTCTGTGGCAGCGGACGCGGGCGTGGCCGTATTTTCATCGCCGCCGCGCCCGTCCTCCGCGACGCGGCCGGGCGAGGAAGCGGAGGCCGCGGGTGTAGCCACGTCAGACGCGGTAGAGCGCGGACGACGACGTTTCTGGATGGAGTGGTAGAAGGACTCTGCGCCCGCGGTGTAGGTGGGTTGCTTGCGTGCCGGGTTCTCCATTTCTGGGGTGATCTTGTGGGTGTGAAGATGCTCCAGGAGTTTTTTGGGCGACCCCCGGTCGGACTTGAGACGGCGCACGCTGCGGCCGCAGTAGTCGCAGATGGCCACGTTCTTGTCATGCTCATCCTGTGCGAACCAGTTCCAACACCAATTGCGCTTTTTGGCACCGATGCGATGCAACGTGCGGCGGGGCTTGCTCGGGCCTGCAGAAGGGTGTGCGCGCGCGTGCGGCTCGGGGGACGGGTGGTCGTAGGCGACCGCCGCGGCCATGGCGGCAATGACCGGGTCGACATTGGCAGATGGTGGCGGTTCCTTGCTCATTTGGCGGGCCGTTTGTGAGGGCTAGAGGTGCGCATCGCGAGGCAGGGCCAGGGGAGCGGAAACCAGTTTTCACGACAGGGAAAAGAGGAAGAAGCGAACGGGGCGGGGTCACGTGCACTGCACTGGCAATTGAGCCTGCAATCGAACTTGCAATCGAACCTGCACGCAGCCCAACACGCGCGACGTCGTCCCCTCGGCACGTCCAGCCACCATCGTAGTGATGGTGCCGTCCCCCAGGGTCCTCATCCAGCGTCCAAGCGCACTGCGTTCGCGGGCGAAACATTTAAAACTTATACTTTAAATACATGCTACAAAGATCGGAATAAAAACTGCACGGAGTGGGCCGTCTGGCGGGCGCACGCGCTCTAATCGGATCTAGGGGCCTCCTTGAAAGAGATGGCAGCCTCCTCACCCATAGCGGAGATGATGGTGACCATCAAGTCCTTACCTTCGTCGAAGGCAGATTGGATGCCCTCACCTAGCTCACCGTCTGGAGCACGGACATCGTCCTTGGTCTCACCGTCCATGGTCATCAAAGACAAGTAACCGTCGTCAATGTCCAACAATTGGAATTCGGTTCTCTTGACGTTTGGAACTTCCATGTTGTGAGTGGAAGGAGACAAATCTTCCAACTTCTTACCGGTGAAGATGTCGATAGCGACCAAGTGGACCTTGGCGTGACCGTGCTTACCGGTCTTGGAGGTGGACATGTCGACGATCTTGCATGGTCTGCCCTTGATCACGACGAAACCGTTCTTTCTCAAGGCAGAACATTGCATTGGGTATGTCAAAGAGGAGCCGGCATCGGCGGTCTCAAAGTTGTGTTCTTCTTCAGCCATATTTTCTATCTGTGCTCAGGTGCGTTAACCGTACAAGGCCGTTGTGCAGGATGAAGAAAATTTTTCCAGACCTGGCGAACGCCGCTGGGTCGGGGCTGTGGATTGCCACTTATATACTCTCCGAAAATTTTTTCTGGCTTGGGCCGCTCACGGCGGCGCGCTGGCGGAAAGCCCTGGGAGAGGGGGCTGGGACCGCCCTACGGCCGGGTAACCGAACACCTTCGCGCCTGCCGGCCCCGCAAACTCCGGGGCGGGGGTCCCTGGCTGGGTGCCCGCTGGGCGCCCAGCGCCGGTAAACGGGCGGACAGCCTGCGGGCCGGTACACAGGCTCCGTGCGGGCCAGGGGCCCGTGGGAGTTGCGCGGGCGGAGCAAGGATTTGCTGGGAGGGGCGGTCGTGCGCGAGGGCGGTGGACGAGGAGCGGGAACGACGGCCGGGTAAGCGCCGCATACACCGGGCGAGAGGCGGTGCACCGCGGCCGCGGGTATCGGGCGGTGCAGGAACGACGGGGAACGACGGGGGGATCGGGCACGTGAGGGCCGATAGCGGGCGGGGGGAGCGAGGGGAGAGCACAGCACCCATGCACCGGGGACTGCGCCCGGACACCAGGGACTGCGCCCAGACACCAGGGAGAGCGCCCAGACCCCGGGAACGAGACTATGCACCCTGACACCATGAAACGGCGGAAGCCCAGACACCCGCATGCGTCACGTGCAGCCGCGCTCCGCCCACGCACCCTGAAAGCCGTGCCTTGCTCCCCCCGTTACCCGTCCTCCCGGCCTCGCCCTCTCGATTCTCCTCCATTTCCAACTTTTCGCGACCATCCAAAAACACTGCATCACCGACTTCCAGCCTCCAGCACAAAACACATGAAACTCTCGACCACGTCCGTCTCGCTCGCGGGCGCAGCGCTCACCGTGTTGTTGCTGTTCCGCCTGCTCGCTGGCCACGCGGGCGCGCAGTCCTGGCTGCCGTTCTCGTCGGTATACGTGCCCAACTTCAAGAACGTAGAGGGCGTCGAGTACTACGACCTGCGCAACTACCAGGGAAACCGCGACGGCTGGCAACGCGGCGACCGCGTGCTGTTCACAGTGCCATTGCGTGACGCCGCCCAGCACTTGCCCATGTTCTTCGACCACATGGACCGCACCACTTACCCGCACAACCTCATCGACCTCTCGTTCCTCGTGAGCGACTCCTCCGACAACACCATGGGCGAATTGCTCGCGCACTTGCAGCGCGCCCAGTCCCACCAGGACAAGTCGCGTCGGTTCGGCAACATCGAGATTTTCGAGAAGGACTTCGGCCAGGTCATTGGCCAGTCCTTCTCAGACCGTCACGGTTTCGCCGCCCAGGGCCCCCGTCGGAAACTCATGGCGCGTGCGCGTAACTGGCTGGGATCCGTCGCCCTCAAACCCTACCACTCTTGGGTTTATTGGCGTGATGTCGACGTTGAAACCATTCCAGAGTCCGTACTAGAAGACCTCATGCACCACGGCCGCGACGTCATCGTTCCCAACGTCTGGCGTCCGCTCCCAGACTGGCTGGGCAACATTCAACCTTACGATCTAAACTCGTGGCAAGAGTCCCAAGGTGGCCTCGACCTGGCCAGCTCGCTCGACGAGGACGCCGTGATCGTCGAGGGCTATCCGGAATACGCCACTTGGCGCCCTCATCTCGCCTACATGCGCGACCCTTCCGGGAACCCTGAAGACGAAATGGAGCTGGACGGCATCGGAGGTGTGTCCATCTTGAGCAAAGCCAAAGTGTTCCGTACTGGCTCCCATTTCCCGGCTTTCTCCTTCGAGAAACACGCCGAAACCGAGGCCTTTGGCAAATTGTCACGTCGCATGGGTTACAGCGTCGTCGGGTTACCCCACTACGTCATCTGGCACATCTACGAGCCCTCCACAGACGATCTGCGGCACATGGCTTCGATGGCCGAGGAGGAGAAGCGCCGTCTCGAAGAATCCAAGATCCGCGAGTTCTTCGACCGCGTATGGGACCTAGCATTCGACGACGTGCGTGACGACTGGGAACTAGAGCGTACCCAGATCATGAAGAACATCGACCCCAACGTGCTGGATCGCGAGATTGAAGTAGACTGGAGCGGCGACGACGAAGACATGGTCGCTGCTGACGACGACACCGACGACACTGCAGGCGAACCTCTACAATTCAACCCAGATGAGCAATGATCCAAAATGCTTGTCCAAGATTTTATCGTCACATATACACCTTTCTAACTTGGTTCGTGGTTTTTGCCGGCGCGTAGACCGCTGGCCCATTAGCCCATCCGACCCCTCCCCACAAATGTGCCCAGGAATCTGCCAAGCGTGTGTACCAAATAGACTAAATACAAATACCAACTTGTAAAGAATAATTCAGTTTTCAGAGCTACCTGTAATCACGTGCGGCTCACTGCTATAGTCACCATGTACGTGCACTGCCCTTTTCGCTTTTCTCCTCTTTGTCCGCGCTTTTCGTCCTAAACCTGATCGGAGCAGCGGTGGCAAAAATCGCATCGTGTATTCCTATTGCAAGACCAAGTAATATTCGAGCAATGATAACGGTGAACTTTAAGGACTTCAAAAAGGAGAAACTATCTCTCGAACTCGATCCATCGTCTACTGTACTCTATGCTAAGCAACAACTTGCACAGCAAAAGGACTGCGATGAAACACAAATCAAACTCATCTTTTCGGGGAAAGTGCTTCAGGATGAGCGTTCCTTGGAAGATTGTAAGCTGAAGGACGGGGACCAAGTTATATTCATGATCTCTAAGAAGAAGTCGCCCGCCACTAAGACCACTCTACCACCAGCCGCGCAGGCTGCGGCTCAACCCGCAGAACAGGCGACAAACACCACCCAACCGACTGCACCAACTCCAGAAGCCGCTACTATCGCCACACCGGAAACATCTACCGGTGCTTCCGGGCCGTCTGCTGCAGCTAGCGATCCGGGTTTCGTAACAGGTTCTCAGCGTGATGAAACTGTTACCAGGATCATGGAGATGGGTTATGAAAGAGAACAGGTAGAAAGAGCGCTTAGGGCAGCCTTCAACAATCCAGATAGAGCTGTGGAGTATTTGCTCATGGGCATTCCAGAAAATTTGCAGCCTCAACAACAGGCACAGCCACCAGCCCAGCAAACTAGCGGCGAAGCAGACTCCACACCAGTTGAACAACCAGAAGGATCTACTCAAACAGCTCAAGCGCCATCTGAGGATGATTTGTTTGCACAGGCTGCTGCAACAATTGAAAATGAGGACAATCCTGAAAACCCTCGTGCTCCAGGGACTATTGGGCTCACCATGGAAGATCTACTTTCTCTAAGACAAGTCGTCACAGGAAATCCAGAGGCGTTGCCACCCTTGTTGGAAAGCCTCAGCTCACGCTATCCAGAACTTCGCGAGCAAATCATGAATAATCCAGAGATGTTTATCAGTATGTTGCTAGAAGCTGTAGGAGGATCGCTACCGGAAGGTCTAGTAGATGAAGAAGCCGCAGGTGAAATTCACGCTGAAGGCGGTGCTGAAGCCTCTGAAACACAGGGTGGTGAATCCGTGCCCGGAATCGAGCTCACTCCGCAAGATCAAGAGGCTATTTCACGTTTATGCGAACTGGGATTCGAGCGTTCCCTTGTCGTCCAAGTCTACTTTGCATGCGATAAGAACGAAGAGGTCGCCGCTAACATGCTGTTCAGCGACTATGCCGATTAACGCGATCTCACGTGCAGTTGTACCTACATAATAGTATAATATGTCCATGTACATAGACGCCACGTCTGTCAAAAGCCTTTGATTTGTTCGAAGTCCCTGACCTCGACAAAATGGGTGTCTTTCGGGATCGGAGCATTGCCTGGCCTCACCGCGAGCATTGTGCGCAAGCCCGCCTTGGTCGCAGCCTCAAGTTCCAAGACGTTATCGCTCACGAAAAGCACGGTTTCTGCCTTACGATTAATCTCTGATATAATATTGAGATACGACTGTTTGTCCGTCTTACGCCCCGATGTAGTTATATCAAAGAATCCACTGAGCTTAGAACACAACTCTTCTGGTTGTGCTTTGCCCGTATCTACATGCGCAAAAAGCAACTTCTGAGCCTTCACCGATCCGCTCGAGTATATGTAAATTGGTACTTGTACGTCTTGGATGAATTTCACAGCATCATTATAAACTGGTGCTCTAATCTCTCCCGATTTGTACCCTTCCTCCCAGACGTAACCTTGAAGTTGCTTCAGAATAGGGTCCTTTACATCTCGATCAACTAGCTTTCGAATATGATTTTCGACTTGCTCAGTTCCGAACTGTCCTAGTAAAGAACGCACGACGGGATCTTGAGAAGTTACCAAAGTGGGCACTTTCCGCAGGAAGTATGGGAATAATGTGTCTTTAACAAAGGCAATTGGACACACCGTACCTTCGATGTCCAAAATTACCGCGGAGTATACCATGTGCGCTTCAAAGATCCCTGTTATACCTTTCCTTCAATATCGTAGATCATTCTACCAAAGCGATGAGCGGCGGTGATTTTTCAAAATGTTGAAAGCACGGTCGTCATATGTGATATACCCAATTCTCAGTTTGTATGGAACAATTTATTATTAGTCTCTCGTTTGTCCCTTTGCTATCCCCGTCATCAACAAAGGATTGTTCGTTCCGAGCCGAATACAAATCGAATCACCCTATTGATGTCTAGTTGGGAAACTGAAGGGGCTAGGCGGTCATCTCTCGTCGCGGGATTAGTATGCTAAGCCGTCTCACGGGGATTTCTTCGAGCGGGTTCGCGGCCCCTGAGCACAAACTGGAATCAAGCCCTTCGAAATTCTCAGCTATCAGCCAAGAATAATATGTACAGCCCTGTACTTGAAAATGCTCATGGCGATGACAAGCCCAATTTTAGTTATGTTTGGTGGTTTCTATCTGTCGGTTGCTTGGCGGCTATGTACCGATCGAGCTAATGCGCTTTCCTGGGTAATGCGGAAAAAAAAAGCAAAAATAGGCACGTGAGATCGGTCACAAATGACGAACCAATGATAGCGCCGTAAATGCGTAGTTTGTTGCTTTCACGGCGGAACAGAATTGGCGCAGCGTGGGCAACATACCGTGGGAGCCGTGCGCGTCCGGAGAGCCACCGATGTTTCCGAAACGCTGGGAAAGCATATAAATATGGCATTTTGGAAACAACTCTTAAGATAGGCCTCTTTATTTGCACATCGTCAGCTATTATAAACGTATACTAAAATGCCAGCTCCATACAAGAAAGGTTCAGAAAAGAAGGGTGCTACTCTTTTCAAGACTAGATGCATGCAATGTCACACCGTTGAAGAAGGTGGTCCAAACAAGGTGGGTCCAAACTTGCACGGTGTCTTCGGCCGTCACTCAGGCCAAGCCCCAGGTTACTCTTACACTGACGCCAACATCAAGAAGAACGTCTTATGGGATGCACAAAACATGTCTGACTATCTAGAGAACCCAAAGAAGTACATTCCTGGTACCAAGATGGCCTTCGGTGGTTTGAAGAAGGAGAAGGACAGAAACGATATTGTCACCTACATGTTGAAGGCCTGTAAATAATCGGTGATACCATCCAAAATGAAGGTTTTTTAATGACTTATTTATTTTATTCCCGCTATATCGAAAATAGTACTTGAATATAGACCACATTCTGTAAATGTTAATGGTGATGATTTCTCATGGATCAGATGAATAGCGATAATGTTAGGAGTAGTTCGTGTACCAAATGCGTCAGGATTTTCCGTAGACGTTGAGAATAGTGATCTTTGATACATCGGATTTAGTAACCAGAGGCCACGCTCTGGGAGTGCTGATTTCTTACGAAAAGTAACTCATCTCAACTCTGGCGGTTGACGCCGGTAGACACTATTTTCTAAGAGCCTATTCAAGTGCGCGCAATCAGACAAACCATTACATATTGAGAACATTAAACTCCTTTCTTGGAAAGTTCAAAACAAATATTCTATTATTTATATGCTTTATGCTTAAAGTACAAACGCCATAACAGAACCCACTAGTGTCATTAAGGTACCTGCAAAACTAGCGAACTTATCAGGAACATAAACACCGCCTGGGGCACCACCAGAACTAGTCGTTGTGCCTTGGACTGACGCTGTTCCAGAGCTGGTGCTTTTGATGTTTTGCACGAATCCAGTCTGGGTTTCTGAGCTTGATGTCGTGCTACTTTCAGAATCACTAGAAGTAGAGCCACCTATGGACTTTAGGGTATGAGATGAGGAAGTTTTTGATTCTCCGCTGGATGATGTGCTGCTGGATGATGTGCTGCTGGACTTCGATGAAGATGATGAAACTTTTCCGGCATCAGGATCTAGACCTGTGTTATTGTATAACGCCAAAATGGTGCCAGCATCACCGATTATGATCTTATCTTTTGTAAAGTCCTTGTCATCAGTATACTGGTAAGATGTGGTACCGTTTTTTATTGTTCCAGAGGGTGGGTCGTAACAGGTTACGTTGATACTCTGAATAACAGCATAGTAGTAACCGTAATTTTCCATGTCTGTAGAATTCCAATCAATCGCACCACCTGCCCATGCAATAGTACCCGGGGCTTGGTTGGAGTTACCGCCTGGCCACAATGAAAGCTGCACACGGGATGGTGTTTGTGGGAAATCGTACACTTTGGTGGTACTGTTGTAAGTTTGGTTCCTATACAATGTTCTACCAACCACACCATCCACTGACCAAGTGATATAATCTTCTTGCCAGTCAATTTCATAATCATGATAGTTTTCGAACGTGTCTGTAGTGGAAATGTTGTGAGCATGTGAATCAGTGTAATTTACAACACCTTCAAAGTAGTAGTTTGTTTGAACTGTAGTCAAGTTGGCTCCAATGAATTCAGTGTCAATTTCATCCTGAACAGATGAAAACATGATGAATGCGGTAACGACACCTGGATCGTGCGACGTCTTCATTCTGACACCAATCTTACCAAACCAGACATAACGAGTTGAAGACACAACAGTGGAAGCATTCAAGGGCATCGCCATGATCATGGCATTTTCATCCTCGTAGTCCATAACGTACCCTTCATAAATCCAGTCCGCTGCGGAAGCATTACCCAAGTATTCGTAGCCACTAACCATTTTAGAGACATATTTGTCAAAGACTGTCGTAGTATCTTTACAAACAGGCATTGGCATACACGCATCTATGCTGTAAGAGAATTTTGGGTCACAACCACCCAGGCAGTATGAACCTGTACCACACACACCGTATTGAGAGCAACATGGTGCACTTTCTGGGCAAGACTGTGATGAATTACACTCAATAGCTTGAGCGCATACTGAAAATGTTAGCAAAAGTAAAGCAAACAGCATTCTCGACACTAAAAAGTTTCTAAACAGATTAGGTCTAACGTCTTCACAGGCAATTCACTCTTATAGAAAGCCATCGCGTCAAATCTGTTTGAGATATATTGCCCTATACAGCAAAGAAAATAGAAAAAAAAAATCTAAGAAGAAAATATTTTTTCGCGACTTGCATGTCTTTACTATAAGTGGAAATTTGGCTTCAGTTTTGGGGACGCAGCCATCCCTGAGAGCCTTCTGTGCCTATGTATATTAGTTAAATTGTTCATCTGCAGGCCAGCAACATTTTCTTCTTCATCTTCTTCGTCCTCCTCATCGTCTGATGGTGCTTGCACTTCATCGTCTGCATCTCTTTGTTGCTCTGTATCGGAAACGTATTTTTTTTGATTCTTTTGGGAAAGCATATGGGCAAACGATTTCTGGGGCTCTCGGGCGTTCCAATTCAGAGTTCTACTGATACTGTCAATAAATTCAGTGGGACTCGCCTCTAAGGTTGGGAATGAGTACGGACTTGCAACTATGCATATGTAATCCCCTCTAAACAGTTCGACACGATTTTTACCGTCAAACGCAGCCCACGCAGTTGCCCTTGATCTTACCGGAACTTTTACCTTCAGGACCATGCTGTCTGGTAAAATAATAGGCCTGAAACTTAATGTGTGGGGACATATTGGTGTCACTGCAATAGCATTGACACTAGGATATACTAGAGAGCCACCTGCACTCAAAGAATAAGCAGTGGAGCCGGTAGGAGTAGCTATTATTAAACCGTCAGCTTGGGCCACTGTCAGAAGTGAATTGTCCCCAAAGAGCTCAAGCATTGATATAAATGGACTGGGTCCTCTATCAATAGTAAGTTCGTTCAAAACGTGATGCTCTCCGACTAGCTCGAATTTCTTCTTGGAGTGAGCTTCGCCTTTCCCATTTTTCCTCCTTCTGAAGACCCTACAACACAATCTCATTCTCATTTTGCTTCTGATCTTGGAATTTAGTACACGAGGTAGCGACTGTCTGAAATTCTCATAGCTGAAATTGGTAAGGAACCCCAATGAACCCAAGGCAAATGACATCACTGGTGGTACATTTTTTTGGAAGATGGAAGAGACGTATAGTACTGTACCATCACCCCCTAACGTGATTATTAGATCGAAAAATCCGTCATTTTCTGCCACCATAGCTGGCGTCCAAGTTTTGATTTTGTATGTGTCGCATCTGCTGTCACTGCATATTTCTTGCGCGTTAAACTTTTTCGAATCTTGTAGGGCAGCATCAACGTATATATCGATGCTAGGATAGTTGACCAAAATCCACTCAACCATTTCTCGTGTAAGATACACCAAGGAGCTATCCTGTTTCTTCGTAACAATCATAAGACGTTTAACTTCCAAAACAACTTTAGTTTTAGAGATGTCCTTTGACAACAGTCTCATACCATGTGCTGTTGACGACAACTGAGCATGAGAGGTTGCTTTTTTAACATCGTCGCTGCTCGTCGAAAGCTTTCTGAACATTTGTTCAGCTGTGCTGAAACTATCCCCTTCCTTGGCATCAACAATCGCATATTCAGGAGACGGAAGTTCGTTAGGGCTCTTTGGGGTTAGCTTGCTCCCTAAAACCTTATTTTTATCAGCCAACTGACTTACGCTCTTAGAACGGTTTGCTCTTGATTTCAATTCCGCTCGGCTGCCAGAGGAATGCTCTTTCCCGGAAGCTGACCCTGGTATACGAGAAAGTGGCGATACATCCCTTTTAGAATTAGAAGCTGGCGAGGATACTTCGGGCTTCACCATTCTGAAATTTATGATATTATGGGTTCCTTCAAACAACCGTTTAACAGTGAAATTCTATCTCCTTGGTGATGTCTTTCTATGCGCCGATATAATAATGCAGTGCACTGGAGCGTATTCTATAATTCTATCTTTAGGTTTAGCTGTTTATAAGTTGTACCACGTTCTGAAGGGGTAGTCTTGCTAATGGAGTGAGGGTGTCGTTCCTCATTGCTTGCTTCTGATCCAAATATAACTATGTACGAATAATTATCGCATGATTGAAAGCTTATTACTAAGTGTCGTAAACTCTATTTTGTATCTTTTCATTGATTGAATTCAGAGAGCTTCTGTAACCTTACATTTCCAATTAGTGGATTCAAGTAACGGCAACGATGCACCGAGACACCATCCAATTTCGTTACCTTTTATGGTTTGGGCGGTTCTCAGTTCTCTCTGTAATGGAATGTCGTATCCAGTGTGCAATAATGCAACTTCGAACGATAAATCGAGGCACCATTGTGGTTCTTTGAGAAGTTCGTCAAGAGAGCCGTCAACAGCACTGAACACACTTTTCCACACATCTTCACCGCTACAAACCAGCCTTGCCAATTCAGTTAGTTCTTGTAAAGTAAACGAAGAAGGCATTCCCAGCGGTTGTGTTTTGTCGTAGAAGTATGAGAATATGTAGAGATCATTTGATTCCTTGAATGTGCGGACAAGCGAAGGTTGGTGAATACCGTTAAAAGAACATGGGGGGTTCGTACACTCTGCGTCCTTCTTTAGAATTTTTTCGGCGAGACTTCTACAGAGAGCAGGACCCGTAGCCGTCGAGGGACCTTTAAAAGTCACAGTATACTTCTTATTGTTTGCAAGAGTCACAACTTCCTTAGCTGCCTTAGTTCCGGGAGGTAAGCATGGTGACTCGATCTCTTTGACAGGAGCATAGTCAGTTTTTTCGATCTTGCCGTCCTTTATTGCTGTCTCTAGAATTGCAGCGTTAACACTGTTTCTTGCCTCCATGAGCCCGTAACCCAAATGTGAGTACTGGTAAAGGGTGTATTTGGCTTCACCAAAGTCCAGGTCATACTTGTGCTCGCCTTCGATCATTCTCTCATTTGGTGGAAATGACGGTTCGAACACAATCTGAGTGGAACCTCCACCGAGATCAAAAATTGCACTAGTGGGTAGCTTCTCTCCGGCACCAATATTTCCAAGCAAGAAATTGGTGGTGATCCAGGCATAAACACCTTCTTCCTCACCACTCATGACCGAAATACCATCTTCCTCAACAACGGGAAATGGATAGTCTTCCTCAAGATGCTTGCGTACAGCTTTTAAGATAGCCTCGGACTTTTCTTCTCCCAGTTTTCTCAAACCAGCAGTCGCCTTCACGGCTACTGGTGAGCAGCCTCTCAACTTAAGTGGAATCTTCTTTACAGCAGTATCAAGCAGCCCATCTAGGGACTTGGCTGCTCCTACCGCATCAATATCAAAATGAGATAAGCCTGGTGTAACCTTCTCGAACGTCTCATCTAGCAGAGTTGGTGGTTGTGTACAAACATCAAATTCATAAACATGAACACGAGAGCCAGTTGAACCTGCATCGATCATCACAACAAATTGGTGTTCTTTATCACATTTTTTACCAGTTGAATAGCCCTTCAACGCGTCGGAGGATGCTTCACCTTTGGAACCATTTTTCACCTCATTCGCCACTGATGGATTTCCTTTCTCAGTTTTTGTATCCTCCAGATATCCGGGACCACCGACAGGTAAAGTGTTGAAATCTTGTGAGCCATCTGCTTCTGTTAGAGATGGGAGGTTTGCTTTTTTAAATTCCCCCGAATTTGAAGATCTTAGAAGCAGTATTAGCATCACTGCTGTAAATGAACCGATCAAAAAACGGTAGTTTCGAATAATAGAACCGATACCAACCATTTTTTGCACGTAGATTGAGCCTCACGTTTTGTTGACGAGTAGTGGTCGAAATGAGGCTAGAAAAAACGCGAAGTTTTTTTGGCGATACTCTGCTGTTGATCAATCCTTAATAACGAAAATTCTTGAGGACAGAAAATGCACACCTATACGTACATCTCAGTAATAAACTCGAAACTTCCTTAATATTAACATCGTAGGGACGGTTAAAATAGCAATTTTCGTGTAGTAAATGTGTAGGAATTCACGAAAATTCAAAAGTAAATTAATTCATCCCGCTTTCTTTGTCAAATTTTCTCTCCTAGCTTGCCAGTATGTGCTAGGTGAGTTTGTTCACTTCATTTATCAAACTCTGCTTATCACTATGTAACATTGTACATTTAAAGTAGTACTTCACGTACGCACAATTGCTCTCCGATTATTTTGAGATTCATCCCCTGCACAGCAAAAACTAATGGAAGTAACTATAGATTCGAATATTTCATTGTGTATACTTTAGGAGTTACTTCTAAACTGTTTTCAATAATTGCATATTTCTCCAAAATGCGAACCTCCTAAAACGTTGCAGCTCGAAAAGGAAGCATAGAAATTGCCCAGAGATTCATGACCATTTATCGCTATGTATTTAAATAGCAAACATAGTGCGTAGTGAGTAGTTAGAAAAATTCATATCATTATCTGTCGTAAGGCTATGTCATAACAAGATCATTCGGCTATCATATAGTGAAAGCCCAAAGATATGGAACTCCCTTTCATTGTTTAACGCTTAGTTGCTTGACTTCGAAATCAACCAATTCATAAACACCGTCGATTCCTGCAATAACATCGATGCTTCCAATATGATTGCCCTCAGTAAAGAAGAAAGTATTGGTTGAAACCGCTAGTCCATCGTTCAAGTAAACCTCTAGAATGTTTCTATCAGCTATGGCATAGATCTTGTAGGTATTGAGTTCTGTAGAATAAGGCAGGAAGTTAACAGAGGTCTTGTCAGTATAGAAAGGATTACTGGACACAAAATTGACCTTGCTATTACCTCTGTCAAGGAAAAAGGCAGGTGCTGTGTTTTCATATCCGAGCCTGAGGTATTCATGAGGATCGGAAGCTCCTCTCAAATAAAACGACAGGTCAACGAAGTCGTGAGGGCGAATGCTGGAAGTGTTCACCTTGAAGGTAACATTCAGTTCGACTAATCCAGTCGCGCTGTTGTGGAAGTCAAAAGTCACGTTTTTACCTGATCCAATCGTTAAGTTACCTTTATGTATGGTATGGTTTGCATTTAAAACATCATGATCAATAACTGGTTGACTGAATAGGTTCAATTCAGTAGCCTCACCATTTGGATGGTATTCCTGTAAAGTGAAGTTTCTAATCAATGACATAGAGCTTCTCCAAGGAGAAGTTGGTACAAAACCACCATACTCCCAATTAGAGGCCCATGCAACACCCAAGACATCATTATTAGGTGTGTTATCAAATGCCTGGAAGGCATAATAGTCCTTACCGAAATCCAAGAATCTTGTCTGATGGTCGTCGGCCGTGAAGTTCTTACCGTCGAAGTCACCAATGAAATACTGAGTGAAAGAACCACCTTGAGGAGCGCCTGGATTGATAGATAGGAACATAACCCACTTATAATCTGGGGATGTGCTATTCGAAGAGTTTAAGCTGCTATCAGATGATTTCACAATTGGAATTTTGGATAGACCAGGGCACTCATACTGATAGCCAAGGATACCGTGATGAGAGAAATTGGATTGCAGTTCCCATTCTTTGAGATTTTCGGAGCTATAGATTTGAACCTTATATTCTTGAGATAAAGCAAGAACCATGATCCACTTTTCGGTTTCATCATGCCAAAACACCTTTGGATCTCTGAATTGAGTGGAATTGAGGTTTAAGACAGGGTTTCCAGAGTACTTTGTGAAGGTGTAACCTCCATCTAGGGAGTATGCAACATACTGAGTTTGCGATTCAGCAGTGTTGTAGGTGTAGAATGCTACTACCCTTTGACCAGGATTAATGCTACTGTTAAAGAAATTGGAAGTGTTGTTGTAATCAATGACAATACTTCCGGAAAACACACCTGCATCATCGGAGTCTGGGCCGATTGCAATATTTTCGTGGGTCCAGGTGGTTAAATTCTTCGAAGTAGCATGGCCCCAGTACAATGGCTGACCCCAGACTGTATCATTAGGATTAAATTGATAGTACATGTGCCATAAGTCGGTGACATTGTCGTAAAACAGGCCATTAGGATCATTCATCCAACCCTTTTCTGGAGTAAAATGAATTAACGGACGATTGAGTGAGGTATCATTCGAAGCGGGTGTCTTCCCCGAGTTCTTCCTGGCAACTGCTGTGGTGGCCGCTAGAAATGCGGTTAGCAATCCAAAGATCAATTGCATCTTGGTAAAAGATCTAGAAGACTTGTTTATCTGTGCTGTTTGAGGAATAGCATTTATATCATGTTCTTTATTCATTATTATGGCCTCTTTATATGCTTTTGCCCTTGGACGACTCATCGTTAACTTCGAGACTACCTTGGGGCTGTTCAAGCCGTATGGAAAAAAACAAGTTCGGTTAAATTTTTCTATGCGGATAAATTGGACCTACGCGCCTTTCTAGGCACAACTATACGTAGTTTCCCCGGATTCAATAAGAATGCGGCGACAATTTCAACATATGGAGAATCTCCAAAAGTCAACTGATGGAGTGATGCATGAAAAATGCACGAAAAATGCAGATTCCAACGATTAAAGGTGGGGGAATTTACAGTTCTACCGAAAAAATCTCGGATTTCGGTATTCTGTCTAAGATTCATCATCGGGCCTCTCGAGAATAACGCCGCCGGTGCTCCAGATTAGGCTAGACTATTCGTCACCCCTTTCCGACTTTGTGATCAAGATGTTGTGAAATACTCCAAGAAATTCCCGTCATAGGTGGGTCATTTTGTCTTCAATTGGAGTTCCCGTGTTGTTAGCTGTTCCGTTAAGGCAATATCATGCATGACCATGCAGGCTTGCCGCTTATACACAGGCTTTTACATCGAAGTACTCTTGTTCTAAAAAGCTGGTGATCGCATTGAGGTAGATTCGGGTCATTGCTTTCGGCAGCGTCATTCTCAAGATTGTTCCTTAGTTTAAGGAGGCGGCCGGAAAACGGGAACTTCAGCACTCCAATCGGGCGCACATTCTGCCTAGGAATCATAAACACAGAGATGGTGGTTTGCGGGAGTCAGTCCACTTCAGGTGACGAACCGAAATGGATATACTATAATCTCCCAAATACCTCAATAAAGGGCGCGGAGCTGGTCGTTCCCCGACTCTTCAGTTCCGTTGTTTTTGCGGGGAAAGGTCAAGAAAATCCTTGTGTACAGTAGAGCGATTAATCCAAACAGAAGCAAATAAACGTTTATAACAATTTTAGTATGATTATTTTACAATTCCTCAATTTACATAGAGGGTCAAACCTCGTTCCGACAAATGAATAATTACTATATGAAGTCATTGTGATACACATCGACACGTTATGTTCGCACGGCGTGATTTCCGGATATTACTTATTTGTGCGATACTGATGGGAATCAGCTTACACCGTATACGTCTTCTGCTGTTTTGAAAGGTCGCAATTGGTAATTAAAATTGTAAGACAATATAAGTAGCAGTAGACACATCTTAAGTGCACAAGATGCTGTGGATTTTGGGAGAAGCTTATTCCTATTATTTAATAATGACTGCGGGAGTAATCGACTTGCCAAATTAGGTTTACAAGTTTGCCTTCTATCATCAGATCTCAGCCTTTCCGGCAAGAGTGAAATAGCTCGTTAGTAATGATATAATACGTTTGGGTTTTTTCTGGAGTACGGTATGGAAAATGAGATGCTGTAATATATGTAAATGATCAACAAGGTCCCCGTGACATTGTAATACAATCTTAAGTCCAAAACCTTAAAATCTAGAAGGACATTTTAAAAGAGTGGATCAAGAAGCACTTAATATCTTACGCGTATCTGCTACTCAGAAGCAGAAGTATGGGTAGCCTCTCTTTTTTTTCCGAGAATTGTGAGTATATGAATTCCGAAATTAAGGGCAGGCATTGTTACCACCGTTATCGTACAAAGCGCAATGGAGATACAGGAAGCTGTAACTTTACCACGGCTGCAGTAGGTCATTTGGAGAAGTTTGGAGTTTTAATGTCATTTTAATCACCTTAAGGTATAATCTTGTCAAATACACGAACAGAACAATTTAGCACAGCGTGGAAAACAATCTTCATATTTTTCAGCTTGAAGAAGGTTCTCTCAGTGTTCAATAATGAAGCTTTGCCGGGAGGAGTGCTGCTAAAATTTCGTCGGAGGATTATAAGAAACAAAAATAGAATACAGTCGCAGAATCAAAAAAAAAAAATAATTCTACGATTTTGCAAGAAATAAATGGGCCTCCAGTCCACCAAATTTGCGATCCTTGGATACGTTGCCCGATTATCCTCAAACAATTGGCTTCGAAAAAACCTCCTAATCAGTCAGTGGGAATCTATGATTTTTACACCCTAATACTGAATTGTTCCATGAACAGCAAAAACTTTTAGCTAAGTTGGTGCATAAGAACTGACTGCATATTTTTAGGAAAGGCCTTTCAGATGGTTTGGTGGGCCCAATTTTCACAAATGTTCGTGCGACTCGATGTGTCCGTAAATTGCTTAATTATAACGAGTCAGGTTCGCACTTTCGATGACAACAGAGGCTGTCTTTTGAAGTGCGTAACGAAATGTTATGATTAATATAACTCTCGAATGAAAGCTATTTTAATACAATGAAGCAGTCTAAAATCGATATTCCAGGTATTTGATTTTCTCATGGTTGTGTTAATGATTAAAGCTTTGTTCTATACTATCCCATCTAAGTACCGAGTTCGAACAAAAAATAATGTGCTTGTCAAAGAACTATCCAATGAGCATGTTTTAGATTCTGAAGAAACTGGTTCATGCTATAGGAATTGATTCGTGGATCAACAAAGCCAATGAGCATAGGTGCTTGATGTATCAGTAGCAGATTCAGAAGAAACATGCTTGATTTAACAAATTTCAAGCATAGTGAAACTAACATCAATTCTTGTGTAGTGCGAACACCTTAGAGGTTAAGAAACATACCCTGATCACGCAGATACTTAGGATTACTGTTCAAGCCTGCAAAAATACGAATTGAGGCTCGCTCATCAAACTGAAGAAGACATTTTTACTTAAGTGTCATTTGCTCATCTTTATTGATACTTCACGTATTTAATAATTGCAAATGATTGCTATTTCGGAGGATAGCACTCAGATATCATAGAAATGCGTATCTCTGTAAACTCTTTCTACTGATTAGATTAAGTTTGAAGTAACTTATCACGGAAAAAAAAATAGAATCGGAGTGTTTTTATGTTTGTTCATAGTAGATGAGGCAATGAGTAGAAACGTGGACAAGGCTAATTCAGTTCTTGTTCGCTTTCAAGAGCTTCAGGCAGAGAAAGAAGGTGGTTACAAGGACTATTCTCGTTTTAAAAGGCCTACAAGGATCTACTCTATCAGAGATGTCGAGGAGGCGCAGCAATGGCGCCGTGAAGTGCTTAGAGAGATCAACAATAAAGTCACTCGAATGCACGACCCCTCTTTAAACGAAATGCAGCTACGAGATCTAAATTCAGAGCTGAATGATCTTTTCAAAGAGAAATACAGGTGGGAAAGACATATTAAACAACACTTGAAGGGACCCGACTTTTCCAAAGCCAGGACCTCAAACATCGCAGGTGGAACAATTGTGGATGGTTATAGATATTTTGGAAGAGCACTTGATCTCCCCGAGGTGCAACAAACACTCAAAAAAAAAGCAGATCAGCAAGCCAAGTCTCGAAGTGCAAAGGAAGAGCAGAAACGGTTGGAAGAAAAAGTACGAGTGTGGAAGAACACTTTAAACCCGGAATACTTCGGTTATTCTTCAGACGAGAGGGTACGATACCAGCGACCTCTAGAAGTATCTATGAAGAATGTTCGTGAATTTTTGTCATTGAAACCTGCAAGGCTATCGAGACTAACAGAATATGAGTCAGCAGCGAGCGAAGAGTTGAAAATGGAGTTGGGGTCTGAAAGCGTGAGAAATTCTCCAAAACTTTCAATTCCAAATTTCGAGTCTGTGCCAAATATACGGGATATGGAAGCATGGCTGGTTGCGAAGAAAAGGAAAAAGCTCCAAGAACAATTGGGGCTTTGAGATTAAGATACTCGACTTTTTCGGATGCCGAAGTAAAACTTATCCGTGATAAATTTGATGAAAATACGAGCGCTGCTGTTCCAATAGTTGAAATAGTTTGGAAGCAAAAATTTTGCCTTGATTAAAAGATTATTTACAAGATAGAGTGATTTAATCCTCGGAATATCCTAAATTTCTTCAAGAATAGCAGCCAGACGATCTGCAGTCACTCTTTCCATACCATGGTACTCCATGTGGTAATTTCCTCTGCCCTGGGTAAGGCTTCTCAATTTACTCATATATGAAACGACTTCCTTGAGCGGAACTCTTGCCTTGATCACCTTAACAGAATGAGTATTATCGCTCAAATTAGCATTCTTCAAAGTTGGGTCAGGAGGCAAATACTGCTGTTCGGCAATCTTTTGAAATACAATATTAGGACTGTCACCGCTGGAGAGGGTGTGTTCATCTTCGATGGAAAGGACATTGGCCTTACGTCCACCTGTTAAATCTTGCAGGACATTACCCATATCTTGCTGGGGTACTGAAATACTCATATTCATGATAGGCTCGAGCACGAAAAAGTCTTCCTCCCGAAAGTCATTAAATGCCTCTAAAATCAAAGATCTCGATAATGCCAAAAATTCAGAGGGGGAAGTGGCTTCAAGGGGTAACCACCAATTACCTTTGATGCGAATAGCGCACGAATGTAAAGGAAGGCTCGAGAATTTTCTTCCCTTTTGTAGTGCTACCATGCTACTTGAGATTAGTGCATTAACGACCATATCACGAGAAATCTGAAACGGCCATTCTTTCGAGTCTTGTAATGTTTCATGGTTCTCCATAATAAGGTAGTTATTGTCGGTCGATAAATAGTGCCAAACCTCGTCGTCCTTGACTTCTTTTGGCATCTCATATAGCGGATCTATTTTGAGCTCAAGTTTATAGCCAAGCTCGGTCTCTCGTTTATGTAGATCAGAATTCTTGCCAATAGTTTCTTTATAAGATACCACGACTTTTCCTACATCAACTTCTGCATTTAGATCATTCAATAATCTATCACGAGCAATCTCCAAGTGCAATTGACCCATCCCACTAAGAAGAGTCTGACCAGTCTCATCATCTACACTAACTTGAAGACTTGGATCTTCTCTAACTAATGTTTGCAACACTGTTTCCATTGATTTTTTGTTTCCCAGAGTTTTAGGCTCAATAGACGCACTAACTACAGGGGGGGGTATATTAATGGGGTTTATTTGTAGCTTGAGTTCTTTTTGTTTATGAAATGATCTCAAACCGTCTTTCTTTATGTTATGCGTGATGATAGTATCCCCAGTTTTGACGTTATCTAAAACTGTTGAGCCCGTCAATACACCAATTTCGCCGGCTTTTAAGGATTTAACCTCTTCGGCTACATTTGCGTGCATTACGACAAGTTTTCCGATTTTGAATTTATGGCCCGTGGTTGAATTGAGAACTGTGTTACCGCTATTCAGAGTACCTGAGTATACTCGAATGAACGTCATAAGTCCCCGAATAGGATCAGTGATAACTTTGAATGCTAACGCAACACAAAGGTTGCGGTTTTTATTGATGATAGCACCTGCATCTTTGTCATATGTCACAAGAGCAGTTTCGTTGGTATTTGGAAATCTTGCCTCTATCGGAGAAGGCAAGTAATTAACTACAGCATCGAGTAGGGGCTGTACACCAATGTTCCTGAATGATGCACCACATAAAACAGGTGTAGCATAATTCTCGATAGTAGCTTTGCGAATAGATTCGTTCAGTAACTTTGCAGATATATTCATGTAGTCTCCCTCTGCTTCTTCAAGGAAGTACTCTATAAGCTGCTCATCGGTCTCTCCTAATGTTTCTACCAATGATTCTCTTCCTCTGCTAAGCTGCTCAAAGAACGGAGAACTTTCAGGCACATCTGTAACATCAATCTTGTTGGGGTCCTCACGACTCCACTTCAACACTTTCTTATTCACTACATCAAGCACACCTTCAAAAATTGGTTCACGAGTTTCCTTATCATATGAAAATATGGGTATGTTAATGAGAAGAACTCTTGTATTCATTTTGACTATCAATTCCTTAACCGTCCTACTGTACCCTGCGCCCGTACGGTCCATCTTATTTATGAAGCAGATTTTAGGTATTCCTACAGATTGCTTCCAAACCTTTTCTGTCTGAGCTTCTACTCCTGCTACTGCATCAAGGATTGTGACACAGCCATCCAAAACTTTCAGTGACCTTATAACTTCAAAAGTGAAATCCGCATGGCCCGGGGTATCAATTAAATTGATTTTAAAATCTTTTTGCCAATTGAACGAAATAACAGCACTTTGAATAGTTATGCCTCTTTCTCTTTCTTGAGATAGAAAATCCGTTATGGTATCTCCCTGATCGACGTTACCTATTCTTTTGGTTTTTCCTGAGTAGAAGAGCATCCTTTCAGTCGTGGTCGTTTTTCCGGCATCAATATGTGCGATAATACCTATGTTTCTCAATTTCGAAATACTACTTTTTGAGTAGTACGATCGTATTTGACAGAGTGATCTCAGAATCATACTTTATGAATACTGTAGAATTCTTACAGCTATGGTTTTTTTGATATCATCGATCTTGAGTACCAGCGAAAAATTTAAAAGAACTGGAAATTAGTTCTACAAATCTTGATTGAAACAGAAAAGCACAGAAAAAATACCCACGACATGGATCAAGAATTTAATATCACTGAAACATACCTCAAGTTCTTGGAGGAAGATGCGGAGATGACTATGCCAATAGCTGCCATTGAGTCCTTGGTCACTATGCTTCGGGTGAAGAATCCAAAGACATCAGCAGAAATGATCAATACTATTAAGTCAGCAACAGAAGAGCTTACAAACTCTGTCTCCAACTCTATGTCTTTGCGTGCAGGTTGTGATATTTTCATGCGCTTCGTTTTGAGAAATACTCACTTATATGGTGATTGGGAAAGTTGTAAACAACATTTGATTGAAAATGGACAATTATTCGTATCGAGGGCAAAGAAATCAAGAGACAAGATTGCAAAAATTGGTATAGATTTTATCACTGATGATGATATCATTTTGGTACATGGTTACTCAAGAGCTGTATTTACATTATTAAGCTATGCGGCCAATAAGTTTATCAGATTTAGATGTATTGTGACAGAATCGAGGCCAACTAAGCAGGGTGAACAATTATTTGAAATGTTACAAGATAGGGGCATCCCTGTGAAAATGATTGTGGATAGTGCTGTTGGAAGTATCATCCATAGAGTTGACAAGGTAATTGTTGGTGCGGAAGGTGTTGCAGAATCTGGCGGCATTATCAATCTCGTGGGAACATACTCGATAGGCGTCCTTGCGAAAAAGTCCAACAAGCCATTCTATGTGGTAAGTGAATCTCACAAGTTTGTCCGTATGTTTCCACTCTCACCTGACGATCTACCTATGCAGTCTCATCTGTTAGACTTTTCTCGTCGTGATGATGGGCTCGAAGCACTTTCATCGACTCCAATCATCGACTACACTTCACACGAATACATCACTGCATTGATCACAGATTTGGGTGTGCTGACACCTAGTGCTGTTTCTGAAGAGCTAATTAAGATGTGGTATGATTGATTCTTGCGCGCGCATAGCATATGACCGAACTCTCTTAATGTACTATACAACATTCCGTATCTACATAAGCTTTGATAAATAGTCATTTTCGTCTCCTTTGGGCTTCAAATATTCCCTTGCTTCTGCGGACGTGACGCTTTCCTTGAACTGCGGGAAGGTGTTGGTAATCCATTCCAAGTTTAGCTCATCTTCTTCGTCGGCTACCTTATGTGCCAGTAAAGAGCCTCCTAATCTTGGTTGATTGGCCTCGCTACTGCTTTTTACGGACATTGTCACCACCTGAGCCTTCTTTGCAGTAGTGTTACTTTGATTGGCGGATCTTACGTCGTCTTCCCTCCTCATTTGGGAGATGCTATCTATGTAGTTGAAGTAAGGCCTCATCTGAGCCACCATGTCCACTGGTAATAAGTATACTTCATTATCTGAAATCAATCCAGCATACTGCCCTTCGTTTTTTACACCAACTCCTTTCAGTGTCTGGTGCGCAATGGATGCCCACTCGTCCTCAGCACGGTTTTTGTCATAGAATACTTCTGTATTCAAAGGAATATCCAGCTCCCATAGAGAAGATTGCATCTTGTAGCGAGCTTGGCTAACATGGGGTGTATTAGGTTCTCTCCCGGCTTTCTTTGGCTTATTTGGATACTGTAGAAGATGCAGCGGAAATGGTGCTGATGAAAGATTCAACGGTATTTCCTGTACCACTGGATCATCTTCAAGGCTCTTCTCTGTGAAAGAGTCCTTCATTACTACATCCTCGTCCTCTTCCGCAACGAAAAGCTGATTCTCTGACATGTTTTACTTGGTATTTCAGCTGGAAGTGATTGTTCACTCTAAGTTCTTAATTGCTTTTTGTTCTATAGAAAAATTTTTGGAAAGCGATGAGCTTAGATGAGAACCCATCGAGGTTCCTCAACCAAACGCATTTGACTATAAACAATACATCAGTATGTCAGAGGACGATGACATGATGCTTATGAATATAAGCACGTCTGTGGATAACCCCATTTCACAATCTGGGAGTGCGAAAGTAAGTGGAGGTCGCTGGAAAGACAGACGAAAGGCGAAGATGATGTTGCAAGGAAAGAATTCGCACGTAAAGAGAAAGGCCTCTACTTTGATCGATTCCAATAAGAACACCGATTTCAATGAATCTGCTGATAACAGTACAAATGAAATGCCACGTAAACAAGCGAAAATTCAAAACAGACCACTTCCTCCCGTTAATCAACAAGTGATTTCATCACTATTCACAGCTAGCAGAGAAATCTCTACCGCTGTCAATAATAATGAACATGATGATAATATTGAAATTAATCCTTCGAATGCTCCTTTGCTTCAGGATTCCTTCGAGGCGCTTGGAGTCTCTGAAACTATCTTACCGCATTTAAGTGAAAAAATGAAAATCACAAAACCTACCAGAGTTCAGAAGTTAAGTATCCCCAATCTAGTGGCAGGGGACAATGATATTTTTATCCATGCTCAAACCGGTTCCGGAAAAACTTTAGCATTTCTCTTACCCATCTTGACACGCATACTCGACATGAAGACGCGTGTAGACCGTCAGAGTGGCTGTTTTGCAATGATCATCACGCCAACCCGTGAATTGGCCTCCCAGATATACAGCGTTATGGCGCTTCTCACGCAGTGTTGTCATTATCTGGTACCGTGTCTGTTGATCGGTGGTGAACGTAAGAAATCGGAAAAAGCAAGACTACGGAAGGGGTGTAACTTTATCATTGGAACACCGGGCCGAATCTTAGATCATTTGCAAAATACGAAAGTTATTCGGGAGCAGCTGTGTTCCACTTTGAGATATCTTGTCTTGGATGAAGGAGACAAGCTAATGGAATTGGGATTCGAGCAAACCATAACTGAGATAATCAAACTACTATACGACCTTCCCCTGGATACAAGCAAGTTTTCAAATCTTCCCGACCGTATTATACACGTTTTGTGTAGTGCAACAAGAAAAGGTGGTGTTAACAAGCTGGGAAATCTTGCTCTGCATGATTATAAACTAATAAGTAGTGGACAGAAGCAGGAAGAAATGAGCACTGTTCCCGACCAGTTATTACAAAAGATTGCAATTGTACCACCTAAGTTGAGATTAGTGACTTTAGCCGGTGTGTTGAACAACATTACTCAAAAACAACTATCTGCTGAAAAAATGGCTACTGTGCGGACAATTGTATTCTTGTCCTGTTCTGACAGCGTTGATTTTCATTATGAAGCATTTTCATCTACTGACGCCAACTACCGAACCCTTGTGGGCGACTCCGTGAGATTGTTGACCAAAGATAACCATATTTTACCATGCTTACAAAAGGCCGATAGATCTGAATTGGTTTTCTACAAGTTACATGGTTCACTATCACAACAGATTCGTACTGCTACTCTCCAAAACTTTTCCACAGAATCTGAAGCAACAAAGGGTAAACATTTAGTCATGTTTTGTACAGACGTTGCCAGTAGAGGGTTGGATCTTCCTCATGTGAGCACAGTAATTGAAGTCGATCCTCCATTTGCCGTTGAAGATCACCTGCATAGAATCGGGCGTACCGCTCGTGCTGGTGTGAGTGGTGAGTCGTTATTGTTTCTTTTGCCCGGAGAAGAAGAAGGTTACATGGATTATATCAAACCATACCATCCACAAGGGTGGAAGCTGTTGAAGTATGAGCAAGATATTTTAAAGCCCGCCTTCCAAGATTCAAGTGTTAAGAAAAGCGACAGCAAGTCAAGTAGCAAACCCGATAAGCTTTCGACTGAATGGGACAACAATGCGACAACTTGGCATCTCAACATTGAAAGAAGAGTTTTGGAGGATCAGGCTTTTAAGGATTGTGCTATGAAAGGTTATACGAGTCATATTAGAGCATATGCTACACATCTTTCACAAGAGAAGAAGTTTTTTAATTTAAAGTGCCTACACTTGGGTCATCTAGCGAAGAGCTTTGCCTTGAGAGAGCGTCCCAAAGCGATGGGAAATGCCAATGCAAAGAAGAGAGTCGGCGAAGAAACTCAGAAACGTCCAAAAGAGGATGCAAAATCCAAAATGCTTCGGATGGCACGTCAAACTCTTAAAGAAAGTGTTAGCGAGTTCAACTATTAAATAAGTCCCATATAGATCATTTATTACTCTTGAGCTTGAAAATCACGCTATGTTTCGTATATAACGATCTACCCCACATTATTTATCCATTGTTTAGGAAGGATAAAGAAGTTGGTGGATAACATCTTCAGACGGATTCAGTTATTGTCTGTTGCTAAGTATGACAAGAAAGCTTGCACCACAGGAGAAACAAGCTCGACGTCCGATTCAGAAAGCTTGCGTATTTTGTCATGAAAAGCACTTACAATGCGATTTAGGTCGGCCATGTCAGAATTGTCTGAAGAGGAACATCAGTAGTACTTGCAGAGACAAGCAACGAAAACCACGTCGAGCCGATCGAAGAAGGAAAAAGGAAGGTGTTTCAGAGCCAGGCAGGCGAAAACCGTCACAAACTAGTCGAAGGTTAGGGATAGCCAGATTAGCAATGAGTAGTGGAAATGATACTCAAATAGCCGGAAACCCCGAGAATCAGTTAATCGAGAATAACACCGAGGAGAACAATACAATGGTGTACAATAGTTTGAATACTAAAGAGCTAAAAAACGTCCCCTTAGATAGCATGAACTTATTTGCCAATGAGCAACACATGGCCATGAGTAGCGTCAATCAAGATCCCAATAATGCTGCTAGTCTCGTTAGTGAAGATAGTGTTCAATCTGAAGCAGATACAAATAGGAAACTCTCTCCAATCATTGCTAATACACCTAGTTTGTTAAAGATTAGTCCCCTGGGTAAAATTTCCAGTTTAACGAATCTGTTAATTCCACCGAATGAGCAGCTATTTAATTCTGAAGGTCCCACAATTGCTCAGAAGAATGACAGTCAAACCGATCTTACTCATGAGGGAGTTCCTGAAAAAGGTATGTTAGGGAATCCGAAGAGCTCAAGTAATGCCAGTTTTGGTAGTATATGGGCGAATAACGAGTATATGAAGCTGAACGATATACTAGGAAGCCCCGTCATTCCTAGTGGCAATAGTGGTCCATTACAGTACTCCTTGCCCTCTGAAGTGAAGATGGACAATTACATGTCAGGATTCGATTCCCCCAGGCTAATGCCCGGCGATGTTAACAATAATTTTGGATTGCATCGATCAAACTCTCGTCCTCATATTTCTTTAGATATGGCCACTTCTTCTCAATTAATCAACGGTAATTTAAGTGACAGCGTGTCTCCAGAAGTTGTCGAAAAGGACCTATCACCTTTAAAATTTCGGCAGCTCGTCAAGACACCCGAGGACCTGTATGAAAAAGATTATCATATCAAGCCACACAATTACCGCGCCGCCTACAGGGACTTGTCAGTCTATTTGAAACAGCGATTCTTGACCAGTGATAGGAAGTCCGTCAAGGACGATGGTGCGAGGCATCTGCAAAACATTGCGCATTCAATGACTGCGCATTATTCACCAATATTTGTCACCTTAACAACCAACTTGGTTGAAAAGGATCTTGAATTACAGGAGCTCGTTTTACAGCGCGCTCTTTTGGAGTACGAGAGCATGGCAAAATTAACGAACTGTACACCCATGTGCATTTGGAGACGCTCTGGAGAAATATGTTACGTGAGTAATGAGTTTGTTTCATTGACAGGGTTTTCACGATACGAGATGTTATCACAAAGACGATTCATCGTGGAATTCCTTGATGATGAGAGCGTGGTTGACTACTTTGATATATTTCATGAGAGGTTGGCATTTGGCTCCAAGGAAGGACTGGGTGCCACTTGTGATGGACAAGCCGTTTTCAGTGAGTGTAATCTACTTTTGAAAGATGGAAGTTTTCTTAAATGCGCATGCGTATGGACGGTAAAAAGAGATAGTTTTAATATTCCTTTGCTGGTAATGGGACAGTTTTTACCCATTTTTGACTTCAGTCAAAAATAGACCGGCACTTTTACTGCATATAATCATTTTTATTTATTGAACATATAACCTAACTTTCAATGGATCATCAAATCCCATGACGGAATTGCTATTTTCGCTTTTCAAAAGAGCTCAAAATCTACGACATGACAGAAAGCTATAATTTGAGAAGATTTGATGAACACGCACAAAAGGCGATTGCATACTTTAACTCTGAGTACTCTTTCCATTTCAAATATTGTTTCAAGATTAACTCTTAAAGTCGCTTCAATCTGAAACGTGATATGCAATTAGAGATATTAACCTTGCTGTAATAATCTATAACATGAGAGACATATATGCCTTATAAAACAGCCAAGATATTCTTTTCCAATGAATCCTCTCCATTGTTTTCAACTTGAACTTTTGGCATGTGATGGCTCTGTATTAACATTTTATCTTCGGTTGGCTCTTCCACAATATCAGCTTTCTCCGAGGCCTTAGCGTCAACATATTTTGGCCGTTGAAACTGCTTTCCATATTTTTCGTAATCCCACACATTTGACTGTAATTTCTCTGCACTCTCCTTATTTTGAGACGATATCTCAGATTTGAGATTTTTGATATCTTCGAGATCATTCAAGTCGTCTTCATCGCTAATTTCATTTAAATCATCGTCACTTCCAGCATAGGCATTGGCTTTATTTAGGACCTCAGTCATATATACCTTGCCATCACCACCAATATTCAAATCCAGAGCAATTTTGTCACGTCTACCATGCCGTGCACGATCCATTTTCTCCCACTTGCGGAAATTTCTTTGCTGCTTTTTAAGCATCAATGCGCGTTCATATGCACTACCCCAAACTCCAATGTCATTATCCATGCTGAAATCGCTTGCATTATCAATGATTTTTGTACGTTCCGCTGAAGTATCCTGAAAATGCAACAGCTTTTCCAAACGATCTTGTGCAGCATGCAACTCAGGGTCCCCACTATCTTTAATTATTGCCCGCTTTTGTTTGGCCTCCTCCTCTTCAACATCCTTCAATTTCTGCTCCTTCTCAATTTGTTTTTCTTTTTCTTTTTCTAACCTATCAAATAATTGATCTTGCGCTGTAAATAAATTGGTTCCAGTTCCAGAGGAAATCTTATAGGTTTTTGTCTTCTTCGGCTTCTGGTCGGTGTTCTCCAAGAGCTTTTTACTTTGCAAATCTTCCTTTTCTTTGTTTAAAATTTCGATTATCTTTGATCTCTCAGGCAAGGAGATCAACTCGGTTCCACAAAACGTGCAATTATTTAAGTGAAGGCCTTCACGAACGCATATTATTTTCCCACAGGACAGGCAGTTCGGCACTACTTCGAATAACGGATGGCGATTTCCCTGGCAGTTACAAGTATATTTCAAAGAGTCAGACTCAGAATGTTCTATTTCGAGTACCTTCAAGACATCGTCAATCTCTTGAAGATTGCGAATTTTTTTAGCTTTCGACGATTTTTTGGGTTTCTTCTCAACTGTTGAGATTTTAGCCCGAGATAAAACGTTAGTACTTCTGACGGGTATAGAAGGAGATGAAGCTTTTTCTGGTCGCTTGGATGGCTTTGAATTACTTTCCAGCTTTATTGGCTCTAATCCTTCATTCGAAACAACCTTCTGCACTTCTTTCGCCGTGCTTTGGCTAGATTTTATGGGCGTTTGCGCTTTCTTCAAGGGTTTTTTAGCTTCCTTCGCTGATTTTAGTCCTCCTTTGTCAGATTCACTTTCGTGATTATTATTTGGCATAGACTCCTTTGCTAGAAGTTTATCATTAAATTGCAGTACGAAACTGAAAGACATGTCTGCTGGACCTAAAATGTCCAGAAATTTTTGAGCAATTGCCTCTGGGTCATTGGGATGCTGATTAAGTATGTTATTGCATAATTGGCGAACGCTATCTTCATCAAGTGGTACTATTAGCGGAATTTGTTTGACTGCGAATTCGATTGCCCCCTTTTTAGTCATTGAAATATAGTTTTGCTTGATGTGCAGACCTTTGATGAGATAACAAGTTTTTCTTGAATCAACTCAAAAAAAACCCATTACTGAGAAGGAGCACATAGGCCAAAAAACTATCTCATGAGGGTAATGCTCAACACTTTCCTAGAGAAGTAAAGTGTTCAAGACCAATGGAACAACCATCAAGGGAGGAACTATTGCTGCAAATTCGCAACTTATCTAAAGAAATCACGAGCTATTTCGAGCTTGATCCAGAAACTGCCCAGCAGAACTTCCAACTGAAATTAGAAGGTAAGACCTATAAAATTGTAGACAAGGCTAAAGAGCGTGAACAAATACAAAAGAAATGGCTATCAAAGATTAACGTGAATTATAATTCAGCACAGGAGAAATTCTTCAGAATTTGGGACTTACTCCAAAATAATCCGGAGCTTGACTTATGTGTAGTCTTTGATTCTCTTGAAAACAAGAGGATCTTTCAAATTCACAAATGGGGAACAAGGCTAGAGTGCGTATGTCTGTCTACTCATGAAATCTCAGTAATCCAAGAAAATTTGCCCTCTTTTTTGAAGTCTATCGCTCTGAGAGGAATTTCCCAGAGAGAATTTGAAGCGATCTTGAAGTGGCAACAAAACATTGTTTCGAATGATAATCAAATCAATGAACAGCTACCCAAGATATCATGGAATGGGCAGAGATACCATTGGAGGGCTGCAAGTTATGAGATTTCTATACACAAAAATAATGTTAAAGTGTTCGCACCATACTGCAAGTTTTTCGCCAAGCTAGGGATTTGCACTAATAAGAGCTGCAAGTTTGTCCATGATCCAAGAACAGTATCTATTTGCCGCGATTTTTTCACGAAGGGAACGTGCCAGTATGGCGATAACTGCAGGTTAACACACTCAAGAGTGGGGAGCGAATATACTGTCCCACATTGCGAACGCAATCTGCAAGGAAAATGCGAGCTTACAGATGGAGTGGAAATGGCATTTTCAACGTCAGATTTGAAAGAAAATCATTGCCATTATATGCACTCTCCTATCGTGAGAGGAGATTACCCTCCGTGTAGGCAGTTTTCTCACATGGGTTATTGTTACCGTGGAATGCACTGCAGGTTTCCACATTTATGGAGTTGCCCAGATTTATACTACACTGGTCAGTGCTTTCTTGTTCACTGCAAGTACCCTCACGATCACCACTCACCAAAATTGTTAGCGTCCCAAAAAGTGTCACTAGACGCCATACCTGCTGGTGATTTCCTTCTCCCGCCACTAAATCCAAGGAAACAGTTTATGTTATCCGGAGGTTGGTATGGGTTGCGAACAAGTCAGCAGAGCATCGATGTCAGAGCGAGAAGCTCTGCAACGGAAACAAAATACGATAAGAAAATGTCCCCATTACAAGTTTCGGATGATTCTTCCTCAGAACAAACCCTCGAATCATCAGAAACATCTAGTGATCTCTCAGAATTCTCCGAGGGCGAGCTTGATGCTGATTTCATTAGAGTATAGCAGTTTAATAACCTCATCTCATTGCATACCCTAACATCTTTACTTTTGACCGGGTAAGAAGGAATTTTTTCCCAGTTTTTTTTTTCGTTAGTATAAAAGCAGAGGAGTCGTGAAAAGTTTTCTTGATTCTGTTTAAAGAAACCATCATCAGTAGTGGTTAATACTATCTCAAGATAATATTAATTACATTACAACATAGAAACCGATGTACTAGTTGGTTTGTATTTAAGAGTTTAATGAGGACCAGTCTCCTTCGGGAAGCTGTGAATCGTTATATTCAAGTTAATACTGGTATGGGCCGACTGGTACAGCAACACAACCCATAGCTGAGTGAATTTTGACCACCCCCAAACAAGGTGGGCACAATTTTCATTTCGTTTCCGGTTTCTTAGATAAATATCTGCTATGAGAGAGTTTGGGTCTGAAGATTCAAAGGAGCATGTTTCCAGAGGATGGCGTAAAGCTATCTGAGAGTTTGGAATTTCCATTGTGCCCTTTCTCATGGTAGGACAACTATTTGTTTATAGTATTGTAGAGCTTGGAAATTGTAGCAAACTGTGCCGCTATAGCCATTATTGGATATTGTGATAGTTCTCCGCGAGAGGAATTGTTAGCACGGTTTGGATGAGTTCCCCGAGCCTTTTAACCAAAGTGGTCTGCGGGGGAACATAAATCGTTTCACATATTTGCACGTCAGTCGTCAAAACAGGCGGAAGATGGTCCTTATATACATAACATGCTACTTACAAGATATTTATGATTGTGCGCCCGTCCAGAAAGGTTCGCGTCCGAACAAGATTTCTCGAGGCGTCCAGCAACCGAGATGACAGAATGTGGTCCAACGTACCGCTCCCGTTATTCTCCTGACGGCGGTTGTTGGTTGGTAGCATTCGCGGCTTTTTCCTTCTCCTTTTCAGCCAACTCGTATTTAAGTCTTTCAGCAGCTCTGTAGATCTTACTCTGGAGGTAGAAGCTGCCTCCTTTATCTTTGTCGTTCACATCAAACAGGTACTTAAATCTCTCTTCAATCTTTTCAAGATTCATGTCCTTCTCATTCTCAATGTTCAAGATCTTAGAGCTCTCATCAAGGGTAATACCACCGTACTGGGCACTAGCTGCCCCTGTTCTAGCAGCATTTTGTCCTTGTTTCCCGGCCTGAACAGCTGCTTGTTTGTAGGCTTCGGTAAAAGCGCGTCCAAATACTTGAGCACCCGATAATATGACTTGAAACAATGCCCTATGAGCCATATCAATTGGAAATATGCTATAGATTAGGTGGAGACAGACGAATTTCTCTGGGAGTAATGACTTATGTTGAATTTCTGATCAAAAATTTTTCTTCGTAGGTTCGTTATTCATTACATCATGAAGTCTATAGACTTAGTGATGAGAGAAGCGCAGTTAATGCAAGCAAATAAACGTTTCCTGATGTATTCCTTGAATTAATCATTATCCCTACTTAGTTGATAAATACAAAATGTGACCTAAATTGGCTTCTGTTTCTTCTTGTAATCTGCGAAACTTAGCTTCTTTTTAAATGGGCGCGAAACATCGGAGGAAATGGTTGGCGATTCCGATGCAAATTTAGTCGAAACAGCTGAAGGTAACGAAGAGCCTAGTCCATTTCCATCTTCCTTCGTTGTTTGCGCAAAACCAATAGATTCCCTGATAATAGCCGGTGAGCTAGATACATTTATTTCGACCGGTACCGGAAGAGCCTTCAAATCTGTGATATGCGACTCATCGTAGTCAAAAGGATTTGATATCACTGTCACTGCAGAGGTGATAGAATTTTTAGTCCCCTCTGTAGCACGATGTTTGGCAAGGTGTCTCTCTAATAATCGATATTTGAATGGCTTTACTCTTTCCTCTAGATTTTCATGAATTTGAACAGTATGCAACTGTGGATGGATACCTCCCTTCCTCTCCTGTTCCTCCAAATACTTTAACTTAGCGGTATGAAAATTGACTAATAATTCATGAGCCCGGGCGGCATTACTTATAGCGTCATGTGCCAAACGCGACAAAACAGGAGCCTGTTGCTTTTTCTTCCCTTGAACTCTATGCAAAATTTCATTCAGTTTGTATCTGTTGCTCATCTTGGATTTTACCAACTTTAGTAACGTATGAGAAAACTTTTTTACCTTAAGCAGGCAGCAGTCTTTATTATTACCACATGCACAATCACATCCTCCTAAAACAGTATCCACAGAATGTACAAGCAAATATTTGTCACAGTCAGGTAGAGATTCAACCGATGCATCTCCTTTAATTATACGCCATATGGGATGACAGAGATCCCACTGCCAGTCAATGTGTAACTCTTCACCTTCTCCTATGTCACGTACAGATCTGAGGACCATCTTTACCGTTCTTTTGTCGTCATTCATTCTTATTGCCACTAGCTCAACATTGGGCTGGCAACTTCTTCGAAGGTATCTCGTTGAGTTTCCACATAGTCTTGCATCAATATAAATAGGCCAGTGAGAGTGAAATAATACCTTTGGCTTCGTAGTTCCCCAAAGCCTGTAATTGTTTCTAGGATCTGAAATGTACTTTTTACGAAAATCGACTTCTCCTAAGAATTCGTCGATAAAATCGCCCTTAGAGCATTTTTGTTGTGTAAATACTCCAAGCTTAGGAAAGCCGGAAAACCCTCGTGAATTTGATCCTTCGGAATATGCTTTAATTTCGATTGGGATGGGTGTGAAAACTTTTTTATTGTATGGTATCACCCAATCATCATCACTATGTTCTTCAATGAACACCTTAGCATATTTGTCTTTAAATTCGTTCTCTGTCAATGGATAATAGGCGACAGGGTAAGATTCCTTCGCGTTCAGTAAGTTTTCGATCTTTTTTTCTAGTATAGGTGGAATTTCATGAGTTCCGGCATTGGAGTTCTTCCCCACATTGTTAGAGCCACTTGAAGAGCTTCCTGTACCATCTTCATCGAGGCTACTCTTCCTCCGTTTCTTGTTACCTTTGGGATTTATTCTTTCTTGTTGCTTTCTTTTTGCTCTCTTGACATCCAGCTTCCGCGGACTGCAAACGTTACAAAGGTGATCATCGGGGGCAGTTTCTATATCCTTTATACCGTAGCATATAGCATGCTGCCACCTATAGCAATGGTCACATTGGATGGTGAACCCGTCATCGTCATCAAAACCACATATACAAGTAATTATTCCTGAATCGGGATCCACCACATAGGAGTTTTCGATTGGCCAGGAATCTTGTCGATCAGTTCTTAAAGCATCTCCTACGTCTTCTCTAGGACCTGTGTCTTCCTTCTCTGGTTTTGGACTTTGATCTGTTTTCTTAAGCGGCAACGGCACTGTCGCAGCAGCAGCCAAGGCAGCAGCAGCAACTATTCCTTTTTTAGAATTTGTGTGTGAGGAGGAAGAACTCTGAGTTCTACTATGTTTTGCTTCTGGGTACTCTCCGTCTGCTCCTTCACTGAAGTCGTTGAGTAAAGCCACCGAAGCTGGACCAGGCGAAGCAAGTGGATTTACCTGCTGAAATGACGCTGTTGATGGTCCCCCATTGGTATCCGTGCTGCTCATAGGTGATCTGCACTGTGACTGAGACCTTGATCGTTTTTCCTGGGACTGATCCTCGCTGCCTTTCGAGAACATGAGTAAAGTCGAGGCATCCTCCAACAGTGACTGCTCTTCTTTAACCTTCTTTTCTTCCATGAGGAAATATCGGGTTATATATTGAGGATTATTGTGAACGTTATTCGTGAAGAATGAATCTTTTATAATATCACCAGTCGTTCCTTCGATGAAGTTTACAGCTCTCTTGCTATTGAAGGATGGGCTATTTTGTTGTGAATATTAAACGAAATGCTCTTTCGAAGGGGGGTGAGAGTTTGAAGATTGAATCAAATGTAATTCTGCTGTTTGAACGATACGCCAAGTTGAGAGCTGTTTAAACGAAAATATGTGTGTGTCTTCTATGGGCAAATTTCGAGAAAAAGTTCTCGTTCCAGAGCATCTACCAAGAAAGCAAAATTCGTAAGGACGGCTGATTGGAGCTTATTCCCGTAATGACCTAACGTCTCGTTATTACCTGCTTACGAGTTGATACGACACTATATTCCAACAACAGACTTTATTCAATCGTTGTGAATAGTGCCTCGTATAATCTCTTCGTTTAAATTACACAGATAGGTGCCCAAAGTTGTAGGTGCCTCGGTTTAATTTGTACGTCCGGCCATCAAAAGAACTTCGAGGCTAGTAAAAACCGTGGCAGCCTTTTTTAGCCAGTTTCATTTGTTGTTCCGCCTTTTTCCGCCCAATAACATCTGCGTCAATTCAACAGCGTGTGCCTGAGGCAGCTAGAATTTTGCAAGGTAGTTAGTCGCAACCAGAAATATCGAGGGATGATGTTGTGTCTTAGCAAGTGCAAGAATTTACTTGATATATTCTAGCTATTAGATATGGTCGGCCGTATGCGGCTGTTTTTGATTATCCTTGATTTACCGTTTTATGGTCAATGTTAGGACTCGAAAGAGAAAACATCTAGTGGCAATTGCTGCTGTAAATAAGTCAAACACTTATAGGAAACGTGAGACTGTATCTTTCGGCAAAACGTGCTTGTTATGCTTGGTTGATTCCTTTTTATCGCTTTTTTCGTTCAAAGTATAACGACGGTTTAAAAAATACACAGAATTATCCGAAAAAGATTTAAGACCTACAGACGACGCATAGATACCATCTCACCAGCCAACCGCCCTTATTTTTCTGCGCATAGCGCGATATCTGCGTGAACTTCACATCCGAGTTTGCCGCCGATGGTCATCGTAACAGACGGGAACAGCATTGATGAGGCGTCTTTGGAAGTGCCGAGCCATGAAAAAGCCTCGTATCGGTTATAATTTGCTTTGTAGCTTGGATTCAAACCATTCTATCTCATCTATATGCTTTCGATTATGTTCCATACGCCAACCAAGCTTTGTTTTTCCCCATGCTCCTTCGCGCCATTTCCATTTGCTCGCTAATGGAGATGCCAAAGTTCCGTCCATCCTCTTCTTTATGTATTTCCCAATATTGGGAAGAAATTTGTAACCGTGACCAGAATCACCACAACTTACGAAGACGTTAGGCTGATGAGGTACTTCGTCTATCACAAAGTCGGAATTGGAAGTGTCACTTATCCAGCAAATTTTACAATCAATGATTTCACGTAACTTGCCGTTGAACTCCAGTAAGTCTGGGAGATACTGACTAATCAGGGTTCGAATTTGGGTAACAGATTGCCTTGGGATACTCCTTACGATAGACGGTTCCTCCACCTTGTAACGAGGCCGCACTCCGTCACTTGACTTATCGTAGGTAGAGCTTGCGCATGCGCAGATTTTCAAAGTCTTTGTATCTTCGTCAGGCGGGAAAAAATAACCCAGCGCTGGATTGAATACGACTGGGATGCCTTTGTATTTTTCATATTCCTGTTCAGTCAGTTGGATGTGACCAACGTATAAGCCTGTAGCTTTGACCAACTGACCGGTGGGTAAAAGTGAGGAAGAGTTTGCGCCACACGCAACTAGAGCTCTTCGAGCAACTATGATTCTGCCGCTTGCCGTTTCGACTTTAACAGGATCCCCTCCAACTACGTGAGTAACACCGTCTGCTTCAATAAATTGGACCCCATTTTGTTCACAATACTGTTTCATCCGCGTCAAAGATTTAGCAGCGATCCCAATTCCACAGTCAGGATTGAATCTTAACAATTGTGTAGGGGGTAACCTTGCATTTGAAAATTGAGGGAAGATTCCACTACATGTCAGATCACCCTTGTATTCTGAAACATCATTGCATCTACCAAATTGTTTCTTTAACAACTCTAAACTCTGCAATTCAAATTTATAACGAGCAGTCGTTTCCGGGGGTACGACACTGATACGGCCACAATGAGAATAGGTATTGTGGAGAAGACCTCGAGGTAAAAGCTCCCCAGCATTGCCTTGCCAGTAATTCATGGATTCCACCGCCATGCCCGCGTATACCGGATCGTTATATTCCAGTCTAACTATTTTGTTGTAATCATTTGCAGCTGAGATAGGAGATGGAATCGCGTATTTATCGATAACCACGACTTTTTGGCCCGAGCGGATGAACTGTGCAGCAGTTGAAAGTCCAAAGACACCACCGCCGATTATCACCACATCATACACCATCTTTGTCGCTTGGGTAAACTTTCACAAAATTGCATCTGGAACTGATTTGATCTTAGTGACGATTCTCAACGGACTTCAGTGGGATGCTGCATTCCGTATAAAATGTGCGCGATCTTATCAACCCGCATTGGCCGAGGAAATTCCGCAGTCTCGAGACGAATCCCTTAGAATTATGGTGCATTTCCGGAAATTTCGGTGCATCAATACAAATTCCTAAGGGGAGAATATTCAATGCACAGAATGTGATCAAAAAAACAAGAGAAAAAAAAAAAAATAGTGGCGTTTAGAAGAGTCGTTAACGAGGCGGAAATTTACTAGCAAGTCGAGTTTAGTTTCTTTGTAAGTGAAACTCGAGTGAAACTCATGTTAGCGCAAGGTTTTTCTTTGTTCACATGGGCACCATTATCAAGGACTTGTCAAGACATGGGGTAGCACACCAGTTTGAGGAGTACACAGTTTGAGGGAATAAGTTGGCTTCTGAGAGAGAAGGGTATGTCGATGGCAAAGAATTCTTGACTTGAAATCGAATTCATGTTTTTAAGATTGCGCAGGTCAAGTTCAAAGAGAGAGAACTTTGTGCCAAATTATTACGAATTGGCACCAGATATGTGCGTGCGTGTGTGTTTTTTTTGTGATCCTTTCGAGATGAGATAACTACTCAAAAGGTTAGACTATTAGCCTGTGTAAAACTATGACTATGATGATCTTGAGCATTTGCACCACTATCCTGTGTAAACGATGGAATGGTAAATGTGCGAGGGATTCCATTCGATCTGCACGAGTCGATCGACATATCATCCTGTATGTGGCAACGATGAATGGGGTCTTCGTCAGCGCAATAGTGAGAATGGTGCCCTTCATCTTCTGCTGTGGGATATGGAATATAATTTGCGATATCTTTTTCACTCACATCTTGTAATGCTCCGTAATTCACAGAGGACGCGACGTAGTACTCTGCAGAACTGAAATCGTCAGGCTCCTCCTCTTCTTCTTCTTCATTTTCATCCTCATCTTCGACCACGTCTTCAACATGTAGACAATTCATGTCTGGTTGATCAGCGTCAAAAGTGGTGCTTAACTTTGGCACCTCGAAATTTGAAGAAAACTCTTGCTTCAATGAATCGGAGTCTCGAGCTGTACCTGCATCGTATAGGAATTGTCGAAAGGATAGTTCCTCATCGCGGTGAGGTGGATTGGTGCCATTGAAATCAATGATATTGGGTGCCAAAGAAGTGGAAGTGGAGTGGGTGGCTTCCAATTTCAGCGATGGCGCTTCGCAACCTTTATTAGTATCTAGCTTGGCGATATTTTCATCATTTTCGAAGAATTTGAGCGAATGTAATTGCTGTTGTTGGCTGGTGACAATCGTGTCCTTGGTAGCTACTACAGTGTTATGGAAATATGGCATATCACACAATTCTTGAACACTGGCACGCAATTTGGGATCCCATGTCAAACACGCTTTGATGACATGTGAGAGATCACTCAATTGCGGGTTGTTGATGATGTAATCAACGTCGACGCCCTCCACGTAGGGGAATTTCAACTTCATCCGCAGCGCCAATTGCTTGGAGTGTTCCCAAACGCCCCCATTGGGAGTGTAACCTTTCAAAGCGGCCTCGGGCATGGAATGGGGGGTCCCCAGGACTTCCAAAATCTTCCAAATTTGGTCCATTTCGTCGGATCCGGGGAAAAGCGGTTTGAATGTGGCCAATTCTGCCACCACGCATCCAAACGCCCACACGTCGATGGGGCGAGAATAATGGCCCTGGCGCAAGAGGATCTCGGGCGACCTGTACCAGCGGGTCGACACGTAGGCGGTGTAAGTGGCCTTGTTTCTCACGTGGCGGGCCAAACCGTAGTCGGCAATTTTCACGATGTAATTGTCGCGGTAGTGGCCGTCCAGAAGCCATTCTTTGCTGTAATAGTGGTTGGAGGGAGAGATGAGGATGTTTTCCGGTTTTATGTCGCGATGGAAGAAGTTATGAGCGTGGATGTGGCGGATTCCGGCCAGGATTTGCGCCAGGATGGATTTGAGAGAGGGCAGCGAGAACGCGCGCCGCTTGCGCTGCCGCATGAGCTGGTAGAGGTTCTGGTCCATGCACTCCATGACGATGTGGAGTTGGTAGTTGAGATCGTCGACAAACAGTTCCCAGATCCGCACGAGGTTTTTGTGGGCGGGCATGGCGAGGATGAACTTGATTTCGCGGACGCGCGTGTAGTCGCCCAGCTTCGGGAGCCGCGTCATCATGGTCTTGATGGCGAGCAGGCCGCGCTTGCGGTTGTAGAAGTTTTCCTGTTCTGGATGCGCCACGGCCGAGTCCTCCATGAGAGTGTTGTGGTAGGCTGGGCGGTGCGAGTTGGGGCTGCTGGCGTGGAGCTTGGCCAGGGTCACGGAGCCGAAGCTGCCATTGCCGAGCTCTTGCAGAAGCGTGTAGCGGTGCGCGATAGACTTGACGGGGATGTAGAATGGGGGGGAGTGGACGTCGGGTGGGACGGCTGGCTGCGAGGATTTGTCTTTGCTCTTGAGCAGGTACATCATGGCGCCGAGTGTACGTCAATGGAGACAGGTGGGCGGTCGTGAGAGAGACGAAGAAGCAGGAAGGAGGGGGGCGCTGGGGGGGTTTATATAGTTCGGCGGGAATAGCCGCCGAACTCGAGGGACGGGCTGCGGTGTGTGGGGGGCGCGGCCGCGCGGGGCGGCCACAAAAAGAGATGGCGAGAGGGAGAAAGCGAGAGAGAGATCGCGAAACAGAGATAGAGAAAGAGAGAAAGCGAAACCGCCGCCGCACCTCGTGACCGCACGGCTGGAGCCCACCGCCGTCCCACGTGACAACAACACAACCCACACACCATGACGTAATCCAGACCCTGACACCCAGCAGCACACCCACGCCCCCGCACCCACACACCTCCCGCTGCGCCGCGTCTCCTCCCGTCCCTCCCCAGCGAAGGTCTCGGTCCGCACCCGCCGCCCATTCTTAGCAGGCGCGCGAAATCGTCCGCGTCCGTTCCAGCGCACGCCGCACGCACGTAACAGCGGCGGCGCTAACTGGCGCCCAGAGAGCCCGGCAACTGCGGCCGCGTTTGCTTTTTTCCAACTCTGGACTCCCCCGTTGGCAGCTGGGCACTGCAGTATGACGTTAGGAAATAAGTGTGCATCAGATTGCAAGCAAAGACGTATGTAGAGAGGCGTCGATGGCTGCTAGGCGTTTCATAAGCTTACGTTAGATAGATATATATAAGACACAACCGATCGGGCGCGTGCCAGATCGATCTGTCCTCACACAAAGCCAAGCCACACGCCCTGAACGCACAACCCGCACTACACACAGGACATGACAGCTCGAACGAATCTCTCACCGGGCGACCAAACGCCCAAGAAAAGCAAGTCGGACAGTAGGGTCGGAGCCAGCGCGAGTTCCGCGCGCGGGCGTCCAAGTCGCCCGCAACTCAGAAGCGCGTCGTCGGACCGGTTCCGGTTTCTTAGAGCGCGCTCGCCATCTAGCAGGGCCACCGACCAAGAGGACGGCAGTAGCAGCAGCAGTGACGACGAGGAGCGTCACGACGGCGCCTCCGGCGCCGTCGCGGGCTCCAGGAACGGCCTACCCTCGTTCACACGCAGCAGCTCGCACCAGGACGCCAGCAACATCGAGCTCGTGGCGCGGCGTCGCCAGCGTCAGGAGCTGATCGAGCGCGACGCAGTCCACACTATCCAGATACAGCGGAAACGACGCGGGCTCGGACGACGAAGACCCGGCGCGTCCCGCGCAGCTCGAGCACGACTACGAGCAGAAGAGGGCGCGGTTCGACCACAGCGACGACGGCGGCCGCGATGGAGGAGACCGTGAGTACCAGCTTTCAGACGACGACGGCGACGGCGACGACGACGAGCGCGAACGCGAGCACTCTGCCGGCCCTCGCGCGCTCGTGCGCGACGCGGCCGCGCCCGGCGAAACCCGCTCCCACAAGCGCGCGTCCAGCTCCAGCTCCAGCCCTGAGGACGAAAAGGACGTCGACTCGTCGTCCACGGCGTCCGAGGACGACAAAATGGACCATTTCAAGCATTTCTTCCGCCGCCGCTCCACCGTCCGGCGCCAGTCGCAGGACTCGCGTCCCAGCGGCGGCATGCGCAGCCTGCGCTCCGCCGGCGACGACGACGCCGACGACCAGGACCAGGGCTTCTTCTCCAAGTTTATCAACTACACCGGCGGCGGGCTCGTGCCGGGGCTGGAAAACACCGACTCGAAAAACTCCGACGCAGATCGCGAAAAAGAGTCCGGCCAGCACAACCTCGAGGAACCCGTCGAGGACGCAGACATCAGGGACTTTGCGCAGCAGATCGTGCAATCGCACGCGGCGTCCACGCCGCACGGCGCTCCAGGCGGCCCAGCCCACGACCCTAACCGTCTGGCCCCCAGCGACTCGCTGGCCCTGCCCCAAGCCGAGCTCGATGGCGCCCCAAGCATGTCCGACGCAGAGACAGCCGTGCCCTCGTCGCACAACTCTTTTTTCGCGCCAATGGTGGGCCACTACGACGACATCGACCAGCAAGAAGAGTTCGACCCTCTCATGGAGGATTCTTCCTACATCGCGCCCCCCTCCAGGGTCAGAGGCGGTGTGCTGGGCTCGCTATTGAAGTTGTACCAAAACCAGGAAGAAGAGCTTACCAAGTCGCAGCTTTCGCTCGATCAAACTCCGGTCCCAGAGTCCTCGGAGCCTCCAACCACTACGGGCAAGAAATCCAAGAAAATATCCTTCTCCACGCCCTCTTTTGGCGGCATGCGTGCCAAGAGCTCCACCAGTCTCTCCACTGAAAATCAGCACGGATCGTCTAGCAAGTTGCCCAATTTCAAAGCCACCAGGCCAAAGGTCAAAAACATAAAAAACGTCGCAAAACACGCCAACAAATTGCGTCGCAAGGCCAACGCAGAGGCCAGAATCACCGTACACATCGCAGATCTGTTGCAGCGCCAAAGATTCATTCTTCGGATGTGTAAGGCTCTCATGCTTTACGGTGCCCCCACCCACAGATTGGAAGAGTATATGGTCATGACCTCACGTGTGCTGGAAATCGACGGCCAATTCCTGTATCTTCCTGGCTGTATGATCGTTTCCTTTGGTGATGCCACCACTAGAACTTCCGAGGTTCAGTTGGTAAGATGTAACCAGGGCCTCAACTTGTGGAAGTTGCACCAGGTTCACTCCATTTACAAACTTGTCATCCATGACCTGATGAGCGTCGAAGAGGCCAACTCCGGTATCGATGCCATCTTGGCTCAAAAAAACTTATACCCTCCCTGGGTTTGCGTCTTACTGTATGGTTTTTGCTCCTCGATGGTAACCCCATTCGCGTTTAGCGGTGATTGGATCAACATGGCCACTTCATTCTTCATCGGAACCTGTGTTGGGTGTCTTCAATTCATCGTTTCACAGAGATCAAATCTTTACTCTAATGTATTCGAAGTCACGGCTTCCATCGTGGTCAGCTTCTGTGGTAGGGCGTTAGGGTCGATTCCTAAATCTAATATTTGCTTTGGTGCCACCGTCCAGGGCTCTCTTGCCTTAATTCTGCCTGGCTATATCATCCTGTGTGGTTCTCTGGAATTGCAAAGCAGAAATATAGTCGCAGGAGCCGTGAGGATGTTCTATGCCATTATTTACTCATTATTTTTGGGTTTCGGTATCACTTTGGGCGCCGCTCTATTCGGATGGTTGTACCACGACGCGACAAATGAAACCACATGCGCGAAACATGTTTCTCCATGGTTCAGGTTCATCTTCGTTCCTGCCTTCTCCATCGGTCTTGCTTTGATTAATCAAGCAAGATGGACCCAGATTCCAGTCATGACGTTCATATCTTGCTGCGGTTATGTCGTCACATATTTTTCAGGTTTACATTTCAAGAACTCTACAGAGTTTACATCCGCTATGGCGGCATTCATCATCGGTATTTTGGGTAACTTTTATTCTAGAATTTGGAAAGGTTTAGCTGTGTCTGCTATGTTGCCGGGGATTTTCGTGCAAGTTCCATCCGGTGTTGCCTCACAAAGCTCTCTATTGGCAGGTGTGCAAAGCGCTAACGAAATTACAAATTCTAGCAGCTCTTCAGAAGCAGCTACTGCTGATCTTTCTTCCTCCATGTCCTTTGGTATCACCATGATTCAAGTGTCTATCGGTATTTCTGTTGGTCTATTTGCCTCGACATTGTTTGTCTACCCATTCGGTAAAAAGAAGACAGGCCTTTTCACACTGTGATACTCATAATTTTCATCAATTTTTGCAAATAAATACACATACATATTTGTATATTATTCCTTCGATACAATTTGACTATTCGTTATTGATGTCACGAGCTATTGGGTTCATTGTTTCTTTTTTTGTCAGCTTGTGAAAAAAAAATTTGCAAGCGATGAGCTTCAACTAGCGTGCTAATAAATTAGATCAAACGCAAGAGCAGTCGTTTCTCGATTTCATCAAAGCAATAGATATGTCTTTAAGGGATCAATTAGCTCAAGTTGCCGCTGCTAACTCAACTGTTGCCTTAGATAGAAAGAGAAGACAAAAGCTTCATTCAGCATCGTTAATTTACAACCCAAAGACTGCAGCTACTCAAGACTATGACTTCATCTTCGAAAACGCGTCCAGCGCACTCCGTGATTTGATTGAAATTGACGCAAGGTTCGAGACCTTTAGCCAATCTCTATTTAATCCATCATCGGTTTCAATAGACAGAAATGTCCAAACGAAGGAACAGGTAAAGGATTTGGATAATGCAGTTAATCTATTTCTTATGTTGTCATCTTCAAGATGGCATTTAACACCAACACTTCATGCTGTTGAATGGCTTGTTCGCCGTTTCCAAATCCATATCCATAATGCAGAGTGCCTAATGCTTTCGACAATAAACTATTACCAGGCACCGGTGTTCAAAAGAATTTTAAACATAGTTAAGTTGCCACCCCTCTTCAATCCTTTAAGCAACTTTGTCAGAACAGAAAAAATGCCTACAAGCTTGACGATCATTAAGTTGTTTAATGACATGGACTTTTTGCGTCTTTACACCAACTATTTATCCACGACCATTAAACAAAAAGTAACTTATACCAATCAGCTATTGTTTACAACTTGCTCTTTAATAAATTTGGTCGCATTTAACTCCGGTGATGAAAACAGCTTGACTAAACTTGTGCCAATAATTCTCGAAGTATCCGCTAAGTTGCTGGTTTCTAGTTCCGTTGACTGTCAAATTGCCGCGCATACGGTTCTAGTCGTTTTTGCAACTGCCCTTCCCCTAAGCAAAGAAATAGTCTTGGCTGCCACTGAGACCATTTTGGCAAACTTAACTAATGGGAAGGCGAAGAGATCCGCATTGATATCCATCTGTAAACTTTTCCAAACACTCAGAGGTCAAGGTAATGTTGATCAGCTACCTCCCAGTATTTACAAGCTATTTGACTCCAGATTCGACTTTGACTTTTTAGGAGAATTTTTGGACAAGAAAGAGAAGGTTCCTGTTGATAAATTCATTACCACTTACATTAGAGCCGTCGCAAGATATGACCATGATAAACTAGATCATCTTGTTCCCCTTCTTAAGGGGGTAAAACTCGAAAAATTTGAGGTTAGGCTAATCATTACGGATCTCATCCATCTTTCTGAGGTCATCGAGGACAAATCCCAGCTTATCAACATTTTTGAGTATTTCATTTCAATTAACGAAGATATGGTTTTGAGATGTCTAGGATCATTAAATTTAAGTGCTGAGTTATTCGAAATGAGGTTGACTACATCTCTTTTCGCAGCAAATCGTGCCATAGACGACACACCAATCGACATAGAGCCTGCAAAGGTCATCGGGGCATCCAAGAGTGTCGAATCTTTTAAAGAATTCCTAAACAAAAATTCAGAGCACATTAACACAAAAAATACCTCTATGCTAATAGAAGATGACCAAAAGTTCGGAAAACTTCTTTCTCTGTTTGTCGAGGCTGTAAGTAAGAAGTATCAACCTCTTCTTTTTCTTTCTTCCTTTTTCACCACTATGGAAGGTAGATTGACTTTCTTGCTGAGGGTTACCGTCTCCCCCGCATCGCCAGTTGCACTCCGCTTAATTTCGCTCAACACCTTATCGAAATTAATTAACCAGATTGACCACGAGACAAATGTCTTCACTTTGGTCCCAATCCTGATTACTGCGTTGTCGGATATTTCTAAAAATGTGAGATCAAGTGTCAAGAAAATTCTAACTCAAATTTTGAAGAGGCCTTTCACCAAGCACTACTTTCTTGCTAACAAAATATATGGGGACTTAGACGTTCCAATGCTAAGTCCAAAGGACAGCCAAACTTGGTTGGAAGACTTTTTGAGAGAATATTTGATTGAGAACTATGATATCTCTAACGTATTTATTCCTAAAAAAAATGAGAAAATATACCTAATATTTTGGGCCAATCAAACTCTTTTCATGCCACTTCCTTATTCAAAAATGACTTTACTCCGTTTTATCACAAGTCACCCATCATATGGCTCAACTTACTCTCAATTGTTCGAAGGATTTTTCAAAAGCTATTTGACGCAAAGAAGTTCATGGGAATCCAAGTGCGAAGCTAATAAAACCAGCTTTCATGATTTCGAGAGTGCGATTGTCTCTACCATTGCTCCTAAGGAAAAGAGCAAGGCTATCATTGACTTCATAATGGATGCACTAAAATCCGACTTCACTCAACTGGCTAATCTAATTGCAGACAGATTAATAACCATTTACCCAACGCTTAAGTTTAATCAACAATTACAACTTGTTCAAAATATAATTGATACTACGGCCGAGTGTGATTTGTCATACGACTCTGTAAATCTTTTACAATCCCTTCCATTGGGTACTGATATATTTGTGGCCACTCTTTCTCATTATCGAATCAACTCTGATGAAGATTCAAATGATTTGAATAAGAGGAGAAGAAGAAGATCATCAACGACAAATAAAATGGCTCTACAAAAAGAAGAGGTCTCTCAAATAGCTGAGGTTCATCTGAGAAAGTTAACAATTTTACTAGAGGCTTTAGACAAGAGCAAAGTGACCGGAACAGAACCTTTACTCAGTGGCTTATTCAACATTCTTTCTGATCTTGAGACCTTGGATCAAGATGGTGGCTTACCTGTGCTATATGTTCAAGAAACTATCTCATCTTGTATGCTGGAGACCATTGAATCTTTGAAAGCTAATTCTGACGCCGATCTTGGTTCGATCAGAGCGGATATACTTGTTTCTGCCATCAGCTCTTCTCAATCACCTCAAGTTCAAAATAAGCTCCTGCTAGTCATTGGCGCGCTTGCAACCGTTAATCCCGAAATTGTTCTTCACTCCGTGATGCCTATTTTCATCTTCATGGGTGCGCATACAATTCGTCAAGATGATGAATTTTCCACTTACGTTGTGGAAAAAACTATTAGAACAGTTGTACCTGCTTTATTGAAATCCAATTCCTCAAATAAGAAAGACGAAACAGAGCTTCTATTGATGAGTTTTGCTACTGCTTTCGCGCATGTTCCAAAGCACAGACGGGTAAGATTGTTTACATCTTTAGTGAACACATTGGACGCTCATGAAACCATTGGTCCTTTTATGTTCTTGATTTCTCAACAGTACTCATCGCAAATCAATAAATTCAAGGTTGCTGAAAGCAAGTCATTGATCGAATTCATGAGGGCTTTCATGAATAAATTCAGTATATTGGATCAGATTCACGGGCTAGAAGAGTTTTTTGGTCTATTGAATGTTGTAACAACAGAAACTTCCTCCGAAGTTAAAGAATCTATGACTGCCAGAACAATATTCTCAAATGGGATTATGAACTTCACATTTTCTGAAGCTGTATCATTGAAGAAGAATGCGCTGGACTTCATTGATAAAGTGATCGAGAATAACGAGGCTCAATTCCGCGGCACGAACAGCTTGAAGTTGGGCATCACTAGTGCATTATGGGATTCTGAACTGGATAAAGAATTCACCAACTCTCTAAGAGCAGAATATAGCAAATTGTTACAAACAATCTTGGACTCCATTAATGATATAGAGAATACATCTAGTGGTAATGTTGTTACAGAGGATGAGTCCTTTTCTGACAACGATTATGAAGATCACATGAAAGATATTTCTGATATTCTCTTTAGTCTACTAGGCCATGTCTTAGACCTTTTGCCCATTAAAGATTTCGTTTCTGCAGTCTTACCATTAATAAGTAAGGATTCGAAGGAAGAAATCAGAAATCGCTTAACAATGGTTATTGCTTCAAAGTTCGATTTGGAGCCGATGGAATCACTCAACTGTGCTGACGAGGTCATGAAGGCATTATTCAAGAATATTAATATCCAAATTGAAGAGGCAAGCTTGGTACAAGTTTCCCTCAATGCAGTGAGCTCGTTAATTAGCAAATTCGGCGATAAATTGGATTCTGAAAACTTGATCCAAACGCTCAAGATTAGCAGTGTGACGCTACTTTCCGGCAAAGTCGAAATAATCATATCTTCTCTTGCAGCGGTAACAAATGTGATTCATGCAATCGGTGTTAAGTCTATAGCGTTTTACCCCAAGATTGTGCCACCCACTTTGAAGATCTTTGATACTTTTGAGGACAGTTCCGAAGAACTTGATGAGGAACTTCAATTAGCAATCCTTCTATTGTTCTCTTCAATGGTGAAGAGGATGCCAGCGTTCCTCATGTCGAATTTGGTTGATGTATTGCGTGTCATATTTTCCTCAAATAGAGTCCAAGACTCTGTGAGGTTATCAATAATTTCACTAGTCGTCGAGCAAATTGACTTGAAAGAAGTTATGAAGGCTTTGTATAAGGTCTGGCTCTCTGATATCTCTAAGGCCAAAGATGCAGTTTCAGTATCACTATTTTTGAGTTGCCTGGAATCAGTTGTGGATGCAATTGACAAGAAAGCTGCGACTTCTCAATCTCCCACATTTTTCAAGCTATTGCTTTCATTATTCGAATACCGATCAATCAGCATTTTTGACCATAATACCGTGAGCAGACTTGAAGCTTCTGTTCATCAAATTGCAAATACTTATGTTTTGAAGTTGAATGATAAGGTGTTCAGACCTTTGTTTGCTATAACAGTGAGGTGGGCATTCGATGGAGAGGGTACGGTGAGCACTACAATTACAAAGAATGAAAGACTGATCGCTTTTTTCAAGTTCTTTAACAAATTACAGGAGAATTTGAGATCCATTGTTACATCTTATTTCACCTATTTGCTTGATCCGGTGACTGCCCTATTGAAGTCCTTCATTTCAGGGGAGCTCTCAGATGTGAATCTGCGTCGCCTTGTACTCAACTCGCTAACTTCCTGCTTTAAGTATGATCGGGACGAATATTGGAAATCCACATCCCGTTTTGAACTCGTCTCTGAAAATTTGGTCAATCAATTGAGCAACATAGAAGACTCGATTGGTAAATATTTGGTCAAGGCTATTAGCTCATTGGCAGTAAATAACAATGGGGTGGATGAGCACAACAAGACCATGAACGTACTCTTGATCTCTCACATGAAGTCTTCCTGCAAAAACCGTGAGAAATATTGGGCAGTGAGATCCATAAAACTAATTTACTCTAAAGTTGGTGAGGGCTGGTTGGTGTTATTACCTCAACTGGTTCCAACGATAGCTGAACTTCTCGAAGACGATGATGAAGACGTTGAATTTGAAGTTAGAACTGGTCTAGTTAAGGTCGTTGAAAATGTTTTAGGAGAGCCATTTGATAGATATCTTGATTGATCGCTTATTCTTGTGACTGGAGTAGTCTTTCACTGTGCAGTTGTATATTTAAGTATAGATTATAACTCGATCACATTTTGACGACGCGATTGAAAACAATGCAGTTTTTCACTTTTTCAGATTCCAACATAAAAATACATCCTTCAAACCAACAGCACAGCTCGAAGCCACGACATAAAGAGACACTGAAAGAATGTCAGAACTACCACTTACTTCACAGGATCTCTCTTATAGTTCGTCGAAGGCAGGAATCCCTACGGTCGTCAAGCGCCTCTTTAAATCGCCGCGGAACTTAGACTTTGAATCTGCTCTGTGGGAGATGTTTAACCTCGTCCTAAGGCCACGCAAGGCCTATAGATCCTTGTATTACAAACGACAGACAAGAAATAGATGGTCAAGGGATGATCCATCTTTCTTCATTTTACAAATCGCACTATTGACGCTGAGCTCAATGGTATGGTCAATAGTATATGGCCACTCATTCTTTGGATTTTTGAAAATGATGATCAACATGATAGTACTGGACTTTTTCACATTTGGATTTGTGATAGCATCTGTATTTTGGTTAGTGTTGAACCGCCCTTTCTTCAAGTTCAGGTCAGCGCAAGATGCTAACGTGGAATGGGCCTATTGTTTTGATGTTCATTGCAACGCTTATCTAGCAGTGTGGTGCTTGCTATATCTTTTACAATTTTTACTACTCCCAGTCATCAATTTGCATAAGTGGATCGGCCTTTTTATTGGCAACACGTTATATTGCACTGCATTCAGCTATTACTTCGTTTTGACCTTTTATGGTTACAGCCAGCTGCCTATCTTAAAAAATATAAACTTTATTCTGTTGCCTTCACTCCTGTTCGCAGGATTGTACATTGTCAGTTTGTTTGGAATCAAACTATCTGAAGTGTTTAGTTTCTACAACTACTAGAAAATGAGTATTAATACATCTACACGAAACCGCAGATTTCAGTGCTAACATGGACTCTGGCAGCTTATTACTACTTATAAAAATCGTCTCTCCCTTCAGGATAACTTTGAACCGTGCGCTGCTAATGCTGTGTTCAAACTCGACTTCTCGATGAAATTCTCTAATTATGTTAATTTCTCAGGTACCTATTCGCTCAAAAGCTATAACACCGGGGAACGGGAGCTCTTCGCTTTCTGGAGTTTCCGGACAAGTACCCAAATACACCAGCTTGGGCATTTCGTAGTCGGGACTTTGAGGAAGCGTATCTTTCCAGCCCACATAATTTTCAGACTCCTCACTCTTATTCAATTCTACGAAATCTATCCTCAAAGAGTTGTCTTCCCCAATTGAACAGTGCAGTTTAAACTGTTTCTCATAAAAGTCACCCTCACCGTCGAAATACATTATCCCAGTCGACGTACCGGAGAACCGTGCTGTACATGAACCGAGCCCTACAACAGAATTGCCTTCCAAACTCAGATGTATATTTGAAAACGCGAATGGATTCATTTGAATATCAACCTTGGCATTGAGACATCTTCTGTATATCCTTGTTGGGCACATCCTCCGCTCGTGAGGTTCATGCACTTTGACATGCCATCGATGCATAGAAACAGATAAGACACCATGTGCTCGCTATAAACGAATGTGACGAATGTGACGAATTTATAACCGGTAGTCCCATTGTGATGACCGAGTTTAGGAGAAAGTAGCCTCAGTTCTTAAGAGTTGTTCCTCCGCTTCTTTTATACTAAGATTTTCCGTGAACATTGAAGCTGTTATAATTTCAGAGCGAAACCTTGCTGCGCGAAACATATGCAGCCAGTCCGATTATGCGGCCAAGTCACAGGAAGTAAAAACCAAACTGCCCTATATTGAGTAAAGCAATATTATCTAATAGTGCACTGCTTATCTCTATATTTGCGCATTATTAAAAAAAGGAAAGGGGAACAGCGTCCCACAGCTGCGTGCCTTTGTCGTAAACTATTAACGACGACAATTAAACTTATAAATAATAAACTAAATAACTTCAAAACGTAATAACATAGTAGTTACAATTCCTTTTCGGAATGTCTGACCGGCAGGGTGCTATCTCTGTCTGCGAGGCGCAAAGAGTCTTGGTGTAGAATCGGTCGCGATAACCTAAACGTGGAGTGCGCAGTTGAGTCTGAGTGTGGAGAATGATCGCTTTTCCCATTTCGTAAATCGCTAAACTGGCTGACACTACCAGAGAGCATAAGTACGGTTCCACTTAGCTCGTAAACTTCTGAGTCATGCCAGAGCTGGCCCATTAAATTTTTACCCTTTCTGATTTTATTTTTTAAGACTGTATCTTCAATGTAATGTATCTCATCATCCTTAAAATCATTGGTGTCATTCCCCTTCGCCATTTCGAAGAGCTCTTCAAAAGGGATGCTTTTTTTTTGTCGACTATTTCGAGGACAGGTCGTTCTTCGTGCGGATTTTGTCCGTGAGGAGGAGGTTGGGCCCACTTCCATGATGAGCCTTTTCGAGGTTTGGAATCGTCTTGGAGAACGTGTTTGAGCCGGGCAACAACTATTTTCTCACCAACTTTTCCGGAAGAGGGAAATCTTTCGATGTTCCGCAATTGGTTGCTTAATTTCTCAATTAGAAGTTTGGCCTGCAGATCGCTTCTTATCCAAAATTTAGCGTTGGACACATCGGTAGATGAATACTGATCTGGAATTCTGCTACTGTCAATAGTATTTTGAAATCCATTAGGATACTGCTTATCTTTGCTCGCCAAAAAGGTTAATGATTGTCCACTGCTATGGGAACTATTACCCTTGAGCATTGAGAAATAATCCTCGGAGTCATCTGAGGCAGCTTTGTTACTTGCAAAACTGTCGAACTTACTCTTAAGAGCGTTCATTTTCATCTGTAGACGAGATACGTGAGCTGAGCTGTTGGAATTGGCGTTGGAAATCTTCGAGATGTCCTTTTGAAACCCCTCCAATGTTGCAGAATCTTTTCTGGAGAGGGCGGGTGGTGCTTGTAGCTTAGTGAACGGTGATTGGTTGGAGCTCGTAATACTAGGCGTTTCATCTGCTGTTTGCTCGGCATCTTCATCAAATTTGTTATCGAATGTGTAGTTTTTCATGAATATGTCCTCATTAATGGCAGTCTCTATCTGGCTTTCTAGGGATATCTTTCCATCCTCGCTATTAGGAGGATGATCCGAGTGAGGACTGTCTTGTATATCTGTATTGTTTCGCTGGCTCTTGTTCTGAGGAAAGAATTTTCCACCCTGTTTATAATTGGTTCCACCTGGTTTCTCGATAGGCACCGAGCTTTCATTGTTTAGAATTCCACCACTATCATTCCGCGCGCCTATGATCTCGACATTGAGAGCTTCTTCTGAATGTCGAGGACCGAAGTATTCTAAGTTGTTTCCTATTGTAGGGATAGCGCTTGAACTCTTGGGCCTTGTTGCGAAGTTCCTGCTCACCTCATAATGGCTGATCGGGTTGTTGCAACCATTTGATCTGCTTCTACTGTTGGAACGACTACTTCTAATTACGACGTTCATAGAGGAGCATTTGTTCTCTGCGTTTGCGTTTCTATAATCTTCCAGTGTAATAGTGCTGTTATTCCTCTTGTTCATTATATTATTATAGAGCACACTGGCAGCTGAACTGCGTTGCCGATTGGCTATGAGCTTAGAAGCATGGTGGTGCGGGTTCCCATTAGGAAGTACCGACTCCTCGTTGCGATTCTCTGGTACCGTGTACAAGTTTTTGTTCGGCAACTTATGTGAGGTTGTCCTTACCAGTGTATGCCTCTGTTGATGTGGATTGAACCCATTTAGCATAGTTGACAACTCACTGGCATTGCTAGGAGGACTTTCTGACAAGTCTTTAGAAGGCCTGCTAATGGATCGTCCTCTCGCCTTGTCCATTTTAAGGATTCGGTGAAATGCCTCAGCTCTAGTAAGTTATGCGCGGGTCTGCTTTTACAAAGTATATATCACGAAGAACAATCATTAACTAAACCCCTCTCCCTTCAGAAATCATTTACCGTTTGAATCCTCGATAACAGGAATATCCTTATCAGAAATATTTTTGATTTCTATCCGCGTGCCGTTATCAGAATCAGTTGGCGCCGCGAATTTTCTGCCGGCTCGTTCGGCACGTCATGGGAGGGAACAAAGAATTGCAATGGATTAATCGTAAATATCTATTGGGGGTAATCTGTCAGCACTGTAAAACCAGTTCTTGGATTCGAGCTCTTTTGCTAGCCAGTCAGTTGGAAAAATTACCAAATGACCATGAATTCTTGAAAGTAGTCGCTGCGCGGTGTGTTTATCAAACAGTCTTTGATTAGCACCATATAGGACACTGCTTGAAAGCTTCATTTTGAGTGCAGCCGACTTGCTCTTGCGTTCTGATCCTGCTGGTAGTTCTACCTGATGCTTCGTGGTACGCGGATGCTCATCGTCAGAAACTCCTATGCCTAAATTAGTAGGATCTTCAGAACGAGGAGAGACGTCCTGCTGGGGATCATTTTTAGCCAACAGACGATTAACATCCTCTGGTTTAACATCTTCATCGTTTTTTTGAGGGTTTTCGAGCTTGATAAGGGCATCCTGGCTATCGTCAAAATCCTTAGCCATTCTTCTGAAGTCTTTGTAGTCTCTCCATGTCTGTACCGAGTTATCGGGTTGGCAATGGAAGACTAGCCTGAAGAGAAGTGTGTTTCGTAGTGCAACCGAGAACCACATATCCTCATAGAAGAAGTCCGTGAGAGGATCTTCGAATGCGTACGGGTCGATGAAATTTAGGTTTAGGAAAGTTTTGGGCTTAGATGGGTGATTTCCCACAGGAGGGAGCAACTGGAGCATCATTTCGTCAATCAAATCATCATCTAGCTCCTGTTCCTCCAATATATTAGCGTGAGTTGCATGAGAAGAATTACTTTCTTGCCCGAATTTCTTCGATGCATCGCCTGAATTGCACGATGTTGAGCTTATGGAAGATTTCTTGGATTCATTTGAAGCAGCAAATTCGCACTTATTCTTGTTCTTGTATGATAAGTGTTGCAAGTAGGATATTCTCTTTAGCATGTCCCACTTGTCGATATCGTCGACTTGACTTTCATCTAAATATGCTTCGACATCTTCGCGATTTGGTAAAAATGAGGGCATTGTACGGTGCTTTTTCTTCTGAGCAGTTCCCATTGCAAAAATCGTCTCGGCCCAAGACCTAAGTTGTTGCGTAACATTTTCTTTCAAGTTAGTTGTTGTTTCTTTCCAGCCATCAGGACCCAGACCCTCAACGTCTTCGATATGCTTTTCATTGTTGACAAGACGAGAATCAGTACTTATCGGCTTTTTGTCACGAATACCTATATTAGCTTCACCTGCCCGATTATTGAAAGAATGATAGTGATCAATATATGAAGGTTTGTGACTTCTATTTGGAAGCATTAACTTTTTTTTTCCGTCTGTATTCTTTAAGTGCTCTGGCAACTCGTCATTTAGGGTGCTATCCAGTTCTTCTTTGATTCCAAAATTTTTGACAGTTGAGCCATATTTAGTTTTCCATTTATCACTTGCTTCAACATCCATCACCTCTCTGTATCCCATCTCAATAAAAGCTGAAACTATTTTAGACTTTTTGTCTTCACCATCATCGGTTAGGGTACTGAGAGTTTTATAATTTAATTGAGAAATCTGCTCAAGTCTCCCAAAAATCCTTTCGACAATTTCAACAATATCAACATCACATCCCAAATGTTCCCGCATTAGACGCTGTCTCAGTTCCCATGCAAATCTTCCCGCCATATATGGCTTTCCGTCCATTTGTGATTTTACCAAATCAGTGTCTCTTATTAGTGCAGCAACTTCGCTATCTCGATTTCCGAGCATTGATCTTTCGTTCACATTTGCACTGCCAATGATACAACTACGATCATCAACTAAGAGAACTTTTCCATGAACGTACAATTGCTCGGTCACCAACTTATCATTTGGTCCAATGGTGGACCACTTTCTAAGGGAGAAAAACTGAATGTACTGAAGAGGATTTATGTCCAATTTCTTCAATCGCGCAAATATAGAGGTATCACCTCTTGATATCGATTGGTACTGACATTGCATAATCACACGTACACTTGATCCTTCTGGTTGGTCCACCTGGGAGTCAAACCCTGGCATTAATGGGATAATTATGAATGCTTTCCATGGTTTTCCCTCGCAGTTTGCCTTGATGATTCGATCAACTAGAGCATCGCCTATTTTGTTTTCGACCACGACACCGTCCCAGCTAGACGAGGTGACGAAAAATTGATTTTCAATGTATATATAATGTTGAGACGTTTCAATCAGTTTAAGATATGCATTTTGAATAGATTTTTCCGTCTCTTTGAGGCCAAGCGACCAGTTTCCAGTACTGCGGAGTACTTGAACTTCACATGTTGACCTATTCTTTAAACTGCGGAAGAAAGGTGAATTAGCAAGCTCTTCTGGAGTAAAATCGCTAGGGGGGGTTAACAAAGGCGTAGGCCTACTTGGCCTCTTTTGTCTTAGCAAATAATTCCACCTTTGAACAAAGTGGCGCGACATGTCTCTAGCTGGCTCACCAACTGTCATCATGTGTACATCATGCCAGGGCATTCTAGGTACCACAGTTCGATCGTACATCGATTCGAATGGCTTATCTAGATCATAGAAGTCGCAGATTCGAGCATTAGAATAGTCTTTTCCTGGAAATATTTGATCTTGCAAGTTGGATTTATCATCTCGCAGAACGTGTTGGGGCGTATCGTACCTACCATAACAAAGGTCGATACCACCCATAAAAGCGATGCTATGATCTATGACGGTCATTTTTTCATGATGTGCCCAAAAATACGTGTTTTGAAGCCACTGATTTGGAGAACGAATTAAGTGAATATTTGGGTGCAGACTTAACATCGAATGTTTTGTCCAGGATGAATCTGTACCTACCGTCGTCCCAACATTGCGATATACCACAATGAATATTTTCACACCTTTTTCAGCTCTTTCTTTCAATATCCTATCAATTCTATGCTGCTGATTACCTTTAACTGGACGCCGCATGTATAACTCTGGTGAGAGCCACCAGTCATGGATGAAAATGACATCCTGGGCCATGGATAGAGCTTCACTGAGTGCCCAAAAGTAATCTCGACCATCAACTAAAAACTTGCAGAAACAGTTTTGCCTCACAGGTGCAAAACTATCAAACCTTTTTGGTTGTGACCATATAGTAGATTTAACCATTTGAGAGATTGAGTTAACCCAGAGCTTCCAAACGTACTCTGATTTAACTATCATTTGGAGTTTTCTCTCACTATTTTCTAACGTGATAAGTAAATTTGTGGATAGCTTCTTGGAGTTATCATTCAATGGATCAAACTCTTTCATCTCATCAATATTACCATCAAACTCCCCAGAGGTTCTAATTTTAAACTTTGAATCAACCATAAACACATCAAGAGGGGTTGTGGAATAAAGATCTGAAACATACATGATATATGAATGGCGTACCAGAAACCATTTGTTTGTATGCCTTTCAATCATTGCCCTGAAATCATTAAATTTGAAATGCGAGACCCTCCAACCTTGAGATTTTGCCGTGCTTCTGACGACCATATATCCTTGTTTTCCTTGAAACCCGTTCTCATAACTCAAGAGATAGCCAATTGGAGAAAGTTCGTAGAATTGAAATAGTCTGTTTGACTGTGGCCTGAGACTAAGGGCCAAGTTTAAAAGCTTCAAGTATCTTTCTAGCCGTAAGTGCATTGGTTGCGAAAAGTTGTTTTGATCTTCCAGAAGATCCTCTAAATGTTTCATGCGAAATTTCTTCACTTCGAATTGAACAGATGACCTAGGAGAAGGAAGCGTATCTGTGTCCTCTTGTAAATCAAGTGTATTGGGTCGGCCCGGAGATACATTCCCATTGCTTTCTCTTTGATGATGCTTTTCACCATTTTCACTGTTCCGTGCTACTTTTATGTGATCGTCAAACCGTGGAAAGTGGGGCAAATGAATTCGTTGAAATCTGTTGTGATCGATGTACAGTTTGTTTATCGTATTTTGCTGGAATGACACGAGTTTTAATTTAGCGTGTAATGATACTAAGTCTTTATAGCTTTTTATCACAACCCATTTTAATCTATTATAACCAACACCGTACTCCAATTCCACTTTGTACTTGGTGTCAAATTTTTGTACCTCAACGCTGTCCAAAAGAGAAGAGCTATCGGTATGTTCGGATGATTGGCGTGAAGTACCACTGAATAATGCGGTATCGCTATTGGTTAAGGGAGTGACTTTCACTCCTAACATTGCGAGAAGCAATGGTGCTCGTCTCACACCATGTTCGTCTCTAAGAAACATACAACTTGCAAACAGTGCCGCTGGGCAGCCAGAAATCAAAGTATCAATCAAATCGGACGCAAGGCTACGAGTGTAGGCATCTTCTTCGTTGGCGACAGGTTGCGGAGACTTGGTAGCCCTGCCCAGGGAGTCCCGCGTGTTCCTTCTTGACGTAAGTTTCGATATTTTCTTAAAAGCTTGCCCAAACTCCTTTTTCCAGCCATGGAAAGATTCTTGTGGATTCATCTTTCTAAGCCAATTGACTTGATCTTCCCTTTCGTCGTTACCCACCTCATTCGAAATAGCATTGTGGCTGTATCTTCGGTGGCGAATTGAAGAGTTCGGAACTCCTTGGAAAATCAGATTTTTGAACTCTGCCTCTTCATCTTGACCAGAACTGCCTGTTTGATTTTGTTTATCCTCTTCTCTAATCTCTTCTCCATCACTTAACTCGTTGGCATCTGATATTCCGGGTACAACAGCATTAGATCCCGAGCCAGCCCTTCCTTCTTTTGAATTGTCATCCTTTTCAATTTTACCAGTCATTGAAAGACTTTTGATAGGAACAAGTGTTAATCTTATAGGTTACCACACTGCGCCTAGTTCGAGCTTCTTTCTCTGCCACATATTATTGTTGTCGTTCAATGTTACCGCTGAATATGAGCGCCACGCGACCAATACGATAAGATTGATATAATAAATTGCTACTGGAATTTGTCAGTTCGGGATTATTATTGAGGACTATTATCATATCAGTTATTGAAATATTGAAGCACACGTTAGGGTAGCATTTATCGAAGTGAAGCTCAGAAACTTTTTGTCCCTGTAAATAATGTATTGAGGATCGCTTCAATCTTGACGGACAGCGGGCATAGAAAGTTAAATACGCATAGTAAATCTGAAGCTCTCTCTCATTTTTCTTTTTACCGTCATGATATACCTTTAACTGTTTAGGGTTTCTTTGGGAAAACTCCGCAGACGAGAGAAAGCACCATTTTCGTTTACGCGAGAAGAACATTCTTTATCACTACAGTTATGATCTTTCGAGACAAGCAATTCGACAGCGCATTGAATAACGTTTTCGGCGAGAGCTACTTGAATACAGTTGGGGCTGAGACCATATCAACAGCCTAAGGAAAGGACTCCTTAAAAGCACTTTACTATCACATCAGACGCCTGACCAACATGATAGAGATTATTAGATTGCGAAGAACATAATTTGCTGAAGCCTGCAACATGCACGATGAAAATCAAACTACAAATCGAATAAACAGAATTTTAATGGAAAAGCTGCTTTGCTAGAGCAATTCAAGTGTAGCTGCTCTTCTGACTGGAAGATTTGCGATAAGCTCGGCAATTTAAATTGCACATAGCTTGTTTTTTTTCTCAACTTACGAATGGTACATGGATGGTTCTCATGCCGCCTACACTCATCTGTAAGCCCATGTTTGGAGTTAGAACAGCTTACAGGGTACCCTTTCGCCATCGCATCACCTTACTTCAAGTTGGGATGCGATTTCTTAAAATGACTGCGTACCATTGACATATATGGGCCTGCATCGCTTCGCTGCTTCGTTTCTTTGCCTTAGGCTGCGGCTTGAGCCTTCGCTGGCAAGCACATAAGCTGTTCGATCCGAGCGCACTGATGATCCCAAACTTTGATCCATTTGCCAGTGGTCCAAACTTCGCAGTCAACGAGACTTTTTAAATCGTCAAACCGTGCGGTTCATGCTACTTGCTATACTATATTGACTCTGTCCCAACGAAAGGTTTATTATTAATAGTGATAAACTCATAAATTTCATTCACCGACTCTCGTATTTCTTTGCATAAACTTCCTCGCCCCGTATATTATGTAAGAAGTACCGTTAGTGAACCGCACGGCAGTGCACCTCTAAGAAGTAAAATCTGAACCTGTTTCATAGGTTAAAGCGATCGGCAACAATTCTGTCATTCCAGCCTCTCAAATGCCGCAGGGAAGGCAATTCACAGCATTACGAAAGTGGCAATGAGATGTCAGCTGAAAAGATCTCTAAGGCACGTGCGAAGATGAAACTCCGTCACAACTAAAAGATATGAATAAAGAGTCAGCTTCGCGGCTTTGAGTAGAAACAGATCAGGATTAATTTGCCTTGTGGCAATAAATGAGTTCCTTTCACCATGGGATACTGGGCTTAAAGGAAGGCATTTCCCTTAATCGCACTTTGGCAAATTTCTCACTTGCCTTACAGAGAGCATTTCTAGAGCATGACCCGCTCCACGACTTGACTTCGCCCAATGGTCGCGGTGTTTACGTGTCAAGCCTACTCCGGGCGGTTCTCCATACGTGAAAGCACTAGCTCTTCTAGGGAGAAGCCACGCTTTCTCTCTTAGGCAGACGTGAGCAAACGATGCTCCCCTTATCTAGATGGTTATCTCATGATAAGATAAGATCGCACCCGAAAAAAACATCGATACGCCCACAGCGAATCTGCCAATCATCCCCAATACGTAGCGAGCAATCCAGTGACTTTCATACCGGTTTCGGAATAGTTTAAAATCGTTTTGCAGATATCAGGTAGCCAGTGCTCGCGCGTGTAAGTAAGAAAAGTAGTGACGAGTGCTTATCGCTGTTATCATGACTATCCGAAGGAAAAATTCGATCTTGTGAAACATTAAACAATTTATAAGCAAGGAGCCTTTAGTGCTTGAATGTGACACAGAATTTTACATAGAAATAATTTGGACACTAGAGACTCTCAAGTGTTTACTGTATGGACGTATTACATTGAAACGTGCATCTGTAGCATTCGCGATTGCGATAAAGATTTTTTCAATCTTTTCCCTATAGAGAGTGAAAAATTTTCAACACGACCCGATCATATTATAACACTCGGGCGGGATTTAAAACAACGCAACTGTTCGGTTGGAGAGTTTACACCAAATTGAGTGGTAGAGATGTCAAACACAAGCACGGCAGTCGCCAATGTGAGTGCAAATGCAAATCAAACGTCTCACGCGGGGTCTACCAGTCCGCCAGTGTGCAAAAACTGTCACACTTCCACCACGCCCTTATGGAGGCGAGATGAGCATGGCGCTGTACTTTGTAATGCATGTGGTTTGTTTTTGAAATTACATGGTCGCCCAAGGCCGATTAGCCTCAAGACTGATGTCATTAAATCCAGGAATCGTAAAAGTAACAGTCACAATCACGCTGATTCACCCAATGATAAGAAAAAGAAGGATGGTTCCCACCAAAAGAAGCGGAAGCTACAAGACGCACGGGAACTACACGCTGCTGAAACTCTAGAGACATTGATGAAGAATGGTGGATCGCGCACTAATGGTACTCCGAGCTCCCATGCATACCAGAAAATATTACCCAATAGCACCGTCCCTCAGAGCAACTACAAGGTTTCACTGCCTCATCTGTCAATGCTTCTGGGTAGTGTCCCTCCTTCAGAAAACACAGACAAGACAGGCCAACAGCTCAGTAAACATAATCAGCAGTCGACACCGCAGCCGATGGGAGGATATCAGCCAAGTCGACAAGCTAGCCAACAAGCACCCCCTCCACAGCCTTCGAAACAGCACAATTCAGCAACTGCTACTTCGGTGGCTTCCCCTATACTGAACCCTGAAGAACACTCAATGGAGAGGCAAGCATCTCATCTGGCTTCCATCAACGAAATTCTCAACAACCAGAAGACAAAATCTGAAAAGTCGATCTCTGCAATTGCGTCACCTGCTATGCACCCTCAAACGATGCCCATGGTTCCAAATTCGCACTCGCCGATGATCACCCCGATACCATCGCATTCGAACGGGTCTCTAGCGCAAGCCATGATGACGGAAGCAAATAACTCGGAAAATAACTATCATGTGCGAACAGGCTCGCACTACTCTAATTCCCCCCCTCCAATGGATTTACAGAAGCAAGCAGTGGAATCGAGCACTACGAGCAGAAGTAGTAATGGGGCATACAATGGAGACAGCGGGCGCGTTGGTAGTGCATCGATGATGAAACAGCAAGAAATGGAACTGCAATCTCCGCTACATTTCCAACAAAAAAAGCTTCAACAGGAGCAACAGCAGCGACAATATGAAGAACAAGAACATCTGCAATTGCAGTTACAACTGCAACAGCAGCAACAGCAGCGTCAGCAGCTACAGACACAGACCCCGCTTGCAATGGTGTTACAAAGCCAGGAAGAAGTGATAAAATTAAAGACTAGGATAAGTGAGCTGGAGCTTGTCACGGATCTGTATAAAAGGCACATATTCGAACTGGACGCAAAATGTCGAATACTAGAAGGAAAGCTAAACAGAGATTAATGTACCAATACTTGAAACTTTTTAAAGGTTTGAGTAATTTCTGCTCACGCCCTCACGATAACTTATTGATTAGAAAATGGCAACCACGATATATATATATAGATTAGCTTTTCATATAGTGAATGTCAACTGGAAGAGGTGAAAATTCACATTCGATATCACCAGATACGTCGATATCAGAAAGAGAAATGCAGCTTTCAAATAGGGCAGATAGTTCGATTGAGAAACCCAATCTTGCAGACTACAAATAAGGATAAGCTTATTATGTCTCGAAACTCAGCTGGTTTGGAAAATACACTTTTCCAACTCAAATTCACCTCAAAGCAACTGAATAAACAAGCCCTGAAGGCTGCTAAGGAGGAGAAACAAGAGACGAATAAACTGAAAAAAGCACTCAACGAGAGTGAGGAGATAGCAAGACTTTACGCTTCAAACGCTGTCAGAAAGAGGAATGAACGCTTGCAATTGCTCAAGTTAGCTTCAAGAGTCGATTCTGTGGCATCGAGAGTTCAAACTGCGGTAACAATGAGACAAGTCAGTGGCAGTATGGCTCAAGTCTGCCGTGGCATGGACAAAGCATTGCAGAGTATGAATCTTCAACAGATTACCATGATTATGGACAAGTTCGAGCAGCAGTTCGAAGATTTAGATGCCAGTGTCAATGTTTATGAAGATATGGGGGCAAACGCAGATGCCGTAGTTGTCGACAATGATAAGGTTGATGAACTACTAAACAAGGTAGCTGATGAGAATGGCCTTGAATTGAAGCAATCTGCTGCCGTCAAAGATTTGCCAGAGGTAGCGCCAGTTGTAGCAGACGCCACAGAAGAGAAAGAAGACAAGTTAGCGCAAAGATTGAGGGCCTTGCGTGGATGATCACCCCCAGTGTAAACTAGTTAAACGTAAGTAATGTCAAGTTGATCAGTATTACTTTTTCTTGTGAATTTGCATTTACTATTATATCTACATTTCGATAATTGACGTGTTTAGCCTTTTATACATCAACGCATAGGAATACCCCTACCTCTGCCACCTTGAGGAGGCATCATACCGGCATTCGCAGGTTGACTTTCTTGATTTCTAATGGTCTCGTCGACTGAAAGAATCAAATTAGTTGCTTCAGTCGCGCTACTCAAAGCGTTTATCTTCACCAATGCCGGTTCCCACACGAATTTAGAGAAATTGTCTCCGATGTTTTCCGTTTCAAAGTCAACACCATACCACTTCTCGTCTTTGCTATGGGCCATCCTCAATCTGTTCAGAATGTCGATGGCGTCTAGACCAGCGTTTTCACATAGTTGTCTGGGGATAACCTCTAAAGCCTTAGCGAATGCATTGATAATTAACTGCTGCTTACCAGGAACTGTTTTCGAGTAATCCCTCAAGTACTTGGAAACTTCCATCTCTATCGCACCACCTCCAGCGACAATCAGTCTATTTTGCACCGCTCTCTTTACTATCATAATGGCGTCATGTAAGGAACGCTCGACCTCTGCAATGACCTGTTCTGCACCCCCTCTCAAAAGAAGTGTGCATGTTTTCGCTTCATGGCATCCTTCAAATAGATTATAACGTTCAGAGCCAATTTGAACTTCTTCGAATAAATCACATGTACCCAAGTGCTCTGGCTTGATATCGGATGTGGTGGATTGAACAGATCCCCCAACTGCTAGAATAACTCTATTCATATCTTCACTTGGAACTCTACCGGCGCAAAAGATGTTTCTATCAGCGAAGTATTGAGTGGCCAAATCGCCGATAGGGAGTTTGGATAAAACGATGTTTGCTCCTGAATCTTCGATCTGCTTCAACTTGTCGATAATTATTTGCCATTCAGCATCCACTACAGCTTGGTAATCATCGACGTGTTCAACACGTACTTCAGCATTATCCTTTTCTGCCTTCAATTCCAATTCAACATTCAAAGTCAATATCTTTGGATGTTCAATTTTCTTTGGCTGCTGCTCAAATCCTGCGTATGAAAATGTTTTCTGGAAGGCAACACCATTTACAAAAATGGAGTCCTCCATTGCACCACCCGGAATCTTCTTTATACCGATCAATTTGTCATCTAGTTCGTTTTGATCAAGAGACAATACAGCATCCACACACATCTTCACAAAAAAGTCGGCATTATTACTGATCAACTTCGAGGACATCGCTGTTCTGGCACAGCGTTCCAATAGATCTCTGTTGTTGTTGTCGCCAGAGATGTCCACAGCCAATTCCTTAATCTTTGCAATGGCTAAACTAACTGCCTTTCTGTAGCCTTTCATGATAATATGAGATGAGATACCCTCTTCCAGGAATGGCTTAGCCTCCTTCATTATCTCACCAGCCAAAATTGTAACACTCGTTGTTCCGTCACCTACCTCGGCATCTTGAGCTCGGGAAATGTCAACTAAAGTTTTCGCAGCTGGGTGTACCACGTCCAAAAGTCTCAATATGGTTGCACCATCATTAGAAATTGTAGTCCTGCCATTAGAGTTCACTAACAAGATGTCTGATCCTAAAGGACCCAATGTTGGCTTCAAGGTTTCTTGAATTGCCAAACATGCGTTGATGTTTGAGATGATCTGGCCCTTACCTTGAGAGGCATCAGTACCCTCTTTCAGGACAACAATAGTTGGTGTTTGGTTACCAAAGTTCATATTCAATCAAAATGGTAGATTATTGAACCACAAACTGTAACTTATTGGTTTGTCCAGGTTAATTGGTTTCCGCTGTTGAGCCTTTCTTCCGAATGGTAGGATTTTGCCACTTGAAGATTTTTCTGCGGTTAATGTGTCATTACGAACGATAATCTCATTCTTGGCCAAGATCATCATCGATGTGAGTTGTGTATGGATATCAATCATAAAGTGCTATACGAATCATATTACTTGAATAAGCGCAAAGTACTTTAAGAGTTGCTAAAATATGAAAATCAAGAAAATTGTGATTTAATTGATATTAATGGTCTATGTACAAGACTTATGCGATGTTCAACTAATCAATGAATATTTTTATATGGCCCAGGTGTTTACATCTCCGTTCGTTCGCCCATCAATTAGATAACCATTTTTGTAACGGATGAATTCGACGTTATTATTCTCTTCGCTTACTGGTTTATCGCCTCCGCAAACCCAATGTCTATCTTCTTTTCTATCATAGACTCTTACAGCATTTTCGTTGGTTGCGACAGCGATTTTGTCTAAATCGAATTGCAAGCAGCTGATAGGGCTTTCATAGGCAAACGCCTCTGCCAGTAACCCAGTTCTAAGATCCCAAATCCGGATGCTCCTATCCATGGATCCCGTAACTAAATTGACAGAGTCAAACTGCAATCCGGTGATCGCGTCGGTATGACCTTCAAGAGTCCGAACCACTTGTCCAGACCTTAAATCCCAAAGTCTTACTACGCCATCTTTAGTACCAGTTGCTAAAGCTGCGTCGTAGCATTGCAATGCGCCAATGACGGGGGGTTCGTTGCGCGTAAGCAGTACGCTGCTTCGTGGATTATTGGACCGAATGGTAGACAACCCACCTGAAGGTCCCCTGTTTGTGAAGTTCAAGTCAAGGGTTTGTAAACACTTCCCGGTATTGAGATCCCATTGTCTAATGGTCCTATCTTGAGACCCCGATATTAAGACGTCACTCTCGAAGTGTAATGCGGTGATTTCATCAACATGGGCATCAAAATTGTGAATGCAAAGATCTTCATTGTTTTCGGTAATGGTTCCTCCTTCATCATAAACTTGGACTGCCCTTTCTACATCCCATAACTTCAACAGAGCATCCCTACCACCTGTAATTAGAGTATTATATTGATCCATCTGCATGCAGCTTATAGAAGCAAGATGCCCCGCCAGATTGCCAATGTGTGTTTTTTTGCTCAGATCCCAGATTTTGACCTCATGGTCAAGCTTCCCTGCAGTGCACATTGTACCAAACGGCATGTCAAAATCGAGACATGTTATACTGTCATCATGCGCTTTTTGGAAAGAGGCAATTTTACTTCCGGGATCATAATATTGTTGAAGAGTGGGGAAAGTTTTTCTATGGTGATGGCTATATTGTTGTTGCTTTTTCTTGTAGTTGATATGCTTGTTTAATGCATTTGCTTGCGATTGCGGTGGATTGTTTTGAAGCTTTTGATAGATGGATTGGCTGATCAAGGCTGAAGTTTCGTTTTCGCTGTCATCTTCACTACGATCATTTTCCTCATGCTCAGTTGGATTGCTCCTTTCACTTTTTGTGGAGGTAGATCTGCCCATGGCCAGTGATGCTTGCTTTAATTTTTGCGCTTCCATTTCTTCAGACGAAGAGTCGTCTTCTTGTTCAAGCCCGTATTCCTTAATCATATCAATTCTGTCCTTGATATTTATTAGATGCTTTTCGAGGAACAGTTCATTCTGTTCAACCTTGGCTACTCTTTTGAAAACGAGGTCTCTCATTATCTTCAACTTCTCTAGCTTCGTGTCAATTTCCCTTATTTCACTTGCAGCTAAATTTTTCTGAATTTCGAGCAGATCCAAATTATCGGTTACCTTCTGACATGCCTGGTGCAAGAAGCTCAAAGAGTACGTGTTGTTTATCTGTTTAGAATCGATATTACCGGGCAGAGAAAATTCTGCATCTTCGTCGTAGCTCCCAGAGTCGCTGCCGTTTGTTAAGTATTGGGGCAAACTTTTTTCTTCGCCATTGTCGATCTTCTTTTGTGTGTCGATTGTTTCATTGATTACCGGTAGAGAGGCCGTGAAACCTTGAAAGAGAGAAGGTTCATTCTTGTTTTTCTTTTTCTTTGCTTTTTCCCCATTTTCTGTCAGCAACTTTGATCCTTTGGGTGTGGCATTACTATCGGATGGTATGTCGTTAAGTAGTTCTTCACTTAAATAGCTCAACACTTGAAAACTTGTCTTGGAGTTGCTGAATTGATTTTGGAAAAATGATTTGCCATTAGTAGCTGAGTATAGATCCTGAAAGGAGTCATTTGTAGTGGATTTGAAAGGATTCTTGCTCCTATGCAATTTCAGTATGCTGTTACTGGAGCCTGCGTGTGTGATCGTTTGGTGTAAAAGCTTCTTATAAGGGCTGCTGTATGAAAGAATGGTGTCTTCCATGGATTGCGATCCGAAAAAGGCGGAGGCAGTTGTAGACAGGGCTTTACCTATCTGAGCAAATTGATCCGATGTATTTGAATTGCCGGACATGTTTTGCTTCCACAATTGCAGCCTTTGTGGTGGTTTTTGCTTATGCTAAAACTCTGTGATTAGAAACATTTTCAAGATATTAGAATAATTATGCGCATAAATAATTTTTTCCCCAGAGACCACCTGGACCAATAAGAATTAGCATAGAAGAAGGTATTATATGCGTTTATATCTCATGCTGCCTGAAAGAAGTGCTATTTAATTACTAATTTTGTACTTGGCGGATCTGATGCTCGAGTTTTTCGATTTCACGTTGCTCTTTTTCTATTAGTTTTACCACGCTGGAGGCACCCTGATTGCCGTGAAGTTGAGCCTCTTGGACTTCAATTTGTGACCTTAGCTGTTGAATTTCAGAATTAATTTCGTTGTAGTTTTTCAGTAACTCCGCATACCGTTTTTGATATTCTCCTACGGGCCACTCCGTTACTACTTCATTGAGAACTTTAAGAATTTGCTCTACGGGGAAATCTTCGACAAACATGGTTTTCCTTCTACTTGTAGCGTCATCACCGTGCTCATTTGTTATGACACTGCCATTTTGCAACGCTTTTAGTAACTGTTGCGACCGTGGATCTGATTCGAATTTTTTCAGCAGCACGTCGAAAACACCGCCTGTCTGGGTATCTTCTAGAATGTAGCCCGTGTTTTTCTTCCGTTTCTTGGCCTCCTGGGCATGCTGCTTCAAGTAGAATTCTTTGGGTACCTGGATGATGGTATTTTCATCTTGAATCCCGAGGCGGCGGTTTCGTTTGAGGTTGATTTCTAACTCTGTCAGATAGTCGAACACCCCCTTGCGGCCATCTTTGCGCTTCGGGAGTCCCGAGCTGTCTATCTTATACAGGGATACCTCGTCCTGCGGATCGCCATCGCGGATTATTTTGGTGATAACGTCCGCGTAGGAAGTGCGCGGTTCATGGACGATTGCGTTGTGAAAAATACCCGGCGGCTTGAAGTACAGCGTGGATATGGAGTTTGAAGACTGGGATATCTGTTCCAGCGAGAAATCTAGAGAGTCGGACATTAATGTCGAGACTTCTCGGGCGCACGAGTTGCAGTTGATGGCTGTTGTTTTTTTGTTTTGACGATGAGCAGGGATCGAAATTACATGGCTCACGTACTACGAAACGGTACGGAGCTGAGTGCTGTATAATATACACAGTGGGTCCCGAGATCGGGCAGGCTGTTCTCTGATTAGTCTCTCCAGGCGACGTAGACCTCGTCGGTTCTAAATTTCTGGGTGACAACGGTCTCGGCCAGGTCCTTGACCACGTTGCCCATCCGGTACTGCAGCAATCCTGCCTGAGCGATCATGACGCCATTGTCGATACAAAACCGCTCGTCAGTGGCGTGAACCTGGCCGTTGGAACGGTCGCGACACATGGACGCCATCATCTCCTGGAGCCGAACGTTGCAACCGACCCCGCCGACAATCAGCACCTGGTTGGAAGCCACGTGTGCCATGGCGCGCTCGGTGATCTCGACAAGCATGGCAAACAGGTTTTCCTGCAGAGAGTAGCATAGGTCTTCTACGGTGACCTTTTGTTCGCCGGTTTGCGGGTCGAACAGAATCTTGTTTTTGGTATTTTGGCTGAAAAGGTCCTTGGCCAGGCCGTCGACGTAGCCGAGGATTCCGCTCATGGACAGGTCCATGCCCTTGACGGTGTAGGGAAGCTCGACGAGGGAGTCCTTGTGCGGGGCGTTCTTGGCAAGCTGCTCGATGTTGTAGCCCGGGGAGGGCTCGTTGGGTATCCTCAGGGTGCGCGCGAAGCGGTCGAGACAGTTGCCGATGGCGATGTCGAGGGTTTCGCCGAAGATGCGGTAGCGGTTCTCGGAGTAGGCGATGACCTGGGTGTTGCCGCCGCTGACGTAGAGCACGACCGGGTTTTCGGCCTTGGTGATCTCGCGGCCCATCTCGATGTGGCCGACGCAGTGGTTGACGGGGACGAGCGGGACGCGCCACAGCAGGGAGAGCGTGCGGGCGAACACGGCGACGGAGTGGAGGGGCGCCCCCATGCCGGGCCCGCGCGTGAAGCAGATCACATCGAGCTCACTGGGGTCGCGCAGCCCGGCCGCGTCGAGCGCGCGCCGCGCGAGACGCACCACCCAGTTGCGGTGGTGGCGGGCCGTGTCGCGGGGCAGGAAGCCCTCGCCGGGCGGCGTGATGTACGTGTCCCGGATATTCGAGAGGATCTGGGCGTGGCAGTCGTGCGAGAGGTCTGAGTCGGCGTGGTGCGCGAGCACCGGGTGCTTGACGACGCCGACGCCAAGCTTGTTGGCGGAGCCCTCGAGCCCGAGCGCGAGGTAGAAGTTGCGGCCGTGCTTGGGCGGGACGGAGTTGAGGTTGACCATGGGCTTCTCGAGGCGTGGATCGCGTGGATGGCCGTGTACGCTGTGGCAGCCGTGGATGTCGTGGCTGTCGTGGATGCCACGGATTCCCGCAGCCCGAGATGTGATGTGCCGGAAAAACCAAAGCTCCCGCCCACGTGACCCGCCCACGTGCCCACGTGACGTCCCCCCGTCCTACTACCTCTTGCGCCCGGCCCCCATTTCACAAATCGGGCGTGTGGTCTAGTGGTATGATTCTCGCTTTGGGCGAAGTTCGAGCCCTCACTCGGACTACAAAACCACAAGCATGCGAGAGGCCCTGGGTTCAATTCCCAGCTCGCCCCCTTTTTGCCGGTCCCTGGCTCTGGGGCCCTTTTTGCCTTATGGTGGAAACTCAAGAACGACATCAATGGCACTTCGATGGAGTTCGGCGCCCTTACACCCGCGAAGCATCGCGCTGCGGCCCCGTCTGTGCGGCCACGTGCGTGCGGCGCCAAAATCCCCCATACGGCGCTTGCGTAACCGTGCTGGTGCCGCATCCGAGGCACCAAAACTAACTTTTTGACGTTAAAGTCAGGCGCAAACGAGATATCCGCGGCAAGAAAAGTCGCCGTTAACGGCAGGGCGCCGCGCGGGCCGGGGTCACCCCAGGGCGATAATGGGATGGGATTGGAGCTACGGCGGCAGAGCCGGCACGAAAGCTTGGCGGTTTGCGACGCATAGGCGACGCACGGGCGACGCACGGGCGACGCATAAGCGACGCATAAGCGACGGTGCAGATTGCGGGCGTCGGGCGACTGGAGGGAGATTGGGGAGCGCTCGACGCCGCGTGTGCGAGGCGGAGGGGGAGGAGAGTTCGTGAGGGCAGATGGGGAGTACACGGAGAGGAGGTCGCGAAATGTCGTGAACGCAGGGCTTGTGGAGCTTGCAGACCTCGCTGAGCTTGCAGACCCCGCCGAGCTTGCAGACCTCGCTGCGCTCACTGGGCCCTCACCGCGCACACGCCACAGACGTCCCCGCAGCGATAGCTCCGGCCCCGTGCTCGACCGCCACAGCTCTGTCCGTATCTCCTGTCCGCGCCGTGGTTTTGGTGCCACTGCCAGAGATATGTTATCTGCCGTTATCGAGCAGGCAAAAGAAACGGAAAAACAAGGAAAAAGAAATTAGGCCGGGCGAAGGATATCTCATCTCTGCGATAAGTGCATGTGCAATCAGTGCAGAATAGCAAGCACCACATAGGCCCAGGGAGCGGTGAGAAAGATCGTGGGCGATCGCGGGCGATTGTGTGTGATATGGTCAGCAATTGCTCGCTCCAAAATATATAAAGGGCGAACGCAATCCTCCTGCCGTCACCGTCGTAGTGTCCCCTTCTCCATCCATCAACACCAGCGCACTCTCCTCCAACTATGAGCTCCTCTTCCAATCGCTCCACAGAGGAAAAAAAGAACTACGTGTATGCGCAGGAACAAAACCTCGAGGCCGGCAAGTACACCACGCACGACGACGCGGCCAGCACCGGCGTCCCCCAGTCCAAATGGAAGGAATTCAAGGACAGCTTCAAGCGCATGGAGGTCGAGGAACTCGACCCCAACTTGACCGAGGCTGAGAGAATCGCCATCGCCACGGCCAAGTCGCCTTTGCAGCGTCACTTGAAGAACAGACACTTGCAGATGATCGCCATCGGTGGTGCCATTGGTACCGGTCTGTTCGTGGGTTCCGGTACGGCTCTGAGAACCGCCGGTCCCGCCGGTATTCTGATCGGTTGGGGTCTCACCGGTACCATGATCTACTGTATGGTCATGGCCATGGGTGAATTGGCCGTTTGTTTCCCTGTCTCCGGTGGTTTCACCACCTACGCCACTAGATTTATCGACGAGTCCTTCGGTTACGCCAACAACTTCAACTACATGTTGCAATGGCTCGTCGTGCTACCCCTGGAAATTGTAGCCGCCTCCATCACCGTCAACTACTGGGGAACAGACCCCAAGTACCGTGACGGGTTTGTCGCGCTTTTCTACGTTGTCATCGTCAGCATCAACATGTTCGGTGTCAAGGGTTACGGTGAGGCCGAATTCGTGTTCTCCTTCATCAAGGTCATCACCATCATCGGCTTCATCATTCTCGGTATTGTCTTGGTCTGCGGTGGTGGCCCAGTCGGTGGCTACATCGGTGGTAAGTACTGGCACGACCCGGGTGCCTTCTATGGCCACACAGCCGGCTCCAGATTCAAGGGTGTTTGTTCCGTTTTCGTCACCGCCGCCTTCTCTTTTGCTGGTTCAGAATTGGTAGGTTTGGCTTCTGCTGAAACTGAAGACCCAAGAAAGTCTCTTCCACGTGCCGCCAAACAAGTCTTCTGGAGAATTACTTTGTTTTACATTATTTCGCTATGTTTGATCGGTTTGTTGGTTCCTTACACTGACAAAAGATTGATCGGTGCTTCTTCCGTCGATGCTGCTGCCTCTCCATTCGTGCTGGCCATCGAGACCCACGGTATCAAGGGTTTGCCAAGTGTCATCAACGTGGTCATCTTGATCGCTGTGTTGTCCGTCGGTAACTCTGCTGTCTTCGGTTGTTCCAGAACTTTGACTGCTTTGGCCGAACAAGGTTTCTTGCCAAAGATTTTCGCCTACATTGACAGAAAGGGTAGACCATTGGTCGGTATCTTGGCTACTTCTATCTTTGGTCTATTGTCCTTCATTGCTCAATCTGAACACGAAGGTGACGTTTTCAACTGGTTGTTGGCCTTGTCTGGTCTATCTTCTTTGTTCACTTGGGCTGGTATCTGTATGTGTCACTTGAGATTCAGGAGAGCACTATCTGCGCAAGGTAGATCCACGGATGAGTTGGCTTTTGTCTCCCCAGCTGGTGTTTGGGGTTCTTTCTACGGTGTCTTTTTGATCTTTTTGATTTTGATTGCTCAATTCTGGATCGCTTTGTTCCCAGTTGGCGGCTCTCCAAGTGCAGAAAACTTCTTCGAGGCCTACTTATCTTTGCCAGTCGTCCTTTTCATGTACATTTGTCACAAGGTTTACAAGAGAAACTGGAAGCTATTTATCAGAGCCAAGGATATCGACATTGATACTGGTAGAAGAGAGGTTGACATTGAAGCACTAAAGCAAGAATTGGCTGAGCAAAGAGCTATCTTGGCCACCAAGCCACTATATTACAGAGCTTTCCAATTCTGGTGTTAAGCAATTAAGTGTTGTCCTTCTTCACTGTAAAATAACAATTACCTTTCCCAAAAAATTAGTTGGACCTTAGATAGGTTTCAACACAAATAATGAATATGGATTAGGTTCATAACGTTTGTAAAGTTTAATTTAAAGAGAATAACGTCTAAGAATTTCGTGTTTCGCTTTTGGCATACACGCTGTAATCGTGAGGTAAGCAGACTGATCAATGTCTAACGCTTGAATCCGGTCTTCCCTCTTGGGGCAATTGTCACCTTGTATATTGCTGCTTTTAAGCCGTACCGAATATCGTCTACTTAAAAATTTGAAATTTCACATCGATGACCATATACACTTGATTATATATAAAAAACACTCATCCAAACAAACCCGTTTTCTCATCAAAAGTCTTGCATGTCATCCACATCACACGCAGATTTGGAAGACATCAAAACATTTTGCAAACGTGCCAATGTTAAGTTTCTCTCTTCTCAGTGTATTATAAAAAAATCTGAAATCGGTGGTCTTGGTGTGTTTGCTGAAGAGAACATCAAGGAAGGCACAGTACTGCTGCGAGTACCAAAATCATCCGTTTTCTCGGCGTCTAACAGCTCGATTGCGAACCTTTTGTTAGAAAATGAAATTGACGGCATGCTTGCATTGAACCTGGCATTTATCTACGAAACGACGATATTTAGATCCAAGAGTCATTGGTATCATTATTTAAAGAGCATCCAAATTGAAAATGATAAAGATGAATTGTATCTGCCGCCTAGCTATTGGCCGGACTCAAGTAAATCTCCTCTTAGTGGCACTGCTTTGGATACACTATTCGATGCCTTGAGACCAGAAGACGAGATTCGGGAAAGTTATGATATGGCTAACGAGCTTGCTCATAAGTGGAAAAATGAATTTGGTCTTCAAATTCCAAATCTCGTGTTTCCTAACGATGAAGAGGTTTTCGACGAAGAGAAATTTTTGAGGTTTGTTGCAACAGCGTATGCAATCTCCTCTCGAGTTTTTGAAATAGACAACTATCATGAGAGCGGCCTTGTGGTTATTGCAGATCTTTTCAATCACCATGTGGACTCGCCTGACGTAAGATTTGAAAGTATATTTGATGTTTGTGAAAGCTGCGGTGAAATCGGGCCATGCGGGCATGTCATCCCCGATGATGATCCTGATGTTAACGAGAGGTTAGATGATGAGTTGAAAACACCGAGCCAATCTACAGAAATTTCTCAGGCATTGATAGAGGAACTGGAGCGCGAAACAGCATTGGAGCTAGAAAACTCAAGTGGTGAAAAAAAAGATGATCTGGTACCTGATGAATGTGTCGACATTACGCTAATGAAGCCTGTGAATGCGGGCTCTGAGATTTTTAATTCGTATGGTGATTTGTCCAATGCCCTATTGCTGGCGCGGTATGGTTTCTGTATTGCCTCGAATGTCCATGACGTCGTGCATTTGGCTCCTGATTTACTTAGGTTTTGGAAGAAAAATAAGCGTAAATTCGACGAAAGGTTTCGTTTTTGGGCTGACATGGGTTATGAGTTATTCACTGACTGGTTTGATGCGAAAAGGGCAGAAGAGACTGAAAGTGATGAAGAAGAGGGATACAATAGCAGAGAAAGCGCCTTAGAATTATCCGAAACACTTTCTGATAGTGAGGAGGCAAACAATTCAGGAGGTGAAAATTCATGGCATAGTAACATGTTCCTAATCTCTAATGGGGACACGACACCGTCCTTACGTGCGCTGATTAATCTTCTGACCTTGAACACGGTTGAGTGGAAAAAGCTCACGAAATCTGCAGCTCAAGAAGAGAAAATAAATAGATTTCTTCCTATTCTCGAGAGGAAATTCAACAACGAAGCCAAGAAGCTAATGATCACGCTTCTTGCACCGAAGCAAGCGCTCTATGTGTCAAATCTTACGAAGGTCTCTAATCCTGACGTTCGTACGTTGTTGGAAAGCGAAGCGACAATCATTGAGAATTGTCTGAAAGCATTGGCATGAGGTGCATTCCAGATTTCTACGTATACATCCTTGTGTTTTAGCACGAAAGAGGTGCATTAGGCTATCGCAGAACATTCTACCCAATCCTTGTGTGACTACGTGGTTCATCCTCGAGAGCCCTATGTTTGTAAGTGATCGTAATAATGCGTCTACCTAAATATAATTACCGACTCTCCTTCACGCTTTTGTTCCTTCGAATGCTCAGTTCGTTTTTTTACCCTTATATTATATCTTGCGATTGGAGCCACCGCACAACGCACGGCGTTGAGTACAAAAGTCGCCAACTACCTTCAGTGTACTTTGCAGCCATCCAGCATTTCACTTGCAAGCTTCCAAGACTTTTCGTAGTCAGGTACTCTTCAGGGCAAATCCGCCCGAAAACTTATTTTCAAGTAAAGTCCCGCCAAGAATCTGTCGCTAATATATAAGCGATCCACCGCATGTTTGCGAGAATGAACGCGCTATCTGTAACGTCTGCTGGCATGTCTTGGCGCTTGGAACTAACTTTAAACGAGTCTAGTTCGAGCATTAACCTCAAGGCGAGTTTCTAAGAGCTGCAGGGTGCGCTTTTCTATACCGCCCTTATCAGTTTCCTAAGCGTGACCATTTGCGCTGGAAAATCTTTGTCGCAACGGTTTAGCATGACCGCTATTTTTTTTCACGATCGTGACTAGAGGTGCAGGCCAAGCGACAATTAACGAGTGACCAAGAACTTACAGCCCTCGAGTGATGACCTGAATTGCTCACATCTGGTCATTCGAATTTTTATGTTACTAATGTGTAAAATTATATAAAAATGAGTGGTTTGAATCTGAACAAATACGAATAACGTAAGTATCCAAAACCACAATAGAAATAATGCAAGGAAGTACAATTACGAATTACTTCAGGGGGAGAGTAACAAGTCTTATACCACAGAATGCATCGCTGCAGCAATTGAAAAAAGAAATTAATCCAATTCCCGGGTTGAGGTTGATTACATACAAACAATGGCTATTCATATTAAGTGCATTCGGATCCTTCACTTGGGAAGCGTTCGATTTTTTCACAGTCAGTCTGAATGTTTCAAAAATATCCGAGGACTTCGACGTGTCTACAAAAACTGTGACATGGGGTATTACGGTAGTTTTGATGCTCAGAACTGTAGGGGCGGTTTTGTTTGGATACATTGGTGATAAATATGGTAGAAAAATATCGTTTCTGATAAACTTGACGCTTATGATGATCTTGGAGATAATCACGGGTTTTATCAAGACGCATTTCAAATACTTTCTTTTGGCTAGAGCCTTTTTTGGTATCGTTTTGGGAGGTATCTTCGGTAACAGTGCCGCACAATGTTTCGACGACTGTCCTGTCGAAGCCCACAGTTTCATTAGTGGGTTTTTCCAACAAGGTTACACGCTTGGGTATCTATTGGCTGTTGTGTTTACAAGGGCACTTGCTGATACAACCAAACAAACCTGGAGATCATGCTTCTGGTTTGCCTCCGGTATTACCTTTTGTTTAATTATTTTTAGAGCACTTCTTCCAGAAACTGACGCCTTTTTGGAGAGAAAAAGAATGAAGAGTGAAACTAACGATGAGAGTACATTCAAAGATATTTATGTGGCTTTCAAAAAGCATTGGTATATGGTTATCTACATGGTTTTGGTTATGGTCGGTTTCAACTATCTATCCCATAGTACACAAGATCTATTCCCTACGATGTTGACAAACCAATTAGGATTTTCAAGTGACAGATCTACCGTGACAAATTGTCTAGCCAACATCGGTGCGATTTTTGGTGGTTTGACCATTCCTCACTTGGCCACCATCACTTCTCGCCGCTTCATCATTATTGCATCGACATTATGCGCAGCCTGTCTAATATATCCCTGGGGTTTTGTGCACAACAACTCTATCAATGCATCAGTGTTCTTTATGCAAATGTTCATCCAAGGTGCATGGGGTCTGGTACCTTCTTATTTGCATGCTCTGGCCCCTGACCACAAGACACAAGCTTTCTACGTTGGTATTTCGTACCAGCTAGGTAACTTGGCCAGCAGTGCTGCATCTACTATTGAAACCTCGCTTGGTGAAAAATACCCCATTATTAATAAGGAAACAAATAAGCAGGTCTACGATTACGGCAAAGTCATGAGTATTCTTGTTGGTGCTGTGATGGGCTACCTAATCCTAGTCGTTTTTCTAGGACCTGAAGGTAGCGAAATTGCTAAAGAAGAAAATCCTTCTGGTGTTCAATATGACCAAGATAAGGAAGAAGCGCCTCGGGATAAGGAGTCTCAATTGGAAGTTGAATTTGTTCAAAAGCAAAGCACTTCCGATAGTGACGATTCACTCGTGTAATTAAATAACCAGCATCTCTAAATATTAATAATAATAATAACTATCATCATTTCATCTCCAAAACATGCGCAAGTTACCTACCGGTAGTTAGTAACCGCCCGTGATTTTTATCTTGATGAACTTCCAGGGCTTCCGCCGAAAGCTTTTTTCTCACAAATTATCAGAGCACGTCACAAGAGGAATAGCTCGTCAGCTTGGGATTATATCTCAAAAAATTTGTGCATTGCTGGGCTAGATCTGCCCGCAAATTACATCTTCCACGAATGACATAAGTGTCACAGGTTTAAATTTTGTCTCAGTCAAATGTTTTTTTCCTCTCAGTATATAATGGAAACTACATAATTGCGTCAAACTCATTAAAACAACTGCGAAATCAAGTTAATGACCACCGGAACATGAATTATCACAAATATAAATGACAAACACAGAAATGCACAAGTGTTTGCTTTATATTGAGTAATCGGAGCTCAGGAATAGAAAATGCAACATGCCAGAATTTTGGTGTTGCCAAAATGTGACATAATTCCGCAACCTACGAAGAAATACATACCTTCCGATGAAAAAAAGCTTTACAAATTCTAAAACATATTAAATATTCCTGAAAAAAATACATACAATGTGCGTCTCGATTTATTCCTCTCATGTTCCACCCACATCAGACATCATTCCTCAAATGTGAAATCCTTGCCCTATTTGTTCACCTGATCTCAGTCGAATACACCCATACATATGAAATGTGAATGCGGCGAAAGAAACCATGAAAATTTTTTCAAGAGTATATAACCAAGTGAAAAATTTTTCTTCAGCTCATCGGATTCATTCTCAGATACCATCATCACACATATAGAAATGTCTCGTCCACAAGTTTCTGTTCAAGCTTTGAACGGTGAGGCCACCTCCGCCTCCGTTCCTCTACCAGCAGTCTTTTCTGCTCCTATCCGTCCAGACATTGTCCACTCTGTCTTCACCTCAGTGAACAAGAACAAGAGACAAGCTTACGCTGTTTCTGACAAGGCTGGTCACCAAACCTCTGCCGAATCCTGGGGTACTGGTCGTGCTGTTGCCCGTATTCCTCGTGTCGGTGGTGGTGGTACTCACAGATCCGGTCAAGCTGCTTTCGGTAACATGTGTCGTGGTGGTCGTATGTTCGCTCCAACCAAGACCTGGAGAAAGTGGAACGTCAAGGTTAACCACAACGAAAAGCGTTACGCTACTGCTTCCGCTATCGCTGCTTCTGCCGTTGCCTCTTTGGTCTTGGCCAGAGGTCACAGAGTCGAAAAGATTCCAGAAATCCCATTGGTCGTTTCCGATGACTTGGAATCTGTTCAAAAGACCAAGGATGCCGTTGCTGCTTTGAAGGCTGTTGGTGCTCATGCCGACCTTGTCAAGGTCTTGAAGTCCAAGAAGTTGAGAGCCGGTAAGGGTAAGTACAGAAACAGAAGATTCACTCAAAGAAGAGGTCCTTTGGTTGTCTACTCTGAAGATAAGGGTCTAGTCAAGGCTTTCAGAAACTTGCCAGGTGTTGAAACTGCAAACGTCTCTTCTTTGAGCTTGTTGCAATTGGCTCCAGGTGCTCACTTGGGTAGATTTGTCATCTGGACTCAATCTGCTTTTGCCAAGTTGGACCAAGTCTGGGGTTCTGAAACCACTGCTTCTGCTGTCAAGAGTGGTTACACTTTGCCATCTAACATCATTTCTACCTCTGATGTTACCAGAATTATCAACTCTTCTGAAATCCAATCCGTTGTCAGACCAGCTGGCCAAGCAACCCAAAAGCGTACTCACGTTTTGAAGAAGAACCCATTGAAGAACAAGCAAATCTTGTTGAGATTGAACCCATACGCTAAGGTCTTTGCTGCTGAAAAGTTGGGCTCCAAGAAGGTTGAACAAAAGAAGAGCACTCCTGCTAAGGTTTTCTCTGAAACTTTGAAGCACGATTAAATATCATAATCTTTATCCATTAATTATGTATTTTTTATTTAATTAATTCTAGATTTTGGTTTATCGTTCAGATTCGCAAGTGAAGATGGTTTTCTTTTCAAATGAAATGTATATAAACGCAGTTATAAATGCTCTATTTTACACTATATTGCAGCGAATAATTTACTCTGTTAAATTACATCGAGTTGATTTTGTTATTGTACAGTTACAGCCTTAAAAAACCTAGTCCACAGCGACGTTAGCGCCGTGAATTAAAAATTAAATGCAGCGGTAGAACAAAAATCAATGCATCAAATATGTGTTTTCGTTCTTCCTAGATCTTTCATTTGCATCGACACCACTGGCCTTAAAATGATAAGATATCTTGACGTCTAAATCTCTGTTATTGCGTTGATTTGGAGCACATGTAAGTGTACCTTCCAAGACGTCACCGGCTTCACATTCCAAATCGTCTTCAAGATAAAAAACAGTTTGTTTCCAATGAGTGTAAGGAGCGTGTGCACCCGTCGAGAAGGTAACTGGCTTCTTGCCCTTTGGTGCTGGAAACTCAATATCGAACCAACAAATCAAACCATTAATAAAATCCTGGTTCTTAGCATCTAACTGAAATTTGCAGGAGAAAGCGAGGTCCTTGACACTAATAGTGTTTAAGTCAAATTCAATTAGTTTCTGCCTGGTAGTATTTACGGCGGTGTGCTCCACCGTATCGACTAAAGGTTCCTTCTTCACTAGGGGGATGAATGGAGAGTAATCAAATCCGTAAACGTTTTGCCAATAATTCAGCTTCTGATCCTTGTAATCCGCATCTTCTATCCCTGCCATGTGAATGGAACATTTATCTGGGAAGATTAAACCTCCTTCGACCAAGTACCGATCACGAGCGTAAAGGACAGTGTCCAACATAGACTCATATAGTAAAAAGTATCCCATCCATTCGGAAATAATAATGTCGACTTTTGGGAAAGGCAATTCAACGTCCTCTAATTTACCACGCAACAAGGTAATCTTGTCAGAGAACCCATTCAACTCAACGATTTCACGAGCCATTTCTATGATGCTTGACATGTCCACACCAATCACATGCTTAGCACCATTCTTTGCAGCAAACATGGATAAAATACCTGTACCGCAACCAACGTCAAGTACAACCTTGTCCTTGAACAAGTCTTTGTTCTGGACGATGGCGTTACGGTAGGATAAGGTACGAACTGTATCTTGTAGCATCTCTTCATGGATTCCATAATGGTCATATGAATTGAAATAATGCTGCTCAAACTCGTTCAAATTCTTTTTGTCAGTGGCGGACTCCTTAGCTTCAGTCTTACTCATCTTGTTGATTTTACCTATGATTCTTTAAGTGAAGAGGCGTTTCTTAAAACTCGGAAAAATTTTATTTAGGCGATGCGCTATGAAAACAAGAAATTCATAAAAAAAGAATTCAGAGATTACATTGTAAGGGCATAGCAACCGAATACCACCAGTCTAGAGCAGCTTCATTTTGCCCACTGGACATAATAGTTTTCCACAGCTTATCTAGTAGTTCCTTTTTTCTTCCTTGACAGGTGCTCAATAGCTCGAGGCAATTATCCAACCAGTCGCGTAGAAATCTCTCGTCAGTATACATGACTTGACAAATCAAACACTCAATTAACGTCGACTTCTCATCCAGGGTTTTGCAGTTCAGTATTTTCAGGTAAGTGTACTGCAAAAGCTGGCGACCAAGATCGTCGTTTATGTACTTGAGATAAGGAAGTTGCGAAGCGACCGTTCGATAGATTAGAACAAGTTGAGATGAAGAAAGAATCTTCTGCATGAATTGCATAGTTGATTGATCGATATATTGAATCGCATGCTCAAACTTCCATTGGTCCATAGGTTGCATTGAAATTCTATTGGTGAACAACGCCAGATAAGCACTATGCGCTGTCTCCAGAATCTCCCCGTTAGGGAAGTCAAGGTAATGGGAAATTAATGGTGCAACGATATTTTTTAGCTTATCCGAGTCTATTGGAATTTTGGCCAATGTTTGTTCCAAAAATGTGAGCACGAAGAGGACTCTAGAGTCATTAACTTTATTGCCAGATAGGGACCACAAATTACCTCGCATAACAGAAAGAACGTTGTAAAAGCCGGAAGAAGTAATAGTTACACCTGCAATGCTCACATCGTGAATATGCTCATAGTTCGAGAAGCCCACAACGCCAAAGTCATGAACCAAGTAATTGATGTAGAATAATGAGATAACTATCTCATATGCCCATTCATAAGGTAGATCTAGCCTCGATGCACATCCTTGCAAAATTAGTACGATTGTCAGTAAAACATCAGAGTAAGGTTTAACAGAATAGTCTTTTTTTGGATTATTCAATTCTTTAATAGAAAGCTCGAATGAAAGACTGCATATTACTTTTAGAACTTGCGTAACAACCTCATGCTCAGTCCAAGTTAGTAATAAGTGGAGAGCATTTGCGATGGAATTTATGTGTCGAGCCAAGAAACTGTTTTTCTGATCTTTTCCCAACATGAATTCTGTCGAAAGGTTAAATAAACAACGCGTTACCGCAGAGTTAGGTATGTGCTTGATATCACCCTCGCGGCACAGAGGAGCATAAATAAGACACATTTCGTTGAGAGACTGTGAATTATGGCTTGCGTGAAAAAGCTCCGAAAAGATCGGTAACAGAAGGTTACTTCGCCACTCTCTGTATTTAAAATGCACCGATCCGCTATCATCGATGAAAAGTGTCGACTGTAACCGTTCGAACTTACTTTCAGTACTCAGAACTCCACATAATAGCGCCAGTTTCGGGGTGGTCCATGAGTGGCATCTCCTAAATCCTGAATCCCAGATATCATAGAAGTCTCGAATACTAATGACGGGTTCGGATATTTCGAGCTTCCAATGAAATATAGCTTCAGTAAGCTCAAAAAGTGATAGCACTCCGTTTTCATTCTGTGGAAGCCAAATATGTGATTCTATTATTGAATTGATAAGCCTCTTGAGCTGTACTTTTGATCGTATTCTGGGCGTGTAGTAAGCTAAGTTCTTTAAAAGTGAAGTGCGATCATCTTGGTAGTGACTGAGATTAAGAATCAGAATTAAATGGTCCACAGCTCCATTGGTCGTCATCTTTTTATGCTCATTGAGCTCTGAAATTGATTCCATTTGTAAAATTGTACAGGGAAAATTTCATTTCTCTATCTGCTGTCGAATTCAACAGCAACAAATAAAGGAGATAGGAATTATGTCCACCGAGACTCCTCAAGGTCTCTGGCAATTCCCCATTACTAAATTCTGCATGATATGCACGGTGAGTGTACCGATAGTTGCATCTTTATCTGATTCCAAGTACTGGTTTGTACTGAACTATGACCCCTTCATTACTACCTACAGACAATATTTTAGGTATATCCTATTCCAACTAGCAGCGGTTAATGAGTCTGACGTGGCCATTATTACGCTTTTGTGGTATAACTTCAGACAACTTGAAAGGCTAATGGGCTGCCGGAAATATTTGAGTATAATAGCCTTAAGCTGGTTTTACACAACAACTATACTGGCAATAAGTAATAAATTGATCAACTTAAACCCTCTTTTTACTTGGAACAGATTTCCTACAGGTGCTCTCCCAATTCTACTGGCGCTGTTCCATTTTTACAAAGAGTATACTCCGCAGATATATGAGTTTGAGGTTTTACTTACACAGCCATTTGGATCGCATTCCAAGCAACTTAGATGGAAATTAAACGACCAGTTTGTTATTAATGCTCTGATTATTTTATTATGCCTAAACCAAGGGTTAACAGGAATATCAAGCGGCTTCTTAAGCTGGCTATGTGGGGTATTCATCGACAAAGGGCTGTTTCCAGGGTCCGAGAAGTTCAGACTACCCTTTTTGAACGACAGGATGAACAGAAGTGCCACAACAATAGCTAACTCCAATGTAACGACTAACAATTCTGAAGGCGAACCTCCTCAAGGTGAGCTCAATGAAGAAGAAATTGAAGAGCCAGGCGATGAGCCAGCCAGACCCCTCGGTGTACAATTTCTGGATACGTTTAGAAGGTAATTACTAGATATATAAGCACGTCTGAATACAATCATATTTTTAGGTTCTTGGTGCCCTCTTCAGCTTTTTTTAGCTGTTGTCTTTTTTCCACATCCCAGTTATAGAGTCTGGCGCAGTTTACCTCCATTGTTGTTATATTTTCTCTCAGAAATTCCACATCTTCCTTTGCAATCTCTAAGTTCCTTTCTGCTTCGCTGAGCTTTGAAGTCAATAAATCAATAGCCTCATCGATTGGGTATTCTAACATCACATCGGCACCTAGCCAAAGTCCAACATACAGATCTTCTGAGGTATCGATTGCTGCTTTCGTGTATAGCGTTTCATTGAGCTGATAGTTTGCCTCAAGGCATTCTCCCGCTTTTTTCTTTAAATTGAGCATATTACACATACTGAGAGTGTTCTCGATATCAGGGATCTTAGATTTTAGTTGCTTGATTGTGAGCAATTTAGACTCCTGCATGAATTTGTACTTGGACAAACGTTCTTGAAACTTGTTAAAACATAGATCAAAATCGCTAGGATCCTTGATGAAATCCTCGACTTTCTCAACAAATGGTGCCTCTGGAATACCTCTGGGATTACTTCCAGTAGAATTGAAGATAGTATCCATCGTCTTTTACCAGGTATACTCAAAATTTTAGACTAGAAATTTATTTTTTTTTGTTCAGTTTTCAGATCGTTTGGTCTAATGAAGACGAAAATCAAAGTTTATGAAGAAAGTCCCATATCGGCGGTTTCCCGACCAACTTAGTTCTATTCAAAATGTGCTAAAGCTACCAATAGCTAAAAATTCTTGATTGAATTTTGCGCAGTGATTGTGATGTGCACTATAAACAAAACATACATCACGTAATCGACTCGTTAAAAGACACCCGATGAAAAATAGCAATCTGAGTTCAATACCGCAGTCCTCTTCGCTCTCTATAGAAATTTGTGGTTGAGGAGAGATTGGAATAGAGGTCACTTGAAGTAACAAAATCTCTAAGGATTTCTAATTCAGATGAATGATGACTTAGTAGAAAATACTTTGTCCTTTGCTTCCGCACCGCGAGTTGCGCTCAAAGTTAAAAACTTATCTGTACTTACTGATAAGGATAACATCATCGTTCACAATGTATCGATGAAAGTTCCAAGCGGGTCCCTAATAGCCATAATTGGTGGTTCTGGCTCAGGTAAAACTACTCTTTTAAATGTCTTGGCAAATAAAGTTGCAAAGGGATTGAAGTATACCGGTGAATACAAAATAGTTCCAGAATCAGACAGCCCTACAAGCTTTGTAACGACAGCATACTTGACCCAACATGATATACTGTCTCCAAAGTTAACTTGTAGGGAGATACTTCAGTATGCAGCGGATTTAAAGTCGACCAGCAGTAAAGCAGAAAAGTGTCAACTGGTTGAAGAACTCATTGCAGAGCTAGGTTTGAAAGACTGTGCGGACACATATGTTGGGGATCCAAATCACCCTGGTCTGTCAGGAGGTGAAAAGAGAAGGCTTAGCATTGGTATTCAAATGATTTCAAATCCCTCACTCATGTTTTTGGATGAGCCAACAACAGGACTCGATGCCTACTCTGCATATTTGGCCATCAAAACGCTAAGGAAATTAAGCCATAAGGCGGGAAAGACATTTATTATGAGTATTCATCAACCAAGGGCTGACATTCTTTTTCTATTGGACCAAATCTGCATTCTTTCCAAAGGATATAATGTCTTCTGCTCATCTGTAAGCAAAATGGTTCCGTATTTCCATAACCTGGGTTACGACGTTCCTGAGCATGTTAATCCAGCAGACTTCTTTATTGATTTATGCAGTGTTGATACCAGGACTACAAACACAACAAAACAAACGGAGGAGAGATTACAATTATTGAAGCAGAGCTGGCAGTCTTATGAAAAGAACCTTGATTTCACAATAGAAGACACAGAAAAAGATATCAAACTCTCTTCTCCCAGTGTACCCTTTTGGAGTCAAGTCAAGGTTTTGACGGCAAGATCTATTAAACTTAATCTGCGTGATACAGTAACTTTTGTTGGTGTCCTCCTTGAGCCTGTTGTCATCGGAACAATTGCTGGGTGGATCTACTATAAGCCTGATAAGACCACGTTAAGTGGAATTCGAACTGTGTCTGGCGCTCTTTATTCCTCAGGGGCTCTTCAAGGCTATCTTTTCCAGCTATTCGAGACTTATAGACTCTGTGAGAAGGATATCAAAGTTTATGACCGAGAACGCTCCGAAGGTTCGGTGACACCCTTGGCTTTCTTCGTATCTCGAAGAATTGCAAACTTTTTGTTGGAGGATTTCGCGGTTCCATTTATCTTTTCCATCATCACGTTCTTCATGTATGGACTGAACGTAAATGCAAGAAGCTTTTTCATCTACTTTTCCGTGGTGCTTCTCGTTCATCAAACCTCAACTTCTCTGGCAATGCTTTCTGTTTCAATTTCTAGAGACTTCTCACAGGCCTCTTTGATAGGAAATTTAACGTACACTTTACAGTCAATGGCTTCTGGATTTTTCGTAAATGCGAAGAAAATGCCTGTTTATGTCAGATGGACAAAATATATCGCATTTATTTGGTACAGTTTTGGTTGTCTAATGTCCAATCAGTTCACAGACTTCGCGTGCAATCTCGAGGGACAGGAGGGTTGTTATGGTAATATGCTTCTCGATTCTTTTGGGTACAGCAGAAATTGGATTACAGTGCCAATCATCGCTGTTTTCTGCTGGGGGATAGGATTTTACATTTTTTCCATATTTTTCCTTTATTGGAAACGAGTGGATGTCAGTATGGCGACGAAAGTTAAAAGTAGAAAGAAAGCAGAACTTGGAACCAAAGACGAAAATATTGATGTGGAATCATTCAATTTGGAGACTCCACGATGCGGCGAGATCCCAATAACCATAGAAATATCAGGCCTGACTCTGAGATTAGAAAAGTTGGATTTTCTTTCGACTAACGCCCACAAATTTGGAAATCACCAAACTAAGTGTATTCTGAGCCAAATCGACGCTGTTTTCAAACCCAATATGATAAATGCAATAATGGGTCCCTCTGGCTCGGGAAAGTCATCGCTATTAAATTTAATATCCGGTAGACTGAATTCAACACTTTTTAAAACCTTCCATACTGAAGGAACCATATCATTCAATGGCTTGACCATATCGCGAAATAAGTTCAGGGACGTGTGTTCGTTTGTGCCTCAGGATGATGATCACCTACTTGCAAAACTCACTGTCAGGGAAACTTTATCCTATGCAGCAGAATTGAGATTACATCATTTAAGCTCGAGTGAAAGATCCCTTAGGATTGATGAACTTATCTCTGAGTTGGGTCTGAAACATTGTGAGAACCACTTGGTCGGTGATGAATTATCAAAGGGCATAAGCGGGGGCGAAAAACGACGCGTATCAATGGGAATTCAATTGTTAACCGATCCTCCTATTCTCTTACTGGACGAGCCTACTTCTGGACTAGATAGTTTTACTTCTTTCAAAATTCTCGATGTCCTTAACAAGATTTGCCAGAAACCAGGTAGGACTGTTATTCTAACCATCCATCAACCTCGTGCAGAGCTTTTTGAAGACTTTGGAAACGTTCTTCTCCTCGCTAAAGGAGGTAATATAGCCTTCAATGGTTCTCCTCTAGAAATGATGAAGTACTTCAGTGGTCTAGGTTATTATTGCCCTCCTCTAACTAATGTTGCAGATTTTTTTTTGGATTTAATATCCATCAATACGCAAAATGATGAAAATGAAGAGATATCGAGTAAAAGAGTGACAAAACTTCTCGAAAACTGGAGAGTGAGACAAAAGGAAAATGCCAAAGTTTCCGAGAAGTCAATGACTCAGGAAAAGTTGATTGAATTTTTGGATATTAACTCAACTAGCAAAGCGGGGTTTGGCGTTGCATATAAAGTTACTGTTCGGCGTCAGTTTAAGACAATGAGAAGAAGCATGGATTCTTTAATTGCAAGGCTAGCCCAAATACCAGGTCTCGGAATTATTTTAGCCCTCTTTTTCGCGCCCATCAAACACGATTACACGAGTGTCTCGAATCGCCTTGGTTTGGTCCAAGAGTCCACTGCCTTGTATTATACGGGAATGCTGACGAACCTAGCATGCTATCCCAGTGAGCGCGATTATTTCTATGGGGAGTTCAATGATAATGTTTATGGAGTAGCTCCTTTCTATCTGGGGTACATGACAATTGAGTTGCCAATGGCGCTTGCAGGATCAGCGCTATACGCCATTTTCATAGTCCTAGTTTGCGGTTTGAATCGAACAGCAGGAAACTTTTTCGCTACTTTGTATTGTACCTTGATAATTGTCACCTGTGGTGAGGCACTGGGGATCATAACTAATACACTATTTCAGCAGCCGGGATTTGTGGTTAACATCGTATCTATCGTCTTGTCGATTGGTACTGTCATGTCGGGGTTGATGTCATTGCAAATGTCACGTGTGTTAAAGGGCATCAATTATATCAGTCCAATGAACTACACATCTATGATCATGATCAACATGGCGTTCCCCGACGATCTGAGATTGACATGCAAGGATGGAGGACAAACGACTGATGGATCTTGTACGTTTTCAACTGGCCGAGATGTATTAGAAACCTTTGGTTTGGTTAAAAGCGTTCGAATATATCTAGGAGTTATTATTTGCGTGTGGTTTATTTACAGACTCATTGCGTATTTAATTCTAAAGGCAAAGCTAGAATGGTTTAGGAAATGATTGAATTTAATCCGCTCTTAGGTCAGCTGGCAATATATGTATAGATAATGGGAAAAACAGAGATTTGTATAATTCGTTCGAAATCCCTTTTTTTTTGACATGCCACGTCAATTTAAGATTTCCGCTTATTCAAATAATAGCTTCCAATTGACAATTCGAAATGGTAGAAATAAACAGGGAACACCTACGTCGTATTTATAAATATTCACTGGACGAGCTCAAAGTCCTGGAAAGTAAGTGCTTTTTGAGTAAGTTTGATGGTTCGATAGCTTTCGATTTAGGTTGTAAAGTAAGACAATGGGCGATTGAGGCATTTCCCGAAAAATCACTTGTCATAGATGTTTCACTGCCAAGCGGACAGTGTTTATTCCATGCAACTACCGCAAGTGGAACTTGCTTGGATAACGATATCTGGATTCAACGTAAAAAGAAAACAGCATTTCGTTTTGGTTGTTCTAGTTTCTTCATGGGTCAAAAATTGAGACAAAAGAATGCAAAGTCCATGGAAGAAGCATTTTATATTGATTCAAAGGAATATGCTGTACATGGTGGCGCAGTTCCGATCATACTTGAAAATTCCGACACTATTGTTGCATGTTTAACAGTCAGTGGATTAAAACAAGAGGAAGATCATCTTTTTGCCATCACATGCGTTATCGAATATGCCAACAGGCTACTTGAATCTGAATTAAATTTAGATTAAATAAAACTACCCATATATGACCTATGCAATGTTCCTTTTTCCCGCAAGAAATTGCGGAAGCAGCCCACTTACTCTCCATTTCCATCTCAATTTCCTCTTGGCCTCTAGAAACCATACCATGGTTGATGAGTCAACGATCTTTGGATGGTGATGAAAGCTATAATCCTCAGACTGATTGTCCTGTAACTGGAGATGTAACCTGTTGATCAAGTGTGATGAAAATTGGTTCGTTTTGAGCCGCTTACTAGTGTTTTCCACGACGACCTCAGGTTCCTCCATAAAATCGCTACTATCTATGCTAAAGTTCCTTGTGTCGTCAACCGAATCACACGACGTCTCGAATTCGTAATCCTCAAGAAGTTTTGCTGTTTCCTCATATTTGACAGTGCAGCTTCCACATACAATCTCGCGATAGTCTTTCCCTTCAATCAATGAGCTAATTTCGTACAATGATTTTTCACAAATGACGCATTGCTTTATTTTCTGTGCGATTCCTGAGGCCTGTAGATACTCGTCCTGTCCCTCCGATTTATTTGATTTCATAACATATTCCAGAATATGTTCTAAGGCAGGGACCACAGTACTTCCCGTCGTTGCAGATTCTCTTTCCACGTTTTCTTCTTCAGTACTTTCATCAATCATTCCCATATTGGCAAAGGAATCGTCGTTGCATAAGTGTGGCGTTAATGTGAGAGATGACGTTGTAGACAGTTTGCGATAATTCCTAAGCTTGATTGGTAGCTTCGAATCATTTCTCTTGCAGATTTTTGTTTTTAAATCAGAAACAGACACCATTTTCTTCGAGGATTTATGTCGCGGTAGATCTTGAGAGATGTAATCTTCCACTAACACAATTGGATGTTCAGAAGAATTTTCTACTGAAGAAGGACTTTTGGGATTAAAGCTTATTCGTCTGTTGTCGGCATGCACCCTTATTTTTATTTCGTTAACAGGATATTTGGAATGCTTTTCTTGAATCTCCACCGGTGGAGGTATCGGAAAGCTAGTGAGGTTACGGTCGTCCAGTAAATCGAGTTTTGAAGTCGATTCTGAAAGAGTTGAGCGCAGGCGGGGCTTTGCGCCGCTTAATGTATTTCTCATTATTCTTCTTTTACGCATCAGTTTGTGAGTTGGGTTTTCATAAGGTGCGATTGACCCTTTAGATGGTGTGCTATTGCTGTCGAAATGAAATTCAGCCTTACAGGCCTGCCATCTCATTGGCGTTTCACCTGTGGGCGCCCCACACGAAACCCCAGCTGGACTCCTATTGAATGAAATTAGTGAAGCTTGAGAGTCCGATGACAATAATGACATCGACGACTTGGCCTCTGGAATTTCAGAGTTTCCACTACATGATGACTCTTCCATCACTAGCTTCAGTTTTGAGTATTGTTCTCAGCAGCGAAGCTAACGTGTCTGTTGTTAGCCTTCCTGCAAATGAGTGTACATACGATTCATCTTTAATCGCCCATGTTTACCTTTTCCTGATGCGGAAATAGAAAATCATTTTTGAAGGCGATGCCTTAATATGTCAAAAATAACAGTATATTTAGAATCTAAGCCCTGATGCAAGCTAGTTGGGACTGGTTACAAGTTTCGGGGCAGAATGCCTGGTCTTTCTTTTGCATTAGAAATTGTCCCTCCTCTACGTCTTGTAACTAAGGAAAACTAATCGTCAAATATGAAGACGGATTAAATGCAATTTTCCGTTTCAAGAACTAAATTCACACAATGATGACGGTAAATTCACCTATTTTCCAATCTAGTAAATTCTGTTTTGTGTACGTTATCCAAATTTGAGGGTAATAGTGTGGCAAGTGGACAGGTGCATCTCTCTTTAGTCGTACACATGTTGGTTCGGGCTGTAAACAAAAGCCGGTTCAGAATCGAAATGAAATCCACTGAAGAACTGGCCAGGAATAGACATTAAGCTATCTACAAGATCTTGATTATTCTCAACTGTGATGTAGACTCGTGACCATTTTAGTTTTCATTACCAATCTTCGTCTGCCGATCCACCTTAACCTTGTCACTCACCCAGCTACAAGAAAAGCACACAGGCGCCATTAAATATTTGAGCTGTGCTACAAGTATCAAAAGTAACACGCCGGTACCCTAACACATAAGCAGATGGATTAGAGATCACCTCAATCTGTGCATTGGGCTTCTTGCTCACGCTATTAGAGTACTCTTGTAAGCAGGAATGAACTGTAGCCGTAGTACAAGGTGTAGACCAAATAAGATGGCGTGTAATCCGAGTCTTACAGTGTCTCAGCGATTTGCAAAATGGCGAAGCATTCCGCATTGCATTTTCTAAATACCTATATTCTTGGCCGTTAAATGCGCCCTAGTATTTGAAGAAAGATGCGCATCCCAATTCAATGAGGCTGTCAGTCGCCACTCGTCGAACAAGAACTACATCGACCCGAAAGCTCCGCCAATAGTCAGTAAACTTCGCCCCCGTATGATCTGCATGCTGCTACGGCTTCGCATCAGCCTCCTTTAACAGAGTAATACCGTCTTGCATGTGGAAAAAAAAGGTTGCAAATGATTGAAATTTTTCTCACTCGGTGCTATTTTCAGCCTTACTTACTCCCCCAAATAACACCTAGCTCAAAAGGAAGGAATGTCAGCTGCAGAATATTACAATGGTGCCTCTGAATCAAAACAACAAGTATGTCAAGATGTTTAAGGCGATTTTTTTTATACAGTTACTAACGATAATCATCAGTACGTAGCACCAGGGGCTCCAGCACCAAGTGGTAACTACAGCTCTTCTAGAGGCTATCCACAACAGAATTATGGTGCCCCACAACAAGCTTACTATGGCAATCAACCCCCACAATATTACCAACAACCTCCACCTCAGCAGCCGGGCTACTACCAACAGCAACAGCAACCAATCTACGTTCAACAGCAACGTCCTACGTCCAACAATCAAGACTGTTTGACTGCCTGTTTAGCAGGTATGTGTCTATGTTGTACTCTGGATATGCTCTTCTGATGCATCAAAAGCCCTGGAGAGGAAATAAAATTAATGCTAGTTCATAAATAGGCAATTGTAAAAAAAGAATTATTCGGCCTCATTATGTTCAAATGTATTGAGCCTATGTAGCTGTAATATAATATATGGAGTTTGACTCGCTTGGAGTATGCAATTAGATCTGGCCTTTTGATGCTAGAGACCTTAATATCATAAAAGTTAACAAACGCTCAGAGAGAATCATCGCGTTTTATAAATGATTAGCGTCGATCACACTAAAATCTTTCAATCTCTTCATCTACGGAGTCTACAATTCTCGTGTAACCTTGCTTCCTATCATCCAGTAGAAACTTAGGCATGTAGCCATCTGGGATTTCTATTGCACCGTTGAATATCAAGGTTCCCATCACAAGGAGTATAAACCCGCATAGTTGCACGGCATTAAACTTTTCCCAGCCCAAAGATAGTGATACACACCAGACCATCAAAGTTCTGCATGTATCCACCGTACTTCTAGAAGTAGCATTCAGATGTTTAGTTATAGATGTGCCGAAATAATTGAAGCAGGCAATAGACATCATAATAACGACAGAGGAGTACAAAACTGAGTCATTGGAGAACATATCGGTAAAAGCTTGATTCAAATTAAAATATGAATTGGGATTCTTATGTCCACTTATTCCATGACCAATAACAAAAAGAAGTAGAGTAACAAGCGCTCCAAAGAAACCCTCAAAGCCTACCAGCTGAAGTGGAATGACATCCCACCTATGCATTATATGCTCCTCAAACACAAACTGCGTTGCCATGAACACCTGTGCTAATAAAATTAGCAAGATGCCCCCAACTAATGAAAATGATGCAAACGATTCCGAATCTACACTTGATTCCTGACCGCTACAACCAACAACTGTGACACCTAGCACGACCAAAGCCAACGCAGACCATTCTAAACGAGATATTCTATGATCAAGGAACACAACACTGAAGATCGCCACAACAATTATCAAAGCTCCCCTTGCCATTTGGTAGACTGAAACGGGTATCATTGTAAGGGCAATATTCATCAAAGTAGTTGCGAGAATGTCACAAATGGCTGGCAGGGACAGTATAGTTGTCTTGTTACCTGTCAATAATTGCTTAGAATTGTTAGCTGAAGTTGCACTAGCTGAGCCTCTCGCAAACCAAAATGCGACCAGTAACGCCATTTCGCCGATGAACATCTGCAACGTTTGGAGAACTGGCTGATTAAAAAGTACTGGGGATGGCCCGTCACAGTCACGTACGCACTGGTTATCTTGACTCTTGGTGGCAACCGAATTCACGCAGCCAGTTATTATTAGTCCTGTGCAGAGAGATGCGACAAACCAGCGAGTCATTGCTTCTATTCTGTTTAACCTTTAATGTCTTGGAGAATAACAGGGTTACGGCCTTTCTATATACGGGACAAGATAATGATGTCAGCCGTTCATCAGCACCGAAGTAGGGTAACGAAGAAATATCTAGAAGAAAACTTCTCTCATCTTACCTCTAGTTCGAATGGCATTGTTACATCCGTCTGCTGGGCATTGCCTGGGACCGTAATTATCTGGATGCGATGCTCCTTTTAATTGATTTAGCTTCTTTTTTGATGCTCTATTGTAAGACCTAGCATTATCAATTCTCGCAAAGCAACGCCCGCAAAAAGAATGACCGCACGATGCCACGTAGGTCCTCTTAGAAAGGTCTCTATCAGCTACAGAAGGTTTAGCCAATGACTGGTAAGGACAATGGAATTGGTATTTAGCAGTAAGACCTTCAAACGATACTCCTCGATCAAGCTTGGATATCCCAAGGAATTCTGAAGGTATTCCTATTCCCAACTCTACACCGCACAAACAACATACAGCAATGTCTTTATAATTCTCAGCAGCTTGATCATCAGTCACTAGTACTTCTTCTTCTTTGCCATTTTTAGTGATTTTTATCTTTATTTTGGGTGTTGTGTCGAACGAAGAGCTAAAACATTCAGGTAGCTCTTCCGCTTTCTTCAAAAATGCTTCTTGTTTTGCCCTAGAGTCTTCCATATACTTCTTTTTACGTGAGTCATTTTCCTGTTCTTCACGAGCCTGGATCATTTCGATAATATTCTGGGTTTGCCTCTCTTCATCATATTCTCCGTAAGGGCTATAAGGCTCGTCGAAGTCATCGTAGCCCATACTCATGCGCCCAAATATCGGTGTAAAGGTTCTAGCTATGATTCCTGCAAGAGTGGGTGGATAACGAAGATTCCTGAGCCGTCCTTGCTCAGATCCTCCCCGTATTTCAGGCCCTTGACGGTCCCTTTGCATTTGCATCATTCTGTCACTAGCCCAAGAACGCATTATATGTGCACGGTACTGCGTAAATAAGCTCGTTAGCTCATCTTGCCGCTCTTCATAGGAATGTCGGTCAACGGATTGTAAAATAGATCTAAATTCGTGCATGCTCTGTGCATGATCAAAAGCACTTCGCACATCCAGTGGAAGTTCATCAATACGAGCTCTCAAAGAGGCAAATGCTGGATTGTTCAGTTCGGGTTCAACTCGCGGTACTCTACCTCTTTGTGTGTCTGAATGCCGTTGCAGCATTGAATTTTGTTGACGACGTTGCCTAACAGAAGAAGGCAACTGATTTTCACCACTGGAGTTCATATGGTCAAAGTTTTCATCATTTGAGTTCACAAAGAGGCTGGTTGCTCGTCTAGCCGTCCGTCTTAGTAATCTTCTCCGAGCTTCTGTGGTATTGAAATAGCGACTGCGTTGATTTTGAAAGGAGCGCCTCAAAGGCCGGTCAGACGGTGTGCCATTAATTCTTAGATACTCTCCACCTGGCAAATTCAGCAGAAAGCTTGGAGCTCGGGTTCTCTCTTCAATAATTTCGATATCGTCATCGTTCTGAGCGGAATTTGCTGGATTAATTAGTGCAACACGAGGTATCTCATCGGTTTCTAAGTCGACATACTCAGCATGAGAATCTATAGGTCCACCATCATCAAGTAATGTCTCACTCACTACCTGCAAGTCATCGTCATCACTTAGTATCTCACTATTCATTTCGGAACTTCCCTGGTTTATAGCAGCAAACCTGTTCAACGAATCTCTTGGTCTCATATTCCCCATGCCCTCAGTTCTAGTGAGACTCAGGTAGTTCCGAAAACGCTCATCTTCCTCAGGATCGCTTTCAATCTCAATAACGTCGTTATCTTCTGGATTCCTTGCTGTCAGAAGTCCTCTTTGCTCTTCAGAGCCCATTTTGGCCTATCGAATAGATTTTCGAGTATTACAGTATTGAAGTAGGATAAGAATGATCAAAAAGCTCAGCAGCAGCTAAATGAATACCCTTTTGGATATCGTTATGACGAGTTTAGAAAGATGTTGAATCATACACTCGTTCTTTGTAAGTACTCAATCGTTAATAGTGACATATATAACTGCCGGAATTTCACTCAGAAATGAGCCTGTAGTCGGGCTGTTCGCGCAGCCCATTAACAACTGACCGTGCTGGTCAGTATGCCGATACTTTAAGTAGTTAAAAGATTTTGTACATATTCTTACGATTTAGCACGTAACTTTGATATTTTCTGCCTAAGAAATAGAGGATTCACTAATTTACAAGCGTGGGGAAGGAAAGATGCAACTTACAAACCGCTTCTCATGTATCTACCAATGACGATACAGTGGTCTCTTTCGTAAGGTTCCAAAGTCAATTGTTCCAAAGGCTTAATACGCTCTTCACGCAACTTCTGTACTTCTCTTGCGAAAACAGTCTCAGCATCAACAGTGGAGTCAATACAGTTTGCCTTGATAGAGATAACGACACCACCTTGATCCTTCAAAAACATGTGAGAGTTCAAAGCGATGATACGAGCTTGATCTGGCTGGGCAACATCTGCGAAAACACAGTCGACCATACCAATCAACATTCTGTATTTTTGAGGGTGTCTAGCATCTTCAATGATAGGAATGACGTTAGGTCTCTTCTTAGCCATTGAGATCAATTCTCTACCAGGTCTGTGAGAGAATTCAACAGCGTAGACCAAACCCTCAGGGCCCACAACATCGGCAACGTGAGAAACAGAGGTACCGGAAGCCGCACCCAGGTACAAGACCTTCTTGCCAGGGCCAATGAAAAGCTCATCTAAACCACCCATTATACCAGCAGCCAACTTGGATCTGAAAGGATTCCACACACGGTATTCAACCTTAGTTGGAGGCACGCCTTCTTCAGTAGAAGGCTCTTCCACAGAAATTCTTTTTTCACCGTACACGGAGTCACCAGGAGCGACGTTCTTGGTAACTAGCAAATCTTCCTTACCTCTGGCAATGAACACACCAGCGTGCTTGTGTGGTTCGATAACAACTTTAGCACCACCACGGGCACCACCTCTCGCACCGCCTCTGCCACCTCTAGCACCGCCTCTGCCACCACGGGCACCACCACGAGGGCCGCCTCTGCCACCACGGGCACCGCCACGGGCACCACCACGGGAAAATCCACCTCTGGCACCACCTCTGCTGCCACCACGAGAAAAGCCACCTCTGCCACCTCTAGAGCCTGCTAAGATTGTTAGTATATTGCTCCTATATCTCCCTTAACAAATATCACAACGAGATAACATAGTTCATAACACAGCGATTCCTTGAAATGAGATCATATCAACCAGAACCTAAAGTTATAATCCAGTGATCATCCATCTTCCTTGTAATATTAATTCTGAGTTCAACAAAGTTAAGAAATCACATACCACCACGGCCACCTCTGCTACCTGATCTATAATCCATATCTTCACTTAAAACACAATTCTAGTGATTGAAAAGCTCACTTGTGGGTCTTAATTACCTTGAGAACGAAGAGATGAGCATCTAAAAATTTTTTTCATATTACCAGTTTTTTGGAAAATTTTTCAAGAAACAAATACCGAACAGAAAAAGAAACAAGGAGCGCCAGCTTTCACCTCGTTATAAATGAGAGCATCTGACACGTTATTAAAGTATTACTTCTTAAGCTTACCAACTACATCGATGTAATTACTGGAGCAGAACTAATTAGTAAATGTAGAGCTGATCTTGTCACGTCGTAATGCATTCCAATGCCTTTTATTATTTAAAATGCTAATACTGAACAAAAATAATGTACATCTATATAGCAATGCCAAGGACTTTTTATGGGCTGTCAATTATCAGAACGTCATCTTCGTCATTTTCCTCTGTGCAATCAGAATCTACTAGTTCGCTGAAAAAGGTCGAAGAGAGCAATTCATCTGCAGTGCTTCTCTTATGGGAGTCTAAAACAAAGCACTGGTCCAAAACCTGCAAGCACCAGTAATGGTCGCTCCACACTTCCTCATGATATTTTTTTATTCTGTATTCGGTGACATCATCAAACGCAGTACCTTGCACTGGCGGTGTGATATTTTTACCGGATGAATTATGCGAGAGATAATCGAACGTCTCGAAGGCCACGGAGTATTCTGAAAAGGTTCCAGCCTTGACCTCCGCCTGTAGTAGTTGGCGTATATAATCACTAAGCCCTCCTTGAAACCCATTTTCACTTATACCTTCTAGGTCAGTAACTTCAAATCCCAATCCATGAAGAGTTGCACAGTTTTTAATTTTCTTCCATCCAAATACGCAACAAAGCTCTAATAGTGAATCTGTGTCATCGAGACTTTGAAACATCGGAAACCTACGCGACAAAAAACTTAGTAGTATAACGCCGACGGACCATATATCTATCTTTGTGCTCTGTTGGGAACATTTCATAAGCACTTCTGGAGCCCTAAATCCTCGAGTTCCCGCACGATTAGCGCGCTTATTCCTGCGTGTTTCGTACTTTGGATACCCCTTCGTGAGATCCACGATCATGCTGCCTACTGCGCCGTGTGATGCAGCATGGGTTGTGTTCTTTGCAATTTGTCGAGGCGTGGTCGGCTGCTGGGACAGCGTAGATGAATCGGACTCGTAGTTGACACAAGGACAATAATTCTCAACTGAGCGTAAATCCTTAGAGACTTTGAATTCTTTGGAGCGAGCTTGCTCCATTTCTGCTAACCCAAAGTCTACGAGAACTCCACGTCCCAGCTGTGGGTTATAAAGAAAGTTTGTGGGCTTGATATCTCGATGAATAATACCCTTCGAATGCACAAAGCTCAAAGCCTGTAGTAATTCAAACATATATTTTTTGATGCCTTTGATCGGTAGATCGCGATAAAAGTTCCGGAACTCTTCATGAGGATACCAGGGAAGTACAGCAATTACCTGATCTTGGAATCTTATCGCGTCGCATAGTGGTGCCACGCGCGAGCTTCCGCATAACATATAAAGCAGGTTCAGCTCATTATAGATACGTTGAGGGGATGAGGTCACATAAATTCTTTTAAGAGCAACATATTTCTTCTCTTTGACCCAGTAGTGGCTGGAGAAGGAGCTCGTTGCCATGCCAGTCACGTCCTCTGCCTTATAGACTGAAGAAAAAGTCCCTTCTCCTATTTTATCTAGTAGGCGGTATCTGGTTTCTAAGCCGGGAATACTTCTGCAGAGTTCTTGCATCTCCTCCACGATCTCAGCAGGTACGTCAGTCATTCCCAAACCCACCTATTCAAATTTTGTTGTTCCACACTGGCGCATCTCATTTTAAGATCAAGTACTTTTTTTTCTCATTTTTAGGGCATTACGAATAGAACCAGAAAGATCACCAAGTGAGACGTATGAGAGCATACTTAATTCTTCTCAGCACAATTATATGTGTAAGCGGTGCTCCATTCACATTTTCGATTGGGTCGAATGCTCAAGAGTGTTTCTATATCTTGACTCCTGATATCGACAGCGTAGTATCATATTATTTTGCTGTTCAGCACAGCGATGACAACAAGCTCGTGGTTGATTATGAGATATTTGCTCCTGATAATAAATACAAGCCAATAATCAAGAGAGAACGTGAGGCACAGGGCGAGTGGACATTTGTCGGAGAGCACAAAGGAGAATATGCCTTTTGCTTTAAGAGTGATGGCGCTAGCAAGGTTGTAGACCTGGAAATCAAATCCAAGAGTGGCCTTGAGGACAGGAGATTAAAAGCTGTCGAAAAGAGAAAGAAGGCTCGTATCCGTCACAGGTTTGACACATCTGATGAACTTCAACAATCGATAGAAAACTCGGTAGATTTGATAGAACGGCAACTGAATATACTAGAGAAGAATATGCAATACTATAAAACAAGGAATAGCCGAAACCAACATACGGTTGCGTCAACTGAAAAAAGAATTGTATGGTTTTCGCTATATGGCATTTTACTTGTGGTTGCTATGGGTTTGGCCCAGATCTTCATATTGCAAATGTTCTTCAATGAATCGAGAAAACATGTGGTGTAAATACTGTTTATGGAAATTTATACATCAATGCAAGCGGGAATTAACAGTTACGGGGCTTCAAGAGTGGGATCCCCAAAGGAGATTTTGAATGGCCGTCTTCCCAACGGAAAGCTTCTTGCCCTCTGAGAAAAGTTGCTAAGACACAACCCTTTAACTCCAAGCCATCGTAAGCTGTCAATTTGTTCTTGAAAAAAACCTGCCTGTTCTTAATCTTTTGTGTTTGATGCTCATCAAGAATAACAAAGTCAGCATCATGGCCGACCTTCAAAAAGCCTTTTCTATCTTGCAGCCCCACCTGAATTGCTGTATTCTCACAGCACCACCGTACGATATCGATGAGAGACACTGGAGGATTCATTTTACTTCCCTCTGTCAATAAAATAGACAATCCCAAGCCAACTGATGAAATTCCACCCCATGCGCTAAAAAAGTCTCCCTTTGCCAAGTTTTTCAACTCAGGAGTGCACGGAGAATGATCACTCACAACAGTGGTTATAACACCTTCTCTTAGGGCTTTCCAAAGGGCACGTCTATTCTCCTCCGTACGAATGGGAGGACAACATTTAAAGTAAGTGCTTGAAGCTGGAATGTTTTCGGCTGCGAAGGTCAGATAATGGAAACAGGTTTCTGCAGTAATGGGTAAATTGAGCACGTTTTTTGCTGTAGCAACAATTGGTATTGCTTCTTGAGAAGCTAAATGGACGATATGAACTGGTGGGACGTCTTTGTATTTTTCAACAGCGCTTTTTAAACATGATATGATAAGACTAATTGCATTCGTTTCAAATTTATCTGGTCTGGATAACAAAAAGGAAGAATATTGTGTGGGATCTATATTCGTTAAATTTTCATCCAGTTTAGCAGCAGCATCCAATGGGGGAGTAATTAGATCATCATTGTGAACAATTTGAGAAGGCCCTCCGTGTCGCGGTTCAGCTGGAGATAAAACATGAGAAAGAGCTAGTGCATCCATTTGATCATGAGTCAGATCCTCCGTACCATCCAACGATTTGATTGATTTTAGGGTATCTTCGTGATTAATACAATCCACCACGGTATGGTCGTATTCTGAAGTCTGAAGTTCCGCATGGAACATAAGCATTGTTTTTTCACCGGCCAAAAGTCTCAACGCATCCCTTATATATCTTTCAGTAACCATCGGGAATTCGTCAACACCTGAGTCTATCAAAAATCCTTTGAAACCGCGAACACCAGCTCTAACTAAAGGGACGAGATCCTCAAGATTGCTAGGAACCAATCCACCCCAGAAAGCTACATCGCACCACAGTTGATTTTGAGCAGCGGCGAGCTTGATGCCTAGGTTCTCGATTGTGGTTGTGGGAGGGATAGCATTTAGAGGCATATCGACAACCGTAGTGACGCCCCCTGCTGCTGCCGCTTGGGTACCACTGGCAAACCCTTCCCATTCAGTCCGCCCAGGCTCATTCAGATGCACGTGTGAGTCGACTAACCCAGGAATTATTGTATATGGAGATACTATGATATATTCTTGGACATTAAAACGGGATAGTCTCGGGTCACTACGACTGGGTATTATTTCTCGATATATCTCGACAATCTTTCCTGTGTCTGTAGAATAGACGATGGTGGCGTGAGTGTATTTGTGATCTAAAACAACATGATTCGATGCTATGGCTTTAGTAGGCATTGTAGGTAATAATTCGGTACCAATTGATAAACGACGAATGAATGTTCAGCATCATCAAAAAAAATTCTGTACTTTTTAGCCTGGCTTTATCTGTTATCAGTAAATCACAGATAGTCCGGAGATCGCCGAAAAAGGAACGTTTCTCTCGACATGAAATGCGAGATATTTTTTCACGACATTTGTTGAAGAAAAAATATTTCTTCCTCAGACAGCTTCAAGTTCTGCACGGTGGATGATTGGCTCATCAAGAAGGCACGCAAATCATCCAAAAATGGTATAATTTCAACGTCCCTGGATATGCCTTGAATAAATTTGTGTATTGTCGATGAAGACATCGGGATGGATGTGTCTGTTAAATTCATTATCTTAAGAAAGCCACCATAAGCAGCTGCTTTTTCTTCTGGATCGCTTAAGTTTGCAGCGTGTTCACACCATCTGGACCAATTGGAATCTGTAGCAAAAGCACCTGACGTGAATATCTCAGGATGGAAATGAGCCATTCTACCGATGGTCACCGCCAAGTTTTCCATGATGGAAGTTTGAATAACTTTTGTAGTGTCCGTAAATGCATCCAGCACAATTCGGGAAAGATCAATAATGTATTCGGCTAAGTCGATTTTTTCGCTTATTAATCCCAGTGACCAGATGGCGTTATTAAGTGAAGGTGCAGCTTCATTATCGTCATTGTGAAGGATCTCGTTACTGATGTATCTCAAGAAATCGACCAAATGAGTAGCTATTAGCTGGGGTTGAAAGAAATAGGCAATATCACCTAAAAGAGCAAAGCAGCTCTGCCTTACTTCGTGTAAAGAATCGCGGAGGCAAATTAACATTACATGGAACATGCTCGTATTGCCCTTTGGAAAAAGTAGCTCTTGACTATTAGAACCCAAACCTTGAACCAAACCATCGATTAAGTCCAATGAGGTGATCATAAAATCTTTCTCCGGAACTTCTATGTTTGGATTTGACTGTGAGGCTTCCTCCAATTCAACGCATTGGCATAGAATCCTCCAAGCCCTTGAATAAACATCAGGAGCCATCGGTAAGAATTTTTCTCCCAATGAAGCGGCAATGTACGACAAACACTCCAAAAGAGGCCATAGCTCCTTGTCATTGTCAGCTAACGAGGTCCACTTGCCGATTAGATGGGGCAAGATGAGTTCCATAGCTGTTTCATCGAATTCACATTTTTCAGCCAGTCTACCAACTGCATCGTAAAGAATAATGAGATTCTTTTTCTGATAGAACTGGAAGCATTGATTGAATTTCGCAAGTAATTCATTGTAAAGCAATGTCTCCACGATCTCTGAATCGCAGGTCTCAATAAAGACGGCAACACTACTAATTGCAGCCTCTTGGACGCTCTTCTTTTTATCCATTAAAGCATTCATGATGGGTTCGATAACAGGAATCAAAAATTGCGTATTATCTTGTAATATCCAGGGTGCGAACCTTGCTAGAGCCCAACATGTAATAGTTCTAACAGGGGCCCACTCATCTTTCAATTCTTCGACTAAAAACGGTATTAAAGTTGGAAGTTGTTCAGTGAAATATTTCATACCACCTTCGGCCATTGCTCCTAGTGCTAATATAGTGGCCTCACGAATAAACCACTGATTTGCAGATAGATGTTCACGCAAAAAAGGAAACGCTGCCGACAGCACATCACGGGGCAAAATGCTAGTCAAAACATCCAATGTCGCGGCAGAACATTTACGTAAGTTCCATTGAGTATCCACATCTCCATCATCCTCATCTTCATCGTCATCAAGATTTCCATCATCCCTTTTCTTACTAAGTTTCGCAGAAACGGGCCTTATATCCTCATCTTTGTCCTCTAAATCAGCATCATTCTCATTTGACGCTTCAAATATCATTACATCCTCTTCGTTATAAACCATTTTGGACAAGAGAAGAGGAATTATATCGTTTATGAAAGGCTTGATCACATTTTCTGGTATGTGTGAATTGGAAGCAAACGCCAATAGAAATTCTCCTGCCTCGAGGGTCAAGCTTTCATCAGTTACAGTGTTCATTATATGTAGAACAAATTGTACGATACCATTCAAGTGATCTAAAAGTTTATCAGGGCGAAACTCTAACAAATTGACCAGCGAAATACATAATTGAATGCGTACAAGTCTATCCTCGTCATGTTGAGCCAAGCCAAATAAATTAGACAAAAATTCATCCGCTCTAACAACAAAACTCTGAGCCTGTAACGGAATAATTGTGTTAATACACTTGATAGCTTCTGCTCGAATAACTGCACTACCCTCATACGTCATTAAACTCAAAAGATTGTTGACCAAAAATTCCATGGGTTTTATAGAGTTTGACCACTCCAACTGAAAGAACTGTGCATTATCTTCCATAATTTTAGAAAGAGCTTTTATGCTTGCTTCATTGCCCTGTGATGCCAATTCAAGTAATTGCGAAATCATCTGTATTCCGTTACAATCACTTCTGTTTTGTCTATAGTACGTGGAAAACAGCGTCGTAATAACGATGCCGGTGATGTTCGATATCAAACTAATTGGGGAAAAAAGGCCTTGGATGATGTTGTGCTTCACGTAATCCAGATTGTATTCCTTCGAGTCTTGTAAAATCGAATTTTTTAAATACATACCCGCAGCCGCTCTACAATTTTGTAGATCAATTGGAGCTAAATTTCTGCACAACTGAGTGTCATTTTCCGCTTCCACCAAAATATAGCACAGGTAGTTTAAAAATTCCGGCTGAAATTTAAAAGACTCCAAAACCTCCATAGCATTTGATCTTCTTTCATGTGATGGGGATAGAGAATCCACCAAAACATTCACCAATTGTATCAAAGATTGTCCGTTTGGGTTCCACGTTGACATGAACTGAAAGTCTACAGAATAAGCAGCGTTTTTCTTTTAAGCCTCGCCGACCTCGATGAGATGAGGTAACGACTAATTTCATTTCAAGAAAATTTTATGTGGTTTTGTTGATCATGTAACACGAACGAACAGTCCTCACCTCTACTTGTAGGAGAAAGACGGTAACTAGTGTACAGTTATATAGAGATGCACTTTTCAGGCTACTTATTCTGTCAGCACCTGATTCAATTTTTTCATCAAATCATCAATCCTGCTGAATAAAGGATTGTACAATTCAATAACGATAGGATGGTGACTGAACTTCTCATCACTCAAAGAAGCCGTACTATTAAGAGTAGTGGCAGACGTTCCGCGCCCGTCGTCTATGCAAGATTCCTCTGAAGACAGTGATATACTTTCTCGTTGTATTTTCAAGTCATCTTTAGTAGTCTTTGATACAGATTCAGAAAGACATGCGAGACCAGCTTCGTGTTCATCTTCTGCATCATATGTTTCGTCGTCGTTGATTTCCCCTACTATTTTCGAGATGTCTTGTATAGCTCTCGTTGAAGGAATGCCTTCTTCAGTAGTGCCAACATCGAATTCGCCACCGTTGATCTGAGGAGAGTCATTTGTCCATTCAGAGGAGCTCGGAGAGTATTCACCGATCGTCGATATCGAGTAATTTGAATTAGACTTCGGCATATCTTTGTTCCCAGCAAATGGCATTGATGGAGCTTGAAAAACTTGACGGAGATCATCGTCCGGTGATTTCAAATTATCCTTTGCAAGATCACTCTCGAAAGACTTGATCATTTCATCTTTTTTCTCTCTGTCCGCTCGTTGTCTCACTTTTTTAACTTGAAGAGGTAATGTGCTTCCTGTATTGAAGGAAACATCACTAGTAACCTCACTTGCATCATCCTCGTGTAAATCAACCTTTCTTTCATATAATTTATCTTCGACTTCAAGTGCATTGGGATTTTCCTCAGTGCTCAACGGGTCATCTTCCTCGTCATCTTCTTCCATGTATCTTTCTGCATAGCTCACAACATCGTTAAAGCTCACGGATTTGCTACTTTTATTGTAAGGAGATGATAATTGCATTCTATCAGTCGTTTCCTCGTGGATACTAACATTTTTGGATTGTGTACTGTTGGAGCCCAATGATTGTCCCGACATATTTTCATTTTTCCAGCAATTGAGGCGAGCTAGCCTCTCTGGAAATGTTTCTAGGAGCTCCGCAGGTGCGAATCCGATCCTACCATCATCGCATCTTTTAATGAGCCACCAATACGAATCTTGATCGTTTAAAAGTATACAACTTTGATCTTGATAAAGTTGGCAGTGCGATGGGTCAGGACCCTGAAAGGGATATAAAGCATAAAGCTTATCTGGATCCATTTCTTGTGGTGGTGGAAGTGGTTGGTAGTCATCCTCATCATCGTCCTCGTTCTGTTCTGCATCTACCGTCAGATCATCATCGGAGGATTGCTCTTCGGTAGATGACCCGCTGCCCTCGTCTCGCCGTGATTCTGAGTCCATCTGTTTCAGTCTCGTCTCTAGGTTGTCTTCAAACTCGGAATCCGAGTATTCGTAACCGCCTTCAAGCATGTCTTCGTTGTTCTCAGATATCGCTTCTGAGTCAGCTGCATGTGAGGGAATCGAATAATTACTTGAACCGTTGCTCAGGATACTCGACCGATACGACTGAGGGGAATTTGCATGGGTTTTACTCAATACAACACTTCCATTCACGCTGTTCTCTTCTTCTTCTGCGGGCTTCCTTGGCATGCTTTTGAGGATATCGGTGTAATCTTCTACCAGGTTGGGATCACATAAAAGGTCTTGATGCAAGCCAGGATTTGATACACTACCCTGAGCATACTTATCGTATGCCTTATCCAATATATTTTGCATGGCCCAGGGTCGGCTTGGCTTTTGAACTGCTTTTGAAATCTCTTCTTTCCTCCATGTCTCAGTGAAGGAATTTACTTTTCAATATCTACGTATTCTGTGACGAATCACGAAAAAATATCATAACCACTATTGATCTCATAATGAGATTCATAAGAGAAATGGAGGATGCATAAGGCGTAGCGTCAGCCGCTATTGCCCCTTTTACTAGGCATATTGAAAGATGGACTATTTCGCGGTGAGAATAGCACAGAGAGGCCTCGTGATAAAAGAGCTTTTACGCCTTTTTTTCTCAAGACATAAATGACCTGGTGACGGCATGTAACGGATAGTCCGCATTACCCTCTTGGCCTGCTGCATTCTTCAGAGAAGGTTTCGGATTGGTTAATTCTTGTTGACATTGAATGTTTTTTTATCTACTTATAGTACTTTAGTGTGCGTTAGATTGCGAGGTTGCAGCGGGAGGGCAGTAATTTATGGCTTAGCGAAAAGATCTGTTTACAACATTAGGTTTTTATATTTTAAACTGGTCAGAATGCGCTAGAACTAGGCTTTGAATGAGTGGAGTGCCTTTTATTTATTAACACTCTACCTACGAGTTTAAGATAGTCTGCTTTATCTTTTTCTTAATTTACCGGCAACGGTTTTCGAATGGAGGTCTTCGGTGTGACTCTGCCCATGAAATTAATAGTTCGCTTAGATGAAAAAGCTAAATTCAGGAGATGAGTGCTGATGATATATATTAAGGGAAAGCAGAATACAGAGCCAAATCTGTCAAAACAAGATTGACGCTCGACAGAAAAACAACACATTGAACAAATTAAAAAATGACACTTGCACAAACAAATTTGGATGGAATCCTTCCGCTCGTAGCCAGAGGTAAGGTTAGGGACATCTATCAAGTTGATGAAAGTACGTTGCTATTTATTGCAACAGACCGTATTTCCGCTTACGACGTTATTATGGAAAACACAATTCCAGACAAAGGTTTGCTACTGACTAAATTGTCTGAGTTCTGGTTCAATCTTCTAAAGGATGATGTGCGCAACCATTTGGTGCCCATTCCACAGGGAAAGACAATGTTTGACCTTCTACCAAAAGAGCTCTCTGCTCCAAAGTACAAATCTCAGTTGGAAGGAAGGTCTCTTCTTGTCCAAAAATTCAAGTTAATTCCATTGGAAGTCATTGTTAGAGGTTTCATCACTGGGTCAGCTTGGAAAGAATACAAGAAGACAGGCACTGTTCACGGTCTGCCACAGCCCAGTGGTCTTCAAGAATCTCAAGAGTTCCCTGAGCCAATCTTTACTCCTTCTACAAAGGCTGAACTAGGTGAACATGACGAAAACATCTCACCAGCTCAAGCAGAGAAACTTATTGGTAAAGATCTTTGCGACAGAGTATCGCAACTAGCCATCAAACTATACTCGAAGGCCAAAGAGTACGCCAAGACTAAGGGCATTATAATTGCTGATACCAAGTTCGAATTCGGTATCGATGAGGCAACCAATGAAATAATTCTCGTAGACGAGGTATTGACACCTGACTCGTCACGTTTTTGGAATGGAAATGATTATGAGGTTGGCAAATCTCAAGACTCATATGATAAGCAATTTTTGAGGAATTGGCTGACGTCTAACAAGCTGGCCGGCGTGGATGGCGTTTCGATGCCAGATAATATTGTTGATAGTACTAGAGCGAAGTACATCGAAGCATACGAAGTATTGACCGGACAAAAATGGTAAAGTGCAGAGTAATTATTATGCTAGTTGCAATATATTAAGTTTAGATATATAGTATAATCACTGGTATTTCAGGATTATGTTTACTGCGCCTTTCGGATCACAGGTATGCAATGTAAAATATTATGGGACTATTTTGTCAGCGCTCACGCTCACGCATGCGCCAATGGTAGTCAGGTCGGTGTAGCTGCTTCCTCCCATTCATCAATTCTGGTGCCCCACTTATCTTTTTACCACTCATGATTTCTCTTACTCGCTGTTCCACTGCAGCTTCGAATTCCTTTCGATACTGAGATCTTATATTAGCCATTTCCATTTCGTATTCGCCTGCCTGCTGTTCCAAGATATTACCAATATTGATTAGTTCCCTCTCATAATCGAATAGATTGTCTTCAAATCTCTCCAGTTGAAGAGATTTTCTAGCGATGCGAAGTTGTATATCTTGTAACAAAGTGTAGGCGGAAGGTCGCGTGCCGAGATTGATATCTATGCAGGATTTGATAACACTTTGTAATTCGTGAGAGTAGTAATCTGGAATCCTTTCAAACCTGGCTGTCTTTATTCGTCTTTGTAATTCCATGTATGTTTTAGCCTGAAATGGAGGACGCAGTGAGCACATCTCATATATCACACAACCAAAAGACCATATATCACTCAAAGGAGAATAGGGCTGATCCATCAAAACTTCAGGAGACATATAATACGGTGTGCCAACGTAAGTAGTAGCAAATTCAATACTGGATTCTAAGGATTTTGCGAGTCCAAAATCTCCTAATTTGACAAGGACTTTATTGTAATCCATCTTTTTGGGTGAATATTCATCACCTTCCCATTTCCTGGTGCTCAAGAAGATATTTCCAGGCTTTAGGTCTCTGTGAATTACCAAATTATTGCCTTTGATAGGTGGCTTAGCTTTATCATAAATGGTTTCTAGAGGTATCAGATCCGTACCATAATGGCATCGATATAATGCGGTCAGTATTTGCGCCATTATGCTCCAAATTAGTTTTTCCGGAATGTATTTCCTCTCTTTTTTATAGTAGCTGATCATTTGCGACAAATCCCCACTGCTACAATATTCCATATAAAGATACAATACATCTTTATTAGAATCCCAGTTGTAGAATTCAACTATATTTTCGTGCTTTAATTGGCTCAAGATTGAGCATTCCGCAATCAGTTGCTGCCTCTCTTTCGAATTCATATGGCCGTATTTTATTTCCTTTCTTACCATAAGCTTATTTGTTGGTATGTGCATTACCTTCCGAACACACCCAAAGGAGCCCCTTCCAATTTCTTCCAAAACCTCGTACTCCGAATTCTGGCCCTCTGCATTTTGACCAAAAGCCATTCTCCTATTGTGCATTGCTATAAGGATTTTGGAACGAGCTTCTTTATGCCTCTATAAATCCTTCCTGTCACATCGATAATTTCTGGATCACCATCATAAATGTGAGACTTTTATTTACCTTTACCATTTCTGGAAAATAAAGAGAATCGTATAAGTTGACTCTCAAATTGGGTTGAATTTTGGAATAGCGAAACCATCTTTATCAATGAGCTTATTGCCTGCTTGGAGTTCTCCATGTTGCAACAACTCTATGTCTTGGCAAAGTTGTTTTATCAGGACTGAATCAGCTCCGACCTGGCCTTTTTGCGCTTTCTCAATCTGCCAGTTATGGTGAAGAAAATTTGCAACATTTCTAATAATATTAGCATTAGGTTGTAGCATCGCGTGCTTCATTCCGGTCGACAGAAGTTTCTCTGAACTGATGTCCTTGCGTTTTGATTGCGGCATGAATTCAGCGTATCTTGTCAGGACTATTTTGAGAAATTTCAAAAAATCAATCTGAATAATTAAGCTACTTCGATAAAGATCGAATAACGAACGAACTTTATCCATGAAGTCTTTGTGGATAATAATTTCGTAGGAAAGGGAATTACAAGGTGGTAGAGAACAGAGTTTTGTGAATTTTGGGATAAAATTTCCGAATTTCACTTCCTCTGAGTAAAATGTTTGGAGTAACTTCCTATGAGGCACACGAATATCGCCGGAAGGGACTACTATGACTATATCTGTAGTGTCTTCGTAGATTTTGAAGCGTTCATGTAGTGCAAATTGTAAGCAGTGTAGAAGAATATCGATTCCACCTGTTGCAAATTCTGGGACGAGTAAGAACTGCAGTGAAACGTCGATCATATCAGAAAGTGTAGTCTCGTTGACCTCTTGAGATAGCTCAACACACAACTGAAGGGCCATTAGTAGTAATGATTTCATATACTTTATGGATAAGTCACCAGAAAGTTGCTGCGCCAGCTGCTTGACTAGTTTTATAAATTCGCGGTGTTCTACGATCTCCCCCAAAGAAACCTGATTTAAGTGCGACGAGTTATAACAAAGTTCGATGAAATTCTTTATCAAGTGAGGATCATCTGTAGCACTAGGCATGGATTTTAATAGCCAGTCCATGAATCTGTCTGGGAGGGTCGATTGTGGGGGGAAAACAGGAATATTCACTGAGGGAGTACTCAATGGTAGGGATGTTGACAGTGGTGTGACTGGTGGCCGGGAATCAAACGATTCAATAGTATTCTCACGTTGTTCTTCTTTTCTCTCTAGCAGGTTGTTAAAACTTTTCAAAATAGTATATTTCAATCTCAAATTGTTCCTTAAAGGTAAAGCCATAAGTTTAGATAGAAAGTGTTTGTCCATTGGAAACAGAGATGAGGCTGATAGCTTGAGCAGAATATCTTCCGCCATTTTCTCATTATTTTCTAATCCGTAAATTATAGATTCTACCATATTTGGAAGCTGAGAACACCACTGACACCAGATCTTGTAGTCCACAAGTTCATGGAAAGTCGAGGAAATGGAGAGAATTAAAAGTGGGTCAGAGAAGCTTTTGCAATGGGCCAATATTCCACATTTAATCATCTCACGCATATCATTTATGAAACACTCCGATAAAATATTCTCAACCACCGGACAGTGATTGAGTAGATAAGTCAAACCACCAATGGTAATAAATAATGACCTGCATCTTCCCTCGTTGTATTTTAGATCATATGTAAACATCTCCTTGACGTTCTTCATCTGGCCCCGTTTGCAGAGATCGATCAAGCACGAAACGACGGCGCCTAAGTCGCATTCACTGAAGATAAGGTGGGGATGGCATTCAACACGAGCTTGAGTTAGCTGCTTCAAGTAATACTGCTCGTCGTGAATATCATGATCTTTCGAGGGTGAAACTTCTACCTCAATAAAATCACTGTCCCAGTTATCCGATTCCGGTTCCTTGAACCTCTCTAAAATTGACTGTTTCGTCTCGCTCAACCATTCATGATTGAGGAGCTCTAAAGCGCGCGGCCTCTTAAATAAATTCTTTTGAAAGCATGAAGATAAGAAGCGTCGACACGATGACGACAATGATTTGGGAGGGATGTAAGAGTCGTGCACAATGGCGTAACATGCGGCTTCATTGACGAGATTATGGAATGGTGGGTTCCCCGTTAAAATTTCAACCACAGTTGCACCCAAAGACCATATATCGCTGACGGTGGAGGCGCCTTGGCCGAGCATGACTTCTGGGGCCATCCAGTTGGGCGAGCCAGCATATGTCATCGCTAGATTGTTCACACGTGTAGAAACTCCAAAGTCAGCCAGTTTCACCACATTTCGGGAGTCAAGCAGTAAATTAGCGGCCTTGATGTCTCTGTGGATCACACCCTGCTCATGCAGGTACTTAAGACCTTCAAGAGTTTGTCTTATGAAAGTCTTTGCATCGGACTCGTCCAACGGACCTCTTTTCACCAGATCCCGTAAAGAGCCCTGCGAACAATACTCTAGCAGAATGTACAGCTGGTGAGACTTTTGAATAAATCCGTGATATTTAACAATATTTTGGTGTCTGAGATTTTTAAGCAGGTCAATTTCCAACATGTGTTCATTAAGCTCTTCCTCATCATCGTACTCGATCACTTTAATGGCTACTTCTTTTTGTGTTTGTCGATTGATCGCCCTGTACACAATACCATATGCGCCCTTGCCAACGACTTGCTTCAACGCGTAGTGTGTGCTGGATGATGTAGCGGGATGTCGCTGCGCTGGTGTTAAATTTACGCGCATTGCCATTTTCGAATAATACTCTGTTTACCCACCACTTCCCTTTTGCTTAGTCTCGGCACTGATGGAACAGAGATTCAAGATCGCGAAATGTTGTGACCGCGCATTTCCTTAAATGACCTTAATTATTTTCAAGTACAGCATCATCTAAGGGAGAAAGTTGCGAATATGAAAAAGGCCTAATGGAAAAGATCATTCCAAGGACTGACACTAGATGAATATAAATAGAGGCTGCTGGAGTGATGGTAGTCACTGAGCATGCAACTGAATGCCAGCATGCCAACTAGCACATCAAAAGTTTTACCAAGATTACCTATTCCTGACTTGCAGGGAACCCTCAACAGGTACCTTGATCGGGTTGGACCACTTCAAGACGAGCGCAAACATCAAAGAACGAGGGATACGGTACTATCAAATGATAATTTGGAACGCCTTACGATACTGCAAGAGCGTCTTATTGATTATGACAGAGAGCTGAGTGTAGTTGCACCACAGTCATCGTATATCGAGCAATTTTGGTACGACTCGTACTTGCAATATGACGAGTCAGTGGTGCTGAACGTTAACCCTTATTTTGAGTTGCAGGACGACCCAACTCTGCGCCACTGCGAAGGCACAGGACCATTTGGAGAGCACACAAGACAGGTGCAACGCGCAGGCAAGTTGGTGCTTTCCATTTTGAAATTCGTGAGGGAGATCAGGCGCGGCACTCTCAAAGAGGACAAGATTCGGGGCAATGCACTTTCTATGGATCAATATGGAAAACTTTTTGGGTCTGCACGGATTCCCCCGGGCCCCAAAGATCAATCATGCCATCTCCAGACTGACTCGACGTCGCACCACGTTGTGGTAATGTACAAGTCTCAGTTTTACTGGTTTGATGTGCTAGATTTAAACAATAATCCAATTTTTTCAACCTTGGAAGAGTTAGAGTGGAATCTGTACTCCATTGTTAAAGATGGCGACAAAACAGAAAACGACCATCTGAAACGTTACCCATGGGGCATCTTTACCACCGAGAATAGGCGCGTGTGGTCAAACATTAGAGATTACATTTGTAAGAGTTCAGACAACACTAATTGGAAAAATCTCAAAATTATTGACAGTGCCCTATTCATCATTTGTCTTGACGATGTTTCTCTTAATGACGAGGAAGTGGTTGTCAAGTCCATGCTTTGTGGCACCTCCGAGGTGAATTTGGATCTGGACTACCAAGGTGCTTCGCTAGGGTTACCCATCGGTGTCCAGCGAGGTACATGCTTGAACAGATGGTACGATAAGCTGCAGCTTATCGTCACGCGCAATGGCAAGGCTGGTATCAATTTCGAGCACACAGGAATTGATGGGCATACTGTGTTACGTTTAGCCACGGACATTTACACAGATTCGATGCTAAGTTTTGCACAAGGTATAACGAAAAGTGTGCCGCGCGTGTTCCATGACGAAGTGGATGCGTCGAGTCAGAATCCTGTGGCGAGAGCAAATTTAATAACGATTCCTCGTAAATTAGAGTGGCAGGTAGATTCATTTCTATTATCCTCATTACACTTTGCTGAGACTCGCGTTTCTGATCTAATCTCTCAATTTGAGTTTGCGACACTTGATTTTAAGGTGTATGGCGCTAGCCATATTAAGACAGATTTCAAAACTTCCCCAGATGCTTTTCTTCAAATGGCTTTCCAGGCTGCATATTTCGCCCTCTACGGCAAGTTTGAGATGACTTATGAGCCTGCAATGACTAAATCCTTCCAAAACGGCAGAACGGAGGCAATCAGAAGTGTCTCAGAAGCCTCGAAGGCGTTCGTCAAAGCAATGTTTAGCCGCATGAGCACAGATAAAGAACGTGTTCAGCTGTTACGTGCTGCTTGCCAGGAGCATTCACGAATTACCAGGGAATGTTCTAGTGGCCTCGGCCAGGATCGCCATTTATACGCCCTATATTGCATATGGAAGGAGCAATTTTCAGAAGAAATGCCAATACCACCATTGTTCCAAGATTCTGCGTGGTCCTTAATGAATACTAATGTGATTAGCACATCCAATTGTGGTAATCCCTCTTTGAAGAGTTTTGGCTTTGGACCGGTTTGCGCGAATGGCTTTGGAATCGGCTATATAATTCGCGACAGGTCCATATCAATAGTAGTATCTTCCAAGCACAGACAGACCAAGAGATTTGTGTCCCTCATCGAGCGGTTTCTTTTTGAGATGAACCGCGTTGTTCATGACAGTCACGATGCACATCTGGGTGTTACTTCCCGCCATCAATCTGACGATCTACGTTACTTACTATCTGGCTATGACTGTTTAACGTTTGTCTAAATTAGACTTTCCTATCTATTTATCTTGTTTACGTATAAGACTAATTCGTTCATGGGGCAATATCATCGGTTTTTTTTTCTTCGGTTTCTCGTCGCAAAATAATGTTGAGAAAAAACTCTCAAGGAACAAGTTCCCTAAACGATAGAAAGCAGCCTCTCAGTGCGTAAAGCGTAGGCTAAGTATCCAATCTGGGGTTTAAATAGAAGGCGTGGACTATAGTAAGATTTTCGAACTCATTTGACAGAAAATCATGGCGGAACACACCATTAGCAAACCACTGTTGAAACTAAAGCTATTGGAGTCACTTCGCCAAGGCGATTTCGCATCATTACAAGAATTATTACGAACACAATTCACGCCATCAGGTGATCCAGATGTGAAGGAAGTTAGACAATTAATCTTGCATTATGCGGTGCAAGTTGCTCCGATACAGCTGATTAAGGAAATTATCTCTCATTGGCTTTCGGATGAAATTATCAGGCTAGATATCAACCACCAGGACGCCGATGGCAATACCCCTCTTCATCTGGCGGCATACCAATCTCGTGGTGATGTCGTGAGCTTACTCCTTGATCAGCCTGGTGTGAACGATTGTATCACTAACAATTCAGGTTTGCAACCAATAGAAATGTGCAAAAACCTAAATATTGCCCAAATGATGCAAATTAAACGCGCAGACTACGTCGCAGAAGTTGCACAGGAATTCCGTCTGGCATTTAACAATAGGGACTTTGGTCATCTCGAGACAATCTTAAGTAATCCCAGGAATAATGAATTATTAGACATCAATGGTATGGATCCTCAAACGGGAGACACTGTCTTGCATGAATTTGTTAAGAAAAAAGATGTTTCGATGTGTCGCTGGATATTAGATCACGGAGGGGACCCATTTAAAAGAGATCGTAAGGGAAGATTGCCAATTGATCTGTTAGGCAAGGTTGCCTCCACTGAACCCACAAATGCAAATTCTTCGCCGGAGCTAGAACTCAAGCGTATCTTGGAAAGAGCTGCGAGAGAACAAAGTGTTATCGATGTTGCCAATAATCTGCATGAGCCTCCTACATATAAGGGCTATCTGCGAAAGTGGACCAATTTTGCTCAAGGATATAGGTTGCGTTGGTTCGTACTAGGTCCAGACGGTATGCTCTCGTATTACAAGGACCAAGATGATACTTCTAATGCTTGCAGAGGATCTCTAAACATGTCAACTTGCTATCTGCATCTGGACTCTTCGGAAAAACTTAAGTTCGAAATAATTGGCGGTAGTGACGGGACGATTCGCTGGCATCTAAAGGGCAACCATCCGATAGAGACGAACAGATGGGTTTGGGCCATTCAAGGAGCAATAAGGTTTGCAAAAGACCGAGAAATAATGATGAAAAATAACGGAAATTTAAATGCACACAATCAGTTAACCTCGACTATGTCTGTAACCAAGAATAATAATATTAAAAGTAGGTTAACGGGTCCTAGCATGCACAGTCTTTACTCATTTGAAAATCGGAGGCAGAAACACCATAATCATCATCAGCAACCTTCAATAAGCTCGATGTCTTCTATGTCATCTAGCGAGCTCGAATTGAATGATCACTTAACTGAAAGCGGCAGAAAGTATGTTCATAAGGTGAAGACAAGTAGAGCTCCATCGATTAATACTTCTTTGGGTACATCCGGGGAAGGTAGAGGTGAGGGCTCTGCTTCTTCGAAGTCTAACAGTTTGCCAAACGACGCTAATGACGATGAAGCCAGTGATGATGAATATGACTCAAACGGTGATTTGGCTAAGCCTGGCTATGAGGAAGACTTGAAGGTGGAGTATGGTCCCCATCATCAAGAACTGGCAATTCTTCAAAGGTCGATCTCAATCGAGCTCACTTCTTTAACAGAACTTTTGGAAGATAATCATATTGACGGTCAAGCACTTGAAACAATCAAAAAGTCGTTGGCTTCTCTTTCTAAAAGTTTTAGCCGTTTGAATACATTAACTTCTACAAGAGATAAAAAGTTGGTCAGAATGCTTGCTAAACAGCGTGATGTTAACAATTTATGGATTAAGTCAGTTAAAGACTTGGAGCTGGAATTAATAGAGAAAACAGAACGATTGTCATCGCTCGATGTTGAAAGAAAGAATCTGAAGAAACTTTTACAAAGAAAGCTTCTCGAAGTTTCCGAAAATAGCGCAATCACTGAATCTAATAGTACTGAGCAAGACAAGAATTCCGCCTCAAATGAATCGATGACAGCCAAACCGTTGGAAGAAATTGCTGATTTCATAAATTCTAACAAGGAATCTGATGAAGATTCTGACATTGACGAATTCTTTGATGCGGAAGAATCAAACAATGAGAATGAGTTGACGGATGAAGGCAAAATTCTAGATGATGCTAAAGATGTCAATCCTGTTCTGAGCAACATTGGGCCCACGAATCCAAAGATCTCAGTATCTTCACCCGAGGATGTTGAAAATGAGTCCAAGAGACCTGATGAAGTTCAGCAAGCTTTAGAAATGACAAAGGATGTGGACAGACTGTCACATGAAACGTGTCTTGAAAATGGAGGCGATAATAAACAGGAAGATAAGGCCCTTCCTGTGAAACAAGGGCTGCCTGAAGAGAATGAGCACGCCGCTCTTACTACTTTACAGAAAGAAAAAAGCAATGTAATTAATTCGGAAGGTTCTTATCTTGGATACGAAGATGGCTTGAGGCCACGACTAAAATTGGGTAAGGATGACCGCCCCAAGGTTAGTTTATGGTCTGTTCTCAAGTCGATGATTGGTAGAGACATGACTCGAATGACTTTACCAGTAACTTTTAATGAGCCTACCTCTTTACTGCAAAGAGTTGCGGAAGATTTGGAATACTCTGACCTCTTAGACGAAGCTGCCAGTTTTGAGGACTCAACCCTTAGAATGCTGTATGTCGCCATCTTTTCAGCTTCATCATATGCATCTACCACTAAGAGAGTTGCTAAGCCTTTTAACCCCTTGCTAGGAGAAACTTACGAGTATGCGAGACGTGATAAGCATTACCGTTTCTTCACTGAGCAAGTTTCTCACCATCCACCAATCTCGGCAACGTGGACAGAATCTCCCAGATGGGATTTTTGGGGTGAATCACACGTCGATTCAGATTTCAATGGGAGAACGTTTGAATTCAAACATCTTGGTTTGTGGTATTTACAGATGAGACCTGACTCTGAGGAATCAGACGAGCTATATACCTGGAAGAAGCCTAATAATACTGTTGTTGGTATTTTACTTGGTAACCCCCAAGTCGATAATTATGGTGATGTCGAGATTACCAATCACACTACGGGTGACAAATGTATGATACATTTCAAAGCCCGTGGGTGGAGGGCCTCTAGTGCGTACGAGGTCAAGGGAGAAGTTTACAACAGCAAAGGTGGAAAGGAGTGGATTTTTGGGGGGCACTGGAACGAAGCAATCTATGCTAAGAAGGTTTTAAAGCCAAATTCGTCGGAGGAGATGCAGCTTGAGAAAACCAAAACGCGAACCTCTTCTAAAGCTGTGAAAGGTCCCAATCTTGATGGAACCAAGTTTCTTGTTTGGCACGCCAATCCTAGACCGGATTCACCTTTCAATTTGACTAGTTTTGCAATTACATTAAATGCACCTCAGCCTCATCTTCTCGACTGGATTGCACGCACTGATACACGTTTGAGACCAGATCAAAGAGCCATGGAAGAAGGAAGGTATGATGAAGCAGCAGAAGAAAAGCACCGTGTCGAGCAGAAACAAAGAAAAGCTCGTAAAGAAAGGGAAATTTCTAAAGAGCAGTATAACCCAAAGTGGTTTGTGAAAGAAGTTCACCCTGTAACAAAAGAGAAATACTGGAAGTATAATGGCAGATATTGGAAACAAAGAAAGACCCATAACCTCCAAGATTGCCCCGATATCTTCTAATTTTTCATATCATGTTTTTTTTTCGAAGAGAACATATGTAATTTTTTTTCTTTCGATCATTTGAAGATGTTCAAAATGAAACAAATCATAAAATAGAGCTCTTTGAAAATTGTCTTATTATGAAAAGAGGAATCAATAATCATTGGTTGTTTTTAAGATTTTTCAGAGTTATTCTCTTTTAACTCCAATTGGTGCAGAAAACCATCAAAGATAGCATATTCCCATCCTGGCCTGATTTTCGATTGTATAGAACAGGCCAAGAAATAATTAAAAATGTACATAATGAAGTCAACTTTGGGACCACTTCCAGGTCCCTTTAAAACCATGTTCAACGTAATTTTCTGTCGGATCGGTTGCGTGTTTCTGATTAAAATATTTTTTAGGCAATATAACCACACTTCCGACCAAAATTGGTTCTTCAATCATTGTGAAATTTTCCCAGCCTAATGGTTGTCGAGGTAGCTTTCTGCCTAAAAGGTTATCTCCATGCGGCGGGGGATACTGCAGGTTTGATATTATATCCAGAGGTTTATTGGGATCTATAAAGCACTGCTTATCGGAGCTGCAAGATACGACATTATCACTTCCCTCGAGAAGATCCTTGAAGTAGGTAGCATAGTATGTGTTCAAGTAGTGAAATATGGAGTCAGTGAAAGGTCCAGGCCCGGTCCACTCTAAAATACCCTCGTACCAGGAATTGCTACCTTCAGTCATATTATAGACTGGTGCAGTATTTCCCATGCCTTTGTATCCTTTTGGGAAAGTAAGAAGACCGCTACTAGCGTCATAATTATTGAGGGTGAGATGTGTGGTCTTGGAAACCAAATCGACAAAAATGGGATGTCCTCTTTTGGCCGCAAAGGTCCACTGACAGAACTGGAGCCTTCTTGTAAAGACGGCTCTCCAACCCCAGCAGTCGCATTCATCTTCGACGCCAATAATGGCACTTATGTTCGCCATGCTTATGCCATATTCCCGAGCGATTCGTGCTATTTGCGCGTCTTTTAACCAGGCATCAACACGGACGTTCAACCGAGTGTCAATATCCGCGTATATACCACCTTGCGCGAGTACCACGAGATACCTGAAGAAGTCTGCTCTGAGTACTTTCCGCGGCAGTATGCGATAGGCATGAATAACTTCCGGAAACTCTGCGTAGTATTTCTCAACGAAATCGAGTGCTTGATCGTCATCCAAAAAATGGTAATTATAGTCAGTTGACGCGGCCCACAGTTGCGTGTTCTCTTTAAACTCTTTTCCCAACCTTTCCCTGGTTTTCCACGACTGCCAGATATGCTTCTCGATAGGCATTTCGTCCTGAGAACTGAACTTACTTGTCAATCTTCGCTCTAGAGATGGCAGTTGGGGCCTCTTGCCGGCGAAATGCAGCAAATATATGATTCCAAAAAGCAGGAGTACTGCTGGCAAACGCTTACTTCTCGCTTTCATCATTACTGAGCAATCTTGTTCCGTTCTTGAAGTTTACAGATGGCATATTGGCCATATTTGAGCTATCTAAAAGCATAATCGAATCCCAAAAAAATAATTGGTCTCTAGCGGGATCGAACCGCTGATCCCCGCGTTATTAGCACGGTGCCTTAACCAACTGGGCCAAGAGACCATTTTAACTCGTATACTTAAAGTGTTAAGAAGAGACCATACAGGACAGTTGCAGTCATATGTTTACTCGTTCCATTCCGATTAGTACGTGGAAGTTTCGTTAATCAGCTGTACTTTTAGATAGTTTAACTGGCGGGCCAATAACTAATCACAAATCAAGTCATCCCACCGTCTGCTATGTCTCACATAGTCTTTCTGAGCTCGAGGTGGTAGACTTCATAGAGCATCATAGTAACTGTTGAAAGCACGTGAAATGCGCGTGACTCGCTAAGTTCTTCGGTTCTCCCAACCATTCTCTTACAATGTGAATCGGTACGAGAGTGAAAGCCAACAGATTCAGGATGCAAAGGAACACTAAGCAAAAACTACACTACATGCCAATTGGTTTCAACACCCGCGTTCGGCTCTCAATTACACCTGGTAAGCGATCGCTATCGGTGCTGTTAGCGGAGGTGATTGTCTCCGAAATGTCCACTGGACTGCATCTTCAATTCCTGCAAAGTCCGAAAGCTCCAGCGTGTGCTTACGATGTTTTAGACTACGGCGCACACTTACTGTAACGGTCTTTTCGCTTTTTGCCCCATCGTTTACGCGTTTGTCGTTTAAGAAATTTTCTTTTTCTCACCAGGCGTGGCGACGTCTTTGAGCTCCAGCATCCTTAAATCTGATAATACATATATAAAGGATAGTTTTTTTGGACAACACAGTTGACGAAGAAACAAGACTACGTTGACAGGCAGGTTGGGCAATTAAAGACTATCTGTAACCTCGAAGAGTTTTATATATTCCGCAATGACTGAACAAAACCAAATGAAGAAGCAAAAGACCGTGGACCAACCACCAAGACCTCAAAACATCGGTATCAAGGCAATTGAGGTATATATCCCATCACAAGTATGTTAGTTGACAAGCAAGTGTGAAATGCACTGGAACATGCCAGGATTCGCCTGAGGTGTAATGAGAGTTTCATGCTCGCATACTGCAGCAGGAACGAGGCTGCAGGCGGCTACTCTGATTATAATTTGAATGCAAAATACTAACTTCTTGCAGTGTGTAAACCAAGCTGAGCTAGAGAAGCACGATGGCGTTTCATCTGGTAAGTACACCATTGGTTTGGGCCAAACCAACATGGCTTTCGTGAACGATAGAGAGGACATCTACTCAATGTGTCTAACCGTGTTGTCCAACATGATGAAGCACTACAACATCGACCCAAACCAAGTCGGTAGATTGGAGGTCGGAACAGAGACATTGCTTGACAAATCGAAGTCCGTCAAGTCTGTCTTAACCCAATTGTTCCCAGAGAACAAGGATATGGAGGGTATCGACACTGTCAACGCATGCTACGGTGGTACCAACGCAGTCTTCAACTCCATCAACTGGATCGAGTCTTCTGCTTGGGACGGCCGCGACGCTGTCGTGGTGTGTGGTGACATTGCTATCTACGACAAGGGTGCCGCTAGACCTACTGGTGGTGCTGGTACTGTGGCGTTGCTAATTGGCCCAGACGCTCCTATCGTGTTTGACTCCGTCAGAGGCTCTCACATGGATCATGTTTACGACTTTTACAAGCCAGATTTCACCAGCGAGTATCCATACGTTGACGGCCACTTTTCCCTAAGCTGTTACGTCAAGGCGTTGGACGAAGCTTACAAGGCCTATTCCAGAAAGGCTATCGCCAAGGGCCTCGCTGAAGAGCCTGCTGGTCCAGAAGCTGTTAATGTCGCTAAATTCTTCGACTACAATGTGTTCCACGTTCCAACCTGCAAACTAGTCACCAAGTCTTACGGTAGATTGCTGTACAACGATTTCAGGGCGAACCCAGCGTTATACCCTGAGGTCGACGCTGCATTGGCAAAGGTCGATTACGACGCCAGCTTGGCAGACAAGAACATCGAAAAAACCTTCGTGAACGTCGCTAAGGCTTTGCACAAGGACCGTGTCGCACCTTCCTTGACCGTTCCAACTAACACGGGTAACATGTACACTGGTTCTGTGTACGCTGCCCTTGCCTCGCTATTGTTTTTCGTCGGGTCTGACGCCCTACAAGGCAAGCGCATTGGTTTGTACTCGTACGGTTCCGGTATGGCCGCCTCTCTCTACTCTTGCAGAGTCGTTGGCGACATCAAATACATCACCGACGTTCTGGATTTGGACGTGAAGTTGCAATCCAGAAAGACTGAATCCCCAACCGAATATGAAAGTGCCATCAAGTTGAGAGAAAATGCTCATTTGAACAAGAACTTCACGCCTAAAGGCTCCATCGAACTCTTGCAGCCAGGCACTTTCTATTTAACTAACATCGACGACAGATTCAGAAGACAGTATGCTGTCAAGGAATAAACTCGCCCCGTATAATACCTTAAATATACATATATATATATATTTATATATATATTATATCAACTCGCTGTGGACAAAACCTTTTTCATGCTTGAACAAACGATGAGCTTGTTCTAAAGCTTCTATTGTTGCCCCATATGCGCCTTGTGAGCCTGGCCTTTTAAGGCTGACCAATGAGCTGCCAGCTTATCATGACAAGCGATGTTGTCATTTGCTAGAACAAAGCGCAGCTCGGATATCACTCCGTACATGTGCAGGTTCCTTCCTGTCCGGTCCGGAGCGAAAAATTTTTGAAGATGTAGAATTAGAAAAAGAACGGCCGTCCGAGGTAATTCCATGTTCGCATTTGTAGTGAGTGACAAAAATTGAAGGGCAGGATCGAAACGAAAACACGCCCAGTTAGAACGATACTATCACAACTTCATACCAAGCGAGGGCATGGCGTTCAAATCGTTCAAATACAAGTTCTACTCCAAGGGGTACCATTGCTCTGCAGCTCAGAAGTCCGCGACTGCATTTTTCGATAGCTCGTATCAATATCTTCGCCGGAACCAAGGCCTGGTGAACCAAGAGTCTTCGATACCTTCTTCTCATGCTGCTGGAGTTAATCCACATCCGGTTGTGGTTGCGAATGTTAATTACAGCACTGTAGAGCACATCTTGCAGGTGGAGGCTGCTGAGGACTGCGGTGGAAATGTGAAAAAGGAGGGCGAGTCTAGTGGCGAGGATAACTCTAAGGGTCCACCAGAGGGTAGAAGGGCCAGTGTAAGTGGCAAAGGTGCTGTACATGCTGGCCAGCGTCTCAGATCACGGGGAAATAACGAAAATCTTCCGCTACTGCCGAATCAAAAGAATTTAGTCATTGATCAAAAGCTTTCACAGAGTTATTATTCCACCACGGCGACTGATGCCGGAAAGCCCTCGCAGGTGGCAAATTTACCTGCAGAGGAAACTAGAACGGTGGTCGAAGAATCAAGCGGCCCCTGGGAACCAGATACCGAAGAGGAGCTAAATGTGGACACTTTTCTTCAAACACAAACAACGCAGATCAGAAAGTGCTATGAAGCTGGTCAATACGACCAGATTAATGCACTTTATCAGTCATTAAAGCGTAATAATATCGTGCCCCCTCTAGAGGTATACTCGATGGTTATAGAATCTGTGTGCAAGCGTGAACTCGATAATGACAACATTGACAATAGAATGTTCCAGCTTTTAAATTGCTATCAAGACCTGCTTAACAATAAACTCAAACCAACTGATGAAATATACAATATGGTCATTGGATGCTTGTTGAACGGTTCCATTGTAGCTTATGAGTCTCATAACCCAAATGGTCTGGATTTCTACAAAATTGGGGCAGATTTGTTTCAAGCTTCGAATGCAAGAAGATCACAACAATTTTCCAAACGTCTGTTAGACTGTTTCCTTCTTTCAATGAACCTTTACCCAGGATATGTGCAGCTGAACTATGTCAAGAACGTAATTCATAATTCGAGCTTGTACACGAAAAGTTCCTTCTACTACGTTGCGATGATTTCATATGCAGCCCGCTTAAATGATAACTCTGCCGTGAAGGAATTATATTCAGATTTCAGAACTCAGTGTTTGGGCAATGAAAACTTAAAGTCGAATCAATTTGAGGTTTACAGCGCCGCTCTCTCCGGACTTGTAGAGACGGGAGATATGGCATTGGCTATAAAACTTCTTGATAAAGTTTTAGCGGATGTCAGAGAAAAGAATGGTATGGTTTCAAACCTATCGTTAGTTCTGTCAAGTTTCTTAATTTCAGTGAGCAAAGTTGACCCCCATAAGTCATATAACTTATGGCTAGAATTTCGCAAATTGAAGTGGTTCCCTGAATTATCTTACGACTTTTATTTGACTTTACTAGCAAACAGCTTGAAAGATTGGGAGCTTTCGAAGAGGATATACGATTACATTTTTCCTATGACTAGAAGCCTGAACAGTAAAGCAGGCAGCTTTTCAGAGTTTTTGTTAAAACCGATGGGCTTAGAATCGGTGCTCAGCTCATTTTTAGATTACGCTTTACAGCTCAAAGATGCTGAGGTAGTAATGAAGGTACTTGAAGAATCCATAGTAAAATCTTTCAAATTCGAAGTCGGGATTTATCCGTTTGTTTTTCAGTTTTTAAAATCCATTCAGTGTCCGGACGATTATTTATTACGTTTCATCGCGTCACATGGTTCTTTGATGAAACAAAGCAAAGATAAGTTCGAGTTCCTAAATGGGCTGATTGACAGTTATCAATCTCAAGTTATCCTCACTAGGGTAACTGAGATGAAATTTTTTACTGACTATTGCCGCTCTTTCAATCCAGCGGATAGTCGATACATAAACCACAGTGGTTTAATAGCATGCTTCCAGAGTCTATGGAGGTCACCTCAAATCATCGAAAAGTACCTGTACAATTTGGAGCTACATGGTTTGATTATTGGGAAGATTTACGACCTTGACAATTACTATAACGTCATGGAGAATGAGTATCTAGTTGAATTTAAGTCAGATGTTACTGAGAAATTCAAAAAGCTAGTAATGAACTACAAAAGATTGAGTTTGGATCCCACCCAAGTCTCAGGTGTCGTTGTACAAGGCATGAAGGCAGTGAATTTATCTGATGAGTTTTCCAGCTACTTTACCCATCCAGGTGATTGGGACAAGTCATACCCTCTATCTCTCGGTTCTCTGATTAGAACTTCTTTGAATACAGGTATAAAGACATACCAGAGACTGTATTCTGAGGGCTATTGTTTCGACTACGACACTTATAAAGAGCTTATCTATCAGAAAGTCATAGATGAGACGATTATCACCAAAGCAATTGAACTTTGTCCAGATGAGGACCAGCATAAGTATTTGAGCAATTGTTTGGTAGTAAAAACTTTCAATCAAGATTTGGAATCCAAAATAGTTAATCATCCCATGTTTGAATCTAAAATTCTTCCGTATTTGAAGGATAGTTCACTTTTACGAATTGCAAAGAATACGTCAAATACGCGCAAATTCGCACACAAGATTCAATTTCCCAAGAGATTTAAGAGCATTGCTGTACAAGCCGAAAATAGATCAACTATTGGTTTTATTTACGAACATCTATTCCTGGAAAAAGATTTTGATTCAATTCTAAAGTTTAATAAGGTTTGCCCAGTTTTGGATGTTTCTCTGCTTCTAAAGTCCTGCGTGCGATCGGGAAATTACGATGAGTATGAAAAACTTTACGCAAAGTTCAAGAACAGCCTTGGTAATGAGGCATTAAATGTGCATGCGGAATATCTGGTAAATCTAAACAAAATCGATGAAGCTATCTGCTTGATCAAATCCGCACCTAAGGATACCAAGCATAAGTCGAGTGATTTGCTGTCCTTCGCTCTATTTTTGAAAAGTTTTAAAACAGACGTTTTGTATGTGGAACACATAGAAAACACATTACAGTTAGCCAACGTGATCTCGATCCAGCAATCATTTTCTTCTATGATATCTGTTTACCAGACGCTACTTGGCGATCGGTCGGTCATGCAAAATATGAAGCTGAATAAAGCTGTGAACTTGGAAATCGCGGAGCAAATGTTAAACAATCTTTGCGACGCACTTCAGTTTGTAGATCTGAAGAATGAACATGCCCAGAAGGTTTTCTTCAATAAATTGAAGAACTATTTGAGATTTAGAGTTTTTTTAAAACTCCCAGAACTGAATAATCATGAATTCAACCAAATTTTAGAACTATATTGCTTGTTATCTCCCCCTTCTGTGGACAGATTATTCAACAATATTGTGGAAACTATTTACTTGAACTCAGGTGCTAGGCAGCTATATCTTCAAAATGACTTGATTTTCAAGTTCACACCTGAGCAGATTTCGAACATTGTCGATCGTATTGGATGTTTTTACCATTCTGAAAAGAATGAGGAAAATGAACAGAAGGCTGAGGATCTAAAAAAGCTTTTGAACCAGGTGTACCCGGTCGAATGATGACACCAATCAACCTTTCGTTCTTTTTAGGCGCCCCTAATGGTATTACGATAATTTTAATGAAAATGTGGTGTGGATAAATATAGTAATCTTCCATAACATTAGAAGTTCGACAATTCTGTCAGCTGCATTTGGATATATTTATATTATATATTTACTAATATATACGTTTTATGATTTATGAGAGTATATTACAAAGTGTCTATGCGTTAAGCGACGGGAACATTATCCATGTATTCAGAAAGTGCAGGATTTAAAGGAGGAACATCAGCAAGGGTGTGCATGATGATGGGCTTGACACTTTTGCAAAATTTAAAGCCTATTCCCTCCGAATCATTCGATACTAGACACAGAAAAATTGCACTAGCTTTAGAAACATCAGAAAGCTTCGTTGGGAATTTGAGTTCGGGTAGTGGTATTTGTGTGGCTTCTTTAGACTCACTAATTTCGCTCTCGTATGATGTCAAGCTTTTTTCTTCCGGGTTGGCAGCTGTAGCGTCACCTTCGGCTATGCTTACCTCTTTTGGTCTCGGTTGAATTCCCTTAATAACAAATCTTTTCTTACCAGAAGCCTGATCGGTAATAACCATCGCCGATGCATTCTTGAAAGCATTGGAAACATTTTTGATGAATTCCACAGCAGGAAGTAGCTTTCTACCGGATTCTTTCACGGCCTGCGAGAATTCCGACTCATATCCCCTCCAGAGACTGATCTGTGTTACTTCTGCATCCTTAACAGGCTCAAAACAACATCGTAACCAGGCAGTAGACCTCATGGGTTCATTTAATTCTAAAACTTGGCGGAATAGATCCCCTTCCAGTTTTGGTGGTTCAGTAGGGGCCGGAGGCATAACTCTTCTGGCAAGTTTTATTTCAGTTTTATTGAACGACTCATAGTCAGGCATTTTGACATTATACGTCAAAAGCTTGGGAAGAACACCTGAAAGAACACTGTACCTTTGTGGAGTTTTCATGAGAATTGCAATACGTTCGTTACCAGGGAGAATATATTGATAAAGGAAATCCAAAGAAGCCATGATGAGCTCACTATCCCAATCAACAAGTAAATAAGAACAGATCTGATCTAGAACCTTATCATGCAAATTGTCAGCAGCACTTTCCTCGTCTGCCTTGGAGCGCACAAGAAGTCTCGATAAGGACCTTAATATGGAGATAACCATGTATCTGTCATTAGTGTACATTAAAATAGACACTAGATTTTGAAAGTAGGGGTCATCTTTCTTTGCCGGAGCAATATAAGAAGATATGGCTTCCATCAGATCTATCACGTAATGCACTAATTCATTAAAAAATGGTGCATTGTTTTGATAAAGAGAAAATGTGGAGCTATTAATGGCGTTGAAAATCTCCAAAACTGCAAGAATAAACTCCTTGACAGCAACATTGGTCGCAAGAATCTGAGTAGATTCAGAATCTTGAGCCATGTTTCTCAAGATGAGCACCGTATTCATACCCTTTTGCAGGGTGGGAAGGTCCTTTGTAGCGTCTAAGGGCATGTCAAATCGGTGCAAAAGCGGAAGAGTAGCAATAATAAACCTGCTAAAAAGTGGTAATAGGTTCTTGTTTTCTTTGAAACTAATCATGTAGGGCGCCTTGTTGCTATACGCCAAGTATTTTTTAAGTGCCCATTGAACCTCGTCTGGCAGCCCGCTTAGTAGTGCCATTTTCATCCGACTCAAATCGTCGATACCTTGTGCAGATTCGCGTGGAAGATGCTGGAAAACATTTAAGCTAGATATCGTATGCTGCAATGCACTCAACCCACTCTTGGCTATCACGCCGTCAGATTGTTCTCTTGTGACGAAAATAGGCTCTGGTACGACGGACTGAAACACACTTGATTGTCCAGCGTCGAAGATCTCGGTAGATAATGGAGAATCCTCGAATCCCTCAATGGGAGTAGACCCTTGCCTGCCAATTTTCTCACTCATTTGGACGACTTAGTCTTTTTTCTAATTTGAGATGATACACCTAAATCTGCAATTACATCTAAAGAATTTCAATTGTCCAAATGGAGCTTAAACAACGATCTACGTATGAAGTGACTGGAATAAGGCTAATGTAAAACAATGTGAAAAGTCAAAAGCAAAATAGAAAGAGACCCCTAATAAGACATTGCTATGGGAAAAGCGTATATAAGAGAGTTCAGTGACCTTGGGAAGGATTTTTCTGAATCTCAGTAAAGTAATATTGTAAAGCAGTGATATGAAAATCACTAGTGTTATTCTATTATCGTCACTGGTTGTGGCTGATGTTTCAAATTTGTATGGGAAGTGGACTGCTAATGATCTACAACAATACTTGAAAGACCAAAAGGGTCAATTGCAAGATGCAAGTGAAGAGTCTATCCAAAATCTCAGAGAAGCTGCGACGGACCTATGGAATGCTAAAACGCAGCCCAAACCGTGGTGGAAATTTTGGGAGAATGACAAACAAAGCAGTTTGTCGAGATTTAGCGCCAGCGATTCGCCTATTTCAGACTGGTTCTTTGACACATGGACCAGTGACGAGTTGCGTAAATTGCTATCGCGTACCAAAGTCTCATATAATTCGAAACTGTCTAGAGATAAACTTGCAGAGATCGCTAAGAAGAATTTCGACAAGGTCTCTTCGAAACTCGGGAACTCAGGATTATATCCCTCTGAATCGTACTTCAGTGACTGGGATGAAAAGGATATTAAAGGGTGGTTGGACTCGTACGGAATCTCCTATGACAAGGCGCATGCTAAGAAGGACGAGTTATTGAGAGCAGTAAGAGAAAATATATACGCGGCGTCGCAGTATGCAGAGGACGAACGTGTGAACATCTTAGAATCAGTCGATTTGTCTAATCAGCAAATTGCTGACAAAGCGGGCAAACTTAGGGACGAAATTTTCGACAATTGGTCAACAAAAGATATTACTGATTGGTTAAAGAGCCATCAAATCCAAATTGCCGAGAAATCTGCCGCGAACAGAGATTATCTTTTAGATCTAGCAAAAGAGAATAAGGATTTATTGAAGGATGACATCGATTGGTACTTGGAAGTTGCTAAGAAAAAGGCTTCTCCATACGTTTCGAAATCCGAGTCAGCAGTTGCATCTATCTGGGAAAAAACCATGGGTAAGATCAACTCCATCAAAGATAAGTTCTATAAAAGTGATAACATTGTGAACCATACATTTTTAATCGGGGTTGAGAATTGGCCAAAAAGGAAACTAAAGGCTTTCCTTGACTCCCGTGGAGTCTCTTACTCCATTTTTAGCACCCGTGCTGATTTGCTGGAGATGGTAAAAGAGTACAAGGATAAACCATTGAAACGTATTGCTGACTCACCCGCAGTTTCGGAGTTTCTTGATGCTTGGTCGTATGAGAATGTGAAGAATTGGGTCAAAGATAAGAATGACGAAATCACCTCTTCGGAAGCTTACAAGTCTGCCAGCCGCAAAGTCAATGAACTTCTTGAAAAGGCTCATCATCATGGCGTCAAGGGTGCATCTTATGCGCAGGCAAAAGGTGCTAAGGCCGCTTCACAAGCAGTTTCCTATGCTCAAGACAAGGGAGCTGACGCTGCTTCATACGCGGAAGACAAGGGTACAGACGCGCTATCGTATGCTAAAGAAAAAGGGGCAGTTGCAGCTTCCTATGCAGCCTCATATGCCCAAGAAAAAGGCTCTGATGCCGCCTCGTATGCACAAGACAAATCAGAGGATGCTGCTACTTATATAAAAGAAAAGGGCACAGATGCATGGTCATACGCTCAGGAAAAAGGAAGTGATGCCGCTTCGTATGCTCAAGACAAAGGTACTAAAGCAGCCTCCAGTGCTGCGTCACTTGCCCAAGAAAAAGGCTCTGAGGCAACTAAAGCCGTTGCCCAGACTCTTTCTCAACAATATGATGAATGGACTGAGCTATTTCAATCATGGTCCACAGATGACCTTAAGAGATATGTGAAGAGTTTTGGAATAAAAACATCCCCAACTTCCACAAGAGAGAAGCTTTTGCAACAAGCTAAAGACAATACATTGTGGTTTTTTGGCCGTTATGAGGAACCTTTTTATAAGAGAGTCCCTAAAAAAATCAGAAATTTAATGACCGATAGTTACAGTATTGTGTTCCATCACTAGCAATTTCTACATATATCATGACTTTAAATTACAGGACCGATAGGGTGTCCGCCACGAAATGATCATTTAAACACTCAGGTGCTCAATATAAGGGTTAATGTTTGCCCTATTATTATGTAAATCACTAGTTACGCTAATGGAGACGAAAATTTGCATTTTGCTTAAAAACCCATCGGTTAAAGCTCACAACAGCAGTGTATAACCTTTATAAGGTAATGTCCAAATACGCTTGGTATACTAGGGTAACGGATGCAGCCCATCGTTTGACTGTTTTGACCCTTGTCGGTGGGACTCTGTACATGAGTGGGGGCCTTATTTACACCATGTACATGAATGGAAAGAAATATGAGCAACAGGTCACTAATAAACCTGTAGAAACAGAAGACGATAAAGCTGAATAGGCTTAATATTTATGATTCTACCAAATAAAGCTTGTATATATATAATAAGATCTGTGATGACTTTCGACTTGCTGAGTGCATAATTACTACTTTTTCGGGCGTTTTTTGGATGAATCAACAGAAGATGCTTTGCGTTTTCGGCCAACTGATATTTTCTTACAGTTATGAGCAACTCCCTGGTTCCTTAGTCTACGAGCACGTTGCTCGAGCTTATTATGTTCCTCTTCAAAACACGGGTTTATAGTCACTATATCGATTTCGCTGTAAGGACCATCGCATACAGGACATCTTTTATCCACCGATGTTTGTTCCAGCAACTTGTGCGGCAGAACATGCCCACAACTTGCGATGTATTCGAACTGAGTAGTACTCTTGCCAAAAACTTCATCACCCACTTCGCATTTGAGAACAGAGGACTCGCCGTCCACTACATTTCCAAGATCGACGATATCCTTAAGAGACTTTATATGCTTAAACATCTCAATTTGTTGTCCGGAATAATCCTCTTTCTCGGGCGTTAGCAACCACTCTAAGACTGCTTCTTTGTTGAGAAGATTTCCTTTGTAGTCACTTACTATCGGTAATCTGAGAGGCTTATTAGAGAGTCTACAGATAGTCCATCGCGACAGCGCATCAAATTCCTTACCATGGTGGTCATTTACAGCACTGCTTTCGTCCTTTGACGATATAATCAAATTTTTTGATTTGTTTATGGATCCTCCGTCAGCCTGAAGATATAGTTAGATTGTGGATCGTGATAGACACTTAAATTATAATTCATACATACCCCCATGTTTATCCACACTCACACAAAAATGGAGCTGTGATGTGTTATACATTTACTGATTTCACAAATGAATTATCTAGAAAAAAGATGGCATCGCGCTTTCTTTCAAAATTTCAGGTACTTCAGAACAAAGAATACGAAGCGAGATGTCGACCTACGACGATAGGGAGAAATGGTATGCGCTCTTGACTTTCAAATAAAGCTTATATTCGTTTTTACTAACCGCTACAATCCAGCCATTTCTATTATAAAATTGGTGCTTGTCGGCATGGAGATAGATGTTCAAAAAAGCATACTAGGCCCATCAGATCGAGAACCATAATAGTACCCAATATGTACCGAAAACCAGCTTTAAACGGGAAATCGGACCTTCAGTTTGATTTTGATGCATTTTATGAAGATGTTTATATGGAAGCAAGCCGATTTGGCGAAGTTCAGTCGATGGTTGTATGCGAGAACAGAAATGATCACTTGAATGGCAACGTGTATATAATGTTCTCAAATGCTCAAGAGGCCCAAGGCGCCAGAGACAGCTTTAACACGCGCTGGTATAATGAAAGACCCCTCTATTGTGATCTCAGTCATGTATCTGATTTTAGAGAAGCAATATGTCGAAAGCACGACATGAGATCGTGCGAGAGGGGCGATGAGTGTAACTTTATGCACGTACAAAGACCGACATTACAACTGTTAAAAGACCTGGAAAAAGCACAATGGAAGAGATATCGAATGCAATGAATCAATTTATAACCTTCGTGATGCGAGGCCAGTGGTTTCGTACATAATGTCATGTATTATTTTGAAAGGATTCAAGATGTGCTCTCGGTGGCAAAAACATCTTTGATGATAGGAATAGATAGCATTGTTTAAGGCAGACAATAATGACGGATAGGTATTCGTTTTCTCTGACAACCTTTTCACCAAGGTATGGCTTCGACGTTTTCTACATGAATTAATTGGGCTTATCTACTAACAACTTATAGCGGCAAATTAGGGCAAATTGATTATGCATTAACAGCTGTCAAGCAAGGTGTAACTTCACTCGGGATTCGTGCCACGAATGGTGTAATCATTGCAACAGAAAAGAAGTCATCCTCTCCTCTCGCACTATCAGAAAGTCTCTCGAAGGTGACATACATTACGCCTGACATTGGCGCTGTCTACTCCGGCATGGGTCCAGATTTCAGAGTTTTAGTTGATAAATCAAGAAAAGTTGCACATACTCATTACAAAAGAATTTATAATGAGTATCCACCTACCAAGATTTTGGTTTCCGAGATTGCAAAAATTATGCAAGAAGCAACTCAGTCTGGAGGTGTGAGGCCTTTCGGTATTTCATTATTAGTAGCTGGACATGATGAACATAACGGATTTTCTCTTTATCAGGTCGATCCTTCTGGCTCATATTTCCCATGGAAGGCCACCGCCATTGGCAAGGGAGCAACAGCTGCAAAGACCTTTTTGGAGAAGAGATGGAATGACGAGCTTGAGCTTGAAGATGCCATCCATATAGCATTGCTCACGTTGAAAGAATCGGTCGAAGGCGAGTTTAACGGGGACACTATCGAAATTGCTGTCGTCGGTGAAGAGAATGATGACCTGCTAGGGCTTACTGGTGACAACAGTGCTAAGGGACCGCGATTTAGAAAATTGACTCCGCAGGAAATCAATGACAGACTAGATGCCTTGTAAAACATTACAATGGATGTTACCTTACATAGCGGCTTATATACTATACGAAAAATGAAGGCAAATAAGACTACTTAAATGGAGCTTTGAGCGGATCAATGACCGTACTTGGTTTGGTTAAGATTCTTGGTTTGATGAGGCCTTGGTGTGAAGTTCTAGAGGTCCACTCTTGGCCTAGAGGCATCCTCAGCGACCTCTCGTATTGCTCCTTACTCTCGAATGGGAATGGAACAGCAGATGATTGGTACTTCAAGTTCTTTTTATTGACCTTTTCATTGATGATAACATTTTTTAGATTTCTGTCTCTTCTTTTGTCTTTTCTGACCGTGCCTTTGATCTTGCTGAATTTTCTCTTTTTAGTGGGAGCTGCTCCTGCTCCAGCCCAATCTCCCCATCCAGGAAGAGTAACGTCTTCAATTTTATCATCCTCATCAATCGCGACTCTTTTTTTTTCTTGTTGAAATTTATCTACCACGTCATCGCCTGCGAAAGCTTCGGCAATCAAATCTTGTTGTTTAAAAACTATACCTTCGTCAGATAGGGTGCCATTATTATGATTATTGAGCTGGAGCTTATCAGCATTCTCAACATCAAGCAAAGGCTCCTCGTCGTGAGAGCGTTCATCCGATTGACGTGTTTGCTTTGCCCTTTTTTTCTCTATTTTATTCGCACTTTTGGTGAGCTTAGAACTGTTTTCATCCACAATTTTGATTTTATTCGATTTTCGTGACTTTCCCTCGTCTTCGGTAGGTAGCCAAGGATTAGGTTCATTTTGCGAAGTGGCATCTATACTTCCAGAATTTTTTGAGCGCAAATTCGATGATCCTCTTTTGTCCTTTGACCTTTCACTTACGTTTTGAGTTGAATTGACAGCGGAACGGGTCGGTTCTTCTTCAGTTTCACTTCCATTTCCATGTTCCAGCACCTCCATTTCGTTACTCGATTGCATAGCACTTGGCGTATATACTCTTCTTCCCAAATTCAAGTTGATATTTGCACCAGTTTTTCCGTGTTCAATATCATCATCAAATATATTTTTGTTGCCATTTTCAAAAGCTTTTAAATCTTCAATGGTTTTTCTATTGGACTCTGCCTGTCTAGCTTCTGCTTTCTTCATGAATGACATATTCATCACTCCACTTTTTCCAACATTATTTCTAGATATGTCTGTTTCAGGAAAATTCCCTTTATCGTCGTTCTCCAAATCACTTATGCGATCATCACTATCGTCCTCAGAGCTGTTTCCCATAACTTTAGACCGAAGCCGTTCCCCCTGCTTGAGCATCTCTTCCATTTCTTCTCTAGTTTCCTTGTCTTTTGTCATGCCATGTTTAATCATGTCCTTAGCCCATTTAGACGTAGTTTTGTGCTTGAGCGACATGCGCTCTCTTGCTCTCGCAATATCCTGTTCATCCTCGCTTTCTTCAAAATCTTCAATCAGCTCTTGATTCTTTGTGAGCTCTTTCTTTTTTATCCGGTGATAGGCCTTCGATTTAATCTTCTTGATTCTCTTCGCCTTCCTTTCCTCGCGAAACATCAGTTCCCTCATCAATCTGAGCTCTCTGGTTCTCTTTCTCATTTCATCTGGATCAATCTTAGCAGTAGCGATTTCTTCAAACGTAGATTCTTTCTCTAAACTGACAAGATTACTTTCTTTGAGCACCTTTGTAACTCTTTTTTCAAGCTCCATGACAGGATGCTCGGTAGAGTTGACTAACATTGTACTCTCATTATGCTGAGCTGAGGAGTTTAAAGGAAACGTCAGATGTTCTGCTTGTCTGTTTTGTTGGATAGTATCTTTCCATTTGTTGACCTCTTCTTTTGAGATTTCATAGGCAGCTTTTCTGTCATGTCTTTGCTGAATACGTTGCGGCAAAGGCACTGGTAACGAACTTGGCTTATTTTTGATTAAAGAAGCTTTTTCAACAGCTGCCTTGTCTTCGACTACGCTCATCAGATCATTCAAGTTGAGTTTCTTTTGTCCAGCTTTGAATGAGGGCAAAGAGTACTCGTTTTCTTCGCCATAGACGCCATTATCCAACTTCCTATAGTTGGCTTTCTCTGTTTTCTTACATAAGTTGTCAGTGATTGTTTGTAAATTCAGGTCTTCCTCATCTTCCGAAATTTCATCAAACGGATCTTCTTCTTCTGCTGATTCACTTTCATCATCCGATTCAGAGTCTTGACTCAACTCGCTCTCGGATAAATCATCATTTAGTTGTAATTCGGTTGGATTTTCTGTTTCTGAACCATTTTGGGCGTCATCCATATCCCACACCTGTGACAAAGGCAGGAGATCGTTTTCATCGAGAGATATGTACCCATCCATTTCATCTTCATCATATTCTGCGTTCTTCCTCTTATCTCTAAGAGTTTGAGAGAACTTAGAGCTCATCACATCATAGTCATCATCAGATCCCAACGCTTCATCTGAATCTATTTCTTCGTCCTCAAAATCGCTGCCCTCCTGGTCGGAATTCTTTTGCGCATTGATGACAGTCCCATTTTGATGCCAATCTTTTTTATAGCTTAATTCGTTATCACTTGACTCATCAAGCTCCCGAGTGGCAATTTCAAGAGCATTCTGAGCTATCTTTCTAGAGCGCTTGGATCGTGACTTTTTCGCCATTGGTCTTATCGAAACGTGAAGTATTGGAGTGGTAGCTCATCTCATGAAAAAAAATTCTCCACATCACCTTTCTTTTTAGTATCAGCAAAGTAAAACAAGTTGGTCATGTGACATGTGTGCTTCCATGAAGTAAAAACTTCAGGAAATATCACAATAATATTACTACTTACTTATAGACCAGTCGACAATTGGTTGACTTTTAAGTTTATTGCGGATTTTGCTTTGCTAGTTCTTCATGTCGACGGATGGCAGCATGCCTTAAATGTCCCTCAATCGCAAGAGAAGAGTGACTTTTTTCCTTGATAATATCTTGAATTTGAATAGACTCTCTATTCAGCTTTGCAATTTTCTTCTCGTAGAAATTAAGTGCTTGCTCAGTATCTTTCTCTACGTAATATCCTGTGCCGATGTCTACCATGAATTTTGTATTATCTCTTACCGAACCTCTTACATATAACGACCCAGAGAGCGGAACTAACAATTTATTATTGTCATTTTCAGGCTTAGCTAACGATTTAACGTCCTCTAAGCATTCTTTAAACTTTCCTCTGGCAATGTTTAGAGCTTGTAGAGACTGAGAAAAATGTTGTAGTTCCTGGTCGAATTGCTGCTTCACTGCAGCGAGCTGCTCCGGACTAAGTTTCGTAAGATCGACTGCAGATAGTTAGTATCAACGAAAGAATAAGTACCCAAGTCTTGGCTTCATCCTCATACTTTTTTGTTGAGACATATCTTGCTATATAGTTTCACAATGAAAAACTTCTTAATCAGATTCGATTTTTCGATTTTTCGTTTTTTTGAAAGGGGGACGAACTTTCAACAGCAATGAACAATGCAGACACGACATCATTTCAAAGCGTTCTGAGTGGTGTTCGAAAGCTTCAAGATAAAAATGCTAGTATATCATATCCATCAAACGCAAGTAATAGTGCGGAATCAAAGGGGAAACGAGAGATACAGACAGGGAATGTCATAAACTCCTTTAATCAGCAAAAAGATCACTTGAATCGCCAATTGTCACCAGAGGTACCAAGAGGCAAGAGAAGAATTGATTCTTTAGGATCTGGCAAGACAATACTAGTAAGTTCATCGCAAAAAGGCAACCCTCTTTTGAATTGCCTTACGAACACGAACTGGCGATACGTATCATCTTCTGGCGGAACAAAGATTTACTATGATTATAACGTGAAAGGAAGAAATGTTGTCTTTCTGTCTTTAAAGTATCACAAACTACATCCAGAATACATTGCGAAAAAAATGCAACCTTTGATCAAAAAGGGTAACAACATTCTCATATGCGTAGTTGATATTGAGAGGTCGGAGGATATCTTAAAAGATTTGAACAAAGATTGCATGTTTAATGATTTTGTTATGCTTTTGGCATTCAATTTTGAACAGGCGGCGAAATATCTTATGTTCATGAATAAATGACGAAAGCTAACCTTACAGCAAATCTGTTCCGTGCTTATTACCGTTTTTCGTCATTTTAGCGCTTTTCGCTCCGAACTGAATAGCCCTCTTTGGTTCCTCACTGATTTCACCTAACGCTAATTTTGTGCGTGCAAGTTCGCGAAGAATCATCTTTTTGAACTTGTAGTTAATAGGTAGTTGCGTCGAAAGTCTGATCACATTGTCATCCAAGAAGGGATATCTTACTTCCACGCCATTTGAGGCGATAACTTTATCATCACGATTGAGATTTCTATCATGAATATTACTGATTTGAGATGCTAATTCCTTCACAAGTTCTTCAATTGTTTTATTGTCAAGTTTATGATACCCTCCATAGAGTTCATCGGCCCCCAGCCCACTAAACAGAACGACGCCATGCCTTTTATATGGAACTCTAAGCCCGTCCGACTTTGTAACGAATCCTTCGCCCCTAGACGCGAAATAAAATGCTGCCGCGATTGATAAATCCATTTCGGTTCTTTTTGGAAAGATGAGGTCAATAATTTTGGGCCTTTGGAGCAAAAATTGCTCATATGAAACATCTATTTCTATGAGTTTGATTGCTTGAGTTGGGAATAGTTCCTGAAGCTTCAGAGCTGAACTAAATGCCAGTTTTCTGTCAGGTACGTCAGCAGGTTGAAGCCCAGTCCTTGGATTTTCAAACCCGACATTGAGCAGTTCAATATCCACTTTTCTCCCAAATAATTGCAGTTCTTGGCATATCAGTGCTGTGATTACGGAACAATCTAATCCACCCGAAAACAATATACAGATCGAGTTGTTTTCATTATGCACAGGTTGAATAGAACGAACGCGTTGTCTCACAGCCTCTCGAAGAACAGAATTAAGAGCATCACAATTGCTGATGAGTGATTCAGTAGAATTGTCGATGGTAGAACTAACGCTGTATTGAAGGGTATCAATTTGTTGATTCATCAAAAGAGACTTGGAATTAGTGTCAAAAATGTATATAATCCCTGCTTTACAGTTTTGGAAACCCTGTACATTACCACTGACACTAGCAACAAAAAGCTCACCATTATCAGGGTCCAATTTATAACTTAGACTTCTTCTACCGACAGAATCGCGACCAAAGTAAAGCTTTTGATGCATTTTGTCATATATGGTGTAAGCGAATTCTCCATATAAGCTACGAATGACATCAATAACGTGAGTGCCGCTATTAAGAGCCTTGACGAGATAGTGCGTATCATTGTCTGTTATATCTTGATTGTATAGCTCACCATTATACTGAACGACGTACTTATCCCCGCAATCGATACTTTGTTTGGTTAACGGTTGTCTGATGGAGAGGACACTTGAAAACCAGCTTATGCCATGCTCACTTGAGTGTCTGAAAGAAGCATAGTTAGGCCCACGTTCAGCAGTGTATGGGACAAGTCTGTTGAAGACCGATGAATTACCTCGTGTAAACCGGTTCACTCCACATTTCAACTCATCTTCACTAAATTCAGTAAAAGATTGATCAATGCTCTCTCCAGAAGTTGAATAATGAAATAATATACCGCACATTTTAATATGCGGATAATGATCTTCGAAAGGCTTGCTGAATCACGTATTTATTGATTTTTAAATTTTTTTTGGAAGAAGATAATGAAACCAGGGCATTTCACCATTAAGAGGGAATGAAAGCAATTAGAGGCAAACACAGTGAAAATGATTCGGCGAAATGTGAATCGCTAGGGAGCATGAATAGCTGCTCGCCCTCTTCTGCAGGAAAAGATGAAGAGGAAGTATTTTACGATTTCCAGCTGTTTATATCGCAGATGAAAGATCAAAGGGCTGACCCCATTGTGAGGTATACTCGTTCTTTCCTTCATAGTTTTGTCACTAAAAAAAACTTTTGGACCGCGGAGGAACAAGTGAAACTCGTTAATGACTTCAAGTTGTTTATTTATGATAAGTTTTTGGAATTTGAACCCTTTAAATCCCTAGATCGTTCAAAACTTCACAATGCTCAAGAGGGTATGGAGAAACTACTTATGGGTAAATTATACAACAAGTGCTTTTCACCACTTCTCGCCAACGATTATGAAAATCTGACTGACGATCACAGATCGGATTTGGTTCATGATGCAAATTTGATGGATAAGATACTAGAATTTCGCTTTATAAAGCCAATTAATCTTGAAATACCCGCGACAATATCTCCAAAAGTTGAAAAGTTCATACAACTTTCGGGTAAGGAACTCAATAGGATTAACAGTTATAAAGCACCTAGAGATAAGATGGTCTGTATACTCAACGCTTGCAAAGTTATCTATGGTTTTCTCAAGCATTCCAAACTTGAAAATGAAGGAGCAGATGTATTCATTCCCATGCTAATATACACAATTATGAAGGCAAATGTGCGCTCGCTAGTTTCTAATGTCATTTACATAGAGCGATTCAGATTTCCAGAATATTTGCGAGGCGAAAGCGGGTACTACTTAAGTAGCTTGCATGGTGCAATAAACTTCATTCTGCATATGGGGGAAGATTCTCTGTTTATACCAGATAAGAGTGAATACAATAATCAGTATGAGCAAAACAGTGTTCAGGTTGCAGAAGAAAGAGATAGGATTGAAATCAAAGAGGTAAACCTAGAAGTTCCAAAACTGCGTTCGAAAAGCCCGTCTCCAAGTGAGTACATATTAAAGCCACTAGACGGTGCGACAAATACAGTAATTTCAAAGTTCGCTGAGTTGTTCTCTCCCACTGCAACCAGCCAGGATGATACTGATAATCGCGAGCATCAGTCCGCTTTCATTGATGATGAAACCGCCGCTGCGATTGCACACCAAATGGAAGAGGATGATCACGTACGTACTATCAAAGATTTGCAAGCAATGTTTCCCGAAATGGGCTGTGAAATTATACAAGATGTCTGTGCTGCTAAGAGATATCGTATCGGTGCATGTGTTGATGCATTACTAACCCTCTCTAGTTGAAGCGTATATAACGATCTTTCTAGAAGATATAGGAAATCACAATCGACAGGCTGTTCATTCGGAGGGAAAAATGACAAACGAGTGTATAAATTTATTGATTAGTGACCTCCGTATTTCATCTCAGTAAGTTTGATTTCTCAAGAATGAAATTATTCTATGTATTAGCATCTGCATTGGTGCCAAGCATTTTGGCGGAATCCAGTGAGACAAATGAATCGAAAGCCGCATCAAATAATTTCTGTGAGATCAATAAAGATGAGGTTGTAGGTGCTACATGTGATGTAACATTCAAAGAAATAAACGAGATAAATCACCATATCAGACCTGAACTGCTAGCACTTGTGCACAGTGACTTTTTTAAGTACTTCAAGCTTGATCTTTACAAGCAGTGTCCGTTCTGGAATGATAATAATGGGTACTGTGTGAATAGAGCTTGTGCCGTGGACGTCATCGAGGATTGGGATAATGTGCCAGAGTATTGGCAGCCTGAGGCTTTAGGAAGTCTTCAAAATGAAAGCTTCAGTGCCGAAGATGACAACGAGTGTTCCTTCCTTGATGAACTATGCGATCAACAACAAAAAAATGGAATTATAAAGCAGGATGTGGAGTATTGTGATGTTGAGGATTTTCATAACAAGGACTCTGTGTTAGTTGATTTGACAGCTAACCCTGAAAGATTTACGGGTTACGGCGGGGAGCAGTCATCTCAGATTTGGTCGAGCATATACAAAGAAAACTGCTTTTCTTCAGATCAGGCCCAGAATTGTCTCGCAAAAGGAGCATTCTATCGACTTGTTTCAGGACTTCACGCTTCAATTGGTACGCACTTATCGAACGATCATTTGAACACGGAAACAGGAAAATGGGGTCCTAATCTTGATCTATTCATGGCGAGAGTTGGAAATTTCCCTGACCGTGTCGCTAATATTTATTTCAACTACGCCGTTGTGGCGAAAGCTCTGTGGAAAATTCAGCCATATCTTTCACATTTAGAGTTTTGCAATGCATATCATGAAGATGTAAAGTCTATGATTAATGACGTTGTTTCTCATTTGGACTCCAAAATATTCAATGAAGATCTACTTTTCCATGATGATGTGAGCTCAAAATTAAAGGATGACTTTCGCTCTAGGTTTAAGAATGTTACTAAAATAATGGACTGCGTCCATTGTGATAGGTGCAGATTATGGGGTAAAGTTCAAACTACCGGATATGCTACTAGTTTGAAAATTCTTTTCGAAATTGATTCACAAGATGAAAGTGGAAGACAAGCAGTTGTCGATAAATTAACGAAGTATGAGCTCATCGCATTGTTCAACACTTTTGACAGACTTTCCAAGTCTATTGAGTCTATAAACAATTTTGAGAAACTTTACAACGAAAGGGTAACTAGCCTAGGTGGTAAAATTGCCTCACTGTTCAGAAGGGATAATTTCTTCAGGCTCTTCAGTGGTGCAGGGGAAAAACTGAGCTCGTCATTAAGTAGTTTCACATCCAGTCTGTCAGTGGAAGAGACGACTCAGACGGCAAAGTTTAACGATTTGAGATTACCAACAAAGGCGAAACCAGAAAGTGCTGCAGAAAAAGGAGCGTTCAAAAAGGCTTGGGAAACGGAAATCAATAATGTTATGGAGGCCTTGAGGTTCATTTTTCGAAGTTACTGGGATTTGCCGAAGAACATTTTCATGATCGTACTCTCCAAAATCAATGGGTTATGGAATAAGTTTATTGGCGTTCCTGATTATGTTAGGGAGCAACCTTCGAACAACAATGTCTATCGGTTGGATATCCATTGACCATTTTTGCATTTCACGTTATATATTAAAGTCGTTTACTCAAGTTAAGACTAATAGATTAAATAGAATTACTGGTTCTTCTTTTTTCTCTTTTTTACCTCCTTCACCTTCTTGAAATTATCAGCGCCATCGGTGGACATATATCCGTCGTCTCCGTCATCTTCGATTTCGGCTTCTGTGATGTGAGTTTCGTCTTCTCTCATTCTTTTTAACGATTTGCCGTCTGAATTCTTGAACAACTTTTTGGCATCAGTAATTATCCTGCTTAATTTGATCAGCTCTTCCGCTCTTCCGAGCTTGACAGAATCTCTTCTTAATACAAATTTAAAGTCTTCTACTTTGATTTTGTTTCTGCGCACTGTTTGTGCTGTTCTGAAAGCTTCCATGCAAATATCTACCAAGTAGCTTGAGACTAGCTCGTCCAGACATTGGACAGATTCAGGCAATGGCTGAGGTACATCACCATAAGCATACATTAGAGATGAGACATCTTTGGAGAAAAGGTGAGTTTTCTTAAGCTTCCTTGACATGCGTGCTATCCTTGCCCGTCATTCATCAGCTGTGGTACCTCCGCTCTTTGTTTCCCCTGGCGAAAATTTTTTTTGAAGGAAGAAATTCGTCACCGCCTTCCTTAATGCTACAAGAGAAAGCGAAACAATGAGCGTAGAAGGAACCAAGAGAGCGAGGAGGGCCAAAACATTTACTGGTTGTTGGACTTGCCGCTCAAGAAAGGTAAAATGTGATCTTGGAAAGCCTTCTTGTCGTCGCTGTGAAAGATCTGGATTTGAATGTGGTGGATATGATATTAAACTTCGATGGTCCCCACCGATTAAATTCAACAAATACGGCGTTCAACTGCCAGCCAACCCTAGCTCATCAGCAAAAACCGAAGAACCTCAATTTCAACGGAGAAACATAGCATTTGTGCATTATAAGGATGAATACGAGTACTACGAAGAAATGGATGATGAATTATCCGCTTTGCATTCTCCCTCTTTGAGTAAAATTGCGAATGGTCAAACTTGGATGATTAAGAAATTTGGCGTGTTCAGAGGTACAGATCGAGTCAAGAAGAAATATGTACCAAGGAAAAAGAGGCGACAGAATGGCAATCAACACAAGTCTCCAAAGCCTTCGAAACACGAATCCAAGAAAAGTGAAGATAACATCGCTCCAAATCTTTCCACCATAAGTTTAGATGCCAAAGATTCATTCGAAACCACTAAAATTGCAAACCTCTTTGATTTTGACTTTTCTTCCATCAATTTTCATGGTAATGAATGGATATCAAATGAGTTGCGGGATGATGCACTGTTATCAGCATCCGCAATACAGGGTGTCGCCATGAATAGCTTTTCATTTCAGCATGATGAGAGTCGAAATACGAACTCATCATCGAGGAAAGATGAGATAAGTGGCACCCTGGAGTCACCAGCTTCCGCAAATTTGGAACAGTCTAATAATCAACATCAAGATTTCGGTGTTTCTCAAATCTATAAACTCCTTTTTCATAGAAGTGAGGACAAAACGAACACAAAAGGAAATAGTCCGAAATTTGTTGATCTCAGCAATGCCAAACCATCGGTTGTTCCTTTAAATAATGTAATATTGATGGATGCACCTGGGCCAGATGTGCACATGCCACGGAGCGTTTTGGAGGTAGTTCCTTCGGCTTTACCTGATTCTAGCATTTTTGGGACAAATGAAGATTCTGATATACTTTTAAGAATTCCGACAACTGGACTGCGTGTTCATGGCTTAGCACGATTTTTGTTAAATTATTACTTGCAGAATGTGGTAGATCTTATGACAGTTGTGGCTCTACCCACAAACCCTTGGAGAACTATTTATTTCCCTCGGGCTTTGCAAGCATTGGGCGACCTAGCTGGTATCGGTTACACCTCTAATTCAAGAAACTCACTTCTAAACGCCATCCTAGCTGTTTCCTGCTTTAACTTGCAAAGCAAATTTCCCCGAAATTCCCCGGCGATGAAGTACTATCTACAACTAGGAATTGAGTTCAGATCACAAGCTTCAAGCTTCTTGAAACTTTGTCTAGAGACTAGTGTAAATCAGGAGAGATATAAAGATATTTTAACCGCAATCCTATCCATGAATTCCATTGATGTTGTATGGGGCACTATGGCTGATTGCCAATATCATCTAACATTATGTGAGGAAATTGTTGAGAAAAGGATGAAATCTCGACCTAAGATTTCTGACAAAGCAAGGTCTCTTCACAGAATTTTTTCATTTTTAAAGTTGATACAGGACAGCACAGCCCTTGATAGGGTGAAAGACAAAGAAATAGTCATAAAAGATGATGAGGACGCAGGGGATCCAGAGGAAATTGAGCATGGGACTGATGGAGAGTTCAAAGAAGCGCTGGACGAAACTGACGGGAAAATTCGTATTGAATTTGTGAAACAGAACACCAGCAACGCAAGCACTCCAATATTCACAAACATTGCAAGCGAAACATACTACTATCCAAAAACTGCAACAACAAGTAGCGACTTCCTGAGCATCGATGCACTTTACGGCTTGCCTAATTCAATGATTCTTCTTTTCTCTGACTGTGTACGCCTGGTGAGACACCGGATGTACTACAGGACGAATAAACTGAACGTTCCTCAAAAATTTAGAAAGCTTTGTGCAGAATTTGAGAGAAGACTTTTGAATTGGAAATCAGAATGGGACTTTTACAAGCCGTATTCCAAGGAATTTTTGAACGATACTGTAGAGGGAGTGTACCATCACACAATGAGTTTCTACTATAGTTTAATACTTTATTACTTCACGATGGCAAGAGATTTGAACAACAGATTGCTGCAGTCTTATGTTGAAAAAGTTCTTAACCACTTGACAACTCTGACAGGCCTCATAGAAGACAAAAATGTTAAAATTGTGCCGCTGATTTGGCAAGGCTTTATAGCTGGATGTGCATCGGTGGATCAGTCCTTGCAATTGCAGTTCAAAAACTGGGCTGCCAAATTAGCCAATTCTGGAATGGGTTCATATTGGGGCGCTCGACAAATTATGTTTGAAGTTTGGAGAAGGAGGTTGAATGGGGAGGAGCATGACAACTGGTTTGATGTCTATAAAGATTGGGAAATGAACTTAATGTTATCATAAAATGCCTGCCTTTGATTAGCAAATAGGCGAATATATATTCATTTATCCTCTCTCGATGATATTTCGGTAAGTAGTCTATGTTATCGGAATGCTTGGCTCTCGAAGCGTGTGTATGACGTACTGTAAAGTCATGGCATCCATGAAAATGTGTCCAGGATTTAAGTAGGAGTTTAAGCGGAGTAATATACCCTTTGTCCCAAAACCCGATTTAAATGGCCGAAACTTTTTTTTTGAAGCGAGCCTCTCCCCTTTTCAATCAGCAGCAGAGTAACTCGAACATGTCAGAAGTATTAAATGTGGGAATAGTGGGAACTGGTATTTTTGCGAAGGAAAGACACTTACCTTCTTACCAAGAACTTTCAGAAAAATTCAAAGTCGTTGCAGCTTTCAATAGAACGAAAAGCAAAGCTGAGGAGTTCGCGAAGTTAGCAGGCATCGCAAATGATAAAGTGTACGATAATTTGGACGAAATACTGAATGATGAGTCGGTTTCTTATATAGATGCGTTGCTTCCAGTGCAGTTCAATGCAGATATTGTTCAAAAATGCATTGCAGCGGGAAAGCCTATTATTATGGAAAAGCCTATTGCAGCTACTATGGAACAAGCCCGGCAAATTGTTAAGCTCTCCGACTCTACAGAATTGCCGGTAGGAGTTGCTGAAAACTGGTTATATTTGTCTTGTACTGATGTCGTTAAAAGCCATCTTACTGAAATCGGTCCCATTGAAGCCTTCACGTACAACTCAACTGGCCCTTTCGTGTTGCACAACAAATATCTATCTACTACGTGGAGACAACATCCTGAACACATCGGAGGTTTTCTTTCTGATGGTGGTGTTCATCAGCTTGCTTTACTTACGGATATCCTGGGTGAAATCGAGTCTGTTTCAGCATTGACAAAACAAGTTCGCAAACAATCAGGCACTGATGACATTGTTTTTTCGACTTTAAAGCTACGCGATTCGAGCGTTATTGGGACATTTACATATGGATCGGCTTTTGGTTCATGTGAGAAGTCCGTGTTTTTGAAGATCTACGGTTTGAACGGCTCAATTTTGCTAAATGTGTCCAATAAGAAAAATCCCTATGTCGAAGTAATAGTAGGTGGTTCAGCCGAGGCGGACGCTAAAACTAGTCGTTTTGAGATTAGTCAAGAAGACTCTTTTGGAGTTAACAGCGAATTTCTGAACTTTCGTGAAGCCGTTTTGAATAAAGAAAAGCATTTGCTGAAAAGTACTCCAAGAAAAGCTTTTCATCATTTAGCATGTGTAGCCGCTTTTCTGAAGTCCTCTTCAGAAAATGGCAATAATGTCCCGGTAGAGCAACCTTGAATGGTTCATTCACGATATACTCATGATGAAGACTGTGACTACCTTTGGAACATTACATTTGAGTAATCTTATAAAGTGAGCGTGTTTTTTCATGCGTATGATTAGTAACGTTTTTGGATCATGATTGATCGTTTCTAACATGGTGAACAGTACGCACAATTGATAAACGACTCAAAATCCCGGAAAGCGGGGAAACTCTTTCTAAGTAGTTGCAAATTTAATGATATTTTTAACACATTCAATATTTGCGATTACTAGCTTATGTGCTTATGCTAAAAGTCTTGTATTCAATAGATGTTGTCCGTTTTAAGTACTTTTCACATTTTTAGGTCAATCATTCAAGCGGAGACACCTACTTCTTGGAGAGAGGTTTCTTCATCATCTGAGTGCCTCTAAGTTCTCAGATCGGGATCTCTCAATTGGCCGAACCCCGTGGTCATGGATATCAAATAACAGATAATATAATCTAGATTGGTAACTGAGTAAATAGTTTTAGCGGGCAATCTAAAGAAATTCCTCCTCGTTCTTCACATCCTTATTGGATGAATAGTAATCTGGCTTCGTAAACTAGGAGTGATGTTGCGCGTGTGTTTTGATCGATCCGCTCTTCTGCCCTCTTTTACCGACCATACCGATTATTACCGGTTCCAACCTTCAATACCCGTACATATCCGCCCACACGATAAATGACAGGAACGCTTTCAGTTTACTTCAAGTACTCCTTCGATCACTGGGAAAGGGTATAAAAACCTCTACAATTACTCAATGTGACATGCTTTCCAAACCTTTGAAAATCGACGAATATAGAAATGACTCAAACCGAGTTACCGCTAGGAACTTATCTATTTTACCGACTATCACAGGTGACTAAAACTGTATTCGGTGTACCTGGAGATTTTAATTTGAATTTGTTGGAACACATCTATAATTTCAATGAAGCTGAAATAAAATGGTGTGGGAACTGTAACGAATTAAACGCTGGCTATGCGGCCGATGGATATTCGAGATTAAATCAATTTGGATGTTTCATAACGACATTTGGTGTCGGAGAGTTGTCGGCACTGAACGCCGTAGCTGGTTCCTTTGCAGAGAATGCGCCTGTTTTGCATATTGTGGGGACATCATCCACAAGCGCCAAAACTAATTCTACATTTAACCATATTCACCACTTAATACCATCTAAGAAAACATATGAAGCATCTGACCACGGTGTTTATGAACGTTTAGTAGAGCCATTCAGCATCCGAACTGAGATTCTGAGCGGAAAGAGCCTTGGAAAGATTCAAGAGCAAATCGATTCTTTGATTGAAGATATTGTGTGTCACATGAAGCCTGGTTATTTATTTATACCTTCAGACTTGCCTGACATTATAATCCCTGTCGACCTTACTAAGTCTTTGGATTTTGACCTCTGTCGCATTCTTCAAGTTAATGAAAAGAATACCAAATTTGTTGTTGATAATACCCTTCGAAAGCTTTATGGGGCTAAAAATCCGGCTATTATCGTAGATCAGTTCATGAAATTTGATGGAAAGGAGGTAAATGAGTTTTTGAGGAAGACAAAGTTTTACTGTTATAGCACGAATAGCTCCAGAGGAATTGTTGACGAAACTTTACCAAATTTTCATGGTGTTTTCAACGGTAGAATATCGACTGAAGGTACTCTTCAAATATTTGATGAAAATGACTTTGTCTTGTATTTGGGTGCCAATATCAATGAAACCAATTTCTTTGGTGGGGAGTCTTCAATATTGAAGGATAAGGATTGTATCCTTGTTGGGAAAGATTACGCGCAGCTCGGCTTCGGCGGTGATCTAATGTATGATGTGAATTGTCATGTTTTTTTCAAACAATTAATTTGCGGAGTCGATTTTTCCCTGCTCCCTCAAATACGTATAAGAACTCAAACTGCGCGATACAATGCAGATTACGGAGTGCTCAAGGAAGATTCTCATTTGTCGCAGAAGTCATTTTCAACCATAGTTTCGAGTTTTATCAAGGATAATGATGTTATTATCAATGAAATGTGCTCCTTTATGTTCGAAATGCCGAACATAAGGTATAAAAAGAACTGTTCCTTTGTGGGACAGCCGTTTTATGGTTCAATAGGTTATGGAATACCAGCAACTCTAGGGGCCTCTTTGGCAATTAAAGATTTAAAAATGCAGGGAAGAGCCATCTTATTTCAAGGAGATGGATCTGCCCAGATGACATTACAAGAATTCGCTTCCTTCATAAGGTTTGAAATTGACCCTGTCGTATTTCTGTTGAATAATGATGGTTATGGGGTCGAAAGGGTCATTAAAGGACCCAACAGAACTTATAATAATATAGCTGTTAAATGGGATTGGACCAACCTCTTATCGGTATTTGGTGACTTTGATCATTCAAAAAGCTTCTCACTTAAAGCAACTACAGCAGGTGAATTGATGGAAGCTTTGGCCAGCGGTATTGATTTTAAAGATGGTAAAGTTAAGATACTCGAAGTTATTCTGGGAAGAATGGATGTTCCTGATCGATTTAAAAAAATAGCGGGTGTGGCGGAAAAAGAGAACAATACATGAACTCAAAACTAATGGGTAGCTTGTTATATTAATGAATTCATTATATACTAGTAAGCCAAACCACATTAAATAACGTCCCCTGGTCTTTGAACTTGTCATATGGTGAAATAGAACCCACAGCTTGTTTCCTCATTAGCTAGTCAAATCACTGCCGCGGAGATTATGTAAATTGCTTAAACTTCAAATTGATCAGTATGTTCTTTTCACGCCAAAGAATTCCCATTCAAAGTTTTCAATTTCATGTCGGCTTTAATCATGTCAATACGAGAGCGTTGATTTACTTTCATATATCATCTTCGAAACGTAGTGTCTCGTTGTATGACACAAAATTAAAAACCTACATAGATAATGATCGTTTGAGAACATTGATTATTACTTCTAATTAGCGTACTTTGACTTTCCTCTTAAATACGGACCGAATTTGTAGAAAATGAATGGGATGGTAGCAAGCCCAATGCAGAAAAATCCGACTAACGAAGATCCCCAACCCACCGGATATTTCTCACTTCCAAGATTGTCATACATTGCCTTTCCAAATAATGGGAATGCGCATGCAAAAACAGATCGGCAAAACGCATTGGACGCGAAGACGGAAGCGAGATAGCGCGGATAGCAAATTGCCAAATAAGCGAACGTGGCTTGGAAAAGATTGAATACATTCAAAACAAAAAATATCTGTGCGATAATCGGCAAAATCCAGTGGACACCTGCAGCCCAACCAAACAGAAATAATGACAGTGGTAAGGACCAACAAAGCCCCATAGCAAGAAGCAAGAAATCCTCTGGTTGAAATGTGCCATTTTTGAATTTCGGGGCGATTACCTTGGCAAGAAACACAAGTAGGACTAAGTAAGCAATCACACATCCAACGCAAAATCCCATGTATGCCACTCCCATTTCAACGAGAGTGAAGTTGTAGATACCAATAAAAACAATTGGAAAAGCCTCAAAAAATAGATAAAAGGCACCATAACAAAGAGCAATGTACACATCAAAGGCAAGAACTGCTGGTTCCAAAACCATTAGAGCAAATGGCCTGTATAAAGTGTCCAGAATGAAATCCCTAATGTGTATTTCGGAATCAATTTTTTCTTGTCTTGTGTAAAATCGATTGTCGCCCGTTTGTTTCCTAATTCGATTGGCACGGCGGTGTAATATATTGGCATGCTGTGTTTCCGGAAAGAAGACAGCTAAAACAATCAAAGTTGCTGCACTTAGCCACATCAACAACCAAAAGATGAATCTCCATCCTTTAGCTACTACCATAGCAGCTCCAAGAAGAGGAGCAAGAACAGGTGCTGCGACCGCTCCGATTGCCCAAAGTCCAATGAAAATAGGAACGATCTCTGGAGATATCATATCACCCATACTCCCGGCGCCTGTAGCCAATGATGGTGAGCACAAAACACCGCTGATAAAGCGCAAAACTACCAGGCCGCCAATATTTTTCACTGTGGCACATCCCACTTGAAAAAGACAGAAAAAGAAGAGAGTAATAATGTAAATATGCTGCCTGCCAATTGAAGCGACTTCAGAAAGAGGTGAAAAAATCATTGGACCCAATCCATAACCCAAAACATACATTGAGAGATTGAGTGTGCCTACGACATGGCCGACACCAAACTCTTCTTGAATGGCCTCCTGGCCAGGTGTGTATATTGATGCTCCCATATATGTAACGCAAGTTAAAAGCATAATTTGAACAACTACAAGAGCCTTTTTACCCTTTGACCAATTCATTGGATTTTCAGGATCATGAGCGTCTATCCAATCTACCAGAAAAGGATCCTTTTCCACTTCTGAATCCTTCGAATTCCTCTCTAAGCTTTCTTCAGCATTTGCCTCGATGTCAACATCTTCCTTACAACTTATCTTTGTGGAGCTTTCGGAATCTTGTTCTTCACATTTATAGTTAGATTTGACTAACTTAACGTATTCGAGGACGTCTACCAGGAAGGTGTTTTGGAACGTTTGAGTGTACATCTCGAATGCGAATTACTGTACTGAAGCTCAAATTGAATGATTTGAGTGGACCATCTTATATACCCAACTTAATTCGAAGAGAAGTTGTTCGATAGCTAACTAGAAAACGTTAGCAGCATTACTGGTAGTTGATGACAAATTTTTTGTTGTTATTAATGAGGTCAATATCCATGTAGATGACAAATTGTTTGGTATGTTCGCAAATTGCTTGCGTTTAATATTCCGACGCCGACGCTAGACACTGATTATGTAAACAAGCAAGGAGAGATGCCATCTTTTCCTGTAATTTTCCTCTCGCTGTCCGCCAGGACTCCGTAAAAAATGCACATTTTTGAAGTTCTTCTTCGCTTTAATCCAACAATTAAATTGATTACTAATGGAAATTAATAATTAAAATAGTACGTTTCAGTTTGAGGTTACACGTCGCGCTGTTGATTTATAATGAAAACGATACGCTAATAACTACCTCGAAAGTAGTTGCACTTTGGTGGGACAGTATCTTTAGTGTTAGCATTGGACGAATTCGTCTCGAGGGTACCCGGAAGGCTTTTTATTTGCACTATACTTATGAGCGAGAATAACCAAAGACTCATTGCAAAGTCCTTTGATATTATTTAAAGAACTGGCAGTGCCGAAAGCACAGCTGATGGTATGAAATTGCAAGAACAGCTTGACTTTTGAATAAAAGTTGGTTCTAACCAATATCAATAATTTCCATTATCTCTGTATGTTACAACTATTATGGTGTAATTTGAACTTGCGGTTTGCGATTTAACATTCATGTTCGAATATTCGAAGATTTTCAAGTTTTTCCTTCTTAAAATATAATAGTAAGCTAAGAATTCAAATTTTCTCTGCAATCTTTATTCTTCTCTAGTACTAATTGACCTCTAGGCTAACTGAATTGTCTGCTAAGGAATATTCTTATCCTCATCCTGAATTGCGAGACGGCCAACTCCACGCACTTATCGCGTATGCGTTATCCATTTAAAATACGTCAGTTTAGTATTATAAGAGAAGAATGATATACTCTCTTAAAGGTTCATCTGAATGAAGCCTCTTCAGCATCCCATTCGTCAAGACTTGATATAAGAAGCTTAGTTTCAAACGATGTGATTATGGTCATCCATAAACTACTTCTCTTCCATGCCACGATTACTTCCCGACAACTAACAGGAGAATACTTCAGTTTTCCACGAGCTCATATCCGTGTGAAGGAAAATGAACACTTTAAAATGTCGATGAACTGTTTAGACCCGCTACCAGTACACTATATCTTGAGATATGCTAATCATTACACTTTTGAATACTGATATCCTGGTTTTATTGCTCATGAAGAGGCTAATATAACAAATTTAGATTTTTGCCGAGAAGTTTACAAATCGAGTCATAGCATTAGTAAAAGTGTCCAATTTTTTGAATTCAACCTATAATACTTTCTATGGTAAAGTGCTTATCACATTCTTTTTTTCAATTATAAACTGAAAAGTTTAATCACTTCACATATTTTATGGGCATAATTCTCAGTTAAGAAGGAAAAGTTATATGATATAATTAGGAGCAAATGTTAAAGAATGGTGATTTTATTTTACTTCTCAAGTTGAAGCAATCATTATACATTTATTGGGCTAATTTTTCAGAGTGTTGTGAAATTCGTAAAACTATGATTGAAGAGAGGTTGGAAGCGAATTTGGAAAACAAGTCTTTTAAATAAAAATTATTTATTTACTCTTATTGAATGAGCCTTGAATCATCTCTAAGGGCGGAATGGGCAAGTACCAACCAAGAGACATTTTAGTTGTCTGGTAAACTAGATGAAATTATCCTTGTCGCCTCACTTTGGAATTCATACATGAGTAATGGCCATCATAATGAATTAAAACCACTTTTAAATTTTACGATCTATAATCCAAATTGCCCAACATAGGAACCCATCGATCGTTTTGATGTCTTCACTTTCTGTAGGAGATTTTAACTTGTTTGTTTCAATACACGTGTCTACCTGAAGTATATCACAAATTGTCGGTAATTGCCAAAAAAATAATTTTTTCTATGATAATTCACCATCTTATCTATCTAAATTTTAATTTTATTTTAAATACTTGAAATTTTTTTAATAGTTATCAGCGGGGAAATTAAGAATTATTTTCTCGAAGTTTGATATACTGTAGAGTGCCAGAGAACTTTTAGTTCAAGGATAGTTCTATTGGTAGACAAATTTGGTATCTGTACTTAAATGTTCAACTCATTTTCCTTTTATTATTTATTTGCTATATTTAACATAAAAAACTTATCTATACCACAAATTTGTATTTGCACCTGCAATGGAGAGCAAACAATTTTTTAAAAGTCGAGGTGCAAGAGAAAAAAATAAATTTGATAAAAACTTCACCTACGCAGAAACACACTCCTTAAACATAAGATCCCGATGATTCTAATGGAAAGAGGAAGCACTCTCACTATCAAACCAATAGTGGTAATCAATCATATAGTGACTCCCAAACACAATTTCAAGAAACTCTGAGTATATTGTTTTAACTAAATCTCATTTGAGAAAGCTAAAAATGAAAAATAAGGATAGTGAATTTTTATGGGAATGGAAGTTTTATCAAATGGCAGTTTAGGAGCGATTTTGATCTTATATAGAGTGTGATATTTAAATCAGCTCGTATTCACGCGCAGAACAACCTCAACTATGCGGGTGATAACCATTTGGTAATCGGTAAGTCCAAAAAACTCTAGCACATTACCAATTGATTCAACTTCTTGAATAGTTCTACTTATCGCTGTTTCTTGGAATTGGTTAAAAAGGGCGGGACACTATCTCTGGCATTAACCTTTCAATGAACCTCTACAGGTAATCTAATAGAATTCGACAGAGTTATAGATTAATTTGCTAGAAAGGACGGGAATTTTGCTGCTAAACATACATCAGGAATATTTTATGGAATTTTACATGGAAAGGTCACAAGAATTATGACTGTTAGCCTATTTATATTACTGAACCCTCAAAAGCTAGTATGCCATTTTTTAGAACGATTTTCAATTTTATAAACCCAATCGTATATGGAAATTGAACAACGATTTCCACCGGTACATCTTAATTAATCCAGTGGAATTGACTGAGTACGATAGGATAAACTCTTACTATACCCAATACTCAATTCATCTTGCTCAAACATGCGTTTACCTTTAAGAGCTTAATATTTGCTATGTCGAGTGAAGCTAGCGTAGAACATATTCTTGCACTATGATTTCTTGTTCAAAACCAATTTGCTCTATACATAGAACTTTCAAAAATCAGGATAAATTTCTGTCACATTTCTTTCATTCACATCTGATCATGGATGAAACAAGTCATCCTTAGCAGTCTCTGTGTTTGAGAAAGTGAAGACAGCCATTTACTGAAAAATAATGGGTACTTCTACATGAACTGTCATCATTCTTGAGTATTTAAAATTCTGCGTTCGTGCTGTAAAGCCTATACAAGCTCAAAAAGAGGGAGTTATCGCTACAGAGGATGATTCGCACTAGGCTTTATTGCAGAACAGTTCAATTTTTTTCGCCTCCTTCTGTCTAACGTGTCTTATAATACAGAGAGAGCATCAATCCTCATGTTACAATTCAACTCATAGAATCATGAATGCGAAACTTGCGAAGCGCGCGCGCAAAAAAGAGGTTGTTTTATTCCTTCAAGGGATTATATGGTAACAGATTCAAAACTTTTACACAATTGTAAATGCTTTCACAATATTAAACGCGCCAAATTCTTATTAAATCCAACCACAGAATCCCTTAATATTAATAAGCCTGAGCTATGTGGTACAAAGAATAATTAGAACTTGAATTGAGACGCACAATGCAAGGCCAAACAACGAAATATCGAATGAAGATGCAGACAATAAGTTAAAAAAAGATTCCTCAGTTGATGACAATACGAATGAGTGATATTCTTTTAGTGAGCGTCTACTGGCGATAGATATATTCCTAATACCGTATCGAATAATACATCCATAGTTGATGTATCATATTAAACGACAATACTTTGAACCGTTTAACGCATGTACTTTAATCGATGTGCATCTTTTCCAGTGAAGGCACGTAGGAAAACAACTTCCGCAGAGAGTATGCAATGATGCGGACATCTTTTGACAAGAATAACTGTTAAAAATTGAGTTTTTTCTTTTTCATTTAAAGCCATTAGACTGGGAATTTGTGTGCACTCCCCCCAATTTTACCTAATGCCGGTCAACCTAAATGCGGTATCCTTTTGTTCTTTACCGAACTAATGTACGATATGAAAAACCCGGAGGAGCCCATTCTAGTTGACCCTGTCAACTGGAACAAGAGATAAATTATAAATTGGGAATAGGAATTTAAAATTTAGGAAAAGCTCTTGAAACCATTTTATGAATGATGTGATCAAACACTGCTTCTTGTACTCTGAACTATCTAAAAATAGTTACAAAGAGTAGTCTCTTTAAGATCTGGAAAGGGTGCACCATCTAAGAAAAGATGTACATTTTGCTTCGTAGATAAAGAATGTTTGGGGGCGTCTACTATGTATATCATCGCACAATTGCCGAGAAAAGAAAGCTGCAGGCTAATTTGGCAGGTTTCGACGGTAATTTTTTCAGGCACAAAAAAATCCTACACAGAAAAAGGTTCAGAACAGTGACGTTCGAGAAATTTTCCTGCTCCATGCATCTGTATTAGGCACGTCACGCATAAAGAAATAGAAGCAAAAACGGGATTACGCTTTAAACTTATCTCCCCGAGGTACTCTTCGTATGGTTCAACTCCAAAGGTGCTCGCCATGTAATTCGGCAAGAGTGTTTTGTGCAACAGCTCGGAATTTTTTCCCTGCAACGAAAATCGATGTTACGTAAACCCAAGAACTATGTGATAGAATTTTCTGTATCTTTTCCACTCATCATCGGGGGGGCCAGTGTCAATACTTGCTTTTATAAATATGAGATCCCGTCCACATTGAAACCAAAACATCATCTTGCTGTTGATTTTGTAATAACGGCCATTCTCTTTGAATCACCTTATAATGAGGTGGGTAAATTATGTGTCATTGAATCTCATACTATTACTTCTGAAGTTAACACACGCAGCCTCAAGTCAAGCCGATGCAGGTGTTATATTGGGATGTGACCCCAAGGTGGTAACAAGCGGATTCACCGTCTCCTATTACAGTCTTCCACTGGTAGGGACTAAATCACCATGTTATAATCCTGCGTATAGTTCGTCGGCTTATTTGCATGGTGGATATCAAACTCTTGGCTCTGGATTACTTGGAACAAGTTCAGGTGTCACCAACTTAACTTTTGACACTGGTAGCACAGGATTTACCAGTTGTGGGGTTGTAAATCAGAAAATGCCTTCAAACTATAATTTTGACAAAACGATCTCGACGTCAAACTTTTCCATGTTAATGACAGGGTACTTTTATGCACCCACGACAGGTACATACAGTTTAAATTTGGCTTCCATTGATGATCTTGCATACATTAACGTTGGTGCTGGAAATGCCTTCAACTGTTGCCAAATTTCTAGCTCTGTATCTAACCCTGGCAACTTTTCGCTTTATGCAATTTGGCCTCAAACTCATAATTATGTGACAATTGATTTAGTAGGAGGATACTACTACCCACTGAGGGTGTTTTATGTGAACAGGAATTATATTGGAGGAATGAAATTTTATTTTACGACGCCAGACGGGGTACTACATACAGACTGGACTGGTTATATCTTCAGTGCCCAGGATGGTGCCAGATGTGACGTGCAACCAAAGTACAGCACAACTTTTTCTAAAGTGACCCAAAAAACTTCGTATACAACAATTTCAACTTACACGGACACAAACGGAGCTACTTCGACAGGTAACTTTATCGTTGAAGTTGACCCTCTAACTGACACCGTAACAGGTACGACAATCAATCAATGGACTGGATCGTATACAACGACATACTCAACTACCGTCGAGACTGCAACAGGTTCTGACGGGTTTCCAACAGTGAGCACTATATACTACGTTGAGACCCCAGCAGTCGTTTCAACCACGTACACTGGATGGACTGGGTCTGAGACGTCCACCTACTCCACCGACGTGACTACCTACACTGGCACTGACGGTGAGTTGACTACCGAGACCATCTACTACGTCGAGACTCCAGCTGTTGTTTCTACCACGTACACTGGATGGACCGGATCTGAGACATCTACCTACTCTACCGACATTACCACATTCACCGGTACCGATGGCCAACTGACTACCGAGACCATCTATTATGTTGAGACTCCAGCTGTTGTTTCTACCACGTACACTGGATGGACTGGATCTGAGACGTCCACCTACTCCACTGACATTACCACATTCACCGGTACCGATGGCCAATTGACCACTGAGACCATCTACTACGTCGAGACCCCAGGTGTTGCATCTACCACGTACACTGGATGGACTGGATCTGAGACGTCCACCTACTCCACCGACATTACTACCTACACTGGTACCGACGGTGAGTTAACCACTGAGACCATCTACTACGTCGAGACCCCAGCAGTCGTTTCCACCACGTACACTGGATGGACTGGATCTGAGACGTCCACCTACTCTACCGACATTACCACATTTACCGGTACCGACGGTGAGTTGACTACCGAAACCATCTACTACGTCGAGACCCCAGGTGTTGCATCGACCACGTACACCGGATGGACTGGGTCTGAGACCTCTACCTACTCCACCGACATTACCACATTCACCGGTACCGATGGCCAATTGACTACCGAGACCATCTATTATGTTGAGACTCCAGCTGTTGTTTCTACCACGTATACTGGATGGACTGGATCTGAGACGTCCACCTACTCTACCGACATTACTACCTACACTGGTACCG